AAGTCTATAAGTAGAGATCGTAATAGGTCCCTAGTCGCGAATTAGTCTAGGGACTAGGCGTTTCCTAGGAGAAGGGCTCCTCTAGTAATGCTTTCGTTTTCGTAGGCTATAGTAGTAGTAAGGTGCATCTCCTATGCTCTTCGGGACTTGTTCGGGTAATTTATAGATCCGTAACCTAGTTCCTTATAGTAGAAGTATAGCTCGTGCTTAAAACAGAATTCGTAGACACTAGGTTCGGTTATCTTACGACCTTTTACGTTATTAATAGTAATAGGTTTGCCTATAGTAGGGCTAGAGTTGTTTAAAACCGTTAGAATAGCGACTACCTAGGTAGGAACGGGTATAGTTTAGGGGGTAAGGTTACGAGGGATCTAGTTACGGGGAGCTAGGGCCGAGGGTCGAGGAGTAAGGGCTTTAATAGTTACGAAGTATTAACGGCGGTTCTCGAGTTCTTATAGATACTTAGCATAGGCGTAGAAGTCCCTATTAGGGATGTTGCCTAAAACCATTATAAGTTATTACTTAAGTTCCTTAGATAAGGCAGCTTTAAGGATTATAGGTAGAGCGTTATTATGCATTCTAGATTCGAGGGCAAGGCGGTAGAATTTAGTAAAGAACTGTCCGAACTCCTAGTTCTTTTAATAAAGGGCAAGAAGGTTATTCTAGGCATTACGGGCGTAGTTCTAGTCTCTAAAAGTTCTTTTAAGAACTTATAGTCCTTCTTCGTAATCCTTAAGGGTATAAATACCGTTACGGATATAAGGTTAAATGTATAAGTAGGCGCGGCCTTTAAGACGGCTAGATAGGTAGGCGAGATGAGACTAGGTAGTAGGGAAACGATCGTAGTTAACGCTTATTTTTTCTCTAATCTTAGAGGTAAAGATGTTAAATTAGGAGCGATCTCCCTAAAACTTTTTAGGGTTAGGTATCTTTTTAGAACAGCTAATCGAAGACTTAGGAGTAGGAGAAGTAAGCGTAGGCGTTCGGCTATAAAGTACTATGTTATCCTTAGCATTAGGAGTTATAGGATCTAAGGTAGTAGGGGTATTAACCGTAGGTAGGGTAGCTTTAATAGCTTTAGCTTCTAAACGGCGGGCCTAGGCTTTGTTTTCGAGAGCGTTTTCTATTCGAGTAATAGCGCGAACCTTATTTATAGAAGCGCGTTCAAGTTTTTCGCAAACCTCCTTAAGTTTAGAGGACTAGTACGCTTATATAGTCTAAATAGACTCCTTTTCGCGGCGGGTCTAGTCGAGTTCCTAGTAGGTCTAGCTAAGTTTGTTAGTAAGAGAGGCGTTCTCCTAGTGTAGCGATATGTTTTTAGATTCCTAGGAATTAGCGAAGTAATAGACATCGGTTAGGAACTTATACTATAGGTCGGGGTAGTCGTAGACATGTTAGATAAAAACCTCGAGGTTATCTAGGAGAATAGGAGGCGTCGGGCGCGAGGTCATCGTAGGGTAGTTAGCGTAATAGGCGCGCTACGTAGGTATATAAGGTCTACGTAATATTAAGGGGCGAAGTCGGGAATAGGTAATAGTACGTAGATACGGGTCTAAGCTATATAACAAGACGTAGATAAGGAGATAAAGAGGTAATAGGGAGGAGTTATAGAAGGTAGCAAGTAGTCTTAGCAATTCCGCATAGCCGCTTAGTAAGCGACCGGCTAAGGTTAGGGTTACCCTAGTAGCTAGGGGTTATAGTTAGGTGTAACTAGATAGCTAACCGTAACACTATATTACCTAACTTTCTCTTACTATATCTATTACTCTAACTACTATATTATAATATAGTATTTTAATTAGTATTAGTAAATAAGGGTAAAGATAGCTAATAGCTTATCTACTATAACTATAATAATTTTAACTAATTATACCTATAGATACTCTTCTTCTCTTTAATTAATTAATTACTACGCTATATACTATTAGCTTACTTTTATTAGTAAAGGTTACGTCTTTACCTTTAGTTAATTCTATAGGCTCTAGGGTTACTTCCCTATATTAGCTAGAGTATTTTATGCACTATTAAGTTAAAAAGTTTCGCCTAGTAGTCGGAAGCTAGAGCTCTAGAGGAAATAGGTATTAAGGGGTAGAACTAATACGTATGTTGTAATTAAGTTAGTTAACTACTATTGTAGTACAGAAGTCTTTGTGTTACAGCTTCTCTACATTACCTAACTTCCTCTTACTATATCTATTACCCTAACTACTATATTATAATATATTATATAAATTATTTTAACTAAATCTTAATTAAAACCTAAAATAAGCCCTTATTAATTTTATAATCTAGGTAGTTTTATTTTATAGTTTCTAGCTACATATAGTAGTAGTTTTAATAACTACTTTAAAGGTTAGTTTTAATTTTATTTAGCTCTAGGTAACGCGCAAGTATATAGCTATTATCTTTTTAGAAATAACTAAGACTAGAAACGTAGGGTAACGCGTAAGGGTTTCCTAAAATGTTAGGTACTTTTGCTAACTCGAATTCTATGTTTTATAGGGTAGCGCCTACGCGCTATCGTAAAGAAAGTCATTATCAAATTCTAAAGCTAACATTTAGCTAAACACTTACGCGTCGCCCCGCGTTTCTAGTCTTAGTTATTTCTAAAAGGACAATAACTAAGTTTTAACATTTAAACTATAAACATCCGACCACATATATCGAGTGCTTACGAAGCACTAAAGAAACTCCGAAAAACACAAGAAGAATGATCTTGAACCGCTCTAAGTATCCAGTTATGAGAAATCAAATCTGCATTTTTCTCGACCTTCTCTAGACCCTCTCTACGTCCGATCAGTGACCAGGAATTATTTGGAAGGTCTGAACCGTTCGTCCTTCTCGTCTCCAAACAACTCCTTGACAATTGTAACTGGTCCGTCTACAGTGGCCATAAGCTTTCCATCGAATGTCGTGTTCATATCGTTGCTGACGAGAAGAGTCGTCTTGCCAGTGCTCAACAAAAACTGACGACGCTGGGGGACAGGAACGTAGTCGCGAGGGTCTGGTACATGAGGCACAACCTCAGATTCTGGAATCAAGTCAGCTTACCGATGATTTATCAGACTGATTGGCTTTGCATCTTACCATCGCGACGGCGCTTTGCATCAACGTAGGCGCCGTTATTGAGTGTAAATTCCGTCCCATCATTGAGTTTGGTATCATCGAAGCAGAAATCACTACCGCATGGTTAGAGTCAGATAGATGGACGAGAGTGCAAACTTTGAGAACGCACGCGTTTGTATATGAATCTGCTTTCAAAAAGATCGTGAATTGACAAGGTGCGACTCCACCACAGCCGCCGTTCGCCACCGGTTTGTTATAGAACACTGCGAGCTGACCGCCCTGTTTGGATTCCATCAACATCATGATTAGTTTTGCAGCTTGTAGGGCCCTATGAGTTCATCTCTTACCTCTGATCTGTTGTCGCTTGCAGGCATGCATCGAAGAATTGCTCCCGCACCTGACTGTTGGGTACTGGCCTGTGGGTATTCGTCGCAGTCACCAGAGTTAGGATCCGAGTTATAGGGAGCTTTACCACCGGTACCACAGACACTAAGACCGTTGGACTGCTTGCAGCCCGAGGCTGTACGTCGTTGACGCTCAACGGCGGCGGTTGGCTGGTCCCATGTCAAGGTATTAACCGCTCCTGCATGATAGACGGCGTAGCAGCGGTTGTTGCAAGCCTGAGGGCAGTTGGTACAATCTATCTCGAACATCTGCTGGGCATGGATCAGGCTGAGAAGCAAGGATAAAATCAGCGGTATAGAAGGCCACATGATACCAATTGTTTAGAGGAATCTTGTTTGTCCCAAGAACATACAGAGAGACTAAGCTGGGCTTTATATATGCATTTCGCCATCTCATATGAGTCTGACTATTGAGGCAATTGAAGCACATCACTCTTGATCATGACTATCAAAGCGCGAAGCCCTAGTCAACGCAGACAATGTTGAATGATGATCCGAAGGTGCATGGCCCTCGGTCCCCGATGGCCGATAACCCAGTATGTGGACGAAACACTCGTAGTTTCAGTGACCAGCTGTAGTCAAAGCGTCATATCTTTTACAACATCAACAGTTACATCAATCTCATTGGTCGGCAGCTGAGAAGGTCGCTTGCATGTACAGCGTTAAGTAGCACGAGGGATTGAGAGGTCTACTTCTTGAAAGACATAAGCTTATTCACACAGCCAGTCTCTCCTCGAGTCTTGCATCTCGAATTTACCAACATGAAGTTATATTACACCGTTCTCATCGTCCTGAAGCTTGTTTCTGCTGACAGCGGTACATGTCAACTTGTCGGCAGCTATGTACATGCGAGACAGCTCAATACGTTAATCATTACTGACAGACCTCAAGGGCTTCTGCTACTCTCCCTCATATCCAGACGGTCTCGCATGTGCGCCAACATATTCTTGTTTCGAGGATGGAGGATCTTGCCAGATCCCGACAGGGGGGGGTGCTGCGCTTTGTGGTCTATAGAATCAAAGGGTCCAGGAATGATAAGATTTATCTGTCTTGTATTGGTATACTACAATTGACGCTCATACACTTGATCCTTGCACGTCTCCCTAGCTTCCAATAGAGAATCGATGTCCGGACTTGCAACGCTGAGTGCTAGCATCGTGGAGTCGTAGATCTCGTGGCCAACTTTGACCTCAAGAACGCTGATGGTGTCCTTCTTCTCCTCGGCGTCTTCGGCAAATGCTACCCATGCCCAATCTTTGTTGATGTTCTCCTCGTCCAGGACCATGAATTGGACGTAGTTGAGATTGGAATCGTTATACAATCGGAGATCCCTTACGGCTTTTGCGATTTCTTCATTGCTCTTGCCGACAAAAGGTGAATGCAGAGTTCCTCTACCGTCAAGCCGAACCGTGGCCTCTTTGTAAGATTTGGATAGATCATCGATGACCACAAAATAAGGCTCCCAGTAGCTGTTGTGATCATCCCTATGCCTATAGATAGAGGAGAGCACTTTGTTCACGGACTGCGACTTGGGTCAGTCACATGTCACACCGAAATCAACTACACTTACATCGATAGGAAACTCGGCTGTGCAGCACACAGCATAAAGCTTACCAGCGTCAGACGACATGTTCGGAGAGAAGTCGCGTTATGTCGGCGGTATCGTATTGTGAGTAGGATATATCGGGTCGTCGTGCAGCCGATGGAGCCAGAGGAGTTTTGTTACATTGAGTCGGACTTTCTAAAGGTGCGACGGCTCTGCTATTTATGTTTGCGGCATGCGATTTGCACGTCAATTGACGCAGGCAAAGATTGGTCAAGAACGGCGCTTAGATACGTCACACGGCACGTTTTAGCTATGAAGCGATAAGCTTTACGGTCGGTTACGGAATACCCTCATCTGTCAAAGAGGATTGCTAGACTACTCATGATACTCTACAGGATGGTTTGAAAATCGCCAAGCCTTCAGCAGCCCCTCATCCTTGCACAAACAGCTCCACGGCGAGCAGATCCTATCGCATTCTGATTAACAACACTGCATATGTCAGTAATTGCATAGTCTTAGTTTAGCAGGTGGTATAATCATTACCTGGGTATACGGATCTCTACTCCCAGCACCCGCCGTTCCTGTAAAGTAATAGCACTAATCAAATTATTAGCACTTGTGCCAATCGCGAAGATGATTCAACTCCTTTACCGTCGAAATACAGCTCTGTAGATACGTTCCATGTTAGCGTATAGTCCATCGTATTTGACGGGGGGTTTCTTACACCTCCACCGTCGTTTGGATAGTTTGGATCTCCAGCGTTAGTACAGGCATGCTGAATGCCGCCAACTGTAACCACATAAGACAAAGAGCTTGGTCAACTTATTATATTTTTCCTAACCTGTCTGCGATGAGATGTAAGTAGATGCTCACACTGTCATGTACGTTAAGGTACTTACGCAAAGTTGCGGGTCGCTTGGGTCGCAAACTCCGCAAGCGTACTGACCATCGCCGTCTCCAGAATCGCATTGGGGAGCTGGACATTCCACAGTTTGGGCCGAGATAAAAGCCGCGAACCCCAGAACCAAGGACAGAAGGGCTTTAACTCGCATGATACTCTGAGATTGGTGAGTGATACGACAAGCGATGTGAGCTTGCTACAAAGTCATCTCCTGGGCACACCTGATTTATATCATCTGGACATCTTTGCTTCGTACGGAATCTTATCAGTCGTCGACCATCAAAATAGCTTCACGAGAACGTTCTACTATGCCAAGTCTCGAATGTCCTTTCTTACCTCTCAGCTGTGGAAGCTCAGTTGACAGGGCCATCGATGGGCTGCTTTTGAGACTTGTGGCCACACTCAATGCGGGGCAAACTTTGGGTAGAACAACAGTTCTTGAATTGTGATTGGTAAAAGCGCAGTGCCATAATAGCCTGATCGTCGAAATCTGGTTGGAGAACTTGTTGCTTAACGAAGATCACAAGGTCAAAAACCGCTCGGCTTGCTGCCTATGTTATGGAGCACATGCCAAGATGTTGCTCAGGCTTCCAAACTCAGAGCAGTATAACTCGATTTGTGTTTATTATTGATAGGTAATGAAGAGAGATACGGAGGAGCTGGTTTCTCGTGAGTTCGCACCTTGCTAGGAAAACTGTGTCGAGACTGCGGACCGAGTTAAAACAAACTCCTCCGTATACTCGAATACCATTTTCACGTGTTGCCAGATGTGTTTGAAGACAAACGCAGTCGTTGTTTCAAATCATCTACCAACGTTCCAAGTATCAGATCCCAAGTCTTCAGGTCTCCAAATCTTCAAGTTCTCGAGTTACGAAATTGGCCAGTCGATGTCATTCACCAAGTCACCTATCGACGGGATATCTCATCGCGCTTCGGTGTCCATCCGTTTCTTAACTCGAATTGTCTGAAGTCGGCTGAAAGTGATTGGCAGGCGCAAAGTAGCAACATCTTATCCAAGAACATGGTCTCTTGTGAAGGTCGTCGCTTTTGCAAGGCGAATATGTTTTGAATGTGGAGCTCTTGTGGTCTTCGCTGATGGTGGACATCCGGTAGAGTCGCCCAGTCTCTAGCCGCGTCTCGAATGCGCTGAGCAAAGGAGAGCGCGAAGTAAATCGCAGAGGATGCGATCGTTGAGGCTTTTCCATGGCTCTGAGTCGCAAGATTAGATGTGATCGAAGGCCTGCGATCGCGAGTTGCTGCAGGCGATTCTCCTAAAACTTCGGTGTCCTCACAACCATTCTCCAGAGCCTGAGTGACCCGCCGAAGACCATCGGACAGCTCTCGAAACAGACCGAGATGAGGTGCAAAATCATGTATTGTCGGATCTCGTAATGTACGTGTCAGCGCGTTTGCTTTCTCGACTAAAGAAGCTTTATCCGAGAGGGACAGTGGCGAAGACATTACAGTTGATCGGAGGTTCAAATTCCTGTATTGCCAGCAATTTCAAGATACAAATCTGTAACTGCCCAGCAAACATTTGTTGCTAGCTGTGGTGCTGTTGCTATCTATCAAACATAGCAAACCCACGACCAAAGGATCGAGAGAATTCAATAGTGCCCAGCTATGCATGCTATAGTGTCCCTTCATCGTCACTCTGTGTGGACCGCGGACACGACTGTTGATCGGAATTCCACCTTCTTGTTCTGAGGGATCGAAAGATTCCGCGGATTGATCGATCTTCAACTCTTCCTTTGCTTCGGCCGTAACCCCTAAATCTTCTCGGCCGTAGCATGGGTATCAGAAATGTGACTGTGGTAGCTTTTTGACCTTGAGTCTTTGGTCGCTCAGAATCCTTACGAGCTCCTATTTCTCATCCGCAACGACATAGGAGATAGAACGCGAAACTGCTCCAGCGACTTAGTCAGCGGCTAAACAACGATCTAATACTCACCGAAAAGGTGATAACGAGTGGCCTTCTTTTGCTTCCCAATCGTGTTAGGTAGAATCTTTGGTCGCTTACGTGGAAGATGCTGCGGCTCCGAAGTTCGAGTCAAACTTTGGTCTGCACAATACTTCGTGTTAGGGAGGCAGGAGCCCGTAAGGGAAAACTTTGATAGCTTCCAAATGCTGATCTAACCAAGAAAAGGGGGATTTGTAGAATACGTTGATCAAAGAATTCATACGCTCGTTCCGGTGTTGTGACCCTAGGTACGGTAGCGAACGTCGATCGATCCTCCTTATAACAAGACGTGAGTCCGACTTGCGTGTTATAGTCAGGTCCTCGGAACCTATACCCATTGTAATACTCCCAGAGAACGCGGCAGCGTACTCACTACGTACGCACTGTGATACGTACAACATGGGATGCTCAACGCTATGCAAGAAGCGCAGCATAGGGTGTATAGAAGTATCATCCGCGGCCTCGAAGACTTCCTTGAATATCATCAGACGGAGCTCAGGAGGCAGATCCGTCAAGGAGATAGCCTGACTAGATAAAACTGTCGACTCTTACGGACGGAGATTTTGGTTATGTGCTATAGCTTTATCCGAGGGTGGACCCTTGCTCGCAGTAAGTATGCTCGTAGACATAATAGTTATTAGTATCTATATGTTAGACAAACTCGAAGTAGTATTTGTAGAGAAAGGTTAGGTTCGTAGGAGAGACGATTGCTACCTAGAGATGAAGTGTAGCTACTAGGGACATAGAGGGCATAAGATTAAGTCACTTCTCGAATGAACTCAAAATCTCTCTTAGGGGTTAGATTAGCCGCCATCACACTTACTGTGGCCTACATAATTAAGAGATTTTCGCATGGTTAAGGCAGGCCTCGGTTTGCACCACGCATTTCACTTCATGGTCTTAAAGAGCCATCTTTGTATACTAGCATACCTGTACCGCGGAGGAAAGCGAATCGGCACGTCGTTGACAAAAAAAAAGTGAAAGGCAGATAGCAGAAAGACTTCCCGGCGCAGCGAGAAAGCGTATAGGTGATGAACCAAAAAGTGCAAAAGAAAAGGATTCCGACACGGGGAATTGAACCCCGGCCTCCTCGGACCTAGTTGCTTCTTTCGAAGACGGTTTGAGAGCGAGAAATCCTAGCCACTAGACCATATCGGATGTTGTTGAAGCACTTTTCACCAATATCAAATAAGAATCTCACACGCGTGGCTGCCACGATAGCAGAGCGTGGTCAGCAACCAAACACGGGAACTCAAGAAAGCGGCATGGCAATTCATGATCATACGCCCGCCAGCAGGCAACTGAAAAACATCATAATTCCCTAACTAGAGTCTTAATCCTTCTTACCATGAGGATGTTCCTTCTCCGCCTTTCCAGCAGTCTCCTTCTGCAATTCCTCCATGTGACTATCATGATCCTTGACTTCCTGCTTATCCGCGGTGATGCTGGCTTCTCCAGCGCTAGCCAAGTTCTCATTCCATTGCGCTTTTCCCTCCTTTTGTGCTTTCAATTGCTTTTGCTTTTCGGCTTCTAGTTCTTCAGGGGAGCGGTTCTTGTCTTCTTTGATGGAGCGGGGGAAGGAGGTGCTGAAGAGGCGGAGGGTGGGTGTTGGGCCTGAGGTGGGGGATTGGAGGCGTTGGATGCGGGTTGCACGGAAGAGGTGGAGGGTGCGTGAGTACATGTTGGTAGAGAGGCTGTGGTTGTGGTTTTGGTCTGGGAGGAAGTGTTAGGTGGGTGTGGTTTCAAGATGCGCGTTTACATGTGAAGCTTACGCTATAGATTTTGTGACTAGACTTTCAGAGAGTAAATGTGATGGTAGTTTTGGACCGGGTATGTGTAAAGCAGAGAGATGTCTTTTCTAAACTCGAGGAGCTGCAAGGTCTTTAACACATGAAGAGGAGCGACACCACCATGCTCAGTATGACGTATGGTGGGGCTCTAAGAAACCAAGCTGGAACAGCAGCATCCACCTCGGTACGCAGTATTGGCACCATTGATCTGAAAACTGACTTGGAGCAGATTTCAGCGCAGAATGTTTCCAGATGTACAATTTGGTCAAGAAAGTAGCTGTGTGAATAGGATGCAGCATAGGCTAGCATCAGAAGATTTGGATTTGAATTCATTGGAGTGATGGACGCTTCCCAAGCTATCGAAGCTCTGAGGACGACTGGCAGAACCGGAGCCTCATAGGATGGGCCGCTTTTGGAAGAGTATACGAGTGTCATGAGTTTCTCCCTCATCCTCGTCGTATTCAAGTGATATTTCTGGAGAAGATGATCCAACTCCCGACTTCCAACTCCCGGCTTCGGGTCGAGTGAGAAGGCAGTACTCGAAGCAGCATTCAGCGAAGAGCTGTCACTGGCAGGATATTATTTGCAATAGTGTCGAGAAAGACGGTGATCCCGAGGCCCTTTCAATCACCAGTATCCAGCTCAAGATCAAGCTGCACACCATTGCTGACACCATAGTCATCAAGGGTAAGATGATCCTTGAACGGTCTCTCGCCCTGTCTCTTCAACATAATCTCATGTGGTTGGCGACCAATGCGCGCAGCAACCATAGCCTTGAAAGCTTCTACACAGAAAGTCAGCATCCCATCAACACAACACGAAGAGTCCGGATAATCACTTACTAACAGGATCGCTACCCAAGCAAGGAATAGCAGCCTTTGTACCCAAACGATCATTCACATTGACAATAATCATCGGTTCCTGACGGCTCGGCGCGGCAGCAGCTTTCGGTTTCTTCTCCTTGTCCTCCTTCTTCTCTTTGGGCTTATCTTCCTTTCTCTTGTCTTTTCTGTCATCTCTGCCTCTGTCGTCACGTCTAGGCGATCGTCTTCTGTCTCCTCCGTCTCTGTAGCGATCGCGGTCGTCTCGTCTCGGTGATCTGGGGCGATAGCTGTCGCGATTGCCATCGCGTCTGGGCGAGCGATCGCGGAATCTATCTCTATCGTCGCGAGGTGGTGGAGAGCGACGAGGTGCGGCAGCCTCATCGCGGTTGCGGTCGTCAAAGTCGCGGCTGAAGCTGTCGTTTGCGCGCGAGCCTTTGTCTTTCCAGCGGAACCCTCCTGATGATTTTGGTTTGCGCGGGGGTGAGCGCGAGCGACTCCTGTTTCGGGGAGGTGAAGGCGGCATCTTTGTGATGCTGTGATGTGGTTCGTAAGGACGAGGGAAGTTTTGGAAAGTTGGGTAGCTTTGGAGGGGCAGGGTTGTGCTTCGTCATGCGACGCTGGGATGTTTGCGCGAAACAATCACTCTAGCAACTTTTACTACCTAGCAACACACTTTCAATTCAATTCTTGCGATCATCTCTGGAACGGCATGAGGAATACACTTACTGTGAAGAGGCCATCGCCGACTACTGTGCTGTACAAGGTGTCGACGCGCTCAGCAAACAATTCGGTCCCAGCACAAATCCACCGCACCCTCATTGGACTCGTCAGAATACTACTAGGTCTATCTCTTTCATGCATCTTGATCGCAAAAGCCTATACATCAGCAACGCCACGTTGGAAGGGCCACTCAGATTATGCTTCTACCTTCTTACCTTCAAGATTGATTGAAATATCCAATGCATCTGCCTCTTGCATATCCTGGATGTATCTGGCTCCAATCGCCTTGACAATCTTCTCCTTGATCTTCCGGAAAGGCTATACTACTGAATCTCTACTGGTGATCCGCGGAATGGGTGTACAGACCACGACGAGTAGTCCTACGTATCTGAGTACTGCTACCACGAGATTTATCCCTACGAACATGATTCAGGATATCTTCATTCACGAGGCTTTCAAAGGCTTTGAAGTGAGGTTCTATCTTGCCATCGTGGTTGAGGGTGAACATGATGTCGTGGTAGTCTTCCCAGTGAGTTTCTTTCTACGTCTCCATACATCTTTCAATGCTGACAGATGTGACAGAGCATCCTTCCTAGGAGAAAGATTCTGGAAGAGGTTTGGAGGGGTGCAAGATCATGTCTGCATGAGCCCAAATCTTGAGTCATGGCTTCTATCTACTCATCGCCATCTTCCTTGCGCATAAACTTGGGCTTGTATGGGCCCTTTCTCTCCAGATATCTGGCATTCACCACCTCAACTGGCTCCATCCTTTGCTTGCGAGCAATAGGGACGTATGTGCCTACAGGTCTAGGCCAGTCTCCACCATCGAAGAGTCTTGGACTTCTCTCAGCCACGGGAGCTAGCTTCACATCTGCAGGACAGCGCTTGCCTTGTGCAGCGACAATGTCCATCAGACTGCCGGCTAGGATCTCGTCGATCTTTCGCTTGTGCCAGACCTCCCAGATCGAATCCATGATGCCTCCTTTGCCGAACTTGCTGTCTCCGCCGTCCATCTCAGGACGCTTGTTGGTTTCACGGCCGCCGGTTTCGCCTACATAGACCCATTCCATTGCGTCTTCTCTACTCTGGTCGATATCTTCATGATCAGGGAAGATGCAGTCCCAGAGGACCAATGGAGCATCTGTTGCCATCTCGTACTTTGGCCTCGTTGGATACTTCTCCATATCCAACAGATCTGAGATGATCGACGGGGGCTCAAATCCTTGACCAACCAAGAACAAGACAGCGACCAAATGGCGTACTTGATGCCACAAGAAAGCAGAACCGTTCACATCAAACGTGTAGATCTTTGGAATGCTCATATCACCCTGTCCACCCATTTGGTTCTTAGCACCCACACTCTGCGCAAACGCCGGGTGCGAGATGAAGCCAGCAGGCGCCTGACTAACGTCCACCTCCTCAATACCGGCCTTGAAAATCCTCCGCTCAAAATTCGTAATCTGTTTCGCCGGATCCACCTTGCAGAAATTGCGGAAATCGTGAAGGCCCTCATATCGCTTTGCCGCATCTCTCATGGCTTCGATGTCTAGGTATCCTTCTCTCAACGTCTTGCCTGTTGCTGTGGTCATCAGACCTGCATCTCCTGGGACTGGTGCGAAAGCGGGTGAAGTGAAAAAGTATCGGTAGCGACGCTCGCGGCAATTGAATCTGGCGTTGAAGTCGGTAGGAGGAGTGGGACACCAGGCTAGCATCCTGATGTCTTCGGGGAGGACGCGGTTGAGAAGTTGAATGTATGGTAGTTCGTCGCGAATGTGATCCCAAGGCTTCGACTCTGGTTTCTTGTCCTCTTTACTTCCCTGCTCTTTCGCATTGCCCTCTATTCCCTGCATTTTGTCTCCCTGCTCTTCTTCCTGCACTGGTTGTTCCTTGGGCATGGGCTGCAGACTTCGCACTCGGATACCAATGACCTGGCCAAAAGCACTCACACCTCTATCCGTCCTTCCACATTTCGAATAATCCGTTCCTTCCCAATCAATCTCTCCCTCCTTCAATTCCGCCCCTCTAGTCGGGAAAATCAACCTCGTCTTCATAAACGCCTTCCACAACTCCTCCTCAATCGTAGGCAACGGCGTCTTATTTCCAGTATGATGTTCAAACCCATTATACCTCTGCCCCAGATACGCAAACTTCAACGCAATATGTCTGGTGTTATAGCGACTAGCATCGAAAGGTCGATCTTTCTTTTGCTTCTTCTTCGGCGGGAGAGCTGCGGTGACGGAGGGGTCGGTGACGGGCACGATGCGGTTGTTGCGGAGTTGTGTTTCTAGGTCTGTGATGCGTTTGAGTAGTTGGGAAGCGCTCCAGTTGGTGTAGTCTGGTGTTTGTTCTGGCTCTGGGAGGCCCATCTTTTTTCGTCTGGCGCGGCGGGATGTGCCCCGGCGTGTGGTGGTGTATAGAGTGACGGGTTTGAAGGCTGGGAGAGAGGATCGTGAGAAGAGGAAGCTCGCTGTTGAGGTCAGAGACCGGAGGGTCGAGTTCATGCGGTTTCAAGTGTGGCTTGGTGCTTCGGACACTTTTTTTGTGACTTCGAGATTCATGATGCTGCTTGCTTGCGGGGCAGACGTGCCAAGACTGAGCACCTTCGAGCTATCGAAGCTATCGAGCACTCTACGAGTACTCATCGTGTAGGTATTTTGATCGTCGATATCGATTAGTGTAAAGGAAGTTCACGGGTAAAGGAAAAGTTATAGCAGACTGGATAAGATTGTTCATGTCATTAAAGTGTTATTATCTGCAGACCGACTCCGACATAGAGTTCTATGGAGTCGGCCGCGTACTGTATGATGCCACTCTTGTAGCATTTCATTAGAGTTTCTGGCCGTCTTGAGCCTGGACGACTTTCTCACAGTGAACAACCCGTGCTCATGTGAACGTTCTTGATTCGCAACCACCAAAGGCGTGCTTGGAGTCGTAGCGGGAAAGATTTCCTGACTCGGCCGCTGGTTGCTGGCGAGAAAGCCGACTTGCGAAGCCGGCCCTTCTCCCAGCAATTTCCCCATGTCCGAAGACAGCCAGCGCCATTCTGTTGTTTCCTCCAACCTCCTTCTCCTTCTTCCGATCTGAAGGAAATATGTAAAACCAACTATTGGCTTCATCAATAATTGGGAAGGCTAGGATTCAACCAACCCGCGCGGTATCCTTCGGCATGCCGTCACGGCGGAACATCGGTCGGCCATACACGTGCTTGACGTGGCTTTGTTGGGCGATGCCGTCCCGGCTGTGGCTTGTAGAATTTGCATTGGGGCTTCCAGAAAACAGTGATGCATTTTCTTGGGAAAGCAAGCCGCTTATCTCATTCAGGGGCCTGCAACGAGCGACATGCGGCGCGCGATTGTGTTCATCGATGGCATCTGGATTTGGAAAGGGTTGAGTGTTTGCCAGGCGTTTTGGACGAAAGACTGAAGCCACTGCTCCTCTTCCTGCGCCATCTTCATTTGAACCTTGGCCAACTTGGAGCGCTTGATAGTGATGCCCGGCACCACTGATTGTCTTCTCGGATAAATTGTCTTGGTCGGTGTCATGAGGGACATTCTGCGCTCAGAGAAGTAGGAGAATGAGGGAAGTGGTGTATCCTCTGGGGTTCCGGGAGGTGTCATGGCCAGCTCAAGTTTCTCACATTGGCGCATCAAGTCCTGCATTCCCATGTTCAGATCCTCCGCCTTGGGTTCAATGTATTCGTAGTAGTCCGGACCCCATAGTTCGTCTTCCTTGAGGGCATCACGAAGGGAACGGAGGAAGAAGTCGAATGAGGGAAGGGTGGGCCCATCGCCAGGCTCCGGGCCCTTTGCGCATGATAGCAAACATGCCGCGGCCATTAGGCGGATCTGAAACTCGGCATCCAAGGCGTGCTGGACTACACACGCAGGACAGTTCTTGCTGAGACACCAGTCTTCGTCATCGGCCAGGAATGATGTGAGCCAAACAAACGCGTTGCGTCCCTTGTTCCTGAAAGCGAATTCGATGTCCTCCGGTTTGGTAGCCTTGGTGAACTTCTGGGCGACCCTTGTTGTATGATCATGTAGTGCTACAACAGGTGCGAGCAGAGCATGGAGTATATCTCTCATGAGGATCCAGGCTTGTTGGTCCTCTGTGACATCTGTTTCGTGATCCTTGCAGAAGTCGTTGCAGCATTCAACTGAAAGGTGATCACGGAGAATGCTAAAACCCTCCGAGTCTTCCAGCAGAATAGCATCCTGTACTGTGATGAGGAATGGGGTCGTGTTAGGCGACGACAAGCATGATGTTGTGGAAGGCATCTTGTGTGGTGAGTGTGTTGAAACCAAGGGGACACGATAAACATCAAACAGATGAGAGAAACCTTGATAGAGGGAGAACGAGGGCGGCCATCATACATATACCTGGCTGACCGTTTAGCGCCAATACTTAACCTTGGAATCAAAATTAGCTCTTTTGGCTTCATGTGAACATGCTTCAAGGGTTCATGACCTCTTCGTCAGGGCTCTCGTGGCTCTTCACCGGCGGAAATAGTCCTAACGCATGGACACATTGACACATGACCGCGACTCGAGGAAAGCGACTAGTAGCGTTTGCGGACCAACCGTTCAAAGACATTTGTTGCTTTTCGAAAATGTTTCGGAACAGTGATTATCTCGAGCAGTAAACACAATCGCTCGGAGATTGCTTGACAATGAATTCATAGCCAAAGATGCCTTGCTGGCATGCACATTCTCCTTACTCGAGAGCCAACCGGAGCGTACCCCTTCACAGCTTCGCTGCTTCTGGCAATGCCGGAAGACAGTCCTCCGATTGTGGAAGCTGTCTCACCGCGTCTTACCGCCTCGGCTCAAAGACGGTTAAAGCTGGCTCTTCCTCGGCAAACTTCCTGACGAGGTGGCTTCAGAATCTGGCAGACGGTTTCAACTGTGGAGGCAGGCTGGAAGCATCGAGCCTCCATGTCGGCCCGCTCCAAGATGGGCATGGGGAAAAATTCAATGCGAATCTGATACAGTTGTAGCGTTGTTGTTTCCCGTATGAGCAACCGTTTGAAGTCGACGACGTATCTTGCTGTTCATCATCCTATATATTGCCTCTAGCAACCTACCTGGACCCTTCTTTCTGTCTCTTCGGCCGATCAATCTATGTAATGTGCCCCGCATAGTCAAAGAGGTTGGAAGTCCATGTTTGAGGCGCTTGCGACTCGTCTAGACCGGACAAACCTGAGTCCACGAACATAGCCGGCTTTCTGTCTCAGCCTTTACGACTCTTGCTTTGCGGAATAACTACCGGCTGATCTCTTTTGACTTTGCAAGCACCAACACGTGGAGGATGGAGGCCCATGGGGTAAAGTCGACAGGCATGAGGGGATCAACCGTCAGTGAGTCGGATAGGAGACGAAAGGACTACTGGCCGCTGTTAGCGATGGTCCTCCTGCTTACACCGACCATAGTCAACACGATTTGCCGACATCGCCGAGGTTATAATTCCAGTTTCCCGAGTGCAGGTACAATAAATACGAGATATCAGCCGGTCTTCTTATTGCTGTGAACTTTTTCTGCGCCAGCTCCACTGCTTGGAGAGAAAACCGCGCACTCACAAGCGAGAAACTCGAACGTGCTTGCCTTTCGAGATGCCGCGCGGATGAGCTAACTTCATCAGAAGTCCAGATATCGCGCTGGTCCAATTCAGTTCCTCGAAACTTAGGCTCTGCGAAAGGGTTTTGCTCTTCACGGGAAAACCCTGATTGGCAAAAGAACTTGTCGAGGTCTGGTGGACATGCCGAGAAAGCGAACCCTTTCTGAAGATGTGTATGTGCTCTACGACAGTCCTGTCAACCAGCTGCACTTCATGTGTCAGACACGTGCCATGTGTAGTCAGACACCGAGACCCATAGCCTTCTGACAAACAGGGCGAAGGCTGGTTTGCAGCCAGCTAGCACCAGCTTTGACTGTGCCTGAGGCCCTGCGCATTCATATTTGAATTGATGAAGTGGCTGATGAGGCGTGGCTTGTGTATGTATGGCTGGTGGGAGTAAGCCTGCTTGCGTAGCCACCTCGAGACCCAAAACCTAGACCTCATACACCGCGCGGCTTCTGGGTGTCGAAGCAGGTCAGCTTGTTCTCAGGATCGATGGGCAGAAAGTTTGCTCTGGAGGCAAACCGTAGACAGCGGCAGAAGAGCACCGCAGCCGCGGCTCTGAAAGTTGGATGTCCAAACAACTTTCAGGAGATTGTTGGCGGAAGCCCGTTTTCGCACAGACCACTCGTTGATTGTGCGGCGACAGTTCAACGCAGAAGAATGCTGTCGGCAGTGAGAAGAGGCAACAGTGTTGTTGTCTGCGACCAACAATTGGCGCACGAACAGATAGTAGTAATCTCTGTCTGCACTCGAGTCGGATGCCTGCGTTTTGACAAGCAAATGATCTGCAGGTTCTCCATGGGGATGGATTGCGCGATGAAACTGCACTGGATCCCCTCAGACTGAGCCAGATCACCTTCCTTACCGCCGCTAGGATATGAACTAACCTTAAGGTAGGATTATAGATAGGTGGGAGCCGACAGGTTTTTTCTATTTCTACGAGCTCGATCTGTCCCTGTTGTTCTTCCTTCGCGTCGGACTGTTTTTCGAATTTCCTTTCTGTAGTCACTCGCTCACTCGCTCGTTGCTCTTGTTTGAGGAAGCTGCAACCACCCCTTGCCTCGTGTTTGTCTTTGTGTCCAAACAACGGCATCGATTAACCTTCGAAAATTCTTCTTATCAGACATACAACCTTCTGTCTACTCTGCTTGATTCTTTTTTGTGCAGCAGCAACATTTTCATCAAAATGCGTTCTTCTCTCAGTGTTGCGTGCGGCATCGCTTTCGCCGCACTCGCCTCTGCCATTCCCACGATCTCGGTCAAGGGAAGCAAATTCTTCACCAGCGATGGCAACCAGTACTTCGTCAGAGGTGAGTGATTTCGATTCAGTAATCGATTATGGTGTACTAACATTCAATGCAGGTATTGCTTACCAGCTCGTGCCTGAGGATCCTCTCATCGACAACAACCAGTGTCAATTGGATGCATCGCTCATGAAGACTCTGGGTGCTAACGCCATCCGCGTCTACCACGTGGACCCGGATGCCGATCACCAAGACTGCATGAAGACTTTCGCAGACGCCGGGATTTATCTGTTTGTTGACTTGGACACTTTCAACACTCAGATTGAGCAAACTTCTCCCCACTGGAACGAATCCCAGTACGATGCTTTTGCCAAGGTTATGGATGAGTTCCAGCAGTTCGACAACACTGCCGGTTTCTTTGTCGGCAACGAGGTCCTCACCACTGGAAACGGCTCAGTCGCTGCCCCTTATGTCAAGGCTGCCGCTCGTGACATGAAGGCCTACCGCAACAGCAAGAACTACCGTAACATCCCCGTTGGCTACTCTGCTGCCGATATTTCGAGTCTTCGTCCCAACCTCCAGAACTACCTTGCTTGCGGTACCAACGCCTCTGAGGCTCTTGACTTTTTCTCTCTTAACGCATATGAATGGTGTGGAGAATCTTCATACCAGGTGTCTGGTTACGAGCAGTTGACCCAGAACATTACCGAGTACAACATCCCCATCTTCTTCTCCGAGGTTGGCTGCAACACTCCCAAGCCCAGAACCTTCGACGACCAAGCCGCCATCTTCGGCTCTGAGATGTCCCAGTACTGGAGCGGTGTTATGATCTACGAATGGATTGAGGAGTCTAACAACTACGGACTGATTCGTGAGTTATCCCATATGAGAGCTTTGTGATGGGTTGTTCTTTATGTTTTGGCCAATCCTGTCGAAATCGCCGTCTGGCGTGCGTGTTGAGCCAAACGCCATCCAGAGAAGGCAATTCACTGGGTTGAGCTCACGCAAAGGCAGCTCATAGCACTGCTGCCAATAACGATGATCAAGAACCATACTAATCTTGCTTCCTAGAATACGGCCCCAAGACTGACCCTACCGCCACCAACGCTCCTGATGGCTACACTCGCACTGGCACCCCCACGCCTATCTCGCCAGACTTTCAGAATCTTTCCAACCACTGGAAGACTCTTACTCCCTCTGGTGTCTCGGAATCCGCGTACTCTCCCTCGAACTCTGCCCCTGAGTGCCCTGCATACACCTCCATGGCATGGGAGGTCAGCGGTAACGTCGCTCTTCCCACTATCGGCCAGACCTTTGATGCCCAAGCTACTAGCTCTGTCCCTGCATCTGCCACTTCGGGCGCAACTGGAACTCGTGCAAGCAGCAGCGGTAGCCGTAGCACTGGCTCCTCCACTGGCACTGGAGCCGCCGCTTCAGCCAGCCAAACTGGTATGGCTAGCCCGAGCAGACAGATTGCTGGTATGAGCGTCGGTCTCGTCACTGTCATGCTTGGTTTCATCTGGTGGTTGTAAATGGTATGATCAATCTTCACCGATCTCTAATGCACTTGCATTCTGAAGGATAGACCTCTTCACGGACGACCAGGAAGCAATGTCCTGTGTGTCACGTCTTTCTTACGAAAACTTTATAATTTGTATTCTACTTCTTTACGGAGCTCAGTCTGTTGTTAATTCATTCTGTGATGACCAGTAAAGTGCCTGATGTAGGCTTCTTCAAGCACGCAATGATTCGATGAGACTTGGGGGGTGCGACTGGGTGATCACAGAGCCAGGGTCACCCCATACTCATCCGTATTTTACCATATCTGACACGATACGAGTAGAAAGAGCGAACATGCGAGTGGTCAGTTTATTTACCGGATGTACTTTGCTATGATGCGTGGGACTTGTCGTGGTCAGACTGATTTTGGGTCGATTGTCAGGATCATATGAGAACTTGTCGCTGAACGCTCAATTGTGATTGGGTCTACCCATCCGCAAACCATCAACTAACCTTTCTCATAAACCATATAATTCAGATCGGATGTTGACAATATCATTGATTCCACTTCACAAATTACATAATCATACAAGGTGGCGGCTCCGACCTGCCACCCTGCTCCGTCGTCGTCGCCACAGCAGTCTTGACAATATCCTCCCAAACCTGGGCACACAACTCCCCCGTCACAGCACTACACTCACAATACCTATCACACCTCATCTCCGCCGCCACCCTAACCCCCTCCTGCGGAAACACCATGCCCTCCTCCCCATCGTCATTTCTCAAATCCCTCTTCAACCCCAACACAACCACTGGAATACTTTCATCATAATTGAAGTGGGTCTCGACTATATGTTTCCATTTCGTGGATAAAGAGGTCAGAGATTCTCGCGAGGGGATTGAAAAACAGAGAAGGATTAGAGAGGGCCGGAGGAGGGTGTAGGTTGTGGGTGAGGAGGTGTCGGAGAATTCTAGGCGGATGGGCCGGGTGCGGCTGCGGAGGTCGAAGGTGAAGGGTTGATCGAGGTCTCGTAGTATAGGGAGGGAGGAGGTTGTGTTGTTTGGTCCTAGAGCTAGGCGGCTTGAGAAAGTTGTCAGGTCATGGTCATAGGCATAAATGGTGTCACGGATATGGGTGATGATTTGTTTGCCATTGAGAAGTGGGAGATGGCAATTGTTAAGACGGGAAGAGTGGAACAGAAATTACAAGCAAAGTGATGTCAAATCAATAAGGAATGTATCATAAGGCATAATTGTACATACGAAAGGAAGGTGGTCTTGCCCACTTCGGCATCACCCAATAGCAATATGCTCACTTCTTGAGCTTCCATCAAGGCAATCTGTGAAGCAGCAAAGCTTGAGTAAGAAGCAAAGCTACAACAAGGCAGACGAGGCAAGGAGTGACAGACGAAACGAAGCACGCGAGATAGTGAGACAGATGGTGCCTGGTCGCACTCCTGCCTCGGAAGGCTGCAGGCATGCGGCCGCCGGCGGTCAAAGCTTTCCATCACGCAAAAGTTGGGGTTAGGAACTCTCGAACTCTATCCTGACATCCCACCATGACGAAGTCAGACTTTTTCCTCATCCCCTCATCCCTCTACGGCGCACCCTCGACCACTCTCGCAGTGCCGACAAACACCCTCACCTTCTCGGAAGTGTGACTCAATCCGCAGAACCACGCAGCTTTCCCCAGATCAGGAACGCCGAAGAAAAAAAGCTGGAGAAGGAAAATCCAAAGCCTCAAAGGAGCTCGAACTTTGTCAATAACGCCGGCCGGAAGCCCTCCTACATTCTTACAAAGAAGCCTATACCGAATCTTACTCGCAACACTCTCGCAACATCATGGTACGCAATCTAGTCGTCCTGGGCGGTAACTCGCACCCCGACCTGACCGACACCATCTGCAACCACCTTGGTGTTCCTCCTTCCAAAATCTTGCTGAGCAAGTTTGCTGTCGGAGAGACTCGCGTCGAGGTCATGGACTCTGTTAGAGGCAAAGACGTCTTCATCATCCAGTCGGGCGGCGGCAAGGTCAACGACCACCTCATGGAACTCCTCATCACTATCTCGGCCTGCAAAACTGCTTCCGCAAAGCGCGTCACTGCCGTCCTTCCCCTCTTCCCCTACTCAAGACAAAGCGACATCCCATACAACAAGACTGGCGCCCCTCTTGCCAAGGCCCCTACTCAACTCAACCGCAATGGCAACTACACCTTTGACAGCAGGCCCACAACCCCCCTGCCCGGTCAAGCAGAAAGTGCTGGAATGAAGGGCGGCCCGGAAAACTTGCACAAGAAGCTGATGGACATGCAACTGCGTGACCAACAAGCCAACGGAGACAGCCAGGGCAGCCCTGTCAAGATGCCCCGTCGCTCGACCATCGAGTCAGTCACCTCCGAGAAGTCCGACTATTTCGACGACAACACCCTCACACCCACCGTGACCAATGGTAGCGCCAACGGTGACAAGCCTGTCGCCAAGTTCCACAAGGCCCCTCCTCACTTCGAGCCGCAAAGAGGTTACAAGCAGTGGGTTGCGCAAGCTGGTACGCTTGTCGCAGACCTCTTGACTTGCGCCGGTGCCGACCACATCATCACAATGGACCTTCACGACCCTCAATACCAAGGTTTCTTTGACATCCCCGTCGACAACTTGTACGGCAAGCACCTCTTGCGCAAGTACATCCAATTCCATATTCCTAACTATCAAAATGCCGTCATCGTCAGTCCGGATGCTGGCGGTGCCAAGCGTGCAACTGCCATTGCCGATGCTCTGGGTATGCCCTTTGCACTCATTCACAAGGTAAGACTCGTAAACGTAAAGAAGCCCAAGGAGCGGGTTTGACGACATTGCAGGAACGTCGCCCGACACAAATCACCGACCGCCAAAATGCGACAATGATGCTGGTAGGTGATGTTGCTGACCGTACTGCTATCCTTGTCGATGATCTTGCCGACACTTCCAACACCATCACTCGCGCAGCCAAACTCTTGAAGAAAGAGGGCGCCAACAAGGTTATCGCCCTCGTCACCCACGGCGTGCTCAGTGGAGATGCCATCGACCGCATCAATGCCAGCGCCATCGACAAGGTTGTCGTTACCAACAGTGTCGACCAGGAGGAGAACAAGAAGCGTTGCCAAAAGCTGGAAGTCCTCGAAGTAGGAAACGTCTTCGCAGAGGTAAGTTGGGTTGCGCCTTCTCGAGTGGTCATACGTGACATTGCGCCGCGGGGACAATCCATTGACAACCATTCTAGGCCATCAGAAGAGTCCACCACGGAGAGAGTATCAGCGTTCTATTCCACGATTAGGTGGTTGCTAAAAATGTTGCTTGATCTTGCTGGCGTTTCGGGGCATATTGCTGGTTGGCAAAGCATAGAAGGGGTTACTTCCGCGAGGACATCGCTGCGATATACGAACAGAGAGCAATTTCAAAATGGCTATCAACGCCGCTCCGTCTTGGGTTTAGATCTCCCCGACGCCATTTCGCGCCATGTCGACAACAGCATGGCTATTGATTTCCACCATCGATTCTCAAAGGCAGACCCTCATCCTGTTGAAAAACAATCAAAAGCTAAGTATGGCGTCGCCCATCGCGACATCACCTTTCTGGTGTATCACCGCCATGATGTGCTTTTTCCCTAAAGCGCGCAACACTGTCGGATGTCTGATACTTAATCATGCCGAGTCATTTGCGTTGTTCCATTACATCCAATCAGCATGCAGTTGTATACCGCCACTCGTGAACTCCTCGTTCTTGTTGTGGCTCGACCATCACCGCACCACCTATATCGTGCGACAGATCACGTCGAAGTTAACAAAGGGTACGAACTTGCAACAAAATTGAGCTCGCAGCCTTCTGAGATATCCTTTCACATGGCTGTCAAAGTGCATGATGCTTTTAGTATTTGGATGCATGTGTGCTGAGAGCATCTCAACATGCCCTCTTATGTCGGTCGTATCAACATCAATAACATGATGCATTCGGACGGTAAGGTATTAGGGCTTACCTGAAAGCAGGAGGGCGAATCTGGTGCCATTCACTTACGAATATATATCTATGCTGTTGGTAGCTTGGGAGTCAGAAAAAGGAATTGATCGAAGCGACATTTTGGTATGGCATATGTAGCATCTTTATTAATTTCAGATTCTGCTTTGACTCTCGCTTTTGGTTGTAAGCGAAAGCTACTGTTGCTATGGTGCGCTTGGTGTCCAAGCTGTGGTGGTGATTCTCCGGTGGTGATTCTGGTTGCTACGTGATCCCAAAATCCCGAATCATCTCGCGTGTATATAGACTCTCAAATCCTCGCCCCTCCTCTCTCCCTCTTCTAATCGCAACTTTTGTTTTGGTATGGTCGTTTGTTCCACAACAACTTTTCTCCTGATCCTAACCTTGGCAGTAATTACTGTTTTCAAGTACATACCAAAGCGCATCAACAAGTCCACGACTACAACTTTTTCACAAGCTCCAAAATCATCACAACAAACAAAGCGCAACGCGTTTTCTCACCTCGAACAAAACTCAATTGAATCATAGATTCACATAAGGTATGCGCTTTCTTTGTTCTCTCTTCACTGTCCTCTCCTTCACTGGCTGGATTTATATTCTCGATGGTCGCGTCCAGCCAATCACAGCTTCATGTGGCGTTTTGACAAAGCATTGACGCTGGCCTCGGCGCGCGCTGTCAAACAAATATTCTCCCTTGCTTGCGCTTTCAATTCGCTGACTTGTCCGATTATTGATAGCCAACACCTTCTCACCATGCCTCGCGTCTCAAAGACAAAGGCGTCTGGCGACGCAACACCAGCGCGCGCAACCCGCAGCAACGTCCGCGCCGGCAGCGTAGAACTCGAGCCACCAGTCGAGGCCCCGACGCCCAGACGCACCGGCCTGAGATCCACGTCGCGTTCAAAGACGCCGGAGTCCAAGCCTTCGTCGTTCGAGAAGCCCGTCGACCGACTTCCTGCTCTTGCCGAGGAAGAGGAGAAGCAACCAACACCTCGTGTTGCCCGATCAAAGCCCGCCAAAGTTGCATCCATCGCCGACGCACCTCGTGCCGTCACGGAAGAGGAGAAGCAACCATCAACTCGCGCATCTCGCGCAACTCGCGCAACTCGCACCACCCGCACACCTCGCGTCGCCCTACCAAAGCCTGCCGACGTCGCGCCCATCGCCGACGCATCTCCATACGTCACACCTCAAGGCTACCGTCACATTGCTTCGACGTACAACAACTCTGTTCACTCTTCGCCCACCGTCAAGCAAAGCATCGAAGAACCAATCGTCATCGAGGACTCCGTCGCCATCTTCCAGGACGATCCCATCGAGGTGGAACAAGAAGAAGCTGTCCAGGCACAGATTGCCAACGAAGAGGCCGAAGAAGAAGAAGAAGCTGTCCAGGCACAATTTGCCGATGAGACAGCCCACGCTGGTTTGTCACACTCTCATCAAACTCCCCCTTCTGCAAAGTCCTTGAAGAGACCCGGCTCGAGTCTTGTTGGTCGCGAGTCCGCAAAGAGACCACAACTCCAGCGCGTCTCCTCCAACAAAGCCAGCCCGTCCATCCATTCGCTCGACAAGAGTGTGCTTCACAGTCCGCTGGCCACAATCTCTGTTAACGCTGTGTCATCTCCCATCTCACCATTTGATTATGCCAAGGCCCTGTACACTCCTTCACCACGCGTCTCACGTACATTGCCATCACCTTCTTTGTCTATCATGGACCAAGTTCTCCGCTCTGACGCTGTCTTCGAAGAGCTAACCGATTCTCAACAAACAGCGCTCCTCAAGGAAATGCGCAGAGAGATTCAGCGCTTGCGCGAAGTCGAAACCCGCTACCTTGCTACTTCCAAGCAGTCTCAGTCTTCGACCATATCTTCTCCTCAGCGCTCCATTCGTCAAAGTTCATCGCCAGAGGTTCCTCGCACCGTCGGCCGCCAATTTGACTTGCGCTACCACATGAGCGTCCGTCTTCCAGCCGAAGAAGCCCGCAAGGCCGCTGAGGTAGCTGAAGCTGCCACCAACAAGGCTGCCCAGCAAGAAAAACTCGACCAGACTTTGTCGCGCTCAAGTCCTTCGACTACCGATGACAAGCGCAAGAGTAAGACTCCTCAAAGCAAGACTCCCGAGGCCCAGACTCCTCAGAGATCATCACAAACATCAGGACCTGCCGAGACGCCCGCCGCTTCTCCATCATGGGGTCTTACATCCCTCTTCGGCTCGGTCAAGAACATCTTTTCGCACCGTCCCATTCTTTCTCCCACCAAGCGCCTTCCGGAACAGCCGCAAGGGCAACCTCAAGAGCAACAGCAAGAGCATCCCGCACATGTGAGCCAGCAACAGCAATCTACGCCTGCTCGTGCAAAGAAACAAAAACGTGTTCCTTTCTCTTCACAACAGAGCCCTACACCCAAGCCTAGATCACCCGCACCGGCATCACCTGCAACCCCCACTCCTGCCTCTGACGAAGATCCCAATTACGGCCAGACACCCAGAACCACTCGTCGCCCGATTCGTCGACTCGGTTCTCCACTCAAGCGCGACACTCCTTCCAAGCCAAAGGAAGTCAACGCAGACCGCAGGGCTGAACAGCTCGAACAAGCAGCACAGAAGACCGCAGAGCGCAAGCGCATTCAAGAACAAGTCGACAATTTTGAGCAGGAGCGCCGCAGAATTGAAGAAGAGCAGAGAAAGCGTGACATGGAAGAGGTCGCTGCCCAGAAGACTGGTAACAAGAGAAGGGTCAAGGTCGACGCACTCGCAGTCATTCCGAGCAGAGTTCCTGGCGCAAGCACGGGCACCTATGGTCTTGTGGATGGATTCTTCGATTACGACAGCGATAGTGACGAGGTCGAGATGGAGGAGGATCAGATCCGCTTGCTTCCACCGGTGCAAGAGCACCCTGCCAAGAGACAGAGACTTGACGAGAATGTCTTCCAGCCCAAGGCTCCTGCAGTACAGCCACCTGCCATCAGCCCTGTCAAGCAGACAGCAGCACCAGTAGCACCACCCGCTGTTCCCGCAACTCCTACTCCCAACTACTCGCAGCTCACCCAGCAAGCTATCGAGAAGCAGCGTCTTCAGTTCTCTCAGCACAAGCCCAAGCAGCCCTCGCGCCTACGCAATGTCGAGCGTCTCTCGACCGGCAGCACCATTGCCGCTTCTTCGCCTCAGCAGCCCCTGATTGCTCCCCTCGAGGACATTCAGGAAGTCAGCCCTGTCCCTCAGCTGCCCACGACACCCCCTCAAAAGGTTTACAACTGGCCTGCCGGTGTCTCAATGGAGACTCCCGAAACTTGGGCCAGAATTGACCTTCTCTACACACCCGAAATGAGAGCAGCCGATCACGAATACTTCACCAACGGTTTGATCGCTGCCATGGCCAAGGCCGCCTGAATTCTGTCTTGACCGTATGAGCAAGGCAAAACGAGACGAAGACATTCGCAGTCCAGTCGCCAAAAGAAAAGTCAAGGCTCCTCTGGTTTGTAGCTGGTTCATCAAAAACTAGCTCGCCATTGTTGTAGCCAAACTTGAAGACAAGACGGGCTACTCTGGTTTGCAGCTGGTCCATCACAGACTTAGCTCGCCACACACACTTGGTTTGCAGCTGGTTCATCATACTAGCTCGCCATTCATCTGGTTTGCAGCTGGTTCATCCTACTAGCTCGCCATCTCTGGTTCGCAGCTGGTCAATCAAGACTTGGCTCACCAGCACCGTAGCTCGACTCGATGACGAGGCTTGTCTGTTTGTTTCTCTCCTCACGCCGCACTCATACTCAAGTCAAGGAGAACTGTCCATTACACCAATATCGAAGAAGATTACTGTTATTACTGCATTGCGAAAAGGAAAGGGGTTTACTGCATTGAAAGAGGAAAGGGTTCGTTGAGGGAAAGGGATACTTGCATTTTCGATTTTTCTTCCAAAAAGGGGATGATACTTGTTTTCTTTTACTGTTTCGAGTAGGACGAAGGAGGATTGATACTACTTTTTGGTTTTTTGTTGTTGTCTCAAAGCGCTTTCTACTTTCTTTTTCAATACGTTTATGTTGTTGATACCCACTACCCCGAGAAAGAGAGAGATCGAAGAATGAGACCAAGAAGCGCTTTTTTCATACTAGAAGTATAGCGCACAGTCAAGATGATTGAACAAAACACGAGAAAACCACAAAACCATAGCAAGCCTCTAATTTTTCTTCTCGTGACAGTGAATAGGGAGGAGCCATCTCGGTAGAGATTGAAACATTTCTCGACCAGCAGCAGAGCTGCCCTCACCAATATATTGTAATCTAGAAAGAATCTCTTCAACAACATCCGATATGGTCTAGTGGCTAGGATTTCTCGCTCTCAAACCGTCTTCGAAAGAAGCAACTAGGTCCGAGGAGGCCGGGGTTCAATTCCCCGTGTCGGAATCTTCTTTTGCCCTTCTTTTGACCAGCATGCCACATCGAACGCTGGTGGAGGTGTTGCTTGGAAAACCTTTTCGTCTTTTTTTTGGTTGTGATGGATTTTGTTTGTTTGTTCTGATGCACGATCGACTCGCACCAAAGAAGAGCAGAGTTCATCATGAATTGACCCACAAGGCACTGCTCAAGAAAAAAAAGGCAACAAGGTGAAAACAGACAACGAGACAGAAATCAGAAATCTCAATAAAGACTGTCAATGTCTACAAAACCTGTATACATTATCCCCTTCCATTTCAAACAATTGTCTATCATCCTAGGACCAGCCTTTCTAGTCTCCGCTTGTATCTCATATCTCGGATATCGAATTAACGAGTAGTGGTAGCAACGGTCTTGATAACCGTAGACCTCGACGTAGATCCAGTGACTGTAGCAGTAGAAACAGTAACAGTAGCGGTCTTGGGCACACTGGTTACCAATGCCGAGCAAGCACTCGACAAAACACTAGCAGGGTACTTGGTCAATCCAGCAGGGGTCGAGACAGCAGAAGCCACTGCACGCTTAGACAGCGAAGATGCCTTCAACGAAGGACTCGAAGAAGAAACCTTGACCGAAGAAGAAGAAGATGAGGAAGAAGACGAAGTCTTGATCTTCAAAGTCGTAGTAGTGGTAACAGTCGACACCGGAATCTTTGTGCTCGTAGCGGTGACATACGCGTTCAAATCATTGTAAGCCAACAAAGTACTGCAATATCCCTGCAGAGTAGAGTATGCGATTTCCTCCTTGGCTTGAGCGACGGCGGCGGCCTTGTTGGGTGTGGTGCCCGGGTTTGTGATGTTGCTGAAGGAATAACTGAATTGTACGGTGTAGCGGTCGTTGCCTCTCCATTGTTCGACCTTGGCGGCGTATTTGGAGGTCCAGGCACTGCTGTACATGGCGCAGTATTGGCCCAATGCTTGCGTGTTGTTGAGGAAGAGAAGATAGGTGTTGAAGAATTGGCATGTTTGGACGGGTGCGCCATCGGCAGGGGGGTTGGCGATGTTGTACACGTTTTGAGCGTTACAGGCTTCAGCACAGAGAGTGGCGTTGAAAGGGCCGGTAGCAAAGACTTTGGCGCCCATGTAGGTGTTGTAACCTAGGGCATCGTATGGTGCATTTATAGCTGCGTTGTTGAGGTAAGTGGCATCGGAGTAGCCAGAGGGAGCGGCGATGTTCTGGTTCACATAGCCATTCGAGCCAGCAAAAACAACCGAGAATTGCTCCCACTTGCGACCATAGTTGTTTGTGTTGCCCGCTGTAACCGGCCCGCCCCAGTACACGCAGCGGATTTGGGTCAGAGAGGCTGGGTTGGGGCAGGCTGTCTTGTCGGGAGTGTTTTTGGGGTCTCTTTCAAAGTAGATGTTGATACCCATGCAGCCCTTGATGGCATTGCCTATGCAAACATCAGTAAATTGAGGAGTCTGATAGGATATTAGCTCGTCAACATACACTTAGTAGCACAAGTCTGGGGGTTGTACTCCTTCAGATTGGTGAAGCCCATATAGCCATAGGCACTGCTACTGGCATTCAAGTTCTTGAAAGTTTGCACGTAACCAAAAGGAACGGCAGCACTATTGGCGGCATTTGCGTAGACAGGGTTTGCAGCGAAGGAAGCAGCATCATCCTTGGGGTTGGTCGTGACAGGTCCGTAACCAGAAGGCTCTGGTCCGCAAGCTGCACGCTTCACGATGCTAGGAGTCGAGGTAGCAACATCAGTGATGTCGACAGAGATCGAGGATGCAGCAGTGGCAGAGGCAAGAATGGCCTTGGTGTCGTATGTAACAATCTGATCGGGAGTTCCAGTAGCCTGAATGATAGTCGGTGTGGGGACGTTGATCATCAGATCAAGATCAATTTCCTGAGGGTTAGGGGCCGGCAGAGCAGCGACGACTGCCACGAGGGGGGGGATGAGGAAGGTCGAACGCATATTGAGACACCACAAAAGTTTGATATTTCAAGAATCTCTGTTATGTTTCTCCTTTATTGATGGGGAACATCTCGGCTTTTGTATCCAAACCTCGAAAGGTCGTCACTTCCATCGACTCTGCAAATATGCTCGCTACCGGCGCCTCCGTGTGGTTCCTAAGTGCCATGCATCACGAGCCATGGTTGTCAGCCCGTGATGTGTAGACTTGGCTCTATGCCACGATGGTCGTACCTTGGATACGACGTATGAGGCTGGAGGAGGAGCATCGATAACGCAATGGAAAAGTCACGAGGCGTCGTCTAAAACAGTTGGTCCTGAATCCTGCGAGCTTTGGTAAAAGTTTCGCAGGAAGGATACTTTGAGAACTCGCGTATAATCGTAGTGGTATAGTCGCGATGTGTTGGCATCTCAAGTTCCTGCTATTTGCGTGGCTTACAAGCTGAAGTTCAATTGTTTCGGCTACCACCGAACGTGTACAGCTGTATAGCGAGCGTTGGTTGTATGAGGCTGAATCTCGTACCTGAGAGACACCTGTCTTTGATCATGTTCGATCAACTTTTCGAGAAGTCTCACCTTGCCATGTAGTCATAGAAAGAATGGAAGTTTTGAACGTCTTGGCGAATTGAAAGTCAAAAGTTTCACGACGTTTTCGGACGGTTGCTAAACCGTTGTGGGTAAACGTCAAGCCACAACTTCCTCGTTTGGAACGGGTGAGCCTTATCGCTTCGAACTCAAGTTCATCCTCTGCTAATACATGTCAATGCTCCATGGGGATGTCGATAAAGTTGAAGAAGCGCATCTTGTTGGTGAGACATTGACATGCAGGAGCAGGGAGGTAATAAAGATTCAACTACGACCAACTATGGTCCGTGGCGATAGCTGAACTGACACACGAAGGATTGTTGCCTCGTGTAAGCTCTGTAAGCAGTAGCCCTAAGTTTTATGTCTTGTGGAAGCACATCTCGCGGCAAAGGTCGCAAAAGGTCCATCAACTTCGACTGTACAAGAACAGGTCGAATCGAATATCCTTCGAGCGGAAGAGATCTTCGGAGGCTCTGAGACCCATGCTCAATAGTGTATGGGGGACCCCACTATCTTTCTCTGCGTCTGAACCTATGCCTCCACCTCACTTTGGCCTTGTGTCCAACTCTCTTGACACTATTTCTAGGATAGTTAATTGGACTTTCACCTCCCACAAAGATCGCGATATCGTAGAGAATTGCTCCGACAATGGCACCGGTGATCGTTGCACACCAAGCACCATAGATCCACCAGCCGTCACTAAACATGTCGTGTCTACTGAAGCCAAGTGTGATCAGGGCTAAGCGAGGTCCCAAGTCGCGAGCAGGATTAAGAGCGGCACCAGTACTGGCAGAAAAGGCCATAGTCTCGATGGAAATTATCAATCCAAGAATGAAAGCGTTCATTCCTGCGCCAGGGGGTGCGTTGCTGTCATCACCCAAAGCCAATACAATGACACCGATGAAGGCTGTAGCGACAAACTCAGTAAGGAAGCCTGAAGCAGCATCTGCAACACCATCCATACGGTCGGTGACAAAAGAGTTGTAGACATCTGTCATTTGCTCCGGATTGGTTTCCAGATAGTTGAGGATACAGTTGCGATAGATGCCATATGCAACGAGCGAGCCGATGTAAGCCCCGATCAACTGGGCGACGACGTATATCAGGATCTTCTTTTTCGGAAAGCCACGGAAGACGTAGAGCATGATAGTGATTGCCGGATTGAGGTGACCGCCTGAGACTCCACCTGCTATGTAGATACCAGCCATTGTGCCAAATCCCCAAGACCAGGCCATAGAATCGTTTGAACCGCTGTTCGCAATATTGTGTGCGATGTTCGCACAAAGTCCGATCGTCATAAGGATGAACACCTGCATACGTTAGATTGTGAGATAAGGTGAGACAGACTCCCACGTGTGCTAAAGTTTGTCACTAACACTGTTGTAATGCACCATGATTTTCGAAAGTAAAGCTAGGTCCAAGGAGCGGACGTCAAATTGTCACTCTCTGTAGACGACGTGCTCTTTCTCAATATCATTGTGCATTTCAATGGGTGGAGTGATACGCATCGCCGCGGCTTGAGAGCCGAAGTGACAAGGTTTAGCACATAGGGAGAGAGGTCGGACTTGCAGCAAGAACTTCCGCAAGAGGTTCACGTAGCTTGGTCCTGGCGACCGCCCATAGTGTGTGATGATTGTGCTGCTCCTCCTGAATCTTGTTTGTCGACACGTGGTCGTTGACAGCTCGATCATGTGTAACTTTCATGTCTTCGTCATCTGTCTCTTCATCCCCTTTCTCATCATACTCGTCATTGTTATCTTGATCTTGGTACTGATCATGATTGAGCGGATTAACCGGTGGCCTTGGAATTCCCAACTCTCCTTCTTCATCTGCTTCCTGTGGAGGTGCAAGGTGCTGAAAAGGGCCAAACGGCTGTGTTTGAGACTCCTGGCTCATCTCCGAGGGTGGCTCCGATTTCTTGCCATACTTCTGAGCGTATTTGCGTTCTCTTTCTTTGGTCGCATCTTGAATGTTCTTGTCAATTTTGTTCAGGTTCAACTTTGGCCCGATGCCTTGCTCCATCTGAGAATCGGTGGGCTGCAGAACATCCTCGTCCTCGTCTCCTGGCCTTGGTCGATCCGCTTGGATCTCCTGATCTGACGGCTTCATTCCTCTGCGGATGATACGAGGCATAGGATCTGCCAATCCTCATATTGGCCGTACATTTCCAGGTTGGTCGTATGCAGGGTTGAGCTCTATATACCCAGGTTCGACATATGGTTGGTGTTGATTGTGAGTACGGCCATTGTTGTCATCATCTTGTAAACTAGGACCAGCAAGAGTGAAAATTTGTCTCCCATCTTGATCCCTGCCACTTGTGTAAGATTGTTGTAGCTGAGACTGTTGCGCCTGTCGTCTTGTCGAGTTTCTCTGTCGCAGTCCGGACGAAGCACGGCCAGCTGATCCCGATTGTGATGTGGGTGGTCGGTTGTTGTCGACGCTTCTCATAGACTCTCTGCTTTGAGAAGTTGACAGCCCGCTCAACGTTGCTTGATCCGAATCATGCCTTCGGCTGGTCGTATCTTCGTGCGGTATCATCGAACCCATGATCAATGTTTCGACACCGTATACCTTTCAAGTATGGTGTTAGCTACACGCCCTATACTTGACACCGGCGGCCGATAGAGAGATATCAAATATGGCGCCGAGACAGATCGTCAGAAAAGAAAGGAAGGTGAAAGAATGATATTCTTCTCTGGTAAGGGCCTCACCTCGGCCGATTAGGAACGAGGATAGGGAAAGATATGCCCTGCCTGCCTAATTCCATATGGAAGGATTCGGCCGCACTGAAAAAGGTGGTCACAATCGCGTCACAGAAAGCTGAGATCGAGTCTTTTCTGCTGAACATCTTGGCGAGATGTAGCACGCAGCACTTGCATCTCAACGATGTTGGACTGATGAGGCTTCGATCTAATACATGCGAGATACATATCGCTAGCCTCGATGACCGTTCTCAAGTGTTCCTGTCAATATGTGAAGATGAGGTCGAGGGGATGGTGCGATGATCGCCGCCGAGACCTCGGATGTCAAATCTTGGCAAATCGAGCTCGTTAAGAGCTGCACCCTGACAGCACGCATAACAAAGTTCTACACAGTCGTGTCCTCCACAGAGAGTACCAGCCAGAGATAGGGGCTCGCGGCAGATGATTGCAGCGACACAAAAAGCTTTTTGCGTCTTGACAAGCGGTCGAGAGCTAATCGCCGGTCATTGGGAGCAGAGAAGCATTGAAATCTGAAAGGACCGTCACCCTGTCACGATCAAAGACCTGGCCTTGAAAATCATTCGGGTATGTACAGCTGCAAGAGTGGCAGGCCTTAGTACGCGAAGATAGCTACGAGTAATCTATCGGCCAATTGAGATGTGTATCAACAACGCGATCTGATAGGTTTAGCTGCTGTTGGCTTGCACCCTTTCTGCCACGCAAGCTTCTGCAACATGCTCTCGGCTTGAAATTCATCACGTTTTCCTCTTCTCTACCCTGAGTCGTCGCTTGTCATCATCATGTGTTCGTGTTTACTGTTCAGCGGTTGTTGCTAGCTGTTGGAGAGGAAGAAACAAACGAAGTTCAACAGGGTCCAAAGTCTCAGGGTGTGGCGCACGCAAGACGCCGCTTCGTTCATGCCGATAAGCAGGCTCCCAGTGTTGACACCACTCACCACTGAAAACCGACCAATCTGTCTCAGTGAGAGTATCTCGGGTATCATTATTACTTCAGCAATCTGTACGACCATACATATTGACGAGGCCTGTTGGTGGTAAGCCATTGCATACGACTCAAGTTCGCATTGGGAACTTTTGGCGACGCCATTTGTGTGCTAGGGCTTCATTACCAGCACGTCGGCGAACGTGCCGGACATCCATAAAAGCTTTTGAACGGCAGGATAAGCATTCCTCCAAGACGCCCTCCAATTGGTCGGAGACATAGTTCGCAAACTGTTGTACAGAAGGATCACCGCCAACTGCAGATCATAGGATCTATCAGGTATAAGTGGTCGCGTGCCCTCTCAACGAGCAAAGCTGCTTCCTTGCGTTGCCTCTTGCCTGACTGCTCGAGAGAATTGCACGATTTTCCGTCCTTCTGCATCTACTTACCATCTGTGTATTCGCTGCTATTATCAGAACTCGCTTAATATCAGATTCAAGAGACACTCGGTCTTCTGCTTGATTATTCCCCAGAAGCGCGTTTTGACAGGATCGCCTCACCAGACAGATTTCAATCGACTACCCAAAGCGACAATCGAAACCCCATTGCGACTTTCAAATTCACGATAGCGACCTCGAGCATCAGACTCGATCCCGACACAGCCATGGAACGACCACTAAGCATTGAAAAGCATACCGGCCATACGCCCCCAGAAGCAGCACCCATCCAAGAGCAGCCAACCAATACCTCATACGAAGGACAATCACGCCCCGCGTACGACGAGACCGAGAAGTCAAGATGGGAACGTCTCTGGCCTGTCATTGCCTGTGGCGCTGGTCTCTTCTCTGACGGATATTTGAACGGTGTCATTGGTTTTGTATCCACCATGCTCGGAAAGATCTATCCCACCGCCTATGCATCATCACCTGCTCAACGTAACGTCTCTTCAATAACCTTCGCTGGTACGGTGGTTGGGTGCGTCTCTAGCCCAATGTGATACGAAGATGAAGTGCTAACAATGATTTAGCATGTTGATTTTCGGCTACACCTCCGACCACTACTCCCGTAAATGGAGTCTTTTCGCCAGTACAGTCATCCTCATCGCTTTTGCCGCACTTAGTGCAGGTAGCTACGGTGCTGGAGGTAGCAGTTCTGGTCTGTTCGCCGCATTGACTGCATGGAGATTCCTCCTTGGTATCGGCATTGGAGGTGAATACCCAGCAGGCAGTGTTGGCTGTGCCGAAAGTACCGGAGAACTCAAGAGCGGTACTAGGAACAGATGGTTTATTCTTTTCACGAACGTGCAGATCGATATTGGGTTTGTCGTGTCTGCTCTGGTGCCAATGATTGTGGTATGTTCTGATTATTTCTTTCACTCCACTCTCCGATCAAACTCAAAAGATTCCCCCTGTCAAAATGCATGATGCTTTTGAGATTGCTACAGTTGTCCGCAGAGAAGTGCTGCTTGAGTTGCCCTCAATGGACATGACCTTCAAAACAAAAACAATCTTGCATTTTGACAGCCATACCCAGAATAGATCCCGGCACACAAGAGATGCTACACAATTTGAACTCAGTCACTAACCCCCTCAATAGGTCCTTATTACAGGAGAGAATCACCTTCGCGCCGCTTGGAGAATCTGCCTAGGCCTCGGAGTCATCCCACCCCTCTCACTCCTCTACCTCCGTCTGAAACTCAACGAACCAGAAGCCTACCGCCGCGAAACTATGGCAAAAGCGAAGACACCTTGGCTCCTCGTCATCAAGTTCTACTGGTGGCGTCTCACAATAGTCTCGCTCATCTGGTTCATCTATGACTTTTCTGGCTACAGTTTCTCCCTCTTCAGCAGCACCATCGTCGATAACCTGCTAGGAGACAACTCGCCACTGTGGAAAAGTTTCGGCTGGACGACATTGATCTATCTTTTCTATCTCCCCGGCTGCATCGGCGGTTCCTTCGTCTCCGACTGGCTAGGTCCCAAAATGACACTCGGAATCGGTGTTTTGGCACAAGGAATCGTCGGTTTCATCATGGCTGGAGTTTACAGCTACCTAGCCCACCCTCAGAACGTCGCCGGTTTCGTAATCGTCTATGGCGTTTTTCTCGCCTTGGGAGAATTCGGACCTGGCGACAATATCGGCCTCATCGCATCCAAATCCTGCGCCACCGCTGTTCGAGGCCAATACTACGGTATCGCTGCCGCTATTGGAAAGATTGGCGCTTTCGTTGGTGATCAAGTGCTGGCTATCCTGTATAATCGCTACAAAGACACCGATCCCATCAAAGCGGGCCAATACCCGTTTTTCGTGAGTTCGGCACTTTGTATCTTGTCGGCGGGGATTGCGTTTTTCTTGTTGCCGCATATTGGACAGGATACTATTGATGAGGAAGATGTCAAGTTTAGGGCTTATTTGGCGGAGAATGGGTATGATGTTAGTCAGATGGGTGTGCAGAGGGAAAGTGCTGAACATATTGTTGGACAGACGGAGGTAGAGGGTGGTAATGAGGTTACTGAGAAGGTGTCAAAGGCTTGAGGAGCATGGAGTACAGTATTGGTCGTGACTGACGAGGTTTGATAGGAATCCGTAATATCAGAAAATTGAAAAAGGGGCTTCCCCTTGTGCTAAATCTGTCACTTCCAGCCATCTCTTGCGGCCACGTCTGAAGTCGTCTGGCATGTCAAAATGCACAATGTTTTCGAGATCGGTATAATCGTCCGCAGAGAGGCGCTGACTACTACGCTCTCAGTGGAGGCTTCCAAACAATGCTGAAATTGTGCTGTTGTATAGTTGTACGCGTGACAAAGTTTAGCATATGGAAGTTGTCTACGATATCCTCTGACAGTTCTTGACACTTTGAACAGTGGCTTTCAACACGGAAGCAAGTTGGTGGTCTCGAGACTAGCATCTGGGCAGAGATGAAAATGCATTTTTTACCGAGGCTAACAGGTGCGCGAAAGATACATTCGACGAGTCCCCGTGATGATGTGAGACTTAGGATGCAAGAACGATCAATGCTTGGAGCTTGGTTGTATCTACAAAGGAAAGCAGCGATGATCAGGTTGTGCTTGACCTAACTATCGTACTCATCATCGTCCTCGTCAAATGCATCAGGTATGTCATCGTCGTCGTCGTCGTCGTCCTCTCCCTCATCTTCCCCCTCTCCCATCTCTTCATCTCCGTCATCTTCCTCTTCATCTTCCGAATCTTCGGCCACCACATCACCAATCGCAGCACCCGTGTCACGTTTACCTTGATAGGCAAGCTCACAACCTTCCGGAATGTCCATGTCCAAAGCAATATATCGCTCACGTAAATCCCTGTCGGGATAATAACGCAAGAATTTCAGTTCTGCCCTACCAGCACGCTCTTGCGCTCTTGCATCATGGTCTTCTCGCTCCTCCTTCGTCAAATTTGCTAACTCTTGTTCCTGTTCTGCAATCCAGTCTTCGGTTCCCCAGATGTCCATGTCCTCGTTATGGTTGGATTCGTGTTGGTTGATGTACTCCACGATCTGAGTGGGTGTAGGTCGTAGATTTGGATCCCAGCGTTGGCAACGCCAGACAATTTCTCTGAGTTCTTTGCTGTATTTGAAGTCTTGGAACCAGTCGAAGAAGGGCTCGTTGGTCATGATTTCTGATTCACGATCCTCTTCATCATCCTCATCCCATTCGTTCTCCTTCACGCAATTGTCCAAGCGCATCATGGATTCTATGATTCGGCCGGTCTGCCAGACGTTGGTCCATGAGTCTAGGAACTCGCCAGGACCTTCCGATTCTTCATAATCGGCCGATTCCGGAGGGTGGTAACCAGTCGTATCACAAATCTTCAGCTCTTTGAGGTAGTTTTGCGGATCACCCTTGTGTGTAATGTGCGCGGATCCAAAGTCGGCGATCAGAGGTTTCGGGTATACTGGATATCTGGAACCTCTTGTTGAGTCGAGCAGTACGTTGGCCAATTTCATGTCAACTAAAACTGTCGCTTCATCTCGCTCAGTGCGTGCATTGGGCCGAACCTTTGTACGTCGATCAATCTCGACCAATGCCTCAGCAAGACAGGACAGAGTCCACCAGATAAATGCCTCGGGAATCGGTTTACGAACGGAACCGTTGTCTCCTGGAAGCTTGTGTCTGCTCACGAAGTTCGCGAGGTCACTAGCGTGCATCCAGTCCATGTAGGTACGCCAGTGAGTCCCCTTGGCGAGATCAGAATTTGTACCTTTCTTGAAGCCTCGAAGCGGCACGGTATTGGCAGAAGTTGACCCAGACTCGTCAGTCAACAACCCTTGTATGTACGCTTCCTTGAAGAATCTATCTTCCGCCCGGGCCTTGCCTGGCCTGGAAGGATCAACACCGAAGTCTAGTCCCTTGCGCACCAGCTCCTCATAGATACCTTTATAGGCCTTTGGTTCCACACTCGATTGCTTAGACCACATATCTTTGATGACCATACGATCGATGATTGTATTGGTTTCGTCGGTTTTGAACCAGACGTGGACTATGCCGTCTCCTCCCCCTCCCAAAAACTGACCACCTATCCATCGACCACCAACGGGAAGACCACTTTCATCATCATGTCCAGGATGCTCTGGCGGTGAACTCATAATTGGTGGTAGAAGGCTGTGCTAATGTCTGATGAGATGATTGCTGCATGGCCGTGAATTCATCGAGGACATGTTGTGCTATAAAGCTGCGCTGTACTATCTCGAGTCTTTGTTAACTCGACATACGACCGGATTCGGATGTCTTTCGTTCAAGTCATGGTCCAGACAAAGATGGTTGTGGATTTGCTCACACGGCTTTGAGAAGTAGAACAAAGCATGGCGACCACCCACATTTACCTTTGGAGTTGACCAATTTGGAGAGGGAGAATCATCGAGCGACATGATTATGGTAGGCGGTCTCGGTACCTGCAATGCAGCATGCCAATTTGCTGTCGGTATACAATACAGTGATTTGGTCAGGGCATGAAGTGGACTCTGTGTTGTTGCTTTGAACCTAGCGAATAGTAAGATGGATGATCCATGCTAGAATGATTAGGCCAAACACTCTAGTATGTTTTCATAGAGCTCAGCTGTTACCGCTTGATGGCGAGTCGTTTGGTGACTGGGTTGGTGTTGATGGGAAGGTGGGAGGGGCATCTCTCACACGTCTTGGCGTTCAAAGGTCCCTGTCGCCATCGTCATCTTCAACAAGCAACAACTTTCTCGACTCTGACAATCAAACCACAGTATTCACACATCACACAAGATGCCGCCACCACCACCTCCAAAGAAGCCGACGGAGCCGCAAGGCAAGAACGAGCGCAACGAATACATCCCATCCTTCATTTCCAAAAAGCCCTTCTACATCGACGACGCAACCGCCTCACAAGAAGATTACCTCGAGCATCAACGTCTCCAAGCCCAAAAGGATGAATCTCTCGCGACTCAAAAATGGTACACCCGTGGTCAACGTTCAGGCGCCGTAGCAGCGACCAAATTCCGCAAAGGTGCTTGTGAGAACTGCGGCGCAATGGGCCATCAAAAGAAGGATTGTCTATACCGTCAACGCAAGATAGGAGCAAAGTTCACGGGCAAGGACATCAAGGCGGATGAGAGTGGTCAGGATATCAATATGGGCTGGGAGGCCAAGAGAGACCGATGGAGTGGCTACGATGCGCGCGCATACCAAGAAGTCGTCAACGAATACAACGACCTCCAAGCTATCAAGGACTCGAAGCGGAAACTCGAAGACACAGCAGAGGGCGATGAAGATGAAGACGCAGCCAACAAAGCAGAAGACGGCGACAAGTACGAGGAAGAAACAGACATGGGTCGCAAACAACCAAATTCATCACGCAACCTACGATTACGTGAGGACACAGCTGGCTACCTCAAAAATCTGGATCTGGAATCTGCAAAATATGATCCCAAAACTCGCACCTTGATCGACGACGCAGAAGGTGAATTTGAACGCGCTTCAGGTGATGCTGCCGAGTTCGCACGAGCACAACGATACGCTTGGGAAACCGCAGAGACAAATGGAAGCAACAACGTCCATCTCCAAGCCAACCCAACAGCAGGCGAACACTACCGCAAAAAGGAAGCAGAAGAAACCGCCGCAAAGAAAGAAGCACACCGAAAAGCCCTACTGGAAAAATACGGAGGACAAGAACATCTAAAACCCGACCCGCTCAAACACGCCACCATCACCGAAAACGAACGATATGTGGAATACGACGAAAGAGGCAGGATAAAGGGAGCGCCGGAGAAGAAGGAAAAGAGCATGTATGCCGAAGATGTGATGCTGAACAACCACACATCAGTATTCGGCTCATGGTGGAAAAACTTCACATGGGGCTACGCATGCTGTCACTCCACCATGAAAAACAGCTACTGTGTCGGCGATGCCGGTAAAGTCGCTTCCTCAAACGCTGAAAAACTATCAACCGGTGCATTACTAGAAGCAGCCCCCGAAACTCTAGAAAGCAACGCCACAGAAGTGCCAAAAAGCATTGCCTGGAAAGTGGAAGAAAGAAACGAAGAACATGTACCCAATGCCCCCGACCGAGCAGAAAAAGCCAAATTGGATGAAAGCACAGGAGAAGACAGAAAGAGAAAATTAGATGAGATGAGAAGTGGAGTTACAGAGGAGGAAATGGATGAATATAGGAGAAAGAGGAATGCTGGAAATGATCCCATGGCTGCGTTGTTGGGCAAGGATGAATTGCTCAACTGAGGAGATTTTCAATCGGGGAGCGAGCAATTGCAGTAAATGTTAATACTACTGAGCATCTGGTTATGCATCAGTCAAGCATATTCTTCCATCTACATCATTCTCACAGTTCGACCTTCGAGGCCACGAGCACTTCTTTGTGAACGAGACGGAGGTCAGGAGAAGACACTGAACTATACACCACATGATATGACCCACGAGAAGCAAGTCCACAAGAATTGGTCACTTAAACCACGAAATCCTCACCACAGCCACATTTTTTCGGACTTGAAACCGCTGTGAGCAGATCATACTTGTTCAAATATTCACACAGCCTAGCAGAAGTAATCTAGCGAACAGACGTGCATAAAGACCTGCTTACATCGCATGACTTCCCCATGCATGATATTTTCTCTTCCGTCTTACCTCAGCTTGTTGAAATACACGCCATGATTCCTTCTCAGATCGATGCATCTACGCATCTTATTCACCAGCGTAGGCAAGGCGATCAAGATCTGGAGGTCTTCAGCCTTACGTTCTACAGTGTGATGTACAGAATCGTTTTTGAGGAACAGACACACAAAAGGTTTACCGTAGCCGAAGGCACGTAGAAGTTGTTTGTATGATAGGCATGACGCCAAAGCTTGATTGATATCTAAACAAAACAAAACAAGCAGATAAATAGAAATGTGTTGGGCTAAAGTACAATGTCAAAATAATGGTCAACTTTTCGTCTCAAAGGACGAGAAGATAATTGTTGTATGCGTGCAGTTGCAGCATCCCAGCCACCTGAAAGCCAGTCCCAAGCATACCAGCTCCTAGCAATTCCAGCGGCAGCATCCTTTACTCGTCTTGCTCCCAGTAAGATCCCGATATCCCCAAACGCCGAAATACACCATGATGATAAACGTGTCTAATCGACATCCATGGCTGCAGCAGCTTGGGGCACGATAGAAGGAATGGCGAAAGTTGGACTCGGCGAGCCCTTGTCGGATGAGTCGTCAGCGACAGGCTCGTCAGTAGCGAACATTGACTCAGTGGCCGAACTGATGATAGTTTGGGGAGACATAAGCTTTGGGATCAACTCGGTGGGATCTCTGGTGACGAGGACAGCTTGCTTGAGATCGTTACTCCAAAGCAAGAAGACCTTCTGACCAGAAGCTCGGTTGGTTGCGACACCGAGGTAACCAGGGATGGACGAGTTCTCGAACCAAAGCTCGATGTCGGCGAGACCAGGGTAGTGTCTGCAGACCCATCTTGTGTAGGCCTTTGCAGAGATCTGTAGAGCCTCGCTAGCGTCCAAGCGCATCCATGAGATGCCGAGCAGACGCGTAACTTCATCAATCAGAGGTTCGACGGATGCGGTTCGGCGATGAGCAGAGGGCTCGGTCATCAGAGCGATCTCATCAGAATCGGGCCCGGAGGGAGCGCGACGTTGGGACTTGCGACTGGGCATGGTAGGTCTGGATGCTTGGGTGGCTACAGGGTCGATTTGGGGTGTTTCAACCCACGTGTTTTCGACCCAGGTTCCAGTAGAAGATTGGCCATGGAGGTTGTTGAGCGTCATTCCAGGACCGTAGATGGGTTCTCCACGGTTCATAGGAGGTGAGGGTAGTGGAGCAACCAGGTTGACCTCTTCGTCGTCATCGTCGTCGCGTGACCTTTTGCGTCCAGCGGTAGAGGAAGTCGACGGCGTAGGAAGAGTAGTTTGTTTGAAGAAAGCATTGGGAATGCTGGTAGGCGGTTGATATGTTTGCGAATGAGGAAAGTATTGCGACGAAGGAGCCGGAAGGACGACCGTAGGCGACGAAGCGTAGAAGGAAGTCATGGTGATGAAAAGGGAGTAAAGACTGTCTGCTAGATCAGAGTGCTAGAAAGTTTAAGCAACAAATACACAAAGAGCTTTGCGATCTTTGGAAGTGGTCGATGGTCGACGATGAATTGGTGGAAACGAAGCTTGTCGCGTCGCGAAGCGGGAAGACGCGATGGCGACGATAAGATGGAGAAAGTGGAAGATTGATTGAATGACGTCGAGTCAATCAGGCAAAGTGGTTGATGGTCGTGTGCAACAAGGTAAAGTGTGAGATGAAGTTCGCGAAGGATGAAAGAGGAGAAGTGAGAAACAGTCGAGGGAAGGGGCGTCTTCTTGAAGAGGAAGGAAAGAGGAGAAGTGAGAAACAGTCGAGGGAAGGGGCGTCTTCTTGAAGAGGAAGAAAGAGCGCAAGACTTCCGGGTGTTTAGCGACGAAAAGAGAGTCCTCGGACCCTGGATCAGCTTTGCGAGCTTGGTGCTTTCTCTCGGCCAACTGCCAACGACTTCCCCAGGGCCAAAGATGGAAGCTACACGATGGCGCCGTCTTGTGCCGTTCGTGTCTCATTGGACGATATCGAGGCCCACATTTCCGTTTTCGGCATAGTTGATGCTGTCAGAGTGGATGGCCTTGCGCTGATTTTTGCTTGCAGGCTTGATGGTCATAAGTTGTTGTTGTGCTTGGCATAGCTCGCCTTGCATAGTTGTGCAGGACGTATGGAGCTCCATGCATAAGCTTATCATAGATGCACAAACCGTGTCGGTTGCACAAGGCACCTCCGTGATCTTGGCGATTATTTCCAGCGGAACTTTTGGAGGCGCGCGCATTTGCTGGTCAAGGGCCCAAACAGACTGTTTATCTGCATCACTCTCTCGACACGTACTAATTTGTCGACTCTGCACCAAGTCAGAGCTTCTGTTCATTCGCCTATACCAGGAATCTAGTTGCTAGCTTGGACTATAGTCCAGCAACAAGACAGTCACGATGCAGGCCCCCGTTGTGGTCATGAGTGAGCTTCTATATACTCATGCCATTTGCTACGCATACTGATATTGCACTACAGACACCAACAGTGGTGAGCGCCAATTCGGTCGCAAAGCCCAGCTGTCCAACATCACCGCCGCAAAGACGTACGCTATCAGAAACACCTCCCCCGTCGCACCCCTCTGACAATTCACAGCGTCGCAGACATCATCCGATCATGTCTGGGTCCCAAGGCCATGTTGAAGATGCTGCTCGACCCCATGGGTGGTATCGTCCTCACCAACGACGGTCACGCCATCCTCAGAGAAATCGAAGTCGCCCACCCCGCCGCAAAGAGCATGATCGAGCTGGCCAGAACACAAGATGAGGAAGTTGGTGATGGTACCACTTCAGTCATCATTCTTGCCGGTGAGATCCTCGCCCTCTCGCTCCCTCAACTCGAGCGCAACATCCACCCCGTCGTCATCATCCAAGCATTCAAGCGCGCCCTCAGCGATGCCCTCAAAGTCATTCAAGACGTTTCGGTCCCCGTCGACACAACCGACGACGAGCAAATGTACAAGCTCATCTCTTCCTCGATCGGCACAAAATTCGTTTCAAGATGGTCCGACATGATGTGCAACCTGGCCCTGACTGCTGTCCGTACCGTTTCATACAGCGGCGGTGGTGGTAAGCAAGAAGTCGACATCAAGCGCTACGCCCGTGTCGAGAAGATTCCCGGAGGCGAGATTGAGGACAGCAGAGTCTTGAACGGTGTCATGCTGAACAAGGACATTACCCACCCCAAGATGAGAAGGCGCATTGAGAACCCCCGTATTGTCTTGCTCGACTGCACGCTTGAGTACAAGAAGGGAGAGTCGCAAACAAACATCGAGATCACAAAGGAGGAGGACTGGAACCGTATTCTGCAGATCGAGGAGGAGCAGGTTAAGCAAATGTGCGACGCCATCATCGCCGTCAAGCCCGACCTTGTCATCACCGAGAAGGGTGTTTCGGACCTCGCCCAGCACTTCTTGATGAAGCACAACATCACTGCTCTCCGCCGTGTCCGCAAGACCGACAACAACCGTATCGCCCGTGCCACCGGTGCCACCATCGTCAACACTGTCCAGGATCTTACCGAGTCAGACGTCGGTACCCAGTGCGGTCTCTTCGAGATTGAGAAGATTGGCGACGAGTACTTCACTTTCCTCACCAAGTGCCAAAACCCCAAGGCCTGCACAATCCTTCTTCGCGGCCCCTCAAAAGACATCCTCAACGAGATCGAGCGCAACCTCCAGGACGCCATGGGTGTTGCCCGTAACGTCGTCTTCCACCCTTACCTCTCCCCCGGTGGTGGTGCTACAGAAATGGCCGTCAGCGTACGATTGTCACAACTCGCCAAGGGTGTTGAGGGTGTAGCCCAATGGCCTTACCGTGCCATTGCCGAAGCCATGGAAGTCATCCCCCGCACCCTTATCCAGAACTCTGGTAACTCACCCATCCGTGTCCTTACTCAGCTCCGCGCAAAGCACGCCGAGTCAAACGACAACAGCAGCTGGGGTATTGATGGTGATGCTGGTAAGATCATTGACATGCACAAGCTCGGTGTCTGGGAGCCTCAGGCTGTCAAGCTCCAGAGTATCAAGACTGCCGTTGAGTCGGCTTGCTTGTTGCTCAGAGTTGATGACATCTGTGGTGCCAAGAAGGCAGCGACATCAGGTGGTCAGATGGGTGGTGGTGATGACTAGATTTCCTGAGTCGAAAGAGATATCATGTGGTAGCATAAAAAAGAGATTCAGACAGTCTGACCACGAAACAAAAGAATGCATATGCAAATGTACGAAACTAGATTCCTCAGGATGAGATGTGCTGTATCCCTGACAACTAAGAATGGTGAACTCAACGTCTGATGGAATCGCAGGGCGTGTATCTGTGCAATCTATGATCAGAGCTTACTGTGAGTCTTGCTCCGTTAGTGCCTTGAGACTAGACTCTCCAACTCAGCAGTTCAGTAACGTTCCATCCTTCTCTCAATCAACTCCCCCTTCTTCACCACGTCCTCTTTCCCCCTCTACATCTCAAAATACTTCGGCACCCTCTTAACCAACTCGCCCACCTCCTCATCACTAACGATATACTCAAACCCTTCCTTGACACCCCCATCCACACCCTGCCCCTCCATCCTCCTATACCCATAACAATTCCTCCACCTCCACCCCTTCGCCTTGCCCTTCCCCCCCTTCCCCTCTGCCCCTCCATCGCTAATCGGGTTATCATCAACAACCAACTCCCAAGTCACAAACACGGCGGCAGAAAATTCCGATATCTCCTTGACCGCCACCCTGATCAATCTAATATCCGCACCCACCCCTGCCTTGATGAGTTTTTGCAGATGGAGTAGTGTGCCTTTTGCGGCTTCTGCAGGGGTGGAGACGGTGGTTGTGGTGCCCAGGGTGAAGGAGGTTAGGTTTGGAAGGTAGTGGGAGGACATTGCTGTTGCGCTGGCTTGGGGGTCCGTGGAGCCGAGGGCGGTGGCGCGGGCGTAGGAGTGGGTGAACAAAGTGGCGTGGGGGGATATCCCTTTGCTTGATGACATTGTTGGAAGTTTGTGGTGGTGTTTTGTGAAAGAGGGAGTGGTGGTTATTTGGTGACTTTTTGGGATTGATGATTGGGTGATTGCAGTATTTCCGATATGGAGGTTTGTGTTTTGGAGCAAAGTTCGTTTCAACCGAGGTGTTTACTTGCAAGAAAGGGGTGAATTACTGTTGGTATTATGTCCGTGGTGACTGTGGAAGCAAGAGCTATCGACTTGATGTTTTTGGAGTCAAGCTTCACGGGCCGAGATCGGTCCTTCCTTCCTTCCTGTATACCACGCCCTTGACTCAACAATCACCTGATGCAAACTCTACAAGATCCTATCGACAGACAGCAAAACATGCTCTGACTGGATACGGCGAGCAGCGATATCAAACAAAGTGTCTGAATGTCTCCACGAGCGTGGCCATCGCTGTATAACCCGTCAGCAACCCTATAGAGCCATCGATGCAGCGATATCAACACCGCTCGGTCTCACGAGCAGCTATGAGGGAGCTCACTACTCAGTTCCGCATCGAGTACGACTATGCTCGGTGTGTAGTAATTCAATTCCTGGGTTGTACGACATTATATAGAAGATGGTCATCGAACAAGGAGGCAAGACCGACCGAAAAAGCATCAAATTTGCGTAAGATGGTTGTAGTATTTCTGTATTCGAGAGCTAAGTTATACCGACATTGCAAAAACACACCTATGCATCCATCCTGATCCATCATCCATTCTGATTCAACGTGAAAAAAGAACCCCAGCGCCGACGCTATCCTACCCATCCATGATCATATTTGCACCCATAAACCAACAGAAGGAAAAGCAAGAAAAGAAGAAGAGGGGAGATTTTTTGTTTTCACCGTTTGTAAATGCAAGGGAAAAGGAAACATGAAGAACAACAACAACAGAAAAGATATCGCTGGAGGTAAAAGAACAATTAATCAGCCAGAGCGAAAAGTAGTGGCTCGTCGTCGTCGAGAGCACTGGTGGAACCTTCACGGTTCTTGCGTCTCATGCTGCCAACACCGCCACTTCCACCACTTCCGCTTTCCCCTTGCATCAACAGCTCGGACAGGCTGAGTTCACCTCGTACGCCTTCTGCGACAGGCATACTCGCTGAACGCATGCCGTAAGCGTCTTGATCTTCGACATTCGTAACGCCTCTTGCGCGAGCTTGTTGAGTTGTGGATGACGAGCGGCGATTCGAAATGAAGGTACGAGGAGAGGTGGGAATGTCGATAGCTGTCGACAAAGGCGTACCAGAACCGCGTGGGATTGGGTGAGTAGAGATGTCTCTTGCCCCATCGTTTGATGAAGGTTGGAGGCGAGTGCCAGAAAGACGACTGCGACTGCGATCACGGGTATAGTCTGCAGTAATGCTGTTGTTGCTCAGTCTCGATGGAATGGCGGGTATATGTGGTGTATGCGGCGAAATAGGCTTGCCGGGTGATGAAGAAGTGGATATGGAGCCGGGAATCATGCCTGGTACGTTTTGCAGCTGTCGGCTCGATGAACTGGACGATCTTTGCAGCATCACTGATGACTGCATTGATTCTGAAAGTTGGGCGGTTGAATCCCGCATGCGTGAGAATTTGGAGTATTGTGCGGCTGCGCGTTGCGAGTTGGCGTTCAAGGAGGCTTTATCGGTCTTGTTAAGACTTGATAGGCCCTTATTCCTATCAAGTAGCTTGAGGAAGTCGGCGATGTTGTCTTCGTCGGCCTGCACTGAGCCTGAGCTAGCACCTCCTTCACCTTCCTGGAGTGTGCTTGATCCGCGGTTCGTGGAGGAGACACTAGCTCTGCCACTGCTGTTGTTGTCTTCCTCAACCCTACTGCTAGACACCGAAGGGAAACGTGCTCTTCGGTTACTGAAGCTTGACGAGTACCTTTGAATAGGAGCAGGTTTGGGCGAGCTCGATGCAGAAGAGCCAACGGCTGTCTCGGTCACAGCACCAGGATTTCGCAAAGCTTGTTGAGGTAGCGTTGACAAGGACGACTTACGAGCATGTGCCAGCAGTGGGTTGGCGGAAGTTCGACCGACGGAACTGCTAGGCGAACTTGACAGGAAGTTGCCAGCAGCAGGCGACGATGACAGCGAGCCGGCTTTGAAAGGTTGGAAGGAGACAGACGGTCTACGCTGGACTGCATTCGGATCTCTCAAAGACGAAGGCGCGAAACGAGGAGCTTCACGATCTCTCTGACTTTGTGATGAATAGCGGCGAGGTTGATCGTCCTGTTGTGATGAAGGTCCAGACACGTCATGCTCGTCAATGGCTTGTGCTGAGATGGGTCGATCGGCAGGCTCGCGGAAAGAAGCAGTTCGAGGAGATGTACCGAGGGTGGTGGGTCTTTGAGAAGATCTTTGAAAGGATGAAGAGAACCTAGGGGTCTGATTGCGCAGAGAGGGGCGTTCCTGGTCCATCGAGGTTCTTTCTCTACTCGACTCTCCTGACAACCGGCTATCAGGGCGTTCATGTCCAGCCATCCTGGCACTTATAAGGCGCTCGGAAAGCTCGACCTGCAGATCCAGGTTCTTGCGATATGTCACCGAGATGTTCAAGGAGCCCAATGGGCAGTGTAGGGGTGAGAAGCGATACGTCTCGGTCGGACGTCTGTCTGAAGGGAAGATTGAGCAGCTGAGGGTGTCTACCCGAGATTTCTCAGCGAGCGAGCCATCTGAGACACGATATCTAGGTCGTAGTGTCGCAGGCCCGGTTGCAGCTTGCTTTCCAAGACGGGTCCTCAGCTTCCATGCTGGCAATAGCCGTGCGTAGGTGCAGAGAGCTCTGCATGTGATAACACCCTTCTTGTAGAAGCTGGGTGCGGGTTCGTTGAGTGTTGCTGGAGATACGGATGAAGCATCGTCCAGACTGATTGTCCATCTCTCGTATACGAATCGGGAGAGGGTGTGGTTTTGAGGCGTGGGAGCTGAAGCTTCGAGTCTTCTCAGAGTCTCGCTTACATCCCATGGTTTGCCTTCTTCATCTATTGCGACCAATGACTGGTTGGGGGCGAGTTGCGCAGTGTCCAAGTAGACATCGATTACCAAAGGAGCAGGTCTTTCTACGGTTGCATCCATCGACCTCCACTCTTGCAAGTCTTGGTTCAAGATGTCTGTTTCCTCTATCAAGGTATTGAACTGGATTTGGGTCAGACATGGTTACGGTGCTTAATGCGATGCGAGGAGAGCAGAGTAGAATGGCAAAGGGAATGTATGACTGTCTTTGAACGCAGCATCTTCTAAAATGACACAAGACAGAGACCACCATGACTCCGAGACACAAGAGTGCCTGGCAGTGTTGTACCCGCCAGGTTCAAGATCGCGCAAGGCCAGCCAAGACACAAGGGTCTCTCTAGAACAGTATGGATAACTGCGGTGGTCAAGGGAGCATACTGCATTTGTAGGGGAGCGGAGGCGACAAGGAAAAGTACGTACCCATCTATCGATCTTTGCTTCGCCATTTCTGGACATGGCAGGTGGTAGACTGACTCGAGACGAGCAGATGATGAGAGCAGCCTTTGTGAAGAAGTGCTGGACGACCAAATTGGCTCTGTCTTTGACGCTCTGCTCTTTCCCGTCGGTCGAACGAACAGTCTGGCTGCCCGAAGACAGATCCTCGCTGGAATATGTCCGAGACGACATGGTGTCTCGTGTATTGGAGGACCTCGAGGGATTGGTATGAGGAGTTGCGGCCGAGGCGGCGGTCCTGATCGAAGGACGTGGGTGCTGGTGCATGGTATAATGGTGGTGGGGGTTTGTACAGGTGCTGTGATGTTGTATATACTAGACGGATATATCATGGATAGGCGAGCGATCCTTCATAGTGACAGGCGTCAGGTGTTGAACCTTGATGGCGGCTCGGCAGCGCTGGGTGATGGGTTGGGTTTGGACGACGACGGCGATGAAGTTGGTGGGCTATGGCTGCATGGTGACCGAGGCAGATGGGCAGTGTCTTTGTCGCGATGTTAGGATGGAGTGTTAGGCAGCCTGAGCGTGGCAGGTGGCAGGGCAGGTGGACTTGATCAAGACCTGACAGGGTCTTGTGCTTGCTGCTCCCTTATCGCCGTCTATGCAGCTTGTGACTCGACAACCCGCTAGCTTCAACAAGCTCTGGAAAGGTCCCCGCGCGATGTGACTGGTCGAACAAGGTGTAAAGAGTCAGCACAGCTGGAGATGCAGATGAGGAGAAAGAGGAGACAGAGATGGCATAAACAGTCCAGTCGATGGTCGAATGAGCAATTCGTTATCGCCTCGACGACTCACGATCGTCGACTGCATCATGCACCCAAAGCCATTCCCCGGATTGGAGAAAGCAACTCCACCCGACCAACCCTCGCTTGACTTTGCCATTTGTCAAGCTATCAACACTGCCCTCGATACACTCATCTATCTTTCTGTCAATCTCGCTGCCAGCTGTCGATTGATGACTTGTTCACTTTCTTATCTTGTATTCCACCGGAAGCGTCGCCGTGAAGCCTTCTAGAATCATGCCTCCTTTGTTCCTTCCTTTGCTTTTTTGCAACTTGGGGAACCCTGCCACTCTGCTTGCCTAGTTTTTGAGAAAAGCACGCAACCGATACCTCTCATCACGCGCCATGTCGCAAAACAGTCACCATTCCTCGTCATAGTCAGTTGTCTTTTCTCCGCGCATACTGCTGTACCCCAGTCGATGAGGTGTCGTTGGAGGGAAATACGCCTCGTCGGAAGGCTTGCTGCTTGCATTGCAGCAGGGCTCAGCGGCAATATTTTCACTGGTTCCACTGGCAGCTATCATCATGAACGTTTTGCTTCAATACCGCTATCGGTTGTGTTTTGATATTGCAAAAGCAATGTGTCAGAAGATAAGAACAATGACGAGCACTGTTTGCTCACACGAATTATACTAACAGATGTTCGAATTGACTATGAGGTTGTCTTGAGGTCGAAAAGAACTCGACATGCATGCGGCCGCGATTGGCTGTGTTGATCTACCCAGAACCATTGGTCGATGGTCTGGAACATGGTCGAGAACCTGCATGCACATTACATGTAAGTCGCTCAGGTCGCAATAGGCAAGCCGAAGATGAAGTTTCAAGTATGATGATGCCTCTATATGCATGGCAGTCTGCTATCCTTGTTGAACAGGCGCTACTCAGACTGAGCTCCAAACAGCTATTCATGTCACAACAACTTCTTCTAATATCACGAATTGTTCCCCTTCTTTCTCACCAGAATCGAGTCTCACCATTACATCCAATGGCAATGTAAGCATCGGATCCGCATGTCCAGTATCAACATGCGCCAATATGGGAATCTCCAACCCATAACACTGATCAACCACCATCTTCTCAAACCTTTCCCTCATCTCTTCATCATACATATACGGTCTTCCCAGCACAATACCAGCCACCACCTCCAGTACACCAGCATTACGCAGATCGGCCATCGCACTTCTCGCAGCATCCAGTGAGAATGGCAGACCAGGGTTTTCACCCTCAGGCAATTCAAGAAGCAAGACCCGTCCAGAATAATCCGGCAAGTACTTAGTCCCACACAACTGAACAACAGAAGGCAAACATCCACCCATCAACCTGCCCTCCGCTGTTCCCCCCTTCAACCACTTCCAACCAGGCGCCTGTATCAGCTCTCTAGCCTCCTGATCCTTCTCCTCAGCAAGCCAATTCTTGAACTCCATCGTATACGTCTCCGACCTAGGAACACTCTGCCCCTGCCCCGGCTCCATCAAAGTCCTGAAGAAGTGGTTGGCAGTAAACTCCAATGGCGCCGGCACCTCTCCAAACTCAGGAATCACCGCAGGACCATAGAATGTCCTCAACCCACACTGCGTAACCAACGCATGATGCAGCAACGTAACATCCGAATACCCGACAAAAATCTTTGGATTTTCCCTGATCAAAGCATAATCCAAATGAGGCAGAAGTTCATTCGCAGATAATCCTCCTATTGTACAAACGATTGCTTTGACCCGTACATCGGAGAATGCAGATTGTATCTCGCAGCAGCGTTGTTGGATAGCTTGCAAATGATTGCTTGGGAGATTTTCGGTATAGATAATTTTGACGTGAAAGCCGTGGTGTTGGAGGAACTGTTTGGCTCGGGTGATGCGGGTGCCGAATAAAGTATTAAGTCTGGAGGATGGAGAGATGAAAGCAATAGTATCGCCTTTTCTCAACGCCTGAGGCGTTATTGTCTTTTGTTGTTTCATCTTGTGTCTTGTATTAATTGACTATTGTTCGTTCTTACATTTTGATCTTGCAATGGTGTGATCGATACGACACAGGGCTGATGAGTCAAACATCACCATGTGCTTGCTTGCTCGGCGGTTGTTTGTCATTGAGTACGCAAAATGCGACCACATCTTTATCACGTGAATCCGGTGTGGTCTAACGGCTAGGATTTCTCGCTTTCACCGAGGAGGTCGGGGTTCGATTCCCCGCACCGGAACATTCTTCTTTTTGCACTTTTTGTGGCACTTCTCGCCGTTTTCTTCCACTCGGACATGCGATTTTCCATTCTCTTTTGGCTTTTTGCAAGTAGAATGATGGAATTTGCTATTCGTTATGTGAGAGCATGATGTTTTTGTGCTCCAGAGATGAGTTGTAATCACCTACCATCTATCAGCTAAAGGAAATGCAAGTACAAAGATGGGCTGCGGTGCATGTAAGGATATTAGGTACCGAGTCTGTTTTTGTGAAAATCAACTACACCAGACGCCGTCGACACTTGCGCGCTTCGGCAGATATGACTGGAGCTATTCACCTTTATGACTGACAGAGGGTCATCTTGCTGAGGCCGCTGGAGGAAGATGATCTGTTCGACACGATCAAAGCGAGTGAGGATAACCAATGCATCCATACGACATGTGCTAAGAATAAACGCCCAAACACCTCATAGAGAATTATCGAGCACAGGGAAAAAATGTCCTCATCCATCACCAGCAGCAGCACTGCTCTCCAGAAGTTTCGATCTTGCACGATCTTGACCGTGTATTGCAGCTATCTCTCCCCAAGTCTTCATCAATTCACCAATATCCTTCAAAGACACCGGCTTGGTCATGTACATGTCCATACCGTTCGTGAACGCATTCGTTTGATCTTCTCCACTGGCGTTGCCGGTCAGTGCGATGACCAAGCTCTGATGAGGTTCCGCTTGTTGATCAACCCGCTGTGCTGATATTGAAGCTTCTGTCTGTCGGATGATCTTTGTGGCTTCAAAGCCGTCCATGACCTGGAATAAAGTCAGTATGATTTCAACCATGTACTTGAAGATCACGACATACCGGCATGCTGATGTCCATGAACACCATATGGAAGGGGCTCATATGGCGCAGAGCATCTTCGTAGATCCGTACTGCGTCGCTGCCATCTCGGGCCAATCTAATATCCTTGTAGTCGCGACGAATGAAGAATGTCTGCAAGAGCTTGAGGTTGACTTCGTTGTCATCCACAAGCAAGATTCTCGGCTTGCTCGGCTTGTGTTGGCTGTGGGCAATATGCCCTTCACTCCGACTACGCACAAGCTCATCGTGCTTCTCCATAGGCTGCTGCTGGGCTGATGGGACATCCAAAGTCTGAAGACGTCTATGGTGGGTACCCGATACCTCTACCTGCGGAGTTGTCGTCGGAATGGAGGGTGTCACTGGACCAGGGGTAGATGGACCTCTTGGGGAAGAAGAAGGGTCCATCGACGGGAAAGGAAACGATGCGGGATTGCTGCTGATGGAAGTCTTTCTTGAGCGGAATCTTTTTGATAGGTCCTGAGAATAAGAGTTTGCCGGTCTCAAGATTGGACTTGATTGCTTGAGTTCCGGTAAAGGACCCATCTCCTCGATGATAGAAGGAACATCTGGATTGGCATCAGGCATGCGTTTGTCGAGCGCATGTTTGAGTGCCTTCGCAAGCTTGAATGGCCCGAACGGTTTAGCCATGACGTGCAACTTGGGATACTCGACTAATCTCGAAATGGCCGTTGTCCTGGAGCGATCTGAACAGAGAACCACCACGACAGCGTCGAATTTCTCAAGGGTCTCTAGGTGCTTTCTGATGGCCAAAAGATGTACGTCGTCGACGAGGACGATGTCTGGAATGGTCTTCAAGTCCCAATCATCAAGATCGTCAACTTTGTACCAACCATTGATACAAGCAGCCAATGCGTGTTTCTGCATTTGATAGCCCTCACGTTTTTGTGGTGTGTCTTCCGGCAATATGTCTTGTTGAAAATTTGCAATGCGAGGACGAGGCTCAACCGTGCGTAGGGCTTGAATGTTGTCTTCATTGGGTCTGTGAAATCCATCCTTTGGGTCCTGAGAGCCAGCACGCCTCATCGGAATCTTCACCGTGACTGTTGTGCCATGGTTGACCTCAGACTGGACTTCAATCTCGCCGTGCATCATTTGAACCAGTGATCGCACCAGAGAGAGTCCAAGACCAGTACCCGGTGCGAGTGGATTTTCTTGAGCGAAAGAAGTGAACATCTGAAAATGTCAGAATCGTCGAATAACTTTGTGTTCTCCATGGTCAATCTTACCTTGGTGTCCATGTATGCTTGAGAAATTCCCTTGCCCGAATCTGCGACTTTCAGTTCGACCATGGCCATTGCAGGCTCTGACTCTTTCATACTAATCTCTTCACAATTGAGAGAAACTTTGATGAAGCCGTGTTCCTAGATCATAATCAGTATCGGGTGTTATTGTTGTTCATTGCTGGATATCGTTGTTACCGTGTATTTCTGCGAGTATTATGTCAGTATCTGGTGGACGACAACATTTGCAGAATCTGTCGCGGATGTCTGATCTGGAAATGACTTACCAATGAATTTCCGAACACATTCATGATAATTCTCCGATATGCTCCAGGTTGAGTGACGAATGTCCAGTCTTGTGGCGGGCTGACATCAAGAATGACTTCCACAGGCGATTGAGGCATTGCTAACAGCTCTTCAAACGTTTTGGCATTGAATCTTGCTCTTTCCCCTGAGAATCCCAATTCCATGCTTGGATCACTCTTGGCAAGATGGCCTGTTGTCACACCCTCAATGACTTCTTCTGCGATCGAGGCAAGATTGACATGTGAGTATGTGCTGAGAAGTGGCTCAACACCCCCTTTCACAATATGCGGTCTGATGTTCAACTTCTCTCCCGGTTGGTCTTTTGTGAAAGCGTTCACTTTACTGTAATCCAGGACCATCTGAATGGTATCAAGCAGGGTATGAGCGCAGCTTTCCGTTGTATCGATGAGTGATTTCTGGAAGGGCGTCATTTCCGTTTCTTGGATGAGCTCGCATGACGCAAGAATACCATGAAGTGGAGAACGCCTGAGTTCTATCAGCACTGTTCGTCAGGCAAAGCCGTGAGACTTTAGACTCACAGTTCGTGACTGACACTGCCGATGAAGTCACCCTTCTGGTGATCTGAGAGTACGACTGTGCAGCGATCAATCTCTGCCTTGACACAATTGCAAAACGCTCGGCAGAAGAAGTAGTCTATCTCAAAGGTGAAATTTCGTTCGGTCGACAACGTATAAGCAAGGCAGACAATCCATCGGCCAAGTTGAGTATTCCACAAAGGCACGAAGATGATTTCGTAGGCTCCAGGAAGGTGCGAAAAGAGACTTCTGACATCTATCTCTTCCATGTTACCTTGGTGTTGCGTGTTCATCGAAATCATTGTTTGACAACGATCGCGTAGTTCCGGATAGTGGTAGACTTGTCCTCCGGGCGCTCTCTTGATGAATTTCAGAAGACATTTGACGGGTATGTTACCAGGTGTCTTCTCACTCATCTGGCATGCTTGTTCTGAATCGCCTGCACTAATGTCACAGGCAAGTATAGCCGCAGAGACTTTTCGGTTGTCTTCTCCGTGACCACTTTCATCTGAAGGCGTACGTGACGGCGGAGCAGTACCGACGACGAGCTTGGAGGAACTTCGCTTGGGTCCGCCTTCACGTCCAGAAGGACGACGTGCTGCGCTAACTCTTCCCGAAGATTTTGGCGCAGTGTCCAGAAAGATGACACCTCCACCATTCTCTTGTAATGACAAAGATTGCCGCAGCAAGGTAACAGCACGGTCGAATATTTGACTATACTCTCTCCCGCTGTTACCATGTGGAAGCTCGTCTTCCGAGGACTTGCCGGTGCTGCTTCGTCGACTGCCTGACGCGCTTGGGGTTGAAAGCTTGGGCTCTTCGATCTCAGGTTCTTCCGGCGGTGTCTGTGATCTATGGTCTTGATGAGAATCCATGAATGACGCAAGAGACTTGTTCATCTTCATGATCCTGACAACGTCCATCTGTTGCTTGCGGTTCTCGAGGTGAATCATGACGTTGTCGGCTATGGATGTGAGGACTTAGTTGAGTCAGCAATGTTTTCGAGAATTTACGAGTTACCGTTCTTGCTGGAAAGATAATGGAGATCTTCGCTTGTACTCACAAGTGACATGCTGTAGACTGAGAGGCTCCCGAACCTTATCATCCAAGATAAAAACAGTGCCGATCACAATATTGTTGCTTGTACGTATCGGCACGCCACAATAGTAGACAAGATGCAAATCCTCAACGATGTTGAGCTGAGCAAATCGATCATCTGCGGCGAGGTTGCAGATTTCGAAGTAGGCGGGCTGCTTTTCGGAGCCGATGATAGCTCTGATTGTTTCAGCACATAGAATTCCTGTCTTGGGATGGCTTGCGTTCTGCATCCTGTGTGTCAGCAACACTATTAACACCTCAATCTGATAAGACCTACGAGAGATAGAGGCCCATCGTTTTCATCCTCGTAGTAATCTGGGTTGTGAAGATCCATTGTTCTTGTCGATTCGGCAACATAGTATTGCGTATCTCGGTCGATGAGACTGACCAGTGCCCTTCGCATACCAAGACGCCAGCATATGAGCTGCATGTGAGCCGGCAGTGCGGAATCTCGATCTGTCAAACGCAATGCCGATTTTTTACTTGGCGTATAGTACTGGTCGAGCTCTTGAGCGCGTCTTTCATCGGAGGGAAGTCCTGTATCGACGAGTGGCGTTGGAGGCATAACTTGCGCTTTGCCTGTCCCCTTTGATTCCGCCATGCTAGAAAGAGGTGACACGTCGGACACGGGAGGACTGTGAGCGTTTGGCTTATGTATGAGGGATACGGAGGGGAAGATGGGTTGCAGATAGGAATATCGCTTGGAGATCGGGTTGGCGCAACTGCAAGCTGCGTGAGTTGTATGTAGGGGATTGAGTATCGAGTATTAATCTTTCGCATCTAGGAGCGGGTAATCGGAACACGTCCTGGACAAGAGCGTGCCCTCTAGCGAATAGAATCGAGGAAGAAGTAGATTTGGTAGGGAGTTGAGTGATCAAAACATCGGGCGTCCGTTCTCGGAAAGGCTGTTGAAGCATACGGGGAGCCAAGAAGCTGCGAAGATGCGAAGATTGCGGTCAAACGCAAAGCAAGTCGGAAGTCGCGACCAGAACGAACAGATTGCCAAATCGCGCCCTCCGCCTTTAAAGACTCAAGCCTACAGTTAACGTTTCCAAAGAGAATAGATGGCAAAACGAACAAAAACAGCAAGGCGAGTCAAAACGAATGAACAGAATATACAAGTTACATGATAGCATGCATGATCATTACATTTTATCAAACACCTTTGTACCAAACAAGCTTTCAGCAGCAGTCTCTCTGAAGCGACGTTGGTCTTCCAGATCATCATGTTCGGGACCTTGAGTGGCTGAGAGCAGAGCGGTCTTCTCGTCCGCGGTTCTCGGGTTATTTGTCAACTCGCCAAACCAGTTCTTACCACCGTCGGCGGCCTTTGTCCTTGCCATCTCCTTCTCTTCGCATGCGTAGCGAGGGTGGTTGGCAGGCAAGAGGTAGCGACGGTGCCATGCGCCGAGGAAGACACCATCAGGGTCAGCTTCGTCGCGAACGCGAAGGAAAGAGGTAAGATTATCGCCGAACATGTTCTGCATATCATCGTTGGTGACGGTGGAGAAGTTCTTTGCCCAGTGGGGCTTTGCGCCGAGCTCTTTCATCAAGTATTCAAAAGCCTCGTAGTAGCGTTCATGGCAAGGAGGATCCTTCAGGAAGGGGCGGTATAGGGTTGCGTTGAGATACAGAGTAGGTCCATTTGCGTTGGTGTTGTCCATCCAAGGTCTGGGCTGAACACGGGAGGTGTCGGAAACACGAACTTCGACAGGCGCGTGGACATAAAGACCCTTGTTACTGAAGGGGATACCGGAACCTTCCTCGCCGTTGATCCATGCGGAAAGACGAGTGATGGCTTCAGGACCCTTCTCGAGAGGAAGTGCCCACTCATTGACGAATTGCGAGTACAGACAGTTCATGAGCAGACCAGTGCGTTGAGGCTCGATACCGCTGGTAACGGCATGGTCAGAGAAGCCATACTGCATACCGAAGACGAACCACTCAATGGCAGGAAGCATACTAGGGACGTAATTCGAGACCCAAAGCAGAATCTGGTAGGTGTGGAAACCGACAGAGCCACCGTACCAGCTTGAAACAGGAGGTCTCTCGGGCTTGTCTGTCTTGGAAGCAGACCAAACGATTGCTCTCTTCATGTACGGCAGCCACCAGACACGGGTGAACTCCTTGTTTGTCCACAGATCTTTATCCCAGCGCGAAAGCACCCAGTCAAGGGGTTTCAGTGTTTGTTCCCATTCGATATTCGTTGCATCCGTCATCTCGAACTCGACTTCGGTGATGATTCCAAGAGCTCCCAGCGAAGTCAGGGCGGCGCGGAACAGATCCTGGTTCTCATCGGCCGAGCAGTATGCGATGCTGCCGTCCGAAAGGGCGACGCGAATAGACTTGACTGAGTCGGACATGAGGCCGTGCTTGAGGGTGCTGCCGTGAGTGCCAGTAGAGATGGCGCCGACGATGGATTGATCGTGAATACTTCCGAGGTTGGGCATGGTGAGGCCATGCTTGCTGGCGGCCAGGTTCAGGTCGCGTAGACGGATGCCACCCTGGACTGTGAGGCGCTTGCTTTCGCGGTCGACATTCAGTACGCGGTTGTACTTGTCGAGGTTGACCATCCATGATGATGTGCAGGTGATATCGCTGGGCGAGTGACCACAGCCAACGACGACAATGCGCCTCCTGCTTCGTCGTGCGAGCTTGATGATCTTCTGGATTTCCTCAGTCGTCTCTGGCTGCATGTACAGCTCCGGTCGCGAATGGAATGTGCGCGCCCATGTTGAGTGTACGTGCTGCGAATTGACGGGGAAGGCGACCTCGGGGTCGACTTCCCTTATATCTGCTTGTAGTCTTTCGTCCATCGTGATGGTAGAGTGAAGAGAGTCAAGAGACAGGCTCGATGGCAGCTAGAAAGTCGAGACTCGTGAGATCATGCGATGGACGATCGATCGTCGTTCCTGCATTGGAAACTTTCGCCTAGACTTGCTCAAATCTGTTAGAGCTGCAATGTTGAGAACATGACTTATTGAGAAGCACGAATTATGCAATTCACAATTTCAATCCGTCAAACAGTGAGAGAGAACAAAATAATCGTTGAATTTTGGCAACAAACAGCCTGAACATTAAATAGCATCTAGAAACCTGACTCCTTGCCCTTCTCGGAATAATCAAGGTCATTGTTATTCGTCCTTACGACTTCAGGCGAAGGCGACGCTGTAAGCACATGCTCGTCTACAATATCCACCTTGGGTCCAGTGTAGTTCTTTCTGCCGTCGAAGATCCATGTCAATAATGAGATCAGCAACCAGATACCGAATGCGACTACACAGTAGTTCATGTTGTTCGAGTTGACAGGTAGCTCTGGGGGGAACAAGAAGAGAACAGAGGTAATGATGACATAAGCGAGACCAAGCAGGTTTGCGAACCAGGCGAACCAGGAGGGCAGGATGAATGCGCGGTCTGCTGGTAGTCCTTTACGCCCCTGCAAGACGTTCAGAGCAATTGGGATACCATACGTAATGCTCAAGGCTACGACTGAAGCACTGGTAATGGCGTTGAAAGCGCTCGAGGATCCGAGGAAGACACATCCAAAAATGATGACAAGAGCCAAAGTAAGGGCAAGCGCATTCACAGGTACATCAAGACCCTTGTGGACCTTGCTGAAGAACTTTGACGCAGGAAGACCTCTGTCTCTTGCGAAAGCCCACGCCATACGACTGCTAGTAGTCATAATGGCGATTGTCGCAAAGACTGTGCAGACCAGGGGGAACATGAGGAGGCAGATGGCTCCGGCGCGCGAGCTTGTGGCGTTGTACAAGATTTGGAGAAGAGGTCCAGCAGGTGAGGCAATGACATCGTCGATGTTGCCAGCGACGAAGAGAAGGCACATCAAGAAAATGAAACCGGTGAAAGTACCAATGGCAACGCAGGTGATCATGACAAAGGGTCCTGTCTTTCTCGGGTTTGGAATCTCTTCAATCATGTGTGCGACAGCATCGTAGCCGGTAAGTCCGAAGCCACCCTGGAGCAAGCCCAACAACCAAGCAACACCGTCAGGCCAGCCAGTCTCATTGATGAATTCACCAAAGACGAATTCAGCAGAGCTGTAGTTGGGAGAAGCGCAGGCCAGAATAGTGATAGACACCACGACGAATCCAGTGATTGACCAAATAATGGCACCTCTGTCGATGTGAGGAATGATTCTGTTGGCGAAAGCGTTCAAGCAGAATGCAAAAACGTTGTACCCAATGTAAATCAAGAATTGATGCCAGCTCTTAGGGTCGTACGAAGGGCTCATCAACGAGATGATGCCCAATATAAGTTGCGACCCGAGCAAGCCGCCAGTGGCAGTCAAGGCCATCCATCCACCGACCTGGTAAATCTATGTGTCAGCACAATATCATAGGCTGTGGGGGTGGCTGTCCGGGGTATGGAGTAACTACTCACATTGATCCATCCGGTAATCCACGAGATCATGCGACTGTTAGGACAGAGCATAGCAGCCCAGTGGTACTGACCACCTGCCGATGGGTACGCACTGAGGAACTCTGCCAGACTTGCTGCAAGACATAGGTTGCAGATGCCTGCTGTGATCAATCCCCAGAGAACGGATGTCGGTCCACCGCTAGGCAAGGCCAGTGATAGCGAGGTAGCCAATGCTGTCCATGAGTTTAAGATGGCGAATGCTAAGCCGAGCATAGCCAGCGGGGAAAAGGTCCGTTTTAATTCCTGGGTATGACCCAAAGCCGCGAGTTGACGGGCATCGTCCGAGATGCCGCCGCCAGTCATGGTGATGGAGATTGTTGTTGCTGTTTATCCTTTGTGTTTCTCCAGCTCTTTTGGCTCCAACAACGCGAGAATCTCGAACCGGGCGAAAAGTATGAAAATGCGAGTATCCAGAACACAAAGCAGAGGGAGACGAGGATCTCTTAAGAACCAAAGGTTGATATCTTACCCCTCAAGATGACCAAAAGATAGTCTCTTCGCCGGACGGTTGCCCCAGAAGTAATTGATTTTTGTTACACACGAAAACTGATGTCATGGGCCACCCGAAGATCATTGCGCGTGCCGATATGCGGAGGAGCACGCGTAACCCGCATCCTTCGCAACGTCTTGACAAAGAAGATTGTGTACATGTTGGTGATACCGCCGACGGTTGTCGGTGTTGAGCTGCCCTCTGATTCGAAAAAGTACAAGTCGACGAGACTGTTGAGTTGACAATGAGATAGCGATTGTCTGCCTATCTTTTCCGGCCAAGCAAAATCTACAAGCATGCCAAGCTGTATGGCTTTCTTAAGCTTGTTGGACAAGCATTGTGGTACGGAAGCGTTGCGAGGTGGCGCTCATGGGCGCGAAGCATGCTCGAAAGCTCGAAATTCGAGACCGCGACGGGCCACCGGCAACGCGAGTGGTCAGCAGCTGATATAAAGAGACCCGCATATCTGTTGTTCCCGCCGACTTCCCTTCTTCAACGACACGCCAACGACCATGTATTCAAGAAGCCTCAAGGAGCTGCACAACCCAGGAAGGCAAGTCTGAGTCGACATATGTACAAGCCGCTTGCTCGCTATCGTGCACCTGCTCTTCGATAGTGGCATTCCATGGCCCAACACCACGTCGCTGTAGTGCTTTTCTGCCTCTCTCCGCAGTGTTTGTTTTTGGTTTCTTCTTATCATCATCACTGTTATGCTCCATTTTCCTCTTACTATTTCTGGTGCTTCCTTCCGAGAGTTGTGACTTGTGTAGTCCCAGGATGTCAACCATACCAGATCGTATATTTCAGTCACTCTCCGAGTCTTTTCCCACCAAAGGCGAGAGGTTGCGGCGCTGTCTTGCCTCTCCTTCATGGGACGTCGCGGCAGCGGGTCGAGGTTGCAACGAAGGCTCGGGTTGAGACGAAGCTTCGGGAGCAGGCAGGTCGAAGTCGTATTTTAACTCGGGAAGAGGGTCGCAACCATCAGAACAAGCTTGTCGTCGTTCTCGTCATTGTTAACGTTTTGACTGCCCTCGTCCTCATCATCGCCGTCCTCATCATCGCCGTCATCCATGCTGGGCTGTAGACACTCTGCATATCTGTCTTGGAAAGTCACCGCGAAGTCTACCTGCTGCTCGTTGTGGCGCAAGTGATGGGCTACGATCAACTCTTCTGTGGTAGGCTTGCGCCAGTGCTTTTGCTTGAAGGCGTGGTGCTGGAACTTGTAGTCGAGCTGCAGGTCGTTGTGGTCTTTGCTTGCCTGCACGAGGCACTTCTTAGCTAGGTTGAGAAGGGTCTGCTGTGCGTCGAGCTCTGCTTGAGTCGGTGGGACCTTGCCGGAATAGGAACCTCCAGGACGGACGGTGAAGAGGTTTTCGTAGAGTTCAACAGCTTGCTGAGCGTGCCAACTGTATGACCGTGGTCAGCATATTAAAACAAATAGATATTTGGGGGCATGGACTTACAGGAAGTTGTCCTCGCCGAGTGAGAGGATGCGGTGGCAACCGGCCTTGTGGTAATCACCAAGATCAGGATAGTCCAGTAAGAGGTGGCAGAGGCGTTCGCTCTCATCGAATTCATCGCGATCGAAATGATCATTAGCTCTCTCAAACAGTCCGTCGAATATCCTTCCACGAGCGCTGAGCTCGCAAGTTGTTGGAGCTATGTTGACGCAGTTGAGGTGTTGATACGTCCTCCCTGTTGTGTGATGGAAAGCTGACACTTCCAGCCATCTCCTGCGGCCACGCTGGGGGTCGTCTGGCCTGCAAAAATGCACAATGTTTTTCGACAGTAGCGCTAGGTCCAAGGAGAGGGCTTCAAATAGTCGCTCTCTGTGGACAGTGTATCTTCCTTGAAAATCATTGTGCATTTTGATGGGTGGAACAATGCGCATCGCCACCCCCTGAGAGTCGAAGTGACAAAGTTTAGCACATAGGAAGGATGGAATGTACTGGATCCAAGATTCGACATCGCACCCATACACCGATGACCAAGGCGTGTAACCTCGACATTCACTCAAAAGGTTCCTACAGAAAACAGCAAGGTCAACGCAATCCCAGCCAATGCCTCCAGGATGAAATCAAGGACAACGAATCCAATGCTGTTGTGCTCAGCCATAAGCCTCTGCAAACATACGAAGCCGCGCAAGCCACTTCTCGTGGACTAAAGAGATGTCTCGAAAGACCAATCGTGCCAGGCAATGCCATCACCAGTATTGGACTGACTGTAAGGATGAACGTCAGCTCTAGATGCAGAAACAGGTTTACCCCAGAGAAAGATTGGTGTTGTTCGAGAAGGTCATTGATTCATGAAACTATGTAATAGGATCTGTCGTGCTTTTGATCATCCTCGCATTTAGCAGACGGCGTGGGTCTTGCCAGTCTTGCCTTGGAGCGAGTGCTTCTCGTCTGTGAACTGCTGGTTCATCTTCTTATGACGACCGGTGTTGGTGCCGTGCTGCTTGATGTGCTCTTTGTGCTCCTTGACCTTCTGCTCATCCATCTTGCCAAGGGTCTCCATGGCAAGCTTGATGTCGGCAATCAATGCCTCGCATCTGCTGCGTGAGAAGTCCTCGCGAACAACAACACGCATCATCTTGAGGCCTTCCGAGTGAGGAGCCATGGTGTAAGCAGGAACGACCCAACCACGCTGTCTGAGTTGGTGGGCAATAGCAAACTCATCGAACAAGTGGCCATCATCGGGGTTAAGACGGAATGCAACCAGAGGAAGACCCTCACCACGAGTTTTGGACATGAGCAAGAAGCCCATCTTCTGGACGGAGGCAGCCAGGTAGTCGGCGGTCTTTGTCAAGTTGAACATGATGGCGCGGTAGCCCGACTTGCCGAGACGGATCAGCTGGTAGTACTGGCCCAAGACCTGGGAAGCGCCGCGGGAGAAGTTCAGGGTCAGAGAAGCCTGGTCAGCACCCAGGTAGTTGATGTTGAAGATCAATTCTGTGGGAAGGAACTTGGGGTCACGCCAGATGCACCAGCCGACACCGGGGTAGACGAGACCATATTTGTGGCCAGAAACGTTGATTGAGACGACCTTCTCAAGACGGAAGTCCCAAATGAGGTCTGGCTTGACGAACGGTGCAACGAAACCACCGGATGCGGCGTCAACTGTGAATGATCAGTACTAAGTTAGACTTCAGAATTGGAGGAGGCTTACCGTGAATGGGAATGTCAAGATTACGCTCAACTAGCAGGTCGTTGATGGCCTTGGTGTCTTCATACTCGCCGGTGTAGGTGGTACCAAGAATAGAGCAGATACCGATTGTGTTCTCATCAATGAGGTCGACAGCCTCCTTTGGATCGATGACATAGCGGTCCTTGGTACAATAGACGTATTTCTCTTCGACATCAAAGTAGCGAGCTGCCTTCTCCCAGCAAACCTGAACAGCCGAGTTCATGATGATGTTGGGACGAGAATAGTCCTTGCCCTCTGCCTTGCGCTTGTTGACCCAAGTCTTCTTCATAGCCAGAGTTGCGAGCATGATGGCCTCAGATGAGCCGACAGTCGATGTGCCCATGGCGTTGGTATTATCGTCGTGGGTGGGAATATTGAAGAGACGGGCAATCATGTTGACACAGCGGTTCTGTATGTCGGCAGACACGGGGTACTTTTCAAGCTAGTTAGTTCCATAGTTCACAGAGAATAAAGCAGTCTGTTACTCCTTACCTCCTCGTAGTCGATAAAGTTTTTGGAAAAGGCATCCGTCATGAGCTTCTCCACCTCGGGCTCCATGTATGTAGTGACGAATGATGCAAGGCTATACTCTTGTTAGTACGCAGTAGCAGTAGCAGAGGTTGCTTGATATACAACGCACTTGAGGGTAGGGTTGCCGTCCAGGGTCAGGTCATCCTTAATCATACGATAAGCCGTCGCGGCGGGCATTTCGCCAGACGGCATCTCATGACGCGGAAGGTCCTCTGCTGCAAATCTGCTGCCATAGATGCTGGTCTCGAAATCACCAGACTGAGCACCTTGTGGGCCGAGCTGGGATTCATCGATGCCTCCAGCATTGCCCTTCAGGACCTCGGAATCGTTTGTGACTTGACCTAAATGAACCATGTTGCCTGACGTGTTATGGAGTAGGAGGTGAAGAATGGGAAAAGGAGGCTTCAGCAAAGGGAGGAGGATCTGCGGGATATAAACAAGAGGAAACAGAGAGCGGCACAGATCGGCTGCTTTCACGAGCTTCCCGTCAATCGTCACCACGAGCTCAACACCAAGCTAAGCTTCTGCCAAGATGAGCTTGATTGTGACGTACACAGCGGGGTAGCTCTTCTTACCGCCTTGCACTTATTCTATATTCCCTGTTTGCTCCCGAGTTGCATCTGACAAGAGCCAGTTAAGCTGCTCCTTCCAACCTTGTGGCTTTGATAGCGGCCTCTGATAGCACTCATAGTGTGGGATGGGCGCATCCCTGTCGTTCGAGACACTGAAGCGCGGTCAAATTCAGCGAACGTCATCGGAACCTCCACATGAGTGATGCCGCGTTGCGACGCGTCTCGCCCATGCGCAAGTCCCAATTTAGAACCATTGATGATCCTCCACATGCAGGTCATGGATAAATGAAGAGCACGACCAGATGTCGACCTTTGACGGCATCGTGAGGGAGTTCCCTTCCATTCGAATTGACAATTTCACAAACTACCCAGACGAACCGCCACCGCTCGCGTGTTTCCTCAGCCATGTCCACAGTGACCACCTAAAAGGACTCGAATCGTTCAAATCGACATTTGTCTATTGCACTGCTCAAACTCGAGAGCTACTACTACGGCTTGAGAAATATTCTCATCGGATGAACTTCGCGAAAGGCATTCTAGAATCAAGAAAGCAAACATATCGTCGCCTGAAAAATCACATCAAACCCATCCCTTTGGAAACGCCGACCGAGATTGAGCTGGCTCCTGGCCAGTCCATCCGCGTCACTCTATTTGATGCCAACCACTGCTTGGGATCATGTATGTTTCTCATTGAAGGCAATGGAAAAGCCATCTTATATACAGGCGACCTTCGATCGGAGACATGGTGGGTGAACACTCTCATACGCAATCCGGTTCTTCTGCCATACAGGAAGGATACGCGAAGACTCGACAATATCTACCTTGACACCACTTTCACCTCCAGCGATACCCTGGAATTCGAGATGCCTACCAAGGCCGAAGGCTTGAGCGAGCTAATAGAAAAAGTCTCTCAATATCCTTCCGATACAGTATTCTACCTCAACACATGGACTTTTGGGTATGAAGAAGTTTGGATCGCTCTTGCCGCTGCTTTGAGGACTCGGGTGCACCTCGATGACTATCGTTGGCGGCTTTACTCTTCTCAAAGAGATCAACCGACTTGCTACGGGCCGCAAACTGCGCCTCTAGTAGGCTACAAACTTGGAAACCACGAGCATCCTGGATGTTTGACAAATTCGCTGGAAGGAGTCCGGATCCACAGTTGTGAAAGAGGAACTCGCTGTGAGGTTTTTCAGAATCGTAGGTTCATCTCAGCGCGTTATGAACACACCGATCTGACAAGTCCCATGCAGCACGCGTAGTATGGATTACGCCTATCATAGTTCGGCACAAAGGTCACGAGATCGCTGAGATAGGCGCTGGTGGAGGCCAAGGCGATCTCAACCAGACACATTCACTGGAGCTGTATGATCAGGGGACCGTCCAACAACTCCTGATGATATGCCGCAGGGTCCTTCAAGCTCAACCTGATCTCAGGGATCAAATGACGCAGTGGTTCTCAACTCTCATGAAGAGTGGTAAGGAATCCATTGACCTTGATCTTGAGATCCTACGCGATGAGGTCGAACACACGAGTCAAGACGGTAAGCCCGTAGACGAGTTCGACATGGGCAATCTGCCTATCGATAAATTGGTGCCGGCACTTACAAGATTGATCACTGGCAAGTCAGATCAGGAAGCCGAAGATCGTCGAGAGCAACAGCGGGAGATTGTGAGTATTGCAAAAACAATTAACACAAATTGTATACTAACAATGCCAGACATTTCCATTCTCTCGCCACTCATCCTATCTAGAGCTCCGCGAACTCGTTCAAGCTTTGAGGCCGAAGGATATATATCCCTGCACGGTTGATCCATCAACTTACACGTATGATGTCTCAATGGAGATGTTGTTCGGGGACGTTTGCTCTGCCAACATCTTCCACGCGGACAAAGAGATCCATGCGGAGTTGGGGATCAAAGAACCAGAAGCTGATGATGAAGAATCAGAACGGCGCACACCATCACCACAGAGGAGCAAGCCAACTTCCATACCGCCGCAACCCTCGGATCCAGCCCCCGAGCATGCTCGGATAGAGCAGACAATTGAGATGACAGGAATTAAAGCAATTCAGAGCCGCAGCTCATCAACAGTAAGATATGAAACGCCAGATAAAAGAGTCAAAAGATCGAGGTCAACACGCAGCACTCCGGGTAGTAACAAGAGTGAAAGGAACGCGCACATGGACACAATGTTCAATGCTGCATTGGGACGAAAGTGGGAGAAGGGTTATCTTACCAGCGTCAATGGCTATCACAATCAAGAGCCAGAGAAGGAGCTTTAGCCCCGACTATTGCTCCCATTCGGTCAGCAGACGCCACACGATATAATGCTTAATTCTTATGTTCTTGCTAAGCATTTGCGAGGACAACTGATTCGAAGTCCACATAGGGCTTTCTGAGCTAGAGTCGAAATTTCTGTGCAAATATGTCTCTCTCCTATGCCCACTGTTGTGCTATTGTGCTTGGCTTACAAGCCTTCCCGTGATTGATAACATTTGGTGAGAAGTGTGGTTGCCGGGAAGGAAGGCGCATGTTGCTGACAGCAGGAGCGGAGCCGAAGCCGAGCTGCATGTGATTGTTGCGCTCATCAACAAAGAAGGACGCGACCTAAAAGACAACAGACTCGATCGCATTCTCCGGTCCTTTCGTCTATCACCACAAAATGCCCGAAGCACTCGCGACGACGAAACGCAAGTTTCACAAACTACTCGACAGCCGCTTCGGATCTCCTTCGGCGCCAGCAGCAGCAGCAACTCCTCCTCGACCTGTATCGCAAGGCACAATCAGCGAACCGGCAACCAAGCGCATTCGATCTGGCGGTTCGACAACTTCCCTGGCAGCAAGTCTGCGCAATAAGCCTGTACCCGCGACATCAATAAACCCGGTCAGAGGAGAACCAAATTTTGCGCCTTGGTCGCATGACGCTTTCATCAAGCGTTTGCGCAGCTTCGGTCCCGTCACCAACTGGCATCCCAAGCCTGACGCTATCAATGAGGTGCAGTGGGCCAAACGCGGATGGTGGTGTGTCGACACGAATACAGTCGGTTGCAAAGGGGGATGTCAGCAGCGCGTCGCTGTCAAGGTTGAGCCCATTGTAAAGAGACGTCGCGTCCAGGCCGAGGGAGATGATCAAGAGCAGGAGGAAGAGGATGACGAAGATGATGAGGGTAATCAGGAAGAGTTGGAACGGGCATTGGTGGACAAATACAAGGAACTCATCATTGAGGGACACTCGGAGGACTGTCTGTGGAGAAAGGCAGGTTGCAAGGACGACATATACCGCTTGCCTATTGTCAAGTCGACCGTCTGGCAACCCGAACTACGCACACGCTATCAATCACTCCTACGACTCTCGCCCTTCCTAGAGAAGCTGACTTTGCAACCTGCGGAGCTCGATCCCTCACCAAATAAGATTCTTGCCAACCTTCCAACATCACTGCTTGACAAGCAAGAAGACAAGTCGAATGGGGAGGACACCAACGAAGAGTCTGAAATCACGGAAGAAACAAAGCACAAAGTGTTGAAGGTCGCTGTCTGCGGCTGGCACGGCTCGACGGAATCCAGCACACAACTTCTAGCCTGTGAAGCCTGCTTCCAACGCATCGGTCTCTGGATGTACCAGCCCGACTACAAGCCTCACAGATTTGGCGATGATGACGATGGAGACGAAGAAGAAGACCGCTCTCTCGACCTCATCCAACTGCATCGCGAGCACTGCCCTTGGCGCAATCCGATCATGCAAGCAGCGACCGGCAACTATGCTGGCAAATCCGCTCATGCCATTTTACTTGATGTGTTGGATCGCTATATCGATGAGCAGAGACGCAGATCCAGAGGCACAATCCAAGGGCCTGTGACGGCCGGTAGCGAGGTAGAGAGTGATGCAGGTGCGACTGATGACGGCCGGGAGAGTCTGACTCTAGAAAGCATGCCATCAATGCCTGAACTCACAAGAGCGGAGACGGAGAAGTACGACAAGGAGAGGATGTCGAAGCTGAGACGCCTGAGGACAGTCTTGGGGTTCAAGAAAAGAGCTCCTCCTACCGCTTGATCAATAGGACCGAGTACCAACGACACTTATGAATACATGGCTGTAGCGAAAGGCATTTTCTGAAGTTACAAAGATTTTCTTGCTACTGGTATCACCCTGTCTGTGATTTCTGCATCTAATAGACAGTGCACAATAGACATTAGACTTCTTTTGACACGTCACAATTGCTTCAAAGGTATGTCTGTGCATCTCAAGTACATAAGTGGGCGCGAGTATCTTGAACGAGTGCCGGGTGTTGATTCTACATTTTTGAAGCAGCTCAGTGAAGAATGCTCGAGACACGAGCTGCGGACTGCTGCATATTTAGCCACTCGGTTGCACGACATGTTCTTTGACATAGACGTGTAACATGTTCTATAATCCCTTCTTACTGCTAAAAAGATGTCAACCTTCGAACAAAACCACTATCAGTCATCGGGTGCTTCAAAGTTCAAAATGGTCGCTGTCGATGACAGCCGATATGGAGGATCGGCGTTAGACAATCGCTATCGCCGACAACGGCTCTCGCGGCGGCGCGCATGTGTCACCGCTACGTGGGGACTTTCGAGTTTCAATTATTTTCCGCAACCTCGAATATTTGTGACACTAGACATATTGTCTTCTGCATACGATCGCAGCAATGGCGGAACGACGAGATGATATCACGGTCATTCCACCGTCACCGATACACGATGAGCAGCAACCCCTGCTCGGAGGAGATGGCGCGCAACAGGATCATGGAACTATTGACAGAGATGCTGTTGGTGGACAAGAGGAGGGTGGAGAAGATGTTGTTGAAGAGTCCATGACTACAAAGGTGCTGGTTATCATGTTGTGTCTTTGGGTAGGCAGTTTCTGGGCTGCCATGGGTGAGTGCATTCTGGCGCGAGTCATTTGAACGGTATACTGATTTGGATGTTGTAGACTCTACGATTGTCGCTACTCTTGCCTCACCTATCAGCCGAAACTTCCACTCGTCAACACTGCTCTCATGGATTGCGACCGGATACCTCATTGCGAACGCCGCATTCCAACCTCTTTCGGGAAAGATGTCGGACATTTATGGAAGAAAGGCTGGAATCATATTCGCGAGCAGCTTCTTTGCTATTGGTACCTTGATCTGTGGGTTGGCTCAGAATGCTCCCATGATGATCTTCGGTCGTGTTGTTGCTGGTACTGGAGGAGGGTACGTTCAAACCTGGAGGTTGGGTATTACAAGGAGTCATGCTGATCATTCGCAGTTGTCTCAACACCATTTCCACCTTCATCGCCAGTGATTTGATCCCTCTTAGAAAGCGCGGACTCTGGCAGGGCTTTGCCAACTTGATCTACGGAACTGGTATGGGTCTGGGAGGTATCTTCGGTGGCCTCATGAACGACAATCTCTCCTGGCGTTGGGCTTTCTACATTCAAGTACCTTTTATCGTCATTGCTGGTCTGCTTGGCTGGTTCTTCATCGATATCCCCGTCAAGGAGGGTAATGCGAAGGAGCGTATTAAGAGAGTGGACTTCCTCGGTGCCATCACTTTGTGTACTGCTCTTGTTCTCCTGCTTCTTGGACTCAACAGCGGTGGTAATATCGTCCCTTGGAACCACCCCCTGGTCTACGTCAGTTTGCCTCTGTCTGGTGTTGCGCTTGCAGCATTTGTTTACATTGAAGACAGAGTCGCAAAGGAGCCTGTAATTCCTGTTCGTCTGCTCCTCCACCGCACCGTGGCTTCAGCATGTTTGACCAACTGGTTCCTCACCATGGCCGTCTATGCGCTTTTCTACTATGTCCCAATCTACTTCCAAATCGTTCAAGGACTTTCCGCAACAGCAGCTGGCACAAGACTAGTCCCTCAATCCATCGGCACAGCCTGTGGCTCTCTAGGTGCTGGTGTGATCATGCGTGCCACAGGACGCTACTGGTGGCTATCAACAGCCGCGCTGACAATGTATATCATCGCAGCCATCCTCATCGCAACAACCTTCAATGAAAACGTCATTGGCGTTCTACCCTTCGTCTGGCTCTTCTTCTCCGGTATGGCATATGGCGCCATGCTTACGGTCACCCTCCTTGCTCTCCTCTCAGCAGTCGGCCACGAGCATCAAGCCGTCATCACCTCTGCCTCCTACGCTTTCCGCTCAACCGGCTCTACCATCGGCATCACCATCGCCTCTGCAGTCTTCCAGAACAAACTCTCCCACGGCCTCTACGAGCGCTTCGGTCACCTTCCCGGCTCTGCAGACGTCATCTCCCGCATCCGCGATGATGTCGGCGATATCTCTTTCCTACCCCCTGGCTGGGAAGCAGGTGTCAGAGATACGTACATTGAGAGTTTGAGAGCCGTATGGGTTGTCATTGTGATTATGGCTGGTATTGGCGGTGTGGTCAGTTTATTCATGAAAGAGCATACTTTGCATAATAAATTGAATAGGAAGTGAGAAAAGCAGGAGGAGAGAAAAGTATTTACTGGTTGTCATACTACTGGCTTTGAGGATTTCGACAAAGCATATTGGCGTTTTGTGGTGGTGGTGATTAGAATAGATAGATCCTGCAAAGGCGAACTTGATACTACAACCTGGGGCTTCTACATAAAATTGATGATGTTTTCATGTTATGGGAGAGCGAGGGAAGAGTTACCGTGAAATGTGGCAAGGAAAACAGCAACCACCAGGAAGAAAGAAGCAATCTAGAGTTGACCGAAGGAAGGACCCGAAAGGCTTAACCATTATCAAAAGAACATAAATATAAAGACAGATAGGAGGTGACAACCCTTTACACTTGAACAAAAAGCAACGACGCCGACAGAAAAGAAACAACATTCGCAGCATATCAGACGAACTTTGCCCGGAAAGTTACCACGACCACGACCAAGACTCGCCCATTACAACACACCAAAGAACCAAAAAAGAAAAGAAAAGAATAAAAGCACCATGAGCAGGAATCGAACCCGCGACCTCCTCGGATCTAGACTGACACGGCGTTGAGTAACAACGAATGACCGCGCACGTGTTAAGACCAACGGGTGTGTTAAACCACTACACTACCACGGCTGAATACTTGTAAAGGGGTAAAGAATTTCTGGAATATAAAGGTTGAGAGCGGTACCAGTGGGAAGAGTTTGATTGGTTGGAAAGAGCGGTTGGTTGAGGGAACCTGAGGCTTGTTCGGGCTGTGAGTCTGACGAGGAAGTTGAAGTGCTGTGCGAGATGGGGAAGTCAAGCTTGGTGTTACAAACTGACGCGGACTGAACAAAGCAGACGACAAAGGATGAAGAATGCTAGAGAAGGAGCGATGCAGATGCTTCTCCATAGTCCATGGATTTGTCGGACGGATTGCTCAAACACATACCCTGCAGTCGAGAGCGCTACGAGAAGACATGAAGAGTTTCGGAATCATGGTGCATAGTGCTACCATCTTCCTGGAGCCCCAAGGATCGATACCATCCCATCCCTGCCACTCCCACTGGCACCGCCATTATTGCGGCTGTCCAACAAGCCAGTGAACACAAGACGAAGCATCTCTTGCAGTGTTGAAGACTCAAGGTCCTTGAACGGTCCATTCAGAACGAGTGTACACCGAGCTGACTCTCTCCTGCACCTGAGCAAGTCAATCTGATCATGTCGCCTAGTGGTAGGCCAGAGCGCCATACTGCATGCGTATCTTGTTCTTAGTGCTGTCGAATGACACACTTGGGACACCAGAAGCATGAATCTTCTCTCTAGATGCCATTCTCTGCACATAGGTGGGTTTTCCTCACCTGCGCCGCGAACAATTTGCTTGAGGGAAGCACATCCGGTGGAGGAACCATGTGCCGAGAGTCAAATAGAGAAGGCGCGTATCAATACAAGAAACAGCACAAGAGGATCGAAACCAAGAACAACAGAAGCAGGCTGCAGCCAATCCTCTCACACCCGCAAAAAACTGCAAAACAAACACCCTCCTAGAGAGGGTGGAAAGCCAATCCTCAAACGGATTTTCGTTTCAGCTCAAGTTGTGGAGTGTCAAGACTCTTGGTCAAATCGGGATCTATGATGCCGTGGATCGAACCGATAACCTGTGGGCAATTTCTCAGGGGGTCGCCAGACACGAGCTGACGAGGGTAACCGCTGGGCCACCCCGCCTGGCGATAAAGCGGGAGTGGTGTTGCTTGTGAAGGGAATTGGTAGCAGGGTATATAATGGTAGTGAAGGGATGTTGGTTGCACTCTGTGTTGCTGCCCCGAAAGTTTCCTTCGACTAGATGAAGACCTTCACATTGTGGTGTGTAGGCTTGACAGTAACATGTCTGATCACATCACGACGATACAGAGGATCAGACTCGTCTTGAGTGCATGGGTAGTGATTCCATCAGCGCTGCCGCCACGTCACAGATACTGTCATAGTAAACAGTGCAAGCTCCAGCAACTACTGGAGTCAATCTGCAGCTGTGCTAGAGGTAATCAGACAACGACAACATGCCGGCCGGCTTCTTTGATCACTTATCCCATCCATCTTGAAAGCTGTCTCTTTGTTCCATCTTTCACTACGACTGCAGCATCCTTTCATCATCAGCTCTCAACTCTTTGTCCTCAGATAAGTCCATTGTCTATTTCCAGTTCACTCACTCCATGTGACAAACCCTCGTCTATCAACTCACAGATATAAATGGACTCAGACCGTTCGTTCTCTTTGGACCAAACCACATCTCTCACCAACAAACGACAACACTAACACACAAGAAACACCCAACCACCCTAAGCACCACCCGCACACCAAAACAAAAATGTGCACCAACTCCACCAACTCCTCCGCTGCTGACACCTTCATTCTCAGTCGTCGTGTCAACACTATTCCTGCCTGTCGTATGTGCTATTTGCCTTTACGCTGGAACCCCTACTACAAGAGATGGTACTGCGCTTTCTGCGGCATTTTTGCTGACTACTAAAGTGTTGCAGTATCCAGACTTGATAAGGAATGCGGTGAAGGGGAAGAACAAGAATCGAAACAGATTGAGGTAGGTGTGTTGATGATGAAGAATTGTAAGATCAAAGAAGTCACTCATGGGCGTTCTGGGTGAATGCTTTTTCTTCGGTTATTGAGATGTCGTTTTTTGTTATAAAGCAATACAATTTTTTTATTCTTTCGATGAATGTTAATCCCAACTGTGATTCTATGTACACGTACGTGATGACGAGAAACATTTTGACCTGGAGCTTTTCCATTCATTCAGCAGACCACAGAACAGTTTGATTTGCCGCTTCCAACTTCATCTTCTGCGAGCGATACTCCGGTGGTCAACACGCCAGTCAAAGAGCTCGGAGAGGTATCCTCCTTGCATCACTCGAGGCTCTTTTGATACAAGGTCAATCCAAACGCTACACGACGTGCCCTCACAGGTAGCGAAAGTTTCGACGTCTACACCACTGTAGTGCTTACTTGTTGATATCCAGTTTAGCGTGGCTCATATCTTCTCGGGTTTGAGGAAGATAAAGGGAGAGAACGCTATAATCGTCCCATCTAAATCCTGCTCTTACATCTCTGTAGCATCAGCAATGCTTTGTTCGGCACCGGGGCTCGAACTAAGGCTCGATATGACTCTCGTTTCGATGTTGATTCCGAGGGTCAATTCGAGGCACGACTTCGAGCACGATTTAAGGGTAAGTTCGAGGGTCGAGTTCAGAGGCAAATTCAGAGGCGAACTCGGAGGCGATTTTAGAGGCGAAACGAGAGGCGAGTTCAGAGGCGAAACATTATGCCTCGAAAGTCGTGCGTGTACTCTAGTAGTGAAACCATATACCTAATGTCATCCGATTGTAAAACTCAATCATTTTCAGTCACCTTCACAGTTTACAAATGCGACTATGAATGATGGAATGAATGGTTTTTCATAAACGTAACGTATGAACCTATATCCGTGAATCCACAAGTCATCTTGTCCAAATTCTGGACGCAAAGTAGGACGCATTGGAGAGGGCGATCTCGCGGTTCCAGCAGCCATAACCATGTCTATCGAGGCGCGATGACCATGTCATAGGCGTAACCCAGGGATAGTACTTCTAGCTGAAAGCCCTGTGCAATTTGGGAAGTGCTCTTTTGTTCACCCAACTCTTGTCACCGAGCATGACGGCGACTTCGCGCTCCTAGCCGCAAAATCCATGTCTGACCGAAAGCCTCGTTGATCCTCCTCTGGGCGGAAGCCAGGGTAATCGCCTCTAGCTGAAAGCCCTGTCCAATTTGGCGAGTGCTTCCTTCTTTTCCTTGTCCAAGAGTATCTTGTCGCCGAGCGGCAGATCGCGCAGTGCGGTCTGCATGAGCTCTGCGGCCTTTTCCGCAGTCATTTTGACCTGTGTTCTGGGCCTTTGAGGTCCTGAAGACGGCTGTCCCAGGTCTTTTCTTCTAAGCCCGACCTGGCCCTTGGTGTCCATAAATGTCTCGTAGCCATTGGTATCAAGCACCTCCTGCGGCACGGGGGGTACTTGGAAAGGGATCAACTGATCAGGATGCGTGAGCTTGCCGTGCGGGATCTCAGCGTATGTGGGCATACGTGTCTCGCCCGCTGCTGCCATACCGGCCATGTTCTTGATCACTGCCTGGTTGTCCTCGTTGTTCTCGACAGCAAAGCGAAGGCACATGATGGCGTGTTCGCGGATGTAAGGATTGTGCTCGTCGTGGCGGCAGCAGCCTACGAGCGCTTCCAAGCCCCCATACTCGCGGACCTGATCCTGGACTTTGCGGTTCTTCCAGATCAAAGAAGAGAGCACAAGTACAGTCAACTTCTTGAGGTTGCGCCATTCAAAGTCGGACGGCTCGTCTTGTGGATCCTCTGGGTATGCCAAAGGGGTCTCGGCCTCGAAAATAGTGGTGTTGGGAGGCTGAGTGTTGGTGTCCGTCGGCGGAATGGGTAGTGGCGGAAGCGTGTTAGCCAAGTCCGGAGACAGGTCAAATGGTCTTTCCACGCTTATAGGTAAGGGCTTGAGGCTCGGCGGTGGTCCAGGCGGTTGGTGTTGTTGACTAGCTTGAGCATAGGGTGGTTGATACTGTTGAGGATTGATAGAGCCAGGGGTCGGCTGCGGGTAGTTGCCCATCGGAGGCCCACTCGGTGGGAGGTTTCCAGGCCCATGAGGGTTTTGTTGATGAGCCGGACGTCTGGGACCAGGCACGTGCGATGTGCCTCCAGGACCAAGTTTAGGGATCGCAGCTTCCAATTCCTTGAGTAGCGTCACTAGCTCGCTCGCGACTTCCCACTGTGCCATGACATCCTTCCAAATGCTCTCTTCGGTGAGCACGGCGAAGAACTCCAGATATTGATAAACACCTTCGTACATGCGCTCCATATCCCACAGATTGAGCGGGAAGTCTTCAGGCGATGCGAGATTCTGGTGGATCTTGCCTTGCAGGAAGATAAGAGCACAGGTCTGCGGGATAATATGCTGACGGAACTCAGTGAAAATGAAGTTAACAATGTGAACATCAACTCTCAGCGGATATGACTCAATAGGCTGAGGATTGGTCTTGGACGCCTCTGCCCTGGATCTGAAAATGTTTGTGAGTAACTTCATGATGACTGCTTGAGCCGGTGAGATGATATCCTTTGATCTGGACTTGTCCCTGAAAGCATGATATGCGTATGGCATCAAGCCATTTACCAGGATTGCCTCCATGATTTTGACCATGAACTTAAAGTAGAGCTCTTCTTCTCGCAGGTCCCAAGCAGCAACAAATATCAAGAGTTCCCTCAACAGATTTTTGCCATTATCCTGGGCCAGAAGTAGATGACACCTGACTGTATGCATGTTGACGATAGCGTTTGTCTCTTCCGTCGATGTGCCGGCTTGTGTTGACTTTGCTGGTGGAACAATGCCAGACATGACAATCATCGGCAGAACTTCTATCTCTGACGGACCCAGAATCAGAGGAACATCGGTCAAAAGCCCACGCCCGTCTTCGCTAGAGCCAGGATACTCGTCCTCGTCTTCGCTTTCCTCTTCCTCGCTCTCTTCGTCTAGACCTTCATCACCCTCATCAGTTCGATTGTCGTATACCGGAGAGGCTGGAGAAGCGATCGGCGAAGCTGGGCTGGCGATTTGAGCTTGTTGAGGTGGGACAGGATAGCTTTCTAGTCGTTTCATGAGTTCTGATTTGCCACTTTCCAAGATCTTCGCTCCTGCCGAAGCAGTGAACATCATCTTGTAGTCGTCTTCCGCCACAGGTCTGGGTCCGGTAGATGTCTTTTCATCAGGGAATGCAATGGCTCCATCTGAGTTGTAGACCGGGGGTTCTAGTGGTGTGACTTTGGTACCTTCGGGCCTCATGCGATCACCGAGCTGCTCTTCAATGTGTGCGATACGTGCAGCGACCTGATTAGCATGTGCTCTATCCGACTGTGCCTTTTCGGCCTGATTGAGACGTCGAGCATCCTGGTAAGCGGCCAGATCCTTTTCGTACTGTTGAGCCAGGGCATCATATTGCTTGTTGAATGTCGTCTTCTCCTTGTCTGACAGAATGCTCCATCTAGCGGCCAATGCCTTTGCGACGCTGTCCGGTGTGGCGGTGGGGCCAAGGGCTTCCCTGGTTTCTGCTTGGTGTTGTCTGACGAACAAAACGTAGCCAGACACGGGTCGTGATGGCGGCTTCATCTGATCCCTGTTGGCGAGCAATCGCTTCGCGTTCAAGGCATCTTGAGCAGCGTCATAAGTGGCCTTGCTAGTCTCACCGAGCGCAACCAGAATGTCGCCGGTTGAAACAGGTGGCTTGGGCATCTCACCCAGCGCAGATTGACCAGGGGTATCGTCGCCATCCTCAGCCAGAATGCCTTCGGTCGAGTTGTCGAACAGCGCAACCCACAGCATCAGCTTCCTTCTCTCATTCCTTGCGACCAAGTTGTTCAAGAATTGAAGCGAAGTTATGAGAAGCTTCTTGTATGCATTCACGATCCATTGCCACTTTTCCTCGTCGCCTGTGCCAGCATCGCCGTCAAACCCTCTTGCCGTAACTCTAACGCAGCAATTAATAAGCCTGAAGATTTCCTGGTCGAAGGTGCATTCAGCAGCCAAATCCTGAGCCTTTTCTCCAATCGTCAAAGTGTTTCGTAGTATGGATACCAAATCGTTCAATCTTTCCAGATCTTTCCATAATCCAGGGTAGTTTTGAGCGATCAGAGCACCCGAGGTACTTTCGTAATCGACGGCGGATGGGTCCCAGACGGCGAAAGAACGGCGTTCAAGCGAAGGAATGGCGGCGCGGAATAAGGTGACCATATCTTTCCAGACATTGTCATCGGTACCGAGACCTTCTCTACAAAGAGGCAAGCGCGTTAGTTGACAGCGATTGGAAGATGAAGCGTGGGTATGACTAACCTGACTTCGGGTTGCTGCGCTGAAGCCTTGAGTATGTTCTTACATACTGTTCGGTCCAGTCTCTCCAGCATGGATTCCTTCATATACGTCGGACTCTTAAAGTGCATCGTGTATGCCGGCAGTCCCAGGCGCATCAAAGTGCTGTATGCATGGCCCGTCACACTATCCTCGTAGGACGTCATCTTGTCGGCGCGCAACCCCTCCAGGCAGATAGTAATATGGTCGTGATTATGCGCTCGTATCCAAAGAATAGATCGTGATCTCCAATTGTACAGATGGGTGAAGTGCGAAACACCTTGAAGGTTTCAAAGGCAACTTTCAAGCTTGGCCGATACGCCGCAAGTCAGCAGCGTTTCCCGACGTTTCTCCAGGACGGTGAGATTGCTTCTTGACTTTTCCGAATCACTGCGACGTCTTATGTTTTACCACCACACACAAACATGCTCAATCAATTCATGTTATACTTCAGGAAACACCTCAACAGGGTGCATTGATGTCGTGAATTCATTGTCTAACTTTGCCCAGCACTTCTATTGCTCCATTCACGCATGCCCTTGAGCCCGTCTAGCAGCACTCCACTCTGCCTCCGTTTTGTTTGGTCCAGCCTGGAGATTTGTGACAGATGCATTCTCCCGCACACCGGCATGGAAGAGAGCATCTCTCGGCGACGCAATTGGTGTCAAGATATCCGATACTCCATCATCGAATGCCGAAGCTTCGACTTTCGCAGCCTCGATATCCTTCTCGCGTGCGTCTTTCTGATCGTTCTTGTGCTTGAGCCAGCGCAACATCAAGACCAGAATTACGATGAATGACACGAGTCCGATGATGACGCCAATTGGGATTGCGTTTTCGTATGCCATGGCGCGATTGAAAGCTTCGAGCGTGAAGATTACTTCTGCCTGGTCTTGTTCGTATCGATGTAGGTTCTCAAACTCGTCCAAATAGTACATATACGATGGATTCCTTCCTACAGAAAGTCAGAAACATGAAACAATTATGTATTGCGATTGGAGAAAAATACCTTGTGATTCAGACGGTGTTTATCAGGCAATAATATGGAGAACAGTGAGCACGCTGAATTTGTGACAATGGCGAAAAACTCTGGGTAGTACATCTTCTTTATGTAGCGTGAGAAAAGGTAGATCATGGCTGAGCAAAAGGTGGTGCAGCAGGTGCAGGAAGCCTGAAACCCTCTATTCAGGCCCGCAATTTGCGCTGATTCGAAACCCTTGTAAGTCTTGTCGAATGGTGTTGAGAGGTGCTTGGGTGGGCGGGACGATCAGAATATTACATCTCCCCACTGTTTGTTGATGGGCTGACGAGTCAAATGTACATCACTAATAACTCTGTCATGCTGCTTTCCGGTAATGTCGACCTAGGGTTGTTGATGTGCTGGAATATTTGGACGTGGCAATCGTGATGCCCTTGATGCCTAAGACCTGTTGAAGTTGTCTGAAGCGTGTCACAGCTGTCAAACTTCCATGCACACGAGTCTCGTCTAATAGATCTACCTTGCATCGAAATACGTATCTTGGCACAGGTGGTTGATCGTAAGGGTTGAAAAGTTCACGAGCAGTGAGTGTTACAGAGAGGGTATCCAAGAGGTGCAATGCTTCGGAACTGCTAGAAGGACACTCACCCAATGGTCTCAACACAAACACCCAAAGATTACGATGGAGCCTCTTCTCAACTATTAAACTTGATCAATCAGTCGGAGAAAAGACGGAGTTTGGTGAGTATGATATGAGTTTAGAAAAGCGATAGACTGATGGGTATGCTTGAGCGAAATTGAATGTAACAAGAAAATAGAGCGAGCTCAAGCAGATGCCTCCTAAAGACCCTCGGATCAAGATGCTGAATGTGAAAAAGCAGTGTAGAGAGTAGAGATGCAGCTGCAAATAAAGAAACAGAGAAAAGAAAAAGCCATGTAAATGTTCCAAATATCAGCTCGTCAGGTCGTAAACTCATGATGGGGTCATGGTGGTTGCTCTAGCAAACGCAATACTGCAAAGCTATGTGGCGATGATAGCCGTGGGTATAGTGATGACGGCAAAATTGGCGACTCGAGTCGTTGAGCGGGAAGTCGAATGGCCACCTCTAAGAGAGGAGCGGTTCGGTGTCGTAAGTTGTCTGAGGCAAAAGGACTGAAGGCTTGTCATCTTGATCGAAGTCGTCTGCCAGCTGGTTACAGATCGCCTGCTGCTTGTACCAAAGTTTGCAAGCAAAGGCTGCTGCGATCGCGAATCCGACGAATCCCAAGATACTGAGCGTAGGGGCAGTGGAGATACGAGGGGTTGCGAAGAAGAGGTATGTGAGTGCTGTAGTTTGTCAGAGAAATATCGCTATGTCAGGTTCGAAGATCTTACCAATCGAGATGCCGAGCGAAGAAACAACTGAGCCTCTTGCGCGGAATGGACCCCACGTGTCAAGAAGAGCGAAGGCAAAACACCAGAAAAGAGAGAGGAGCACAATCGCAAGGATGCCGATAGGTAAGCCTCCGATCGATGCTGCGAGGACTTGTTGAATGACCTTGGTAGGCAAGTTCTGGATGTCGTTCTGAAACTCGGAAACTGTTCTTGCAGCGTCTGTCACGTTCTCGGTAACGGTGAAGATGGCCTCAAGCAAAACTTCAGTCTGGTAATGGAGTGCTCGTGCAGTCTCGGCGTTACGAGCCAGCGTGTAAGCAAGGTCCTTGATCATTGTCAGTGGTTGTAGAAAGGAATGATGGACAATCAAGACTTACTTGGTTCTGCTGATCCAAAGCCATGGAGGTTGCCAGCGAGTTGTCGTGCGATCTATCAATCTGCATGGCAACATCGAGGACTTGGTTGAGATGTTTTGTCACATCAGCGTGCGCGGTTTGAGCCTTAAGACGGTGGTCTTCGAGATCGGATGTGATGCCAGAAGAAGCCTGCTCCAAGTCAGTGTCAGATACGAGATCCTCAATCACCATGTCTTACCTGGCGGACTCTCTCCACGTCCCTGCCGAGGTCCTGGATGCTGTTTCCAAGATCGTGCACGCCGGCTTGAAATTGAGCCCATTGGTCCATGATACGGTTCTGAATCTCACGATCTGTGTTCAAGGCGAGATGGAAAGATTGCATGCCCTTACCCATCTCCGTCCATTGCCTCTGGAAAGTGTGGTGTTCTTCGGTAGTGTCGGACATGACACTGGACGCTTCCAGAATGGCCTCAAACATGAGTCTCATCTTCTCCATCATGTCGTCTGTGTGCAGGAGTAAGTACACGCGACCTGGAAAAGAAGTACAGTCAGACTTACCCTTGTCCAGCTCGGATCTCATAGAGTGGCATAGGAGCACTGCGTTTTGTCGGGCATTAGAATAGCTGGTCCACCACACGGGGTTGGACGAGAGCGAAGCCGAGCATTGATCAAGATCTCCGTGATCTTCGAACTTGTGCTGAGTTGTAGGCTTGGTGAAGTAGCCGTTCACGATGAAACCACGGAAGCCATTGAACTTTGAATCATTCTCGACAGGTCTGAAGGGAGAACAGGAAGCGGGAATGACCGCGTTGGCGTCCATCAACTCGCAGATTGCGAGACGGGTGGCATAGATGGATTTGGAGCGTTCCAGCATGACATCAATACCTTTGTCAGTAGCAAGACTAGTAGCATGGTCGATCTCGGAGCAAGTGTTGAGCAGAGCCTGAGAAGCCAACTTCTGACATGATGGAAGCTTCTCGACCTTGTTCATAGTGTTGATGATGGTATGCATGGCCTCGGTGATGCGGACTTTGTTTGGAGACAGCTCGATGCCTGCGAGATCAGAGGTGAGATCGTGCCCCTTGTAGGCTTGTTGAAAGCCCAGGCAAGGGGTCAGCAAGAGGAAGGAGAAGAACATCATCATGACCAGCATGGTTGCGTTCATGATCAAGACCAAAGAAGAGATGAAGTTGGCTTGAGATCGTTGGTTGATTGCATGGAGAGGTGTTGTGGTTGAGAGGGGAAGGAGTGGAAGAAGGAAAGCAGAAGAGAGAAGGGGAGGTCAAGAGTTGGGTGAAATACTTGTCCCAATAGACAATGAAACAATCAGTTGTCTGGTTGAACTCCGAATTGTAATTGTGGTTTTGACAATTGTATTGATAAAGCACCAATGTGCGAAAAGAGCGGAGGCAGCGGAGAGAGCGGAGGGCATGTGAAGCGCCAAGATTTGTTCACTCGGCGGAGCTCGAAAGTCGATTCGCCGTTGATGCGTTTCTCCAGCCAACAATTGCAGTTGTTGCGATACACCACTCGTCCGCATCACACATCATGTTCACTCCAGCAAGGCGGCGCTGTGTCAGCGCGATAAAGAACACACGTTCCTCCGAAATCTCGATCCCTGGATTCCTCCTCCCGGCCTTCCAACAGCAATCTTCGTCCTTTTCCACATCGTCGCCATGCCACTCGAAGATTGGTAGCGCGCCGCTATCATTGCCCCCGGATGTCAACTTCAACATTGTCGCAGCTCCTGTGCAGAAGAATGGTGCTAGAGTCAGCCGTACGCAAGAAGGCGCCACCATTCACATTGAGGGTCCCCTCGGAAAGCTGTCGATGCCCATTCCCGCATACATGAACATTGTCTCGGATGAAGCGAAGCGCACATACAGCTTGAGAATTCTGGACCAAGAAGAGAGAAAACAAAGGGAGATGTGGGGTGAGTGAAAGACGATATCGAAGAGTTGGATTTGTGCGTCTGACAAGTCTCAAAGGAACCTGCCGCGCCTATTTACAAAATCACATCCTAGGCGTCAGCGAAGGTCACTCTGCCATCCTGCGTCTCGTTGGTGTCGGTTACCGTGCAACAGTCGAGAAGACCGCCGTCACAAAACAGCCCGAGTACCCTGGTCAGGAGTTCGTGTCCCTCAAGGTCGGCTATTCACATCCCATCGAGCTTGGCGTTCCTGTGGGTGTGAAGGCCAGCACTCCTCAACCCACGCGTATTCTGCTCGAAGGTGTTGAGAAGGAGGTCGTCAAGCAGTTCGCTGCAGAGATCCGTGCGTGGAGAGTACCTGAGCCCTACAAGGGCAAGGGTATCTTTGTCAACGATGAAACCATCAAGTTGAAGGCCAAGAAGATCAAATAGACGATTCGCTTCTTGTGTTCTGTATTTACTGTACGATATCTATTCCGAGAGCCGGATCTCATGTTCAAAAGCCATTATCATTGGTTGATTCTTGCTTCCAGGAGTCACATCTTGAATACTCCGTAGCGTGAAGCAACAGGAATGGAGGCGGGTTGAGTCGCTGTCTTGGAGTTTTGGCAATGTTTGATCCACGAGTGTCGGAGAGGTCTTTAGTCGTTTCGCGCTCCTTGATATCGGAGAATAAGCAGCGAATCCTGACGGAACAAAAATGCCCGAAGCGCGCCTCCCTTCTTGCAGACGTTTAGTGCCAAGCCGACTGCAGATCCAGCAAGCTGCCTCTCGCACAATTTCTATCCTCATCTTCCAGCAAACTCATTTTCGGCCGACAAACCTACAAGCTATCTCGGTCAATGTTAACGTTCAGATGCCATGTGGATCTTGCATCATACCCATCATGGAGGGTCGTCTACAGAGTTTTATCCTTCGCTCTCGTATCTAGCAATTTGGCTCTAACTGGTTTCACCAGTGCACCAATGAACATCTGCGACGCAAGCCACTGTGGTTAAAAAAAGATCACCCAAGAAGGATCCCCAGACGGCAACCTCGTACCTTGCAGACCATTTCCAATAGGCGCGCCTACATAGGCATTCCGTCCCCTCCTTCACAGCCGGTAGGTTATTAGTTGACCAGCTGAAGCCATTGCCTGTGACGACCTTCTTTCTCATCACTCTTGACGAGCCACATTCCTTTTTGTCCTAACAATCGCACCTGCTGTTCAATACCGTTTCCTTTCCCTTTCTCGCCTTGATACCCAATAACGACATCACTTTATCGCTCTCCATAATGATCTCGGATCTGTTTCTGAGTCGGTCGCGAACTCAGCTCTATGGCTATGACAAAGTTCGCGTACCTTTCCATGCGATTCGTGCCGCACAGCTGGTGTCTAGCATCATTGTCGGCAGTATAATGGCCTTTTTCATCTATCACCTACAACACGACCACTGGCCAACACCATGGACATTCAAAGTGGTACGTCATGGATATACAGCTCTAGACGCACGCAAATGCTAACACATGTTGATAGCTTATGAGCGTATCTTGGATCACGATAGCTATGCTGGCCACCACAATCACGCTTCATCTGCTTAGCGGCCTGAACCCTCGTCTCAACCTCATCTTCAATGGCACTGTGTTCGTGATCTGGACTATGGGGTTTGGCATGCTGTCATGGTGGATGTGGGGAACTTTGACACACTTCTGCGATGTCAGCCACTGGAATGATGGCACTGGCATCATGGTGTGCAAGATTTACAAGGCCCTCTTCAGCTTCGCGCTGCTTGGACTGTAAGCGATAATCCGCTCCAGTCTGATAATACGCATACTGACCAACTACAGGATCTCTACTCTGATGGCAGTAGCGTTGGACATTCACATCAGCCGCATGAACACTCTTCGCGGTCAACACTTCCGTCTCAATCTCCGCGGCGATAGAAAGGCCAGCGACATCACCATGAACGGCCCCTATGCCGATATCAACTCCCAGTCAAACTCGCACGACAATCTTACACACTCTCACGAGAGTCTGCCCCACTTGGCTACTGGCGATGCCTTCGAAGTACCTACCAGCGGATCACAAAAGACTAGAGCTGGCTACACTATCCCGGAATCGCAGTTCGACTACGAGACTGGATATCACGGAGGTCATGCTGAGAGAGTCTTTGGCGCAAAGTAAACAGGCCGAGAAGCCATTTGAACAAAAGGAGGAAAACAGAAGAAGAATATAACGCATGTAACGACCTGTTCGCTTGGATTGTATGGAGGCTGGAACTCCATGCTTTCGGCGGCCACAAAAAGGACCTGCTATAGCATAGGCAGTGATGAATAACAATTTTCTACACAAGTGTTCGGTCTATGGATCTCGATTGCTTTGTAGCATCGTTCTCACCGTGCTGCCATTCCCCAACCATCACTGCGTTTGGCAAGTGGAATCTGAAACGGGGGAAGGAAGGTTGCTTTTCGTTCGCTTACAGCTGAAGTCTACTATCGAACAGCAGTACCCAAATATCCACCCTCTCTACTTGCCATCTCAAACCCATCGGCTCCCACCATTTCCTCTTCATCTCTAATCCTCTCAAACATCGATGACGTCCCCTCAGCCTCAATAGCATCATAAGGCTCTGCACACGTTCTACTCGACAAGGCAGGAAACCATCTTCTCCAAACCCCAAACGAAATACTCAGACCTAGAACACTCCCCACCACAACATCAAAAACATCATGTCTGTAGTCTTCCAATCTGGAAATTGCTATCAATGCAGCACCAAGGAAAGGCGAGAAAGCTACCAGGGTTCTGTACAGACCAGCTCGAGGGTGGAGAATGGAAAATTGGCTGAGGAGGAAGAAGGAGAGGTATCCAAGGCCAGAGAAGGCGAAGGAACTGTGGCCGGAGGGGAAAGAGCGCCAGCCGTCGTGGAGGACGTGATGGTTTGGATTCGTGCAGGCGAGGTAGGCGATTAATTCGTGTTCTGGGGTGCCGGGTTTGGGTTGGCAGCGGGCGATTAGGTCGGGTCTGGGTCTGCCTACTGCGTTCTTGATGACCTTTATGATATTAGCAATGAGCTATCAGTGTATGGTTTAGGATATACATACATCAGTGACGAATAATGTCACGAGCAGACTTATGCCAAAGCCGAGTAAAGTAACATGAGTCTTGTGCGGTTTGAAGAAAGCAAAACTCCAGATCAGTAGGATGATGAAGGGAAACAGTCCAGCGTAAATTAGAAGCCAGGTAACAGGCACATGCTCTATTTCCGCATGGGGATACTGGATTCTGCGGTCGTCCAGAGCGAACATGCGATGAAAAGGTTCTGTAAAGATGAAGAGTTGTAGACATATCCAGATTGGAACTATGATGGCCAGTCCGATGTAATCAGCAGCATATGGTTGCTATGATATATTAGCTGAAACCAGGACATAAGGATAGGTAGCGGTGTAAGTACACATTTCTCCCGCCATATGCGGATCACAGTCCCTGTAAAAGAATCGTCAGAGGGCCTTCTTCTGGAGTCTGTATGGGACTCGGATCCAGGCATATTTGACTTTCACAGATGAATGATTGAAGAACAGTGAAGAAGTCGAAAAGAACAAGGGGCGTCAACTCCTTGATGTGGCTTGACGAGTGTGGCTGCCTGCCCCAGATTCGGACCTTTGACAGTTCCACTTTCCATCATCAACACGCTCTTCGCAACATGGCAGAACAGGCACAGGCGCGCATGCTGTCGGCGGCCTTTCCGACACCCCCGCCGTACTACAAGCACTTTACCAAGCAGAATGTCACAAAAGTCCGCCAGATTCGCAAAGAGGCTGCGACAAACAGCGACCAAGTCGACGTGGGCTCGCTGCCAGCAGACCTCCGCTACCTGATTCCACCCGAGCCACCGGCAGATGGCCGCTACAAGAGCTTTGGAGCACAGCATGATGTGAGGATATACTCAGTAGACAAGGAGAGCAAGGGCTGATGAAGAATCGCAGTTGGCGCAACCGGCACAATCACTGGCGCAAGCAGGAATCCAAGAACTGTTCCCTGCAGACGCTGCCCACCTCGATCCGACACCGCATCTACAGACCTTGACACGCGCCGTTCTACTTAACTTTCTCGAACTGGTCGGCACTCTGTCAGTCAACCCTACACAAGGCCCGGAGAAGGTCGAGCACCTGCAGACACTCTTCTACAACTTGCACGACCTGATCAACCGCTACCGTCCTCACCAAGCACGCGAGAGTTTGATCATGACTATGGAAGATCAGCTGGACAAGATCAAGGCCCAAGTTAAGAGCGTAAACTCGGCAAAGGACCGCATGGAGCAGGTCTTGTCCGACATTCGCGTCCAAGCAACCTCCGAGACGGCCAACACACCTGCAAAGCAAGAGAAGCCTTTAGCCTCAGAAACAGCTCAACCCACCGACACAATACAAAAAGCCATGTACGATGCTCTGGAATTCGATCTCGATGATTGATGCTATTGCCACGACCTGTCTACTATTATGACCCTCTTCGTCTCGTCCCATTACCGGTCGTTGATTCGTGATTCTCATTACATCACCTATTTCTCTCCGGCCAGGATCCGCTCACGCATCTCCCTTCCACGCGACTCGGCATCAGCTGTTGCGGCCGCCTGACCATTACCCATAGCCGCACCCTTGATATGCGAGTTGTCCTGTCTGTGCTCGACCTCGGTACCATCCGGCTGCTTCTCCTTCTTCGACTTGCTGGAGAAGGCTCCTGAGAGGGCGCCAAAGAGATTCAGATTGAGCTGGACTGTAAGTCAGCTCTATCCTCCGTATGAAACTAAGCATGGGACGACATACACCAGCGCTAGCACTCGCACTTGCGCTTTGCTCCTTCTCTTCGCGAGCGTATTGCGGTTGGCTTGAAGCGACTTGCTGGCCCTTTGCTGGCTTCTGCGCGACTTCTGAGGATGTCATGGTTCTGGACGATCGGGAATTAGATTGCGAGAAAAGATTGATTTTCTTATTGAAGGGAAGAATGAGCCACAGATGGATAATAGTATATCAGCCACAAGAGTCAGGGAGAGGCTGGGTTGATATGGATGCTGCTCCGTCGGACAAACAGGATTGCGACCAGCAGCAGAGCCGCTTGCGTCATGGAGGTCGGCAAAGTTACACGAAACAGCATTCTTCTTCTGCGCAGTTGAGTGGTAGCGAGAGGCTAAGAAGAACGAAAATGAGAACCATGAATTTCCGTATGCTTCATGGAGGAGAAGATTGTGATATGCATTATAGTGGTCGATAAAGTGCAACTCCTGTGATGTGTCCAAGCCAAGGGCCGCGTGGTCGTGAGGGCAGAAGATCTTGTGCCTGTTTATGTTTGGTAGAAAAGGATCAAGGATTGAGCGCTATCGCCATCGTCGCTTTCGTAAAGACGATTAGAGCACATGCAGCTCCAGCTTGACTCTAGCAACAATCCGACTCGGCATCTTTGTCACAGGCAGTGCAGAGATCGATCAGATAAAAGTCGTTTCTCAAACATCCCCCACCATCTCAGCTCAGCCCCACCTTCTCCCTTGTCGGAGCTTCAGAATTCATTAGCGTATGGCGTGTCCAAGGGTACTACGTCGACATCCAATTCTTTTTGTCTCCATCTTCATTCTGGCATTCTCACTTCTCACACCGTTCCTCCCTCGTCTCCGCCTCTTAACCCGCCACATCAATCCTCCACGAACCTACACGACTACCACCACCGCCATGTCGACCGACTACTCGAAAGAGCTCAACGTTGCTCTCCTCGCCGTCCAGCGCGCCGCCATCTTGACCAAGCAGGTCTTCCACAGCCATGCCAAGGGCACCCTCAACAAGTCTGACGCTTCGCCCGTTACCATTGGCGACTTTGGTGCCCAAGCCCTGATCATCGCTGCCATCAAGGCCAACTTCCCCGACGATGAGGTTGTTGGTGAAGAGGAGGCCAAGGACTTGCGTGAGAACGCAGACCTCAAGAAGACTGTTTGGGATTTGGTCCAGCAGGCAAAGCTCGACGATGAGGCTGCTGAGAAGACACTTGGTGGTCCCATTGAGAGTGACGACCGCATGCTCGAGGTCCTTGACCAGGGCAACAGCCAGGGTGGAAACAAGGGCCGCATCTGGGCTCTTGACCCCATTGACGGCACCAAGGGTTTCCTCCGTGGTGGCCAATACGCCGTCTGCCTCGCCTTGATGGTCGACGGCGACGTCAAGGTCGGTGTCCTCGGATGCCCCAACCTCCCCATCGACGACAGCGAGCCTCTGACTGAAGACCTCGGTGCCAACGCCAGCGACGCCGAGGGCAAGGGTGTCCTCATGTCCGCCATCCTGGGCAAGGGCGCCGACTCTCGTCCCCTCACCCGCGGCGCCCTCAAGAACGCCACCACCATCTCCATGAAGCGCGTCGACGACATCAGCAGCGCCACTTTCTGCGAGTCCGTCGAAGCCGCCCACAGCGCTCACGGCGACCAAGCTCAAATCGCCTCCAAGCTCGGCATCACCAAGCCTTCAGTACGCATGGACTCGCAAGCCAAGTACGCATCCATCGCCCGTGGTGCCGGTGACATCTACCTCCGTCTTCCCGTCAAGAAGGACTACCAGGAAAAGATCTGGGATCACGCTGCCGGTGACCTGATTGTGCGTGAGGCTGGTGGTGAGGTCACTGATTCTCAGGGCAAGCAGCTTGACTTCTCTGTTGGCAGAACATTGAAGAACAACAAGGGTGTTGTTGCTGCTCCCAAGGCCATCCACGGTAAGGTTCTTGAGGCTGTCACCAGCGTTCTCTCGGCCAAGCAGTAAATTATCGAAATGATGTTATGAAAAGTAAAAAAGAAGGATGTGTATATACTACATATGTCATGATATTTCCAGATCAGTTATCAACCTGTAGAATCCGTTTAAAGTACATGCATGGGCTATTGTCATGCAGTCCATCGCTGGCTAATTCCAGACACCAGAAGCTTTCAAAATGTAGCCGCCAAATGCATAGTGGAATAGACATCACAGAGTCGATCTACCAATAACCCGACCTTGTCACTAAACAGCGTCTCTAACATCGGAGTGGGTAGCTGGAAGTTCCGGAAAGAATAAATAATCCCACGACCGAAGTGCCCCAATTACGCCCAAAACGTCAATTTCCTCGTCTCCAATCAACAACGCAGCAAAACAACAGATACTGCTGCTGCAGGATGAGCAGCAAGAGGTCAAAAAGGATGGAGTAGCTGGGAATCGAACCCAGAACCTTCTCCACTCAGTAATGCTCGAGACAGAGCAATGCTAAGAAGATGTCATACCACTAGACCACAACCCCATTGTGTGATAATTTGACGCTATCACGTGATGGGGTATGGGGCCGACTGTAGTAATATGACTTGTTCAATCTGTGTAGTACGGTTGGGTGCATTGGTTGAAGTGTGGTTGCTTTATGTTAAGCCCGAGATGTTTAAAAAGTTGGCAGTTTCCTGAGCAAGATCCTTCGTCGTATAATCTCACATTAAGCTACGATATGCGGTCACGCGCCTCCTGTCATCCGAGTTAGAAATGTCCATAGAGAGCGAATAGTCAATCCTTCTGTTTTGGGTCGAGCTCTACTGGATTAGAGATGCACCGCGTTCGCACCTTCTTCTACGAAGTCCGGGCATGTGGAAACCTGTTGGTCGTTCGTTAGCCGCAACGACGGATCTCCCTCCAAGCTGTGTTGGACAGCCACAAGGCGTCCTGGAAACTACCTTTGCAGAGTAGAACATATCAACAAGAATGGTAATGTCGTAGCCTAAATCGCGAAGACCGGATGCGCCTGGTCGAAGGACGGAGGTCTCGACAAGAGACAAAGGCCAACAGAAGGCGGGAGTGTCCATGTGTTTCTTTCACTTGTCAAACTCCTAGTTCACAAGATATTCTTGTATCGGGCCAGGTGTACTACCTTCCGTTTGCGGGATTGACCTTGGGAGCCTTTGCGATGATGCCGCCCCAGACCGTACGCCAATCGTTTCCTCTCCCCGATGGAGTGAGCGACTGGGGGGCTGCCGAGTGTATGATCATCGTTTTTGGCTCTCTTGACCTCTGACTCCAGGTCGTCCTCTGTCTTCTCTTCGTCTTCTGTACTTGTTCGTGGTATAGGGGGGATTCCGCACTTTCGGTCAAAGCAGTCGACGTCTTCCGAGTGAGTGCGCCCTCAGACGAGTCATGTTGCGATGCCAGATTCGAGGAGATCCGAGCGAGGGTCGAGACGAGATACTGGAAATGGATCGACTTCTCCTTAACGTTGTCAGGAGCTCGATGAAGGCTACAATGGTGACCCAGAGCCAGCGACATGGGCTCCTCGGTAACATCCTCGGATTCGGTTGACAGCAGTGCCAACAGGAATGTTTTCCCAATCTCGGTGTACTGGAGAGTCTCATACTTGAGCTGACGAGGAATCTTGAGGCCAGAGCTGTTGTTGAGATAGCCTCAGATATTGGAGGCTACCATTTTGACGATAGGGACCAGAGAAGGACTGGACGAAGCGAGGTGGCGGACAGTGGCGTTGACTCTAGGACCAAGACTCAAAGGCCCCATGACAAACGATAGTTACTGGGAAGGAGATTGGTTGAGCGCTTCGAGGTGTCGACCGAGGAAGGGACCAACGAGTCAACGAGTGAAGGGCTGACCACAAGCGGAAGGAGCAAGAACAAAAATAAAGTGAAGAAGTTCAGAAGCAGGCATGGTCGTCTCAGACTCCCACACACCTCCCCACCACCCCGAAACCAACCCATCCTCCCAAAAAGCAAAAAGCCAGAAGCCCGAGAGCTCCTGGGAAAACCACTCAGACGAAATCTCCTTGATCTATGCCACCAGAGAAGGCAACTCTCTGGCTCCAATCGATTTAAGACTACAAAGCGGAAACTCGGAATGAGTTTTGACAGAATCATGGGTGTGGTTAAGCCATTGCGCCAACCCAGAGGATCTTGGTGATTTAATCGAACCTGAGGTATTAGATACCCTTCTGGTGCGTGAGGACCAGGGTTCGATTCAGGGGGTGGGAAGTTGTGATTCTTTTTGTGTTTCCTGCTTGATGAATTCGCTGGTCACTTGGTCGGATTGGTGCTCTCTTTGGACGATGTGCTCTTGTTCATTACTTTCTTGCATTTCGATATGCAGATTGATGCGGATCGCCCCAGCTTGAGAGTCGATGTGACAATGTTCACCACGCGGGTGAGATGTAGATTTACAAACCTAGCTGTGAAGATACAGGGTGATTTTGCTAGTCAGGCATATTTCCATCAAGAACGACGCTGCTTCTCGATCCCTTTGGACAAATATGCAAGGCCACAAGCATTATGCCTTTCGACACATGGCAGGGTCTTAGTTACTGCCAAACTGCCGTTCGCCGATCCCTCTCATTTCTTATCAGTATCACCGTCATTGAGAGACAACGCAGATGATATTTCACACAAACGAAAGCGGCAGTAAAGTCTTGGACGAAATGAGAAAGCAGCGACACACACACGAACACTGACAAGAAATCACAAATGCCAAACAACAAAAGCAAATCAACAATCAAAGGAACCAAAAAAAGAAATACACCATGGGCAGGATTCGAACCTGCGACCACCTGTGTTCATCGGGACCACGCTTGGATGAAAGAATGCGCACGTGCCCGAACATAACCCAAGTATGCTACCACTACACCACCACGGCTGATTATTATAAGAGGCAAGAAACATCTATTATATAAGTGTATGCACAGAGATGGGCGGCAGTGAGTCTGCAGTAAAGAGGTGCGGTTGATTGAGGGAATTATGACACATACATGTGCGGATTTGGTAATCAGGGCTTGAGACCAACAGAAGAAGTAAGCGGTACAGCTGGCGAACAAGAGCGGAACGACCAACGAACTCGGCCTACAACTCTCGTTGTTGCTTCATCTCTCATCCCACAGATCTTTGAATCTCGAACCTTCTTGCTTCAACAAAGCCTTCGGGTTGTCATACTCGACCAATCTGCCTTCGTCCAACACGCCCACAAAGTCGAAGTCGACGATTGTCTCCAGCTTATGCGCGACAGAGATGATCGTGTGGCTGGAAAACTCCTTGCGAATAAGAGCTTGGATATTGATGACGCGCTCTGTATCGACGCTGTGCAACATCTATCAGTATGAGCTTCCTTGACCAGGTGACAAGTAATGACTTACCTGCTCGTAGCTTCGTCCATGATCAACACTTTACCTTGATCTTTCCTCAATAATGCCCTAGCAATATTGAACAGTTGTTTGGATCCCTGGCTCAGATGCACCTCATTCATCTCCGCGTCTAGGCCACCTTTGACTTCAACAGCTTCCCAGAGCCCGGCTTGCTGCAAGACTGAGACCATTTGCTCGTCTGTGATTGTTATGGAGTCGAGGGCGAGGTTATCTCGAACGCTTGAGGGAAACATGAATGGCTCCTCGGCGATACAAATGAGACGTGAGCGCAAGGTCTCACGGCGAATAGTTGAGACGTCGAGACCGTCGATCGTAATATTGCCAGATCCGGGTGTGAGCAGATTGAATAGAGTCAGAAGCAGAGAGCTTTTACCGCTTCCTGTTCTGCCGCAGAGGCCAACTTTAGAGCCTGCTGGAATGGAAATAGTGATGTCGTCGAGTGTCAATCGTTCGCTGTCAGGGCTGGGAAAAGGATTTAGCCTAGGCTAGGTCAAAATTTTATAAGAGAAAACTTACCTGTATTTTGCAGACAGTTTGTCGATTTCGATGGAGCCTCTGCTGGGCCAGTCGAATGCAGGATCATGAGTCTCTTCAGGTTGTTCTTCAGTGGCGGTGTCCTTCTCAAACTGTCTGATCCTAGCCACAGCACCAAGTGAGCTCTCGAGCTGGGTCCAGAACATGATCAAGTACTTGATGTTGGTAGTAAACGAGATGATCTGTGTAAGCGAGACACCTGTGAAGCCGGCTGAAGAGCTGTCTCGCAACCTAACAACAACTCCCACGACCAAAATGGCTATACCGGTGATGACGAGGTCGAGCACCAAGGCCAGCCATTTCTTGAGAGCCCAAGTGAGATAGTTGGGCTTTTGAGAGCGATCGACGATCTCGAAGTTGTGTTTGACTGAGCGCTGGCTCCAATGGAACGCACGAATGGTTGCCAGCCCGTCAAGAGTCTCCATGAATTGTGTGCTGAGAACGTGATCTACATCAGCTTTCGTATACAGATACTGAGATCTCGAAGTCAACTTACTAAACCGGTGCTTTCTCTTCAAGGTCCAGGTATCTCAGCTGACGCGATGTTCTAAGATAGAACTTTTGGACGAAGTAGAACACCGCAAAAAGCGCCGGGAAACTGAGGGCTATCCAAGCGGAAGCAGAGGCGATTAGTCCTACTTGAGCAATACAGACAAGTGAAGCTATCAGGATTCAGTCATTTATTTCACAGTCCCTTAGTGTAACGTACTGGTTGTGACGACCATAACAGCTAGCGGCAATTGTATGTCCAAAAGTTGTATGTCTTGACTGAACCTGCGCCTGAATGAGTACATGTCTTGTGAGATAGACAAGGTTGAGCAGCTCTTACCTTGTCAAAATATTCCCACTATCGACCTTACTCCAGAAATCCAAGGGTGCTCTGCAAGTCTGTCAGTACCACAAAAAGATTTATCGTGTGTTAAGCTCTTGAACACTCACGACATGACAGTCTTAGCAAGAGCGTTGTGAAGTTGTATGCCTGTTTTCACAGCCATAACATTGAAAGACCACCTGCAGCTCAAGTCAGTCGGACCTAACCAGAGATTTGGCATTGATGAGGCATTGTGGGCTTATGTCAGATTAGCACCCGACTCACCATTCGACTGCGGCAGAAAGTGCCAAAGCCCCAACTTGGAGCGCCGCGTAGATGCCGATGTAGTAGCCATATCGTGAACCAGACTCCCGCATATTCGCATCTGCCCACCATTTGAGCCAGATCGCTTTGTTTTGTTAGCTGATGCATATCATGTTCGATCAATTAGAGCACTCACTGGGAAAAGTTGAGAGGAATGCATATACGAGCTGCAAAAGTAAGAAGATGGCCGCTACAGTCCAGCTAATACAAGCTAGGTAGTATCGGTAGATGCTGAAATCGCCCTGTTGACGAGCAGCATCCAGCTTCTTGTCGTCAGTCTGATAGTCGCCATGTTGAGCATAGACCATTCTAGCTTTGGTTAAATCTTCGGTATAGGTAGACTTTGTCGAGCTTTGGTCGAGAGCATCTTCTTCGGCTGATATGATGTATTTGGCTGCATTGTTACCCCGAGTACACAATTCCTGGAAGGTACCTTGGTCATCGACTGTACCTTCAGAAGAAAGTACCACAATATGATCGGCTTGAGAGAAGAGTTTGGATGTTCCAACTGTCAGTATAACGGTGGTCTTCCATCTGCGTAGCAGACCTTGCGGACCCAGAAGACGTCCGAATATGATGGACTGAGTACTCAAGTCGAGTTGACTAAAAACATCGTCCAGGACGATGATTGAGCATCTCGCATACACTGCGCGAGCCAAAGCCTGGAGGTCAAACTGTCAGAATATACAAATATGCTTAGTCGCAAGTAAACCTACGATTCTTTGTTTCTGTCCACCACTTAATGCAAACCCCTTACTCCCAACTACGGTTGCGTCGCCCTTTTGCAATGCCTCCAGATCACTGTCAAGATCGCATGCGTGTATCACTGACGAGTAAAGGTCGGAGTCGAATGCTGAGAAGTTGATAATGTTGCGCTGAATGGATGCGTTCTGAGAAGATCAGTTGCTGAATATCGAGTTTTGATAGAGCACAAGAGCTTACCGTGAGCCAAGCAGTTTGTTCGCAATAAGCAATATTGAAACTCGAGAGTTCGACTCGTCCCTCCGACAGAGGTGTCTCGCCAAGTAGACCTTTCAACAATGTACTTTTACCACAGGCTACGGGACCGGCAACCATGACCAGTTTCGATGGAGGTACGCGAAGACTAATGTTCTTGATAATAGGTGGATTTCCTTCTTTCCAACCAAATAATGCGTTGTGCGTAACAATAGCATCAGGATGAGCCAGAACGGCTCTATCGCTAGGTTGCTTGTGGTTGTTGCTAGGAGATATGAGCGTCCGAGTATCAATTCGAGATTGCGAATGTAAAAAGGACTCCAGTCGTGCAAAACATCCAATGGCCGACCGTAGCTCTATAAGACCACCCATCAGCATAAACAAGGGTTCCGAGGCAAGCAGGATCAGAGCAAGCGAAGTGAACAGTTTGGTCGTATCGAGTGCATGGTGATCCTTAGAAGATATGCCGATATAGATTGCAAACGTCAGAACCGGAGCAATGAGCTGAGGAACATTGCCTATCGCAACCGAAACGGCTGAGAGTGTGCGAAAGCGTGTTGCAGCATCAAGTTCGGTGACACGAGACCGACGTAACAAATTCGACACACGAATGTTCAGTCCAGCAAGCTTGATAGCCTTCATGGAACCGAGTATGGAAGTAGTGATGCCTGCAATGCATCAGCCCATACTCTTTCGGTCGGTTCAGAGACTATAAGTTCTTGATGGAACGTTACCAATTCTCTCTTGGACCTTGTCGATCCAGCGAAGTTGGAATGAGTTTGTGTATCCAGAGAACCAGATAGTGGTACCGGTCGCAGCTAGAACGCTGTTCAGTATGGGTAAGCGTGGAGGGATTCGCAATCCATCAACTCACCTAGAGCAATGATGACAGGACCAACACAAGCAGCACCCAGCTCAATCTCGATTAACCATGTAGCAATAGCAACCTGAAGAATATTTGCCCACATCTCATGCAGATCGATAAGGCCCCGAGTTGTTCGCTCGACATCAGTGCTCATCAACGTGAGGGATGCCTTGTTATCTTTCTCAACAGTACTGAGGTTTATTGCTTTGCTGTAGACCGATGTTATCAGTGTTCCTCGAAGCATGCTGAGAAATCTGTAATGTCGGTGCCAGTACATGGCAGAGGTCGTCGCAAGTCCAACATAGACGATGAAGTAGGCGCCAATGAGCCCGTACCCTATGTTCACGCTTTCTGCGTCCGAGTTGTTGATATAGTCTAGTAGTCGCTTAAGCAGTATAGGTTGACAGAATGTAAGAGCTAGAAGTGCCAGCCTAGGAACGATTGGGACCAGTATCGGCCATTTGAGTAGTTGAAAGATGACCTTCTTCAGATCTGCTGATCCAGTCTTCGACTCTGTGAAATCTAGATTAGCTCTGGCCACTGCAATCGGTTTTTGTACTCACGTAACTCCCACTCATCGATGAATCTCTTACTCAACCCCTCAGAAGCTATATCCTCGCTAATGTCATACAAATCCTCAGGCTTTAAAAGATGTCTCGCGCCCCTCCAGACCAGCCCATTCAACCACGACAACAAAGCTTGCCCATACAGCCCACTGAAATCTTCTGGGCTCTTATTCCGCTCGGTTTTGACGTAGCTTCTCTTTCCTCTTGCCTCGAGCAATAGAACCACGGTTTTGATAACAAAGGCTATGGTGAAGATATTGCGGATGCGAGGCGATAAGTGTGTAAGGAGCCAGAGGGTGCGAAGGGTAGCAGCATCGAACATTGTGGTGATGAAGAGGTAGGCGTTGAGAAGCATTGATGGCCGCAGCGAGCGCGAGTGTTCCATGTACGATAGAGTAAGAACGGCAATACTGGAAGCAAAAGAAAGTACTGAAGCTGCCGTTGCCGGTTTCCATGCTTGAAGCTGAGGGCTATCGGCGAAAAGACCAATCAAGGTGAGTTGAAGGATAGCAAGAACTGCAATAACAGACTACGATAGCCTGTAAGCTTTCAATGCTCAAAGACCAGGAAGTCGGTGACCTACCAATTTGACATATTTGAAAGCATTGGCTTGAATCTTAGGTCGGATACGACTCAAGGTCTTCAATCTCAGAGGAGCGAAACAAAGCAACAGGACAGAAGGCACGATGGAGAAAAAGTACGACTCGAAAGCGAATGTAAAGTCGAAGCTTCGTCGGCAACCCTCGACCGCAGGTCCGAAAGCACTGTCAGCAGCAGGCGAGCAAACAGCAGAATTCATACTGACCAGATGTCAGTAATACCCACATGGCAAGAGAGGTGTCGCGTGGTTTTGTAGTGATGCGATGTTCAGGAGCTGGATGTGCAGCAACCAATCATGGCGTCTGCAGCATTTGAAGGATTGAAGCTGGTCTAAAATTGGATGCAGGCGGGACGTCTTGACTCTTGACGAGTTAGGAAGCTGGTGATAAGAGAGCAAGCCACATGAAACTGCTTTCGCTTCCCATGCTCGGAGTGGTTAATGCTACTCCGGCACCAAGGTGATCAGACGGAGTCGATTGACTCGGAGGAGATGCCAAGACACATGCCAATGGGCGTCATGGTGAAAGACACTCGGGAGAGGCTCCAACCAGAATTCAGTGGCTGGAGTGGATGCTGATCCATGCTTCTGTCTTGCACTCGTGACATTCGCAACTTCAATGGCTGTTGGAAGAATCGGCTGAAGTATGTATGTAGGCATTTTCATGATCATTCGCCAGACGCATATCTCGCGCCGGCATCTCTTTCTCATGTATCTAAGTTATGCATAGGGTATCGTTAAAAAAAGGTAATCGTTCCGCAATCAAAGTGGAAACCAGTAAGACGTCTGCTTTTCCGCTCGTTCTCGGGCCTCATCGTCCTTCGTCTTAGTTGGGACCACCAAGTCTCTTCTCGATCTTCTCCTTCTCGCTGTCGCGAATCTGCTGCAGATCGTCTCTTGTACTGTTGTAGGAAGCGTTGGCCTGGTTGAAAGGGTTGTCCGGGTGCTTCTCGAATTCCTTGCGGATCTGCTCGATCTTTTGCTGGCGACGGAGACCCTTCTCGTCCTTCATCTCTTCCAAGCGGCGTTCTTCGTATTGAGTGTAGGCGGCCTTGAAGCGACGTTCGGGGTGACGGTCGACCTTGTCGGTGTTTCCACCAGCGGTCAAGGACAGAGCGTCGAGGGCATTGTCGATACCGGTTGCGGAGAGGGAAGACAGAGACGAGGGGGCATCGAGGCCGGAGAGATCGAGACCGCGGGACTTCTTCTGGGCGGATTTGGCATTGCCTGTTTTCTTAGATGGCAGGGATGCGTCTTCTTCGGCCAGGAGAGCTGCCTTTTCGGCCTTCTTGCGATCGGCTTCGGCTTTCTTGTCGGCGGCGGCAGCACTGGAGGAGGAAGACTTTAGTATGGCAGATCCGAGGTAAAAGTGACAGGCACAACTCACGCCTTAGAGCTGTCCTTTGCGCCCTTTGACCATTCCTGCTCCTCGACCTTTGCCTTCTTCTGGTTCTCGACGGCCTGCTTTTGTGCGGCGACCTCGGCCTTTTTGGCGTTGCCGGCGGCCTTCTTACTGTTCTCTCCCTTGGCCATGTTGATTGTGTATTTGTGTATTAGAACGGTGACGACGAAACAGCGAAACACAGTGAAACAAAGAAAATGGTTCGACTGGGGCCGAGTTCGGGAAGCTTCTGTTGCGTCACACGCCAAGCTTCTGCCTCAGGCTTCCATACCACGCCATCAGACTGATCATTTCACAAACATACAACATGTGAGAGTGCACGCAACGGGCTGAAATGACGTTTGATTCTGTATCTTAGATGCCTTGCAAAACGGCATCGTCTCTACCGGGTCTTCGTGCCGATATGTTTTGATGCACACATGTATATCGGATTTAGCAACTCTCTAGTGAAGTACCGAAGGAGGCAGACTCTGAGTGTGCATGCCTCAGGCCATCAAAATCCTCGTACATCTCTATAGATGCGTTCGTGACACTTCCATCTATCTCTCGTTCGCTGCCGCTAAGTCACGTGCCACTGCCTCATACGACGCGGTTTCCTGCATCCTGAGTATAGCTTTCCTCAGACCTTGACAAGCGTTAGGGATCTCCCGTGACAATAATCTTGCCACAAGACTTTCGGGCGAGAAGACTTGGACAACGGTCGGGTCGAAAACCACTCCGACCATTTCGAAAACTTCCTTCAAGCTGAGAATACCGTCCTTGAACTGCTTCATGATTGCGCAACATCTCAGCAGACGTTCTCTGAGAGCGTCCGCGATTTCTGGCGAGGCATTCAACCTCCCACCATGGGGGCGTTCGAGGACGATGTTCATATCGAGTAGATCCTGGCGGTCTCCAAGATGGTAACTGGCGAGGAACAATCTGTGGAAAGATGCATGACTGTTTTTGAGTTTTGAGTTTTCTGCAATGAGAATTTCGACTGTCACTGGATGAGGATTCTTTCGATTGGAGAGCCTCCTCAGAAACCTGATTGCATTGGTCTCCAAAGTGACATCAGTGTTGTACTGGTAACGACCCAGGCCACTGGGAACTGGCAAGTAGAAATTGGTATTTTGGAACCATACGACTTCGAGGTCTGGAGTCACCCAATCTGGAATCGAACTGTGACTACCAATGTCCCAAGCAGGCTCGTCCGGTAGGACGTAACCGAATATCATGAGGCGAAGCTCTGGCGGAATTTGCTTTCTGTCCATGATTGCACCGATTGATGCGAGCAGCGCTGTCGCTTCGCTAGGTTGAGTCTCAGCTGGGGGGCTGGTCGTTCTGCCAATGGCCCAGTCTAGCCATCGTCGAAGTCGACTAGGTTGGTGTTCTGTTGAGCTCATGTTGGCTTGACTCGTTGGAAAAATGTATCTTTACTGAAGAATAGGGTTGACGTGGGGATGGTTAGCTTATGAGTTCGAAGCATACAAAGAGCTGTCGAGCGCAGAATTCCTTGATCGTAATGGTTGGCATAAAGAAAACGAAGCTCGATATTTCCGAATGCGGATATGTCATTGTTCAGAAAGATGTTACTGGAATGCTTCGAAGTGTACGGTAACGAATGATACTGCTGTCAGCGATGGCCAGTGTAAACCTGCGATAAGTCGCTGTCTGAATGCAAAAGATAGGTCATGTCACAATAGCTACCTGTATAGCTTACCCGCTGGGAAGCTCGCGTAGACTGACTCGGAAGACGAGCTCAACGATGAGCACCAGCTATCTCGGAATGAACTATTCTCGGTCGAACCGAGTATGTATACAAGTCTAGCAAAGACACCGAGTTTTGCTCAGAGAACATGACTAGAGGCGGTCCTCTTTTCAAAGACAGAAGGAATGCTCAATGGTTCGAAAGCAACGAGTGACGTTTCGAATCGCAAACTCGTTCTCATGGATCGCCATGTGATTCTCGGAGGGGCCTTCCTCTGTCGAACTCGGCGAGGAAGTGTTTGCTGTCCAGGGTTGTGCAGGAGAGCAAGTTCACATGCCGACTTTTTTGTGCCTCGGCAATCGACGCGAAGACCAAGCTCGGGTGATTGGTTTCCGTGTGGGTTTCACTGCGCCGTCAGCAGCAGCGCAATGAGCACAACTGTCGACGGACTGAATAGTCTGTAGTAGTAGCTGTGGCTTCGTCTGCGCCTGAGAATGACAATTGGGTTTCTGAAGAAAATGTGGAATGGAAGAACGGAAGGGATAAGGTTCTTGTCGGCAATAGCATAGCAAAAATACCGGAGTTTAGGCACGAAAGGAGGGTGAGCGTCATGCGCCTGCCTCTTGTTATCAGAGCCGGACGACCGAGGAAAGTGCATTCTACACTTCTTTTTCCCCTGCTTGCTCGTGATACTCGTGTCGTGTGAGAATCTCCATCGCATCAACCCCATCAAACACCACTCTCTATCGAACTGGAAGTCACTGGAATAGAATCGTTTCTGCAATACACAATGGTCGCCGACGCTCTCATCTACCACCCCGCCATTGCGCACTACAACAAATATGTCGCGACGACAAGTGTGTCGACCCTCATCTTCTATGCGATTGAGTGCATCCGAGACTGACAAAGTGATTCAGTGGGTCGCGACAAGGCACTCCGCCTTGTCCAATACCTCTCCCGCTTCCTCGCCTGGTACACGCTCCGCACCAACAGCCCGCAAACCACTGTCGTGCAATGGAGCAAGCTCAAGGCCAACCTAGGCCTTGTCCGTAAAGCCATGCGCATTGGCAAGTTTGTCGAGCACTTCCGCGCTGCCGCGACCGCATACGACTCCAAGACCTTGGACCCCGTCATCCGTTTCTGCACCACTGGTCGCCAGCTGGGCTACGGAGCTTACATGCTCACCGACACCTTGACATATCTCGATGCTTCAGGGGTCAGACCCAGTCTTGCCGCTAAGAAGCTGCAGGTGCAGGCATACAAGGCTTGGATGACGGGTTTGTGCTTCAGTGTGTTGAACGGCGTTTACACCATCTACAAGAGTAGGAACGAGGAGGCTGCTCAGACAGACAAGGCTGTTGCTGCTGAGAAGACTGTTGAGGTTAAGAAGTTGCAGCGGTATGTCCATCTCACGCCCAATTCCACACGAGGACGATTCCTAACACTTTCACAGCGAGAGAAGCGCCGCCCAGACACAACTGATTTCCGACCTTTGCGATTTGTTCATTCCCGTGTCGGCTCTTGGATACATCAACGTCGATGACGGTGTGGTCGGTCTGGCTGGTGCCGTCAGTTCGCTGATTGGTCTGATGGCACAATGGAACAAGACTGCTTAAGCTTCATGATGATCTCTGATCCTTTTCTTTTTCTGAAGTTGGCCTATAGTCTGCCAACCCCATATTCTGGGACACGCCTCAATACTTTTTGATTGCAGACCTGTTGTTTCTCATTTACGTCCTCAATCTTCCTTTAGCAGAGAGTGCACAGTATGCTGTTTATCTGTTTCGTGTCTATCCGAGTCGCTCTGGCGCATTCTCCATGAGATGATATGGTCACATTATTTCGTTCGATTCAATTGCGATAAGTTTCTCGCTAGAAATACATCTGGAAATAAAGTGATCAGTAGGCTTACTAACAGCACTACTGACACTACAGATCTGGTCAAGTGTCTACTTATTTGATGTACTGATGCATCATGAGGAACCTCTAGCAGTCGTAGATGCTACTTTCGCTATACGTGACTCGATACCCTCATAGAAAGTATCTGGAGCGTGCATTCAAGCTCTGGAGATATGAGAACTTGAAATTCAGAACAAGATTCGTCAATTCAAGATATGTGTGAACTTTAGCATTGATCAGCTACTCGTACAACAAGAGAGGTGGGAAGTGTCTTCGGAGTAGATTTAGCTGGTGAAACATTTCAAGCAGCAATGTGAAGTATTGTCTTCTCTTCTGTCGGATTGTACCTTGAAAGCGAAATCTTTCGATTCTCTATTGATAGCTCAATCCGACTTTCAAGGAGAAATTTTTACATTTTCACAATTGGCAATACAGAAGTCCTGCCTGGCAAAATTTCAAGAATGTGGTAGATTGCTTGTCAAGTGTCATACGAAAACAGCTCAGATCGTGATCAAACATCCTTGGAAGTACTTCTCAACAAGGTCGAGGGCAGAAAGGCGACAGAGAGCGCCAACGTATCCGTCTGGTCTGATCGCGACAATCGCACCCTGTTCTTTCGTGATACCGTAGATTTTGTAAGCATCCCCCGTCTTTGCAAGTCCGTATGTTCTCATTTCTGCCAGTCTCTTGACACAGGATGGGATCTGTGTCCACTCAAAGCGTTCTTTTAGAGGATGTATAATTGCGAGATCGATTGAACCGGCAGGATGTTTGTCGGCGATGGTCGCACATGCCTCCAATGCTTTCTGAGACTGATCGTCCGGCTCGAGAAGGTCTGAGCCTGTGAGTACCATCAAGCGATATCGTCCGTTTGATGGAAGCTCTGTAAGGATGCGAAGTTAGTTGGATGTGTAGACGAAACGTTGTAGAAGGAAACCACCTACCATCATGCAATTGGCGGGTTGTGTTGTCAGCATAACGCTTGAGTTCAACGTTCAAGAATCTTCTTCCTACAGTGAGTGCGCCATTGATTGGGTCTCCTGTTGCGACAACCATGTCGTCAGAGTTTTGTGGAGACCAGATAAGTCGGCTGGGCTTATACTCGAGTCCACAGCCACTTGTAAAACCACTTCCATCTCGGAAGACTTTCAAAAACTCATCATGTGTCAATCCTGTTTCAGCGTTGAGCTTGCCCGAGAACATGTGAGAGAACTTTGCATCAAACTCGATAAGTTGACGAGCAGTATCAACACGCTCTGCTTCAAATGTCTCCAAAACGGTATCGGCGCCGTTTTCAGAAGCATGTGGCGTCAGTCCAAGGATAGAATGTGCAAGCTTCCAGGACAGGTTGAAAGAGTCCATCATTGAGACGTTCATGCCTTGTCCGGCTTTAGGACTGTGCGTATGACATGCTGTGTAAAGATCAGTATTGTTACTGTATACCCATTCGGTTGTTGCAACCTACCATCTCCGACAATAAAGATTCTATCAACACCATCAGCGGTCCTCGAAGAGAACTTCGGCGACATCCTCTGTCCAATCTGGTAAGCAGCATACCAGTCCGGGACAGTGCCCTCTCTGATCTTGATCTTGTACGGTGCGAACACTGCATTTGCCTGGCCGAAGATATATTCCAAGGTAACCTCAGCACGCTTCTTCTTGTCCGAACTCTTCTTCTCGTCTCCTGGTGTCGTAGTACGATCTGCTTTGGCATCAACATCACCTGGAACCTGGACGTACAATCGAGTCAAATATTCCCCTGTAGCAATCTGCTCTCTTGGAATGACCATCACAGAGCCTGATTCTGAGTGAACGGCACATCTGTTGCGGATATCGGGGAAGTCCGTGTCGGCGACGAAATCACAAACACCCCAGATATGGTCGGAAGTCTCCCCTTCCAACGAAAGTCCCATAGACTTGCGTACTTTTGAGCGAGCACCATCACCTCCAACCAGATACTTTGTACGAACGGAGCCTGGCACACGAGTTCCATCTTCGAGTTCGTGTTCATAGTTGACAAGGACTGGATAGTCAGGGTGGTTGGCTGTGTCGACCGTGTAATCAATGAAGTGATGAGATCTTCGAATAGTGTTTTTCGACGCGTAGACATCCAGATTCTCCTGGAGTATCCTTTCAATGCGTCCTTGGTGGATGGTCACTTCGAACGGAAAACGTGCCGGGACATTGACATCAGGTACGAAGTTGGTCCGCTTGATTCCAACAGGACCATTTCCATTCGTACCTTCGGTCGGTTCAGCAGGATTCCAGAAAGCCACTTCTTCCATATGACATCCTTCTGCGATGATCTCTGAAGCTATGCCAAGACTCTGCAGAACTTCAAGTGTGCGAGGTTGCAGGCCATCGGCTTGACCTGCTTTCAGAGTGTCTGGCTTGGAGTCCAAACACAATAGTGAAGATCCTGTGATGCCATACCGGGCAAGCAAAAGGGTGAGGAAGAGACCACTTGGACCGGCCTAGACTACGTCATCAGCGTGAGGCTTCAGGTTCAAGTACGGGCAACTTACACCAACAACGACGACCTCGCGGTCATTCTCTGATGTTGACACTCTAGGCGAGAGTCGTGGCAATGGTAAGGCTTGTGACGGTAGGATTCTCAGATCCCTATATTCTGTGCCAGTTTCTTCGAAGACCGGCATGATGGCGTCGTGATATTGTGCTTGATGCTGTGAATGTCTCTGGTGTCAAAGAGCAGATCTTAGAACGAGTCGACAGAAAGCGAATTACACGTTATAGATCTTGTCTCCTGATCATACATGCAATCCAGGTCGCGAGAAGGTTGTTGATGGTTGCTTACTCAAGGCCTCGACTTCCGAGCCGGAAATTTAAACTTTGAGGGGTCGTGGAGTCAAGCCGAGCTTCCGGGATGCCCATTCTTTTCCGAGCAGAGCGGCCGCATCCATCTCCGCAACATTGAACATCAGATTCGACATGTATCCGAGCCTGATACAGGAGCATCAAAGGAGAATCTGCTGATAGAGCAATGGAGGATTCGCCTTCTGTCGTCCGCCCGCTCGGACGGCGAAATCTGCCTCGTGCGTCACATGCTTGTCAACGATGCAGGACGAAAAAGGGAAGATGTAATCAGCAACAGCCTTGCTCGACCTGTATTCGGGCCGGGTCAGCATGTGTTTATGGAGAAAGAAGAAAGAGAACCAAAACCACCGACAGTCGCGTGACGAGCGAAGGCCTCGAGCATGATACCGAGATGCAAGCTTCCTATCAGACTGAAGATCGACCTGTCTCTACTCGCGATACTGCTGCAAATATGGATGATATCGTTTCCGAAAGCGACACGAGTCCTGTAGCAAATGTGGAATCTGTAAGGTCAGGTATGTGGAAATGACTCTTGGGTAAGCACTTTGAAATTCAGCTCTGACCATCCGCAGATGAAACGATGACTCCAAGCAATCGCGATGTGATAGGAGATGTTAACCAGCGCACTCAAGGTACTGAATTCTACGGAACATCATCAAATTATGTTCTGCTCAATCAATTGTTCTCTCATGCTCGGTTGCATAGTCACGCTAGGCATGACTCGACTTCCGCTTCATCCGCCGCGGTTGCATCGATCTCAGACCAGAACCAGAATACGCCAAATAACAGAATTTCTCTGGTCAATCTGCTTGCGAACGAAGATGATCTGCTCCCGCCGTCAAGAGAAAAGTCACCTTCATACAACCTTCCCTCTCCGGCGTGGCCTTCGATCTCGAATGTCTTGTCAGGTGTTGCCGACACTTCACCCGCTGTTCAGCAACAGGTTGCCGAGAAACGTCTCGAGAAAGTCCTCATTCGCAGCTTCATGCACAACTTGCACTACCTGCACCCCATGATCGACAGCAATATCTTCTACGCTCGCTACAATGAACTTGTCACAGAATCTAGCAATCCTCCCGAGAGATCTCCACATCTAAGACACTTTTTTGCGCTTTACAACATTGTTGTTGCTGTTGGGGCACTCGTGGCTAGTGCAGACTTGAGTGAGGAGTATGCTCGCGAGATCGCGGTGGTCTTACAGAGCAAGAAAGATCTGCAAGAGCTTGCGAAGGCTCCTTTACAGAGACTGTCAAGACTCTACTTTCGGAAGTCGCGAAGTCTGCTTGGTGATGTCTTTGAAGCATGCTCTCTAGAAAGCGCTCAGGCCCTTTTGCTCATGGTATGTGTCTCGAACCCGATTCCTCCGATTTCGATTCTGATTGAATAGTCTCTATACTGCCAAAACTCTCTGAAACCACATGCTTGTTACATGTACTGCGGTATGGCTGTTCGAACAGCTCTTGCGATCGGACTACCTTCCGAATCCATGTCGGGCACGGTCGAGGGCTGCAAAGTTGCGCGAAGAACTTGGTGGTATGTTAGTCCTATACCGTTGCTTCTCCCCTGCTGACACGTATCAGGTGCATCTATTCCCACGAGATGTAAGCAGGTTGCCTCCGATACAGTACGCAAATGCTAATTGTCTATTACAGAGATATGTGTTGCTCCGCTGGTCGATTCGACAGCCTCGGAAAACCACGGAAGTATCCCATACCTTTGCCAAGGATCAAGACATTGGTAAGTTCAAAAACTTTGTTTTGGAAGTACTCTAACTGACTCTTTGGGTATGAAAGGACGCAGATTCCAATTCTAATACCGCAGAGCTAGAGGAGTCGAGCATCTCTATGATCACTGTGATGGTCGATTTTGCGGTAGTGCTTCGACGTATCTCGAAGGAGATTTATCACAGCTCAAAGGATACTACCATATCTCAGAAATCCTCCATCGCTCTTACCATAGACAACCTACTCGACGAGTGGAAGCTCAAACTTCCTTCATGGCATAATTTCGATGCCGTCAATTTCCGAGAGGCAGAATGGGCTGCTAAACAAAAGCTTGTCCTCCACTTGCGCTACCTTAATGCCCGGGTCATTCTACACCGTCCATTTCTATCCGATCCAGTGGCTTTCGCCCTTCCTGAGCGACAGAAACACGTCGATGTGTGCCTCAGTGCAGCCCGTAAGACTATACAAGTCCTCTACGACTCATACGCCAACAGGCATTATTTCCGCACTTGGTGGTATAATTCAACCTACACCTTATACGCTGGCATGATAGTTCTCTATGTTATCATGCTCGGTAACAGTACAATACCGAACGATGTGCTATTGGAAGATGTCAAGAAGAGCCGAGATATCCTGCGGTCGATGGAGGAAGCAAGTGTGGCTCGTCGCAGTGCAGATCTTCTGAGTGAGGTTCTCGATGTTGCAATGGCTTACACTCAACAAAAGCAGAACAACGCATCCGCATCTGATGTACCGTCTGTACGTCGTGCTGAAGACGCGCCTGAGAATCCTGTATACCAACCAATCTCGTCGTTGACAGTCGATTTCGCTCAGCCAGACTTCATCCAGGATCCGGAGGCCTTTATGGCATCCTTGATAGATCCCAACATACTTCAAGAGTTCACAACAGACTCTAACGACTGGGCGGGCCTCGAGTTTCCATCTTTTCCATTGTACGATGCTGGACATGGGTTACATGACAGTGGAGATAATTTCTTCTCCAGAGCTGGCACATGATGCAAGGACAAGTCAGATTGACAGGCGGAGCAAATCGTTTCTCAGCCTGTCTGGTATTTGAGGGCCCTCTTTGTACATCATGACCACCTCATCAATCTACATCTGGTACTGGGAGATCATCAATGAATCTGACCTTACGCCCTTGGCTATTCATTGCTTCTTCCGCCTTGCTGCGACGCAACTTCCTGGCAGCCTCATCAGTCACCAAGACAAAGTCATAGGTGATCAGCGACGTCCCTGTCTTCACACCGTACTTTTCAGCTTGATCCTTATCGTCTACCTTTCCAACTTCGACAATGAGAGATTGTTTTACACCAAACACTGCGTCGGTCGACTCGTAGGGATCATTTTTCAGATAAAGCGCGCTGTAACAATCAGTATTACGTTCAAGCCCTGCTTTTGACGACTTACGTGATCAGAGGGTCGTATCCGGATTTGTCAAACATGAAGTGCATGTGGCTTGGTCTGTACGGATGGCGGTTGAGCTTCTTCAGCAGACCTCCAACTGGTCCATCATGGGGAATCGGATAGGGCACAGGCAAGATGGCCTTGAACCAGAAATTTCCCACACTATCGCTGGTCAAAACCGCTCTTCCATCTGGACCGGTTCTGTCGGCGTGCTGGACGTCGTAGAACCCTTTCGAATCTGTCTCCCAGACATCTACCTTGGCCCCACTGATGGGATTGCCGTCAACGTCTTTGACGGTACAAACAACAAGCAAGGGCTCGCCATCTGCGTCTTGAGAGATACTACCACCGTTGTGGCTGTGCTCGGCCTCGTGTGTGTGAAAGGGTCCGAGCACGGTGCCCTCAGTGCTGTTTTCTGGCTTGGGGTGATCTATTGAGTCGACGAGAAGAGAAAGACCGAGGACATCAGAGAGCAAGATGAATTCCTGCATGCACGTTAGTCCGCCAAGGTCGCCGAAAAGCAAAGCATCCAATCCTTACCTGTCTGACATCTGAACTGATCTGGCCGACTCTGGTCAAGAACAAGAGAGTAGCCATCCATTCATCCGTGGTCAACCTCGTCTCTCGTGCAAGATCGTGGAGGTGTGAGACGGTTCTTTCAAGCAAGAACTTCAGTCTCTGATCCGAACATTGCGAGTTTATGGCGTGGACATTCTCGGTGATATTCTCAATGGTGAGATCCTTCAGACTGGGTACTGAGACGGTGTCCATGATGAGATGAAGATGATCGGATACTATTGACAGACAATGTCGAGCATGGTCCATCAGAGTGCTACCAGCATGGTAATATGCTTACAATAATGCAGCCACCAAGTGGTCGGATGAATTATTTGCCGGCAAGACTCGGAGGTTCAATCATCTTCCGGATTCGATCTGTTTTCCGCCTTCCGAGTTACGGCCCGGACAGCCGAATCTCTGACCCCACGTATCATTGACCTCATGTTCTGTCTGAGAGCATATCACATCTTTTCATAGCTATTTTCAACCTCGGGAAGGAAAAAGAAGCTGTATCACTCCAACATGAACTCATTCGAATACAACATCAACCCTAGCCGAGTCGTGTTTGGCTCAAAAAGCATCAACAAACTACCCGATGAGATCAAGAGGCTTGAGAGCTCATCACCAATCATCCTCACCTCAAAAGGAAACTCTGGAGAATCACACGGAGAGTTGTTGGCCAAAGTTCTGGAAGATGCCTCAATCACTCCTGCCGGTATTCTGAACATGGCAGTGATGCACACGCCCACATCAGTCACCGAACAAGCCCTCCACTCGCTGAAATCGCAAGATGCCGATTGTATCATTTCCATCGGTGGTGGTTCCGTTGTTGGATTGGGCAAAGCACTTTCAATACGTACTGGACTGAAACATATCTGTCTACCCACAACATACTCCGGCAGCGAGATGACGCCCATCCTGGGCGAAACCGACAATGGCAAAAAGGTCACCCGCTCGGATCCAAATATCCTTCCTGATACTGTGATTTATGATGTCGATCTCACCCTCTCATTACCGGTAACTATCTGCTCGACCTCGGGCGTCAATGCAATTGCCCACGCAGTGGAATCACTATACGCCAAGAACGCCAATCCGATCACAAACATGCTCGCCCTGGAAGGAGTCAAGACATTAGCAGAAGCACTTCCTGCAATCGTCCAAGACCCAACAGACAGATCCGCTCGCGAGAAAGCTCAATATGGCGCATGGCTATGCGGCGTATGTCTGGGTTCATCGGCCATGGCTCTCCACCACAAACTCTGCCACACCCTTGGCGGTTCCTTCGGTCTTCCTCACGCCGAGACACATACTATCGTGCTACCTCATGCACTTTCGTACAATGCTCCTGCTATTCCTGAGCAGATGGAGAAACTGGCGTCGGTGTTGCCTGGTAGTGAAGGCGATGCGATTGAGGGCTTGAATGTTCTATTGGAGAAATTGGGGGTGTCTCGGGCATTGAAGGATTATGGTATGGAGGAGGAAGATGTGGATAAGGCTACGGAGATTGCGATGGGTGTGCAGTATGCTAATCCAAGAGCGATGGAGAAAGATGGTATTAGGGAGCTAATTCGTCGAGCGTGGGCTGGTGAGGCTGCAAGGGCTGATCTATGAGCTATATCACACGTACCAAAACAAATTCAACTCCAAGTCTGTTGAGAGTATAATCCGACTGTCTTCAATAGACATTCTGTGCCCAGTAACATTTATGAGTGTTCCGGTAGAAGACGACGCAGCACTTCGCAAGATGCGAACATGACCAATATAATGTTTACTTCCAAGAAATAGATGTCTGAACGAGTACCGAGAACGTTAAGTGAGTATGGTCACTCACGTCAGACTAATCATATCATCAAGCATTTCATCCAATCATGTGCCGGAACACTGCTTCGCCGCATGTCGCATCCCACCCTAAGCCGTCGAGAAATTTAATGTACCACTCTTGGCCCTCAATCTCTTTCCATACATCTGCAGTGCAATGATGATCAAGAATGCACCAACACAAATCGCCGCTTGAGTGCCAAAGCTGACTTTGGTCCCAGTCGACTGTGCCCAAGTGACCTGAAAATAGCTGATGATAAACCCACCAGTCGCTAAAAACTTGTCAGTCATCGAAGCCAGAGACAACACAAAGGAAGCCAGACTTACTCCTAGCAAAATTGATCAACGCCGAGACCTCCCCAGAAGCTTCAGGATAACTGTCAAGATTATACGCAACCAGAGCAACAGTACTTATCATGATCCCAAAGACATATAAGCCCCAGAACAACGATGTCAACATGTAATGATAACCCTCTTCAAGCGCAAAGCCCAGACCTACAAGTCCGGCAATCATAATTGGCGTACTTAGCCAGATTGTCCTGAGTCGAACTTCTGGTTCAAAGTGTCCATTGTGTTTCTTGATATATCTCTTTGCAATACCGTCGTGGAGCCAGTGACCGCAGACTTCTCCGAGAATGGCGGCAACGATAGGAGTGAAGTAAAAAAAGCCGATTTGTTTGGGGCCGAAGTTGTAGAGGGGGGTGAGGAAGATGGCCAGGGTTGTGTTGATGCCTACGACCCAGGCGAAGGTGAGGCAGTAGTAGACAACTGACAGAAGGACAGTAGGTTTGATGAATACACGGATGGTACGCATGCAGGCTTGCCCGAGGGTGTTGCGAAGGTGGCGCGAACGGAATTGGGATATCCCGACAAGTTGCTCGAGACGAGTACCTTCTGCAGGCTGGTCGGCAGGCGATATTTGTCGATTATAGTATGTTTCTCGTACGAAGAGTACAGTCAAGACCAAAACAAGAGCATTCTGTATCAGTCAGTTAAATGCAGAGCTACAGCTAAGACATGTCCAATTACCATTGTGAAATACACCCAGAAGGCGATGGGCCACTTCTGCGTAGTGATGATGAACGCAGTAAGTAGGGGGCCCATGTATGGTGACAAAATGATAAAGGCTGCCCAGATGTTAATCTTTCGAGCTCTTTCATGGAAGAAGAACATGTCGAATATGAACATCAGACCACCTCCCTGCGCTACAGTGCTGAAGAAGCCGTTCAGAATACGGGCTGCCATAAAAGACTCGAAAGTGGTTGCTGCAGCGCACCACGCAGCAGTGGCCGTCGAGAGAACCAGAAAGTAGAAGAGTACTGGCAGGCGACCTGCCCAGGCGGACAAGATCACAGCAATAATACCTCCAGCTCCAAGCATGAACACATTGCCGACTTGTGAGTGATTGACTGTATCTGGAGATGTCTTCCATTGTCTGCTTGCACATCAGTCATGGTAGAATGAGTTTCAGAACGGATAAGATGGCTTACGCTGCTTGAGGAAGCAATGTCACAGCACCTGTGGCGCTTCCATAGTCTGGCAGAAAGGAAGCAAGACTGATAATGATCAAGATGAGATGTTTCCTCGTCCAACTCCAATTCAGACTGTCAGATGGAGAGTCAGAGGGTTGAGGTATCAGAACTGTGTGTCCATCTTTGGCGGTCTTGACGTTGGTCTGCAAAGCACCTTCGATGTCGGCCACATAGCCTTCTGACTCTTTGAAGCCGTGGACATTCACGACATCTTCGACTGTCATGGCTTGTGTGTCATGTTTGTCGCTATTCATGTCGAGTTTTAATGGTTTGTATGCAATCGTGAATTGAGAGATGCTTCATACGGAAGTGCTGATGGGCCAATCAGCCACAGACGCTCCTTCCTTTATCAGTGCTGAGATGCGGGGTCAGTAGGAACACTTCCTTCTCTATCAGATAGCCGTTGACCTCTTCATCTTGCCTTCCGCTTTCCGGATCACTTGTGTTGATCTGTACTTTGTGACAGACATATGCAAGAAAGCTTGTTTTTCCGAAGTTCCGGTATCGTTTTTGCGAATCCTTCGAGCGTTCCATCCCATGAGATACATTGCGATCCGGACAATGTCTTGAGCGCTTTCCACTAGCTCTTGCAGAAAAGCTCTCGTGCAGTCGAGGAGTCCGAAGCTATCAGAATAAGATGACTGTGCTCAGAAGGGTCCCGAGCAGCGCTTGCACGACTTACCCCAAGCCTCCAAATTTAAGCATTGATTATCACGCCAAATCTTTCACAATCTTTTTCCCACGCCTCTTGCTTGAAGTCATTCGGCCATCCATACTCCTCTATCAAGATCTTCTTTAATCTCTCATACTTTGCTTCCAAGTCAGTGAGCGCTCACATACTTCTATCAACAACCACAGAAGGTAGAACTCACCTCAATACCACCCGTCGAGATAACACCCATACCATGAATTTTCCTAGGAATCCATTCCAAGCGTTTGATTTTATCAATACAACCCTGCAAAAACACCACGGGATCTCGGACGGGAAACCTCGTATAGTGATCAGAAGGACATGCAGGGTCGAAATCATATCGCAACTCCTTCCCTCCATCAACATCATCTTCCTCGTCCACAGGACCATTGAAATCGCAAACCCTTATCGTATCTACTTCCCTGTCAGCTCAACCCTCCTTTCATCAGACATCCCAGCAGCAGAAAAGACTCACTTTTCTCCGTATCCAACACAATAAAACTTCCCTCATCTCCCATAATACTCAACGCGATATCTGTGCTTTTCAAAAAGTTATCTCTTTCACCAATTTCCGGATCTCTGCCTAATTTTATAAATCTGTCGTTGACGAAACTATTCGCAAAACTTCCAGGGATGAAGATATCGTGTTCGAGCATTATACCCTCGTCGCGAGGGCAAGGAAGATGCTGCATCAACGATATCACGGCTGGTGTGAGGTAAAGGGAATGGCAGAGTTGGAGGTTGAGGATGCGGCCAGTGGGCGGAGGGAAAGAGACGGAAGAGGGGGAGATGTAATGGAGTTGGAAGAGGAGGTGGTAGTATTGTGTTATTAGGGCGATGATATCAGATTCTGTGTATGGGGAAGAGGCGGACATTTTGTTGGTGGAAATATGTGAATCTTGCGATAGCGACAAGAATGGGGTAGGGATCTTTCAGGTGTGATGATTGTGAAACGATAGTGTTGATGGTAGTTAGAAGAGACGGTGAAACGTGTTTCGCGATGGAAAAACTTCGGCAATTAGATATATAATGACTACCTGCTCTCCATCTCTCGACAATTCTTTATGTTTGAACTGGTTGTGAAAATACGATAGCGAGTTAGAGACGAAGATACAAACCGTGTTAAGAGATTGGTTCTCCTTGGATATTGTGGATCATCTGTCTCGAGTGCATCTTGTCACGTTTGTGTAGCCATCAGATAGTAAGATGCCTGTTTTGTACTCTCAACCACGCCTGAAGAGAGCCAAACAGATTGACATGCGCCTTGGTCATCAGGGCAATCTCGCAAATCATCGGATGCTCAGGAAATTGCGTCTACAGGTCGTCGACGTGATTGTCGTGGTCAAGCAGGAATATGAGTATAGAAAATATTGTAACGGAAGACAATGCACCGGTGAACTTCCATCTCACATGCGATGCGATATCGGATGACACAGAGCAGTGTTCTTACGCACGAGTGCAAAACGCAAGATTTGACTGCTCAGAAAGATACACAAATTTTAGTCAGCGAGGAGCGACACCGGAGCCTGGAAGAGCCTTGTGTCTACTGTTGTGCTCTCTGAAAATGGTAAAACTATCCGTCAGGGCCACTAGAGTCGTGAACTGGCCCACAAAAGGTGATTGTCCGGAGATTCGAAGTCCTCATCGGTCACCTCCGTGGATGACTCAAGGCAGCAATGTGGTATAGCAGTATATGACGGGAACATTTCGTTGGCAGAGTGGTAACCGTAGAGTGATTGCGGGTACCTCCAGTCAGCCTCATCTTTTGTCGTTGAACGAAGATATCCCGGAGTCGCCTGGTTCACTCTCTGATCTCATTTGCTACCGGTAGCCTGGTTTCATCTGCCTATTTCGGTCATTGGTGGACATAAGGGCGAAAGATACTTGACAGATGTAGTAGATCGCGGGTGATGTGGCGGTGTAAAACCAACTGCCTAATCTCGTCCAAGGTGTGGCATGGTGTTTTGGTGTCCAGGGTTCTACTTTGGGGCCTTTGTTGTCGGTTAGAGATGCTGATATGGTTAAACCTGAGGGACCAGTAGTACAGAAAGCCATGGACCCAGATCGTGGCCAAAGGGTGACAGCTGATCATGCAGCCTGTATGTCGATGCGTTTGAGTTGCCCAAAGTGATTATCGACCAACGAGGCAAAGGCCGAGACACTCCTCGCCAGACGCAGGGAGATAGAGAAGTCGACCGACAGGGCTGATGATCCACACACACACTATGTCAATGGATGAGGTATGGAGTCAACGCCGAGGTGTAGAGCATGTTGCAGACAAACCTGTTTGTTCAGATGTCAGGCAGAAACAATCATTCCAATGTCGGACCAATGGCCGTATTCAGTATCAATATGCGCACCAATGGCATTGATCAAAAGGAAACAACGGACCAATGACCACGGTTCGTAGTAAGCAGATTCCAACGCACCTCTCTACCCGCTAGCTGTATGCACGACACTCGGTAAGTAAGCGACGGCGTAGGAAACTCTAATCCAACGCACCTTGGTAAGGACTGAAAGTTCAGGCAGACATCCAAGACTCACATGCTTTTGGGAGAAGTCATGAGGTGTGTGAGTACACTTAAACTGAGCAAGACGACGTGGCAGTACTTGCTGGATGAGAAGGCTGCGAGGATACCAAGGTCAAATATCACGGCAACGACAAGGCTTTACCACGTGTGAGGCTGGGACCAATAGAACTTTTCCTGGATAGACATAGTCTGGTAGACCATGTCACCGAACGCGTTTACCGCTAGATCTGTACAACAAGGCCGGCAAGTGTGAGTGGTGCGTTTCGATGCGCTTTAGCCTTTTCATGACACGGCAGCTGTTGATGCAGGTACCGCTATGGCATGATAGGCCAGGTTGAGTCTCGCCCCGAGTAGAAAGCGGGGCATTCACCGCCTCTCATACCACTACGGGACAGATTGTGTAAAGAGAAGCCAGCGAGTTGAGATCGCGGTCCAAGGGAAAGAGGATGGTGTGTGGAAAATTGGAGAATCTCATGAGAAAGTGGCGATGCTCAGAGGCATCAAAGGTAATAGTGGTAATGACAATACTAGAAGCAGGCATTACAGTGAGCAATAATGAGGCTCGAAAAGACATTACAGTGGTTTGCAGTACTTGGGTATCAAGCCCCTGCCAGAACGCCAAAGCAAAACAGGTCATAACATCATGAATTCGTAAGCAACGTAACAATGAATCACGCCCGTCATCGACGAGCCCTCACATCCTCTTCTGCCCAAGTCGGTCTCCTCTCTTGGGTGCGATACTTTCTCTCGCGAGAGTTCGCTTCCGTGGTGGTGGTGACTTCTGCTGCTCTGCGGCGCTCTCGGTCTCTTGGTTCCTCATGGCGATAGTCTGAGCGATACTCTCTGTGACTGCGTCTGTGCTCACGGTCGTGGTATTGTGTTTGCTGAGGCTCCTCGTGGCGGTATTTGTCCCGTCTGCGATCATCGGTACGGGCAGCTTCAATGACGACCTCGGTGCTGCTAGATCTGCGGGGTTCGTCGCTGCGGCGTTGGCTGTCGTTGTGAACTCTGACGCGAGGTCTTTCCTCTTCCGTCTGTCTGCGAGCGTGGCGAATGGCTGCAGCATCTTCCATGGCGTGAAGTTGCTCTCGGAGGTAGGTGTAGGTGTGGGGTATCTCGATACGCATTGGCTTCGTGCGGCGATGACATCTTTCGAAGACATTGCCCTTCTGCATGTACATTGACTCAGAGATACGTTCTGACATGTGCTTTCCTTTATGGCAGAGCGGAGCGCCGGACTGGAATCTCTTGTAGGGAGAGATACAATAGCGACAGTCGCGGCAATGAACCTCGAAGTCGTACAGTAACCACGCCTCTTCCTGGGTGAGGGGTCGTGAGAAGCCAGAAACGATGTGAGTTTCCGAGAAGTGCACTCTGGGTGATGGGGGAGAAGCAGGCTGGACAGCAGGTGCAGCAGTGTGCAGCATGTTCCTTGAGCGGATGGGGATGGGTTCATTGACCACGGCGGTCGTTGATGGAGTGCGTCTCGTCATGGGGATGTTGGGAGTAGGTATGATTGGTGTTGAAGGTGAAGCAAGATGGTGGTGGCAGATGTTTGTTGGAGTGGAGTGTTGATCAACACGCAGTGTGCTTGTGGTTGGCAGATGTGGAAGGAGGGAGTGGTAAAAACGGAAAGAACAATGGACAGAGACTGAGACCTTTACTTATCGACCTCAGGGTAGCAGCAGCTGTCTGCCTGAATTTATGCGCAACCCGTCAACGTCAAATGCAAAGCAGACCATACCTTACCCAAAAGGGACGCCGATGGTCTGCGGCGACGTATAACCGTGCATTGCGACACACTGCCCCAGCGAGCATGCAGAGCAACTGCAAGAGAAGCTACGCTAGAAGGGCTTGGGACCATGTTTACCAAAACCTTGATTGCATTCCAAGCGTCTGGGAAGGCTGAGATACGCAAGAGGATGGACCGTCAATCGTAAACGAGCTACCTCACCCTCTTGGCTCCCCCGGACGGCCGCGTTCGTGACTCACGGCGACATATGCACAAGGAGTCTCGTGAACGCATTAGCCCTCAGGAACAGTGCCGAAACTGGAATAGCATGGCCATGGAGACGTTCAGCTCGTCAATTGACCAATTGCTGACACGGTGGTGACATGGATGAGATTGTGGCCTTGCGGCTCCGGATTCCGGTGAAGGAACTTGGCTGCGGGGCACAGGCGTGGCTGGCTCACTTTCAATGGACAACTGCGCCTTGCACAGCGGACTCGAGGATGATTGCTGCCGTGATGAGAGACGTTCACGGATTCTTCACATCCGCACTCCGATCTGAGATGTTGTCGAAAACAACGTGCCGAACATGGTTTGTCGCGGGTAGCGGCACACGCACCCCGTTCGCGTCTGTGGAATTTCATAGCTAGCTAGTGTTACTGCGAGCCATCAAGGAGTGGACACAGCCGTCCGGGGCGGTCAATCAAGGCTGCTAGGAGAGATACATGTCTAGGATACCTGCCTGACATTTCGGCGGCTTGGTATTCAGAGTTCTGACATGTGCCGGGGCGGGACTGACGGGATGTGTAGGACATGGGTCGCTCTTGGCCTGTTGACCTATTGACGTCAAGGTCTTGTACTTCAGAAGGTCAAAGGCATTGTTTGAACATGTGAGAGGACATGCCATTGTGGATATGAAGATTAGACAAGGCAGAATTGTGGGCTTTGAGTCACTTGTCATGGTCGCTGGCAATGGTAAGGTGATGCCTAGAAGTTTGTGGAACTTTGGGCTGAGCTTTGAATGATGAGCTTTGGATGAACGATGGGGCTCTAGCAATGCTGGGTGTCCTTAAGCTGTGAAGCTCATTCCTGAGGTGCTCCATACCAAGCTTCGGTCAGAGAGGCAGTCAAGAGACACAAACCCATCAGATAGTCTCTGAACTTGAGGAAAACAGTTTCGAATCAAGTCTGGTGTCGTTAGCAGCATGATTGACATGTTTCAATACTCAAGGATGGTGAATCTGCAAGTGTTGGTGGTGACGCGAGATGATATCGGTAAGGTTTCGGGCAGATGTGGGGGAAGAAGAGGTTCGCGGTTGACAGCAACGGTCGTACTTTGAACCGTGACTTTTGTTGCATGCTTCAACACGACAGAATCGCTTTCAGAAGCTGAACAAGCACAGCAGGCCTAGACTCATATGACTTAGGAGACAACAATAAGACCGCTACGACGACAATAGGACAATAGGCCGAAGCACCATGACCATCCATCCATAAAGGCTCGATCATTAGAGGAAGACGACGAAGAGATAGCAGTAGACCAGACTCGGGAGTCGACAAGGGACGAGGAAGAGGAAGAGACATCGCTATGGACACCTTCATGGGTACGCCCTCCAAGAGGCGGTCCGTCTCGGATGCTACCGCCACAGCAGCGCGACTCCAGCCATCACCACTTTTGACAAGTCGGACGGCGAATGCGACCAAAGATGACAGTCTGCTGTCGACATCACCACAGACGCCCAGGAGGCCAGACTTTTTAGGAAGAGGACTGTCGCTGCAGATGCCGACAAAGACGACGGCGACAACAGCCACCACGTCTATGGCAGCTCCCAACACGATTCAACGCGTACCGCTATCTCCCCAACTCGACACTCAGACATCCTACGCATCGCCACAGACTTCTCTACCGCGCCACTCGCGAGGGCTGGACTTTTCCAGAGCCTGCACCAACCTCCACCATTCGACGCTAGCCGAACATCCATCCCCCGACTCGTCTCCCATCATTACCCAAAGCGCGCGCAAACCTAGCATGAATAGCATGATGCTCGACTCGCCAAACCTCTGGCCACAAATGCAGGCCGATCGTAGTGCTGTCAGTAGCAGTGTGGGCAGTGTCAGCATGCTTGCCGATGAGGACAGCGATGAGAGTACTAGTGACGATGATGTGATGGACGATATGGACGACCAGATCCTCACCACCCCACAAGTCCGTAAGACGACCAATCCCCAGGCTACCACTCCCTTTAGCAATCACAACACTGTCATGTGGAGCAACAACTTCTCACCAGCCCACGCCAGCTTGATGAAGACTTTCCAGCGCTCTCGTTTGAAGAAAGGAAGGAGCAGAAAGAGTTCAAGCAGTGCCAGCAACAACTCTGCCATGCCTAGTCCACGCACAACTTCTCCGCCGCCTTTGCGCAGCATTGAGGGCTCGGCTCACTTCGGCTGGCCGCGCCTGAGAGAGAACAGACAGGAGCAGCCGTCACTTTCATCTGGTAACGACAGTGGTGATGAAGCCGCTGCCTCTTCTTCAACTCCAGGTGTTGTGCGCCGCGCCGTCACTCGTCGTGGAAACTTGCTGGTAAGTGACGAAGCTGACACATCTTCCATCACTAGACTGACTCCTCTCCAGCCAAAGACAAAGAACTTTGCGCGCATCCGTGCCGCTCTGCTTGAAGAGTCTGCCCCTGTCGATAGTGAAGTCCGCCGTGAGGCAGAGACGATGCGTCAAGTTCACAACCATGATCCAGTCCCCGATCTCGATGGTCCTTCACCTGGCCCCTCTTCTTCACAACCAAATGCCAACCCTAACGATCCCAATGACCCTCAACCCGATACCATCAACAACAATTCCATTAGCTTCAACCTTCATGCCCATCGCAACTCTGGTGGCGTCGATTACTGGCACAAACTCGAAACTGAACTCCACACCCCACCCCCACCTGCCTTTCCTACCCGTGGCAGCTCATCACTTTCTGGCGACATTGCCATGGATTCTCCTGCCGACAACTCAACTCTCCGTTCTGCTTCCGTCATTAGCATGAATGAACCCTCCATCGCTTCTTCCGCCGAGACAGACACACAAGGCTCCACCTACGTGAGTCAAGACGCTCTCCGCAGACCGTTTGGTAAGCGTCGCCGCGACGACGACTTTGACATGCAGAGCTTCAAGCGCAGAGCCGTCAGTCCTAGCATGAGTGTCCACGGTGGCAGTCCAGTTGTCGCCTCTCCTGTTGCCTCTGCTGCAGCACGTAACCAGAGTCTGCCTAGGGACGGCGCTCCCCTTGAGAAAAGTACCAGCAACGGAGCTAGTGGTACTGCACCTAGAAGGATAGGTTTGCAAGGCATGGTGGATACGAACGAAGGTATCATGAGGATGAGCATTGAATAGTAATCATGCTCTTTCCTGGTTGGTCCTTCTTGTTCTTCTCTCCATTCTTTGCTTATCACTTCAATGTGGTCTCCATGCATTCTCCTCATTTCCTTTTCAGTGATGTTGGTTTTCGGTAGCGTAAGGCGTTGGGGTTTTGGGGGCGTTCATAATTTTCTGTCTCTATCAAGAGCTGTCACGCAATACGATAGGTATTGTTCTGTCATACGTATCTTACTCCCCCTTCCGCTTTTCCATCTTAGGCTTGGGATCGGTGCCAAGACTTTGTGCCAATGGTATAACCCTGGCTAGCAGATTGACCACCGTATCTGACCTCGAACAAGATCTGATATGCTCACTAGTCATCCGAGACATACTTCGGCCTTCTCTCTTAGATTCCATAAGGGTAGAAGATGGTCAGAATGAATTGTTGATCGTGCTTCTACATACAGATGGTTTTACCTGAGTCTCCACATCGACCATACAATCTCGAAGCGAGTTTTGGCAACAGAACTCATCATCACAATCGCGTTTTCAAACTGGCTCACGATCTACCAGACCTCCGCAGACCTCTCTGACCACTACCACAAAGACTTTCAGAACGTGATTGAGACATGCGATCTTACCCTCACTCTCTCGACATCCCCCGGCCAGTACTTGTCAAACGTTGAAACATATATGGCGGAACACACGAGCCAAGCATAATAGCCGCTTTAGCTCATCTGGGAGAGCGCCAGACTGAAGTCAACTTCTGTCCTTCTTGTGTCATGCGAGAGTATTCTGGAGGCACTGTGTTCGATCCACAGAAGCGGCATTGATGTGTCTTCTTTTGCTGGTTAGAGGCATGCTTTTGTTTTTGGCAGAGTAGAGCAGCAGTCGTGAGCTAGGGGTGCGGATATGATCTCGAGGTCTTGTGTTCTTTTGCCTTCTGTCTATGGCTTAGGAGGGGTATGTGATAGGATTCGAGTCCCGTGTAGAGGAGATTTGAGACTCGAGATGCTCCTATAGTTTAATAGTCTACTCCTAGCTATATCACGCTTGCAACAGGCGAGAAGTCCTGGGCATAAAGCAGCACGTAGTGCCATCAGTTTCGCACAATCGTTCATAGAACCATGCTCTCTACTGGTAGCAGGATAGTGCTTAGGTAGGTAGCTTCTGCAATGCAGGAATCCACAATTTCTCTACGGCATCTGCTGAGGCTTCAAAGATTGCACACTTTCAGTAGACCATCGTTCCATTTACCGCAATTCGTGCACTTTGATAGCAACTCCAATTGACGGCCTGGATGGCGGAAGAAGCGAGCAGAAAAAGGAAGGATATTCCCCTGTCGTGTGATTGGTCAGTCCATCGAAGCTTCCCCTCTCCCGCGCTCCCGGCGGCATCTGTCACCCACCACGCTGCAACGCGACACGGCCGACCGCAAAGCTTCCTTTACGATCGCAAAGGTCTCAGCTCTCTCCTTCCTTGTTCCTTGACATCCAACACCTTACGACCTCATTTTACGTCTTTGCGCGATTCACCCACCGTTCGAACTATCATCGTTTCAAGCTTTGCGACAAGACACGCGACTTCTCAAGATCTGCTTATCGCAACTTGCGCGCGCGACTGACCAAGTTTGCGCCCACTCACGCGACGCGACGACGACGACATCGACAGTACAGCTTGTCGAGGGAGGATACCTTAGCTTTCATTCTGAGAAGCACTTGGGGTTTAGAAGTTAGACAAACATCCATCACCTCATCTACCGCGCGTGTTTGACTTGCATACGCGTGTCGAGTGCGAAAGAAGACATTTCAGCGCATCCCGTCTTGCAGAAGATCAGAAAGCGACAGAGCAAGAAGAGACAGACACAGGCTCGCCACATAGTAGTCGGCGCCGGAAGCACTAAAAACAAGAGCTTCGTGATTTGCAGACGCGCCGCCGCTGGCACGAGAGCGTGATTTCCCGTCGCCTGCCTCCCCAATCTTCACTCACGACCACCTTGTTGTGTCTGACTCGTTTGTGCGCCTTTGAAAGGTTGCCTCTGTGATTGCAAGGACGACACGACACGAGACACGACAGCCATGTCCGGTAAGCAAAGACAAATACCACACACATGCACCCTACACACGCAGCCATGCGCTTCGATGTGATACATTGGAAGGATGTCAGCTAACGTGGCTGCCTTCGCAGATATTAGACGTAGTGGTCGCGCGACCAAGGGTCAACACAAAGGCTTAGAGCCCGCCGAAGTAACAACACCCAAGAACAAGAAAGGCACCGCCACCGCCTCCCACAAGAAGAGCAATAAGAAGTCGGCAGAGCCCGAACCCGAACTCGATGTCGATGAAGGCGATGAAGAAGCCGCCGAGGATGTGATCCGCTGTGTATGCGGCGACACCAAGGACGACGAGATTGGCCGCCAATACATCAGCTGTGACACGTGCGAAGTATGGCAGCACAATGTTTGTATGGGTGTGCCGTTGGAGGAAGAGAGGCAGCCCGAACACTACTTCTGCGAGATATGCGGACCAGAAGACCACAAGGAGTTGCTGGACGCCATGGCGCGTGGAGAGCAGCTGTGGCAGACTCGCATCAATGACCACGAGGCCGAGAAGCGACGCAAGCGCAACGAGAAGAAGCGCCCTAAGAGTCGCCAAAGCAAAGCTGCCCGTCAGAGTGAAGTCAAGTCCGAAGCTCCCGCCAGCGAGAAGGCCAGCCCTGCTCCTGCTCCCACGCCTGCACCCGCTGCATCGATTCCTCCTCCTACCTCGCAAGACTCGGCACCTGCTGCTGGCAGCAAGCGCAAGTTCGAAGAGGAGACTCCTCAGAAGGAGGAGCCGGCTGTAGCAGCAGAGGCTCAACCCGAGGCACCGGAACCGACAAGATCAGTATCTTCATCAGCTTCGCAGTCGAAGCGTCGCAAGTCGGAGCAAAAGAAGGAAGAAAAGATTGACGCCGACACAGCCCTTGTGGACATTAAGCATCTACCCAAGGAGAGACAGAACCCTGCTCAGGCATTGGTCAAGGTCTTTGGTGATGTTGTGCGCGAAAGAATTACTTCTGGGTAAGTCGTGCCTTCCATTTACGTTTTGCGCTGCCCTGCCCCTGCTACTGTCGAGTATCGGACTCGAGGCTCTTCCCCTCTCCCTCAGTCCTGCATTCTCAAATCTCACGATTCATGCATCAACTCGAGACCATGGCTAACCCATACTTTTTCAACAGTTCCTACAGTCTTGGTCAAGGCGAAAACGCCGAATCAGTCAGCCACCACAATGCTACACGCATCGAGTACGAATTGTACCAAGTCTATGGCGCACCCCCTTCGTCGCAAGGCTACACCCAGCAGTTCAGGGCCATTCACGCCAACATGAAGAAGAACCCCATGCTCGTACAGCGTATGCTCGATGGCTCCCTGACCGCCCATGGTCTCGCGACAATGTCAACCCAAGACATGGCTAGCGAAGAACTGCAGAAGCAACGTCAACTCCTCAAGGAAGAGGCAGACAAGCAGGCTGTCATGATGCGCGATGACGAAGACGACAAACCCAGAGTTCGTCGCACCCACAAAGGCGATGAATACATCGATGACCAAGCCGAGAACACGCACGAATCCGTCTTCACATCAGCTCCCGTACGTTCAAGAGAAGAGACGGACAAGCCACCTACCCCCGATGCCGATGCGCATACCACTGCCGGTGCCGCTGCATCGCCCGATGCCATGGATATTGACCGCCGCGAGTCAAACTTCGACATCAACTCAGTCTGGGCAAAGACACCGGCTGATCAGCAAGCACAACCCACACGTAGACGCAGCTCTTTCGCAAAGACTCAGACTCCTCAAGAGAAGGGCGAAAAGCACGATGCTGATGTTGATCGCATGCTGGCGGACGACAATGAAACCGACTATGCTCCACCTGAAGCTGACGGCGTTGTCTGGAAGGGCCAGCTCATACAGCCCGGAGTTACCGAGTTTACTGCCTGTGCTCGACACGCTGCAGGTAACGACTTCGGCCAATTCATGCCCTGGACTGAAGTGCTTCCTCCTGTTCTCGAGATCGAGGGCCGTCTGGACGCAAAGCGCGCTGACGACTACCTCTGTGGTCTGCAGTGGAGCAAGAAGAGCGACGTGTCTGTACTCGCTCTGACGCCATACGACAATCGTGCTGCTTTCGACCAGATCTTTGACTACTTCGCTTCTCGCGGTCGTTACGCTGTTATTGGCAAGGGTCGCGGCATGTCTTCGATTGTCAAGGATGTCTACATCACCCCTGTCGGCCCTGGTCACAATCTACCGCCTCACATCAACCTGCTGGAGTACAACTCACTGGATCCCAACGTCCCCGAGCGTATGCTTGTTGTTACATTTGTCGTCAACAAGCCCGATCACTGGGACAACCTTGCGGTACGCGACGCTCCCCAGCCAATCGGCGCCAGCCCTGTGAATGGTAACAACACACACGGCCCGCAATTCTCGCCTCGTCCTCCCCAAGGATTCACACCCATGCAGAATGGTCACTCTCAACAGCAGTTTGGCGGTGCTCCCATGCCTCCCAACCCCTATTCAGGACAACCTCCTGCCTCGCAGCAGGCCTATGCCGCACCCAACTCTGGCGCTGGAGCATACCCATCGCCCTCGCCTCAGCTACCTCCCCATCCGAATCCGATGGTTCATGGTATTCTAGGCGCCCTAGCCCATACGCCTGTCGTTGCTCAGATTTTGAGTGCTGCTGGAAATAACGTAGAGGAGCACGTATTGCTTAACATGCGCGATATACTCGCTTCCGATCCTGCAGCACGCGAGGACTTGACTATATTCTCGCAGCGTCTAGCTGGTATGGGCACACAGGGCACTCAACAGGGATAGAAGTCCTGCGGTGTTGTTCATGCAAAGCTTATGTCTGAGGAGAAGCAAGCTATCGGTGGCGCTGGCGCTGTCAATGCCGCCCTCAAGCGGATCGATAAGCAGCAGCGTCTGGTGGATCAATTGCTCCTTCGACGCACTTTCTATCGCTGATGCTGCTGTCGCATTGCACGGTGCTTTTGCTCACAGCTAGATGGCCATCTAGCGCTTGCTTTGCCATTCATGTATCTTTACTTCCCTTTCTCTCTCCCCTCTCTGCTGATGGCTGGATTGACGGAATATGGATGGAGAAAAAGTGGCATGTACTTTTCATTTCTTCCTCTCTTCTCTGTTTTCTTCTGACTTCTCACTTCTGTTTTCTTTTTGGCTCAATTGGCGTGACTGGCTGGGTTTCTTCATGGGATGGACGGAACACTTTTCTTTTCCGTTGCTTTGTGCCTGGCCTTTTGTATGTGGCTGGAAAAAGGAGGCCGTGGTTTCCTTCTGTTGCTGTTGCTTTGTGGTGAATAGATGATTCAAGAACTTTTTCTATACTTTAATATTTGGTCGACTGCATCTGTGATGACGCGATGATGTGTATGTGATGTGCAGGTGTCTATGAATACCCGTGGGTCATGAATACTGATAACCTGTCGCTTGACACACCAGCCACTGCAGGTTTCCTCGGACAGAACAAAATCACTACATTATTTAAACATTGAAGCACACTGACACAAGACTACAACAACAAGTCGACATATGCTACGTGGACCATTATCCATGGCACATGAACCATCACTCAAATGAACCTGGTGATTTTGCTATCAGGACTACGGATATAAAGCCTTCCGTTACCCGCTTCCATCTGTCTTGTATCAACAACAGATTTCCAAAACATAGCTACTACCCGGGTGTACCAGGCTGTGACATTTTGGAGCCAGTTGCAGTGCTGGAGGAGAAGGAATGGCGGGAAGGAGGAGGGGAAGGAGGAGGGGAAGGAGGAGGGGAAAGAGGGAGGGAGGTCTGTGATTCTGAGATTGGTTGACATGTGATGAGAAGGCTGAGAGGAAGGGTCGATAGGGATGGGAAAATAGGGAAAGGAAGGAGTCGGAAGAAGAAGGAAGGAGAGGAGGGGGAAGAGTAGGATCATTGACCTGTGTCTCTCCCCTCCTCCCCTTGCTTCTTACTTCCGGACGAGAAGTCGAATGTAGCGGTGGAGAATGTTGAGACCCAGTGGAAATTGCAGAGTGTGCCAAGTCCGATGACCACAGTCGGTAACGAAACTACAAGTAGAAAGTGTTATTTTATACATCCTGTGTAGATGTGATAATTCTGTTTATCGGGATAGGCGGAATGATTCCATGTTCACGCTTGTCTGGATAAGCTGTCATCCCAAAAGCACAAAAGCATATCTTAGGTTCTATAGCACACATAAACACACGCCCAGCAATGTTCCCAAGACTGTAATCATACACGAGATCCCAGCTGTATTGGAAACCAAAGCTTACCGCGGATGCATACGATGATGATACGAACGAGCAATCTTTTAAGCGCAACCGTACCGATTGAGTCACAGCAAAGGACATACTGTGGGCTCTATGGGGTGCCTGATATTCCGCTGTCTTGAATCTCCTGCGCAGAATACGCATGGTATGCAAGATTGGTAGCAGATAGGAGGATATTGAGGAAGCAGGACGAAGTTCAGATTCATGGACCTGTGAGCTATCCTTGCTCAGCTCTATTCAGAGTTGACTTGACAAACAACATAATTCGTGCATCCACGGTATTCATGGGCCAGCGATCAGTCGAATTTTGTGGCCGGTATTAGCTACCATTGTGGTGGACAGAACTTCTTTATATACAACTCGATCTTGAGCCAGCCATTCACATCGTCCTATCTCGATTATCCTGTCCTCTTGCACATATGTTCGAACTCGTATCAATGGTCGATGTACAAGCGATTGCGTCAAGAGATACGTATGTTATCGAAAGTCTTGGTTTTTCGAGTTGCTCTTGACCACAGTAATCATCGAAAGCTGCATGTGTAATCACCCAGAAGACTATGTGCCTGGACACCGGATGGATTTATCCTTGCTCCAGCCTCCAAGTCTTTATAAGAACAACAAGAACACTTCTGCTCACAAGCATCGATGATAAACGATTCACAGATGGAAACACAAGTCCAGTATATATAGTGTACGACCACAAACCAGAGACTGGCCTCAACTATGCGTGCAGGAATATTCAAGACGAGAGAAAGGAAGGGAAGAAGAAGAACGATCGGGTCACTGATGCTGCAAGGTAGATATTTCTTCTCCTGTGATGCTCGATCATAGCCGTGATGCCTCGGATACCCGAGGAGGGTAATGGATTGAACGGTTCACTGACCTGCTGTCTTGCTTCCCTGGTCTGGTCGCACTGTCTGTGGTACTGTACTCTAGGGAACGTTTTATATTCCAGAGATTCGTGATGCGTCCTTGGTTCGTAGCTTCTGACGTTCTGCCTCATCGGGATCTCGTCTGCGGTGCTTGACTTCCGAAGCGAGGAAGCTTACTTCACGATTTGGAGAAAGGAGTGAAAGGGCTACAAACTTGTATTAGAGGAAGTGGACTTCCAAGATTTGGGAGGAAGGAAGGAAACGTCGTTTGCGCATATCCTTCCTGTTCCGGATGAGTGACGCCATCAGGCAGAAGGATTCATGCTGGTTGACCCTTTCCCTGATATCAATGGCACTCTCACACAGCCTTCGCAAGCTTTAAGCCGACTTCTTCAGAACAGTCACATACTGAAAATTGGACCGAACAATGGCAAGCAACTTGGAACAAGCCTCGGAAGTCCAGCGACGACAAGAAAAGAGCGAACAAGCCAGACAGAGGTTTCTGGACTCTATTGCCAGGAGCACCGATTATGACTGGATCATGCAAAATATACGTTTCGGCATCGAATACCCACAGCAAGTGTATTTGCAGCATGGTATGAAAAGAACCGACGAGCAACTCGAAAGTCAACTCAAACAGACGTGGTGGAAAACGGTGGAGGCAGCGAAGTTGTATCCTGCCGACGATGACGGACGCCAGTACAAATTGATCGCCTGGGTCGCTGGAGCCAGAGCGCGTGGAACAGTGCCGAGTACAACACAGGATGCCTATGTCGCGGATGGAGGGAAAGTCTTGTGGAAAGATTTGCCGTTTTTCGAAGGCGCTCTTGAAAATGCATGGGCGGATGAGGCAAATTTGTCGAAAGAGAAGTGGACCAATCTCAATGCTTTCGCATCAGGCCTCGCTCAAGTGACTGGCATGGACTTGATGCAGTTCGGTCTTCAGACCATCAAAGCAACTTTGGAAGAACCTCGACTTGTGTCTTCAGGGAATGTTAAAAGTCAGGCTGGTCATAAGTCTGTTGCAGACTTGTTGCCGGCGGCGATTTTTTGGCTCGGAAGATCATACTCTTTCTTCAAAGTCATGCTGCCAATCATCGAGCGAGCGGTCAACGAGGGGAAACACCCGCCGACAGGCTGTGGAAGTGGCATCGTCCCGGGGGAGCTAGCATTGGCCGGTGGAGTCACTAGAGATGGCTTGAGTCTTGCGAGACAGCGTTTCTGGAGACATCGACTCATAGAGATTGGACAGCAACCAACTCAAGCAAGCGGTGGCAATGAAGGCGAACGTGATACAACGGCGGAGACTGCCCTTGAATGGTCGAGAAGAATGGCGACTTGGACTCTGAATTGGCCAATTGACATGAAAGATGTGCCTGGCTATGAGGAGCCGATCGAATACAAAAAGGATGGTATATGATCTGGGAAGGTGCAAGACTGCGCTGCGCGCATCATTGAGTCCTGGCGTCGAGATTTAGAGACAGAATTTGTCAATCAGATATTTGTTTGATGCGATGCAGTCAATGAGTGTTGAACGAGATATTTGAACGTTGCACGATAATCTCGAGTTGAAAGGAAGAAGGAAAGACTGCGGTGACCTGTCGCCAAAAAAAAAGCCAAAAACGCTGTCGATGATGTCATTGATTTCTGTAAACATCATTATTCTGAGAGCTCCATTCTGCCTCGCAACCATCTTAACAACACCTCAATTCACAATGACGAAAGATTGTACACTCTGCTCTACTCCCAGAGACGTATTAGTACGCTGTCAAATCGACGAAAGCGCAAAATGGCATTTCGTCTGCCCCGGAGCATGCTGGAAGTCCGTATCCGGAGGCGTAGAAGATGCACGCGGTCTGAATGATCAATATCCGCATTATCGGTATGGTGGCATGGTATGAAGAAACTAGACAGTGGTTAGGCATCTCAGCTGACAAGATGCAGTGGAAGAACAGAAATGCTGATGGCCCGATAAGCGCGAAAAAGCCAAAGAAAGTCAAGGACAGACAGAAAGCTGAGAGGAAAGCGCGGAAAGATGACCAATCAGCTTCTGATGAACAAGAAACAAATGAAGAGAGTTCGGAATAGCTGGATTGTATGGATCTGATATGACCCAGTATTTCGCGCTCCCAGCCACGCGAGCAGCGATTTGAACACTATCAAAATGCCGGATGATTTTTGCTATTCGAAAAAGGTCCAGAGAGGGCGGAAATGAACAACGTTCTCCATGGACGAGTATACTATTCCAAAAAACACCAATTAATTCCCAAGTAGGTCGACGCTCTCCGTGGTCGACCTACGCGGAAATTGGCTCACAGAACACATGCAGCGTTGATATTAGAGCTGGAGATGAAAGCCAGGCGGTACAGATCGAGAGTGCAGTATGTTGGACCTGACTGCTCTGGAATACACCTACGTTAGCCCCTTTTTTTCTTTTTTTCCCCTTCATTTTTATTTCTCCAGATCTAATCATCTCGCTTCATTCCCAAGGACACAGAAATCGAGATGACGAGCTTGCCAAACTACAAGAAGGGTTTCCAGACTTGAGTGCCTGTCCAAAGAGAGCTCACTACTCATGCTCTCGGCGGAGCCAGAAAGCATTTTCATCCTGATGTGACGATCTACGGCATCCAGTGAGAAAGAGAACACACTGAAATTTGCGCGTCCCAGGAGGATGTACACTCCAAGGTAACGCCCGTATCAAAACGCAAGAGGGCTCTCGAGATCGAAGGGTTCGCCGAAGAGAGAGCACACTAAAAGTCATGTTAGCAGCAGATGGGTAACCAATGGCCAATAATTTTATTCTTGCCGGCATAGACAACGATAAAGGTCGATTGGCTTGGCGAGTCACATGGCTTTGTATCAGAAATACCTCAAAAGCCGGGAACATGACGTGTCTCTCACTGACCGCCGCGACTCGTCTTTAATGCCTCTTTCACTTGGAGCCTTTGACTTTTGACACCTCACCTCCTCCCTATCTAATCGTCCCTCTTCATCTGGACGCCGTACGGAATTTCTCGACCTCCAAATTCATATGCTCCAGTACGCAAACAACCATTATGGAAACTGACCGAAACTGGCGCCAAAGAGCTTCGATGGCTGGCATAAGGACGGCGCGCCCAGGCGAGCCAACACCGAGACCTTGTATGGTCTGCTTCGACATTACAGCGGACGATGTGGTTGAACTACCTTGCGGTCACAGATGGTGCTCATCTTGCTTAGTCCGAGCATTCTCCAACATCCATTACCAGTCTCAATGGCCAGTGAGGTGCTCCAGCGAATGCCATGTGCCGATTTCCGCCGTCACCAAATACCTGACCTCGGATAAACTCCAGAGATTGCAAACCCTCGTCGACGAGTTTGAGATACCTCCCTCAGAACGACTCTACTGCTCAAACCCTCGCTGCAGCAAGTTGCTCTCTCGCAAGGAAGCGCACGACCACTCCGTAAGGTGCAAAGAATGTCTTACTGGGACATGTGTTGATTGCAAAGCAACCGCGCACCCTGGACGAAGCTGTCCACCTCCAGGTCAGGATGAGCAGCAGACGCTGAAGCTATCTAACCTGAACAAATGGCAACGTTGCCGCCGGTGCGGTCAGATGTGCGAGAGAGACGGAGGCTGCCCACATATGGTGTGCGTCTGCGGTTACGACTTCTGCTATCACTGTGGCAGCAACATCTACGACTGCAACGGATGCCCAGGAGTTGAGCACAGTCTAGACGTCCTCGATGATTTCCGGAACGTCGCGATAAACCAACGGCGCAGGGAAGATCAGCTCCCTATGCGGCTACAAGCACAAGCTGCAGTAGCACAAATACTCGAGAGAGGTCGTCAAGCACAAACACACGCGACAAATCATCAAGCACAAGAACCAAGGAATCACCAACCAAGACAACACCCACATCGAGGAGAGATACAAGAACAACATGTCAACCAGATAGCAGCGGCTCCACCAATCCACGCAAGGCAGCAAGACATACGAACGCTTGCCGATGATGTACTCGATCGGCTCCAACCAGAAAGAGAGGAACTAGAAAGAAGATATCGATTTGCAAGGATGGAGAGGGAAAGAGTACAAGCAGCACAAGTAGCACAAGCAGCACAAAGAGAACAAGTAACACGAGAAGCAAGAGCTGCACAAGCTGTGCGAGCAGAAGAGAGACAGATGGATCGGTTCCTAGCAATGTTGCGCGAACATGGACTCGGAGAAGAATCAACAGATCAACAAACAGCCCAAAGAGCAAGAAGAGAGGCCGAGCAAGTTGAAACAGAACGTGGAACAGTACCGATTCTGGTGGGCCCGGCTAGTCTCAGGCCAATCGATCTGGAACAGTTCTCAGCTCAGCTTCAGAGACCCATACCATCAGGGCCAGTTGCGCCACTTCCAGCACGAGGAGCGCGAGGAACGCGAGGATTTAGCTTCTGGCGACCTCGGAGAAGAGCTCAAACGGCAAACGAAAACGAACAACGTATTTCGTGACCTCGTCGCAGGACCATCAAACCTACTGAGCACTGCCCAAAGTTGTGCGACAAGGAACACTGGCCAAAGACCGCGCCCGTGAGAAGGATTTCAACAAAAGGGATGGCCGAGTGTGGACGGTGAGCTAGTCGGAACGTCATTCATCCTGACATCTGGTCGCTCCAAGAGTAGCCGATCAAGCAGCCACCGATAGGTTGCAAGCACTACTAGCTTAAACATATGGCTATGCGAAAACTGCTAAGGGCATGACGGATAGAGCAAGAGTTGCGAAATGAACAAGAGATGTTGCTCCGAGACTTCAAATTTCTTCGTTGCCTTCATCTAACATATCACTCTTCATCATCAGCGAATCCTCCTATCTTGCCCGTGTCCACGTCGTTCACGCCGTTTTGAGAGCACATTTCTGGTTTGTAGTGAGTTTGTATTCGTGTGATAGAGTAGTCCGTCTGCTATCAATCATCTGCCATTATCCAGCGCAACAAAAGCGCAATCTGATTGCAAAACGGAGAATTGATAGAAGAAAAGGGGAAAATACAGAAGTATAGTGCTTCTAGGAGAGCCATCGGCCGCCCTTTTCAAAAGCGAGAAGTTGACCGTCGTGCCCTCACCGAAGGGCACCGCAAGCCTGAAAGGGAAAAGGCAAGTCAAGCCCCCGAACAGGCCAGAAGACCAAGTCACCAAAAGGAGGACGCACATCGCGGAATCTACCATCGCGCTCATCGAATTGTGGGCAGCCGCAAGTCTTCCAGCTAGCACCGCACACGTAGCAGAACTGGTGACTGCAAGGGCAACTATTCAGTAGGTCAGCAGAAGTAATGACGTGTCAAGTTCCGGTGAGCAACATGGTAACTAACGTGATATGATTGCATCCTGCACTCTTGTCAAGAAATCTTGCGCAGGCAGAACATTGCTGCCATCCCTCCTCCTTCGCCAGCTTGCCGAGCAGCTCGAGGTGCTTGGATTCGTGGTCCACGGAGCACTGACCAGGATGTGCATGCCTAAGGCAACCGTTGCAGGTGAGATCAGTACACCTGTTGCATCTAAGTATGTCCCTGTTTCCACGTCCCAGAAAGGAGGAGCACTTTGGATTCGCGCAGTAGCGTCTGGAGGCGTCTGGAGTGTTGAACTCCCGTGCGCTCTGTTCAAAGGACTTGATCTGTGGCCGATGGAGACAACATGCGGCCTCTTTCAGACTGATCTCTTGTCCACAGCACTTCGGCGGAAAACTGGCCTCGTTTTTGGTAGCATTACTGAACATTATGCTGACGCAACCAGGACAGTAAGTGTGATTGCAGGTAGACAAGCACAGGGACCCCTTTGAGGAAACAGGCTCGTAGCAGCAGTCACACCGCGCGGTGCCTTTCTGTTATAAATCAGTCACCGACGGATGTCATGATTGACACACCAGAGGTATCATGTATCAGAAGAGTATGCGTACCTGATCTACGTGTTCGTGTTCTGGATCCATACCGTCGATGATTGTGATGAAGGTGATCGAGAAGTGGCTTGCAGAAAAAAGAACGATGATGGAAACCGGGAGCTGAATTTTGGTGCACGCCGAGGGATTGGTAGCAGTCGGTCTTGAAGATGAGTCGCCACGGGAACCAATTTCCCACCATCGCTATTTGTAGACTTTCACACTCCGTAAGAAACGGCATATTCGCAGACGTCGACTCGGCTAGGCAACCAATCGTGTGCATTTGTTATCACAAATTCTTTTTCTTCACGAGCACCACCCCTGTAGGCTGTCTCCTTGTCAAACGTCGACTCTGAGAACACCGCCCTGATCCCCTTCGACGAGCCTGAATAACGATCCGCCTTGCTACGAATTCTTTCTCGCTCGCAGTTTCTGCCAGGAGACACAATACAAATCCTCTATCGTCGACAAGATGGTGTTTTTCCCAAATGGACGTGTAAGTTAATCCTCAGGGCGCCTACACTCTGGTTTTTTGATACTAATATTCACACCAGAGCGTTTCCTGTGGCATATGCGGCGAGATCTGCAACTCCCGCAAGACTCTTGTGGCCAAGTGTGACGATATCTGGTGTGGTCAATGTCTGTCAACACAATTCGAGATCGCCGTCAAAGATGAGACCAAATATCCTGCATCCTGCTGCAACCAGGAGCTGGATTTTGCGATCGCCCTGAAGCTCTTCTCAACTGGCCTAGCTCAGCAATATGCAGCTGCCGGTGTCGAGTACAGCTGCCCCCCAAAGGAAAGAGTGTATTGTTCGTCCGCTTGCGGGACCTTCCTTGGACCCTCAGGCGGCGAGGAACACCTACTTTCCTGTGGAAAGTGCCTGAGAAATACATGCACTTCCTGCAGAGGAAGAGCTCATGAAGGACCATGTGGCATACCTGAGCATGTCACTGTCGCCAAAGAGTTGGTCGAGGAACAGAATTTCCAGAAATGCAGCAACTGCGACAACATAGTCGAGAAAATCGATGGCTGCGACCACATAAAGCAAGTCTTGATACCCTTATCTCCGCTTCTCTGGCACGAATGCTAATATCTTGAAGATGCAGATGTAGTCATGAGTTCTGCTATCTCTGTTCGGGAGATTGGAAAGACTGCAGGGGTGGATGCCAGCATACCGCCCTTGATGATGACGATTTCCAACCTCTCTGGCATCGAAATCATCTCGAACGAATGGAAGAGTTGCTTGCGGTGAGCGTGGCGCTCCTACGTGCCCAGGGAGGACCTCGTCACCCCGAAATGGACGACTTCCTAGCAGCCGTCGAGCAAACCCTACGCCTCCACCAAATGACTCCTCAACCTGTTCATCAAGCCGCCCGGGCCGCCCCAGTAGTCGAACAACCCCACTTCACCACTGCAGAGCTGGAACACCTCTTTCGCCCTCGCCCATCCATGTTCAGACCCTCCAACAACGAGCTCCGTCGTGAGAGACACGCTCGCTGCGGTGCTGAACACTTCCGACAGCACAACTCTCAGGGCACCTGCCGCGACTGCGGCGACGTCGACGAGGAGGTGCACCTTGCTTGTCGTTACTGCAGCTACGCAGTGTGTTTCGGCTGCTTCAGTAGACGTACGGATGCAAGAATTGTCGCATAAAGCGAGAGCCTTCCTCGATCGTCTTGTCAGACCTGGCTGTTCTCTTCGTCGTCTCCTTCCCGTCAGTCTCGGACGACAAACCTTCTCGGTCGATTGCCACCACGATCAATGACATACCACGGCGATTGACCCTTTCCGGCAAGTTGAGAGTACTCAAGGCTCATCTCTTGTCGTTGAACCCCGTCTCGACCAATCCGGCAATTAAGTACATCTCGTAGCCCACCACCGTTCATGATCAACGACCTCCTGCAATACGCCCCATCCTCTGTTCAATCACCACCCCTGGTCAGCTCTCTCTCATAATCTCCTCCCCTCATCACCAAGAAGCTCTCCTCGATGGCTGTCATACCATCTCCTCAAGCCTGCTCAATCCTCAACGATGACTTCTCTCACACATCGAACAGCAACCTTGCTCTGTCACGCACCGGTGAAATCAGAAGCCTAGACCCGGATTGGATAGAGAAACAAGACTCAAGCCACGGGCTCTTTGTCTATGCCTCCGCTTATGTTTCACTCTTCCAATGTTTTTCTGCTTTTTGCTTCGTTTCTTTCTTCTCGGCTTTAGTGCATTTCTGCTTTGTTTTCATCCGCATCGGCGCTCTGGAGTTCTTTTCTTCCTGTCCAACCTTGTCTCGTTAGTGATGGTGGGTTGTGATTGCCTTTTTTCCTAATAACTTGTTTCTTTACACTTTTGACCTTCGCGATGTGACCGTTCAGTTAAGCTGTAGAGATGCAAGATCTCTCTGGGATAATGTAGATGTCTATGGAGAGTGTGGTAGATTATCACTCTCTTTGAACATTTGGAAAAAGCAAAAAAGGATCTTGCTTTTCGATGGCACGTTTTCTCGACCAGCGCCGGAGGAGGGAGTTACAGTAGCTACTAGCCATCTCATTCTGGTCTGTGTGTTTCTGTAGAGATGCAGAAACATGTTTGAGGTGACGCAGACGTCTAGAGTCGCTTGGTAGATTGATGCTTTCATTGGTCATTTTATATGAACTGGAAACGATTGTGCATTTTTGACAGTATTCTTTTTGATCAGCACTGGAGGATGGAGTGAGCTACTTGAGATTTGATTCGTATCTGTGTTGTTTTTGCATAGTATTGAGACCGTGTGAAAGAGAATGCTGCGAAGCTATCTTGCCCATCTTGACTATCTAGCTACTTGTGTTTGAATGAAAGCAATGAGAAACAGAAGGCATGTTGTACAGAAACAGATATGACGAGACTGCAGCAAAAGATCAATCGTATGAGTGAGAAGCGACCGGACCAGAAAAGAACAGACTGTCGAGAGACAGCGAGGAGCGAAACGAAAGAAATCTTCATCAGAGAAAGCAATCACCGAACGTATCTCCCCCTTGGGGCCCTTCCCCTGCGAGTATTCCTCCTTTTGCGAACATCACCATAACCTTGGTCTAGGGTGCACCAATCACAGTACTGTACAAGACACCCACTGCATCTATTGAGATAGTTGGGCAGGTGATCTCCACAGCAATCGCAGAAGTCGGCAGTCGAGAAGGGTGTCCATCCGCGGTGAGTGCAAACTTCCAGACCAATATCGGCGACACCTCTCTGCTCTTCACGTTCGAGCAGCATACTGGGTATGATGAACGCGCAGCGGCACCCTCTCCACTCTGTGCCGCATAGATAGCAAAACTCGTTCTTACAGCGGCACCTACAGATGATGTTCAGTTCAATTCGCGTTTGTCAACATTCTGACCGATGCAGGACTTACGTCATGTGGTTGCATCCAGTTCTGTGCTCAACAAATATCTGACACCTCGAGCATTTCCTCCAGCCGTTCTTTCCAGCGAGGGCTTCAAGTTCCTTCACACTTTGCTCGAGCTTGTTCTGACAACCCTCTTGATGAGTCTTACCTTCGTTGACCTTTTCTTTGCAGATCGTACAGGTGATGCAGGGACACTTTTTGCATCCAACTGTTTTGCTTCCAAGCAAAGGCTTCAGAATGAACGCAGAGCATTCTGCACAATATAGCCTGTCCTGGATCGGAACACTCATCTCAAGTTGCCTGGCTTTCACCAGGGGAGTCAGAGCTTCACGAAGGAGATGTTGAAGTTTCGAAATGTCCATTTTCAACTTGCAGCATTGAGGCTGGAAGTGTGTAGTGTTGCGCAGTGCGTTTGTAACCAACCTGTTTATGCATTTCGTACAGTATGCATGTTTGCATTCATTTTCATAGCATTGGGTGCGTAAATGCATGTCACCACAAGCTATACATTCGAGCTCGAGAGGTAAGCTTAGACGAACATGAGCCGGCTGTGCAGACACGATGGACGCAGTCGATGTTGGAAGTTGATTCGGCACAGGAAGTTGATTCACTGACAAAGTGGTGCTGGAAAGTCCATTGGTCTTATTTGCCGTCAGGTCATTCCCAAACAGGACAAGTGATCTGGGCGGAGAAGCAGACGGGAGCGGAGCATCGAGACAAAAAGGAGCTGGTGGTGTGCTCGATTGTGTTTCGGACACAGTAGGATACTCGAAAGGAGCCAGGCGAACAGAAGTGAAGCTAAACCCGTGAGAGGCCTCAGCCATTGCGTCAATTTCTGAAGTATTGGAGATCTCGAGAGATGATGGAGCGGCAGCGTCCCCACAGTCAAACTGACGCGGCTGAAAGACGTCATGACGAGAGTCTTGTTTCTTCGTAGGTCGGGAGGTGGGAGTCTCCTCTTCTGCGGGTCGTTTGAGTTCTTTGAATTGTTCTGACATGGGACTCGGAGCAACGGGCATCTCGCCGAAGACACCAGACAGCCTGTCGTGTTCAAAAGAGCTGCGCTGATATCTTCCAAAATAGATTGGTTGGTACTGCGACTGGTTTCGATCATGGCGAGCAGTATCAGAAAGACCAGGCAATGTGACATCTACTCCGATCTGGTCGCTTTCATGTTTCTTCGATGGCGGCACTTCCGCGTCAATGAGATCATCTGCCGACCGTTTTAGAATAGGTCTGGGATAACCAAACAAGGTAGTAGGTTGAGAACGAAGGGCGCTACTCGTAGGTTGTGGACATGGCGAAGCATTGCTTTCAGCCTTGATAGCAGTTGGGGACTGGTCCGAAGCCTCGGCGATAGCTATTTGGTGATCAGCGAGAGGGTTCGGAAGCGGCTCATCAGGATTGAGTTGACGAAAGAGAAGGCGCGCGGATATCTCATTAGCGCGAACTGCTTCTCTTTGTGAGACTTCTTCTCGAGAAACGATCCGAGCGATGCGCAGGTCGTCGATCTGTTGGTGAGCAGTACGAAGCTCCTGACGAGCCAAGGTGGCGGCCATAAATGTGTCCGAGTTAATGCTATGACGGCTGAATGCCTGGATTGAGACGAGATCCTCGTTCAGCAGGCGCAGGATCAGTCTGTGTGATTTTTCGTCATCCATCGTGGCGATGGCTGAGGTCTTCGAGTTGATAGACGCGCAGAAGGTGACGGAAGAGTGAAGGGATAAGGACTGGACTGTAGAGTCACTTAGTGACGCGGGTTTGTAAATGCGAAAAAACGAAGGTGCAAGACGAGCGCTAAGACGCAGACAGCTGGTGCTAAAGTGAGCAGCTATGGAAGGCGCGACGAGCCCGAAGCTGTGCTGGAAGAGAAAACGTGCTTGCTCCGGAAGTCACGTTAAGGACAAACTTTCTAGGTCGCTATCACAAGGCAAGCGAAGATGAGATTGGCATGAGCGATGGAGGCAGGGAAGGTGATGCAAAATTAGGGCGAACCAGGAGATGTTCGACGAGTCTCATAAAACGTCCAGCGAGAGAGATCAGCTATTGAGCGGTCCATAAACATACTCTGGGCTATGGAGTGAAACATCTTTGAATCCGTGAAGCTACATTATCTGCTGAGGTTCGACTACCATCCATTGTCGTATCGTCTCCTCTAGCCTTTCATGTTTTGCAAGCGCCTAGAAGAGCTCAAGTCCGCTGTTGTCCGCCACACATGCTCCGTCGTGCATAGGTGCCTTACATCCAATACATGTTGTTCCATCACACTCTGTACACAGTGGCTCCTTTTCGTCGGTGACGTAACCATCTGGTATCTGTGACGAACAACCGACACATGTATCCCTCTGACTCATCGGCACTGCCAACTTCATGGTCTTTAGTGCAACGCGATCGTAGGTGTCAGCTTCAAGAACATCTTTCAGCTCCGAACAATTAGGCCAGAGTTTTCCGCAGCATTGTGGAGGCCACATACTCTCGTCTCGTAGAGCGAAGTCAAAACAGTAATTGACACACTTGTAGCAGTAATGATGTCCACAAGCCATTCGGTAGATCTCGGAGGTCCATCCAGTACAGTGACAGACAATACAATCCTCATTCCATTTGTCCGTGGACATGTTCTCGATGTATGGGGGTGTAGAGGGTGAGTCAGGACACAGCTCACGCGGACCACGGGACTGAAGCTTGATTATCTTGCTATCGGCGACCGGACTGAACAACGATGTCGAAGTAACGGTCCGATCCCTCAAGGATCCTGGACATTCAGAAACAGACTTGGCAAAAGGAGATGGCACATCGCAAACGCTCGGCTCAGCAGTGGACTCTTTGACTGGCATGAGACAGCTCGTGGCGGTTGCGCTGGTCGCAGAACCGAAGTTTGCACGATCGCGTGGAATCCAGATAGACGACCAAGAGACTTCTGGCCCGGCAAGAACGTGGCTGTCAAGCTTGGGGCTGCTCGAAGTCTGGGACGATGCTACGGATCTTGGGTGCTCCGGCACGGGTTCCAAACTGCTGCCTAGCATTTCGACAGATGCTTGTGGGCTTGGTCTGCCAGCAGGCAGACTGGCGGATGATTTGAGCGTAGAATGAATCTGATCGCAAGCTGTATTCTTCTCGGGCGAGACGCGGCATGCAATTGTCTTCATCTTCAGCTCAAGAGTCCCCTTGAGACAAAGTATCTCTGATTTGGCTGCCACCTCACGTGCCTTCCAAAGCACCTTCTCGTTGTCTCGCGTCAGTGCTTCTTGGTCAAGCGTTGCTTGAACATCATCTCCCCGAGTCATAGTTGCCCGCTTCAGTAGTGGAGAACAGAAACCCAACAGATGATCTTCGGAAGGCTTCGAGGTGATTTGGGCAGGGACAGGAGATGGAAGGCAAACAACAGAGCGACTTAATTTGTTCTTCGTCGAGCTAAATCTGGACATGCTGCCGTTTCGAAACGGAGCACAGCGAGGAAGACGGACCACGGGCAAGCCGGGATGTTGGTGAAGCGGTTCCGCAGATGTGGCGATGACAGGCAAGGGGTTTCTAGCGGCGGGTGCGAACAGCGACACGATCAATGATGTAGCGTTGACCTTTTCGTAAGCCAATCCTGGTTGGTGGACATCGCCAGTCTCGCGAAGAATAGGCTCATTCAAGGCCTGAAGTTGTAGGGGCTCGTGTCGCGCGCAGTTATCGGTGTGAGCGGCACCTTCGATCATCTTTGTCTGTGGAGCATCATCAACGTGCTGATCCAGTAGTCTCAGTAGGCGGCGGTAGGCGCGCAGAGTGGCCTCGATTTCAGCGACATCGTCAGTCGTAGAATTGATCCAGAGGGTGGCTAGATCCTGGCCCTGAAGACGCTTGAGTAATCCATGAGTCTCCTCGTTCATCTTTGTGTTGTGTGCAGGCCCGCTGAGGTTGATGTATTGATTGGACAAGAGACTAGAATGTGATGCCTTTGGTTTGAGTGACGGATTTCTTCTAGGAAGGTGCGATGCAGTGTGAGACGCGAAATTCGATTTAGGAAGCTGCTGTTATTCTGTTGACGGCCAGCCTAACATTTTGTTCATGACTGTTATCGACGCCAATGCTACTTACAGCAGACCGTTGCGATACTCAGAAATGATCGCGTGCGAGTTTTCTTTGTGGGTGATTTGGCCGTGCCTACTTTCCAGATCTGGTTCCGACAGAAGGGACCGCCAACTACAACAACCTCATACCCAAGCTTACGAGACTTCGACTGCTAGAATCAAACTGGGGGCAACAGCTCCGAGTTAGTGCATGTCACGGATGCTGTGGTGCTTTATTAGGGTGATGACAAAGAAAAGACGTAGAATTGGGTATGGACAAATGTTTATTTAGAAAGGCTCCTTCTCGTCGGAACGGGCCTGTAAAGGGAGATGTCAGCACTTCGACCTTCGGAACATGCAAGTCAAGACTTACGGGAACAGCGCCGGCGCCGCCGAGTTCCCTATCAAGACCGCCGGGGAATGTTCTGGGGACGGAGGCCTTGTCAGGGTAGTATTGGCGGACGACACCCATCAGGACAAAGACGGATGCGATGAAGGTACCGAGGAGGACGGCACCGTGACCGGGCTGGAAGTGGGTGTAGGGTTCGGTCGAGAAGATACCAAGAGTGTCGTTGTCTTCGTGAACGGGCTCGCCGAAGTTGCGACGCTCTTGCTTGTCCCACCAGTCACCGTAAGGGTCGCGGAAGGCGCGCTTGACTGCCGGGGGGTTGACGTATCCTCCGTTCTGTAAAGCCTTGTCAATGCGTGTCCGTATCCCGTCCAGAGAGTCTTCCTTGACGCACCATGCCAATGTCCTCGACGGCCATCTCGCCAACGAAGTTCTCCTTGTTGGCATTGTTCTCGGAAGCGAAGCGCAATTGTGTGAGGGTGGTGCGGGGAGCAACCGATCGTACGGCGCTGGAAAGCGGGCGTGCCGCGGCGATTCTGCGGGAGAGCATCTGGAAGTGTGTCAATGGGTGTTCGAAGAGCAGTCGGATCCAATGCGTACGTTGTGATGTGATGTTCTTCCTCCAAACACCTTCAATCGGTATGCGCTGCGGTCATCAGCTTCGCGCTTCTTGGCTGGGCGGGCTGCCCTCAGGCGGCAACTTCCATGGGATAAAGTTGAAGCCAGCGGTGACGCGCCAAGCCTTGAACGCTAGATTGACACGACTTGGAACTTTTGCTCGACACACCTACAATCCGGCCTTGTGACGTCTTTTGGCCATTATCTACACAACGCCGCCCGATATTACGATTCTGAGAGCGGCATGATAACCAGTGCAACCTGAGCTTCCAGCGCTCCAATTTTTGAAGGAGGCTCGATTGGCGTTGATGGAGATTGAGGGGGTCACGCGAAACGAGGGCGCCCGTGATAGCCACGAAAGCCCCAGTCCGCCTCCGCCCGACAATCATCGATTAGAAAAAGACATCGACGAAACCTCCGCAAACAACACAGATGCCGTTGACAGCACTCCAATCCCCGATGCACATGTCGCCGATGCATCCCGACCAGCCTCACCAACCGACAAGCTTGCCGTCGACTCTGACTCTCCCCTTAGCTCCGAGGACGAAATCGAGTTCGACGCGTCTGATCGTCCTTCGACACCACCTGCTACCAACGGCAAGAAGCGCAAGCTCGCCGACCTTCAACCCGACTCTCGCTCCCGATCCGCTTCGAAGCCCATCTCGCCGCCATGGAAGTCGTTTGCGGCCGACGGTCCTACCACAATTTTGGACAATGGAAAGAGAAGATCGGGTCGCGTGAATGCGCCAGCACCCCCAGTCTTTGAAAAGGCCACGCCGAAGTCTAAGAAGGCAGCTGCAAAGACGCCAGCAAGCAAAGGCTCAGTCGTGAAGAATGCTCAAACTGCTCAACAGACAAGTCATGCAAAGCCGAAGGAAACGCCAGTTCCCAAGCGCGAAAAGACTCCTCCTCGCCCTTCTCGTGTATCTGCCCGGATTAAGAATCTAGAAACATCTCCGGAAGTCGTCAAGAAAGAGGAGCCCGCTCCAACACCCATTTCTCCACAAGTCAAGCGCAAAGCTGGTCGTCCTGCAAAAGCCGAGCAACAGCCTCTCACCGAACCACAGCTTCCTGCTTCACCCGACAAATCGTCGTCGAACCCGCGCATTAAGCTTAAGCTCAAGCGACCACAATTCTCCTTCCTGCCTCGTCATCCCAGTCATGTCATCAATCCACCACTTTTCCAGTCTCTCGACGATATCATCGCACATTACGATCAGAAGAGCAAAGACTCTGCATATCAGAGCAGAGAGGATGACAGATACGAGGGTCTCGAGCGCCGTTTGCCTGAACGGATTGAACAGGCACCTGAAGAAAGAGCTGAGAAAGAAGCTTTGGCACGTTTAAGAATTCTAGAAGCTGCTCAACCTGGAGGTCCTTTGAGCGAGGAGAAGAGTTCGGTTTACCTGCCTGATGACCAGAAAGAGCCCGCGCAACAATACAACCACTGGGACCATCTCTGTGCTCATGGCTTCTACTTCAAGTCACTGATGGAGAAAGAGAAACGCTCACACATGGAAAGTGCCAAAAGAGTTGCATACGCTTGCTTGGCCAAATGGAAGGAGAGGCAACCTCAGACTGAGGAAGAAAAGGAAAAGCAGGAAAATGAGTGGTACAGACTCATCTATCGACAGACTGTCAAAGACATTCAGCGAAAATGGGAGCTTGTTGGTGCTGAGATCGATCGTCGACGAGCGACACGTTATGAGGAAGAGCAAAGGATTGAACGAGAGCTTAAGATGCAGAGCATGTTGGAAAAATCGACAACTTTGCTGGACAAGCGTCGCGCTTTACTGGATTCTGGTCTATCTGTAGATGGCGAGGACGACGATGATGTTAGCTTGAGCGAAGGCGCCTCTGCCGACGAAGAAGGATCAGACATGTCTGGCCCCGAACAAGACGAAGACCATCGCATGACATCTTCTGAATCCGAAGGCAGCGACAATGAGGAAGAAGATGATGATGATGTCAACTTGTCACCTGAAGCGTTGCGCCGGAAATACAGTAACATACCAGACTTACCGCAAGATCAATCCGATGATGAAGCTAGCGACATGGATGTCGATGAAGACGAAGACCAAGAGTTGGCAGAGTCGAAAGTCACGAATGACAATTCCGACGAAGACGAGGACGAAGAAAATGAGACCGGAGCCGAGAGCGAGCAAGTCCAGGAAGAGCGGGATTATTCGAAGGTTCAGCTTGAAGAAGTGGATGACGCGCTTCTTGACGACAGCGATGAGTCTACCGATATGAGTGACGAAGATATGAGCGACGAGGAAGAAGATGATGAAGAGGAGGAGGAAGACGAGAGTGAAGACGAAGATGATGGTGGTCTGCTCGGATTCTTTGGTGGGCGAAAAGCACTCGCGAAAGAGACTGAGCCCACTGAGGATGCTGACAAGCCTGAAGAGGTCGAAGGATTGGCTGAGCGACGAGATGAAAAAGTTGAACATGTTCAAGCCGCGGTGGAAGACGACTCAGTCAAAGCTATTCAGGAGTCCTCCGACCAAGCTGAACTTGTCCAGGCGAATGAAGTCACCTCTGAGAAAGTCGTTGTCAACACCGAGCTTGGCAACGACCGCAAGGTGGATGCAGCAGAGGCCATGGAGGTTGACGAGGGCGACGTCACGATGCCGCTCGCCACGAATGCTGACGCGCCGACAGTCGTTCTGGAGGAACAAGCGGTTGCTTCTGCTCAACAAGAACATCCGCCTGCACTATCTGTGGATATTGATGTTGAGGAGACCAGACCTCTGCGAAACCATCCTCAATCGCTCAGTCCTCACCATAACATGCTATCAGCAGACTCTCACGGAGAGGATCGAAGCAGTCAGACCTCTCCAAAGGACGATACCACAATCGAGCCCACAGAAGCCGAATCAACTACCAGTGTTGATCTAGACGAAACCGACCGCATGTCCGAAACCAGCGATACCCCTCAACCTGGAAAGTCAACCAAAGTCAAAATCCCTTCTCTGCTCAGAGGTACTCTCAGAGAGTATCAACACGAGGGTCTTGATTGGCTGGCAAAACTATACGCCAACCAGACCAATGGTATTCTGGCAGACGAGATGGGTCTCGGCAAGACTATCCAGACGATTGCGCTTTTGGCACACCTCGCGGAAGAGCACCACATCTGGGGTCCTCATCTCATTGTTGTACCTACCTCGGTCATTCTCAACTGGGAGATGGAGTTCAAGAAGTTCTTGCCTGGCTTCAAAGTCTTGTCTTACTACGGTTCTGTTGAGGAGCGAGCACAAAAACGAAAAGGCTGGAGCAACCCAGACATCTGGAACGTGGTCATCACTTCGTACCAGCTCATCTTGAAGGACTTACCAGCTATCAGAGTACCCGAGTGGCATTACATGATTTTAGATGAAGCGCACAACATCAAGAACTTCAACTCGCAACGTTATCAAGCCATGATCAGACTCAAGACTCATGCCCGACTATTGTTGACTGGTACTCCTCTCCAAAACAGCATCATCGAATTGTGGTCTCTGCTTACCTTCTTAACGGCCGGTCAAGATGGACAAGGTATGGGTGATCTCGAAGAGTTCACGGAGTGGTTCCGCAGACCTGTGGATGAGATCTTTGTGGATGGCAAGAGCAAGCTTGGCAACGAAGCTCAAGACATTGTCAACAAGCTGCATCATTCACTTCGACCGTACCTTCTGCGTCGCTTGAAGTCTTCCGTCGAAAAGCAATTGCCTGGCAAATACGAACATACCGTCATCTGCAGGTTGTCGAAACGCCAACGTCAGCTTTACGATGCTTTCATGGGTCTTTCTGATACCAAGGCGAAGTTGACTTCTGGTAACATGATCAGTGTGTCGCAAGCTTTGATGTCGTTGCGAAAGGTCTGCAACCACCCGGATCTCTTCGAGGAGCGTCCTATTGTTACTTCTTACGCCATGAAGAAGCCTTACACCCGCCAACCACGATCAATTGCAGCAGATTTCGAGATCAAAGACTTGTTCTTGCGCAAGAAGATGCTGAACCAAGACCCTCATGAGGTGCTTGATTTGGACTTTTTGAGCCTCAACCTCACAAGCCGAGAGTCGAGATCGAGATATCACGTCAGACGCAGCAAGCAGCTCAGAGCCAGCCGGGCCATGGACCAGATCGTACGCAGAGAAGTCGAAAGGCTAGGCAACCACACTCCTGACAATTCTTCGTTTGTCTCTATCATGGGCCAACAGAACCACATGACTGCTATGGATAAGCTGAATCGCTTGCGCCAGTGTGCTTTCTTGACAGAGCAACGAACCGAGTTTGCACCTGTCTATGGTACCGACCTCATCGAGAGATGCACGACATACACATCCGACCGCTTAAGGCAATCGCCTCCTCGCGACAAAGCTCTTCATTCAGAGTGGTACTTGGAGTCTTCGTCTCTAGTCCACAAAATGGTCAAGAGTGTTGATCAACGTTCCGAGGCAATGAACACGCTCATCCGCAAGTTCGCATGCATCACCCCGAATGCAGTGGCATCAGACATCCTTCCATACATGGTTCCTCGCAAGACAATTTACAGCGTTCAATCAGCTTCACGATCCCCCGACCCAGACGCCTTCCACGAATCTCGCGTACGCCTCTCAATCGCCTTCCCGGACAAGCGCCTGCTTCAGTACGACTGCGGCAAACTTCAACGCCTCGCAGACCTCCTCCGCGACCTCCAATCCCGCGGCTCTCGCGCCCTCATCTTCACCCAAATGACCTCTGTCCTCGACATCCTCGAACAATTTCTCAACATCCACGGCTACCGCTACCTCCGCCTTGATGGTAGCACGAAGATTGAACAGCGTCAAGACATGATGGAGCGTTTCAATCGTGACACTCGTATCGATGTATTCATCCTGTCTTCACGCTCCGGAGGTGTAGGCATGAATTTGACCGGTGCTGATACAGTCATCTTCTATGATCTCGACTGGAATCCACAGATGGACAAGCAGTGTCAAGATCGTGCTCACCGTATCGGACAAACTCGCGACGTACACATTTACAAGTTTGTCTCCGAGCACACCATCGAAGTCAACATTCTGCGCAAGTCGAATCAGAAGCGTTTGCTCGATGAGGTCGTCATCCAAGAGGGAGAGTTCACGACCGACTACTTCAACGCTCCTGCCGCCACTGTCGACGACGAAGCTCTTGGCGACGCTTTCGCCGGCGCAGCAGTAGAGAGAGTTTTCGGCGCTAACGTCGGCGAGAGAAACGTGCAGAAGGTTCTTGAAGCTGTTGAAGATGCAGAGGATGTTGCCGCTGCTCATGCGCAGGCGAAGGAAGTCACGGCTGATGATTTCGACTTTGATGGTGGTGGTGGTGGTGGCAATACCGCAGCTCAAAGCCGAGACTCGAGAACGCCAAAGACCAGTGTACCTGCTACACCTGCTGAACCTGCTGATGGCATCGACGTTGCAGACGTGGAGAAACTTGATGGCGGAGAGGATGTCGGACATGTGGATGAGTACATGCTCAATTTCCTGGACTGGGCACTCAAGGACGTCAAATACGTTCCTCCGCCCGACAAATCTCGCAGAGGAAGACTAGACAAGCACGGAAGAGATCGCAGCCATCGTCCTCGTGTGCGATAGTATTGAGCATGTTGTGGACTTGTTTTTTGCATAGCGATGGCTTTTTTTGTCTGTTTTACTACTACCATTCTTTTCTTGGGAAGACACATTCCTCATTGTACGATTATTATACTACTATTCACTACCTGTAGCTTCAGAGCTTGTTTTTGGCATCAATTCCAATTTGAATCAACAATCATCATAAGACGACTTTTCGTGCAATCTCGCTTTTCCCCAGCAAAGTCTCTCAAGCTGAGTGTTGTTCTGTCTGGAAAGTAAACGCGACCTTATCCTAAGTGAACCACTGCTCTGATTCGAAAATCGGCGTGCCTCTCACCAGTGCGATCTCTGCAGTGCAGCATACTTGGTATAGATCTTGTCCTGCCCAGCTTTAACTTGACCATCCGTTCTGATACCATTCTCAGACACACACATATCCAACTTTATAGAGAATTGACAACACACTTTGGATTGTGGCATGTACACGCTCTGAACAGCAGATCGACAAAGGTATATAAGATCTACTCATAGCTGACTAGTGTATCTTGAACACTCATTCAATGTCTCTCACGTTGCCGTGATAACAACAACCTCTCATTAACGTGTGTGTGTTTATTGCTTGTAACAAGAGATAGGGAGTCAGGAGATAAGGGAATCAGGTCTGTGACTCTTGGTTCTGCTTCAACTCATTCAGCCATTGCTCGTTCAGAAGCTTGCTACTATATAGCGAAGAAAAAAGCCGTGGCTAAGAGAGGGATACTCGTCAGAGATCGGAGTCACGGACCTAGGTATTTTTCTTTCTTCCTGTCTGGGGAGCCAGTGGCTTGAGGTAGTTGCATCCATGGAAAAAAGATAAAGACCAGATTGGCAGTTGCCATAACTCTGGGTTCTCGTATTCTGTAATTGTTCGTGAAAAGGCGAGTTTCTATAGCTGGTCATGTCTGATAGAAAGATTGAATCTTAGTCTGTGCGTCGAGGACGCAAAATAGGAGGGCAGATATTGTTGTAATTGGAAGCTGCAGAATAAGTCCATATGATACAGGTGAGTGTGGATGAAGATCAGTGTAGTACATAAACGAGGTCAACTGAAGAAGATTTTCCCAATTTTTATCTATTCAACCTTATCATTCCTCACAGGGAGAAGGCAACCCTCGCGATACACCAAGCCTTTACGGTTCCTGAAGTTCGCAGAGCAGGTTATAATTTTGCAGCACACGCAGGCAATAAGGTTATCAGGTCACTGATCCTGAAATCTCCCTTTGTCTTCTCAGTAGCGCATTTTTGTCGCTATAGACATTGATAAAAATGCTCGGTGAACTGAAATGCGTTTTCGGATTTTGAGTTATGGACCTGAGTAGTTTGTTTCCCTCTTCTCTGGAACCCCATGCCTCCTGAAATCTTGAATATTGTGTGAACCTCATCAAATCACCGCTGGCAATTCTATCTGGTTGCATCCTTTGTTTCAAAGTGCAAAAGTCAATGCTAGAGGCTGGTTTTATAGCTAAGTCATCTATGTAGAGATCATCTTGCCTCAATTATGAGGGCAATCATGTTGCTAATCTTGTACTCACTAATCGGACGTGGTTAATGGATGGAAGTGCTAGAAAATAGTTAGCTATGTTTCGCTTCGGATTCTCGAAGCATTCGAGGTTTGAAGTCATAAGATGTGAATATCTGGTATCGAGCATCCGGTACTGAGTATGTATGCACCTTCATGGGTAAACGACTGGTACATTAAACGCAACCACAAGGATCGCCATGGTTGGAACCACTACGTCCTTGTCTCATCCTTCTTCACGTGATTTGACGCCATATCCAGCCTCTTTTACACTGCGAAGGCGGGCAAGAAAGTGATCAGGTCACTGACACCTTCCTCTCCGAATATACTTCTTGAATTTCTCTGTCCTTGCTCGCAATATCGAGATGAGAAGAGCTATTGGGGATCATGTCACTTCTCACTATTCCATTAACCTTGTCAGTCCTTTTTGCTCTTGATCCTCCTCTCTTGGTTGATTATTATCCTATGTCCTCGCAGCAATAGCACTCTGTATAAACAGAGACAAACTCATATGACTCTCTTTGAGATATGCTGCTAGCTCATATAGATTGATGGATTTGTTTAAGATTGTCTATTTCATAAAGTTGTCGTCGGTGGGAGTGTTCACTGACCCATCACCTTACACTGTCCTTTCTTGAGGCACAGCTAAAGACTATTTTTGAGAATATTCACCCGAGACATTGATCATCCTTTGCTTTAGACACGTCGTTCGAAAGACGGATCTACCTAATCGTTGTATACCACAAAGACGTTCCAGAAAGTCAGGACACGGAAGACAGACACGTCTGTGCAAATAATACTGCTCATTCGAGATCCGCAGCTGCCGTGGCAGAAGCATGCCATTCGCACACCCGAACACCGCTTATTATGTGCTTTTTGGACGCTCACAAAATTGTATCACCGGAGGAATCAACCTGGAAAAGCAAAGTTCTGCCATCGGGTCTACGATACTTGACCGTTTCTTTTGTCCTCATTGACTAACCGAGAACTTCTCCTCTCCGCGTGTGGATGGTGTTGAAAGGAGAGCTAGAGCGCTGTAGAGGTATTACAGACCTGCGCTTACTCCTATCAATTTCTCCATCGAGACCGCATGCGAAGATCAGAGTCTTGAAACAACGTCAAGGACTCGGAAACTTAGATCTCGCGACTGACTTCCGAGTCATCAATGAGCTTGAGTTACAGTGCAATATCGCATTGCAAAGACAGGACGGTGCTTCAACCATCCATCGTCCAATGATTTTCTAACAGCGTAATTTTCTGTAATAAAAGTCCCACACGGTGATACCAGTAGCTCGAAACAATCTGGAAGATATAAACGGGCTCTGAATCACTTGAGATTGACAATACAACCAAATGCAACGTTCATGTACTACACAAACGAGCGATGACGGATCTATCAAAGTTGCTCTACATTCAGAAAACCACACTCGACTTCAGAGAGATAGATACAATTGTCGGATTCGAGATACTGATTCTCGCCGCTACCCTAGTTTTTCGTAGTCAAGATGTCTAAACGTGATGTTTTCCCGTCCTTGAGAAGCTAGGCTCGTGAAACCATACACAGTCCACAAAATTCACCGTATAAGGAGTACGACAAAGGGAAGGTTCAAACCTATCGTAAGAGCTAATATACTGAGATATGATTCCGAACGGGTATCTCCACCGTATCTTCTCACGCATTACTCGCTTCTTGATGGCTTTTGGAACATTGTACAATAGCGCTATTGAACAAGGAACAAAACACAAGAGACAAGATCTTCTTCCCACTCAGCAAATGGGTCGACGATTTCCGGGATATACGTTCTGCCGACGGTAGATTCCTCCTCTCACTTCCCCAGGCTGATCAGCCTAGAAAGCACTAATACTCCACAGAGAGCAACTCTCATCCAACATAACACATGTCTCAAGCCTTTATTCTCTTGTTTTGTATGAAGGGGATCGAAGCAGGTCAGATGAGATTGCTTGCCTTGGTGAACGGCTTGATGATGACTGGTTCACAATGTCAGCTTTTCCACTCCTATACTTCAATAGAAGGAATATGCCAACCTTAACCACCGTATGGTTTAAAGAAACAACAGATGTTGTTCGCGCACGTGTAATTCGTAGGTCGGACCGCAGAGTGGCCAGCCCGGCTCGGTTTGTGACAGTAACAATGCGGATTGGCAGGAGATATGCCTAAACTGTCACCTCGACGCATGAAACCTTTGTGCCTGACACATTGATACCATGGTCTACCCTCGTTGCCATTGGAATTTTCAGGTTTAGTTATCTTGCAAGATCCTGTTGTGTAATCGCGACATTCACGGCAGTATGCTTCGATAGTGGCAGGTGCCATGTTTGTCGTTGTGAGATACAAAAATTTTCTGTGCATCGCAGTAGTCGACTCTTTATACCTCACGCACTGGGGCAAAGAGTCAATGGGACCAACAGATGTGCATAATTCCACGTCAGCCGGTATGCAGTTTGAATACCCTGAACCAATGGCCTCTGGCACATGATCTTCTGTTGCGTGTCCAACATGGCGAGTATAGACATCACTATACTGATGGAACCAACGAGCAGGGACTGTAAAACACTGGGACCTTTGAGTGGACGAATCAGAACACTGGGACCTTTAAGTGGACGAATCAGAACACTTGCCAAGAATAATTTCGATATTGGTTACAGATCTTCAGTAGATCATTTGGGCATGCAGATGTGGGATTGGCTCATTCGGCGCCACAAAAGCCGTCTGGCATTCAGAGCACATCTTGTCACCATCTGTCGCAGTACATAGACAATTGCACGAAAGGAGAAGGTGGAATGATTGGTTGAAATCATGCTCACAGCTCTTCAGCAATATTTCCAGACACACTATGATTGCAGTCAAGGTCCTGAAACCACGTGCATAATATGGATTCTTACTGTAGGAACATGACAGAATTTTAATTGTAATAGTTTGTCGCGAAAAGAGACCTTGAAAAGAAGAAGAAGAAACAATAGAGTACGACCATCGCTTTGCACCCGACCTCTAACTCCAAGCCCCAAAAACATTGGTGAAACCCTAGGAATCAACCTCGAAAGTGACGCAAGCATTAAGGTTCTTTCCAGCATAAACAGCAGAGAAAGGATATTCCTCATCACCTGTATCAACCAACTTGGGGAAGTAAGGTCCTTTGTTGGCAGCGTAATCGCCTTGAGCAGCAAGACAGCTCTTAACACCTCTATCCTTGCCCTTGCCAACCTTGTAGCTCAAGAACTCAAAGCTTTGAGTAACAGTGTTGCTAGTGCTGCAAGAACATTCGCTGAGGGTAAGAGGGCTATCAACATAGGCGGGCGACTTGTTCTTGGTGGGGGCGCCAAGGGTGAGACAGTAGCCGGTATCGACGTGGAAGAGGTAGCCGCCGGCGGGTTGGTAGATGAATTCGTCGCCGAAGGAGCCGAGGGAGGTCCAGAAGATGGGGTCGTGGTTGTAGTCGATGGGGGTGGGGAAACCGAGGGAGTAGCCTCCGAGGCTGAGTTGACCTTGGTTTCCTGTCTTGGGGCAGGTGGGAACGTAGGTGGGTGCGGCGGTCTCGCTGGTGGTAGATGAGGAGGTGGTTGAAGGAATGCTTTCGCTGATGGTGACGGTGATTGTTGAAATGACTGAAGTGACCTTTGTTGCGATTGCTGTGGCATCAGTGGCAGTAACGACGGATCCAGAGGCAGTAGCAGTCTGCGTCACGGTGACGGTTCCAGTGGCAATCTGCGAGCAAGCGGAGGAGATCTTTTGCGAAGGCCAACCAGCGATGGAAGTAGGGACTGGAATGGCACTGCGTTTGGCAAGAGCGACGGCAGAAGCTGCAGGATCAGCTGCGGCGGGAGTAATGACAGCACCCTGAGTCGAGGCAGCATTGACAGTCAAAGTGCTGGTCATGTAATCAATTATGGTCTCATTGTCGCTGACGGTGATGATTGGAAGCTCGACAGTGGTGGTGATGATGCTGGTTGCATCTTGACGCTTGCGATTCTTGGGAGCTCCAGTGACTTGAACGGTCGATGTGGAGTAAACTTCAGTTACAGTCACCTCCTCGGTCACGGTTCTGTGGACAGTAGAGGCAGCAGGAGTGATAGCAAGCTTTGCAGTCTCAGTGGGAGCAACATATCCGAGGTAGCTTGTGCAGAACTCCTGTCCAACTTTGCTCAGATAGTCAATATCTCCAGGAAGAGCTGCGCACAATTGTGGGTAGCCGGCTTTGACAGCAGAGGTGTTGGTTAGAGCGATCGAGTTTGAGACCTGGTAAGAGTCGGTATCGGTGGAGTATCCGTGGTTGTTAGCGTAGCTTGCATCAGTAGCCTCAGTGTACAAAGCGCAGACCACAGTCTTGGGGACACCGTTCTGAGACAGAATGTACATGTTGGCGTACACGCAAGTCTTGTAGTTGCAGTCGTCCGAAGCTTGAGACTTGTCCCACGCAGTTTGCTTGTCACAAGCAGCAGCACAAAGAGCAGGGTCGTAAGAGTTGAGGTAGACGGGCTGGATGAATCTCCACTGACCCACACTATCATATACTGGTGCATTGACGGCAGCAGGAAGGGTGTCAAGAGAGTATCCCGCTGGAGTCTTAGGTGCAGCGGCCTTATTGTAGCCGTTGCTGCCAGTAACCAGAACATGGAAAGTGCCGCGCCATTGTCCCTTGTTGGTTGCAGTGCAGTTAGTCTGAGGCATACTGTAAAGAGAGCACTTGATGACATCGACGGGGTTGTTCTTGCTGTCAGGGTCCTTCTCGTAGTAGATGTTGGCAAATTGACAGGAGCTGATCTTGTCACAAGCGGCAGTACATTGCTTAGGGTCATAAGTTGACAAAGTCTTGTAAGTCAAATATCCGTTGGCTTGTGTAGCGCCCTGGTAGTTGACAAATGCTGGAGTATAGCCAGAAGGAACTCCCTGGTAGTCTTGTTAGCATATCAGGATCTAACCATAATCTCAAGTATGATACATACATATTTGGAGGTATCAATGGGATAACTCAGATCTCGACGTTGGACGTTTCCCGAGAGGCCGCCAACATATGAGCGCTTGTTGGCAACAGGGGTCTCTGAGGCGGAGATGGCAGTGCTGACAGCAGCAATAACGGCAGTTTGAGCATCGGTGGCTGCCTCGACAAGAGCGAGAACGGAAGCAGTGGCTTCGGCAGGATCGTAAGTTGCTGAAGGAACACTGTCGACAACGCCAATTGGAGGTCCAAGGACCTCTGGCTCGGGAAGGGCTGCAATGTCCGAAGGGTCAATGTTGCTAACCAGTGTTGTAGTTGCGCCATCAACCTCAACAGCAGAGCTTGACTGAGCAAGACCCATGCCACCAAAGGCAAGAGCCGCAAGAGCGAATCCGGTCTTCATGTTTGTGGGGTAGTATAGAGGATAGATGGGAGGAGTGGAGTGATCTGCTGCTGATCATCTTGGGGAGAAAGGCCAGTCTTTATATCTGTGGTATAGTAGGTTGTAGGACTCCTCCTGCGGATCATCGTATCTGCTTGTCAGCATCCTACATTACGAAGCAATGGTACGTCTCCCTCGCTTTCAGCCAGTCGTGGTACATATCCAAGAGCTTGCCGTTCGAAGCGGTGGTATGGGAGGGGCTTATACGGGGCGGGCCATACTAGTGTCCGGCGAGACCGTGCCGTGATATCAGCACTGTCTTCGATGTGTTGGCAAGATGCACTTGACTTGAGATGTGTGTAAGATTCGCTTCCAGACCTCTGATCGAGTCCAAGCTGCTCTTGTTACAATGCCATCATTGCGCACCTCTCAGACCTCTATCGAACAGATGCTAAAGATTTATTTTCGTTGCTCTTTCAAACAAAGCGTGTCTCTGCAGACCATATGTCACACAGCATGGTTTGACAACATGTCGGTTACTTGCAGCATGTGCAGATACAAATTTAGCCTATGAAGAAGCAGCCAAGCTCTAATCTGCCACCTTCCCTGTTTAGCGTGTTGAAAAGTGCATGGAAGGTCATCCTTCCCTGTGGCGCCGGTCTCTTGGAGTCAAGTCCTTCGGACAATATTCCATCTATAGGTCGGAACCATACTTGACACATCCAAATCTGTCTGATATAGCCAGATTGGGTTGTGTTATTGTCCGGACCTGCATGAACGCCATGCCCAAAACGCGTCTAGCTCGTCGGAGGTTTGCAAAGCTGGCGCGCATACACATTGTTAGCTCAAGGCAATGCCAATTCGAGCACCACGACTGCAGGAGACCATGGAAAGGTTCACAGAGAGACACGCGCCACGAGAGGGTGTTGTGGACATGTAGTATGGCAGACAGAAGGCAGAATGGTCGTCAGTTAGAACATGGAAGAGTGTTCGCGAAGAACCCCGCTTCTCATCATGTTTTGTGGAGGAGGCTCAACAACAGCCACCACGACAGCACAAACGAATGTCTCGGATATCGCATAGGGCTCGATAGTGGAGATTCTGCATGTCGGCATGGGTAGGATTCTTACTCTCGTATAGACTGCATAGCACATGAGAGCTGGGATTCCTTCCCACTTTTGCGTGCCGTTCGACTGGACAGATGGGAGCTGAATGCGTGGATACAGACAACTCAAGCGAGCGCGCTTCGGACTTGGAGAAAGACACTCTGTAATCTTGCGATATATTGGTATAGCAGTCAGATTGCAAGTAACGGGATATCTCATGAAAAGCTAAAATTTGTCTATACAGTGGGCATCATCGCGAGAAAAAGGCGCTTTTGGGCCGCTTCGGTTGTGGGTCTGCCACCTTTGGTCGGCCTCTTTTCTTGCCTTGCCCAAGCCCAGAGGCTTTCTCTGGCTGCGGCGAACCCGACGGAGACGCGTTTTCACGAACAATCTCCTTTATTACCTGCTTCGAGAGACATCCATCTATATGCTGGTTGAAAAGCACAGGGTCAGCAGACTGCGGCTGACTACAGATAGGACAGTCCCATCTCTCTTCCTGCTCTTCTTGTTCCTCTTTGCCTTTGTCTTCAGGTATCGCTGCAGGAACACTGGCTATTATTGTACCTGCGTGCGCAGCCGCCGATGGTTTCGGAGTATTATTGTACTCTTTCTTGTATTCCTGACTCATCTTCTCAAGGGTGTCGAAGTCATCCTGCTTCTCTTGGCGCGCGGCCTCTTCGAATTCCGAGTCAGGCCATTGTTCCCATTCGCCTTCGCCGGCAGGCATGAACGGCTTTCTCGCTACAGACTGCGGTTTAGGCGTAAAGAATGAGTCGATATTGCTTTTCTTCATGCTGATTAGTGACGTGAGCCGCAGCCCCATGAGACGCAGAGTGAATTTGGGAATCTCCTTTTCCAGCTTGACAAGCATAGGCAAGGCGAACTTGTATAGGTCGTCAGTCTGATGAACTGCTTTCGGAGGAGCGACTTGGCGTGTTAGGATCTCGTATGTATGCAACTTCACTTTCAAGACTAGGGTCCTGCCTTTGAATTGGGTTCTTTCACAGTCTTTCTCCAGCTCTTCTGCGACATGGCGGAGCATGTCTCGGAGTTGCTGTGGATCTGACATTTCTTTGAAGGTACTCTCGGTACCGACGCTCTTACGTTCGTACTCCTCTGCAGGCTGAACATTCGTTCTACCGAGTCCGAGGTAGACGGCCATCAGAAATTGAAAGGCTTTCTCGCCGAAGAGTTTGGACATGTACGCACGATGAGCAAAGATGTCACCGCAAGTCTTGACACCGATAGCATCAAGTTCACGTTCAAATACTCTGCCAATACCATTGACTTTGCGGGTGGGCAGATCCTTCATGAATGACATGATGCTGGCGCGATCCGAAGGCAGTCTAAACTGGCCATTAGGCTTGTTCTTGTTCGAGCAGATCTTTGCAAGTTTCGCATTTGCAGCAATACCAGCTGAGACAGTGACCAAACACTGTTCGTGTACCTCTGCGCGCAACTGTTGTACGACGTCGTCTGGATCCATGTTGTGTTCTTCGCAGTATGGTGTGATGTTCAGATAGGCTTCATCGACACTGGCAGCCTCGAAGCGGGCATCGTATTTGACCAGCACGGCACGTATCTCCTTTGCTTTGGCGGAGTACTTTTCAAAGTTGGGCGAAATGTGAATGAGCTGTGGGCAGAGCTTGTCGGCAATGTATCCAGCCATTCCACTCCTACAGCCATGTTTTCTTGCATGATAATTGCATGTTGTCAGGACACCCTTTCCAACAGCGAACGGCACATCCTTCAGATCAGGGCGGTCCAACTCCTCGACAGCGGCATAGAAGGCATCGCAATCGACATGGACAATGGTCTGTGTCAGATCGCGGCTCAGTTCGAGCTTTTGTACGTATTCATCGGCCTTGCGTAGGTCGTGGGTCAAGTCAATTCTGTCGAGCTGGCGCTTTTTTGCGAGGATGCGATTGATCTTGATGGTCAAGTTCTTGTCCTTGACCTCTTCGTTGTTGAAAAACTTGCTGCCTTTGGACGCCTCGTATATGATCTCGGAGACTTTCTTCTGGTCGACATCATCTTGGCCGGACTTTGTGAGGGATGGACCCAGGAGATGGTACTTTAGAGTATGATGCTGACTCGACTCGGGGTCGGACGGGTCGACGGTAGTAGGAGCGATGTCGTCGGCAACAGGAGGAATGCTGTCATGGCGGGCAGGGCCATCCATATCTATTCGTGTGATTGCACATCTGGTGATGGTCACCAGATGGCAAAGAGATTTGCAGAAGACAAAGCGGGCAAGGCTTGAGATGATTGCCTCTTCCCAACGGGCGAAATCGCAAGGCAGGCGCGAACGTGGGGAAGGCGCGCAAACAAAGGGAGAACAAAGAAGAAATAAATGTTTCGGGAATGCAAGAAAGTTTGTGGGACCGAGCTTTGGCGGGCTGGAGCGTCATTTGGAGATTCCAGGACTCGAAGGTCGTTAAAGCGTGACAACCACGGCAACCGACGTTTAACGGTCAAATACAAGTAGGCAGAAGCCGGTCTTTCATCTCGCCAGACCATGCACCGGCACTTCAGCAAAGGTCTCCGTACACTGCTGTAGAGATGATTGGATGGTGGTGGACAACGTTGGTGCAGACAAATCGACAGTCAACCCCCTCATAACAATAAGCCATCATGGCCAACCCTCGCAATCCACCCCCGACCGCTCCTTCCTCACGCCCTGCACTTCCTGCCAAACCAGCTCTGTCTCGGGTGCCTCATACCCCTCGTCTCGCTCAAGACTCAGCTTCGACATCGGCACCGCCATTCCGCCCCAAATTGCAAGAATCAGACTTCCGGCCCAAACTAAACAACCACAAACCCACTCCCTCACCGCAACCTACATCGCGTCCGACGGCGCAGGTCGCCTCTTCGCATGTCACACCGCACTCGTTGACTGGAAAGACGCGAGCTGGCCAGATCATAAACTCTACCCCGACGTCGCAATCCCCCAACGACGATACTCCAAGTCATGCAAGAAAGAGACCTCTTATGATCTCTCCCACAAACAGCGAGCCTGCTGTACGTCGACCGCAGTTGGCCGCCTCCAGTAGAGCAAAGAGCGTGGTAGGCTCTGTAAGACCTGCAAATGGCAACACCACCCGCCCAACCACAACAAGCAGACCTGCCCCGACGGTGAGAGGCTTCGTCAAGACCCCAGACACGGCAACAAGGTCAATTAATTCGACTCTCCAACCACATGTCTCGCCTCATCCACACATCTCACCGCTTCCATCTTCTCGTCCTACTTCGGCAAAGACAGAAAAGGACTCGAGTCCTATGTTCTTCCATGCCAGTGACGCAAAACAACAACCCCCGTCACAGCCACCTGCTCAGATACACGCTCCTAAGCTGAGGAAGACGCCCTCGTTCTTGTACGCCAACGGTCAACACTCAACCCTTGAGCCAAAGCCGCTCTCCCATCGAAGCTCTTCTCCAGTATTGTCTAATGTCTCGTCCGCCACCGACTCACGCTCTCCTCATTTCTTGGTCCAATCACCTGTGCCTTCAGACTCGTCCCACACGCCGACGATAGTCTCACCACCTCTTAGTGCTGTTTCCTCCGCCTCCAATTACTTCACTAGTCCAAACTCTCCTCCGAAAAATAATATACACTTGTCTTACAGAAAAGGCGCTTCTCAGATCTTTGCTCTCGGAGGTCCTCCTTTACCTTTTCATCCAGCTCAGCCTACCCAGCAGCGAAAGACTAGTTCTGCTTCACTGCGCGGCTCTCACCTTAGGACTACCAGTCTGTCGTCGATTGACATAGGCACTCCTGATCATGTTCGCCGTCAATCTCACCCTATCCCTGCAATCGCGGAGCCTGGCATCGAAGATGATACACTTGACTCGCCGACACCCTTACCACAAGACGGGAATGACGACCCCATCGAGGCTGTCTCTGATGCTTCTCCGAACCCCGGCATCATGCCTCTCGATCCGTACGCCGAAGCACGTCGTGAGCGGAAAGTCCTCGACCTCGAAATCTCAAACTCTTCCTTATTAGCAATCAACAAATCCCTGGAACGTGAGCTCAGGAAGCAGAAAGCAGAGCTGAAACGTTTCCGTCGTCTGAGCAGAGCGGGCCAGTTTACTGTTCCTCAAAGGTCTAGCGATAATGAAGAAGACCTGTCGACACTGGACGAAGAAGCCGACTTACCTGACTTTGACGATGATGATGAAGGTGCTCGTCCCTCGAGTCCGTTCCACTCACAGCCCGAAGAGGACTTCTCGGATGACGATTCGACAAACTCTTCAGCTGTGCCACTCTCTCCAGGCGCTCAAGCCGATCGCGATGCTGCACAGCGTGCTGAGGATGAAAGTCGATTACGACTCGACCTTAGCAGACATCGGGAGTTGCTTCTCGATACCCAACGCATGAACCAGTCGTTGCAACGTTGTCTTTACTGGACAGAAGGTCTGATCAAGGACGGAAGAAAAGCCCTTGACTACCAAGTTGCATCCTCAGAAGTCAAGCTCGGTGGCCGCATCCTCTCGGGTGATGATGTGGATGACACGTCGTCTCATGTCGACTATGCTGAGAGCATTCAAAGTCTTGATGAGCAGCCCGGTGCTTTACCTGATTTCGGTGAGCCTGACAGACGAAGCGTCGGCAGCGAGATGGATAGCGGTATCGATCTCATGGGCAAACGCGGCCCACTGACGATGGCCAGAGACAACCCTCACCACTCTCGACTCTCACAACCTTGACAACAACAACAATTTCAACACATGTTTCAGTACGTACCTGGCGTCAACAACAATAAAGGAGGGGTGTGTATTTTTGGTCTGCATCGCGAAATGGCGTTCTTGTGTCTGCATCTCTTGGGGCGCTGGGATTTTGATCTTCCGGGTGGCATGTTTTCTCTGCTTTCTTTCTTCGCTTCTTTTTCGCATTTTCAAACACTGGCAAGATACCCAATGGCAACACGCACAAATTGCACCTTTTCTAAACAGCAGCACGAGATTTGCCAAATCTAGCATCTTGACTTTCTCAACAAAGAGAACTCCGAACTGACGGATTGAAGAGAGCTGAGTGACATTGTGTGTTTCTGCTTTGACGAGTGTGGCTTGACCAATAACCATATTAACCATTTGATCCTTTTTTGATGACCACTGTCGAAAGGAACGAGCGAAGATCTTTCACTCAAACAAGATTTCGAGATATGATTCCGAAGGAGCGGGAGAAGTGATGGGCAATCGGGAAATCCATGATGTCGGTTTTTGCAGATCCCCATGATCGACTGCGCTTCAGCCGCTGCGCATCCGAGGAGCCTCTCCCGATGAGGATGCCGCTTTTCTCTTCCACTGCGCCCGCGTTGCTCTTTTACCACAAACATCTTTTTGGATTCTCACTGGAAAATTGTGGTGATTAAGCCAATCGAAAAATTGGACGTGGTCAGCGTGTGGGATTTCAACGTTTACTCCGCCTTTGCTTCAAAGCACGTCGAAGGCTTGACGGGTGGAGAGGAACAACTGTAGTGTCATGCAGGTGGTTTTTGTCATGGCAGAATTGCCGGTGGGTGACTCGCGAAACGGTGACGGTGAAAATACGTGCATCGCTTTTCCCCTGAGGCTCCGCAAACAGTGTCTCAGCATCTCGCATAACACCTTGCATGCATACCGGTACAAAACGACTTGTCTGCAATAATGCCCATGACCCTGTCCATAGCATATCACTCGCAATTTGTCAACCTACGGCATCACATCATGGTCTCGAGTCACTAAGCAAAGGTGAACATGTACAGTCTTCGCAGTCTCGATCATCGTAAGGCGAATTCTATGCACAAACTGCAATAGGATAAGAACAGCGTAGGAATCTAAGAAAGTCTGGTACGCAAGCCATTACCTTGAGTTTATGCTTACCTATGACTCCATGTTTTCGTGAGACAGCTGTTTTTGCACCAGAAGATGAGAAAATTGGGTTTACATCCGGATCGGTGATTCTGCAGGGATGAGAACGATCGGTTCGTCCTTTTGCTTTGGACAAGTCAGGAGCCTCTGACCAGTGATATGGACCACGGGAAGGAAATTTCGACAAATTGCTGCGTCGTCATTGGGTTTCTTGAACACGATGATGGCAAGTTGGCAACAGATCTTTTGCTTGGAAAACAACAGCATGGTATCCACAAAGGCTTGGTCATGGCCTAATTTATCTTCCGATGGCTCGACCTGGTATGATGTGCTGTTCCAAAGCGGAAAGAAGGATCGTCGCTCCTGCGGCTGAAGATTTCGTGGGGTCGGTAGGCCAACCTTGGCAGCGACGTCTTGTCTTCGGTCATCGTTTCTCTTTCAACTTTGTGACGGAGGGGAAACGAACAGCAAGCACAAATGGCGTCAAAGGGGTATTGAGGGTTTCGAGACATACGCCATTTCAAAGTATGAGAGTGAGGCTCGTCGACCCGTTGTACGTACGTCCAACCCGCAAGCCACAACAACGACTCCGGAAGCTTCAGGACTCGAGATGCAGACAAGGCACAACTGCCGCGGCAGCGCGCTCCGACACTTAATCTGTAAAGCGTTGGCAACCGAGTAGCTGTGGCGGCTGTGGGGATGATGGAGACTACGGATCTTCAAACCGTGACACGCTCGAGGAAACCGCGTTGTAGATCTGGCTACCACGCTCCGCTCACCTTCCTCCAAACTTTGGGTAAGCGAAGGCATAGTTCATCACGCCGTCGTCATTTGGCATGTGGGCACTGTTCAAGAGCGAGACCCGGCGTTACCACATACAGTCCTTGCTTCCTTTGCATGACCAGTCATCGAGCTCTAAGTGGCTGTCAAATCATCAATCGAGCCTCGGCAGCAACGCTTCCCCTGCACAAAGACGTCGAGGGCGTTGATTCTGCACTGCTGGATTGATCTCTTGCGGACCCTATCAGCTATGTCACCGCTGATCATTACTTCAGCTCTTCCAAGCACGATCTACGTCAATCTATCCTTCCGACGTGCAGCAACTACTCAACACCCTTGTTGATAGGCATGTTACGTGCGGCTTGACCAAAAACGGCTCGACATGGATCTGGTTCGTAGGGAACGCTTCTTTCTCGTGATGCCATAGGATCTTCGTACAAAGGTGTATATATTGAGCATCCCACTTCCTCTGTTGTCGTGTTACTCATACATTCAGTCAATCACCTCTCTGGACGTCTATCACAATGAAGTTCAATCTCGCCATCGCCGGAGCAGTGCTCCCTTCCCTCGCCCTTGGTTTTCCCCAGATGATGGGTGGTACAAGGGAGGAGATGCTCGACATGCTCAAGGAGAGAGCTGAGCTGGAAAAGAGAGAGCCCGATCTCGTCTCTGGTCTCCTCAACACTGTTGGTGGTCTTGTCAAGACTGTCGTCAGCGATGTTGATGGCATTCTTGGTTCAGTTGCTGGTGGTCTTCTTAACCCCAACGACAAACGCCCTGAGCCTGGCTACACCTTCCAAGCACCTGGTGCTGGTGACAGCCGTGGTCCTTGCCCCGGTCTCAACCTTCTCGCCAACTACGGCTACCTTCCCAGAAACGGATATGTCAACTTCGGCCAAATCCTTGATGCCACCGCACGTGGTTTCAACATGGGCACCGACCTTGCCACGGTCCTGGGTGTCTTCTCCGTCCTTGCCAACGGTGACCTCGCAACCGAGTCCTTCTACCTCGGTGCTGGCCCTGGTAACGTTGGTGGCTTGAACCGTCACTCTACCGCTGAGGCTGATATCTCGCCTAACCGCGAGGACTACTACAACGGATGTGGTGACAACCACCACCTTTCTTCCTACAGATTCAAGCAGAACGTTGCTCTTGCCAAGGCTGGTAGCGGCAAGTTTGACATGCAGGTCATGGCTCAGCAGTACGCCTTGAACGCCGACTTCAGCAAGAAGAACAACCCCTTCCTCTACGCCTTCCCCTTCCCTCAGATTGTTTCAGTCGCTGCCTTCTCCTTCTACCCCTCGTTCTTCAGCAACGGCACCTTTGGCGCCGGTGGTGTTCCCAACTACGAGTCGGTTTCCTCCATCATTGGTGCTCAACTCGACAAGACCACCGGCGAGTTCAAGTACGTCCCCGAGAAGTGGCCCGAGAACTGGTACCGCCGTAGCTACCCCTACGGTGCCGTCCAGGCTCTCACCGACGGCTTCACCCAGATCTACCCCTCCAACATTGTTGTCCCTGGGGTCGCTCAGCTCGGCACTGCCAACTTCAACGTCACCAACGTTCTCTGTGATGTCTTCCAGGGTATTCGCTCCATCACTCCTTTGATCATCGCCGGAACTGAGAAGGATGCTGCTACCGCCATCAGCTGGGCCCTCGGAAAGCTCGACCCCGTCCTGGGTATTGGTGCTCTCGGCTGCCCCTCTTCCGTCCTCTCCCCCGACAAGACCGACATCCTCTTCCCCAGCGCCAGCCAGACCGGTGGTCCCATCAACTCACCTTCTGTCCAGGCTTCCAAGGCTGGCAACAATGTCTACAACAAGGTCTACTTCACGACCAAGCCCACTTCCCCTGCCTGCTCTTAAACGAGTCGAGCTCGCATGTTGTACGACAACGTGCTCTTGATGACACGAGATTGATCTCTTTCAGCATAGACTGCTGAAGCTCTTCTCTTCTCGACGACAACAAATAAAGCCGCTTTGGATAAGCGTTGCATGATGAAACCCACTTTTCCTTTACCCTTCTGTATATCTGTAGTCATCTAATGGTTCTGACACCCTTGTACATATATAACTTCTGAACCAAGTTAATCACACTTTTCTGAAAACTCATATTTCATCATGCTTCTCCTTCTCAACATGATTAGATCACTCGTGATCCGAATCTCTTTGACGTCATTGTTGCTAACTTTCTACATACTGCAGCACTGGTCTCAGGTCTAAAGACTGTTTTTCCTGTGTCTCGACTATCTTCTGACACTCTAAGGATACACGAGACGCCCTGACGAGCCCAATGTTCAGACCAATTTTTACTTGCGCAGAGGAAACGACAATGATACTGTCGATCTTCCATTGACTCCAGACAACACCCATCAACGCGCGTTTCCAGTAGTTTTCACATCACTCATGGACAACACATCACTCGCAGATACTCACCACCTATAGCTTCCAATGCCATAGGTCTCCAAAGAGCGTTGGATGGCGATAATTATACGGCAAAAGTAAGTCCTGGATCCTTAAGCCAACGTCGTCGTCGATTTTGATGATGTTGAACTTCGAGACAGGGTTACATTGGCAGCCAGAAGAACTTTGAGATCCCAAGATATCCATTCCGGAATAAGGATTAGAATCAAAGTCACATTAGTGAGACGAGGGCATGAGAAACAAAGAGACAGAGAAAAGATGGTGCGCACAAGTTGGGGACGCAATAGGAGTTGATACGAATCAGGAGAAAAAGAATTGAATTTGTGTACAAGCACCAGGCTATGCGCTATGATCGCCTTGGACAGGCGAGAGAAGAAATGAATAGAAAAACAAGGTACTCAACCATACAGCCTACCTCAGATCAATACTTCGCTAGGAAGCAGGGAGTCCTGTACCACGAATAGGTTAGATGGGATGATTCAAATGCTCAGCATCTCAACCTTCTACTCCAACAAAACTACGACATCTCTCCATGTCAATCTGATGGCCAGAAGGGTGAAGAGGATGATGAGGAGGATTTGTGAGGGGTCCATTTTATTTGATGATAGTGCGGTGCTTGGTTTTGTGTGTTTGTTGGGCGTGAGTGATCTTGTGCTTTGGACACATGATTCAAAATGTCACCTGAGGTTTATGTACATCAACGGAATGGACACGATGGAGGATTGGGTAGAAGGAGTGAGAGGAAGCATTTGGTGATGGAGTCAGCACAGACAACGAAATACTTTTGATGCCAAAAGAAGAGTACAACACTCCCTCGTTCCTATGCCTTTGTCCAAGGCTTCGAAGCTCGAAATCAATGCCTTGTTCTCAGAACCCGTGTTCCTTGACCATCTACCATATCTTTGTTTTCAACTCAGTGAGTATGCTTTGTCTCTTTGTTATTAGTGTAGATCGTGTACCCTTGCAACAAGTCAGGTAAATAGTATATAACCACCCTTCTCCATTTCTTCAACCTCAACTCACCAAGCAACAGTTCCACAACACACTCACCCACAACACACTCACCCACAACAGATACCAACCCACCCAAAACACCACAAACCACAAACAAAAATGTCCAAGCCCAGCAACCCCTCTCCTCCCCGTTGTGGACAATGCGGAGGTCAAATGCACTGGTCACGCTTATTCTTCATGTGGGCTTGTGACCGCTGTCATTAAACCCCAAACCCCAAACAAACCTGCTCGAAGTAGAAGAGGCAGGATGGCAAGAAAGTTGTCGAGGGGCGTTCTTGTGCTGCGGACCAAGTCTGAACTTGAACAATCTGCTCGCAGTAGACGAGGCAGGTGTTTCCTCGTGGGCCATTGTCCTCGACATCACGTTTGCGCTTGCTTCCTGTCGGCCTTGTTGGAAAGAGGTTTAGGTGGGAGGTAAACGCGAACGTGATGTCGTGGACGACGGCCCACGAGGGAAGTACCTGTCTCGTCTACTGCGAGTAGATTGTTCAGGTTCAGACTCGGTCTGTAGCACAAGATCGCCCTTGTTAACTTCTTGCTAAAGCGCACCTTCTTGAGTGTCGTATCGTACATTTATCTCAAGTTTTTCCTGGTAAGACTGTTGTCCTTTTTTTTTGCTAGTCGAAATATCAATCCCTTTTTCCCCTTGAATGTTTGTTTCTCTGATGTTTGGTGATCATGTGAATTCTGTATGTGACGTTGAGAATTGTATCTCGTAGAGTTTTGTTGATGATAATTCGGGGTGGTCTTTGATCAAACCTATTAATTCTGACAGCTACATGTTACTTGGAAAAAGCAGCTCCACCAACGCTGGCGTCAAATTCCATTGCATCGTTCAATCCACAGATTTCAAAGAGTGCCTTTGGACCAATAGGTTCACACTCATCAGTTCCCTGCTCCACCAACATCTTGTACGCCTTCTCAAGCGGTCTGACCACCGCCTCCAAACCAAGCGTAGGGTTAATGTAAAGCTTAAACCCAATCTCCTTTGCCCTCTTCACTCCCATCTGCGGTGTCTTTCCTCCCGGCACCATATTCAACAAGACAGGCGTGGGAGCGAAAATCTCCACAGCCTTCTTGCACTCCTCCTCGCTCTGCAAGGCTTCCAGGAATAAAACGTCGACGCCGCATTCGACGGCGCCCTTGAGACGCTCCACGGCTTCCTCGAATCCCAAGTCCGCTCGCGCGTCTGTGCGGGCGATAATGAGCATTTCTGAGCCCATCTCATCTCTCGTCTTCACTGCCGCTCTGAGGCGTGCATAGTAGACTTCTTTACCGACGCATTGTTTGCCGGTTAAATGGCCACAGCGTTTTTCCTGGACTTGGTCTTCGAGGTGGAGGGCTGCTACTCCGGCCAAAGCGTAGGAGCGCACGGTACGGGATACCATGATGGGGCCGCCGTAGCCGGTATCTGCGTCGGCGATCACGGGCGTGGAGGGGGAGAGTTGGGCGATTGTGGAGGCGTTGGAGAGCATATCTGGGAGAGTGGCGATGCCGAGGTCGGCGGCGCCGAGGCGGGACATATTTGTGCCTGCACCGGTCTTTGAGAGGCATGTTAGTAAGGGTGTTAGGGAAAGAGAGTGAGATTGGGGTGGGAGGTGATGATGTGATGGAGAGGATTGAGAAAGGCATAGTGGAACGCATTGCTTATAACGGAAGGGCTTTAAGAGATTGGAGACGCACCATATAAAGAACTTCAGCTCCAGCAGCGAGAGCGATTCTAGCGGACAGGCCATCGTAGACTCCAGGTGCGACGACAATATGATCCTCCTTCTTCAACATCTCCCTTAAACGCTTTGCTCCAGTCATGGCCATGGTGATTGCGTTGTCTGAATTGATGTGTCGATGTATGTAACTTCGTTCCAGGATTTCCAATCGATCGGAGATATGTTCTTTCGGTATATCGTAGTTCTGTATAAAATTTGTAAAGTTGTGAAGCTTCACCTTGATGGCGGGAGCTGTTGACCTTTATATGCCAATTGACGATCTACTCTGTCATCGAGGCCGTGATCGGAGGTTCAGGCTTCCTATGCAAATGTTTCGAAAACCCTCACGTCTACACAGCACGCCCTATTAGATAAGGACTCGCGAATAGAGACCGAATTGTGGCCTTGTCTCGCTGACCAATTTGTTTTCTACTCAGACGTCACTGCCAATTTGTTTTCGAGAGAGAAAGGACGGAAAGCCGGTCCGGTGCCGGTTGTGGCGGCCACGTGGAAAGAAGAAGCGATGTCGGAGCCGAGTGATTTCCGGCTGTTATTCACAGATGATGCTGTTTTGTCTCTTGAGCTGTTGCAACAACATGGTGGATTGTTGGAAATAGAAGAGAACATGCACGTCTTGAGCAGAAACAAGCCATGACATGCTGTCCTGAGATACAGTTCCTTTTGTCAAGAGCTCCTTTGGTTCGAAATCAAACAAAGAGATATTTGGTCAAGTAGAAGTCTTCATCTTGCGATTTACTTCGCGGACTTATGACGATACACTTGACCAAGAGAGCCGCAAAGGTATGATTGTTCTAGAGACCGGAGTATAGTTATCAAGCTTTGTAGTTCATACAGCTATATTCATGTCATTCTTGTAATCATCAACCATCAAACCCCACCCAGCTATAACCATGTCATCCGTGTAACTTAGCAAAACCCATACAGCATATCATATCATCGTATCCTCCCAGGCACCAGCAGTTGTCCATACTCATAAGCCATATCTTCATAAAATTCTCGTCAACGACCAACAAATGGTCATGTCTCTGTCATCAACCTTCGCTGCATCTCTCTTACTGAGCAGCATCTCCTTCCTTCTTTGCCTTGATCTTTGGGGTGATGCGAAGGACGATTTCGGTGATGGCCTTGATATCTTCAGCTCCAAGACCGGTAGGATCATGACCCAAAGTTCTCAGATAGTCGCAGACTTGCATGCGTCTTTCGAGAGCAAGAGTCAAGACCTCCTTGTTGGGACCATTGTGATTGATCATAGCAGTTCTTCCATTTGGGAACCAGATGAACAGGCTGCGTTTTGCTGTGATCCACGACCAGTTCTTGATGAGGTTCAGCTTGTCATCTCCAACGTTCTGTGAAAGCATAAGACCACGCTTGATGAGATCGCGGCTGGTGGCGTTGAAGGCGTTGTTGGTGTAGACCATGCCGATTGACTCACGACGGATCTGACGGTTCACACGAGTGATTGCAGCCTGATGATAGACCTTGACGTCCTTGGACGGTAGGAGGATACCGTGAACACCGTTGTCGACTAAGAGAGCGTAGATCACATGACGGATCTCGAGAGGAAGAGACAGGAAGCGAGAGAAGGTTGCAGGAATGAGAGGACGCACAACGTCCTTGGGGAGTTGCAGCTCGGTGAATGGGCGTGCAGGGTCAGGCTTGGGCTTGACAGGTTTGGCAATAGGAGTGGCAGCAACTGCTGGTCCTGCGGCAGGAGCTGGAGTAACGGCCTTGCCACGGGGCTTGCTGTAGATCATGCGGTCGCTGGGGCTCTGGCGCTGAGTACGGTCATCAGTGTGAGGCACAACTGATGCAGTTGAGGCAGGCGTGATGAGCTGCTTGATAGGATTGATGGTGCCATCTGTGGAACCCGAGGATGGCAGGTAGGAAGCATATGGCTTTTCAGAGATGGGAGTGGTCTTCAAAGAATTAGCTAATGCGGTCACTCTCATGGATCGAAAACGTTACCTGGAACTGGGGACGAGCTAGGCTTCTCAGCAGATTGTCGGTCGAGGTGCTTGGTTGAGGAGTGCCATTCTGGCGACAATACCAGCAGCCTGAATGACCAACCACACTGTAGTTGGGACAGACGGGAGCACGAGTCGATGCTTCCAAGATCCTGCGGGATTCGAGACGGCGCTGCTGTTCTGCGAGTAGCATACGATGACCGAGCTCAAGGCGCTCTCTTTCGTTGAGGCCGTACTGGAAATCGTTGGATGCCATCTTTTTGTTGAAGAAAGAAATCAGATACGAAAGTGGAGGCGTGGAATCAGGACGAGACATTGAGATGAGATGCGCAAAGTTCGAGGATTGCATGGGTTCTTAGCGCGCGTCAAGAGGAAGGTGCGAGTTAGAAGTGCATGTTTGCGTTGACTGCCTGTTCGGCACCTGCCATTTACAACTTGCTCTGTCCTTCTTGCGGCACTTTGACAACCACCTTACCCCAAGTGTCGCGAGCTCCAAGAGCCTTCAATGCCTCGGGAATTGTCTCGAGGCCGACGAACTCCTTGTCTGTATAACAAGTTCCGCGGAACTTGCCACTTTCCATAAGATCGAACAGGCCCTTCCACACAACCTCGATCATGTCCGGCTCATTAATAGCATAAGCGCCCCAATGCAGACCCATGACTGAAACATTCTTCAGCAGAATTCTGTTGGTGGCCATCTTCTCGATATCGCCTGCTGCGAAGCCAATGACCAGCAATCTGCCATTCCAGGCTGTGCACTTCATACTTTGAGCGATCAATCCAACAGGATCATAGACAATGTCTACACCACGACCCTTTGGAGTAAGCTTCTTAACCATATCCGGCCAGTCCTTTTGCCTGTAGTCGACCAGGTGATCTGCGCCGAACGACTTTGCGACATCGAGCTTGTGTTGGGTACCTGCTGTGGCGACTACGGTAGCTCCGAATGCTTTTGCGATCTGGACAGCGGCAAGACCTACACCTCCAGCAGCGGCATGAACCAATACCCAATCGCCTGTGATGATCAGCACAGATTCTGCAAGGGCTCAAAGCATATATCTTCGTACCCTTCTTGATGCCAGCTCTCGTTACGAGACCAGCATAACTGGTCGGAGCAGTCACCATCAAACCAGCACTCTCAAAGTAGCTCCATCCTTTCGGCATAGGTCGGAGTTGTTCTTCGGTGGCACAGACTTTGGTGGCATAAGCACCCTGGGAAGCACCGAACACTTTATCTCCTTCCTTGAATGTGGGCTTCTTTCCTCCTGGCAATGATTGGGGGGCCTTCAAGATAACGCCCGAGAACTCGGCACCAGAGACCCATGGTAGGGGTGGTTGATGTTGATATTTTCCACGAATCTGAAGCAGGTCGAAGAAGTTCGTGGCAGCAGCATGGACAGCAATCAAGTATTGATTCGGTTTGGGAGATGGATCAGGTAGGTCAGTGACCTGGAGGTCTTGAGGACCCTGATGGGCAGTCAGCTTTTGAGCATCAGAAGGTGTTGCGGGTACGATACCTGGACATATTCCTTGACTTGAATTCCCTTCATGTTGGCGATCTGTTTCTGTTTACTGAACAACTTGTAAGACGATGGAAGAAGAAGGACATGTCCAAAGCAGTTGCATGCATGTAACGATAGACAAGGAGTTACCGAAATGCGGAGGCGGAGAAGACATGTAGGCCTCGGTCCATGACTCGTGCAGCTCGTGCGGGTCGTGCTTGTCAAAGAGCAGCTTGGCAAGGGTCTCAACGTCATTGTCGGTGGGCTTCTGCGGCCTTCTGCGCGGCCGGCGGGCTTCAGTGGCTTGTCTTGGTAGAGAGGGAAGTGACTGAGAGGGCGGGCTGGACTGTTTCACGACAATTCATTCACATCTGTCCCTTCCACGTCTGGCATAACACCTTTCATACCTGCTACACCCAACCAACATCCATACTCAGTCAGAGCCAAGCCATCATCATGGCCGACGAGAGCGAGCAGCAGTTGACCTTCACGGTCAAGTCGTCCAATGACGCCAAATATGCCATCACAATTACCGCCAACTCGACTGTCAGCCAACTGAAGGAGAAGTTGTCGACATCAGACTTCGCAGACATCCCGACTGAGCGCCAACGTCTGATCTACTCGGGTCGTGTGCTCAAGGACAACGAGACGCTAGCAAGTTACAAGATCAAGGACGGCAACACGATCCACCTTGTCAAGGGTGCTGAGAGCAACAACCGCCAGAACCCTGCCAACCAAGGAGGCTCGACGACTGTTCCTGGAGCTGGAAACGTTCCCACCAACATCGCCGCCGGTACTGGCGCTCACAATCCCCTGGCCCAACTGACAGGCGCACGCTATGCTGGCTTCCACCAACTACCCGGTGCCGACATGTTCGGCGCTGACGGTGGTGTGAGTACTGTTCTAATTCTACTCCTTAAACTACAGCTGACATCAGACATAGATGGGCGCACCCCCGGACCCGGATGCCCTTCTACGAATGCTCGAGAACCCCAACTTCGCCCAACAGATGAATGAAGCCATGAACAACCCGGATGTTATCAACATGATGCGCAACAACCCTATGCTCCGTAACAACCCCATGGCCCAGCAGATGTTCGATAACCCCGAGCTCCGTCGCATGATGATGAACCCCGACTTCATCCGCATGCAAATGAACATGCAAAGAAGTATGGGTGGTGGTGGCATGGGCGGTGCTGGTGCTTTCCCTGCTCCTGGTGCCACAGATACCACAGAGTCCAACAATGCCTCGGAAAACACACAACAACAGAACCAACAACCTCCGCCAAACCCCTTCGCCATGTTCGGTGGTGGCCAAGGAGGTGCCAGCGGCGCAAACCCATTCGCTGCTCTGTTTGGTGGTAACCCCGGTGCTGCCCAAGGCCAAACACCCGCCGGTACTCCTCCTGTCCCCACCGCCGGTCAAGGCACTCCCGCACAAACCCAAACTCCCGGCGCCAACGCACCTCAAGCACAAGCAAATCCCTTCGCAAGTCTATTCGGTGGCATGGGTGGTGCTCAGGGCGGCAACGGCTCAGATCCTATTCAACAAATGGCTCAACAAATGATGCAGAACCCCGACATGATGCGCTCAGCGATGAACATGATGCAAGGCATGTACGGCGGCAACAACAATGCAGGCGCTGGTGGTGAAGGCGGTGCGGGCGGTGCAGCAGCCGCCAACCCATTCGGTGGTATGAATCCATTCGCCGCCATGGGTGGTATGGGTGGTATGGGAGGAATGGGAGGTTTCGGCGCACCGCAACAACAGCAAGATAGCCGTCCCCCGGAGGAGCAATATGCCACCCAACTCGAACAACTCAACGGAATGGGCTTTTACGAGTTCGACCGCAATGTTCGCGCTCTGCGTATGAGCGGTGGCAGCGTGGAAGGTGCTATTGAGTGCTTGTTCAACGGCTCGGTATAGACCGTCATCAGTCTTTTCTTATTTCTGCGACTAGAACTACAAAGTCGATCCTTTGCTTATTCCTTACCGTCACCTCTTTTGAGCGTTGTTTTATAATGGCAATTCTTTCTACTCTTCACTGCTACCTATTGTTCTCTTCCACCTTGTTTCTCGAGTGTATGTGCAGATATACAAGACTCTTTGTTTCTCTCGCCTCGAGTACAATCGATATCATCCTCGTTATCCTTCCACAATCGTGACATGACTCGTTCGATATCAGTGGTGGAAACCGACTAGGTAGGTGTGTGTATGTAGGCAAAGAAAGCAGTCAGGACTATGATATCTCTACTGTGACTCTAGTCTCCTCGCCTCCATTTTCCCACCCATCCGGCCTGAATAGTCAACATCTAGCTCATTTTTGGCAAGATAAGGAAAAGGGGTTATAGGGCTAGGGACCTGTGTTTTTTTTCTTTTGTATACTACCCCCTGTCCTATGCGAACAGGTCTTGCGCTACAGTAGGTTGTTCTTTTATGCTGATGGGCTTTTTGTGGATGGTTACGCTTATGATGATTTTATGGTGATTTCTCGGGGAAAGGCTATTTGTTACGAAAAGCACAAGGTATGATATGTCCCTGATCAGAAGTGAGAGTGCGTTCTGTGCCATGCTCCTACAGAAAAGTGCTGCCTCCAGGACAGAATTACCTTTTCGCTGATTATAAAACTGATCTTTCCCGGTTACTTCTCTGATTTTTTCAGGAGTCTTTGGGCTGGTTCAAGGAAAGTTGAAGAAAAGTCGAATGAAGGTCGAGTCTGGCGGTAACTCTTGGACATTGTGGTACCAGTATTTTTCGCTAGAACGGGAGGACAAGGCTGGGTAGCAGAAGTGATCAGGTCAATGATATTTGTGTAGAGGCGCTATCTCCTGTGTTCCAAAGTCAATGCAGCTATTCTCGTGTATGTATCTTCGAAATATGGGATCATCGAATGGAGGAAGGTATCACGGGCCTGTGTCTCATCTCTGCCTCTTTGTTCTTTCCTCTTCTGATCAAGGTCATTACACGTTTCATGAATCAGACTGTGCTTCGATTGCACCAGGGCCTTGTTTTCCAACTCCAACGGTACCACAGAACAACTCAAAGCTCATCGGCAGAGTGGCAAGTGCAGCAGCAAAGCTCTTATAGAGTATGCCTCGTATAGTTTGGTCCTTACAGAAAGTGGTAATTATCTTATCGAACGAGTGCACTAGAAACGTCTTTACATCAATTCACTGAGCTTGTTCATTCCACAGAGGGGAGAGACTCTTCTTTCAATTTGTGCTTGGAAATGTTGATTGATGTTTCCATATTATGACCCTTTCTCTCTTGTGTTTCATATGACTCCACTACCTTTGGGTGTTCACATCTGTTCCTGAAACGTAGCTTGTTTTCACACTCATGTGCAGACGAGGTGACGTTACCGGCGGCATCTTTCTATATAAAGTATACCTTTCGTTGAATATGTATCAACCCGAGCACAGTTCCATCGATCCAGATTGGCTTTTATCCCTTATCCCATTACCCGATATGTCGGAGAGCTACTTCCGTCTGCGACAACTTCTGATCTTAGAGCTAAGGAGGAGATAGAAGGTCATCAGGTCTGTGAGCCTTCTCCGGTGTCTTCCAAGAGATCTGTGATGTCGAGGTCTAAGTCACTATCTCCTGTAATTCAAGCTCTTAGTTTATCATGTCCTTTGTGTTGAACGTATTTTGAGGGAGATACTCTGACTCGGAATGGGCATCACTGACCTGTGTCTCTTGTTTTCTCCTCCACCCTTCTTTTGTGGAATCATCAAAGCTGAATTGAAAGCACCACAAACCCTACCACTGTGTCTTTCGCTATCATGGTCTGTTGTACGGCAATCAAATGGCCGAGAAGTGTATTGTCTTCTCAATTTCGTCTACAGAGCTTGATTTGTACTCCAGAATCTGTGAGACGTTTGGTTATTCTTTGCTTGATGACAGGACGGCCAAGGTGGTGCTAGAGACTTTCTACTTGTTGGCGATTGTTGCATCTTCTTGATTAGAGCCAAGTATGGAAGTTTTTACTGTATCTTTTTCATCAAGCCTTGGTTCGTACAATCGTTCTGCAAATCGATGTCATTACTGTCAACATCCTTCTATATAACTTCCACCAGCCGCTGACCATATAATGCATGCCTGAGCCGAAGGTCGAAACCTCCATATGGAGGATCGCATTCAAAGTGATCTGTTCTCGATTCACGTATCTCAAAAACGACACTTGGATGAACACGGCCAACGATGCCTCTTTCATGAGTTGCTGAGAAGCAAGATCATCAGGTCTGTGAATCGTCAGTCAGATTCCTCTCTCTCCTGAGTTGAACCGGTCAAGCTACAGCGAACTTGCTAGCTCTATGCCGCTTCACTGCAACACAGAGACTGTACAAGAGTATCATAGACCTGCCTGCTTTGTCTGACTGCTTCTCGTTACGTATCGACTGCAAAGTAAATAGTTGAGTCTCATCCAGATCGAAGTTCGTGTGCTCCCAGGTTTTCGTGAAGATTCCCGAGTTTCGAATTGGGGGCGTGGTGGAGAAACTTATAAATGGCATGTTGTCGACTTTCGTTGCTGTCTTGCATCGAGTCTTTGCGCAGGTGATCTGTCAGCGGGTGTGCTGATGCCAGTATCTCAGGGATTGGAAAACCTGGCAACGTGTATTGCAGTAAAGAAAAACAGCTTATTGATGGAATGGTCCTTTACTTCCATACGGATGTTGACTACCCTTTTGATGAACATATGTTAGTCAAAACACAGTCCGATTGATTTGCATCAGCCTCTGTCGCTAAGCATTTGGCCGATCAATCAGAGTGATGCTTATACGTGAGACGTATTAGAGCAAAGGAAAATTTCCGAGATATTAGTCTACAGCACTGATGACGACAATGAAGAGCACGCCGCTCTCACAACGAGGGATATGGTGAAGAGAGCGAAAGTCAGAGAAGATGGTAGGCATCACAAAACCGCAAGGGAAGATCATCAGGTCTGGAAACCTTCTTAGCATTCCTTTCTTCCCCTGAATTTCCCCCACCAAGAATCTGAGAACTTCGTAGCCGTAGAGTGCTTGGCTATTGGAGGCAGAGGCTGAGCCTGAGTATCGTTGGCCTGGTGACTTTCTTACTCTACGTTTCACGGCCCTTGTAACTCTAAGAGATCTTTGCAATGTCCTAGAAAGCCCATACTCCGAGTCGAAACTACGCAGTGACAACTGCTCCAATGCCTCAAGTTTTAATAATCGGCCTGAGAATGGTTCGCAATGGGTTATATACTAGATGCATGTTGGTGAGTAGTTTTCAAGAAGGAACCAGTAAGAACACACTCGTGTACCGAATCACATGTCCACCGACCGTTGTTGACTCCGCTGACCAATCCTACTCTGCAGGACCCTAGCGTTGACGAGAACACTTGTCTCTTTCGCTCACATGGGTCTTTCTGACCTTGATACTCCCTACAAGGTTCTCATCTGGAACATGTAGGGACCAGTCTCGACTGGCTCTCATTCGCTGCGCTAAACTTAGCAAATACTACAAGAAGGTGCTTATGAGAAGACTTAATCTTCATCAACTACACGAGAATAGGCGGAAATCGAGCACGAGCACTTTGAAATACTTCGAATTTTGTTCGAGTATGAGAAGTCTGGTGGTCTGTTTGTGTTGTATGTATAAGGCGAGAACAATAAACAAGTCTAGTGCTGTACGAATATCGTGGTTCGCACTCAAGAGTGGGGGAAGAGCAGGCGACCAAAGGCATCAGGTCTATGATACGGACCTGACCTTGTCGATCTCCTTTTCTATATTCGGGGTGAAACGAGGCTTCGGTAATCCTTTCCCTCTTCCGATAGCAGTAATATATCCTTGGTAAGTAGTCAGCAATGGAGATTCACGGACCTGAGTCTCTTCCTCGAGGTGCCAGTTGCATGTTCAAAACACTCGTAACTCTTAATGGAAGGCAAGGGCTGACTTGTAATGCCGGACTCGGTTGCTCGCAGCCTCGTTTCGCAAAGCGGAGTTGTTCATAAACGGAAGAAAGTCAGACCATGCGCAACATATAGTTCTGTACTTATCGTAAAGGAGCTCAGAGAGAAGGATGGATTTCGAGCTTTTTGCATGGTGCTCTATCAGTCCACTAGAGGTGTTTTGTATTTGACGATCTAGAGTCCCAGTTGAGTAACGATACTCGGCTTCTGCTTTTCTGCGACGGGCTTCCGGAAAATGTAAGGCCTGTACCACGCTCTTTGTATGTTCCAGGAGGCGAACATTCAAAGTCTCTACTATAGAGTGTTGCAACAGGTACCTTCCGGACAACGGTTTAGCGTGACGTCTCGTTTGTCCTCCTTCACAGTGAGTCTTGGCATCCGGGCCAAAATTTGCACCTCACCAAAAGTTTGAGATGGTCATACATACCACAAAAAGAGGTTCTGTACCGCTTGCAACGAGCAAAAGGACATGATGATGGTCAGTACGGGGGTCGAACCCGCGACCTTGGCGTGCCATGTATCGGATGATATTAGCACCACGCTCTAACCAACTGAGCTAACCGACCAGATTGATGAAGAACCGAAAGCCATGTAGGTATAGCAATCTGACACATTTTCGCAAAGCCAGCAGCAAGTCTGTACCATGACATGGTGTTGGCATGAGTGTTGTCGCACACAATCACTTCATGTTGAGTTACCGGAAGCAAAGTTTTCAACAAAGTTTTGAAGCCGAAATTACCCCGAAGCCTGGAGGACCGGATGATGACAAGCCGGAAGAGCACTGAGGGATGAATGCATAGATATCGGGATGCTTTGTGTGTGTCCTGGGTTTGTTCGAATAGCGCATGGTTGATGACAACAAATGTGTATGTCTTCACTGGACCTCCCCATCTCGCATCCAGGTTGCAATGACTCTCTTCCCCTGCTCAAGAGTGCTTGCTTGCGTATGTAAGGCACCAAGCACATCTTTTCGGGTGACGTCCAGATGTAAGTCTTTGCAAAGCGTCTCCAGCTGATCGGCCTGGACTCGGGGAACAATCTCATCTCCGGAAGCGACTACCATCAAGACTTTTGGTGGCTGCTGTGATTGAGCGACCTTTCGAAGGGCATCTTCACTGTCCCACCAGCTTCGAAGGAATGGCCAGAGATGCTTGTAAGGCACCCACCAGTCTGGATAGATGGCTGCAAGCATGCTTTTGATGCTGACAAAAGGAGTCTCCAGGATGAGGCGGGAGATGGCAGGTTTGTCAACGACATTGGGATCTTCCGCTGACTCCAGGTGCTTCGATGCAGCATAAGCAGCAACTCCAGCTCCAATACTTTGGCCCCAAAGAATCAATTCGAAGTTCTCAAGATCCTGACTGTATGTCTGCACCGCCCAGGCTACGAAAGCTTGTGCATCCTTCTCAATGCCTCGCTGATGAGCACGTCCAGAGGAGGTCCAATATCCACGATAAGACAAGGCAAGCAAGGTCCAATCATGTGGGGAGTCTTTGGCTGCAGCTCTGATCATGTTCGAAAGCATGGGCGTTCGAGGCGGGATGGACGCGCCGTTACCTTGGAAGTAAAGAACAACGATTTGTTTGCGCTTGAATTGTGCTGCAGCAGATGACTCTTCCGGACGTGCGATGGCAACAGCGAGTTTTGTGCCATCTAGAGACCGGATCTGCCTCTCTTCCCAGGAGACGCCAGCCCATGTCTTGGAGTAGTCTTCTAGTTTCTCGCGCCTTGAGCCTGGAGGTAAAGATGGCATATAGATGATCTTGTTCTGGAACAAGACCATGAGCAGGCATTTGTGGAGCCAGTGACCTATGAGCAAGCCAACAAAGACACTTGGAACCAAGACGAAGGGAGAAACGCCTGCGAATATGCATCGTCTTTGGACGATTGAGACGTGATTGCGCCGAGACAGCTTGTGGCGTAGAGGAACACGTTGCGTGGTGAACAAGCCACGTCCGGGTTGTGCGCTCACCGCCTGTCTGAAGAATATGCTGTGTCGAGCATTGCGAGCGAACAAGCAGTTCAGTCGCGGTTTCATGACAGCTGGCTAGAATCAACAGAAGGTTCAGTGTTTGGGGTGCGTGACTTGAGGAAGGCGGTGACGTCAATCTCAAGCCAATCAAGTCGCGCGTTTGCGGCCCCCTCGCGTCACCTTCAGTCTCGCGTTTGTAAATTGATCCAGGTCGCAAGGACAATTCCACTTCCCTGTTTTTGATACTGATACATCTTCGCTACACTTCTTATCCATCAAGCCTCCCAGAATTCAAGGCATAAGTTTTGGTCGTCGCACTATCACAGACGTATTGCGATTGGTCTAAAGCCAACATGACACGCATCACGCGAGGCAACCAACCCCAGCTATCGGAATCTTGGGCAAACATGGAAGATTCCCAAGACGACACCACATCAATTCCATCAGAGGACGAATTCCAACCGCGCCTTAGAGAAGCGTACTACAACTCCCACAAATCTACTACCTTGTCAAAATCACAAACTCCGAACGACTTTCATGAAGGTCCACCACCTGCCCATACCTCAACAAGTCACAAACAGAATGCGTCACAGATAAGCAAAGAACCTGAGTTCATCATGCCTTCTCCCGAGGCCAGTAAGTATCTTGAGAGCCCTCAGAGGAGGACAACAAGGCAATCTCCGAGACCGGCAATGAGAGCATCAGCGATTCGCAGATCTGCTCCTATCAAGCGTGCCAGCCCAGCTGCTCAACCAGAAAAACGCAAACGCAAAACTGCACAGACTGCCAGCAACGACTCGTCTCCAGACTATGTTAGCTATATCTGGCAAAACGCTGTCCTACCTCTGCTCAAGTATGTGCTTTCTGTGTTTTTCATCGCTGCAAACGCTCTCAAACCACTTCTCGGCTACGGCTTGATCGTTGTTATGATGGCAGTCGGCATGGGCGTTGCAAAGACGATGGTTGTACACAGCGTTACCAATGCTCTGTCTCCACTGTGCAACATCCCAGGAGCCGGTTACCTCAACCTCCCATTCTGTGGTCTCAGTGATTATGCCGGAGCGAGAGGCCCAGTGGAATTTGACAAGCTGGTGGTCACGCAATCGAACTTCGAGGAAATCTTGGAAGCTTCTGTACATCAAGCTGCCCTTCCCATGGCTATGAAGAACTCCGAGCTGTCCATCCGTGATCTTCGCACTGTGGTCAGACATTCCAGCTTAGGCTCGCGTAATGAGCTCGTCAACGAGTTCGACGGCTTCATTGAGACAGCGCGTCACGCCAGCGATGGTCTGTCGCAGTTCAACTCCAGGATCTCACGAGCACTGGACGGAATTCTGTCGGCCAATCGTTGGACCATGAAAGTGCTACAGGGTATTGAAGCCACACCAGACTCCGAAGGGATCATTCCGAAATTCTTCTCGCAGTATCTGTCTGTGTTCCACTTGGCCGTCACCCAGCATTCTTCCGAGGATGTCATCTACGACCAATACATCCGACATACCTCTGAAGTCGAAGAGCAAATCCAGGTGTGTATCCTGGAAGCCAACACACTTCTCGAAGTATTGGATAACCTGGACGAACGCCTTCAGCAGATCCAAGACATCGCGCATCGCGAGGGTCTCAAAGTCACAGACGCCAAGAATGATCTGTTGGGCGTTCTCTGGACCAAGCTGGGCGCCAACAGAAACGCTCTTGCGAAACACGAGGGACAGCTGAAGACACTGAACGACGTAGGCATGTATCGCAAGGTAGCCATGCAACATGTCATCTCGACTCTTGTGAAGCTCAAGGATATTGAGAACAACCTCAGCCAGCTCAGGGACGACGTAGCAGCACCCACCATCGTCGATAAGGAGAGGATGCCATTGGAGATGCATATTGATTTGATCAGCTCTGCTGTTGATCGACTACAGACAGTCAGAGATACAGGACGCAAGGAGAAGGAGAAGATGCTCCAAGGCACTCTCGATCAGATCAATGGTTACTCTGCCAACAAGAGAATTGGTTAATCGGAGGCAGGAATTTGGGATGCCGCTACTTGGCTATGGCACTGGAAGTTAGATGAAACCTGGGTAGCGACTGCCGAATTGGCTAGTACATGACATAACGACTTTGAATAACAACACACTCAGTTGCATCAGACAACTGATTTTGACTCTGAGCGTCCGACCCTTCTCACAGCATTTCATCTCGTTTCTTCCTCATGGTAATTGTTGGTCGATCGAGGTAGCACAAAGTGGCGCGTAAAGTACAGCTGCAGCAAGCCCCACTTGTGATTGCTTCTCAGAGTCACTGATCACCCAGATCAATGACAACTACCACAGGAATGTGATTATTCCGTGATGATAGTATATAACTTCAGGCTTTAAGGTCGATATGCATCAGCACTCAGCTGTCGAGAGAAAAACGTGCGACCAAACTGTCAAGCGTCAATTCTCCCCACCGGAGTCCGAAGACAAAGACATAAATAGGAAGTGATTTCTCCCTGACCAACGGATCGATCTTGAAGGACAAAACATCTCGAAACACAATGGAGACGCGATCGAGGTCGGCAGACGCGTGGGCCGTCAGTTCGCATCATTGGGGGAACCCAGAAGCAGTCTCGATGACCTGGAGACTGGAAGCTATCGACATCCGGAGCGCAAGATAGACGTGTGACTTCTTTCCATAACGACTTGTCGCCTTCTATGCTGAAGGCCAGGAACGGATTCGCGTGCCTCCGGATCCGAGACGAAAGACAAGAAGGAGGTCTCGGAACGCCCTGCCGAAGCCCTAAAACCCTGACTGCGCCTTCACATCGGAGCTCCAGAGGCCGAAGACTCCTTCACGCTTGCATCTCTGACGCTGGTCTGACTTGAAAAGTTCAATCTTGGAACTGTTGGTCTCCGACCAGCCGACATTGTGTCAGGATTCAAAAATCAATAGGAGAATAGAACGTGTATATGTACAGGTAAAGTCGCTGCGACGTTGTAGGTTTTCTTTTTGTTTTCACCTCACCCAGACTTCCTTCCCCGCTACATCTATCAATCACCAGCTTGTAGGAGCTCCAAGAACAACTCGACTTTGCTTACGACTTCTATCAACATACCCCAAATAACTCCAAGCTACATCAAACTTCACCATGGGCTTCATCAGCCTCTTCATTCCGGAAAAGTCCGCTCATCGTATTGGACACCGAGATCCATTCTGGAATGGACGCAAGAAGCCGTTCATGATTGCAGCTATTGCTTCTTTCATGTTACTACAAATCTTGTTCCTCGTGAACATGTCATATTTGTTCGGCTCGTTGTTCAAATCAGAACACAGAGTCCACAACCTCAACATCCTCACCGTCGATTATGACGGCGGCGTCATTGGAAAGAGTCTACAAGGTGCCATCACACAACTCAAGGCCGACACATTCCCTACCTTCGACATCGAGAGCAGCTCCAAGTACCCCGAGGTTGAAGACATCGTGCAAGCTGTCAGAAGAGGAGATCACTGGGCTGCCGTCTTCACTCATGCTGGAGCTTCCGAGCGCCTTGCAGCCGCCCTCGAGGGTGGAGATGCAGCAGCAGCTTACGACCCTACCAACACAATCACCTATGTCTGGAACCAGGTTCGCTACCCAGCCGTGGAAGACGCCACCATCAAGTCCAGTATGTCTCAGCTTGTGGCAGTCGCTCGCATCGCATACAACCACATGAACGGCACTGGAGCACTGCAAGCTCTGAACAAGAACGACCCTGCCGCCCTCCAAGCTTTCCTCAATCCCATTCAAGGTGGAGATATCAATATCATGCCCACAACCCAGGGTACCCGCGTCTTGTATAACACTGTCGCTATGGTTATGCCCATCATCATGCAGTTCTTCTTCCTCATGGCCATAAATGGTGTCAGTGCTGAGTTCAACCTATACTCGCACCTACCAATGCTCAACAACGGTATCATCCGCCTGGTTTTGAGTCTTTCATACACCTTCGTGGGCTCACTGTGCTGGGTCGGCTACATCTGGGCTTTCCGCGAGGACTGGTCTGTAGGTGCAGGTCAATTCTTCTGCACCTGGGTCATCATCTGGCTTTTCATGCACATCAATTTCGCAGTGGTAAGCAAGAACAACGAGGTCAACTCAAATCCATCGATACTAACTTGCTCCCAGATCGACGTCGCTACCGGTTTCATCCCAATGAAATTCCTCCCCTTCTTCGTCCTCACCTGGGTCATCCTCAACGTCACCAGCACAATCTGGCCCTTCGAACTCGCACCCGGTTTCTACCGCTGGGGTTACGCACTTCCCGCCCACGAAGTCTGGCAAGTGCTGATCCAGATCTGGTCAGGCGGCGCCGTCGACCGTCTCTATCAGGCCTTGCCTATCCTCTTCACTTGGGAGATTGTGTTCTTGCCTTTGGCTGTTATTGCATTGAACCACCGTTGTGCGGTTGCAGAGAGAGAGCACAAAGCTAAAGAGGAGGAGAGGAGACAGCTTATTCTGGCGGCCGAGAAGGGGAAGGCTGATGAGATGGGTGAGGGTAGGACTTCGGAGTCGGTGGCTGAGTCGCCTGTTGATGAGAAGGTGCATAGTTTTGAGGCTGATGTTGCGAGAAACCCTTACTCGCCTGCTATCCCTCCTCCGGTCTGAGCAAGTCGTCCAACACCAAACGATCGGAAGCAGAAGCAGTTAAACAACATTCAAGGAGATAGTTAAAATAGTAAAAGTCAATCGGTTCATGTGTAAGCCTTTTCCGCAATTTCAATGGTGCATCAAGCAGACCACTCCTTTGCAATGATCTCAGCAGCACGCTCAGCAATACCATAAATAGCAGTCTGGATATGCGCAGAAAGCTGCACAGGAATAACACTAGCATCCACAACTCTCAAATTCTGCGTACCATAAACCTTCAACTCGGGACTAACAACACCACCATCCTTTTCGGGAAGCATGGCACACGTGCCCAGAGGATGATAAATAGTCAAAGTATGGTCGAGAGCGAAATCTCTCCATTGCTCATCAGTTTGGATATCGGCACTGGGCTCGTATTCTTCGGCGATGATGTCTTTCATTGGTGCCGTTTGGGCGATTTTGCGGTTGAGTTTTGTGGCGGCGATGGCGGCTTGGAGGTCGTATTCGTTGCTGAAGTATCTGGGGTCGATGATGGGTTTGCCGAGGGGGTTGGATGTGTTGATGTGGACGTTACCGCGGGATAGAGTGTGCATGATGACACTGAGGAGGGTGAAGTAGTTGGAGCCGTATTCGGATGAGTTCACAATTGGGTAGCCTCCGACTCCGGTGTAGCCGTCGGAGAAGATGATTTCGAGTTGAGGGATGGTGTGGCTTTTGTTGCCTGTCATGAAGTCGAGCTTGGTTTTGTCGATAATTGAGGCATTGCCATTGGTAGCAGTCTTTGCGACGTTGATCAGTTTGGCAGACTCATTGCCGAGAGCTTGGGGCCATGTAAGGTAAGCGAATCCAGATGCGGCATAATCATAAATGGACACCTCATTGGCGTTATAAAGAGCAAGCTGTTCGGCCTTGAAAGTGGCATTGTACTTGAGCTCATCGAAGGAAGCCAGGTCCTTAAGTTTGAAGCTGTTTTGGATACGAATGTGATCCTGCAAGTTCTCGCCAACGGTAGGGAGTCCGAGTACAGGCTCAATACCCGCAGCAGTAATGATTGAGGAGTTTCCGATACCGGAAAGTTCGAGAAGACCTGGAGACTGGAAGGAGCCGGCACTCAAGATGACCTCCTTACAAGCGTTGATGGTGACATTGTTCTTGAGAGTGACACCAGTGGCAACGACCTGGCCAGCTCTCTTTTCCGTGTTCACCTTGACAACTTGAGCGTCGGTCATGACATAGAGGTTGTCTCCGGCAATCTTCAAGTACTCAGGGCTGTACGAACGTGTGTACTTAGTTGTGTCGATGTTGTTGGGTTGAATTGAGACACCAAGAGGGTTACCATCGAGAGATTCCATGTTTTCTGGGAAGCCAAGTTTCTCCATTGTTGGAATCCAAGTATCTTGATCGGCAGGCTGAATTCTGTTGATGGTGGCGTGAATGGGACCATCGACTCCAACACCTTGGTCGATCTCCTGTCCGGGATACACACTTTGAGTGTAGTTCTCGACCTTGAGCATGCTGGTAATCATGTTGTCCCAGTTCCAACCAGGATTTCCGATATGTTCCCAAGCATCATATTCAGCTACTGAAGCGCGGTCCCAGCACATGAGGTTCAAAGCGGAACTACCACCCAGCACCTTTCCTCGGTTTTGGGCCCAGGAGCGGCCACCAGCGTGTGGTTGCGCAACAGTCGTGAAGTTGTAGTCGTAAATGCCGCCGAGGGTACTGCCCTTCATACCAGGGATGTAAATACCAGGCACATTGCGGCCATCTGGACCGGCTTCAATGACCAGGACTGTGTTGTTAGGCAGATACTGACTCAGGCGACTAGCGACTGCGAGGCCAGCAGTACCTCCACCAACGACAATGAAGTCGACTGTCTTTTTGGTGGCTTGCGCCAACGACGACGCAGCAAGGACTGAGAGGACAGCGGTCGTAAACAACGAAGGAGCCATGTTAGTGTTCTGCTCGGTAAATGAGACCGTGAGGAGAAACTCTATGTTGGACAGAGTCAGCCTTTATACGGAATTCTTCAGTGAGTCTGGTGAGGCAAAGTCATGCGAATACTGTCGGTAGTTGAGTTCTTGGTAGGCTAAACTGTTGGACTAAAGAATAGATGGGGCGTATATGAAGTCCCGACTGGAGCGGTCTGCATGGACACAGCCAAGATCTGGTTGCTAGCGTGCATATAGGTGGTGGGAGTGGGATATTCTAGAGCGAAACGGATGCATCCTACTCGAATACACTGAATTCCATATGTCGATCGTCAGGCACCGCATATCTTACGATGAGCTGTAGATGCTGTTTCTCGAGAACTCCACGAGGTCGTCAAACAGAATACTCTATCTCCCTAGATCAATCACTCGTGTCCGATGGTCAGTGTTTGAGATGGCATGAGTCGTGTAAGCGCAAGTCGCGAGATGCTGCTGGTTGCCCTAAATATCGCCGACTTCTTAAGCTTCGAGTCAAATCAGTATATGCACCTCGTGGTCGCTAGGATAAATAGCCACTCAACAATGCGAAGGAAGGAAGGAAGAGTTTCATGAAAAGTGGTGGGGTGTCGATCATCGAAGGCCGGCAATCTCCTTCGCCGCGCCGAGCGATGCTGACTTTGCCAGCCACCTCAATTGTTGCTTCCCTCCTGAGCGGACACGAACATCATCTGAATGCCTGTCTCTTTCCTCGTCACGACCATCTTCTCCAGAGTGTTTTTGTCTCTGATGGCTCACTTGTGAAACTTGTGGATGCGGGCCGTGAGCGGCCCATCGTCTTCCGAACCACCCAAGAAGTTGCAGGGGTCCATCAACACCAAAACGAGGCGGATCTCCAACCGAGCCGTGCGAGTTTGGATGAATGCACCGCTCGTTCACGGTCCAACTTCTCGAATCTTTCAGTCCTTGATTGACTCTTGTCATGGGCCACGATGTCTAAGGACTACTACCAGATTGACCAACCAGAAGCTGGTCGCAAGATCAAGTTCCTCGGTCCACGGCAGAGTTTAACAAGGATGTTCAGCCCTCGTGGCTGGAGGCCGAAAGTCCGACTACAATCAACAATTGAACACTGGACAATGTTTCTCGAGCTGTGGCGAACAGTGGACCAGAAATTGTATTCCTACGACGTTGTTCTTCAACGACATGACTACCGGGATGGAAGAAAAAGGCGCTGGTTATGAGGTGTACAAGGTGAGCGTGGGATGATGCGAGCAACATAACCCCTCGACGCGGTGTGGCCAAGATTGATGTGCTATACGGAAATTAGTCACGACCCTCCGAAAGCCGTGTTGCTTATTCGCAAACAATGATCACGAATGCGAGTCGATTAGGGCCAGAGCTAGGATGATGCAGTGTTTTGGGCACTCTTCGTAAGTACAGCCGGCCGAAAGAAAAGGCTATTGATATGACTGCAGAAGTACATGCCATGTCTTCTTGCTAGATTCTCGCACCCACCATCGTTTCCTGCTGCACGTCAGATCAGGCAGAATGGGAGAACATTCACCAAGTGACGACAAAGGTCCTACTCTACTTGTACTCACCTGCATACTTACCTCTCTGGCTGTCGTGACCACTGGTTTGCGGTGCTGGACGCGATGGGGCAACCGGCAGCTAGGCTTCGACGACGGAGCAATGGCAGTGACCACTACCCTAGCGGTGGCCCGAATGTCGATACAAATTGTCAGTGTCCGCTATGGGAATGGAAAGCACCGCGAATTTGTTTCCGACGACGACTACCAGACTATCAACATGCTCACATGGTACACACAAGTCTTGCTCTTTCCAACAATCTGTCTGATGAAGGTCTCGATTTGCATCTTGATTCTGCGCATCAAAGACACAAGACCTCTAAGATACACCTTGGGCGCCATCATCACAGGACTAGTCCTGACCAACTTCGAATGTCTGGTTGTACTGCTGGCTGAATGCTCCCCCCTGAAAGCGTACTGGAACGGCACCTATGCAGATCATTGCTGGCCCGCCGAAGTCCGGATATACAGTATCTACCTACAAGCTTGTTCGTACATGATTTTTCACTCGCTGTTCTGTACTTACGCCTTCTAGCATATGCCGTCGTCACTGATGTGATCTGTACTGTGCTGCCAATCTACGTCGTATGGAACGTACGCATTCCATGGTCGACTAAAGCTGCAGTCTGTGGTTTGATGAGTATGGGTTTGGTGTATGTAACCCATCACCATGACACTTGAACTACGCAAGGCTGACTCCATATTTCAGAGCTACGATCTGCTCAGCCATACGAGCGGCTTCTTTAGGAACAACTACGGACGACCTCTCGTACGCATACTGTATCGCTGCGATTTGGGCAAAGTATGTTTTGTCACCAAAATAATGTTCCCATACTCATTCACTGACAATTCCAGCACCGAGCTCTTCCTTGGTATAATCGCCGCAAACCTCGCACTGTCTCGCTCAATCTACAAATACTTCACCGAGCGAGCAAAAACGTTGACTTCAAATGCTTCCGGCTCAAGAACAACAAATCTACGCAACAGCTTTGCGACTCCAACGCGCATGGGCTACGTTAAATCGCCCGAGCCTTCTTTGGCGTTCGATATGGGCGGATCACCACGCAGCGAAGCCAGCGGTATACCCCTACGACCATACAAGAACGGATCGACGTTCACAGAACTTGATAGCTTGGAGAAAGAGTTGAGATGAAAGTTACATATCACGAACATAATAAAGACATGAGATCACAGAATCATTACGAACATATCGAGAGCGAAAAACGCTCATAGATTCCCTTCCCACCGAGCTTCTACAGGACCTGCATTGCGCAGACTATGTCATCGTCGACGACACATACGCCTCCCGAACAGCCCGTACTACGAGTGCCAACTGTTGAAATACCCTTCAGACTAGGATATCTGGTCGGGTCAACAATCATCATGGAACGTATTTTCTTTCCAATTTGGAGCGCCGACTCGAGCACGAGGGCGGTGACTCACGTTAGTATTGATTACTTTCTGTCCTGGCCCTAACGGTCAGCCTTCGGATACGTATAGAGAGGAGACAGGTTTGTGACACTGGAGCCGAAGTCTGTCCTCCTCTGGCATGTAACTTTCAAATTCCTGATGTGATGGACTATTGCAAGTATTGTGGTGGGAGGTGAAAGACAAATGCCGTGTCATGGACCCGCCTGTTCTACTCTCCTGCCTTTTCCCTCCGTTTAGGTGATATCATTCACTCGCATTGCACAGTCTTGTCCTTGAATACAATGGAATCACTTCTTCACGAACCTATCCTGCTCGGGGTCAAATCAATATCCTCAAATGTGATTACAAGTCCGGTGATTTTATACTCGTCTAGAAGTCATTCTCGCAGTGCACATTCTTGCACCTCGTCATCAAGCAAGTCTGCATTATACATACATGACTAGCATATGTGATTGCATAGGCATGTAGAGATGTATCAGTGAACACCGGTATCACAGTTTTACAGTCTGTGGAAAGGGAAAGTCATGCACTTTATGGACGCAAATCAATCACAAATTCGAATCTCACAACATCGTGTCTCTCGTACGTGAATCGTAGAGCGATCAGCAGATTTTGACCGATCGCTGCCAAGGTGATACTTGGGAAACATTAACACGGTGTCGAAGGAGCGTAGAGAGGAAAAGAACACAGGTCCACGACCAACAATCTTTTGCAGAACAAGATAATGGAGAGTTTCTTCAGATACTAGAGACGAAGAGAGTGGAGGCAAGTATCAGAATCACAGACCTTATCATTCTTCTCTCTCCCCCTCTCTAACGATGAATAAGCAAAGCCGCTGCAGAAATGGCGTAGATCGCGCAATAACAAAGACATAGACAAATCAATCTGGACACCTTCCATAGCGGGCAGTGAGCTTCTCACAAGAATTCCTATCTAGAGCGCAGACTTTATACCGAAAATCTTACTGCAACAGACAACAATTGACGAATCAAGTTATCTAACCACCACCGCTTAGAACGGAAGGGGCTATGTAGAAACTAATCTGAAGTGGCTTCCATGCCCTTGTTTCAGCACTTGCGTTATTGGAGATCAGATTATGCGGTTCTTATAAGTGACGCACGTCTCTGCAAGATCTAGTAACAACAAAGCCGCAACCGCCAACCTGTATCTGACGAGATCGTGCAGGTCGATCTGAGTCAATACATTGGAGGATTTGGTTCGGGAAGGCAGTACAGACGGGGAAGGGAAGGGAAGTAGGTCAATGGTTCTGTTGTCTTGTCTGCTCCTCCACCCAGAAGCCGAGCTTTTGATGGACCAGACATTTGTTCGCATGGCTGACATACTAGGAGGTGGAGGTTAGTGAGAGTATCACTGACCTGATGAGTTTCTTCTCTTCCTGCCCATGTCGGTGCTTTTTCCAGTGTATAAGTTTCATCCACCAGCCATTACAGTCTCCACGCTAGAGATGAAGTCTTATACTTCGAGTCTTCAGCATTGTATATTCTTCATTTGGTTCAAGAGATGGAATACTCATTCATCTATTATGTGTATAATTGACTTAAAGAGTTTACACACTACTCCTATTTAGTCGTTATGATTATCTTGTTCTATGCTTGATATGATGGAAATTGTTCATCTGCAGCGGATCTTGGAAACGAACGCGACGGTATAATATCGAGTCTACAGACACCGTTGCAAACAAATACATCCATCTTCCAGACCACGAACAGTCTGCTGTCACAACCCCATACCCAACCTAGAGTATTAGAAGCTCTGCTGAAAGATCATGTAACGTTCTCTGTAGCCATATCTTGAGCAAAGGAAGAACACAGGTCCAAGAAAACCACCACATCAACCATCCTTCCAAGCACAGCTTATTGATAACGCTCGATTTGACCCAAGGATCTTTCGTGAGATAATGGTTGATTCACTGACCTGATCACCTTTCTCTCCCTTCCCACCTCCTCTCCTTCACATCACCTCAATTCCTGATCACAAGATATGATGTGCCAGATCCAGGTTTCAGTGGTATGAACACCACAATCGAGTATGAAGATCCAATGCCATTTTTCAACCAATAAAGGTCTTTTATAACTTTTAGTCTCATACTAAACGGATGGCTGCTGTATCTCACATGGCGGGAACGAAACAACAGAAGTATGTGAGGCTGCCATCAAAGCATGTTAGATGAGAGCAGTGGGATTTGGTGGTGTGGAATTGCGATTGCGATTGTCTGAATCATCTTATGGGTACACGGTGGAAGGAGAGAGTTGTGCTCTTCTATGGGATGCACTAATGATGTCACGGATAGGAAGGAGTATAGAGTTGTGGTAGAGAGTAAGGTGCAGAAAAGTATCACTTGACTGTACGAGAAATGATGAGCTGAAGAGCGAGAAGTGGAACTGGAAATGCATTGACCATGAGTTATCGTAACGGACGTATCTACCTCTACGGTGACGCTCTTTCCATTGGCGTGGCAGCAGGTGTGACAAATTCTTGCGTATCAGTGCCATACCCATCAGTAGCAGCATCATCTTGCACCTCTCCCTCACCACCAGCCCTCTCAGTCTCGGTATCACTAAGCGCAACTTCCTCTCCCTCTTCCTCCTCCAACACCTCGACCTCCTCTGCCTCCCCATTGTAGTCGGCGGCCTCCAAAACACCCACCCCCTCAACCCACACTTTAGCCAACTCATCTTCAATCTCCGCCTTCCGTCTCTTCCACTCACCCACTTTGGACAGCCGTTCCTTGAGTTCGGCAATCTCTTTCTCCACTGAATCCTTCTCCGACTCTGTTCCAATCTTCTGCATCTCCCACTCATCACCTTGTTCGCCCAATCCAAGGGTCAAAACAAAATCATGATATTTCTTCAAACTTGCCCGAGTGGAAATGGTGAGTAACGTCACACCTCTATTCTTCAATGTCTCGTACAGCAAACCCTCAACATCAGAAGAAACAGCAGAAGTACCTTCATCAATAACCGCAAAAGCAGGGGAATGATAGAGCAATCTCGCGAAAGAGATGCGTTGTTTCTCGCCACCTGAAAGAACGTCTTTCCATGTTTTTCTCGTGTCGAAGCCGCCTTCTCTTGATGGTAGATAGCCTAGTCTCACATCTTCGAGGATTTGCTCCAACTCTGCATCCGAGCGTGAAGAAGCACGCATGTCGAATTCCGTATGCGGGTAGATAACCTGATCACGCAGTGTGCCTGGAGAAAGATACGGTCGTTGCGGCAAAAACATGATGCCATCCTGGCCGACACTGCGAGGGCGAGATACCAGACCGCGGTACACAGGCCACAAACCAGCTAGTATTCTTGAGAGGGCGGATTTGCCACTACCGTTAGGGCCGATGATGAGGATATGTTGGTTGCTTTGGATGACGAAATTGAGGTTATCGAGGAGTTCTTCGCCAGCTTGAGGCCATAGGGCTGGTGCAACGACGGGTGCGTTTTCGAAGCGGACGCCAGAGAAGCCTTTGTGGAGGGTGCCTTGGGTGTCAGCGAGAGAGTATAACTCAGGATATGTGTTGCGGGGAGGGTGGTATGCGGAGGCGTGGACACGGTGGAGTGTGCTGATTAGAGTGTAGACGCGAGACGTGTAGCCTGCTAGTTCTGACAGGTCTTTCAAGCTGTACATCATGCGACCGCCTGCGTCTGCGAGTGAAAGCATGAGACGCTTGTTTGTGATGAAGTTTTGAGTGCGATTGCCAGACTCGTCTGTTGGTGTCTGGGCCATGAGGGCGGCTTCTGAAGTTGGCTGTGCTGACTTCTTGTCGCCCACTTCTGCCAGCCCACCCCAAGCAGGTAGAAAGACCGGAAGAGAAGTGATGAGGTAGCCAAAAGCACTCCAAGAATACTTGAGGACAAAGTCTTCGAGCATGTTGTATCGGATCTTTAGGCTGTAAATGCCCTCCATCCATCTCTTGAGTTCTTGGAAGCCCTTATCCAGGAAGAGCTTTTCCATCTGGTCACCTCCATAGAAGGCAACTTCCTCAGCGTTGGCGATCAGGCGAGCATGCAGAGCTCGGAAGTCACCTTCTCGTTTGCCCTCGACAGCCTTTAGCTTGCCAAATGGAGGCGAAAGCCTTCTGAGTAGCGTGGCAGTCGCAAAGTAGTTGGCTAATAAACCGGTCAGAGCCAGTGGGCCAAGAGAACGGTAGAGCTGGTAGTTGAAGACGACCAGATCTACCAGAGGCTTTCCCAGACTCGAGTACAGGCTAGCTGCAGAGTCGCAGAATAGGGTCAAGTCTTGAGTGACGAATTGATCAGCACCATGGCCAATGCCGCCGTCCAGGTTTGAGAGTTTGTAGAAGTTAAGATTGTCGTTGAGGTATAGATCGTGGATGTAGCGGGTGAGACGGGTTCGAAAAGCTATCGAGACCTTTGATTGCAAGAATTTGATCATACTGTTGGTGTAGCTGGCCAGACCTCCAATGGTGCACCATTTTGCGATGCCCCATAGGAATGGTTTGCCTTTGCCAGCAACCAAGTCTCGTACAATTTCACCATCTAGACGGGCGACAACAAGGGAGAGGTATGTTCGGAGTAGCAGAAAGACACCATGACTGAACAGTAGACCCGTCTCTTTACTTCCCCATCGCGGGATCAGAATGTTCATGAGACTGAGAAATTGATGTAGGAAGGCGAGGTTCAAGCCAGGTTTTGTCTGAAGAGGAGGGACTTGTGGCAGGTTGCTGTCGCTGAGACCGACAGCTCTCGGAGGTTGCAAGAACAAGCGACGGTGGGCATCAAAGGTGGTTGGCTTGGTAGGATTGATGACGACCTTTGCCGTCGAGGATTTGTATGCGACATAGATGGTGCGAGTGCCGTCTTTGGCCCTCAAGCCGGAGTTGCGTCGTAGCAGTCGTCTTCCTGTCTCTTTCTCCTTGCGACTTTCAATCCACCACTTGTACGAGCCGAGACTGCCACCGACAAGACCGAGAGTGAAGAGAAGTGCTGCTGCTAGACGGAGAGTAGGAGAAGTTCGTTTCAGTCGCTTACGAAGGCGGTCGACCAGACGAGTAAGGAGAGCCCGGAGTGCTTCGTCCGGGCCATGCCGTAACGTCGACTGCGCTGCCATGTTGACCTTCACATTACGCGTGTATTTGAGGTGCGAGGGAAAGCATCAGGTATCGTTGATGAAGGGACAGGTGGGTGCATGAGCAGCACAAGACTCGATGGACTTGATGCTCTTTGATGATGCACATTCCGAGGTCGCATGTGATGCGCCAAGCCCATCTCCCCCGCAATCCCGGCCCGCCTCCACGCATCCATCCCAGTCGGTCACTGATCATCAGAATGCCTCTTTGGGAAATACGAAATTGAGATTGCATCTTCTACAGTGTGCCGAAAGCTGAAAAGACAAAGAGCCATGATAGAGAGACGCCAATGCGAAAAGGACAAGTCAAAATGCAAAACCTGGTATACCCGCTCCGGAAAACAAATGCCATCAACATGTAATCAACTCTCTCTCAATCGCACTCCATGGGCTGGAGGAATCCGACATCCTCGTCTGCAAAGTCTTCGACAAGCTTGTGGGGCGAGCGAGTCTTCATGCGAGCCTTGGGTCTGCCCTGAGAGCTGACGATGCCGTTCTGAGCACTGAGCTTGGGCATTGAAGAGTGGCTGAGGGGGTATTTCGTCTTGGGTGAGAGCGTGTCGTCTAGCATCGAGTCGTTCTGCTCCTGCTCGTCGTTGTTGTCGAAGAAGGTGTCGAGATCCTCGTCGATCTCGTCTGCGTAGCTTCTCTTGCGTGTGTTTGTCTTTGGCGTTTGCGGCATGTCGATTGAGGATGCCATAGAAGATTGCGTGTAGGACAGGCCAGGAGCAGATGATGTGGGTTGTGAGCTGAAGCCGCCAATCTTGTGCAGACCGCAGAAGGGCGTCAACTCAGAAGGCTTGGTGTAGAGTTCAGGGGCGCTGCTGGCGGGTAGCTCGTTCTCCGAGTTGGCCGAGATGCTGGCAGGGTGCATGTATGAGATGGTCGGGACTGGGAGACTCTTGTGGGTCTTGTATCCTTCAGGCACCGACTTGCGAACGCGCATGCCGACGTTGATGAGGAGCGACTGCACATGGTCGGGCAGCGCGGGCTTCAGCGTCTGGGCATATTCGTCGACTTCGGCAGAGGATGAGGGAGATGATGCGCCGACTGGAGAGAAGAAGGACTTGATCGAAGACTGGTTCGATGGTTGGAACTGGCGTTTACGTACGTGTGCCATGGCGATGTTGTGCAGTACGATGTATGTGGTAGTTATGCAGGGGAATGCTGTCTGTATAGGTGGAAATGGGAGGGTGAAAGTCGACTGGAGATGGCCATGGAAATGAGGCCGCTTGCGTGAAATCACGCGTAAAGTGCTTCACGAAAATGTCGCGTCCCTTCCGTTGGCAGGACAATCGCGAGATTCCGAACTCTTCGTCGTCATTCTGTTCCAACAATCATCGAGAATATCATATACCTAGTCTCTGATCGTTGTTGGTCTTTACTGGTCTACTCATGATATCGACGTGATCTGACTGCATGCTGCAAAGACTATTGCTGTGCAACCTCAAGCGACTGCACGCTGCACCACCCAAGTCACACCGGCATTGGCCAACCAGTGAACCGATTCTTGTCGCAATATACAAGTCCGAACCGAGAGCACACAAGCCTATCGCCGTCGCTTGCCCTTATACATTGTCTTGCCCTCGTGGCTATGCGACTCCAAGAATAACCATGCTGAAACTCGACTGCTACACACGCTTCAGATGCAAACTTTGAGTATATCCTTTCTGCAGATCCATCTTCTGCCTGTTCTCTGGATGTATCTTTTTCTCATCATCCATCCTTCATGTATATCATGGAGGCCTCATCATTTGCTGCATCAGCACAAGCGTCTCGGCCTTACAAGATGGAAGAGTCGTAAAGTCGGTTAGACGCTCTCGGCCTAGAGCCGCATGAACCAAATCCAGCCCTACGCTCAAGTGGCGCAATCATGAAACAACCACATGGCCCACAACTCCATCCCCTGTGCTCCAGTTTGCAAATGACAGTAACGTGACTGGTCTGGTATAGATGACTTTTTACCTTTGCAGTTGCTGCACACTCGATCTTGCCGACCTCGACTCCTCGCTTACCTCTACTTTCTGACGCGCTAGCGCACCTTTTTGATTGGAACTGGTTTTGCTGCACAACCTTGACCATAACAGCTCCATCTCGGCGACCAAGCATACACTCTCGACTCTTCGCGAACTTCTCGATCTATCCGACTCGGCCATAATCGGTCGAATCTCATTGGTCTCGTCTATAGCTCTCTACCAAAGAATCCTGCCAACTCTCCACTGCTGACCACGGCCGATCAAACCCTGCAACATCTGTTCACACCTCCTGCCCCGCTGTGTCTGTCGCGAAACATGCTATCCCCTGCGAAACGGCTATGCAGCTACCGACTTGGCGCTTGCTATCAGGAGCAAAAACTCTTTCCAGACTCTTGCTCGGTGGGTACATAAGAATGTGGAAGCTCTATCTTCCTGTCTCGTAGGTCAACCTCTCGCCTTTCCTTTCTTCGTTCTCTTTTCCAGCCTTGACGGCTTAGTCTTTCGTTTAAACAGTTCCCCGGTGGAATCTGTATCTCTTTTTCAAAAGTCGTCTCAAAGGCCTTGACGGTCCATATCTTCTTCATTCCTTGAAACAGTCCTAGCGACTCATTACATTCTTTCTTGCAACATGGCTCGTTTCGCAGCTCTTCTTCCTCTTGCATATGCAATGGGCGCCTTTGCTCAGAGCGTGGCATACAATGACCCAAACACTGGCATTGACTTCATGAGTTATCAGGATTCGAAATCGGGAGCAAGATTCTCGGTTGCCACTCCGGAGACTCTTGGTAGTGACTTCATTGGTCAGATTGTTGCTCCCACTACTGAGGGATGGGCTGGTCTCGACATGTCGGCCCAGATGGCAAGTCACATCCTCGTAGTGGCTTGGCCCAATGGCGACAAAGTTATGTCGTCCCTTCGTGAGGCCACTGGCTACACTACCCCTCCTGTCTACACTGGTAATGCTACTACCACACCCATCGCCAACGGTACTTTCGTCAACAGCACCCACTTTGCTTATACCTTTGTCTGCAATGGATGTATCACTGGCGAGGACGACAGCTTCCCCAACACTGTCAGCGGCAATGCTTTCGGATGGGCTTTCTCTACCGATGCTCCTGCTGCACCTTCCTCTGAGGAGACTGCTTTGAACATGCACACTGGTTTCGGTGCATTTGCCGTCATCTTTGCCAACTCTTCATCTGCTTCCTACGATACTTGGGCTTCATGGGCAGAAGCTGTTCCCGCAGTGACTGCCCCTGTCGCCAACAATGGTACTTCTAGCTCCAACTCCACTGTTGGAGTAGACACTGGCAAGAACACCACTTCTACCACCCCCATTGCCACCACACTGAACACCACCTATGACTACATCATCGCCGGTGCTGGTCCTGCTGGAATCATCGTCGCCGAGAGACTCGCTGAGTCTGGAGCCGAGGTCCTCCTGATCGAACGTGGTGATGCATCTACCTACGCCAGCGGTGGTCGTGCCGTCGAGTCTTGGAACGAGACTGTAACTCAGTACGATGTTCCTGCTATGGCATACTACCTTTCCACTGCCGAGGTCACCAACGAGTACTGCACCGACACTGCTGATATGGCTGGCTGTCTTCTTGGTGGCAGCAGCATGATCAACGCTCTCATGTTCGTCCGTCCCCAAGAGCGTGATTTCGACGACAAGTGGCCCACTGGTTGGAAGTGGTCGGATGTTTCTTCCTCGGCCGAGAGCTTCTATGAGAGAAACCCTGGTACCATCTCTCCTTCCAAGGATGGTCAGAGATATGATCAAGGCGCGTATGACGTTTTGTCTTCCTTCTTCACCTCCAATGGCTGGTCATCCGTCAACGCACTTGAGGAGCCAAACAAGAAGACCGATGTGTTCTCTCACCCACCTTGGAACATTCAGGACGGCCTTCGCGCTGGTCCTGTCTTGACATATCTCCCTCTTGCCAAGGCAAAGAAGAACTTCCATATCCAACTCAACAGCACTGTCATCCGCGCCGTTCGCGAATCCTCTTTCGTCTCTGGTGTTGAAGTCGAACTTGTTGATGGCAGCAGACAGATCATCAATGTCAAGACTGGTGGTAAAGTTGTTCTTGCTGGTGGCGCTCTCAGTACTCCTCGCATCCTCATCAACTCTGGTATCGGTCCCGCCGACCAAATCAAGACTGTTCAGAGTGGAAGTGTAGCTGTTACTCTTCCTGATCAAGCCGAGTGGATTGATCTTCCTGTTGGCAAGGGCCTCAAAGATCACCCCATCATTACTCTGAAGTTCAAGACCAAGACTTCTTTGTCTTCCCTCGACACCACAGCCTTCACCGATCCCACTCAAGTCAACGCCGATCTCTTCGCCCATGGCAGCGGCCTTCTCGTCCAAGGCGGTCAACGCCTTAACTTCTGGTCTTCCGTCAACGGCACCGATGGCATCGAACGCTTCGTCCAGGGCACATGCAACTCCCCCTCCAACGACACCATCAAGATAAAGATCTACCTTACCCACGGCTTGACCTCCACAGGCGAGATCGGCGTCACAAGCGCAGGAGCCACGGAATATATCACTCAACCATGGCTCAACACCCCCGAGGACAAGGACGCCCTTGCCTCTTTCGTAGACCGCTTGATCTCGTTTACCAAGATTGCAAACTCGACTTTGACTCTTGACGCCGGACTTACCGCTTCCTCCAACGTCACTGGCGCTGACTTGATCAAGACATTCGTCACGGGCAGTCATTTCGTCGGTACGGCTAAGATGGGCACAGATGATGGAAGAAAGGGCGGTGATGCTGTCGTCGACTTGGACACTAAGGTCTATGGCACTGATAATCTGTTTGTTGTTGATGCGTCCTTCCACCCTGATTTGCCCACGGGAAACACACAGGCGATTGTTATGGTTGCTGCTGAGGCTGCTGCTAAGAAGGTGCTTGCTGTGCAGGTCAGTGGTGGTTCAAACAGTACTGTTCCTACTTCTTCGGCTACCTCCGTCGTCGCTGTTTCCTCAACCGCTGCTCAAAGCTCTGCCATTGTCGCAACCTCTACTGCTTTGTCTTCCGCTGCGGTCACCTCAGCACCAGCAATCACTTCAGCCCCTGCATCTTCCGCTACAATCCCTACCACCTATACGACAAACACCGCCACCACTTCCGTTGCCGTCCCCAGCCCTGCTTACACACAAGTTCCCAAATACGGAAGATGTGGTGGCAATGGATACGAAGGACCTACCAAATGTGCCGAGGGCAGCACTTGCAAGTATCAGAATGATTGGTACTGGCAGTGTGTTTAGATGATGATGTGAAGGAAGGGATTCAATTCTTTGTGTATGTTATGTCATGTTATGTTTGAGAAGTTCAGTATAGAATTAAAATGTTGATTGTAAATTGTTTTTTGTGTTTGGAGTTGATTTGAGGTGATGTTTTGAAACGTCTTTTTATGGTTTTGCGATATGGGAATGTTGTGTTAACTATTGCGATGTGTACGTACTTCTATATCGAGGCTTTCTGATATCATTGTCGAATCCATACGCGCTCCGGTGATTATGCACGAAGCTTGCAGAGATGATGCTGTAGGTATGAGAATCTCACCAGTATCACAGCATCAAATTATCTGCGACATACACTTGATGGGCCAAAGGTACTTCACCTTCCTCATCATCAAAACTCAATAGTCAGATCTCTACACCCTGTCACACCTAAGGATTCAGTCGGAGGATTTTAGCTCTGATCGCTGAACAATCACACCTCAAAGATCAAAGTTTCAAGCTGAAAGAATCCTCGAAAGAATAAATAAGTGCTAGGTATGGATGGGCAAGGTGCAAGTCCCTCGAGTCTAAACCCTTGTTCTCGTGTGTAGTGTTTTGGCAAGGACAGATCGTCGAAAGCTGATATGATTTATACAGATGAGAGTGACGTCTAGGGAGAATCTGTGATACAGTCTTCTCCGCTCAACAGTTGTCCGGGTCTCAGAATACATGCATTGGCAGTTGAAGGTCAGGTTTCAAATTATGTCGATGACCAGAAAGTCGCACAACTTAGGTTTATGCGCTTACATAACGCCGCCAAGCCAAGCTATGCAGTTCAAAGCCCGGGCTCCATGCATAAAAAAATTCTCCACCAACGAAAATTCGAAAATTTAAAAATTGATTCTCCTCATCCGGCACTTCCACCTTGTTTTGTAGCAGCTGTATACACGCAAAACTGCAAAAGGAATGTTGATGAGAAGGGGATTCGAACCCCTGCCCTTTCGGACCAGCGTATTGGAAGAACCTTAAGCTGGCGCCTTAGACCGCTCGGCCATCTCACCATGTGATGAAGGTGTGTACCTTGAGATCAAATATGAATCCTGAAACCGTGCGCGACAAAGATCAGGCTCTGCTTGGGCTACGAGTAGGACCGAGGGACGAAGAGACCGAGAGTAGCCATAAAAGTATGGATGGTTTGGGCCAGTGATTTCATGATTTGATGTGGCTCTCTCATGAGGAGCTTCCACAGAATTCATTTTGTCACCACCGGACGTAATGTCTTTCAACAAGCTCTTGAATTGGGGTTGGTGGGTTGTGCTAGCCATAGTCCACGATCATCGATGACTCCAGAGTATTACAGACGATACAGCATGCCAAACTGAAGGAGACAATACGAGTGTGGTGTCGTCGTGAGTGTCTGCGTCGACGTCTTGGGTACTTTGGAAGGTGTGACTGCTCCGCTGGATTCCCAAGGGTTCTTCGTTTCGGACGCATCGAAAGCGTTTGATGAGAATTGTGGACTAATGCAGCGAGTGAATTCTGAGCTCACGTCACCCTGATTCCATCGGGCCCCCTCAGCCATTCTGGGCTCGTTGTGCGCGGTACGGTGTTTAATGATCAATGAAACGTTGATGTTGGTGTTGATGTTGATGTCGAAGAAAAACTATCAGGGCGGTAGCTCTGGACGAAGAGGGCAAGAAAAGAGAGCTCGAGACCAACGGAGGACACTAATCGTGAGACTTCATAGCCGCTGGACCATCGCTTCTGTGGCTGAGCAAGTGGTAGATTGTTGAAAATAAATGACCAGGTTGGAAGTGAAAGTTTCCCTCTCGCCAGGCGGCACCTACAAGAGAAGAGTTCCCTGCGATCATCAAAGATAGATTGAGACGAGCGGGGCGTCATTCATCCTCATCATGTACATCCCATCTCTTGTGTTAGAATCTGCCATGCATAGATTCCGGTCATGTCTGTTTGGTATTCAGTGCCAGCAAGTTCAGCGGCTGCCTTCGAGATGTGACCACACTGATTGTCACAAAACTTCCTTGCTATATACTATAATTGCATCTGATTAGCAGTGTAAGTCTTGCGCGCCAACAATTTCGACCTTCATTGGCATGACAGTTGTCCAAATGCTCTGTTCATACAAAAGTAGGTAGAACTCCCACCTGTCGGATATGGTTCGGATTCACGATGTCGCTAAAGACGGGTGAGATGTCAGGCTTCAGAATTGGGTTAGAAGTCCGAAGGTGTAGTAGGGTCATGACTGGCTACTCCATCAATAAAGGTGGCGGAGCTGTAGTTATCGAAGATAAGGTAACAATACTCGTCATCCGCAGCACTGCCAAGCGACATATCGAGCGTGTATTGCGTGTCGCCTAGAGGTCCAAAATTGATACCAGGTCCGGAGTTAAGGCAGGAATGCTTCGATACTATGGGAACTGCAAAGACGGCCACCATGGTTGATGAGCGGCATATTTCCGAAACGAAGTTAGATGCCAGTAGACTTGGTCGAGTACATCCCGAGTGCATACTGTAATAAGATAGACAAAGAAACGCACACTCGCAGGCAAAGATGCGGTCTTCGTGGATCCAGATGCAAGGCATATTCGACAGAGTTTGGGGTCCCGAATGGAGGAGCGGGGTTGGGCGCGATTCGGGCCTTTCTAGGGCTCAGTCTGGTCCCCAAATGCTTTATGAAGACACCTCTGTCCATGGAGGCCTACTCGTATCGTCCGTGAATTGCACATAAGCGGTCTGTTGAAGCGAGGGGTTGACAAGAAAACAAAGTTTGTGACTAGACGTTGTCAACACCAAGCTTGAAGCCTCCGACGATTCTCCGCTTGGCAAGACGTTCTTGTCGAGACAGCATCGATAGGTCAAACCAACCATCTTTACTCACACGACCTGATGGAGAATATCGCGGACACGGACGCGGGTACAGCGCCTCCTCTCAAAAGGAAACGTGTAGTTACGGCGTGTTTAGAATGTTATAGGTCAGTTTCCACAACCAAGCTTGCTCGGGAGCTTTGTGTTCTAATCGCGTTACAGACGAAAGCAGAAGGTGCCACCAACAAATCGATTCGAAAGATATGAAAATCGTCCTAACCCTCACAGTGTGACAGAAACAAGCCATGCCAGAACTGCGTAGGCCGAAACGTCGCTGCTAAATGTATCTACGAGCAGCCACCGTAAGATCATCCGTAAGCATGACGGTCATAGCATCGGATCTGACACATAATCTAGATCACAACCCGCAGTACCTGAATCCAAGTCGCACTCGCCTATTTCGGCCGAAGACCAAGCTGAGAATGATTCTTCGCTTCCAGAAGCAACAACAGATGGCACTGCACTTTCTTCGTTCTACGACGTTCATGCTTTTACAGACTTGAAGAAGGTATGACTATATCTTGTCAATCTCCAGATTGTTTCTGACTAACAATTTATCAGTTGCTTGAAGATGAAGAAGTCTTCCAGATTTCTGACTCTACTCAAGCCGCTCTCGAGCAGAACAAACCATGCTCCAAATTCTGGATTCTGGCAGCCCAGCTTCCCGACCCTCGGATTTTGGTAAAGGCAGTCAACTACTACTTTGACGAAGTACATTGGCGTTACAATGTCGGTCAGAGATGCTACATGGACAAGCAGCTCGAGCAGTGGACCGAGGTGGTCAGTACATCTATTTCTCAACGGACTAGCATCAATAAGGATCTGCCATATTTTGTGGCATTTTCTTTCCAGCTGCTTGCGGTCTGCCTTCAGTACATGCGGTCTGATCGGGAGATTGCTCGCTTGCTTCATGCAACGAATGAGAGAGCCGCCATCCATATGTCTCGAAGATATCATGACGTCGCTTCTGAGCTGATGCTGCTGCTTGGCCGATACAACGGCACTATCACAGTTGTGGATTATGACTTGCTCAGAGCTAGTTGGCTGAAGAACAATGGTCGTGGGGTTGAAAGTTGGTATGCAATCAGTGATGGTGTTAGGTAAGTCAATTTCTCTTCCGGCGGAATGTCGATGAACATAGTATCTAACGATTGCAGACAAGCACAGCAACTGAACCTTCACCGGGAGCCACGACCAAATGCAAAGAACAATAGTGTATCAGAGACACTTGAGCAATTCTGGTCTCAGGAGTACGGCAGACGACTTTGGGTAAACATATTCTGCTGGGATTCAGGCACAGCGTTGAACTTGGGACGACCCAGGATAATCAACGCGAAAGATTGTGACATCAACCTCCCAATTGATTGTCCGTTTCCAGAAGATCCGTCTCAGGCTGTGCCAATGCCGAAGGACGAACACGCACCCTCGCCTCTTTCTCTACTTCTTTTCCGCTACGCTGTTGCAGGGAAGATTCACGAAATCCGCGAGTATGGACTCGACAAACAGAATGCCGACTACGGCTCTGTGTGGGCTTTCCACAATCAGCTCGATAACCTGTTGAACAGCCTACCTGCTTATCTCAACCCCAACAACCCGGCTACATACTCAGACTTAGACTTCTCTTACCTCCCGCTACACAGGCAAGAGGCGCTGAGTGGGTTGAACTTAGTCATGATGGAACTTCACCGTCCATTTATCGCCTCACATCCAGAAAGTCGCATCGTCGCTATGAATGCTGCTATTAGCTCTATTGATAGTCAGAAAGCCCTCATGGATATGTCAGGTCGACACCACTACGTGTACTTCGGATTCGGCTTCTACCCAAGCAATGCAGCTATCATGCTCGCCGCAATCGCCCTTGTCTATCCTATCAAAGGCCAAGTTCAAGCTATCGAAAAGAAGATACAGCAGGCACTTGAAATTCTGGTCACCATACAGGGCGCCAACATAGTCGCTCGTTCAGCACTACCTGTTGTTGAGCGCTTGTACGAAAAGGTCCGGAGCTCTCTTGAGCGAAGTCATTCCGGCTCGCAAGATGTGGAGAGCCCGGAATCTGTACCCAGCCAAGATAGCGGATACATGCCCATGACTGCCGCTGCCTTGATGCAGTCTGGTATTACTGCACCGATAACGACTGATTTCATGATCGAGAACTCTGGATTTCCGCCCCTCCAAGATTTGTCAGACTTACCTGCTTGGAACGACATGCCTCAAGTTACAGACTTTGATGCTGCATTCTGGCTTGATCAGATGAATAAACTGCCTGAAAATATGCCACTAAACGGTGTGGTCAATCCAGATGCACTGTGGTCATGAACATCCGCGCACTGCCATTGGAACAGCTCAGTTGTTACCAACGCTCTGCTAAACGGTGCTTCCATTCCACAACTTTCTCAACGCGATGCCAACATTTCAACGCGATGCCAACATTTCAACGCAACGCCAACGTGTCTCGAACATCAGCCACCTCCTCTGATTTTCGGCCGAAAATTTGCCAAGCATCAATATCACGACATTAGCACGGCGATAATGACGATGTAAAGTCCTTATTCCGGCCATTGACGTCTGTTGTCTGTTAGGGCATGTCTCCTATTTCCAAGGATCCCGGTGACATGGCTTCCAACAACCAAGATTGTCGGAGACTGAGCAAAAGAAGCTGGGCCGCAGCGTTTCGCTCGAATAGGATATACCCGATCATGACTGATATGTCCGACCGCCTTGCTCATCTTCCGGCATGTTTATGCACATGTGCTTGTCGACCAGGAAGCCTCGTTGGCGACTTCAAGCATTGAACATAGCGGCCTGGTCCTCCGGTATCTGACCCCTTGAGACAGCCTCTAAAGATGATGTACTAGTGCAGACAGGCTATGCAGCAATCGCACTGGCACCGAACTTCCTAGCGATTGACAACATTTCAACAAGCAGACCTGCCCAATTGAGACTACTGTGCCCTTGCGTTCATGTTACACTGAGCGAATGGTCGTACGACATGTTACTCTTCTCGTAATCATATTCATATTCCATTCAGACTAGACATTTTCACCGACAGGCACCTTCATGCCGTGGATTCCAGTGTACTTCGGAGGCTGGAATTGTGTCCAATCTTGCAGCAATGCCTCATCGTCCAAGCTGTATACTTCTGCTCTGAGGGGCCGGCAGCAATCCAACATGCTCTTCTTCTCGCCCTCCTCGCCGGCACCACCTTCACCCCAACCCCAAGCACTAAGATCACCACCAGGACATGCAGACAATGCCATCAGAACGTCTTGCTCAGCGAAGAATTCGAGATAGTCTGTCTTCTTGGCTGGGCTGGGTTCCATGAAGTACTTGCCCTCAGCATTCAAACCGGTGACTTGGAAGACGTTGATGACGTCGTGAACGTCAAACTCGCTGTTTCTCCTGATCAGCTAAATAGGTCAAGAAATGATTATTTTCAAGACTTACGTTAGACCGTATGGTACCACCGCTCTAGTCAAGTTCGAATGGCAGTGGTAGTCGTATTGATCTCCAGTGAGCATAGTGTTCACATAAGGATCACAACGAGTCCCGAGCAGATCATGACATCTGCCACCCCATTGATCCACACCATAGTCCTTCAAGGAGTCGGCGATGATTGTGACCATCGGCCTCAAATAAGGCAAGCAGCTCCAGAGTCGATCGTATACAGTGACGTGACTAGCTTGCAACTGTCTTGTGCGAGATGCCCAAAATCTTTCGCGTGGGTTGGCCAGGTTCCAAATGTTCAAGTCACCAACTTGGGCGCCTTCGGGGGTGGAGAAACGGACGATGCTTCCTGCGGGGACTTTCCAGGCTTTGGCCGATCTTGGTGGTATGTCAATGGTCTGTTTCAATGTTCTGGATTTGCTGTTGGCTAGAGAGTCGTAGAAGCTCTTGTCGGCATTCAAAATGCTGCCTGCTGTTGGAAGGTACGCTGGCTGGGGAGCTGCGTGGGGCTTGTCTGCGGATGCCATTTTCAATGTCAATTGTACTTTCTCGATTTTTTGGAGTGAGGTAAGTGCTATTAAGATCTTGAAAGATGTCTACAGGGCATTGGCAGCTATATGTGCATTCCTTATCTGATGGGAGATGTAGTCACATCGTAGTGAGGGCAAGATAGCAGGTGCACCCCGATCAGCCGAGAATAACCGCTACTTGTGGGTAATCAGGGCAGGTAACTTCAGAGCGCGGCCAAGCACGTGATTTCGTGGAGAGTCTCAAGCTTGGACAAATGTCGTGACTTCCAAGAGTCAAACAAAGTCCCAGAGAGTGGATTTTTCGATTCAAGGAGAACGAAGTTCGTGCCGGCAGGCCGCTAGCACGGTTGGTTCATGGAGCAGCATTGGTCTCTTGTTGTCGCCTTCGTCGAGTAGTCGTACGAAGCCATGATGAGACCGACGTTGGTGAGTGCAAACTTTGTTGGCGAGGCATCATTTCAGACATCTCGAAGAAGCTTGCCGACCATATCGCAGAGTAAGTCCAATACCGCAAACATGTTTGCGAGCGAAGAACGTCTGAGAACAGAAACAAGTGCCGGGTCGTTGATCAATCTTATATTAAACGCTCCCAATAATCCTCCAAACAGATTAACCGTGGGGATGTTGTCGTCCAGTGGCTCGGAAGCCCCTCCCGAGACAAAATCAATGGCCCGCTTCACCCGCTATACAAACCGCGTCCACAAATGGCCCATCTCGAGTCATCAACACTTCCAGAATCACCATGGTCGCACATGTGAGACTGCTCATGCTGCCTGGTTTCAGGACCAATTGTATGAATGTGGCTTGGCGTAAGCGCGCCCGGTGCGAGCGAGGGCCACGAATTTAAGGCTCACCGGAACTGGTAGCGAGATTTATGGAGCTAAAATATCCGCCAGTGCTGCCAGACTGACGGACACGTTGGGCGGTCTCCACAAGACGGGACTCTCTATTTGGATTTCGATGTGCATCTGCGCCTCTCGGTAGGGAACCGACTGTCACTCATCCTGAACTTATATGACTGGTGGAGGATCGCTTGCTGAGCCAGACCCTTTAACTTTTTGCTCCCCTGATCTTTCTCTACAGGACATATTCACATTCATTTCCCAGTCTCTCTTTCCACTATATACCTCCAGGTTATGTCGTTATAAAGACAATCTATTCGAGACCTTTCCCTCGCTACACTTGACCTCTGCTGGCAGCAAGATGTACGACAGATCGAGCCAGATTCTGGTTGTATGCGTTATCTTCTTTGTTCTCTCTTGGATTTCTGTTGGGCTACGAGTATATGTAAAGTAAGTCTGATGTCTTCCAATATCCTGGGTAGAGTACTGATCAGATCCTCAGAGCTCGGTTACTAAAGCAAGTTGGGTGGGACGATGGAGCCATGCTCGCTACCTTACTCCTTTTCACGGGGTATTTGATATGTCAACTCGGTAGTCTCGCGCATGGTAATGGAAGACGTCGCGAGACGATGACAGATGCGACAGCACAGATAGGTCTGATGGTATGTCTGATGCATCTTTCCAAGGCTCTCAAGCTTCTAACGCCACAACAGTACTGGTTCTTCTGTGAGCTGTTTTACACCTTAGCAACATCGATGTTGAAGGTCGCAATCGGTCTTTTCTTCTTGCGGATAGCCAACAACAAGTGGCACGTTCTTATCATCAAAGCCATCATGTACGCCAGTGGAGTGCTCGGCGTCACATACTTCGCCATCGTCCTTTTCCAGTGTCGGCCCATCTCTTTCTGGTGGGATCTCAACCCGAATCATCATGGACACTGTTTGAGTGCTTCAGTCATGGCCGACACCAGTTACGTGGTTTCAGCATTAAATTCGGTGGCCGACTGGGTCTTTGGTATTCTACCGATTTTCATCGTCAAGAATCTGCAAATGCATCGTCACCAAAAAGCAGTTGTGGCAGTCATTCTTGGATTTGCTGCGGTCGGAAGTTCTGCGACAATCATTCGACTACCATACGTCTGGACTGTCAAGGAGTACAAGGGCGAATTTCTCTGGCGTACTGCCGATGTGGCCATCTGGACTACCGTCGAGGTCGGAATCGGTATCACTGCTGGTAACCTTGGAACTTTGAGACCACTTATGCAACGTCTCATGTCATTCATGGGCATCTCGAGCTCAACAGGGCGCGACACACGGACATGGACTAAACGCAACAAGAACGGAAACCACACCTACACTAATAGCGGGGCAACACCGCTAGAGGACTTCGCTGGCAAGGGAACTATGAAGACGACCGTCACCATCCGCGGAGGCGCATCCCATGATGATCACTGGGGTGGTCTGTCCAGAACGGACAGCGAGGAGGAAATTGTGCCCAACTCAAACAAGCTACATGAGGGCGGCATCCTGCACAGCGTCCAGATTGACACATTTGAGGAAAGAGTACAAGACGAGAGAATTGGAGCTGGCAACACGTCACCACGGCCGACACAGGCTTACGAGAGAGTCTGACCGTCAGGGCTCATCAATGATTTTTGTTTTGCATTTCAAGCGCTGGCGCTGTCAGGAGGATTACTGCTTTCACCAACCATACCAATACATATCAACATAATGCCCTAACATACATACATCACACGAGGAAAGTGCCGCAGCAACGACTGGCCAACTGCCGTGATTACAGAACATACATCATGGACAGAAGCAAAGATCGTGTTACCGCGCAACGTGAAACACTCGCGTCCCGGAGATCTAAAAACTCTCTTGACTTTGAAAGAAGTCAAATCTTCCAAGTGTAAAGCTTCCAGATGTGAAAGCCACAATCTTCGCACCTGCCTGATAGAGGAAGACAGATGTAGGTCTAGAAGTCGTCGAGAAGTAGGCTTGGAGCAACAGTAACGTCTACTTCTCGATGAGTACTTGTTTCACATAACGTCTTAGCATATTTGTGCCGATATAGAAACAGTGTATTAATATCATTGCGTAGAGTTCATAAGAGACAACGACACAGCAACAGAAATCATCTTTTCAATGGTACGCAAGCATCTTCATACAAGTTACGTCCTTTCAGACGACGAATCTTCATCCCAGACACCTGGTTCGACAATGCTCGACAACCTTTTGACCAGTCGCGGTTGAACGAAAGGCCCATGCACCATCGCGTTGGGTCCGTGTGGCGGCGCACGGCTCAGGGCCCACTCAACTAACGTGCCGCAATCCAGCGCGCACGCTGCAGGCCCAAGCAAAGGCGTAAGCAGCTTCCAATTAGAGAGTCTGTGGCTGTCGTCTCGACTGTCACACCAGTGCCTTGTCGCGAGACAGTAAGACCGAGTCACCAGAAGGATCCAAGTGACAGACATGTTACAGGTGTGAATGTCAATAAAGAATATTCCATAATATACACTTGAGCTTGGTATCAATGCTTGAGAAAACAGGATTTCATGTCTGTCTCACATGTCTACATCAGGATGCAATCGTCCATCACCTCACCTCTGATCGTCACAGGGTTGCTTTGACTGGCAAGACCAGGGGTAGGATCTTCTCCCAGGACCTCCTAGCTCTTACCGCGGCAACCTTCGGATCATAGGACTCCTCGGTCATGCGGCGGTCGAAGCTCTCGAATGAGATCCAACCCGTGAACCCCTTGTCGACAACCCATGCCTTCAAGATTTCGACGATGGGTAGATAACCTCCCTTGTCGGCTTCCAGAGGGAACGGTCTTGCGTGCTTCGACCAAGTGAACTCTGCGGCTTCTCCCTCCAGGTACCATGGATGCGATGTCGAAAGCGGAGGATCAAGAAGTTCTGCGTCAGACAGCTGTACGAAAAACAGCTTTTCGAGAGGAAACTCGGCGAGGAAACGACGGAGAGAATCTGCCAAGTGTGCATCTGCATTGAGATACTTGCCAGATGACACCAGCGGACTGCCCCAAAGCCTGGTGCCGATGTGGAAAGTGTCAAGACAAATGCCAAAATTCTGGCGGTCAACAAGGTTGGTGAGTCGTAGAGCAGTTTCCCAGGTCGGGTAACAGATTCCCCAGGACATTGGCTCATAGGCTATTTTGACGACAGGTGAGGTAATGCTGGCAAGATCCGCAAGCTGCTGGAGCTCTCTGACGATGATTTGCTCAGATCTGGAGGCGCTGAGGTCGAATTGAGAAGGCACTTGGATAAAAAGAGCACCTAAGGTTCGAGCAATGTCCACCCAGAGGCTCGCCTTCTTCAGTCGCTCTTCGATTGGGGAACGATTTCCTTCAAAGTTCTCGAATGGGCATAATGAAACGACCTGAAGCCTGTGGTCGTCGCACATCTGGCGAACTTCTTTGGCGGCAGCATGGATGGAAATGTGCTGGTTTTGGCTGTGTGTTTCAATTTCGCCAAACACAATCTCGATGCCTTGGAAGCCTTGTTCTGCCGCTGCAATAATCTTGCGATCCAGCGTGTGCGACTTGTGCAGTCCCAAAGACGGCGTAGCTATTGCGAGCTTATTCGAGATGGACTTCATGATTAATTTGAATTGATGCAAAGAGCAGGATACATGTTTGCTGTAAGCTTGATATACGCGTTTGTGGTCGGAGATGTGTTTCCGGCTTGCGTTGTGCTATTCGATTTTGATAGTCACAGGACCTTTGACCAAAAGCTTTATGCACATTCCCAACGGAGAGCGAGTTCCGTCTCGGAGAAGGAACGAATACGGAGTACAGTATGGCATATTGTGCATATAGAATAAGTTAGGTAGGCAAGTAATGAAACGCGGACACGTCTGTCGAAACACGCGTCAGAATCTCAACCACGACTTTTGACCACAGTCTGAAAAATGCTTGAGCTTGACGTGCTTGTGGCTCAACTTTTCTTTCTACAAAACGAGCACGACCTGGCTATCTCGAGTTACCTCATTGCGATTGCTCTCTGCCAATGACTCTTGCTATGAAAGTGTTGCTGGCAAACCACGGAGTCGTCGTGAAGCTCTGTTCTGGCGCCGCCATTTCGCTCACACTTGCCCTGGAAAACTTCTTTGAGAACGACCGGATTGAGCGACACTTATCCATAGTCACCACAAACTCCCATGGCTTGTTCTATCATTGGAGAAGCTGATGTTGTCGTGTTCTGTACGGTTACGCTAATGCCGGACATGAATCGTCCGGATTTGTCACGAGCAATCTCGTTCATGGAGCGCGGTATATGCTTACAAAGATGACTCAACGTGGAAGATAGGTATACACCTAGTTGGTAGTCACAATAGGGCAAGAACTGTACGAGTAGGACTCCGCGGACGGGTTTGTAGGAAGCCCTAATCAAGACACTGGACTACTCACAAGGACGAGCAGAGCCACAATCACAATCTGGTAGATCAACTTGGACCAAAACTTTATAATGTTCCGGAGACTATTTAGAGGTGCTCTGGTCATGAGCTCAATAGCCGCATCGCGACCTTGTGCAGACCTCCGGTACGAGCGGAGGCCCGACGTGGCAACGATTGTGATATTTTGCAGATAACTCTGTCGAGCGCTGCATCTTCTTCATCGTCTCTTTTCGATGTTGTATCTTTCGAGACGAATTCTACAGCTGTCGCTAATAGCATGCGCGGTAGAGAATGCCTGACCGATAGGTGTACCAACGTGGTTGCTCACTTCTTGGCATTCAAGTGACGGTGACCGATGAGGCTGAAGTGGCATTCCCTTCCCCTGACCTGGCATGGGGTGCACAACCAATCATCGGACGGGCCCGTTCTGGTGGCCCCATAGCATCTGACCCTCCTGCGGGTGCACTCGTCACAACTCACGTATCTAGCCTCTGGAGGAGGGGTCCACTGTTTTTCCTTCGAGTTGTCCTTTTCCTCCTCTTCTTCGTCGTCTTCGCCCTCCTCAGTCTTCTTGCTCTTACCCTTCGCCTTCTTGCTTTCGGCCTGGGCTGGCTGCGACAAGACGGCCGCTTTAGACTCGGCCTTCGATCTTGACTCTTTAGCTGCCTGGCCCTTTTTGCCCTTCGTACCTGTCAGCTTGGCTGCCTGCTTGGTTCCTCCGGTTTCATCCTTGCTCTTGATGTTTCTGCCTCCGTCTGCGAATCCTTCCGAGTCCTCTTGGGTGTCGTCGATGTAAAGATCTTCGAATTCAGTCATGGTTTGCCGAGGATACTTGCGGCCAGGAGGCTTAGTGGAGTTGCAGTAGTCGGCAAGTCCTCCGACGGGGATGCTGCCGGGCTTTATGGGCGAGCTTTGGCTGGGGCTCGACTGTTCTTCGCTCAAAGACGACTCTCGAAGAGCCCTGGACAGTGCGGTGGTGTCCGCGGATGCACGTCTCTGGTCATTTGGCTTAACCATGGTGTGTGTCGACTTGGAAAAGACGCGATGATGATGAGGATGTCCTTTTTCACATCGCCCGATGGAGGACGCTTATGTATGGCAGACAGAAGCGACATGTTTGCTTACAAGTGAACGGCAGCTTTGTGATAAAAGACGCCTGGAGCCTTGACAAGGCTTTCTGGAAGTCACATATCCATTCCGTATGTTGTATTCGTTGGCCGCACTCAACAAAGGCCATTGCAGGTCACATCTGAGATGTCTCGTTGTTATCATGGAAGTTTCGGTTGCTTGTAGTCTTCCATGGCCTACAAAGGGCCTTTGTTCGTGTCTTCAACGCCGGTCCAAGCAACTCTTGGCTGGCAATCCGTACTGCTCTGTGCATCATAGTAAGTGTTCTTGTGCAAGCAAGTGCTCACATTGAGGTGCAAAGAGGTCGCGGTGCCCAGCAAACAGTTTAGTGATAATCAATCGTCAGTCATTAGATGAAAGAACGATTCGAGAAAGCCGAGCAGAAAGAACAAAGAACGAAGCAGTCGCCATCATAGACCTACAAGCTTGAGAGATGAATCAAGCAGAGTCTCATCAACCACTGCTCGTCTGTTCCTCACTGCTTTCTTTGGGGACCAGTATTGATCTGGTTTGTCGCGACATCAGGCCATTGCCTTGGATATCGGTAAAGAGAGGGATGACCTCGGGTATGGTTCGGTTATATAAAGTATGGCCGTCGTCACGAATTGCTCTAAACCCCTGGTCATATGCTACTCAGCTGGCGATCTGACAAATGGGGACACTAGATAGGGATCGTGGCGGTACACAAATGTGGAATTGATAGGCTCATAGTTCTGACAGGGTGCCCCCCTCGGCAATGAATGAAGACCTCCAATATCGGACTGCACAACCACAAGAGCAAATACATCGATAAGCTCCATCTTAGCAGGACAGTTCATTATATTTCGTCCGATTGACCGGCCCGGAACGTACCATTTTGTGCCTTGCGAGTTGTTGTCGCCATATTTGTGTTTCTGGAACTCGAATTCTGCAAAGTGCGTGCACACCACAGTCGTTCACGTTCGCAGTCCGCTCAAACAAAACCAGATCTCCGAAAAAGCCAATTTGAACCACATGGCAGCCATGTGATACGTTACTCAAGCAAAACTCAACCTCATATCCTAGATCTAGAGCTGGAAAGAATCCTTCGCAATCGCATTCGACAGCATATCATAACTGCCGGGAGCGGTTGACCAAATATCGATCTAGTCATTCACACATCACAAGCGCGAAACGGCAAGAAGCACGCACCGCGCGTCTCTCCGCTCCTTCTTTTCCATATCGCAACGCAACTGCCGTGCTCTGCATCCGAAACACATCAACCAATTAATGCATCCTCAAGTCACAAACACAAGCCCATGATGCCTGCTTTGGAAGCAGCCAAAACCTTGATAACTCCAGCCGAACAGACCCGGTAGAGCTGAGACTACAGAACGGCAGAGGAGAAATAGGGCAAGGAAGGAGTATGGTGACCAAAAAAGGCTTGGGAACAAATGCTTGGTTGCGGTAGACCCCACGATATGTGGGGGATTATGGAGTCCCCAGGAAACACCCCCGCATGGTGGCGTTCGCTCTCGACTTGTCTTGTCGCTCTATCTCTACTGCCGGCCAAAGTGAAAATCAGCGATTGGGTGGTGTGGAGTCTGCAGCAGCGAAACTGCTGCGAGGGGAGATACATAAGGGTTGGGGCTACTGCTTCTTGAGATCTGCGACTTTGTTTCTTGTGTCCTTTTTGTCCTACGATTTTCGACGTACATCAACACATCTGTGTCCACCCATTTCCTGTTCGACTCGTGTAATACTACTTAGACTTGGTCAATTCAACAGGGGTGCCCTCATCTCCCGCAAACATGGAGATGAATTACAATGATGCAGAATTGCATCGCATAGAGGAAGAACTCCACATGGAGATCTTGCCTGGTACTGAGGTATGCCTCTTCCTGAAGACCGCACCGACAAACAGTAGCTAACAAGTCCAAAGATCATGACAGATGTAGGAACTCACCACTTCGTTAAAGGCCATAACGGTGTCCTCGTTCCCCAACCCTCAGACGACCCCCACGACCCTTTGAATTGGTCCATGAAGTGGAAGTTTCTCGCAATCACAGCCAGCAGTCTCGTGTCTTTCAGTCAAGGCTTCGGTCCTCTGGCGCTCGCACCTGCCTTCGGATACTATGTCGAAGAATTCAACTGCTCGCTTGCAGACGCAATCCAGTTCACTGGAGTCAGTATTCTCATCCTTGGATTCAGTAACTTTATCTGGGTACCACTCAGCTCGTCCTTCGGCCGTCGTGTCGTGTACATTGCTAGTCAGTTGATCTGTCTGGCTAGTATGATCTGGAGAGCTAGAGCACAAACTTATGGCTCATTCATGGGTGCTTGTGTGCTCAATGGTCTTGGTGCTGGTCCGGCTGAGTCGATTCAACCTGCTGTCATTGCAGATGTATTCTTCCTCCACAACCGTGGTTTCCAGAATACCGTATACTGGACTGCGTACATGGGTAGTTTGATGGTCGGACCCATCATCTCAGGAGCCATGTCAGGTGAGCTTCGTCTTAACCTTTTTGCGCTTGTCATCTTGCTTACCTCGCTTTAGATCGCCTCGGATGGAGGTCATTCTGGTGGCTCAACGTCGGTCTGGTTGCCGCATCGCTCCTCATGGTCATCTTCGCTTTCCCTGAGACCAAATATCACCGTCCTCACCCCGATGAGATGCCTGGACCGACTACACGCAGCTACGATGGTAGCAACTCAACCCTACCAGTACCTGACAAGCTCCAAGGCGGCCACGTTGAGGATATCGAGATTCAACAAATCGAGTCCAAGAGCGGTCTGCCTGAACTGTCCGCAACCAAGACAGCAGACCGTGATCCCTTCCTCGGTAAAGGATACCCCTCAAAGGCGCAATGGAAGTTGTGGCAGTCCAACGAGCACCCATGGAAGAGCATGGCCATCGACCTCTGGCTACCTTGGAAGTTGTTCGCTTTCCCCATTGTCGAGTTCGCTGCTTTCGTCTGCAGTTGGTCGTGTTCATCTTTCTTGACTCTCAACTTGACACAAGCTCAAGCCTTTGCTGCACCGCCTTACAACTTCTCTTCCGAGAGTATCGGTTTCTTCAACTTTGCCATCCTCATCGGCGCAATCATTGGCCTGGCCACTTCTGGAAAGCTGAGTGATTGGGTCGCCGCCAGAGCAACAAAGAGAAATGGAGGCATTCGTGAGGTAAGAAAGCAAGAGAGAACCACCTACAAGCGAGCATGACTGACAACATCTCCTGTATAGCCCGAAATGCGTCTCATCGCCATGATCCCCTACGTGATAGTAATGTACATCGGCAACATCGTCGCCGCCATCGGCATGGAAAGAAAATGGCCCTGGCAAGTCATCGTCGTAATCGCCTTCGGCGCCGCCGGCATGCAAGTCGCTTCCATCCCCTCCATCGTATCCACCTACGCCGTCGATTCCTACAAGCCAGTCGCCGGCCCCCTCTTCGTCGCCATCACCGTAAACAAGAACGTCTGGGGCTACGGTTTCTCCAAATTCATCACACCTTGGGTGGAGAAGTCGGGATTCATTCCTCCCATCATGACGAATGGATCTTTGGTGTTGTTGTGGTGTTTGTTTGGCGTCTTGTTTTACTACAAGGGCAAGACGTTTAGAAGATGGTATGTTGTGTTCCCTCACTCCTCTCTCCACTGTTCTGTAGTAGTGTTCTGTTCGCTAACCCCTTCGGAATTTACAGGTCTCGTAACTCCTCCGTGCATAAAATGTAGAAAATCTACAAAGAAAAAACAAGCAAGGAAGGGGAAGAGGATGCGATGACAGGGAAGGAAGGATTGTCAAATTTCGTTTTCAGGGCTTGGTATACCGTACAACAAGGCGTTGAGCTGGTGCTTATACCGCCATAAGGCTCATGTCAAGCACGCAGGGTATGATTTAAACGTTGCGTTCCCTGGAAGAGATGTATGAGAGTGGAGCATCCTACTATTCAACAAGGAAACGATCAACATCAGATCGATGATCAACTCAGATGAACCCCCGCGCGTTCGCTAACTCTTACCTTGTATATCATCACCCGAAAGCCAAACTCGATGATCTTCACTGATCCTGCTGTATGCGGAAGGTGCAGTGGTCAACAGATTATGTTATTGTGCAGAAAGAAGGGCTGTCTGTTCGAATTCCTATGCATACAAGATTTTTACGCCGCGCTGGTCTGATTCGTTTGTCTGCCGTTCACCCCTTGTCGTCGTAGCCTTATCCGTACACACCCGCTAGCCGCCGGTACTGTATAACACACGCTGTCTAATGTGTTCCCCAAGAAACAAGAAAGCAGTAGTGAGATGAAGAAGTAGAAGAGTAAAGAAAAAGGAGGTATTCGGAGTTCCTCGTAGAAATGCGTGAAGAGAGTATGAGTTCTGCAAAAAGACGCACCATGAGTCGTCTTCGTCGAAAAGGGAAGAAAGAGAAATGCAAAAAGAAACAAATGCAACGCTGTAGGACAGGACCACACTAGTTTCGTACTCTGTGAAACAGGGTGGAGAGCAATTACATGTCATTTCAGACAAAGAGAGACGCTGTGTGGGTGGCATATCGAAAGGATGGCCCTCAGAGGATGATATGCAATATCCCACGACCCAGCGAACACCTCTAACGCCGCGACATGCCCAACTCCGAACCACATCGGGTATCCTTAAACAAGCAAAATAAATAGAACTCGACAAAAGCGTGTATGGCGTGAGATGCCCGTTCGTGTCTCTGTGCGTGTTCGACAACCAGAAAGAACATTCTTTAAAAGTCGTGTGGCTCTCCGTTCACGTCTGGGTCGTCCTGGCCTTGTTGTTCCGGGGGCGGCTCGATGCCATCGTCACGATCTTGCACGGCAGCTATTCTGTGCTGCTCCTTGGTCTGTCTGCTGTCGTCGTCGTCTGAACCCTTTTCTTGGGGGTCGTCACTGGCTGCTTCTTTTTGGACAGCTTTGCTGGGTCCAGACATTGCGATTTTGTCATCATCCGGTTTGGTATTGGCTTCCCAGACATCAGATTGGGACTCCTCAAACCAACCACCTCTTTCCCACTCGCCGAGTTGGTAAACGTTCTTGTGGCGAACGTCCTTGTCAACGATACCGGTCATGATCTCCTGAAGTCTTTGGAACGAAATGGGCTTGAGGATCCAACCATCAAAGCCAGCATCGATGTAAATGTCACGCTCCCGCTCGAGTAAAGAAGCGGAGACAGCAATGATAGGAATGCGACCATTCAAGGATGCTCGAGTCGAAAGCAAGTGTGTAGGGTGTGACTTCTCGAATGAACGAATGACTTTGGTTGCCGTAAGTCCATCAACAATGGGCATCTAGCGCGAGTTAGTAAAAGAGCAGTTAAACTTGCGAAACATTCAAAACAAACCTGCATGTCCATCAAGACGACGTCGAAGAAGCCACTCTTATCTCCATGAAAACTGGAGCACTCTTCGCCATTGGACGTAAGATGAACCTCGTGGCCTAGTTTTTCAAGTCTTTTCTTGATAATCCTACTGTTGACCGGATCGTCTTCTGCAACCAGGACGCGCATGTGATCTGCTGTAGGCGCTTCATCTGTCGTCTCCGGAACTTCTTCTTGGGGCTCGTCGAGAACGCGCGAGGACTCATGCGGCTGATCTTGAGCCGCAGCGGGAACATCATCGTCCTCCTCCGCTACGCGCACAGCTTTGACAGGTCGTCCCTGGTCCATGATGCTCTGCCTGCCAGGTGGATCCTTGATCACTTCGGTGACAAGCTCTTGCGGACCTTGTCCTTGACTAAGCGCGCGAGACCGTGACTGACTGCTGCTTGGAAGTGCTGAAGTGCTATGCCGTGAGCCCAACTTGGGTCTTTGGAGGCCGCCGGAGCTGCTGCCACGTGAAGGTGCGCCGCGCTTATTGTCCATAGGTGATTGGATTGCGTCGATGAGTCTGTCGGCCTCACTACGGCCCGAGTCATGACTTGCCTGGCTACGACCAGACTTCATACTGCGCTTGCTGCGCATGCTCTCGGAACTGGATGCGCGAGACAAAGATTGCTCGGCTGAGTTACGCCTACGACTGATGCGGTCTACGAGAGTGATCTCACCCTCCTCGTCGCCACCAGTGAGTGCTGTAGAGTGTGTGGAACTCTCCGAAATCGAGCCTTCGATGGTCTTTTGTCGCTCGTTCTCTGGCAGCTCAAAGGGAAGTTGGATTGTGAAACGCGAGCCTCTGTCCTGGACGGACTTGAGTCGCAATTGCCCGTTCATGTTTGCGACAATTCGTGCTACCACAGCCAGGCCGAGACCTATAGTGCGTTTTTCTTCGGAGCCTGATTCGACCAGCTTGGCGTTGGGAGCCGGCGCTTCGACATTCAACATGTCGTGAACTTCACTCTGTACCTGCTCCAACTCCCTGAATAAACTATCCAACCTTTTGGTGTCGAAACCGCAGCCAGTGTCAGTGATGGCGATCATGACCTCAGCCTTGCTTTCGTGCCGGGAGATGATGTGCGCTTCAATGCAAATTCCTCCTTCCTTGGTGTTTTGGATGGCATTGGCCACGACATTTGATATAGCTTGACGAACCTTCCGCTGATCCCCAATGACGGTAGCAGGAAGACCAGGATGCTCTATAACGTCGTAACTCAAGTTTTTGCGGCGCGCGTCTCCAGAGAATTGGTTAGCGGCGTCCTTCAACGTAGCCGACAGACTGAAAGGATCTTCTTTGGTGAGATTGCCACCTTCTTCTGTCTTTGTAAGATCTAACAGATCATTTATGACATAAATGAGCGACTTTGAGGCTGAATGTGACTTGGCTAGATTTTCCCGAGTGTCATCGTCAATGTGGCCCTCGAGAGCGATCTCCAGGTAGTTGATGATGGCATTGAGCGGTGTTCGGACCTCGTGAGCGGAGTTGGCTAGAAGTAGACGTGTCAATTGGCTGTTTTTTAGTGCAGCCTCTTTCTGCCGCCAAACCTCAATGAACTTTCCATAGACAAGGCAGAGGACAGCGGCTGTTTCGATCTCCTCTTCGGTCCAGTCACGGCACTTTCCAACGACTGTTTCGCTCCAAGTCTTGAAACTCTTTCTGGGCTCGAGATATCCCTCAGTACCCTCCTTGACGAACTTTTCGTAAGGATTGCCAGCCCACTTGACTTCTCGCAGTTGACCTCGGCGGAAGAATACAATGAAATCGTTACCTCCCGCAGAAAGCGGGACAACAAGTAGACCAGCGATGTGGTGGAAGCCAGGCGGGTAGCGTAAATCAGGGAATTCTTCCTTGATGTCTTGAGTAGCGGTGACAGAAGTAAGCTTGCGCAACCTGAGGTACTCAAGCATCGCCAGAGCCTCTTGCGTCTCATCAACGTGACCAAGCACTTTGGTTTCGTCTCGAATAGAAAGCATGCCGAAATCAGCATCGAACAGCTTGAGAAGATCTTCAGAGGAGGCAATGATGTACCCGGATGGGTTCTTCGAAGTCGGAACGGTGTTGATTAGCTTACGAGCATGAAGACGGGAAGCATATGACAGGCGTTCAATGTTCCTAGAAGCAGTCTCGCCGACAAGTCTGCACATTTTTCTGATAGGAAACGAAACACGGGTTCCTCTTGATCCGTAGGCATGGCATGAGATCAGTCCCCAGAGTTCATCGAATGCGTTAATAGAGATGGACATGGACGACCGTACGGCCATGTTGGCGAGATACTTGATATGGATGGGGGACATTGCTCGAAGGTAGGAGTAAGTAAGATCCAGAGGAGTTTCAAGATCTTCGACAGTACGGCACACTAGGCGAGCAGTTTCATGGTCGCGGTCGTACAGCATGCGCACCTTATTGACCTTGTACATTTCTCGCGCTTGCTTGGGTATGTCGGACGCAGGGAAATTCAGTCCTTTGTAAAGATCCTTGGTGGCCCTTGGGTCGACTAGCTCAGTAACAACACGGCCGTTCCATTGAGCATCGAACTGGTATACCATGACACGATGAAACCCGGTAAGCTCCTTTACGACACCGACGAGAATTTTGAGAAACTTGTCAAGGTTGGGAGCGGAAGCGAGCTGCTCCTGGACTTGAGACATGACGTTAAAGACTTCCATTGCGGCAGCTTCGCCCTTCCGTTTTCTGGCACTGCGCAATACTCGAAGAGGTTTGCTAGCAATTTCTGTGCTCTCGGCGAACTCGTCTGCAGTAGGATCCGAGCTGAGCGTGTCTTCCGGAAGATCGGGTGTTCCTTCGTTGGCAGGGACTAGTGGGAATTCTTGATCGTCTTCGAGTTCAAATTCGCAGATGACTAGGCCAGGGTTCGACTCGTTGATATGCATAGCGCACCACAGCTTCTGCAGCTTTCGCTGTGGAGTTCTGATTGACATGGTGAAAACCTCGGGGCCGTTAGCCCCCACGTCTGCATCTTCATCTCTAATGAAATCGACGTGGTCCAGTAAGTTGTCGGTCTGATCCTCAGAGAGAATATCGGTAAAGCTGTCAAGGGCAAAGAGTTGCTTTGGGGTGTAGCCGATGAGTCTCTTGGAGTTCTCACTCACCACCCTTACGAGCAGCTTGCCCTCACTTTCCTCCTCAAAGGCTATTAGTAGTCCAAAACTCTGGACGGCGCCTGGGATATGAATGGGCTCGTCTTCGCAACGCTGAAGCGTGTCACCATCTCTGCCCGTGATAATAGCATGGCCACCTTCAGAAACGACGTGCTTGAAACGGGCAGTGAGCAAACCACTGCCTATCTCATCCTGACCACCCATACTCCTCATTGACGCTGTGCGATCGGACGAACGAGGTCGGGTGTCCCGCGAGCTAGTGGAGTTCAGGGTGACATTGTCACTATCGTTTCTGCTAGAAGCGAGTTCGTTGAACAGTTGTGGAGGATGCCTTCTTTGGTGAGCCGTGCTCGAGGACTGGCGGTCTTGAGTCTCCTTCTTTTGTTCCGAGTCACTGTTCGCTGAGAACCTCCTCCCTTGTTGATGTCCTTGGTGGAAATAGCCATTGTTGCCATTATCGGAACGATGCGACGGAGTAGCGTTGGGGTCGACAGAAACAACGGAGCGGATGGGAAAGACACGGTCCTGAACGTCGGGGCTCAGCGGGTCCAGTGGTGAGCGGCCACCTCTTGCCTGATCTGCACCGGGCCAGAGCTGTGATGGCTTTCGGGGTCGCTCAGACGAGGATCGTTCTTGAGACGAGTCCCTCTGGGCGTCTTCTGGCATGGTGTTGGACGTCGGTTTGCTTGATGCGGACAGATTTGACTAAAAAGCTGCGACGGTAGCTGACGCCGTCATGCGCAGCAATTGAGGAGCTCGGTCGCGAATGCCTTCTTGTCCGCGAGTGAGGTAAGTGAAAAAGCGAGAATCGGGTAGGTAGGTCGTAGACAAGGATGGGACAGAGGACGAGAATTGTCGGTTGTCGCAGTGAGAGTTGGCGTAGGGTTGCGAGGCGATCGATACGAAGTTGCGAATGAATGGAAATCGCAGGAGCGTTGGAGGGCCAGACCGGAATGAAGATTGGAATTGGGCGGGATAGGGTGACGCCACAGTTCGGCCGGCCAGACGACTAGGCGCGTGTGCTTTGTACTTGTGGCTCTGACGACAAGCGATGGATGTCCTTTGACCGACAGATTACTGCTCTGCAATCGAGTCAGAGGGCCTTCGTCTCACAGGAGTCGCAGGAGAAACTGCTGCGGATGTGGTTGGAACAGAGACGGCAATAGTGGCGAGTCCAAGGTGCAACCGTGCAAGGCGTGCGAGTCGGGCGCAAACTTTGGTGCTTTCTTGGCTGGAAACCGCCACGAGACTCGATCGAACTCTCTGTCTCGATGAAAGTGTGCTTCCAACAGCTTGTTGTAAGACCGAACGACACAGCTCCTCGAGTACTGCCACAACACAGGAGTCGTCGAAGAAAGAAGGAAGATTCTGGTTGAGCACGGGGCAGAGAGCCCATCGGTGATCGATATCACTGCTCAAAGTGTAGAATGTATCATTATTTATTGATTAACACCCTTGCGGAGCAGATCAGCACTCATCCCGCACTTCGCTGAGCCTCAACTCCAATCTTTTTCTACACCAGGAGAACGGAGGCGTCTTTGATATCACAGGCTCGCAGAACCAACCTTGAGCTCTTCGTCTATCCACCACATGGTCCATGAGATGGATCTTGGACCATTCGGGGTACGGTCATTTGAGCCGCATTCGTACCCACTAATTCAACGTTGGCGGCTGCGTGCGGCACTGGCCCAAACCTGTCTGTTCCGATTATGCTGCTGCTCTTCAAGTCATGCATAAAAAGCAGTTGCCCAAACGAGAAGTACATACATGCACCGTCTGGCACATGCAATTGTGCTCCCTCACACCATAAATTAGCATGCCCCACCTCTAAATTGCTCTAAGAGCGGAGATTCGTCCTGCTCGGTACCACATAAGTTGGCTGTGCTGTAAGGCTGAGATGGCGCGAGCGAGATGGCCATGCAGAGGAAACTGCTATGGGGAGGGTGTGGTTGGGAGCTGCAGCGAGCAGGAGAGAGCAAAGGGGGACGCTGGAGCCTTCTCCGGCTGTGCACAAAGCAAAGATCATGCAGCATAAAGAAGCCGCCATAGGGCAGGCACGTCTTCGCCAAGACCCATATCTCCATAAATCGTCATGCGACACACGCTTATCACCGTGAGAGACCGACCGACCGACCAAGCGCTTTACACCAGCTAACTCCAACACGACTACGCTTTCACACCTCGCTCGCCACAAACCATTAAAGAACCTATTCAGCAAACCAACTCGACCGCGCCCTCTTCGACAGACAACACACAATCTACTGCGCCATAACGAGCCTGTAGCACCTCCGTTCCGCACCACCGCATCACCCCGCATTGATACCTAGTCACCAAACGCTCCAGCGGCGAGGACGACGACGACGACCAGATAACTTTTACAAAGGCCCGAAGAAACTGTCCTGTATCATACTCAGCCACACAAACACCTGCTGTCAAGATGAGTAGTCCGAAGAGAAGAATCGAGACGGATGTAGGTCAACAGGATCGGAACAAAGAGCTTGGGAGGTACTATAAGCTGACGTTGTATTATCGCTGCCTATAGGTCATGAAGTGAGTTCACGAAGATATCAAGAGCCCGATGATTAGCGTACTGACTGGCGACAGGATGTATGTACAAGTTCAATTTGCGCTGCGAAGGTGCCTTTCCCTAACGACCAAACCAGGATGATGAGCGACTATGAGGTCACTCTGGTCAATGACAACAGTACGCTATGGTTAACAAGCCTACTTAGTATATACGTTGCTGACCTGTGCTGCAGTGTTCGTCGACCTTTCATCTGTCCTTGATACACACGAAATGTTACTTACACGCTGCTTACAGGCAAGAGTTCTTTGTCCGATTCAAGGGTCCTGAAGAGAGTGAGAATATGTGCACCTCACGACAGAGTTTACCATATTAACACGGTCGACAGCACCCTTCCAAGGTGGCCTCTGGAAGATCCATGTCGAGCTTCCTGATCAGTACCCCTACAAGAGTCCGAGCATCGGGTTCGTGAACCGCATATTCCATCCCAACATCGACGAGCTGTAAGTGTCGTTGCAACGATTTGGGAAGAAGACATTGCGTCTGACGATTCTGTAGATCAGGCAGTGTCTGCCTCGACGTTATCAACCAAACGTGGTCACCAATGTACGAAATGGTCAACATCTTCGAGGTGTTTCTCCCCCAACTGTTGCGCTATCCCAACCCGACGGATCCGCTCAACGGCGAGGCTGCAGCCTTGATGATGAGGGAGCCAAAGAGCTATGAAGCCAAGGTCAAGGGTGAGATAAAACGACACGTCCCTATCATTCGTGACACGACTGATCGCTGTCAGAATACGTCACCAAGTATGCATCAAGAGAAGCAGCAGAGGATGCAGGCGAAGACTCAGACGACGACGATGAAATGAGCAGTGTCGGCAGTTTCGACTCTGATGACGACGAACCTGCAGGCAACATGGATGAGATTTGATCTATGGCTGAGAAAGAAGGTCTGAGGACGAGGTCATACGGGTAACTTTTGCTGCATTATTTTCGAAGCCTGACACCATGGCATTCCTAGCCAGCCGGCGCAACATGATGGATTTGAGGCGTTGAGGGGACCGGGACGGCGTTCTACTTTGTAGCTAGCTGCATTACTATTGCTATTTTGCTCAGAGGAAGATCAGAAACTATGATATGATAGTTGAATGCACACATCAAGACAAAATCTCGAAAAAAGGAAGAAAGCTTGCAGATGAAACCAAGCATGCGTCCAGATCGCATGAGGCGTGGGAGTACAGAGGCTAGACTAGACGAACAACGGTTTAGCGGATCAAGATGGCTGGCTTTTTACTCCAGATGCGGCCCCACTGTGGGAGGATCAGGGAAAGGAGATTCGAGTTGAGTCACGATGGAGGGCGTGCTTCAAGTACAAGAAGTTGTTGGCAAAGGCATTCAACTTGAAGGGATAGAAACAGGGCGTTTGCTATCGTGTCAAGTGGCAAAGAGTCGTATAAGCGTTCGATTGGAGCGTTGTTGTACGACAACGGGCGTGTATGGCAGCAGGAGCGGTGTAAGCGCAGAAAGATAAAACGAGGACGGCACGTGGCTTGCCATCCTTTTGAGATGCGATGCAGGGCGGTAATCAACCAAGCCTTCGGTGACGAGAGAAGGCACTTGGCGATAGACAGCCCAAGAGATCCAAAGAGAAGTACAAGATGACGGTGCGAGATCTGGTAGTGCAATTAGATGTTAGCTGTCTACGAGCAGATAGACTCTTATCAAAGAGCGGGCGGGTTGTTTCCTTCTGGCAAAAAGAAACAGCGAGTCAGGCTCAATCCGAAAGTTTTGACGGAAGGTCTAGCGGGATCCCTAACGGCGGGAGACGCCAAGGTGGATTTGGGAGACTCTCTCGACACCCTCCAGCCAGTTGCAGTTGTTCAAAGACTGCGACGATTTTTCGACGACACGAATTATGACCTAGCCGCTGCATCGAACTCCAACAAGCATCTATAATCCACCGACACCGACGCCCTCGCTTTGCTATAGAAGCCCGTCGATCGCAACAGCAGCCAGGCTGCTCCAACAATGGGCAACTCCAGCGGCAAGCCCGTCGTCTTCACCGATGAAGGTCAGTCGTCAATCGTGACATAGTGCAGACCAGGGACGGGCATTGATGTGCAGCAGTAAGCCTCGATCACTTCCGACTGCTACGAGTCGTCGGCAAGGGCGCCTTTGGCAAGGTCCGCATCGTAGAACGAAAGGACACCGGCTTGACCTTCGCTCTGAAGTACATTCGCAAAGATGAGGGTGAGATGTGATTTTCCTAGCATGAGCAGGACACGCACTGATACAGCCGCAGTGGTACGCAGTGAAAGCGTGCGGAACATGATTCGAGAACGAAGGATGCTGGAACATCTCAACCACCCCTTCCTGTGCAACTTGCGATACAGCTTCCAGGACGTCGAGTACCTGTACATTGTCGTCGATCTTATGACGGGTGGAGACTTGCGCTTCCACATCTCGAGAAAGTCCTTTACCGAGGAGGCCATTCGCTTCTGGATCTCGCAACTGGGCTGCGCTCTTCGCTACATCCACAAGCAGAACATCGTCCACCGTGACGTCAAGCCCGACAACGTGTTGCTCGACTCGGATGGCCATGTCCATCTGGCTGATTTCGTACGACCGCACCCCTACCTGCAGCCGTCGTGGCATAGCTAACCTTCTGCCAGAACGTCGCAACAGATCTCACCCCTGGCAAGCCCCTAACCAGCCGATCAGGCACATTAGCCTACCTCGCACCAGAAGTATATCGTGGCAAGGGCTACGGAGCCGAGTGCGACTGGTGGTCGTTGGGTGTCCTCTTTTACGAATGCATCTACAGCAAGGTATGACGTGTCGACGATCCTTCCAGCTACTAAAGCTAATTCCCGTACAGCGACCTTTCGAAGGACATCACCACGACCAGCTCATCCAGGCCATCGTCAAGGGCGAGCCGAACTTCCCCGTAACGAACCCGCCTGTGTCGATGGTGTGCATGCACGCGATAAGCTCACTGCTTGAGAAAGACAAGACTCAGAGAATCGGAGCAAGCAGCTGGAACAGTTTCACCGACAACCCTTTCTTCCGCGAGCTTGACTTTGAAGCTTTGGAGCGCAAAGAGATCGAACCCATCTTCAAGCCGTCGAGCGAGAAGACAAACTTCGACGCCACATACGATCTGGAGGAGCTGCTACTTGAGGAAGCTCCTCTGGAAGCACGCACAAGGAAACAGAAGCCCCGTCCGGAGCTGCGAGCTGATGCCACCGAGGCCGAGATCCGCGCCGACGAGCTGCATCGCATGATCGAAACCATGTTCGAGCCCTTCAACTACTTGACCGTGCCCGAAACCAGGTGCGACTCTTCATCAACATCTCTCTCTGCTCCACCCAGACTGATTGATCCCAGAAACCCCGTTGCCCTCGACGGCGACTCGCCTCAAACAACAAAGTCCGACAATAACGACCAGCATACCCCACAAGACCTGCACAAGGTCCGCTCAATACCCACCCCTCATTCCTCGACCCCAAACAACGTCTCTCGCACTCGATCTTCAACACAGTCCCCCAACGGCTCTCCTCCGCTACCTACCCATCATGTTCAGAACACCTCTGCTGCACAACAGGAATACTTTGCTCAACAACAGCAGCAGCAGCAGCAGCAGAGAATGCCGCGCTCTGTGCGCTACGACGAAACCCACCCTCCTCCTGCTCCTCCTGCTCCTCCCACTTCTCACCCGCAACAAGCAGTCAACAAGGCGCATCGTCCTCGTGGCAGCACTCGAAGCACCTCTATGAGTGGCGGCGTTCAGGTTGTGCTCAACGAAACTGGCAGCTGGAGTGAAATGGCGAACCAGAGCCAGACATTGGTTCAACCGCAGGAGGACCGCAAGCCCGCTGGTATGCTCGGTTTCCTCAGTCGCAAGAAGGGCAGAGACCGAAGCCCCAAGGCCAAGGAACGCGAACGTGGTGTTTTGGGTAAAGAAGGTGCCAGAGTTGTTGTTGGAAGCTGAGCTCAACTGCTGCAATTTCTCGGTTTCCGATGCCTTCTTCGCTTCTCTCAGGACCCCTCTCCTCGCCGCGACTATCCAGGAACCAGTCTGCGCTTTTTTATTCCCATTTAATCGTTGTGGTCCTTTGTTACCCACTGGCTGTTTGCTTGTTTTTCTGATTTTCTTCCCGGAGCAGGTGGCGTGAAGCAAGCACAAATGAGGCGACAGGCGAATGGCAGGCGTTCCTTTTTTTCATTTCCTTTTCTACATCCTCATTTGGATTCTGTCCCCTTTTTCGCGAAGCCTAGATTGTTTGGATAGCCGGAGGAAGAAGAGTGAAGTGGCAATATGGAGGAGCGGGCAAACAAACACGATTGCATACAACAAGACGATCAACGGTCTCGCTCGTCTTGTTGAAGATTCTCCTTTATACCCCTCTCCCCCATCGCATCGAAAAGACACAACATAAGGAATGAGCATGAGAGGATGGAAGGGAGGGGTTTGCATTTTTCTTTTCCCTTTATCATCTGACTTGCATATGGAGTCTTTTTTCCTTTTTCCCTTTTCTAGCACTGTACAAACAAATCAATACCATAACCTCTTTTCTGTGCATACTTCAGATATTGCACTTTTTTCTATCACTGCTCATCGCTGCTTCTATCTTGTCGCACCTTCGCATGCTGTTTCTCTACACCGTTTCTGCATCCCAGCCTGCTGATACATCCCTCAAACCACCCATAAAAAGGCACAATGTTTTTCAGATTACAAAGAATGTCCAGAGAGAGCAGGCATTGCAATAAAACAAGGGCAATGGATTCAGCATCTCCACTCTACTACACCCCTATCAAACCATCTGTAAAAATGCACAAAGGTATTCGAAACCAGGAATTGGCCAGTGAGAGCGTGATTTCTTGTTCATTTAAGGGGGGGTATAAAGCTATGTACGGGAAGCATGTGCATGGTGCAATAGAGCTACAGTAAGTGAAGTGAAAGCAATGCTATGGGTGGGGTATCATTCCGTATCTCGTTCGTATCATTCGTGTCATGGAGTGAAGGCGTCGTTCGTGAAGTGAAGGACCACTCGTGAAGTGAAGGGGTCGTTCGTGAAGTGAAGGACCATTTAGTAGCCGTCGTTGGGAGGCAGCATGGCGAGGTCCTCTTCGGTAGGGGTGTACCAAACGACATCCTCGCTGCCCTTCTTCATGGCGTTGGCGTAAGGATCAACGGCAGGGACACTGGCAGAAGTGCCTGCGCCTTGAGCACGAGCACGACGAACGGCATCCTGGTGAGCCGAGTCGACAGCAGTGGTAGCGTTCAGCTGAGGATTGAAGCGAGTGGCTGCGGCGAAGTCGGGCTCGTTGAGTGCGCGCCATGCGTCGGCGCCGGGAGCGAAACCGATGGTGTGAGAGAGTTGAGGGTGGGTGGTGGCGGGTCTGCCGACGATGGCATCGTGCTCGTGGATCCAATCGGGGTAGAAGTCTTCGGGGGTGAATGAAGCGTCGGAATCATCACCCTTGTCGTTGTCGGCGCGTCTGGCGTCGGCGGCAGCGGAGGAGGCAGCGGCAGCAAGGGTATCCTCGAGCGCCTCACGGAAGTAGTTGGTCTTGACGCGCTTGTTGGCAGGCTCGTCGATCTCAGACTCGCTTTCGGGAGAGTCCATGGCTGAGTCGGCAGGTTTCTTGTGGACGTTTTGCTTGCGAGGTGCGCGAGGGCCGGTCTTGGTGGACTCGCGGTTGGAGCGCTGGGGAGGCATGGCAGGCTGGTCTTTGAGAGGAATGATAGTGCGTGTGACTCTGGCGTAGGTCTGGTTCAGTGCGTGCACTTCAGCAAGGTTGATGGATGGTTGGTCGTCCCAAGGCGAAACGTAGTTGGCGGCAGGAACAGCGGTACCGTGGAGTTGCGCGTAGATTTGCTTCCACCAGCCGGGGTAGAGAAGGCCAAGCTCGTGAAGGACGTCGACAGCACGCTCAGCTTTTGCCATTCTGTGGTGGCGGACCAGGTGCAGCTCACACCAACGAACCCACGCGGCCTTGTTCTTCTGGGGACGTCCATCCGGCTTGAGATCATTCTCCCAGGCACGGAAGAAAACTTTCATCAAACTCTCGTACTCATCGCCAGTGTATTCCATGGCTGCAGCGATGAGACGATCGAGCGCCCAGAACTCATCGACACCCTCCTTGCGCATACCCCTTTCCAACCAGCCTTCAGGACGCAGGACTTGTAGACAATCCAGATCAAACGCCTTTCTGGCGTAGTACTCAGTCTCAACATTGCCATACCAATGGCCAGTAGGGTGTAGAGCAACAATGCCATGGGCATTCTTGTTTCCTTCTCCGAGCTCGTTGTTCAGACGTGTGAACGTCTGATACAACTGCTCTGCAGTGTTGATCAACTTGCGTGGAGCCATTGTAATGTCGCCGAGCCTGGATGCGCCCAACGAGGTTAGCACGATGCCGAGCAACGTAATGTAAGATTCAATACGCACAGTGCGGACGACGAAGCGGAATAGTGCGCGCGTAAAGATGCGTAAAACTGCTGACGTTGTTTTTGTGCGAAGAGGCCGCCAAGTAGAGTTGATGGTTGTGTCGGAAACAGCAAGAGGATAGTAAAACCGCGCGTAAAGAGCACGACGTAGAATTATGCGAGCGCAATTATGCGAGCGCCGAGATGCAGAGTAGGGATGGTTTAACGTCGACAGAGTCGCGTGCGATATGGGAGAAAGTGATGAAATTCAGAAACAAGCGAGACTTATAAAGTGAAGAAACGACGCCGGTCGATATGGCGACGACGACGACGATGGTGTTTTCGAGCCTGCCAACAACTGAGCTCCATGCGTAATTTCACAACAAGAGCCCTGACTTCTGCAGCACTGCAGAAGGCTGACAGCGATGGCAAGCTTGGAGATGGTAACAGGATCCTAGGAAGAACCTGGCCCCCTATCTCTGCGATATATGCCATCGTACCTCGAACGGCAAGCAGCCAAGAGATTCGCTCCTTTGAAGAGATCTTCGTGCACTGAGGCCATCAGACATGCACCTATGAAATTACACAATGCCTTTCGAAGTTCAGAGCCATGTCCAAAGAGAGAAGTGCAAGACGTTCTCTGCGGACATTGCAAGCAACTTCAGAAAGTATTGTACACTTTGATAGATGTGTCAGCATACATGGTTGTGACAGGAGAGAGTCTGACCCGCAACATCTTTCGACAAAACGAGTATGCCTGACAGTCTTGTGTCGAAATCCGTGTTCATAACACAAGACCAGGAATGCCCATCTTGCTCAAATCCAATGAGATTCGGCTTGCATTCCATATTCATGCAGAACTGCACTGACATTGATCGCAGTCGAGAGCTGGGCATGAATATATGCTGCAATGTTGAAGCCTGGACGAGCAGAAGCTAAACATGCCGTTTGTTGGTCGAAGAAGGACATCCATGTCGTTTGAATATCCTTTCTTCTACGAGGCCAAACTGCATGCTCTTTCTTGATTATGTGTAGGGATGAAAGGATATGTTTTTCTTGATTCTTTCTCGGGAGAAAATTGACACAAAGAAACCGGAAAAGAGGAAACGACACAAACATCGGGGTATCAGGAAAACCAGGGACAAAGCCCTGGGGTTGAGGAGAAACATGGGTTGTTCCATTTGAATCTTTCTTTCTACGTGACAAACCCACTTTGCAGGTCTAAGAAACGCCTCGCACCATTCCCAGCCCAAAGATGCATAATCGATAATGCCGTCATCAAGTTAACTACTGTTACAACGAAAAGAGATGAGAAAGACGGATTAGTTTTCGGGTCTGTTCTCAGCGTAGCCGGCACTACCGACAGCTTGCTCGGTGGTATCTTCTGAGCTTGCGGGCTTGGCCAGGCCGTGCTCCTTGAGCAGAGCGTCGATCTCTTCGGCACCCCAAAGGTGGTGGTAGACAGTGCCCTCCTTTGTTCTGCCGACAGTGGCGAACTCGACTAGCAATATGTTAGCTGTGCACGGAAGGTATCCAGGATGTGCAAAACATACTCTTCTCGCTGCTGAGGTTTGTGGAGTCCATAGTCTTGCTCAAGACCTTGACAGCCAGACCGCAGGCCTCTCTCAACGAGCACTCATCAGTGTAATCTTGCTTGAGCAGACTCTGAGCACTGGCATTGTTGGCACCGACACTGGTAGCCTTCCAGCCGCCGTAGTTGCCACTGGGGTTGCTCTGGTAGAGTTGGAACTGGCGCTGGTCGTCGTAACCAGCGTAAATGAACGAAACACCGAAGGGACGAAGACCACCGTGTTGAGTGTAACCTTGCTTCAAATCACACAGACGACGGACAAGCTGCTCGCAAGGGATCTCTTGGTTGTAGGTGAGGAGGTAGTTTTGGGCGGCTGAGCGGGCGTAGTTGATGAGGATGTTGGCATCGGCGGTCATGCCAGCGACGGCGCAGATCATGTTGCTTGAATAGTGTCAGCATTACGCAGCAGGACTGATGTAAGATAGATGGACGGACTCGTTCAAAGTGTACAGCTTCTCGGCGGATGTGTCTTGTTCGAGCAGTTTGCTAGTAACCTTGCGCTCGGCGGCAAGGACGATGCCATCCTTGGCTAAGATACCCAGAGCAGTTCCGGCGTGTGAGATGGCCTCAAGAGCGTATTCAACCTGGTAGAGGCGACCCTCGGGCGAGAAGATGGTTGTTCGTGAATCGTAGCGGCGAGACATGGCGCTTGCGTGGAGAGGTGTCGATGATGGGCGGGATTGATTGGAAAACTGCGCTCAGATGGTGAAGCGCTTGAGTCGGAGATGGAAGGAAGGGCGAAATGCACAAGACACGGAAAGAGCGATGGGTTGTAAAGTGAGAGCTCGTCGTTGATTGACTGCTGGCTGGCTCGTCGGGAGCTTGAATCGTCATGCGTCTTGCCCCGAGCTCCGACGCCGACACTTGTGGTTGCCAACACGATGAAACGTTCTTATCCCATCATATCTTATCACTTGTATTCCAATCTGTTTGAACAAATATCACAAAGACTACTTTATTCATTATTGGCCATTCTATACGATGTAGCTTTTATCTACTGCCTCTTGCAGTATCGTACATCTACTCGAAGTAACCAGGGAACAACCAGGTCAGCTTCTTCTTTGCTGCGTCCTTGCGACCTGCAGGAGCAGTAATACCACCAGCGAACTTGGTCTGTCCCTCAAGGTGCTTGCCGAGGATCAAGTCGCTGTGCTCCTCTTTGCTGAGCTCATCAAGAACACCACCAACGAAGCGGCGAGCGTTCTCAGAGTTGGCCTTCATGTTGCCCATGACCATCTCAACAGTCACGTCCTCCGAGCTGTGCCAGCAGTCGTAGTCGGTGCTCATGCAAATCATCTGATAAGCAATCTCGGCCTCCTTTGCCAACTTGGCTTCGGGAAGGACTGACATGTTGATGACGCTGCCGCCCCATGAGCGGTACATGTGTGATTCTGCGCGAGTTGAGAACTGAGGACCCTCTGTTGTATCTTGGTTAGCCTTTCGTCCTTTTCTGCCACTATTTCTTTCTCTTCCAAATTCACGTACCCATGCAGATGATAGTACCCTTGTCGTGGAGGTGGACGTTGTCACCCTCGAGACTGTGACCGAGCTTTCTCACAACAGCACCGAGCTTCTCGTCGAAGGGGTCGGCGAAGCCAACGTGACCGACCATGCCCTCCTCGAAGAAGGTGAAGGGACGGATGCCCTTGGTGCGGTCGATGACCTGGTCGGGTACAACAAAGTCGCGAGGCTTAATCTCCTCTTGCAGACTGCCCACGGCGGAGAAAGCGATGACGGTACGGACACCGAGAGAGCGGAGAGCGGCAATGTTGGCGCGAGCGGGGACCTCATGAGGAGCGATCTCGTGGTGCAGACCGTGACGCGACAGGAAAGCGATAGGGATGTCTCTACCGGTCGAGGGAGATTTGTGGTGCAGCACGCTGATAGGCGACGAAGGAGTGCCCCATGGTGTGTCGACGTTCAAAGTGGCAGCAAGGGTGAAGCCTGGCAGCGATTGCAGACCAGTACCGCCAATGACGGCAATGTGGATAGGATCTGTTGGATGCGAACAGCGCCAAAAGTCAGGTCCTCATTCTCAAAATGTACTCTTGTTCCGTATATCTTCATTCCGGAATGGTGTATCGATTACCGGAATAAGTGCTTGCGACGTTTGCCATTTTGCGGAAGCCTATATGTACGCTGCGAGCTGTTTGTATACTTGGTCTTAGAAACTTCAAGTGCGAAGGTCGCTGGAGCTGGAGCTGGAGCTGGAGCTGGACGCCTTTCAACATTGATTTCATTCCACCTTGGACTTTTTGGTGGGGAAGTCGTCGATTGCAACATTGGTCCGAGCTTTTCGTCTCTGACATCCAGTGCATTTAACCCGTGCCTAATTCACGAGTGTCGGAGGACTACCTTGATCCCTGGAGAATTACTTGGAACAGCAGCACGAGCTACTGTGAGCTGTCTATGCAGCAGTATGCACATGGATAAATTAACAGATATCCGTTCGTGTGGTTTATCAACTGGACTTGTTCGGACATGCAAGAAGCCAATATCACCTGCCTTAGCAGACGATCCTCGCCACCCCGATTATCGTCTACTCATTATGCTATGCTAGATTAGGTACGCATACAGTCTTGTTTACCCAGCGCCAGTCCCATGGGAAACGTCATCCAGCCGAAAGAAATGCCCTGGGACTTAGATAATAGGAAGGAACTGCTTGTAGTCAGTACATCGCGCTCGATCGAGGAATAAAGGATTCTTAGACTCACATTCATGACGATCATCATCGGGATATCAAACACGTCTCGCTTCACCACCCAACAGAACATGCAGGACACTTTGCCGTCACGGTCGCCCAACGAGTTCATTCCAGACTCGGCGCTGATGAGCGGACCGACCGGTCTACCGTTGCTGTGCCTGTTCTCTCGTTCGCTCAGCAGGTCTGCACTCCAACCAGGATCTTCCTTGGTCTTGTACTTGAGGAGCTTGCACGGTTTCATCATGACGCCGCGCGAGTCTCCGAAGGCAAGCTTTGCAAAGTCTTCGTAAAAGTCGATGACATTATCGTCTTCCATGAGCTCCGGGAGGAGCACTGGCTGCAGTCGGCCGGCGGTGTCTCCGCTGCTTTGTGCGCGAGGCGTAGCAGTCCCTCTCGTGCTGGTGCCCGTTTGACGGCCTGATGCATTGCCAATGTTGATGTTCAAGTTGGCGTCTTTGCCGAGCAGCACATCTCTCGACCATCCCGTGAGTAATGAGAACTCTTTACTAACAGCTGCCACTTCGCCAGTTCGACGCAATATTAGCGTGGGAGTTCCATAGGCTGTGAGAAAGTCATCATATTCGAAGAGCGTTCGTTGGAAGCACTTTTCCATGAAGATTAAATCGTCGACATTCAGCTGCTTTGTACAAGAGATGAAGGATGGCCTAATGGCTGCTAGCGCTCTGGCGATACGTGCAGTCTTCTGAGGAGAGTACAACCGCTGCAGGCAAGCAGTCAAGGCATGGAAGCCGGTGGTGTATGAATATGGTGCAGTGACCGATGTGTAAATATCAGAGGGATCTCGTCGCCTTCGTTGTTGATTGGGGCGTGTTTGATGAATGTCGTTCGCCGAGAAGCTGTTTCTAATAGACGGCCGTTGTGGATGGCGGTTATAGTCTTGGTTTGGGTTCTGCAGGAGATGTTGTGCCGAAGCGACAGGGCTTGAATTGTATCCTGTGCCAAAGTCCATCATATTGGCGGCGCTGGGACTGGCACCAGAGATGGAGCCATTTTCGCCGATAGCGAAAGCATTCGGGAAGTTAAGTTGACCATCAAAGCTGCTATCGCCTGTAATGGAGAAGATCTGACCAGAGCTGTTCTGTCTGGCGCCGTCGGCATTGCGCTGCCAGTCAGTGAAAGTCGAGCTGTTGTAGGGGTAGGTGTTGGAGTAATTTGAATTGGTCGGATCATAGGGTATCGAAGTCATCAGATTGTTGTTCTCGGTGTCAGGGGTTTCAACAGCGCCAGAAGACATGTGACCAAGCATTCCAAATTCCAAAGCACCATAATGATTACCGAAGTTGAGGCTTGAGATGTCGAAGTTGAAGAGTGAAGGGTCAGCGGGATCAAAGAACGGAGCATTAAAAGGTTGATTGGGCTTCGCGTCAGGAGATGTATGTGCGATGGACGAGACGGGATCTTGAGGCGGAGGCATTTGTTGAGAAGCAGAAGGAAATGGCTGGGTGACCATATTCTGCTGTGGAGCGTAGGGGTTGGTATGAATCATGGGCGAGTCGGTGGTCGAGGGAGAGTTGATAGGAGCCGATGACGGAGTGTGGCCGAAGTTTGCAAATGCCTGGGGACCAACAGGAGTTGCGAAGTATGAAGAAGACTGAGCTACAGGGGTAGGTTCAGTAGCAGGAGTAGACTGGCCCATCTGAGCTTGGTTCTGGTTTTGGTTGTAGGTGTGCGACATGAGAGCTTCATTAGGAGCGTCGTGTAGATATTTGGCCTTCTTGCGGACTCCATCATGGCAGTGGTCTTGCAAGCCACGCTTGATGCAGCGAAGACATGGCCGTTCGTCGCCTGCTCGAGTCAGAAGGTGTAAGATAAGGAGACCGGTTAGCAGGTAGACATACCACAAGTCAAGTGCGCTCGTTGGCAAGCATAACAGGCTCTACGCGCCTTCTTCCTCCGAGGCCTCGAGGGATCCTTTGCGTTTGAGCGCTTGGTGGTCGAGTCGTTCTGGTCCTTTGTAGAGGAAGCAGAGGCCGGTGAAGCCCTGTCGTCGCTCTGGGAGCGATCTTGAATCGAGTCAGACATGTGCGGCAGTGTCTGAGACTGAGGGTGTGTCTGGTTGGTCGGGGTGTCTGTCTGCTCGTCGGGCGAGCCGTGTGCATTTGGATCGGTGGCCATGGCCGGGGTAATATAGGCAGGTCTTCCGTTGGAGTGGCACGAGGCAGGCGTCTTTGCACAGAAGCACGTTTTCTGCAGCTTCCCGTGGATTGCTTCCGTTTCAGGATTCCCAGGTGGATGGATGTAAGATCACGAGTGGGCTGAAGTGCAGCCAGATGCAGTATGCGCCGTGCCACAAGGGTCTGCCAGGGATCAACTACGAGTCCCGCCCACGCGGTGCAAGGTAAGCAGGGGCAGCTTCCAAACTACCAAAGCAATGTCTACGCAGTTTGTGTCACCCTCGCTAAAGTCATGATGTCTATGCCAGTGTGTCGGGACGCGCGAGTGGGCCGAGGGGACGGTGTGGAGGTGTGTCACGGAGAGGCCGGTCCTTGATTCCTTATGGGATGAATGATGCGACGGGGTCCGCGACCTTGCGCGACAACAGTATGCTCTCCGAAGACGTCGTGATCGCAGAGAATGAGTTGCTTGAGTCTTGATCATGCCCGACTCGACATGCGCAATTCGGCCTTGGCAAGCCCGCATCCTTCCCGTGAGGCGGCCGAGCCCTTGTTTCCCCTCGCCTCTCCCGCCTGGGGCTCCTCCATCTTTCTGGTATTGGTCAACCAAGCGCTACGTGTACCCAGTATTACTCAAGTACACCAATATACTATGTGCTAAGTTCTATCACGTACATCGTTGAAGCAATGTACGACTCTTTCCTGATTAGACTTCTTTCCAGTGAGAGCAGATTACCGATACACTCTTAGTGGACGCGTCCCGACTTGGAAATGGTTTGCGCATTTTGACCGCTTGCATCTCGACAGCCATGCCCACTGGAGAAGCATCGAGGTAGAATTTAGAACGTCGAGGTATGTATTATTGTTCGCTTTGTGTACCAGGCCAACGTGCCAGCTTGTCAACTCTGCAGTCATTCGGTAGTACATGCTTCGCTTGCTCGTCCTGTCACCGCCATTCATGTCTCGCGGCCTCCATTCCAGTACCCAGTACCATGGCTTGATGCCTTTTTACCAGCCTGCTGCCCTCCACACCAGACGGCCCGAGCACAGATCTTTTTGGTGTCTCTTGCCTCGTGGGAACCGCGATGCGCTATTGTTCATGCGGTGCCACCGATCCAAGCTCATCTATTTATGTACCTTTATCTCCCAATCTGTCCTTAGGTCTCAGGATTGCGCAAACTTAGAGTTCTTACGCAGACGTTTGCCGTATCCTATTGGCTTGTCAGCATCCCTCCTCGCTCTTACTTTAAACCAAGTAATGGTCGATGCTTCATACTGAAAAATAGGTAGGCTTATGCAAGGGTCAGCTTTATTATCCGCGGTACAGGGTTCTTGGGGGTTTCACTCACGAAATGGAGCCATGGCAAGGGCCAGGAAAGCCAGTAATGACGACGCCTGTCACCAATTTAGCATCACTTGACCGTAATCACTACATCTTTCTCTGCCACCCACCCATTGATAACCTAGATTTTGATAGAGGCTGTAGCCAAACAGGGGAAACGCCGCTGCAAAGGAAGAGCGCGCGAAACTGTTGGCGGCCAATGCGCTGGCTGCATATAGAGGGTACTATCACAAAAATCAGCCATCTGTGCATTTTTCGGCAGGAGGCCGTCTAATGAAGCATTGTGGCGACACTACGGTCCGCCCCGTAGCCGCTCACACCATCTACGTACACACTCGACGAGGAAGGTGAAGACACCTGCGAAGACAAAGATGTTTCCCAACCCAAACAGGCCAGAGAAGACGACAGGAACTTTTGGTATTCCACCAGTCAGTATCAAGTTTCGCTTATGCGAGGCATCGAGCTCGAAAGGTCTTACCGATCCAATGTACCTGCAGCACGGGGGTTAGCTGGGTGTTCTCCTCTTTCCATGGTCTCGGGCTCCCATCTGCCCTGTTGTGCAAAGGCACAGTGTTCTGGGGCCAGTTGGACCTTGCTGCGGGGTTGTTGGGCATTGTGCCTCCCCGGGTACAGTATATTCCATCTCTTGTGATCTTCTCCGATGACATTGGAGCTGCAGAGATGCAAGATGTGTTCCTTATTGGTGCATTCGTCCACAGAGAGGGGCTCACTGACGAGCTCTCACTGGTGACAACTCCGATGCGGAAAACACCGTGCGTTTGTACAGCCAAAAGCGTGACAGACTTCAGCACATGGGGAGGTGGAAATTGCCTCCAATCAAAAAACACGATCGTCCTGCATACGCCAAGGGTATAATTGATGCAAGCCACTTACCGAGGAGTAAGTCGTCCAACCAAACCCTATGCCACGCCTTGAATCAGCTGCCCAATTATTTCTTTTGATTCACCACCCTCATGCTACTCACCGAACAGGCCGATTGGAACCAAGATTGCGCCGCTAGTACCGATGTCAGCCTATTCAACATACTATACACATCCCAACATTTTGAAGACATACAGGATTGTTGGAGGTAGGCGGAACTCAGGCTCAGAAACGCCTCCGTTATTGGTGACAAGACGGTTGTAGTTCTTTCGCCAGATAGGGTCGCAACTGACACCCGTGACCATCCCTACGAAGATACCTAAGAACGTGAGTCCGGTCTGCCACAATACGAACCCATGGTTATTTTCGAAGACCAGCGGCTACAGTGAAGCTATTATCAGTATAGTTTCACCCGGAGGGTCTGTTTCATACGTACGAAGGCGCCGAAGAACAGATACAGTATCCCGAGCAAGATCGCGGAGAGAATACACAGGTTCAGGCACATTGGTTCCAGAAAAAGGAGCTGGAAGGGCCTGACACAGCTCCATGCGACGGTCCGGAATACCGACTTGTTCATGTTCTCGATTGGTGCTCGCCAGGCTAGGTTACCCGTGTCTTTTCTGAGCTTGATGGCTTTTCGGCGGAGCAGGACCGGGTGATAGGTTTCTGGTACCAGGAAAACGATAGCGGCCAACATGATGCCTGACCAGATGAGCAAGACGTAGAAAGTCCATCGCTATGACGTCCAAGTCAGCGGAGAATCATTCTGTCTCAATATGGTCCACACCTACCCAAGACGTGTTGTAGTTGATGAATCCTCCGACAATGGGACCGATTTCGGCTGCACAGTTGTAAGCATAAGCTCTTGCTATGAACGCATAGTGGACTCACGGCCAACGAATGGAGCCGCAGTATAGAATGCTGCATCACGTCAGCATTTTGGCATGCTCTGTGCTTTCAATGGAGAACCCACCCATTGGCAGAGAGAGCTGGGCCTTGGGGAACAGATCTCCGACGGTTCCTCCAGCTACACTGTTGTGTTTCATCGCGGATTAGCTCCTGATGAGGCAAGGCCCTTGTTACAGATATTCAGGAGAATCGGCCATACCTCAAAAAGGCACTGCCAGAAAGTCCGTCGAGGAAGCGCGCCACCAACATTGTTGCAATGTTTCTTGGAAATGTCAGTTCGAATCAGTTCTAGCGGCAGCTAAAATTCCAAAGAGCTTACGGTGCCACAGCGCATGGTATTAGCCAGATTAGGAAGAAGGCGTAAGATGCGATGTAGATGGGTCTTCTGCCGTAGAACTTGTGATTTGGTCAACCTCCACGACACTTCCATCTCTATCATATCAGAACCTACTTCTGAGAGCGGTGACATGACCATGGGGCCCAAGCCTAGTCCTATCACGAACAACGACAGTCCAAGGGTAGCAACTATCCTTGAGCAGTGGAATTCCTTCTCCAATTGAGCATAGGTACTAGTGTACATTGCAGATGCGCATGTCCTGGCAATGGTTAGGCTCATCTTTTATGTAGATGGATAGGCTTTTGGAGGTGAATTGAGAGTTCGATGGTAGGCAATGGAATGGCCCTATCTGCCTGGACATCGGGAGATGGATAAAGAAAGGGTTCTACGTACACGCATAGTGAACTCGCACTGAGGATGATGATTATAACCCATTTGCGCGCGTGGGCCATGCTTCTTGGGTTCATAGGGTCTTCGTCGCCATCCCAAGTGACTTCGAATTCTTTCTCGTTGGTGTCTTCGCCCACGGCTGTTATTCCACTCTCTTCATCTCTGGACTGTGACCGTGCAGGTCTGTCGATATCGCTGTCTCTTGAATGGCGTGCTGCTTTCTCGTCTACGCCTTGGTCGACCTGTGTATCTGGATTGGGCACTACGTCAAACGGGACACGCGCCTCATCTTTTCGTACGGCTGGGTCTGATTCGTCGCGCTCCATACTGTTGTATCGTGTGTCGGTCGGGAAGCGCAAGGCACTCAATCGTGAGCAGTGCGGGCTGGCGTGAAATGTTTATACGACGGGAAAGAGCGACGGTGCCACTAGGAGCTCCTGGTTTGTCATCAAGTGCGCAATTTGTGTGAAGCAAAGATTGTTGATTGGAAAGGTGCTATGTCGTAACTGCCATGTTTGATTTGGACCCCTCGTTCTTTTCGTGCCGTCCCTTCCTCACGACCGCATCGTATGTCATCACAAATGGAGATAGCATCTCGGATGTAGGTTGCCGGTGGAGGTTATCCCTTCCCCTTTGGGAAAAGCGTGCAACTGTCAGATTGGCAGCGAACGCCCTGGGGAAAAAGCTTCTTGATTCCACTTCTGCTCTCTCACTCATTTTCCGTCTCTGAGATTCGTTGTCTTCATCATACTCTCGCAGCTATCTTGAAGTACTATTAGGTATGGAAGTTTATTACAGTCGTATTCCGGGAGAACGTGTCGAACAGCCCGTTCCCTCAGACTCGTCGGACGTCTATACCACTTCCAAAAGCTTCGTGCAATTCCGCAGCTACATGCACGGCAAGATATAGCAGCAAGGCAGGTGTCTAACTCTATTTCACCTTGGCCGTACATGAACATCCTACTTGCGACATCGAGGAAGCTCTATTCCAGTGTGGTACAGACCTACACATCAGCCACGGTGGCTGCAAGCGTGAAGCTTTGCACGAAATCTCGTGGGACACGGCAGCTTTCCATCGAAGCTCGAAATGTTACCGCACTCTGGAATTCATGGAAGTCCGAAGGTCCATCGCTCTCATTGACTGAACACTCTGCTGTGTGTCCTATCTTCCATGTGCGACAAGCAACGCCGGGTCGGTACCAACATCGGACATCATTCAACCCGTTTCAGTACAACCTTCTTTGCAAGCGAGCATGTGAGATGAACAATCACCCACGTGGACTGAAAATCAGCAACGTCAGCCTGCAATAGGCACCGGCTACCATCCAGCTCGCTTGCTCAGAGAATGGGGACCTGCATCAAAAACGTGGTTCGTCGTGCAGAGCACAATCGCTATGGGGAAGCCAACTGACTGCATGTTGGTGACACCAAACTCGTGTACATACTGTATGCGGCCAAGTCGAGTCGTGACCATCTGGTTGCGTCAGTGGTCCCAAGCAAGTCAAACATTCAACGGTGGAATGTTCTCGTCGTTCCTGGAAATGGTGTTTCCTCCTGCAACTCTTGCCTGGGTGCCTAGCCATCCTTGAGGTGGTCGCGAGATAGAAAATGGCACGGAGTCCGACAACATCCGAGCCATGAAACATGTCTCCGCCAACACAAAGATCTTCTCTGGTTGTTGTGGGTGATTTTTTGTCTTTCTCTGTCGGGTTGAGGCTTCTCTTCGATGCTCCTATGCTGCAACAGGTAGACGCATGTTACATTAACCTCGCATCTAGACACGAAAGCTGGGCCTCTGGTCGCTCCAGTGGTGGCAGTATCTCGCGGCTCGTATTGACCAATAGAAGATGGTTGTACAGTAGATGTGCACGACTGTATCGTTGATAACAGCTACTTCCATGGAAAGACTGATCAATGTTTCGTACTCTGGATCTATTCCGAGGCATGGGCACTTATCTTCAAGCGCCAGCGACCCGTACTCGGCAGCTAAAGAAATGCACAATGATTTGCATTGCCGACGATATTCATTGAGAGCGCTTGGCGAGCTTGAGAGTTGTAGTATTCACTCTCTACCATTCAGTTGAGGTGAGGCTCCTTTCTCACTCGAGGTTCATGGCGAACCGGTGGGTTACTTCGTGTTGGAGAACTTCCGGGTGAAGTGAGACGACCCTCGACGTTTGTAGTTGCTAGTGTGTTGCTTCACTTCTGCACAGCTCATGATTGAAGCGACGCTGGATTTGCTTCCACACAACACATTTCTCTTTTCTCCCATATCCTCCGGATTCTTCTCCGTTCTTCCACCACCGCACTCGCCAACAACAAATGGCGCAACCTTTTATCAAGCTCGAACATTCTCACCCCACAAGTCACACTCCCGACGTCTTCAATACGGCGCCATCTCAGACCTCAGACACGCCCACAATGGCTGCGTCGACACCTACCCCTATGGGCGCGTTCAACATGTGCGACGTCCCTCAACAGGAACAGATCGACCTGCTCGGTCGCCCCGTCCAGAAGTTGGTCGAGCTGATCAAGGAGCTTGAAACACTTGGTGTAGAGGCGAAGAACCTGCCTCTTCCTAAGATCGTCGTTGTTGGCGACCAATCTGCTGGAAAGAGCTCACTTATCGAAGGTCTGAGCGGTATCAAAGTTCCACGCAGTGACGGAAGTAAGTTTCGAAATTGCTGCCTCATGATGGCTATAAAACATGTTCCGTCATGTCTCTGGAGAAACATGCTGATGATAATGTCTTTCTAGCCTGTACTCGCTGCCCACTCCAGATCACTCTCTACAGCGCTCCTGATGACGGTACTGCCTGGTCTTGCAAAGTCTCGCTCCAACAAAAGTTTTCTTTCAACCCCAACATTGATGCCACCATCCAGGGTCGCTATGGCAAATGGCGCGAAGACCACACTCCCACCACCATTCCCTTTGCAGTCGTCGACGACAGAGAAGCTTTGGCGGGAGTCATCAGTCGTGCCCAATGGGCCACCCTGAACCCCGGCGATAACCCCGTCAAGTACGTCAATGCAGACATGGTCGAGAGTATGCCCATGAAGGTCGAATTCTCTCCCAACAAGGTGATTCTAGACATCACCGCCCCCGGTCAACCTAGTCTCTCGTTCATCGACCTTCCGGGTGTGATTCGTCAGATGACTACCGCAAAGGACAAATGGCTGGTCAATCTTGTTGAGAACTTTGTGACCGATCACATCAAGCAGGATAACTCGCTCATCCTACTCGCTCGCTCCATGGAGTCTGATTTTGCCAACTCGAGCGCCGCTGCCCTGATCGATCAATGCGATGGAGCACTGAGCCGCACCGTCGGCTGTCTCACCAAGCCTGATCGCTGGCCTCCTGGTACAAAGACTCAGATCCTACAGAGTGTCCTTCATGGTGATGCTTTTGCAGTTGGCCATGGATACTTTGTGACCAAACAGCCGGATCAGCTTCAGCTCAACAATGACATCTCGTCTGAGGAGTCCCGTAGTAAGGAAGACGAGTTCTTTGCTCAAACCCCTTGGAGTAATGAGCTACAGATTTTCCAGGATCGCTTTGGAACCTTTAAGCTCCGAGACGCTCTCTCTAAAAAGCTGACCCACCAGATCCTTATTACCTTGCCAAAGATCACCAGAACTGTCGACGCTCATCTGCTGGAGATTGAGACTGAGCTTGCTGGCTACCCTGATCCCCCGGAGAATGCTCTCGGTAAGGTACTCGAGGCTCTGAATGTGTTCCGCGCCTCTGTCGAAAGGCACGTACATGGCACCCACCCTTACAACGAGATGCGGAACACACTCAAGGGACTGGCCAACACTTTCGAACGCAACCTACACAAGCTTCGCCCGGGCCTTATTGTCGCCACTCCTGAAGGTCATCGTCAAGCCGTAAACATTCCAACCTTTTCTCTACTCTCCGATGATGAGGATCCCACCGGTACGCCCTGCCCGACCGTCGAGCTTGCTGAGCTTGCTCAGGGTGGTAAAAAGAGAAGGGGCAACTTCAACACCCCCGCCCTAGCATCTACCTCCAAGAGAATCAAGCCTGATAACACTACTGTCTCCAAAAACAGCTCGGCAGGAAACACGGGCAAGAGAACTTTCCGTCTCCTCGAGATGCGTGAAACGCTTGGCAAGCTGACGGCCTCTGGTGTCCCTGGCGAGGTTGATCCTCTTGCCGTTGACTACCTTCGCAAGGAAACTGTCGCTGGATGGGAGCCACCCATGCTCGAATTTATCACTGACGTCAAGCAAGAGATCCAAAATATTCTAGACCAATTACTCGAAGAGGCTTGCTCCCAATGGCTCAATACTGCCTTCTTTAGCGAGGCCAAGAAGATCGTCAAGGTATACATCGCCAACGCCATGCGCTGCCAGCTCGAGTACGCAAAGCGTGCACTCACGCTTGAGCAACGCAAGCCCTTTACCCTCAACACCAAGGGCTTCAAGCTCGAGCAGGACAACGAGCTTCAGATTCTCCAGGAAGGTCGCACTACCCAGCGTCTTGTCGAAAAGCTTGACGCGGCCGACCGCGCTGCTGGCCGCATCATGGTCGATCAAATCGAACGCAAGAAGAAGGCCAAATCTGATCTCAAGGCCAGAGCAGACCTTGGTGACGACCCCTTCGATCAAGAGGTCAGGGTCATGGCCAAAGTCCGAGGCTACCACAACATCGCCCTCTCACGCTTCTTGGATCACGTTGTTCATGGAATCAACAACGAAGTCCTCCACGACCTCGAGACTAACCTGATCCAGCAACTCAAGGCTGGCTTGGAGGTTGAGACGGGCGAGGCCCATGAGCGCTCCAAGGAGTTGCTCGCCGAGGATCGCGAGCGTGAGATTCATCGCAAGGAGCTGCAGAAGGAGAGAGCCAATTTCATCGAGGCTCAGCACAAGCTCGCCCGTATCGGACAGATTGGCGAGGATGTTTGAAAAGGTGTATTCGAACGATTGTGTCGAAAAACATCAAGGACTGAACACATGGAAGGACAAAAGAAGGAAGCCGAACACAAGAAAGAATAAGATGGAAAGAACAAGATGGTATATTGTAGTTAGAAGTTTCCTCCCCGTATGCAGAGCTTTGTCACGCACATGCTGCAGAAATGCACAATGATTTTGAGATCAGTGCAGCCCTCCACTGAGAGCGTGATAGTAAGGCGGCTCTCTGCGGACGACTAGAGCGATGTTGAGAACATCGTGCATCTCTACAGACCAAACAACACCAGGCATGGCCGTGAGAGATGGCTAGAAGTGACAGCATTTAGCACACGGTGAGGTCGTAACTCATACGCGTGATGTTCAAGCTGTAACGATGCACAGTGCTTTTGATTTGGTGCGGCGTGCCACAGAGATAGACCAAGAAAGCGTGCACGGCGAAAAAGTGTACTTCTCCTCTTCCGCTGCCTTGACCTCGGTGACCTCTTACGTTATCTTTGCGTTGACGGTAAAGTCTTGTTGACGAAGACGCGTCAATCTCAACGATCTCGTCCTCTGAGTCTGCCATCTTGCGCTTTTCACCTCTCAAGGTGGCAGGCTTACTGCATATGCCGACCATGATGTCGACAACCTCGTCGAATCGATAGCAGTCCGACACAGATGTGGCGGCGTTTGTGGCTTGGTCGGCGAGGACATATACAAAAGACTGAGGTGGGACCGGAGAAAAGAAACACCAGTGGCTATGCAGTACATGTATGCTAGGACGCCAACCCAAGCTCGATACCTGCAGCACTTCCTGGTGCCAATGACCACCGACACAGTGGCGTAAGGACGGCCAAATCTGGGTCTGCATTGACAGCTGGTTCGATATGCAATTCGGTGTCCGGGAGTCTTGGATTGGGTACGATTTCTGTTCCAACAAAGGCCTCGGAAAACGACTTGTAACAGACATGAGAGAGAGAGAGAGAGAGAGGAAGAAGGAAGCAAGGAAGGAGGAGATGGATAGAAGTGCGTATGAATGAGGTAACCAAGGCTCGAAATAACCAATGTGCTCGAGCGTCTTGTCAGTAGGCTCTGCTCTTACCTCTGACAGTGATCGCACCACTGTTGACTTCAAGCCTCCAGCCGTCTTGTTCGAGACCCTTCTTGACTGCGGGACCAAGCACACCTTTACCACCAGCACTATGTCTACCAACACCCGTAATAATACGGAATCCGCTTGCACGCTCAGCAGCGCCTACACGACCGTTCACCTTGTTCTCACCAAGCCCAGTCCACCAAGCATTGGTTCTCTGCCTCGCGATCCTCACAGCATTCTCCACGGTGACGCCGTGCAGATCGACTTCGAAGGCAGAGGACTGAGCAGCTACAATAGCGTTGGCAACGGCAGCTTGCGATTGATGCAAAGCGGCCCCATGATCGCGGCCGACTTGCGAATAATATCCGGCGGCGCCGCCCATGAGGCGGTCTGATCTCGATTTGCGGTATGCTGCGCGTGCTTGCTCCATGGCTGCTGATCTTGCTGCTCGAAGTTGGGCTGTGGAGGCGGAGGCGGAGCCGAAATCAACGGTGGAAGTGTCAATTTCAAAACTGCTTCGGGGGGTATAGTCGTCGTTTTCGGAGATGCGAACGGGAGCGTATTGGGGGATGATGATGCGGCTGCCGGTTTCGTGGGTGGTTGGCTTTGTGGTGAGGGCTTTCGCTAGTTCTCGAGCTGCTGTATTTGAGGGCTGCGTCAATTTGATCAGGGCCACAAGATATTCAGGAGCGAGACCAGGATAGTCTTGACCCAAAAGCGATGCTTTCACTTGGACTTCGGGTTCCTCCGAGGTACTGTCTTCCGACAAGAAGGTCTTGAGAATAGCCGAGATGGTCCTTGGTACAGAGCGGTTTTCCTGGTTGTATAATGATAGCACGACCTGAGTGGGAATGTTTGCGCGATCTGAAATAAAGTCGACGTCGCCCTTGGCTGTTTGCCATTGGTTTGTAGACGGCCGCGATTCTGTTGGTAGCGAGGAGGAGCGCACATCGTCGATCGTTTTGAGATTCTTACCGCGCTTCTTGCCCTTTCTGCCCCTTTTCATGACATTCTCCTCGCTGAAGGCATCGATGCCCTTAGCCGATACCTTGTCCTTGCCGTCAATCTTGCCGTCCTCTTCAAAGTAGACTTGATTCAACAGATCGTCAAATGCAGGCTTCCATTTTGAATCATGATGAGCGAGAGTATGCGAAATGGTGTATTCGGAGAGCGAAGGAAATATCTCTTTCAAAATTAATACCTTGGTGTCCTGGTCGCAGGCTTCGAAGTCGTATTCTCCGCGGTCGGGCGATCCTTCCGAGTCGAGATCAACACTTGATAGGCCATTGGACAGACTCGTCATGTCGGTTTCCCTTGAGACTGAGCCAGAGGTCTCCGGCATTGATGCCGGATGTCCAGGAGTGTGATCTTCATGTTGTGCGCCGCTGCCAGAGGCGTCGAAGCCAGTAGCTTCCTCCTCGGTAGCCGTGGCCTTGAGAGCATCTAGTGTGGCTCTGGCGTCAATGGCGGCTTCTGGATTTGTCAAGTCATAGTCAGAGACAATGGCAGAGAAAAGAGCGGAATCAATGGGCGGGCAGTATTCTGCCTGTTGAATGTAAGTGGATGATGCGCTGGTCCTGAAAATTGCGACAACGCACCTCAAGCTGCTGAAAGAGATCAGCCATCTTCTAGTATGCGATATATGGGACAAGATTCGAGTTCTATAACAATTCGCATAATCAAAGATAGTTGGGATTGTGAAATGGGGAGCAGGGAGAATAAAAGCGAGTCGCAGTGATATTGTCTATGACCGCGCCATCAGACTTTCAAGGTTGGAGCCCGAGCTTTTTGAGACGTTGACTGTGACGACATGGCTGAGTCGGGGATAAGAGATGGTTTGAAACAGCAGAAGGAGAACAGGCAGCGATATAAAGAGGCAGAAGAAAGAGATGGCATGGATCATTGGATATCGGGGGCAACGTGACCTACAGAAGCTGCAATGTATCAGGTAGAGTGGTGCAACTTGTCAGGATGGCATGATTGGAGGATGGGCATGGCTGTCTCAGGGCCGGAGATGCGAGGCTCGGCACGTCTATCGAACGGGCCCTGATACGCCTGCTCTGTCTTCGTACTGGCAGTAGCCTTCTGTCAACCTTGACTCTTGATATACTGCTATACCATACCGCTACAGTCGCAAGCCTTGTCTGAGTAAAGGACGAGAGTGAAGACAGACAAACGCGTGCACCTGACAGACGTTGCTTTGCTCCTTCCCTCGCTTATGGCGCCGCTTTCACAGCTCTAACCCATGGAGCATGAGCCATTCTTCGTCGAACATTCATCAAGTGCCACCGCCTCAAGGTCAGCCAACCCACCCAAATTTACCACTCCCACTCACAAACATCTCCTTCCTTCCTTCATTATAACATCTCCATGTTACAACCTCTGCTTTGCCTTCCCTCATCCATGACACAAGACCTTTGGGCCGACTGCCGCTCACATGCCTCCTAGAGTAACTCGCTCTGCAGCGAGACTTGCCGCCTCCGCCTCTCCTACCATCCCTACCGCCGCCGATACAACTTCAAACTCTTCTCTACCTCGCCCTTCATCAACCACTACCTCCTCCCGCAAGCGCAAGCAGGCCCAGGACGACCCACCCCCACCTGCATCTCCCGACACCGCCCCACCCCGCCGATCTAAGAGAGCTCGTCTTGCCGAACCTACCTCTGCCTCGACTCAGCCATCCAAGCGCCCTAAGAACATGTCTTCGTCCAGCCACGATGAAGATGATCTCTCTCGTTCTGCCGTGAACAGGTCCAAGCTATCTCCCACATCGCCTGATGAGCATGCCTCCACAAGCAAACGCAAGTCGAGCCGCAGAAAGAGCACTAACCAAGGTCCGCTTTATTTTTCATCTCCCCTACTCTACCACTTTGCTGACTTATCTTCAGCTGCCCAATCTGCTCAGTCCTCATCGTCGCGCAAGCCTTCAAAGAAGTCCTCACACAAGAAGGCCCAAGACGCCTCATCGAGCCGTGTCGAGCCCGAGCCCGAACCCGAACCACCACGTATGCCCGTTGATGAAGAAGACGACGAAGACGATCAGGAGGATGACGATGACGACGAGGGAGATGAGGACGAGGCCGCCGCCGCCGCTGCACACGGATACTCTGGAGATGGCGACCCGGACGACGACCCTTTCTCTGGTGCCTTCCTCGGCCGCGGTATGCCCCCAGGCTTATCAAGTACCCTTCGCGCCCTTACTGGTATGATGTCGGGTATGACCACACGTTTGCGAGGCATTTTGGAGAACCTCCGTGCAAAGGACGATCCTTCGGTGCAGATGATCGCTCTCACCGAGCTCTCAGAAATTCTGCTCGTCTCCAACGAAGACAACCTTGCTGGTCACTTTTCGCCGGACTCGTTCGTTAAGGAGTTGGTCGATCTGATGCAACCGAACGACTTCACAGGCGAAGAGAACCCCGAGATGATGCTCTTGGCTTGCAGATGTATCGCAAACTTGATGGAAGCTCTTCCCCAGGCTACTGCAAGCGTCGTCTATGGTGGTGCCGTACCTGTTCTTTGCCAGAAGCTCATCGAAATACAATACATCGATGTCGCTGAGCAAGCACTCAGCACACTGGAAAAAATCTCGGTAGAGTTCCCTGCCTCTATTGTTCGCGAAGGTGGCCTCAGCGCTTGCCTGACCTACCTCGAATTCTTCGCCACCAGCACCCAGAGAAGCGCCGTCACTACTGCCGCAAACTGTTGCAGAAACCTTGCCGAAGACTCGTTCTCCACTGTCCGCGATGTCATGCCTACCCTTCTCATCGTCCTATCGAGTAGTGATCAACGGGTCGTTGAGCAGGGCTCCCTTTGTGTCTCCAGAATTGTAGAGAGCTTCAGATACCAAGAGTCCAAGCTTGAAGAGCTAGTCAGTGCCGACCTGCTCAAGGCCGTCTTGAGACTGCTCCTTCCTGGTACAACAACCATGATTGGACCCAACATTCATACTCAGTTCTTGCGCGTCTTGTCCATCACCGCAAGAGCCAGCCCACGCTTGGCTGTTGAGCTGCTACGCATGAACGTTGTCGATACTCTTTATCAGATTCTAACTGGAGTCTCGCCCCCTGCCAGCAATGACGATGTTGCCATGAAGATTGATAAGAACATCATTATGCAAGCTCTCATCCGTACACCACGCGACCAGATCTTTGAGACTCTGAACGTTGTCTGCGAGATCCTTCCCAGCGTTTCACCAGACAACCTCATGTTCATCAACGACCTTACTGACGCAGGCAACACCGGCCCAGGAAATGTCTCTATGGGCACTCGTGCTCGCAGGTCGCCGAATGACAACCGTCTCGAATTGCTGCAAGAATGCCAGCCTGAAGTTCGCCGTTTTGCTGTGATACTGTTCCCAACCTTGATGCATGCTTACACCAGCACTGTCAACCTGAGTGTCAGACAGAAAGTGCTTACTGCCCAGCTTAAGATGCTTTCTAACTTCGACATTGGCGTCCTTGAGGAAGCACTTTCAGGCGTCGCTTATGCTTCACATCTTGCGTCAATACTTACACAACAAGAGGACCCAATGCTCGTCACATTCGCATTGCAAGTTGCAGAGCTGCTCCTCAAGCGCTTGGAGTCTATTTACCGTCCTCAATTCTATCGCGAAGGCGTCATGGCCGAGGTCACGAAGCTTGCTCAGCGAGAGCTGGCCCCTGCTAAGTCGACTGAGACCGAGACCGAGAACAGCTCAGCACCCCAAGTCGATGCACCATCATTCTCCGCGGAGCTCCCCGTGAGGCCAGAGCAAGTCGACGAAGACAACGAAGAGCCAGACGAACCCGACTATCCGGATGAAGAGTCGGTCGGAGATCACGACGAAGATAACGAAGATCAAGACGATGAGGATGATGATGACTCGGAGTCAGAATCTGGAGCAAGAAAGTTGCACACACCCCCTACTGCTAGTGTCCAAGACGTCATCACATCTCGTGCTCGCAAATTTGTCGAGGCCTACCAAAATGATGGTGGTCTTGGTGAAGCATCAAGGGCTTTGACTGAGCTCAAGCAACTCGCAGAAGACCTTCGCCAATGCTACACCTTCAACAACTTGGCGGAAGGTCCCGCTCTCTTCAAACGTCTCGCCAAACACTTTGACGGCGATACTCCCGAGACCATCACGAGCTACGAGTTGCTGACCTCAGATATCGTCTCAACTTTGCTCGAAATCTTCAAGTCATCAGACAGCCACACGGGTAGAGCTGCGAGATCAGCCTTCTTGGATGCCTTCATGTCGCAAAGCGGACAGACCAAGGTAATCACTGGCAGCGCGGTCTCACCGGCTACTGCATTTAGTGCCTTGGTCCACAAGCTCCAAGATCTGCTAAGCCGCACGGAACACTTTGAGGTGATCACTGTCCATCAAAACCCATCCGACAGCAGCAGAAGCGGTGCAGCATCGATGCTTGCCAAACAACTACGCATCAAGCTATCAGCTGACGACGAGTCTGGAATTCCACGCCCGTACAGGAACATAATGGTGTCTATTCATGCCATTGCTACCTTCAGAGCTCTTGATGACTATCTTCGCCCCCGTATCAGTATTGCTGAGAGAACTGTGCGTAGCCGCGATGCATTAGCCAATTCTCTTGCTGAAGCTGTTGGTCGTGAAAACGGAAACGCCACAGAAGGGGCTTCGACTCCTCCCGGAAGCGATCTAAGAAGCTCTTCCTCCAAACGTGCTCACAAGAGATCCTCAAGGCCCGACAGCACTCCACAGAACAGTGGTGATGCTACCAGCCGTCTACGTAGATCTTCGCGTAAGGTTTCGCAGAAAGACTCTCCTGAGCGTGAGACTTCGTCGCCGAAGGAACATACTGGTGCGGCCGAAGACGACCAGCAACAGCTGGAATGTGCTGACGAGGCCGCTCTTTCTGACGAAGATGGAGAGGACGATGAGGATCTCGACGCCATCGTAAACGACTTTGATGACGAAGATCAAGAGATGGAAGATGCGGACCAGGACACTTCGGCGGTTAACCTGGAGGTCGCTAACAGTGGCAAGGTGACAGCTCGCAAGGAGGATGGCACGCGCATCAGTACTCCGCTACAAGGCTCACAGCAATCAGCAACTTCTCGTGCTTCTGCTTCTGCCAAACTTGCTGCGGCACGGGAGCTGCTCTCTACGCCTACCTCTCAATCTCAGTCGAGGCCTGCTTCTTACGCTTCTGCAATTCAGCCTGTCCCCCAGGATTGGCACATTGAATTCAGTGTCGATGGCCAACCACTGTCGAACGACACTACAATTTACCGCGCTGTGCACTTCAATCAGACACATCCCGATGAGGTCTCGAGCCGCAACATCTGGTCAACGCTGCACAAGATCTCTTTCAGACGTGTACCAGGTCCTCCCCCTGCAGAGCCCAGTACGCTCCATACATCAACTGATGTCCCCGCTGCAACCACTTCGGAACTGCCACCCTCACTCAGTCAGCACCCTGCAACCGCTGCTATCCTGCGTTTGATGAGCACTTTGCATGACATGAACGCAAACCTGGAGGACATCATTGCGGATGATCAAAGCAACGACATCAAGTTGAGCTCGGAGCCCTTGGCCCAATTCGTCAACACTAAACTGACAGCTAAGCTCAACCGACAGCTCGAAGAACCCCTGATCGTGGCTAGTAACTGCCTTCCTACATGGAGTGAAGATCTTGCTCGTCTTTATCCCTTCTTATTCCCCTTCGAGACCAGGCACTTTTTCCTGCAGTCAACCTCGTTCGGCTACTCAAGATCTATGACTAGGTGGCAGAATGCCCAGTCTGAGACCGAGTCAAGACGCCACCGTGATGAGCGACCTTTCCTCGGTCGTCTGCAGAGACAAAAGGTCCGAATTTCTCGTAGTAGAATTCTTGAATCTGCCATCAAGGTCATGGAGCTTTATGGATCGTCTCCAAGCATCCTTGAGGTTGAGTACTTCGAAGAGGTCGGTACTGGTCTTGGCCCGACCCTCGAGTTCTATTCCACTGTGTCGAGGGAGTTCTCAAAGAAGAAAATCAAGCTCTGGCGTGAGAATGAATCGATCGCTGGTGACGACTATGCCTTTGGCATGCGCGGTCTGTTTCCTGCACCCATGAGTGATGAGCAATCGAATAAGGAGAATGGAAAGAGAGTACTTCATCTGTTCAAGATGTTGGGCAAATTTGTTGCACGATCAATGCTCGATTCGCGCATCATCGACGTTTCCTTCAACCCCACTTTCTTCCGCATTGGCGCTGGCAACTCTGCTGTTAAGCCCTCCCTGGGTGCCGTCGCTTCGGTGGACAGAGACCTTGCCAACTCGTTGAGACCACTCGTACGCTGCGCCAGGGCAAAGCAGGCCATCCAAGAAGATGGCAACCTCACTGCTGAGCAGAAGTCGCAGGCCATCAAGAATATTAGAATTGAGAAAGCCTCAATCGAGGACCTTGGTCTTGATTTTACTCTGCCCGGTTACCCTGGAGTCGAACTCCAGCCCAACGGATCTGAGATCGATGTGACTATCGAGAACGTCGAATTGTATGTCGAGAAGGTCATCGACTTTACTCTCGGATGTGGTGTGCAGAAGCAAGTCGATGCTTTCAGTGCTGGCTTCTCTCAAGTCTTCCCCTACTCGGCCCTCAAGGCATTCACACCTGACGAGCTGGTGATGCTCTTCGGTCGCGCAGATGAAGACTGGTCCCTTGAAACACTTATGGATTCGATCAAGGCCGATCACGGTTTCAACCTCGACAGCGCAAGCGTCAAGAACCTTCTGCAGACCATGTCTGAGTTCACCCTGCCTGAGAGACGCGATTTCTTGCAATTCGTCACTGGTAGCCCTAAGCTTCCTATTGGAGGTAAGTCACGTTCGAACAGTCACAGAATTGACCACAGTGCTAACTACGAAACAGGATTTAAATCGTTGACCCCCATGTTCACGGTGGTATGCAAGCCCAACGAGCTTCCACTGATACCCGACGACTACCTACCCAGTGTCATGACGTGTGTCAACTACTTGAAGATGCCCAACTACAGCACTCAAGAGGTGCTCAGGGCCAAATTGAGTGTCGCAATCAAGGAAGGACAAGGAGCATTCCACTTGTCCTAGATACGAAAGTGGAGAAACATCAGGGGCTCATATGAGGAGTTTCAATGGGCGAAGGGCCCTGGAGATGGATTATTGCCACGGAGTTTGGGATGTTTCTTTTTCGGATGGATGGAGGAATCATTCATCACATTGCCCAAATCGGTGGCTCTGCATAGTACCGGCGTCACCACCAATTCAATCGAATTCAAGATTACGAATACATTACTCTTATAGCAGATAGCTACCGAAACCAACGTTTCTAAGTATTGTTCACTGATGAGTTCCAGTTGAAGTGTTCATCAAGGTGTGAAGAGGGGAAGACCCTGGCATTGAAGCTCTCTACCGATGACGTATGTTGATGATCGCGACTGACCAAAGTGTCAAACGCGACAACCCAACCACACCGATCCCACTCCACACAACCAAATCAGCCAAAGTGATGGCTCCAATCCGCCGCTACCTACGCATAACGCGCTACTCGGTCCTCGAAGTCCGCATCTACCTCGACAACCCGGCACTAGCCAACTCGTGGCTCCTCAACTCTCGCGACCCAGTCCTTCCGCGAGTGATCGAAGCTGTGCGGCCACTTGTGCTGCCGAAGTTGCGCGAAGAAAACGAGAATGCGAAGAAGAAGGGTGGGAAGAAGAAGAGGGGGGTCAGGGATGTTGTTGTGCAAGGTATGTCGCCCCTACTTCCTCTGGTGTCCCGGGTAGAGATGTGTGGATGTGGATATGAGTCGCGCAAATACTGATCGTCAACACAACAGACGACTTCGAGGTCTCCATCTTCCTAACCGAAACCTCGACCTCCCACGCCATGCTCACGAAACAAAAAACATTTTCCTCGAAACCGAAGCTACAGAGCAATACCAGCAAATTGACGAATTATTTCAACACGTCCGAAACTGCTATCCGGGTTGAAGATGATGGGGACGAGGTGCCGGCGATTTTGCTCGAGGAAGATGCAGAGGAGACGAGGATGGGAGATATTCCTGAAGTTGGTGCGAGTACGCGTGGCAAGCGTGCTCGTGAGGAAGAGGATTCGATCTTTGTGCAATCGGGAGATGAAGAAGAGGAGGAAGAAGAAGACGAACCAGCACCGAGGAAAAAGAAAAAGAGCAAGATTACAGATGTGGATGCGGAAGCGGAAGAAGACGAGGATAAGAAAAAGTTGGGCATGAAGACTGCATATGAGGGTTTCAGTATCTACGGCCGCATATTGTGTTTGATCGTTAAACGCAAAGGTGTCAAGAAACCTACCACCGGACAAGCGGCAGGGAGCCAGATGTTGGAGAATTGGGTCAGTACGCAGGCGGATAATGAAGGTGTGCTTGAGGATGCCGAAGATGGATGAAAGAGATGCTGCAATGCTTTTGAGGAAAGAGATTATGCTATATACAAGGGAGAGAGCTTATGCAGCTTTCTTGTTTCGGAGGGCGGTAGGATCGGTGGGCTGGTTGTTGATGTCAGACACCACGATACCCAGGATCCAGCAGTTTATGCCGAAGAAAGCCATACTGGCTAGCCACAGTCCTGGGACAAAGGTCGAGTGGCCGAGGAATTCGAGCTCGTATCCTTGATGCAGCCACAGAGCCTGAGATATGTGTTAGTATCATTAAGGCAGAGGGTGCACAAGGAAAAATCTCACCTGTCCAATCACCCAAAGAGCAAGAGCGGTGTACCCGCGCTTGGGTTGGCGGAGAAGTGATGAGTCTGGTAGGTAGAATGGGAGGAAGACCATGTACCACAAGAAGTACTGTTATCTTCGTTAGAGAAGGAGTTATCAAGAAACATCATGGAGCAGCACTTACCTGACTTGTGCAGACTTTGTTGAATGTGACGAAAGCAAACGTTTGAGCCAGCATTGTGCTTGCCAAATCCTTCTTTGCCAGAAGCAGAGGGATAGCAACCACAGAAAGGAACATCTGAGGAAGGAAGGCAAGAGACTCGACGCCGAGTCCTGATGACGAGCCCAGAGCCGATTTCATATGGAGTAGAGTGTTGTAAACCGAGAAGTTGTGGCGGTGATCGATGCGAGTGAGATGATACGAATAGCTGTGTCGAATGAACTCAGGACCATACCTAGAAACAAGTCAGTGATGCAATCTTCCGATGATCTCCCAATCAACTCACAGCTTAACCATAAGCAGATTCAACCCCATGAAAGTGACAAAGCTGAACATAGCCAACTGCACTCTCTTCCTGTTGATCAACCCACCCAACCACCCACCCCTGCCATCCCACGAACCAGCTTGTCTCCTATCCATCCACCAAAACAGACTAACCGCATAAATGAAAGGATAAATCTTAAAATGCACACCCAATCCAAGCAAACACCCAGCCAATCTAACCCACCCACACCTCGCCGCCCACAACATAGCAACCACAACAACAGCCACCAACCCCTCCGAACTCCCTCTAGTGCTGATATTAGCAACCATAGGATTCAACAACCAAATACACGAAAACCCCATCGCCTTTGCCTTTTCCATGCCTTGCTTTTTCAACAAGTCGAAAATCAGGTATCCGGTTACTATATCACCGGCAGCGAAAACGGCTTTTCCGAAACAGAACCAGCGGTTTCCCCATGCTGTGGGGTATAGAAGCCAGGCTAGGAGGGGTGTATAACGGTAAGTGTCGCGGAGGTAGGGTGATTGGTTATGGTAGACATAGCGAGAGGCATCGGTGAAGACTAGATAGTCTATATCGGTATATTTCAGAGGTGAATGGGCGTCTTGGTATTCGCCCCAGAGGAGGAGGACAGCGCGCAAGAGAATGGAGATCGAAAAGATCAGTTGGGTGTTGGAGAATAATCTTGTTGTCCATGACGTTGTGCTGACATTGTCGGTTTCGGTGGGTTTTGATTTTGCCATGATGTCCAAGTCCGGGGGCCTTGAGTCCGACCGTATAGGTCTCGAATGCTTAGATTGTGGTTTGTTTGTTGGTGGTGGATCATGGATAGGAGGTGGTGAGGTGGACTTTATGACCAAAAGTCTTGGCATTTCTACTGTCACTTCCAAGAGACATCAATTGCAATAAGATTTTTGAACCTAGTAGTCGACATACATTACAGGGCATGAAACATGGAGATTAATCATTCATTTATAGAGGCGCATGGTGCACAGGATAATTGTTCACGGCTAGTCTTCCAGAATGCTAAAGCTTGTTCAATTATATTATGTATATCCAATATCCTAGACACGAATCACAGACTAAGTAGCAAGACCAATGGAGTGGTTAGCCATAGCAGCTTCCATGTTCTTCTCCATGATGCCGAAAGCAGAGCTGGTAGGCGAGTAAAGCGGCGATGGTGGTGTTTCGGAAAGTGATTTGAAATGACCCATTGTTTTGAGAGTGCCGCTACCGATAGATCTCTGCGATTGACCACTCCAAGCACGTTGGAGCTTCGGTCTAGCCCACTCGCTCCAAGATTTCTTCATCTCGATAGGGCCGTCGACTCGGGTCTGCTCGGCCATCTTAAGGCCGGCGTCGCCTTTTTTCCAGTTGACAGGACACCCCTCACCGAACTCATCCTTGAAGGCAAGGGCATCGATGATCCGTAGGGTCTCGTCAACACTTCGTCCGACATCTGCGTCGCTGATGGTGATGTTTCTGATGTTGCCCTTGGGATCGATGATGAAGAGAGCACGCTCGGCGACACCTTCATCCTCGAGCAAGACGCCATAGTCGCGACTGATCTTGTGGTTGCTGTCGCTCATAAGGGGTACGTGGACTCCGCCGAGACCTCCTTCCATTTCGTTGGTGTGATTCCAAGCACGAAGACACAGCTCTGTGTCAGTCGAGGCGAAGACAACGGCACAGGAGCGGGAGTAGAGGAACTCCTCAAGACGTTCGCTGTATGCGCGGATCTCGGTGGGACAGACGAATGACCAGGCCTTTGGAAAGAAGACAAGAGCGACCCAGTGATTGGCGCCAGTGTATGCGCTCAGGGAGATTTCTGGGATGTCGGTCAGTACTGCGCTGTACTATAAGATTTGGACAGACACGTACCTTTGAGCTTGCCGTCCATCACCGCCGTGGCGGTGAAGTCAGGAGCCGGCTTACCGACAGAGACTCTAGGCATGATTGATGCTAAAGCGTCAGGTAGAAGACGAATTGTATAAAGGTTAGTTGAATATGAGAATGTGGACTCGAGCTGACCCGTTGAAGCCTTCTTGTATTTGGACCCAGACACGGCATTGTACTTGTCGGTGACGATTCATGTTGCATTGCTCTTTCCGTTTGCAGACCTTTAAAGGTTTACAGTGCGATCTAGATCTGCTGTAGGATGAAGAGGTGGAAGAATACCTTTGTTCCGGCTGCACATTCCTTGATGTTTTGTGGCGTGGCTGGAGACCTTTCTCCATGCACATCTCGATTCGGCAGTTGATCATGATTGCCATGGGAATCCTACCAAGATCTGTCGAGTACCAAGCTCAAAACAAGCACCGTCTCGACACTCATAACCAGGTTTTGGGGAGATTATATGTATCGTCTTCAGAAGCCGTGTCAAACCTTTCCAGCTTCTGTTTATTCGAGAGAACGCGCTTGAAGTTGTGATATTCTCAACCGTTCCCCCTCAAGAAGCCATACTTGTTCCTGAAGGGAAGCTTTCATTCTAGTATATCGAGAACAAGCATGGTGTTGTGTTGAGGCAGACTGGACTCTCATGCTCAGGCAACTTTGTTGAGGTGACCACTGATGTATTTCGTCAGTCTTGAGATGAGATAAACTGGCCATGAGCGAGTTCCGATGAGTATTTACTGAGCCCAACTACAATTGTGCCTTTGAACAGCATTATCATGAGTTGAAGATGTAGGGAGAAGAGAAAAAGCAGCCGACGTTTGGAACCAAATGCGGACACGGATCGCAACACTCGATGCCAAGCCTTCAATACATGGAATAGTGACATAACCAAAGCTCTCCAAAAAGAAGCAGCAACAGCTTTAACAAAGAAACCCAAGAACCACGACCAATGGGCCAGAAGCGACCGAGATCAGACACAATGGAGGCCACCGAGGAGAAGCAATCACCCTTCCTGCCCATGTTCGAGACCTTCCGCGCCGAACTAGACGAACACCACGACCGCCGCGAACGCACCATCAAAGCATCGCGAGACATCACCGCTGCATCAAAGAAGATGTGAGGAACGCCGCATACAAAAATAAAAAGTCATTGCCCACTGGTGGCTGACAAAAATTTGGCTCTTGTAGTATCTTCACCCTCCAAAGGTGCGACAATACCCTCCAAGCTTCGACAAACCCAAAATTCAGCAAGCAAAGAGAGCTGATGGCGATGGATTAGGATTCGCAAACTCGCACAACCGCTTCCTCCGCATGTCAACAAGAATAATGCGCAATACTACGATATCATCAAGGAGCGCTACAAGAACATCTCGGGCGACCTGCAAGGCTTGAATGCATGGAGATATGCACGCAACATCACCGGTGGAAATCAAGAATACATGGAAGCCGCAATCTTCCAGCACTACCTCACCACTGGAACTCTGCTCACATATGAAGAGTCGGTGGAGCAGCTACGGTCGCTGGGAGGAGAGGGTGGTCCGGTACAATTGACCGTCGAGGATTACCTGCTCGGTGTCTTTGATATGACTGGTGAGCTGATGAGATTCTCCATCACCACTATGGCTACGGATGGAAAACTTCCTTCTGTCGAAGCAAACGATGAAGCTCCTTCGGTGGATAAGATGGATGTGGATTCTCAGCCTGGTAACCACAGAGATGTCTTGACCGACCTCCGTTCGCTACGTTCAGAGCTGGAAGGCCTGAATGTCGGCTTCGGTAGCTCATTCGCTCGCGACGTGGACAAGAAGATGGATGTGATGCAGACCAGTGTGGAGAAGGTGGAAAAGGCCCTGTACGGTCTAGTCATCCGCGGCAGAGAACGACCAAAGGGCTGGATGCCCGATCTCGACTCTGGTCCGCGCAGAGATGTTGAAGTCGAAGGTTGAAGCACAAAGATTGTCAAATGATGATCATGTACCACTAGATCATGACAGTGGTTTTAGCTATCATAGCTACATACAAGTAAAAACGACATGGCTCTTCATCCATTTAACTCTTTACAGCTTGGTGCCCAAGTTGACATGGATGGCCTTCTTGTTTGTGTAGGCTTCAAGACCAGCCTCACCCAACTCTCTGCCGATACCACTCTGCTTGACACCACCGAAGGGGATACGGAAGTCCGAGTCATTGCTCGAGTTAATCCATACCATACCAGCCTCGATGTTTCTCGCTACACGGTGAGCCTTGGTGATATCCTGCGTAAACACAGCAGAACCCAGACCATAAGTGGTGTTGTTGGCTCTATCGACAGCCTCCTGCTCATCCTTGAAGGACGAAATGACAACGAAAGGACCAAAAACTTCCTCCTTGTAAATCTTCATGTTGTCCTTGACATCGGCGAAGATGGTGGGCTTGACGAAGAAGCCCTTGCCGTCTTGCTTGCAAGGCTCGCCGCCAGAGATGAGCGTGGCCCCCTCGGATTTGCCGGCCTCGACGTAGGATAACACGCGCTCGTATTGTTGCTTTGTGACTTGAGGGCCTTGGAAAGTTTCCTCCTTGAAGGGATCGCCGACTACACTGGTCTCCTTGCAGTGCTCCTTGAATGCCGAGATGAACTTGTCGTAGACGCCATCCTGTACCAGGATACGAGAAGTAGCTGTGCAGATCTGGCCTTGGTTCGACATGATACCGATGTGTGCCCACTTGACTGCTTGGTCGAGGTCTGCGTCGTCGAAGACCAGGAGGGGAGACTTGCCGCCAGTCTCGAGGGTGATGTTCTTGAGGTTGACAGCGGCCATCTTCATGATCTCGCGACCAGTGGCGGTGGAGCCGGTGAAAGCAACCTTGTCGACATCCATATGCTGCACAAGAGCAGATCCAGCTTCACGACCATAGCCGTTCACAATGTTGACGACACCTGGAGGGAAACCAGCCTCCTTGATCAAGTTGGCGAGGTAGAGGATAGCGAGGGGAGTTTGCTCGGCGGGCTTGAGGACGATGGTGTTTCCAGCGGCGAGAGCGGGACCAAGCTTCCATGCTGCCATGGCGAGGGGGTAGTTCCAGGGAATGATCTGGGCGCAGACACCGATCGGCTCGCGAATTGTGTAAGCCAACTTGGCAGGTGTGGTGTCGATGACTTGTCCGTGGATCTTATCTGCGTATCCGGCGTAGTACTTGAGCGTGCCGATGACCTCACCCAGGTCCTCGTTCAATGCCACTGAGTATGGCTTGCCTGTGTCCATCTTGTCAGCCTTGGTCGTCTGAAGCAGTGTTCGGATCGTGCTCACCATTGTCCCATGTCTCAATCGTTGCGAGGGTCTCCTTGTGTTGTTCAATCAAGTTGGCCAACTTGATCATGAGTTCTCCTCTTTCTGTGCTGGCAATGTCTCTCCATTCTCCCTTAAATGCCTTTCTTGCTGCGGCAACGGCTTTGTCGATATCTTCGGCTTCGGCGGCTTCTACTGAGCAAATCTCGCTCTCATCACTGTGGGTTGCATGTTAGCCGTTGTCTCGAACTGAGGTAGTCTTGAGAGGCAAGATCAACGGTCATTGGGATTCCAGCCCGAGAAGACTTGATCGGCAGCAAAGCAACAGCTCTGTTGTCAAACCTCATGCTTCTAGGTACTCGATCCCCAAGACACGATGACCATGGCTTTCGCGAGTCCGCAACGTAAACACAAAGTAACAGACTTACCTAGGGTTTATGCTAGAAATCTTGTTGCCCTTGGAAGACTTGACCCATTCATTGTTAATGAACAGACCGGTGGGTTGTGTGTACTTGACACCATTAGGTGCCGTAAGCTCAACCTGCAAACCAGACATAGTTTTCTTCGCAACAACAGTAAAAAGCTTCTTAGGAGCCGGGTATCTTGGAAACTGAAAAGAAAGAGGAGCAGAAAGACGGAGGAGAGAGCGGTACATGGAGAAAAGGAAGAGGAGAGGGGGAAGCTCTCGTAGATATAATTTCCGCTCTACGTATCACTCTAACCCGGGCCAACCACTAATCCTGGACAAATAAGTTATTGGGTAGGCGATAAGGCACGGCGGGTTGGCTTGGAGAGCTTGCTACGAAAGACGGCTGCCCCACCAAATGTTACTCCATGCTGGAGGGGTCCTGTTGTTGCACTAGTGCTAAAAGAGCAGTTCCAGGCGACCAGTGTTGGCAACGCATAGGGCTTGTATATGGCAGGCACAAGAACAGCCATCGTCGTTGTTCAGATGAAACGTGCATGTTCGTCTTGATGGCAGAGATATCGGAATGGTGTTAGTAGTGACCACTCATGGCCAACGAGGTAAGGCGGCGAGAGTTGTGTTCCCGTGAAGGAAAGAAAGGTCAGGGTCGTGTAGATGTTCTTAAAGCAGATAACACCGAGACAGGTCCGTGCATGACATGTCCATCTAGCCAAACTTGGTCATCAATCCGGCCAAAGATTGACCATCGACTTTCTTGTCACTATTCGCCGCCAGCGCAGTCTTCGGTACGTGGAATCGATGGACAGGCTTTCCGGCATACTCGGTTAGGATAGCCAGGCTGACCATACAATCGAAGCAGTCAGAATCGAATGTTGCGTCGGTTTGTTTTGTCGGCAGCCAAAAGGCCGTTCTCCACCATGACTACCTCTATGACACCGATGGAAGACGCCATCAAGCAAAAGGTATACATGTCAAATCAACATCGTTCGGACTAGGGTGTCTGACAACTTTCTAGGTCACACAAGAACTTCAACCGACGTCTTTGGAAATCTTCAATGATTCGCACAAGCACGCTCATCACAAGGCAATGGTTGGTGTAACTTCAAGGGAGACACATTTCAGGTAAGTCGAAGGTGCGATGTTCGTGCTGAGGTGCTATCAAGACTCATCTCTTTGATCGACCTCCAAAGCAAATTGTTACATTAGTTCTGACCTAGACTGACACACATTGCAGAGTCAATATTGTTTCGGATGCATTCAAATCAAAGATGCAACCAGCAAGACATAGAATGGTGTACACGCTTTTGAAAGACGAGCTGGCTGCTGAGGGTGGTATCCATGCCCTTCAGCTCAAGACTCGCACGCCCGAGGAAGAGGAGAAGGCAAAGGCAAGGGAGGCATAGATGACCTCTCTATGACTAGTGGTGTATCAAAATCACTTGTAATATTATATGAAGCATGAGATTGTGAGAAAAGAGCAAAAGGCATCAATATGTGCCGGTATAACAGCGTGAAGAACATCGCTCGCTAAGCTAATGTACATTGTCTGTTGTTTGACGCAGCAAAGCTAGGTATAAATCAAGGCGAATCTCCTTGAATGAGCAAAATTGTAACTGCCATCTTTTTTCTGTAATCGAAGGAAACCTCTCAAGACGTCAAGCCGGGAGGTCGGGAGCACTAAGCTACGCTCTTGGAGACAGTTCGCTCTCTATGAAGGAGGAAGCTCCTTGGGGATGGGAGAACCAGTGGAGTTGAGGTAGGACAGGTAGCAGTTCCAGCCTGTTTCTGGTTAGCACGAAGTCATTGTTACTTGGAGAAAAGCAAGACATACCCAGCGAGACGACGTTGACGACAAGTACTCTGTGGTGAAGGGGAACGAACTTGAAGTTCACAGCCTGAACGAATGGCCAGAGCATCCAGTTCTTGGACAGGGCGTTCCAGTAGGTCGACTCAATCTTCTTTGAGGGATCTGAACCCTCCATGATGGCCATGGAGGAAAGGAAGACGAACAAGTTGGTAGGGGCAAGGATGGCCTGGTCAAGACCAACACGAGCGAGGATCTCCATGTTGGGAGAGCTGGGGATGCGGACACGGCGCTGGAGGAAGCCGAACCAGGTGGTAGCAAGAGGACCAAAGACAGCTGTGTCGAGTCAATCAGTTGGGTGGTCGTGTCTAAAGTGTCAATGAAAACATACCTCCACCGTAGAGTGCCATGCGTCCACTGCGAGCAAGATCGTGGTTTCTCAAGCCGACCTGCTCGACACCCTGCTGGGCCATGGTGTCACCGGTCGCAAAGAGGACCTGCCCTGGATGTCAATCATTGAACTTTTACAGACACGATCTCTCAGAACTTACGGCAGTGGTGACACTCTGAGTGAGCATAGGGCGCTGAGCCAGCTTGGTACCGTACCTGAACGCGCATTAGCTATATAGAAAGGAGAAGCGCAATGAACAGGACAAACCAGCGGAGGAAAGAAGCCATCTTGAGTTTGTGGATGTGTGAAGAGTGTGGTGATGAATTGAAAGGAACAAGACGCTGCGCTTGCAAGATGAGAAGAGGATGAAAGGGTGAGAGAGGAAAAGAAGCAGTTCACTAAAGACTGAGAAGAAAGTGAAGCGCCTGGTCGTGCCTTCCTGTCGCAAAAGCGCAATGGATAATTGTTATCTGAGCAAGCACCCGAATTCAGGCTGTTTGTGACCACGCGAACCACGCGGGTAGCGTCATCAAGGCCCGAGTGCCTTCGGAGTTAGCGCGGATATACTGCTTGCTTCACTTGCTCTTGCTCTGGCACGAAGAACGAAGCCTTGAGCCGGGAAATTGTAACACTCATTCTAGCACATAGGGAGGCTCTTGCTCTGACGCATTGCTGGTAGCAGGTTGTAAGCTGAGAAGGTCTATGTGTCCCCATACAGTACTACATCATATTTCCGGTAACTGTATAGAAGCATGTTCAGAAAATCTAGTCTACGGTTACGGGCTCTTTGATCCGTCTTGTCAACGTCTATGCTTCCTGGTCTTTGACCTTCTTTCCATAATATCATCAACATGTATGAGCTGTGACTGTAGTCCCCATGCGATGGTATTCAGGATGTCCCAGAAAGATCTATCTGCTGGTGGGAAGCGAAGAGGTGTTGGCAGCTTAGGGTGAAACTCTGACCGCAGGGTGTTTTGCTTCCAAGGCGAATGTGGACTCTTACAGCTCATGTTCAAATGAAGTGATGTAAGGGGGAGAATGACAAAGTTTAGGACAAGAAGTGTGAGACGTGAGACGAATTCTGAAACATTTCGCATGCGTCATGAAGAAGAATGTGGGGTGTGTCATAAGGCACTTTTCCAACAAATCCATCGCGGTGCTTCAGCGTCAGGCTGATCATCCTAACTTTCCTCACCTCTACAACTTGTTTCTCCAATAGCACTCCTTCATCATGGTAGCTTCGGTCGAAGTGCTGCCTGAGGGCATCGGCTCGTTGCTCGACACTGATCTTTACAAGCTCACTATGCAATGCGCCGTCTTGAAGTACTTCCCCAAAATCGGTATGCCCGCCTTCCTATCTGTATATCGAAGTGATACGTACTGATGGTCTACGCAGAGGTTACTTACAGATTCACCAACCGTACCGCCGACCTCAAACTCAACCGACAAGCCTACCACTGGTTGCAAAAGCAAATCGCTAAGCTGGCCCAAATTCGCGTTACGGACGAAGAGATCGATTACCTGCGCCAGCACTGCTCTTACTTGAGCTCCGAGTACCTCGAGTTCTTGCATGACTTCTCACTCCGCCCTGAGGAGCAAGTCGAGCTCTCTTTCAAGCCAACTTCCTCCAGCGACAACGAGACCGAGTCAGATGAGGGAGATATCTCTCTTTTCGTAAAGGGCCGCTGGCTGGACACAATCCTCTACGAGATTCCGTTGCTTGCTCTCGTTTCCGAGGCATACTTCAAGTTCTGCGACACAGACTGGGACCACGAGGGTCAGATCGACAAGGCATATGAGAAGGGTCTCCGTCTGCTCGAGGCAGGCTGCTCTTTCTCAGAATTTGGCAGCAGAAGAAGAAGAGACTATAAGACTCACGATATGGTTATGCAGGGCTTGAGTCAAGCGAAAGATGAAGCCACAAAGCGCAGTTTCCCTGGAAAGTGGGCTGGCACCAGCAACGTCCACATGGCCATGAAGTACAACGTGCCTGCTGTAGGAACCGTCGCTCATGAGTGGTTCATGGGCATTGCCGCTATCACCGACAACTACACCAAGGCCAATGAGACCGCCCTGCAGTACTGGAGTGGCACCTTCGGCCGTGGAGTCTTGAGCATTGCTCTCACCGACACATTCGGCACGCCCGACTTCCTCAAAGCCTTCAAAAGACCCGCACCGCCAGGCCACTCGCGCGACCCCAGTCTGGACAAGCCGAACCCGAGCTTCGCCGAAGTCTACACAGGAACCCGACAAGACTCTGGTAGCCCATTCGAGTTCATCAAGAGAATGCGCGACTTCTACGATGAGCAGAACATCACATCCCACAAGACCATCGTCTTCTCCGACTCGCTGAATGTGGACCGCTGCATTGAATACATGCATGCGACACAAGCCGTCAAGTTGGTACCCAGCTTTGGCGTGGGAACCTTCTTCACAAACGACTTCAGCAAGAAGAGCTCAGGCGAGAAGAGCGTACCACTTAACATTGTCATCAAGTTGTTCGAGGCGGATGGCAGGCCGTGTATCAAGATCAGTGATAACCTGGGTAAGAACATGGGCGATTCAGAGCTGGTGGCCAAGGTCAAGCATGAACTGGGCTATGTCGAGAAGAACTGGTCTGGAGGTGATGAGACCAAGAGATGGGGAACGGCAAAGGACAGCGCTTAATGGGGTAAGATGCGGCTGACATGGAAGGATGCGAGGATGATGACAAGACGTGACTGCGCATCTGCGGCGCGTATACTTAGCCACGACATGACGAGTACATAAGCATAGAGACAATAGACTGGCGCAGGCAGCGACTTAACATGGCTCGTATTGGCTCGCTCGGACATGCAAGTGATGGAGTACTCGTACGACAGTCGTCTGATGCTGAAGCTTGGCTGTTCCTTTCCAACGTATCGCTCACCCGTGGCCTCTAGTCAATATCAAACTCATCGCAGTGAATATGTTCCGATTCTGGAAAGATGTCGAGCATTTCCATGTGACAAACTTCAGGTACTCGAGTGTTTTCGAGGGCGGCAAAGATGCGGGGAAGATAAGGGTTATCAAGGTTAAGTTTGTTCTAAAAACGGCAACGGGCCCTTGTTGGTTCTCTCAGGGGGCTGTGGCTTTTTAGTGTTTCAGCTAGGTATCTCCTTGAATGTTCCTGCCTGGCCATCTTTTCATTTACAATCTCACCATCCGCTCCTGCCTGTTTATTCGTCTGAGACGAAACACGGCTTCTTCTTCTCTTGTTGTCTTTATCATCCACACACCCGCCTGGTGCATCCAAGTCTTCTACATACCCATTCCTCATCGATCATATTCACAAATAATCAACAAATATGGCAGTAAGCACAGACAAGTCGAAATGACCTGGGGTCATATCAAGTCTGACATGCGACAGTACAACAGCTATGGCAATGGAGGTGGCTATGGTCAAAGCAATCCATACGGCACCAACTCGGGCTACGATACTCCTCCCACATACAGTACGTACACGCTGTCTCCCCGTCCTCGATGGCTTCCCACGCATCGCGTAAGCCTCTGCCGCGAAGCAAGAACTTCGACGGCCAAAAGCCATCTTCACTGAGAGCTCAGTCGATAGCGATTCCTGGTGGACACTGCTGCCGTCTGAATACCTTCTTGCATTGCGGCAGCAGCCTCCAATTGAAGCACTGTCGAGCAGACACATGACTCGAGTTACAGCTTGCTAATACTTTACGCAGAACCTCAAAACGATGTCGAAATGCAACCACTCAACGACCCATTCGCCGACCCCTATGGTGCTGGTCAATCAGCCGATCCGAACGCTATCCTGAACGACTGCCGTGAAGTTGGTCGCGCTATTGATGATGTGGAGGGTCGTCTTCAAGGCCTTCAACGCCTTCATAGGCAGTTTGTCTCAGGCACTACCGCCAGTAATAAGGAAATTGACGCTATGGGTTCCGAGATCATGACTGCCTACCGTGGCCTCGCCGACCGCGTGAAGAGAATCAAGTCCAGACCTGAGTCTAGGAACCCTCGCAACGAAGCTCAAGTCAACGCCCTCGACCGTCGCATTCGCAAAGCAATCAACAACTACCAAACCGTCGAGTCCCAGTTCCGCAAGGACGTTCAAGAACAGCAACGTCGCCAATACCTCATCGTCAACCCTGATGCCACCGAACAAGAAATCATCCAGGCGACCGAATCCGGTGCCGATACACAAATCTTCCAACAAGCGCTCATTAATTCGGACCGCAGAGGCCAGGCTCAGAGCACTTTGGCCAACGTTCGCCAGCGCCACGACGCTATCCAGCAAATTGAGCGTACCATGACCGAATTGGCTCAGCTATTCCAGGACCTTGACGAAATCGTCATGCAGCAAGAGCCCATGATTATGAACATCGAGGAAAAGGCCGAAGAAACGCAGACGAATATGGTTCAAGCAAACGAGCACCTCGATGTGGCCACTACCAAGGCCAGATCTGCCCGTAGAAAGAAGTGGTACTGCTTGGGTATCTGCATTGCCATCATTATTGTCATTGTCCTTATTGTTGTCATCTATCTTGCTGCAACGGGCAAGCTTAGCAGCCACAACAACAACAAGACTGCTTGAGTTCGGCGGTATATTTCTTATGTCAATCCGGCGTCGGCTCAGTTCATTTTCTGGTCTCTTATCAAAGCGGGCGTTCGGGAAAAGGAAGGTTAACATGGAGGTTGGGAAAGTACAGTACTTTTATTGAGAGCAGAGAGATACCCTTAAATTCAGCTGCCAGTTATCAACTTTGTTCAAAAAGAAACAAACTGTAGAGATGCACAATGTTTTTGTTCTGCTACGGTCTTCCACAGAGGTGGGCTATTCGACACGCTCTCACTGGACACGCCCGAGAGGAAAGGTGAAGGTACATGTATTCATTCAAGCGTCAAGAAAGAGAAGGTAATACAAGGCGGCAAACTGCTCAGGCCCATAGAATGATTGTTTCTGTATACGTGATAACCCATTGCTGTTGCTTTTGTACTACATCATCTCAAAGTCACCGATCTATTCATTTCCGGGTAGTCAAAAATAGTGTGCGTTCCACTCCTCCAAAGGAGCAGGAGATCATCTAGACCTTCAGCTTCTCCTGAGGCAGGGTCTTGACCTTGTCGTCAAACAGCTTCTCAGCCTCTTGCCAAACTCTCTCGGTCTTTCTGTCCTTGAGTGTTCTCAAACTGGGCAGCAGAGCATCGCTGAATGCTTCTGAAGCCTCACGGGGCAGCAGCGAAGGCAAGTGGTCGATGGAAATGACACACAGCGGTGGGCCGGTGGTGACGTTGACAGGGACGGTGGGCTTGTCGAAAGTGGTGTTGATGTCGTAGATGGGGATGGGGTTGTGAGGGTTCGTCGTGTCGCAGCTGACATCGCAGACGACGCTGAGTTTGCGGTCTTCGGAGTTGAGCTGGGCGGGCTCGATGAAGGGAGGGATGGGTTGGGAGAGGTAGATGCAGTTGACGAAGATGTCGCTGGCGAGGATTTCTGGGTAAGGGCCGGGGCGGTTTTGTGTCTCGGCCATGTCCCACTTGATGATGTTTTCCTCAGGCACGCCGACCTTTTGGAGGAGGTCGACGGCGCCTCTGCCGCAGCGGCCCAGTGCGCCCATGACCAAAGCTCTGGGCTTACGGCCGACCTTTTGTTCGCCTTTTGCCATGCTCTTCTTGATCTCGTCGACTAGGAGGCCCTCGTTGGCGAAGGGCTTGACGCCCTCCAGGGGCTTGCCAGCACCCTCGACCAATTGGTGTGCCCAAGCTTGAACAGCCAATGCAGCACCGGCGAATCCAGCGTGGAAGCCAAAGGCAGCCACACGACGACCCTGCTCATCTTGCAAGAACTCAAGGTCGTACAAGGTACCACCACCGCGAGGGAAACGGGCGAGAACGTCGTCCCAACCACCTTGACCCTTGTAGCAGTGTGCGAACTGCACATGTGTGTGCTTGAGGGGGAAAGTCTCTTCGGGGAGCTCCTTGAGGCCGACAATGATGTGTTCGGAGGGAGCGTCGGTCCAGCTGCCCTCGGGCACCATGTTGGCGCCGACCTTCTCGAATTCCGAGTCGGGGAAGATGCTGAGGCTGCTGCGTTCGATGTTGACGGGGTATCCCTCATCCATCAATGCCTTGGCTGTTGTGGGAGTCAGCGCTGAGCGGTGCTCGAGCGGCTTGGTCTAGAAACACGGTGGTTAGCTGCTTGTTAAGCCATTGGAGTGGTGTCGAGTGTGTATACCTCTGCGCGAAGGTGTAGGGTAGGATACGACATGATTGATGTGTGATTGATGTGTAATGGAGAAAGAAAGACGGGCAGCTGTTTCGATTGAGCAAAAGAACAAGGGCGTCCAAGCAATTGGTGAGTCAGTTGGAAGGGTCTGGGGATCTTTTTGCGGGTAGTCACGTCAGTTGCCCTCCGAAACCGGCCGATGCTCCACATTGAGAGGCTCGTCGTTCTTGACCTTCCTACTCTTGCTGCACCTTGATGTGCTTGACTTGCCGATTTTGTGTTTCGGAATTGGCAGCTGCTAATCATCAGTTTCTAGGGAGTTTTTGAGCAGAGATCCTGTCTTGAGTTTTCGCGTTACACTGATATTGATTAGGGCTATATTCCTTCGAGTACGAGCGTCGAGAATTTTCTGCCACTCTATTTCGAGGCAAGCATCTATCTTCGGTGACTTAGATCTATCATACTGCGCATCTCCTACGGACTGCTATTCTATCGAATATTTGATATGAATTCGTGAAGCTTGTTCATCAGGTACTCGAGTATATCCACGGACGAGTTGGAATTAGAGACAGTACTTGTCGTGAGTAGCGATATTCGATCAGTAGCGAGATTGCTTGTGGAAAGAGACAATGATTGCGAGTAGAGAGATGTAAGTACAGATATCCTTAGTTCCAGTTGCTATTATAGTCTCCATATTGTCCTCCGACTTAATGAGGATCGAATTTCGGCCCTCCATCAGGCCATCACGAAGTCTTCATCATCGCTGTCGTCGAGAATGATGATGTCCTCACCGATCCTCTTGCTACGACAAGTCACTTCTCTTGGATGCGAGATTCGACGCGAGCTCACCACTTCGATCTCATCCTCTGCGTCCGAACCGATATCCCCTTCGATGTCCGTCTTGGCCTCATCTTCTTCCTCCATCGTTGTGTCTTCTTCGGCATCACCGATTTCTTCGGGTATTGCGACGGTGATCGTGTCTCGGTCGATTTCATGTCCAGCGGTATCATCCTCGTAGACCATCTCTTCGGCAGTAGCGGTCCCGTCGAGGATGCCGTTGCTAATGGCCTCCTCATCGATTTTGTCTTCATTGCTCGTATGCCCGTCAACCTGTTTGTCGTTTTCTTCCTCTTCGATGTCGGTCTCGGCCTCTTCGTCCTCGTTGTCATAATCATCGACTCTTCGGCGGTTGATTGCACTCTGTTGGCTGCTTACAGGAGCTTGATGGTTGCTCTTGACGACCCGCTGCGCGTTTGATGTAGTAGCTTCTTCGACCATCATGGGCTGTCCGCCACCGAGACCGAGTCTGGCGCTCTTCCTCATCATCTTGGCTTGTCTTTCGGCGCTCAGGTGCCAATTGAGCTCGCCAATCCCATTCTTTACTCCAGAAAGGAAGGCTTGCTTGGCCACAACTAGTCGTTGGTTAGCCACATTTGTCCCATCATCAGACAGAGCATATGCGAACGCATCAGCTAACATCTCCCATCGCTTTGGGCTTGTCTTTTGGAGGTTGATACCGAAGCCACGAATGATTTCGGAGGTCAGACTTGCGATGACAGCCCCTGGGGCCAGCGCGTTAATGCCGAAATATAACATGAGTTGAGCAAGACCCTCAACCATACTAAGGTTCAATCTAATGTCGTCATCCTTGAATCTCTGTTGTAGACGTTTCTTGCTCCTTCTCTCACGCATCTCATTGATCCTGAAGATGGCTGCAACCGACGGGTTGCTAATCAGATGGCGTTCGAGGTCTATAAAGGAGAAGTCAAACAGGATGGCTGTATGAGGAAGCGTGGCCCAGACAAGGTATTCATGACTCGACGGATTCCTGTATGCTCCGTTGAGGAACATGCGCTCATTCATGAATCTTCGGTGGTATGGCCATGCGTGATATGTTTTCCGAGGATTCATCATGCTACCACGAATGATAGAGATCCTTGGATTTGCATTTGATTTTGCCGCTAAGCGTAACGCAAAGAAGAAATCCGATGTCGTGCTGATCAGCTCCGAACTGATTTCGAACCTGTTGAGATGATTCAAGATCGTGGAAAATAGTCTGTCGTCTGTGCAAGGTGGCGGAGCAGGAGGCGCTATTGTAGAAGCCAAGTAGTAACCAGATACAAAGCCTTCTTCAGTCTTTACTCCTTGGCTGTTATCATCATAGAATCGATACAGGAGCTTAGGGATTGCTGAATGAGCTTCTGCCGCAGTGATGGGATCGTTAATGATGAGATCTTGGTCCGTAGCCCGAATGATTGGGATCTGTTGGCCGTATACTGTTCTCGTCCTGTTGGCAGAGATGGCCACGTCTTCAGGGAATCTGATGAACACATTTCGTTCCGCCGTGACTGGGAGAGCGACTTTTGGAAGTGGCCTTGGTCTCTCAATGACTACAGACACAGATGTCGATGGGTTCCTTGAAGGGCTTACGACGTCCAAAGAATTTAGCTCTTGCAATACCCAAGTGAGCTCAGCCTCTCCGCATGCTTCCACCGCTTGCCATTCTCGACAGGATCTTCGATAGTGCTTGGACAACTGTGAGTGGACGATTGACCTTGTCAGGCCATCCAGGCCAATTCTACGAAGATCTTTCTCAAATAGTTTATTGAATATGGTAGCAATCTCTTCATCTTTCATTCCACGCCTTTGAAGAACCAGCAATACCTGGCGATGTCGCTTGGACCACGAAAAGTTAGGTGATGATTTCGGAGAGCTTGAAGCTGTGGACTTGACTTTTGGCGTGGTGGGTGCCATGTTTGGGTGTAGGAGCACGATTTACTGTTGAGTTGCAAATATCAGCAATCGATATTCAAATCAACCAGCCTCTTCGTGTCCAAGAGTTCATCCCGCATGTAATTGATGGATTGTAAGATGGTTTTCGACCCGGAGTTGTTCTCGGAAGACAAGGCCTCTCCAAGGACGCGTATGGCAAAAGGTGTTTTGCATCTCTGAAGCTATAAAACCTCCGAGATGAGTGATCGCGAGACGATAGGAAGGTGACCGGACTTTGAATATAGGACGCATTTCAGTCAACATACCTGAGCGGATAGTAGCTGTAGTATCATGAAGAACAACGGCCAAGCCAGTCGATGAGTTACAGTACTATATTGATGGCGAAAAGGCAGATGGAAAGTAGCGAGCGGACAGGCGGGCTTTGAGCAGGCCATATTCCAATGTAAGAAACAGGGAAAGGCATAGCTCCTTCCTAGCACCATCACTTGAGCTAACTTGCGCAAACTCTAGCCAATCATTAAGAAGCTCTACGGCGGTGTAAAGTCTGTGAGTGACCACGTACATGCGAACTATTGCTACATTATACGCCTTCTTGACCGAGTGAGAAAGAATGTGCTCAAAATCAGCCGAAATGCATGCATGCTACATCCCGAGAGAATCCGTTTCAAGCTCATCATCTTGGGTCATGCTCTGGACATCTGCCCAAGACCCATTTTTCCCACATCTTCCACTTCCTGTTATCGACTGAGATACCATCATCGCCCAAATCATCAACACCACGCGGAAAGGCTCGCGCACTGCAGTTGCACCAGGGTACTGAATTTGGCGTATCCGGCGATTTAAGGGGCGGGAAATCCATCTCATGAGCTGCTCTCCCACGTTCATCGTCATCAGAACCTACGTGGTCAGAATCAGACATGTTGACACTGTCCCAATCCGGTATTTCGCGATCTACTTCATCTTGTTGTTCGGCTTCGTTCCAATAAGCATCATCCAGATCTTCATCGTCACTATCGCTTAAACCACCGGGAGGGTCATCAGGCAGTTCGATTCCTGCATTTTCCCAGAGCTCATCAAAGTGAGAAGCATAGTCTATTCGGCGTAGACTCACCCAATCAAGTCTTTGCATTTCGGTGTGGAAGAAGGAGAGAACGGTTTTCCACATGCTGCCTTCGCGGATTATAACGTCTCTTAATCGTAGTCCTCGTAATCTATCACGATGTCGTTGAGCAAATCCGATGATCTCGTCAGCGTGGAGGCGCCAGCCTTGGATACCAAAGGCTACTAATTTGCTCCAGCGCACATGGTGGAAAATGGTTTCTAGCGGGAGGCCAATCGGTCGGTGTGAAGGAAATCCGACATGTATCGCTTCCATGTTCACTGCTGCTATGAAGACGGTTTTGAAGAGGTGGGAGAGTTCAAACATGCGGACTTCGAGATCAGTGCCGTCGTCGAAGTAACCGTCATCAAAATGCAATTCCAAGCAGGTAAGCCTTTCTGCTAGCGTTGAGAAGGAGCCAGTGGGACTTTCCGCGAGCACCAGGGCGCTTTGTGGGCTTAGCATTGGGGAAGAGAAGCGTGAACATGGTGACCGAGCGTCCAGAAGAGCGTTGCCTATCGTTCTGGCGCTGTGTGCACAAGCAGGCGCCCATTTCAGCTCTACGAATGGGACGATGTCTTGATTGTGGCGGATATAGGTCAGTAGTCTTTCGTCTTCCTGATCCTGAACTCGTAGGATCTGGACGTGCTGGAGGGCAGTGAATGCCATCATAGCTTTTTTCAACACTCTGGCATCTCTTTCGCTCTTGACAATTTTCTGCTGCTCGTATATCTTGCAGCGAAATTTTTCTACATTCGTTCTGCCAATAGATTGTTGTATCTCAGGATCCAGTGATTGTATGCTTTCTCGACCTTTGACAACATCAGTAAAGAATTGATAGACCTATAGACATATATTTGATACCTTGGGTGCAGAAGTATGGCACCTTGTAGCTGAACTTTTTGACATGTTTCGCCAGGTGCGGTTGATCGGCAATGGCCTCCAACCTCGCAAGCCCCTTGGTTGAAAACCTCGTCGTGACGCGCGCAAATTGGTGGGAAGCACCAAGAGCAGCAAATCTTCGACAGAGCAACCTGAATTTGCCAATGTTCACGACTTGATCTTGAGACGGCAGTGGTTCAGGTCTGAAGCTTTCTTGAGAGAGGTATGCTCGCTTGTCGACACTCACAAGCCTTTCTGGGTCGGCGGCTATGAGATCCAGAATGTCGTGCAGCAACTCATTGGAGAGGTCAAGAGCCCCTCGATAGCCAGTCATCGCGCAACTTGATACCATCACAAAAGATGGATTTTTTGGTAGAGCAAGACTTTCAGTTCGACCCGTAGAGCATTATACCCAGGGGTCGGACACGGTGAGGAATGGGACGGATATGAAGATCGGGTAAGCACACGACAGACAAAGACTCTCTGGGCAAGATGCAGCACATGACGGCTGCGGTTGAGACCGCAAAAAGTTTTGTGTGGTCAGGTGGGTGCGCTGTCGTGGATCTCTGTTGGCATCTGAATACTCGCTCAGAAAGCGCCACCAACACGTCGACGGGCCAAAGAGATGCCCGTCACGATCGGACCGGCCCATATGAGCTGCATATGAATCAGATCATGTGATTGTGATATAAGTAGGAAGCGGCAGCAATAATACAAAAGCCCCTCATGCAGGTCGCTTCGCTGGCAAGCTAGGAGATTGTGGCAGGGGACGCTGAGCGGGGCTTGCTTTGCAGTCTTCTTTTCGGCTGATTCTCTTTGCATGTACGAGTAATTGTTTCTTTTTGTCAGAAGGTGCAACAAAACAACCACAGACAGACAAGCAGGCAGACACGATAGATTATGAGGTCGCAAGAAGGCTCAGCTGGGTTGGGGAACTACATACATTATGCCAGCCAATTGTTGGTTGGCTGGAAGCTATCAACTCCCCAACAGCTGCCCGAACCACAGCTAGTCCAGCATGCAGCAGAAATCGTTGTTCACGTGGACTCTCCGAATTACCTATTTACTGTGTATCGATAGGGTCGTCATGTTACAGTTGGGTCCAAAGTGTCGAATCGCATCAACAGCAGCCACTGTTTCATCGATGCATGCACCCTAGCACGTCGACTGCTGCGACACACGAAATCAACCTCCTGTTGCACCACATGATAGCGTTCGAGTCGTAGTCTCAGAAGACTTCGCAGGGCGAATCGCCCGCCGACTTGGTACGACAGAAGCTTTTCCATACGTCTAGGGTAGTCTGAAGTTTTTCTTCTGTTACTCGTGAATCAAAATCATGATGTGCCTTGACGTTTTCGGTAACATTGGCCTTTGTCTATAGTGAAGCCGTCTTTTGAGCCCGCTTCTTTCTGATCTCGGTGCTGCTGAGCTTGCCTTCGAAGTTCTGCTGTGATGCTGGACTTGAGGTTTCTTTCGAGTCCAGGACATCCACTTCTAGAACGTCTAACGCAGACCATCCATTCTCTGTTCGTTTGTCGTTGACAGCGCTGCCACCGGCTCTTGTTTCTGCAGAGATTATAAGTGCGGAAATGTCTTTCTCGGTAATGGTTGGACCGAACGGATCCCAGATCTCAACGCATCGAATATTCAAACCATTGGGATACTTGATGTTGACTGCGTGACCGTTTGGACCCGGTTCTTTGATCTCTTGCATGACAGGCTGTGCAGCCTCAGGCGAGGCAAAGTTCAGAATCGCGTCAAGGAAACGATGAACGGATCGTTGACGGTCGGACCAGCTCTCGAGCTGCTCGGCATACTTCTTGTTCTTGAGAAGCTCGTCACCTGTAATTCCTACAGTCATGATGGACTCTGACTGGGTTTGGTCAAGAGCAAAGGCGGTCATGGTGAGTAAGAGCTTATGACCGATGTGCAAATGATCAAAGGTTCCCCCAACAGCGACATGATGATGCTCCTTGGCAGATAGTCGAGGAGTAGAAGCGGATTTTGGTTTTCCAGGGGTCGGGTGACAATCGCAGTGATGGTTGGCAGCGGCCTGTTTGGCAGCTACGAAGGCGCGAACAAAGACCTCCCCCTGATCATTCTCAACACCGAAGGCATATTGCCATGGGCGCTGACTGGCAGCAAGAGATTGCAAGTGAAGCACAGGACCATATGATGTGTTGCAAGCAGAAGCATCGAAGGTTGACTGAGGAGACCATGCGACTGGGAGGATGCGAACATCGACACCGTCAGCATCTTCGACATTGATCTGTTCTTGAGCAGCGATGAGACAGATCAGTTTGTAGACAGCGGCCAAGATAGTCTGAGTAGGAGCATAAAGTTCGGATCTAGGAATAGCAGACTGGGCGGCCAAATGCGGTATAGCCAGAGCAATGTCAAGTACTGAGGGTTGAACCGAGTCTTTTGAAGCCAAGTCGGCTTCTTTCAGGACTTGGGTAAGAGTATCGCCATATAGTTCTTTGAGAGTGGGGATAGTCGGAGGCGATGGCGGAGGAGGGAGCAAGAGAAGAAAGCTCGCGGCATCATCCATGTTGACAGTTGTCTTGAGCGAACTTGGTGGTTAGAAGCTGGAAAGACGTTGACACAAGAAAAGGCAGCTGATTGTTGCGATGGTTGATGATGGTCACGAAAAAGATACAGCATGTAAATGTGGAGCAAGTCAGTGGGTGTAGGGGTGACGTTCCGTATCAAGTCGTCGTCGTAATGTGGTGACCGTGCGGACGATCACCGAACAAGGGACCACCGAGGCAGCCAGGACTAGGCACTGCTGCTTTTGTAAAGCTAGCCTCCTTGGTCCAGGTCTGACAGCTGCTAGAGGAATCGAAGAATTGATAGAAAAGAAGCGAGGTTGGATTAATTCACCTCATGTCGCATTCGAACAAGACAATCGCATCTGGGCTTGGGCTTAGCGCGCTCGGTGGAGCTATTGGAAGCCCCTCGTCGTTGACGGACCTGCAACAGCAGCACCACCAACAACGCGCAACTCACGCGCAAAGTCAGCAGCAATCGCAACAGCAAGCTCCGAGCCACACCGTGTCGCCGCTGGATTCGGGAGTCAATCGCGCAAGAGCGTCAGCATCAACGGCTTCGGCCAGCAGCGCCATGTCAGGCCTCGAAAGTCAGACGCCCAAGAAGGCCGATTACAACCCGAACATCCACCTCCAGCAGGCCACGCCCACCTCGACATCAGCCTCGCAGTCGTCGCAACAACAATCCATGTCTACTCTACCAAACACTCTTACGCCCGGCGCTTCCTCGAGGCCGCCGACAAGCGCGACGACAACCTACTCGGCTCCGCAGACGGTTCCCACCATGCCTCCTCCGATTAACACCAACCAGCAGCAGTACACTCCGCGTCCACCAACCCTCAATGCCCAGCACAGCCATTCGCGCTCGAGTCCTGCTGGCCTGGACCAAAAGTACATTGCTTTTTCCACCACTCCTACAAAAGGCTACAGCTCCGTCACCCCGTCCTCAAGCCACTCTCCTCTGGGACTGGCAGACATCCGTCCCCGTACCAACTCGGACTTGTTGAGCCGTGCGGGCATGCACTCAGCTGGCGCTGTCTACGACTATGGTCCTAGCCAGACGAACTGCAGCTACATGGCTCCTTGGGCCGCCTACTCATTTGATTGGTGCAAGTGGCCGGTGCCCAACGGCAACAGCTGTGGTAAGATGGCTATCGGCAGCTATCTCGAGGATCCTCATAACTTTGTGTGTCACTCTCTTTGCCGCCTCAATCAAACGGGGCCTCCTACTGACTAGTCTTGTAGATCCAGATTGTCGACAGCCAAATCGCGCCCCAGGACCAATCTACCATGGGCGGTCCTGCATATGGCCTTGATTTCGTCAAGGTCGCCGAAGCTACCTGTGCTTATCCGGTAACGCGCATTTCATGGGAGCCTCCTTCGTCATCCAAACAATCTACCGACCTCCTCGCTACTTCCGGCGACCACTTGCGCCTGTGGTCCCTTCCTTCGTCCTCGCAGCCCGCAATCTTATCCAACAACATCAACCGATCCGCCTCGGTCAACACTCGCGATCCTCCTACTCAGAAGCTGCAGCCTCTGGCCCTTCTTTCGAACTCAAAGACCCCCGAACATACTGCTCCATTGACCTCGCTCGATTGGAATACCTTGTCTCCAAAGCTTATAATCACGTCGAGCATTGACACGACCTGCACCATCTGGGATATCCCGACCCTTACTGCGAAAACTCAACTGATTGCACACGACAAAGAGGTCTTTGATGTGCGCTTCTGCGCCGGCAGTGTTGATGTCTTCGTCAGTTGTGGCGCTGACGGTAGCGTGCGCATGTTCGATTTGCGAAGTTTGGAGCACAGTACCATCATTTACGAACCCTCAGAAAAGTCGGACAAAGACAAAGGTATGTGACGTGACGTGACAATGTATTCTCCTAGAACATCGTTCTGACAGACTATCTTGTAGCGGCTATGCCAGCTTCGCCAACAAAATCCTCAGCAGCGGGATTACCGGCCTCCCCTCCTCTTCTTCGTCTTGCTGCTTCACCGCACGACGCCCATCTTTTGGCAACTTTCGCTGCAGACTCAAACATTGTGCGCATTCTTGACGCCAGACAGCCAGGCACCGCCCTTCTTGAGCTTCGTGGGCACTCGGCTTCACTCAACTCAATAGAGTGGAACCCCAGCCGACGAGGCATGCTCGCCAGTGGTGGTGACGACAGTCAAGTACTTGTCTGGGATTTGCTCAACTCTGGCAACGGAGCCAGTCTCAACGGAGGTGTCCAGGGCGAGGCTCAAGCCAAGGGCCCATCAGCAAGCTGGAGAAGCGATTACGAGGTCAACAACGTTTCTTGGGCACCGCAAAGCGCTTTGACAGGCCAAGGCGGCGACTGGTTGGGTGTATGCGCTGGCAGAGGAGTTTGGGGCGTCAAATTGTAACGATGACGAAAAGCACGACCAGAGCGACATCAAATTTGCATATAATGCGTAGTTGAGCGGCTGAATGCATTTACGACTGGCGGCGAGTGAGGGATTGGAAGCGAGGCGTCTTGTGGGTTAAAGTATAGTATGCTTGCACCTTCTTGAATCTGCTGTGCAAGCAAGCAATATTTGTGCATGGATGGGGATGCCAAAAAGCACATAGATCTTTGAGCCCATGTGTCTATGATCCCGTGTGTCCATCTTTGAGTTCGTGACTCATCCTTCGTGATCATGGCTGTACTTCATGGAGAGCATCTCACCCGCCCCAGCGTTCACGATCTTTTGTTGAAGTCCTCTGCAATCTCTCGACCATGTCTTGCCGTCGCTTCTCGCGGTGACACTCTGGCTCCTCTCTTGTGTCTCTCCATCTCGACACTCTCACAAGGTTCTCCACACCTTTCTGCGCAAGCGGTGTATGCCTGCCTTCGGTGACCGGACGGCTGGTATGGAGTATGACAAGGCATTGTCTTTCTCTTCCTTCACGAGGCTGGCCTTTCATTCCTCGACTTCGATCTTGGTGATGTACCTGCCCGGCACAACAACCAAGCCGACGAATCTCTTGAGCATATCCACCTTAACGTTTCCCTTCACGCCATCCATCTCCATCTGCATGGCTGCAATCTCCACTACACTGGGCGGCGGTTGTCGGTACTCATGTGTCAACGAAAGGATGATGTTACGTTCCTGTTGCGCAATGGTCAGAAGAAGTTCTATCTGAGAGGATCTGTAGAAGCGAGTCTTACTTGGTCGGTACATTTCATCGTGCCGACGAAGATGCGTGAGTCTGTCGTGTGGATACGCAGAGTCTTGTTCAAAAGACGGGTAAGATATTCAGTCGCTTCTGCATTGTTGCTGTCCATGGTTGCTGTTTGCGACTCGGATGCACAAGGTGGGATTGCTCTTTCCATGTCTGGATCGCGGTTGCGTTGTCAACACGCGGAACTGACGCGCGCTGTTGGTGACAGATTTGGAACTTGGCTGAAATCTGCCCCCAAACTCTCATCCCACCAAAGGTTGACGACCTCCTCCTGTCACAAACAGCGTCGACATAGGTCGATTACCAGCTCCACTCTGTAGCAGGGTCTCCCCGAGAGGCTTGAGCATCAGAGTTCCTTTTCCCCCTCCCTCGAACTCAGTTGATCTCTGCATCAATGTTCGTCAGCCCCGCCGCGCTCGTCCAATCTTTCCAAGAAGGCACAACGTGGTCGAGCGAGATAATGGTAAGCCATCAAATTCGATTGGTTGAGACGTAACATGAGCGTAAGTATGAGGGAGAGCCCAATTTTTCGTTACACTTTCCTATTTTCTCCTTTACCCTAGTTGCAAAGGTTCGAAATAAGTAGCAAGGCATTGCTTGCATCTATCTGGAGTTTTGCATTCTTTTGCTGCCCATTTGTCGAAAAATCTATGACCGGCCATTACGATGGCTCCTGTACTGCTAACACCGCCCTCTTCGGGACACGAGACCGATTACTCGCCTTTAGCATCTCGTGCATCGAGAGTGAACAAGTCAAGGCCATCGAGAAGATCCATTTCGTCGCTGAAGTCTGCGTCGCCAAAGTTCACATGGGCCAAACGTCACAGATTGACCTTGAGGGTTTGCTATGAACTCGGTCTGGAGCCAAAGGATCGTCTTCGGGTTTTCAACGCAATATACAGAGAAGACTGTGTTACCGCTGGCTTTCAAGACGGCATCAAGCAGGGTCCGCTTGGTGCACAATGGCAGGAAAGAAGGAAGACCACCTGTCAGCCATGGCAAGAGGTCATGGTTGCTACAGAAGCCGAGCTTGCGTCGTACAAAAGAGATATTGATGCCTGTTTGGAGCCCAATGCCTCATCTCCATTCGAGGATCTATCACAGGCTGGACCGACACTAGATGACGGTCGACGCCTATCCAGCTCTCAGAAGCGAACACCGTCTAGGAACCCCCGAGCACCTTCAGGCAAGCGCCCGAGTAATCGAAGGAGACCCCAGCCTGTCCAAACTCCGAATACTGCTACTCAAGCCAATCGAGCTACGACGAGCAACACTAGGCAAGTAGCTAGCCAACGAAAACGGCGATGTGCCTCTAGAGGCTTTCCCGAAGACGAAGTGATCTCGGAAAATCGAACTCGTAACATAAAAGGCAAAGAAGTTCCTGTCATCAGCCCAGATGACCCTCCATACGAAGCCCCGAATCCGGTACCCGAGGCGGAAGCACACACATCTGTGCCTGAACTTCTATTCCGTTATTATCATCGTGGTGCAGCTCCCATTCCTGAAACCGAGCACTGCCCGGAGCGACCTGGTTTTCCTAGTACCGCAGGTTACAACGGCGGGCGTAAAGGCTTCCTATGTGCCAAATACATGTCCTTGCCTCACGGAGCGCCACCTCCTCACCATTGTTCGAGTCCCCACTTGCGAGCAAGCGCTCTTAGCCACCTTACTGGCACCAGGATAACTTCCGAGCTGATCAGCGTCTCCTCGAGCCTTTACTTTGAGATGCGTGCGGCAGCCAGGAAGGTAGCTGCTGGCAAATCCGATGTGAGGATCAGTATGATACGAGGAAGCGGCTTGGGAAGAGAAAAAATATACCATTCAATGCCCTTCCACCAACGCTTCAAAGCAAACAAGGACTTCCTAGGTGGTACTTGGAGGAATCCTGCAAGCCACGAGTATTGGGTGTGGGCAAACATTCCCAGTACCGCCGTCACACACGATTTTTCTCTGGCCGATCTGGAGGAACAGCTTACGCGGATTCCTTCCATGTATCAAGCTTTACGCTTCGATAAATTAGGTTGCGGCATGAACAACGAAAAGATGCAGACAGAATACTTCATGGATAATCCAGTTCACCTTACCTACGACCTAGTCATCGGACTAGCCGAGTTTTTACCGCATGTTGGCATCACCACCAATTCTCCAGACGCATACCTCGCCAAATTCGTATCCGAGTTCATTCGAGGCTGGAAAATCCAACTTGCAAGGAAGACCGAGGCCGACTGGAACAAATTTGCCGGGATCTTTGCAACTGTGCTGAATCACCACTGCAACACAGGACCTCCAAATGCCCTCCAATATGCCCACAACGCTCAAGCTTTCTTGACTGGATTGCAACATGGCATGGGCGAAATGAACTGGCACCTCGACACAAATAAGAAAAATAAGATGCTACGCAAAATAGCCCGTTTGGGCATGACCTGTTCCATCTTACTGGTCGATGAGGTCGAAATCCCAATCGGTCAGGCAGATATCTCGGATGAAAATCAAAACGTCGAGGCACTTTGTGCAGACGGAGCGGATGGAGATGAAGAAGAAGACGGTTCCATCTCTGAGATTAACACCTCTGCAGATGCAGTATCAGATGAGACTACTGGCACTAACGATGCTACAGTAGCCAGCAGCATCGAAAACATCGATAACGATCTTGAGCGCCACGAGAACGCAGCAAACTCAACAAACACCTCAAGACACCCCCAACGCACCCCAGCAACCCCACAATCCCAACCCTTCCAACACCGTCGCGCCGATCGTAACAGCAAACCCCCAACCATGAATGTAGAATCCAGCGACGACAGCGATCAAGAATTCCACACTCCAAGGCCCACAAGCAGTCCTCTCTGGAACGACAAGAATACGTTCTTCGTAGATGGCTTAGGGGCAGAGCGCGAGATCTTTGAGATAAGCGATGATGAAGAGGAAGAGGAAGAGGAAGAAGATGGTGGTTTTGAAATGTAGAGGGAGAGTGAGATGTATGGTGGTGGATTTGTTGTTGATGAGTAGATATTCGTAGATCGTATGCATGTATGGTATATACACTGAATTCAGGTGTCTCAACACGCGTCAAGACCACTGTGTATCGAGAATGGCTAGCTGAGAAGGGCGTTTCGGGAGACGTATACGCTATCCGAAGTCACAGGCAAACCAAGATTGTCAATTACACTTCACAATCAGGTACAGTGGTTGGAGGAATCTTTATTCAGATTCTATATAGTATACATCAAGCTTTTTATTAAAGAATATCAAAGCCTCGCCCTCGAATCCACGAACCTTGCCTCCGAGAAACACTCGAAACGCCATTAATGCAAAAACTTTCTTGTCCATTTTCATGGTCGTAACCTTTGACGCTTAGTCGTATCCTGGGCCGTCGCCAGCGGGAGTGTCTGCGTTCCAAGCTCCAGGTGTTTCGGGGAAGGCTCCAGGAGTCGGTGCGGCTGCTGGAGTGCGGTATTGACCATATCCTGGAGTAGGCTGGTCCAGGTTGCCAGGAGTTGGTGCACTGTTGTAGCCAGGCGTGGGAGCATCCATGCCGCCGTAGGCAGGAGTTTTTGATCCGGGGTCATATGCAGTACCGCCGGCATGGAATGGTGTGCGGGTGTTGGGGTTCCATGTGCCCTGTATCATGTTAGTAATCATATTCGAGACCATAAGGGATATAGATAACTTACTCCTCCATATGCGGTGCCGCCGCCGTAGGAAGTCCCACCTCCGTAAGACGTTTGACCTCCGTATGCGGTTGTACCGCCATAGGCTGTGCTGCCTCCGCCTCCTCTTTGCCAGGCAGGGACACTGCTAACTCCACTGGCACCGCCGTAGGCAGTTCTTCCACCAGCGCCTGCGCCCGCCCATGCAGGTGTACGGCCACCGGCTGCGGGCTTCCAAGCAGGAGTGCGTCCGCCATCTGATGGTCTGGGCGTAGCTCCAAATCTGCCAGGAGTGGCACCACCCCATGCCGGAGGTCTGCCGCCAGCACCACCCGCTGGTGGGGCGCCAGGACGTTGGCCTGCGTTTTGCTGGATAACAGCACCTGTGATGGGGTCTCTGACAGTGAGAAACTCTTTCGCGATGGAGATGATCTTCTTGCTACCATGAACCTCTACACGCGCATGAGTGTCAGTACTGTCCTTGACAATACCCAACAGACCCTTGTGGGGGCCTTTACGGATTGTGATTGTTTTGCCGATGAGTCTGTCGCGGCCCATCTGACGTGGTGGAGGCATGCCTTGTGCACCAGCCTGCTGTGCTCCCGGACGCTGCAGTGCTGGGTTCATCTTCATAAGACCTGCCTGAGCTGAGGCGACTCTACCACCCTTGGCTGCGACAGTCTTGACGTTGTTTGTGCGAACGACAAAGACACCAGCATTGTCAGTCTGCTCTCTGTTGTGCGCAAAGAGGAAGTTGCGATGAATGTGGAGGACACGGCCCTGTTTGCCTTCGCCACCTTCCTCCTTGACGGTATCATCAATGTGGATCTCGGAACCCTCACGATCGGTGGCGACAGCAAGCTTGCGACGTTCAAGCTTGTTGGAGATATTTGAAGGGAGAAGAGACCTGACGGTGCCAGTCTGATCAAGGACACGAAGAGATTCGCGATCAACCTTGATCACACAAGCCACCGTGGCAGCATCCAGCTGGACCAATTCGTGTAGATCGTATTTGCCAACACCAACCTGACCACCGGAATCTGTAGCGACACGCAAGTCTTTGCTAAAGACGGTGATCTCGGTTTGATTTGAATCAGTCAAAATTGTGACACGGTCTTCGACAATCTTGACGACCATTCCGACTTCATCGAAGTACTTGCTGCCGCCAATGACCTTTACGTGATCACCTTCTCTAAAGAGCTTACGTAGGCCTTTGACAGGGGATTCGATGATCTGACCGGCAAGCTCGCCAGTGGATACGAGGATGCGCACAATGTCAGAGTGTACTGAGACAGCCTTTCCGACAACTCCACGCTGTTCACCTTGCCAGATCTCGACGTGATCACCAGGAAGGAAGGCACCGGAGCTGTTGCTCTTGATGGTAGCTGCGAGAGCAGAAAGATCCAGATTCTCAGTTCCGTCCTCGGCGTCAGCAGCAAACTTGGTAACCTCCTCAAGGGTAGGGTTGACATCCTCAGACTGCAGGTGGTTAGCCTTGTAGTCCTTGATCAGGAAACCATCGACGTAGGTATCGTTCATGTAGGTCCAAGTATTCGCGGTGAAGCCAGTACCCTTGGTCAGGTAGCGACCATGACGCTTTCTTGCCTCGTTCTCGCTGAACAGACGTTGTGGGGGGCGGGGACCAGTGTTCGCGCCAAAGCCAAAGCGCTTGCGTTTGTTGTCAGCGGGGGCATTAACATCGTCGTTCAAGCCATAATCCAGACGAGGGATAAGACGAAGTGTGACCTCGGTACCGTTCGATTCAACTTCATCAATCTGAGCCAGATCGCCAGCGTACTTTCCGCGCTTGACACGGACGTACATGCCGGGCTCAAGCGACTTGCTCTTGCGAGTGCGGAGAAGATCAGGCATCTCGGTAATGGGGACCATCATAGGCTTGGTGCCCATGTAGACATTTTGCAAGCCTTCAAGAGCAGTTGTGACATCGTCGACAATTCGAGCTTCGCAGTAAAGGTTTCCAGCCATAACACCTCCTCTTTCAAAGGCCGAGATCAGCTGCAATGGCTCCCTAGTGCCAGCGCGATCCTCGATACGCTTCATGATGGCAAAGACAACTTCACGCTCTTTTCCAGGCTTGCACTTGAGACGCCAAATGTGCGGGTCCTCGACACTGGGGAGTAGCAAGCGCTGTGGTACAACAGCCGAGTCGACGTTAGCAGCTCTGTTTCTTCCATAACGCTCCTTCAGGGCCTGGGCTTGTTTCTCGGCATCCATGCTAGCGGCCAGATCGCGCTGTCTGTCGAGTTCACGATGCTTGCGGTCGTCGCGCTCGGCACCAGCGGGAAGCTCAAGCAAGTCGTCAGGGTGCATCTCTTCGCCAGCAACCTCATCATCCTCATCGGGCTCCTCCTCATCTTCATCATCAACTTCGGCTTCAACATCGAGGAATTGGTTGCGGGGACCCTTGCGGCGGCGTTTTCGAGGTTGGCCCTGCGAATCATATTAGCAGTAGAAATATAGTAGAGCTTGGTGTAACGCACTATATCTTCATCGTCTTCGTCTTCGTCCTCTTCTTCTTCCTCGTCGTCCTCGTCCTCTTCATCATCATCGTCGTTGTTTGCACGGCGGCTGACAGGAGCGGCATCTTCATCCTGGTCGTCGCTTTGCGCAGACTGACGGCGATTGGTGGTCTGGACATGATCGTCATCGTCGGCCTGGTTGTTGTCTTGTCTTTGGTCGTTGTCATCGTTGTCGGCACCCTCATCGTCAGAGGCATGAGTGACGGGGTTGAAATCGTCTTCTTCCTCATCCGAGGCGGCATCGCCAAAGTCTTGATTACGGTAGTTGGACATTGTGAGGAATGCTGCGTGTAAAGAGCGACGCGGCGCCGCTGGAGGAGAAGTTGGTGTTCAGTCGGCGGTCGAGTAGGAATGAAGTGAGTAAGTGTCGATAAGTCGAGTGGATGGCGAGGAGGTCGAGGCGAATGGTGCTTTTGATTTGGGGAAGTTTGTCGAGGTGACTGTCGCTGACGCTGTTGGCAAGTTCCAAGTTGCTCCCAAAGCGTTCAATGCTCCAGAGCGGCTCTTCCCGCACTGTCACTGATCCGCCGACAGCTCCTTCTTTGTTCGCTCTTTTCCCTTTCACTTTTCCTGCCAACAAGACGGTCCAATCAAATGCGTGTCTGGTGACTGCGATTGTATTATTCTGCGGCAGTCCACAAATCAGAAGACTACAGTCCTGTACATTCTGTCAAGCGTGTGGACTCACAGAGTGAAACAACAAGTTTGCTCTGTTTGCAGACCATCCATGTGTTCACATGATAGTCATCAACTTGACCAACGACGCGACAACAGTAGGTCTTTTTCTTGCACAGCTGTGATCTGCATTTTCTTATGTCACTTCTGATCTGCCATCACACGCGCAACAAACATGGAGGGGTAAGCTCGTTCTTGGCCGCCGCGACATGGACCATACAACTGACCGGTCGCAGCTCTTGGATATCTAATGCGCTACCTCGCTATTCTCCCTCGTCTCTGTCTCCCGACAGTCGCCGCCGTTCCAAAGCCCCTCGCTGGCGTACTCCTTCTCCCATGTCTGCCTCGGCCATACCTCCACCCATCGTAAACAGCATATATGTTCCCTCCTCTTCGCAGTCCCCCGCCGGTCCTTCCGTGCAGACCGACGATAATCTCCTGCTCTTCCGAAGGAAGCAACGTGAACTCGAGGCTCATCTGCAACTACTCCTTGATGCCCAAGCCGACGCTCTCCTCTCTGGTCTCGATGACCCATCAACCTCTACTGCTGAGGATGATGGCCTTTCTACAGGTTCCAGCACACCCACCGCTAGTGCACTAGATTCAAGGGCGCGTCCATCTTCGAAACCAGAAAAGATCGGTCTCCGTCATGCAAGAGTCGGCCTGTATGCTACCATAAGACGTCTGGCGCAACTCAAGGCTCAGGAATCTCAATACCTGGCTCCAAATCTCGACCATTTCGAGTCTGTCGTTGCTCAGCTTGATGCATGGCAAGGAAAGTGCCACGCCTTGCAGTCCCGCGCTTCTGAGATACGCTCGGGTAGTGACCAGAAACGCGCCCTCGGTTTGCACAAACAGGCCGATGATATGCAAAGCGATATCGAGGACCTCGAGACCAGGCTCGCTAAACTTAAGAGTGACCAACGCAGACTAAGAGCTGAAGCACAAGAAATAGAAAATACTGTCGACGCACGTCTTACTTCATATACGACTAGCCTAGCCTTGGTCGAGAATTCTGTCCAAACCTTCCTTCGTGATGGCACATCGAACCACTGGACTGCTATCATCAATGTTGCAGACATGGACCGTTTCTGGCAGTCGCCCTCGCAGACTCGGACCTTGAAGTCCGCAAAAGAAGTCTTTCTCCGGGAGCGAGACTCGCTGCTTGAGAAGCGTCGCATCAATGATACTGAGCGAGAAGCACTTGAAGAGGGTGCTGTCGTCTGGGGGGATACTGTGAAGCAGGTGTCTGCCTTCGAGCGCACACTAGCGAAAACCATGTCACAGATGAGCAAACAGCCACAATCTCAGCTCGACTCACCAGCGGAAACTAAGGAGCTGCTCAGCATGCTCGAGCAGACAACTACAGAGCTCGAAAGCAAACACAAGCTCGCCGAGACACGTAGTTGGAAACTACTGGTGGCGGCTATCGGTGCTGAGCTCGAGGCATTTTTGAAAGGAAAACAAATCCTCGAGGCCGCTCTCGCTTCTATAGATGGCGATACAAGCTCTGACGAGCAGAGAGGTGCTTCGAGTAGTTCCGGCCATCTGGAAGGGGCTCAGACTCCTAAAGGCAGCAAGCATGATGGTGGCGAGGCTATTCGCGATTTGGACAAGGCTTTCGCATCAAAACATCCTACAGCCAGCATCTCAGACACAGATACAGAAGATGATGGACCAGATCCAGAACTTCTGGTCTCTCACCAGGATACAGACACGGATTAGTTGGATTCTTGACTTGGAACATGATACCCGTATTAGATGAACAGCTGTGGATGCGTTCGATATGAGATTACGAGAAATGACGATTATTACCATACCAGACTATATGAAGCTCGCGCTTAGTCAATATTATCAGTGTACGTCGGCCGTATGGCATTAAATAGTCTTCATCGTGATTCATAAGAATGTTATTGGTTGCTAGTCATTGTCAAGGAATACGACCGAGGTCATCGGTCTTGTTCCGCGGCGTATCTTCAAAGTATTACAACACTCCCAAGTCACGCCGACATGATGCAAAAATTGAATCTATTAAAAACAGTCTCGCTTCTGATGAAGTGAACCGTAAAAATGACAGGTAACGCGCCCGTCTACTGTTTCACCATACCGTCGTTGCACGATAGCACTGTTCTGGACTGCCGGATATACCACCCTGCGTCTCTTCAGGATGCGCAGATAGGCCAGCAAAGAACCAGGAAAGCAGCCCTTATAGCACATCCATATGCGCCATTAGGAGGTTATATGGACGATCCTGTGGTTATGACAATAGTGGATCAACTGATTGATCTGGACTTTGTCGTGGGGACCTTCAACTTCCGGTATTGTCCAACTCTCCACCACATCAGCACATTGCCACAGAACCATGCTAATTTGTGGACAGAGGTGCCGCAGACTCTCAAGGCAGTACCAGCTGGGCTGGCAAAGCGGAACGAGACGACTATGTCTCTGTCGCTGGCCATCTACTGTTCTATCTAGACTACCTTCACAAATCGGACCATGGACCTGCTATCACCAGAGATTCGCAATCTTCTGCTGGCAGTATAGATAATGCATCATCCGATCATATCGCTTTGGTCCTGGGTGGCTATTCTTATGGTTCTCTAATTGTCACGCACCTCCCTCCCACTACGGAGATCTTGGCCACTTTCCACCAGACACAGTCGTCGACTAGGGTCTCCGAGATCCTGCTCAGAGCGAAAGAATTGGCCCTACAGACAGATGAACTGATAACCAAACAAATGGAGACTCGAGGTAGATTGTCGAATAAACCTCCACGAAGAGGACACCAACGGCAATCGAGTTCTCAACATTCAATCACATATGGAGGCAGCGACAGTCCTTCTCCCGCGGACCGGCATGGCATTGACCTCGTACACAAGAGTATGGAGGTACCGGCACGAATCAAGCATGCTATACATCATAATCGCAAGCACTCGACTACTTCGACGCCAACATCTTCCTTAACTTCCTCGGATGGTAGTATTTCTCAAAGCAACGAAGTGATGCTCGGGAGTTTACCACATGTCTTGACGCGTTACCTTCTAATCTCGCCTTTGTTGCCTCCAATATCAACCGCTCTCTCATTTTCAGCGTCGAGCCTGATGTTTTGGCGACACACTGCCAGTCACACTGACAATCTGGTGCGAAATCCGACACTTTTGATATATGGTACGGAGGATATGTTTACATCTTCACACAAGATGGATACTTGGTGTAAGAAGATGGATGCATTATCGGCGCAAGCTGTAGGTTCGAGCGGGCAGTCATCTGTTAGATGGATGAAGGTCCAAGGTGCAGGTCACTTTTGGAGAGAGCACGGCGTGGAAGCACAGCTGACCGAGAGTCTGCGAAAGTGGGTGCACGAAGAAATCGCACTTGACTACTCGTAACATGAGTGACAATAATATTCAACGAAAATCTTGACCAGACTTGAAAATAATTAAAGACCAATGCAAGTGACGGCCAAAAAGAGCTGCAGCTTCCCCAGATGGTCAACGCGGATCAAGCCCGCCGTCGTCACAGCCACTTTTGCTTGAACCACTTTCAACTTTCTCCCACAAACCATCAATCTTCACATCACCGCCAAAATGCCGCCGAAACGTATGACAGCGAACCCATTGGCACCTATACGCTACCGTCCAGGCAAAGCCGTCGGTCAGGAAGAGTCGTCATCAGAAGAGGAAGAATCCGGCTCCGAATCAGAGAGCGAGCAGCAACAGCAAAAGACGACAACTGCGCCGCCAAAGGCAACATCGTTCCCTAAATTCAATTCGAACATCAGCAAAGCCGATCTTGAGCGACGGAGGCAGGAAGCGCAAGCTTTGCGCGCCCGCGAAGCCGAGTTAGCACAAAAAGCACAAGAGGGCTTTGAGACGGCTTCTGAGAGTGGAGAGTCTGGTAGCGAGGAAGGATCAGAGTCGGAAGATGATGAAGAGGAGGAGGAATCAGAAGATGAAGCTCCGACTCGCAAATTTGTGGCGCCAACTTTCGTCTCAAAAGCACAACGCAAGAACATTGCCCCACCAAAGCCCGCTGAAGAGGATGCTATCGCCGAGGAAGAGCGCAGACGTCAAGAAAAGGCCGACGCTCTACTCCAAGCACAAATAGAAAAAGATGCGGCTGCGCGAGCGGCAGGACGCAGAGCATGGGACGACGAAGATCCAGACGCCATAGAAGACGTCGACGACACCGACGGCCTAGATCCAGAAGCTGAGCTCGCAGCCTGGAAACTACGTGAATTGCGCCGCGTAAAACGAGAGCGCGAGGCCATCGAAGAAGCTGAAAAGGAAAGAGAAGAAATCGAACGACGACGCAACTTGACGGCCGAACAAAGAGAAGCCGAAGATGCCGCTCACATTGCTGCTCAGAAAGAAGAGAAGGAGGGCAGAGGTCAAGCAGGTTTCATGCAAAAATACCATCACAAGGGTGCCTTTTTCCAGGACGACGAAGAGTTGGCAGAGATCTCTAAACGCGATATTATGGGCGCCAAATTCCAGGACGATTCTGGCAATCGCGAAATATTGCCTCAATACATGCAAATTCGCGACATGACAAAATTGGGCAGAAAGGGAAGAACGAAATACAAGGATCTCAAGGCGGAAGATACTGGACGCTGGGGTGCCGAGGAGGACAGAAGAGGTGGAGGACCTGGCTACGGCGGTGACAGATACAGAGACAAGGAAGGAGCGACCGGTGCGAATGCATCTGTCGTAGGCGAAAGGAGAAGGAGAGATGATGACCGTGGTGGACGCGATGAGAAGAGACCGCGCTACGATTGATACCATCCAACAAACGATTTACGAAACACAACATTCGCGGCATTCGCATCGCCATGCCTTTCCCTGCCACAGGTCGTCTCCGACTATCTAGTTCATTCCTAATTCACGCCAGCAACATACCGCTAGCATCGAGACAAACAAGATCTTTGTAATAGGGAGTATAGGCCAATGATCAAGGTCCTGCTTCTGAACCTTGAACTGGACTTGCTGCAATGGATTTTTTTCACACTTGAGGAGATGAGAACTATCTGCAGATGATGGCTTTAGCCACACCCGTGCGCAGTTCAAATCAGTGGTAAACATGAGCGGCACGGTCAGATGCATGCACAAATCAAACGATGTTGTTCTACAGGTCTTGGCGACTGTGCCACCGCACCAAAGGGACAATCGCGACACTTCTGATCCCAATTCTCCTTGTGTTTCATGAACGCAACAACCATGGTCAGACTTCAGCGCAGTGGTTCGCTACTGTTTCACACACGGTTTTGGACCATATGCCCCCGAGGACCTTGCCGGACCTCTGGCTTGCAAGCAACGCTGCGTCAGTTCTCTTTCTCATCACAACGTGCCAAAAGAGAAGCGGTCTAATTTGCCGATACCCCTGATCCAATCACTGGTAAACAAGACGCCGCACTCCAGGAGCCCCAGAGTTCAGCCAACAGGAAAAGGAGGACGCGACTGCCTGTAAAATTGCAATAAGCAGAGGCGAATCGCCGGAGACGCTTCTCAGATCCAGATTGGAATCCGGGACTTTGTCACGACCAGCAGCTGCTGTATGCTTGTTAGAAGCCGATGAAAAGAGCCATATCGATGCAAATTTGGGCCAAATCACGCTGAACTGGCTCTGGGACCAGCGCAGCGACTTGATATATCCCGATGATAATGATCTGGTATACGCCATGGTTCGATTAGTCGTGCGTGAAGGAGAGGAAGAACAGATCTTGCGCTGGATAAGAGCTGAGACACTTCGACCTTCAGATCTTCCTCCATACATCAGGTACGAGTGGAGAAGTACAGCTCTCAAAGCCCTTGTGGTGTACAAAGCACAAATCGCTAAAAATGGGTGTCTTGACGAAGCTCTGGACACGTTCTTTCAAACAAAGCCTTTGTATGTGTCATATGGAGGTCCGGCGACGTGGTTGCACTCTCAGCTCTGGCAGGTTGTCGGCATCCCCAAAGGACAGGAAACTCCAACAGTCAATGGAGGTCGATCTTGGAAACTTGCGTGGCCTAACACCAGTGCCCACTTCTACGATGCCATGTCACAAGAAAACAGGTTAAACACTAGCAGCCCTGTAAATGATGCAAGGACTGCTCTCTACCACCCTCGTGGACCGGACCCAGATCCAGTACTGGCGATGTTTCTAGCTGCAGCCGCAGACTCAGACCGTGAGCATCCACTATGGACTATGCGAAAACATGGAACAAGGCATGTGTTCCGAATGAGCGCCACGCATGGATCAGAAGAACTGAGAAGACAGGGGCGGATGGAGGAAGCCAAATCGCTCGAAAAGGCTCGAGATGTCGTACTTCCCGTAGATCACACCTACGGAGATCGTCAAGACAGGGAAGGAATCTCAACCCAAGCGAAACAGAAAAGACCACTGCCTCCTCCAAAATTCAAGCCATGGTGATCATGATTCTGACATCTCCAATGTCCAGCATGGTTTTATGCGCTCGGTTATGAACGACCAATTCTACTCGGGTAGCCACGGTTGTGTCCGAGGTTCGTGTGGAAATTCCAATGATGGATATATTCGGCTGGTAACACTTCGCCAGTGCCAACAATGCTCTGAGTGAATAAATTCCCTGGCATTCTGATAGCCACTCAGCTGAACAAAGTCATGTTCTCGTGATTACTCGAGTTTCGTGTGCTAGTAGGCCACATTCTCTTCAGCAATGTAAATGTAGTCTTGGAAAGATTGTACCAAGTCCGATTACTTTTTCTTGCAGTAGGTAGTTATGAGTGATTATCAAGTACACAATCGATTAGTCTACATACTCTATTTTAGTATTCCAGCACATTATCCTTCAAAGCGAGAACACAAACAAGTCAGCCAACTCAACCGCCGTTTGCAATCTTCAATTTCCACCACCAACAAGGTTTCATAATCTCACCGATTCAACACGCCCTCCATCAATGGTTGTATAGTGTAATGGTTAGCACATCGGATTCTGATTCCGGTAATCCCAGTTCGATCCCGGGTACGACCTCTTCTTTTGCCATTTTGTCAAGGGTGTGTGTTTCTTTTTTGGGGGTTAGGTGGTTGGTGGTTGGAGGTTGAGGGGCATGGCACGTGCGGTGGTATGCAGGAAAACTTTTTTTTGCTAGCTGGCTGGTTTGCTTGGCAAGATATCAAGGGCTGGCAGTGCGATTGAAGATGTAGAGTATGAGATTGTGTCAGCATGTGCAGCTCGATTGATCTTCTGCTGATTCACAATGGTTTTGGAGGTGGAGATGCATGAGTTCTGATTCCTCCAGAGTACAGCTTGATTGAGCGATTCCATGCCCGAGGCTACACGCCATCAACCAGGATACATATTTCAGCCAGTTGAAGGACTTCTCCAAGATCCTGAATCTGGCCAACCGGATTCAACCCTTACAAGCTAAGGTGATGTGGTGTAGTGGTAGCATGTGTCGTTGTGGAGGTCAAATTCCAGCAACGCCGACCCGACGGCGGTTCGATTCCGCCCATTGCCAGGATCGTTTCTTTTTGCCCTCTAGAGAGGATGATATCTCTTTTTGCTGCTCTCGCAAGGAGGTGCGTCCATTGAGAGGTGAGAGGTATGGTTTTGGAGTGGGAAGTGTGGGTTGATATGGCAGGTACAAGGCTTCGTTGGTTTTGTAAGATGCTCATACTCAAACGATATAAGACTCGGGATTGCTATTTGATCTTTCTCAATACCCTACTCCGTACCTATGTCATGAATCAACCGACTATCGAGAGATGGCCATTGAGGCAAAGGCAGGTGAAGAACATATATGCCTTAGATCAACCAAATATGGAGGGCTTGATGATTACAGACTTCAATGAAGTTTCGAACAGAATCCTGTCACTCTGTCATCCTCCATATGACAACTCAGGGACACTCCAAGCTCTCAAAATGAAGGATGCTACTCATGTCCAAGAAAAGACATGGTTGATGCGTTCTAAGGAGACCGAAGTCAAGAGACAATTGTCCATATTCGTTATCTTCGATGCATTCCGAATGCCTTTCCTTCTATATCAAGCTTTTCTGCGTTTTTCAGCAACTCTGCGATATCCCCATGCTCTCCATGATGGAGTTGCTGTTGTATCCAGTTCCTCGAATGAAGAGTTTCGAAGTTCCTACCACTTCGCTCACCGTTGTCAACTTCGTGGCGATCATGAATTTGGCTCTTGGACCATGCTAATAGAAAGCCCGAGAGAAGTTGACTAGAGAGCGCTTCGAGATTCGGCCTATCAGATGAGTGACACCCGATGAACTCTTTGGGAGATCATGTCATCTTTGCAAGTCTTTCCAATTGCTTTTGGCTGTGTTGTCAGTGCGGAATCCCTGATCAATGTTTTTTGCTTTGATTATTTCTCTTACTCGATCGCTGATGATACGAGCTAATGCTGGCCAGTTGGGTCTCAGGCAGGAAGTATTTCTCTGATCTCGTTCCAGCTTTTGCTTTTAGGATTGTGAGGCCGTGCATTCCTTCATAAGTTCCTTCAGCCTTCGGGTTGAAATTTAGACATTGTTGTAGTTCTTTTGTCCACAGGTGGGAGGTTGAGGATTGAAGGACGCTGATACGTTTAATCTATCGACACTAGCAGTGTTACACGTCAACCAACGTAGAGGCCATTTTTTCAGTGTGCGTGGATTCATCAGGATCATCGATGGTTGCTCTCTCCGAACGTTTTCCACAGCTGGAAATTCATCTTGCATTTTGACAAGTGGTAGAAAGGTGTTATTGGGAGGTGAGAGCCTTTCCAATCATAGACACCATTATGTACATCAGATTGATCGCAAGAACAACATACCACGCGTAGAGGCCATAAGAGATACACAAGCGTTCCCCATAGAAGAGAAGTAGGCAGTAAGCCAGAACACAACAGCACCTCTAGAGCACGAGTAGAGTAGAGATGTCTTCGACCGAAGCGCCTGGACCTCCACATCCCGCCAGCCAGCACAAAAAAAGAAAAATCTTCTCAACCAAAAAAATATTTCCTTGACACATAGAAAGAAACCGCCAAAAAAGAACTGCCTCGAGGGAGAATCGAACTCCCATCTAAGGATTACCCAAGCCATGCTTGGTCATTTCGATGACCGATATGAGACCTTCGTACTAGCCGTTATACTATCGAGGCTTTGGATGAAGTGCTGGACGGCTGGGTCAAAATATGTAGTTCACGCACAACGCTCGATGCTCGTCATGATGGCGACGATGTTGCTTGTGCACCATAACACACGCTTGTTCGTCCATTGATAGTGAGGATTTATTTCATACTGCTATTATGATAACTGATTGTGAATTGGTGTTTGTTTGATTACTGCTGTTGATTGCATCGGTCGCATTGCTGAACGTATTGTAATTTTGTGGTCACATTTGCAGATACAGATTCAAACATGTAAATTGAGCACGCAGCATGCAATTCTTTGTCAATCACTACATATCTTTCTGGGATTATTTCAAGGCTACCTAGGTCTTGTCCAACCAAGTCTGGGTCTTCAAGGCTGTGCAGAGCAGTCACAGAGTGGTAGTGATTGTGAGCGTCCGGGTGATACCATCAACAAGCTCGACTTGGTCGCCAGACTTTTTTCGAAAGCACGATGCATTGTTGCATGTTGACAGGGTATTTATCGATACATTGACGATGATATGAAGATGAAGACCGAGATTGTTGATCGTATTCAAAGGCCAAATGAGTATCTGCTTCACTGCTCGCCCTCGTTCTCTTTGGCCTCGTCGATCTGCGCTCTGAGTCCGCTCCTCCCGACCTTCATGGCCATCTCCAACTCCCTTTCAGCCTCTCCTAGTCTACCACGTCCGAAGGCTAGTTCTCTCTCCCTCTTTCGCTTTTCTTCCTCGACCTTCTGTTCTCTCTCCCTCAATGCTTGTTCTCTCCTCCTCCTCTCATTGGCCCGCTTCTCTTGCTCTGTCCTTTCTTCCTCAGTTGCGGCTTCTTCCTCGTCAGGCGCAGGAGCCAATGTTGAGATGTGAGCTTCGAGCAAATCGTCGCGAGCCTTAGGAGGTAAGGAGATGAAGCGAACATCAGTCAGAAGATCTTTCGGTAGACTTTCAAGTCTGGTGTCTTTGTTCAGGTGCTTCAGAGGCAAGGACTTCAGCAGAGAAATCAAGTCCGACTTCAATTGCGAAGAAGATAGCTTCAGACGAGTAATGTGCTCGCGATAAAGCTTTTCTCTATCCTTGTCACTGAGCTTTGCATCACGCATTGCGTCTTCTTTCTTGTATTTCCTGCGGAATTCTGGCCAGTAGAGTTTTGGTGTCGCTTTTTCGGAGAGAAGAGCCAGGTAGGGGATGCGCGGATCGAGTTTCTCTTGTTTGGCCTTTTGCTCGCGGAGCTGGGCAATCTTCGCACGAGTCCAATCACCCCAGACCTCCTTTCTGCGTTTCGTTGTGGGTAGAGCGGTATACCTACTATCGTCTATAATGCGGCCGTCGGAGATGAGAGTTTCCCAGGGTATGTAGGGAGAAATGTGCTGGTCTTCGAGCATGTCGCAAAACAATGCTGCGCCATCTTCGTCGGTCAAAGGAATACCTTCCATGCCTTCTTCGTACTCGTCTTCACCTCCACCACCGAATTCACCGCGATCGAGGCCGTATGAATCTTCCATTGCGGCGAGTTGGTAGGCAATGTCGTCTTCGTCGAACTCGAGCGGTCCATCTTCGGCTTCTGCTTCCTCTTCGCGTTGACGTGGTACGCCACCTTCCTCGCCCTCATCGTCTGTGACCTCGATTTCTTCATACTCCGAGTCTGATCCAGCGGCATCTTCTTGTGGCTTTGTTGGTTCCTGCTCTTTTGGGGGTTCCTCTGGCTTCTCGGATGGTTTCTCAGGATCTTTCCTGGATATACGTTCACCCACAGGAGCCTTGTTCGCACCACTAGCCTCATCGGGGTTGTTAAGCTTCTCGTCCAGCTTCAAGCGGTCGAATTCAACGACAGCTTTCATAACATCGTCGGGGAACTTCCAGAAACTCTCGTTAGTCTCCGGGTTGTGAACAAAGCGCCGGCCAAGTTTGGTATAGACAACGAGCCATGGTTTGCAATTAGGAATAACCTCTTTGCGCTTCGGTCGGTCTTGAGGTTGTGGACGGCGTCTTGGTTCATGGGAAGGAGCAGCAGAGTTGAACGGAGGCTGGCCGTACGACAGATAGGCATTGTGTTGAGGATTCGTTGGGTATGGGTTGTATGCAGCAGGATTGGGAGCGAATTGAGAGTTTGAATTGTACTGAGCAGCGGGAGGATAAGCGGATGGGAAAGTAGTTGGCGGAGGAGAAAAGGCAGTCTGAGCCTGAGGAGGAGTCGGGGCTTGTGGAGCAGCAGCAGGACGTGTGTATGTCGAGGCCTTTGTCGCTGCGTTGTAGTAGTATTTGTGACCTGCGACACGTCAGTAGATGTTTTGCGACGACCATGTTTTACTGAAGACAGTACCTGTCGGCGCTGTATGTTCGGTCCAGCCAGGCGGCAGCGGTGCAAGATCCTGTACTGGCTTATATGTCGACTTTAGCCTCTTGCGATCGGGTGCATCCATGGTGCAGAATTGTGCGATTGTCGTTGGCTGAGATGGCAAGAAAGATCAAAAGATGGTATGCGATCGCCAAGCCGTCAGGACTGGAGCTCGGACAAATGACGCACCGAGGGCTTGACACTTTGAACTTGGAAGCTCGAGCTCCTTCGTACTTGAGCAATTCCAAACAGATAATACATCTTTCACGAACAACACCATGGACGAGTTCGCACAAACAGGAGCCCAGCAGGACGACTTGTTCGACGACATTCAGTATGATCAATCCATGCAGACTCGTGCTCCGGATGATTTGTTCAACGACGAGATCCAGCCCGTAAAGTCCGAAGACCAACACAACATACAACCAGACGAGAAAAAGGGAGAGCCGATCGACCACCAGAAGGAAGTACCTCCAGTAGCTTCATCAACTGAAGTAGTACTCGAGTCATCAACTCCTACAGACACAACGCCAGCTCCCACGAGCTCGGCAACAACTCGTGGACGGGCTGGTAGAGGAAGGGGTAGAGGCAGAGGAGGACGCAACAATCAAGACCGCACTACTCAAGAGCACAAAATTCGCACTACGCAAGAGCACAACAATCAAGATCGTATCACGCAGGACCGCAACAACCAGGATCGCAACAACCAGGATCGCAACAACCAGGATCGCAACAACCAGGATCGCAACAACCAGGATCGTCAAAATCAAAATCAAGATCGCAAGAACCAGGACCGCAGGAATCAGAATCGCAACAATCAGGATCGTCCCAGCACGGATCGTAGAACCAACGAACCTCGTCGCAACCAACCCAACCGCAATCAGAAGGAGGCTGTGTCCCAGGATACAGATGAACAGCAACAACCCCAACAGCCACCGACTCCTACAGCCGAACCTGCAAAGCCAGCTACCAATGCTGTACGTGGTGATCGTACCGCAACCGGAGGACTACGTAAGCCGAAGCTTAGCGAACAGGAGCTCGCCGAGAAAATGTCAAGGATATCGCTCAAGAACGAAAAGCTCGCTGCCGCACACGCCCGTGCTGAAGCAGATGCTGCCGACTTTGCTGAGCGTGAAGAAGTTGCTGCCAAGCGCAGACAAGAAGAGCGTAGAGACAGACAACAGATGATGGGTGAACGTGAAAAGAATAGACTGCGGAAGCTCAAGACCGTGGGAGGCAGAGAGTGGGACGCCGAGAAGCCCGATGACGCCGATGCATTCGGAGGTCCCAGGCAGGCCGGCGGTAGGGGACGTGGTGCGCATGGTGGTATCGCCGGGCAGAGAAATCCCGAAGGTTCTCGCGAAGGTTTCGGTGGTGATAGAGAAGACTACACTGATGGACGCGAGTACATGCACCGTGAAGATCGGGGTAGAGGTAGAGGTCGTGGACGAGGAGGCCGTGGAGGCTCAGGTCGAGGCGGACGTGGCCCACAGCAAGAGAAACAGCCCTCTCAGTCAGTGCCCAAGCCTACAGACTTCCCAGACCTGTCTGGCTCAGCCTCGGCTCCCAAGTTTGATTCTGCTGCTCCACCGACCATGGAGCTCCCGACAAAGGCGAAGGTTGAAAGGCTCGACATTGACGATCAAATCACTCCTGGAACGGAGAAAAAGTCTTGGGCTGACATGATGGAGTAAATTTCGCGACCTCGGACACTTTAAAGGGTGCAAGATATACTCTTACAGACAGAATATCCTCTTTCAGACAGCACACACCTCTCCAAACGTGATGTGAAGACTGTCTAGAGAGCAAACCTAATCATTACGTTGCCGAATGCGAGGCCTCCAACGACACGATGCCAACTGGAACGAAATGAACTGTCTGTGAGCATCAATCGTATTGCGGTCGCAAGATACAAGAGCTGTGTCATCGGGGCCTGCGCGAATAGAACGAGAACACTCCCCACGCAATGGAGGATACAAACATGACAAGATATCGACAGAGTACACTGCCCAGCTGCCAGCATTGGGTCGGTCTGACCTCCCCGTGTGCTAAAATCTGTCACGCGCACCCTGTAGAAATGCACAATGTTTTCAAGATCTCTCTAGTCGTCCGCAGAGAGGCGCTGAGTATCACACTTTTAGTGGAGGGCTGCACTGATCTTGAAAACATTGTGCATTTCTACAGACTGGATACCCCCAGGCATGGCCGTGGGAGATGGCTAGTAGAAGTGACAGAATTCAGCACACGGGGAGGCAGTCAGAAGCAAGCGGCACGTTAACATTTTTGTCTGTCGCTACAAGAGGAGGCTGATCGGCGAAGAATGTTGACTCCCAGTCCAGCTTGAGCTTTGGACCGTGGGACAGCTAAGGCTTCGGGGCCTTTGAGTTAAGTGTGCCACTATACCAAATGACTGTGATGAGGATGCTGCACAGGTGCTACACACTCATTTTGCTCTTCGGGCAAAGGTGTCCGATAATGCCTTCTCGGTCGGCGTCAATGTAAGTAATTAAACGCATTGAATCACTTGCAGGCACTTTATGTATGGAAGGTGTACGACTGCAAAACAGACTTAGAATAAAACAAGTGATACGTACCAGCCACAGGTCATAAAGACCGGTCCACACATCTGAGTGTGATAAGGGATTTGGCCCAAGAAATATACCCATGCGTTAATAAACTGTGCATCGGAAGATGAGTTAAAAATTTTGCAACAGCAAGAAATTCCAAAGCAGAAGTGTAGGGTCTGAGAAACCAAAATTCGAATGCAGTGTTGTTTTGAAGGTAGACTGTAACCATGTCGCTGACAGACGCGACGGTACAATGAAAGGGTTACGCAGGGTTGCTCATGGCAGCCAGTCCTAGCAGCTGCGGGTCTACCGACATAGCGAATGGCAATTGGTATGGTATCGAATCGATGTTGAAAGGACAAGGTCCACACACCCGGTTGTAGATCAGTGAAATGTGTGTAAACCTGAAGCCCAAGCCGTGGAGTTCTCGTTTAACGGGTTTTCTATGTATGAGGTTGTAGAGGTTGGCAGTCGCTGCCGGGCCGCAATCAAACATGTTCTCTTGTTGTGCACATTTCTCCAACGTAACAAGGCAGTCTTCAAAGAGCTGTGCATTCTATCCACAGCCAGGTCTGTGTGCAATAAGTTGTACGTACAGTAGGAGTACAAGAAGTGCGTACTGCAGGACGAGATAGTTGGCCACACCTGTAGAGTGCCATAGTGAGATAGTGCCTGTCTTGTGGATGGACACAACCACCCAATGATTGCCGAACGGGTTCCATGGAAACAAGATCTAGGTGTGGTGGGAAGCCATACGGCTACATGGCCACTTTTCAGTTGGTCGATTAGATGAATCATACTCAGAGTTTGCAATCTTGAGTTTCAATCTTGCAGTACGGTGCCTCATCTGGCAAGCAATGTAGGTTGGGGTGCTTCCCGATGGAATGTAGATAACCCCAAGGTAGGTTGTAATTGCAACAGCTTGTTGGTAGAAGACTGTATTGTTTGATGACTCTTCCAAGACCACTTGAGAAACCATATTAAGAACGGCATACCATTCTGGAGATATGATTGAATTGACATCCTATCCTTCAACTGTGAGCCCGGCAACGGTAAAGTTGGGTAGGTCTGGAACGGCCAAGATGCAATCCCTTATGTGGTTGACAGCATTGTGCGCATCTCCGTGTGTAAGAAGACCGCTTGCGTCCAGAGAAGGGACAGGAGTTGAGATCTCAGAGTTAAGGGAGCCTGATGTATCCTTGTTGGTGTTGTCCAAGGCTTCTGGTGTACTCTTTTCAGATGCTTGCACCTGTTGTCAAGTATCATCGTCCGATGTCTGCTTGAATGAGCCCAGCTTCATCAAGTAGTTGTAGGAAACTCAGACGTAACTTCCCTCCTTGAGCCGGATTCTAAGGAAGCGTCGACGAAGACTCGCACCTTCCAACTTCAGCGCCGTCGCTTTCGCGCTCTCCATCGACTACTATCAGGCAGACGTGCGTGTCCCAGAGATCACACAATTACCATCAACCAACACCTCCTCGTCCACCGACCAAGTTCCACCAACGCGCATCTCTCATCGCCATGTCTAGCACCATCGAGCTCCCCAAGAATGTCTGGTTCGAAGTCATGTCTCACCTCGACTACTTCGACCTCAAGTCATGTATGAGCGTGAGCAAGACAATCAAATTGGCCACTGAAAGCCCCATTTGTCAGAAGACCATGTTCCGCTCTCAGGCAATCATCCCTGTTGGAGGCACGATCCAGTTGGCCGGCATCACCATGCATCCTGTCTTCGATCACATGTTCTACGAATGCGCAACTGAGCTCGAAGGCGTCTATGTCGGAGATGGAATGGACATACTCACCGACACATGCGCTGCCGAGGAGTACGCTACCGACCCTCCTGTCGCTTTCCTCCGCATTCGCGTCGTTGAGTGGGCTCCAGTTCAGATCACAAGCAAAACGGGCGTCACTGTACTTCAAGTCATGAAGACTCTCTGCCGCTTCTTCTCCAATGATGACCATCGCGACTCGAGAGGCGATCACACCGGTTGGCATGGCTGGGACGAAGTGAAGCTCGATCGCAAAGGTCGTCTCCTCCTGTGTGCTGATTCGTTCGACTCTTGATCGGTTCGTCCATTGTCTCATGCTGAGACCAGTGTGTATGCTGACTTCCGAAGGATTTAACTGTCACACAACACGCCTTCAGACGACCAGAGTTCTCCATCGACAGCCCTTCATTGCTTCCCACATTCGACGCTACGCATCAAGAGTCTTCAAGCAGAGCTGCTTACCACTAAAATTCGACGCTGCACCGCTGGCCTCGTCCCTATATCTTTCGTGTTAGCTGAACGTGTTTGCTTTGACAAGAATGAATAGCGAGTCGCGTCCATAGCTATTCCGATCAATACCATGTTGCGGACCAGTCTTCCACCCAGGCATCGTGATGAACATAGACACTATATTCCATTGTTGTCAGTGGTGTTCTAAGATATAGTAGACCCGCTGTCGAAAGGCACAATGCCTTGAAGGCCAGTAGAGGTATTCTATGAGTGCGACTTTTTCTGCATGCTTTCGTTAGACATGAGCCTGTTTTTCAAAGTCGTTGTGGCTTGCACAAGGTCTCGAAAGATTATGGGGAAGATCGAATCGACGTCCAGTATGACTTTCTGTGGCTTTGATTGTGTCCCAGTTCACACATCACATGTGCCAAGAAACCACTCCATGTCAGTGCCTATTTCACGTCTCCGGTGCGTGGGAAACAGTCCAACGTCAGGCAACTATTCTCAATACCTCCATCGGTAACCCCAAAGAAGCAAGAGCATGCCTGCGGACCTGTGACAATAATCATACTCTGGATCTCCCAACGATTATCATCCACAAGAGAAACAACATCTTCTCCACAAAGGATCTCAGTTGATCCTACAGTCCAGACGCTCAAAGAGCAAGCCTAATCTAGGTTTCTTTTATTCTTGGTATGGCCGAGGCGAATATCTATCCCGAATGCGAGGCTTGAACCCAGAACATGGGTAAGAGGACGCTTCTACCATGGGTTTCTCAAGAAGCTGATGCTCATCCGTGGCCAACAATCGCCACAAGTGTGAGTATCATCTTGCATACAGCGAGTCCTTGGCACATAACTTCTACTTGACTTTAGATGCCTCGGGAGCTTCTGGAAGATCAACAAGTACATGCAAGATGTCAAGACGATCTAGTTCCCCTCACGAAAGAAGCAAAAAGCAGGGCAAAAGGAAAGCATGCACGATGCGCGCATGGTATGCCCAGCCTCCAGAGCTCAAGTACGTAGGGAAAAGTGGTCACGCTACCACACACAAAACGATCGTCATCACAGCAATTGAATCGATTCGATGGGCGTGAACTCATATTGACACCACAGCTGAACAAACATGTTATGCAAACCGCCGAGGTTCGCCGTCGTCTCCAGATCATGGTGTCACCCCATCTCCACGGGGAAAGATATACAGCGGGCGAAAAGAAGCGACCATCGCGGCTCCCCATTGCCCAAGCTCGCCCCGCTTGCTCTCCTCGAGGGGTAGCGCTCTACCAAGTGGATCCTCCCCATATCAAGTTCTCACTCATCGTTTTGCACGAAACATTATTGACCATGGGGTGGGGAGATTACCGCAGAACGTGAAGTCAATGCTTGCCCCAACTTGCCAACTCTTGGTCACAACAGAAAAGCTATGAGAAGCCTCTTCGGTGCATGCCGCCGACTGGTGAGCTTTAGGCGTGCAGGATGCCAGCCACATTGCGACCGCTCTGACAACGAGGCAACTTTTGACATGGAGCATCAAGTCAGAACAAAGTTGGCTTTCGAAAAGGTCGAGAAGACTTCCCCTTGGGGAAGCCACAAGCCGTCGTTAAGCGCGGCCGTGATCTTCGGCCCGATTACTTTCTTCGGTAGGAGCGCGGTGATCTCCTAGTGTGATCCCCACGAAACCTGGAGATTAGCCGCCTCCCTAGCGTGCTCCAGACCGCTTGGGGGTTCCTCGCCCGCCGCTGAGAAACCTTGCTCATGCTTGATGAGCACTTGGTATTCGAGCTGGCCGGTAAGACCGCCCAGAGGAACAAGCTATCCAGTACTGCCAAGGACAAGAGAAAGACAAGGTGTCGAATCTGGTGTCAAGCAAATCGAGCAGGACAACAATGCTTGTCTATGGGCCTCGATCACCTTGTGCAGCAAACGCAGTGCCCTCGAGGGGCCCGTCCACCATGTGTGCCGTTACCAGACTACCACAGTTGTCGTGCATGATCACGACGATGGGCGTTTATGGCAGGTCCCTTGACTCTGACTAGTAGCCACATCGAAAAAAAAATTCCTGCGAGATGATGTTGACAGCCGCGACGTTGTGTTGTACACGAGCTAATAATTGCCGGAGCTCATGCAATCAGATTGACGTGGCGTCACTTGTACTGCTCTGCAGGCCGATAGGTCTTCTCACCGGCAGACACTCTGCATACCAGTTTTCATGGTGTTAGAGAATGTGAGTACCGTTCACGCAAGAACGATTACCCTCTACAGACTATGCTCGATGGGCAAGCGGTATCCAAGACATGTTACAGAATTACACTTCACTACTCGTACGAAATTTGGATGAATCGTTAGATCGACGAGCGATTTTTGGCCAGCCTGCCCATCCCCCACCAACCCCAGCTCTCCCCGGACCGATTGTCGTCTGCCCCAGGACGAACTCCGTGATTCGGACCGAATACTCGCAGGCCAAAGCTTCCTAGCTCATGCCGGCTGCTGGCCGTTGGACGGTAGACTTCGTCGTTGCATGGTCTATGCATGGGACTAGACGGTACGTGCTTGTCCAGATCTGGAGTCCCCATGGGTTGGAAGTATGGCGGACTCGAGCAGGAGATCTGTATAAGTACCAGCTTCACCTCCCTCCAGGAAACAATTATCATCCAGCATCAATCGGCAGATCCAAGACTCTCATTCAGACTCTTCAGTCTCTACTATCGTTCATTCTTTGAATACCTTCATTACAACCAAGGATACAGCCTTTCGCTCCTACTCCAACTAATCTTTTTACCACTTCTACATCAACAATCGTAGCAATGGCAGGCGGCGGTATTCCCATCGCAACCACCACCATCGCTGGTGGTTTCCTTACTGGCAAGAAGCTCATCTTCCCCATTGCCCTCATCACCTCGCTCTTCTTCCTCTGGGGTTTCTCTTACGGTCTTCTCGATGTCTTGAACAAGCATTTCCAGAATGTCCTCGGTATCACAAAGCTCGAGTCTACCGGTCTCCAAGTCATGTACTTCGGTGGTGGTTACCTCATCTTCTCTCCCATCGCTGCTGAGGTCCTCAAGCGCTTCGGTTACAAGATCTGTATCCTTATGGGTCTTTCTCTCTACTCCATCGGTGCTGTTATGTTCTGGCCTACTGCCCATTTCTCTTCCAAGGAGAACGCCTCTGCCTCTTTTGGCGGCTTCTGCGCATGCACATTGGTCATTGCCTGCGGTCTTGCCACTCTTGAGACTGCTGCCAACTCCTACGCCGTTGTCATTGGTGACCCCAAGACCGCCTCCCCTCGTCTCCAGTTCTGCCAGGCCTGGAACGGTGTTGCTTCCTTCATTGGTCCCCTCATTGCTTCCAAGGCTTTCTTCTCCGGCAAGAACGCTGACAACCTCACCAACGTTCAGTTCGTCTACCTTGGTGTTGCCTGTCTCGGTGTTGCTGTTGCCATCTTGTTCGTCTTCGCCAAGCTCCCCGAGGTTGCTGAGGAGGCCAAGCGCAACAACTCCCTTGTCGAGCCCGAGCACGATCTTGAGGGCCGCGCCATTGGTCAGGGTAGCATCTGGAAGGAGTACAACATGATCTGCGGTTTCATTGCCCAGTTCTGCTACGTCGGTGCCCAGGTTACCATCGGTGCTTTCTTCATCAACTACGCTGTCGACAACGCTGGCTGGGCTGAGACTCAGGCTTCCAACCTCCTCTCCTACGCTCTGATCACCTTCACCGTCGGTCGCTTCATCGCCACCGGTCTCGCCACCGTTCTGTCTTCCAGCTTCATCATGGTCCTTTACTCCATTGCCACCATCGCTCTTAACGCTTACGTCTGCGCCGGCAAGGGCAAGGGTTCCATTGGTGCTGTCATGGCCATCTACTTCTTCATGGCCCCCATGTAGTAAGTTGCAATCATCTGCTTGATTCCATACTCAATATACTAACATACCTTCCAGCCCCACCATCTTCACCATGGGAACTGCCAACCTTGGTATCCACACTCGCCGTGGTGCCGGTATCCTCGTCATGGGAGTTGCCGGTGGTGCCGTCTTCTCCCCCATCCAGGGCGCTATTGCCGATGCTGCCAACACTCGCATCTCCTTCGTCGTCCCCCTTGTCGGTTTCCTCGTTGTCCTCGCCTACGTCGGTTTCCACTGGGTTGGTGAGGGCTTCGCTGTCCTCCGTGTCAAGACCGACGATGCCATCGTTGCCGCTGCCGGTGTTGAGGGTGGTGCCGTCATCACCAAGCGCTCCATGTCCATCACCGAGCAGCAGTACGTTGGTGAGATCAAGAACTAAACAGTTCTTTGCTTTCTCATGCAATAGTGTGTGTCTGACTCCTCTTGTAAATATTTGATCACGAGTTTTCTTGTCTTTTTGGGTCCCCCGGGTTATGGGTAGAACAGAACAGCGATGGCGCTTTTTCGAGATGATTTGGGATCTTATTGTCTATATCATGAACACCCCTACAAATTTCACTCTCCTTTTCATATTCAAACAATGCTCCGCCTCTCTTACCTATTATGCAAGTGACATATCTGATAACCGCACTGAACCTCAAGCTCAATATCGGAGAACAATTCCGCAACAAGTCTGAAGACGAGATTGATGGTAACATGAAGGCATCGGACTTCCACACAATCCCCACAGCCCCTGAGCTAGATTGTCTCAATGCACAATCACCTGAACGATCGGATCTACGTCCACCGGGAGCGACATCTCCAGCCTAGTCTCTCTGAGACCGTAACAACATCACATCCGTCATGGACAAACAAGACTGACTGACTACACTATTGCCAAACTGACTCAATATAGAACAGGGATATCAAAAATCAGTTTCTTGCCAACACACAAAAGAGTAGATGATACTTGTGCATTGCCACAAGGTATCTACTATCCATTGACTCGCGCTCTCATCCCTTTCTTTTGTATTTCACCCTCCCATGTCTCATGCTGCCGTCATTTCCCCATCAGAATCTCCATTCACCAGTATAGGACGATAAGAGGAAAGAGCGAATCAACCCACACCGCACAAACACCCATACAAAATATCCGAGCGAACGAAGGAGCACTCCACATTCTATTCCCCATCACCATCTCCCGTAAATCTCTCGTTCGCCATATCGTCTCTTCTTCGCGTCATCAACAACAACACAATCTCAACTTTGCAGTACTTCAAACCTCTTTCGACCGCCACATTATCTACGAGATTGACGCCAACCCATATTTCAGGAGTTGGCGACAAGATTTGGAACTAAATTGTTCTCCACTCTTGCAGCACAGCACAGCACTGCACAGTCGAACACCTCCATAAAAATGTCCATTGAGAGGCATACCAGGATGACGACAAGGAAGTCTCTTGTTTTTTCCGTTGGATATGTCGTATTGTGGATGTCGCGCAATACTGAGGTTTTGTAATCACTGGTATTACTTGCCATAGGTGTTAGATAGGTTGATGTGAGCTGAGGAAGTTTGAGGTTTGGGGGTCATGTTACTATTCAAGTACTAGCCCATCACACCCTAATTCACGAGGTAGGATATCAGTCGTGTGTACTCTGGCAGAACAAACCCTCGATGGAAAATGAAACAAGATATGTTCGAGTTATAAGCTCATACATAGAGATCGGCCAATTGTGAACTCTACACGAGGAAGAGATTGCAAGGTGTCAGAGAAGTGATCGACTTATATGGTCGATTCAGGGTGTGTCTCCCAAGAGCAACAGCAATAATCACTTCTTCTCAACACCACAGCAGTACGGAAACCATTTTACCTTTTGATGATTGTACACAAGAGAAATTCGGTAGGCTGAGAAAACCTATCTCTGGTGTGTGTTCTGCATTCCTGTTTGCACAATGGAGAGTTTGTAAAGTATGGGAGGAGTAAACCTTGATCATTAGGCTATCTTCTTGACAGCGTGGTGATAGCTCATATCATTGTCGTTGTATTCTCGTAGTATCGCCAGTCGTGTTTGTCATGTCATCTGTCATTCTGGTGGTTGACAGCTCATGTGTATCCTCATCCCGAACACCGTGGTCTTCATAGCGTGATTCAATCCTGCCGATTCCTTCTGTTGGCTTCTACAAACAGTAAGGCTACCAGATCAAACGCTCCAAGGAAGTGTAAAGTTGCCCATTGTCCACAACTTGAAGGCTGAGAACCCAGCGCTGATCGTAGAAGCTCCTTGGATTGCTCCTGCAACGATAGGAGCACCATAGCCGCCCATCATTGCGCTCTGCAGGAGACTGAACAGAGCATTGACACCAAATATGGACTGGAAAGCGGAGACAATCGAAGCTGCGTTACGTAAGTCATTGTGAAACATATGCGCTGGAGTAACCTGCAACAATAGTACGTACCGGGAGCAAGATTGGCGACTGTGAATCCAATCATATTCAAGAAAGGTGCGGCAAGCGCCCAAGGAAAGCAGATGTGGATGACCGAGAACACGAGGCAAGCAGCAGCGAAGGCTGTTCCTGCGCCGGAGAGTTTGTTGGCTTCCTCGAAGAGCTTGGTGATGGTGTCGGCGTTGAGTTCCCGGCCTTTGACGAAGTCGACGAGATGGGTGAAGTCTTTTAGGGTGACGTTAGTCATAGCTTGGGTGATGCCCTCAAGGTTGACTTCAGTGAAGAGTTTGTGGAGCCATTCAGGAAGATCTAGACCGTTGGCAGCCATGTTGATTATGTGTGCGAGTGGCGGGCGGATTGCGATGGCACGTTGTTGGATTGTTTAGTATTGAAAGCACGAGGCGGGAACCCAGTGAACGCGCGGACGAAGAGTCTGGAAGCTGTACGCAACACGAAGTGACGAGACTGAGTTGCAAATCAGATGCTGGAGTCTTGCGTCGGGTGGAATCTTCTTTGGATGGGCGGGAAGGCGCAAAGAGGAATCTGGAAAGCTGCAGGCAGGCGCGAAGTGACACGCTCAGCCCTGTCTCAGACGCTTCTTTGTAGCGAACAGAACGGACTGGTAAATCTGAGACGAGGTACCTTGTATGTAGATATGTGTAATTGTATGTCTATGATAAAGTGTATATAGTTGAAATATGTTCATAAAGTGGGTATCTTGTTAAAAATGCAGCCAGTTCTCCAACGCCATGATATGTCTTCGTTCAAATGTCTCAAGCTGCAATCTCTCCACGAAGCTCAGCACTGAGTCCGTCAATACTGCCTTCGTCGAGGTTGTCAAAGCCGTTGAAGCCTTCTTCCACAACCCACTTCTGGTTGTTCTTCTCCAGAACCTCGCATGCGCGGCCAACAACAAGTAAACCAGGAGGTCTGGAGCCCTCTTCCTCGACTGCGGCACAGACGTATTCAAGCGTGCTGCGGATGACTCTTTGGTCGGTGCAACTTGCTCGCTCAATGACTGCGCAGGGTGTGGTCTTTGGGTAGTTCTTACCCTCAGCGACAAGGCTGTCGATGAGGGCGCCAAGTCTGTGTAGAGACATGAGGAAGACACATGTCTGGTTTGACAGGTAGGCGGGAGGGTCGGGCGCGGCTCCCTTTCGACCAGTACCGGTGCAGATCAACACCTGATCACTCACAGCGCGGTGGGTGACTGGGATCTTGGCGAATAGGGGAGCGCTGAGAGCAGAAGTAATACCGGGCAGTACACTGACTTCAAAGCCTTCACGGCGGAAGAAGTCATACTCCTCAGCACCACGGCCGTACAGGTAAGGATCTCCCTGCTTCAAGCGAAGAACGGTCTGACCCTTCTTTGCTGCCGCGAGACCGAGAGAAAGAAGCTCCTCCTGAGCAGCTTCGGCGTTTCCGGGGAACTTTCTTGCGATGTGGACGGGCGTACGTCTGGGGATCAAATCGAGAACAGGAGCCGGAACGAGCTTGTCTGCAAGGATGACATCGGCGCCACGAATTGCCTTGATCGTGAGTCCAGTCAAAAGGTCTGGGTGACCAGGACCAGATCCGGCCAGGATGATGCGACCTCTACGGCTTCTCGAGTCGAGGGCCCCAGGACTAAGCAGAGGTGTGTTGGCCTCGATAGCAGCCTCTTGACTGTACGAAGCCAGTACTGCGTCGACGTCGGCATCCGTGATGGCAGCCAAGCGGCGCAAAGGCCAGTATTCGCAGATCTGCGAGAGCCAACGCATGCGCCTGGTCCTGGCAGCCTCGAGGTCGGTAGGTGTGATAAGCTTGTTGAATTGTGCGTTCTGTCCTGCGTCCTCCTCTTCAGCTTCCAAGTCCATGGACATTTCGGTGGCGTGGTCCTCTTCCCAGATGCGACGGCGAATGGTGCCGAGTCTTTCCACAGCGGTACCGAGGTCGGATGGCAGAGCAGAGGCGATCTCACGTCGAATACGAGAGGCCAATTTACAGCCCTTGCCAGACGTCGTGACACCAATTTGCAGAGGGCCCGAAGAGTGTGTGGAGAGGAGGGTGAATGTGCAAAGATTCGGTGCGTCTGCGACATTGACGGGAACTCTCAATCTTCGGCAGAGAGTAGAGATGTGTGTGCCTGAAGGACTAGTCAGTCCAGCATTCAGAAGTGTCCAGCCATTGCTACTCACTCAATGCGCCTTTGCCTGCCGTCGTCACAAAGACGGCATCCACGACATTGTCCACCTCGTCTCTTCCAAGACTTGTCAAGTCCGAGTCTTGGAAATCTCTCTTGATCCATTCCACCTTGCCCTCTTCAATCTTCTTCGCCAATGCGTAGTGTATTTGTGCATCTTCAGGTGCCACAATCTTGGGTACTGCTCCGACTTCGAGTGCTCGGTTGCAGCGTGCACCAGCCAGAGGGTTGGATCCAACAATCAAGTGAACATGATTGATCGAGTCGACAGCGGTAAGCAGCGCCGGGGTGGCCATATTGTATATAATCGCCTCCTATTGTTCGAAGCTTCGAGGAAAGATATGAATGTTAAAGGTGCTTGTTGGTAGAAGAATAACTCGTCGTGGAAACAATGAAACAACAAGACCAAAGGAGTGGCAAGTAGTCGGCAGCTCAAACGGTAAATATATCAAGAAGATTCCAAGGAGGAAGATAACACAAGACTCATCTTGGTTGCTGTACTTTTTCTCTCGGCCTCCAAAACCAAAGCCCGATAACGCGATGCCGCGATAACGCAATTGCCTTCGTCCAATTGGGATGTTGTAATTGGTCGCCCCACCATTTTAAGCCGCAGCACTTTTAAAGAACGCAGACATGCTTTCCCACCAAATCATCACGACACAGCAAGATACTACATAACAATGAAGCATACAGAGATTGACCATGGCTTAGAAGGTGGAAACATCAAAGTCCACTCACATCGTCGGCATAAGCATTGAGAACTGGAAGACACTTGCGAAAAACACCGCGATGGAGCATTGTTAGTAACAATCACAGACGTTCTTTGATCTCCCCCACCGAACCTTCGCCAAGAGATGCGATCGCGGCCGCGGAGAAGAAGGAGATGCCGCCGCGAGTCAACCGGAGAAAGCTGACAAGGCCTTTGAGCAACTCACAAGAAGTTGATATTACAAACACGGCGACTTTCTCAAGATGTACTTTTACTGCATCCCGGTGTAAGAACTACCTTGACGTGATTACATTGTCAGATTTGATCTACCGGAGTGAATACTGTCTACTCGAGAACAATGATAGCTCGCCTTCTATGCCAACAATTCTCGCCAGATACTGTTGATGAAACTGATACCCTGTTTGCGGAACGTGTCTGGCTCTGAGAAGCTCGCCGTGGCATTCAAGACTAAGTTGGTAGGTGCATCGATATTGTACTGAGGCCAGTAAGGTAATCCAGTACCATTAGTCGTGTTCACGCCATTGGGGTTGTGAGTGCCCACAAAGTTGGCGTATAGCTTGCCAATGCCAGAACTCAATGTCCTGTACGATTGATATTGTGGCAAAGGTCCCATGGCTCCTGAGATGTTTTGGAAGGAGAACATGACATTGTCGAAGTGCTTGACTGATCCAGGCACAGTCGCATTGTAAAGAGGTGTATCGAAGCGGTATGAGTAGACCTTCTGACCAGCCTTCGTGTACAGCTCAGCCATTCTGCGGCGTTGTGCTATCATCACCAGATCACCTCCAATGGCTGCCGAGCGTCGCCACTGTGCGCCGTATTTTGGATACGTGACATTGGCATGGTTGGAGTACGGAGGCTCTATAGCAGGATTGTTGGGATAAAGCTGCAGTAGCTCTTGGATGCTAGGAGGCGACAGTGCATAATTGCGCCAGTAGAACAGGGAGTTATAGACATCGGTAGTAGTGTTGAGATTTTGGACGGAGAAAGAAACACCTTCATCCGTGTTCGCGCCTGTGAGCAAGGGTACACGAATGAATTTGTCCTGGGCTAGGAGAGATGAGGGATAATCTGTCAAGAAATCTCCATCGACAATGGGATTCCAAACGACGGTATAGTTCGAGGCGAAAAGAGCTGCTGAGCTGAGATTGCGAAGACATGCAAGCTGGGAAGGGGACGTCCATGTCCTTGGACAACCCACGGTCCTTGTCAGATTGTCAGTCGCGGCGGAGTAGAAAGGTAACGTGTTCAAACTCGCGCCCTCGGGTCCTCCAGACTCCAAGATGGCAGCTTGAAAGAGATTGTCGTTGCGGCCGCCGTAGCTGGTCAAGTGGAAGCCGATGCTTTGAGCTCCTGCCGATTCACTCCAGACAGTGACTCGTCTAGGGTCACCACCAAAAGATGCTATATTTTCCTGAACCCACTGAAGTGCAAGTCTCTGGTCAAGAAGACCAGCGTTGGAAGAACCTTCTGCATGAACGACTGGTGTATTGAGGAAGCCCCAGACACCAAGTCGATAATTCATGCTGACGGCGATAAATGGATTATCAGTCCGGGTTGAAGCTTCCACGATGCCGCTGAGATTGTACTGTTGGTCGGCAGTACTACCCAGTGTGAGTCCTCCACCATAGATCCAGACCAGAACCGGCAGTGTTTTGTTTTCATGGCCTCTTGGACGCACCACGTTAAGAGTCAAACAATCCTCACTCAGATTGAAGTTACTTCCGTACTGATAACAACTGTAACCGTAGCGGGTGGCATTCAGAACCCCGTCAAAGGAAGAATTTCTAGATTGAGGCCATCTGAACCGCAAATCGCCAACAGGAGGTTGAGCGTAAGGAATGCCAAGGAAGAAGTCCTGGTCCCACTCAGTAGAGTGATGACCTTGAACAGTGCCGTTCTTGACAGTAACAATAGGGGAAGACGCAGAGATGCAGGAAGCAAACAAAGCGCTCAGAGATATGACTGATAGAAGACAACGCATCTTTGGAAGATGTAAAGATGTAAAGCACGAGTGAAGTGCACAATGACTTGACTGCCTGAGGATTGAAGACTAGTATATGGACCTACATGATACTGAGAACATAGCACGAGTGGACGGAAGAACTACAGGAGCGGATCGATAGTGCAGCGGATATGTTCAGTCTTGGCCTGGAACACGGCATATATGATGCATGAGAAGCGGAGAAAATGGGGAAGACGGCGGGGGAGTGAAGGGATGTGACGCAGGTGATTTGCCGAAGAGCGGAGAGAAGTGCTGATCTTGCTGGTGGAAATAGTGCGGTACAGAAACATTGGACGTTGTGCATAGGTTGTGAAGTCGAGGGTAGGCATCAGTTAGGTTGTCGATTGGTATGGGAGACGTGCGAGGCCGAGTTGGAGGAAGTGGATTTTGCGGAGACTTGGCGCATGAAATACGTCATGATTTATTGGAGCGACTTTCACATTCACGCGACTAGGGAGACGGATATTCGTCAAGACCATTTCAACAGAGCAACGGAGAGAGCATAGGCATAGGAAGAGATGCTTCCGTCATGCCGTCAGGGCGCCTTCATTGCGGCGCTGTCAAGACCAGCATACCGTAGTAGCAGAGTACCGCATAGATTATCGCCTTCTTGGACTCGAGGCCCAGTCGCAAAGCAATTACAACGACATCAATCACAGTTCCAACCTTTAGTACCACCGTCGCCAGAGTCGCTAGGCAAGCCAGTAGCAGCCAAACAATATCGCCGAACGAGAGCCCTCCTCAAGAGACTTATCCAATTGGGTCTGCTGTCAGCCACCGTCTTGGGAATTGACAGCTACTTCTTCGATGCCGTTATCACTCGCTCTGCACGAACATTCAAGACTGGCCTGGTCGTTGCTCTCGACTACAAGATCAACTTCCGCGCAAACCCTCCCTTCGCCGACTCAGTAGCCGACGTCCACCATCGCAGTGCCGAACGACTATTCCATCTCCTTCGCAACAATGGTGGTCTTTACCTCAAGATTGGCCAGGCCATCGCCATGCAGAGTGCTATCCTACCACCCGAGTTCCAAAAGATGTTCGCCTCCATGTTCGACGACGCTCCTCAGAACGAATGGGAAGATGTGAGAAAGGTCATCAGGGAGGACTTCGGGAAAGAGGTTGAGGAGGTTTTCGGTGTCAGCTTCGACGGCCTGCAATCCGACACGGGAATAATGGAGAGGACTGCAAGGGCTAGTGCCAGTGTTGCTCAGGTCCACTGGGCTCGTCTGCCCGACGGAAGAGAAGTCGCCATCAAGGTTCAGAAGCGAGAGATTGAGAGACAGGTTGGCTGGGATCTGTGGACCTTCAAGGTCGTCTCCAAGATCTACACATGGTGGTTCGACATTCCTCTGTACAGTCTGGTACCTTACATCTCGGAGCGCCTCATGCTGGAGACCGACTTTCTCAACGAAGCCAACAACGCCAATGAGATGAGATCTCTCGTTCAAAATGAGCCTCGTCTACGTGGCAAGGTCTACATTCCCAAGGTCTACCGCGAGCTCAGCTCCAGACGTGTCATGACTGCCGAGTGGATCGAGGGTGTCAGACTGTGGGATAAAGAAGGTATTGAAGCGACCTGGCACGGGGGCTGGCGTAAAGGTAGTCCCGGTGCTGGTGGCGAGCTTCTCCCTCCTCCTGAAGGCGTCCAACCCTCGAATGATCCTAACAACGAGAAGCTGAAGCCTACCCGTGATGATTGGAAGGGCGCATCTGGCAAGGGTGGTCTAGGCCTCAACTACAAGCCTGTCATGGAAACTATGGTCTCTCTCTTCTCTGCTCAAATGTTCCTCTGGGGTCTTGTACACTGCGACCCTCATCCGGGAAACATCTTCATCCGTCGTCTGCCTAACGGCAAGCCCGAGCTTGTTCTTATCGACCACGGTCTCTACATTCGCATGTCGCCCGAGTTCCGCCACGACTACGCACTCTTCTGGAAATCTCTCATGACCTTTGACAACGACACTATCGGCCGCATCGTCAAGGGCTGGGGCATCAACTCACCTGACCTCTTTGCCTCTGCAACCCTGATGCGTCCCTACACCGGCGGAGACAACAGTACTAGCAAGAGTATTGAAAAGCTCACCAAGTCAGAGCAAAACCAACGAGCCTACGAGATGCAAATGCAAATGCGCAACGGCATTCGCGAGATCCTCGGTGACGAGAAGAAGTGGCCTCAAGAACTCATCTTCATCGGCCGCAACCTTCGCATCGTCCAAGGCAACAACCAGTTCCTCGGCTCTCCTGTCAACCGCGTCAAGATTACCGGCTTGTGGGCTTCTCGTGCTTTGACCGAGCAACCTCACCTCAGCATCTCTCAACGCTGGAAGTACTATGCCAACCACTTGCTATTCAGAGTCGTGCTGGTAGGCACCGATGTCTGGTTCTGGTATGCAAAAATCAAGCAATTCTTTGGATTGGGCAAAGGCATGGATGCCGATATCGAAGAGCAGATGAGAGCGATGGCTGGAGACATGGGCATTGAGTTGCAGCATGGCATGTTTGAAGGCTAGATCATTGGTGGTATTCACTTTATAGACATGTTGTAGCCATTTCTCTTCTCTTAATGTATACTCTTTCACCCAAGCCCATCCACTACAAATGATGATTTCACTATAAACAAGGTCTGTGTTTAAAACGTTGGCCTTGTCAAGACTCATTGGAGACGTGCATATATAGCTCATAAAAACTAGCGATAAGGAAACAACAACCCGTGAGACATGTACAATAGCCTAAAACAGCAGGCTTCGAGACTTTGTGAGCAAGTAGAGATCAAACATGAATTGGTCATAAAAGCAAATATGAAAAGGGCGTGAATTAAATAGCAAGGCCAAACAAAGGGTAAGGGGTATAGTAATGTTTGTGCAAGAAGAGAAAGATCGCTGCAAGGAGGATGGGAAGAGGGATGAGAGGGGTGTTGTGGTCGAGAAGACGAGGCGGGTCTTCACATGACAAGGCAGCTGCTCTGTTTGTCACCCTTGACATTCTTGACCTGGAGGGCGACACGGGCAGCCTCGGTAAAGGCTTCGTTGACGCCGCGATTCTTCATGGCCGAGCATTCTGCGCCACTGTAAGTCAAAGCTGCCACCTGACGTTGTGCTTTGTAGATCAAACGTACCAAGATATCTGAGTGCCTTGATCTTCTCGGCTACGGCGAGACCGCGCTTGTAGTCAATCATGGGACGTTTGGGCTCGTTTGATTCTTCGTCATCGTTCGCCTGCTCTCGCAAGTCGCACTTCAAGGCAACGAGGACGAGCTTGACACCAGGGCAGTTCTCGGCAATCTCAGCAACCCATTTTGACTCGACGTTTTCAAGCGAGTCTGGCGAATCGACCTATTATCGGCTTGTTAGTCGAGGCTTCGTGGGCTTGTTTTTCTACATGGACGGGAATCGCGTACGCTGAAACAAAGCATGATGGCGTGGGTATCATCGTAGGAAAGCGAGCGCAGTCTGTCGAATTCTTCTTGTCCGGCCGTGTCCCAGAGGGAGAGTTCTACATGTACGTTGTCGATGAAGATGTCGTGAACGTAGTTTTCTGAGCCGCGTTAGTGCTGCGTAGGATCAAGGACTGCTCGAGAGGCGGTACCAAAGACGGTGGGTTCGCTACGCGCGGCAAGAGTGGTTAGCCATGAGCGTTCGGCACGCATCGGGGGTGGAGGATGGTCTTACTAGACTGTAGGGAAATATCTGGTCGCATGTTAGCAATGTCGCAAGTCATAGCAAGGCAGGTCATGCGCACCCTCTCGTGAAGACGTTTAGTAGCGACGTCTTTCCGCAGGCACCATCGCCTCTGTAACAAGCACCTTGTCAGTATACGCTAGTCGCGGCACACGATGCGACGTGATGCTTGACGCACAGCAGAACCAGCTTGCGCTGGACGGTTTTCGTTCCACCACAGAGAGGCATTTGGACAGTCGGATGTTGTTTGACGGAGGACTTGGTTGGGCACAGCGAGCTGAGGGCTTTGTCTTCGGCTGCTGTCTAGTGCGTCGAGGAGGCTGGGGATGTTGGCGTAGACTTTGGCTATCCGAAGCTGACGTAGACTACGCAATTCAAGGCCGATAGACCAAGACTTTGGGAACGAGTCGCAGGTCGAAGAATAGCAATAAGCACTTGGGTCGCAGAGAAGATGAAGACGAGAATTGCAGACTGAATGTCGAACTGGACGTTGACGGTTGCTCAGTTACAAGAAACACTGGCAAGTTGCACCGTTCGTCGAAGCGTCACCGTTGGAGAAATACGCACGGGGCAGCCGCATATGTACCCCATTTCTGTACTCCGCACCTTCCAAAAACATCTCTCCTCCGTCGGCTTAGATATCTTTACCCAGATGCGCCTTCCGCAACTGTCAAAAAGAGCCATCTGGCCAGACGGAGACACGCTCCGCTGGCGATGTCGCCCCCGATATCTTGACATGTCTCAGCACCAACTTCCATAACTTTCCACTCACCTTCTGCTATGTAGCGACCAACATGTTTGCTAATCGCCGGCTTGCCAATTCTACGTCTTGAAGCGTTGACTGGTAGCAGTCCCTGCACGTGGCTTGTCACTCTGCGTAGCAAAAAGTGTGCCATAGTCCCAAAAGATCAAATAGTACTCATCTGCCAATGTGCCGCTGGTATGCTTTGGATGTCACTGTCTAGGTCCCTTGGCAAATGTTCCAGACAAGCCTCGTCTGAGACTGCGAGTATGGCTTCTGACACCGATAGCTGAAAACTGGCCGTCTCGATCTTCTACAGCTGTACGGAAGAGTTCATGATAAAAGTATGAGCCCATCGAAATAGTCTTTTTGTCCTGCTTGGTGTGGCTATTCGTGACGCTGCATGGTGATATCAAGCTGTGTTTGTTGTTTGAAATGAGAACCGGTCAAGTTCTTAGGGGCCACACCAGAACCCAGTAGAATGAATGAGACTGAATATGTTGTGAACGTGAGATGTCTAGTGAAGTCGCGGATACTGATGAGGAAGCTGATGATGAACTTGCGAAGCGCGAGAAGTTGAATCCATGCCAAGCTTCTTATCTTATCGTGTGGTTCCGTCATCCGAGCTGGCTGGAACGTGGAACACGAAGCTCACTCCGTCACTTGTTGCCTGTTGGCGACAATCACCTTCTACTCACGCACCAAGCCATCCACAGATTCTGAATCTTTGTGCTTCCGCTCAGTCACCGCAACTTCAGTACCACCGATCGTCGTACCTCCCTCACAAGAAAAGACCTGTCGACTTTCCTTCACCACACCCCAACGCCGCCACAATGTCCGACGACGACGATTTCATGCAGGACTCTGACCAGGAGGAGTAAGAGATATGCGAGACATCTGTCCATGACCGAGAGGAATGCTGACACCCACGCAGCTACGACTTTGAGTACGAAGACGAAGATGAGGACCAGGGCGGCGATGTCGACATCGAAAACAAGTACTACAACGCCAAGCAATTGAAGGTCGACAACCCCGAGGAAGCCATCGACGAGTTCCTTGGTGTTCCTGCACTTGAAGAGGAGAAAGGAGACTGGTATGTGCCGCTGTTGCTGTCAGCAAAAGACATAGACTAACACAAACGCCAGGGGATTCAAAGGATTGAAACAGGCCATTAAGCTCGAGTTCAAGCTACGCCGCTATGATCAAGCCGTTGAGCACTACCAGGAACTGCTCACCTATGTCAAGTCAGCCGTCACCCGTAACTACTCGGAAAAGTCCATCAACAACATGCTCGACTTCATCGAGAAGAACGCAGAAGACGAGGCCGCCAACAAGTGCATGGAGCAGTTCTATTCCAAGACGCTCGACTCCTTCCAGAGTACAAATAACGAGCGTCTCTGGCTCAAGACAAACACAAAGCTGGCCCGTCTCTGGCTCGATCAGAAGGACTACCGTCGCCTGACGGACAAGGTGCGCGAACTACACAAGGCCTGTCAGCTCGAAGATGGCTCCGACGACCCCAGCAAGGGCACATATTCGCTCGAAGTCTACGCTCTAGAAATCCTCATGTATGCCGAAACTCGCAACAACAAGCGCCTCAAGGTCCGTGCCCATATCTCATGATAGTCACTGACGCCGTGAGCCGTGAGCTAATCTTGCAATCTCGTTTTCAGGCTCTCTACCAACGTGCACTCAAGGTCAGATCGGCCGTGCCTCATCCCAAAATTATGGGCATCATCCGAGAGTGTGGTGGCAAGATGCATATGAGCGAAGGTTCGGGAACGCCACGCTTGCGCCTTTTAGACCCCCTTTGCTGACCCGTCACCTGCAGAGAACTGGAAAGAGGCTCAGTCCGACTTCTTCGAGTCTTTCCGCAATTACGACGAGGCCGGTTCATTGCAGAGAATCCAAGTGCTCAAGTATCTCGTTCTGACGACCATGCTGATGGGCTCCGATATCAACCCCTTTGATTCGCAGGAGACCAAGCCATACAAGAACGATCCTCGTATTGCTGCCATGACCGAGCTGGTCGACGCTTACCAGCGAGACGACATTCACCGGTACGAGTCAATCCTGCAGAAGAACAAGGATCTGCTGGCCGACCCCTTCATTGCCGAGAACATTGACGAAGTCACGCGAAACATGCGCACAAAGGCCGTTGTGAAGCTGGTCGCCCCTTACACGCGTTTCCGCCTCTCTTTCATCGCCAAGCAGCTGAACATCTCCATCCCAGAGGTTCAAGACATCGTAGGCTTCCTGATTATGGATCAAAAGCTCCACGGTAAGATCAACCAAGAAGCCGGAACCGTCGAGATCGAAAGCAGGGCAGACTTGGATCGCATGCACGCAGTCGCCGACTGGACTTCGGCCGTGCGTTCGTTGGCTGCATTCGTCCTGAACGACGGTGAGGGTTTCAAGGGTGACGATGGGGCGCCATCCATGGCGAATCCCGAGGCGTACTTTTCGCCCTCCGCGCATCGTACCAACATGCCTGCTGGAAAGCGCAGACTTCAGTCCCGGGTCCCAGGTTGAATGCATCTCGACATGACTTGCATGCATGTCGAACGTCAGCCAATCACGGCCCTTTGCCTCGCCTCCACACCACAACTCCACAGTATTGCCACAAATCTGCAGCGGATGGCGTACCTGGCGATACCCGGAACGCTATTTGGAAGAACTATTATGCGCCTCTTCGCTTGCGCATGCTGCTGACACAAAGCGGTCTATGCCCCTCTCCTTCCAACCTCTCTCTGGGCGCTCCTTGTACTCCCGTCAGCGATTGATGAAATATTGCTCGTAAACGTCTCTCTTCATTAATACGCTCCGGACATCATCGGGCACAAACGGCTTTTCTTTTTTTGCTTTGCGGTAACACACAGAGTCAGCCTCTTATACCAGCACAGACAGGTCGCATCTCTGAGGGTGGGGCATGGATGTTGGTGTTGGACGTGTAGCTTGGGCAACATGGGTAGAAGGGCAACAAAATAACGAATAATAATGATTAGTGAAGAACCGATCCCAAGGTCGAGATATATTAAAGTCACAGCGATGACTGTTGCATGGGATCATCCCGTGCCCGTAAGCTTGCATCCAGAGTGCAAACAGGTCTTGCCGATGAGAGACAGGTAAAGAGCAAGCTTGCATGCTGCATTGTCGTGTAGTCAATTCTTGTACTACTAGATGAACACATCGATCCCCGCTCTTTCGGAGCCGCCCAATGATCTTCTGCGGCCCGGAAGCTCCTAGTTGATTAGCTGGCATCAAACCCAGCCTACCATCGACGAACCCTGTGCGTTCAGATTAGCACCCACTCCGTCGGGTCGAGGAGCACCCACTTCGCTAGGTCTCCCGACCTGTCGCATTTTGCTCCAAAGAGACGCTGTCCAAAGTTTGGTTCCCACTCGGCGCGCTGGATGTTTTCGATATTAAAATCACATTGTAAGAATATGACGATTTCATCTGAATCGCTAGCAAGGTGTCATGTCCTCGTATCTCTACTCGGAGCTGGCGTGCCGACCCTCGTCGACCGAATTTGTCTCACAGACAATCCATTATATCTTGTCCCACTCGAAGATCAGCCTCTGTTTCACAGTACAGGTGTGGTGATAGTTTGATGTGCATGAGGCGCCGAGTCTAGTGGTTTTCTAGATTGGCTCCCAGCTTTGGATCAGTTCCAGTCGATTGCCACGCTCCATCTTCGTGACCCGATCGGATATGTATGCTCTGATACATTTTTTCCCGGCACGCGTTTTTGGTGCCTGGCAGGAATCAAGCCGCATGACCTATACTCTCTTCGCATCTCTTCATATAGTACCCCCTGTATCCTCTTGTTCTACTGCAGCAAGGGAACCGAACATTTGCTCAACCTTTCCCAGACTTACGGATCCCTCTCTTCTCTGCTCCCATCGTTGTGCCAGTACCTCCCCGGCTTCCTGCACCTCAATCTATCACGTAGGGGACAAGGCTATTGTGTGAAAAAGCCCATCCACCCCTCACGCCCACGGCCTGCGTGATAGACCTCCTGCTACCTCGGTGTTTTTCTTGTTTCGTCTTTTGCTCGTCTCTTCCATCATTCTTTGCTTCTCAAGCTGCCCGCTTGCCTGCCTGCCTGCCTGCTTCGCTCTTGCTTTCGCTTTCCACACCCGGCAATAATCAGCATCCTTCAAATACGACCCGTCCAATCGCTTGATATACTCTGACCATCATCGCCATGTACACTTACGTGGGAGTGCCCAACTACTATCAAGGCGATCGAATGTATCCCTATGGCGATTATTCGTCGTACACCACGTCGTACCGGCCAGCAGAGATGCAGATGCCAATGCGGCCATCGGCGCTTGGAATGCCCGAGCTTCATCATCAGCACCACCACCATCACCAGCCCTTGGTCGACCACTCTCAATTTATCCACTCTCATCAACACCAACAACCTCAACAACCCCGACACACGCCTGCAGCTATGGCATATTCACAGTCTGAAGACGAGATGGCACAGCTTCAGAAACTGTCGGCCGAGTTCCAACCTGAAGTGACGGTGAGTTTCCTCCCTTCCCCGCATCCGTTCGTGTCGTCGTCGCACAAGCTTTCGGACCCCGTCAACTGATGCGTTTTCACAGGGACCCTTTGTCAGTGAAAAGCAACTGACGAGTGCTCTCATTGAAGAGTATGCTGCTGCTGACCCAGTCTACCGCACAAAAACATCGGTACGGATTATCCTGTTGTGGACTTCACCACTGGTTACTGATTTCACTATCTTAGGCACTTCCCCACAAGTACTCTCACTACCGCACTACTCGTGGAGATGGGAGATGTGGCTGGAGAGGTAAGCTACGACCCAAGTTTTGACACTCCCTATGCGCATGTTCTAACGGGATCATAAGCTGTCGCTTTTGGCTACTTCGAGAACCTCTTTCGTTTTGGTGACAGAACCAAGTTCTTGGAAGAAGAAACTCGCCTAAAGTCTCTGGGAAATGTCATCAACATGGCTGGCTACAGCCAGTTCATCTGGGAAGACTTTGCTGACGAGATCCATGGTCTGTTACGCAAGTGCATGTCAGCCGATGCTTCTAAATCCGAAGCCTTCCTCCTCGAGCATTTCAACAACGAGGAAACCCAGAACGGAATCATCACATACCTCAAGGTAGGCCATGGTTTTTCCCATATTGCTTGATGATATACTTACCATAGCAGACACTTACCTCAGCATGGATGAAAACTCGCCCGAACGACTATGCTCCCTTCGTGCTTCCTCACACTGTTCCCAGCTACTGCGACGCCAACATCGACCCTCACCAGATCGAGATCGATCATCCTGGAATGCAAGCCTTAACTGACGTCTTGCTCAAGCCTGCCGGTGTCTCTTTGGAAGTCATCTACCTTGATCGCAGTGCTGGCACGGAGGTCAACGCTCATCAGTTCGCGCCTGGCCTTTCGAGTAGTCAGATCATCCGTCTTCTCTACAGACCGTAAGTCACTCTTGCTGGGCGGCACTCTATTTTCACGACTAATCCATCTCTTAGCGGTCATTACGACATATTGTATCAGCCAGATCAAATCTTCACGCAGCCACCACCAAGCCAGCCTATCGCTGTGCCAACATACCTGCAGTCGTCGCTCCACCACTACGAAGAGCCTGTCATGGACCTTGGCATGTCCGACTTTATGACCATGATCCCTGGAATGTCCTTGCTTTCAAGCCAGTCCAACTGGATGCCCAACCAATTCTACGGTGTATCCGACTACTCCGCCCCCACTTCTGCTATGCCACCTCCTCCTGTGCAAGCGCCTGCACCTATGTCTGTCCAGCACCACGCACCGCCGGCTCCCGTGTCTGCTGTCACGCCTGCTTATGCTCCCGCGGCTCAGACTCCCTCGCCCACCTCAACCACTGATTACGCGTTCTCACCCGTTTCGCAGACCACGTTCTTCAACTACGATCAGCTCAGCTATGGCGGCAAGGGCAACTTCAGGCCATCCACGCACATGTTTGAACAAAACGGACAGAACGTTGCAGCCGCGACTGCTCAGAACTCTGTTTGTCAGACAGCACAGTTCAAACAGTAAGTCTTGACCATCAGTCTGTTTCGATGAGGTCACTAAACTCGTACAGTTCTCATTTCAACCGTACCCACTTCCTAAACCCAGAGTTCCATCCTGAAGAATGGGACCCGAGCAAGGAATACATTGTGCCCAATACACGTAGCAAGAGCAAGTCGAGCCGTTGATCGCGCACGACTCTTGCTTGCATACGGCAGCTCGATCGTCCATAATCTATCTGGCCCAAGCACTATTTGCGCCTTCCACTCATTCGCAATCGACAGCCAACAACAAACCAGCAGCATGACGACGTAACGACATAAGACATTTCTCAGGGTCACCCCTTTTCCTTAATATCTTCTCTGCTTTCCATCAGAACTTCAGTTTATCAAGTCGCGCCAAAGTATCATTTAGCGAAGGCGTTCCCAGTGCGCCTCGAGAGCATCTTTGCGTTTCCTTTATTTCCTTCTTCCTTTGTTCTTTTTGCTGGACAACCTTAGGATCGGCGTTCGAAGGGGTTTATGAGAAGGTTATTATGACGATATGTCTTAACGCCTGCGGATATCTCTAAAGAGAACCGAGTCAAAAATCAGGGGAGTTTCAGGGTTTCTTGAAGTCGCTTTCACGGAGTCGCTACTCCTTCTCTCGGACACGCAGGACCAGGGGTCGATACGATGTTGTTTCCTTTCTACTAGGTAGTTTCTCAATCTAACATCAACCTCTCCACTTGGCGTCGATTGCAAAGAACCATTCACCAACCTCGTGCCTGTGACATTCGATTTGTCTCTGTCGTCTCAACACATTCCCGGCAGTTCGAATTGCAAAATCGGATGAGCAACTTATTGCGTATTCAGGGCTACGGGTCATGGCCCACCGTCAGTGCTCTTCAGCCATGCTCCAGCCACCTCGCAGTCAAGCTCGGGGCTCTCGGTCACAGCGCCGGACCGCTCCGTACCGTCAGTTTGACAGGAGTATCAACCACCTGACAGCTCATCAACTTTACTGTATCAATTCACAGCTAAAGTTCTTGCAAATTAGCAGACTATTCTAGGAAATTTGAAGATGACCAACATTTCCGCGCTGAAGCGAAAAATGATGTGTTGTCCTTGGCGCATTCGTCGCGATCTCTTTCCACGACCCGGATATACGTACTCCTGAATAATGGTTGAATCTCTTGCGTCTCTAGATCTATGGGTCGTGGTCTGTCAAGCATTTAGCACCTACAGTAGTCAGAGGTAAGAAAGGTAAATATATTGATTGACTAGTAAAAGGATGATGATTGACAAGCTCCATACTGCTAGAGGGACGGGATCAGATCTTGCCCCGGCCAATCACTCGAGCGATCCGTGCCGTCGGCTCGCAGCTCTTCCCACTCCCCGAAAACGTTGTTTCCTTTTCTTCACGTCGCGTCCTTCGGTCTCCACCATCGCCCATTGACCTAAAAAAGGCTTCATTCACAAGTTTGGACCGGACAGATCTCGAACTTCGTCACTTCCCCTTTTTTGTTATGGATTCATTTCATCTATCCATGTGAACTCAGGAGACCGGAGATACGATGCAATCATGCAAGTGATTTCTGTCAATTAAGTGGGTCGTACGGGTACATTGCTCTCCCTGGCAGAAAGACGTCTTCACGCTATCACAAGTAGGCTCGACCGGCATAAGGTACACGTCTCTTGTCGAGTGACCTTGGAGCTTATACTCGGAGCCCTTGCCGCCCTTTAAGGTTGATGGGTCTATCGACAAGTCTAGTCCTACATCCTTTTCTTCTTCTACATCGCATTCGAGTATCCAACTGTCAATTATCAGGGACTTCCGCGGGTCGTCTCCCTGTCCCCAAAATCCAGAAGGCGCCAATGCAAGTAATATATTGCGCAAGCCTCGAGCGTCAGGCCTACGCCGCGCGCGTCTAACCACAGCCATCCATCGTTCCCCCGTCGATCAGCCATCTCGATAGTTCTTGTTGTTGGTTTCTCGCGCTCCCGTCACTTTGGATCTTTAATATATCTAACCCATGCTCAAAATAAGCTGCTGAGAAGCTAAACAATAGTCAAGGCAGGACTGGGAGAGAAGAGTTCGTCCGAGTGTGCCCCGGTGTATAAGAGAGCAGCCTCATCTAATTGCTCATGCAATGCATCTCTCGCGCCGAACTGCGCGCTACGACAATTCCTGGTTTGTTGCCCTTGTTCTCGTCCGGTTTCAGATTCCCTGGCCTTTCGACATCACTCGGGAAATCTCATGATCATCGATTGTTGACGAGTCAGCAATCCTACTCGAGTCACGAAGGATCACCTCGGCATGGGACCTCTCGCCTGGGACTTTATGTTAGACATCCTGACCCTGTGTCCTTGGTCTTCCATGTCCCAACATCAGGGGTCGGATCTTTATTCGAACACCTGTGGCTCATCCTTCCGTTGTCTCGGAGAAGATTCAATCTTCAGGCATCCTGCAGGTCGACCAACACAGCGACAATAGATCTCGTCGCCAAGATCGGCAACCACTTTGAGATGATATCTCCTTGCTTCGGGTTCTCCGAACCGGTATCTACAGCTGAATACTGAATGCACGTGTTGTCCGAAAGGACAAACGCCCTCCGGCACTTGTCTCACGCGTGCCTGCTGCAAGGGACCATGATGCACTGCGCCGTCAATGCCCAGATCACGGATGAATGATTCCAAATCGCCCGATTCAGTGATCTGGCAATGGTGACCCCTGTTTCAAGAGAGCCCAAAAACAAACCTGATGACTGCAAGCACTGAACATGAGAGCTGCCGGCAACCGCTGCGAACGAGAAAGCAGGATGTTTCGCATGTCCACCTCGCTTCTCTGTCGGTATCCCTGGCCCCTGCTCTGCATCGAGGAAAGCAGCTACCCAACGTATATTTGATACCCTCATCGATCTTCGATGCAATGTACACGATACCTGCCAGATTGACAGGTCTTCATCGCAAGCCTTCATCTATTCAGATCTGATGGCAAGATTTGTAGGTTCTTAGCGGCACTATGTCCTACTCAGACCATTGCGATGGTCATACCACGATGCTTATTAGCGTTCCTCGGGATCTTCTGGCTTCTGCTTATCTGGAGCTGAGCGCTGCAAGATTGCATGATCGAGACCCCTGGTGCAGACGAGAGAACGACCAAGCAACAGCTGCTCGATCGTCGTCAGATCCCAAACACCTTGTCCGCCCGATCACGACATTGTGATGAGCAGGTAAGTAAATGAGCAGATTCACTAAGCGTCATTGTGTCCATGATCAACGCAACAGAAAGCACAAAAGTACGGATTTTTCAAGTCCCAAAAGGTGACATGGAGACCCTGCTCTCATCAACCCTCCTCTCCAATTCCATAACAACACACGCAGATGTTGCACGTGTAAAAGACAATTCTGTTCCCGTCATATTGTTTTATATCTTAGTCGATAGGGGAGACTGTCTACGGCGCTTCTGAACATCACAACTACCTACAAATCCTCTGATCAATCAACCTACTGCACTCTGACAAGCAGATTACATCATCCTCGGATCTTTCAATCTCCTTATCAATTTGGGGTGGTGGCATCGCACACCCTGGAACCACGATGTAGAAATGCAAAATATCTTTGCAATTCATCAAAATGCCCACTCAGAGTCGAGGAAACCAGCCCAATTCTCAGAGAATGGACACCATCTCAGCGATAATCCATACCCTACCTTTATGCATCAAAACGCAGGATCTTTTCCAAACTATCAAGCTGTTCAGCGAGAGTCCGACTAAGGATGAGATCCAGGCTCTCACTGGACATCTTGTAAAATCTGAAAGAGATCCTGCATGTTCACAGGTATAAGAACAGGAGGTCATGGTGAGCTAGGATGCTTTTTGGTGGTCTCCAATATTGGTCTCTCCTTCTTCTGGTTTTTGGTCTTTCCTTCCTCTCTGGTATATTCAGTTGTAGGCTGGGCCTTCCTCTTCAGAGGGCTTTCGTGGATCGTGCCTTCTTGTTCGGTATTTGTTGTCCTCACTCGCTTCTTCCTTTCCAGTCGCAGTTCGTTAGTCGCTCTGTCCCCCTGGTGTCCATTGCAGCCTCGTTAAACGAATGACTCAGTCGTTTAGTCGCAACTTCTGTTTGAGTAGTTCTGATTCTCGGTCGTCCCTTCTTGTTCGAGCCAAATTTGTGGGTTGCTCTTTCCTTATGTGTGTATCCCTTCCTTCATCATTTGTCCGGTTGCTCCTTCTTTTCTGGTGATTCCCTTTCTTGATCGCTCCTTCCTCTCTGGGTGACTTTTATGGGTCGTTCCTTCCTCTACAGTTAACTCTCGCGGGTCGGTCTTTCTCCATTTGTTTGACGGTTCCTTTCTGTATGGTAAAGCTCATCCTCGATCACTCCTTCCTTTTCTTAGAACGAACTGTTATTCGTTCTTTCCTTTTTTGGAATGAACAAATGCAAGCAAGCAAGAATGCTGAAGGAGCGAGGGCTATAGAGCTAAACGATAAGGAAGAAGCGAGCTTGTTGGTTATGGGAGGAAATGATTTCAATGCATAATGCCTTCGTAGAGCAATCGATGGGGACAGTCCAGAACGATGAACGTGCTAACCTAAGCCATCTAGACTATACAAAAAACATGTTTGTAGACTAATTTTCACGTTATGACTTAGTTTGTCTTGTGTTCGTAAGCCTATAATGTTGTATTAACAGATTTAGGTCGTAGGATGTAAATGACTGTGCGTGGAAAGTTGCAGCATTTTGATAGTGGTTATTATCTTTCGATTTGTATGGAAACGAAGCCATTCACACAGACAGCAACGAGTTATAGACTCTTCTTGCTTACCGTACCTCCACTATGAAGCCAGAAGTGGTCAGCAGATGCGATGTACTCTTCCCAAGCGTACGATTTTCAACTGTGCCTAAATCGTTCCTACAAGACTACTCTTTACGCTGACTGCTAGGATATGGCTATGTTCATAGAAAGCTGAGGTAGAGATACGGTTCAGGTCTGCTCTTGGTACATATGTACCAGAATGAGCAAGATGTCAATTCCTGTGCTGGATGTCTCTCTATACGAAGTCAATCGACATTGCAGAAGCAAAATGACAAGAGTACATATACCGACACAGCAGATCCAGCTTCCATCAGTCAGCAGCCAGTTCACTCAGTGAACTTGATCATCAGACCTGCCGGGGTAGCTCAATCGGTAGAGCGTGTGGCTCTTATCATTGTCATAAGCACAACCTCAAGGTCGCGGGTTCGAGCCCCGCCTTCGGCTATTCCTATACATTCAGCTGTCTGTTTCTTTTTGTTTTGTCCTGGTGGTGTTGAGGGTGGATAGACCGGGAGTAGAAATGATTTTTTTTATGCCAAGGCAAGCTTTGACGAAGTTGCGCGTGGGATTGGGAATTTTGCGGGGTAACAGGGTCCAGGCGTTGAAGAAAAAATTGACTTGGCAAGAAAATGTTGAATGAACTTTTTGGAGGACAAACCGACCTGCATGCAGCAAAAAGGGAGTGAGTGTCGACCATCAAGAAGATGGGGCCTCGCCGGGAATGGAGCTAAAGAAAAAGGTGTTTACATGCTCTCTCTCAATCAAAAGTGCTTTTACCAAATTTTCCAAAAATCCCGAACCTTCACCACCTCTTTCACACTCCCTCCCTCTACCAAAAACGATGCTACAACAAGCAAAAGATGGGGTCTCGCCGGGAATCGAACCCGGGACCACTCGCAATTGGCTTAGAGTTTTCAAGAAACAGCAGAAGCTGTATCTCCCTAAGCGAGTATCATACCGCTAGACCACGAGACCGGATCAGGAATGCTGATGTTGTTGAAGTGTGCTTCGCTGGTACAGTATATGTATCTGCGACAGCGTGGATTGTGCTTCTGATTTCGAACATGAGTCAGACGTCGAACAAACATGTACAATCATCCCTCGGAAGTTTGTCTTCACAGAGTACACCATCGTGAACTTGGCGGTCTGGGGACATGTCTGTGCCAGCAGAGCTTCGAGCAGTCTTTTGGGTAAACCATCTGAGATCTCGTGACACGGCGGAAGCAAATGCTTACACCCGAAAGCCTGGTTTCGAAAGGGTTGTGTCTTTCATCCGAGATTCATTCGGCCCAAGACCAGTCAGACGATGGACTAGTGGAACACCATAAGTCGCGGCATCACATACAGCTCATGAATGCATAGTGCTCTCGAAGAGACCAGAAGAGCAGTCGTATCTAGGAAGCTGGCAAGCTGTATCGTAACAACTGTGTCGCAGAATGGTAGCATCCACTCTCGCTCCTCTACCTTTTTGGTGATCTCGAGTCGTCCATTTTTCGCTGCCTAGATGGATCTCACAGCCCTGGTCAGGCTATCTCTGTGTCATTCACGAACCCTGTTATGTCCTGATATGGCCACTCCTTATGATCTTTGCACATGGTGCGGCAGTTCCACTCCGGAACAATTGCAGGGAACGGTAGAGACTCTGTCGACTACTTCAGTGCCCGTTGCGTCAGATGTGCTTCGGCGAATAACGTTGCAGATATTTTGCTCTTAGTGACATCAAGTCGTTGCAAGGCTATGGCAAGAGAGAATCATACGCTTGGTAGTTGTGTACTGCCGATGTTTCTCAGCTTAGTCCAAGGCTGATCGGAAGCCAGAAGATTCGACGTTGATGAAGAATTTAATCGTTCCAAATATTGTCGCCAGTCGGAGTTGATTGTACGAACTTGTGAGATGGCATGAAGCTTCAGCTTGCGACAAAGTCATCAGCAGCCAACCACTGCTACAAATAGAATGAGGTTTTGGAGAGGTGAGCAAGCGGATTGAGATCGGTCCCGAACAAAGCGTAAGTCGAGTGAAGATCGTACCAATGATTGACCTCAAGCGACAAGTTGCATGGCTGCGACTTCCTGATGACATCTGAGCAGTAGCAGCTCAGGTCATGATAAAGATGACCGTGCGCCTTCCTCATCGGCCTGGCCGGATAGGTGCAACAATGTTGGCAAGGATTCATAGAAGGTCCTGCGAAGTCTCAATGGCTGTAGCGGCATGACTATCCGACAAGGCTTTCTGGAATTTGCAAGAATGCGCTCAAGAGCAGATCTCGAAAATATCGAGGTCTTCCTATATTCGAACTTGACTAGGGACCATCAAGGAGGCGGAATTTTAAGTCAAATAAAGAGGTTGGATTTGATCGTCACAGAATTGGACGAATACCCAAGAAGTGCATCTGGTTGTGGAGGTTCGGGTTGGAGGTGTACTTGCTGATGACATAAGAGGATACTCCCCAAGATGAGGTTTGGCCTGTACGACTTCAAGCAAATAGGTTTCTCTCGCCAGAGTGTCGATTGTTTGTGCCCCAAAAGCGCATCAGCGCATAGCGTCGAGGGAGTGGCAAGCGATGGCGAAGGAGTGTAGTCAGTTGTTCCAACATTCGGATTATAATCGTAGGTTATGGTTGCCGACGACAGGTTCTAGAGGGCGTTGCATGGCTGATGCCATGGTCAGGAGGTCGTTCGTGATGAGCAGCGAGGACGATCCTAAGAAGCAAATATGCCTTGCAATACGGACAGCGCTGTCTGCTGCTCTTCTTGTGCATCATCTCAATGACGCATGCCTGTGATGAGCAGATAACCGTAATGGGACATCGCGACATCAGTGACGGTTGTTCGCATAGTAGTCAGTAGGCCGGTGTGTGCAAGTGAGCGGTATCGAACTTCGAGTGAACAAGTATCATTACAAGATATGGAAAAGTACTCGAGTAGATGTGAGGGTGGTGATGATGAGGTTGCCGGGTCAAAGGCGTTCATCGGCCGAGTGAAGCTGGTCGCCACCGTAGAGGGGGAAGTTTGCAACACATCATCGCAGAGCATGATCTAGAGCAAGCAAGCAGATGATAGAAGGCGATAGACTTCACAACCAGAAGCAAAAGGAAGCACATGACATGTTGCAGAATAGAAGTGATGGCCGGTGATGGTCGAGTGAGAGGCAAAGCACGGACGAAAAGAGTTACTAAGCGGGTGCCAAGGCTCTAGTCCGCCCACAGTAGGCAAATTCAGCGGGAGCTTTATCCTCGCCTTTGCCCCGACTCTTTCGACCTGTCGACCGCGAGCCTACCTGCGAACCAGCACAGTCAAACACTCCAACCACTTACGCAGAGACTTTTTCATCAAAAACTCGTCAATTCAATACCGTCAAGATGGTAAGACCGACTCTCTCGGACCTCTGAGGCGCGCGCTGGACCACGGGTGGCAAATTCGACCGAAGACATCGAGAAGCACACGACATGAGCGACAACCATCAATCTACCATCGAACCCCGTCAATATCGCACACGGACAATCGATTCCCTCGCATAGCGAAGCGCTGTCAAGTCGCCGGAATATGTCGTCACCCGTCACCCGCCACCCGTCCACAGCGTCGCATCTCAGAACATCCGAACCTCGATATTGGCGCAAAGAGTTGGACTGACAGAGTGCCTTGTAGGTTCTCGCAGTCGATCTCCTCAACCCCACCCCTCAGGCCGAGGCCCGCAAGCACAAGCTGAAGGTGCGTACATCTGGACTCTGAATCAATCACACAAACACCATCTGACTTTACCCAGATGCTTGTCCCCGGCCCTCGCTCCTTCTTCATGGACGTCAAGTGCCCCGGTTGCTTCACCATCACCACCGTCTTCTCGCACGCCCAGACCGTCGTTGTCTGCGCCGGTTGCTCCCAGGTCCTTTGCCAGCCCACCGGTGGTAAGGCCCGCCTGACCGAGGGCTGCTCTTTCCGCAGAAAGTAAACGTCTCGTTGAACCAAAACAAAAAGAAAAGCATGGCTTTGGTTTTCGTAACGAGAAGTGGATGATGGATGAGGGTTGGACGGACGCAAATTATCAATCAAGCGGAATGGAATCCAATCAAGATGCACACACAACCAACAATGGTCAGCCGCGCGCATTGTGGATAGAAGAGGGAAACGCTCTCGCCCCCCAAAAAAAGCAACATGTTTCATGACCCAAACCCCGACAACCGTCGTCACAAAAAGGGAGTTCCGGATATCCAAGGCCTGAGCCACGGCTTTTTTCGTTTTCTCCTTTTTAACTGGTTTTTTGCTATCGTCAATGGAGTTTTTACTTCTTTCTTTGCTGTTCTTCTGTACATGTTGCATAGTGGAGATGAGATGGCATCGCCTACTTGTCTTCTAACGTTGTTACGTTGAGGAGCGAGGAGTTTGTATGCTATTGAGGAAGCCTACCTTTGCTTGCCTTGTTTTAGCTGCGCAAATTGATTTGTCCTCTGCTTGAAACCCGATGCTCGATGAATGCTAGTCTGACGTGACACGTGAAATGGTAAATGCTAGCCCTATCGTTTGAAGCGGAGAGCGATGGAACCCTGCATCATCGTGCGTGGTGGTGAAGATCATCAGTGTTTCAACTGCCAACGACTCCTCCATCTCATACTTGAAATGCCATCGCAAGTCGTGACATGAGTTCATGCAGGTTCAACGGGCAGTCCTACAGACAATTCGCGATGGCACGAGTCGATGAATCGGGCGTAGCACATGCAGAATGACTAGCGCCGTCGCATAGCATCCGCATGGGCGGCTACAAGAGAAAAGGAGGCCGCACCACGACTGACAAGGCAAGAACACAGTGTCGCCAGAATGACAACGAGATATACACCACAGGAATGGCGCGCCATCATCTCAGAGGTTGCGCGCGAGCTCGAGGTCTATGAACAAGATTACTGCCCCGACATTCGCAAAATCGACATTGCACGCACCATCGACCACACGCTACTCAAGCTTGATGCAAGCCCTAAGCAGATTGACGAGCTTTGTGGTGAGGCCAGAATAGCAAACTTTGCTGTACGTTCTCTTCGCTCGTCTACACTTCACGGCGCTGACAAAGTCCTTTCCAGAGCGTCTGCGTACGGCCCAACTATGTCGCCCAAGCGCATGCCAACCTCAAAGGCAGCGAAGTCTTGATCGCCAGCGTAATCGGCTTCCACCAAGGCACCCAAGACACATACTACAAGCTGCAAGAGACTCGGATGGCCCTGGCTGCCGGTGCACACGAACTTGACGTCGTCATCAACTGGCCTCAACTCAAGCAACAGGAGTACAGCGAAATCTACCACGAACTCGCTCTGATCCGCTCCATGGCCCCACAGCCGACCATCCTCAAACTCATCTTCGAGACCTCGCAACTCTGCTCCAGGGAAATGGTCGCCGCTTGTGCCATTGCCTCGGCCGCCAACTTCGATTTCGTAAAAACCTCTACAGGCTTTCTCGGACACGGCGCAAGAGTCGAAGACGTCAGACTGATGCGTGCTGCATGCGACTATCTGGCAGATAAACGTACCGACGGTCACAGAATGAAAGTCAAAGCCAGTGGAGGCGTGAGGACGGCCGAAGATGCCACCACTATGCTCAAGGCGGGTGCCAGCAGGCTGGGCACTAGTGGTGGTGTATGGATCGTCAAAGAAAGCAAGGAACAAGGAGTCAGAAAGTCAAGCCCCGTGCAAAGCGAGAGACGAGACTCGAGGCCCACTCTTTCCACCAGACTCTTCACGGATTATTGAGGATGAAAATAGGGGTAAGTGACTTTTGGTATGAATTAATGACTTCTTCTTCTGCTGTCTTTTGGTCTTCTGTTTGTTCCTCTTTTACTATCAACGCTTCTCTCTTCTTCTTCTCATATGTTGTCGCTGCCATGGAAAGATAGTTCTCGGACTCTCGGTCTCCTTGTTTTCCCGTTCCCGCTCCCGGCCACCTATCAGAACGCCCCAAGTTGTCTAAACTCCCTCACGCTAAGGTCCTTGCCTGGCATATATATTCTTCTAAAGTTGGGGTCCTTTGCTTGGTGGGATGGATGGTCAAAGTGGTTATGACATGCTAGTGTAAATCCCCGCCGGTTCGCCGGAAGGAGGTGTATCTAGTGAGACGTGGGTTCGATCCCTGCTCCTACCCACAAGTGCTTTTTTTGCCTTTTATGTTGTTGTTATTTTTTATGTCTACTTTGATCTCTTATGTTGGGGTTTCTGTTTTGCCGTCGCTGCCTCTCTTCGGCTACGCCCTTGGTTACAGCTTACACTACGGCCACCTGTCTTTCGTGACATTTATCCTATTAGTTCGCTTTACTAGCAACATTACTTGTTGTCGTAAAATTTTAGTTTGTGATCTTCCTTACATTGTACTTATCTTATCTTCCCTTGCTTTAATGTTTTACCCTTGCTTTGTGCTGGTATCGTATACAAGAATGTGCCTTATGATATGAGTCAGCAACCGTTCTGAGTGTATAAACAGACGCTTATACCATCGAAATGACAATGGCGGTGGCAGAGCCTTTGGAAGTCAAGATATTGGCGAGGAAATTGGAGATAACGCAGTTCTTTCGCTGTTCTCATTGCTGACAGTCGTGTCGTGAGCTTTGGTAGACTTGCGCTTCCTCTTGGTCATGATGCTGGTTGCTGAATCTGGCTGGTCGAAAACGACATGTAAATAGAGTTGAAGTATGAGTGAGTGGAAGAGTCAACGTTGATATGATGTTTGACGGAAGAGAGAGAACATGAAAGCGAGGTCGGAATTAGCCAGCACGTCCAGACGATACGAGCTGACTTTCTCTCGTTGACCAGACACGCGAGCAGCAGCAGCGCGAGCCCGCACAACTGGGGGATCCGTGATGGTGAGCTGGTATGCTCTAGACAGAAGTTGCGATTCAGATGGCGGTGTCGTAAACAGGTCGTGGAAGTCCTTCCTGGCCTCTCTGAGGGACTGGATCAGGGATGTGGCAGACATCAAATAGTCTTTGCATCTGTGGCGTTGAACACATTTTGTAATGGGAAGTGGCAAGCGAGAGAGTGGCGAAGTCGAGGTCTGCAGTCAGCCTAAATTGCTCTTGAGGTCTCTTAGACACCCTTGGCTTTCTGGTTTTTTAGCTGACCTCTGAGTTCAAGCGTGGCGAAGCATGCAATCGGAACCTCCAGTCATTTGAGATTGACAGCTCTTTGACCCTTTGACACTGACAGACGCGGATAAGAGTCGTCTTCTAGCCTGTCAGGAAGCAGCTTTTCAGCAAATATTGGTATAAGTGTTTCCACTTGTGCCTCGTCGATCTGGGTGCAGACTTCCGACACTCTCTCCAGCTCGGGATGGCGATCACGGCTAGCGCACCTAAGGGAACGACGACCTTGACATGGGGCGCCTGGTTTTCGGTATTGAATTGCGAGGTGTCCCTTTGTCAGGGCTCTGTATGTACTCGTGCTTCGGAGAAACATCGTTTGCTTCATGTGCTTACCCCTGCTTCTGGCAGACAGAGGATCGAGTGGAGTTATGAAGTTGGTTCAGTAATGTGCATCATGACTCTCACCACACGCTAACTTGGTTGCCATGTTCAATTGTTCAAATATTTCTCCGAACCAAGCTAGCCTGGTTCACGCATACGTGAGTCTGAGATGAGGTTGATAGTCTCAAGACTTTCTTCCAAAATCTCCTACTATCCCCTTCCTAAGAGCTAGACGAAGGAGGCTAGGTTGTACTAGGGCGAGGCACGGGTACACACGCATCTTGGGTTACTGCTGGGGTTATAAATTTGACAGCCAATGTAGACGGGACGCACAAGCTCAAGAGGACACTGACGGGATGCCCTGAATGAGATGAGTCTAGACCTCTTCGGTTTTCAGCGGCTCGAGCAAGAACACCAGAATTGGTTGGTCGGGGTAGTCTATGTTACCTGCAACAGTCCCATGCAGGGACAAGGTTTTTTGCATCTATCGCACTTGTATTCGGAGCCGTTCATTTCCGAGCTGGGTTTCTCGACGTATCTTTTAGGGTTCCGGTGATTCAAGGCGCGCTCGTGTTCTTCGACTGTGTGCTCGCTTCCAAACAGCTTGCCGCAGGTATCACATTTCCAGTGACTCAGGGCGTCCATGTGTTGTACGCAACTGTCCCATGAGCCAAACTCGCGGCTCCCCAACTTCAATCCCATCTGTTCATATCCAGTGATGGTGTGGCCCTGGGCCAAATCGGATGACAAAGTAGTCTTGTTCCAGGGATTGCCAGTATATAATCTTGGTCGAAAGGGGAACTGCAAGAATCATAGGTTTGCCACAGCAGGAACGGAAACACTGACAAGTCTGTCGGCTCAGCAAGCATGTCGGCTTGCTTGGACTCGTTCTTAATGTCGTCATTTAGCCACGAAGACGACTAGGAAGACCGCAGGGAGAGAGGGTCTGACGGGTCTGTAGATAGTGGTACTCCGGAATGCATTTCGCCTCATCGAAGAGACATCCACATATATAGAACACAACACTGAAAGGCGAAGAAGATAAGGCGACCGATCTCTCAAGCGAATTGTTGGTTTCACCGTCTGCTTATGGACATCTTCTGACTTGCGAAACTCTACGAGTATTTCCTCAACATCTCTGCAACAGAAACTTGGATCCGTACTTGGAGCATCGGAGTGCTTGCGAGAAAGCTTATATATTCGAGTATGGCGAGAGGAGCAAACCTGGAAGCTGTGTCTTGCATCTTCAACCAGTTTCTGTGTGTCGACTACGTGTCAGAAGACACGGTTGCTATAGCATGCTCAGTGATGACAAGCTTCCGCGGGAGTTCTACAGGTATATCAACATAGAGTGCCTTTAGCCTCTCTTCGTCTCCCCCTTTGTGCTCCGGTCGTGTACAACTGGGCAAGTTGGAATGATTCTGCTGTCGAAATCTGCAGGTGTGCATAGCAGATTGACAAGCTAGTTGAGTTGGGCGTTAATGTTATAGTATTACCCGTCCTCTTTGCGCCAGACAACAAAAGACCGCATACATAGTGTAGACTACGTATGATAGCTTATGAGTCAAAGCCCGAAGGCTATGGATTGGTGGAAGTATTCGGAGTATGTTAATAGTGCTTTTTTTTATCGAGTGGCTCGCAGTCTTCAACCAACTGCGCGATAGACACGGACAAGTCCCAGTAGTGTAGGAGAAACCGGCGAACGATTAGATTCTTCATATGCCAGGGAGTTGGTGCAGGATGTTGATGATGATGGCTTCGGCTACCTTTAACCAAATGTTTGCTTTGGGTCCAGGGTAGAGCCATGCTTCAACTTCTGTGAAAGCGGTTGAATATGATGCAGGATTCGGCTGGGTGGCAATTCTAGATCGAACCTGCAGCCGAGATGTATCCCAAGCGTGTCTATTCGCTGTCGGTCATTTTGACAACGCAAAGGCGGTGATCGTACATGCTCTCCACTAGAGCGCTTTGGTAGATCAGGTCATACTGGGCGTCGTTCATTGATGGCAGGATCTTGGGCTGACGAGATGCGTGAGCTGGCGATGACCTACATCTTGATGTCTATCTGCCTTTTTTTGTCACCGAGTATCTCCGCGGGCCAAATCTCTTGAGGAGGGCCTTTAGGTTGTTTGGATCGACTATGCAATGGGTGCATAGGAATGCCTCACCAAGTGCATAAAGATCCTTCAGATAGCGGCGGAGATCATCCTCCTGTCGATCTCTTGGCATGTACATGATCTCGATCGGCTGGTAATAACAATCAAGTTCTGTTGGGCATAGTTTGCTATCCTTAGCTTTCTCGTCGGGTGCTCAATAGAAGGCAGCCTTGGAAAATCCTGTTCTGAACCAGACCGAAGCTTCGATGCCCTCAAGCGACGTGTGATTGCCGATGTAGTGATCAGGTTGAGGAGCCCTTTGATGGGGCCCTAGGGTTTGCTCAATAGCTGCTAAGAAGTCGTCGACTTCGGGGTGACGAAGTCTTCCTTGAGCACGTAGGAGCGCCACGTTCCCGGCAAGCAAATCTTCCATCCGTTCGAGATGATGCTGATGCCAGAGAGGTCGGAAATCATCATCATAATCATCATCATCATCATCATCAAGAGTGGTGTGCTGATTGAGATTGCTTACGATAGAACATGATGCTCAAATTGATATACCGCTATACTCGTTGCGTCTCACGATGCCGTCATTCGCACATCCAGGGATCTCGAGCATATCAAGGTGCTTGAGCTCATGGTCGGCAGAGCACTGACTAGAGTGTGCATACTCGAGGCAGCCGCTTCTGGTGATCTCCAAGACGGGAGCGGATAACAATGTCCTTTCAGTCAAGGCATCTCGCTTTCGCTCAATTTGGGAGATGTTGCGGAGTTGACCATAAGATGGCACCGACCAGGCCTCTCGATCCTCCAGATCAGGCATGCAGAGCAATCAAGTATGTCTCTTTCAGGACGATATTTGACCCAACGTCGATTTGGATTGTGGTCATGTTGCGCGGAGATCTGAGGGTATAGAGGATGATGAAGGTCGGTTCCGTGCATCCAGTAGCTAAGTCCGTTGTAGAGGGAGATGTGGACGATTTTGACGTCGGGCATCAGATTGAACAGTCTGGAGGCAGCGCGGCCGCCAAAATCACAGCTGAGGTCGAGAGTACGGAGCTTATCCATGGGCCAGGTTTTTGCGTTGGTTGGCGAATTAGAGTCTGGACCCAGTCTCGAGAGCAACTCTCCCAACATTGTATTATCGTTGTTAAGGTCAAGACAATACCAAATCAACAACCATAAGCGGAACAGATAATATAGTGCGGCGAAAGAATGACTCAAAATGAGGTCCTCGATGCTGGCTTTGGCGAATGACCAACGGGGCCATATATAAGATAGGAAGAAAAGACAAAAGAAAAATGGCAGACACCAGGACGACAGGCCACTGGATATACAATAAATCTTTCGTGGATGGTAGTTGAGAGGAACATAACAGAAGAGGACTTTGAACTCCTGATTGAAGATGGCGCTCCTGACTCGACAAACCGAAAAGGACCGGAAGGAAATGCAACAGACTGGACAGGGAACAGCTGCATGTGTTTCGACCATGCGTATATAGTAAAAAAAAGGGGGGAAAGAGAGAAAGGTAGAACATTCCTGTGACCAGACTTCCACATCTATATAATGGAACAAAAGAAAGTGGAAGAGAAACGGAAGAGAATCACAAAGGAGAGAAACACACACAAACCTCAAGTTGACAAGGAAAGAAGGAAGCCAGGTTCTCAGAGAGGGGAGAACGAATTGATATATGCCTGCTTCTGGTCGCGGGTCGTCCCTGTCCAATGTCTAGTTCCCAGTTGCAATCTGCGGCGGGAAGCTGCATGGACCCGTAACACGCGTGTCTTCAGGGTCTAGATTTTAAATCTTCAAAAAATGTCGTGAATTGCTGATGGAAGGTAGAATTCATCACAGTGGTTCAGCTTTCGTTATTGCTTATCTTGATATAGATATTACTCACCTTGTTCCCTTACAGCGTGGCCAATTGATCACCGTAAGATGAGACTTCAGAATGTGTCTCAAGGGCTTAAATTGTCTGTATGCACAGAAGTCTGGGCACGGGAATATCGGGAGATAAACGCGGCTTCATGCTCGCTGGGAGGGAAGTAAACATGACGATTTGTACAGGGAAAAGGGAGTTTGTGTGATTCTTCATGATTCTATCTGGAGCGGCCGCCGCCGATATCTTGACCAAGCTGTTATACACATGTTAGCCCTGAATTGAACAATGCACCAAGTACGGAGACTCACTCTGTAGCCACTGATCTTCTCCCACTCAACCTTTTGGCGAGTGACGGGGAGCTGTCTTCGCAAACCCTTGAAGGCACCCTCGTTGAGTTTTGTAAAAGCCTGGTTGACTTCTGTCTGGTAGCTCTTCTCGATCTTTGCGATTTCGCGAACGGCGTCGCTGGCATTTGAGATTGAGACGGGCTTTGAGGTTTGAAGGCGGACGTTGCCGTCTTCATAGTAGTGGACGTCGATGTTAATGGCGCCGCTGAGAGATGAGTTGGAAGGCGAGAAGAGGTAGTGTGCACGCCAGCGACCATTCCTGTGTATACTATCTTAGCTTGGCTCTTCTGCCTGTAATGAAGAGTGAGGTCGTACCAGAAGTTGTTGGGGCTGTACTTGTTGCTGACAAGTACGAGAGCAACCTTGGTGTCATTCTCTGCAGGGAAGACACCCACGGTAGCAGCAGGGTAATGTTCATCGGCGTGTGTGCGAAGGGCCTTGTGCAGCTTCTGGATCAGGTCGGCATTTTGGCTGTCGAGAGAGTGGCTCTGGGCATTCGAGGCCTTCTGTTCGACGGGGTCAAAGTCGAAGGCGGTGTTGTTGGCGCTGTCGTAGTAACGGTTGTTGCCCAGGCTGTTGTACGGGCTGACCAGGACACTGCCACTGCTGCCCGGCAGCTTGACTGTGCTGAACTGTGTCTCGTGGTATTTGGTGATGGCGGGGGAGATGTTTGAGATGAGGCCGGACTCTGAAGGCGTCAAGGCCTTGATGTCTAGAGCAGTTCGTGAGCGTGGGTGCGGAGGGGTCGTTTGGGCGCTGTGCGTATACCGGTGATGACATTGGACAGCTATCAGGAGTTAGCTGCTGCGACTCGCACACCGGAACATGACTTCGAGATACCTCGCCTGGCGGAGCGTCCTCGACAAACGAGGATGCAATCTGTGTTGACGACATGATTGATTTGCTTGTGTTTGTGCAATTGCGACCTTGAGAACGAGGCCGTCGATGATGCTGGAGGTCGCGCCTCGGGGGTCTTTGCGGGGAAGGTGCGCCGAGCTCTCTCGCTCGTCCTATCACCCTGCTCGCATATTCTATCAGACAATAACTTCCTGCATTACTTCAAGCAACCATGATTCAGGCTGCTGTCAACACTATACTTCGAATTCGTCTACTGAAATGCACTGCTTCATCTCGTCACCATCGTTGTTGCTGTGGCTTCCCTTCTCCGCTAAGTGCTGTGTCCTCCAATCTCGACTCTTCTCTTCTGTCGCAATGCACTATCATTGTCAAAGACACGCGATCGACTTCGAGGTATGGGGAGGGCTGATGAATGCTTCCAGCAATAATAATACCAGCTTGCTAGCGATTCTTCTCTCGATTATATGCTTTCTGCTCGACCTTTAGCCACTCCCTAGATCTTGTAGAAGCAGAAGGCGTGGTAAAAGCCTGCCGCCTCCATCTCCTCTTTGGTACCCAAGAATCTACCCTCCCTGTCCTTGACTCGCATGCGCTCACTCAACGGGCCAAGTTCATAATCGTCCTTCTCATCCTCCCACACCTCTGGGAACGGCTTGCGATACATCAATTCCAATCCGTACTCCTCTGCAAGTGCACGGAATCCTTCCCACGGCACCACAAACTCAGGAACATCGACGGCCTCCTCGAGATAGTAAAAGTACTTCCAGCCAAAAGGAGGTCTGAAGATGCCATCCAAGGGCAGAGGTTGCGACTCGGGGAACTTCACTTTGTATATCGAGTTACCCCATTCAAGGGGTTCTTGTGGCAGCGCCGGTGTTTTTGAGACAGGCTTGGGCTTCTCTTCAGTAGCGATGGCATTGTCAATAGGGGCTTCAGGATTCCAGTCGTCGTTATCGGCAGTGCCGTTTGCAGTAGGTTGTAGTGTCTTTTCCGGATCCCAGTCATCGTCGCCATTGGCACCATCGGCAGCTTGCGGCGGATCCAGTGGCTTTTCCGGATCCCAGTCGTCTTCGTCGTTTTGAGCGTGAGGGTCGAGACTCTGCTCAGGATTCCAGTCATCATCACCAGCAGTAGCAGGCCCTGAAGGCTTTTCGGGATCCCAATCATCGTCATCATCGTAATTGAGACCGGCTGGCGGTGAATCTGCCTTTGTTGGTTCTTCAGGTTTGACGCCTCCCTTCATGTGTTGTTCGATCTTCCTGCGGATGACGTCCGAGTTGGGCATAACTCCGAGAAAACGCCCACCCTTCTTCAAAGCACCAGCGACATTTTTGAGCATGCCTCGTGCTGTCTCTTCACTCTCATAGGAATAGTGCAGACAGAACATCATCGAGACGACATCGAAGCCGCCAGACGTAAAGCGGGCAGTAATGGCACCATTAGAATCCGGGCCAGCATTAGGATCAAAGCCGACCTCGCGGACTATGGGAATGTTTGCCAGACTGACACCGAAAGCGTCCTGGGCATAGAAATGAGCATCCAGAAATTTGGCGTTTCTGGGACCCCGCCTCCTACGCTGCATCTCGATGTACCTTCCTTTTGCTTGATCGATAGACACGTCAGCCGGGTCAACACCGACATACAGGCGTGGCGTTTGAGGAGCTGACTGCCATTTCTGCAGATCACCACCCTTTCCGCAGCCCATATCGAGCACAATGGGGCGATGATCTCTGTCGTCTGACGGCGAGAACTTCTGGATGATGCAAGACTTGATCCAATTGTTTAAAGAACGTAGACCCTGAATCTTTGATTCGGACTTTCGCCAGTCTCTGCCTCTCTCTGGGACGGCATTATAATGGGCACTGACAATGTCGGTGGGTACAGTAGCTCTGTTTTGTTGTACCTGTTTCCGTTCCTCCTCTTCACGTTGTAGTCTCTTTTGCTCAGCAGCTTGCCTGGCAGCTACACTGATTCTAGATGAGGCACCGGGGCGCTTTCGTGGAGGAGAACGGGGTGGAGAGGCAGGATCGGGATCGTCACGGCGAGTGCTGCTAGTGAGGGGACTGCGTTGACGTTTGGGAGCTCTACTCGAGGGCAAATCAGCCTCTCTCATACGCTTGCGAGAAGGCTTTTGGTAAGAGTCCGATTCAGGGACAGGAGATTCGGTGGGTGGACTGCGGCGGCCTCTGCTCGAGTCTTGAGTCTGACGAGGCATCGTGTCGTGTGTTTGGTGGGAGGTGTATTCGAGTGGGTAGCTGGGAGGCTCGATATGTTGTAGTTGATGGGACGCAATGCGTGAGTGTTGTGAGATTTCTTGGTTGTCTGTGAATGTTCTGCTACTAATTGGTCGAGTGAGAGAATCAAAGGTGACGCTGGCCAGACTCTGGAGAAAGTGAATGGGCGCCTCGTGAGATGCGCCAAGCTCTAGAATAAAGCAATGTCTGCTTTGGGAAAGAACGACTGGAGAGGCCTCTCGATTCACAACGGTAGGCAAGAGCTCATGAGCTGTGTACAAATTGCTTCCAAATCCACAGTCTCTCAGGAATCAAAGATGGAAGGAACGACCATGTGCATGTCAACAATGAGTGAAATGATCGGAGGCTCGGTGAAGCTGGCCGGCGTTGCTTGGACGCACAGACCTGTGAGCGATTGGGAAGCTCCAGCATCATCATCATCGCCGTCGTCGCCATCAACTCCATCACACCAAACAAGACTCACCTTCTCCATCCACCCTTCCCGCCTTCGCATCTCATAACGCAAACATGGGTGACCCGCAATACATGAAGTTCCCCGACCTCAGGCTGGCCCAGTCTGTCTTCACCCTCGCCTCGCCATCCACCTCATCCTCGGCGAAACAAACATCGCTCACAGCACTCCAAGATGCCATCCGGGAGCACAAGATGGCTCCCTTGTACCACTACCTCGCACATCCCCAGACTGGCAAGCTGAACGCAACCGGTGAATCTGCCTCGTCGCAGAAAACCTCATCAGCCGCCCCCGTGCCGTCGCTACGAAGAACCTCCAGCATCAACACTACCAGCATCATCGGCGTTCTCGGCGGCTTTAAGCAAACCGGCGGAGCTGACTTACCGTGGGATGAGAAGCTCTACGAGTCGATGAAGCGTGAGAACGAGGAAGAGTTGGCCGCTATCCAGAAGGAGGAGGATGAGGCTGCCGAGCGCGAGGGCGACACTGAGGTCAACACAGCTCGCGGCAAGCGCGCTGAGTTGTATGCCCGTATTGGCGATAAGGAGAAGGCCCTTGAAGCTTTCGAGAAGTTGTTGGAAAAGACTGGCATTCTGGCCTCCAAGATCGACATTGTTTTGGCCATCATCCGTATCGCCATGTTCTTCGACGACAAGACTCTGGTCAAGAAGAGCGTCGAGCGTTGTCAAGCCTTGGTTGAGTCTGGTGGTGACTGGGTATGTCACAATCTGCCATCTTTGCGACAAATACATCCGTCTAACACATCTCGCAGGACCGTCGCAATCGCCTAAAAGCCTACCAGGGTCTCCACCTTATCACAATCCGCTCGCACGCTGCTGCCGCCCCCCTTCTCCTTGACTCCCTCAGCACATTCACCGCCACAGAGCTCTGCTCATACAGCAATCTGGTCGTCTACGCTGTCCTTGCCGGCAGTGTAGCCCTTCCCCGTCGCGATTTCAAGTCGCGTGTCGTTGACGCTCCCGAGATCCGTGCCATCGTTGGTTCCGAGGACAGCAATGAGAGAATTGCCGGTCTTTCTGGTGCCGTCTCATCACACCCTTCAGCCGGTACCGACACCAGTGCCATGGACGTCGACACCACACAAGCAACATCAGCCACACCCAAGCCCGCCGTCGTCAATTTGACCACTCTGAACTCCGGATCTGGCGAGCAAGACAAGGCCGAGCCCGAGATTGACTTCTCTCCTCTCGCCCAAATGATTCGCTCCCTCTACTCTGGTCACTACCAAAACTTCTTCCGCTCTCTCAGCAGCGTCGAGACACAATTCTTGGCACAAGATCGCTACCTGTACGAGCACCGCCGCTGGTACGTCAAGGAGATGCGCCTGCGCGCCTACGCCCAACTGCTTCAGAGCTACAAGGTTGTCGGTCTGGAGAGTATGGCACAAAGCTTCGGTGTCAGTGTCGACTGGCTGGACCGCGACCTTGCTCCTTTCATCGCTAGCAACCGTCTTCCTTGCACCATTGACCGCGTCAAGGGTGTTATCGAGACTCAGCGTGCTGGTGACAAGAACAAGCAGTAAGTTGAACGCACTCTTTATACTACAGGATAAGATTGGCTAACACAACCTTTACAGATACACGGACGTCGTGAAGCAGGGTGATCAGCTCATCACCAAGTTGCAGAAATACGGCCAAGTCGTGAGACTGCGTGGTAGTGAGAGAACTTGATTGAAAGAGCAAGGGAAAGCATAATGCATGATGGCAAAGGGCAGGAAATGGCATGATGTGTACCATAGATGGCGAAATGATCAGGTAAAGGTCATACTGCAATAAAAGCAACCAAAACGCTTTTTATCACGTCCCATTCAGCAAGTCGCAATTGTTCTCGACCGCTTCAAGCTTTGTGAATCTACAGGTAGTCTTGTTTTATCTGTTCACACCGATCTCTCGTCCTTTCAACTTGCATGTTTCGAGCTTGCATCTGCAACTGAAGAACACATCGCTTCACGGGCACCGCCTAGTCACCGAAACATGTTTTCCTCACTTGTTTTGTATAAAAGCTCTTGTTCAGAGATGCATTACTTTTTGTTCCGCTAGGTCCCTGTCATGCCTTCATCGCTTTGGCAACAAAATTCTTTCAAGGTACTGCCCGACGGTCTCAAGGTCCTCAAGGCTTCCGATATATCCCACATGCTGATCAGGCCTGCAAACTACCAGGCAGCCTTTCTCCTCATCGATGCCGAAGCTCTTGTATATGTCGTCTCCCACCTCATTGTTCTTGGCGAATATCTTCCAGTAATCGTGACCGAGCTTGTCGTTCCATGGATGGAAGATGTCAGGCAGATCCAGAGCATTGAAACTATTGCGATTGCTTGTGTGGATGGTCAGGATCTCGATTACTGAATCGATAGCTTGATCTGATGGAGTGCAGCGGTTGATGAAGGAACTGGTTGCTTCAAGCTTGGCTCCTAGATCCCTGATGCTGCGGAAGCGTGGAGGATTGGCGAGGTCACCAGGGAACAGGAGGATGCGCCAGCGTCCGTCCGACTTCATCGCTCTGTGGATGTGGTCGTCTTCTGCCGTGAAATGATTTGTGACGTGGTAGGAAGGCAAGCGTTGTCCTAGCGTTGTTCCGGTCGCCAGCTTAGGGTCCGAGTAGATCTGAGGAAGAGACTGTTGCGAGTCTTTGCGTCTAGTAGGCTTGTCATGTTTGATTTCTCCGGATCCAGTGTCATCGTTGGTCATTTTCTCATTGCCATCTTCATCGATCTTTCCAGCAGAAGAGACCAACATATTTGGACCATATGTAACAGAGACACCACTGACAAAATCCCGAAAGCCCTCTCGGAAGTCCTTGTACTTCTTCGAGTCCGCAGAAGGGCCTTGACAGTAGAATTCGCTCATCGCCCGATCCTTCTCGATGAGTTCCTTAGCGGTTGCCATGCGTTCAGTGTTGTATGTCTGAAGGATTTCTCGATTGCCAGTGTGGATGGCAGTCGCAATCTTCCAGACCAAGTTGTAGCTGTCTTGCATTGAAACATTCATGCCTGCACCCATGGTTGGCGAGTGCGTGTGTACGGCATCGCCAGCCAGAAATACGCGATTGTGATGACTGAAGGTTTTCGCTAGGCGTTGTCCGACAGTGTAAACGGAGAACCAATCGCAGTGGCTATAGTCTAGTGTATAAGGTTGCATGATCTTACGGGAAGTGTTGATGATATCGTCAGGGGTGATCTTGCTGCGGTCAAAGTTGTCTCCTAGGTCAGAGGTCTCGGCCAGTTGCACGTAAAACCTCACCAGACCCTTTTCTCTGGGAAGAGTCATGATGCTGCCGGCGGAGGAGTGAATTGCACAAGAAATCCGGATGTCTGGGAAGTTTGAGCGTGGAATGAAGTCCATCACGCCGAAGTGCTTGTTCGTCCTGTCGCCTTCCATTTCTAGACCGAGTGCTTTTCGTGTCCAGCTGTGAGCTCCGTCGGTTCCTAAGACGAACTTGGCACGGATGATCTCCTTGATCGGCTCCTGAGTTGCTAATGCATGGTGAGTAAGTGATCATAGAACCTTGCCCAGGTACTGACCTGTATATTCAAGGGAGCCAGCTGTTTCATACTTTCCTAGCTCACGAAGGTGTACTTCGACAGGATATGCATCATTGTCTTCCACGCTTGCTTCGTCAACGTGTAGCTTCGCAGGTGACAAGTTGCGTTCCACTCGCGATGAGTTGTCGTCTCGTTCGAGGAAATTTAGAAATGCCTGTTCGACACTGCCTTGGCTAAGACTCACTTGAGGATACCGGCTTCCAGGCAAGTCTTCCTCACCCGATCGTATTGTCTCCGATCGCTCAATGTGTTCCTCGCAGCTTTCTTTCGGGTTCTGTATCAAAGCAGTCAACAAAAACTCCTCAAGTCCAGCAGATTGAGTTCGTGTGCACTTGCCCATGAAGCAATCTCCTTGATCACACAAGCTTCTCCCAGGATGTCGGCTGCAATGCTGGGAGTGCCGAAGCTGTCCATGATCTCCAAAGTCCTACAGTGCAAACCGTCTGCCTGACCAGTCCTGATTCTTGAGTCTTTCTCATCAATGATTCTTGTATTCAATCCACAGCGACTAGCCCAGGCAGCGGCCATCAATCCAGCAGGGCCGGCTCCAATGATGAGGAGGTCGACTTCTGAAGTCTTGGTAGACATAGCAGCCGATACTCGGTCGAGCGTTCGTGATGTCCTCAGATAGCCAGTCAATGTCGGCGAAGTAAAGAACGCAATGCAAAGGACGAATCAGAAGCAGCTTGTGTAAGCAACACACCTACCGCTTGCCGAAATCAAGCAAGGAAGCAAATAACTATGCTATCCAAGCATTGGGACAACAAAAAGAATTAGTAAAACAAACATTGAGCACATGTAACGAGTCAACGAGTCCAAGATGAGCTCATGCTAACTCTGGCATGTGATGCTTGGTTTCGTCACTACCGCTTTTGGAAACAACAATCGGATTCCGCTTAAGCGGTATCAGCAAGCGGATACCACATGTTCCAGTCTGAGCAGCGGAGGAGAGCTCCGGTGTATACCATAATTCTTGTTACGGTGCAAGGCGAGAATTAAAAAGATGCTTGCAGACAATTGAAACGTGTCGCAAGGGCTAGAGTTCGAGAGTAAGAAAATGGTGGCATCCGGTGGCGGCCAAAAGTCGACGCCGCATCATGATTTCTGGCCAGATACACCGACTACATCACAATGATGGTTTTGTGCATCTACTGCCTCTGCCAACTGCCATGTATCTGCCCCGGTATGTAATAGTCGTGCAGCCAATCTCGAATAGGTAAGCAGCATTTGCATTCCTTGTGCGCGGATGCGAGTCCGCTCCATTCAGCCCCAGATCTGGGTACGTCAAGGTGACCGTTCTTTGTTTGCGACTTCTCTTCTCGATACCGTGAACGGGAAAGTACAAAACACCATGTCATTATGCCTTCACCGCGGGATCCGCAGTTCGAAACATCTTACAGAGTCAAGTTCAACCCTGGTCAAGTCAAGCCCTCCTTCCCAAATCCTCTTCGTAGACATTAATCCTCCATCACGGAATTTGTTCTCACTCAAAGCCTCATCGCAAAAGACCCTTTCTTGACTTCAGCATTATTCAAGACGACCTCCCGCAATGCAGACTCCACCACATTCCCCTGGCAAGTCTGACGTTGATATTATCGACATCCGCTCGTCGACGCACGACATTTCATTGCAAAAAGAACTTCAAGCCAGTCTCTCAGCAGAACCGCCAAAGTTCCCATCATTGCTCCTCTGGGACGAAAAGGGCCTTCAATCATTCGAGGCTATCACATACTCTCCCGAATACTACCTTACCAACTGCGAGATTGAACTTCTGAAGCAACACAGCGCCGAGCTCGCTCTACAGATCGCACCTGGCTCTGTCGTGGTGGAACTAGGAAGTGGTTGCCTCCGAAAGATCAAACTCCTGCTCGATGCGCTGGAAGCCCAGCATAAGCCCGTGGATTACTACGCCCTCGATCTCAGTCACTCGGAACTGGAAAGAACACTTACCGACATTTCGCCATCCTCATTCTCATACGTGCGCTGTCATGGCTTGCTGGGCACCTACGACGATGGTCTGAGCTGGCTACAAGATCCATCGCTTCTCGACCGACCCAAATGCATACTCTCTCTTGGGTCCACCATTGGCAGCTCCTCAATTTCCGGCGCAGCAAACTTCCTCAGCAACTTTGTCGAAGCTGTAAAATGTTCAACGTCACAAGGCATGTTTATCGTGGGCGTGGACGGCTGCAAGGATGGTGACAAGGTATGGCATGCCTACAACGATGATAAGGGCTGCAATTACCGCTTCATCTCCAACATTCTGCAAAACGCAAACAGATGCTTGGAGTACGATGCCTTCAACCCAGAAGAGTGGACCGTTCGAGGACAGTGGAACAAGGAAAAGAGCAGGCATGATCAATTTTTGGTCCCTGTTCGAGATGTGGTTGTCGATGGGGTAAAGTTGAAGAAGGGAGAGGGTTTGTTCGTTGTCAGTAGTCACAAGTTTGACGAGGACGACCAGGAGAAACTGTGGGAGGATGCTGGCTTGCAACTTCAAAGCTGCTGGAGGACTGAGCCACACAAGTACTCTCTCAGTGTGCTTTCTGTATAGATACTAGATCTGGGAAACGCTTGAGCATAGCATCATTCATTAGCATACGCACGATAAACCAAGCATTGTATCAGATACCCGAGGCTCTCTTTTCTTGTCGGCGTGTTTGCGAGCGATCCTGGTAGATGGATTCGAGACCACGTTCACGCCTTCCTCTTCCATTCAAATTTCGGCAGCACTATTGCTCCCCTGATCCGAGAAAACTTGGCCAACCTCTATGATCACTTCCATTTTCCCATTCCTCAATAAAAACGACAGTAGTCTAGTGGTAAAAACCCTGCATCAACGTGTCTTGCAAACACAGGCGCTTCGACTCGAGTCCTCCCCTTCGTACCGTTGGTCAATGCTTGTAACGAAGAATGTGCAGAGATCGTGAGTCCGAATGTCACCCGCCACGGCATCCTTTTTGCTCCGAAACAGGAGCCGACAGAAACAAGATGCGGTTACTGAATATCTTTAGACACTAGCGGAGTTGAGGTTAACGACCTATGTTGTATGGGCCGAAAGAGTTTGAGCACGATTTTCGAAACCGAGCATGATAATCTCAGCACCACCCTCGGCACCAATGGCTTTCTTGTCATTGAGTGGCATTCCGGCGCTACAGAAGGTGTTGAAACTTCGCTTGATCAAGGTCAACTATGATTGACAATATTCAAGCAATACAATTGAAAATTATGCTTGCTTCGAGAAAAGGCTTTGTCTTGCGACATTCACTGAACCTAGTATCATCTACAGCTTGTTCAACCTTCCATTTACAGCAGTCGTCAATGCATAAATCGTACTCAGCACCGGTACGTTCATCTCGAGCTCTTTCGCCATCCTCATCGGATATCCAAGAATAACATCCACCTCCAATCCCCTTCCCTCCTTCATATCCGTATGCATGCTTGAAAATATGCCGGGCATGGCCGATATCTTATCCACCAAACCATCTGCTAGACTGTGGTCGAGGGGTACCTTGCACCGGATTGCTATATCAATAACTTCATGCATGAGGTGTTTTGTAACTGGGATGGCTTCGGGAGAGGAAGCGAGCCAATCTTGTGTGTTGACATCGGTCAGTGTGGTTATAGAGTTCCAAGCAGCATTCCAAACGACCTTTTCCCAGCGTTTGATTTGAATATCCTTCTCGACTTGGAAGATGGTCTGGCCGGTGGCGAGGAGAGTTGCGAATGTGTTTAGTCTTTGTTGCTCGAGATCAGAGTTGAGTTTAGGGTTCGGGAAAAGACCCATTTGCATGTCTTCGGACTTTGTGTGTTTGATAAGGCCAGGAGAGGTTTGTGTCGCTCCTACCCAGGTTACGCAGCTGATGATTGTGTTGTTTGGAAAGGTAGTGCGGAAAGGCTCTTCATTGCCAACGCCGTTTTGAATGATGACGAAGGTGGTGTTGTCGTTTGTAGCAGGTTTGAGAATCGGAGGTACTTTCGATGGGTTCACAGCTTTGTGTGTGCAGACTATGTAGTCGAAGGCCGATGTGATCTCGTCTGGTGATTTGTAAACTTGGTCGATGTTGACTTTATGGTCGCCGTGATTCTGGCTTTCAATGCGGAGGCCATGTTCTTTGACTTGTTGATAGTTTGATCTTGCAACCACACTTAAAGACACATTCTCGTTGCGTCCAAGAACGAATACATAGAAGCCTCCGATACTATAACCATTTAGTGACTGACCAGCATAATATTGTCCAGAACTGCTTACGCTCCCAGGCCAAAGAGTAAAACTTTGATCTCTTTCTCCGAGGTCGACATACTAGTCCAGTGACAACTTCGTCGAAAGAAACACCGACGAAATGTTTCAATGGACAAGAGCCATGATCAAGTGTGACCTTGGTAGATCTCAAATGCCGACACGAAGGCGGGGTGAAGCGGGGGATCGTCGACCCCATCGACAGCTCCTTCCATCACAATGTGACCCCCACGTTGCATCCGGTACCACACAAAATGATTTGACGATTGGAATAATATTGAATACGAATGCTGATACGCTTCAACTTTTGTGCTCTTCAGTACTGACCGAGCATGGCGACCATAGACGGCACAGAGCTCGCCAAACACAACAATCGACAATCCTGCTGGCTCGCGGTCCATGGCGAAGTGTGGGATGCAACAAACTTCCTCGACCAGCATCCAGGTGGTGCAAACTTGATTCTCAAATTGGCTGGAAAAGATGCCTCCGATGAGTATGATCTGTTTCACAGTCCTGAGCTTGTTGAAGAGACCCTTGGATCAAAAGCACGAAAGGGGACGGTAGACATATCGACCATTCCGAAGATGGACAAGAAGTCGGAATCCGGAGTGAAAACTGGACAGAGCCAGCCACTGAGCTCTATGATCAGTGTTAATGATTTTGAATTGGCGGCCGAGAAGGTTTGTTATGTTATCCCGAGAGAAGACAAAAGCAGCATTGACATTTTCAGACGATGACACCCACCGCATGGGCATATATCTCCTCTGGAGCCGACGACGAGATCAGCATGAGAGAGAACGCAAATGCCTACCGCAAAATCTTCCTTCGTGGTCGAGTATTGAGGAAAGTGGCAAGGGTCGACTGCAGCACTAACATTCTCGGTTACCATTCTGCGTTACCGATCTACACATCGCCCGTCGGTCTTGCCAAACTGGTGCACCCATCGGGAGAATGTGCCATTGCCACGGCCGCTGGAAAAGAGGACTGTATCCAGGTAGTCAACACTATTTCTAGCATGCCGATTGAGGACATCATGGACGCGAGAGTATCCAAGAACCAGGTCGTCTTTTGGCAGTTGTATGCGGACAAGGATCTCGAAAAGTCGAAGACGTTCGTACGACGAGTTGAGAAGGCTGGCGTGGCAGCGATATGGCTAACAGTTGACTCTCCTGTGGTTGGTAATCGTGAGAGGGATGAAAGGTCAAAGTCGGTAGTAGATGTAAGTTCAACCCATCTCGATCTCATTCAAGATTTTACTGACAGACTCTCAGATCGAAGAGGAGATGGAAAAAGTGGTCGAAACAACGCAAAGTGTTGGCATTGCAAAAGCCAGCACTGGTTTTATCAATGCCGACTTGGACTGGGAAATGATTGATTGGCTACGGAAAACCACCAAGTTGCCTATCGTGATCAAAGGAATACAGTCTGTCGAGGACGCAGTTTCTGCCTTTCATCACAAGGTCGATGGAATTGTTCTATCAAATCATGGAGGCAGAAGTCAAGACACAGCGCAGCCTCCCCTTCTTACGCTCCTAGAGATTGACCAATACGCCCCAGACATTTTGGGTAAGCATATGCAAGTCTTTGTTGATGGTGGTATCCGACGAGGTACCGACATAATCAAGGCCCTGGCGCTAGGAGCCACTGCAGTGGGCATCGGAAGACCAGTCCTATACAGCATGTCTGGTGGCTATGGAGAGCATGGAGTAAGACGTATGGTCCAGATCCTGCGGAATGAGTTGCAGACCAACATGGCGTTCATAGGAGCGAGCAACGTTGGGGAGATTGAGCGCGGCATGATCAATACCAGAAGCCTGGAAAGAATGTTGGTAGGCTCGGTCAAGCTCTAGCTCGTCTTGATCGGTTTTCTAGACTTAGCAGATAGCTTGTTGCACTGAACCGGAAACTTTGACGAAACGCCTCAAGCTGTCGTACCATACAGCCCCTTCATGTGCTACCAATAAGTTGAGAAATATGACTTCGCCCCAGCACTCGTGGCGGACCATGAATTCCGTAAGAAAATTAGGCATGGTAACAGAGCTTCGAAACGTGACTCAGAGCAGTCTATCATTGCGAGGACTGATGATTGATCTCTCCAGATACCGGATCGCAGTTATGGACCCCGATCAAAGTCCTGACGCCCCCACGCTGATCTGTGGGGGTCACAAATCCTGCCGGACGTCGTTGTACCGAATCTCCTATTCGGCTTTTGGTCCGTGAGAAAATATCCCTATAAGATCAGGGCGCCGAGGGTGTTTTGAACTGGTGTCGTCAAACATATCCTGAACATTCGCGTGACTCCCAATCGAAGCGAATTTTTCCGACATGGCACCGATCAAGCTCATCGAATACTTCAGGGTAAAGCCGCGCTGGCTTTTCGTGAAGATCACCGATGAAGATGGCCAAGTTGGCTGGGGAGAAGGCACTCTGGAAGGCCATACTTTGGCAGTGGAGGGAGCTCTGGATGAGATTATCGTTCGCTTGATCGGACAGGACGCAAAGTGCGTACAAGCTTGACAGGTTTGATCATTCACTAACACAATGCAGTCGCATAGAGCATATTTGGCAGCTGATCTGGCGTCTCGGTAAGTCAAAGAAGCATCCAAGACCGAAGATGGTATCTGACCAGATTTTGCGGCCAGGCTTCTACCGAGGAGGACCTGTTTTCATGTCTGCTCTGTCTGGCATTGACATTGCTTTGTGGGATTTGAAAGGTCCGTATTCAATAGCGTGGACAGGATGAACCACTGCTGACGGAAAACACAGCACGGCGCCTGAACGTTCCAATATATGAATTGCTGGGAGGTAAGGTCCGAGAAAAGTGTCAAGTATATTGCTGGATCGGCGGCGATAGACCTGCTGATATCGAGAATGCTGCGTAGGTCATCGAATTGGTGGCAGGTTGGCACACTACTGACAGTCAAGCAGCAAAGCAAGGAAAGAGCAGGGTCTCACTTGCGTAAAGATGAACGCCACCGAGGACATTGGCTGGCTCGACGATGCAGCTGTGTTGGACGCAACAGTCGAGCGCCTAAAGATAGTAAAGAACCTCGGCCTCAATGCTGGTCTGGACTTCCATGGTCGTCTTCATCGCCCAATGGCCAAGCAGCTGGCGAAAGCCTTGGAGCCATACCGGCCTCTCTTCATAGAGGTGAGTCAAGACTTGTATGCTTACAGATTGAGAGAAAACACTGACTTTGCGATCACTTGTAGGAGCCAATTTTGTAAGACTTCCTAGACCATTTTGCGTGTGTTGTGCTGACTGTGTCGTGCAGAGTGGAACATCCTGAAGCACTGAAGCAGCTGGCCGCGCAGACAAGCATTCCGATTGCCCTTGGCGAGCGTCTGTATCATCGCTGGGATGCAAAGCCATTTTTCGAAGCAGGGTTGATCGACATCCTACAGCCTGATATTGCTCATGCTGGTGGCATCTCGGAGACGAAACGCCTAGCTAATATGGCAGAAGCGTACGACGTCGCGATGTGAGTTTCCCAGTATCTGGATGCCAGAGACTGTATGCTGACAAGTTGGAGTGCTCCGCATTGTCCCCTCGGTCCAATTGCCTTTGTAAGTTGCATGCCAGCAACCCTCTCAAATAGAGCATCGAGTAGAAAATACTGACCTACCCCACTAGGCCGCGTCACTGCACATTGGAATCTCCACGCCCAATTTCGTCATCCTAGAGATGTCTCAAAAAATGCATTATAATACCGAGGCGGGTGATGTAGATCTCGATACCTACTTGAAGGATCAATCAGTCTTCGCCATCACCGGTGGTCATGTTGCAGCTCCTACGGGACCAGGACTGGGCATTGAGGTGGATGAGGAGATGATCCGCAAGATATCGGCAGAGACCCAGCCATGGCCTCCGAAGGAGTTCTTCGGTCCGGACGGCTCGATTAGAGAGTGGTAAAAGTAAGTCCGGCTTATCTGTCTAGTATAGTAGACGCACACGAATCCAGTGTTCTAGATGCTTCTAGCAGTAGTTCCCATTCAGCATTCGCGAAGTCCTTTGCCAGATATTTGCACACTGCAGCACATCCTGGAGCAGACATCTGGCCGGAAAAAGCATGTACGCCAGATCTAGTACATCTCCGAATATACTCATAGGCCATACTTTGTGACAAGGTCTGATCCGACACATATGGCGTTTGTGAAGAGGTATGAGAGGCCCTCGATGCAAACTGATACGACCAGATCGTCAGCGCGGCAAGGTACAAGCCCCATGGGCGATAGCTAGATGCATCAGCGCGACATGTATACCCGGTCGGCACAACTTGGTCAGACCCTTGTACCCCATTGGACGAATTTGTTCTCAGAAGAGTCTCGTCGAGAAATTCGAAAGCGTGTGTGACAGCCAGTCTCGACGAGTTGCTCATAGCCCAGCTTCGCATTCTTGTCGAACACCCAAGATAATCCTTGTCTGTGATTTTACGGCCGAGTAAGCGCTTATAGCCTGCGAAGACCTGAGCATCTAGAATGTCGATGTGTGTCGTGATAAACGCCAAGCGGAAGAGAACAATCGGGTTGAACACTACATCTCGGATGTTCTCATGCTTCCGACTGTGTACTTTCGACTTCTCGAGCGCTTTTTGAAAGCTTTGACACCAATGACTGTACGCATTGAGAAGCAACGTTCGCCAGCGTTCTTGCTCCTGTGCAGAGGGAATCGTGTCCAGAAATTGTTGATTTCTCTCACGGCGTTTGATATGCCAACCGACGCTTAGGAGGCCAGAACCGAGGATAATCCGCGCACCGTGATTTGATCGTACCTCATGACCATGCAGGCACCGCTTCAAATTGTCCAGAAACGGCTGCTGGCTAATACCGTGCATTAAAAACGTCTCTTCCAGCCGCCAGACATCCTCAGGACTTTGAGCAGACCAGAGAGCATCATCACAGGGTAGCGGAAGCCGGACCTCGTAAGGCAGGAGCGAACTCTCGTGCCCGAAGGCTATGGCATGCAGAGTGTCCATCTGAAGGGCTGCAAAGACCACGCGATGCCATGACTCATTTCTAGCCCAGCGACGCCACCAGCTGAGTTGCTTCGAGACACCGGTGCTCTGTTGCATGTTCAAACCAGGGGAGGGACAACGTGTTGGTGGCTCTTCGTCTTCGGCATGGCCAACCATAGGACTACCGCGTCGTAGCAAAGCTAAAGTCGAGGCGTGGTGGATGTAGCCGCGCTCGTGCAGTCGACGGCTCGAAAACATTTTCTCATAGAATTCAAGAAGCAGCAACGACTGGGCGACCCACAAGGTTATGGGAGGTTCTGCTTCAGGAAAGATCTCCCATCGAAGGTTGATTGCTAGAAGATCCGCGAGAAGTCGGTGGCTGTCTCGTGTCTTCATCGGATGGAGTCGGACTATCTGACCCGCTCCTAGCATGAGTATCGAGAGAAGGAGAAGAAGTTGGCAATCGTCGCTTGAGAAAGTCTGTTGGTGGATGATAGGCATCTGAACCGCCACATATGTCCAAAAGCTAGACAAACAGTCCTCCAAGACTTTCACTGTCAGATTCGGTAGATCACGTCCGTTGGAGCCGAACAACAGATCTTCTTCCTGGAGAACATCTTGCATGCCTGGTGGGCGTTTCTTCATGAGGAATAGGCTGATACTTTGAACCACCCTTGATCTGCACTGGACAGAGACACGGGTATGACTGTTGCAGCCATATTGATCAGCACTTTGGAACGTCGGTTCCGTTACGACCATTGTTGGCGACAGGTCGCTGACTGGAGGATTTGCAGCATTGTTGCTAGAGTCCAAGTGCCACAAATCGTTAATCGGGGAGCAGTAATCGATGCCAAAGTCCATATATGGAAGGAAGTTGGACAGGTCAAAATTCTGTTGTTGAGAGCCCGGACTATCAAACAGCCAGGTCGCAAAGTTTTCGTTGCTATGTTGACACGTCGTTACAAACTCAGCATTATTCTGCAGCATACCGGTCGGCATCCAGTCAGAGATGTTTGTTCCTATCTCCAATGGTATACTTTGATCCTCGGTTGTATCTTGTGCAGTAGGCTGGCTGATTGTGACGTCTGTTTCGACGATGCGAGGACCTGAGCTGTCCTCGTCGGCAGGTTCGGCGGAGAACTCATATGTGCTTTCGCGCACCATTATGCCAGCATCCCGGTCTGTTGATTTTGAAGTCTCGCCATGTCTAGCCTGATGCCTCATACAAAGATCGAGTCGCACAAAGGTCTGGCCACAACCCTCTGCTTGGCAGCGAAATACTTCTTTGGGCTTGTCTGAAAAACGTCAGGGGGGCCAGGTCCAGTCAGACTCACATAAACACGAAGCATGCGAAAGCCAACAGCACCTAATCTTGTAGAGACGCCACTATGAGGCACGATACATTGAGAACCAGTGGGTTGGCTTAGAGCCGATGATTGCGCACCGATATTTTGCAAGACTCTAGCTCTCCAAGTTCTCGTGCCTCGTGACGATGTCAAGCAAGTCTTTACGAAGAGGTTCGGTGCCGCTGTGATTTATCTGCGGTCGTATCTATGCGATGTTCACAATCTGACTCACGATTTAGCTGATGGCGTTGGAGATGCTCAAGTCGAGAATATATCTGGCTTGTCATTAAACCTTCTGACAATGGGCTGACTCAGAGTGTAAATACCTTAGTACAGCCTTCATGATCACAGCTGAACCGTTTTGGGGTGTTCTTTCGACTCGCTCTTTTGCGTTTTTGCTGCGAATCCGAGATCGGTGGACTGTCCGCCATGGCTCGCTGAGAGGCTGGATGGTTGCAAGAGAAAGCAAGAGCTGATCTACAGATGACCCCCAAGCAATGTATGGCAAATCTCAGGATGCAGACCCCGCAGCGGGGGCATGGGGGGACATTTGGGGGTACCGGCTACTGTCCTTTCAGAAATGACTGAGACTTCGGTCTGCGGGGTTCCTGAGCACGGTGTTTCTACGGATTTTGTCAGTTTGGTGACGGTACCATAGTAAATAGAAATAATGAGAAATAACATACCTCCATGTCGCCTAAGTTGCCTAAATTCGTTTAGAATTAGATACTTACGCTCTACGCGGCCGGTTAGAACGGTAGAAGTATCTAGAAAACGTTGTCGCTTAGTCCGCTAACGGTATATAGGCTCCTCGCTACGCTAAAGGAGCATAGCGAGCTATATCTAGATCTAGGTAGTGTAAAAGGGCGCCCGAGACTACTAAGTAATAAGGCTAAGGAGGTAAGTAACTTAGAACGAGTAGATCTACGCGAACTAACTAGTTATTGTCGTTAGCTCGTACTCTAATACCTTACCGGCCGACCCTCCGCGTACCTTAATAAGATCTAAGACTTTATTCTTAATAAGTTCGACGTAGCGCTAAGCCTTACCTCTATATAGAACTTAATAACGCGGCGCTAGTAGTCGAGGAAGAAGGCTAAGAAGAAGGCGCTTAAGCGAAGTAAACTATTAAGGGCCCTTTAGCGAAGTAGACGGATGTTTTAGAGTAGACGGCGCTTAGTGTTTATCGATAAGAGCGGTACTAATAAGCGTACTAGCTTAAGGAAGTACGGCTAGAGTCTAAAGGGCCTTACGTGCTATAAGTTTAAGTCGTTAAAGCGATCTAAGAGGTAGTTAATACTACTAGCAATAACGGTAGATAGCTATATCGGTAACCCTCTAATCTATTAAGGCGGCATTAATGCTAAGATCTTCTACGCATAGCTATTAGAGGACGTACTTCCTTAGCTGCTAGTAGGGTTAATACTAATTATAGATAATGCCTCTATCTACCGATCCGTAGAGGTCTTTAAGGTAGTAACGGAAGCTAGGTACGAGCTCGAGTTCTTACCGCTATACTCGCCGGATCTAAACCTAATAGAGCTCTTGTTTGCTATATTAAAGGCATAGATTAAGAGGCATATTAGTTTAGCACCTCTATTTAACGACTTTAGGGTGTTCCTACGCATAGCGGTATAAAGGGCTAGTAGTAAGCATGCGGGAGCTTATTTCGACTATAGCGGGTATTATTATCTATAAGATAGGGGTTTAAGAGCTAGAGGGGTATAAGTCGGCGAACTAAGTCGTTTATTTAAGCATATCCTCTAGTTAAATGGCTAAATTATAGGCTCCGCACCGCCCTCTTATATTATATAACTTCCTTCTATACTCGACTAAGTAAACCTCGCCTAAACTCCTAAACCTTCGTCTATATATCGATATCTATGTCCTTAATGCTATCTAGGTTATAGTCCTCCTCTTTAAGCTTCCTCTTAACCTTGTTAACCTTATCTATTAAGCTCTACTACCTACTACTACCTCTTATCTATATAAAAAATTCCTATAACGTATTCTCTAAGTCGGCCTTAGGGGGGCTTAATACTAGTACGGAGGGGGTCGGTACGGCGAATACTAGAGGGCGAGGCGGCGGAAGGTGCTATAGCTATAGGAGCTAGTATTACTGCTACAATTGCTACATCTAAGACATTATACTTATAGCTATAAGGTTAAGCATGTCGTTTAGTGTTTAGGGGGTTACTAGCTATAGTAGAGGGTCTAACTGCTGTTTCTTCCTTAACTTTCGAGTATCTAAGTGCCTCTTAAGCTTTATAACGATGTTAATAGAGGGGGTATCGACGGTCGAGGTACTAGAGTTAATCTCGCTAGACTACTCTTTAATAACTATGTTATTAAGTAGGTAATGATTTTAAGTAATGTTTAACCCCTTCTAAAAATAGTAGTCGCTAGAGTAGAGGGCATTATTAAGCGTATAGATCTACTTAAGCATAAGATTAGAGTAATAGTTGCCTCTTACGCGCTCGGCATTAAGTGTTAATAGCATGTTAAGCCTCTAGATCTTAGTAGCAGTTCCCTTACGCTTCTAACTAGCTATAACGACGACTAAGTCCTCTTTAAGCTTAGTTAAATGCGTAATAACCGATAGGCGTAGTTCTAACTTGCCCTTCTTATACTACTTTATTAGCTACTTTATTAGTACCTCCTAATTACCCTTATCGCATAGAGTCGTCGACATATGCGCACTACGATTTAAAGGCAAGAACATCGCTATAGCGAACAACTTAAATTTAGCTAAGAACACTCGCGTTACTTACTTAGCGGTTACCTCGTCGATCTATAGTTAAAATCGACTAAAGACTCTACTATCGGCGTAGTTAAAATTAAAGGTACGGGTATCTAGTGTTTCTTTACTATACATAGCCTACTATTTACTAACGAACTTATAGTTCTCGAGCGCTTAAGTAGCCTCCTCCTCTAGAGCTTATATCGCTATACGCGTAGTAGTCTTAAGCGCTTAAGCGGCCTCGGCCCTCTCGCGGTTCGCTTAAGCTAGATCTATTATCTACTTCTTAAGCTTAAGGCGCTCGATTTCCCGATTATTAGCCTCCTCCTCTATACCGTCGCCGTATATCTTATCGAAAGCCTCGTCGGTAGAGACTACGTCGTTATTAGTTACCTTAGTTACCTCTAGCTCTACCTTAATGCTCGTAATAATAGGCTCGGTAGTAGGAGTTTTAAGTCGAATCCTAATGCTAGAGGGGGTCGATGTTGCTACTACCTTTAAGGTAGTCTTTCGAGGTGTCTTTAGTGCCTTTATAACCTTCGCTACGGCGGCCTTCGAGGTTAGTTTCCTTACTCGCGAAGAGACCTTATTAGTAGCAGTACTACTAGCGCTAGCTTTAGAAGCTCGTTTAGGACCTATATCGACGAGGACAACGAGTTACAGCATGTGCTAATAGATGTTTACAGGTCTTCTAATTTACTATGGTACCGTCACCAAACGTCGAAAAAACGGCGAACTCCGCGCTCCAAACCCCAGAATCCGAAGTCTCAGTCATTTCTGAAAGGACAGTAATGACACGACGCGCTCATGGCAGTCGGCAGTCAGTGATCGATGAGGTCGGAGGGCACATGCGTGTCCATGATGGTTGTCCGCATTCGCTGAGGATGGAATTGACGTGGTGAAACTGGCTGTTGACTGACGCGTCGCGCGCGCACGAGGAAAGAGCTTTCGCCAAGGCTGTTTTTGTTCATTTATTCTTCTCGGAAATATTGTTTGTCTGTCAACACGGATGTCATCTAGAAACTGCGCTCAAGCTCAATCAGTCGAGCAAAGCCAACATTTGTTTCTGACTGGATGTCGGCCTCGGGCATGGCACACGGCGATCTCGGTTCGCCTCCGTAACCGCAGTACTTGTTCAGTCCAATCTTGACAGCCACGAACCCGCCCTTGATCGCAACCCAGTCCGCTTCCGCCAAAATCGCTTGTGTCTCGCGTGCACGCTCGAGCCTTCCAGCCTTATATGCGAGCATTGTTTGCACGTTGCTAGCTGGAGCAAGGTTGCCCAAGCCAGCTATCACACCGGCACCTCCCACCGAAAGAGTCTGCAAAAGAAAATCCGATGAACCTCCAAAAGTCAAGAAACCTGAGTCGTGGGTAGCAGCCACAACACGAGCCAGCTTTCCTGTGTTGCCGCAAGTGAGTTTGACGCCTACGATATTTGGATGTTGGGCCAGCTCAATGATTTGGTCCGATGTCATGTCGATTCCGCTCTGCACTGCTGGGAAGTTGTAGATCAGAATGGGAATGGGCGAGGCGTCAGCGACCTTCCGGAAGTGGTCAAGGAGAAGCTTCGAAGACAGTAGCGAAGCAAAATAACTTGGAGGTAGGACCAGCGCGGCGTGACCGCCTGCAGAGGCAGCATCCTTGCAAAGCTTTATGGTCTCTCTTGTCGAATGAGCTCCACAGCCAACGACGATTTTGACTTTTTTGCCGGAGTCGTCAAGTGCTTGTCCAGTCGTCCGAGTAATCAATGTACGCTCCTCATGGCTAAGGTGAGCGGCTTCTCCGTTAGAGCCATGTGTGACTATATCAGCATCAGCGACTGCTCATACCAAAAGGAACTTTACCAGACCTATGCCTTTGATGCCGCTACCTGCTAACATAGTAACGTGCTTGCGGGTCGTCTCGATGTCTACCTCTTCGTCCTCCTTGAAGAAAGCCACGGTCGGAACATAGATGCCTGGTTCCAGCTTCGTCCCGGTGCTCAGTGCTGGTACAGGCTTAGCACCACTAATCTCCTGAGTTGATGTTGGGGCCATGTTGATTGATCTGGATGGAAATCGATACACAAAATATGCGAAGCAGCATCGTTTATATTCTTGTGCTCGAGATCGCCGGACGATTTGACCCCCACGGCCTGTGACAACGCTTCACAGTGTACGTTCTTGACCGACATTGCGCTCTCGCCAGACACGACTCTGGTTCATGATCATCGTGCATTTCAGCAGCTACAGGTGCGACGGACTCTATAGCACAACAATATTGCATATGGATGTATGCTGTACGCTTGTTATCAACTCAAGCTATGATGACCGAGAAAGACTAACTCAATGTACTGCTATGATTGCTGCGCCAGCGACTATCGACCCATCCAACCACCGTCTACTGTCAATATCTCTCCTGATACATATGAACTTGCTCGGCTGGCGAGATACACTATTGAACCAGCAAAGTCCTCGGGCAAGCCCCACCGACCAGCTGGAATACGTTCCAGGATACTTGCTGCACGCTTCTCATCCTTGATCAGGGCATCATTCATGTCGGTGTGTATGTATCCGGGTGCAATCTGCACAGGTTATCAGCTTGATCTCGCAACAACGAGTGGGTACACTTACGGCGTTGACATTAATGCCATGAGCTGCCCAGGAGTTCGATAACGCCTTTGTCAATTGTGCTACGCCTCCCTTGGCAGCAGCATAGGCCGGCACATTGAGACCTCCTTGGAAGGATACCAAAGAAGCAATCTTGTTCTGTCAGTACGAAGCTATAGCTCGATATCAAGGGTCTTAGACTTACATTGATTATCGAGCCACGGTGAGGTCCTTCTCGGGTCATCATGTAGGCGCCTGCATCACGGCAAAGGGTGAAGACCGTGTTGAGATTGACTTGCAGCACCTGTCAATAATTTATCAGCTATCACGGCCAGCGGCATGGGCAGAATCGGCATACCTCGTTCCAATCTTCGTCTGGGAATGTATGCGGCGGGTGACGCCTTTGTATGCCGCCGCAATTAACCAAAATGCTCACATCGTGGCCGTCTGATACAATTCGTTTGATCAAGCCTTTGATCTGATCATGGTTTGCAAGATCTGCCTCATATATGGTCACCTTTCTTCCAAGCTTCTCTATCTGCTCCTTGGTGGTAACACTCTTGGAGTCTCGCTGTATCAAAACGATGTCGGCCCCGGCTTCTGCTAAAGCATATGCCAAAGACTGTCCGATTCCTCTTGTGGCACCTGTAACAACAGCTGTTCGGCCTTTGAGGGAAAACAGACTCAGTACACCAGACATCGTTTTCGTGTTACAAGTTTGGTAGATATCTCAAATTTCGACAATGCTCTGACAAAAGTGATTTCAGAGTTGCGCCGATTCACGACCGATTGCTTGGGTATTATCGTTGGACGATTGTAGATCTGCCCTGGAATTGGGGGTCACACCCCGCACTTCCCAATCCTACTCCTTGCTCTTGGGGGTCACCATTCTGACACAACATTGGTGACGACGGTCAGGTCGATCTGCGTTGGACACCCCATGGGGTAACATGCTAATTATGGAGAGCGCCTCCAGATTATCTCTCTGGTATCGGATCCAACATAAGTACTCGACTCGATGCTTCTCTCATTCATCTAATTATTTGCGATTCTGTGAACAGAGACAAAGACGAGAGCCAAGACCGATTGTCATCATGTCGGTTGACGAGAACAAGATTGCCGTACAACACGTCGAGGACTTCGACAAGGAGCATCATGTCCAGACTGAATTCGAAGACCTCCCAGAGTCTCTGCGTGAGCTTAGCACGCATGAGTTGACCAAGATGGGCAAATGGACGACTATGAAAATGGACCTCATCATCATGCCCGCCTTGACTATTCTCTACATCTTGTAATACTGCCGCTTGAACAGTCAACATGTGTACTGATGAGTCGTGCTAGAAACTATCTGGACCGTCAGAACATCGCTGCCAGTAAGTTGGCCAACATAATGGTCGACTTGGACATGTCTGTCCAACAGTACAACACATGCGTGTCAATTCTGTTCGTAGGATACAGTATGTCACTTCCGATTGTGCCTATGGCCTATACTGACAGTGAATCCTAGTCCTCATGCAAATACCCTCCAACTTGGTGCTCAGTAAGATTCAATGGCCAGCTGTGTGGATATGTAGTGCTGTCGTGGGATGGGGTGCAGTCTCAGCAGCTACTGCCGCAGTGCACTCATTCGGCGGTCTGCTTGCCTGTCGTTTCATGCTTGGGTTCGTTGAGGCTGTATTCTTCCCCGGAGCTTTCTACTACTTGTCCATGTTTTACAACAGAAAGCAGAGTACGTGACAACATGATCGAATTGCCTTGGGCATTGCTAACTATCACAGTTGCTCTCCGTACTGCTATACTTTATTCTGGTTCTCAGCTCGGTAATGCTTTCGGAACACTGCTGGCGATTGGCATACTTGAGCTCGACGGTCACGCCGGATTGGAAGGCTGGAGATGGCTCTTCCTGATTGAAGGTGTCATCACGATAGGCATAGCACTGGCGTAAGTGAATGGTACAAGCCACTACCACACATACACCGGCCTAACAGCAGACAGTTTTGTCACCTATCTTCCGAACTCCAACAAGAAGATCTGGACCTTTTCGCAACAACAGCTTGACTGGCTGAAGTGGAACTATGAAAGAGATCAAAAGCAGCAAGACGAATCGAACGAGGTCACAGCATTACAAGGCTTCTTGCTTGCGGTCAAGGACCCTAAGACCTGGCTCATGTGCGGCACCCTTTACGCTACGTATACTGCAGCTGCAGTCAACAATTTCTTCCCCACCGTTGTTGGTGGTCTTGGGTTTGGCCGAAACATGACATATGTACTGACTGCGCCGCCATTCATTCTCTGTGTGGTGGCAATGCTATGTAACGGCTTCCACAGCGATAAGGTCAGTGGTCACATCTTCCAATATGCAGTGCAATGACTGATAAGATAATGTAGATGGGAGAACGCTATCTGCACATTGCTTTGCCCTTGACGATTACGGTCGTGGCAAACATCATTGCCGTCAGCACGCTTAATGTCGGTGCACGTTACTTCGCGATGTGCCTGATGCCATTGTCCTTCTACAGCTCTGCCATTTGCCAGCTCTCGTGGATTTCAGGCTCACTATCACAACCGGCAGTCAAACGTGCGGCTTCAATTGCCATCATCAACGCTATTTGCAACACTCCCAACATCTGGACCAGCTATCTCTACTACGACTCTCCTCGATATGTGGCTGCTTTTTCGGTGAATCTGGGCGCTGCAGTTGTGGCTTTCCTGAGCGCTACTGCCAGTTACTTTTATTTGAGGAGGCAGAATCAGAGATTGGACCAGGGGAAGCCGATGGGTAGTTCCGGACCTACTCCTGTGCAGCAGGCGAACGGCTTCAGATATATGTTGTGATCTAGCTGAAGATTTGCAATCCTCATCCATCGTCATCTCAATATGGAAATTTAGCTAAGCGACTCATTATGTACAACACGCCTAGTATTCGAGCTATTTGCCCGTGCCGTCGATTTCATACCTCCCATTGTTCCAGTCCGCCTCGTATGCATGCGTCGTGGGACCTGCGTTTTGCGGTACATGGTATGGTTGTTGAGGCGACATGACAGCGTTCGAGCTAGGTGCGTAGGTATCTTGCTTGAGGGATTGCATCTCTTTCTTCAAGTTCTTGACTTTTCTCATCATCCAGAGCATTCCGACCAGTGCGATGATGCAAGCGACACCCAAGACGGCACCGACAGCCGCACCGACGACTGTGGTAGTATTGCTCGAGTCCGACTCAGCTGACGCAGTGGTTGTGATTGTGGTCGTCGCTGTGGTTGTGGCGTTTGTGTCGGTAGTGTTTGTGCTGTTCGAGGTCGCTGATGAGCCAGGGATGACGCCGTCAATGAAGCGTCCAAGTAAAGAAGTCGCGGTTCCGCTGATTATCATGGCAGAGTTGTTGCAGCAATTTGTACTGTCTGACGCTTCTCTACAACACCAAGTACTCATCGTACAGGGGAGTACATTGAAGGCCTTCCAGCCATTGGCTTCTGTTGAGTTGATCAGACAATCTCGTCTTGTTTCTTTTCGCCGTGTAATATGCTTACTCGCAGGACACACGATAGGACAGGCATCATCGCTAGCCGTAGGGTCGGTACAACCATTCCCATACAGATAGCCACTGTAGGAGTCCATTGTTGCATAGCAGAGTCCGCCCTGCATACAGATATCAGGCTGTGCTTTGTTACTGGCCTTTTGAGAATGTTAGTCTGGCGGTATGCTGTGTCATGATAGCAGATTGCTCACGCAACACGCGCTGACTTCGGCATCAGGGTTACAAGCTACAAAGGAACCGTCTGGCGGAGCTGTTCCTTGAAGGTTGTAGCATCGAGCGGCCGCTGTGCTGACATACATCAGCGAGATAAACAGGGTGCCATACATTCTGAGGTATGGAAGCGGCCCGGCGGTACAAATCGCAAGAGGAAAGTGTCCAGAAGAAAGTGAAGCACCTCAGGTGCGAGATCAAGCAGGAAGTCGTCCATGATATGTATTTTGATCAGGATTTGTGATTAGTACTACCGCCATGCTGACAGTGGAGGCTGAGAGGTGTTGTTGTTAGAGTGCTGAGCCTTAGCTGCAGTCGCACCCATCTCGCTTGTCGCGTAGTCTCGCAGTTTAGCCGTCTTTAGAATGCAGGTTTCATAACACCATCCAATCATGAGCGACCACAAGAGAAAGTGTCCAATCCTTCTGGTCCGCAGCATCTATCCCCGGTCGACTCTTTCAAATCCTGCGATGAAGATCAATATCGATAGGTTGGAACCAGCGCTCTCGAGATTAATGAGGCGTGACTCCGCTTGTGCAACAACAAGATCCACGATAATCGCCATTTTCCTTACAACGAGAGCAGCTGGAACACACATTGAACCCGATTTGGACTGCATGAATACGACTCGCCATTTGTGATTCATTTATGATGATGGACATTCTTCTTCTTGCTTGTGTCACATGTTGAGCGCTTTTTGGAAGGAGCGATCAAGTCTTGGCATCAGCACTAGCAAATACTGTTGAGAACGATCGGTATCATCTAGGCATCATCTAGGCATCATCATCATTATCATCATCATCATTATCATCATCATCATCATCATAAACCCTAGCCACGATTACATGATCCTTCATCTCACACTTCCACATTGATCTCGCTCAGCAAGTGCATGATGGCCGAGAGAAGCTACAGCAAATACTTCACTCCTCTTGAGTCTGATCCTGACATCTTCACAACCCTGGGTCATCAGCTTGGCCTCGCCGATCACGTTGTGTTCAGGGAACTGTTCTCTCTCGATGAGCCCTGCGATGGCAAAGTCCTGGCATACACGCTAGCCTTTCCCACTACACCGGCCTACGATGCTGAAAGAGTTGCTGAAGAATTCCAAGCTGATACCATATCAGACCAGTCGGACATCGTGTTCCTCAAACAGACTATCCACAATGCGTGTGGTCTTTATGCTTTGCTCCATGCTGCTTGCAACGGGCACGCGAAGGACTTCATAAGTAAGTTAATTGATGACTTACAGATATAGCAAGATATTGACTTTACAAAGAACCTGGTTCCGTCTTACAAAGACTGGTAGAAACATCAGCGTCAGAGCGATCGAGCTTCTTGGATGAGTCTGGAGAGCTAGAGCTGCTTTATGCATCTGCAGCAAACGATGGATATACTGCACCACCTTCAGATCCTGAGGCCGATGTGGAATGGCACTATACCTGTTTCGCGCCATCGTTAACACTTTGCAAGCTGTACGAGTTTGACGGTGATAGACGAGGTCCCCTTGAACGCACACATTTAGCCGATGATCTGTCAGACTTTGACTCTAAAGCAATCGGTCTCATTCGACAATGTTTTGAGAACGAGACAGGACAAAAGGCACACCAGTTCAATGTCATGGCTCTGGTAGATGTTTCTTAATTCGGAGGACACCGTAAATCGCTATGGGACAAACGTCTACGGATCAAAATCGCGCATCGTTGACCAGTCGGCGATGGTCTTTGTGGACATGCACGAAAACAGCAAAGATAAGTGATGGCTTGCCTTTGAGACTGACTCTCACAGCTGCACTTCCAGTTATATTGATTGCGCATACGCGCCCGGCTGCCTGCATACGACCCCTCAACTGATAAAATCGCCTCAACTATTGCGAATGTATATCAACAGCTTCCTCTTCCACTCCTTTTTTCGGTTGGCTATCATCTGCAATACAACTACAGTCAGCCATGCCATCATTTACTGAGATCGTCTACAACCCTCACAAGGATCATCCTCGTCGGTCCAGAATGTGGATGGTTCGAGATACTCTGTATCGCTTGAAGATACGGGACAAAGTTATCAACTTCAAGTACGCAGATGATGGCGACCAACCATCTCTCGGCATTGTCATTGATGAAGATGATCCTCCAGTCAGCCCTTTCGACTGCGGAGACGATTGCAAGGAGTGTTTTCCGCAGTTCTTTCCTGCCACTGTCCGCGTCAGCAATGCGGTTGCTCAACAGTCCATTTTGGCCCTGACCGAAGCGATCCAAGAAAACACGGCCTCTCTCCGTAGTTCGCTGGCTGCTCATGCCGACTTCGTCGTGACAAGATGGCGCAAGAAGTCGCGTGAAAAGCGTCTCACTTTCTTGGAAGAACACAGCTCTCTCTACCCCAAAAAGTGGGCAGCTGTCCATCTGCTCAATGCCGTCAACTACCCACACAGCGAAGATGAGCACGTCTACTACACTGGACCCAATTCGCAAGCCCTCTTTTTTAATACCCAAACCGAGCAGGTGTCTCGTGTTCAGAGAGTGCCTCATCCTAGAGATCCTGAAGGAGTCGTCAACAGATTCCGGGACACATGGTTTCTTCCATACCTCGATGCAGAGATGCTGTCTGAGGATCCCTTGCTCCTTCTAGGCTTGTTACATCATCGCACTGTCAACGAGCCGGAGAAGTGGATCTCATTTGACAGCTCCCATGTCGTTCTAGCTGAGTGCTTTGGACCCATTGATCACGTCTTCAATCCCCAGTGCGTCCTTGTACAAGGTCCTGATTATGGCAAGCTTGTCAGCTGGAACGCTCGACAGATGCATCGTGGAGAAATCATGGGCTTTACAAAGGCATACTTCGTCTTCACGGCGCAGTCTAGGATGATGGCCCTCTTGCGTAGATTTGTGTCTGGGTTGCTGGCAGAGGCCAATGAAGCTCCGATCTATGAGCTCCATCCCAAATGGTCTCAGTTGGTCCAGACGGACTTCTCCAGATTCGGCACTACCTCTGCTTGGTCTACCGACTCTATCAAGCCCTTCTCCGCTCCACCTTCTTTTGATCCCCACGCTATCGTTGAGTTCGTTGCATCCCGTCATCGTGCTGCCAGAGACGAGATTGAGCTTCTTCAGACGGATCCGGCTTATGTCCAATTTCGTGCTCGTGAGCTGGCCTCGGCGCACTTCTTCGAGACTTTCTCAGGCTCTGACAGATGGCCTTACTTTGTCGACCAGCTGTTTCTCATTCCTCTTCAACGAGAAATGTATTGGCGTCAGTTGAACGGTGAAAGTAAGCGGATGGGAGTGTGGCTGCAGGCCATCGAAGAGTGTCCATCAGATACCGAAGCTCGGGCAGAGTACGAGTATTTTGTCTCGATTGTCTGGGATTTGTGCTTGGAATCTTTTGCGGTCTTTGAATCGGGCGTTGAAGGCAGTCTGCTTTATCAGCGCGGCTTCGAGAAGAATCTCAACATCCAGGGTGATGGTAAGTCCAACAAGCATGATCGAAAGTTCAGCAAAGATGACTACTTTCCGGACGACATGTTGTACTGGGCCGTCAGCTCTCTCGGCTACGACGCATACCGTCCTCTGAGCATGGATCCTTCTCTCAACTTTGCCATTATAGATTACATGTGTCGGACCGACCGCAAACAGGCAACTCGAATCAGCCAAAGTCTGCTTGTTCAACTGAGCGATATGGCAGTCCTGTTCGAGGTCATGGACTCTATCAAGTCACGTCCTATCCGTGAATGTCAGATTACCCACGAAAATGCGAAGAAGTTGTTGAAGGAAGAGTGCCGAGACCAGTTCATCAAGAAGATCAACCCTCCTTTCGCGGACAAGGAGATTGGTGACAAATTGGGAGAGTTTCTTGAACGTGCTTGCACCCAGTCTACGTGGCCTCGTGGAAGAAAGAATCAAGAATGGTTGGATGGAGCCACAGCTTCTCACGAGGCTTTGGATGTTTTCTGGTCGGAAATGCGCACCATCTGGGCACACAAGTTGCGTAACGAGGGTGGTGTTGCTGAAAGCTATGTAAGTGTATCGACGGAACAGACACTATCGCCAATCGAAGTCACCTACGTGAGGACATTGCTGACTAGCATCTGCTGTTCTAGATCAAGGAAGACATTGATGGTCTCATGCGCTTCTCTCAAAGCGAAAAGCATTTGACCGAGCTTGCAGCTCAACGTGAGCACGTCCTCTGCCAGCTCGCTCGCCGCGAAAAACGTACTGTGGATGCGGAGTTGGTGCTTCAGACTGTATGGGGCGATGACAGCGATAATAGCAGCACCTCGCCTCAGATACCTGTAGCTCGCAAGACCAGAACCAGATCTTCACGCTCTGTAAGCAAAGATAACACCGAAACTTTGCCAGCACCCGTCGAACCTGCCATAAACCTTTCTCAGCCATCTAAGATCGCTGTCCGACGCGACAACATTGCCATATTCAAAGCCATGTTCCCAGAAAATGGCGAAGACTCTTCACGCAGCTTTGCCTGGCAGCATTTCCTGGCGGCCATGACGGACGCCGGTTTCAGTATCTTGCAGAGTCAGGGCAGTGCTGTCACGCTCAAGCTTGAAAAGAGTCAGGGTGTCAATACGATTGTGGTTCATCGTCCTCATCCTGTGGCTACCATCAACCCAATCATGTTGAGAAGCATTGCCAAGAGGATGAGCAAGTGGTTTGGTTGGGGTAAGAAGACGTTCGTGGAGCAAGAGAAGGAGCAGGGCCTGGTAGACAGATCAGTGGAAGCCTAGGCTGGAGTGACATTCCCTGCAACTTGTTCTACCAGATTATCTGCTGGTGAAAATGCAGAAGTTTCGAAACTGAGACGAGTTTCCGAGAGAGGTAACACATAATGCTCTCGACGGCCTCCCCTGGGTGCTAGAGACTCTTGTGTATTTTGGCAGCTGTGGACTTGATGAATTATGAGGCTGAGATGGTCAACGGGTTCCTTGTAGCATTGTAGCATGCTAGTAGATAGCCATAAGAATGCACAATGTGAAGCTGGTTTGCTGTGAGAGCACGAATGCATGATGTGTGTGTCACTAGCCCCTGAAAGATTTACACAAGGTACTCTAGAGAAAGTTCATTAATGGAGCGTTGGCAGTTAGGTAGCATTGCGGGTATCAGGAAAAGGGCAAAGTGCCTTACTACCTACCTAGCGCCAAAGGTCCAGTCGTCAAAATCATCATCCTCGTCATCGTCATCTTCATCCTCCTCTTGATTGTCATTTTGACTTTTTGTTGTCTGGCTCACTGCTTCTGGTATCGAAGCAGGAGCATCTGGAAGTGTTTCGGATTGCTTGGAAAGTCGCAAGGCTTCCCTCTTTTCACGCAAGCGTCTGACCCTCTCGTCCAACTCTTCCATTTCATCGAACTCTTGTTGCATGGCAAGCGCAGCATCCTCAGTATCAGCCTCTATTTCGGCTTCTCTTGCGGTACGCTGAGCGCTCTGTTCCTCGCGAGCCTGGGCAGCTAGCTCCTCGGCCGAGACAGGGGCGGCCGAGATGGTGGCAGATGCGCTGATGATGGGCAAGGCATTTTGTTGGGTAGCAGCCATCTCACGCTCGAAAGCGGCCCATTCGTCTTCATCGACATCTGGCGCAGGGGGCGGTGCAGGTGCGGTGGGTTGTGTCGTGTGCGCTTCGGCGGATGCAGCGTCTGGTATTGATGGAGCAGTTGGTGTGTTTGCGTCGTCAACTTCATGCTGGTCCTCGTCCTCTTGGGCGGCATCAAAGAACCCTTCGGGCACAAAGCCACCAGGGACAGCCTTGACCCTTTTCCTGCCCTCATCATCGCTTTCACCGGCCTTGCGCTTCTTGGTCTGTGGCGCGGCTGTGGGTGGTGGAGGGTTTGCGCGCAAGTATTCCAGTCGCGCGGTATGTTGCGGTGACTTGACGTGATTGTCCCATAACGACTCGGTCTTGATCTGAAGGTTGCAGACGGCACATAGCAGCTTGCCAGAGTCCGAGTAAGTTGCGTGAGGGTGGTTGATTCTGCGCGATGCGCGCTCATTACGCAGGAGCGAGCGCACGTCTGCCATGATGTTGCTCGTTCGTCTGTGCAAGATCGCAAATCGAGATGGTCCAGGAGTAGTCGCGTGGTGCACTCTGAGCGCGACTTGTGCCTGACGATTGCTTCCAACTTTTGCAACGCAAACGCATCATTCCGCCAAGAAAGGGTATGCGATCATGTCGTCAAAGCTTCGCAACAAAGTCCGCCTGCCAAAAACAACAACGAGACATGGCGACTGCCATCGGAACGCATGTGACAATCACGATCCGTACGCCCTTGTCTGTGTCTAAAACTCGATCTGGAGTCTGTCAATCATGGTCATGCTGCTGCTGCTGCTGCTGCTTGTCCAAGTCAGAAGCGTGGACGCCGGCCGACTCTGCCCTCAAGGCACTTCGCCGGCCTTCATTTATTCTCGCTCGGTCGCTGCCGCCTCCCGAAGACGCAACGCAAAAGACACTGCCTGATCAAAAGTCGATCCGTATTCCCTGTCCCTGCCACGTTGGTCGATCAAAGAAGCCTTCGGTCAGACTGCCGAACCTCAACCCTATTAAGCAGTCCTGTACATACCATCACCTAACACCCTTCACGTCCGATCGCGCTGTTCGATGCCATCGACAGATGAAGCATTTTGACCTTTGACCACGGACTCGTCTCCTCCGCTATGCCACGTGTATGAGACTGTCAAAACTTTAAACACGTTCGCTTTTGCTGCTGCCCACGACTCGTAGCTCGCGAGCAACCACGGATAGCCGTCTTCCGCTAACAAATGACTCCACAGGATACAGTCAGTTCTCGCCTGTCATATTTTGACACCTGCTTCTTTGATCCTCCGTGTCGTCGTCTTCACAAGTCGCATCTAGGGCTTCCTCGTCTAGATATAGTATGTAATACGTCTTGTGGCCGGAAACTCGTCGAGGAGGAGCGGCTATGACGGTCTTTCGTCCGCCTCCGCTGCGGAACTTGGACCGATTCGATCTCATGGAGACATGCAATATAGCAGTCCGAGACCCGACTGTGATATCTGCGACGAGGAGCCCACTTTTTGATAATCATCCCATGCAAAAATCGCTTGGCTCATACCTGATTTGCTGTCATGTTGATATATGGATGAGCATTGCCCTGAAGTCAAATCCCGAACGTCCCCACGACGGGGTATGAAATCACGAGCAGCGCCGTCGTCAGTGGTCAATGTGTGATTGCAAAGAATACGCAGTACATACGATTGTCGTTATAGAACAACTCATCACTTTCGCTGGTTGCAGGCTCAATACACCAGCCGTGTTTGTGCCCTACAGAGCACGACTCTAGAACAGCGGTGGAATCTTTTTGACAGCGAACGGCCTCCCCGGAGTGTTCGGATTTTGACTTTGAGCAGGGGGTGGTTTCCAACGCACGTAAGCTTTTGGGGGGGAAGACTTGCCGAGCTGAAAGAGCCCCCTTGTCAAAGTGTCGCGAGCACGCGAGAAGCCGACGTCATTCCGCGAATGTTTTCCCTCATCTCGCACCGACTCGACAAAATAAACCGTAAGCGTGTGTCGGTGCTCAAGGCTTACACACCTGAAGCTGCGGGAGGACAATCCTCGCAAGCATGCGACGTCTGAGAACAAGACCGGTTCTCTAAAATAAGCAGAGTGGCTGACAAGAGGCAAGAGGTCATTAATCCGAGTCAATCAGAGGGCATGCAGGCACATGCCGATCGATCAGGATATGCAGGTGAACATGTTCAGGCGGCTAAGCAATCCAAGCGTCTATTTGACAACGTGCATGCGTCTCCAACCAGTCAAGTTAGCCTTTGCTTGCCTTTGCATTGGATGCTTCTAATATCTACCCTTGGTGCCCCGCCCCGCTTCAGACACCATTCTCACATTACTTGTCCGAGACTACGCTCAACACAATCCACAAGACCTGTCTCGTTCTCACGTCCGACCAAAAACTCCTTCGAAATGTTACAACACGCTCAAATGTCACATGCCTTTCAATCAACGGCTGCCGGCGTAAGTGCCCTCTTCAGAGGATCTGACAGAGTTCCTGTGCTGACATGCTCTTGCGTCAGGGTCGAACATACCAAATCTCGAAGTTGCCGGAGCTCGATTATGCTGTCAACGTGACGATATTCCGCGACATCTTGGAGCTGGATGATGAAGACGAACAATATTTCACGCGCTCCTTGGTATGCGACTTCTTTACACTCGCACAACGGACTTTCTTGGAAATGGATGCATGCTTGTCAGTATACATGATGACAACCTGATCTTCGATTATCGATGTTAATCGAGCAAACAGAGAATCCCAAGATGTCAAGCAACTATGGAGCAAAGCACAATTCCTTAGAGGTCCCAGTGCAACACTAGGCATCTACAAGGTCGAATCCACCTGTGCGCGAATTGAGCAAATGACAGCAGTCACCGACACATTCCAGACCGAGGGCGATTCAAAACAAACTCTGTGCAACTCTGCCAGGATCCTATTAGACCAGGCCCAGCAATATTTCGCAGAGGCAGAGCACGCCTTACGGCACTTCTATGGAATGGATTGACTGAGCGAATGCCCTTGGGGCGGCATCAAATTTTCACGACCTTTCAACAATAGATTGGATATCAAGGACTTAATGACACAATGGCTGGATCCATCAATATTATCTCGCTTTTCGGGAGGCAATCTGGCTCATTACCAGTCCTGCTAGTATATGCCATGTGGAAACAGCTTCTGGAGCAACGCCGGCATTGCTCTGCCACTGGTTCGATTCCTCCTCTCGTGGTCATTGCGGTGACGCGGGTTTCTGCTGAGCTTTTGACCAGCGTACTGGATTAATCGTCAACGAATATCAAGGAAGACACTCCGATCACAAGAACTTACGGCCACAAGCGTTGCAGAGTGTTTTTGGCCCAGAAGGGCCCCTTCGCCATTCCGGAGAATCAGCAGTCCCGCACTCTTTGCACAGGAACTCCTTGAGTTGCCCCTCTTTCCGCTTCTTCGTGCGTGGTTTAGCTGTCCAGCCACCGGTCTCCTGCATCGTTTGCAGACGAGAGGTTGTGATCTCAATCCCCACATCACCCACTACAGAGTCCACCTGCGGTTTCGTCGAAGTTGACGCATCTGAAAGGGTTCTTTTGCGAGAAGAGACCGAACCTGAGATAGACACAGTAGTCGTTTTATCGTTGGAGACAGACAAGGCTCGAGAGGGCTGCATACATTGTCAGTTTCTTCCAACGACAATGGTGTAGATAATTATGCAGAAGATAGCACCACAATCCAAATCTCGGATTCTTGCCAAGCTCGGATTGATGTGTCTATGTTTGGAATACAACTCACCGTCGACGTCTCCACAGTGAGAGTTGCACACTGGATCGTATCATCATTCTGATTATATGCCACGGCGGTTGTCGTTGTGCTTTGGCTGATCGTCTGAGATTCCTCTTTTAGTTTTGCCAGCTGGGCAGTCAAGCGAATGTGTGTTGTGCAATGTTCCAGAAAAGAGTCCATCAATGAAGTACTGGGAATTGGATAAGGTCGTGAAGTCATCAAGCACATCTTGGTTGGTTTCAAACCAGCTTGTTCGAAGACCAAGTTCTCGGTGTATGGTTTGAATGTCGATTCAAAGATGGCGAAAGTACCATCCTGTCGTCGTAGTCTGTGATGGTATCTCCATGGTCTTCCAGCTGCCATGTTGTCTTTGAAATCCTCTAGAAACACGGGGATATCGTCGACCTTCATATAGGTAGGCATGTAGTGTCCAACAAGTTTCTCCGAGTCGACTTGAATTAATGGAAAGCTCATTGGTGATGAGTAGAGGATGCGGCCATCCACAGCCAGAACCATCAGCAGGTCCTGAATGCCATCCAAAACTTTTTGTTGAAATCCAGCGGAGCGATTAAGTGGTAGATTCTCAGTCTCAATGTGGAAATTGGGCGCCATGGTGGCTGTGAAAGCGGTGACTGGTATGTTAGGAATCGGCGATTTGACGAAGGAAGTGACAAAAGCTGAACAGTATCGGGACAGTGAGGGAGAAGTACTTTTCCCATATGGTCTTGCCCAGAGCTCATATAAGCCGCTTAGGCATCTCTGGAATATGGAAAAAGGTTTCGCGTCTCCGCCAAACCACCTGTTTGAGACTCTTATTTATTTCAACCCCAATAGCGATGCTCTACTTTGACAGCTTCTGGGCCCGCTTCAGCCACATCCTGGACAAAGATCCGACGAAGGATCCACCACTTGGCACGAGTCGTTAAGGCCCTCGTAACGTTTTGATCCCTCTACATACGTGTATCACCAGACTGCCGTACAGCTAGTTCTCAATTACATCCTCTGCATGTAGTCTTGAAGGTCAGTCTATGCGAGGAGGAGTCCGACCATTCACAAGAGCCAAATTTCGCCCGATGGCTTGCAGTGGCAAACGTCTGCGGTGAATCCGAAAGGTCTCTACTGACCAGCGGACGCGGACACCAGCTCCCGGCTAACAAGCGACAAGTCATCAAAGGAGTTTCGTACGTACACAGCGGCGGTGCGGCTCCGGTACCCGCCGACACCAGGCGAAAGAATTCCGAAGAATTGCTTGGGGTCAAAACATCGAATTCTGGCTTGTGGTCCAAGAATCCCATCGCCGATTGCACCCCAATTCGGAAAAACAGTCGAACAACACAAAAAACCAGACCGCAAAAGACCGTGAGAAGATCGACCAACCTGCATGTGTTCCGCTTGCTACAATGCTGACATTGTTCTAGACCATGTCAAAAGACTGGCAGCCTTTTTTCCCTCATCCTTCGCCAAATTGAAACACCTTTTCATGGCCGCGGAGCCCCAGCTTTGCTCTCGGACATTTTGCTGGTTGTGCATGATACGTTTGAGGAATTCACGCCTCACCTTGCCCTCATGCACAGTAACGGCTCAGGATTGCCTACGCGACGTCACGGGAAGAATTGCGTTGGAATTTGGAACTGGTGAGGCCAGTCTAAGAGCGCCACATGCGTAACTTGCGTGGGTATTGTTGTTGTGCGAAGTAAAAATGCGGTTTTCTCTGACATCGACAACTTCCACGGCACTTTATGGTCATTAAGCGCACACTGAGAGAAAGCCATGTGTAGTGGACGTTTGCGAACCTCGATTCGGACGGATGCCCTTGTCTACTTCGGGACTGCCGCCTGTGTATATGGCCATACTTGTATCACTACTTGTACATACTGCGGAGAGTGTCTGGGTGGCTGAGAACTATTCGAACATATGCAATGGATATGGCATAGGCCTCCCCGGGTCTTGAAAGATGTTTCGGAAATTCTTCTACGAATCGACCGCAAAGCCAACTAGCAACGTCAATGGATGACAGAGCACAACAAGCATGATCAGCAACGTCCCCTAGACACCAACACTTCCTACCTGTCGCCGGCCTCTCCTACTAGTGATACCATCACAATGAGGATGGAAACCTTACAATTGGTGTTTTCTTCAACAACGGTTCTGTGGTGTAGTTGGTTATCACTTCTGTCTAACACACAGGCGGTCCCCGGTTCGAGCCCGGGCGGAATCATCTTTTTTGCCTCTTTTGGGACTCCTTGGCCAGTGAAAAGTTCGCGATCTTTTTGCTCGTTCTGTTCTCATCTTCACTACTATGCAGTTCTAGGGACGGGCGAAAGCTTGCTTTGTGGTCAGTATGCTGCTGCATTGCTCGGACTCGATGCTACGGGTTTTGGTGCAGAGCTTCCGTATGAGATGCTGTTCGGTGACCTTCAATCGACGTATTGAATGGTACGGGCAGCCTGAAGGTTTTGTCGAGTCCTCAATGCTGTTGATGCTTTTTTGTGTAGAGATAGATTGCGTTCGCCGAACCAAGTCGGATTCTGTTGGTATGACCCTGACTAAAAATGACAACATCAATTACTCGACGATGAAACTGAATCTAATCATTGTCATGGTTCCCAATAGACTAGACAAGTACACGTAAAAAGCACTGCTCAGACTTCCATTGCTCGAGGCATGTCTTTGTATGTTTTTTGCTATCGAAGACTGTCGATCTTTTGAGAGACTGGCAATGCTTTAGTATTGCCCCTTCTCTTAGACGATGACACGCTTGACCCGACCTAGAATCAATTCACATCCAGTCTGTTGTCGTACCTCTGACTTTTTCATACATATTGGCAACAAGGCGTAGCTCTGTTGAATTGCGTATGACCACCTTTTTGCCAATATGTATGAACACAAGGTAGTCTTTAATGCCAGTGCAAACGACCAACACCTTTCGCAGCATCGTGATTGACCTGGCCCGTATGTAGCCATTTATCAGCCACAATACAGCCGCCTATGCTCTTTCGCCGGACCAAAATCGTCTTACTGTTCATGTTGATCAACATGCTATGTTCTCACCAGACGGGACGTACGAGGATTGTAAGGTCTCACCCGATTTATTATGAACGAAGGCGACGAAAAGTCACAAATTACGCAGTGAGATTTTAACTCTCTAGACCTCTGGCTGGACATTGCTACATTCCCAAACAAAATGGTGCATAACGGGGAGTAAACTGATTATGACGATTGTGATCGGGATGACCTCGAAGACGACTTCGACCAAGTATGCGAATTCGTAGTGATTATGGTGCACGACAGACATCCCACGATATACTGAGAAAGTTGGAGAAAGTATGTATTATTCTTTGAATGAAAGCCACTGACTTATAGGGACTGAGCCATTTCAACGTCGTTCGGATTAGCGTAGAGCTGCCGGCGGCTTTCTAGGATCGGGTATATCTAGGACCCACTGCTCTTGATCCTCGCCATCCTCTGCGGCCACCATCATGAGCGAATCTCGTAAAGACACTGCCTTGTCCACGATCTCTGATACGTTGAAATCCTGTAGAGGACCTCCTCGGCAGCAGTACCTGCGGAAGATTTTGCGATACACGTCCGGTCCTGAGCGTGTTAGAAGTGTAAGACATACGACCAAGGGGAAACAAATACATACCTGCGAACTCTTGCAGCCCCTCCCCCAAGTAGTAGACATGATCATGAGGGTGCCAGTAGGGATATTCGACTGATGCGCTCTCCAGGGGGATAAATTTGAGGTGTTGTTGCTTGTCGAGAGGCAGGCAGAATTGACCTTCGAGTTCCGCGCCAAATCTTTGATCATGGAGCACCCGCCAGTGTTCTCTCCAGTTCCTGATCTTCAACTCGTTTTGCTCTTGAAGCTCAGCAGCTCGCTGTCGCTCACGTCGTGATTGCTGTCTTTGTGTATGTTCGACTTCCCTCTCGAGTTCAGCTGCCTGCTGTCGCTCTCTCTGGATTTGGCGTCTGCGTGCATTTTCTGCTTCCGCTTCGAGAGCGGCCACTTGCTGTCGCTCGCGTTTGACTCGTTGCTTTTCTGCATATTCAGCTGCGTGTTTGACCTGCTTGAGCATTCTCAAATGTCTTTCTAGAATCTCATGTACATTCTTGATCCTGGCAAGCATTGCAATAGCAGCTCGTGGACGAGGAACCTTCTTCCTTGTATTGCTTGATTGCACCTTTTCTGATATCTCTATGACTGCCTTGGTGACGTTTCTGCATCCCTTCAGTGGTTCATAGGAGAGCCTCTTGATGGTCCCAGCTTCAGAAAGGTAGTACACCATGCTGACGTAGAGCATCCGAACAAGACTAGGCAAGACTCGTGTGTATATGTGTTTAAGTGCCCTCTCCCCATTCCAATCAGACTTTTCGAGAATCGACTTTGCTTCTTTCAAAACATCATTCGAAAGCGTGATCAAGTCGTCTGTCCTAGTATTGTCATTGGCAGATCTCCAACGGCCGACAATCCTCTTCAAGCGACTGTAACTTTTCAGGATGTTGATGCCGCCGAGCTCCTCTGGAACATGGTCGCTGTTGGCCGCCTCATCGAGATCATGCGCGAATTCGAGGGCTTCGTCCAGCTGTTCTGGAATGTGGATATCCTCAGAGTCATTTACTTCATTGTTACGGTCTTCTTCTTCATCTTCCTCATCTTCATCTTGGTCGTCAGATGCGTATTGTTTGCATATTTCGTCCACTCTCCTTCCCATCTCCTGACTCCCTGCTGTTGATTGCGCACCTCTAGGAGCCGACTCAGGGGTCACGAATAGAGCACTGTCTGGAGACTGGTCCTTCTGCGTTTCTTGAACTACTCCTGGTGGCACACCGATGGCTTGGGGTAGCGGAGAAACCTCACGGCCCAAGGAATGAACCGGACTCGCCTGGCGCTGTTCAGATGGAGGAGGTATGGAAGGAGTTGGCGGTTCCAGACTAGTTTCACGTTCCTGGACAACGGCTTGGAGAGATGCAGGGTGAATTCCGGATCCAATTCGTTGGCCCGGTGGCTGAACGGAAGAAGCACCCTCAATCAGAACTTCCGGACCTGGTGATGAATGGATGGCTTCCTCGTTTTGGGACTGGCTCTCAGGCAGGAGTTCCTCTGAAGCAGAATCCAATTGCACTGCAGGACAATTACGCCGTTGTTTCCGGGGCTGCGACAAGTCCAATTGTTGGTGAACTACACCGCGTGCAGAGCGTGTTAGTCGTAGGCTGCTTGTTGAAACAGGCGGAGCAGAAGTTGCTACCTCTCGACTGGGCGGTTGCCGGCTGTTCTGCTTCTTCGCTGGTAGAAGAGGCGGCTTAGGTGTGGGATGCTGATGATTGCCTCGAGTAATCAGGCCAACTCTGTGAGTTGTCTTTGATCGCTTTACCGGAGGTCCTTGGGGAGTATCTTGTGGATTCTCGCGACGAGTGATGGGCAGAGACGGTACTCGTTGGGGCGAGGCATTATGATTAAAATCATACAAATCTGGGCGTAAAGCAGAGTGCATTGGTCTCGGTGGGCGGTCGGCCGCAAGGTCCTTTGTTGGACGAGTAAGTTTTCCAGAAGGATGTGTCGCTGAGATCAGTGAGTTGATCATGTCGACCTGCGGGACTTCTTCATTCCCTTCGCTCACTAGTGCATATGATTAGATTTATGAGAACGGCTCGTGAATATGCGTCGAGAACGTACTTGGCATATCGGAATCTGGCATGATGAGAGCAGAATTCAGATTCGATATTCGCAGGTGTCCAGATATTGCGTGAGGACTTGTATTAATGTCTGACTCTTGGTCGTCTGAGACATCGTCTTCATAGAAGACTTGATGTGAAGTCATGTGTTTGGCGCATGGCGCGACTTGGGTATGTGAGTGGAGAACAGCTTCGACAGCTCTCCAGAAGAGCTAGCTGTCGAACAGCACGATGTTTTGAAAAGGCGAGTAAGTTGCGTCTTGGGAGCGGAAGATTGCAACAATGCAAGAGGTTGAACAAAGCTTGGACCAACAGCCATCAAACACACAGAACACACAGAACACCTCGATTTGGGAAGCGCGATTGACCAAGTCCGAGACCATCGAGAAATCCTCAAACCTGCTCGCCGTCATGACTGACGATTTGCGCAACGGAAGTGCCATTCCATTGCTCCAGCTCATCCCGCCATCCTCCCAGCTACACTTCGAGACGCCTTCGAAGCGTATCAACGATGGCGACGACCTCTCCTTCTTCCTGCGGAGCTGTGCCTACGCCGACATCATGACCTGGCTTCTCCAGTTGAACCGATCTATGATTCCTCAACGACGTCCACATGATCCAAGTGTCGTCGACACATGGCCACTCAAATCACCAAACATCAACATCTCTCCGCATGTAGCCAGACTGAACAAACTCATCCGCTCGCTCGATGGTCTTATGGACGAGGCACCTCCAGAGTCTGGCCCCCGCAGGTTTGGCAATGCAGCCTTTCGCAAATGGCACAGGGCTGTCCAAGAAGCCACCCCATCTCTCTTGAGAGACGCCCTCTCGGACACGGTGTGGGGCCGTGCTCAAGGCGACGCCGACCTGATTTCACTAAACCACGAAATCGCCGCATACCTTCTGGGTAGCTTTGGAAGTCCCGAGAGACTTGACTATGGTACCGGTCATGAGCTGAGCTTCCTTGCCTTCCTGGCCTGTATTTGGAAGCTGGGTGGCTTCTCGAACGCAGACCCTGGTCACGAAGAGAGAGGCATTGTCACCGCCATCATACAGCCGTGAGTCCCGAAACTCGTGCTTTCTCCGTCCAGCGCATTGCTGACACTATCTCTAGCTATCTTGAACTGGTGAGAAAACTCATCTTGACCTACACTCTCGAGCCTGCTGGTTCTCACGGAGTATGGGGACTTGATGACCATTCTTTCATACCATATGTCCTAGGTTCTGCTCAATATTGCGCTCCTATCGACCATGATTCCATCAAGGTCCCCAACGAAGGTTCGCTTTTGGCTTCGCCTTCGCCAACTCGAACCGCAAAGAATGACTCGGCCGAAATGTACAGAGACTCCAACATGTACTTTTCTGCAATTGCCTTCATCTTTGATGTCAAGAAGGGTCCCTTCTGGGAGCACAGCCCTACGCTGTATGATATCTCCGGCATCAAGGACGGTTGGGCTAAGATCAACAAGGTCGGGAGCTGTGCGCATACTGATGTCAGTGTGGTTTGGCTAACAGATCAGCAGGGGATGATTAAGATGTACAACGCCGAAGTGCTCTCCAAGTTTCCAGTTGTCCAGCATTTCCCATTTGGTTCACTCTTTCGATGGGAGCAAGATGCAAGCGCTCCGGTGCCTGCAGCATCGCCTCACATGGGGTCTCAGCCGAGGCCTTCCAAATCACCCAGCTCGAACAACACAACCTTTCCCCAGCCGTCGACGCGAGCACCATGGTCAGGTACGGTAGCACCACCATCGGCAACACCTGTCACTGCCGCACCAAGGGCAGCGACAGGGTCATCATCTGCAGCGAATTTCGCAAGGGCAAGGGCCCCACCAGGCCCAAATCGATAAATTCTTGGGGACAAGGCGCTTTCTGGAGACGCAACGGCGACAAAAGTAGACTGAAAGTACGAGTACTTGTAGCCGAGAGGGCAGAACAAGCAGCGTGCCACCAACGTCCGATAAGTTCGCAGCCGCCAACGCTCGGGTACAGATAAAGACCGTTTTGTTTCATGCACACATGGCCATCAAACGGTGAGCGGGGGCACATATGCAGGTCGAGGATGCCGTACAAGCACGTGTGACGCTTTGCAAGTAGAGTCGAAAGAGGAAAATAGGATATTGGACAGCACGCAAGAGAGATGCAAAATAGCGATAGTCCAGAGGCTAGAGGCTGCGAGTCAGCGCGTGGAAAGCTGATGATCAGCGTAGCCGGACGCGTTTCGTGGTAGCTTCCCTGGGGTGGCCAATAAGAGGCGGCCTCGAGATTGCACTCGACCCTCGTCAATCGGCGCTAGAAAGGTCCGCGAAAGCTTCTGGCTGCCGGTTGGGTGCTGAACCAGAAACTCAAAGATGTCTGGTCCGCATTGGAACGAGACACGAATTGAAAAGACGTCTTTACCTGTCGCTCTTGTCCTCGCGCACCATGCGTCGATTCCTTCCTTCCACACTCTCTTTCACCTAACTCTCCACCATCTTTTTGATCTTCGTTCCCACCTTCACCCACTTTCCATTTCCTGTCTCACAAAGCCTCGGGCAAGCGCCCCACCAAAGTGACATAATGCCTGGAACCTCCTGTTAGTATTAATTGCGTCTCGGGAGTCGAGATGATGCATGGCTCAACTAACAATGTCGCCAGCATCGTCTTCAGACACATACGAACAATTCAAACGGGCTTTTCGCAATCTTTTCCGACGACGAAAGCTCAACATCAACGTTCCTGCAGTCGTCAAGCCACAAGCGCCCACGCGTCCTTCACGCCCGCGATCAGCTTCAGCAGTCGCAGCACCCGAGGTCTTTGAGAGCCCGGAAATTCCGTCATGGCCTATCTTCGGCCAGCTACCACACGGCGGCGGTCTTTACTGTGCACCGGTTGAGCTTCCCGGCTCACTTGCGCCTATGCTTCAGCAACGCTCAAAGTCTGATGTAGGACAGCCTTTCTACCACTCCGATCTCTTCAGTGAACTCGACGCTACTTCGATCCGACGTTTGAGTGTTATTGGGAGCGCAATAGGAGATGACGAAGATCTGAATGAGGAATACTTCAAGCTTCAGGCTGAACTGAACGAACAACAAGTACACGGCGAAGAGGGAGGAATCGTACCGGGACACGCTTCCGAACCCGAACACGAGCAACAATCTCAAGAACCAGAAGACCTACAAACAGAAGAGCCATTGCAACTAGAGCAAGAACAATCAGAACAAACCCAGGACGATGCACTTTTCCAAGATGCAGAGGAGCATCTCCCTCAGGAGATCGAAGACGTCCTAGAGCCAGCTGATATTGCCCTGCCAGAGGGTTCCGACTCGGGTAAGCTTCATTTTGCTATCAATACCGGGAAGACATGCCTAACTGAACCAGACTTGGAAGAGGACGATATCTCATTTGCACTGGATCCAGAAGAGCTTGCCAGGAATGACTCGGCAAACGGCGGCAAGGTCTACCACGACGACTCCAGCTCTCTCTACAGCACCGATGAGTCCGATATTGACGTGGACTCTACTACCGACGTAGCCACTGTTTCTACACCTCGCACCGCTTCTTTGCTCAGAGCAGACATGATGGAGTACTTTGACGAGAAGATCCCCGTGCTTTCTGAGCCATCTCAAGTGCTTCCTGTCATCCCTGCCCCCGGCATGGCTGCAACTTCCGGCCCTCTCGAAAATTTCTTCTGGTGATGACATTCAACCTCACTCCTGTTTATTCATTCATCTATTTCCTTTGTTTTCCCCGCCATGGAGTTGGACCATGATCCAAAAGGAAGGCGTCTGTTTTGACTGATTTCTACATGATACCATTTGATGAACATTCTATTGCTATGAGTTTTTAGTTTTATATATTTCGGCGGGGAGGTTTTTTGGATCATCAGTCTTGGATAACGTGTGCATTTGTTGTATATAGGAGCAGCAGAAACGAGAAGCATTCATACTACTCTACACATCTTTCGTGGTAACCTATGATTCACCGTGCCTTGCGCAATTTGGTGATACATGAGCTGATTTCTCTCACCCTTTGGATTCAATATATTGACATATCAAGGTCTACTATGCGCGAGTCATCTTGTCAAGCGGTGTGGGTGTGGTGAATTTGAAATGTTCGTTGCTGATCTCGGTCCAACGCGTGAAAGCGGGCGAGAATCGCAATACCAACCACCTTCCAACCCCGTACGCACGCACATGACTCTCGCCCTACGCACGAGAATCGCAACCACATACCTAAACACATTTCCAAAACCAGAATGGCGTCAACATCAACACCACCGACATTACTACCGCTCAGTCAAGGGCCCCGAGTCATCGTTTATCATCAAACCATCCATCGTGATGGCAAATACGTGTCTCTATTGCCGCTGATCACCAATCAGACCGGCGTCACGCATGTAATAGTGGCGGCTATACATTTGAACGAAGGACCGGGAAACATCACGCTCAACGACGATCCTCCGGATGCTGGCAAGTACGAAACACTGTGGGGTGAGGTGGCATGGTTGCAGGCGTCTGGAGTAAAGGTGCTGGGTATGCTCGGAGGAGCCGCAAAGGGAAGTTTCGAAAGACTTGATGGACCTAACGAAACAAAGGTGTGTTTTTGAGCAGCATCGTTACCAGATGACAAAATCAATGAATATGCAGAAAGCTGACTTTGTGAAAAAACAAGTTCGAGGATTACTACAGACCACTACACGCATTGATCTCCAAACACCACCTCTCAGGCCTGGATCTAGACATCGAAGAACACATGTCAATCACAGGAGTCATCCGCCTCATCGACCGCCTACGCGTGGATTTCGGTTCTTCCTTCCTTATCACTCTCGCACCTGTAGCGACAGCCTTACTACCCAACCAACCCCATCTCTCGGGCTTCGACTACAGACTGCTAGAGCAAATGCGTGGAAATCAGATTGCATGGTACAATACACAATTCTACTGTGGTTGGGGAGATGCGACGACGACATTCTGGTATGATGCCATCATGAGTGTTGGCTGGAGAGCAGACAAGGTTGTCGTGGGTCTAGTTACTAACCCCGGGAACGGAGCTGGCTATGTGGAACAGAGCACTTCCCACGATGTTATGAGGATGCTGAGAGCAAAGTACCCGACATTCGGCGGTGTGATGGGATGGGAGTACTTCAACTCTTTGCCTGGAGAGCACGGAGAACCGTGGCACTGGGCTGCCGGTATGGCGAGAGCGATCAGACATGCGTTACCGCCGAGCGGGCAAGTGCAGGGTGGAAGAGGTGTTGAGAGACCTGGTGCAGGTGGAATGCCGCCGACGATAGCGGTGCCGGCTCATTCTTTCCCTGCACAAGATATTGAGACTCTACAGAACTTGGGATTCTCAAGTCAACAGGCGATTGCGGCGCTCAATGCAACAAGCGGCAATGTGGAGTATGCTGCTGGGCTACTCTTTGAGTACTGAAAGCCACTGTAGATGATCCGCACGGTACACAGACATAGACAAAGTAATACGCAAGTCATGAATAGAAAAAGATTCATTGCGAGTAAAGAAGCCTATCAAGAAGACGCCCCCCAAAAAGCCTTTCCTGAACATAAGCGGGGCATGAGCCGGCATGGCTCGAAGAGATGGAGGAACCGAAAACACAGGATAGAAGAGAAATGTACCAGAACCCAGATGAAGCGAGCACTCGAGCTCGCTCCTTGTTCGCCCCTGAACGCCAGTAGTGAAAAATCGAACCATGCCGATGCAGAGAATTGGGTAATTTTTAAAGAAAAAAAAGGGGACGTTGTTGATGACATGAAGGGGAACCGGAGAGAAATACGAAAAGGCATCAGAGGCGTGGAGGGGTCAATCAGTGGTAACCGTTTCGCGCACCGTAGTACTTCGAGTCGTTGAAGTAGGGGTGTAAGCAGGCCTGCTTGGCTGAGATTCTGCCGGCAGGGTCGTAGATGAGCAGCGACTCGAGAAGGTCGATGCCGTCCTCGCCCAGAACTCTTGCGCCGTCGTGGTTGATGATGTCGTCGTCGGGGTTGCGCGACCACTTGGGGAAACTGGGCTTGAAGTCGGGGAAGCTGGTGACACCGGGCCAGTCCTGCTCGCCAGGGGTACCCAGGATGCGGAAGATCTTGAAGATCTCGTCGATTTCAGAGTCGCCGGGGAAGAGGGGCTTGCGAGTGGCCATCTCGGCGAAGATGCAACCGACCGACCACATGTCGACGCCTGTGCTGTATTGACGTCCACCGAGGAGAATTTCGGGAGCGCGGTACCAGAGGGTGACGACCTGTGTTGACCATGTTAGCTTTGAATGCAGGGACGGAGTTGGACTTGAGAGCGACAAACCTCGTGGGTGTAGGTGCGAAGAGGCACACCGAAGGCTCTGGCCAGACCGAAATCAGCCAGCTTGAGGTTGCCCTCCTTGTCAATAAGCAAGTTCTGGGGCTTCAAGTCGCGGTGGAGGATGCGGTGGGCGTGGCAGTAGCGGATACCGGCGCAAAGTTGGTGCATGAACTTCTTGACCATGGCCTCGCCGAGTCCCATGTGTCCTGCGCGACCGTCCATGCAGCCCTCGGGCAGAGGCTTGCCACGACCTCCTTGTGAGACGGGCAGAGCCTCCATGTACTTCTTCAGATCCAGGTCGAGGTACTCGAAGACCAGGTACAGCTTGTGGCCGTCGGCGTGGACGATGTTGAACAGGCGCACGATGTTGGGGTCGCTCATCTCCTTGAGGAGCGAGATCTCGCGGATGGCAGTCGAGGGTACGCCTTCATCTTCGGCCTCCAGACGGATCTTCTTGAGTGCGACGATGCGGTTGTCGGGTGTGGTGAGGTCGCGCGCCTTGTAAACCACTCCGTATGTGCCTGGGTGGAGCAGTGTCAGTTTTCACATGCTAAGCGCGGCAGCTTGCGAGAGGCAGAGAAGGATCACGCACCCTCGCCAATCTTTTCCATCTTCTGGTAGTTCTCCATGGCGGCGCTTGTTGTGTGCGTGTTGGAGTGAGTCGAGTGTTGGAAGCTGGCTGAGGGTCGAGCAGCGTGATGTGTGCTGTGTGCTGTGTGCTGTGTGATGTGCTGGGCCTGGGGACTGTAGCAGCGACCGTTGTGCCTGGATTGCTTCAAGGGAAAGGGGCAGCTCAAAGTGGTGGCAATGGCGGCAAGGTTTGCTGCAGGTCAGTACAAGGCGGGTGAAAGAGTGAAGCGCTTGGAAGCAGGAGCAGAAGCGTCTGTCAACCTGTCAATTGCTTTTGATCGATGTTATCAAAGCCTTTTATTTTCGTCAACAAGTTGCCTCCCCACCAAAAGTAAACACAAAGTGGGCAACAGAGCCAAGATGCAAACACAACAACCACAAACTCCGCATCAACAACAGCAAAATCCACAACCTTCCTTTGCCTACTCGACAACAAAATCTCTCTTCCAATAATGACTCAACATCTCGATGCCCATGCCCGTCCGCCTGATGCTTTGCGTTTGCAATACAAGCACTATCAGAAAGCCTCGATCCACGCGCTAGATCAAGACCCTGTCCTGTTTGATGCTCACCGTCGCAATCTGAACGCCTATGACGACCGCAATTTCCATCAAAGAGAGCCTGAAGCCATTCAAAACATCTATTCTCGTTTCCTTGGCGAACCTGCCAATATACCACCCACGTCGATTCAATCTGCCAAACTTTACGAACACCCGGACGTGCCAGGTAGGTGCCGACCGTCTGCTTCGACTCGATCTCTCTTTCTGAGTCTGCGGTAGGTCTTTTCATAATACCATCACTACTTCCCAAAGAAGTCCAGCTCTCTTTGCTGGACAAGCTACTACATCGCGACCTCTCCAATGCCACTCACAAGACAAATCTACACATACACTATGATATTGCGTACCCCCAGAAGTCTGATGGAAGTCCGGCTTCTTTCTTCTCCAACCAAGCGCATAACACATCTCATCAACCCAAGGACTCTGCCGTCCACAAACCTCTAGCCATGTCTTCTTGCCTAAATAGGAAATTGCGTTGGGTCACTATTGGCGGCCAATACGACTGGACCCAGAAGGTCTACCCTTCGTCAGCACCGCCGCCATTTCCTGAAGATGTCGCTTTTCTGGTAGAGGGACTATTCCCATCCATGAAAGCACAAGCCGCGATAGTTAATCTCTACACGCCGAGTGATACATTGAGTCTACATCGAGATGTAAGCGAAGAATGCGACAGGCCACTAGTCAGCATTTCTCTGGGATGCGATGGAATTTTCATGGCGGGCTTAGAGGGTGGGAAGGGTCTTGCGATACGCCTACGCTCAGGAGATGCGGTTGTCATGTCGGGTCCATCGAGATATGCCTGGCACGGTGTTCCGCAAATAGTGGCAGGGACATGCCCAGAGTGGATGGCAGATTGGCCTTGCAGAGAGAGCACTGGCGAAGAGACGCATGAACACTGGAAAGGATGGATGGCACGGAAAAGGATCAATCTCAATGTCAGACAGATGTGGGAATGATCAGATCCGATCATGACTCGTTGAATACTGAGTGTCATTCGGAGCACCATTGAATTACATATTTCATGAACCATCAATGTTCCCAAACATCGAAGGGGGCCTCTGTTCGCAGCTTGTCATGTTTCATTATAGTTGTATATAATATATTGGTGATGTGCACGCAGATGATGAAGCCCAGAAGCTGTCCCACTTCCTGACGCAGCTCATGACGAAACAGCTCTTCGAAGATCAACATGAAGCTTCACCCTCTGACCTTCGAACCCCAAGTTCAGCATCACTTCTAATACCCATAGACGCAACTAGACAACAATGACTTCAACAATCGACTCCTCGATTCCTCCTCTCAAGCCCATCTACGAGCCCAAAGACGCCTCGGCTCCGCGTAACGAATCACCCAAACTCGCAAAGTTGATCAGTACCCTGCAACTCCAACAGCACATCGAAGGTGGCTACTTTGTCGAAACCGATCGCGATGTTAACCGGGTTCCAAACCCGTTCCTCAATGCCTCTCCCTCGGCCGCAAGCAATGAACAAACAACCTTCTACACTTCTACCGGCGCCGTAAGCGCGAACCTCTCCAACAAGCTCACAGAGGTCGACCCAGACAAGAACAAAGATGCTTCAAAAGGGGAAAAGACAAGAAACGCAAGCACAAGCATTCATTACCTCCTCACCCCGGAATCGCCCATGGGAGCCTTCCATCGCAACAGAGGACGGACAATTCACACACTCCACCGCGGAAGAGGTCGCTACGTAATCATCCACGCCGACGAAGTACTGCCCTCGTACGACACGCACTCTGGTATAAGAGGAAAAGCTAGAGTAGAAACATTCATCGTGGGCCATGATGTGGAAAAGGGTGAAAGACTTCAGTGGATCGTGGATGGTGGAAAATACAAATCTAGTTTCTTGTTGCCGTTGGAAGGGGAGGAGAAGGATGGGGATGGTTTGTTGATTAGCGAGACGGTCGTGCCTGGGTTTGAGTACAGTGATCACGATTTTATGAGGGTGGAGAGGCTGGAGGCGTTGGTTACAAAGGAGCAGGCTGATGAGATGAGGTGGATGTTGAGGAAGGATGACAAGCCCGTTTAGAAGATCCAAACCAAGCCATGCCTCGTCACCTATGAGATCAGTATAAACGTGGGCAAAGGAAAAACATGATCAAGAGATGAAAACAATCAAATTATTACTGCTGCTCAGCTATTGAGTCTCAAGAGGTATCATGCAAGTCAATCAATCAACCGCTCGTAATCATCGTTGCTGTGTACCATTTCTATCCGTCCATTATTCGTCCATGTTGATCAGTCTCTGCATCATTTACACCTTGCTGTGAGTAGCAACGCCGTCGGTGGGACCAGCGGCCGAGTATGCTGCCTCCTTGCGTTCGGCTTCCAGAGCGGCGGCATCGGTGGTCTGGGGGCGGGTGTCCTCTTCGGTGAAGACCTTGGTGGGCTCAGAAGGGTATTCGCTAGATGCAGACTTCTCGGGGGTGACGGCAGAACCCATGGCAGCACTGGGCTGTCTGCTCTCACTAGGGCTAGTGGGAGGAAGCTCGTTGGTGGTCGATCCGGTTGAGCTTCTCAGAGTCTCCCACCACTTCTGAGCCTCCTGGGGGGTGTGGGCCTTGAAGGCATACTCGTGGGCCATGGAGAGCTTGTTGCCAAAGCTGCTGCCCGAAACATCCTTGCCCTTGACCTGGAACTTCAGGCCATCAACGGCACCAACCATGCAGTCGGGAAGGTACAGAGAGGTCTCGGGAGTAGGGTCCTTTGCGAAATCGTCGTCGGTCTTGAACTCGTGCATGAACTTGGAGGGAGTGATGACCCAGAAAGCGGCCTCGTACTTCTTAAGCAGCTTGCCCTTGCGCTCCAGGGAGCCAGCAATCAAAGGCTCGGTGGCTCTGTGGTTCTGGTTGGGGAAGCTGATGTTGGACATGCTGCGTGGAGGAGCGTTGGGGTCGATCAGGACCTGGTTGTTGCGCTGGACGAAGCCGTTCCACTCGAAGTCGGGAGCGATCTGCTGGGCGGTGCTGGTCATGTTGCCGTACATGGTGCGAGTTTGCTCGGCCTGGTTGCCGACAATCTGGTTGAACTGACCCAGACCATTCTGGATGGTGGTGAGAATGTGGGCCTCGAACTGAGCAAAGCTGTTCTGCACAGCGATAATATCGTTGCGGTTGTTGTTCTCCTCGATGATCTGCTTGTTCAGACGGTGGTAGACACCGCGCTGGAGAATGTAGGGGTCCTCGTGGGCGTGGATCTTGCCTCCAGTGCTGTCAAAGGCGGCTGTGTGCTGGCCGAGCTGCTCGATGTGCTTTTGAGACGTCTGGCGAGCCTTGTCGACGAGCTTGCCGCCCTTGCCAGCACCCTTAGTGAGCTCCTTGGTCTTGTTCTTGATCTCGGTATGGAGGCGCTCGAAGATGGGCAAGACCGAGCCCTTGATTGTCTTTGCGGTTTCGGCATGCGAGTTGGAGATACCCTAGTGCTGGTCAGATTCTGCTTCGCATAACTTCGGCCATGTTACAGCCATACCTGAGTGTTAGAGCGAATGGTGTCAAAGGTACCAGCAATGCCGCCGAGGTTCTGGTCGAAGTGGTGACCCTCCTTGAGGGGATGCGATACCGTCTGTCGCGGCCAATTAGTATCTTGAAGAGTTCAAGGGCGAGATGGACGACTAACCTTAAGGACCTTTTCGTACTCCTTGGCGTGGGTGTGTTGCAGCTTCTCAGTGGCTGAGATGTAGTCCTCGAGGTAACCACATGCGTGCTTCCATGCTTGCAGGCGCTCGTGGAAGAGCTTGGTCACCTCGCTCGTGTCCTCGTCGGGAATGGCATCGTCGTCCGTGGCATTGGTAGCCGTTCTGGTGGGAAGGTTCTGCTCTGCGTGGGACATTTTGGCTGCTGTTTATGTGATGATGATATATGATATGTTTCTGAGCAATCGAGAGATCAGCTGGAGCACTCCAGTTTCAGCGAGGGGCACGCTGAGTCTTGAACTTGGCGCAACAACAGAAAGGCGGTAAGGATTCCCGCCCGTGTGATCAACGTGGGGTAAATGAGATGAGAAGCTTACCCGTTCCAAGATGCAATCTGTGAAGATTCCGTCGCTCTTGTGAGATATGTAGAGAGTGAGTCTCTCCAAGATCTGGTGGGACGTCCTCGTGTTTATATCACCGTTCTTTCAAGGCGCAGCTCGACAAGACTTCTGACTGCCACACCCCGCTGATCGCAAACGTCGAGTCCCCTATGAACCCCGGTCGATAATTCGTTCAATGACGAATAGCCTTCAAGCCACTGTCGTAAACTTTGGGCTCGTGCCCCAAGTTCGAGACCACCGGCTGCCATGGCGTTCCCCAGCCAACAGACCCTTTCAAATCTTGCGACAAGGTCAAGCCACAAAGACTACAACGGCTGGTAAATACAGCCACTTCACCCAAACACAAAGTGACAAAGCATTCATTCGGCGGTGAGTAGGAAGTGACATACCATGAAACCATCGCGTCGGCATTTTTGCTCGGAGACAGAGCGGAAGTGCAAGTGATCGGAATGACAGCTTGGCATAACTACCAGAAAATGCTCTGAGAAGCTCTCAGGGGCCCGCTGGGTGATTCTTCTCAAAGGCGTCTCTATGTTTTGTCTGCGATTAGCTCTGGGATGAGCTCAACGGCTCCCAAAAGGCTCGCGGAGGCCACCTCTTCTGTTCTGATGGGTTCAAGGTTCTCTGCAATAAGTTGGAGACCAAGGAATACAGGAAATGTTCAGAATGTCCCTCTGAACCGAAATCGTTATCACTGGGTCACGAGAACAGACTACAATTGAGTGCAAGAGGCACGACGAACTTATCCCCATTTCACATGTGACTTGACATGATGTGTCCTTTGTCGCGAGAAGCCTCTTGAGCGTGAGCCCGACCTCTCGAGACTGTGCGGCCAATCTTCTTTGGGTTAGTGTCAGACCTCATGATGTCTCGTGATCTCTGACGTCTTGATTAGTCTAGTCAAAGACCGTGGGTACAACACTCGGAATCAATATTGGTAGAGGACAGATAGAATGCAAGTGAAATCGTGGCTCTCGTTCATATTCGGCGGCCGCAAAGAAGCAGGATGAAAAATCAAGAGATGGAGGAGAAATAGAAGAAAGAGAGAAGAAATGACAACTCATACGCCAATTTCAAATGCTTCCAAGAATAAAGACAACCAACAACGCCTCTTTCTGCAAGATCGCAAGAACTCCGTTTTCCCAATGCGTTTGCTTGCTTCGACATATCACCACAATTCGTTGTTCTCCTCGTCTTGCCAAAGACTACTTTGGTCACCAAATGGTTGCGAGTCTGCTGAGTATCCTAGATAGTCCTTTTGACCAGAAGCGTTGCTCGGTGTTTCCAGGACAGAGTGTTGTTGGACCGCACCGGGAGTTGACTGATCACCTGATTTGCGTTGCTGTTGATCGTGTTAGCTGCGTTTTCGTGAGACTTGACTATGCCGAGAACGTACCTCTTGCCAATTCTGGTATTTGTTGTTCTCCTGCGCTTGCTTCTCCTCTGCCTCAGCGTCGGCAGCGTCTTGCTCCCGTTGCTGCTGCTGTTGTTGCTGCTGTTGTTGCATTTGTTGCTGTTGTCTGGCCTGTGCCGTCTTTTGCGCGACGGGTACTTGGCTTTGAGGGTGATACATCTGCACTTTGGCAAGATAACTGTACATGAAGTTTGAGAGCAGGACTTGACTGTGCAGTGGCCTTCGAGGGTTGGCCAGCTTCATGTGGGCCATCCTGTAAATAGCGCGTTCTTCCAGGATACTGAATCGAGTCCAGTTATAGTCAATGTCTGGTCGTAGTATCCTTGGGGCAGGTTCTGGAGAGGGCGCCCGAAGCAATTCTTTGGGAGCTTGGTGATGCTGCTTCTGTTCCTTTGACCTCTTACCGCCTCCAAAAATGGCCGACAAAATACCAGAATCCTTGTCTTTCTTGCCATCCGCTGACCTCCGTGAGCTCTCCTTCTTCCGCTCTTCCTCGAGCTTGAAGCTCTCACGATCGAGCACGAGTGATTCGCGACCCTTTGGAACAGTAGGGCTTCCGTCGATGGATGACTGCAGCACGTCCAGACGAGTCTTCTCGGCAGTCTTGGGCTGATTTTTGGCAGCAGCCTTGGATTTCTTCGAGGCTTCCTTCTCGCGCTCTTTGTCTTCAGTCTTGCGCTCCTTCTCCTTGTCCTTCTCTTCACTTCCGAGAAGCCAGTTCCAGCTAGTCTTGCGGCTGTCTTTTTTCTCGACCTTCTTCTCTTCGTACATAGGTACCATTGTGAGAGCATCGGTCCGTGTGTTGCCACTGCCGGGCAGGGGTGAGGGATGCGAGGAAATGTCCTCCAACGTAGACTTGTTCGTGTTCGAACGAGAGGAAGCAGAATGAACGAGGGGTGGTCTCGAATGGGCACCCCGCGCGCTGGGACGAGCACGAGGTGGGGCATGATGCTGTGTCGGTCCATGTGAATGAGGGGCTGAATGTTGCTGAGATGACTGCGGGGCAGAGGGTGGGATGTGTGAGGACTTCCTTTCTGGGACGGTGAAGGTATTGGCTGCTGGTGGGGTCTCTACTATCTGCGGAATTGGACTGCTGGCACCAGGAATCTGAGCAGTAGTACGGCCATTGGTGGCAATTCGAGAATGGAAAGTGGTGACAGGGGCAGCAGAACTCTGAGGGACAGCAGCGTCCTTTGCAGGACTGGGTTTGGGCTTTTGATTAGATACGTCTTCAGAGGAGGCAGATGTCAGGCGGTCGGCTCCCGGAGCAGCAGCAGCATCACGAGCAAGAGCGGGCTCGGTCTGTACTCGGGTGATGCCCGGAGAAGAAGGCTCTCGAATGGAGAGTGAAGGCGAGGGCGCGCGACCTCCCTCTCCATCAGACTCGGACTGCTTGCTGTGGTCGGACTGACGGCTGAGTGCTCGTCTGGAAAAAGGCGTGCGATCCTTGCGCATATACGTCCTTGTGGAACGCTTCAAGGCGGGGCCTGGAGCAGGCAATATTGGTGCATCGGCCATTTGCACACCAGAATCAAGACTGTTCCTAGCCGAATCAAGACTGACGTTGCTGACCAGACCTTCCAACTCTTGTAGATTCTCAACAGTTGGTGAAGTTGGCGACTGTCCACTTTCTGATCGCTTTCTTTGCAGGCGTTCTGCTCCGTCTTCATATCCCTTGGACGAGTCGATCTGGCGTGAAAGCATGCTCTTTTTCCTTGTGAGACTACTACCGGAGTTTGACCTTTCCACACCAGGCATCAAAGAGTCACCAGACCCTGAGCGCTTCCTTATGCGATCAACACGGTCCTCTACGAATGTTTTGAACTCCTTGGGGGCAAGTTCTGGGTGCAAGCGCGCTGGTACCCAAAACAACCGTGAAGCCTCATCTTCGTCGCTAGCCTCTGGGGAAGTGGAACCAGGAGAAGCAGGAGAACCAAAGCTGGGCAAGTCAGGGTCGGCATTGTCGACACTCATGGACATTCGGCGGATGGCCTGCAAGTTGTTGAGCTCTTGAGCCACGGCGGCAGGACTCGACTCATAGTCAATGTCGTTCAGGGGAAACTGCTGGACTGCTGTCTCTGCCGACGATGAGGACTTTCGTGACAAGGGCGGTGGAGAAGACGGATCCAAGGGGAGGTTTTCGGAGCCGAGGCTTCCCTTGCGCGTGACACTGTCTGACGAGGGTAGTTTCTCATTGCTGCCTGTCTGTTGGAGGGGTGAACGGGGCGGTGAGGAGCGTTTGGTATCGAGATACGAAGGGGCGAGCTGGTAGGCCTCTATGGCAGATCCGACAAAACTGAGTGGTCGCGAGTTGCGGTTCGAGGGCGTCAAGTAGTCATCGTCGTCGCTACCGTACATGCCTCCGATGGCCTCTGTGACATGGTGATTGTCGTCGGATATGGAAATCTGCGGCGTATGCTTGCGCACATAACTCGGCGCATCGTGTGAGGGCTGCAGCGCGTCAGCCTGTGCCATTGTTGCGAGTGCGAGTCTGCGGCTCGTCTGATGATACGCACCTGCATGGCTAAGGGAAAAAGAGGCAGTCGAGGGGGAAGCCAAACACTTCAGGAGACCGTCATACACGCGACATGGGCCGCCACATCAGAGTTGCTGGCGGAGTCACACTATCGCTCGGACTGGAGATGTAGGATAGGAATAAACAAGCAATAATATTACATGAATGTTTATTCTTCGCTTTCCCTGAACTGCTCGGGGCCTGAGGAGCAGCGCCTTGGCAAACGCTGTTCACTCGGACGCCGGATCCCTCGATCCGTTCACGAACCATCCAACCATCCCGTCTGAGAACATCAGACACTGCTTGCCTTGTTTGCTATCTCGCTTGGGACTGGCGAATGTCTCGTTGTTGTGATCGGCCTATCTAATTTCCAGAGCTGGGTATCTTGATGCTAAAATCCACCTATAACTCCACCCATGCATTGTTGTTGTTCCATAGCCTTAATTACTAGCCGCTATACTCTTCCTCCACATGATGGCCAGAGCCGCTCCGGCGCATACAGCCGCTCCTAGCCCGATGTACAGATTCGTTCGATCCACGTCCGATTCTTCGTTCTTTGGGAATGCTGTTGATGGGAACGTCGCGCTCTCGGCCAGATGTACAAAGAACTCTGACACGCTTGCCCATGTCACACTCACATGCAGCGGTTTTGGCACACGCAGCTCTTCGGTGTATTGGTCCGGCTGCATCTCACTTCTCTGAACTGCCCTGTCCTGGTCTGCTTTCAGAGCAGTGTACACTCCGGGCAAAGATTCAAGATGAGCATACTTTTTCCGCATCTCGACAATGTAACCAAAGCTGTCCGGGTCGCTGGAATCATAGGTGTAACACAACAGATCACATGCCTCGAGCTTGGCCTGGTTTTCCAGAACGGCCGGTTCTAGTTCACCAAGCTCCTTCAAAATCAGATAGCATTGACGACCGCCAGGTAATTCAACACTGTTTACAGCGATTTCCGGTTTGATGGTGGGATGGTAGGTAGTGCTGAAGGGCCTATTGAGGAAGGCTGATAGTAAGCTCGACTTACCACTGCCACCAGCGCCGATGACGTAGCACAAGAAGACATTTCGCTCTACGCGGCCAGGTCTGTTGCGTCGCTTCCGAGCCTTGGTGACCTTTAGTGCAGCAGTCGTGCCTCCTCTCTGAGGAGTCTCGAAACCAAGGTAGGCCAGATACTCCAGTGTGACCTTTGGTTCCTCATAGGTTGTCATGCTCCATTGTGCTAGCCAGCCTTGTAAAGTGATGTGGCCAGCTTCATTGCGAACGGTACAGGACGGGAAGTCATGCTCGATCCAGGAACTGGGCAGGCCAGGGGTTGGGGCGAACAAAGCAGCCAGCTCAGAGTCGTTCAGACCTCCATCGTTGTCCTTGTCATGAAGCAAGAACAAATCAACGAAGAAGCGGTAACCTTGAGGACTTAGTTCGGCCGAGGAAGAGGAAGCGACGTCGAACTTTGGGTGCAAAAAGGTGTCTTTCAGACTGAGGCTGTCTGTGTATTGGAATTTGCGAAGGATGATCCAGATGGTCTCATGACGGCCTTTCTCAGCAAACATCTTATTGAGGCGGATGAAGCCATCTATGTCGATGCCACCATCATGTGCATGTACAGAGCGCTTGATGCTAACGAGGTCTTGGTCCGAGAGAGGCTTCTCGAAACACTTGACCTGGAAGTCGTGAATCTCGGCGTCATTGAGCAGGCCGTCTTGGTCCTTGTCACAGAGGTAGAAGATCCTTCGGAGAGCAGAGACAGCAGCGGGCTTGAGGGAGGACTCCTTTGCGTCATATATGGGAGCGATGGGGTGGGTGACGGCCTTTTGACAGAGGAAAAAGACCTCGTTGATGTTGTGGTGCTCGCGGGCACTGGTGCGGATACACGAATCGATCTCCTTGAACTCCTGCATGACTGGGAGCATCTCTTCGTCTACGACTTGTTGGGTCGAGACATTCTTGGACAAATCGGCCTTGTTGGCAGTAAGAACGACAGGTACGTTGACGCCTAACGAACGGAAATATGGTAGCCAGAAGAGGGCGACACGCTCGTAGCTGTAGTGGTCCGAGTAGACGAGGAGGATGACATTAGATTTGCGAAGCTCATTGCGCAAGTTGTCGCGCTCCTGGGGGAGGGCGGATGTGTCGACAATGGTGGTAGTAACACTTTGCGGGGTGCCCAGGGTGGGAGGAATCGAGATGGGCGGCAGTACAGGCTGGATCTTGTTTGTGACAAAGACGTCCTTGACCAGCGACGTGATCAGGCTCGACTTGCCCGTGCCTTCGTCGCCGCAGACACAGACACGCACCGTCGCCATGGTTGTGCTGTAATCGTACGTGTAATGACGAGAGTTGATGAAAGCATCCGCCTCTCGCAGCTCCGGTCGAGCCTTCTGCTTCTTGCTGCTGCCGCCCGCCGTCCGCCGTCATGCACGAGGCGGAACATTTTCCCCGCCATCGGGGGTCCGACCCCACAGCCTCGGCCTTTGGTGTGCCTATCGCGTGCGTCTGGACTCTGGACCATCTCTCGACTTCCATTGCGACCTGGAAGCTCGCTTTCTCCTGTCCCTGTACCTGCAATATCCTGATACTTGTCTCAACTGTACATAGACTGAGCTTCATTTTCCTGGCTCTGTTGTCCGCTCCTTGGTCCCGACGACCATCCGTGCCGCCTCGACTTGACCCGCCTTGAAGCCTCCACGTCGTGTACAGATCATCCGGCGCATTCACCACCGCCGCCCGACAGGCTGTCGCAATGTTGTGTGTACACGTCCAATCCATTCTTTCGTCCTGCAGCCATCTCTGACATGTCATCAGTGTGTTACCACCCCCGCCGCGCTACCCAAGTGGGAACCTTTACACTGGCTACCCACCCGGTGCCATCATCGAGACGAACAACACGCTTGCCAAACACAGCGGCCCTGAATATCAACTAGTCGTCGGAGAGGGCACATACGTCCAGCGCGACGAGCTTCTCCTGGCCACTCCTCCTCCGCATCCTTCAGACAACCCCGTGCCGAACAGCAACCCACTTGCTACCACTATCGCTCCTCCAACCCAAGGCACTAGACTGTCTCTGTGTATAGTGGCTCCCAAGAAGCTTCCCGACAACTCCCTCGCTCGTACTACCACTGTCACCAGCCAGCGTTCTGCTGTCCCATCGAGTCTACAAGAGGAAGCTCTGACTCCCACCACCGACTCGGCCTCGTTCTTCAGATCTTCATCTACCCCTGTCTTTGGAGACAACAACCCTGCATTGGCTCCTATTCCTACAAAAGATTCAAAAGACCCCTCAAAGAGGCGCAAGCCCAAGAACAATATTGTCAAAAGCAACTCCTCCTTCGTCTCCAGAGTTATCCCACATGAAGCCCTCCAGAAACGCCTTCAGGAGCGCAACCCTCAAGGTCTATTTGCCTTCTCAAACATCAACAGAGCTCTGCAATGGCTAGATCTTTCTTCCGAAACAAAGACTGAGAATCTCACCAAGATCTTGTTCACAAAAGCTCATGCTCTGTGTCATCATGTCAATCCTTTCACCAAAAGCACCACCCACCTGGACGTCATCATAGGCTTTTCTTCCTCAGACATCATCTGGTACGAGCCGATATCCCAGAAGTATGCTCGCATCAACAAGAATGGTGCCATCAACTCTTCTGCCGTTTCTTCCATCTGGTGGTTGCCCAACAGCGAGAATCTCTTCTTGGCCGCTCACATGGATGGGTCTCTGATCGTTTATGACAAGGAGAAGGAGGATGCTCCTTTCGTTCCCGAGCAAGAATCCTCTGACTATGGCGATGCTCAATCCGGTCCGGCATCTTTTGTCATCAAAAAGTCGGTCCAATCGCGCAACCAAAAGACCAACCCTGTAGCCGTGTGGAAAATCAACAACCAGCAAATCAACTGTATTTCCTTCTCTCCTGATGGTAGACATCTTGCCATCGTCTCGGAAGACGGTTCTTTGCGCATCATCGATTACCTCAAGGAACAGCTATTAGATGCCTTTACCTCGTACTACGGTGGCTTGATTACTGTGACATGGTCTCCCGACGGCCGCTATATCCTTACCGGTGGTCAGGATGACATTGTCAGTATCTGGTCCTTCGCCGATGCCACTTTAGTAGCGCGTTGTCAAGGACACAGCAGTTGGGTGACAGATGTCAAGTTTGATCCTTGGAGATGTGATGAACGCAACTATCGCTTTGGTAGTGTTGGCGAAGATTGCAAGCTACTACTTTGGGACTTTTCCGTTGGTATGCTCGGTCGACCGAGAGCAGTAAGTTCTATTCCGTGCTCTTCTCGACGATGCAACCTGTTAATGGTACCTACGCAGATGTCAATCAAGCATAGAGGCAGCATGACGTCCAATGCCATAACTCGCAAGGAGACCAATTCCACAGTCGGACGCATCAGATCACATTCGACTATTTCCGAAGACGGTGATGGTGCGGTGAATGGAGCAGATGTAGTTCACGGCTTCAGAACAAAGGCGAGCACAGCCATATTGCCGCCCGTCATGGTGAGTCGAAACACGTCGCTTCACAAAACTCTCCCTTGTCCGTACTGATGGTGAGATTGCAGTCAAAAAAGATAGACAACCATCCGTTGAGCTGGTTGGAGTTTCAGGAGGACAGCATCATGACAGCATGCAAAGATGGTAAGTGTTTCGCGACCTCGTGTTGGGATGCCCAAAGCTCCACAACAATGGTGTCAATTGCGCGTCTTTGATGCGTCGCGCAGAGCTGATCGGGCCGTCTGATAAATTTCACGTTGGGCTGACACGAATCGCTAGGTCACATTCATACCTGGGATAGACCCAAAGAGGGAACCGGAGAAAACGGACACTACTCCAACGATGCCGAGAAGAACGCTACTTGAATCAAGTATGAGATCCGATACAAGTGTCGCTGTATAAAGAGCTTGTCAGGAGCAGCCCTATAATGTATAGCTTGGTTTATTGTGTCAAAGTAGGTAAACGCCACGGGTGTAAATAGCAACGGCTCTGTCACGACGATAGAGGATCTTGGACACGGACACAACTGAGGCACTCTTTTTGCCCACTGTTCGAGAGTGCAGCCATCTATCACGTTCTGCCGGTACGCGATGTGCTCATGTAGACCTCAGGAGCAGCATGTCGCTAGTCATGTCCATCACGCCATAGTGTTGATAGCGGTCAAAAGCCCAGACCGTTGCACAGCAGAAGAAATGGACATGTTCAATCCCAACAGCGGGATGGGCAGATTTGTTGACGATAAGACGACGGAAGAAACGGACAACACGTGGGAAGCCATGGAAGAAATCTTTGACCAACAAGAAAATCCAGGGTTCTTTGGAGGTAGGACCGAGGCGGGACCGTCCGCTGAGCAGCAAGCTTGATCACCAGAGAGCCGCAGGCGTGAGTCGTGATCGCTCTACATGTGCATTTGCATGTGCATGTGAGAGTGTGCATGGTTTGTTTCCTTCTGCGACGAGATGGCCTGAAAAGCGCAATGCACATGCGGCATGTGAACAGCGTGAGAGTCCATCGGAGCAGAGGGATCTTCAAAGGGGCTGATTCGAGTGGGTGTCCCTGGAGGCATGTTTCGTGGTTGCTTCTGTCAAACAAAGGAACGGCCTCCCGTGTCGCGCCGACACCAACGAATCTTTATCTCAATCGGGCACGAGCTTCTTGGGTTGTTTGAGAACGTCATCTCGGATCAAGCTTTTGGCATTTTGTATCCTCGGCGCCTCACTCTCTCCTTTGTATCCCCTACTCTGTCCATTGCTGCTGTCGCGAAGATTCACGAATCATTTCTGTCTACTCTGATTGCGCGCGCGCTCGCGACCTATCAACCACGACCCCGCCGCCGCCATGGTCCATACCCCTCGAGCCAAGCCCGTGCTTGAGATCATGTACTTGCCATGCAGCATACGATAGGAACTTCCACGGCTGACCCTTGCCCGATAGCCCAAACAACCGCTTTATCGTCTTCCACGGTGACCAGCATGAAGCCGAGACCATCAAGCTGAACGGTGTTGTCCGTCTGACGACACCGGATGCTATGAGTATCAAGAACGTCAAGATCTGGCTTGAAGGCAAGCGAAGAATCTCGTAGGTCTTGATCAGGGCAACTTGCAGTCGGCTCGGGTTGACTGACGTGCACAGCTGGTTCTACATGGGCGGCATGGCAGCAGGCGAAGTGTCGGACAAGAAGACGTTCTGGCGGGAGGAACGCGCTCTGGGCACGTCCGGCACGCACAAGATCAACTCGGGATCGATAGAATGGCCATTCGAATACACGCTCGACCCCAGCATGCCCGAGAGTATCGAGGGCATGAACAGCACCTACATCGTCTACTACCTGCACGCAAGCGTCTCACGACCTGGCTGGAACGCCAAGGACATCACCACGACCCAGCACATCCGCATTGTCAGGACTCTGGGTGGAGAACAAATGGAGACGACTCGCTCAAGGGTATGTGCTCAGATGCGAAGAGCCACAACAAGCACGCTGACTCGGCCGACAGACCAACGCCGACATCTGGGCCAACAAGCTCAGCTACAGCATCTCAATCCCCACAGACGCCGTAGTCTTCGGAACATCCATCGTAGCAGATGTTGAACTCTCGCCCATTCGAAAAGGCATCAAGCTCGGCAAGATCGAGATGCGGCTTATCGAAGCTGTGACCAAAAGGATACAAGCTGCCGAAGTACCCGACCAGCGCGGTGATAGATGCAAGGTTGACGAGACAGATGTCGCAAAAGCAGACATGGAGTTTCCTGAGAACTCGCGCGTCACCTTTGACGAGGAGAATCCGGACAATCCCATCATGGAAGATGAGAAATACGTCTTCAAGGCCACGCTGGAACTACCCAAGTCTCTCAAGCAGTGCAGACAAGATGTGGATTCGCACAACATCAACATCACCCACCGCTTCAAGCTCATGGTCAATATCCACAATCCCGAAGGCCACGTTTCTCAGCTTGTGTGCCGTCTTCCTGTCAAGCTGTTCATCTCCCCCAACTTGCCAGTCGATGATCAGAACGAGGTTCAGGTAGCCGCAAGAACCATGACAGATGCCGAACTCAACCAACAAGAGGTTCAACTGAACGCCCCGCCCGAGTACGGAAGACATCAACTAGACGCCCTCTACAACGACATCAACACCGGTGGATACATGAGTCGTGCGCCCAGTGGATCTGCCACTCCTTTCTACGCTCAGAGTCGCAACGCCTCTTCCGAGAACCTGCAGTCTTTGAACGGCGTCGCAGACATGCACCACTCGCAATCCATGTCTGCACTCGGTGGCGGCGAGAGTCACTTTGTACCAGCCCAGCTGCGCTCACGTCTCGCAAATCTGCAAGATCAAGGTTCAAGCAGGCAGATTCGCGCCGCACCCGTGGCTCACCACTCTCCATCTGGCGGTAACACCCCCGCTTACACGGGCGGATACTTTGCTGCCCACTTCAATCAGTCGAACCATGCCTCACCACCGCACCAGTCGCCATCCCATAGTGTTCCCGAGTCAAGACGAGCTTCTGGAGACGGTGAAGACATGCTTGACGACCACGAGCCCCATCTAGATGATTACGACATGGGCACGTTATCACGAGTACCCAGTTACGGAGCTGCCGTTCGAACTCCTGGGCCCTTCACTCCATTCGCCGACGGACCTCCAAGTTACATGGAAGCAACCAGCAGACCGCCAAGTCCTACTCTCCAGCTTCCACAGCGTCCCGGCGCTGTCCACGTTCGAAGCGGCTTGAGTTCTCCCGGGTCTCATTCGAGTACTCAAACACTCACTGGTGGAGCCGTCACTCCCGGCAGCTATGCTCCTAATGGCCTCACTCCCATGACACAACTGCACCCCCCAACACAGCTGCATTCTCAGCATGAAGACCATCGATTGCGATTGCTGAGAGCGAGAGTGGAGTAAGACCATGTGACTAATGAACGACGATAGAGTATATTCTTAGCATTGAAGATGGCGTTTTTGCATGTAATGGCTTGGTGATTGGGATATTGCGCGCTCCACAGCAAGTTCGAAGGGGGGATTTTTTTTCCATCACCATTATTAACAGCGGTTGTTATTGTTTTCTCGGTCGCGAAGGCGTACAAACTCGATAGACTAAAACTCGTCTCCACTTATAGAATATTTCTGCATCATCAAACTGTTTTCGTCGCTGCCGATTGTTTGACCGCCGCATTGTTTGGAAGCGGTTTCTCGCAGCAGCCGAGTCACTTGTTGTCGTGATGACCCTGTTCGTATTTTCATACGCTCCGTCTGCACTCAACCACGAGTCTTTGACGCCATGATGGACCATCTTGGAGATTCACATAGGCTTATAAAGCATCTGAAAACAGTCGCATAACCTCTTGCGTAACAAGTCCTGGGAACATGCTGTTCTTTTGCAGGTAGAAAGAACAATACCGCATTGATTGCCGGGGCAGTGAGCGTGAGATTTCGACAACACTCAAGACCAAAATCGATGGTTGCCGAAACGCGAAGATCCATTGTGTCGTCATATTGAGACGTGTGAATGCAGATGCACATCGATACTGTGATATAGCTAGGTCCAAAGTGAAAGCATATTACTTCAGAACAGCCATTCGAGCAATCTACCATCCCTCAACCTCAGTAAGCTTAACCCTTAACCCATTCTTAGGCCTAGAAGTGATACCGCTCTTGACCTCAAGAACATACTCCGGATCCTCAAATTCGGTGTCAAATTTGCCAATCCAAGCAGCAAGAAGACAAGCGAACTCGGCATTAGCAAAACCTTGACCAATACATGATCGGGGTCCGTGAAGGAAAGTCAGGAAGCTGTAGTTTGACTCGGCACCGCCGTTTTTGTTGGAGATGCCTTCTGTCAACCAGCGTTCTGGTTTGAATTCCATTGCGTCATCGCCCCAGAGATGTTTACTGCAGTTTATTGCGAGTGGTGCGACAACGACCAGCGTGCCCTTGGGAATGGGGTGGTTGTTGATGGTTTCGTCTCGGGCAGCGACTCTCATTGTTAGAGCTACTGGAGCCCAGAGACGAAGGGTCTCTTTGCAGACGGCTTGGAGGTAATGACAGTTGTCGATGTCGGCGGCGGTGATCTGAGCCTGAGGCTCACGCACGGAAGGCAATTTGGCGTGAATTTCTTCGCGTACGCGTTTTTGTACGTCAGGATGGCGACACATCATGTATATGGCCCATTGCATGCTCGAGCTCGTTGTTTCATGTCCAGCAGCCCTAATCAGACGGTTAGCATTGCAATAAGTCAACAGTCAATCATGCCTCTCAGTGAGCCCCAATATATGTCATGCCTGCAGCTGTCAAGATGAAAGATGATTTCCCGGCCAGTCGTGCCCAGTGAGAGCGTTTCGAGTGGCTTATGCCTGGAGACGACTAGAGCAAGACAAAAGCATCGTGCATTGTTATAGCCGCAAGCGTGATGGACTTCAGCAAGCAAGAATGTAGGAAGACTCACAAGAACGTCATCATCTGACTGACAAGATTCTCGTCAGCGAAACTGCCACTCCTCAAAGCAACACTGAGGATATCGGTCTCGTCTGCGGCGCCTTTCTCCATGCGAATCTTCTTGGCAGCTATTAAATCACGGCATGTTTGCTTGATCAGAGCAGATCCTTCTGAAATCTCGTCGTTACGCTTGATAGGCAGGCTCTTTAAAAACCAGCGAGGTAAGAACATGCCGGCAACCTGTAAGTACCTAGCCGACTTTGGTGCTTGAGGTAAGGGCACAATTAGCAAAGTACTTCGGAAAGAGCGGGATTCTTGTTCAACGAGCCAGCTCACAAATTGACTTCGGCACAAACGAGACGGTATCCTGGACCCCATCTCATCGATGCTAGTCAATTGCGCAAGACCAACTCGCCGTGTTTGTATCTTCAGCTTACTTACGATGGAAAATAGTCTTATAAGTCTGATTCAATTCGTTGTCAGGGTTCTTCAGAGCTTCGAAATCACGACCCATACCAGCCACTCCGATGATGTCCAATGTAGCTCGACTGGTCCAGTCACTGACTTCGACAACATTGGAGGAATTAGTGCCTTCAGCTATACTCTCCTTGGACGTGTTGCCAGTCTCAGAACCCTCGTGCATTGCGTCAGACATCCTTTCGACCATCTCCTTGGATTTGGACCAGAACACAGGATACAGATCTTTGATGTGTCTGTATGAAAATGCAGGCATCAGGTTCTTGCGCTGAGTTCTATGCTCATCGCCTTCTGCGAACAGCAGGCCAATGCCTAGGATGCGACCAATTATGTCCAGGAAATGGGCCGGTTTGATAAACTCGTAATTCTTGCTTGATAAAACTTCGGCGAGAGTCTTTGGGTTTGTCAAAAGCACGCGCTCAGAGTTGAACCAGTTGGTGTATCTAATGAGACCGTCATTGGGTATAGCATCTATCCACTCGCGCATTGGATGCCCCGATGGCTGGGCCATAATTGTTGATGCATGTCCATTCCACCAGCTACCTCCCGAAGGCTCAGGAAGGCCCTTCAAAGGACTGAGAAAGTTTGGATAGATGACCACTCGCCATGTTGCCCAAGCAATGAACTCTGTGAAAGCGACCAGGAAGAAGGTCTGAGTGCGCGAGCCGTATCCAGGCGCGAAGTGTGCCAGCAGTATAGATGCTACCGCTGAGCTAATGAGGATCGGAAGCTTCGGTGGCATGTTTCCCCAGAGAAATGTGTGCTCCAAGTCTTGGAGTTGTCGATTCGAAAAGTGGCCCAGGGTGTACAAGTACGTATGATGACCAAGAGCAAGAGGCTCTATGGAGTTGGGGAGCTGCACTTGCCACTTGGGGAAGGCGCCAGCGCATCTACGGAGATTCGGCGAAGTTTCGGCCGCCATCGTCATTGCCCCCGTGCGCGCACGCCTCTCTCACGTTGCTTACCCATCTGCCTCTGCTCCCGAACTGCTCGAATAGGGCTGTATATCGGTGTAGAGCCTTCGAAATTTTGTATTCCTCATGACAAATTTGAATTTACTAATTTAATGTCTAAGCTTGTGTTCATCGCGGTAGTTTCATGTCGTTATTGGGCGCCCTGTCTCCAACGACGTGCAATCGGTTGATTTCTAAGCAAAACCATGACCGTGTTCGACGTTTTCCCCCAACCCTAGAGTAGAGCTAACGATTGCCGACTGTATATATTGTGAGCAGACTTCCCCTTGGATTAAAGCATCAACTTGATTTCACACATCACCCAATTTCATCATGCCTGAAGCAATCTCTCACCATAACATTACTGAGAACGTCGTAGGAGAGTCTAAGCACATTAACCGTGCTGCTCCTGGGGTATGTTGTAGTCCTTTGACAGAATGTCAAAAGCATCTAGGTTACTAAGTTCACGAACAGGCTCCTTACTTTACTCCTCTTCAATCTCCTCCTGCAGGTGCAGCATTTGTCCGCGAGGATGGCAAGACAGTGCCCAAATTGTTCCAGCCCTTGAAGCTTCGTGGCTTGACTCTCCCTAACCGCATCTTCCTGTCTCCTCTGTGCCAGTACAGTGCTGAGGACGGACATATGACCGACTACCATCTGGCACACATCGGTGGTATCGTGAAGCGTGGCCCCGGTATGACTATCATCGAAGCCACTGCCGTTACTCCTGTAAGTTCGCAGTTTACCCGAGAAGAATGCCTGATACGCCTCTCCCATTGCTTTTCTTCGTTGATGAATCTGAAAGCAGATTTTATAAAAGTACGAGAAACGTGCTAACTTCTCTCAAGGAGGGCAGAATCACCCCCGAAGATGTCGGTCTTTGGAAGGACAGCCAGATCGCTCCCATGAAACGTGTTGTTGATTTCGCCCACAGCCAGGTAAGTTATGGTGTGATGGAAGTACCAAGCAAGTATTGATTGATGCACATAGAACCAACTTATCACAATCCAACTTGCACACGCCGGCCGTAAGGCAAGTTGTGTAGCTCCCTGGTTGAGCGCGGCTGCTGTTGCACCCAAGGAGCAGAACGGGTGGCCAGACAACGTTCTTGCACCTTCTGCTATCCCCTGGAACGAGCACCACGCAAACCCTCGCGCCATGACCCTTGAGGACATTGAGAGCTTCAAGAAGTCTTATGCTGACGCTGTTCGCCGTGCTCTGACCGTGGGCTTCGATGCAATCGAAGTACACGCGGCACATGGCTACCTTCTCTGCTCGTTCCTGTCTCCCACATCGAACCAGCGTACCGACAAGTACGGTGGAAGCTTCGAAAACAGAACCAGATTTTTGCTTGAGACCGTCGATCTTGTCAGAGAGATCATCCCCGAGACCATGCCTCTCTTCGTCAGAGTCAGTGGAACCGAGTGGCTCGAGGAGGTCGAGGAGATCAAGGAAAGCTGGACTTCTGACCAGACCGTCAAGCTGGGAGAGATCCTTGCTGAACGCGGCGTTGACTTGATGGACATCAGCTCTGGCGGTAACCACCCTAAGCAGCACCCTCATGCAGCCCCAGGATACCAAGCACCTCTCAGTAAGGCAGTCAAAAAGGCTGTGGGTGACAAGATGGCCGTCAGCGCTGTCGGTAGTATCCACACTGGCAAGTTGGCCAACGAGCTCCTTGAGGAGGGCCTTGATGTCATCATGGTTGGACGGCTGTTCCAGAAGAACCCTGGCGTTGTTTTCGCTTTTGCGGAGGAACTCGGTGTTGAGGTCAACATGCCAAACCAGATCAGGTGAGTTGAGTCCCACGCATTATTCTGAATTTTGCTAACTTTGATGCAGATGGGGATGGTCAAAGAGAGGTGCTTCTCAGTTGAAGACTTTGTTAGACTCCAATCTGTAAGATGTGTATAAACCAAAAGTGCTTTGTAGAAGTACACTAGATCGGCGGTATAGAAATCCACCGCGGCTTGGAACGCATGTTCCTGAATGATAGTCACGTCACCTCGTTGTTTCATCTTCAACTTATTGTCCTTTCAGAAATGACTGAGACTTGGAATTCTAGGGTTTGGAGCACGGAGTTCGCCGTTTTTTCGACGTTTGGTGACGGTACCTTAGTAAATTAGAAGACCTGTAAACATCTATTAGCATATGCTGTAACTCGTTGTCCTCGTCAATATAGGTCCTAAACGTGCTTCTAAAGCTAGCGCTAGTAATGCTGCTACTAAGACGTCGTCGCGAGTAAGGAAACCGACCTCGAAGGCCGCCTCTACGAAGGTTATAAAGGCACCTAAGACACCTCGAAAGACTACCTTAAAGGTAGTAGTATCGACACCCTCTAGCATTAGGATCCGACTTAAAACTCCTACTACCGAGCCGGTTATTACGAGCATTAAAGTAGCGCCCGAGGTAACGTTAGTAACTAATAAGGAGGCCGATAGCGACGAGGCCTTTAATAAGTTATACGGCGGCGATATAGAGGAGGAGGAGGCTAATAATCGGGAAATCGAGCGCCTTAAGCATAAGAAGTAGATAATAGATATCGCTTAAGCGAACTGCGAGAGGGCTAAGGCCGCTAAGGCGCTTAAGGCTACTATTATAGCTTCGCGCATCGCAATATAAGCACTTAAAGAGGAGGCGGCGTAGGCGCTAGAGAACTGTAAGTTCGTTAGTAAGTAGTAGGCTATATGTAGTAAAGAGACATTAGATACTCGCACCTTTAACTTTAACTACGCCGACGGTAGGATCTTTAGTCGTTTCTAGCTATAGATTAACGAGGTAACTACTAAGTAAGTAACGCGAGTGTTCTCTACTAAATTTAAGCTCTTTACTACCGCGATGTTCTTACTATCGAACCGTAATACGCATATATCGACGACTCTGCGTAATAAGGGTAATTAGGAGGTTCTAACGAAGCAACTAATGAAGTAGTATAAGAAGGGTAAGTTAGATCTACGCCTATCGGTTATTACGCATTTAACTAAGCTTAAAGAGGACTTAGTCGTCGTTACAGCTAGTTAGAAGCGCAAAGGGACTACTACTAAGATCTAGCGCCTTAATATGCCTTTAATACTCGAGGCCGAGCGCGCAAGAGGTAACTATTACTCTAATCTTATGCTTAAGTAGATTTATACGCTTAACAATGCCCTCTACTCTAGCGACTACTATTTTTAGAAGGGGTTAAACATTGCTTAGAACTATTACCTACTAGATAATAGCGTTATTAAAGACTAGTCTAACGACATTAACCTTAGCTACTCGATAGTCGACACCCCCTCTATTAACATCGTTATAAAGCTTAAGAACTACTTAACTACTCGAAAGGCAAGGAAGAAGTAGTTAGAGGTCCCTCTAATGCCGCCTACACCCTAAACACTAAACGACATGCTTAATCTTATAGTAATGAGCATAATGTCCTAGATGTAGTAGTCTTAGTAGTAATACTAGCTTCTATAGCTATAACACCTTCTACCGCCTCGACCGCTAGTATTCGCCGTCCCGAACCCCTCCGTACCGCTAGTTTTAAGTCCTATCGAGGCCGACTCTAAGGACACTTTAATAGAGTTTTTCGTATAGTTAAAGACTAGTAGCAGGTAGCAGAGCTTAGTAGATAAGGTTAACAAGGTAGAGAAGAGGCTTAAAGAGGAGGACTATAACCTAGACGGCATTAGGGACATCGATATTAAGATATAGACGACTGTCTAGGAGTTTAGGCGCGGATTACTCGGTCGAGTTTAGAAGGAAGTTACGCGGTACAAGCGGACTACTAAGTCCCCCTAATTTAGCGATTTAACTAGCGGATATGTCTAGATTTAATGCTTAGCTCGCTAAGTTGTACTAGCTTAACTCTTAGTTAAATATCTATAGATAATAATACCTACTATAATCGAAATGAGCTGCCGTATGCCTCCTACCCGCCCTTTATACTACTATACGTAGGAACATACCGAAGTCATCGAATAGAGGTGCTAAGCTAATGTACCTCTTAATCTATGCCTTTAATATAGCAAAAGAGAGCTCTATTAGATTAAGATCTAGCGAGTACGGCGGTAAGAACTCGAGCTCGCACCTAGCCGTCGTTACTACCTTATAAACCTCTACGGATCGGTAAATAGAGGCATTATCTATAACTAATATAGACCTTAGAGGTAGCTACGGTAGTACGTCCTCTACGAGCTATGCGCAGAAGATTTCTACGTTAATACCTCCTTAATAGATTAGAGGGTTACTAACGTAACCATCTATAGTTATTACTAGCAATATTAACTACCTCTCGCTCCTCTTTATCGACTTATAATCTACGTAAGTAAGGCCCTTTAGAGACTAGCCGTACTTCCTCGAGCTAGTACGCTCGTTCGCGCCGCTCTTATCTATAAACACTAACCGTCGCCTACTCTAAAACATCCGACGACTGCGCTAGAGCGCTCGTAATAGCTTACTTCTCTTAAGGGCCCTCTTCTCTACCTTCTTCCTCGACTACTTCTAGCGCTTTAAAAGGTTCTATATAGAGGTTAAGTAGAGCGCTACGTTAAACTTATTAAGGATAAAGTCTTAGATCTTATCGAGGTACGTAGTCGGTCGGCCGGCGAGGTATTCTAGCATAAACTAACTAGTTAGCGCACATCGTTTAGCGCATATAGATTACTTATTTACCTCCTCCGCCTTATCGTTTAACAACCTTAGGCGGCCTTTTACACTACTTAGATCCGGATAGAGCTCGCTATGCTCGTTTAGCGCCTTTAAAAGCCTATACACCGTAGCGCGAGCGAGCAAGAGGGTCCTAATAATGCTATCTAGAGGCTAGCTAGCGGCATGGAGCGTAAGGATCTGATTTTGAACAAAATCTAGCAATGGAGGCGACATGGGTACGTGATTTCTCATGAATTACAATTTACTAAGGTACCGTCACCAAACTGACGAATTCTGAGGAAACACCGTGCTCGCGAACCCCGCAGACGCCAGTCTCAGTCATTTCTGAAAGGACAATAATTCTTCGCGACGCGTACTTTTCTTATCCGTGGAAGCGCATAATGGCCATGTGACCAAAGCAGATGCTTGCGGAATATGTGAATGCAGCCATTACAGCGAGGATCTGAGATACAGGAAAGTATAGTAGACGAGATCTGGGGCACAGCAGTCTGTTCAAAAAATGAGACGATGTTAAAAGGGCGGTTCAGCCAAAATGAGCGGAACAAATAGAGAATTAATTAGAAAGGAAAAGAACAACAAGGAGATTATCCGGGTATCGCAGACGGGGTATCATGCTTTTTGACAAAGGAGAGATTGCGGCGTGCTGAGCATCACCTTGTTGTATTGGTCGGCGGGTTCAACTCGAGCACGAGTTCACCAGGATTGAGGCCCTTGACTTCGTCCCAGAGTTCTCGCTCGGCACCTTGGGTGGCAGCAAGCCAGGCGTTCTCGTCGACAATGGTAGTCGTGGGCGAAGAAGCACCACTAGATGACGGGGGGAAGTGCTTGTTGAGAAGGTAGGGATAGTCGCCGGCGAGTTTGGAGTCGTGGTGTAGGACGTCGATGAGTTCACTGCGTCGTGTCAGCGCGTCGAACAAGAGGTGGCTAGCCAGACAGATATGTACTTGGACGTCTGGGCGCAGATTCGCTCCAGGACTTCGCGTTCCCTTCTCAACTCTTCCGGATCGGGCTCTGGCAGTGTTGCGCCGGGAGTAACGGTGCCATACTGCGGCTGGGTGGCATCCTCGTACAGGAGGCCTTCGCTCTCAGACGCCTTTCACCATGTCAGCAAGGGGCAAGGAGCAGCAGGAGCTACAGCCAGACTGCACTTACTTCGCGCGCTTCTTGCCGGTTGAGCCCGAGACAGGACGCGCAGATACCCATGGTCGTTGCACGCTGTCATCGAGGAATGTCTCGATAGGAAGTTGATGCTGCGCCGTCGTGCACCATGCACACTCCACCGACTCCACGTATGCGCCTTGTGCTGGTTTATGCACCCAATGCCAAGCCTCAACAAACCTCCACCGACGACACATGCCTCTTCCTTCGCCATCACCATTCCATACTCATCACATACCTCGCCCTCTCTCGGTGAACACTCTCTCGATACGACTGAAACACTTGCTTTTTATCATCACGATTTATTCTTAGACCGCTGTCTACTTTGGGAAGACGATGACAGCTAAAATTGGTAGGTGATTTGTACTCGTCAACTCTTGCTTCTCTTGCTCTCCTTCCGCTGCTTGGTTTCTGGTCATCTTAGCTTGTGCCTTGATCTGTTTCATTTCTTCAACTTCTCGCAACACCCTCATCTGGCTATTAATCAAGGACCTAAACAAGTGTTTCATCTTTCAAGCTTATTTCGTGTTCATGTGGCTGTCCCTGCCGCAAGGGTGTTGCTCCGAAGGCTTCATACCTCGACCTTTTGGGGAATGTGTGCTTCAGTGTTGCGTGCGCGACGAGACGCGCTCACACCATACCTTTACCGCATGAGCTTCCCTACTGCAAGGCAGACTCGCCACCTAGATCGGTGGCTATCTCCTAATCTACGCGTACCATCGATGCTGTCGCCACACATCTATATAGCTCACATCTTCTCCCAATATGAACAGGACCATATCTCAGTTGATTGCCTCTTCACAAAGAGTACGAATACCATCTTTCGTTTGGTGTACTCAAGATGCGTTCATTCGTTTTCTTCTCAACTTTCGTTTTGAGCTTCGCTCTATTCGGGCTCGTCACAGCCCGAGTTCCAAACCAGCAGAAGCGTGCTGAACAGAATACCAGCCCTGACGGGGTAGTTAACTTTATCCGTGACTTGTTCGGTTTGACAGCCCGTCAAGAAATGGTCTGCTACGAGGATGATGTCTGGCAGGAGGTCCATGACTACGCCAACTCCAACGAGTTCTGCAACAGATTTTTGGGTCTCTCTCCCAACATCGTCGCTGTCTATACTACTCCCGTCGAGTATGTTTTCTTCCTCCTCGTTTTGGTGGCCATACTAACTTGTCCAGAACTGTCATCAATACCTATACCACCATTACCACTACCACGACTAACACGATTCGCACCACTCCTATCACTACGAACACTGTCACTGCCCTTGCTAAAGCCAAGCGCGGCCTCAGCAAAAACAGATTCGACGCTGGAGCAGTGGCTCGTTTCATCAGAGTTGCTGAAGCAAGTGGCACGGCCACTGCCGACTCTACTTTCGTGGCCGCTATCTCCAGTGCCTGCTCTTGTCTGCACCCCACTCCCGCAACCTCCACTGTGATTTACACGGACGCAACTAGCGTAAGCTTTTTCCAGATACTATTCGCTTTGATCTATCTAATGTGTGCTAGACTTCCACTCGACGTGCTTATGCCAATACGATCAAAACTGTCAACACTACCAGCACTGTAGGCACTGCCACTGTGACTGCAACCACTGTGATTGCTGTCCAATCTTCATCAAATGTTCTGGCAATCTCGACTGGCTTGTCCACCGCCTCAGCATCTCCTACGGCAATCTCACCTGCCATTGTCTGCCCCAACGACGACAACACCATAGATAGCCAGCTCATCGATGGGCAACTTTTCCAGTATCTCGTTCAGTGCGACACAGATATTACCGATGACAACCTGGCTCAATTCCGTTATCAGACATTCACTGAGTGTGCCGCTGCTTGTGGTAGTGCAAACTATGGCTTCAGCTCTGCCGTTTGTCAGGGCGCTGTCTTCTATCCCGGTGCTCCTTCAGGCTCAAACTGTTTCTTGAAGAAGTCTGTAAACTTCACAGTGGTCGCCGGTGGTATCAACGCGGTTATTCTCCAGAGGATCGAAGTCGCGGTCTCGAACTCAACCACGGCAAGCCCGGTATATGGCTCCTCTCCAACTTCCTCCAACGTTGATACTTCTTCGAAGCTTTCTTCCATCCTTTCAGACAGCACCACTTCCATACCCATCATCACACCCGCTCCCTCAATCAGTAATGCAAGACTTGCGACAAGTTACTCTACCTACATCTCAGATGGAAGTACGTATTCGTCGGAACTGGTTTACTCCACCTACTACTCATCCGATGGGTCCTGGTACTATTCTTATTACACCACCTACACAGTCGCATGGGCAGCATCTTCGACACAAGAAGTTTCTTATGCAACTTCTTCCTCATCCAGCAGTGGTGGCAATGGCGAATCTTCTGGTGGCGCTAATGGAGGAGCTGGTAGTGGTGCTGCCGGTGGATCTAATGGTTCTTCTGGAAACTCGACTTCTGGTAACTCCACAGATGTTTCTGGCGGCAGCAACGGTGGTGCTGCTGGTGGCTCAGGCTCGGGATCGAGCTCCAACTCGTACACCACAACCACGACTACCTATAATACGACTACAATCAACGGAAACCAGCAGATTCAGAACACCACCATTGTGACTACGTACACCTGGTCAAACGGTACCAGCGAGTCATCTACCTCCACCACAATCACTGTCACCACCGTTGGATCATCGTCTGGCAACACTTCTGGCAGCTCCTCTGGCGGACTGGGCGGTTCTTCTGGCTCATCTGGTGGCTCTGGTAGTGGCTCGGCAGGCAATTCCAGTGGCTCCGCCGGCGGATCCAACAGTGGAGGCGACGCTGGCGGCAATGGAGGCGGCAGTGGGGGCGGCAGTGGGGGTATTGTGACGAACGGTACGGTCATTGTCACGAACTCCACGATCGTCACCAACAACACTATCTCTACTAATGGTACTTCTGGGGGCGCAAATGGCGGCAGCAATGGTGGAGCTGCCGGAGGCGGTGCGGCTGGTAACGTCAGCACGAACATCATTGTTTCGACGATCTACTCGACTGCAGTCTCCACTGTCTACTTGACCGCTTCGTCTCCTTTCTCGGGCTCCTCGTCGAACGCTGGCCGTTCCGGCACGGCATCCCCGAGCCCATCGCCGACCAACGGCACCGTCGCACCTTCTGTCGTATTCTCTACTACCAACGTTACATACTCAACCAGCATCCCGCTATTCAACATCTCTAGTGGGGTATACGTGCCTTTGACAAGCTCGACTAGCGGCTTTCCTTTGCCTTCCACGAACGGCTCGGTCACAACTTCTAGCACCTCGACAGAAGGAGACCGCTCGGGCACGGCAACACCTGTGACCACACCTTTCATCTTCTCCAACGCTTCGCTTCCAGTCGGACCTACTGGTACTGCTCCAAACACATTCTCCGGCTCCTTCCCAAGTGGTGATCGTTCCGGAAGCCAGCCGTTGCCTACGGGTACTCCGGTCTTCAACTCCACTGTATCGATTCCTTTGAGCACCGGAGTCCCGAGTGTCAACGGTACTTCGAGCTTACCATCTGCCAGCTTCCCCTTCCCTAGCAGCAACTTTACTTTCCCTGCCGCGACTGGAACTGCTCCATCTGCTAGTTTCCCCTTCACAACTGCCAATTCATCTCTCCCTCTCCCGACTGGAACTGCTCCATCTGCTAGCTTCCCCTTCCCGACGGCAAATTCATCCCTCCTCTTGCCGACCGGTACCGCTCCGTCTGCCAGCTTCCCCTACCCAACTGGAAACTCATCCACCATTGTCGGTCCTACCGGTACTGGCCCCTCCTCGGGCTTCCCTATCATCACCGCCAACTCTTCGATCCCGGTTGGACCTACAGGAACACCTTTCACTCCCTCAGGTACCACAGATCTTCGCAGTGGCACTCGTACACCATCTGGACCCAGCAGCACATTCCCTTCAGCCACCAACGGTACATGCACTGAGCTACCTCCTGTCACCGTGACAATGTTCTCTACAGTCACTGAAGCAGCCAGCACTGTCTACGCAACCACAACCTTGCTTGGTTGTTACTCCAACTGCCCCCCTGCAGGCGGCTTTGGAAACTATGGACCCTTCAGCGGGTTCCAGGCTGCTCCAACCACACCCGCTACTAGCTCGGTTGCTTGATCGCCACGATTGATCTGTCACGACTAATGGATGTAATGTTTTGCGATTTCGAGATGATTAGGTTTTGTGTTTGTGTGGGCTTTCACGAAAAGGGAAGAGTTTACAGGATCTCGATTGTGAGTTTTGGTGTTTGTCCCTTCTTAGCAGCGCCAAAGCAAGGACTTTAGACAGCTTAGTATCATGTTATATAGCAGCTCTTAGTAACCATCTTGCCGTCACAGGACCTACAACATCTTACTAAGTCTCTACCAAGTCATGTGACTCTACACGCTAGGATGACTAAAACTCCAACGCGTTCGCCCTTTGCTTTTGTTTCACTTTCTCTCTGTCCGCGGCCGTCTCGTGTAACATACAGCTGTCATTCGACACAAGGAGTGTGATATCGGGAAGCCACTTCGACCAACCACTGTGCAGACACTATTGGTCAACTGATCAGGTACCTGCATATATGCACCCGAGGTCTGCACAACTTTCACAATCACGTCACTTTTACACAACTTTGGATAATCATAAAATTCGTACTTGGATATTCGAAACGAGAACTAATGAAACAAGGCAAGAGGAGAAAGGAAAACAAAATGAGCCGAAAGTGCAAATAAAGCAGATGGTCCTCAGGACACTTGAAACCCTCAGCAACTTCCCTTAAGCCGTACTTGGCAACTGACGATGATGTTGTAGCCCTTGCAAGAGAAGGCTAACAGCTTGCACCAGACAAAAACACTGGACCTGTTCTTCAACGGGCTTTTCCAATCGCTTGAGTCTTTCGCTGCTTCTCAATCTGTAGCTGGTAAATCTCCTGGTCGAGGTCTTTGATAATTTCGTACGATCGTTCGATTGATGCTTTGAGCTTACTGCCCTCGGACTGCCACCGTTGGATCTTGGTTACTTCTGCAGCACGACGACGAAGCTTGGTGTCAATCTTCTGGCAAATTTTACACTTGTCGTTACTTCTGGCGACAGCGTAGACAAGCTTCATACCGCAGGTCTCTCCGGTACGGTATTCGCGGTTGCAGTGCTGGCGGAAGCGATCCCACTTCCAGTCACCGCATGTCCACATAACTTGGTCGAAGAAGCACATGTCGTGGAGAGAATATCTGACACCTGTTAGCATGGAAGGTCTGAGTATCCTGGAAGATACTGGGCTGGACACTGACTGGTTCTTTGGGACGATAGAGTCTACACGTAGACGCCGAGAAGTGTTGGAGTCGGTTCTGGGCCCGGGCGGGTATCGAAATATGTCTTGAGCTATTGGGATGAGACTGACAAAGAGGTCGTAGGAGGTTGGATAAGATCAAGGCTCGGTGATTGTATAGCTGCAATGTCTTGCGGAGGGATCAATTGCTGATGATTGTGTCTTTCAGCGGGCCTTGGACGAGCTATTTATGCTTTTCAGAGCAAGAGAAGACTGCCGCTCGACTTGGTCTTGGTCGCTTTGTTGTCAAGCAAATCCTGCAAGATTCTCACCATCCTGCAAGACTACCTCCGGTATGCCGCCTTGGACCAGTCACTTTATCCCTCAGACATGCATTGGGGCTGCCATTGGAAGCTAGTTGCTCATCTAATGTGGTCCAGAGTGCCACTCCGACCCTCCATCGCTTGGAAGGACATGAGCAGAGCTATCACGCCTCCGTACGATCACCGGCGGTGTGGCTCTTGCTTTGTTCGCCTATTCCTTCTTGCCGATACTTGATTGCTCAGTCTTGAGCTTGCCGTCATGCCGTAGGTGGCCTCGATGCGTTGTCGTGGTAGGGATCAGACGATGTGCCTATGTCTTGAGGCTTCAGGAGGTCAAGGTGAATCTTTCTTTGATATCACGTGCGTTGCCATTTTCCTGAGCGCAACTCCCAGTTTGTTTGTTTGTTTGCCTTGGCAGGAGCATCCGTCTATTGGACCATCTTTTTCTTCCAGTCCGGACTTTGCTGCAACTCCTCAGCATGCCAAACGTACTCTTGCTCAGGCAATCCGTCCCGCGTGTGTCGGCTTCTCTTGCGTTCTGGCCTACTTCATCTCGACGGAGAGGGGGTGCAAGATGCACATGCTGGTTGGGTACCAGGAGCGCAGTCCATTGAGCTGACTAGCAGGAACAGTAGCGGTCGGAATGTCGGTTGACTCGATACGAAAGTCTGCCATGGACCCTCTCGCTGAGGAATGGCCGATGGAGTAGTGGGCTTGCATGCAGCCGTTCATTGACTTGGCAAGAGCATACGCGGGTAGGGAGCATTGGTATCCAGTCAGCTTATCGTCAAGGGCTGCGATCGTGTCTGGATATTACCACTTGAGTGGAGCACTGCCCACGAACAAGGTTCGTCCGCACTTGGTCCACGCCTCATGCGTCTCCTCGCTACTCGGAGGATCGTCAAATTGCAATTCAACCTCTCCGTGCATAGAGCCGGAGGCAACATAACAGGTCAATTCCACACAGACGGCAACGATGGGCTGATGGTGCTTGCCTAGGCTTGAAGAGTACCTCTGTCACCCGTCACCTCAGGCAATCACGGCTGGAGCTGGCGGACGCTAGAATTGAGAGGATTCTCCTTGTCTCCGCCCTTGTGACGTGGCGGAAGGAGTATGGTGGGCTAATGAAAAAGGCTATCGTCATTGTCATTTTATCTGAGTCGGTTAGCAGGCTAAAACGATGATCAGAAAAGCTTCTGATTGATTGATTGAGGGTGACACGATTCAACATCTTACGGCGCCAGGCGAGGCAGTTGACGATGACCCCTTGGACCAGCACAAACAAATCTCTGCTTCTTTTCTCGTTCATAAGCGACAGCAGTGCATGGTTTCTATGGATTATGGATACTAGATGGCGGGTAAGTTATGCACGCCCAGCGCAAAGCCCTTGTGTCCGGACCTCCACTCCTGGACGAATCTGACAATCTGGTCGCGATCATGCGTGGCGGAAGCACAGTAGAAGGATCATCAATTGGAAAATCTGTTGGTATTTCCTCACTCGAAACAACAGAGAGTAAGCCATCAGTGAAGAAACCGAAACATTTATCGCGCTTGACCAATCTGAGCGCCAAAAATTGGTTTCAGAATAACCAGAGTCAGAAGGGGCGGTTGAGACCCGAAACGTGGCAGTGGAAGCCTCTGTTCTGTACAGCAGCTGTGACAGAAAGAAAAACAAAGACAGTGCGAGTAAGCACAGTCTGGCGACGAAAAGACAAAGCTCCACGCTTCAGTCGACGTCAAAATTTACCTTTCTCAGGCTTTCTGCAAGAGCTTTGGTTGCCGAACGAGCGAATCAGGTCATGTGAGCGCCAGATGCTGCTTGGAGTCTCCATTCAGAGACCCGCCTTCGTCAACATGAGTCGTCTGGAGAGCGGGAGACCGCGGACTGAGGGGCTGGGACGCGAAGATACGGATACTGGACAGGCGGGTCGCTCACAGCGAACGAAAGTCACGCTGCTGCCGGGCGGCCATGCACAAGATGTTCCGAACGTAGCCCTATTGGTGCACTGAATGCCAGCTCGTAGGGCCAATTGTATCTTGAGGAGAGGCCGATCTTGGCTGCAGCACGTGGGGACCCTAACCTGAGGCGGCAAAGGAAACGAGACTTTGTACAGTATTTTCCAATGCATAGATGACTGCAGAATTTGCATGGAAGACTGGCATCTCAAGGTTTGACCCATGAGCTCGTGACAGGCAGCACGTAGGCCAGGGAGACGCTACTACCCGCCCCAGCCTTCTCGAATCAAGGAGAGCGTAAATAAGAACGAAAACGGTCAATGCGATATGGAGCATTGGAAAGAGGGGCATACTGTGGGAAAAGTTATGAAAACAGAGAGAAGTGGGGGCAAGTCTTGCGAGGTGAGGATGGTACAAGTAAGAGTAGAACTGGGGACATCCCAGGAATTGATGGGGATGAGAGAAGCGCTGCTCGGACACGAACATACCGCCTCATACTTCGAACACTCATTCTGATACTCACTGAATATAGACTGGAATATACCAAAAGCTCTTTGGCGCGAGCGTGTCGGTATGCATAGAACCTTTGATCGAAGAATAGAAAGATGTCGGCGGCAATGCCCGCGCTTCAGCGAGGCGCATTGACACGGGACCGGCCCAGCCAAAGCCCCACCTGCTTCACCGCATCGACGAACGACGCTTCTTCAAGCGACCAGCCTCTCGTCAATCATGTTAGTACTCGATATGCACAACATGGCGTCAACTGCCACAATGAACACACCTCTTCCAGAGTCTGGTTTCACGTCTCTTGATGCTCTCCCAGACGAGCTACTCCTCCAAATATTTGGACACCTAGATTACCCTTTCTTACTGGCTCTTTCTCGAGTGAGGACCTTTAATCTTTGCTATGGCTCTTACTAAACCGCTTCATGGCAGGTGTCACACCGACTCCGTGCTATCTCTCTAGATCGTGTTTTGCATTTGCAGCTTCTCCATAACTCGTCTGTCCATTTGTCTGTTTTCTTGCCCCAACGGCCTCTGCTTCGATCCCTCCAGCCTCCTGCCTCGGCGATCTATTTAACGCGCACGCACGTCGCTGCGCGACGTTTGCATTTCCATCTGCTGTCGGCGACTCTAAATCGGTCGCTATCACAGCGGCCGTCCGTTTCTTCGCTTGTCAACGCACGTATCATTCCTAGGGATTGCTGCCGCCGTGATCATGTGAGCGGACTCATTGTTACGCAATCTGGACTGTTCGAACGCAAGCGCAAACTCGAACTCGAAAAGTTCAAAGAAGGTCTGCGAGTGTGGCTTGAAAAGAAGGCTCGGGCCATCAAGAAGCATAAATCGCACGTTGGTGGTGTTGGCATCCTCGTGTGGAGGTTCACAAAAAGAAGCAAAGGCACCAACTTCTCATTTACGGAAACTTCTTCGGCTTCTCAGCAAGGCACTCAAACCGATCATGTCTCGAACCTCCGGCGTTTCTGGGAAGATGTAGGAGTTGAGGGAATCCCTGTCCGAACTCGCTGATGCTTCTATGCAACTGAGATGTGACAAAGGTTGTTTCGTCAAGACGCTACCGGAAGAGTGAAGTGTGCAGCTGAATGAGGTGGACAACGAGAGGGACCGCCTACAATCTTCTTGGCAACCAGCTCACTCTTAATGAAGCTCAAAAACCTTCGTCTTTTCCATCCTCTTGTCAAATAAGGAAGTCATTGAAGGATAGAGATCGGAAGTCCCACTCAAAACTCTTCGGATTCAGGTGTAAAGTAGACCACCGCGATGTAGCTTCGGCCGTAACGGCTTGGCCAAGATACTTCTGTGCTACGAACACATGATGCATGTTTGATGTCCCAATAAATCTGTGCGCCATCGAAACAATCCATGACAGTGAGTGCATGGTTATAAGAGAAAGACGAGACCTTCTCCAGATTCTGCTAAGCTGGATGCGAATGAGTAGGCCTTTGTTTCCCTCGAATGAATCAAGGTCATACCAGAAACTTCTTTCCTGCAACTTTCCGGTGTGTGATGCGTAGTCTAGTCTGTGACCCTAGAAGGGTAACTGACGAATGAGCCAATACTGCTTACAGAACGAGTGGCGCTCAAGAGTCAAAATCAACAGAAATGAAAGGCACTCGTTGTTGTGGTGGTCGACACAAATAACCATAACAGCTTCCGGATTGAGAGATCCTACCAGCAAGATGAATACGATCTGTCGACACGGGCTCTGGTCGCTAGACATAGTGTCGTGTTGTACCATGAATCAAGTAAGCGTAGCTGTAGAGACATTACAACGAGACCAACGTCTTCTCCCTTGCAAGGCTTCTAACGTAGCGGACAAGATGCCAGATGATCCTGGTCCCTGTTGAAGATCCAGTGAAAGTCGTTACTCTTACAGGCTCTCCCTGGATCGTCTCAACATCAAACCTATCTTGCCTCTTGATAGCTAGTTGGGTAACCAGACTGCGCTTGGTAGGCTGCGATGGACACTTGGTGGCAATACTTCTGTCCAGGTGTTGCCGTTAGCAAATGCGCGTGATTGAGGCATCGATCTGAACAAGTGTCTGGCAGCGACCACAGATTCGCATGGAAGCGCAGGGCTCCTTCGAGAATGACCATTTGTGTTCAATGCGTTGTGTCACGGTATACTGAGGCAGCACATGTGGTCTTTCACGGGGTTTGATGCCACGTTCAAGTATCGTTTCTTGCGATGTGTCCATGTTGGCGGCGGAATAGGACATTGTAGCGAGATGACACTTGGTTGATGGATTGGTTTCAGCCTCTGACGCTTTGGTCGTTATCGATAAAGCGAGCTTGACAAGGTAGGTGTCTTTTGGGAGATCGTCCTCGAGCATTTGGCTCACAGAATGGCGAGCCGGTGACAGATTCGGGTTCTGCCTAAACTCAGGTTGGCTCGCATAGAGAATTTCAATAAGAGTAATTCATCCATGTCTGGTGAAGACACGTTTACCGTAGAGCAGCCGCAGTGTGAAACTCAAGTGTTCATTGCGGAGATCGGGAAGTTTCTACGGAAGCACCGCCGCCAAGCGCCAGGTGTCATTAAGCTCCGTAGTGGCCAGCATTGCAACTTCTTCGCGTTCTATTAAAGGAGCTTCACTCCTTTCCTTTGGATTCAGTCACATCTTCTTGATCTTGCCATCAAAGAAGCACCCATCCCCAACTTGGTCGCTTCCTTCTTGTCATCACAAGAACACATCAAGATGGCACGACGCACTTCCGAATCACGCTTCGCGTGGTCAACCATCTTCTACCTCCTCCTGGTGCTTCTTGCGCCCATGGTGCTCTTTGGCTCCAATGCCAGCGCACAGGACAGCGGCGACAAGGCAATCTCTGGTCCCGTCATCGGTATCGATTTGGGAACCACCTACTCTTGTGTCGGTATCATGAAGGGCGGAAAGGTCGAGATTCTCGTCAACGACCAGGGTAACCGTATCACTCCCTCTTACGTCGCCTGGAACGACGAGGAGAGACTTGTCGGAGACGCAGGTACGCCGTTTCCCATGCACGACTCTTCACACACTCGCTGACTCCGTCCATAGCCAAGAACCAGTACGCCGCCAACCCCGAGAGAACCATCTTCGATATCAAGCGTTTGATCGGTCGCAAGTTCAACGACAAGGACGTTCAGCGTGACATGAAGCACTTCCCCTTCAAGGTTGTCAACAAGGATGGCCAGCCCAGAGTTCAGGTCGAGGTTCAGGAGTAAGTTTACTACAGGACAGGCCACTGTGGAGCAGAGACTGACATGACACTCGCAGTGGTAAGAAGACTTTCACTCCCGAAGAGGTCAGCTCCATGATCTTGGGTAAGATGAAGGAAGTTGCCGAATCGTACCTCGGTGAGAAGGTCACCAACGCTGTTGTCACCGTTCCCGCCTACTTCAACGACGCCCAGCGTGCCGCCACCAAGGATGCCGGTACCATCGCCGGTCTCAACGTTCTCCGTGTCGTCAACGAGCCCACCGCCGCCGCCCTCGCCTACGGTCTCGACAAGACCGACAAGGAACGCCAGATCATCGTCTACGATCTTGGTGGTGGTACCTTCGATGTCTCCATTCTGACTGTCGATGACGGTGTTTTCGAAGTTCAGGCTACTGCCGGTGACACCCATCTCGGTGGTGAGGACTTCGATCAGAGAGTCATGGACTACTTCGTCAAGACCTACAACAAGAAGAACGACGTCGACATCACCAAGAACCTCAAGACCATGGGTAAACTGAAGCGTGAGGTCGAAAAGGCCAAGCGTACTCTGTCTTCCCAGATGAGCACCCGTATCGAAATTGAGGCCTTCTTCGACGGCAACGACTTCTCCGAGACTTTGACCCGTGCCAAGTTCGAAGAGCTGAACAACGACCTTTTCAAGAAGACCCTCAAGCCTGTTGAGCAGGTTCTCAAGGACGCCAAGCTCAAGAAGAGCGACATCGACGACATTGTCCTTGTTGGTGGTTCCACCCGTATCCCCAAGGTCCAGGCCATGCTCGAGGAGTTCTTCGGAAAGAAGGCCAGCAAGGGTATCAACCCCGATGAGGCCGTCGCCTATGGTGCTGCCGTTCAGGGTGGTGTTCTGTCTGGCGAAGACGAGGCTAGCGGCATTGTCCTCATGGATGTCAACCCTCTTACTCTTGGTATCGAAACCACCGGCGGTGTCATGACCCACCTGATCAAGCGTGGCACTACCATTCCCACCAAGAAGTCCCAAATCTTCTCGACCGCCGCTGACAACCAGCCCGTCGTTCTCATCCAAGTCTTCGAGGGTGAACGTTCTATGACCAAGGACAACAACCAGCTCGGCAAGTTCGAGCTTACTGGCATCCCCGCCGCGCCTCGCGGTGTTCCCCAGATCGAGGTCTCCTTCGAGCTTGATGCTAACGGCATCCTCAAGGTCAGCGCCGGCGACAAGGGCACTGGCAAGAGCGAGAGCATCACTATCACCAACGATAAGGGCCGCCTTAGCGCTGAGGAAATCGAGCGCATGGTTGAGGAGGCTGAGAAATACGCCGACGAGGACAAGGCCACTCGCCAGCGCATCGAGTCTCGCAACGGCCTTGAGAACTACGCCTTCTCTTTGAAGAACCAGGTCAACGATGAGGAAGGTCTTGGTGGTAAGGTTGACGACGATGACAAGGACACCGTAAGTTTATTCAAGCACTTTGCTACTTGATTACATTACTAACATGGTTCACAGATCCTTGACGCCGTCAAGCAGGCCCAGGACTGGCTCGACGACAACGCCGCCGATGCCACTGCCGAAGACTTCGATGAGCAGAAGGAGAAGCTCAGCAATGTCGCCTACCCCATCACCAGCAAGCTTTACGGCGGCGCTGGCGGTGCCGGAGGCATGCCCGACTACGATGACGAGCCCAGCCACGACGAGCTGTAAAATATATATTACTTTATCATGGGATCCGCAAGAGCAGGCGTTCAATAGAAACACCCAATGTTCAGTTCAGTTTATTTCCAATTCACGTTGACGATCATCAGCCATCGTACCTCCTGACAAAGTGCATCATTTTCACAATGGGTATACTCTGTAGAGTAATCGCATATGGTCATGTCAAAATAGATAGCACAATTAGCTGTCCAAGATAGTGGTCGTTTCGCCTGTCTGTTGCAGCGTATCACCTTCTTGGTCGAAACTCATTGGCAACACAGGAGGAAGGGGGACGAAAGGGAGACGAAGGGTGGAGAGTAGATCGCTGCTCCGGGCAGGAGTCTGGGGCAGAAACCGATTTCGGTGCTTGCATCACAGTGCGAAGGTGCAGGGGCTCGTGTTTCAGTCTGAGGAAAGCCAAACCAAGAAGAAGCCTTTGGAACACTGAGCAGAGAGATAAGATGATTGTGGACAACGGTGCCGCGGCTGGTACGAGTAGACCCCCTCGCCTGTTTCGTGGGCGCTTGTTCGAACTCTCCTCCTTGGCTCACTGCACAACGGCACAGCACATCGGTCGTTCACTTGCGCAAGCGCCAATTGCTTGTCGCTTTGTGCTACAGTCAAAGGAGAGAGCCGCCTCTGACGAAGTCCTCATTCAAGACGTCTTTGTCGCGACCAGCCTCTTGTTGTTCTGTCGACAAAGGCCAGCAACCCTGAAGACAAACGGTCTGGCCGTTGTAGAACCTTGTGCATTCCTTACAACACTCATCCCAGCCATTCACGGAGTCGCGGTCTTGCGCTCCTTCAACGACACTCCTTTCTATTCACTCTTTTTCTTCACAATACCACGCGCACGACATCTGCTGGCAGATATCGCGCTCCTCTGTAACAGACAGCACAACGAAGCCGCCGCAATCAACGGCCAAACAACCGCCCCTAATCACAACACTCTCAGCTGGACTGAGACTAATCTCCTACGTCTGCACACCCAAATTTGGTTCCTGGCGCAAAAATCGTCATGGGTTGTTCGGGCGATCGAGAAAAGGGTCACCTGGATGAATCGCAAAAGTGGGATTATGTAGTGAGTTTATCGGTCTGGTACTGCTTCAGTGTACGTGCCCGCTAACATGACAATAATACGTAGACACTTTCTGACTTCCACGCTTCTGGCGCTCTCACATACTTTTCTTACGCATGGCTTTGGATTCTGGCCCTGATAGCGGTTGCCGTGTATGGCGCCGATACTTTCACTGCCATCAACCTCCTTGCGTACGACAAGTGGTCCTCCCAGATCGAGCCTACGATTCCCTTGAAGTACTCGAAGTGGATCTTCGCCGCTTGTATCATGTTCTCTTGGGTACTCTGTATGTTTGAATGGGTACGCGCCATCCGCGTAATCCGCAGAGGCAGCGTTGCCGAGAGCTACATGGACTCAGTCGCCGTCACACTTCAATCGATGCGTCCAAATGGCTGGAAACGCTTTCTCGTTTTCGCAGAGTTGACCAAGAGCAAGAAGGGAGTCGACTATGTTGCTCTCTTTGTCTACTTCTCCTTCAAGGGTGCTGTGCGCATCATATTCGCAGAAGGCCCTCGCCAGGTGGTGAACGCCATCACACTCTATTCTTTCATGCAGGCGGACCTTATACCGACAGGCGACCACGCAGCCACGCAAAACCGCTCTTCTTTCGAGCAGTTCTGGGTCAACGTCGAAACCCTGGCTGAAGGCAACCGGGAACAGGCAGTTGTGCTCTTCACCATGCTCTTCACTCTTGTCATTTGGGTCATCTCCGCTCTATGTTTGATCATCGCTGTGGTGCTCTACCTGGTCTTCTTGTGGCACTACATACCTCAGAGTGATGGCAGATTGAGCAACTACTGTAGAAGGAAGATTGACCGCAGACTGGAGAAGGTCGTCGGTCAAAAGGTCAAGCAAGCACTGGAAGAGCAGGAAAACAAGCACGCACAGAACGAGGCCAAAGCAGCCAGGAAAGCAAATCAATTGCCGAGCAGGCCTCAAGTCGGTCGCAAACCAACGCTGCCACAAGTCGCTGCCCAAACACCCGACCTTGGAGGAGAGAGCGATTTCGGTCTTGTCCGACAGGATACTCGAATGACTACAAAATCGAGCCCGACTCTTCTGTCCAACATGCAACGACAAGAATCTTTGTCTGGAGCCCCCCCTGCTCTGCCGCCTCTGCACACTTACACTGCTCCTGCTTCAACCTTGCAACGCCAGCCTACCCTACCCGATCTGAATATCGCACACCCTCCAGCTCGCACTCACACAGCACCGCCAATGGAAATGTACCGCCAACCCACTTTGCCTGACCTCAATGCCGACAAGCGCCCAATTATGCCCTACCGCTCCGACACTGAAGCCTCGGCCATGTCCAGTGCCACTTATGCTTCGGACGCCTCCTTGCTCGGAAACGCCAATGACATGGGCTACAGCGATAGCTCTGCCCACTATCACACTCAGCCAAGACCGACATTCGACCGCTCGACATCTTACGCTTCGAAACATATGCCGCCATCATTCGACGGTCAACTCGATCACACTGGTCGGCCCTACCCAGATAGAAGCGCTACTGTAGGCCCGCAGCAGCTCGAAACATGGGGACACAATGAACTGGATGAAAGCTTGGAATATGAAAGAGCTCTGACACCAGAGCCAATGCTTCATCCTACGACCCGATATATGTCCCCTTATCCTGAGGACATGCCGTCGCACCAGGATTCCTTCGGCTATGACGATACCCAAAGCAACATCCTGCCGCGACAGAGACCACAACAAAATTTCCAGCTGCCGTACACTCCACTGGCCCGTATGAGCAGTGGCTTGAGTTTCGCATCGCGCAACACCCCCGAGCCCGAGACCCAGAGCTTCGAGATGACGACGCAATCAAGGATAGTCCCCATGCCAGAGCCTTACGAGCAGCGATCTCAACCTTCTTCACAACAGCAGGCTCCCCAACAGCGTTCGGCATCCGCAGCGTCGGGAGGCTATGTTGCATTCAACCCTTCATTCACACTTGCCGCCGCCGCACCCTCGTTTATGCCTCCAGACCGAAGCTTCACAAGTCCTCCGGAGATCGCGAGGCCCTCTGTAGCAGCCGCACCTCAACGTAGCGCTACAGCTCCTCCCGAGGCATATGATGGCTTGATCGAGGAATACCGTGTCCAGCCTCAATACCCTCGCCATCAAATACCAGACAAGAGTATGTCCGCTGCTCCTTACCGCCCTGGCATGCCAGGCAGAAGCGCCACAGCTACCCCTAGTCAGCAATACGGTATGCTAGGTAGGAGTGCATCCGCCGCACCTCACCATCCCGGAATGCCGGGTAGAAGTGCAACAGCAGCTCCCAGTCAACAACACCGTGTGCCCGGCAGAAGTGCAACAATTCAACAGCAACAACAATATGATACAAGACATAATGAATGGTGATGAAGGGAAATATTGGGGCTGGGTTCATTTTGGTGTCTTTGTTTTCTCTTTCCTTCGTTGATACCCCCGCGACCATCGTGATCTAAAGGCTTCTTTCATATATCTTATCTCGATTCGATACCCCCTTTTCGTTTATAGAAAATGACTCTGCAATGAACACATCATCTCGTCAATTCCAACCCGGCCCAACTTCAAATCAACGTACACGATCCACTGACGCGCTCGAATCTAAGGGTAGTGAGGTTACGGCAAGCCTTTGGTAGAGGCAACGTTTAAACAGTGGTATTCTACATTCCAACGTGACATTTTTTCCCACGCTGCGTCAGATCTTCCTTTTGGGGTTCATTGCCAACGCCATCTGTGATGTTTCATGCAAAACAGAATCAGGCACTCTAGAAGTCGTTCTCGTCGCTTCCGGCGATGATGACGTTGTTGACCTTGAGGACCATACGGCAGAGCTGTGTGGCCAACAGAAGTTGTTGTCTCTTGGAGATCAGGGGGTCGATAACGAAGTTTTCTCTCATGTCTGTGAACAAGTTAGTCATTGCGTGCATATCATGACAATTTGATAGCGACTCACCATTGCTTCCGGTTTGCATGCAGTCGACGCCCAATCTTGAGTTGCCCTCCTTGGCCTGTCTACTCTTGATCGAAGCCAGAGTCTCGATGGGGCTGAGACCAGAGTTCTCGGCAAGAGCCATGGGGACACTGTCAAGGGCGTCTGCGAATGCGCGCATGGCGTATTGCTCAAGACCAGGAGACTTGACGGCGGCGTCCTCGACTGCTAACGAACAGGCGATCTCTGCGGCACCGCCACCGTAGACGATTCTGTTGTCGCGAACCAGGTTGCGGACGACGCAAAGGGCATCGTGCAACGAGCGCTTGGCCTCGTCGATGATCATCTTGTTGCTACCACGCACAAAGACGGTGACGGCTCTGCTGTTTGCGCACTCCTCGATGACGAGCATCTTCTCTCTGGTGGTACCAAAGCTCATTTCTCTCACGATGCCGGCGGTTCCCAGCTTGTCGGCACTGAGATCCTCGAATCTCGGTACTATTCTTCCGTTTGTGGCAATGGCAATCAACTCGATCTCGGGACCGCCAACCCATCGTACAGCGGGGAGCTTGTTGGTGAGCAGGAGATGGTTGGCCTCATCGTCGAAGCCCCACTGGCAGATGACAACGTTGGCACCGGTGTCCTTGATCTGTTGAATCATCTCGGCGAACTTCTCGCTCTCGTAGTTTTGCAGACGCTTGAACTCTTCAACGGATGTGATGTCAAGCTTGTGCTTGGTCTTGGGCTTTGGGGGCTCGAAGGCGCATGTGAGAATGGCCAATTTGGCGTCCTTGACCTCCGAGGGCATCTGAGGGTGTGAGAAGTCCTTGTCGACAATAACGCCCTTGACAAGCAGGGTATCCTCGAGACTACCTCCAACCTTTCCATCAACCTTGATCAGCTCGAAGTCGACATCGCGACGCTCGAGATCAGCGACGCTCATGACTGCATCAACGGCAATTTGAGCGAATTGGTCGTGCGATTTGCTGACAATCTTGCTTCCCAGACTGGTCTTTGCGACCTTGAAAAGGTTCTCGGTGTTGTTCTTGTCGAAGGGCATGGTGTCTGAAATCTCGTCCAGGCGGCCGACGGCGACCTCGCAAGCAGCATCGTAGCCGTCTGCGATACGAATGGGGTGGATACCCTTGTCAATCAGGTCGGCGGCCTGCTCAAGCAGAGCGCCAGCCAGGACAACGACACCAGTAGTACCATCACCGATCTCCGAGTCTTGTGATTGAGAAAGGGAGACGAGCAATTTGGCGACGTGGTTGGAGATTTCCATCTGTTAGGGTATGGCGGATTAGAGGGATGGTTGGAAGGTAGGATAGGGAGTAGCTAGATACCTGGGACAGGATGGTAGCGCCGTCGTTGGTGACGGTAATGTCGCCATCAGGAGAGATGAGGATTTTGTCGAGACCACGGGGACCAAGAGAGGTACGTACGATACCGGCGACGGTCTTTGCGGCGAGGATGTGTGACTTGACAGCGTCGTTTCCGTGTTGTCTCTTCTTCTTTCCCTGGTCTCTTACGATGATGAAGGGGCGGCCGTTCTCGTCTTTGGCGACCTGGGCTGGAGGGAAGGATACTATGTCAGTCTTGCGAGTTCGGACGGGGTCATGGTTGGAGTGAGTGGGTAGTACCGTTGGACATATCAAGTTCTAGGAAGCATGTCAGCGATGGGCGCAATTAAATTATTTGGACAGTCGACATACGCATGGCCATGACGGGCGGATGTTGCTCCTAGGGAGCCTTGTCGGAGGAGAGTGAAGGCCGGAGAGGGTGCTGGACAAATGGAGAAGGAGCAAGTGAAGTGTCGTGGTTGTTCAGTCGAGCAGCGTGTTTGTCGACCGGATGCTTGCTTGCTCTGCTTGCTGCCGCTTGGCTTTCAGACTTTCGTGCCTTCCTCACTTTCCATTCACCTCCGACGCTCCGCACGTGGTCTGTGCGCGTCGAGTGAGTGCTTAGCACTGCTACCAGCTTCCAAAGCCTGAGGGTTCGCTCCTTCCTCCGCATCTTCGGACGCGTTCTTCTTGCGCAAGCTTCGCGTCGACCTTGTCTTTAATTGTCAACAACTCCCGTCGCATTTGTCGCAACTCGTCTCAACACTGTCGCATCCACCGAACATCTCCAATTACTTGACCATCATGCCTCGTATTACACTCCACATCCTTCTGCGCCCAATCCTCCCAACTAATCACCTGCTACAGCCGCAATCTCGGACGATGAGAGATCTAGCCCTTTTTCCGCTGACGACGACGTTCTACCGCCAAAGAAGCCGGCACCCAAGAAGTCGGCAGCAAAGTCAAAAGCCAAGCCCGCCCAAGAGGATGCCATTGACGGCGAGCCTATGACCGACATCAAGAATGGTGACGCCGAAGCACAAGACGATGAAGACGAGGACAACTCGGACGAGTACGTCGTGGAGAAGATCTTGAGCCATGCTCCTGGTCAAGGCAAGACTACTCTATATGAGGTCAAATGGATGGGCTACGAGAACCCCGACGATCGCACTTGGGAGCCGGAAGAGAATCTGTACGTTGTCTAGCCCTCTTCACTAATCTCTGCCACCGCTCAGTGACTAACTCATCTTAGTGAGGGTGCTATGGACATCCTTCAGGCCTACTGGGACAGCATTGGAGGCAAGCCGCAGCCCAAAACACCCGCAAAGAAGGGCACCAAGAGAAAGTCGACTGCTGCCACTTCACAAGATACTCCTGAAGTTTCTTCCTCATCAACAAAGAGACGCGGCCGCAAGGCTCCCAAGACAGAAGAAGCCGCCGAGGAGAAGACGGCCACTCTGCCTGAAGGCTCTTGGGAACACCATGTCCAAAGCGTCGATGCAATCGAGATGTCCGAGGAAGGTGAACACAAGGGTAACTTGATGATCTACCTGCTATGGAACAATGGCAGCAGAACTCAGCACACTGCTCTTCAATGCAGATCAAAGTGCCCCAACAAGGTATTTCCTCTTGCCTCTTCATCCATTCATTACGCGCCACCTACTGACACGTACTAGCTCCTCGACTACTATGAATCGAAATTGTTCGTCAACCTCTCCAAACCCAAGACCCGCCGAAGACGTTCCACTAACAAGGCCTAGGGTCTTCAAGAACACAGATGAGTAGTGCAGGTTTTGCGCACCACTTTCTTCACCAGCCACTTTCTTCTTCAGCCACTTCTTCTTCAACCGCCATAACGACTCCATCAGCTTGGAATCCATTACATGGCATTTTGTAGTAGAATCAATCGAGCCTCTTTCAATTGAGGCTGTCCTTAGCATCTCGCATTTTGTCCAGCTAAACGCACGTGACGACGTGTACCCGAATTAACCTAGGTTTGCTTTTCCGCCCGCCTTATCTGCTTTGTTTCCTTGCGGCACCAGTTTCCATAGTTACTCCATCCATTCACCTATCCAGGGCCGGCTCTTTCTACTTTAGCATACTCGACTGACCCGCCAATTTGACGGTCAGCAATGCCCCGCATGTCGGCAGATCAAATGCCCTCAACGGGTTTGCTAAAAGGACATGACTCCGACCAGGACGTCGCCGAGCCTTCTATGTATGCACCACCAAGTGCTGCTCGTCTGGAAGTGCTGCCTGTGGAAGAAGAAGAACGACTGCTTCAGGCACAATCTATGACTCAGGTCTCCGAAAAGTCCAAACCTGTTTCATGGGCAAGTTTGCCCAGAAAAGATCAACTGCTCATTCTCACACTGGCTCGTCTTTCTGAACCCTTGACACAAACTTCGCTACAATCCTACATGTTCTATCAACTTCGCTCGTTCTCCCCTTCTGCTCCAGACAGCACTATATCTTACCAGGCAGGTATGCTTCAGGCTGCGTTCACGGGCGCTCAGTTCTGCACTGCATTGATCTGGGGCAGAATGGCCGACTGGGAACAGATGGGTCGCAAAAGAGTCATCCTTGTAGGACTCCTGGGTACTGGAATTGGCGCCTTGGGTTTTGGTTTTAGCAATAGTTTCGCGGTTGCACTATTATGGAGGGCTCTTGGTGGAGGTGAGTAATTCTTCCATGCCGTCGAATACACAAGCAAGTCTGGAGAGATTTAGCTGTAGCCCTGGAAATCCCAGTCTCTGTGTTGTTGGTCGTACTGCGACGTGAGGCAGCATTGTGGCTTGCTTGCCCTCTCCTCTCGATGGTGCTCCCCAAGAATCCATGTGGAAGACGCCTTACTGACATAACACAGCACTCAACGGTAATATTGGTGTGATGCGTACGGTATGTCGTCAACAGGTTATGGTCAGCGTTTGATGCTAATCGCAATGATAGATGATTTCCGAGATCATTCGCGACAAGAAATATCAGTCGAGGGCTTTTCTCCTTCTGCCAATGACCTTCAACGTCGGTGTCATCGTTGGTAGGCCTTCAAAGATAGTTTATGTTTTACCAACGACTTGCTGACATATTCCCTCGTCGTAGGACCAATACTTGGTGGTCTACTGGCTAATCCTGCAGGAAGCTATCCTTCGCTGTTTGGGTCGGTAGCATGGTTAAAACAGTGGCCATACGCACTACCAAACATGGTCAGTGCTGGTTTCCTCTTTCTTTCAGCGATGGTGCTACTCTTGGGGCTCGAAGAGGTGAGGCCTTTACTCCGCACGTTCAGCGTGATTTGACATTAACACAGTTTAGTCCCACGAGGCATTGAAAGATAAGCCAGACCTAGGTCTACGCATTGGCCGTTGGCTTACACGAACGATCTTTCGGTCGGACATCAGTCAAGACTATCAGGCCCTGTCAAGTGACGAGATGGATCCCTCGACCATGGAAATGCAATCACCAACCGATGAACCGCCAACACCCAAGTTATCCAAAATCGGAAGAAAACTACCCTTTTCTCGTATATGGACGGCTAATGTGCTTTTCACCTTCACTGCGCACTTTCTGCTAGCCGGCCATGTAGGCACCTTCAACAGTCTTTGGTTTGTCTTCTTGTCAACCCCGAGATATGTCCCTCATGAACAGACGAACAACGGAACGAATCCAAATTCAAGTCTTGGGGTACCACCGAACTACAAACCACATCCACCAATCAGCTGGACGGGTGGTCTGGCTCTACCACCAGCAAAAATTGGTACAGCATTAGCCATACTAGGCGTTGTTGGTATATCCCTACAACTCCTACTTTACCCAAAAATATCCTTCCGCTTAGGCACCGTCACTTCCTTCCGGCTGTCACTCTGTTTTTTCCCTCTGGCTTACTTCCTCGTGCCGTTTCTTTCACTCGTACCCACAACGTCCACCTCACCCGCCGCAGCTTCTGGGCCTTTACTCTGGGTATCAATCGTCATTGTCCTCTGCATTCAAGTAACAGCAAGGACTTTTGCATTGCCAGCAACAGCGATTCTGATCAACAATGCATGTCCCCATCCTTCAGTGTTGGGCAGTGTACACGGACTAGGTCAAAGTGCGAGCTCAGCCGCTCGCACCATCGGTCCTCTGGTATTGAGTTACCTCTATGGAGTGGGGCTTCGAAAGGGTGTGGTTGGACTGTCTTGGTGGTGTATGGCTGGTTTCGCGACAATTGGTGCCATGGCTGGTTTGTTTGTCAAGGATGGTGATGGACACGAGATTTGGTTGGAAGGGGAGAAAGAGGAGGAAGAGGATCAGGGTAAGGTTCAGAGGCATTGAGAACATACCGGATAGGAACAAGTCGCACAGAGAGGTGCACATCTTGTAACAGAACAGATGGACGAGAGAAATGGACGATATTATAATGATTGCTGACTGGCACTTGAAGGTCTAATGATGGAAAAGTGAGGAGCATTCAAGGGTAGAGAAACACCTGCACCTTACCGAGAGCCAAGAGAGTCTCGATGTGTTATCTCAATGCTCACCAAAGATACAGAGCACAACGACTTACGAGTATTTGTACTGGGCTAGGAAGAAGACGGAGACAGGGTTACCCCACGAACGTAAACGAGCAGGTTCCATGACTTTAAGTATGTGTTTTTTCTGTTATGTCATGTTTGCACACACTTTTGGTGTTTGAGACTAATTGGATATATTATCCATAGTGAGTTGCAATGCGGGTGGCATGGTTGTTGTCATTCATCTCCCAATGGCACAAAGAGAGGGGGGCGTCAAGGGTTGTAGTTTAGCAAAACTGAGGCGACGAGTGGGGTTTCGGAGAAAGGACTCTCCTACAAATACGCTGAACGTATGTTTACATAATGCGAGAGCGGTCGGTATTTGATGTCGCCTACGTTCTTACCATCTTGTCTTCCATCTTGAGTGCCTGGGGAGAAGTCTCATCAAGGCTTCATACCTTCCTTGAGCCGAGGCAGTCAGGCTCGCTACTGCAGTCAGCCAGTCTCTACTTGGGTTGAGTACGGTGTAGAACGCGAGTACGAAGTCACACGCTCGAGCTGAGCGCTGATCTTATACCTCGAGTCTAACTACCGCCAACCTTGGTGCCTGGTCTGCGCTTGTACTTGCGAGGGTCTGAAGAATCGAACAATCGTCAGCGATCTGTCAAGTCACGCGCAAAGAGGCTTTCTGATATCGCCAAGCAGAGGGACGAGGGTTGATTGTACTTGCCTTTTCTGCTCATACGGGTCTTGTCCCGGGTACCTGGTCATACGTCAGCCCCCATGATCAACTGTCTTTTTAGCGTTTGTCACAGTCGCAACGGTAAACTGCTGCAGGTCCAGAATCCGAAAGAGCCCAAGGACGGCACTAGAAGCCTCGTGTCGAGGATACCTAGGTACCGCGATTAGGCTTTCACGCCGGTGCGCGGGGAAAGCTGGAGCTCGCGGGGGTGCATGGAATCCGCCGGGACCAAGGAAACGTCATTGCCATCAAAGACCGCCGGATATGGTCTATCGAGACTCGAGTGATAGGGGAAGATTGACGAGGGAACGGAGGGAAAACCGGATAAAGTGATGGAACAATTTGTCTTACCTTTGCCTCCCTGGAGCAAATTAGTTAGCATATGCTGGAATGGACTTTGGAATAGAGTAGAACACGTACCTCCCAGAATCCGTGACCTCTTCTGGCAACCATGCTAGCCCTACAGAAATGGCAGGTCTCGGGGGCGTAGTTTTGTTCTCTGGAACAGTAACCACAAATCATTCGATTTGCATGCTCATTCGGATGAGACTCTTTCTCATCGTGACATCTCTGCAAAACAGTCAGTAGTGCCCCTGACAAAACGGCCCATTTAGCCTACGTCGCAAGCGTAGACTTTGCTACAGCATGAGAATCTGTGTTGGCTGTCAGCGTTCTGTACAACATTCATGTCTGCGAGACACACCTGAACCATCGATACGACTTTGCGTAGTGGGTACAACGACCACGTCTTGGAAGCTCTTGCCCAGCGACTATACCCAAATTCTCCTTGATCTTTCTTCGGGCAGGCGCACGACTTGCTCGGACTTGTACCGATTAGCTACGACCCTCAAGAGTCTGAAAAGATATCACATACCCGCGGCAGCGCTAACGTGCAAGAATTTGGTTTCTGGGATGCGAAAACTCATCTTTCGATGGCATTCTCTACAAATAGACAGGATCGAATCTCCACGGACACCAACTACACCTGGTGCCGGGTACGATGTCGAACATTCGGAGCATGTTGGGATGAAGTTACTGTAGAATTATCAGTTTATTATTCCATAGCTCTTGCAAGGTATACGCTTGCCTTGGAAGCATATCGACCACAGTGCAGCCGTCCAAATCGAGATAACCAGCCCTTACAGAGTTCTGGTGGATGAGATCGGCACGGAAGCCTGTTACTGTCAGCCATTTTCAAAGAAACCGTCTCGACTCAAAAGTTCCATACCAACTGCGAGATTGTTTGCGCACTTCTTGCAGATTTCGTCTCGCATACCAGTCACGTCACCCTTGATGTTGTTTCTTAGGCGCTGAACGTCAAGCAAATCCTTGCAACGCTCGCACTTGACAGTGATGCTAAGAGAGACAAGCTCCAAGAGTTCACAGCCGTACAACTCCAGATTAGGAAATGATAGCATTATGCCACGTTCTGCAAGCCCTGAAGTTGGGGCAGGCTGTTGCTCTGGCTTATCAGAAGACTCCCCTTCTGTCTCATCTCCACTATCGTAAGAATAAGAGTCATCACTGCTCCAGCCATCAGGGCCGTCCGTTCCCTTCGGTCCGTCGTTGTTCCATTCTGGTGGCCTGGGAATGACCTGAATGTGCGGTTTGTCAGAGTTCTCGCTTACAGGCACACCAGAGACCTGAGTCGGAACGGGCACCACGAGTTCTGCCCTGACCGCCTCGACAGACTTCGATTGACCTTCGGGCAAGGGGCCTGCCTCCTTGGGAGTAGACATAGTATGTGCGTGCTGAGTAAGAAAGTTGATATGAGCGAGTAGATTGAGACCGGTCTCGCTCTTCACTCTTTCTTGGAACGCTTGTTCAAGGGCTCTTGCTGCAGGATCGTTGTTGCCATTGACCTCGATGCGTGGGGTGTGTAGATTGTAAAGTTGCGGCACAACCAAGCGAATGGACTTTTGATTCCGCAAAGCTTCCGGTAATGCTGTCTTCTTAGTAGGTTGGAAGGGAATGGTGAATGAAACATCGTCGGAGGATTGGACGAAGCCTGGTAAGCGGCCGAGTCTAGCAACAAGTTGCCTGATGTCAGCTTGACGCCTTTTCTCGGCTTGCGACTTTTGCTCGCTGGTAAACGATGGGGTAGGCTCTGAACGACGAGCGTTCGCAACCGGCTGCAGTTCAGATGTCTTAGTTCCCAGCCGAGTCTGCTCTTGTGGCTCAGAACTTGGTGCGTTGCGTATGATCTTCACCGTATCTGCTTTCTCTCCAGAGAGCAAGGTTTCCAGTTGCTTGTCAAGGCGGTTAAAAATTCCAAGAAGCGTCGCATTTGGTGATTCTGAAATGATCTGGTCAAAGCCGCGTTCGACATTGAGTTGGAATCCGCGAGGCATCTCTTGGTTTGTTATGCGCAGACTCGGCTTGTCTTTTGGGTATGACAACGGTATAGTAAGCGAGCAGTCTAAGAACGGGAGATCGAAAGGGAAGTCAGGATCGCTTGGGGCTAGCTTCAACTTCAGAAGTGTCGCATCCCGTAGAGCCTCTTCGGTTGGAGCAAAACGACGACGAAGTTGACCCAACTGGAACACTCTTGGATCTTCTCGTTCTGTCTTAGGGACAGGTCGAGAGACCACTTTGGATCTATCCACTGATAGTTCGTGTTGGCGACTGGGGATAGCAATCTCACGTCCATCTCCACGTTCTGGTTTCGGTTTGGCAGCCCGAGGTTTGGTTTCCAGTATTTTCGGTACCGACGAGTCTGCATGAACAAAGGGACAGTTCGTGCCAGCCTTGCAACCTACTCAATGTTTAGTGAGTCATTGACACTCTGGTACACCGTGTGCGTTCTGGGCAATAGAAAAATTGAATGTTGCCGGCCAGCTACGATTTGTGTATGTGTTCATGAAAAGCGTGTACAGATTAGAAGTAGCAAGGTGCTTTCTTTGCTTAGAGCTACATGCTCTCGATTCAAAGGGTCTTCTCAATTTCCCTCCAACCCAATTCTGGCAATCGAAATTTTGCGAGGATGATAAGATGAAGGAAATAAGACCACTCACCCTTCTTCGAATTGTGAAATCGACAGACTTGTTTCTTCTTCTGAGTTGCGTGTGGTTGCAAAGTAGCACTTACCCCAGTCTGAGGAGGTCCCGCAGCAGCCAGCGAAGTCGTGTCGCCCACATCTGCAAAGCCGTGAGCAGATGATCATGAAAGTGATGGCATACTTCGGTTGAGTGCCAGCACATAAAGGTCCGAATCAAGCTCACCCGTTTCGTGACCCCCTTGCACCGCAGCCGAAGGACGTTCGGTCGCCATTCTCTGCTCTTGAATCTCGGGCACAGGAATTGTGCTCGTGATTATTCGGTAAGTGATGTGCTTTACAAACCCGGGCACGTATTCCGCTCTGTAAAATGCGCCTGGAATCTTTCGCACAGCTTGGAGAGAATTTGATGTCGAAAGTATGTGAACACAGCTCACTCAATTCTCACATGTGATGACGAGCCGAAAATGTTGTCATTGTTTGATCTTTCATGAGTCATGAGCGAGATGTGGTTTGAACGAATCAAATCGTTTGTTTACTACCTATCCTACTTTCCGCACCAGCTTGGAAAGGCAATCTACATGAATAGATTTCCAATACAGGTTGCAGCATAGCGACCACCTCCGCCCTATATGGGATGTGGGACGTGGCTGAACTCAACGATCACTTTTTACCCGTTTGCGATCCTTCCACAGGAGTCGAGTATGAGAAAGACCGAGGTATCACAACGACACGACGACATGGTTGAGACTCGTTCCGATGATTCCGCCCTGCTTTACAGACACATGGGGCAACTGCGATGATGAACCATTGGCAAAAAAAAAGAACGAGCCGTTAAACTCAGGCTTTTAGAGATCTAGTACGATTACAGCACACGTCATTGCAACTCTCTCCAGCTCTAGTCTTGAATCCGCATCCACATGGTTGACGAGAATGGAGAGCTTGCTTTGAATGATTTGTGTTGTTGCACATGCGATGCAGCGATTACTGGGTCCGAACACCGAATAAATCTGCAATCGAAACCTGCATTTACTCTATTCATAGGCGAAGTAGAAGAAGCGGTGAAAGGTACTCTGGTCGGAGTCGCACTGCTTCGTGTCTGACACAGCTCCCAGAAGTGTTGACGAGACGGCACCACAATCGTGATCACAAGGACGGGATGTTGTTTGCATTTCTATCGTGTTTTTGGATTTCATCGGCCCATCGGCCCTTCCTTCAAGAAGGGGGAACATATGTATATATCGTACAGTAATGATTGGTATTCAGCACTCATTTGGTTAACGCCTGCAACATCCTCCGACATCATTCGGGCCGAGAGCAATGCAGGCGCTGTGGACATGAGAGACTGAAGATCGAGCATCGTAAAGCAAGTAAAAGACAAATAGAGTAAACCGCACGTTGGTATCGAAAAACAATTCTTTTCTGTTGCCAGTGGCCAGAGAATGATGCCGTAGTCCCATGAAAAAATAATATCAAAACACCGACGCGATGCCTGCTCGCTGATGCAGAAAAAAAGGAGAGAAGAAAACAATGCGTGTCGCTAAAATGCAGTAGCAAAATCGGATGAAGTGAGCATGAACAGAAGGTGGTAGTTTTACCAGCCTTTAGCGTGGTATTCCTGGAGTCCCTGGTTAAAGTATTCGTTGGAGAATTTCTTCTTATCATTCTCCTTGACCGACATGACCATTTGGGGTTCGGGATGTTGTTTGAGATTCTTAATGTCGTGAGAAGTATGCCTGCGTTTCATGGCGGCCAGGTTGTTCGAGCTTTTGTGCTGGCGTTCCCAGAGAAGGTTTTTACGCAGCGACTCTGTTAACTCGGTGGAGAGCATATTGCGCCTTGTGGTTCTTGGCGAGAGTGCTGGTTGGTGTGTGTTTGAGGTCGTCATGATGATAGGCCGCGGTTGAGAGGCTTCAGAGACATCCTGCGCTTGTTGGGAGAGTTGCGAGGGGTGCGAAGTGAAATCGGGACCAGCGCGCTCGACATCACGTCTGTGAGGTGATGGGGTGGCAGAGGGACCATTTGGAGAAGCAGCACGCGAACGACGGAGCGCGGGAGTTGAACGAGAGGCAGCGTTTGCCATGGCGCGAGCGCGATCCGGTTCGTGCATCATGGTGGTGAGCATAGATCGGCGGGACGTCAAGTTGGGTTGTGAGTCGACACGGCGGAACATGCTCTTGTTTTCGTCGGCCGACGAGTTGCCGCTCTCACCAACTTCGTCGTCTTCCCAGTCAGAAGAGTCTTCGTCCTCTTCGATGACACTTTCGAATGCATCATCGTCGTCCTCATCATCCGACTCTTCGAACACAGGGCTGTCAGTGATGGCTCTGTCTTGGATGATATCCCTGAAAGAAGCATGTTTCTTGGGCGGGTGCGGCAGTCCGGTAGATAACGAGCCTACGCTGTTGTGTCCCATGTGGCTATCAAGAGAGCTTTCTTCTTCGCCGGAGGAGGCACCGAGAGTGAAGGTCGCGCCCTTTTTCGGGCGGTTGAGACGGCTCGGATGGTATTGAGGCGAAGTTTTGAGGATGGGCGTCGGCTGCGTCGCGGCGAGATTTGTTTGTGAGCGGTATGATGATGGCACTTCGGGTCTGAAGCCTCTGACAATGTTGTGGGTGCTCATCTCGGTGGATGAACTTTCAGACGACGACGCAATGGCCTGGGAATCGGTGCTGCTGACGGTCGATGTCGAGGGTTCCAGATGGCTGGGGGCGGCAATGGTAGGGATGGGAGTGGCGACGGTGCGTTCGGGTAGTAATGCGGGTGCAGGTGCAGATGGGGTTGGTTTTGTCGCGGTAGGGGTCTGATGGTCGTCGGAAGGCGGCGGGCTGGGCAGTGCAGGCGAAGGCATGGACAACGCGGACAGAGGTTCGAGGCTCTTCTTTTCCTTGATGGAGATGACCATCTTCTCGAGGTCGATGGGCGTGATGTGGTTTTGTTGGCGTCCCCGGTTGCGGTGCTCAGACGATTCGCTCCTTCTCAACTCGGGTCTCACCATGGGAGAAGGCAGCAATGACGACACGTCTTCTTCGTCCGACTCGTCCGACGACGACACGCTACTCGACAGGGCGGGCAGAGGAATGTTCTTCCGAGCACGCGGCATGCGGGAACACACAAACGTTTCGCGATTCCAAAGACGCCAGCTGAGATTCTCTAGGCGCTTGCCGTCCTCCATTGCGTCTGAGATCTTGTTAAAAACTGCGGAAGGAGCGAACCATGTTAGCAACAGTGATCGACTGAGCAAGGATTGGCTGCAAAAATACCTGACCACATTCCAAAGAGGTCCTCTACTGAGCGGGTGTCGATGGTATGCATTTTGTCGACGTCAATCATGACTAACGAATGTTGGGGTCGGAAAGGCATGGCGGCGATATGAAGCAGCAAATGCTGCTGGTTGTGGGTAGAGTGAGACTGGATAGGGATCCAAGGGACATGTAAGAGTTTGGCGACTCTTGGTTGGGGCGCTCTGTTTGCGGTCGATGTTGCGTCAGACGGATCGGCAGAACAGGAGTAGTCCGGATGTAAAAAGGGCCGGATGGATGTGTATCGCAGTTGATTTCTGCGACAGCATCTAGAAAGGCGTGAGTTCGATTGTAAAGAGCGACGGCAGCCTGTTGCAATTGTATCGATTCCAGTTACGGTGCGGGGATTGTCTACGTGGGCGCGTTATGGGGGCGATGAAGCATCTGGCAGCGGACAAAAGGTGGGAGGCCGGCGGGTCGCAGTACTTAACAATCTCCCGCGCGCCGTCGTCAAGAGACTCTCACCTTTTCGTGGCTCCCACTAGATCAACCTGGCGCTGAGCTAGCCCCGCAAGGTGCAATCGCTGGCACTTCGGGCTTTCGAAGCAAAAAAACAACGTACGCCCCTCGGTTCATTCGGAAACTTGTACCGGCACGCCTGTTCGGGATCAGGTCACAGCTCTCTTCCTCCAGACCATCTCTCAAAGCTCATTCTGGGGTCTGCTCTGACCGATGACCCATTTGCTGGCCCATTGACTGCCGCAAATGGCTTTGTTTCATTCACAAATCGTGCGTTGGCTGGTCACGCCGCCTTTGCTTTGTTACACCGTTCGCTTCTTGACAAACGCGTCTCTTCATCTGGCGCTAGAAGTGTTGGCCGGACTAGGCATCTTCCAGAATCTGAGAGAGAACCGATCAACATTATTATTTTAGGGGGTTCTTGCATGCAGCTTGGTTGGCGGGACATGTGCTTGGTGTCTCCTGCAGCTTTGAGAACACGCCCAGGACCCTTACTTCCGTTGTACATGACTCGATACCCCGTTCCTCGCTGATGACTGTGATCTGAGCAGTCAGATCTTGTCCTCCCGCCCATAATGCATTCAAGTGCTGTGATCCGAGGCCCATCGTCTATAAATGTAACTGTTGGGTGCGACTTTGCTTGTCTTTGGTCTGTATTGGCAGTCGATAAGACTGTTGTTGGCAAGTCGCAGACGCCGTTGGAGCCACAAGTCTGTCGGCGAGGAAAACCACGTGCTTGCGCTCGTGGCTGTGACTCTCTTCACGGCCTCATGGTAGGCTTGGGTTTGGCTTGCTGAGAGCGGGCCCACGAAAAATGTAGCAAGGTTTTAAACGCCAGAAAAGTCTGTGTTTCTTACCGGTCCCTTTGCGGCGGTCTGTAAAGCGGCCTTTCTTACAGGTACGAAGGGCCAAGAAGGAAATCCGACTGCGCCTGCTTGATCGTGTCTTGACTCGTCATATCGCAGGCTAGACCCTCTTCAAAGGCTGGCCTCTATTTATTGAAGAACGGAAAGAGGCCAGCATTCTAGACACGCCGTGAGTTGGCGAAAGAGATGAGAATCACATGTCTGAGGAAGTTGGGCTGCTTGCAAATCATCAATCCAAGACTCGGTTGTCCACTTCTCGAACAGGCAGATGCGCAACCCGGTCTGCTCCGCAATATCATCCTCATGACTCTTCCCGGTGTGCGGGTAGCTTTGGAGAAGAAAATGCTTGGTGTTGTCAAACCCTTTGAAGCCGGGGTGTGTCGAACGCCGATGGAAATCTGAAGCTGTGATTATTACTGCCGGCAAGAACACCGCTGTGTTCCTCTTGGCCGGGAATCTACACTTCGTGACTTGCTAGAAGCTCTCATTTATCGTTTTTTACAGTCTCTGCTCCGTACACCCTCCGTTAGCTATTAATGGCATGAGGGGTAGTTTCCGTCCCTGGACCTGTTGCGACTCCGGTCAGCAGCTCGACTCGGTGAGCTTATTTACGCAACAAGCAAACGTCTCTCACATTGCCACTAGGTACTGTATTGATTGAAGGTTTCTCGTGTCTTTGCACGCTTGTCCAGGAGACCCTTCCTTCAGAACCCGTGCGCGTTTGAGGAAGAATGGCGAGAACAGGCTTCAGCACTTGCGATCGCAAACATATCGCGGGTTAGGGCAAGATCGGCTGCTACTCCGATAGGATCAGACTCGGGCCGCTGCTTTCGGGGCCGAGGGCTTCATCTTGTTCCATCAACGTGCACTGTGTGCTTGTCTCCCTTGCATTGTCTGTCGCCATACTTACTCGACAGTTTGGCAGTGATGCGCACCTTCACAGCGTGGTGATCTCAAGCCTCCGGACAAATAATGTGCGTAAACCGAATGGCTTTAGGCTGAGAGTCGCCTATCTACCGCCTATAGCCGGGTCGGAATTGTAAAGGCAGCGCCACTAGTCCACCGCCTACCGGTCACGCGCGTACGGCAGACCGTTCCACGCTGATACAGGATAAACGAACATTGAGATTCCCGGAACGAAGGGTCTTAGGCTGTTCTTGGCTGGATATGGCGTCTGTGGGCGGTAGTTTATATAGCAAGCAGATGACCTGTGCCTGACACAGACGTGGGGGAGGAATTGCGAGCGACGGTTGGTCATGTTACCCATCGAATGTGTTGGTTAGTAAAGTCTTGGTCTGCGATGAGGTGGATCAGCTCCTCAGACATAGATGTTAGCTCACTGTCCTGACTATTGACAGTTCTTGGAGACAGCACTGTTCAGGTGTGTTGTCGCTTGATGGTGGCGCCTGTCACGACCATAATCAGTGAAACGCTCAAGAGTCTGATCTTGATGACTTAGCACATAGACCTTGGGGGAAGGCCTTCCGGCTGTCTATCTCTGGGACAACAGTATCATGTATGCTCACGTCGAAAGATAAGAGATGAAGTGGGTAGGTAGTCCGCGAAGATATTCAAGTGTGCGAGCCTTGTCATGCAGAAATGTACCCGTCCTGAGAGAGACAGTACATCAAGCACTCCAGAGCTCCCAATCTCATACCTGCAAATTCAAACAGCCAACAGCACGCCGTAGATGTCGAAGCTCGAGTTGAGTGCTTGTGGAGAAAGTGGTAAATTCGGGGGTACCTATCAAGTCTCGGGTGGCCGACTTCTCGGATGAGCAACTCTTGTACGTTACCGTGGCTATGACGAAGCAAAGTCTCCGGTGGCTGGAGGGATGCGAGATGGACAGGTAGTGTTGGAGGCCTTGTGCTTTCTTTAATGGTTTGACAGACGCAGTGGACTGCTAACTGACTCGTGGCGGAGCGGCAGTGATTCACGATTCAGTCGAAGGAAGCAGCGTCATAATATGCAAAGTCTTGGCGCTGGAGAAATAGCGCAACTTCGTCTTTTGCTGGGCCGCACGAGCAAAAGGATCTTTGAAGCATTCTCGCGGTCAACAATTCCTTGCTTGTCAGCAGCTCTCGATGTCTCTGGCGCATGGCATCCCAACAGCTCGTGGGCCGAGACGTGCAGGCGTCGTGACACCGGCGGCCTTTTCGATCATCAAGCTCCTCGGTGCCTCGCTCATCAACCTGCCTCTGTCGTACGCCGCTCCACTGTTCACAACCTCCGACTCGCCCATCTACAGACGCGAGGAGCCCGATCCAAAGTCGCCTGATGACCCTCAGCTATGGATCTACTTGAGCGTTGCCATTGCCCTGGTGCTCCTGGGTGGAGTCTTCGCTGGCCTGACGATTGCTCTCATGGGTCAAGATGAGATCTACTTGCAGGTCATTGCAACTTCGGGTGAAGGAAGCGAGAAGAAGAGTGCGGCCAAGGTTCTGAGGCTGCTGAAGAAGGGCAAGCATTGGGTCCTGGTCACTCTGCTACTCAGCAATGTCATCACCAACGAGACTCTGCCCATCGTCCTGGACCGTTCGCTGGGTGGTGGTTGGCCTGCTGTGCTGAGCAGTACCGTCCTGATTGGTATGTCTGCCAGCGCTGTACACGACTGTCGAGAAACTAACAAGCTTCAGTCATCTTCGGTGAGGTTGTTCCCCAATCTATCTGCGTTCGTTTCGGTCTCCCCATTGGCGCCGCCATGTCTCCCCTCGTTCTGGGTCTCATGTGGATCATGGCCCCAGTGGCCTGGCCCACAGCCAAGCTGCTAGATTGGTTGCTCGGCGAAGACCACGGCACTGTCTACAAGAAGGCAGGCCTCAAGACGCTCGTCACTCTCCACAAGACTCTAGGTACCACTCCTTCAGATCGTCTGAACGAAGACGAAGTCACCATCATCAGTGCCGTTCTCGATCTCAAGGACAAGGCTGTTGGCGACATCATGACCCCCATGGGTGATGTCTTTACCATGTCGGCTGACACGGTCCTGGACGAGAAGATGATGGACACGATTTTGTCTCAAGGATACTCTAGAATTCCAATTTATGCCCCGGACAACACTCGCAACTTTATCGGCATGCTGCTCGTCAAGATCCTCATCACCTACGATCCTGAAGACTGCCTGCGCGTTCGCGACTTCGCTCTTGCTACTCTCCCAGAGACTAAGCCCGAGACCAGCTGTTTGGACATTGTCAACTTCTTCCAGGAAGGCAAGTCTCACATGGTCCTTGTCTCGGACTTCCCTGGTCAGGACAAGGGTGCTCTTGGTGTCTTGACTCTGGAAGATGTTATCGAAGAACTCATCGGAGAGTAAGTCGTGACCTCTTCATTTCGCCGCCTCTATCACCTACTGACGTGTTTACAGGGAAATCATTGACGAGTCCGATGTGTTTGTCGATGTGCACAAGGCGATAAGACGCATCGCACCGGCTCCGCGCACTAGATACACCAGGGGTAATCACGTTGTTGATGCTCCTGCCACCGATGACGAGACCGATGTTGATGAGCGAACCCACCTGCTTGGTCCCAAGGATGCAAGCAGTCAGAGTCGCAAGTCTTCGCTCACAGGCTCTCGCGAGGCGACTCTTCTCTTGCGCAGACGCAGTAGCACAAGCAGCGACAAGAACAGACCCTTGCCTATCCGATCAAACACTGCCGACTTGCGCCAGCACCTGAAGCATCTCGGCCCAAGCAACGTTGCAAGCCGTCCAAAGGCCACCAAGTATACCTCCGTCAAGATCAAGCCTGGTGTCGGCACCATTCCTGAAAACCATGTACCCACTCCGGCCTCAACACAAGAACCCAGTTCTCATCAAGCAGACACCTCTCAGACGATTGTTAATGGTGGTTCATCTCGACCTGAAGGCGGCGAGGGTGCCGGTCTTGTTGACTCGGCTGGTGTCGACGCCAAAGATGGAGCCCACGCTGTCGCTCATGGATATGGTACCATTTCTCCTGGCTCCAAACATGACCAGTCTTCCATTCACGAAGAGTCTGAATTCCACATCGAGGCCAACCCATCTTCGTCTCCCAAGCCTATGACCGCCAGCGAAGCATCCGCGTTTGCCGACAGCCATACGGCAGCAAAGCTTGAGGCGGACGCAAAGGCCCAAGAGAACGAGCAGCAAAATGGTAACCACGAATCTACCGAACAAGAGCAGCCCGAGCTGCCTCAGAAGCTGGTCGTCAAAGGAAGCACTTCTCGTCCCATTTCTCGCGACAGGAGAGGCTCGGAATCATCTCACTCCACGCTTGGAGAAATGGAAGAGCGTCCTGAATACAAGGCCCGTCGTGCTGTAAGATCGGGAAGCATCACCGAAAACATCATCGACGTAGGCGGCATGAAAAAGGTGGTCCTGGAGGCCAACAGCTCGTCTGATGGAGATGATCAGAAAGCCATCGAAACAAATGATGGCGCAAACGACAAGCATGGCCATAACGACGACCAGGATGACGCTGGCAACGATGATGGAGGTCACGACGACACGAAAGGTAGCAAAAAGAAGAAGAAGAAGAAGCGAGCAGGCAAAAAGTTCCGCAACAAGGGCGACTCTGTCAAGAGCCGCAGCGGTGACAGCACTCCTCTGTTGAATCAGTGAGCGTTCAAAAGTTGATGAAGAGGTGGCTCTATTTATTATGTTTGATTATTATTTCCTTACGACTGATCCTCTACGCATAGCGGCGTTTCGATCTTTCCGTTCTACACAGGTGTACACATAGCTTTCAACATCAATATCCGCGGTTAATAGGAGACTCGTTTTGACATGAACAAGAACTTCAAATCCTCTTGACGTTTGGTCCGTATTGCACAATGTTTTAGAGCAAGCGTGAGGGTGAGGAAGGAGCAAGTGTGACATGTAAGTTCTTACAATTGGTAAGAAATGCCCCTACTATAGTTTATGAACCATACTCATGGCAAGCACTCCACGGATGCACAAATATGCTATATTGGCTATCAGCTACTAGAAGACACAGTGCTTTATGAGTGGAGAGGAGAGATAGTGTGAAAACATGGAGGCTCTGCTCTCAATGAACAATATATCAATCACGAAAAGCATGATGCATTATTTCAAGGGAGTCAAGGTTGCGCTTCCATTGAGCTGGGAACCCCAGAAATCATTGAAGTGTGAAGTGAAGGTCATTGAAGGGAGAAGGTGGTATCGTAGGGCGTACTGAACCCCGCATTTATAGCCGGCCGAGGGCCTGTCTACATCTCCGAGTACCTTGATGGCACGCATCTTCTTCCACTCTACTTGCAAACATGTTGTCGAAAACAATGCGCCCTCGTCGTCTCTCCAAAACAGGATGTCAAACGTCACGTCTATACTCGACTCTGTTACCTCAAGCACGACTGAACACGCCGACGGATTTCGAATCCACTTCCTTGCTTAACCACAACTCGAGATCTGCATTGTCCAGCAGCGAACTATCGTCCGATGTAGGTGGTACTGCAACAAGGTTGAATCTGTTCCAAGCCATCAACTCGGCCCTTTCACACGCGCTCCGATCGGATCCTCGTGTCTTACTCTTTGGCGAAGATGTGGCTTTCGGAGGAGTATTTCGCTGCAGGTAGCTATATTGCTGCATGTTTCTTTGTGGGAATGATCTAAGCATGTATCATAGTATGAACTTATCATCCGAGTTTGGAGACGATAGAGTCTTCAATACACCCTTGACCGAACAGGGAATCGTTGGATTTGCTATCGGAGCTGCTTTCGAGGGCATGAAGCCAGTTGCTGAAGTTCAGTTTGCCGATTATGTGTACCCTGCTTTTGACCAACTGGTCAATGAAGCAGCAAAGGCTAGGTTTAGGGCCGGTGTGAATGCAAAAGCACAAAGCTGTGGAGGTTTAGTGGTTCGCATGCCTTGTGGTGGTGTGGGACATGGTATGTTATGCCAAGTCAACTATGTTCGCGCGACTAACTAGTTTGCAGGTGCACTGCAAGTCTTTTCCAGTCAGCGATTACACGGGGCATGCTGACACATCACAGATATCACTCTCAGTCTCCCGAATCACTCTTCACACACATACCAGGGCTACGAGTAGTGATGCCACGAGGACCAGCACAGGCCAAGGGACTTTTGCTCGCAGCAATAGCAAGCAACGATCCTGTTGTGTTCATGGAACCAAAGATTCTGTACCGTGCAGCAGTCGAATACGTGCCCACCGAGGCATATGAGATTCCTTTGAGCAAAGCAGAGATCGTCAAGCCCGGCAAAGACATCAGCATCATCAGTTACGGCACACCGCTATACACTTGCTCAAACGCTATCGAGAAGGCCGAAGCAGACTTTGGCTGCAGCGTTGAGCTCATTGACCTGCGGACCATCTACCCGTGGGACCGACCTACGATCATTGAGAGCGTCAAGCGGACTGGAAAGGCTATCGTGGTTCACGAGAGTATGAGCAATTCTGGAGTGGGAGCTGAGGTGGCGGCGACAATCCAAGAGAGTTGCTTCCTGAGCCTGGAAGCACCTGTTGCAAGAGTTTGCGGCTGGAGCACGCACATGGGTCTCATATACGAGGTGAGCGAAGAATAAGATGGCATTTGACAAAACGTGGCGCTGACTACTATAGCGCTTCAACATTCCGGATGTGACACGTAAGCAGACGGCATGATGTGTTGGACATGTACAACTGACCAGTCGGATGAACAGGTATCTACGATACGATCAAGACAACTCTGGACTATTAGGCGACGCATGCTAGAAAGAGGATTCAGTTCAGGTGCAAAATCATAGTTGAAGGGTTGGGGGGAAAGCATGTTAGGTGTTTGGTGTAACTACTTCTCCATGAATGTAGTTTTGCTTCAAAGGCCCCGTTTCTCTAGAAGAATCAAGTACGGTTCCACTCAGTCTTGCCCAGACGAACGATGTCACCCTGACTGAGCAACCAGACATTTCGCTGGACCTTGCCCTCTACACACTGCAGGGCGGCGGATACAGCAGCTTTGGCGATAATGTCGGCATCTTGGGCCCAGAAGTCCTTGAGCCATGGCTCGCTGATCTTGCCAGCCCAGGCAGCAATCTTGCGAATAGCAAACTCCGGGGGCCTTGAATCTTCTCTCGTGCCGACGATCAAGCCTGGACGTAAGATGACGGTGTGTTCGAAGCCAAGAGCTTTTACGGCCTCTTCAAGTTCGCCCTTCATCTTTGGGTATGCGAGAAAGCTTGTGTGGTTGGCACCGCCCGAACTGATCAGGACGTAGGTTGTGGCACCCTTCTCTTTGGCAGCTTTGGCGAGTTCGAGATTCAGGTCATAGTCAATCTTGCGTTGGTTCTCTACGCTACCGGCAGCGCCACGGGTGGTTCCAAGAGCAGAGAAGAAGATGGACGAGGCGTTTGGATAGAGCGAGGCCCACGTCGAAGAATCGGACGAGACGAGCGGGTGGACTTTGGCAGCGTTGATAGGGGGGTCTTTACGGGCAAAGGCGTAGAGATGCGAGACTCCAGGATGCGACGATAGGACGGACAAGATGTTGGCGCCCTTGGGACACGGTTTAGCAGCTCTTCATACTGATGCATTGACTTGTCTGGCCTGTCTTCTGTTGTCGACGAGGGACAGCACTCACAACCAAGCCTGTGCTACCGGCGAGTGTGCATGTCAAGTCTGCCATTCTGCGACTGTTGAGCGTGTACAGTCGATGTTTATGAAGCTCGCGGAGATGTTGCGACGCTGCTCTGATGGAGACTCAAGGACAAGTGCACGGCCCTGACGTCGGCAGCCCGACGCTCGTCGTAACTTCGTATATCGGCTGCCAGCCTGCCATCCACCCTCTATCTGCTGTTTGTCACTCTCGTTATCAATCTTTCCTCTACCGAATTCTCTGCTCAACCTCAACAACTGAACCACTCCTGCTCCGACATGCTCCTGGCGTCCCTTGGTTACTTGCTCGTCAATTCCCCGTCTGAATTCGGCCCAACGTCGTCTATCATCTCCTACCTTTTCACCTAAATCTATCACTTGTCACCTGCGAATCTCAAACGGTATGTATTTTGTATCAATTCACTCGGGACCCACCTTATCCAAGGAGGCTGCTCTGTCGCCATACTATTTCCTACGTCACGCACGCCAATCTCTTACTTCCATCTGCTTCAGGACGCCTTTGGGGATAACCGACAACGTGCTGACATTCCAGTCATCAGAGCGTCAATTTAAAAGGCCATCCACGATATGCTGAACGTGCGAGCTCTCAACAAACTCCTGACGGAGAATGTCGACCACAAGGTCTTCGTTCGTTGGTTGTAAGTCATCTTGAGTGACGCTTCGTTCTGCATGTGTGCTTATTTTCCGCAGTATCATGACGCCAAACGGATCGTTAATGGCATACACCCTACCAGCCAATATGAAGGAACTCCGTGACCAAGTTGCCTTAGTATCAATATCTTGGAAGGAACACCTAGAACGCAAAGACAGCGAGAGATTCGAACCACAGTATAGCCAGGGCGGTCCAAACGAAGCTCCGAAACGTGTCATTCGACCCAATGCTCTTGAAACGCTGACTGTCGAGTTCGACAACCGAAATTTGATCGTCAAATACTTGCAACCCAAACTACTCCTGGTACTCGAGGGCGGTGTACCGCCGGGGAGAAAGCGCGAGCTCAAAGTGACAGCAGAAGCACCGGATGATGCGCGGTACCCTTCCGAAGACTCGAATGGTGCGGATCGGGCTGATACTATGCTCGGCACATCTGTCGGATCAAAGGCATCCACCACGGTCAGCAGCACACAACGGCTTAGTGTTCTTCACATCCAGCGTAGGAAGATGGAGATGATGGCTGAGACAATCAAGCGAGAACTATCTGGATTCGAGGCATGTGGTGCTTGCTATCTGACAAGCTATTATCGTAACTAACAGCGTGTTAGATGCCTGATGATCCGAGCAACAAGTTCTTCTGAGGATATACCCCCTGACTTCTTGCCATATTGAACGAGCGAGGTCTTTCTATGGACGATTATGGCTGTCTAGCGAAGGCGAAGGAAGGATGTTTCATGGATCAAGTTTACTTTTAAGATACCACCTGTTTAGTAATGCAAGCGTTGAGCGATTTTGTTTCTTAATTACAACAGGAGACGCCAGGACGATCTCAGTATAGAAATAGGTGCATAGACAGGAGCAAAGACCAAGCACATTGAGTGAGTAGGTAGTGGTAACATACTCGAGTAGCCTGCACAAGCTTGATTGCTCCACGAGCTGCATAAGAGTTGCACATTTAGTGATGATGACGTTTAGCGCGATTTCCCCAGTGACGTTTTAGACAAGCACGTCAAGGCCGAGCTAAGCAACAAAGTGAATTGAGCACGACACGACTCGAGCTCTATCTCTGTCTCTCTCTGTTCCTCTGCATCAACCACATCCAATCCTACAAACAACCCAAAGACCACAACAGCATCTTACCGCAAAGATGATCACTGGACCTCTCAGCCGCCGTCTTCTGGCCCAGCAGCCTCGCGTCCTCAGCCAGCGCCCCATCGCAAGAGTTATCAGCAGACCTCTATCATACACATACCAGCTGCAAGCGCGCAAGGATGCTCAAGACAAGGACTCACTCAAGCCGGAACCTAATGAGTACAGCAAGAGTGGCTCCGACGATGAGGCCGCCCGCGTTGAGGATACTGCTTTCAACCCAAACAAGACAACACCTGAGGAGCAACACGACTCTGCCGAGAGCGAGTCCGGAAAGGTGAGGATCCTGCGTCTCTACGATTGACTTGAGCTGCTATGTTACTGCGCTGGCAACGGGGCAGACTGGCCACAAGGCACGAAAGAAAAACCGAAGCTAACCACTCGTAAGCTTGGACAGGCATCAAACCCTCTGAACGTCAGCCCTGCAAACCAGGAAGTCAGCAAGCCCAGAGGGGCTACAGAGGGTGGACACGAGGGCTCGGCTGCTTCGTCGAGCGACAGCCCCAGCGACCGATCTCGCTCGAGCGGCGGTGGTAGCCCCACCAAGGGCAGCCAGGGTCAGAAGTACAGCTCGTAGTTCGACAAAGCATTGGGAGAGGAGAATGGCGTTGCTACTTTTGCTTTCGCCTGTCATTGGCACGCAAGCAATGACGCGGGTAGCTCGAATCGAAGCATGTTAGGAGTTTCAATCCCCTTGCAAATCTACCTCTTTTACACATGACAGCGCCCTGAACAAGTTCCTAAACTAATGGTGAAGCACGCAAGTTGTTATCTAGCTATGTCTGTAGCTGCTCGCCCAAAGTGTTGATGGCTCCTGCCGTCTCCTGCTCAAAGGCAGCGCTCGACATTACTAAGGATGTGCGGGGTACATCAGTGCGTCATCAGCCATCAACAGGGCAATTCACTCTCTCTCTCGAAAAAGTCATGTTGAAACCAATTGTCCAACCACTCTTCGCAAAACGCACCTTTACATCGTACACCAGACTCGCCGCCGCCATGAGTGACACTTCCACCTACAAGTTCAACCACACCATGCTCCGGGTCAAGGACGTAAGCATGATCTCCCCGAACACCACTACCACCTACCACCTATACCACACATACCCCCTTTGAACAATCCCATACTGATTGTCCTCCTCATGTAGCCGAAGCGATCCGTCAAATTCTACGAGCATCTGGGCATGAAGCTCATCAACAAGCTCGAGAACCCTGACGCCAAGTTCGACCTGTACTTTATGGCCTACGACGATCCCAAGTCTGTCTCCCATGGCAAGCACTGGACAGACCGCGAAGGCCTAGTCGAGATGACCCACAATTATGTTATGTAAGCCCTGGAGACTCGCATGAGGAGGGAACTAACATCATAGCAGGTACGGAAGACGATGACAACTACACCGTGAACAACGGCAATGGCAAGGAGAACCGCGGTTTCGGCCATGTGTGCATCAGCGTCGACAACATCCAGGACGCCTGCAAGCGTATCTCAGACGCCGGCTACTCGTTCCAGAAGCGTCTTGAAGACGGCCGCATGCGTTCCATTGCTTTCGCCCTGGACCCCGACAATTACTGGGTCGAGATCATTTCTCAGAACCCTGTCAATGAGACCGAGGGCAAGAAGTCGGATGTCTCCACCTATCGCATGAACCACACCATGATCAGAGTCAAGGACAATGAGAAGTCTCTCAAGTTCTACCAGGACGTTATGGGCATGACCCTGCAGCGTACCTCTGAGCAAAAGGAGGCTGGCTTCACTCTCTACTTCCTCAGCTACGGTCCCAAGGCTCCCGAGCAGTCTGCTAATGGCGTCAACCCAATCGCTGACCGCGAGGGTATACTAGAGTTGACGTTTAATCACGGCTCTGAGAAGGACGACAGCGTCAAGTACCACAACGGCAACGATGAGCCTCAAGGATGTACGTGTTGACCCTTCTATAACCTTTCCATTTCCAGAAGTTTTGCTAATTTGCTCCGCTTTAGTCGGACACACCTGTGTCTCTGTCGACGACCTCGATGCTGCATGCAAGCGTTTCGACGACATGGGCGTCCAATGGAAGAAGCGTCTGACAGACGGCAGAATGAAGAATGTCGCCTTCATCCTTGGTAAGGATCCACTAACAACAACACGAAATTGATGACTGACTGTGCTAAGACCCTGACAACTACTGGATTGAAGTCATCCAGAACGAGAAGCTCAAGAACAGAGCTAGCTGGTAGACTCTTGATTGAACCAACCTATATGGGAAAGCGCAATTGGAAGCGCATAATTGGTCCTATAAACTGGCATAGTTTTGGAACTTGTACATGAAATGACACAAAAGGATACCAATGTCTATAACTTGACTGTCGAGATGCGCGACAACTTTCCGATTTGGAGACCGACTGGTGGTGGAGACCCGCTATCTTGCCCTTTCTTGGACACGACTGATGCGTCGAAATTTAGCATGCGTTTTGACAGCTCCTCCCACTTCCTATTGTGGAATTCAATTCTTTCCCTGTGTTTTCTGCTCATCACTTTCCTGAATCGCTCTTTCTCTTCGTTTGACTGCCTCTCGATGTGGCACTGCGTTCTCTGGTTTTCCCTCTCGGCCAAATCTTCCATCATCAATGTCGCTCCTTCTTGATTTTGTTCTGTCATCAAAATTATTCTATCATGGTCCTTCTCGAGGGCATATCGCTGGGTGTGACTCGCATGTGAGTACAACAAATACATCGTCCTGGAAAAGGTTCTGCGTGACATTTTGACTGGACCCGGACAATGGTTGAGAACGATGCCAGGGAACAAAATGCGACTGAGATTTCTCGCCGACATCATTCGCGAAACGAACCGGTCAATCATCTCCAATGCATAGTACTAGTAATAAGAGCCACGTACTCACCGTGGATTAGAGAGAGATGACCATGTGAATCGGAGTGTGAAGAAGTATCCCATTTTATGAGCGAGACCAGGGTTATGGGGTCGGCAACTCGACATGGCCAAAAGTGTCACCATCGTACCGAGTGATCGAAAACAAGCAGGTAAGCAGCGTACGTATAGTGTGGCAGAAGAACCGAGTGAACGAATGAATGAATGAATGAGTGCTTGCTTTTGTTTGAAAATCGCCTAAACTGCTCAGTCATGATGCTACTTCAGATTGTCCTCCATCAATTTCTAAACTCTTTCCTCATGCCTCATCACCCAACACAGCCTTTCTGGAGAAGTCGTAGAGAGGTGTAATGTCAGTCCAGTGTTTGAACTATCACGCGGGAAGTTAGCATACATGTCTCATGCACATTGTCAAAAGGTTGCTTACCTGATGCACACCCTGTCCGACCAAGGCCTCGAGACCAGGAACAGTCTTCCAACCGCTGTTGTCAGCAAGTTGCATCAACGATGTGATGCGAGGCTTGTATGCCATCTCCAGCAGAACCTTGCTTTTGTCTGCAGGTCCGGGAATATCACGAGTGTTGTTGCCAGCCTCGAACAAACCACACAGAGTCTCGCGCATAGCAGGGTCAATGGGCGAATCACCGGGAATGGTACCGATGGCCACGACAGGGTGTCTGTCGGGTGAAAGTTTCGATACCTGTTCAGTATCGCTCAAGACTTCGATGTTGAAGCGCTCGTCAAAGGAGCCAGCCAACGCGGAAAGCTTGGTTGTGTTGCGACCGACAAGGTAAATTGGACTGTAGCCCATCTTGTGCAGAGCATAGATGGCAGCACGGGCAGTACCACCACCTCCGATGACCATGGCTGCTTCCTTCAGTACACCGTTGTTGTTCTCGGCACCAGCGAACTGAAGGGCAATGGTCATGCCCTGCCAGTCAGTGTTGTAACCGGTCAGAATGGTCTTTCCACCAACCTGAGTAGGCACAATGGTGTTGACAGCACCGATAATCTTGGCGGCAGGATCGACATGGTCAAGCAGTTCCATAACGTCCAGCTTGAGAGGAATGGTCACGCTACCTCCACCAAAGTTGGGAGCACGGATGATCTTCTCAATATCCTTCGCTACGGTAGTCTCGAACAAGCCATACTCGTGCGGGAGTCCCGATTGGGCAAACAGGGCGTTGTGAAGGGCAGGGCTACGGCTCTGGGATATGGGCGAACCGAAGAGATAGAACTTCTTAGGTTCAATCTCGCCGATCAAGCTAAGACCGCGGCGAATGTCGGCGGCCGAAAGCTGGCCAGGAGCAGCCACAACGGGAAGAGCAGGCGAAGAGACTGGAGTCATGAAGCGGTTCGTAATGCGACTGAGCTTGCCGTGTTCACCCATGTTGAGGGCAATAAGAGGAATCTCAGGGTGGGTCTTTGCAGCCCAAGCCTTGAACTCTGCAAGTGCGAAGTTGTCCTCCAATGACTTTGCAGTGCCGACAATCTTGATGATGTCTCCATATTCCAGAGCAGCGTTGTAGTGCGGCATCCACGCACTGCCGCCAGTGGCCCATGAGAGCTTTCCTGCAGGGTCATGGTGAGAGGCAATAATCTTGCTATTGCGCTTGTGCGAGATGACAAAGTCTTTGAGCTCTTGCGATGAGGTCAACTCCACATCGACGAAGTCACAACCCATTCGTAGTGCGACTCTGTAGAGGTTGATTGCTTCCTCATCAGCGCCGTCGGGGAATCGACCACTCTGAGACTTGGTGCGGATGGTGAAGATGACGGGCAGGGAACTGCCTGATCGCAGAGCTGCAAGTTGTTCGACTAGGAACTCCGGGCTCGGGCGTCCGTCAGATGTGGACGGGTCCTGAAGAAGGTCTGCACGGAACTCGATGACATCGACTCCAAACGAAATCTCATTGAGGCGAGACAAGAAGGGGGCAACAGTGGGAAGTGTCAACGAGACGAAGAAGGATTCCTTCTTTCTTCTCATACGCTCCATAGCACACTCACGGTTAGTGAGCAGTCTCAGGAAGCTGCCAAAGTCCTCGATTGTGTTCTTGGCTCTGGCACCGTCCATCGACTCGACCGTCTGGCTGTGATAATGGAAATTACTGCACTCTTCGTACCAAGGCTTTCTGCGGAGCCATACGCCCATCATGTCTTCGACATATGCTGGGCGTGTCTTATCGACCTGCAAGAAATCCATGACCAGGTTGATATCTCTGGTCACCAAGAGGACATTGCCGCCATTCTTATGGTAAGATGTGAGAATATTACGAGCCTCGGTAGTCTCCACAATGCCACCACCAGTGGCGAAGATGTAGCCAGTGGGCTTCTCCTTCATTACAGTCTTCAGAAGAGCGAGTTCAAGCTCGCGGAAACCGTCCCAACCCTTCTCTTTGATGATGTCGGGGATGGTCATACCAGCAGTTCTCTCGAGTTCTGTGTCAAGGTCGATCAAAGGCCAACTAAGCAGACGGGAAGCCCAACCGCCAGTAGTGGTCTTGCCGGCACCCCTCATGCCAATGATGAAAATTGACTTTTGGTTACTTGAGGAAACAGAGTGACCAGCAGTGTGAGAAGAGGCGCCCTCGACACCTTCCAACTTGACTTTGAATAACAGAGACAGTTGGTCCCACCATCCAGGCCAAGTCTTGCCCACACACTCCCTCTCCAAGATGAGCGAAGGGTGAGGAGCCATGGTTGAGAGGACAGAGAAACTCATGGCGACTCTGTGGTCATCATAGCAGTGAACACCATCCTTTGCTTCTTGAAGATCAAAGCCACGGCCATCAATCTCGATACCATCATCAAGCTCTCTGCATGTAACCCCGAACTTGGCAAGTTCATCCTTCATTGCCTTGATACGGTTACACTCCTTGACGCGTTGGTTGGCAATACCCAAGATACGGGTGGTGGCACCATCCGCGTTGGGCTTAGCGACTGCAGCAAGTACAGACGCGGTAAGGAAAGCGTCAGTCATGGTTTCCATGTCGACCTCAGGTAAAGGCTTTAGCTCGCCAACAGGGGGACCGGTGACGGTAGTCGAGGTTGCGGTCTGCTCAACCTTACATCCCATAGGTCTCAGCACCTCAACAGCAAAGCGTGCATCACCTTGAAGAGAGCTTGAGCCGATGTTAGGGACTGTGCAGGTGGTGCCGGAAATGGCAGCCATTGCCAGAGGGTAAGTGGCAGAGCTAGCGTCGCTCTCGACTTCATACTCGGCGGGATTGGTGTAGGCCTTGCGAGGGACGTGGTAAACATTGGGCTCGGTACTAGATCTCTCAACCTGAACACCGAACTGAGCCATCATAGCGATGGTCATGTCGATGTATGGCTGGGAGATGACCTTATCGCCTACAAGACGGAGTGTCACAGGGTTCTTGGCGTAAGGCGCGCACATCAGGATGGATGAGACATACTGAGAAGAAACCTTGGCGGTAAGCTCAATCACACCACCCTCGAAGCCACCGGCAGCGGCAATACGCAGAGGAAGACTGCGACTTCCAGGCTTGCCGATGTACTCAATCTCGACGCCGTTGGACCGGAGAGCATCGACAAGAGGGCCCTGAGGTCTCTCTTGCATACGAGCATTTCCAGTCAGAACAGTGTGGTTGACGGAGGATGGTTTAGCGAGGGTCACAGCAGTGGTCAAGAAGCGAGATGCAGTGCCGGCATTACCCAAGTAGAGTTCGTCAGCGCTAGCCTTCAGTTCACCACCATTGCCATTGAGGACAAGGACACGGCCTTCATCCTCCCAGGAGTAGGTTGCTCCACCGAGCTTGTTGATGGCAGTGAGCATGACCTGAGTATCATCCGAGTGCAACAAGTTGGTGATGCGGCAGGGACCAGAACCGAGAGCAGCAAGAAGCAGGACACGGTTGGAGATACTCTTAGAGCCTGGAGGTTTGCAGGAGACGTTAAGCGAGCTGTCAACACCTGGGTGAACGAGCACACTAGGAGAGAGAATAATGCGGATATCCTTGTCAGCCACAGTGCTGGCCTTGGGCTCGTATGTTTTTCCAATGGCGGAAAGAAGGACAATCTTCTTCTGGCCACCTGCGTTCTTCTTGTCGACAGCCATGATCGAAATCAAGCGATCGACGGGGCAGTGCTTGTTAGCAGTCCTTCTACGAACAACCTTGTCCTCGAGGGAAGTAGGAAGGCCGTAACTTGAAATACACTTGGAAAGACGAGCAACGGCACCAGGGGCTAGGACACCCAAGTGGCGGGCGAGTTCAGCCTCCTTGACCATACCAATAGCGACGCATTCGCCGTGCAGGATCTGAGGGGTAAGAATGGCCTCAATGGCATGACCAATCGAGTGACCGAAGTTCAGAATGTTGCGCAGACCGCCTTCTCTCTCGTCAGCGGAAACGACCTCAGCCTTGATGCGAGCAGAACCGAGAACAATGCGCTTGAGAATATGGGCGATCTCTGTGAATCTGCCTTCGCCCTTCTTGGTCTTGTCGTCCAGGACCTTCATGATCAAGTCTGCGTTCTCTTCCAAGGTAGCAAATTCGGCCTCGTCCCAGAAAGCAGCCGTCTTGACAACCTCGGCCATGCCGTTGATGACCTCTCTCTTGGGCAAAGTCTCGAGGAACTGAAGGTCAATGTAGATGCGCTGGGGTTGCCAGAAAGCTCCAACCAGATTCTTGCCAAGGGGAGTATCGATGGCTGTCTTGCCACCAATGGACGAGTCGACCATGGCTAGGAGTGTTGTAGGGACTTGTACAAAGCGGATACCGCGCATGTATGTAGCGGCAACAAAGCCAATCATGTCGCCAATGACACCACCACCCAAGGCAATGACCACGCTGTCTCTAGTGACACCTTGCGACAGCATCCAGTCCTCCACGGCGGCCTTGGTCGATCTGCTCTTGGAGCTCTCGCCAGGCGCAACCTGGTAGGTGAGGAGTCGCGGCGCATTGTCGAGTTTCGATGTGTGTTCGTTGAAGGCGGCCTCGAAGGTAGGTGTGTAGAGAGCACCGATGTTTGTATCGGTGATGAGGATGTAGGTGCCCGAGGATACGTTCTCCAGCAGGTCTGGGACGACGAAGTTCTTCCAGAGTCCGTAGTCGATGATGATGGATTCCTTGCCCAAGATGGAGACCCGCGTGGGCTCACTGGCACTTGAGCTGCCCGACATGATGGACAAATGGACTCACGGCAAGAGCGATGGGGCTCTAAGACTATGAGTTCGAAGTTGCGCGAAGGTCAATCGATCAATTGAAGGTGACTCAAACGCCTCGAACTGTGGCATGAGCCCGCCCACTCGTCCCCACGAGAATTACCAAACCTTAATCTTTTTGGTCCCTACCGAGATACCGACATCGGATGCCGTCACGTCTCGACTGTCTCCCATGAGTCAATTTCTACAACACGGTCTATGTTCTGTTCACGAGATGTGTCACAAGTCATCTTCTACCAATCACAGTCATACGCAACAGGCACTTTAAGAACAGGCGAACATGTAGTGGCAGTGTCTACTTAGATAGGGCAACGTTCAAGTACATCCCTTCGAGACAGCACAGGGCTTTCCCCCACTGGCAGCAAGGCCAGTGGATATCTTTCCCTCATAAGCGCCGTTCTCTTTGATCTAGAGTAGAGCAAGAATAGCGACGGTGATAAGTGGAAGGCCTCTCAGCAAATGGACTTTTTGAACTTTCGTAGTCGGGCTTATGGTGTATAATCCCCCATTTTTGTTGTATCGACTTTTTCACTCAACCCGCTCTCGCCCCCCTCGATAATGTGACATTTACCAGGTGGTCTCAGGGGCGGTCTCGGCGTTGGCCTCGGAGGCCCAGCCCTCGTTACCGGTCTGGACGGGAGCGCTGGAAGCAGCCCAGTCAGCGCCCTCAGCATCCCAGCTGGAGTTGGCGGCAGCACCGGCGGTGCCAGAGGCGGCAGCGAAGGCACCAGCGTTGGCGCCGCTAACCTCCCAGTCGTTGGCGAAACCGCTCTCAACGGCGGCGGGGCCGACCTCGTCGGCACCGGGGACCTTGGCCTCCTCCTGGTTGGCCGAGTCCTTGTTCTCCTCGGCTTCGGGGTCGCGGTAGAAGTACAAGTCAGTCATGACATCCCACTCGGCCTCACGGCTGGGGAGGGTGCCGCGGAGACGGAGGACCTCACGGGCGAGCATCCACCAGACGAGACCGATGGCGTGACGACCCTTGTTGTTGGTGGGGATGGCAACATCGACGTACTCGGTGGGCGAGTCAGAGTCGCAGAGCGAGATGACGGGGATGTTGACGTAGGAAGCCTCCTTGATGGCCTGGGCATCGGTGCGGGGGTCGGTGGTGATGATGAGGCGGGGCTCCTTGAACGAGCGGGTGATGTAGTTGGTGAAGTTACCGGGGGTGAAACGACCAGCAATGGCAGAGGCACCGGTGTGGGCGGCGAACTTCAGGACGGCACGCTGACCGTAGGGACGGGCAGAGATAACGCAAATGTCGGCGGGGTTGTCAATGGCGACGATGATGCGGGCAGCAAGGACGATCTTCTCCCTAAACGCGCATCCAGGTCAGACAGGGCTCTTTTGAGAAATTTCGAAGCTGTGAAAAGTCGCGATTTGCGCTTTCCGGCGGCAGCATCATCCAACGCACCAGGTCTTGCCAATGTTGATGACGTTGACACCGTCAGGGCGAGTCTTCCAGAGGTAAGGCTCCATGTGCACCTGGAGGTTCTTGGAACCGATGTGGCACTATAGTCCACATTAGTCGAGGAAGTCGTTATGCTGGCGCAGTCGCACGAACCTGAGCGGCCAGGAGCATCTCAATGTCTTGGCTGGTAGCAGCCATGGAGGCGGGGGTGTTGGAGGGAGACATCTTGACCGGTATAGATTTGTCGACGGGCTGGTGACAAGGGAGAGGGAAAGCGCAACACTGTAAAAGATGGAAGCCGCGACTGCCAATTTTGACGCCGCCAAGCTCAAGCTGTGGGTGGTCCATCCGGCATTTTGCCGAAGCAGGACAGGGTCGCATCTCGAGATCTGGAGCTGCAACACCACGAACATCAAACAATGACTGGAATCTAACAAACTGGTTTCACTGAATATCGGTGTCTTTTACAGTGTTGCAGGCAAACCCTCACCGCTTTCGACTTTCGATATGCTAGATATAGCTGCCGCCAACTTGCATCTTCCACTCACTTGCTTCCTTCAGTTCGTACCGCTCTCTCGATCTCACCACACCAGCCTAATCTTCTCAAATATTCTCTGTGAGTTCTCCGGTAATCGACATATGCGTCTTTCAATGTCTGTTCGCAGCTTGGGTCAATCGTCTGTCATTTGCTCGGCGGCTGAAGCATTACCTCAACATCTATCTACGGGCAGAAAATTGCGCCCAACACTTATTCTGCGGCTTGACTTGTGCATTCAGTATTCGAACTGCGGCTGGAACGATCCGTTGACGACCTCTTCTGCGGTTTAATTCAGGCATCGAGTATCGTTGCGGCTGAAGTCATCTATCGACGACCTCTTCTGCTACTGAGGCGATCCACCCGGTCATCCTATAGAGCGTGGACAGACTGCGAACCTGGTCTTTCGACAGACTGGCAGTCGGCCCAGCTAAGAAACTCGCTGTCCCGTTTGTGTAGAACGATACAGATAGTTGCAGAACACTTTCGTCCCAGTCGCCCATGTGTCGCGGTCGGAAAGTTATCAAAAGGCAAGATGCTTTTGAGAATGGTATGATTGTCCAAAGAGAGGACGTGGGTATACGGCTCTCAGTGGACAAGGACCTAGTTTCCAAAAACGAATCGCCTTTTGATAGCTGGTTTGATCGGCACCTCCGAGTCTGGGACAGGGCCCGATACGGCTTCTCTTCCCCTGAATGTACCTTGCAAGTACTGCTGCACCTCTTCTGATCGTAAGCTCGACAGCAGCAAGAGCAAAGACTATCAGAAGTGTAAGCAAAGAGAACCATAGCGAGAGCAAAGATGGCTATTGCAAGGGCAACGACATTCACGATATGACGTTCACAATGCAAAGACAGCCGTGGTAAGAAAGGCCAGATTAATTCATAGGATGAGCAAGGTCAATCTTCGCAGGGGATAATCGACCATTGCAAGGTTGAAGGTAGCCGTCGCGAGGGCAAACACAACCGTACCGAAAAGACGACCATATGGATCGGCTCTTTTACATTAGACATGGTCTCTGACCGGAAAACAATCATGTATTTCTACAGCTGTGCGCGTGGTGAACTTAGCACGTAGAGAGAATGAATAATGCAGACGAGTTCTAGAGCACTTTCCAGGCACTTTGACTATTATCCGAATCCCGAGATCAAAAGTTCGGGACGAATGTTGTGAGCTCGATGATTAGAACGACAAGAAGGGAGGGTGAGTGTTTGTGGTAGTCGCGGAAGTCAGATGCCAAGGCTGCCGATTGATGGGCATCCCCGACCGCATCTCGGTCAAGCCAAATTTCGGCGAGCAGTTGACGGTATACTAGACCCAACACAAGCATGCCGCCACGCGTTTCCGTATTCTCAAGCCTGCGTGCTCTGAATGGTTTGTTTTGCCTCCAATGACCTTAAATTGACGAATGCCAACAATAAAGCGTAGGACATGGCTGCACAGCATCCCCTTCAACGCAGATATGTCGAACTTTTGCCTCGACACCGATAGACCGGGCCTCGACAGTACAGCAGAAGAGACGACACCGCGACCCTTATGCACTTGCCCAAGCTCGCGCTCGCAAAGCCGCCAATATTTCGCGCCAGCAGGTACTCGAGCAGGAACGCACAGTCGCCCTTGGTGATCCCGTACGCGGTGTCAGCACTCCTTTCGTCCAGTCATTCGAGACGGCCATTGCTCCTACCCCTACTCCTTCTTCCACCAACAACACTCACGCCGCTACTCGCAATGAAGCTTCCTCGCCAAACCAATCCCCTCCAGGCCCGAACGCCCAGACCGAGGACTACAGGAACTTCTACCTCACTCAGAATGAGATCAGAGAGGCTTCCGTCCGCAGCGAACAGTTGACTGCTGCCGTTACCGAGCAGGATTTTGTCGAGGCCCAGACCCCGGAAGAGAAGCAACGCAGAGAGCAAGAGCGCCAGCAGAACGAGCAAGAGCGCAAGGAGAGACATGCCACAGCCACAGAGGCCCTGAATCGCATCGTGTCACTGGCCAACGGTTCCTCCAAGGACCGCCTCCGCGTCAACATCCAGCGCTGCGTCGACACCTTTGGTCGCCACCAGACCGACAAGCAGCTTCCCCCCAAACCTCCGGTCGCCGAGTCGATACTGCTCAAGAACCCTAGTGCCAATACACAAAAGACCGAGCGCGCCGGTCCCGACACAGGTAGCAGCGAGGTCCAGATCGCCATTCTGACAGCAAAGATCAAGACATTGGCCGACTTCCTTGAAAGCAGAGGCAAGCCTGACAAGATCAACAAGCGCAACCTGACCATTCTGGTCCACAAGAGACAAAAGCATCTCCAATACCTCAGACGGAAAGAGAGAGGTGGTCCGAGGTGGCAGCACCTTATCGAGACACTTGGTCTGACCGAGGGAACTTGGAAGGGCGAGATCAGTCTGCGATAGAGAATGTTTCATGTGTGCATAACTGAATTCCTACGGTAGATGGGGGTATCTGTAAAATTACTTTGTTCCTGTATATCCAATTTCCTTTCATCAAATGCTAACGCCTTGCTGCCAAACAACACAAGTTTCCGTACCTTGTTCACTTCTCCTGCTTCATCGAGAGGCGTTTCTCACAAGCCCATAGGCACGTTTGCCTTATTCTTCCTCGCTTTCTTCATCGCTGTCCGCTCCACCCTGTTGTCCCGACGCAGCATAGTCGTCCAGTCCTCCTTCCAGCTCCAGGAGCATCTGTTTCTCAAGATCGAACTCGTCGTCGCCTGTAACAGTCGGTCCGCTAACACTCGGTCGATGCACTTGTGCCGGGCTGGGTAGTTGTAAGGCGTCCACATCACCATCTTCGTCTGCATCGCTTTCGACTTGGTCATACTCGTTGGCTTCCTCGTCTGGATCCATGACGAGTTCATCGTCATCGTGGTTCGTCTCTCGATGCTCTCCAAGTGGACTTGGTCGTTGTGGGGCTGGCGAATTGATGTGACTACCAGCCGGACTGCTTGCTGCGCTACGTAGACTGCGCGGTCCATCGCCTAATCCATTCGAGAACGCAAGACCGAGGCTCGATTTGGAGTGATTGGAGCGGTATGTGGATCGCTGGGGTTCATCACCTTCCAATATCAGATCACCATCGTCGTCATCGTCGTCAAGAGACAATTCTTCTGGTTCGCGTTTCTTTGGTGGAGGTTTGGAGGGCAGAGAGAGTCTCGTAGAGGCACGGCGGTCAAGACGCACAGCCGGTACATCTTGTTCCACCTTTCGATGTGGTTGTAGTCCCGGCGAAGGAGAGCGCGTGGTGTCTTTTGCAATGGGTTCATTATGTGTGGGTTTTTGTTTCTGTCTCGGTTTTGGCGGTAACTTGGCCGTCTGTGGAGCAAATGCGGACGTTTGTTTACGCATGGATTTGGCAATCGGAGTGTTAGTTCGTGTAGATGTTTGGGAGGCTGCAGGAGTGGCTGCTGGTGCGGGTCTGACAGGGGCCAAGGCTGGACTCGGTGAGGCTTCGACGTCGAGATAGTGCCTGAAGTCGAAAGGATTGGTGGGATCAGCATCAGCTGAATCCAAGATGACACCACCATCGTCGTCGTCCTCTGCCTCCTCTCCGTGCTCGTCGGTGTCGGGACGCAGTTGTGGGTAACGATCGGCTAGCACTCTAGAATTCGACTCCCGTGGCGCACGAGTCAAGTTCATGGCGTACGAAGATGCCAGCTTTTCTAGAACAAACTCTTTGCCTGCCTTGTCGAGCAGTAGAAGATATTCGTCGTCATCGTGGTGCCGTCTTCCAGAATACATGTATTCATCGATGCCGTCTTTCAAGGACAGAGTGACTCGATCACCCTCGGGAGCATGCGAGATGACCGATTCGGCATTGTCGGGGTCCGAGAGATCTGGTCTATGATTGTACTGTATACTGGAACATGATGAGAGATGGCGTCCCAAGCGGATCGTGTAAGGGGCCGTGTTCCGCAAATCGAAAGCAGGCGAAGGTCGCGGAGAGACTGCTGCCGCCATGGTACTACAAACTCCAATGACGGGCCGGGCAGCTGGGCAGCTATGGACAAGCGGACACACCGACGAGTCTGTTGACAAGGAGCGAGAGGGCGGCTTGTCGGGATCAATCGCTGGGTCGGGACCGGCAGCCCCAGATGCACGGCTGTTTCTGTTGACTCTCGGCAGCCTTCTCCGACAACAACGGTCGGCGAATCTATCTTTTTCTATCCTTGTGCGTCTAGACGTGCTGTTGCAGGAGGAAGAGGAATAGACCACTCGAGAAATGACTAGACAGTAGACTTGGAAGCCAAAAGTCCAAACAAAAGCCGTCTTGTTATAAAACGTGCACGCAAATGGCTGGCAGAACAAAGACAAGGCACATGGGTCCTAAACACATGCTTTGTGTGGAACACTGGAACACATGACAATAACTAGCACGAGCTTCAGACAGCCATCTCAATGAGGTTTTGAACACACACGAAATTCCTCACCACTCACCAACCAAATGTCACACGCATCAAGTGACATGTTCTCGAAGGGAATTGGTCGTTCGATGTGTTTCACCCGGCAATCTATATAAGGGGACAAGAAATTTGATTGGCTCGGTTGGCAGAAGCCTGCTTGGAGCTCGTCGCCTTTGGTAGAGATCTACTCACAGGCTCACAGCAACAACAGTATGCGGCAAACAAGAAGTTTAAAAACAAGAGTCAGACTACTTGCTGTGACAGAAAAACGCGAGGTCGTTTTTCCAGACAGCAGCTTGCAACCTGAGACTCGCGGCAAGGTGGAAAGCTAGTCTGTGCATACTATGACGTGGTCTTGGCATGTGGAACTTCGATGGCTTAAGACAGGCAGTAGCTGGATAGAGACAGCTTGAAGAAACACTGCCACCCTCTCAATTCAGCATCGAACCCGCCTGACAGACTCGCCCTGTTGGCATGCCCATCTCCTAGACTGCACAACATTGTAAGTGGCACCCAATTGCGCCAGCCCTGCCAGGCACACTAGCGTTTCGTTTCATAAGATGAAGGCGGCTCGTGCTGCCTACTTGTCCACCGAGGACGCCAATCAACAGCAACCTTGATTCCGAGACCCTTGGGCACTTTCCTTTCTCTCAAAAGACTCCAATGCGGCCAGATGCTTATCTCAATGTGCCCACAGCCATGTCGGTAAATCGTTCCAACAGCCAAGTCCGCAACCTGCTCGCTATGTTCGAGAACAACAACAACCACACATCCACCGATTCCACCTCACCAGACCGCGGTCGCTCCAACGGCCATCTGTCCCCATCTTCCAACGGCGACCGTCCCCTGTCCAAGGTTCGCTCGAGCTTTGTCTCCGTCGAGCACGGCATTCCGACCAGCCCAAGTCCAGCCATGGAGATCGACCCGCAAAAGACCAAGGAGGAGTACCAGTCCAGACAGGAGAGCTCCGCCAGCCTTCGCCGCCACAGCTTCAGTCTCGATGAATCAAAGGATGGAAATGCCCTCGCCAACCTCAGGCAAAGCATGAGCCAAGAGGAGGAACGTCGAGGCTCGAACCCCATGGTGGCCGAGACCATCCCGGAGGCTGCCATCGAACAGACCCCTGCTGCCACCACTCCCGCCGTAGAGGCCAAGGACTACATGGCAGCCGGTCACGTCGCACATGGCAATGGTGACCTGCCCCAGAGCAAGCTCAGGGATGAGGTTTCAGCCGATGATATGGCCGAGAACGGCGATGCCAGCCCGTCCACGGACAGCGACAAGCCCCAAGCCATGCCACTTCCCGTTGATGACATGCCTGCCGACAACCCTGACAAGCCGGTTAGGAACTGAACTTGGCCCTTTACCTTGCTAGATGCTAAGCTGTGTGCAGGTTTCTGGTGTGCAAGAGGAAGCCGGCTCAATGCAGCCTTCTGACCTTAAAGAACGATCCACTGTCTCTCCCACCCCTAGCGCCAATGGCGAACCAGAGACGGCACCTGCTCCACCAGCTGCGCTTCCCTCACGCGCCCGTCGCGGTACCGTCACTGCCGTCGACGCAAGCCCTGCCCCTGTGCCTCATAGACCCGCCAATATTGTCGCAACCGCTCCTGAGCCCGAGGCTGAAGCTTCACCCAAGACACCAACTTCTGTCAAGAAAGCCCCTGCACCTACCTCGGTCAAGAAGTCGCCAGCAGCCAAGTCGTCTACCCTCTCACCCAAGCCCCCTGTTCGGAAGCCTAGCAATTCTTCTCTGGCTCAGGCTAAGACCAAGTCCGACGCTGTTTCCGCAAAGACGTAAGAAGGACTAAATCGACGCTTTCGTGAACTGTCGGCTAATGCGTTTCTCAGAAAGTCCCCCCAATCCAAGCCTACTCGTCCCCGATCGCCCACACGACCAATCAAGGTGTCATCGCATCTTACTGCGCCAACCGCCGCATCAGCAGCAAGACAAGATAATCAGTCTTCCAAGCCTTCTGTTTCTGTTTCAAAGCCTGCTGTGAACAGTCGCCCACAACCGCGTGCTCCTGCTGCTGCCGCAAAGCCTACTGCGAGATCATCGATTGCCTCGACTTCGAATCCACCCAAAAAGACTGAAAGCAAACCCGCCATCTCTTCGAAGGGAACCGATGACAGTTTCCTCGCACGCATGATGAGGCCAACCGCCAGCTCAGCCAGCAAGGCCCACGAGAAGACCGAGGCCAAGAGTCCTCCCAAGCGAACACCCTCCGTGATCAGATCAAAGATAGCGCCTAAGGCCAAGACAGGAAAGGCCGAGAAGACCAAATCATCAACATCCATCGAGAAGGCGGATGGAGCAGCAGGCGCTTCGACACCACAAGCAGCTGACAGTGATCAAGGACAGGAGAACTCATCATTAGAGGCTACTCCAGCTTTCGAAGCACCTACTATTCGTTGAGATCAGAAGATTACGAAAGCACTGGGAGATGATTGGAGCGTGTTCGATACCATTGTCGTGCATTTGGGAGTGATTATACCCGCATAGCGCTGTTGGGAAAGAAAAAGCGACTTCAGAAAGCTTAGCATTAGACTAGATCAGCAAAGGTATCAGACTTGATTCTGTTCTTATGGTTGTCGAGAGGCTTCGGCTCGTCCTTTTGGACGAAGCTAACCAGCCCCAACAGTGACAGGCCTTGAGGAGTGAGAAGTCGTATTTCAATCAGTGCCGTTTCGACAAGCAAACGCAAGTGAGATATCAGAGTCATATGTCGCGTAGGAGTACGAGTAGTTTCAGTTCATAATTGTTGGTATTTCCGTAAATGGAAGGTGCCGAGGTGATGCAGGAGTGGTGACGCCTCTATCTAACTCCGTTGTCGCCGTCCATACCTACAACACCTTATCCCATTAATCACAACCATGGAAGGAGAGAATACAGTGCCTCGACTGCTAAGCTTGCCGGCTGAGCTAGTTCAGAGTGTGCTTCAATTCCTCGACCCGACATGTCTAGCTGATGTGGCGCTGACATGCCGCTTCCTTCGTAACCACGCTTTGAGTGACTCCCTGTGGCAACAGCACGTCAATCGACAAATACCGCACTCCTTGACTAGCGCTGCCCCTCTGCCATCATTTCGAGACCTCTACATCACACACCATCCTTATTGGTTTCTGTGCAGAAACAGAATCTGGTTTTCGGACGGCGAACCAAACGGCAAACTGCTTCTTGCCCGCTATGATCCGCGTCGAGGTTGTATAGAAGCCTATGCCATAGTTGCCGAGCCAGGCATCCGTAAATTCGAGCATTGGGAGCACGACGAAGACGTCTCGGTTCACACCTTCAATCCTAAAGTTCAATTGGACCTCAACTCGCCTGTCCTGAAGCTCGATCCCGGAAATCCGAGGCGTGCTCATGACTATGGTCCCCAGCACGATGATGATCCAGGAAGCCACGCCCTTCCGTCGCTCTCTCGTGAGATCATGATGGATTGTTCTGCCAACCCTGGTCTTTACACGTCTTTTATGCTTTCTCGCGATCTTCCTGAAGTCGCCATCGGGCCTGGTACCAGAGTTTGGCCGCCTATGCACATTCCTGCTCTTTCACGCACACGCAATGCCTCAACTCGAGCATTTCAGGCTCTCTCACACCGGCCATCTACCCTTGATGAAGTCAGCCAGAACACTTTTCGCTTGCGGAAGTGGGTCGAGTTTTCTGGCCGTCGTCACAGCAGCTCGATAATGGCCTTGGGCGCCGCCAGCCGTATTGATACAGCCCTCAGGTTCGGCGGGTTTGCTCCTACCATTATGAATGCTGGTGGTCATGCTATGACGGTCCGTATGGGTGAGGAGGTGTCAACTTACGCCACATTACCACCGAGTTGCTACATACCGACCAAGGACAAGCCATGGCAGGGCATCTGGTGCGGTGATTACAGTGGTCATGGCTGTGAGTTTCTTCTTCTTCTGCAGCCCAACAAGGGTGAAGAGAGGCCGCTCCCAGATGGTATGGATCACATGCTCGAATGGCTCGCTACTGGCCGCTATCGGCGTGACAGCAACGGCTCCGAGAGCAGCGACAGCAGCTATGCGAGTGCTCAAGAGAATCAGGAGTCGGATCCTGAGGCATCTTCCTTCCAAGTCCCTACGTCAGCTTCATCAGCCATCACTGACGAGCAAGATGTCTACCGCGGCCGGATCGAGGCTGTCAAACTGACGGGCGATCCTAATGTCCCTCGTGGAGAATATACTTTTATTGCTCCTGACATCAGCGATGGCGGACTCGTACGCATTGCCGATGAAGCGGCCTTCAGAGGCGCGAGAGTTGTCAGGAGTGCTGGTCACATTGCTGGAGTAGGCTTCGCACACGGTAAGCACATATTCCTACCTCGGCTTCTAGACAGACTTGCTAATGACTTGTGTCTCAGATGAATACATGCCTTCGCAGCTCATCCTTATCTCTCCCGACTGTCTGGCGCAGCATTGGATTGAGTTTGGTCACATTTCCTACTACCGCCGTGTCGACCTAGACAGTCTTGGGCAAATCTAGTAGGCTACAGGGATAGAGCATGCCTGTCCTAGAGCACAGTTCACGCATCAACTGTAGTACACAAGGACTCATTTCACCATCCAAGATTATACCATTGCTGTAACAGGCAAGAGCATCCGATCTAACCAGACCGAGTATGACTGTGGATGGCTCCTTCCTATCTAAGCGAGAAGCGTAAAGCAGCCTCTCGCTCTGTTCTTGACTTCTCGTTCCGTTTTTGACTTCCTCGACATGTGCTGTATTGTCTCCTTCCGCTCTTCTTTCATCATGTTCCTTTCCCTATATAGTCGTGTTCGTCGTGGGTCGTGCTCCTCGTTCCTCATTTCCATCTCTTCGTCAGCTGCCGATGTCGTCGTGTTTCTTGACTTTACGACGTCTATCTGAAGACGACGTGTCCATCAGCGTCCTTGAGCATCACACGACCATCTGGCAAATATTCGACATTGAACTTGGCCTTCGAATCCTTTTTGGCGGAGTTTTTAGAGACTCTGCGAGGTGGTCTGTTGGCCTTTGCGAAGAGTGCAGCCCAGCTATAGTGAGCACTCACTGGACGCATCGTCACTGGGAAGTCGTCCGGGTTCCAGGGTGGAGTGCCGTCGAGGTCTGCGTTGAGGAAGTATTCGACGCCCCGGCTGTGACGGAGACCCTGTATGTCGACGGCTACTTTGGAGAGGAGCTGCATCATACAGTAGACGACGATCCAGCGACCGAGACGACCATCGTGGGTATCCATCTCTTCGTGCTTGCTTGAGGCTTCGTGTTTTAGGAATGCTTTGCAAAAGGTCGAGACTGTCTCATTGATTCAGCGCATGTCTTTGAGTGATGAAAGGTAGAGAGAGACTTACCGTATGTTCCTTCGTTGGTGGCGCCAGAGTAGATATTGTGAAGTTCTGGCCCCTTCTTTACGTGCTTTTGCATAGCAGGAATAAGCGATGATCGTCTAGCGCCCTTCTCTTCATCTGGTTCCACAACTAGGGTAGGATAGTAGTCTGGGGCTTTGGGATTGGCATGCGGCAAGGGGTTGAAGCCATACTGGCGGTCCCAAGATTTGAACAGCTGCTCACGATCAAGTCCACAACCAAAAGGATCAGCAGGGTCGGCAGTCGAGTCGCGATGCTCTGTCTCAACAATTAGATCGTAGAGGTTACCAAAGTCTTGTTGCAAGCGTTGGACTATAGAACGAGTGATCCAATGTCCGCTGTTTTGATGCACAGGCGGAGGCCACTTTCCATAGATCTGAGCATAGTGTTGTCCGAGGAACTCCTGAAAAGCCAGCAGTGATTGCTTGATTCCAGCGTGGTCTCCGAGTTCTCCCAAAATAGCAGGACTGATGCCAAATATTGTCATGGGCATCTCCACGGTTGTGAGACAATAATGCATGTGCGTACAGCTATGCTCAAGGAGAGCACGCGTTGTTGGTGAGACATCGTCTAGAGCTTCCTGGTCGAGCACTCCACAATTCAGCATTCCCACACAGTGTGCGAAGGTTTCCACAAAGGCTTTTGACCAATGAGTTCTCTCAGTCCATGCGAGGAATAGTCCGATGTCGGCAGGCCTGTTCGTACAATTGTCCAGTTTGAGATCCTGCACATACTCTTGTACGAATTCAATGGCCTTCTCTGGCTGACGTTGTAATCTGAAGATGTGTTTGACGATGATTTGCAGATCCTCGAGAGCAGATACCAGTGTAGTACCAATGATAGGTTTGCGAATGATGGTTGCGATGAAGTTGCGAATGGCGAGATCATATTTACCAATCTTTTCCACGTCGTCACCCAGAGACGGCACTCTGAAGTTGTAGTGCATGCCTTCTTCACAAACGCATTCTAGTATTATGTCAGCACACTCTAGTTGATACTCATTTGACATGTACAAGACCAAGTTTACCTGACATCAATGCAATTAGGTCCCTCGATCTAGTCTCGAAGATGATCTTGCTGTTGAAGCGGACATCTTGGTTCTCCAGTCTGACTTTACAGTCACCTTTGGGGTCCCAAATGTCATCCTTGAGGTCATCAGTCGCGTGTTTGCCAAGTGCGCATCACCGGGGAACTCACAAAACCATTGTAGCGACTCACTCCATCCGCGTCACCAGTGAAGATGAGCAACCTGTCCTTGTTGATGCCGTCTCTCAGTAGTGCGTTGACAGATGCCATGGTTGATATCCAGGACTCGGCCGGTGTTGTGGCAGCTTTGCGAAACAGAGGGTGGACCATGATGTCTTCAAGATCCTTTTCTGGATGGTCAGTGTTTGCCATGGCGAGTTTTGGAATCGTATGTCTGTAATCTTCGCTTATCGCCAGACTCGCTTATTGTAGAAAGGAAGTGTGAAAGAGTTGTTGTTTGGATAATCACACATCGTTTCACCACGCCGACTAGTGAAGCGCAGTCTCGCTCACTAGTCTTTTGAGGGATGTCCGTTTCCAGATCGACCCTCTTCAATTATAGAACCTTCCAGGGCGATGCACAATACTACCTTGAGCAAAGTAATACCTACCAAAACTGAAGCCCTATGATTCTGTGCTCTATCACCATTCAGGAACGCTTTAGCAGACAGTATCAAGTATCGCGTCAAATGTATAGAACATGGATTGACCGCAGGGAAGGTTACAGAGCCCTCGGTGTACGAGTGTTCAAAGGACATGGAAGACAATGGATGCAAAGGTCTGGAGCAATAAAACCTGGTGTAATGGTCTAACAGGTAAGAGGCGCGATCCAACACAACACCATCAGTGCACTCGATCTGCTTTGCTGGCATGTCGAAAAGCTGGCAATGTTCAAGAGTGAAGTGAAATGGTTCGAAAAGAAGGAAAGTTGAAAGAAGGCGGCCAAGGTGGCTTTGCTCAAGCTCTCCGATTGGCCAGCGTCCCAACCACCTTCCATGTTTTTCACACCTCCCAGCCCCGCGCGCTCTCGGGGTTTGTCAGATTCCACCAAGGGGCCAAGAGCAATGGAGAGGTATCGGCACATGCAGCTGCGCATAATATAGTATCCCAGCCATTGCAATCAAGATTTCCCCTTGTCTCTGAACCCAGCAAGCGGTCGTCATCACCTTGTACAAATACTCATCGTGTTCTTCATCAGTTGAGGAAGTGACCATCAAGCAGCGACCTTGCGCACTCCATTCGTGCTACCTTGAAGCACTTGTCGCCTTGATTTTTCATTCGTGCTGACAAGTCACCCGAGGGACTTTAACACTCTTCTGAATTACAACAGGACACCACGCTTCACATCCTTCACCTCTCAATCATGGCAATCTCAGGCTTCCTCTTCCTCTCGTTTCGCATTGCGCAGATCCTCACTCTCATTCCCATTGTGGGAATGCTGGCGTGGTTCGTCCATGGCTTTGTCGTCAACAATCAGCTCACACCCACCTACATTCTGTTGCTGTTCATCACGTCGGTCCTCGCAGCCGCATGGACTCTAGCAACGCTCGTAACATACCTGCGCGCTCGTCACTCTGCCTTGTTCGTTGCACTCGTCGACCTCGCTTTCGTGGGCACCTTGATTGCCGCTGTCTACGAGTTGCGTGCCATCACAAACCAGGACTGCTCGAACTTCAGCAGCGGAAGCATCTACCTCAGCCTGGGTCCCTTTGGCTACTATGGCCGTCAAAGCGGCAGTGACTGGTCTCTCCACATCAACAAGACATGCGCCATGCTCAAGGCCTGCTTTGCCCTTGCCATCATGAACATCATCTTCTTCTTCACCACCTTCGTATGTCATCCATGCCCCATCTCAATAGTGCCTCACTGACACCCCCTCAGCTCCTTGCACTGCTGGTTCATAGAAACCACCGTGACCGCGACACGGTTGTAGTCAAGAAAGAATACCACAGCACTCGCCACGGCCAACGACGCTCCAGTCGTGGTAGCTACGACAGACGCAACTCTCCTCGCCGATCCCATCACAGCAGCAACAGACGCTACTATGTCTGATCCATCCGCTTGGTTCATGACAGACCGCTCCAGCCTAACGACATGGTTGCTATCCTTCTACACGATCCGCTTCAACGACGACACGATTTGTTTTAATATACCATTACGCACAGCCATGCATGCCTTTCCTCCCCTTGATACTCTACATAGCAACTCTTCTAAACAGTTGGTTCTACCTTTGTTCTCGTTCCAGGACTGTCCGATCATCACTTATGTACCCTTGATCGATATGCTCTGGGCTACAATACGTGCTGCATATGCTTGTAGTTGTTGTGTTGCCAACATCGAACCTTCATCAAGTGTTCCTCATTGTCTTGTAAGATATGCGGGCGACTCGGCCAACACAGTCATTATGGAGATCGATATCGTTGCAGTAGAAGATTGCCTCCCTCGTTATGGTGTGGAGGACCACATGACGTCTCAAGTCGACAAGTGTACCGAGTATTCACCAGATACGCACCCGAATTCCGACAATTGTTGTTTGAAGTTTGTTTTCATGTCTTGCATTCTATCATGAATCTGACTTTTATGGATCCCTTGACCTAACCATATTCATACAAAAGCCCATAGGTATATTAAAAAAGATAAAAACGGAAACGCCGACCGCTAAATGCTGTAAGATGCAACGCGATGTTGATACGAACCAAAGTCCGTCTAGTAGACAATGGCAAGCTTGGAGCGAGCACGCATCAAGTGTCCGTACTTGTAAAAGACGAAGGGCACCAGAGTGAGTACACAAGCGATGAGAGACAGAATGAGACCAGCGTACTGACTTCCGACATTGTGGAAGAATTGTGATGCGAAAAGAGGCGAGACGGCACCAAGCGTGTTTCTCATGAGACCCTGGCCAGCGATGGCAGAAGATGAGCTCTCTCCGTAACAGTCGGCAGTGTAACTGTAGGTCGACTCGAAAATGAAATAGACACCAAAGGCGATAGGGGCGAGGGCGATGGTGGGACCGACCCAAGACAAGTAGCCATACTGAGTGAAACTGTAGATGAAGAGACCGATAGGCATCCAGACGGCACCCCAAAGGGCGGCCCAAAGACGGTCCTCAGGGACGACCTTGTGGTTGGGATCCTGGGTAAGACGAAGATATCTTCTCATCTGAATGTGATGGGCCAACCAACCGAGAGTAACACCGACACAGAGAGAGATGTAGGGAAGGCCACCAACGCCCTCGTTCCAGCCGCGCTTCTCCTGGAACGTGATAGGGATGACGGACAAGAACAGGAAGACAATGAACCAGGAGAAGGCGATCCAGAGGCCGAATAGGAACACGACAGGCTCTGTGGCCAACATGTAGATAGCCTTAACGGAAGAGGCCTTGAGCATAGCCTGGACGCTGGGAGTTTCAAAGTCCATGGCACTCTGGTAGCGGTCATCACCAGTAGCCTTGCGAACCGCCTTGGCACGCTTTTGGAGCTCGACGCCTCCACGAGTCTCCTTGAAGAAGAGGAAGATGCAGATAAGGAGTGGAATGTTGCTCAGTCCCTGGATGCCTTCGATCCATCTCCAGCCGATGGTCATGTCGATGAAGCCAGCGTAGATGGGAGCACCAACCGTACCAAGAATGGCCACGTACGAGAACATAGCCATGGGTCTGGCACGCTCGTGCACGTCGTACATGTCGCTGAAGGTACCACCGACAAGAATGGTTCCAACGCAACCGAAGAGACCGAGGAATGTACGCATGACTAGAATGGTTGCGATGTTCTGTCCGAGAGCCAGACCGATGAAGCAAAGACAGAAGAGAAGGTAAGCTCCAGCGTAGATGACCTTACGGCCAACAAGCTCACAGAAGGGGGCCAGGAACAAAGGGGCAAGAGCACAGGTCATGTTGAAAGTGAAAAGACCGAGTTGGCCCATTTCGGCGGATCGATGGAATTCGGCGACCATGCTATTGATGCCGGAACTGTAGGCGGTGGTAGCGAGACCGATGAAGAGGGTCATGAGGTTGAGTTGGGTAGAGATAAATCGTCTCTTCCATTTACCCCACTTGAAGGGGTTCTCTTTGTCGTCGGGTGCGAACTTGAGTTCGACTAGTTGCTTGTCGCCTTGGTTGATGACTTGGGTGCGAGTGAGGGGCAGATCGATGTCGACCTCAGTCAAGGGGCCGTCGAGGTTGAGATTCTCATCCTGGCGAAGCTCCTCGAGATGCTTGCCACCGCAGAGCCAACCTTGGGAATGAGGCTCTACGTTGGTCTCTTTCTTGTCGGTGGCACCCTCGTCAGATGATCCTGAGCGAGGTGATTCGGTATCCTTCTCCTTCAAGTTTTGCTCTGTCCAGGAGGCGGTAGCCGTCGAGGCACTCCGCGAGGGGTTTTGGAGATGTGTGGGTGCAGTATTCATGATTGAAAAACAACAAAGTGGATGCAAGTGCAAAAGCAACCCGGGGAGGGATGGAGCAACTATATACGATGACGGAGAAGTGGCCCACGAAAAACTCGCCCCGGGGAGTCTTGGAAACAACCCACCATCTTCTGACCGTATCCACTGGCACAATCGGCGGTGGCACGACAAGCAAATGCCAGTGAGATCACTCTCTCAACCTAAGGTTCCTTCTCGGTGGACGTTGAAGGGCCCGCGATGTGACCGACTGACGGACCGAAAACTCAGACTTACGGTTGAACTGCCTTTGGTCGTATGCAGGACGTCTACATCTCGTACAAAGCATATATGTTTATCAGACCATCTCAGTGTCTTGTTAGAACAACTCTGGAGCGGGTTTTAAGATGACGGGTGTTAGATGAACACCTCGATGCGCTTCTGGATAGGCATTGAGGTCGTCAAGAAGATGTTCAACGAGTCTGGAACGTGAACTCTACGTGGCCCGCCGTCCGCCAAGACATCCCAATCTGCACTTCTCAAACTCCAAGAGTGACGTCGTTGCGTTTTCACGTTTCGCCCCAACGAACAAAAATTGTTTGCATTGTCTACCTTCTTGCCGAGCAACCGATTCGTCTGACGTGCAACGCTTCTGCATCGCGCAGCCTGGCATTTGTTTGGCATCAGGGATCTAGGGCTGGGCATTGAAGGCCCGCAGAATTCAAGAGCTCCGGATCCCGAGTCTTCACCTTCCATCGAATGCCGGCGGCAGTCCCGGCACCCGAGTGGACCTGGTGGAGGATGATACAGAGTAGAATTTTACTTGAAGTTGATTTATTGTAATCATTCGAATGACGCAGGTGCTGATATGCCAGACGAGCGCAATACCGCGGAGAGAATGAGGGGGTTACTTGTATGTTTGCTGCAATGCTGTCTCCTAAACTTCTTCTAGAAACAATCCATCACCCTGCCAACAGGAACGTGATTCGCAAGACCATCCGAAGCACCTTGCAATGTCCCTCAAAGATGTGGCCGTCTGTACCACGCCATCAGTGGTGACTTGGAAAACACTATTAACAAGGACGACCGGATACACGCTAAAGTTTCCCTGCGACTCCTTCCACCATCACACATGACTTGTTGCTACGACAGGCGACAGCGGTGATGGGCAGGACGATACGAAGGAATACACACCGCTAGGCTGGGGTTATGATGAGTCTCGTCTCTCAATGAACAAGTTATGAATAGGCGACTTGAGGCTCATTGCTCTTCCCCTGCCGATCCCAGTCCCTCGTGTTTGCCATGAGCACGTCTCTGATCTGACATACAAGTACAAGTATTATGACGGGGGAAAGGCTGTTTTCCTGTCCAGGCTTCAGTCGCGCGACTTACACGAGTGGGCGGACGTGACACTGTGTTGGTGATCGAAAGACCATTGACCTATGATCCTCGATTAGCGACCTCGTCTCGCTCGCGAGCAATTTATCTCCTCAAACAAGAAGCTGGAGACCGAAGGAGCACCGGTCCCAGGTTTGAAATGACGAACCTGGTTCTTGAGCTACTCCGCGTGAGCACACAATTCAGCATCTGGGATCTCGCATAACTCGGGGTACCGTGAGTGATGGAAAATGACAAGTAACATGTACAAGGTTGGCAACTAGAGTGAGTTGGGAAGTTTCTGCCTCATCTCGTGATGTTTCAACCTTCTGCTGTGAAGAGGGTGAGAGCCGACCTGACTGACTTGATATCGGATGCAGTAGTCATGAGAATCCGATATCAATTTACGGAATGCGCCCGCGCCATGACGCCGGCGGCGCATGGAGCGTGTCCGAATTAAGCTCGCAACGACAATGCAGAGGATGCTAAGCTCAAGGACATGAATAAAGCACTCTTATCCTTACAACGACCTCCAGTTCCTGGACAGACAGCATCAGGTCGTGTCTCAAGATGATTACGGAGTACAGGCAGAAATATTGGGATTCTTGCTGCGTCACGCGGGGTGAACTCGGAACCGATTGCCCGCCCGCTTGCAGATGCCCTTTGGATCACGAATTGCAAGCAGGCAAATGCTCACCGTGTGCTGTTCAGATTCGGTACATACCATCGACAGAGGATCACTTCGGTTTTGTAGTTCGTGCTCTGCTGCCCATACCAGATCTTGTGTTTGAAGTCAACCCGATCTCTCAGTTCAGTCACTAAACTTGCTGATAACTATCCTAACTTTGTTACGTAGAGAAAGCGTGCGAGTACAGCCTTGTTGACTCTAATGCGACCGGATTGAATGACGCCTTGGTCGCTGTAGTTTATTGCAGTATCGCTATTTTGATCTTTTAGATCTAGGTCAAGCGTCGTGTATCAGTCGCGTGAATGGTGTTCCTGATGCGATTTGTACCACATAGATTCTCAGACCACATGTTATTTGATTTCGAATGCCACTTGCAACACATTTCATATTCTGCAACACCAATAGCTTACAGGTGATTTGGAACCAGATACATAGCCTATGCCACGTATGTATGCGCCTCTTTCTCATCAAACCGTTTTGTTCGATAGCCTGGTAGTGTGCAGAGGTGTCGATGTCAGAAAACCATCGACAGGGTCACCCTGGCAGCAAGTCCATCAAACTTGAGTGTTTTCTCTGTGCGGCCAGAAGATCGCACTGTCTGTGGATCCGATCCTAAAATACTGAGGAGACCGCTTCTTATGATGTGATGTATAAGATAGTCTAAGTTATTAAAGTCGCTAAAGAAATCTATAAACAGCGTGGCTTCGCTGTCACACTGCTCAAAATCGGCCAAGATCTAACCGAACCTGTCACCATCTCCCCTCAGTCCGAACGAGCATATGAAAAGACAAAGCATTTAAGCAGCGGAAAACATGATCATCTCGGCCATGGTCGGCCTTGCTTCTGGTTACCCCATCCACCGCGTCCTCCCCGATTGCCTTGCCAGTTCTGGCCCCAACTCTGTGTTTGAGAGGAGGCAGAAGTTTGAGAGTTGCAAGTCTCAACCGGAGGATTTGGGTTGCCAGAGTAGTATGCAGCGACAGCACTGCTGAGCTCCTCGCGCTCATCGTATGCGCCCAGACTACCGAGCCAATTGAGTCTGCCTTGGATTTGGCTATCAGAGTAGGCATCGGCAGACCAATCTTCTGCCTTGAATCGTGTATCGTCGGGATCATCGAGCGACTCGACGTTGTCGTATCCGAGAGCTTCCAATCTAGTGACATTGAAAGATGCCATCATCATATGGTCCTCATGGATGAGGTTGTGGCAGTGGAACATGTACAATCCATTCCAACTAGAAAGAGTCAGCATCGTGGATCTCGGTGGAGTGCTGAATGAACTCACGGGCCAAAGTAAACTTCAACATCGACAGTCTCGCCAGGCTCAAGAAGGACGATGTCTTTCAATCCAGCCGATTCGTAGGGAAGTACACCACGGCTTCCTCCAGTTCGTGAAAGGACCTGGAGCGTTGTTAGCCTTTGAATCTGAGGATGACAGTGGTTAGACTGACCTTGAAGTCTACGAGGTGGATATGGACCGGGTGATAGCCGGGGCCTCCTGCGTAAACCAGTCTCCAACGCTGAGTTGATCCTTGGGGAGGTCTCGCTAGGATCCGGTTGTTGATATCGTTGAAGTCCACTCCGTCGATTGTCCACGCGGCGTCTCCGCCGCGTTGAAATCGGAATGTATGATCGATTTCATCCTTGTCCTGAGGCCAAATGATGTTCTGGTTGAGGATACTTGACACTTCGTTGGACGACCAGTCACTCACGGACCCACCAACGACGAACGACATGACCAGATCCATGTTGTCGAACTGGGCAAGACCTTGTCCTTCTAGGGAGAACGTGTTCTTCAATGTAAGGTTTTGGTTGGCAAAATTTGAAAAATCGACGACAATTTCGTATCTCTCCCCCATAGCCATCGTAACATCGCTCGACTGAACCGGAGAGCCAAACAAGCCAGAGTCCGATGCGATGACTTGGAAGTCAAGCCAGTCACCATTAGACTGCTCTACGTGTAGATCGAAAGGTCTGCTAACAGCAGTGTTGTAAAGACGGAAGCGGTATTTCCTTGGCTCCACTTCGAGATAAGGCCAAGGCTGTCCATTGACCTCCATGACATCTCCGATGAAATCGTTCTGCTCGTTGCCGACTTGAATGAGGTCTCCTGAATCGGTGTACATCTTGTCGCTCATCATCAGTGGAACATCATATTTTCCTGTAGGAAGACCGAGTTTGTCTTCTTCGGGGTCGTAGATAACATAAGTTCCAACTAGGCCTCGGAAACAGTTTGAGGAAGTAATACCATCTGCGTGGTCGTGGTACCAGATAGAGCGAGCGTTCTGACTAAACGTGTGCGTAATTAGTATCATCTAATGTCGTGCCTAGATTTCAACATAAAGCTGCAATTCACATACTCGTTTGGATAGTAGTAATCTTTGAACTGGCCATAGTGGATACTATCGCTCGGCCAACCGTCCCATGGAGTATGTGTCCACGACCCATGTAGATGGACGACGGAATCATCAGTGTGATTGTTGTGGTAGCGAATGACTGTTTGTGTTCCCTTCTGGATATAGAACCTGGGACCTGGTGCGACACCGTTGTAGCCTACTAGGTTGGCTGGACCCAAGTCTGGGTAGACTTGCTTCTGGAATGGTTCAATAGTGACTTCGTAGAAGTCTATCTGTTGACCATTGACATTGGCAGAGCTGAGAGAGGTTCAGTACAGGCAAGATGGACAAGATTAAGCTTCTCACCTTGCCGGAGTTGCAATTGGTGACAAAGGCAAAGGATTCTGGAAAATCTCATTGTACGTCGGACTGCCGGCCCAGGCAAGGGGGACCGAAGCAAGACTAGCAATCCACAGAAGCGTGCGTGATGCCATTGGTCCTGGATACTAGTACGGTACGAGATGAGAAGATCAAGTATTCAAAAGCGAAGGAGTGCGCAAGCAGCGCCAGCGAGAGTTGAAGAACCAGGGAAAGTGATAGCAAGTGCAAGATAGGTTTGGAGCAGACCGTCCTTATGAGAACTTCCTTTGCCTCCCTGCATGGGCCTATGCCTCGAGTGTCTGCGCATGACGATCTGAAATCTCATGTTGACCCATTTTCAACCAGGATCCATTATCCTTGGAATATGCATATGTTGCTGTAGTGAGCATGCGGCTCAAGAGCGATCGTTAACCCATTGGTAATGGTGGCATCGGACAACTTGGGGGAGCCGAAGGATCTTGACGTCTGTTTGCAAATAAGGTTAAGGCCATCACAGATGTGCCAGTTTGATTGGTCGCCGGTCTGTGCCGAGCCCGCCCACTGGCCAAGACCCCTGGATCTCGTCCCAAGATACGAAGCTTAAACTCTGTACAGCCTTCCAGTACTGACGCTTCCTGCACGTGGCTGCTGGCCTTTGGCAATGCTCAACTTCAACATTCGCCTCGACTTGTACGAATCCATGGTAATTCAAACATCAGCCAATGTCTGAGATATAGAGCAGGTTGCCAAATGCAGCCCATTGGAAAGCAGCTACATCTTCACGATACTGAAGCAGTGAAGACTGTTACATGCCGTTCAGAAGTTTGCGTCCATGGCTACCGCGGCACATGGCATCCTTGCTAGATCGTGATTGAGATCTGACGGGTCTCAATTGCTTCAACAAAGGGTAGGTGTGCGGCAGCTCGGCATCTCATCTCATTCAACACACGCTTCGTCACCACCACGATCCTCGAACCCATGAAAGGTGGCACTTTGAGCCGGCAAACATGTGGCAATGCTGGAATTTCCGCTTGGGTCCCATGTCGATCCTACAGCAATATCGCTCAAGCGCAAGCAGATGGTAAATAATGCTGAAGAGTTGCGATCAAGTGCACTTTTACGTCTTCAGTCTTGATAGCCTAAATACTGGCAAGAAGCCCATGATGAACAATACTCTAGTGTGTATACACCGCTTGCTCGACCAATACATCTGCTGAAATACGCCGATGAAGTTCTCGATATTAACATGGCTAAAATAAGGGCTCTAAAGTTGATCCATCGTGCCTCCAGACTGACGGCTGTGGAGTTGATCTCTTTAGGCTCTTACTTTGCTCTTGCCCCAGTCCATCCTACCAGACAGGCCACGCACACCTGTGCTGTCTCTCCTTTCCGGTTCTTCCGCCCATTCTCCTCCACTGAGAAGGTGGAAGAATTCGCCCTTCGCGAGTAACAGCCTTTCGTAGCTTCCATACTCAACCACCTGCCCTTCCGAAAGCATAATGATGTTCTTGGCGATTCTCATCATGTCCTTGCTGTGGGTGATGATAATGACTGTCATGCCTGATCCATCGCGCTCAACTAACCCCTGTATGGTATCTCGAACCAGGTTCGAGCTTTCAACATCAAGAGCCGACGTTGCTTCGTCAAGAATCATCACCGCTGGTCTACGCACCAAAGCTCTGGCAATGGCCACCCGCTGAGCCTGCCCACCTGAAAGTCCAGTGCCACCTTCGCCGATCAGTGTCTCATAGCCCTGTGAGAGACTCATGATAAATTCATCAATACCTGCTGCTGCTGCAGCCCGACGAACAGAAGCTAAATCGGTGTACGGGGATGATGGTGGCAGCCCATACGAGATGTTCTCTGCTACCGTCGCGGAGAAGAGCACAGGGGTCTGAGAGACGACTGTGATCAATGAACGAAGTGTAGGGGTATGGATGTGCTTGAGGTCACGTCCGGATAGCATAATGTCCGGTATCTTGCCATTAGCTTCTGAAGCTTCATTTGCACTTGTGTATAGGTTCAGGAGCAGGCTAGCAATCGTCGATTTCCCGGAACCTGAAGAGCCAACGATGGCGGTCGTTTCGCCCGCTGGTATAAGTAAGTTGATGTCGTTGAGAACCATTTGTTCAGGGCGAGAGGGGTAGGCGAAACTGAGTTTGTGGAGCTCGATATCACCGATTGAGGTAATTTGCGTGTTCCCAAAATGCTCGTGCGAATCTTTAGGGAGGGTCGACAGCCGAAGTAAGCGCGATGCACAATCCTTTGCTAGACTGATCTGTGGTATCAGACTCAAATAAATGCTCACATTAGTTATGGCCAAGATGAGCTGAACGAAAACTTCGACAATCTTTGCCACATCAGCTCCATCGTTTATCAGTTTAGCTCCGGCATAGAGCATGAGCGCCATGACAAAGACACCGGAAGAATCCGAAAGACCGTAAAAGAATCCAGCGTAGAGAGAACGGCGGAACCCGATTTGTAGTGCACTTTTAGTTGCACAAAAGTATTTCTGACGGAAGTGAGTCTCTAGAGTCAGAGCCCGTACGGTTTTGATGTTGGTGAATGTTTCGGTGAAGATGGACCCAGCGGCTTCAGCAGCGTCGTTGCTCTTTCCCTCCCAGTTTCCGCTTACTGTACTGAAAGACTTGGTGACGAACCATACGTAAGGACCAAGAGCGATTGCGATGAGAGTGAGCTTCCATTGGGAGGTCAAAGCCCATACCAAAGCGACGACACTCAAAACAAACGCTATGTAAAGAGAGGATGCAAAGCGACCGAGTAGATTACGCGTTTCCTCTGCATGTCGGTCTAAGCCTTCCATCACATGAGACACCGAGTTCTCTTCATAGGTGAACCAGTCGCGGGGCTGATCAAGGATTCGCTCCAGAGATCTTTCGCGCATGGTGTTTATCCAGACTTGACCAACATACTCCAGAAGTAAATGCATAACGTAACTAGTCAAGCCATTGATAGCTGCAATCCCGAGAATCGAGACTGTGTAAATTACTGCCGTGTGCTTTTCTTTACCACCTTTCCCATAAGTCCCAATCAGCTTGGACAGGATGTTGGAAAAGACGGGAGTACAAGCTCCATTGATAGAGGCAGCGACGAAAGCAACGATGAGAACAGCCTTCATGTACCAGTCGAGGCTGGGCCACACCGTGCCGAGGATAGCTCGTATGGAAAAGACTTGCCGCTCGAGTGTGGGAGCATCGTGCTTTTTCTGCTTAGAAAAAGGTTGCATCTCGGTCCCACCAGACACAGTGGGAATCGAGCCAGCAGAAGGAATTCGCCGTCTGCGAGATTTCCCAGAGGTAAGGCGAGCACGAGCAGCTAGGTTACCGGTCGACTCGACGAACCGTTCTAAGAGCTCCGGCGCGATAGACCTTCTGTTGATTGGCTTCTTGTCTAAGGTAGGCTCTTTATGGATCTGAGGGACTGTGTCGCTGCTTTGTGATCCGTGTAGGACTGTACAATCCTTGAGGTTGGTGACTCTGTTTGTAGGCGAAGTTGGTCCTGGGGGGACCGGAGAAGTTGGTGAGCCAAATTCGCTTGGAGAAGCAGCGAAGCCATATGCTCTCCTGAAGGCAGCCTTGGTGTGCCGGTTGGCGAAGAGTGTTGGCAAATAGGAATATCGAGGGTTTTCGCCAGCACTCAAATGGGCTTCCAAGGGATCATCTATATGCTCTTGATGTCTTGAATCTGCATACGCATCTCGTTCTACGACTTCCAGCGAACGATGTCGAGCGACAACGTCAGATTCTGGAGCCACACTGGAATCCGAAGACAAAAACTTGTGAAAGGGTGAGTCTTGCGTTTGTTCCATATCTTTGCGGTAGCCTTCCTGTACCAGCTTGCCATCCTCGAAAATCATTGCATAATCTTCAGCAAGGATTTGCGAGATGTCGTGAGTAATTATCATGGTAGTTTTCCCACCGCGCCACCTGCGAATTGCTTCCATCATCAAGGATCGGCTCACTTGATCCAAAGCACTTGTAGATTCGTCAAGAAGGAGCACAGGTGTGTCTCGCAGATATGCTCGAGCGAGAGCCATACGCTGTCTCTGCCCGCCACTCATTGTGCCGCCTTTTGCTCCGACCATAGTTTGGAAGCCATCAGGCATATCGTTAACCATTGCCAACAGAAGAGCAAACTCGGCGGCACTATTTACATCCTGCTTATTCACAGCATCTCGATTCTTGGTTCCAATGGCGATGTTCTGAAACACGGTGTCCTCGAACAGCATGCTGTGTTGTTCCACGAGTGTGACATGACTTCGGAGCCAAACGGGGTCTAGCGAATCTATGGGCAGGCCGTCGAATAGTATTTGCCCCGCAGCCGCAGGGTAGAACTGTAGGAGTAATTGACCGAATGTGCTCTTACCAGAACCACTTTTGCCGATGATGAATGTTGTGGCGTGTGCCGGTATAGATAGGGAAACGTCTTTGAAGGCCATTCGATCTGGACGTGCTGGATAAGCGAAAGACACCTGGGATACAGTTAGTAACGAGCAGGAACACCAGTGTATTCGGCCTACATTTCTGAATTCAATATATCCTTCGCATTTGTCTGGTTTCAAAAGCTCATGTGATGGTGGGCCGCCCGACTTCTTCTCCATCTGAGCCATGACGGCCCTGAGGGTGGAGCCTGCTGTTCTGCCCTTTTCGAGCACTATCATCTGTGGTAGGATACTGGCGATGGCTTGGAAGGCGCTCATGGCCGAGAAGAACGTTGTGATGACGTCTCCGGTGTTCTTTTCGCCATTGTCTACCTGGACACCTCCATAATAGAAACCTTGGACGAACATGGCCAACGTCATGAAGCCCATGAAACCGAATTGTTGGGCATTGACGTTAATGACACGGTAATACCAACTAGCGGCTTCCTTGAGGCGAGCCGAATATCTGGCCAATTCGTGCTCTTGACCGTTGAAGCATTTGACAGTCTCAATAGCGTTGATGGCGTTCCCAACGTATTTGAGAGCTTCTGTCAATTTCTCTTGCTGCTTTATCACATACTGCTGCATGGATGCACCTAGATATCCCACGATCAAAGTGATAATAGGAGCAGTGGAAACAATCACAAGAGTGAGCTTCCACGAAGTGTAAAGGGCAAGTCCAAGGCAAGCCATTGCATCAGCTGTCGAGCTTATCAACCCGCCAAATGGCTGTGCGGTCGCGAGCTGGAGGTCTCTGATCTGTCTGTTGCACGTCAGCAAACCGACCTCGAGTAAATGCAGACCATGTTTTGTCTTACGCTTGCAAACGAGGTATCATGGCTCCGATTCCGTTCTTCCGCATATCATACCATTCGACCTCTTTGTCCAGCATGCCCAGAAATAATCTTTCCCTGGCGCTGTTGGCCTGCAACTCACCAAAAGCAAGCCAGGCTGTAAAGAAGACGAAATGTACCAGCCAGCTTCCGACTCCAACAGCAGCGATATAGGTGGCGTATTTTGAGACAGAGTTGAGTACTGCGCCAGGACTGCTGGAATTGGTGAATGCGTTGAAGGCTTTGCCGAGAAGGTAAGATTGTGCTGGCGTGATGCCACCAGCTGCGAGAGCTGCGGCGAGAGCGATGGCCAAACATGTGAGGTGTGACTTTGTGGTGAAGAAGAACAGTGCTTTCCATGGTGCTGCTTGTACATCGTCTTCCTTCGGTTTGTCGAACGTGGAGTCCTTCTCCAGACGACTATCTGCCTCGACATTTTGTTCCTTAGTTGGTTTTGCCGCGCGTGAGCGGACGACTTTTGGTAACCCGGGCATATAAGCGTAGATACAGAGGAAAAGAGGCGAACAGACGAAACAGCGCTACCTCAGACCCCGAGATCAAGCGCAAAACTCTTGTGGCTGGGCAGATTGTTCTGGAGAAGACAGTTCCAGTGAGAGCGCATGTTCTTTACCAAGTCGAGACAATGCAATGGCGTAGTTGCGGCGGTCGGTGTGAAGAATGCGTCGCGTTACTATTGTTCTTGTTCTGGCTTTCAGTCGACGCAGCACCGCCCCTTATTTAGCCCCTTCTCCAAAATGGCATTCTCGATAGTCAACCATGTGTCCTCCGATTGTAAAAGTTCATCGCGAAATTACTTGGATTTTGCGTGGCAAATTCTAGCCTCTGATTCCATCCCCGTCCCCATAGCCTTTCTCCGCTCTTCTTCTCGTGGCTGCAACACCCATCAAGGTACGTCTGACAGACTGTCCTTTGTCCGGTGGACGGCAACTTACTTTCGTAGCAGATTCTGCAAGTGGCTGCATAACTTGTTCTGTCGATAAAAGCTACTGCAAATTTTTCGCCCACGACGGCCTGGCGAAAATGATCACAGTCGGCTTCGCGCTCATGATGCCTTCTGGCCTTGAGCCTTCTCGTAAATCCAGTCATTCAGACCTTCGCGATTTCTGTCCAGTTTCATAAGCAAATGACCAAAATAATCAGATATTAAGGACATACCTCAGAATCTCAAGTGCGTAGAACTGCATGCGCACAGCTGTTCCTAAACGTCAGCTATCTTCCAATCGTCATCAGAATGACAAGTCGTACCGAAAATGGTCTCGTCCTGGCCGTATTCAAAGGCAGGGTTGGAGCGCAACAAAGTGCCGAAATTGTAGTCGTCGACCTTCTTCTCGTAATGGTTGATGAAGTTTCTCCAGCGCTCCTTGCCTGCCTTGCTCTTCATCTCATCCTCGTTGATTGTAGCCTTGGGGTCGTAGTCGGGGAACTCCTTTTTGAAGTGCTCGTAGATTTCGTCGTCGATCTTGGTAAGGCGTAGCTTGGTTCCTGGGACCTTCTCGAGGATGGACCAGTAGGTAGTCATGTGTTGTACGGCTGTCAAACTGGTCAGCTATGGGAGACTAGCGACTCGGACAAAATGGCGCGCACCCTTGACAGCGAACTGCTTCTCGATGTCCTCGAAGTTGTCCTGTTGCTCAGCGGTGAGAGACATGTTGGGCGGTTTGTGTCTTTGATAAGCGCTCGTAGGCTGGAGATGTATGGAGTTTGGTTCAGTGATGGCGGGTCGCGATGGCGTTCGGACTCGGTGCAAGAATCGTCTATGTCTTTCTCACATGGACTTTGACTTTCAGAAATCCTGAAGTGAACCCCACGCCTTGGCAAGCGCGTCACTTCGTTAGCACCTGCCCATCTATCACAAGTGTTGGGAGACGTCGATGCTTCCGCTATCTTGATCGCGATCAATCGCCGTTGTCTACCGTTTCCATGTCTACCATGTTTCTGCTTTTCGCGAATGCCGCCTTTCGTTCGCGAGGATCCTGGAAATGGCTGGTCTCACAGCCATGGATGGTGGAAAGACGATTGCGATAATCCTCCGCATGAAACGCGGCTTAAACGTGGTTTGGCACCTGGAAGATTCATTGGCTCAAAACGTGGACACACAAACACATCTGGCGATTTGTCCTTGACTCGAGTCATGCCAATGTATATGTAACCAGACTCTTCTGCTTTGTGAGAAGAAGAATGAATCGATATGTATTTAATTTAGGCATACGTGAGCTAGCAATTGACGAGTACGGAAGCCATGACAGGCTTGATTTTGAGCCAATGGGCTTTTGAGTCCACGCTTTGTCTCCAACCGATCCTTAAGCGCTGTGGAGAAAGCAGCCGATGCATGTTGCATGAAGCCTGTTTTGGAGACATCAGGTGAGCGTGAAATCGTACAGGAGATGGTACAGGAATGTGGACATATGCCATCGAGCATTGAAGCTGTTTACTCAGAGTGGCTGTATCTCAGGCGCAAGTGGAAAAGGGCTCAACAGGTTCACGATGGACTTGTGGGCTGGACGATTGGCTCGGTGAAGCGTTGCGCGGTTTCCTTGAATTCGTGCGAGCTGCACGGCTTGCTTGTGGGGAAGGAAGCATATTGATGCATGACAACGTCATCGCGACAGGCAGGCGCGATCGAAAGCTCCGCGCGCAGCAGCTCAGAGCTCGCAGCTGCCTTGTTTAAGAACGTCTCCCCCTCCGCTGCTCTTCCATCTCACCCTCAACCACTCTCCTCCCTCCATCCCATCCCCTCTTCAATCCACGCACCAGCCATGATTGTCGACCCTGTTGAGGCCTTCAAGGCCACGAGCTCTGTCGCTCCCATCCCCACCGTTGTCCCTTCTCTCCCCGAGTATGAGACCGTCACCGAGACCGGCACCCGCGCTCTGTGGGCCGTCTTCGTCCTGATGCTCCTCTCCATGATTGTCTTCGTTGGCCTTTCCTGGACCGTCCCCATCTCCAAGCGTCTCTACCACGTCGTCACCACCCTCATCGTCACCTTTGCTTCTCTGTCCTACTTTGCCATGGCCACCGGCCACGGCATCAGCTACCACCGCACCACCGTCACTGACTCTCACCGTCACGTCCCCGACACCACCCACGACGTCTACCGCCAGGTCTACTGGGCCCGTTACGTTGACTGGAGCTTGACCACCCCTCTTCTCCTCCTCGACCTGGCTCTCCTCGCCGGTCTTAGCGGTGGCCACATCCTGTTGGCCATTGTTGCTGATGTCATCATGGTTCTGACCGGTCTCTTCGCTGCCTACGGCACCGAGGGCACTCCTCAGAAGTGGGGCTGGTACGCCATTGCCTGCATCGCCTACCTCGTCGTCATCTGGATGCTCGCCGTTCACGGCCGCGCCAACGCCATGGCCAAGGGTGGCAAGGTTGGCAAGTTCTTCGCTTCCATTGCCGGTTTCACTCTTGTCATCTGGACCATCTACCCTATGTAAGTCATGTTTCCGTTCCCCTGCTTAAACCATTGCTAAAAATGATACAGTGTTTGGGGTGTTGCCGATGGCTCCCGCAAGATGTCTGTCGACCAGGAGATCATTGCCTACGCCGTCCTTGACCTTCTCGCCAAGCCCGTCTTCGGTGCCTGGTTGCTCTTCACTCACCAGAGCATGCCTGAGACTCAGGTTGAGCTTGGTGGCTTCTGGACCCACGGTGTCAGCAGCGAGGGTGCCATCCGTGTTGGTGAGGATGACGAGGGTGCATAAACGCATCGCTCAACAAACCGCCTATTTCCGGAAACGAATTGAGCAAACAATTCAGATCAAGTAGTAAGAAAGTGGAGGATGATCAGGGGAAGAGTGTTTTCATGATTGCAAATGCCCTTCTGCCTACGACTGCCATTGCATGGTCGGCGCTCGCTTTGCCGCAGCAGTATTCTGTGTATATTAGCCGTTAATGATAATGCCGACGAACGCGTGTTTACAACAGCTCTTTTGAGGTTTGACTGTGCCACAATGCAGACCCTGTGACCACCCCCGTCAATGGCAACCCCGCACGCTTCATCCAGGGTCTCTCGTTGTCGGGTGAGGAGTTGAAAGGGAGCTCAGGAGCTTACTCACCATCTCAATTCACATTTACCCGCGCACAACGACATCTGTTTCTGCGGCTCGACTCGTCTACCAAAGTTGCTCTACTGTAGTGGAACCCAGCAACAAGCCCCAGCAACCATGTCGGACGAATTGACCCCTGCCACCACGAGTCCAATCTCTCTCGAACGCCGCAACAGCCTCGAGAAAGCCATCCAAAACCGACCTGAGGTCCATGAGCTTAGAGAGAAGCACATCTTGCTCAACACCAACGCAGCACCGTAAACAAATCATCACTGACCGGTCAGTTGGAAGCACCGCTGACATGTTCCAGCGCTCTTCAAGCTCAACAGCAGGAGCTACAGCGTCACAAACTCACAGACAGCTTGAACAAAGCTATTGCTTCACGACCGGAAAAGGATGAGCTAGTCGAACGCAACATCCTGCCCGACTCTACCGCCGCTCCTGCACTGCAGAACCACCAGCGCGAGCTCGCCGCTGCTATGCGTCGTGATTCCATCGAGAAGCATTTGCAGACTCGGCCTTCACCCGCAGAGCTTGTCAAGGAAGGCATCCTTGAAGGTTAGTTCAGCTTCGAGTCTCGTTTCATGATTGCTGTTGACGCCGCCATAGCCGACGAAAATCCATTGGATGGACCATGATGTCGGCATAACGACCAGTAAGGGAACACATTACAATTTGACGAAGCCGTCAATGCGAAAACTCGGAAACCAGGGGCTGCATTTCTATTATCGAGGTGAAAACCATGTTATCCCTTTACACGATTTAGTTACGAGGGTCAATATATGCTAAGGAGGGTGACGCTCTACCCGCACCCCTCTTCCGATTGTGTGACTTCATGTCGCGCTGCTGTTCGCGGCCCCTAGCTTGAGGTATGACAAGCTCATGCATATTGCAATCTCTTGCTCGTCCACTCCGGCTGCAGATAGCTGAAATCCTGTGCAAAGTTAAAGGATGTCTGGTAGACATTATATGCGAACAACGAAACAGTGTCGAGTTTGGCACCTGCGTCCGTCTCTGCCCAGACACTAAGAGCAAGAGTGTTCTTTCCTTGGTTGTTGATGACTCCGGGTGGGAACGGGAAGCGCGTCTGGGGTCCGATGTGTGGTATGAACTTTCCGTATTGGTACCCATTTAAATAGATTTGGATGCTGGCAACAGTACCCGCGGGGGCCGATAGTTCAAGGCCGATGGGAACGTCGAGGTCTGAATCGATATCGAGGTCGAATGTTGTCACGTACCAATTGATGCCGCTCGAGTTGAGCCCTTGAGCAGGAGAGCCAGTGGACCATTCAGTGCCCGAGGGAGAGAAACCAGGGAGATGCCATCCAAGACGTTCACCGTACAGTCCGCCTTCGTTGAGGGGACCTCTGACGGGATCGATGTTTGCCGAGCCACCAGCGTTACCCTGAATCTTCCACTGCTTGAATGTAGCAGTACCGTTGCTAGAGCCTTTGAGGGTTACACCCAAGAGACCACGAGGATTCGCAGCACCTTTACCAGTAGACGTCTGGTCATGGCCAGTGTAATCTGTCACGACAGTGAGTACATTGTCCTTGTCGTAGAGTGTCGCTTTCGAAAAATCAAGCACAGCAGTTGTCGAAAGTAATGAAGCATTTCCAGGAGCACCGCCAACGAGTTTGCCATTGAGCCAAGCGCTCCAACCTGCTGCTGAGCCACCTTGGGCAGTCACATTGGCCGATGCCGCATTCTTCCCGTCAAAGTAACCACGGTATACCTTGTTACCGGAGTAGTAACCGTAATCGGAGCTGTATAGGACAGGAAGTGACAGTGGCTTGACCGGAGCACGGGTAGTGGTCTTATTGCATACGGTCCAAGCAGAATCATCGTAATCTCTGGCGGCTTCTGGTAGTGAATCAGCTACTTTCCATCCAGAGAGTGTTGGTATAGTGATTTTGCGGTCCACAATCGAAGCAAGGTCAGCTGTGAGAGCACCATATGCTGTTTGCTTGGTGGGAAGCTTTTCGCCATTCCATACGATTGTATCCACGCTCGCATCACCAACATAGACTTCAAGAGTGGTGGAGTTGGTGTTGTCACCAGATATGGAAACAACGTTGCTACTGACGCTGGCATTGCGAACGAGATAGGGTCCGATGGCGAATATTTGCTCGTTCGGAGCAACGTTGGGGTCGGACGTGGTTGGAGGAGCCCAAAATTTCCAGGCTGTAGTGACCTCGAGAAGATACATCAAGACACCGTTGGATAGTTGTAAGGCAGTCTTGCCTGCTGTTTGCTTGTAGACCAGCTTGGTATAGGACGCAGTTCCGTTGGTCTTAACGCGAGATGTCGTAACGTTCGTGTTACCATAAGACTTGATCGAAACATTGCCAGAGAAGGCGAACTCGCCAACTTGGTCTTGCTCAAGATACAGGACGAGAACGGCTTTCGAGCCAAACAGTCCGTAGGTGAGGATATCAACGGACGAATAGAGTAAGGTGTTCTTGCCAAAGTGGTAATCCGTGACAACAATCTTGCTCTGACGGCCGTTCAACTGAACATCTGGTACAGTGATAGGACCCAGTGATGTCTGAAGGTTAATGGAGAAGTCTGTCACAGCTCTAGAGCTTGACTTTGCGTGTTGTGTCGTATAAAACCCTGTAGTAGTGTTTGGATTTCTTAGGACCCATGTCCAGATATCCTGAGTCGAAACAGCATTCCCAGTACCATTGCTTTCCATCTCGGTGTAGAGTAGGTCCTGCGACACTCTTGTGAAGAGCGCAATAAGTTTTCTGTGAGCAGATCAGCCATGTTCCTAGATAGCGCAAGTGTGAAGTGATTAAAGCGCTCGATCCTCTGCGCTGGCTGTGTCGTAGCATGTTCCTAATGCAATGTACAGTGTTTTCACCAATCGAAGGAATGTCCTGTGGAAGCTTGTGAAAAACGCGGCTCTCACTGGAGGACACAGACGGTAGCTGACACATCGTGCATTGAAACAGCATTTGGTGATACCCGCGCTTTCGAGTGGTGCTAATCGTGTGGATCAACTTACGTTTGAGAAAACTTGAGCTGAATTTCGCGTGTCTCTCGTAGAGGTGCTGAATAATCGTAAGACGTATAGACCACGGGTGCCGCCAGATTGCCCCAATTTGTGGCTCCCATGGCCCTAAACATCTGTTAGCATGTCGTATGCAAGAATGGATCAGACTATGTGTACATGTACAGGCTTAAAAGCGTGCCCCTTTGGGCAATGTTGTTCTTGTAATAAACATCAGCGAATGCAGGGTCGTGTTCTGGAGCAAGAATAAGTTAACATAACAAATAAATCATAGAACGTGTGCTAAAACAAAACACCGTCCAGATCATCTCATTCGCGTCAAAAAGTACTTACCTGCAAGGCACTCATCGTACCAAAAGCCTCCCCATGGCTGGTAAAATCCGGACTCAAACTCGGGCCAGTACTCGGGTTGGGTGTAGGAATAGTTCTGGAACCATTGGTAGTAATTGCGGACTAGGTTGAACCCCGAGTTGATGTTCGTGCATGATAGACCACCTGGATAGCTGTCCAAACCATAGATGTTGACCGAGCCTTTTCTATGGTTAGATTTGATCAAGTCAGTGTGGTTCAAGATACATACCTCCCACGTCTTGATAGTCGGTTGACCAACTTTGACCTCTCTGGCCTTTCTCATTGTGAGTCAGAGGAACGACAATTCCAGAGTCGACGGCAACTTTCTCGAGTTGCTCCATGTAGAGTACAAGTGTATTATCAGCCTTGTGGACAGTCTCCTGCAGCTCGTTCTCCACTTGATAGAGTATGATAGGTCCACCTGTTGCAGTGTCAGCAAGAACGAAGACAATATCAGACAGAATTTGTCATATCTTCTCGCAGATGAGAACGACAATTTATGCCAAGTGTTTGCTGAAGAAAGAGCTTTGCTCACCTTCCGTAATTTGGTTCCTCACCAGAATCTTGTTTAGTGCCTTGATCCAGGGAGCCCAAGCGTCCTGATAGACCTGATCGGATGTTCGATAGTTGCCTGAGGCTGCTCAATTCGCAGATTCGTTGGGATGTTTGGAATACTGTACTCACCACCTGAGCCATCTGAAGTCCAAAGCGCAAGTCCACCAGCGTTGGTCTCCGCGTTGCTATACGGTCCGTTTCTTGCTATCACGCTGCAGGGAACCCCCTTAGCTATACTGTTCATCACTTCTGTTCGTTATACGTACTATAGACCCGCTTCAGCAGCAGCATCAAGAACAGCTTGAACATTTTTTCCCGAGGTCTCAAGATCAAAGATATCGCGAGAAGCAGAGTGATAAGACCAAAAGAAATACATGCTGACAGCATTGAAACCATTGGCCTTGAACTTCTGGAAGATGTCTGACCACATCTCTGGTACAGGCACACGTTCATAGGCGAACTCTCCCGAGAAGACGAACAGTCGCTCTCCATTCACCATGAGACTATAAGGGTCCCAGGTGACTTGGGTAGTCAAGCCATTGTCCGTAGCCAGGACCAGAGCACAAAGGAAGAAAGTGTATACGAGGAGACGTAAAGAGATCCTCATCTTGAAACAGAAGAAGAAGAAAATGTACCAATAAGAAAATCACTCACAGCTACTACTTCTTCTTCTTCTTCTTATATTCCCGTAAACTCTTGTAGGCTTTTTTGGGCGCCGAAGAGGCATATTAACAAGACATGTTGCATGATATTATCCGCCAATTGGGCTGAGAGGATCTTCCTACGCACATCATCAGAAGACCTATTCTCTCCGCTTTCACTAGACGAGCAGGTGCTTTGAAGATCGCAAAAATAATTTACACCATGGTTCTGGCTTCATGCAATCGAAATGAGGAATACGACATGACGATGGCGGGAAAAAAGAGGGGAAGGTCGGCTGTTGCTGACCCGAGAAGATCTCGCTTCGGTACGGCAGAATGCTGGATCAAAGGCTTCAACGAGCTCAGGGACGGCTTTTTGCTCCTCTCTCTTTTTGTCATCTTTTGCACTTGACTTGAACATGGCGAAATCAATGTTGAGTGGTAAACGCAATTGGAAAGTGATCGGGAATGAAGTCTTTGGGTGTCGTCTATGTACGAACTCGTAATGAAGAGTGAAGCTAAGACGGGAGTTCGCTATGAAAGCATTTGGAATCTCAAAAGGAATCCTTCTTCTTGATGACCAAACAGGCGAGCGGCATTGGTAGTTGATGTCCATCCAATGAAAGAACTCCGCGATGAGTCGACAGTGCCAGAACTAGCAGATTCGAGACGAACTGATGAGCTTTGACGTTCTTGCCAGAATAGCAGAGGCAGTGTGATGATCGCACGCGTAGTTGGTCGTAGGCATGAACCAAAGATTGGTGGTCCGCATCTTGTGTCGAGAATGGTCTTGCACGAGAGGCAGACATCGACGGGCGGGGGGAAAGGCATATTGCATGATTGTGCAATGAAGAGAGTAGAAATCATGATTCATGATCCACGATTAAGAGGTCTTTCAACCTTCCTCGGTCGCCTCAACGGCAACACCCTCATCGGCTGACTCTTGGTCTTCAACCGACTCCTGGTCTTCGTCTGCGTCCTCGTCGCTGGTGAAGCTTGCGAATTCTTCCTCTTCGTCATCCTCTTCCTCGACTTCGCGACCTTCGTCAGCATCACCACGCTTTCTCTTCTTGATGATTTCAGTCAGAAGCTCAGCCTTTGCCTCCTCAGCTGCACTCCATGCAGCTGCGGATGCAGGTGGAGGAGTGAACCAGGGAATTTTGCCGCGAAGGAAGTCGTTGAGGACCATCTTGGCAACGCCATCCATGTCGGCCTCGCCACCCTTCAGCAGTTTGCCGCCCTTACGAGCAAGAAGCTCGAGGAATTCAGTGGGTGTTTCCCAATCGCGCACATCATAAGTCCTCTCGACGTGGTGTCTCTTGCACTTTCTCAAAGCAGCAGCAACATATTGTTCAGGGTTTTCGACGTTCTCGATACGAACGACACCACGAAGAAGAATATCCTCATCGGTATCACCCATGTTTGGGGGAACGACACCAGGACAGTCGATGAGGTAAATACGCTTCATCAAGGTGATGTACTGCCAAACCTTGGTCTCGCCAGGAATGGGAGCAACATTGCAGACCTTCTTCTTGCGAAGAGTGTTGATGATCGAGGACTTGCCGGTGTTGGGGTATCCGATGAACCCGACCGAGATCTGCTTGCGAGAGGAGTGCAAGGCAGAGAACTGGCGGAGGAGAGAGATCAGGGATCCTTTGCCGAACGAGTTGTTGATGGACGCATGGAAAGCAAGAGTAGGGTATTCCTTGCCGAGAAGACGAACCCAATTGGCCTGATGCTGCGGTCAGTATGATGCGATTGTGAAGATGGTGATAGCGAGCGATGAGCATCGAGCATAGAAAAAAGAGAAGATAGGAGAAAAGAGGTAAAAGCAGAGATGTGTGAATCATAACTAAGAGAGCCTCCATGAGCCACTCGTTGGAGCGGGAGAGGTACTCAACTCAAACGAAACACGTTCGAACCCTTTTGAAAGCAAGCCAAAACGGCAAGCGATCTACTAGACGTCCATAACGGGGTCTAGCGGCGGGCCGAGTTCGATCTGCCAGAGTTGTAACAGTCTCCTTCCATGGGGAGAAAAAGCACACGAGATGCGGAAGGAGCCTTGACTTAACGCTGGCATTGAAGGACAAAGGAAAACGGACAGTGATGGAAAGAGAAGGAGAAGAACTTACAGCAACGCTGGTGGGAATCAAGTCGCACTTGTTGAGAACGAACAGGAGATGCTTGTGAGGAGCCTCCTCGCGGATGTATTTCTCGACACTTCGGCAGCGGGTACCGAGGGGATCTCTTGCGTCCAGAACATGAATGACAACATCACTGGAGTCGATGACCTTGTAAAGCTCGTTCCAGATACGCTTGCTCTGACCTTTTGAGAAGATGGCCTCCCTTGCGGCGGTCAAGGCGCCGTCAGCCTCTGTCTCTTGGCCGTCATCGGCGGGCTGTCCGCTAGCAAGACGAGCCTGCTCAAGACGGTCGATGTATGTCTCGTGCATCTTGTCGGATTCGCCGGCGAGATCGAGAAGAGAGCTGACGGCAAGCTTAGGACGCTTGCGCTGAGCCTTGGGGCCAAAGGTATCGGAGAAAGGCGCAGTTTCGACGGCAATCTTTGCCTGGTGCTGCTTCAAGCCGTTCTTCTTGGTCTCATCATCCTTAATCAAGCTCATGGGCAGCTTGTTTTGCTTGAGCAGGTATGAGTAAGGATCGTTCTGCTGGGCCTGGACGGCGCCGCGGAAAGCGGAGAGGGCATCCTGAGAGATGACACGAGTGTTGGTGAACCACTTGCGGTTGGGCTCGATGCGAGCAGAGGGCCTCTCGCGCGACTGGAAGACGGCAGCTTTTGTGATGTCACCAGCGGCGTTGCGCTGGGCGGTTCCTTTTGTGAGGACGTTGAGCTTCTTGACCTTCTTGGCATCTCTGCGAGGTGGATTAGCATTGCGGTCAGGAAGTCGGGACGTCGTGTGTGGCACCTGTAGAAGTTCTCGCCCTTGACCTTGACGTTGGCCATGCCATCGCCGACCTTGCCCTGGCGCGTCTTGCGGGCAGCCTCCTTCTTGCCGGTACCCATAGTGACGGTAGGGTAGGAGAGTGATTGTAGTGGTTTCGTGATCAGGAGGGAGCTCAAAAACGGCAGCCCACACAGAGACGAAGCAGGAGCGAGAGGGAAGGGACTTTTTTTTATGCGACGCCGCTAGCGCTCGGCCACGCACGGCCCCGCTCTCGCACCGTCGGCCTGATTGGCTGCTGATTGGCTGCCTCGTGAGTCGTGCCTGCCTCTTTTTTTCTGGACAAAGCCGCCAAGACTCGGCCAGACAGGACATCCAGCAGCAACAGCTTGGACAGTCGAAACACGAGACTGCCCTTCAGACCGCAACCACAACCACAACCACAGCATGCCTGTCCGTCTACCACAGGCTGCCGGCCTCTACAAATGCCCCTCATGCGCTGCCCGCTCGTCCTCGCGTCCCTTCTCGGCCTCGGCCACACAGCTGGCTCTCGGTCCCGAATCTCCTCGCTACATCGATATTCCCCAACCGCCGCAGCAATCCATCCCGGACAAGACCCGTCTGAAGGGTATCCTGCCCGTCCCTCGCGATGTCTTTGCCGGCGAAGACCCCAAAACTCCCATCAACCTGGACCAAGCCACAAAGGAGCCCGCCGTCCAACCATCTCACAATGACCCTCGCTCTGTCTGGAAAGACCGCATGGCTGCGTCGCGGAGGAAGAACTTGAAAGAGGGGTTGCAAGCTCTGCAACATCGCAGAATCAAGTCCGACACGTACATGGCCACCCGTGCCGCCCTCCGCCAACAAGACCGTGAAGCTCGTCTGCACCGCCCGGAGCCAGATGATGAGCGCTTGACCGCTCCCTCGGTCGACAGCAACCTACTCAGCCTTCTGCAGAAGGGTCCCCTGCCCGATCCGAACAAGGACCACCGTCTGGCCCAAATGCGTGCCCGACAGGCCGCAGTCTCCCACGCTCGTCAAGAGGACCGCCGAGACGCCTTGCACTCGCTATATGTCAATGCTCGCGACTTCATTGTTACCGATGCTCAGCTCAACGCCGCAATTGACAGGTCTTTCGGCACTGTCGACCAGCCTCGCGCCTTTGGCTCAGGCGGTGCCAGTATCTGGGATAGTGCCCAAAGTGCTCCCAGCTCCGTTGTAGACATGCTCAACACCGCCACTGCTAGAGGAACCCGTGGTGGTGCTCTCAGCCAATCTGCTCAAAACAGGGAGAGTGCTCTCACACACGCTAGAGTTCGTAAGATGGCTGCTGAGCTGACCGGCGGTCAGTTGCCAAACAGGTCTTCCACCTAGTTTGCTTGTATCATATCCTTTCTACCGCCCTTTCTTTGCTTCATCTTCTACCATTCTTGTCTCCCACCCAGTGTTTACTCGTGTTTGCATATTGCCCTCATAAAAGACAGCGGTTTTGCTGTTTTCAAATCTTTTTTTGAGTACCGAAACTCGTTGATACCCGTCGCAGACAGAAAATTTAAGTCTCGCTTGTCGACAAGCTGCATGAGATGGGTCTCTGATTATCTAGCTCGCAAGTCGAAAGGATGAAAGGCTCTAGTCTCAGGTGTCCGAAGCCTGAAAGCCACAGCTTTTTTGAAACCTGACATGTAGCTATGAACAAACTCTTACAAGGCTATTCCAACACAGCAGACAAAAATCAGCCATGCAGTCAGATCCTGCTTTGTTATTGTCGACTGGCTTCTTCCCTCATCCAGCGTCTAGGAGGCATCTGTAGCTTTTCAAGAGCGTGGCTGGTGCTTTTTGACGACTCATCCCAGTACCATGCTGCTTTTCGCTCGACTCATCGCTGCGCTCAATCCTACCAAGTACCATGCTGCTTTTCGCTCGACGCATCGCTGCGCTCAATCCTACCCAGTGCCATGCTGTTCTTCGCTCGACCGCTCTACGTTCACTTCTCCATGGTTCGACGAGTTCGATGCGATGCGGATCCGCTTCTTTTCCAACAACACCCCGGCATCTCACTGTCGGTCTCTTCTTCCATCTCAGTCACACGCCTACCTTTATTCCGTCGCTTTGCTCAGCGCCTTTCCATCTTCATCATCATGTCTGTCAAGCACAAGTCTCACGGAGACGGCCCGTCTGTCGTCTGGGCTGCCACCAAGATCTCTCTCTCGTCTTCGGTCACTTTGATCCTCAATCAGCACAAGTCTCTTATGACATGCACACTAACAGACGAAGAGCTTGTTCTTCTCGCACTTGCGGACTCCGCAGACAAGAGTCTCAAGGTTACTCACATCGGCGAATTCATCATAACCAGAGTCAGATACTACACAACGCAGTCAGCCAAGTATTTCTTTGCAGCAATGTCCGGTCACTCTGCAGGTTACAGTGTGCTTTCTCTTGCTGCACGTACCCGAGAGTATGACCCTTTTTACTCGTCCGATCCAAAACACTTTGCTGACCTGGCTTCTAGGTACTTGTGCAGCTACGGCATTCCTGTCCACGTCGAGCTCAACGAGCACAATCAGAAGGTGCATACAACTTTCAAACTGTCTCTTATCCTGCACCATCACACGTGTTTGTGACGGTTTTCAGGATACTCTGAACCAAGAAGCATGCTAACCGTATCGTTCACACATAGGTCTACCGTATGACTAGCGGTGCTGCATACGCTTTCATACAGGAATGCTTTGGAAAGTACGAGGCCTTGAAGAAGTTCAAGTCGGCCCAAACTGAGCCATCTGCCCTCACCGACCCTGCTTCGTGTCCTCTCATGGAGCTTCCTGTTGAGTTGCGCCTGAAGATCTACCGTCTTGTGCTCAAAGCCACTGGCTTTCGTCTGCGTGTCGGCAGAGGAACATTCTTGGCATACGAGGAAAAGGTTCCTGTCTGGGCCTCTACTTCTCAGAACATATTCACCATGCCCCGCATCTCAAAGATGCTCGCGTTGCTCTCGGTCAGCAAGCAGATTCACAGTGAGGCCATGCCTGAGTTCTACAGGGAAAACCACTTCGAGTTCCTCGACATGAGCTGTCTGAAGAGCTTTCTTACAAACATCGGTACTGAGAGAAGAAAGTTCATCCGGAACATCACAGTCCGCTACCTTGGCATCTCGACCGCCGCGGCTGGAGCTAAGCTTCTCACTCAGTCGGACACTCTTCAGAAGCTTACTCTGATCATGTCAGTGAGCCAGGATCCTGCTGGACACTACACTATCGACTCGAGCCGCCGCAAGTTCCCCTCACTCGCACAGATTCCTGGCTTCACGGCCCTTAAGCGCCTTCGTGGCATCAAGCAGCTGGCCTTCAACCCTGAACTCGAGCACAACGTCGTCGACGCTTTCCTGCGTCCATTCATCACTCAACCCAAGGTGGTGAAGGCCAAAAAGACGAAGAACTCGAACAAGCGCAAACTCAAGGAGTTGGGCACCAACGACTCTGACCACGATGCCCGTCAGCCCAGCTCGAAGAAGACAAAGGCATAAATGAAATAGCAGCTCGATCGATCAAAGAGGAAGGACAACGCAGTATGCTAAGGAAGGAGAGAATGAACAGATACAAGGGCTACTCTACACACAAGTAGCATTTTCGAGGGATGTCGTGGATGTGAAAGATTCCAGCATAGGTGGACATCAAGGTCTAGATGAAAGAGCCGGTCTCCGAGCATTCTGCACCTACTTTCACTGTTCACCAATACATCGAAGCAGTCTAGTCAGCCTTCTAAATAACAAGAGTTCATCGCATCGATCTCTCCGTAACGACGTCTACGTGGCATGCATTTTCCCCATCAGGCGAAGGGTGTAGTCTGACGAGCCATGGCAAGAGCTGACTCTGAGGCTTCATTGAACTAGTAGCTGCTATCACAGCTAAGTCCGAGTAATGATCCCTACCCGTAGTCCTTTCAAATTACAAGCCTGTGATTGCAGGTACGAGAGGCACTAGTCTCGTAAGAAGGCTTACCGGAAACTACTTCCTCCGTGAGCGCCAGTCAAATATCCAGATTGTGTTTCCCAGATACAGACTATCGATCTTGCGCTCCCATGAAATCATGGTTGCGTGACTATCGAATGCATACCTTTCTAACACAACACTGCAGCTCCGTTTATCATCGGCAGTCGATCAAGCTTTATGCCTCCCCGTGTGCAGAACTTTGTCACGCGCATGCTGCAGAAATGCACAATGTTTTTAAGATCAATGTAGCCGTCCACTGAGAGTGCGACAGTTAGGAACTCTCTACGGACGGCCGGACTAATGCTAAAAACATTGTGCATTTCTACAGTCCAAGCGGCCCTAGGCGTGGCCGTGAGATAGCTAGACGTGACAGATTTTAGCACACGGGGAGGTGGTGACAAGCGCTTTCATTAGTTCCTTTCGACTACAAAGACTCGAGTCATTCTGGGTGATCAATTGATCCATTTTCGACACCGCTATTCCGCAGAGATCAAAGTTCAGACATCGGTCTGACTGACGACAAAGACCGGAAATCTTGTCACACGAAAGCTTTCTCGAATGCCTGACTTTGAACCAGTTGCTTGTGCATGCTTGGCTTTGTGCTGCGGCAGGAACAGGTCAAGGTTTGTTTTCTACCAGTGGGATCGCAGCGGTGCAGCGACTCGACTGACCATAAAACTGTCACATGGCCATCAAGGTCCCATCAAGGTCCCAGATCGAGTCTGTCAATCGCTACGTCCCACAACCAAGACTGCTATTCATAGAATAATATCTTCCGACTTTCCATCGACCTTGCCTGCTTGAGTAAGAATCTAGGTCAATCGTGACGTCTAGAAGTTTGCCAAGTTCTGCACCCCGCGTCTGCCGATCTGGAGTTTCACATTTCCAGTCGAACTTCACCCTATCAAGTGTGCCATGAACATTGTGTTACTCCTCCCATCTCGTACGGTAGCAAGTTGCACTACCATACCATTCATGCCGAGAGTCACCGTCTCAATAATGCATCGCTTTCTAGCTGACCATGGCCACCCCGCCGGCCATGGCCTGTATTCATTGCATCCCGAGGCGACATCGTTCCATCGCGCTAGATATGCCTCAAATCTGAACCGCTCTGGAAATCGACTAGTTTGATACAAACGTCTCTACGTCCTCCTCGGAGGATTCAAAGTAACCTCGCTCAGATGACCTCGTAAATCGGGAATAACTTATTGCAATGATGACAAGCAGCAAGACGGAGCATCGTCTGGCGACATCATTGCTATGCTGCTCCTACATTCCTAACGCAGACAAGCGGTACTGTCTCATCTCACGATTTCATGACTGGCTTGGAAGATGATGATCTATTCTTCATCACATAAATCCTGACATATATATAGCCCACGTCCCTCACGTAGGTCTGCTTCCTCTTCATTATCAATTTATCAATATCTTTTCCTCAAGACATCCTTTTTATCCAATCAGCAAATATGAAATCCTTCTTCGTTTCCGCTGCTCTTGTTGCTGCAGCAGATGCACTTGTTGCTCGCGACTCTCCATGGTATGTGGATTCTATGACCGACTTCATACATTCTTCTAATAACTCAATTTCTAGCTGCTTCCATTTGACTGCCTCTGGTGGTCCTGGTGGCGTTGTCGGTCAGCTCTCTGATGGTCAGAACCGCATTGGACAAGGTACCTATGCTGAAGCTGTTTTCTTGTATCTTTCCTTACTGATGTCTTCCCACAGGCTTACCCGGTGCTCAATATTGCATTGACTCCAAGGGTGGGCTCACTGATGGCAATGGTCGTGGCTGCATTTTGACACCTCCTACAACTCAGTTCCAGTGTGACCAGGGTGCCAGCCCCACGGATGGATTTTCCGTCGGTTGTGATGGCAAGCTCTCAATCAAAGGCAACACTGACTTCAAGTCTTGCCCAACTGGTGACAACGGAGGATACAACATTTACACCACTGCCCCAGCTGGTCAAGGTGGCTGCGTCTCCGTCACCTTGAGTGCGGATAACTGCAAATCCGGCTGCCCTGCTCCAGCTCCCGCACCAGCCCCTACTCCCAAGACTTGTCCTGCTGCTCTGACTGGTGCCTACGAGTACCCTCATCTCATTGTCCCGGTCGACTCTAAGCAGCCAGACAAGGCGTTCGGTACTTCTTACAACGGTACTATCACTAGCTCTGTATCGAGCTTGTTCAACTTCGATATCCCCAGCTCTGATTCCGGAAAGACCTGTTCTTTGGTCTTCTTGTTTCCCGAGCAGAAGAATCTTGAGACTTCTTCGTTCGACTTCTCTGGCGCTGGGGGTGTCGACTTCACAATGCTGAAAGGCACTGCCAGCTCCAGCACCACGTACAACAACAAGCCTGGCGTTGCCACTGATTACGGTGTGACCAAGGTTGCCCCTGGCACGTCGTCGGTGGTTGCAACGTTCCCCTGCCCAGCCGGGTCTGCTATCGGTTTCGGATTGTCTGCATCGGACGGTACCATGCTTTCGTATTTCCAGGACTACAACCCGTCTCCGTGAGTTTTGCTATTATCCTCTGCTATCAACGTCTAGCTAATAATGTCTTAGCATCGGTCTTTACATCACCAAGTGCTAAATGCTATTGCACGCATTATGAGCTGGGAATCGTAGCATCTCATCGAAGATGTCTACTAAGCACGCCACTTTTCGTATCATGTCTCACGCTATCATGTTCGTTTTGTCTCCTTTCATGTCTTCAATCTAACGTACAATCTTTCCCTATATCTAATTCACAGTCACAATGAATTCATCCAATGCGAGCGCTCTTATCTTTGTTTGTACTTGTCGTTCGTGATATATCATGATGACGTGCTCTTAACAACCTTGCCTATGATATTCTCCCTACTTTGGCTCTCGCTTGGGATCCCCGATGATGAATCTCGTCGATGATCTAACAGTATCGTGCTTCTCTCTCTCATCTATTTTCATATATACCTGTTGATTGACGCTGCTATATAATCTTGATAGCTCTTCCTGGACGCGTCATGCTTTCGAATTCAACGAGCCCAACAGTAGTCACTAGGTGTCTAACTGCAATCATATACCATGCAATCTTGTAGAGTGGTGACACGGTGTCTTGACTATTCTGGCTGCAATACTAGATCCGCAGTGAGAGTTCTATCAGTCCAGCTCCTGCGTCCTAAAAACCCTTTTGCCATTGTGCTCAACCTCAGTATAGCCATGATTGGTCTCAATGGAACCACAAGATTCTTGTTTCACCGAACGGGACACTGAGGAGGACGCTCGAAGTCATTGATTCCAGGAATTCGAGACAACCCCTACTAAAGTCATGATTGCAGCCAGATCAACCGCCAGCATGCTGCCTTTTAACGGAACTTCGATGCTGACAACGAAAGGCACGAAATGACTGCACTAAGCATACGTATCTGACAAAGACAAAAGCAGCAGAGAACATGGAACGCGGGCATGATCACCTGTGTAAGCAGTTCTTAGAGTATGATGAAAGCAAAGTGCAGACCTGGATCGTTGCTCTTCAAGCACAAGAAGAGAAGGGATGAGGTCGTCGAAGAATTACGCTAGATCTTCGGGTCGTCCTGTCATCTTAGCTCCCACCTGAACTAACCAACGTATCTACACACCAACGATCCATACAGGGAAACGATCCAGTGCTGCAGAAATTCGTCCGTGCTCACTTTTCTCGGCAAGATTTTGTTAGTCGGATCGTTTCCCTGCGTGGATCGTTGGTGTGTAGATACGTTAGCGGAGCAGCAGCCAGCAAGAACAGACTTGACAAGCGACTGAATGTTCAACGTAAAGTTGAACTCAACGGAAATGGTCGACCCAATACGAAATTGAGAGTAAGAAACCCTTTTCCCTGCCCGTAGCGGTACCAACTTGCGACTTAATCTCCCATGGAACGTATCGTTCATTCGTCTCGAATCATATCAGAGCACCCTCAATCAGACGACTTCTACCATACTTTGAAGCAAGACACTTACCCGGAGTAGATACCGCAGATACATCGTGCTGCTCGCGAGATGAACACATCCTCTCGATAGCATGCCGCCAAGCATCCCGTGATCCAGCAAGTCTGGAATTTCCCGAATTGGCTAGCGGTTCATCATCACGAGAAGTAGTTCTCGCAGTAGTTGAAAGCATGCGAGAGCAGGGAGTGCCGAGGAACTTGACACAGACACTTCTCCTATGGGTACCTTCTTCAATGATCACTTTTGCAGGATCAAAAGGTTCACGATGAATACTACGTCTTCCTATAGCAATCTCTGAGAAAAGTGGCGTTGTTTCTTGCTGTCGAGGGTTTCTATTCTACACGATGTGGAATTCCACGAGGGACAGTATTTGTACAGAAAATGTAGGTGGTGATTGAACAGTTGATCAATCTACAGAGCATCGTCTCTTCTAGATACAGCTGCATCACTCACGTGAATTGACAGGGTCGATGCTTCAGCAAGGTTTGACTGAAGATCTGGATGTTTCTGTCTGCTAAACAATCTCAGATCAAACCTCATGTCATCAAGCAGTGAAGTCAGGCGTTGCAATGTGTGACTGGTGATGCCAAAGTCACATGAGTTGTGTGCTTCCACTTTCTTATCTTTACTGTATACAAAACATTGCCAAACACAACCAGTCTTTTGGTCGAACGATTGAATTGTCATCGGCTTTGTGATAGCGGTGAGTCCCGGATCTCAAACAAAATCGAGAAATCCGCCAAAACCGTTGTCGTAGTAGAAGGTCTCTTCACGAAAATTCATGCAGTTCTTGATCCGTTTATCGATCAAAGCAGAACACAATGGGAAATACGGGGAGGTGGCTGACGACTGATGATTCGAACAGATTTCTTGGATGAACACCTGGACTGTTCATGCCCTTTCCTGCCTTGTATAGCCTTTATCTCGTCGTTGGCCTGGAGGCGGGTATACAGAACTTAGCCAGGTGGGGTCCACATCGAGGAAACGACATGGGATATCTAGCTCCAGTTAAGCGGCTGGCTCCTGGACCTTTTCATGGTTGACTGTACCCGCTAATAGTGCTGCTGTGCGTTACAAACTCATATTCGTTGTTCTGAAATTCTTCAGAATCAATTCGTTCGTGGCTGTTTGTGTGTAGCATAAGGCTTAGGAGTGTCTTGCTGTGCTTGTGAGCGAGACAAGAGCCTTCACAATCCATATCCAGACCAGGAGGAATCAATCCCCGTGGAGTCATCAAGACGTGGGGTCTACACCGCGGCGTGTGTGTTGATTGATGTCCTGGAGTGGGCGCTATGCTTGGTTCTGACCATCCTGATCTCAGACTCGATCCGACCTCCTGCACCTGGACACCAGGATTGGATGCTTAATGGCCGCCTGGAGCCTCTGTTTCTTCCCAAGAGAAACATCTATGAGAGTCCGAGAGACGTCGGGGCTTATAGCAGCCTTACTTCGCTCGCTGGTCGAAGGCTTGAGACACCTTCTTCAGCTCTGCTGCAGTAACAGCTTGCGAACATCTAGGCTTCGTTCAAGAGTGGTGTTATTGCGGTGTTGTCTTCTACAGATATGCTGACTGGCATGCTCTCTAGTCACTAGATATCTGAGGGAGAAAGCGGCATGGTCATTGGAACTTCACCCGGACCAGGTTCAAGCACATGGGAACATCCATGCAGTGTGTATGCATGCATATACTCTATGGAGCAGAGTGAAGGAGATGGATAACATGGACATAGACAACTGACCAGTGGACAGAGCCCAGTTGGACTCGCGGTTGTTCCTCTCACTTTTGATAGTACAATCAGGGTCATCAGGAAAGAAAGGAGGCGTCAGACGGGACCGTCAGCTGAAGATGGCAGCAGGGCGTGTGTGTAACGTGGCTGTTGACGAGACGGCCAGACCAAGAGTAACAGAAAGGGGAAGTAGTGGTTTAAACGGTTGGACGAGTGATGAAAAGAAACGAGTTCGACTCGGTACAGACGGGTTGCGGGCAGATTCGTATTCATTGGACCAGAAATAGGGGCAAGGGTTGCGCATCGAGCAAGGGTCCTGCCCCTGGCGTTGGTTGATTCGCGCGGGCGGCGGGGTGCTGCTGGACAGCTGGTGCTTCTTCATTTCATCGTTCACCTTTCGTCTGGCCATTTCACCTTGGTTTGTTCTGTCGACTTTGCTTTCTTTTCTCTGCCAGGAAGGAACCTATTTTTGTTCTTCTCTAATTCACACACTACTTTGTAATGGCCTCTCTACAACTTCCTACCCGCAGCAGAAGCCGCAACCCCGTTCCTTCGACCAAAGCTGTCATTTTGGTAAGTGGAGCTAGCTGTGTTTACTGTATACTCGAGTCGCTGCTAACACAAGCGCAAAGGTCGGAGGCCCCAGCAGAGGAACTCGTTTCCGCCCCTTGTCTCTGGATGTCCCCAAGGTGAATTGATGCCGATCACCGTCCACCTGTTCGAGCTCCGTCTAACCAGCTTGCGCCAAACAGCCCCTGTTCGAGGTCGCCGGCAAGCCCATCATCCAGCACTGCTTCGACGCCGTCACCAGAGTTCCCGAGATCACAGAGGTCTTCCTAGTCGGCTACTACGACGAGACCGTCTTCCGCGACTTCATCAAGGACGCCCACCGCGAATACCCCCACATCTCGATCCGCTACCTGCGCGAATACACTGCCCTGGGTACCGCTGGCGGTCTGTACCACTTCCGCGATGCCATCCTGAAGGGCCGCCCCGACCGCTTCTTCGTCCTCAACGCCGATGTCTGCTGTTCTTTCCCGCTAGGCGAGATGCTGCGTCTGTTCGAAGAGAAGGATGCCGAGGCCGTCATTCTGGGAACCCGCGTTTCCAACGAGGCTGCCACGAACTTCGGATGCATTGTCAGCGACACCCACACCAAGCGTGTGCTCCATTACGTCGAGAAGCCAGAGGGCCACATCAGCAACCTGATCAACTGCGGTGTCTACCTCTTCAGCACCGAGTGCATCTTCCCCAGCATCAAGACCGCCATCAAACGCCGCAGCGACCGTCCCCGTCTGCTCTCATACCCTTCTTCCGAAGCCCTCGACAGCCGCGACTTCTCGCTCAACAACGCCGACGACGATGAGGATGACGAGAACCGCAAGAACGAGGTCATCCGCCTCGAGCAAGACATTCTTTCCGACTTGGCAGACAGCTCAAAGTTCTTCGTCCTCGAGACAACAGACTTCTGGCGCCAGATCAAGACTGCCGGCTCCGCCGTGCCCGCCAACGCTCTCTACTTGATGAAGGCCTTCCAGCAGCAAAGTGACGACCTTGCCAAACCCTCAGCCACCATTTTGCCGCCCGTATACATCCACCCTTCAGCACAGGTTGACCCTACCGCAAAGATCGGTCCCAATGTCTCAATTGGTCCTCGTGCTGTAGTCGGTGCTGGTGCCCGTATCAAGGACTCTATCGTTCTGGAAGATGCCGAGATCAAGCACGACGCTTGTATCCTCTACTCGATCATTGGCTGGTCTTCGCGCGTTGGCGCCTGGGCTCGTGTCGAGGGTACCCCCACACCCGTCCGCGAGCACCACACCACCATCATCAAGAATGGCGTCAAGGTCCAGAGCGTTACCATTTTGGGCAAGGAGTGCAACGTCGGCGATGAGGTCCGCGTGCAGAACTGTGTATGCTTGCCTTACAAGGATCTCCGCAGAGATGTGAGCAACGAGGTCATCATGTAAAATGTCTCCCTTCTTCTGCTGCGACGACCACCCCAAAAACATATGCATTTTACACATTTTCTCGAGAGAAGCCGGAGCTTTTCTTTATTGGCGGCGTACATGGGAGCAGTATTCCCGGTTTTGTTCTTTCCTCTACTGTTCTTATGATATCACAATTGGCATCGATACTCTATTCTAAATATCTTGAAAGATTCGCGTTAAACAAAAAGGCGTGTGTTGATTCGTGTCTACAAGACGGTATTTTTTTCACTTCATCTCTTCGGTGCCCCTACGGGACAACTTCACAGGAGGTATGGAGACAAGTCAGATGATGTCTGTCTGTTCATATAACCGGACGTGTCTATTTGTGAGCTGCAAGGTGGTCTAGTTAGTGGCTGAGGTTCGATGCGGACAAACAGAACTTACGAATACCCTCCTCAGGCATGGGAGTCACGTCAACAACCTCGGCGGCCTTGGGCTTCTCGGCGACCGACTTGTCGTCCTTCATGAAGGGGAAGGTGAGAACCTCCTTGATCGAGTAGTGGTTGGTGAGGAACATGACCATGCGGTCAATACCCATACCCCAACCACCAGTAGGTGGCAAACCGTACTCCAGAGCCTGGCAGAAAGTCTCGTCGACAAGCTGGGCCTCGTCGTCACCCTGCTCCTTCTGGCGGGCTTGCTCTTCGAAGCGAAGACGCTGGTCAAAGGGATCGTTCAACTCGGTGTAAGCGTTGACAATCTCCTTCTTGCAGACGAAAGCCTCGAAACGCTCGCAGAGACCCTTGTTGCTGCGGTGGTACTTGGCGAGAGGAGACATCATCTGGGGGTGACCAGTGATCATGGTGGGGTTGATGCACTTCTCCTCGATAAACTCACCGACAAGCTTGTCGAGCATGCGAGCGTTTGTAAGAGGAGGAGAGCACTGGACGTTGGTCTTCTTGAGCATGCGCTTGAGGAACTCGTTGGTCTCGTCGGTGTGCAGTTGGTCGCCTTCGGGGAACTTTTCACCACAGGCTTCCTCGAGAGCGGGAATCATCTCGATGCGCTTCCAGGGCTTGGCCCAGTTGACGGTGTAGATCTCGCCGTGTTGGGTCTCGAACTTGGTCTCGTAGCCACCGGTCAGGTGCTTGACGAGGTTGGACACAAGGTCCTCGGTGGTGTCCATCAGGTCGTAGACATCGGCAAAAGCCTCGTAGAACTCGCAAGTGGTGAACTCGGGGTTGTGGGTAAGATCGATACCCTCGTTGCGGAATTGACGGCCAATCTCGTAGACACGCTCGAGACCACCGACGATCAGCTGCTTGAGGAACAGCTCGGGGGCGATACGCATGTACAGCTCCATATCGAGGTCGTTGTGGTATGTCTTGAAGGGCTTGGCGGTAGCACCACCAGCGATGGCGTTCATCATGGGAGTCTCGACCTCGATGAAGTCACGCGAGTCGAAGTAGTTGCGGATGTAGGTGACCATCTTGGAGCGGGTGATGAAGGTGCTACGAGTGTGGTCGTTCATGATCAGGTCGAGGAACTTGCGGCGGTGGCGCTGCTCCTGGTCCTTGAAGCCGTAGTACTCGTCGGGGAGCTGGTGCAGGCAGGGGGTGAGGAGGGTGACTTCCTGGGCGAAGAGCGAGAGCTCGCCCGAGTCGCGGGTGCGCGGGTTGGTGCGGCCAGGGTAGCCCTTGATGCCGATGATGTCTCCACGGCGCAGCAGCTCGTGCTGCTCGGCAAAGGACTTGTCGCTGGTCGACTCCTGCGACTGGCACATGACCTGCATGCGCACACCCTCGGCGCGGACATCGTAGAAGCACAGGTTGGCTCCAGACGAACGCTTGTTGTAGATGCGGGCTCCAATGTTCAGAGTCTTCTCCTTCTGGTGCTCGCCCGACTTGAGGTGGCCGAACTCCTTCTCAAAGTTGCGCAGGTCGTAGTTGACGTGGAACTTGTGCGGGTAGGGGTTGGGCTGGTGGTTCTGGCGGAGCTTCTGGATGGCTCTGCTGCGGATCTCGAAGTACTGGTTGGGGTTCAGGTGAGCCTCCTCCTCCTCGGCGCTGGCAGTCTTCTTCTTTGCTGGTGGTGCAGTGGTCGTTGCCGCCTTCTCGGCCTTCTTGGCCTCCTTTTCGCGCTGCTTCTGGCGCTTCTTGACTACTGTCTCTCAGCCACTCTTCCACGTTTGTTGTCGCACACGGACAGATACGCACGCTCAGTCTTGCTGACCTTCTCGCCAGTCACCTCGTCAAGGTAGAGGGTGGGAGCTGCGGCATTGTCGCCAGTGGTGAGGGCGCCGACCTTCTCGGCCACGTCGTTGACAGCCTCCTTGACAACGTTAGCTGCTGCTTGTGCTTGTTCCGCCATCTTGGGTGTGTATGAACTCAACTCTGAATCTCCCACCAACGACGAAAAATGTCATTGCGGCTTCGGACCAGTCATAGTTCTTGGCGTCCATCTGCGGGGCTTGTTTGTCCCATGACCCTGTCTCTATCCCGCCATCTAGCGGCGACAACCTCCCTCGCGTTCCATTGGCAACTTGGTCAGATAGGGCTTTTCTGCACACAGTTGGGTTAGATCGTGGCGTGAGGTAACGGAGCATAATGACACGGAAACGACTGAAGGAAAGAGTTACACTAGCAAAAACACTGGCTGGATAGAAAATTGCACATTACATCTTTGTGTGTGCACAAGGAAGCTCTCTTCAAGGTACCAAAGCTATGCCAGCCACTCTCGGTGACACAAAAGAAACAAGAAGAAGGAAAAGAACAATCAAATAGGTATAAGCGCTCAGAAATCTACACTTCCTCAAACCTCTGCAAAGGCACATAAGCACCTCTATCAGCGTTCCCATCCCCCCTCTTCCTTCCGACCATGCCGATAAGCCCACGCACCATGTCACCCACACCACGGCTCTGAGCCGCGGCGCCCGCATCCGTAAACATCTCAGCCTCGGAAACTTCCTTGGCGGCTGCTTCACGGATATATCTTGGTGGCTTCCAGCGCTTGAGCAATAAACTCGATACAACAACAGTAACACTGGAACATGCCATTGCAGCTCCAGCGGCCATGGGTGGCAAAGTCAAGCCCCAGGGAAGAAAGAAACCCATGGCGATGGGTAAACCGATACCATTGTACAAACAAGCCCAGATCAGGTTCAACTTGATGCGGCGGAAGATAGCGCGAGATAAGGCCAGAGAAGAGGGTATGTCGAGGAGATGGTCGGGGCGCATAAGAACTACATCAGCGGCTTCGATGGCGACATCAGTGCCTGAGGCGAGCGAGATACCGACGTTGACGGTTGCGAGAGCGGGAGAGTCGTTGATACCGTCTCCAACCATGGCTACGATGATACCTTGAGCTTGGAGTTCCTCCACAATCTCGCGTTTGCCACTAGGGAGAACGCCAGCGTGAACGTTCTGCGACGGGATGTTAAGAAGATTAGCAACATAGTGGGCTGTGCTTGCTTGGTCGCCAGTGACGATGGAGCAAGTAATGCCCATGCGCTGGAGACAAGCAATTGCGGCTGGAGCTGAAGGCTTCAGAGTGTCTGAGAGGGAAAGAGGGCCAGTATAGACGCCGTCGATGGAGGTGTGGATAGTAGTGACACCTGCTGACTGCTGTTTGGAGAATGTGCCTGTTTCTTCACGGACTTCAAAGTCGTTGGTGTCGTCTGCATCTTCCGGAACGATTACGCCATGGGAACGTAGATACGAGGTGTTACCGATCATCACGTTATAGCGCTTGCGTTGGGGTGAGATGGCAGCCTCCACAGACGCGGAAATGCCCTTCCCGACAGTGGACACGAAGTCGCCGACACTACCATCCAGTGTGCCATCGGAACCGAGACCAAGATGCGATTTGGCTGCAGTTGTGATCGCGCGTGCGATAGGGTGTTCACTGCCCATCTCCGCGAGTCCAATGATGGTCCACCAAAGACGCAGCTTGGCAGCATCGGCGGTCCAGCCACCTTGTATATCTGAACGCGACACACTCATCTTTCCCATGGTCAAGGTTCCAGTCTTGTCGAGGACAATGTGTGTTACCTTGGTTGCGGTTTCCAGAGTCGCGCCACCTTTGATAAGAATACCCTGCTCGGCTCCGACACCAGTACCAACCATGACAGCAGTGGGTGTCGCAAGACCTAGTGCACATGGGCAGGCGAAGACAATGACAGCAATACAGAGCTTGACGCAAACCATCAGCGGGCCACCACTCGTATCCTTAGTGAAGATGGTGGGTGGTGTAGGCAGCAAATGGCTCAAGATCATCCATGCTGTAAAGGTAGCGAGGCCCAGTGTGATGATGATAGGTACGAAGTAGCCAGCAACCACATCGGCCATACGCTGAATAGGCGCACGGCTGGTTTGGGCTTCTTGCACAAGTCTCACGATCTGGCTGAGTTGTGTGTCACGGCCAGCTCTAGTGACCTGGAAATCGAGTCTTCCTGAACCATTGACGGTACCTGCCATGAGATTCTTGCCCTTCGTCTTCAGAATAGGCATCGCCTCTCCGGTAACCATGCTTTCGTTGACGTAGCTATCGCCACGGATGACGGTACCGTCAGCAGGGACTTTGTCACCAGGCTTGAGAATGACCACATCGCCGACTTCGAGGAGCTCCGTAGGGACAGTCTTCTCCTCGAGCGCACCTCTAGTTGAGGTTTTCTCGGATTTTTCGTTGTCGCCGTCCCATTCGTCGGCGGCCTTTTGCGCTGCGATAGGGTCTGTGTAGATGAGAGCAGTTGACGGTGCGAGACTCATAAGGCGAGACAAAGCGGCCGAGGTCTGTCCCTTGGCTCTATTTTCGAGGAATCGACCGAGCATAATGAAGGTGATAAGCATAGTGCTTGTATCAAACGTCGTGGCAGGTCGTGAATGAGGTGGCGTGAAGATTGAGACTAGCATGGCGGCACAGCTGAAGAAGAATGCTGCAGATGTTCCCAGCACAACCAAAACATCCATAGTCGGCGAGCCGTGCTTGAGAGATTTGTACGCAGATCTGTAGAATCGTTTGCCAATGCCGAATTGAACAGGTATAGTAAGTAGCAAGCAGACAACGTCCCCGAGCCAAAGTCCTGGTATCAACGGTAGCTTGATGCTTCCATAATCCAGAGGCTTGATGAACATGGGGAACATCATGCTCGTGAGAAAGACCGGGATAGCGAAGAACAGAGATACTTTCAAGGCTCTAGACCATTCCTGAATCTCCTTAGTCTTCGCAAGCGACTCTAGCTGGGCATTGTTGTCGTCGTTTTCGGCGGTCAAGGCGTTGAGACCTTCGTCCTCGATTGATTCGACAATTGCGCGAAGGCCAGTCTGCGTAGGATCAAATGCGACAGAGGCTCGGCCAGTTTTGAAATCGATCTTGACTGCAGTGCTGCCTTTCCGCTTTTTGAGAGCAGCCTCGAGGGCTGAAGCAGCTTCGGGGGTTTGTAGACCAAAGAGTTTGAGCTCAACAGTGCTGCTGGCCCTTCTGGAGCGCGATCCTCCTTCCTCACGAGACGTCAGAATCTTGGCGTCGAAACCACGATCCTCAATGGTCTCGACAATCTTTTCCGGAGAAAGCTTTGTGGGATCATGTAGAATCACAGCTCTTTCGGCAAGCAAGCTGATGTCGAACTTGAGGACTCCGGGTACATCGCTGAAACCACTTGTTACAGCGGAGGTGCATGCACCACAAGTCATGCCTTCAATTGCAACAATGGTGGTGAAAAGAATGTCGTGTTTCCTGCTCTGCCGCCTTGATGAAGATAGCGTCTTCGTGGATCGCACAGGCTCGGATGCTTTTGACTCAACGACAGACGCATCAAAACCTGTGTCTTCGATAGTCTCGGCAATCTTGTCGGCGCTGATCAGCTTCGAGTCGTGCTCAATGACAGCTCTTTCTGACAGCAACGAGATGTTGAAGCTCTTGATTCCAGGAAGGTCCTTGAATGCGCCCTCGACGGCAGATGTGCATGCGCCGCATGTCATACCGCCCACGCTGACGGTGGTAGTCACCAAGCCTGAGGGGACGGCCATAATTCCAAGGCCCATCATGTCTTCGTCCGACTCTTCTTCAGCGATATCGTCCAAAGTCGCAACGGGTAGATCTGTGTTTAGGACGGTCGCATCAAAGCCTCGGTCTTCTATTATTTCTCGTACTTGTTCGGCGGAGATTTTGGTTGTGTCGTGCATGATAACAGCGCGTTCCATGACCAAGCTGACAGACACACTGCCAACACCGTCTACATTTGTGAAGGCTGATTCTACTGCCGAGGTGCATGCGCCGCATGTCATGCCCTCTACTTTGAGTGTCGTTGTCGCAAGATGTTGCGGTTGTGACGAGGGCTGTGGCGGGGTACGGGGGCCCATGTTGTTGTTCCAGTTGGCGAACTGTGTTTGAGGAGAGGCGCGAGGGGAGACTCCGTCAGATGCAGTCGAGGGAGAGCCATGTAGGATAGTGGTCGGCGGCGGGCCAGTGGGAGAAATCAGACTGCTGTCCCGGCGGTCGTCTCTTTGTGAGACTTGGAGGTATTGTGGCGCCATGGTTGTTTGCGACGCAAAGAAGGGCGACAAAGAATCTCCAGGACACCGATGTCTAAGAATGTGTAATATGTACAACTCTGCTAGCAGGGTACTCTTGTATATGCGCCTGGCCCGACTCAGCTGACGAGCTGACTGCAATCGGCTTCCGGAGATGGCGCCAACAAGGTCCTGCCGTGTGGCGCGTTATCTAGGTCGTAAGCGCCGGACAGGTCGAGTACTGGTCGATGCGAAAAGGAAGAAAGGCAGTCAAACAGAGGGGGAAGAATGGAATGCTACAGACCAGGGGCCATGGCGGTCGTTGCAATCAATACATAGAAATTGCATGGCTCGATGCCCGTTTGGTGAAACTGCAACGACCTCCTGCATCTAGGAGAGCTCGCTGCCGAAACACTTCGCTTCGGCTCCTTCGGTCAACGACTTTCGGCTTTCGGATGTCCGATATATTGCTTTAATCTATCAGAGAAGTGACCACACTAACTACCTTTAGCAGTCAACCTCAGTCCATAAACTGTGGACATCCCTTGATTTTGACATTGCTCAATCAGAGTCCCCTTTATGTACTCTATGTCTCATTGTTTAGTGCGCGACGCCGGAGAGCCGCAACGGCTTTCTCGCCCTTCTAACGTTTTGCTTCACCCAGGGGATTGATAATAAGCGCATCGGGTTTTCTTACACAGCGCAACCACTTCCTGCGGCTCTGCCCCCCAAAGTTACCATTTCTAGCTATTAGAAGAATGGTACTGAGTATCAAGGACTTGATAGAGTTTATCAAGACACCGAGACTTTCATATTCTCCTTGGACAATTCACGAACTCCCAAAAGTTTCGTGCATATTCGACAGCTAGGCCTTTTGCCCACTACGGTGCGTATGAAGAAAGGAGAGCCTGCATGCGCTGAATAAGCAAACTCCGTGCACTTGATATCGATTCTTCGTCCACCGAACTCCACCCCAAACTCACGGACGCATCCACGTTCTTCAAAACCAGTTTCGAGCCTTCATCTTGTACTTCGTGACTTGCCCTGTATGATCGAAAATCTGGTAAGTTGAGTGCCAACACCACCAGCCATGATCTCGACGCCATGAAGCCCAGCTGTGGCTGATGCAGCTCGAGGGCTTCCACGAAATCGAGGGCAAAGACTCCGACGCTCCAACTTCAACAGCCCATTTTCTTGCAAAACTCAATCCTGGACTCGCGTTCCTCCTCGGCCATCGTCCAAGTCTCCAAGATCTGCAATCCTCACTCGAATCCTTCGATGAGCCTCAGCCCTCAGATCGTGGCTAGTGAGTACCAGCCACGGCTGTGTTTCTCGTCTCCATTTCGTCACTCCGGCCGCTAAGGAACCTTCTTGTGCGGATCTCAACGTGGTGACAGCCTCAAAAACGTGCCCTCTGCACCCAAACAACCAAAATTCTCGACTTTTGGCAAGTCCAGGAGACCGGTGATGACCGAAGCGGCAACTCTGGTCACTCTCTTGCCTAACCCTATCCCGTGCTGTCTGTATTTCATGAGATCGACGTCAGATCCCGTTGCTCGATCTCGAACGAAAGCGGCTTGACTTGCTCCTGACTATGCCCCCAGCGGTTCATTGTTTGTTTGAATGCGTGGTGGGCTGAAGTTTAGAACGGTCTAGGACGATGACGATGTCGAAAGTTCTTCTGATGGGAGCTCCATATCTTCCCTGAGGCCTCACCTCCCATTCTAGTGGTTATTTCTTCACATTCCAGTCTCACATTTTGCTGATCCAAGTACAAGATGAACATCAATCAACCTCTCGGTGGGCGAGGTCTAGCCATCCCTTTCACCAAGGCTGCCAATCCCAATGCGGATCTCGAGGATGCCGACCTTCGACTCCCTTTGCTTAATAAAATCCCGGACAACATCAGGTAGATGCGAGATACACTCTTCTGCTTGATTCTGACACTGATATCGAGACAAGAAACCATTTCATCGCAATGTGTGGTGAATTCGTTGGAACTGTGCTCTTCCTCTATTTCGCCTTGTCCGGCGCCCAAGTCGCAAACAGTGTCAACACCTCCAGCGGCATGTCTCTTGCTGAGACCGGCAGTAATCCTCAGCAATTGCAGTATATTGCCCTGAGTTTCGGCTTCTCGTTGGCCGTCAACGCCTGGGTCTTCTTCCGTATCAGTGGTGGACTTTTCAACCCTGCCGTCACTTTCGGCATGTGTTTGATCGGTGCATTGCCCTGGGTCCGTGGTGGTCTTTTGTTCATCACACAGATCCTTGGTGGCATGACTGCTGCTGCTCTGGTGTCGTGCATGTTCCCTGGTGAACTCAATGTTCGCACTACTCTCGGTGGAGGTACCTCCGTTGTGCAAGGTCTTTTCATCGAGATGTTCTTGACAGCTCAGCTCGTCTTTACTATCTTCATGTTGGCCGCAGAGAAGCACAAGGGAACATTCATTGCTCCCGTCGGAATTGGGCTCTCGCTCTTCATCGCCGAGCTTACCGGTGTCTTTTTCACTGGTGGCAGTCTCAACCCTGCTAGATCTTTCGGACCTGCAGTCGTAAATCGCGAGTTTGCTAGCTATCACTGGATTTACTGGCTGGGTCCGGTTCTTGGTTCTATCGTTGCAGCCGGCTTCTACAAATTCATCAAGATTCTGGAATATGAGACTGTAAGTTTTAGACCAAATTTTAACTTTTGACCTCGAAATCGCTGACTTCTCCAAAGGCCAACCCTGGACAAGACATGGATCACGCTGCTAAGGTGGAGAAGAGAAAGAACCTTCTTATTGCTGCCGGTATCAACGAAGTTGACGCTCACCATGTTGCAAACGAATTGCAAGTCAACCAGACCGTTACCGAGAAGGGTGGGCCCGACGGCGCAATCGTAGCCAACGGCCAAGGTCGTCGCAACTCTGGACAAGACACTGCCATGTACGGCACTGGCTTCCGCGCAAACTCCCACCAGCACACTGGCTCCACTAGCTCAGGCGACACAGCTGTTCCTCAGAGGCCATCAGCTGTCACTACAGGAAGCCAACTTGGTCGCTTCAGTTATCTGGGCCGTGCAGGCGTCCAGCAGCCTAGAATGAACAGCATCATCAACGAGTCAAGAATGGACAGCCCTGCCATGACAACAAACGATGAGCTTTACGCGCCTCTTGCCGCAGGTGGTGATGAGCCGCTTGGTGGCATGGTTGCCGATCATGATCCCAGATACCGCTTCTCCAGAACCATCAGCAGTGGTGTCTAGAGTGTGCCATCGATCACGAAGTGTATGAAGATCTCTTTGTTTATGTTTACTTGATTTTGTAATATAGTCATGATATCAAAACAGGTTCAATTCTTTCATATGCTTGCTACGCATCTGTTTTGCTCAATGTTTAACAAGCTCTCCACTCCAAGTGTGAGCATTATCGGATATGTTGACGCCATGCTTTGATCAGCTGAGAACAACAACGGAAACGTCGACCAAACTCACCATACGTATCATGATCAACGAATGCTTTTCTGATTCCCGCTTTGGATGCAGCGACGGACCGTTCTTGTCGATGAACTTCCTGATCTTCCAAAGAATCACCCGCTATCAGCAAGAACGTCGCAGCCTTTGCACTGTGGTTTTTGATGGCCAGATTCTCGGCTCCGTTTTCCTTGAAGAAAAATGTTTGATGACTACTGATGGCTTGACCACAACCCTTCACTTCGTCCTCGGGTGGACGATGCTAGTGTTCTGGGCCATGATGACGACGAAGTATCATAATCGTGCTGCAGTCAACTGCTTCGTGCTCTTGCCGGAGGAATCTCATTGACAATCTTGATGCTTGCGCCTGGTGAACAGTAGAGCCTGAATGTTGAGTGAATCTTGATTGTCAGGTTTGAGGACGTATAGATCAAATTGTTATCTGCGCGAACAAACAACCAAACTCAAAAAAATGAGCTGCAAAGCTCAGCCGAAGTATTCTTCCAGTTCATCATCTGAGTCGTTGTACTCATTCAAATCATCCACCCCATCTGATAAATCATCGTACCTATCCATATCCGAAGTTCCCATATCAGTTCCCGCCGTTGCTGAGGCCCTACTTCCACATTGGTGAATCCCGTCGTTGGGACTATGGCATCCCTTTTGGTTATGTGGGCGTCCCCTGCACACTCTAAACGGGTGGTTGAACTTATTGTATGACTTTGTTCCGAACTTGCCTGCCCAATCGACGGTCTCGTCTATTTCGCAATTCATTCCGTGTGAGTGATGGCAATACTCCCACCAACCTCTCGACTCATGAATGCCGGTGGCGTTGAGGAAAGCGAACGTTTCGTCTTGGTCGTACGGCAGATTGTAGCTGCCATGATTGTGATGTTGGCGTGGGACAAGGCCATTCGCAGCAGTGAACTGATGTTCATCAGGAGAGCTACCACCGAAGGGAGAGGCTTCACAATAGCACGGGTAATTGCGCGATTCTTTTGTATTGATAGAAGAGATACTCCATCCGTCTTCTTGGTAGCATATGGGGATGGCAAAGATTCCGGCGAACTTGCCACCTTTGTGGAATGAACTCGTGGCGGGATCCAGGAATCCTTCAAGCGCTGTATCGCCTGAGAGATGGACAGGCTCGTTACCATGGTCTTCGAATACGGCGACTGAGGATTGCACGACGTTGATCATTGAGAGATTCACCGATTGTGGGATCTTTTCATGTCCAGGGAAAAGACGAGTCATGGCTCTAGCCTTTCGACCATCGCCGACACGGGACGTGAACTGAGGATAAAAGACGTGATCAGGCCAGTCGTCGAGACAGACTTTTCCAAGAGCTCGGTTGTCGTCCTCGCAGCTACCTCCTTTCACAGGAGCCATGATAATGTATACGTGTTCCTGATCCCAGATGTTGCTTATCGCTTGTGCGTACTGCAGACCATGGATCTCATCCCGCACTTCCTGTGAGATCTTCATTGGCTCACTGTACAAGCCCGTTTGAACAATGTCGACAATGGTCATGTCCAAGAGTCCTTTTCTACCGCTCATGACCAGTTCGGAGTCCAAGGAATACATTTCTCTGGCCACTTGGTAGTTCGCGGCTTGCACTTTCGATACAGCGGCGTCTAGCCTTCTTGGTAAGTCCGAAGCGTCCGTAAGTTTGTCGAACTCCATGGCCGTTCCTACACCAAATCCGCTAAGACCGAGGGCGAGCAGATTTCCTGCCGTGTTTATAGCTAGGCCAGCTTCAGGAGGAAAGAAACCTGCGAGTGTCCCTACAAACGAGAGATAACTTCTCAAGATCAGTCCGACACCGCCAGCCATCTGCATTCGCGACTTGTATCGCGCGTTCACTGCCTTCAAGGTTTGAACCACGTTGTCGGCGTCTGAAAAGTCGCTCATAAGACCGTGCATGCCAGCCGTCACTTCTTCGTATGCACTCTTGGCCTGAGCGTCGATCTTGAGTCTGGCGTTGTTGAAGTTGGCTATCGCTTCGAGAGCTAGCCAGGCGAAGTGTTGCTCTTCGAGGTCGAAAGCTTCACTAATGGCGTCACAAATCACAGGCGAGCAGAGTTGCAAGCCATCGCAGTCAACGATTCCATGTGAAAGATGAGGAGCGAATCTGTGGACGAAAAAGTTGTAGAATCCTTTGGTGTTGGTTTCAGTTTCATTGATGGATATCCAGTCGCTGTATTGGCGATCCAGCCACTGGCCAAAATTGCTGTCCTTTGAGAATTCTTTCTGCTCTAGAGTGTGCTGCTCGTTCTCAACGTGTAGACACAGCGGATGCTCATCATTGGCAGCACAAAGTGCCAAGAAGGCGAACAAGGCCAGAAGGAAGTGATAGCGCATGAAGATTCAGAATGGTCGATGGTGAAGAGAGGCTGAGAGCAGAGCGAGTAGATTATATACCCAAAACACAAGGTGATCCTCTTGAACCAGGATCCACCTTCAAGGCACGAAAAGGAACGCAGTACCAGACCAAGTGCTCGGGTTTGCGTGCAATACCTACGTCGTTGACTCATTGAGGCAGGGACCTCGAATTTCATGGTAACGCCTCGAAGTATTTGCGCAATTAGCAGAGCTCAACAACCGTAAACATTACCAAGCCGTCGGTCCATCAGTTGACCAAGGCATGTTAGCGCGAAGTGCTGCAAGATCGCTATTCCTTGTCAACGTTCCCAGACGCCGCGATTAGGCGCCAGCACCTCGGGGTAAGTACACCAGGTACATTGCGTGTGTTTGCGCATGGCTTTTATGCTTTGGAGATCACGTCAGCGATACAATGCATCACTTAAGATCAGTTGTAGGTTCTCCTCTCCTTTTCGAGGAATCAAGCCAAATGTTGAGTGAAGCTATGCCTGCCAACTACAGGAATTCCAGCAGAAACATGACGGATAATGCCGGATCTCGAGGCATGGAGGCATTCGGTCGTGGACAAAGATTCGGAAGCACTCGGTACTTGACCATTCGGCAAGATCGAAAGAGCGCATTTGCAGTCAGCGCTCTGTTAGGTCTTCCAAAGCACGAGATAGGGTCGAGGCCTGTAATCGTTGGTACAAACGGCTACGCAAAAGAAGGTTTGGTGCTCGGGGCGATGATTTGAGGTGCTTCTGGAAGAGTTCCTATACGCGAATATGATTTTACAGATGAAAGAGTCAAAGCGTCCAGATTATCGGCCAGCGTCTCAATGCTCCTAAGATGGGTTTGTACGATATTCAGTTTATATGGCGCCATAAACGAGCCAACACAGTGGCCGATGTCTCCTGTCCATCTCGTTAGTGCCGTGTGTGTGCATCATCAATCGCTATCAACTTACCAGTTTGAAGCAATCGAATTCCTTGACTCTCGAACAATACTAAGGACGACAACAACTGAAGTCCTCAAGAAGACGCAAGAGTGTCCCGAATGTTCTGAATGTCTTTAGGGCCGGTACGACAGCAGCCTCCAATTAACTTGGCACCTTTGCCAAACCATTCTTGGACAACTTCAGCGTGCTCCTTTCCTTCTGCTCGTTGACCGTTCCATTGGCGAGCTTCCGCATTCCAAGTTTCGCCCGAGTTCGGATAAACAATGAGAGGCTTGTCAGTCAAAGGCTTGAGGTAATCCAGAGCTGCCGACACGTTCTGTTCGGGGATGCAGTTGACACCGACAGACACGATTTGATCACAAGCGTTGACCAGTCTGATAACCTCAGACATGGGCGATCCATCGCTCAACAAAGAAGCGTCCGATTCTCTCAGGGTCACCCCCAGCCAAGCTGTTGAGTTTGTGAAGTCGGTTTCGAGCAGTTCAATCAAAGCCTTGATTTCGGGCAAAGAAGGGATTGTCTCGTAAGCTAGGATGTCCACATTTGCTGCTATCAAGGCTTCAATGCGAGGTCTGTGGAAGTTTTTGAATTCTTCGTTCGACAATTGATAATCACCCCTGTATTCACTGCCATTTGCAAGAAAAGCGCCGTAAGGTCCAACACTTCCTGCAACAAGGAGCTGTCTTGGTCTCGCGGAAGGAGTTTTCTCTCTCTCTTCCTGCAGAGCAGTGTCGCGTGCTTGTTGGGCAAGCTCCACACTGCATCGGATGAGCTTCTGGGATTGCTCGAGGCTCATACCCAGGTGCTCTGACAAGCCAAGAGGGGTGGCTTGGTAGCTTGCAGTGATGGCAACATCAGCACCGGCGCGGAAGTAGTCGAGATGGACTCCATAGATGGCTTCCGGTGTCTCTTCCAAAGCTTTGGCAGACCATAGTTTGGAGCTGAGATCCAATCCGCGATTTTCCAATTCAGTTGCGAGCGCACCATCCAGAATTAGAGCAGGGGCATCTTCCAGCAGTCGAGCCACTGGATCAACAGGAGAGGGCATGCCGATGTCAATTGACTGTCTATCGGATATGAGATGCCGGGTAATCAGTATGTAGAGTGATGTCGGTCAAGACAAGAGTGCTCTGGATTCTGGAAGCATTTTCGAAAGATTCGCATGTCTGACCAAGAACGGAAATTTTAAGCGAACTCTCGCTGCGCGAAAAACAGCCGACAGTCGAATGTTGTCCATGTTGCCACTCAGTCATTGAGAGGCCGAAGAATCGAAGTGACTTCATAGCCGGTCATTGTCTGTCACAAAAGTCGTCCGTACGGATGGCTGTCGCAAGATGAAGGTATTCTTCGACCTCGTTGTAGGCAACAAATGCTGTGTGTAGGTGCTCGGTACGACTTGGCAGAAAGACCGAGGCTTATCGATAGTCGGCGGGGACCCTGAATGCTGAGACGGAGCAGTCGCCTTCTCTGCGTTTCGAAAGATTGACACACAGTGACACAGCACGTTGAAGATTACAAAGCAGTCAAATGAGAATGCGAGGACAAGCGAGGTCTTGCTGGTGAGGCCGCGGATCACTCTTGGAAACGATGAGCCCCTCGTAGCTGTTCCGGTAGGCCTTCTGCTTTATAAGCTCCTCAGGGCGGCCTTGTTTGGCATTTCGTCATCCTGTCGAAGCTTCCTTACTTTTATTGCAGACCAGTCCCCTCGGCTTTGTTTCTTCCATTCTCTCTTCCCACCCGACCTCACACTTTCTCACAAGTACACTACACATACACCATGGTTCAGAACAAGGCTTTGATCTTCAAGAAGGTGCCCCAGGGCTACCCCGTCCCCGGCGAGCACTTGACCATTGAGTCGACCGAGTTCGACGTCGACCAGGCCCCTCCTCAGGGCGGCATCACCACCAAGAACCACTACATCAGCTTCGACCCCTACCAGCGTGGCCGCATGCGTGATGCCTCGGTCAAGTCCTACTCTCCTCCTTTCGCCCTCGGCAAGCCCATTACCAACTCTGGTATCTCGACCGTCCTCAAGTCCGACAACGACAAGTTCAAGGCCGGCGATGTCATTGTCATGATGCAGGACACTGCCGAGTACAGCGCCATCTCAAAGGACCAGGCCGACGCTGCCCGCAAGCTCGAGAACCCCTACAACCTGGACCCCAAGCTCTTCGTCGGTGCCCTTGGCATGCCCGGCCTGACCGCCTACTCGAGCTTCTACGCCATTGGTGAGCCCAAGAAGGGTGAGACCATCTTCATCAGTGCCGCTTCTGGTGCCGTCGGTCAGCTCGTTGGCCAGCTCGCCAAGCACGAGGGCTTGAAGGTCATTGGTTCCGTCGGTGACGACAAGAAGTTGGAGTACATCACCAAGGACCTCGGTTTCGATGGTGCCTTCAACTACAAGAACGAGAAGCCTGCCGATGCTCTCGCTAGACTCGCTCCCAATGGCGTCGACATCTACTACGAGAACGTAAGTTGCTGTCCATGACCAGAGTAACCTGGACCCTCACTGACAAAAACAACAGGTTGGTGGTGAGCACCTCGAGGCTTCGATCAACGCCATGAACAACTTCGGTCGCATCATCTGCTGCGGTATGATCTCTCAGTACAACACTGCTCCTGGAGAACAATACCCCGTCCGTAACCTTATGCAGATTGTCGCAAAGCGCCTGAAGCTCCAGGGCTTCATCGTCGGCGACGAGGGTATGGGTCCCAAGTACTTCGTCGACCACCAGAAGAACGTTCAGAAGTGGATCCACGAGGGTACCTACAAGCCCCAGCTCAGTGTTACTGAGGGTATCGACAACGCCGCAGAGGGCCTCCTTGGTCTGTTCCACGGCAAGAACTTTGGCAAGGCTGTCTTGGAGATCTCCAAGCTCCAGTAAACCTGCTGCACAAAAGACATGAGATATGACCTTTAGTAAATTACGCAATCGCACTTCGCATCAAAACATTTCAATTACTTGTTCTTGGAACTGTCCTTAGGATGACCAAACACGTGAAACATTCAGGATATCCGGTCGATGAGGGTGGCGCTCTCGCTCTTTCAAAAACAATCACTCAGACTCCTCCTCTTCCTCTAAAGGAGTCGACTATGGTGTGTCACTGAAGATGACACGCTGTCTTTCGGGTTGGGCATAGCTACCGTACCTTGTAATGGATTCTTATGTTGCTGACGAATCAATCAAAGACTTGGGTGTTTCCAATGGCTAACTCCAACAAAGCAGCTTTGGTTTTTACACGTCTCCGAAACCTATAATCCTCAAGCTAGATCCGCATGTCTGGTCTCAGAAATATTCGGCTCGACTGTGTCTTGTTTTCGGCGTACTGTTTGCTTCTCCAGAGTGGCAGACATGGCGACGACACAGCAAATTTCTTCATGAGAAGATTCTTGATATATTTTCGACACCAGCACTGCATTCCAAGCACAACACAGCATCCTTCTCTCGTACCGCTACTCATCAATCTTTCTAAAGACATCAAACGCTGGAAGCTCTCCACACCAACATGGATGTCGAGTATGATCATCTATCGATTGGTAGTACCGTCGAGTCGTTCAACTCATCAACGACCAGATACCGTATTATCGATCAACTTGGCCATGGCAGCTTTGGCCACGTCTTAAAGGTCAGCAGTCTTGCAGGCCAAGAGGTTTTTGCCATGAAGGTCATGTCTACAACCGGACAGCATCGCAACACGCCCATGAAGACGATTTTCCAGTCGGAAGCATCAAAGCTTATGCAACTAGAAGGTCACGAGCATATCATTGAGCTCAGAGACACTGTCGTCCTCCCCAAAATCAACCGAGCTTGCATGATCATGGACCTCGCTACCGAAGGAGACCTTGAGAGCGTTTTCCGTCGCATCCCCAAGAATCAGCACGAAGCCTTGTCGAAACTCGTCGCCCACGAAATGACCGAGGCTCTTCAATACATCCATTCCAAAAACATCGTCCACAGAGACATTAAGCCAGACAACATTCTTGCTTTCCTTGCTGGCACCGAGCGCAACCCCCGCTACCTCTTCAAGCTCGCAGACTTTGGCATCGCTGGTGAAATTGACGACGACAAGGAGATTGACTGGCCAGAACTCCACCATCAGCCTATGTCTGGACGCGCCTTTCGACACTACAGAGCACCCGAGACATACCCACGCGGCACCGGAATACACACCCGCTATTTCGAGGCCAAGGCAGATGTCTATTCCCTTGGAGTCGTTCTTGCACAAATTCACAACAACACCATCTTATCGAGCCGTGAGCCCTCACTCCCTATAACTCCGGCACATGCCAACTCTCTGGTCAAACATATGCTGGAGAAGGATCCTGCAAGGCGTGCATCAGCTTTGGCATGCAAGAGGTTTTTGTGGGTTCAGGAGGGTGCTACAGTGATTCTTCTCAAGGCTACCAATACATCTGGTGGAAACGGGGAGATTAGCAACAGCATGAAGCGTTTGAGCATTGAGCATTAGTTCGTTGTCAACTATGCTTTACGGCTTGGTGACTTAAGGGGAATGGCTTGAGTTTAGATGAGATTGGCGGCATCACGCATATTACGGGAGCATCAGCATCATCTTCTGCGAGTTATGGTGACATACATGGAATTCGGGTTGGAAATTATCTATCATAGTTTAAGCAGCATCAGTCATTTCGATCTAGAATTTTTATCACTTACTGCTTTCTCATCGGTTTTCGAGGCACTACATGCACACAAGCTCCCCATGTGCTTGGGCCGGTCACTTTTATAGCTGTCAGAATTCACAGTTCTTTTTGGATCTAGAGCTAGGCCCAAAAAGAGAACTTTGATTGATCGTTCGTTCTCTATCTCTCCATCTCTCTCTCTCTCTCTCTTTTCGACCTTTTGTCGGCGATATCCTCCCGCATTCTTAGCCTTCTTAGAGATCCACCTTCTGCTCTTCGAACTCTAGTGGTGATGGTTCGAACCTTTACATGTTTCGGACCTGCAGTCGTAAACCGCGAGTTTGCTAGCTATTACTAGCTATACTAGCTAGGTCCGGTTCTTGGTTCTATCATTATAGCCGGCTTTTACAAGTTCATTAAGATTCTGGAATACGAGACTGTAAGTTTTAGACCAAATGTCAACTTTTGACCTCGAAATCGCCAACTTCTCTAAAGGCTAACCCTAGACAAGACATAGACTCTACTTTAACTACACCGTACAAGACGCTGTCGTTGCTTTGCTAACTCCGGCCATTACGGAGGGATCCCTATAGAGGGAAATGTCGCGAGGGAGCGACCAAAGCCGTCCGTTTGCTCTGTACACTAGTGCAATCACCCAATCGAGAATGACTTACTAGGTAACAGACCCAAGTGGAGTGGGGAGATGGAAGCGCATGGGTGTGTCTCTAGTGCTTTCGTGACGACAGAACGACACTCGAGGATATGCTGGATATTCGACCATTGAGGGCATGACTATGTACCAACTGCGTTGTGATTCCATCAGAAATCAAAATCCAAGTCCTATATTGGCAGAATTCCGCTTGGGTCTGTGAACGATGCAGCAGAGCCCGTCCGCCATTCCCGACTTAATGCGGCGTTAACTGGTGCGTTAAGCCAATGGTCGCCGCAAAGACCTACTTCCTTCAGCCTATTAACAACTACGAGTGCCATTCTTGTAAGCGATACTGGCTTCTGAGCGCAAAGACCGGCGCAAGACCTATCAGAAACGGCCCGTGCTCGGGATGCAATAAAGCAATCACATCTAAAGGTTCGAATCACCACCATTGGGATCCGAGGAACGCTGAGAAAAACGCTTGTCGCATTACGAGAAGTTATTGGTTTCTCGATGGCGGGCGGAGAGATACGATAGAGATACTCCTGCTTTCTGACTCTCATTGGAAGCATCAAGCAATGCGAATTGCATTGTGCATTTCGACAAGCGTTTACCGTACGCGAAATAGAACAGAGAGAGTGTGTCCGTCGGCGTTAAGATATGATACTTGAGTAGACTTGTCCAAACTGTTGAAATGCACGGTGGAACTACTCGAGCACACGCGTAACAGAATCCGGCACATCGTCAAGATGGAGCGTTCCAAGACACTTTCAAATACCTAGTCGAGTAGTTGTGTATTGGTATGCGAGGACCTCGGTCACGTTCAACAAATGTGAGACATATCTTGGCGCCTGTCATTGCCCCCGCTGCAACGGCTGGAGAGCCATCACTTCCCCAACATTCGATTACTGATCTTCCCATCTATTCCTCCTACCATATCAAAAGTCTAATCGATAAATCACTGCATACCTTCCACCACGGAGTCGAAGGGCGCAAACCCAAGCGTGAAGCACAAAACGTGATTTGCACAGGACAGCGTCTCGATCTTCACTGACTCTCAACGCCCGAGGCACCGAGCCGAAACCGGCGATCCCGTAAGGGTCAACATCACGAACATGTCGGCAGAAAGTCGCATCGACTCAGCTCAGCCTGAGAAGACAGCTAGACGAAAGCGATCGAGAGAGGAGTCTGAACCGAACAACGACGAGAACAAAAAGAGAGGAAGACCTCGATTAGACACACAGGATGAATCGGCCGCCGATGTGAGTGTTTTCTGTCTCAAAGCCGACGGAACTCATGCGAAACAGTCGACTGGAGACATCCAAACATTGTTCGTGACATACTGATTTGCACAGCGTCGTCGTACTCAGATACGAGTCGCTCAACGAGCCTACCGACAGAGGAAGGAAAACACAATTGACGAACTCCGCAAACAAGTTGAAGAACTTCAGGGTACCATACAATCCATGAACCAATCGTTCAGCCACTTCTCGGCAAAATGCTCTGCCACAAACGTCCCATCATCGTTGCTAGCTGATCTCCAGAACTTCGCTCAGCTTTACGCGTCTGGTCAGAGTCATGCCGACTCTCTGAGCTCCAGCGAATCTCCTGAGATGGTCTCTCATTCATTCGGCCAAGAAATAGATTCCAATATCAAAGACCACAGCAAGTCCTTCCTGGCAGACGCAGCCAACGTATCGCCTCGCACAGAAGTGAGGCAGACGACCTGGAGTCCGCTCGCTGCTTCAGATAGTACGACAGATTCATTCGACCCCATGGAGAACAATCAGGTCTCCATGTCTATGATGCGATCTCTGGGCATACCAGAGAGTTACAGCTCGTTTGAGAGCACTTTCGCCAGGAGACTCCACAGAGCAAGCTGCGAATATGCCTATCGACTCGCCTGCGACCCGACCAGGATACCAGTGCTCTTCAATAATGTCTTCAAATTGACACTCAAAGCAGCTGGTACCGTTGAGCGAGTCAAATATAGCTTGCAATCAACCCTGAGTCGAAGCACGAGGGAACCGCTGTCCAATTGGGGAGTCACTTTCATACATGTCGGGGGCGCTGGAACACATTATTCAAGACCTCCTGAAGAGGGTGGTCTCGGTTACCAGTCGCCGAATTCATGGGCTGTGACCACCGTCGGCCCTCATAAGATTGGCGGATCAACCATCGAGGAGGCCTTGACGGCGGAGATGTTGCTTCGTGGAGTGACAGGCATGGATGGCGAATGGTTTGACGCATATGACGTTGAGGGATATCTGGCAGAAAAGGGTATTCGCCTGGATCCCAGCTCATCGTTTGCCGAGATTGAGCTGCCAGAAGACGAGTCATCAAGCTTAGAGTCTTCTACCGGATCTCCTCCTATGGATCCTATGACTGCATACGTACAGCATTTGACGACCTCAAACCCCGGCACTAGCCCCAATCCCGCTGCATTTTATCCAGGCCTTTCCAACTTTGGATACCTGCCTGCAGCCTCAGTCGGCCCTCAACATAGGAAGTCTTACCCGGAAGTCCAAGGACACTACGAACCGCATATCGATGAGAGGAGATCGACAGCTCCGATGATAGGCCAACAATACGGATTGGGCATGCCAATCTCAGGTGGCATGTACCCTTATGCCTACCAACCAGTCAAGAAAACAACCGTCACCATTGATGTCGGAAAGTTCGTTCAGCGTGAGTGTCACAAAGCCTCTATTTTATCATTTGCCAGCTTTGCTAACTCGAGCTACAGAGATGAGTCTAGCTGGCACTTGTTTGATGCGAGCACCAGGATATCGCCGCAAGGACATTGACATTGCACTTCGAAGATCTTTGGTGCATGCACACTAGAATGAAGCCTTTGTGGATGTGCATATATGTAAATACGAGGTTTGGGATGAGATCGACAACAAGTAGACAAATGTATATCATTGGGGAGTTCAGGCGTGTACATATTTGGCAATGTCTAGAGCATTTGGGGCAACCTTGTACAAATTGAACTGAATCAACACTTTATCAATCACATCATGTACGATGGTTGTCCTATACTGCTCTTGCGACGTTAATTCCATCAAGGTTGTCGCAGTCAAGTGTTGGCAAGCCCCAAAAGAGAGCGGTGTTTACGTGGGATAGACAAAGATGAAGCTCTATCAAGGAAAGATGGGAAGATCACTGCGGGGTTTCGGATGCCCCGCCTTGCAACGACCAGAAAGAGCTGCCGCACCCCTCATCTCTCGAGCATCATAAGATGAACATGTAGCAAAGCAAAGAGTAAGCCCAATTGACATTCGTGACTTCAACCCTTCCTTCTCCATAACTGTCTACCTACACCTACCACAGCTTCTGGAAACATCCACAAACACAACCATGTCTTCGTCCACCGAACTCCAGCTCGGCCGTCTCAACAACAAAGTCGCCATCGTCACCGGCGGCGCCAGTCCTCTCGGTTTTGGCGCAGCCATATCCCGCCGCTTCGTGACCGAAGGCGCAAAGGTCATCATCGGCGACCTCGACGCATCGGGTGCAGAATCTGTCGCCGCATCCCTATCCTCTCCCAACGTCAAAGGCGTAGCTATGAACGTCACCTCCGAAGAAGATTGGAAGCGTGTTGTAAACATGGCAGTTTCGGAGTTTGGACGCCTGGATATTGTGGTGAATAATGCGGGAGTGACGTATAGAAATAAGCCCACAGAAGAGGTCACGGAAGAGGAGTTCGAGAGGGTGATGAGCGTGAATGTCAAGAGTATTTTTTGGAGTGTCAAAGTTGCTATTCCGCAGATGCAGAAGCAGGGCGAGGGCGGGAGTGTGATCAATATCTCCAGCTCGGGCAGTGTGAGACCGAGACCGGGGTTGGTGTGGTATAACGCCAGTAAGGGAGCCGTGTCGAATGTAAGTCAACATCAAGTCGTACATGGGTTTGTTGGCTAACGCTTGTTGCAGGCAACCATGGCATTGGCTGCCGAGTATGGTCCTGACCAGATCAGAGTGAACGCGATTGCCCCACTGTTGTCGGCTACAGGACTGTTCGAGTCTTTCGTTGGAGTCAAGGACACACAAGAGAACAGAGACAAGTTCGCAGCATCGATTCCTCTGGGTAGATTGACAGATCCGGTGGACGTGGGCAACGCGTGTGTGTTCCTGGCATCGGACGAGGGCAAGTTTGTGACGGGCACCAACTTCAGCGTTGACGGAGGAAGACACATTTGAAGTGTTTTGAGAGTATTCAGCCACTAAGAGCCTTTCCAACCAACTCTTGACATCTCTGCGACATGTGAAGGTCAAGAGCCATTTTGTGACCCTCGGGGCTCATCTTGACCCAAGTCTTTTGCAAGATCTTGATGATCTTGTCTTCATCCAGAGTCTTCTCAAAGGCCTCGAATTGATCGTCGAGGAAGACAAGGCAAGCAATGTCCTCTAGGACTTGAGTCTCGGGATCGCCTTCGCGCAGACCTTGCTTCTCGATCATGGCCATGGTCTTTTGCGTATCCTCGGCGCTGTATCCGCAGTCTTCCATGATGGGCTTGACGAGTTGTGCCTGTCTTTTCTTGAGGAAAGTTCTCCAACTGTGGTAGCCAATGCGCGTCATGGGATACGAGTCGCGGGGCACCTCCCAGCGGCGGAAGTGCTGAGCGCGAATGGCAATCTTGAGGGCTTCCGAGGCATCGGGGGCGCGTCGCTCGAGGTACCAGGTCATCTGGCGGGCATAGTGTAGCTCGTACGGCACTTCTTGTCCCTCAATCGTGACCTTCTTGGCATCTTCGGCGTGAGCTTCGTCGATGAGCTGGAGCGCTCTCTCTAGTTGAGGAGCCATTGTTTGCTGGCGTGATGTGTTTGGGATAGAGAGATTTTGGTCAGCGACTTCACCAAGACTGGCCAGCCTCAGCCTCGCACTCGCAGCCTGCTTATCGCAAAGAGGCCCGTGCTATAATCATCAACTGGCTCTCCATTGGCCATACAATATGAGGCTGCCTTGCAACTCTTCTTGTCCCTTGTCTTTTCGTTCATTCTCAACTTCTTTCTCTCCTGCCTTCGATTCATCAGACGCCGACGACTTTCATGACCACACCATCCTGCAAGTCCAAACACGTGCATTGAGACGTGATACTCAAGCCAAGGCTGCTTTCTTGCAACCTCACCGCGCCGAACATCCTTGTTTGTTGGTCATCGTTTCTCAACATCTACACGCCCTATGAACAGCTTCTTCTTTAGAACACGAGCCCTAGAATTCAACCATGCTCTCATCGTGCCCTGCTCTCTTCTGCTGTCCATATCATGAGAGACATCCGCTGTCCAGAGAGCATCTCCCCAAGCTAAACCGTAAAAGGGTATTCGGTGCGACTTGGCATATTGGTTGTCGGCTCTCTTTCCGATGACGTGCCAACGCTTTCTGATGTCTGCATCGCCACCTACATCGTCGTAGCATGGTCATGTTGTATGCAAATGGAACAGCAATATGGGTAGCGCAACTAAAGAAGCGTATACGCCAGTGGCATGGTCACGTTGTAAGTTGACCAGTCTCCACAGCATCTCTCAGGTCATGGAAACCACGAGCGTAGGTTTAACCGTTATGTCCGGCTCTTGTTTAGTCTCCCTTTCTTTTTACCTAATGATGTCAAAAACGCCTATTCCGTTGCCGCATCCAACTTCTTTATGAAGTCGACAGACACTCATCTCTTATACAAAACATCGAATAACTGCTTCGGCTTCAAGCGGCCCTGACCGAGCATTTCCTAGCACCATCTCTCAAATACTCCCAAGACCCCGTTCTTGTGTTTTGAGCTTGATTTGATTCTTTTGTTGTTTGCCATCTCAAGCGGTTATCTCGTGCCTATTTTTGCTTGGCCACTCCACTTCTTGGACACCAGACTGCCGCGTCTTGTTTTTGATCCCTTGATATCTATCTGCTATATGAAATGCTAGAATCTGCACAACCTGCTCATGAGCAGCCATCGTGGGGAAGCAGTAGCTCAGAGACGCTAGAGACAAACAGAGTCGATGAGCAGCAGCACATAGAAAGAGAAAAATCACACAAGAGCCAGGAAATAGATCCAGATGTAGAAATCGTGGACTGGGATGGTCCCAACGACCCGGAAAATCCGTATGTCTTGCCTTATGACTGCAATGCAACCAGGACTGACAGAACTACCAAAGCTTCAACTGGCCAGTACGGAAAAAATGGGTCATAACATCGGTAGCCCTCTTTGGAACCTTTATTGCTCTTATCAATGGAACATCCATGGCCGTCGCTGCTGAAGCCTACAATCGCGAATTTGGCATCAGTGATGCGCATTTTCCACACTCATATTGGCCAATTGCCAGTTGGGCGCTAGGTGGCGGTGTCTTCATGATGGTCCTGTTACCGATTCTCGAAGACTTTGGAGTCAGGTGGGGCTATCTGATTACCTACATTGTCCTCATCATCTTCATCGTCCCCTCGGCAGTCGCTCAAAACTTTGCAACGCTGGTAGTCACACGTTTCATTGCTGGAGGATGCGTCTCATTACTAGGCAACACAATCAGCAGTATCATTTGCGACATCTGGGCTGGCGATCGTGGAAGAACAATACCCCTGGAACTTTACATCACCGTCTATCTCTTTGGTAGTACCATGGGACCTGTTATTGGTGGCGCCATCTACCAATTCCTTGACTGGCGCTGGATCTTTTACATCCAAATCATCTGGTACTGCGCTTTCATTCCTCTATTCTTCTTCACCATCAAGGAGACTCGCGGCTCTGTTATCCTGAAGCAACGCGCGAAGAAGATTCGCGCAGCCACTGGCAAGAAGGCATATACACGCGACGAGTTGAATCACATTCCTATCTGGCAGATCGTCAAGACCTCGGTACAAAGACCGGCGTACATGCTCTGCACAGAGTGGGTCGTGTTCTCACTCACAATGTGGTCAGCCTTCGCCGTCGGGCTGGTCTACCTTTTCACCCAAAGCATCGAGGAAGTTTTCGCAGGTCTGTACGGTTGGCCGGCCTACAGCACCGGTTATGTTCAAGCCGCCGTCGGTATTGGCGAACTACTCGGCTTCTTCGTCTCATACTCGAACATTCACTTTTACCTACGGTCTGCCAAGTCGAACCCAATCGACCCAGGTACACCTGTCCCAGAGGCTAGACTTTACATGTCTCCCGTGGGAGGCTTTTTTGGCATGACAGGAGGCATGTTTGTCTACGCCTGGACTTCTTACCCAAACATCCCTTGGATTGCCCCAGCGATTGGACTCGCGATGGTTGGTTTCGGCATCAACATTGTTTGTTCGTCGATCGCTCAATATCTCATGGACTCGTACTCAAAGTACGCTGGCTCGGCAATCGCAGCAGTAGCGTTTGGTGAGAACGTCTTCTCTGCTTTCTTGCCATTGGCTGCGCAAAGCATGTATACCAATCTTGGATATCAGTGGGCAAGTTCTCTGTTGGCGTTTTTGTCTTTGGCGTTGGCTTGTGCGCCTATCATTTTGCTGTTGAAGGGGCCTGAGATCAGGGCGAAGAGTCCGTTCATTCAAAAGGCCAGGTATGAACATGATGTCAAGGGTGGTGAAGTAGACGTATGAGCAGCGCGGAATGTCTTTATTCCTGTATATGAGTGTAGACACCCACATAGTATGGCCATTGAGCACACATCTAATCTTGACCTGCCGATTTTATGAGAACAAAAGGGTATCCTTGATGTGTTGGCCGGTCTTTCACATTTGAATCGGGAGTCATCCTTCCTTTCAAGCTTGGCGAAACGATCCCCAGTAGCCTTTTTGATAATGGCCTTGGGACGTGTCACTCTCATACATATCGGGGATTTGCTCGCACCTTCAATCAATGCTCCATGACATCGGGAAAGTAGTAACATGATTCAGAAAAGCAAGAACAGGGTCGTAGACGCAACGACACAAAGTGCCAAGGAAGCCTCGGCACCTGTGTGGAGATCAAACGGCGATCTTGTGGGGTATCGAATCAGCCAATCGGGACATGCCTGATATTGAGCTTTCGCAAGAAGGTATCTCGCAAATTTACAGAACAAGACATCCGAACGGATGAGATAGGAAGATAGACAGGTACAGAGAAAAGATCGACCGGCGCTTTCTCCTTTCTGCCTTGACTTTGATTTGTTCTGGGCAAACGAATGCTTCTGCACACTATAAAAAGTGCAGGAAGCAATCAGCATGGATGAAACAGCTCGGATTAAAGCAATTCTACCGACCGAAGCCGAGCGTCGTTTAAACCTTGGTGGGCAAGACTCCCTTGCAACAGTGTTTACCCTCGACACTCGAGTCGTACACCCGGATAATTTGGAGCCATGTGTCTGAATCGCAACGTTTCGAGGTGTGTCTTGCACCGCTATGGCCCTTTCAAAGGTCAGCGTGACAAGCCTCGCCCGGGTCCCTGCAGGCCCGGTGGTGAATTTATCCCCCTCATTCAGCGATCAATTACCCCGCCGGTTAGATATGCTCCATGGGACGAGGATGTTTTGCGGGTCAAAAAGACACGAGCGTGACGTTAAGGTAGGTACTTCTAACATTTTTCATCTCTCTGTTGCTCCTTCCCTTCTTCCTCCTTGACATACGTTCTTTCCTCGCGCTCGCAGCTCCCAATCCACTGTCGAGTCCTCCTTCACAACTCTCACCACCACAATGACTTCCACACAAACATTGACCAAGCCGACGCTGTCGAACATTGGTGTTTACACCAACCCTGCACATGATCTTTGGGTCGCCGAGGCGGAGCCTTCGCTCGAGCAGGTTCAGAGCGGCGAGAAGCTGGCTCCTGGTGAGGTCACAGTCGCAGTGAAGAGCACTGGTATCTGCGGGTGAGTAGCAGTGCGAATCTGTCGAGACTGAGACGGTGAACTGACGGCGACAAGGTCGGATGTCCACTTCTGGCACGCTGGCTGCATTGGACCCATGATTGTCGAAGATGACCACATTCTCGGCCACGAATCAGCAGGTGTCGTTGTTGCCGTACACGACAACGTCAAGTCCCTCAAGGTCGGCGACCGTGTTGCCATTGAGCCCAACATCATCTGCGGCGAGTGCGAGCCCTGCTTGACCGGTCGCTACAACGGCTGCGACTCTGTCCTCTTCCGCTCGACCCCTCCCGTCCCCGGTCTCCTTCGCCGCTACGTCAACCACCCCGCCATGTGGTGCCATAAGATTGGTGAGATGAGCTACGAGAACGGCTCTCTCCTCGAGCCTCTCAGTGTCGCTTTGGCCGGTGTACAGAGAGCCGAGGTCAGACTCGGTGACCCTATCCTGGTCTGTGGTGCCGGCCCTATCGGTCTTGTCACTCTTGCCTGTGTCAAGGCTGCCGGTGCTGAACCCATCATCATCACCGACATCGACGAGGGTCGCCTCGCATTCGCCAAGGAGTTCTGCCCCTCAGTCCGCACCCACAAGGTCGACTTCAAGCACACACCCGAAGACTTCGCAAAGGTCATCACCGAGCTGGGCGGCGGCGTCGAGCCCTCGATCGCACTCGAGTGCACCGGTGTCGAGAGCTCCATCGCTGGAGCCATCCAGACCGTCAGATTTGGTGGCAAGGTCTTCGTTATCGGTGTCGGCAAGAACGAGATCAAGATTCCTTTCATGCGCCTCAGCACCCGTGAGGTCGACCTCCAGTTCCAATACCGCTACGCCAACACATGGCCTAGAGCCATCCGTCTGTTGCAAGGTGGTGTGATTAACCTCGAGAAGTTGGTCACTCACCGTTTCAAGATCGAGGACGCCCTCGAGGCTTTCAAGACGGCGGCAGACCCCAAGACCGGCGCCATCAAGGTGCAAATCCAGAGTTTCGAGGAGGGCGAGTCGAGGTAGAAAGGAACAATACCCATGATGAAAAGCTATACATAAGCGCGCATGTTTTTGGAACGTTCTATACATAAGAGATGATAATGAGAATACCTTTTGACAAACACTCCAATCTCATGCGACATTCACGTGAGGCGTGTGACATACAACAGCATTGGCAGAAAGCGGCCAATGAGTAGTCAGCCACCAACCGCTCGCTTCGTTCGCCAGTGATGGACCATCGCCCGCCTCCTTTCTGCCTTGTTCCTGTCCCCGCCACTTTGTACCATGTTCTTCCTCTGAAGAGAAATTGTGAAGGTCTGTGAGCCGTCCTTCGTACGAAGCCAGTGCCACATCAATGTCCTCTTACAAAAGCTGTGACCCTGCTTGGTAACTTACTGCCAGGGTGACATTTCAACTCGCTCGAGTGTAAACTCGATCAACGCACAATCAATGAGAAGGCCTTGACTGCTTGAACTTATTATGACAGATCATGATCGGCAGAAGATGAAGCTGTCAGAGCGTTCTGTCATTGAATTGAAGATTTGGAGGCAGTGTTGGCGAACGTCTGAGAAAGTCCTCAATCGTGATGTCTCATGGTATCTGAGCACACGATCAGGCTACAACATGACAGCTCTCACCCGAGAAAGGCGAATCTGTACTCTGACATGTTACATCTCAGAATAGCACAGTGTGTGTCTCGTGTGGTCTTGATTGCTTAGGAGCAAAGAACAACAAGCAGACTCGACAAGTCAACCATATTCCTCCAGACCATGGCCACGAATTCATATAGGCAGCAATATGAGCCTGGCATCCAGTCGAAGACATAGAGCATTTGGGGGCCATGAGAACCAAAGGGCTCAGCTCCAAAAGATAGCTCCAAGGGACGATCTGCAGGATATGGATTCGGTCAGACTGAAGCTGATGTGTTGGGTACGTGCTCATGATTCGTCGTCTGCTCAACCGCGACAGAAGGCTTGCGATGCTTTTGGTGGTAGGCATTTGGTACATGAAGTCAAAGCAGCATTCTGACGTCTGATTTGAGGCCAGTAATCAGAGTCGTTGTGGAAGAGATTGTGAGGTTGGCGGAGAGAGGTCGATGAGAAGCGCCGTGGAATGGGCGGTACGAGGCTGGTGGTCCGATATGAGACCATCCATAGTATCGGGTCGGCTTTGTTGGTTGGCCCAAGAGCAAATGCTCATCACCAGCAAGGCTGGTCCTAGCCTCTCATTGAAAGGGGCGGAAGATTGGGCGGTTCGGCAGATGCGAGTCGAAGAAGAATCCTAGAGGAAAGTACGCCCATGATGATGTGGCACGATATTGCAGCAGGAAAGTCCGAAGGAACAATGCTGGTGACAATAACTTGCTCAGGTGTGCATAATATTGGATATGTACTGGAGGCACAAAGCGTCAGCCGATAGCAAGGCTGAAAGATCTCCTGACCAGGCAATCCCTCCATCGTCTCTATCAAGGTCGATCCTTCCACAAGACAAAGAAAACATGCGAGCCAAACAAAAAGCAGAACAACCCCTAATGTATCCAGATACACCTCAGGCACTGTCCCAAAAAGGAAAAACGTCGAATTTGCAATTGCTCTGAAGTGCAAGAAATTGGGCATTTTCGAGTGCATAATTGTGAGCTCACGACTTGATGGCGTCTACGATATATAATCGCTTCTGCACTCCAAGCCAGCGCTGTAACCGCAATGCTGTATTCACATGTACTCGGGCAACGACTGTCTCTCCACCACCAAAGCCGTCGTTGCCTGTGCAAATTGGTATACTGCCTATCGAGTACGGAATCTTTGCTTGATCGTAGTTTTGATCGCCTGGTACAAGGTTAGTCCAATCCAGAGGTGGTCAATCTCGCATTGAGCTTGGAAAAGGTTGCCTCCGGCATGTGACGCTGAGGCAACACCGATCAACGTACCAAGTTTCTCCAGAAGCTCGCGCTTCTTCATCCTCCGGGTTCTGTTATCCCTATAGCTGTAGACATAGACAAATTCCCGCGGTTCAGCTTCTGGTGTTCGCATCAATTTATTCTCGTCGAAGCTGGAGCTCTTCTTCATAGTGTCCATGCCCTTGTCTGGATGTGATGTTGTTTGTTGCCACTCTGCGACATATCCATTCTGTATGAACTTTGAGTCTTCCATGTTTCTAAGGAGTATTGATGAATGACTGGGATGCGTCAATTCAGATCAATGAGGACAATGGTAGGTCGAAATGTGCCATGATATCCTTGGGGTATATATACTAGAGTCGGAGGGCAAGAATCTGTAGGGCTGATGGTGTACACGTCCAACCTCGCTCGCTCTCGGAGGATCACAGGAGTTGCCGCCGTACCAGCCATACACAATCACTGGTCATGCATGTTTGACATGACCGCCGTTACTCTATTTAGGGAAGAAGGTGCTGCTAGCCACATGTTGAGAGGATCCGTACATGCGGCTGATCTTGTTACCTGAGATGACATGGATCGTTAATTGTGGATGTCGATGACCAATAGTTTCGCTCTCAATGGCAGGCCGGACCACTGAATGGCATCGGACCGGTGACTATGATAATGTTCATTATACCTTAGAACATGGTAAGCGGGACTTGCCATGTGGTGTTGATCGGTGCATAAAGGCAGACCGAATACCTACCCTATCTGTCCTTCCAGCCCGAAGGATGGCCCAAAGCCTTAGTATCTTGACAGTACGGGATCCTGCTATCTCCGCTTCGCCTGCATGCAGGTGATGTTCGAACGGGCAAACTCAAACACACAGTGTGTCGGATGTCCCCACTAGCATCTCATTCCTGCAAAGTTCAAGTGTGCAAATTCATGCATCTGTGTGCCAGTGAGAGCATGATTGGTGTTGCACAGAATTGAGGGATACCGCCTGAGGGCCATGGTCTGTACATCCATGGACAGCCTACTCGGCGTCCCAGCAAGACTAAGTCCTGTGCATATGATACTTCGATACCTTGTGTTGTCCATCATGTGCGTGCGTCGCATGGCTGTGTGGAGATGACAAGGCATCATGTTGGTTAATTTGGCTCGGTACAGCCGCTCAAGTGATATTCCCGATCATCCGACGTGTAGGCATCGATGTTGTCGTATGACTTTTGAAGCCACTCTCACGAAAAAGGAAAGAGGTCCTTCAGGCTTATATGCAGGAAGGTTGATGAAGGCTGGGCTGTGCCCAAGAATGTGTACCTTCACTTTCCCTAGGGGCTGTGTCGCATCCTAGCGTGAGACGGTAAGTCGAGCTTGTAATGCCAAAACGCATAACGCCATGGGCGGAGCACATGGTAGTCCGCCCAAGCCTTCGTGTATGCACCTCGCCATGACTGGTGTTAGTAGGCACCCATCTCCTGAACAAGTAGAGTCAGTCTTCCGATGTTGAAATTGAGGTGTCGCCCTCATGCAAGATGAGCATGGGCTTCGGCTATACCAGGGTACTTCAGAAAGATGGCCCCCAGACGTGTTCTCAAGTCTGTTGGGCTCGACCACTCAGCATCAGCACTTGGGCCTCCAAGACCTTTTCGTTCGCTCCCAAACTCCGAAACATTCTTTGACCATATCATCATTCGGAAACCCTGACCTTGGTGTCAGTTTTGCAGCGAGTATGTTATGACCAAATGATCAGTCTGGTGGAAGCCAAAGTTGGAAGACTCACCAGATAGAATGCTGGAGATGTGGAGGCGTGTGACTGACTGCATAATATTGATGCATCTTCCTGCAGCCTCATCAACAACAGCCAGAACATAGTATGCTCACAGCCTCATTGCCTCAGCCATAGTCGGCGTCTCTGAGGCGTAGTCGTTGTTTACCGCAGCACTCGTTGCAGCAAAGGATACGCCATTGGTGCGAAGTAATGATTACCTTGGTTGCCTTGTTCAGACCATGCGCATACGTCTGAAATATTTCTTGCGCAGTAGGTCTGCCCATTTATTATCAGCCTTTGTCTGTCTTACTATGGGTATGGCTTTTTGAATCACCTCAGCATGAGTCAAGCTAACCACGTCCTCCGATGTGGGTGCTCTGCCTACAAAAAAGAATCCATTTTGACCTTTGGTGAGAACGCCACCCAGTCGCATAGTTAGTCAACAGTCTCCGTGATACTGACAAAGTCTCCCAGATGGCGGCGGTATACGAGGCCTTGTGTCTCTTCTGATTCTGCAACAACTCCTGAGATTTGTGCGTGATGAAGAAGTAGAGCGTGACAGGAAAATGGAGCACGAGGGACACTCAGCACCACGCGCAAGTGAACACGATGAGGAGATCCCGCTTGCTTGTCATTACTGGAATTTCATGTTTGGCACATCCACTGGAGGGTAAGTGCGAACGAAGATGGGAGCCTGAACGCGCCTGAGGGGAGAGATTCTGACGTCAGGCAGCATCATCGCCATCATGCTCGGTCGGCTTCGCATGAGCATCGCGGACTGCATTGCTACCTACCGCAATCTGGGCAGCGAAATCTTTGCAAAGCGACAGACTTTCCACTTCCTCGGTCAGAACAAGTATGACTACGGTAAACTCGAGCAAATCATCCAGGATGTGGTACGGAGGCATGGCGGTAACGACCTGCCATTATCAGACTCCGGTGTGCTGAACAAAGGCCATCCCGACAAGCAGGAGAGAGTACGAAATCGATTGGTACCTTGCCGCGTGTAGGTTAACAGCTCGAATGCTTGCTTGGAAACGATGACTGACCGCCAAAACAGAGGCGTTTTTGCAGTTCAGAGCGATACCCAAGGTGGCATGGACGAGAAGATTCATCTCTTCAGGTCATACTATAACTCCGCACCCCCAGGCAACAGAGAGCTGGACGACCCTACGATAAACCTTAGACAACAGCTCGATGCTCCCATTTGGAGAATAGCGCGTGCTACCTCTGCAGCCCCCACATACTTTCGCTCGATCGAGGTGAAAGGACTTAGATTTATCGACGGGGGCCTGCTAGCCAACAACCCGAGCCAGCTGGCCAGAGCCGAAGTCAATTCCATGCACCAGCATCACCCATCAGGGGGCTGCAGAACTTCTGATGGAGGCATCCGCTTCCTGGTTTCGCTCGGGACTGGAAGACAAGCAGAACAACTGATCACAAGAGGCGCTGGTCCGATACCGAAGCTTCTAAGCATTGTGAGACGTGCGCTCAAAGAGATGACGAATCCCGAACCAGTTCATCAGGATCTGAAAAGAGTCCTTGACCCTAAAATCTACCACCGCTTCAATGTCGAAAAGGGCCTCAAGAACATGAAGCTCGACGAATGTAAAGTGCTAAAAGACGGCCAAAAATCCCACAACCTCACTTTCAGCAAGATAGAAGAAGCAGTTAAGGACTATCTCGGTGAAGACGATGTCTGGAAACGCTTGAAGGATTTGGCGAGGCAGCTTGTTGATCATCGCCGAGAGAGACGCAGACCCGGATACGAATGGTTCCGCGGCCTCTCTATACCAGGTCCTCTCTTAAACCCGATTGATGACGCTTTCAGGAGCGAGGATACGAGCAACGGTGCCACCAACGTCAATCGGAGAGGCTCCTTGCCCGAACCATTGAACCGAGCCGTCGAGATGCCCACAACAATCCCAGAGATGCCGACAGGACTAATGATATCTGAATTACAACCCAACAGCCCAATACAAGACTTAACCAGGAGTCTCCCGACAAGTCCAACATACATGCCTTTCGACTCAGCCATGACTCCACAGGAGGAGTGGTGTTTACCAACCTCGCACGTACTGGAATATCATACTCCGAATTGACCACGTCTGCCCCAGACTAACCATTTACGAATGTGCTCGATTTACTTCTAACATCTTGATTACTGACTCTCTTTCCTTCAACTCCATGAAGCTGTCTTCTTTGTTATTTTCCCATCCTCATGATACCATCTTCATTGCTTCCTGATGATACGGTCCTTTACTCATGCGTTGCTTGCCTTCTACGCTTCATGCCCCATTTGCCCATTACACTTTCTTATACTGATACTAAGTCGGCAAGTACTCGTTTCCTCTCGCATAGCTTGTTATGGATTGAGCCCCATTTTCACGGTGTAGATGGAGCGCAGGTCGGACATATACTTCAAAAACATATAATCACATATCCACATAGGTCATCACATGTTTGCAAAGCTTTCTTGGTAGACATAGTAACGTATATCTGTTTCTGTAAATTCCCACAATCTCGTTGGCCTCAGCTTGTGTCAAATGCGAGGATGTGGCTGACCTCAGATGCCAATCAAAATGATTACAAGCTGCGCAGAGAGAATCTCAGTTTGTCTCACAGTCAAAGATTGAAGATGGCACAGCAACACGTCTCACATACTTGACGAGCAACATAATACAACATGAAAAACAATAAAACGTAAATCTTGCCAATGCTATACCAAAAAGCAACAACCCATAGTCTAAAAAGAACAATCGCTTTTCCATAATGAATTACTTCTTAACATTCAATGCGCAAGCCCATCTAGCCAAAAAGCCATCAATGCTTTAGGAAACATATTTTCCAGCATTGATTCGTAATGGCAGAATTTTCCGGGATGAAGCGGGCAAATCTACTGCTTGTCCATGTGCTCCATACGGATCTCGACGGCACGTCTGTGGGCCTCGAGTTGCTCGACCTTGGCGAGTTGCATGACTGCCTTGCCGACGTTGCGAAGGCCTTGGGCTGTGAGGTTTGAGCTGGTAATGTGCTTGACGTAGGAACTGAGGTTGACACCTGAGTATTGCTTGGCGTAGCCGTATGTGGCTGTGGATTAATTCGTTAGCGAAAATTCAGAAGTGGCATCGGGCAATGTAATGACAACTTACGCAGAGAGTGGTTGACACCGGCAGAGTAGTCACCGACAGACTCGGGTGTCCAGGGACCGATGAAGACGGATCCGGCATTCTCAACAGTCTCGGTGTAGGCCTCGGCGTCCTCGACCTGCAAAATCAAGTGCTCGGGGGCGTAGAAGTTGCTCAACTCCATGGCCTCCTCACGGGTCTTGACGACCAGCGTCAAACTGTGAGCGATAGCACCGCGGACGATGTCAACACGGGGCAAAGCCATAGCCTGGTTGTGAAGTTCGTCCTCGACGGCCTGGAGCTCTTGCTCGCTCATATCAATGGCAATAAGAACAACCTGCGAATCAACACCGTGCTCGGCCTGTGATAACAAGTCGGATGCGACGAAGGCAGGGTTGGAAGTCTTGTCAGCGATGACCATAACCTCGGAAGGACCAGCAGGCATGTCAATGCTGACACCAGCAGAAGTGTCGTTGGAAACAATCATCTTGGCAGCAGTGACGAACTGGTTACCGGGGCCGAGAATCTTGTCAACCTTGGTGACTGACTCGGTACCGTAAGCCATAGCGGCAACAGCCTGAGCACCACCAGCCAGGACAATGCTCTCAGCACCGACCTTGTGGGCGACGTAGACAATCTCAGGAGTGATAGAGCCATCGGAACGAGGAGGAGAGGCGATGACGATCTTCTTGCAACCAGCGACCTTGGCAGGAACACCCAGCATGAGTGTGGTCGAGGGAAGAACAGCGGTACCACCAGGTACGTACAGACCGACGCGCTCGATGGGGCGAACGAAACGGGAGCAGACAACACCGGGCATGGTCTCAACACGGAGGTCCTCAGTCTCCTGTGCAGCGTGGAACTTGCGGATGTTTTCGTATGATATGTCGATGGCCTCTTTGGTCTCAGGTGCGATTTGCATGAGGTTTTCAGGGAAAGGAGCCTTGAGGACGGTGGTGCTGAGAGAAGTAGCCTTTTCGAACTTGTGGGTGTACTCGAGCAGAGCCTTGTCACCACCCTTGCGGACGCCCTCGATGATGGGGTTGACGATACCCATGATGCGGTCAGTCGACTTTTGCGAGGGACGCTGCAGAGCCTGCTGGACGGTGTCCTTGGTCTCCTTAGTTGTGTAGTAGCGGCGCATGCTGATTCTGCCATCGACGGTGCCAGCAGGGTCCTCCTTGGCCTTTGGTACCGAAGCGGCCTCCTTGACCATCTCCTTGTCTCCGTTGACCTGCATACCAACCTTCTCGGCGAACTGAGGCTTGGCATCACCCTTTCTCCTCTTGACCTTGAGGTTCTTAGCATCCAGGTTACGTTCAATGTCCTCGAGAGAAACATCGTTGGCAATGCACTTGGTCAGAGCAAAGTAGATGACGTCGGCAGCTTCAGCAGCGATATTGTCCTTGTCCGTTGCATCAACCAACTCTTGTGCCTCCTCGAGGATTTTTGCTGACAGCATCTTGGGGTCGTTGAAAAGGCGAGCGGTGTAGGAGCCTTCGGGAGCAGAACGCTTGCGGCTGGAAAGAGTCTTTTCAAGACGCGACAAGCCAGCGTAGTCGCCGAAGCATGTGGGGGTTGCAAGGTGGCAGAAGCCTCTGCCCTTCTGGTGGACGATAAAACGTAGAGCATCGCCATCGCAGTCCTTGTCAATGCGGATCAACTCTTGGATGTCTCCACTGGTGTCACCCTTGTACCAAAGACCACGCTTCCTGCTGTTGAAGACACCACGGCCTGTGCGCAAACTCTCAGAAATGCTCTCCTCACTGCTGTATACCAAACCAAGGGCGACGCCACGCTCATCGGTGACAAGGGTTGTGAAAAGACCGTCGGGTCTGTCGGTGGTAGCGTTTGCGAGAAGGAGAGGGGCGGCGGGAATGAGGCTGGACTGGTTCTTGGGGTCGACGGTCAGGTGCTGAGCAGCGATGACGGGGGTAGCGTTGATGTGGGCGATCTGGAGGGCCTTCTCGAGGGTGGGCTGGGCCAGCGAGACGTAGACGGGTGGTCTGTTGGATCCGTAGGCTTCGAGCAAGCTCTCGACAGCAGTGACATCGGCGATACCAGCAAGGTAGATTCCAACCTCGTTGCCCTGGAGCACATCCAATACTGAGTTACCAGCACCGGCGAGCGAGAGGACTAGTCGTGAGGCGTCGACATTCTTGTTCTGAATGTTTTGGAGTTGTGAACTTGAAACAAAGACCTTGACTGCGCCGGCGTCGAGCAGTGACAGGATGTCGTCGGTGGATTCTAGCTTTGTGCAGTCGAAGAAGGTGCCGAAGCGGGTGGCCGTCTGTTTGAGGTGGTCGAAGGCGGCATCGATGGTCTGCTGGGTTGCGACAGCGTAGACGGCGCCGACGTGACCAAGGCTGGCGGCGCTAAGTCCTGTAGAGGCATTGAGGCCTTGTGCCAGGTCAATTGCGGGCAAGAATGGTACCGACATGGTGTGGACCACTGTTGTATGAATATGAGTTGCTATGCGATCAGGTCGGAGCTTGGGCGAAGCAGAGCGGTGGAAATGGTCTATTGAGATGAAGATGGCCTTGGTTTCCTGATGTTTCCGATGACTCTACCGCTGGTGGGGCGAGATCTGTGAAAAAGCTGCAACTCGTCATTGGCTGACAATGGAAAGTGTCAAAGCGCGTGGCCTTCATTCTCCCTCGCAATCGACTGACAACACCTGATGTTTCTTCTACCAACCACCCTTTGCTTCTATGATTCATCAAACGCAGAGCCTCACACACTTCTTTCTACATGCCAACTCATTTCAGTCGTCTGTGAACCTCTTCCATTGTGCCTGATGGTGGCTTGCGACCGAGCTCCGATCCAGGCGACGAATCCATGTTCCGCATCGGCTCTTGACCCTTCGTCTTGCCGGTTGTCGTGCCATTCTGCTCGCAAACAAAGCTCCAGGACTGACCGCCCATCATGCGCCCCAGTAACCAGGTCATCCACCCATGTAGGTCGTTTATACCAAAAAATAGTCCTCCGTTCCTGATCGACGGCATGATTAAGTCGCGTGCTTCCATCAATATTCCTCTACATATCCTCCTTCGTCCACCATAGCCTTGATTTCACCTCTTTCAACGGTTTATCTTCGTTCAAAATGGGAGTCGCTCTATCTACGCAATCTACTCTCTCCCCACTCTCTCTAGCGAGCACCATCATTGGATTTGTGTCTTTCTCTTTCACGCTTGCTACCCTTTTACGAGTCTTTTGGGGTAATATCACCACTGTCCTCAATGCCCACGATGAGATACACGACTATATGAGCAACCTTCGGGTTCAGCTATACGAAGAGCGACAATCTTTGCGCAACCTACGACGACACAACAAGGAATGGGGCAAGCGACGACGTACAAAGGGGATTCCCCTCCCTCGCCTAGACGACTTGACCATCAGGTCCATGCAAGATACATTACGACATCTTACAAGGAGATTCAAAGCACTCGAACGACCGTTTCTAGACCAGGACACTGCTATTGGCCGTCGCAGATATCGCAGAAGCTTCTCTCCAAATCCGAAGGAAACTTGGGATGCCGAGAAGGGGCTGCGAAGTAAGGAAAGAGAGTGGGACAAAGACTTTGACGACGAAGAAGACCCAAGAACGCAAGGAGATGTCTACTGCAACATCACCCTCGGCAAACGTGTTCTCTGGCTTCGTCGAAGGTCTGACGCACTTGCCATCATCGAGGCTGTCAGTCGTCTCCAAACCAGAAGGACTGCAAGACAGGTCGGTGAGATTGCTGTTGCGCTGTATGAGTATGGAGACACGATAGAAGATTTGGATGAAGGCATGCAAGAGATAGAAGCTCGTTTCAGCAAGATAGTTGGCATACGGAGGGTGAATTGACGCGCGCTTCATGTGGATCTGTTTTTTATCTTACACGCGAACTCGATGCTATAAACCATTTCATAGACAGCAATGAGATTGAGCCACTTGCAGAGACGTTCCAGCCCAAAATTCTCTTGGAACTCGTGTTTGTGCATTGCAGCGGTTGCAATCGGGCAGGGTCGTGTACACATGTCACAGACATCGACATCTGGAAGCCCCGCCAAGCCATTCATGAACGCGCCTGCCCATCATCACCGCGACTTCGCGCGTCAGCTCAACGACCTTTTCGTACCTAACTCATCTTTACATCAACTCATCATCACCGCCGACTGAATGCCTCATATACCGCCGACCATCGAACTTCTTGAGCATGCGCAACTCCAATATAGAAGAAAGGAGTATGTCAAAGCTATAGACCTCCTCGATCTGGCCATCAAACATGAGCCATCACCATCAGTGAAGTTGCTCGACACACGCGCAGCAGTCCATGAGAAGCTTGGAGACCACAAATTGGCGCTCAAAGATGCGAGAACGTGTATCCGTATGTTTGAAAAAGACCCCACTGGCTATCTGAGAGCAGGCAAGGTGTTGCAGATCATGCAAAAGACCGACGTTGCTTTGAGCATTTACAAACATGGAATCAGCAAGAAAGTCAACAACATTGAACTTCTTCAAAAGATGCACGACAAGCTCTTACTATCTCTGGCCCCCGACAAAGCTGCAGACCCCTTCGCTCAACTGCCTATTGAGATTGTCGAAATGATTTTGTCGTATCTCAATTTCCGACAGATCGTTTACTGCACTCGCGTCTCGAAACAGTGGAAGATATTCATTGACAGTTTGCCTGGCCTTTGGATGAATTTGGACTTTTCGGAAGCCAAGAAGCCAGTCAGATCTGCTTTTTTGAGCCATTGTATCAACACATCCAGACGTAAAGTCATCTCCGCCACTCTCAAACATGTGAAGGATATGGAGAAAGTCATCAAAGCTCTTGCTAGAAGCTGTCCGGAGTTTAATTCACTTCGAATCGTTGATGGTGGATTACAAGGAGAGAGTCTGATGCACAATCTCCAGTCTGCCACCAAACTGAAGAAACTCACACTTGGTGTCTCTGCTGTCATATCGTCCATGACTCTTCCTGGCCTCCTTCTAGGCTGTGAGAATCTCGAGGAATTTGAGTGTCGAGCCATCATCCCTGGCAGTCTTAACATCCATTGGAAAGGCGAGTTCCCCAAACTTCGTCGCTTGAAGTTGATCAGAAATTTCCAGTCACCAAACCGCTCGATGCACATCCTTCGAATTGGCACGCTGCTGGCTCTGACGCCCAATCTCCAATCTCTTTCGCTCAACGATTGGGCCACTCCCTACGACATCCTGTCCCTCAAAGAGCCACTCAAGCAGCTGATTGAGCTGGACATGACATCTGCGGTGTCCTCCGGTCCAGTCCCATTCCCCTTCCGCGACCTCCCCCAAACTCTACGCGTGCTTCGTCTTGACCTCGACAGGACGCTCAGCAGCGTCGTTATGTTGAGCCCAAAAGATTTCTTCTTACCCAACCTCGAAGAACTTGTCTGCTGTAGCACTGACATGGCCAGCCTCTTGCTGTCCGACCCAGAGCTCATTGCAAAATACCCCGACCCTGCAGACAACAGGTTTTTCAAGCATGCCAATATCTCACGTCTCCACACTCTACATGTGCAATGCACTGGTGGCGCACAACCAGTGACCTCTCTCCTTGCTCTCGCTCGTTTGGAACGTCTTCGCAGTCTACGCCTGACCCACAATTCCAACATCAACGATGACGTGGCAAAGCATATTGCTACCACCATGAAGCAGTTACAAGACATAGATCTTTCCTCAACGATGATCACCGGTGCAAGCGTGCGTGCGCTCGTGGATGGCTTGAAGCTGACATTGAGAACGCTCAAATTCGTGAATGTCTGGCATTGCAGTCCGGATGCACCAGAATGGGCAAGAGAGCAGGGAGTAAGAGTTCAGTACTCACAGAACGCCGACATAAAGCCGAAAGGACGCAAGATACGATTTGAATGAGACAAGATGCGATGGCGAGGTAGATGAGAATGGCGGAGCGCGCGGTATGTAACTTATGAACGAGTATAACCAAAACGACAATCTGATCGCTCTCAGTAGACACGTTTTTCTCCTCAGCCGAAGTTCACGTCACGCGTAGCTGTACAAAATGCAGAGCGCAGAGCTGGCCAGCCCTGCCTCGCGTTCTGGGAGAGATTACCTGCAATCATCTCTGACAGCACACTGGACAAGCACTTGGTGCACCTCGTTGAATTTGTGAATCGAAACTGGTCTTCCAGTCGGTGTTGGGGAGATGCATCTGCGTCCTGATCCGCGTGGCTTGCGCGGCAGGCTCCCCAACCACGTCGGACTGATGCCTCAGGCATCCGAACCACAGGTGTATCTCCTCTCAGCCTATTTACTACTTTCGATATCTCGAGCATGTACAGCCATCGAGATTATTCATCACGCGGCAATAGGTAATACTACGTATAATCCACATGGAACAGCAAGCTTCATGTTACTTTGAAGTACTTCAAACTCTAATTAACGCACAAGGTGTTCACAAGATGACTCCTTCAAAAAAAAAACTTGTAGCACGTAGACTTGGCGGCGAAGTGTCATAATACAGAATGTAGGTATATCTGGCGATTTTCTCCTAATTTTCTTAGCATCTCATCAAGCAACTTTTACCCACTACTTGTACGGAATCGGTCTCACCCACTCATAACAATCAGGACCCGCCAAACAAATTCAACTCTATCACAATCAACATGTCTTCTTCTTCTGCCACAAACGAGCACCAAGCACAGATGTCTACTCTCTCCAAGGACCAGCCCAAAGAGCAAGGCGACAGCTCGCCTGCCCCAATCATGGACTCCAAATCGTGTCTGCCCTGCTCCGGGGACGAAGATCTCACCGACCTGCCCTGCGGCCACTCGTGGTGCTCTGTTTGCATCATCCGAGCATCCTCTCTGGTGACCAACGAGCGTCATTGGCCCATGGCGTGTGATGAGTCCTGTAAGGTTCCAGAGGATCTGGCACTAAAAGTTCTTCCAGAAGAGAAAGCCAGGTCTCTCAAGGCCAAACTGCAGGAGTTCAAGACACCCGCAAAGGAGCGCTGTTACTGCGCAAATGTACAGTGTGGAAGATACATCCCGCCTGATTCCATCAACATCGAAGACAAATCTGCTCGCTGCGGACAGTGTAGTACAGTCACCTGTACATTATGCTGTCGCGAGCAGCACCAAGGCCCTTGTGCAGGCTCCAGCGAGGAAGACCTGCAGATGTTCGATCTGATAGCCCGCGAAGGCTACCAGCAGTGCAGCGAATGTAACAGAGTGGTCGAAAGAGAGTCTGGTTGCCCACACATGACCTGCTACTGCGGGTATGAGTTTTGCTACCACTGTGGTGGTCAGATCAATGTCTGCAACGGCTGTGTGCACAAAGAGCCAGAGTTTGCCGATCTTATCGGAGCCGGTCTCGAAGACGCCTATGCGCGGATTCTGGCTGTCCTCGCCACGCGAGCTGCCCATACCGAGGCGGACCTCCATCCGAACGACCATGTTAGACACTTGGAGCTAGCCATGACCAGCATGTATGCGACGGGAATACATAATGCCGCCCCCTCCAGAACCTTGATGCTGAACATGGTCATGAATACACAAGGCTACAGAGGCCCTTTGATTTATTTTGATGCCCAATACCGCATCTTGCAGGCCGACTCACCAGCAAATATTTCCACCGGCATGGAGGAAGTGTCAGATATGATATTATGGCAGACATTCCAGGCGAGGGATGAGGTGGTTGAAGCGCAGCAGGAAGACGCTGTAGAGACCGAATCTCGCGAGGAGCAGCAGGCTGTCGCGGCTACTTGGGAGGAGGATTGGAGTATGTGATACATAAAACTGAGCTGTCAGACATTGCGAGTTTTCTTTTCCTTTTTTTTGTCAGATACCCATAGTAATTGAAACAGGATTTGATCTGTTGTCATCTCATCAACCATCATTGTTTAGCTGTGTTTCACAAAAGCTTTCTGCATTTTTGCAGCACCATTGTGCAGATGGGAGCTAGGTGTGAAAGCCATATCTCCCGGCTAACCAAGATATGTCTGAATACTATCGCAATATACGAGTTGATACCAACTTCAAGGGCTCTCAGGCGAAAGCCCTAGCTCAGTATGTCAGTGGATACGTCTGTAGTTCCCAATGATCTTCTGCATACCAAACACACTGACTTGACGGAGATGAGTGACAGAGACAATTTGGCTTCATGATCAGCGATTGCATCTCTTCTAGCTAACGGAATGCACAAATCATTGCCGCTTTTCGCTACTTCCCGTGGAAAATTGACAATTTAGTCCTCTCAATGAACACAGCCGTACTTTGCAGTGAACTCGTGCGCTCTCGCAGCTCCTAAATTTCCACCAATCTGTCGAACAGAGCGTTTCTTTCCACAAGACGCTGTTCTGCCATGAGTTGCCGGCATCGTACTCGGATGAGTGTCGCACGCTTTATAGTTCTCTACCTTCTGTCGATTGGGAACAAGAGAACTAATGCTCTCAGTGGCCGCTGCTACTTTTGAGAGGAGTTTTTGCGCTATCAAATCCTCGTTGCTTCCTGCTCCGCTCAAGTGAGCCAGGTTAACCTGTAAATCAAGACAACCACTAAACCTCTCCTTCCCTTCGATGTTTAAGATCTCTGAAGACAGCCTTAGAACCACACTTCTTTACTTAGGCTTCATTGTCAGAAACAAGTACACGCAAATCGGATTGTGGGGTTTGATTCACATTGCCAACATATCTGTCACCAAGTTTTCTCTTTCGCGAGTAATAACTTTTCTTTCTCCTTTGCAGAGTGGCTTTACGCTTTTCCATTGATTCGAGAATATATGTCCAGTGATATCTTGCAAGAAGTGATGGCTTGAATCATCGGGAGTGAACATTGTTACTAGCTCTTGCTTCGTTTCGTTGCAGTGTTTGACCTGAGAGCGGATAATCTGCAAAGGCGTATCACAGCTTTGCATCTTGTGAGTGCACTGTCTTTGCAATTTGACTTGAGAGACTAGGCTGTGAAGATATCGTAGACCTATAGCTTGGCGCAGCCTTTTCTTGTTGATGCAAAGAGACTTGGAGCACAAGAAGGGAGGTGCGACCATATGCTGGAGCTCGATCACCATGTATGTACCTGACTAGAACCCAGAAGTTGAGGAATGTCAGCAAAGCATCAAAGAAATAAGAAGGTGCAAAGCAGCAATTGTGACACAACAAGAAGCTGATACTAAGAAGGGAAGAGCAGAATTAGCTTGCCGAGAATGGACAGCACTCACCTCTGTAATATCCGACATCCACAACAAAGCATGCAGTTATTCTCCAGCGAAACCGGCAGAAAAAGCACACTTGTGAACGAATATTTTGAAGAAGAAAACTTGTAGTAACGGAGCTATTTCAGTACCTTGCATAGCCGGCTGTCACCTTGCTGCGAACTCATTCTTTCTCCACCAAGAGTCACAGAAAACTTCTCCATCGCCGTTCCCTTCTAACCGTCAATATCCATCTCTTCAAAGATCTCCTCGATCTCTTGGCAACCTTCGAAAGCAGCATTTTGTAAAGCCCTACCGTTCAGCAAGGCACCCAGATGACTGTGGTCGAATGCCTGACCGTGCATGCGAAGCGACAAGACATGCTTTAGGAATGGAAGAGGACTGAGTTCGAAAGAACAAGACTCCGGCCATCCAATCTCTTCTCTGATCTCTGGGGCAACAAACCCGTCAGTGTGGACTGGCTTGTCGCGTGGACGAGTTGAAGAGGTCACGATACCCAGGAAGTGACACAGCTGCTCGTACTTGGCCATGTTGTCGACGTACAAAGATCCTGAGAACAACTCAAGATCACGAATGGCTTGAGGCGAAAGGGCGATGTCGTTGGGCTTGGCGTTAGGAGTGTAGAAGTCCATGCGGTTGAAACGTGCCATCTTCTTGTTTAAACGTGCAGCGAAGATATGAAGGCGAACTTTGTCCGAGGCTTTGATCTTCGGGAGGAGCACATCGGCCTCATGTCCGCTAATGATGAGCAAAGATTGTGTCTGGTCTGGCTCATTACAACTCAGCACCCAAGTCGTAGGGCGAAGGTAGTTGTCGGAAAGAGTGCCTTTCGCGAATTGCACAGAATGAACGAAGTCTCGTGTTGTCATAACTGAGAAAGCGCTGGGCTTGATGTTTTGTTGCACAGCAGCCTTCTTCGCAGTAGTCATATTGAAACATTCAAAAGCGTTGACTGCCTCGCATTGGCTCAGAGAAAAGCTGGTACCGGTCGCGATGTACTGTTCAAGACCCTTGCTGACTGCGGGAATCACTGGCTCCAACTTTGGCGGTCGCTGGATCTGGCGCTCCTTTTCGATCTCATGTTCAAGCTCGCGTTCCTGTTCATTGTCCATGCTGGAGTCTTGCAAACGAGTCTTGCTCATGGTCTGAAATTCGGTGACAAGGTGCTTCATCGCAGCGTCCTTCGAATTACGATCAAGCAAGCTCTGGAAGATACCAATTCGATGATCGTTGATGCCGTAAAGATTTTCCAAGTTCTGTGCATCGTCTTCTTGGATGCGTTGCCAGAAGATTTCCATGGCAGGAGAATCACTCGCAATTGTCTTTGATACCATGTTCTCAGGTAGGCACTGCTCAAGGACTTTTCGTTGGCGCAACATCTCCAGACCATGCATAGCTCGCAAAGGTCTCGCAATATCCAGAGCTTGGCAGGTTTGTTCCATACACCAGGCGAGGACGTTAAATGAGCTAAGACGTGATTCTTCGTTTCCGCTTGCTGCGTCGCAGATGCTTCGGTGTACTTCAGGCGGAGCGACAAAACATAGAGAATGGCCACTTCCTAGACTGCGCAATCGCATACAAGCTAAGGCATGTTAGTGAAAGGAAACTCATCTAGAACAGTAAAACTTACCCTGCATCAACCGATCCTTCACCAGGCGGGGCCCTAAGGTAACTACAGCCCGTGCTCCGACGGGTATGGCAAGATCGATGCCTCTGGTGTGTACTTCATCCAGGTATATCAGGCAAGCATCTAGCTTGCCGGAGAACGGCGAGATACGCAGCGGGATAACAGCACCGCTTCGGTCCAGAACCATCGCTTCATCTTGTTCATCGAAGAAGACTGCTGCGTGTGCGTTCGTCTCGAGAGCTAGCCACTGTTGAACGAGTTGCATGTTCGTAGCTTCGAGAACTTGAGCCCCTACGTCGATAAGAACATTGACTCGGGGACTTTGGTTAGTAATCAATGCAAGAAAGCCCTCGATATTCAACTTCTTGCCATGCACATCAACGCTCTGCAGGTAGTTTCGATTCTCTGCTCGAAGAAGCAGGTTGAGTACCATGGCGTTTGTGTGAAGCAGTTCCGGAAGATCTTCCTGCTTGATTGAGTATGGAAGAGTTGATCGGCTGTCGTTCGTCCCGCTGAACCCAGTAGTGACGAGACTGGGATCGTGCGATTCTGATGGAATATTCCAACCAGAAGCTGAAATTCTCTTGGCAAACTCCTTGCCTTCCTTGGGAAATACAACCTGATTCAAGTAGAAAGTGATGATCCCCAGACTGAACTGGAGCTTGGGAAAAAGTATGTTCTCGCACAGCGCCTTGTCGTCCAGATTGGCTGCCTCGTACGACTTCAAATTCGAAGGGAAATCACGTGCAGACACCCAGTCATTGTACACCTCCTGGGGGTTAGAGTCCTTGGAAAGGATGGTGAAACAAGTGTGCATCTGTTCGAGTGTCAAGCCTGTGTAATAATAGCTGAGACACGTCAACAGGATACCGACATCCGGATGACCAAATTCTGAATTCGTGCTTGGAACACCTTTAGCTCGATACGGCACTGCCATGAGGCAGCGTCGAGGATCGAGGCCATACTCAACTAGCCATCGTTTGCGTTGTAGCGAGAAAGACAAGACGTCATGAGCGAACAGACCGCGCAATATAAGCAGGCCATCCCAGTCTGGCCCTTTCTGTAGTAAGGCGGTGAGGACTTCAAGATGCTGCTTAGAGACTTCACGCGAGCTGATGTAGCTTCTGACTGCATCTCTTGTTTCTTCAGAGTAAAAATCAAATGACAGACCGGCAATGCGACCATTGATAGCATCTTCGACCAGAAATTCGATAAGTATCTCGCCAACGCCTGGACGAAGAAACTTGAGCAAAGGAAACGACTTGCCGTTGAACTCAAGCTCTAGATCGGATGGATAAGAGGCAGCAAGTCGTTTTACATGGAAGTTGACTCTCTGAAGTACGGCTTGCGCGATCTGCCAACGTTCATTCTTGCCGTCAAGCATGTGCTGACTACCAACAGGATAGATCAACTGAGATCGAACACTCAAAATCTCATCACTCTCATCGAGTATGTCACGAGCCTTGTCCTTGAGCCAGCGCTGCATTGTCAAGATGGCGGTGCCGAGGGTAGGACCCGAGGTCATTCTTTCGCGCGTCATGAGTTTCATCGAAAGTATCTCTTCGGGGATAATGACCATAACTCCGTGACTCTGCGCGTAACGTTGGAGTGTATCCTGAATGACAGCGATCGTTGAGACGTTCACCCTAGTCTTGCGAGAAAATGGAATGTGGCCAACACGCTGATCCAGTAGACCGCCCAAGCGCTGGGTGAGAACCTGTTCTGTCTGACGTAGAAGCGGTTTCAACACGATCACTCTTGCTAACCTTGTGCCATCTGCCAAAGCAGTCGCTAGCATGGGTACGATGACTGAAGACTTGCCTTCGCCCATGTTGAGCTGCAGCACGGAGTTCTTCCCAGAGCTGGGATTGATCATCTCCTTGGCAACCTTCGCCTGGAGTGGCCGAATTGTGATGTTGTTTTCGATTTCTAGAAGAAGCCAGCTGGGATACTCATCAACATCCCATCCCTCTCTTCCCGGATGCTTGAGCTCCTTCCACAAGGTTCTCTTGTTTGAAGTATGATGCAAGTTTGTGATACGTTCGGCCCTCTGTAGAGATGCCATCTTCTCTCCAAAGTTGAGCAACGACATCTTCCAATCTTCCGGTAGTTGAGTGATGTTGTTACGAGAAAGCTGTGCAAGCAGACATGGTTCGGAAAGACGTGGCCACAAGTCCGCGTTATCGGCAAGAGACGCAGAGATAACCACAGGCGATAAAGTTGTACGGATCTCATGGAGCGTAGTTTCGACTTCAGCGGCTGTAGCTGCTCTGTGCCGCTCGATAGTGTCACCGGAGATTGGTACCTGTTGATCTTCGAGATCGTTGTATTTCCCCTCGAGCGCTTCGATGCTCGCGCGAAGAGTCTCACAGTATACTACATGCGTTGAGCTTGAGCTTGAGTCCAACGTAGCAATCATACCCTTGATCTGAGAAGCATCTTCCAAAGACTGTCCGGGACGCACAGAAAGTTGGGAGGATGGCCTAATAAAAGCAATGCTAGAGCGTGCTTTGAGGAGGTGGATCAATGTAAATCGTGGATGAGTTGCGTGCTGTTGCACCAGAGTTGGCATGTTTGGAGAAGGAATTTCGTAACGGCCATGGAACGCCTGCATCGAAGCGAGACTTGTCGCCACTCTCTTGATATGATCCAAAAAGAGACGGTTCTTGTGCCATTCGTCGAAGAGTCTCTGACACTCCTTCACAATTCCAGGGGTCTTCAAGTGGCGATAATCTGCCTGCGCCACGGAGACAGATGTTCCTGGCCAGATGGACACAATCTTTGTGCAAAGACGTCCTTTATGCGCATTCTGTTCACTCTCCTTTCTCTCGAATTCTTCGATTTCTGTGACGCTGGGATCGTCACTGAACATCTCGTAGCGAATCACGTGCTGATTGATGGCTTGCGCAATGACCTGTTCGGATGGAGATGATCCCTCGCCCAACGTGTATCGAACCACCGAAGGCGGCGGATCGATGTTGAGGAAAGAATCGGAGAAAGCGAAGGCGAGCAATGTTCTGAGATGCATGAGCTTCTCTTCATCTGCTCCAATTGCGATGGCGCAGAATTTGAACATGAGAGGAAAGGTCGATGATGCTTGTGACGCATGACGACAAAGCTCGTACAACGAACCAAAATGCTCGCTTAACTCGAGCGAGCTCAATTCTTGCAGAGACGACTGACCAAAAACCCCAGAACTATAGCCAGAGACATTCCCCCAAGTCTTGATGACCTGAACAAGAGCTGTGTGTGTAGCAACGCGAGGAGGCCATTCCTTGATAAGCGATGCAATCTCGAAAACTCTAGTGGCCCGGTGGCCCCGACCAAGCTTGTCACGACCAGGATAAGTCTCATCCTCGTGTTGCGATGGTGTCAGGTCTGAGAATAGCCCCGACTTCATGACGGAAGCGTTACCTCTCCTGGCTCTTCTCAGAAGCAATGGGTCACCTCGGTTGCACAACTCGACCTTGGATCGATCACTCAAGTCGAATAGAACTTCAGTGCTACTGTGATGGTCAAAGATGGATGCGGCCGCCAGCAGAAAATCGTCATGCTGAGACTGTGGAGAGAGATTGGAGTTCCAATGAACTGTTTGCATGACCTTCTTATGTTTGGGATAGTAGACACGAGATGGTGTCAACGACGCTATCAGATTGAGAGTGTCTTTCTCCTTGTCGTCCAAAGGCACACACGAGAAAAGAGATGCTTCCTTGAGCGTGGAGAGAGACTCCTCTGTACCCGTACGGCCAGTGAATGGGTCAGGAAGCACAAAAGATGTGACAGCATGAAGGTATGCCTTGTAAAGTGTGCTCAAAACATCTTGTTGCCCTCTCAGCTTGCGCAAATGGCGATCTACGCTGTAAACAAAATATTTCTGCTTGCCTGTAGTCCCGTACGGCACTTCGACGGAAACATGATTGTCTCTCTTCGAAATCAAGACTTGGCCCCAGGGAACGATGACTCGCCGTTCTTGTAAGTCTTCAACTGCAGAAATGTCTCGAAGTACAAGTTTGCTGCGAAGTCCCAACATACTGGCAATGCTCTGGTCAGGATCAACCACAGAGCTGTATTCTAGAGACAGAAGAGCTCCTTCTTTGGTGACATGGAAATGCAGGTTATATCTTCGCAGATACACCTTGAGCTCGGAAGGTTGCGAGTCGTCAAGGACGATCTGACATTGAGAAGCGCTGTCCAGTGCGCCGAGAATCTTCGTGACAGACTTTCCTACGACACTCTGGTTCTCAAGAAGTCTTTCCTGCCCACGCCGCATCTGGCATCTTGTTTGTAGGAAGTCCGAGTCACAAAACGTCAGCTTCCAGTGCTCTTGCGAGACTTGCCACGGATGTTCGAGAGGACGAAAGTCAACATCACCAGTACACTCGTCGAGCCAGTGTGTGAAAGACTGAGCAAAGTATGATGGCAGTTGATTGGCGAACGTGTCTTGCGACAGTGCTTGCAACATGTTCTTTCCATGGCAGGCTCGGATCAAGACTTTCCCATCCTTGACACCGATGTGAACTTCGTGCTCTTGGATGTGTTGAGATACCGTGTAGTCCATTCCAGGCATGTTTGATGCAAAAACATTGAGGATGGCAGGTCCGAATATCTGCTGGAACAGCGGCTGAGATCTGATGCTGCTGGGAATCTTACCAACAGGCTTTCCGTCGACAAGCAGATCACCGCCAAGTAGATTGAAATGGACGGTCTGGCGTCTACCGTCTTTCGGGAGAGTCTTGTTGACGAGCCACGACCGAGATGAAGCAGATGCGAAATCCCAACTCGGCTGCAGTGCGGCGCCGTTCCAGATCCGCTGAACAGCTTGATTGAGTCCTGCTCCATCAGTGCGTAATATGTCGCAGACATAAGGCTCAATCTTGTGAGCGATAGTCGCATGATGGATCAAACTTTGTTTGAGCAACGAAGAGATAGCGGTGCGACCGACGGCTGTGTTGTCGCACACAATGATTTGGGCCTCTGCCAATGTAGCAATATCTTCGCTGGAAGCCAGCGTACGAGCGAGATGCCGCTCATCGACATCAAAAGTGCTGTAGCCAGACAATGCTGCACTCAACAGATGGACAATCGCCTTTCCTTGTACGACCTCTTGAGTCGAGTTGTTGTTCATGTGCACTTGAATTTGTCGGCACCATTCGAGACACACTTTTCTTGCTGTTCGTAGTAGGCTGTGACAGGCCGTTTCGGTTCCCGCATCTGTGGTCAGAGAAAGCACTCGAAGAGTGATCTGTATGAGTGACATCATGCTGTGTTGTTCTTGCCAGTTGCTCTTAATGGAGCTCAGCTTTTCGTGAAGCATCTCCAGAAGCTTGGTGCAAAATTCCTTATTGCGTAGTTCGTCGTGTGCCACTCGAAACTCGTCGTGGGAGGGGCTGCCCGCTTCCCAAATGGCTTGGAGAATCAGAGTTGTAACCGCGGGGTTGTTGAAAGTCAGGTTACTACATCCGTACTCACGAAGGATGTTGAGCCACTGAAGCCTCTCGCCAGAGCGGAGACTGCAAAAGACGACGTATTCTCGAATCTCCAGACTGTCAGCGCAATCACTTTGCGAAGCCATAACTTCGTTTGTAGTATGATTTGTTTCACGTACTGCCCAGTCCAAGTTGGCGTATGGGCCAGGTGGGAGGGAAAGAGTGCAGTAAGCCTTGAAGCTAGATTCACCTTGAGGACGAGCTAACCAAGTATGGGCATTTCTGTTGAGCATATCGTACTGCAGGGCGTTGTTGACGCAGACCGCGTCTCGGGTTGTGGGCAACTTCTTCACGGAATAGTGAGACCGGATGAAGGTTTTCGTTCTTGAGGCTAGCGTTAAATGTGGCTGTCGAGTTCTAGCCTTAGCGAATGGGCGAAGCTGGCCGTAGTCTGCAGCCACTTCGAACACTTCCGCACCTCGAGACGATGTTCGCTGCCCGATATCATGGATGATATACCAAGTGACATCTCGCCACGCAGCGAACTCGACTGGTATGGCGAGCTCGAAAACAGCAGCCTTTGCTTGAATAGCATTCTCGGGAAGTGACTTCTCATCGACACTGATATCCATAGCAGCATATTGTCGCTCGATCGGACATCGTGGACAGTTTGCCTTGTCGTGGTACAGGTTATTCCTTCGACTGGTACGATATAGATGTTCGAGCTTTGCGGCCTGCGCGACAAGACTGTTGTACTTTTGCGTTGACGTCTCAAGTTCTTCCAGCTTTCTTTGTCTCTTCTGTTGATCGGACTGCTGGATCTCGTGGCGCAACTGCTGGAGTTCAGGTGTGATGTTATAGTACCAGATTGGGAGACTGTTTGCGCTTGGTTGCTCAAAGACACTAGCGGTGCCTTTAGCAAGACCAGAGAGCCGCTCGTTGATGTGCTTCTCAACCTGAGACAGTCGACGCATCTGTTCGAACTTGGGCAAGAGCAAAGGCCGAAGAAGTGTAGTAGATATCTCGGGCGCATGTCTCCTCAGTAGAGGGAGCCGCATGATACAGAGTTTGTCCAGAGCCACCCATAGTTCGAGTACAGTCAGCAATGCGTTCGATTTGTCGAGCGGGCTTTGATCATATTGAGATTTGGCGAGCGACCAATACTTTTCGATGAGCAAAGCGAGTTCGTCGAAAGGTTTGCGAGTCACATCACGCAAGACTGCGTCAGTCCAGCTCTCGAGGTGCTTTTCAACCCAGAGTTCAATTTCTGCCAGCCTAAGGGCTTGGTCTGGACCAGAAGAGGAGCGCTCCAGTGTCGGCAGTCTGTCCATGGATAAACGTGATTGTGGAGGCGGCACGAAGATTCGAGGGCTGGCAGATACCTCCTGAGGCTTCGCGGCTTCCTCGAGAATCTTTCTCGCCGCCGGTAGATGAAGGTTGGACGCGTCTTCCCATCCAGCACGCGGTATCACAGAAACGCGTTCGGGATTCGCAGATATCGATGTCCAAGTGCCCTTCATTGTCTCACAGGCATTCTTGGAGATGTTCAGAATGCGGTTGTCATGAAAAGCTCCAAACTGCTGCTCAAACTTGTGCACACGGCGAGCAAGCTTAACATGTACAGATGAGAGGATGTCGGGTCTGATAGAGGCATGAGCCAAGAGGTCGAGCAGACGTGCTACGATGTTGATCATAAATATCTTGTACTGTTTTTGAGCATTGGCGAGTCCGCGGGAGGCTAGCAATGTTCGAAGGATTGAGATTCTGAGTAACGTCCAGAAGGGAGATCTTCGCCATGGGTGCAACGCGTCTTGCCAAAGGACATCATCACGGACAAATTTTTGAACCAGTGAAAGATCTTCTCTCTTGCCAACCGCACACAGCATAGTCATGAGACAGTCCGAGACCAAGCCGGGATCTGTGGTATCGCGCTCTTCCCTGTTTTGCTGACCGGCTTTGCTGCTCGTAGGTTCGTAAAGATGCACAGACTCACTACTCAGCCGAGAGAGTAGGTCTGAAAGCTCATTCCGGAACGAAGCGTCGAAGAAGGTCTGGCCCGGAACACTAACGGCGTTGCCGGGAAAGGTTCTTGAAAGTCTGCCGGTGGTTGACATAACACCCTCAGAGGTAGCGGACAGTTCGAAAGTTTCGAAAATTATGCGCTTCTCTTGGCTGTGACGAATTAAGAGACCCGCATTCTGGGCCTTGAGGAATAGTGTGAGGCAGCCTAAGACATTGTCAGCGAGAAGCACTTGGGAAACGCAAGATGTGTAAGTATACAGACCATCAGGTGCGAGCGTAGCAAGATCAGCTCTAAGAGTATTAGAATCAAGGCCGTTCGCATTCTTGACGAGGTCGAGCTTGGAAAGCATCCTGGCGATGTCTGTCCAGGCTGGACATGTGCCACTCTCCATAGCCGGAAGAACATCTCGAACAAGATGTAGGAGATTTTGTTCGATGATTTCGGGCTTAATGTCAGCGCTCTGTGGTAGTCGTGGAGGCAAGACGATGTGGTTGACGAGATCATAGAGATTCTGCGCGTCGACCGCGTGGCCGTTCAGGCGCATCTTGACCGGGCTCTCAACTCAACTTTGAAGCGTTAGCGGATGTTGAAGTAGGGTCGTAATGTAATGAGAAAGAGGGAGGGGAGAGTTGCGCTGACGACCAGCAGAAAGAGACGCGCGTGTGAAGAGCTGCAAAACTTACTCAAAGGATGGTAACCAAGCTGTGTGAAGAAAGCAAGGGCGCGTTGGTTCTGAAGTGAGTGATGGAAGTCGTTCAGAGAGGCGTTGGCAATCAGAGTGAGGTGAAGAGTTAGGAGGAAATAATTATCGGAGTTCGTCTTCCAACGTGAGGCCGCCAAGTGATGACCAACGAAAGTGAAGCGCCAGAATAGCAGACCAAATCACGAATATCTGATCACTTAGTAGGGGAAAAAGAGAAAGCAAAAGACTCCGTAGAATAAGATGAATGCAGAGAAAACGATCTTTTCTGGGACAGGTGAAAGTGACGACGTGACAGGCACAAACGAAGAGAGACTTGCGTGCAGGGACCCGAATCGACATACTTAAGTGCCACACATTGCATCGAGACAAACCTGTATAGTCCTATTTCATTGGACCGTCAAGTGCGGACAAACGAAACACGTCCTTCGTCCGGTCGAAGGTGGGAGTAGCTACCGATCCATGATCCAGCACCGGTCTCGATCATTCAAACAGCAAGTAAGACATCATGGACCTGACTCTTTATTCCAGAGCAGCAAAGGTTGATGTCTTTTGAGAAGATTTGTGATTGCACTCTGGAGAACAGGAAGAGAGGTTGGAAATCTTTGCGTCGGCTGATGGCGGCAATCTCGGAGACGAGCTCCGGTACATCCGATCTCTCTATTGCAAGCAGCAACAAGACTCAACATCAGCCGCGTCTGCCAAACGACATCGATAATCTCAAACAGTAGCACAGCATGCCGGCGCGCTGGTCCTCTCTTGAGCGCAATCCAACCATCCCAGACGTCCGCCGCTGGGCTCGATATCGACCGTCCCCGTTCACACACCAAAGACGATCCGCAACCGAACGTTGTAATTACAGCGAGCTCCAACAACCCTCGCCTAGTCATGAGAGCCAAAAGAGGAGGAAGGAAATAACGCGCGGCAAGTGTCGTTGGGGACGCAGTGTGCGAGACATGCTTGAGCCATACCGAAGCTCGCATATCCGCAGATGTGGTTCCGCTCACCATACGCAAATTAAGATCACACTGCATACACTATGCTTCCTCCTGCGATAGTATGTCATGTTTCCGCCCATGCCATGCAGTCTCTCCACATGCGTACTCAGTGAGAAGACAGGCCTAGGGAATAGAATGCGCTACACGTTTGAGGCCGCGCCGCTTTGTGCTTCATTGAGCAGCTCGACAGTCAAGCCTGTATCTTGTCGGAGAAGCATCTATCAGAGCTTCTAAAGCCCCGGCTTCCGCAAGAACAAGCTGCTGGCAACGAGTATGCTTTGGAAGGTTGAGCCTTGTTGGAATGAAGACGGGGAGCCGCCGGACACAACCCACATGCTCTCTTCTGCCGCTGCATGTGTATATGCAATCGTCCGGACGCTTCGAGACAGAAGCTCTGTTTGGGTCAAATTGCTTTAGCAGATTCCTAGCCGCTGCTCAACGCAGCGAGACTTGCGACAGGTGCTCTCGAGAGTCTTCAACGAGCTTTCACAAAATGTTTACGGCGTTCAAAACAATTCAGCTACGTTCTGTTGAGAGGTGATTACCTCGATTCTGACCAAAGACTGGACTGCCGGTGAGACGGAAGGCGGCGTCTTGATTTACACAGCTGCTGATGAGGGGTAACTCGGCCTCTATTCCAAATGCTCTGCCTTGGTACGTGGGGTCTTCGTATTCAAATAGACCATCTCTCCTTCTCAATTCAGTTGCTGTCTTCCGTTTGTATTCATTTACCGTCGTTCCTGCCCCGCGCTTGATCTTGAGCTTCAAACATCGGCATCTTCTTCTATTCCCCGCATCAACTGTATATAGCAGAACCCGTCCCGCACTCACATCCAAACACCCAACCAACTTCGAAGCACTACAACATTGACAATGGCAAAAGGCAGTTGCATGTGTGGCCAAGTCCACTATGAATACACCGTAAGCTCTTTTTCCACCTTCCATTCCACTCTCCACATCTCACGCTCACGCTCACTCTTCCAGGGCGAACCAGCAGTAACAGCCCTCTGCCACTGCACCGACTGCCAAAAATGGACCGGCGCCGCCTACACCTCCAACGTCGTCGTCCCCCGCACCAGCTTCAAAGTCACAAAGGGCTCTCCTAAGGACTACGATGCCAAGGGCGACTCTGGCAAGATCAACAAACACTGGTTCTGCGCCAACTGTGGTTCTTCTCTATACACTGAGCTGGAGATTATGCCAGACATGACTTGTGTGAAGAGTGGAAGTTTGGATGGCGGTGCTGCCAATCATGAGATCAAGGTTGAGTTTTACAACAAGGACAGATTGGGCTACACCAAGCCGGTTGAGGGGGCTGATCAGAAGTCAGCATTCTCTTGAGGTAGAGTGGTTGAGATGATTTGAATTGGGATGATGCTCTGGCTTGGTGAGCTGCATTGCCGACATTGGAAATATTGGATCGATTGAATCTTTGGTAGATACTTCTTGGAATATGCATCACGCATGCTTTTGCACAACGCAGTACCAAGACCGGTGATCATGGCAAGAAACCCAACTCCAAACAATGTTGCTCGTGCACGGCATTTGACTACCACCTCATCCTTCACCTAGTAAGGAAGTCCAATGGATAACCCAACACAGCACACTGCTCAATATCTCTGAAAGGCATCATGACAGAGTTCCACTGCAGCTCCATCATCATCGGCTGCTCCACATCAACCTTCTCCCAAGCACCAGACTTCTCAATCTGCTCGATAGTATTCCAGTACCCTCTGACCTTGAGATATGCCATATCAGGGTTGGGATCAAGATTCCTCGCAAAGCTAGTCCAATAGTCGGTGATCAACTGCCCGAACTTCGCATCCAAGCCATCTCGATCAGGAAAACCTACACGAGCTACATTGCCAAACGTGTTCGCCAGATCTCCGGCGTGGCATTTGAAGTATTCCTGAGAAGGATCCCCATAGGGATGGGAAGGTGTGACTGGAGCTGCGCAGACGAGATTGGGGTTGTATGCTGGATCTTGATATGTGCGATTGAACTCATAGAACCATATGTTGGGGAGGACACCGTCTTTGACGCCGGCGTAGGCTTCGAATTGGTTGGAACAGCGGAAAGAGACATCTGTGGAGATGCGAGTGGTTGTATTGAAGACATTCAGAGTGGCATTGTTGTTGTCGCTGGTACCAAGAGGGAAGAGATCTGAGGCGGGGATGTCACTGGCGTTGAGATGATTTGCAGCAGCTATGTCATCAATGCCGGTAGTGAGGTTGGTGGTAGGGTATACTGTGCCAAGGACTCCTTCTTCGTCTCTATTCACGCCCATGATGACTGGCACGCGATTCGTGATGTCTGTCGTACTGTTAAGATCAATGAACTCGGACACGAGGTATGTGCCATCAACAACAGGGTAGCTATTCATGAATAAGTACTAAACATCCAAAGAGGACATGAGGGCTTACTTGAAGACAGTTTTGAGATCAAGCAACTCAGTAGCATTGTATGCTTGGAGGCATGCCAACTGATCGGCGGCATCGCGGCAACCTGCGAGATTGAGTATCGGAGTTGTGCTCTGATTGACTGCAGTGACCAAGGGGACGTAAGGTTGGTAGTAGTTCGACTGCAGTATAGCTCCATGAAACAAGCCTTTGCCCTTTGGCGAAGCCATGAGAGCATTCACAGACTCAGCACCAGCCGATTCGCCGAATATGGTGACACGAGATGGGTCTCCGCCAAACCTCTCAATGTGCTTCTGTACCCACTCCAAGGCAGCGATCTGGTCGGAGAGGAAGTAATTGCCATTGTGAACGCCATCGTCTAAGGCAAGGAAGCCGAGGGTGGATAAACGATACGCGATGTCAACAACCACGACATCTCCTCGAGCAGCAAGGTTGCCCCCATCATTTGTTGGATTACTTGCGGATCCGGTAGTGAAGCCACCTTTAGATTAATTAGTCATCATCTCAACGAATGGCAGAAGAAACAATTACCTCCATAGATGTAGACCATCACAGGTTTGAGATTCTGTTTTGCACCCGGTCTAGGCAGACTGGTGGTCCAAATGTTGAGAAACAGACAGTCTGTCGAGCCATTGTTGGGCAAGGTTAGACACTCCGGCGCAGGCTCAAGAGCATCATTAGTCCCCGTCCCCTCGTATATAGAAGAGTATGTGAATCTCTCGGGCTCGGCTGCGAAGCGAACTCCCATAAATCGAAATGTCAGGAAGTCTCTATACCCAACAAGTGTTTGAAAGCCAACGGCTTGAGAGATCTGATACGGCGGAGAATTATCTGCGTATGTTATGTTGGACGCGGAAGCGGTCTGGGAACATAAGACAGGTAGCCTCTCTTTGCAGCTCACATGATGCGTATCTCCGTTGACATCAATGGCCTGACATTGTGGAGGCTGGTGAGGAGGTCTTGAATGTGAAGGAGAGCCGGCGTATTTTGAAGATGACGGTTGAGACTGGGACTGGCCAGTCCAGAAGAGCTGACTGCTTGCAACACGTCCACTGAAGACCTCGTATGCCAATGAATTGTTCAAACCAGCAGTAAAAAGAAGCAACGAAGGTGACCATAGATTCTCGTGTAGTGACTCGCATGCAGTGAGTGCAGATGCTAGAGTCAATGGTGTGCCCAGGAGAAGAGCGGCACTCGTCTTGTTATTGTTGGTAGCTTCATAAATACGTCAGTGATGTGTCCAAGAAGAAGATGTGCAATGGCTGCGAGTCGGATACGTACTGATCAAATCATCAGCGGCCAGGATAGTCACACTACCGAGCTGAGTTGTACTTGGAGTTGCAAATACACATCGTCCGAGCACTAGCAGCCCCAAGCATGATGTGAGTATACGCTTGCCCATAGCTCTGAACGATCAATTCACAGGACCTTCCTGCTTCGAGTCAACAAGATCAAGCAAGAGCAGCAGCTATATAGCTTCTACGCCTGTGCCGCTTTGCTGTGATGATCATCATCAATGTGGAAGCGGTATACCGGGTACCCGGCACTATTGATGTGCCCCTCAGAAGAATCATCACTTCCTTGGCGGCTAAATCATGTATCATACACGGAGCTACAATGAGAGCCTCACACTTCACAAAGAACTCCTGTAAAGGAGGATGGAGACAACCCCACTTGGGTAATTGAGAGCTTGATCTCCTCAGCTGCACTTACCCCACTTCCAGAAGCAATAACACGGGAACAGTCCCTGCCCGTCTGGTTTGGCGGCTGATATGTTCATTGATTGACTCGGTTTCACCGTATCTGTGTAAGAAACAATTGCGATTCGGATATACGTTGTGTGTAGAAAGAAATGTCTCACAAGCTGAATTCGAGACGGTTTCCAGCATAATCTCTTGCAAAAAATCTATCGGGATACTCGACACCTTTTGAACCTGTTCAATTTGGTCAGACAAGTGAGCGGAAGGGCATAAAGTTCCTGTGTTGACATACCAGAGTTGGCATTTCCGGGCTTGTCGGCCGCCTTTGGTGCTCCTTTACCGCCTGCTTCGAAATGCTCAAAAACGCGGCCTTGGAGCTTTAACAGAGCTTCCGGCGACTCTACACGGAAACATGGGTGACGGGAGGATTCTTCATTTGGCGGGCCAAAAGCAATGTGAACTTGTTGTCCCTTCGGGGTGATATCGAACCTGTGCAGCGTTTGTTAGAGAGATGATCTGATCACGGCTTCCACGATCGGAATTCATAGACAACGCACCATGCCAGTCTGTCTCTTTGCAGCTCTGGAACAGGAACGCGTCCCATACCCAAAGTATTGCTGTAGAATGCCTCCGCTTCGTCCAGTGTACCGGCCGGTACTGTGAGATTAACGTGCGCTATTCCGGTCAACATTGTGATGCTTGCTTTATGTCTTTCAGGGCAATGGACAAGAGTAATTCACAAGTGTTTGAGCAGAGGCGAGGATTAATGTTACTCATACTTCTCGGGGGCTGGAAAAAGGCGGAGCGAAGGCGGGGTTCTCGCCGGGCTTTGAGCGAATGCCGACCTGCTTTCCATTCTTGTTCAGCCCGTAACTGACACCGATACTTTTGAGAACTATCCAACACAGAGCAGCTGTAGATTTTATAATATCTGGACAGTCAACAGGAAGAAAATTTGCCGAGAATCATAAAGTTTCATACCTGGTTCGAACAGACGACCCTTTCTCCATATGTCGAACCATCTCGGCTCACGAGCCTGTCCCATGGGGACGAGCAATATGTCTTTGCTTGCGGCCACGTCTTATGGTTTGCCAATCAATACAATCCACCTCGGTCTCAATTCTCAAGTCTTCGATCTGTGTGCGGAGGGACAAAGCATTGGTTCAATCCACAGCCCATGGCGGCAGGACCTCCGCCGGGCTGGGTGTGTTGCAAGGATAATACTGCAGGATTGCCATTTCAAGTGGCTGGTGAACTCTTCGCGGCCTACAGTATATTACTGGCGGAGGTATCTCCCATCTGCTGGCGTTATTACACTGAGGTATTCTTATGGTCTGGGTCTGCTTGGAGAGAGGCTTTTGCGCCAAGAGCTGGATTGGGGCGGATAGACATTCCGTCAATAGAGCAATCCAAACCACGAGCAGACGTATTGCGGAGCACCAACGTCTGGCAGTCAAAGGTGTACAGTAGGAGCTTCGTCCGTAATTCAAGCGAGCATTCTCGCTCACATGTTCTGCAGAAGATACAAGATACATCGAGCATCATGCATGTCACAAAGTTGCGCGGATCGGGACGGAACAGTCGTTCGAGCCTTGCATGCGAGAGGCTTGGTCATCAATACAGTGCCTTCAGTCTAACAACGCGCATAGACTCATGTTTCCTTCTCAATAACATTACAATCCTTTCGAGGTTATGCTTCGGTAAGGCAGCTTTTAGTCATAGAAATCGACGATCCTATCTTTGCACTAGTTCTACGCCACTTTTGTTAGCGCTATTATGTTCTAAGCGGGGTAAGGCATTACCGAGCTCTGCTAAAGCCTGTCTTCTTCCTATATAGCAACAATGTCGTTAATTCTAGAGCCCTCGTCGTTAAATATGTCGTCTATTTAGCCTTAGACTTATCCCTCGATCTTAAATAACTCGCTCCCCTTAATCGCCGAGCTACTCGCGAGGCCGCGGCACTTAGAGCTAGAGCTAGAGGTAGAGCTAGAGCCGGAGCCTTCGTAACTACGACCTAAGGGTAAAGGGAAGCGTAAGAGTAATAAATCGAAGAAGTAGCTAAAGAGGCGTAAGGCGCTAGTAGAGCGCGTAAACGAGTCGATTATTGTCGACTTAGAAGCATCGGAGGAGGACGATTTAGCGGACTTTAATGTCGATGTTAGATAGAAGTTTGTTATTTAAGGCGTAAAGGCTAGCTCTAGCCGTATCCTTCCTCCCTCGCTAACTAATCTAAGCGCCGAGAGTTTAGAGAGATGCTATTATTCCTTAATAGATAGTTAGCTTAAGTGGGCGCTAATAAAGGTACCTTAAGATAAAGGTGCTCTTATAGACGTCTCCCTTACCGCGATATGCCCTCTACGCGGTGTTAAGAAGCGTAGTGTAATTATTAACGCTAGTAAGACCGAGAACTATTCGACTAAGGCCTTCTAGTCGATCTTCGAATACTTAAAGTCCTACCGTCGGTAGATAGCTTTAGTAAATGGCGACAGTTAGATAGTAATAGAAGTAGTGCTAACCTAGGAAAAACCGACCGATCCTCCTACTAGTTAAGTTAATAAAGGAACTGCTTCTTAGAAGGCGTAGAACATACGAACTAGTACGCTTACTTATGCCGAGACTAAAGAATCCGAGACATGCTATCGTCTTATCGCCGCGAACTAGTGCCCTTATAAGGGTAATAGGAAATACTGCTAGATTAATTAGTAGTAGGTTCATTATGAAGTAACGTAGAGAATGTTCTACTTCTAGGCTACTATAAGGGATAAGAATAAGCCTAGAGTGACTAACTACGTACCGTCGAAGTTTGTAAAGGACTAGATTAAGAGAATAGAGGATAGTAATATTTAGAGGAAGGGCCTACTACTAGTAACTACGCCTCGAGCAAGTTAAGGTAGATTATTAGAGTCATTACCGCCTACGCCGGTGTATAACACTTACTATTATATAAGTCCCTCGTCGCTATCGGCACCTCGAGCTTACTCGCTAGTCTACTTATTACCTATTAGTGTTAGCGCTAAATATGTCTATCTAGACTAGGCGCTATCTACTTACTTTCGATAGCTTAAAAGTAATGTTATATTAGAGAGATAGAAGGCTAACTACCGGCAAGCATATCTAAAGGTTAATGGCGCTCGAGTAACGATAAAATAACTATCTAATAGAAGGAAGTTTAGGACGGATTAGCTAGTTTAAAAGGGCATACTAGAGGGTATTGCTACTAAGATTAAGGATAGAGTACGCGAGTAGAAGAAGGTAGTAGTGCCGTAAGAAGGCGCAGAAGTAGAGGAGGTCCCGATATTAGTAGTAGATAACGAAGAGACGTAGAGTTAATGTACTTAGAGGGTGCCCGGTTTTAGAGTCTAGGAGCCGCGCTAAGCTAGAGATAAAGCGGCTACTCTGATTAGCTTAGACTTGTTATTTACACAATTAGGCGAGACGGGATTATAGCCGGACTAATTAGAGAGCTTCAATACGCAGACTATAATAAATCCTAATAATCTCCTAAAGTTCTACCCTATGACAACTATCTTAACTTCTCTTAACATAACTACACTAACTCTAGCTATAACGACTTCCTAAAATGCGCCTTCGCTTTAGCTACGCTTAAGCTACACTTATCGACTATAAATACTAGATATCTATAGAAGTTCTTAGCTAGATCCGCGAGAAACACCTACTAGTTCCTCTTTAAAGCTTTCTTAATGTTACCGAAGAGCTCCTTAATCGGATTAAAGTCTAGCGAGTAAGGCGGTAGCATCTCTAGACGTACGCCGTACTATTCTGCTATCTCTCGGAGTATGTTAACTTAGTAGAAGCTTGCGTTATCTATAATAATGACCGAATTCGCTATAGGAAATGGCCGGTAGACTAGAAGCAGATATCGACTAAACTAGTCCTTAAAGAACTTAGCATCCGTAGTTCCTTAGTAGATCCTTGTATAAGGTAGTAGGCCTTTAATCGTATAGGCTAGTAATATGTTATATCTTTAATCTCGTGCTAATAGTTCCCGAACTCGAGTAGTCTAACCGATAGGCGACTATCCGTACTTACGAGTAGTAGAGGACCGATCTACGCTACTCTTATCGACGAATATAAGCTAGTCTTCCTCGTAACTATACATATAAGCGACGTATTAGTTACGCTAGGTCTAACTACGCTAACATGCTATTTTAAGAAGCACCTTACGAGACTATCTAGCTCCGCGAATTGTCTTAGATATTATCGATAGCGCTAGAGTAATACTAAACTCGTCGAAAAGGAACTATACTATCTCGAAGAGCGTTATTACTAGCTTCGAGAGCAAGTAGTCGAGTAAGACCGTTATTACTAAGTTATCTATTAATAGAGGGGGCCCTCTTAATATCCTCGGTTTTAATAACGACCCCTATTGCCTTAAGTTGTTTATGGCATACTCGACGGTTCTAACTAACGTACGAGTATGCCTTACTACGTCTTTGTATAAGTAGCTATTATGTTTAGCGAGGTCGATAACGTTCCTCTAATGCTAAGTAATATAGCGAGCCATACCGTTAACACGATTAGGAGCAATTTTAGAGGATAAAAGGACGTTAAGGTATGCACCCCGCTTGTGATTTGCCGAGGTTACTAATTAACTAGTGGACGCCACTAAGAGGAAGAAAAAGCAGAGATCAGAGGTGGGGAAATGCTAAGCTACCGAAGCACAACCTCGAAAGGATTGTATTTCCCACCTGCGGGTGGGAATCGTGACAAGGCGGAATGGCAGGCATATTTTTGTGGAGGTTCTAATAAGGGTCAAAGGTCTGGAACGGTCCCCTGGGCGGGGGATCGGAATCTGCTGCCGCCACAACTCCTCTTCTGTCAAATTCCTTCTCTTCCTTCGCGCACATCGACCACTTCTACGAATATCGTCGATCTGGAGTCTCGTTACATTTTCATGAAGTCCTGAATCGGACCTGACTCCCAGAGTACTCCGACCATTCTCGGTGGAACGTTTGATTCTATGTTGTGCAGTGAACGGACTACTATTCCGGCGGCCGGCGAATTCTTTCCAACCTGTCACCCGTCGCACTTTGATTGAAACACAGGCCTAGATCAGGGCCTCTCGAGATGAAACATGCAAGGAAGCTTTCCACATCCGAGCAACCGACTTTCTGGAGTTGGCCAGACTGCCAAACTCTTCATCTGCCGGACCACGCAACCAGCCTTTGGACACCGGTGGACATTCGGTTACATCCTGCGTGAGAGACATGATTCGCTGGCCTGGTTTGTACGGTGCCGTCTCCCACAATCAAAACGAGATCAAGAGAACTAGGTCGCTCAGGCGACAACACCTCTTTCCAAGTAATTTTGGCCAAAAGGCACACTGCATTGCCCGAGAAAAGTGACACACAGCCCTGAGGCCAACTTGTGGTTGAGACGTGTCTTATTCCGATCCTTGGTCTCGACCTTCCGTGTCACGAGTCAAAGACGCCCAGCCAAATGCACCGGAAAAGGATACGATTCGTGCTTGTTCAGAATGCCATCTCTACATGACAGCATTCTGACAGAATCCGATTGCGAGAGGTTGACAGGCGGGTCTGGAAACGGCCAGGCGTCAAGCCATCGCACCGCCTGGACCGCACCCTTTTATTCCACCTGCCCACGGACCTCGACAAAGGTGGCACTTTGACGCCGATCGACGAGCAGTAGGGGCACGCAGTATCCCGGCAGTTTGTGGCGTCCTGCAGGCATCAGTCGACCCTTCTGCAGTCGCGGCTGGAGCGAGTCAAGATATAGAGTGGCTGTCCTCTTAATCACTCTCTCCTGCCTCTCATCAGATCCATCAAAAACCTGAACATTCATACCATGGCAGTCCATCAATCATCAATCATGCACGCAAAGCGTTCAAGCATCTCTCTACTACTTCAACCTATCAACAACGTCAAATCGACAATGACAGCACAATCACTAGCACTGCAAAGGCTCAGCGTAGCTGTCGACATGAGTGTCTTCCAGGAGATACTCGATCTGGACACGCCTTGCGAGCTCTTCAGCAAGGAAGTTGTCAGCGAGTTCTTGCTCATGGCCCCAGAGCTCTTGGATTCCATGAACGAAAGCCTGTATGTCTTACCTTCTATCTCATGGTACTAAGTGTCCTTTACTGATATATTGCTGCAGCTGTCGTGTCAATCTATCACAACTCAACACAAGTTCACAATCATTACGATGTGCGGCAATGGTGCTAGGCTTGACACGTATCGAGAAGTCATGTGCTCGTATCGAGACAGTCCTATCACTCGGCATCGATCTACATTATACCGGCTTCGGCCTCGGTCAGATCTGTGAGATCCTCAGTTACGCCGTGAGAGATGCACATTCGCATTTCGAGTTGGCGAGGATGGCACTGTCATCGTTTTACGGCATACCGTTGCCTTGTGATGATGTCTCCGACGCCAGTATCGAGTTGTGATGACACTGCATGTTCTCACCTCGCTGGCCGGGGTTCTCTTCATCGTTATTTCCCCCCCTTCGAGGCTTTACACCCTCGCATGGTTCTGCCTTTTCTCAACATTATCACCATTCATCGACTGCTTGGGGGCACCCCTACTGAAGACCTCCCTCTTGAGGTCAGAGCTCAGTGTCTCTGCCTCCACTTCTCTTCTCATCCTCCCCTGTACCCTTACCACTTGCTTCCAACCTTTCTCACGATGGTTCGATGCTTTCAATCACGGCTTATGAAGATACCCCATTTACTTTTCGACCTTAGGTCAGCTTTGTTGTATATAATGTCCTTATGAATACATATCTCATGATCAACTTCCTCTCTTCTCTCCTTAAACATGTCTTGGATCCAAGTCTTCTCCGAATGCAATATTTCGCCGACGATCACGGATGGACTCGTGCAAAACGACTTTCCCTACCAAAAAGCAAAACCAAGGATCAGAAGCATGCGACATAACTCAACTTGAACAGAATTGGCATGGAAAAGCTTGTGAAAAGATGCATTTTACATATACGTAACCACAAGTGGCCTCTCTACTGAATCGCTACTTTGAATGCTATGAATAAAAACGAATGATAATGCCGATATGCTCTTTATGCTCTTTTCCAAAAGCTGTATTTGCTCTAGCATCCTCACAAGAACGCAAAGTCTACTTCAATTTTCCATCTATTGATCAGCAATTCTCCACGCCCTCAAGGGCAAACTCTGCAATTTCAAAGCTGCAGGTTTGATGAAGCCCCAGAAGGTGACTACACCGATGATGATACATAGGACGTTTACAATGTAATAGCCATCAGTGGTGATATTGCAACTGCCGCCGCCATTGACACAGATATGACGGTCGTTCTCGAGGGCGCAGGAGAATGGTTTGGTGATCAGGTCACCCTTGAAGTCGGGAGGTGGGATGGAAGCGGGAACACAGGTGGCGGCTGTGAACATGTCGACGAATTTGAGGATGAAGAAGCGAGGGAATGTGCCGCCGAGGTTGGAGACGCTGGCAGAGCGGTTAGTGCGGGTTGCATGAAGAGGAGGAATGAAAACTTACGTGGCGAGGAGGGTCATGTAGGTGCCGCCGATGTGAGGATCGGCAATCTTTGCGTGGAAAGCGCTTACGGCGACGAACATGACGGTGCTCATGAAAGTACTGAAGACGTGCTCAACGATAACGACGCAGAGGTAGGGCAGGTTGGTGCCACCGCTGGGGAAGATCATGACGGTGAACTGGGCGAAGGCTGCAGCGACCAGTCGACCAACAAACGCCCAACACCAGAGTCGCATTGGGGCATATTGTTCACTCCACTTTCCAGCATAGTAACCTAAGGAGATCTCGAAGGGGAAATCGATCAGGACAGTGAGAGCCAGATCCTCCTGGCTGAAGCCCTTTTCCAGCAGCTTGAGATTTGTGACCGCGTCGTTTGCTTGGAAACCAATCTTTGCGATCAAATGGATGACGATGAATGTCTGGATGTTCTTCAAGCTGAGAATACCACCCATGACTCTGTAGACTTCCATGATGCCATCTCTTTCTTTGGTCTTGTCTTCCTTTTTGAGGAAAGCAAGGCCGAGGGTCACAACCAGGTATGCCCATCCCCAGAAGCTGAGATAGCCGCCGAGGGTAAGAAGACCAGTGTCTCCAGGAGCGCTGCGGAACCACTTGTTGGCAAAGTCCTTAGACGACAGGGCGAGGAAAACGGTGTAGGAAAGGAACTGGCCGGCGGTCAGGCCTACGGTTTGAGCGGTACTGGCGTAAGAGAGGTTGGACGGCGAGAGGAGCGTGAGAGCCCAGCCTAGAATGTGTCAGTAGTGATCGCAGTCCGGGGTCGAGGATGTACATACCATCAACAGCAATGTCTTGTGTGGCGCACATCAAGACGAGGGCGAACCACCATCCTGTAAAGTTCCAGACACCAGCACCTCCGTTCTCACCAGCCTTGATCATCATCTCTTCAACGTGCGATCCGAGCCAGATCATGCCGAAGCCACTGATGGTCTGAATAGGGAGGATCCAACTCTTTCTTCTGCCCAATCTGGGCGTCCACACAGCATCGACGATCGGCGACCATAATAGCTTGAGCGAATAAGGATATGAAGCGAGCGAGTACACACCTATCTGGCCGTAGGAAAGATGTGATTTGAGGAGGAAGGGGACCGAGCCGCTAGCCAGGCCCATGGGGATGCCTTGAAGGAAGTATAATAGGACCAGGAGCAGGAAGTTGCGCTTGTCTTGCTCGGGAAGGTCTGTGAAGCCTTTGGATGCGGCCTCGGGGTGAGGTGTCGGTGGAGGGGCATTATCGAGGGTGAAGGAGCTTCTGCTCATGAGGTTGGCCGTCATGGTGGCCGAGTCTGGCGATTCGAGCGAGGCATGCTTGCGCCGTTGTTCGAGCAGGTTTCCAGACATGTTGGCTTCGTCTTGGGTGGACGAGGCTGACGAGGGAGCAGAACCCGTCGCCCTGCTAGGTCTGCTGTTCGAGCCGTTTGCTTTCCTGGGCATCGGAGAAGGCGAATGTGCCAAATTGATGTCTACCGGGCGCGAGTGGTGAGAGTTGGCTATTCCTACGTCGATTGGCTGGGGTCTTCTGTTTTCTCGCGAGGTAAACGTGTCCAGGCGGATATCGTTCCGCAAGTTGTTATCGATATCGATATCCACAAGATGGGACCGGGGCTGCGGCTGAAATTGCTCGTTTGACAGCGTAGCAGACATGCACAATTCCTTTGCTGTAGAGTATGAATAACAATGTCTGATTCACGATGGTCTATGTACAAAAGATATGGCTCCCATATTTTTCTTGGACCAACTGCCTTCGTGAAACACATGCAGTGTAACGTGGCCCCTTGGTCCATGCTCCGCAGAGCCGCTGAACCTGCCAAGCCTTTCTGGAGACCTCGTCGATCTCTTGTGACAGGTCCTCGACTCCTCGTCCTGCCAGGCCAGCCCTTTGCTTGATAGACCTGTCACATCTGTTCTAGAAATCCTTCCTTCCCTGGATCCATCAAAATGTGCCCGAGGGGATTTATGTTTCTCTCCGGCTTCGTCTTGCGTCTTGTGACGGCGTCAGAGAGCTAGGTACCTCTGCATGACTCCATGAACTCAACACCATTGTGCATTGCTACCGCTACAAAATGTGACGGATGCTAGCACTTTCGAGAGTTGCAAGTCCCAGCTCTTGCCGCTGACAATTCCCGATGTTCGGTCATCTGTTTGGAGCACTATATGTCTGACCAATAACCTCACTTCGATATCCGCTGCGCGGTCGTCCGCATGCCTTTGCAGGGAACCTTCTGGATATCCAACCACCATTCATGTAGACATATCAAACACCGAATGGTTAAGTATCACGACTAAAGCTTCCTCTCGTCTTGACATTTCGCTTGTGGAGACTGTCAACGAGCCATTTACTGATTGTTGTTGTTATTGTGTGTGGTCCAATCCTTGTCTAGTGAAGCCATTCGACGAGAAGAGATTTGTACGTCCGGACTAGATCTCGTGAACGAATGGGCGAATCCACCAAAAGGAAGTGACGACAACCCCAATGCGCCGACACTCAACTCTGAATCTTATCTCCAACCACATCACGGAAGGCGCGACTTTCTGACATCCATCGTGTCTCTGGTCATGGCCGCCGAACCTCTCGATACTCACGTGTCGGATCATCTCTCTCAGGTGGGTTTGACCTCCACATGGATCGAGTTTGCCTAGCTGACCGCACAACAGCTACGCATTGCGCAGTCGACACTCACCATGCCCGCCAGCATCAAGCAGCCCACCCAGGGCGAAAAGGCAAAACCGACTCTCGAGACTCTTCCTCCTGAGATCAAAAACGAAATCTTTTCGCACCTCCTGCAAGGCGCCAAAGTCAAATACTCAACCGACGGATCATGGCCTGGCTACAAGTACAGGTTCGACGCCACCATCATGCGCACCAGCAAGCAAATGAATGAAGATGCCTCCGCATATCTTCACCGTCACAACGAGTTCGCTCTGATCCACTCCAAGTTCTTCGCTTTCGAGATTGACAAGAAGCGCTTCTTGCCCACTATTGCTACAGGAAAGGCTGCCGGCACGTTCGCTAAACCTGCAATCGAAGCCACTGTAACCCACCTGGGAACCGATAAGTGCTCATGCTGTAACCCCAAAAAGCACCAGGCCAAAGACAGGGTGACACATGCTCTGTTTCTGGTTGCTGATCTCGAACACTTCACGCGAGAGCTTCGCTTGACCTTTCACATGTGGCCCTCACAACCAATCTACATCCTTTCGGCACCCAACGTCTCTCCGGTCCAGCACATCCCAGTCAACGTTGATACCCAGGTCAAAATCGTCTGGAAGGTCAACCCAGCCTCACGCCAGGATCTGAATGATGTGGAGTCCAGGGCTCGTCACTCTCGACTGCTCGCGCCTCTCGACTTTCCGATGGGCTTCGGTAAGAAGATATCCATCCTCGGGTTCGGCACCGACGAAGCTCTCAAGATCACTGATCAGATCATGCCACGCATCCTATCTGTTGATGCTGCTGGCTGGGATCTATACTGTCTCATGAAGAGTCAAAAGGCCCATCTTGACAACGTTTTGTCACAGAACCCATCTTCACTTTCCAACTTGATCTGTTCTTACATGGACCTTGCTTGCCTGGGCCATCAACTCGAGATTCCAGGCCATTGGCACTACGCCTCTGTCGTGAGAACTGTCAACAACCACGGTGAGATTGTCAGTCTGTGCCTAATGCCTTTTGATGAGCTTGACGACGAAGAGTACGAGTCAGCCATCGCGGGTTCATGGCAGGTCGCTTTGCTTTGCCTGGTACTGGACTCTCTGTTCACAGTCGTGAGACTTGCTATGGAAGACGTCACCTTCAAGCATTTCCCAGACTGTATACAAATCATAACCGACATGATCACTCATATCTTTCGCGGCAAGAGTCCTTTCCCTAAACATTACATCTCTCTGTTGGGACATTATATGGTTTGGCTCATGCTCCATCAAGATCTAGACCGTGACCCTGATACCAGCACCCTCGGGGCGCGCGGTGTGGCACTGCTGGCAAACCTTAGAACATGCACGCCAGAGGAAGAGGAAACCGATGTTTATCGTCACCTGATCGAAGACCAGACCTTCCTGAGCAAGGTCGTCCTAGTAAGTCGATTTCCTATCTCTCTATGGACAACTACGGCAGAACAAAAACATCTTGCAGTGCTACAGCCATACGCGTGACAGCCTTTGACACACGAGAACGCCCGAATTGCCATCCCCTTACTAACAAATATCGACTCCCTAGGGCGAAGCTGAGGCTCTCAAGGAACATTTCGGTGCCTTCACAAACCCCTGCATCAATTTTCAAGGTCTACTCAACCGTCCACGCCTACACAAAACTCCATTCCAGCCGAAACCAGCACCCCACGACTTCCAAGGCTGGACCACAAAGCGACAGCCCAAACCAGAGGTCGCAGCCCACATGATCGATTACATGGACCGACTCGCAAACATGCCGATCTCTGAACGTTCTCCTGTACTCCGTGTGGAAGCGCTTGATCGTGGCCATGACCCTATCGCATTCCTCAACCTTCCCCGCGAGCCTGAGCCAGAGCCTGAACAGGATCTTTTCTCGGCTGCGATTCAGTCCGTGCTTCCTCCTGGTCTCATTCCTGCTGGTGCCACGGCTCACGTGAGCGTGGTCGCTATGCCCTGGTAGATGCTGTCTCACTGGACACAGCTCTGTTCTCGAAAACTTTGTGCATTTTTGCAAACGCTCACAAGCAGAGCACCGTTACGGTAAGTTCAATGCGAGATGAAGAAATGACAAAGGTACGACATCATGTCGTAAAGCGTTCAGTAGATGATAGAATACCAAAGTTGCATCGTCATACCTAGACTTCCCATCTGTGCTCCCCATGTGAGCTCTGTCACGCGTGTAGCTGTTGCATTGCACAACATCTTCCGAGCCAGAGTCGAGTCCAGTGAGAGCTTTGTCAGATACTTACCTCTGTATAGAACAAAGGCATACCACACTTCCCCAAAGTCAACGTCTCGAAAAACGACTACTAAAGTGTGACGGAGGTGAAAAAAGCCTACACACGATGAATGAGGCATTGCGTTTTGGTAGGAATCCATAAGATTGTATCGTCATATTTACATTTGCCAACCATGTCTTCTAGTGACATCTTACACCCCATCAGTCTAATCCAGACGACTGGCATGGTTACCAGGCCCCTTCGAAGCATCTTCCGGCTCCCAAGTAAAGAACTGCTCCTTCGCCGGAATACACTTCCTCAACGCAACACCATAATCACCCGCATTGGGCGTTCTGAGCAAAGTATGAATATGGAACTTGGCCGGCTGCTCGTTGTTCAAGAAAACACCCGAGTGATGATCAAACTCAATAATCACCACTGGATTCTGGATGCGGTAGTAGAAAGGGTCTTCAGGTCCATAACCACCTATCCAGCTGAAGTAGGTTTCTGAGGCGAAAGACATTGCCTGTTTGAGTTTTGCAGCGCGAGAGGAAGCGGGGAGGTAGAGGAAGTATTCCTCGATGATTTGTGAGACGAGGGACTGTTGATCCGAAGTCATGTCTTGCAGGGTGATGCCTTCGTAAGGGACGATACGGTTATCTCTGTATGCACCGCAGAGATGGCGTTGATCATCTCTGTTCCAGCGGCCTTCTGGCATTGCTGGGTCTTTCATCAACTTGTAGATTTGTGTCTTTTGCTGCAACTCTGGGCTGAGAGATTGCATGAGTTTGAGGCCGAGTTCTTCTTCGCGGGTTAGGATGCGGGTGCCCTTGTATGGACCCGAGTCGATTTCGTTGGGCTCGGCGCCGGTGAACCAGGGAGAAATGACAATTTGACGCTTGAAGAGGAAGATGTTTAGACACAGGTGGTGGCCGTAGAAAGACCAGCCCCAGGGTTCTGTGCTCGAGGGCTCGCCAAAGAGGACGAAGTTGTAACTAAACTCGTTCATAACTTTTGTGCCTTGGACCAATTCGCCGAGGAAGCCGTTGATTCGCATGGCCGAGATTGCTTTTTCGTAGCCCTCGGGGGAGAGAGTGGCTTTGAGTGTTGCAAGAATAGAGGAGCGGACTTGTTCTGATTGTTCGTCGAGGCGGAGGCCTTTGTGTGCAAGGAGGAATTCGGGGTTGGACCATGTTCGCCATTCAGGGCTGTCGATGTGGTAGCTGAGGACTTGTTTTTGCTCGTCGGTGACTTGGGAGAGAAGGGTCTGGGCGGATTTGACGATGTTGTCGATGTCGACGCCTTCGTCTTGGTAGTTGAACAGGCCTTCTCTAACGTTGCCTGAGAGTTCAATTAGTTATGGAAGGGAAGAAGGCTTGAAAAAGCTCACCGTCGCTTGTCACACCCTTGAAGGGCTCGGCAAGCAGAGAACGCCAGTACATGTACAAGGCATGAAGCCACGGTGGATTGTGCTTTGTCTTGAACTCGTGTGCGTACTCGTGTGCATCTTGCTGCTGCATGGCCTGGAATCTCGGCACATTGAGCTCCGGGAGGTGCTTGCGGTATTCGCCTGTAGGCTGGTTTTGCTGTGCCATGGTGACTGTATTCTGGCTGGGGTCGAATTGTTCAGAGAAGCATCAACACCCAGAAGAGCGAGAGAGAACAACTTGTATTGTCTTGTCAATGGCTCGGCTCTGGTCCATGGCACTTCTGCAACACTTCGGTTGCCCCACAATCTCCTCCCCACCACATCTCCACACTCGGAGTTACGCTCGCATATCGGCTTCCGTGATTTCTTACTGCACCACGCCACGCGTGCTGCTGAACATGCTTCTGTCATTCTGTACTCGTACACTGTCACGGCGCTGTGATCGAATAATCTCATGTCAACCCTGTCGAATAGAAAACATGAGTGAATCTTCTTGCATGCAGGCAACTTGAGAAGAGAGCTCGGCTTAGATTCGCTCGAGCTTTGGAATTGCCGAAATCAGTCCACGTGACCACGTGCTTCCCCCGAGTCGCATCGGCACGTCTGCCGGCGCAGTGTTTGTTTTTGCTTCTCGAATAAAGTGCATGCATTAACTATTCAAGCATGCGACTCCGACAGAGGTCGTAACAAACATGGATAATCTGGCCGCCGAGGTCGATCGTGTGGTCTTTACTCCATATCCTACGCAACTGAAGGTTGGTGATAAATCCGCACCAGATTCGCCACGAGGCCATACTAACAAATCACTGCCTGTAGTCGCTTCATGATATCGTTTCTCAGACTTCCGAGCCGAATGTGTGCCTTTGGGCAATTACTTATAAATGTCGAATTCCATCTTTGAGTCAAGCTCTTGTAGACGCATTACCACATTGGCCCTACGTTCTAGACATCATCACCCGCCTGTCTTGTGCTGTTGAAGTCAGAGACTCTCTTGTACAAAGAGAGCCCTCGTTGCTGCCCCGCCTTCTTACCCATGCTCTTGAGTCTCGAGTTGAAAGCAGAAAGGTACCACTTTCAGACACGAAATCTTCGCCGGGTGTCATCAGACTGACTTGTGCACAGTATGTGGACGCTTCTGTGGCTCTTCTATCTCATCCGTTGCCTTCTGGTGTGGCTCTCCCAGCTACTGCTCAAAACTTCTTGCTCCAGCTTTTCGATCGTGCTGCCGCGCAACCAACCGCTACGACTGTTCAACAGATACATCGCCTAGTCTATGGAGCTTGCAAACCGATTCTCGGTATCCTCACCCCAGGTGTCTTGGCTCATCTGGAGGAATACATCTTTTCGATCTTGAAAAGCTCTTCGGGTGTTGAGGATCAGTCTTTGGGCATGTACTGTCTTGCTATCATGAGGATGATCCTTGAGAAGTTCCAGACAGAAGTCGGAAGCGATGGTCTCTGGCCCACCTTCGAGCACTCTGTCGAGTCTACTAACTCTCAGTGGACACCCGACGCTATCAAGCAGTTCTTCCATGGTAACAAGACTCACAAGACCATGCAGCTGCTGGTCTTACGAGTCATCTGGGCTTGCAGACCAGAATCGGCAGATCCAAGCGGGCAAGGTCTTATTAGTGTCACTCTTGTCAACCAGATTCTTGCTGGTGTGTCCCAATCTGCCGTGATTGAATGGTCTCACAAGAACGCGGTCATTGTGCGAAAGCTGCAAGAGAAGTGTCTTGTGCCTGACATGCTCCCTGCTCTTCGCTTCCAAGTTTTGACCTTCCTGAGTTCACTTTCCGATAAAGTCGTACTGCCGTCTCAAGCAACGCTTTTCTACGAGCGATCGTTGCTGGATTTGAGCGCCGCTTTTCTCAAGAACGATCATCTCGACATGTCGCTCCGCCTCTCGCTTTGCCGTCTATCGTCTAAATTCAAGCCTGAGTGGTGGGGGGAACTGTTGGACAAGGTCATGGGCTTGTTGACGGAGTCGCCAGCGGCCACACTTTTCAACTCAGCCAACAGCTACGTCTCGTTTCTCGGACACATTGCTGATATGGTCGAAGATAACGAGTCGTGCCGCCGTGGTATACTAGCTACTCTCCATTCGGGCCATAACCGTCAGAAGCTAGAGTACTTCTTCGCCGACCTAGAGACACTGCCCGAGATAGATACTGGACACGGCACGAACAGATTCTGTATGGCCTCATACACGACTTTGAGGAGCAAGCTGAAGTCGTCACTCTGCTCTCTACTACTTCGAGCGGCTTTGGCTGCTCCACAAGAAGAAACTTCCTCGATACGCAGGATGCTTCCTGAGGTTCTTCGCCATCATGCAGTAGTTGAGGCAGGCAAATCGGTCTGCTCCATCTGCGTTCAGACACGTCTGACAGCGCCACAAAATCCAACACCTTTCGTGGAGATTGAAGCCACACCCGAGTCTCAAGACGCAAGTCTGCATTGGAAAGAACGTTTGGGTGCAGTAATGCAGACACATGCCAAGTACCAGGAAACATCCTTGGTCGCCTCTTTCATCAACATCTGTCATGATCTGGAAGCTCGATGCGAGGGTGTGGAAGAGCCGCTGAGGCTAGAGCGCCAAAAGTTCACGGGTCTGGAGAAGCGATACGCAGATCTTAACAAGGCCTACGGAGAGCTCGAGGGTCAAGTCATGGATAGAGACCTGCGCATCAGCGCCCTTGAAGCAGAAACCGATCGCCACGAGCATGAATTGGCGGCTTCGTCCCAGGAATCTCGCGAGTTAATGGAACGAATTGACAGAATTACTAGAGAGCTTCAAGACGCCAACTATAACGCTGAGCAAGACATCAACAAACTGAAGCAGGAGAAGCAAGACTCGGAAGTCCAGCATGCTACCGCAATTGCCTGTAAGCAGGAGGCATTCGAACAAGTGCGGGAACAACTTCACCAGGCCAGATCGGATGCTGAAAATCTGCGTTCGGAACTCGGCAACACTATGGAGTCGAGAAAGCATGACAACACCGAATACGAAAGATTGGAATCAGAGAGGCAACGTATCGAACAGCAGCTTCTGGAGAGTCAAACCCGAATTCTACAGGTCGAGGAAGAGCGAACTACATTACTTGAAGGTCACAGTTTGCTCGAGCAAGACATTCTCAAGCTTCAACAGGATATCAGTGCACGTCAACTGCAGTATGATGAGCTACTTGCTGAGATTCAGACCATCAAGCAACATTCGGAAGACGAGGCCAAGAAAGCAGCCACAAACTTTGAAGACGTCATGTCAAGGACGAAGCAAGAATGGCTAAGCATGAAAAATCATCTTGAGGAGCAGTTGGAAGAAGCTCGACAAGACCTCGCCGAGGCAGAAGATGGCTTCCAACAGCAACACGAAACAAACAAGCAAAAGACCTCCGAGCTTCGAAAGCGTATCGAGCGTTTGACGAAAGAGTGCACAAAGAAGGACGCCCAAGTTCTGGAAGCACAGGAGATGAGGAACAGGTTGATGAATGCCATGGGTCTCACCGGCATGATGGCTCCACCTCCAGAGCCAACAGTAAAGTCGTCAGTATTGCCAGTGCGATCTGCTTCGACCCATTCGGCCACACCACGAACCTCGTTACCATCACAAGTGCCATTTACCCCTGCACCCGGAACACAACATTCGGATGATGAGGCTGAAGATGAAGAACCAAATAGTACGTTCATGTCTGACGCCTCTGCAGATCATGGTCCTACTCCGAAAAGGGCGAGACCACGTCCTTCCCTAAAGCCAACAAATACGCAAGAGAAGAGGACGAGTATCGCACCAAGATCTGCGAGAGCTATCATGCGAACAAAGAGTGCTATTAAGAGGCAGCCTCTGCAAGATATGCCAACCAATCGATCACCTATCCGCGCGAGATCACCAAGTAAGGTTGCGTTTCACGATCTTCAGACTCCCGGATTTGGAGTTGGTACAGCAGAGAGGCGCGAACTAGAAGACTGGTCTTTCTCAGCAGATCACATAATGACTGGTACGCCAGGCGCGGGTCTGAATAACAGGCGAGAGGATGGATTGGACGAAAGTACTGCGGATATTTAGTTTAGGCGTGGTCGCTATTCATGAAGCCTGAATGTCCACAAGAGATCAACTCTTCTATACTTTAACTCATGATACGCTGATTGTCAGAGGTACCGAGACATGTGCCTTTTGATTTCGATACTGCTAAGCGAGGACAGGTGCATGTATGCAGGCCAAGACGCATGGCTCTGCATGCAGGGAGCAGATCAGCGGCACTGGGCATTGTTACTCTTCTTCACTCTCATCCAACACAATCATGAGCAACGACAAACATGACAGACTGAATACTTCACAACACAAGTCTCCTCATATCAGGCCTCTACGAATGGTTGTTCAAGCAGTGACGGTAGTAACAAGATATGAGCCAGTCAGTGAAATGGCAGGCAGCAAACGCAAGCAAAGCAGGTACCCGTGAAATCAGGATTTAGGCCGAACGCGCATGTCGCAAACACCCGGATGGAGATATACGGAGTATTATCTATCACTTGTTTCGATGCATCAGCATTGCGCCGTCGAGTTTGAGTGATGACCCGCATGGTTGGTAAACAAGATGCGCAGGGTAGGCGCGTCCTTGCTGGCGCTTGACTTAACTTGTCTGTTGTTTGTGTGACGTGCTCTTCCCTCCTTGGGTACAGATTCAGCTTCAATATCGTACCTTCTGAGAACGTAATAACTTACAGTGGAAAGCGCTCACTGTTTTAGTGCTTTGTCACCAACATTCCTCGTCCACGCCCAAGCTGTCGGACCATCTCAACTTTGCTATCACACGGCCATTGCTACATTGGTCGGTCCTAGCACTCCAAACCCTGTGAAAAAGCGCAAACACTCTTGCAGCACTTACCAGTTCTCTCGCCTCTCTAACACACTATCACATCCATCACATCCCTCCTCTCAGCGGCACCAGCATCAACACAGCATTGCATCTTGCCTCTTGACAGCTATCATGGCTACCAACGCTGGAGCTGGAGACAGCTCGCAGTCAAAGAAGGACATACTACGCAAACAAGCTCCTCATCACCGTCTTACTCAAGAGAACCGCCCTCCGTGCCTTCCTCATCCGACTATCACTTCATCTCCCTCATACAGCAGTCAATCACTCTCTCACCCTCCTAAGCCCTCACTCTCTGTCACTGCCAATCAACCACGGCCACGTCTTCCTCATCCAGGCATGCAGCAGAGATCCTCACCGGTCCCCAGCACCTCAGGCGGACACGGAAGGGCGGGTAAGAACGACTACTACAACGGCAAACCACTGCCACCTCGAGAGACCGTCGATTACAACGAGAATGGCATTGCCACTTCTCGCCGTAAGGCTCCAGCACACATGCAAGCAGCTCGTTCTCCGCCTCGGATCACACCTCAGCAGACCTCTATGGTTCGCAACAAGCATCAAGGCATGAGGGTTAGTCGAAAGCCAAACCCTTGGGAATGGACCTGGGTCAACATTGGTAACATCCCATCAACACGCTGCAATGCAATTGGCCTGCATCGTATACTATTCGAGTTTGGTCATGTCTCCCACATCAACTGTACCGGACCGAACACAGCCAATGTTCTCTTCACGTTCTACCGTCCCGCGCTGTTCAACAGCCGAATCATAAGCGACGATCGCGTACTATTTTTGGAGGCCTCTGAGAACAAGATCGAGTTGATGCCGTCTCCGGCAGACCCCAAAAAGCAGATCAATCAGAAGACCTCTGTTCCTGTTGATCAGATCGAATTCGGTGTCATGACTGATGAGCATCGCATGATGGTCATGCATACAATCTCCAGCAGCACGCGTCATCCAGCAGTGCTCTTGCTTGATCTGTATGGTGATACCAGGCACTGCCTTGATTTCCGTTTCTTTCTGACGAGTGAGCCAGAGGCACCATGGTATCGTGCCGAACTTCGTCTGAGTTCGCCTCTCGAGATCAAACAAACCCAACATGACGACGGCCACAAGGAACTAATAATCACCTCCCAGTTTCCTCCAAAGTGGTGGCAGAGCGTGGGACGGGACCTACTCATGGAAATCCACGATAAGAGCCGCGACCGCCACAAATACAATGAGTGGCCTTTCGGTTGGCGTCGCGTGACAGACATCGACCTGAATCCGCAGGAGCGCGACCTGAATCCTGTGTCGTTTCTACCTCCGAGTCCCGTGATCGACACAGGTCGCTGGCTCACTTGGAAGTTGAAGTTCCCGGCACACATGGATGAAGTTGCTTACAACACAATCATCGAAGTCGTGGAAGGCCACAATTCGATTGTTCGAAAGCAGAACGCTGCCGACTTCGTCACTGTCCCACGAGAAGACCCCGTCGTCTGGGATCTGCTCGACCCACACCGAGCCTCTCACGAATCTGATCTTCACGAGATGCAAGATGAAATGATGCACCTTGGTCAAGACATTCGCTACCAACTCGAGGTCTGCATCTCCAACAACAACATCGTTGAGAACACATTGACCAGGCAATTCCTCTTCGAGCTCAGTGCCTTGGACAGAGATTTTGTTCGCGATTTCAACAACCCTTCTTTCATATCACCAGCTCTCACTCTTCTCGAGAATGTGGCAGATTCCAAGCGTACCTTCTTCAACCCTATGAACATCTTCAATACTGCCGAACTTCGTCGTCCTCGTAAGCGCCGTCTGCCCAAGGGGTGTGTGTTGATGAGAACGGCTGTCATCACTCCTACCACTTTCTACGTCAAGACCCCATCTGTAGAAGTATCCAACCGTGTCATCAGAGACAACTTCTTCGCTGTGGGAAACTTTTTGCGCGTCAAGTTCGAAGATGAGGACACGTTTGGAGGCCTCAGCCCTATCGCGTACTACGACAATCAGCACGAGGTTTGGGCTCGCATTGAGCGCTGTTTCCGTCATGGAATTGACATCGCTGGTCGCCACTACGACTGGCTTGCGTGTGGCAATTCCCAATTCCGCGAGAGAGGAGCCTACTTCTTTACACCTTACAGTGAGGAGAAGACTGCACGCAACATTCGCACCGCCCTCGGAGATTTCTCTAGCATCAATATCGTCGCCAAATGTATGGCCCGCATCGGTCAATGTTTCTCCACGACCAGAGCTTCAACCAATATCGGCACAGTCGAACAACGCTCAATCAAGGACATCGAGAGAAACGGTTATTGTTTCACAGATGGTGTTGGCAAAGTCTCTCCCTTCGTTGCTCAGATGGTTGCAAATGAGCTCTACACTCGCTGCGGTTCTCAAGACTACCCATCTGCCTTCCAGTTTCGCTTGGGTGGCTTCAAAGGCATCCTTGTGGTAGACCCTGCCTTGAAGGGCAAAAAGGTTTTACTCCGACCTAGTCAATGCAAGTTTGATGCACCAGCCGTGGGACTCGAGATCATCAAGCCCTCAAAATTCTCCTCGTCGACTCTCAATCAGCAGATCATTCTCGTTCTCACTGGTCTAGGAGTTCCCAAGCAAGTCTTTCTTGACAAGATGACCAAAGAACTCCAGGATATCGATCTCGCAATGAGCGATGAGACCAAGGCTCTGAAGATGTTACAGAAGAACATTGATTTCAACCAAGTGACCCTCACTATGGCAGGTATGATCCTCGATGGATTTATGCACTCTGATGAGCCAATGTGTCAGGTACTCTTGAAGCTCTGGCGTACCTGGAATTTGAAGTATCTCAAGGAGAAAGCAAAGCTGTTTATCGAGAAGGGTGCATTTGTTCTGGGTTGTGTCGATGAGACAAACACGCTCAGAATGGACCCCGGTGAGCTTCCCGAGATATTCATCCAAGTACCTGGCGAGAATGAGGGCGAGTGGAAGACGGCTGAAGGTGTCTGTTTGCTTGCGCGTAACCCCTCTCTGCACCCAGGCGATATTCGTGTGGTCAGAGCCGTTCAATGTCATGCTCTGAAGCATCTCAAGAACGTTGTTGTTCTACCACAGCAAGGAGAAAGACCGCTTGCCAATATGTGTTCTGGTGGAGACTTGGATGGCGATGACTACCTTGTCATGTGGGATGACGATCTACTGCCACCAAAGTCGCAGTGGGACCACCCTGCAATGAACTACGACGCACCCACACCTGTCATGTGCGCTGGAGCCGTACAAGACGAGCAGTTCGTCAAATTCTTCGTCGATTACATCAAGAACGACAATCTTGGACAAATAGCTACCAACCATCGTGCCACAGCAGACCGAGAGGCCGCCAATGGCGGAGTAAAGGAAGAGAAATGTCTTGCTTTGGCCCAGCTCCATTCACAAGCAGTTGACTTCAACAAGACGGGTGTTCCTGCCATCATGGACCGAATTCTCTGGCCGCAAAGATACCCTCACTGGATTCCTGGAAAGGCTCTCAAGCGCCAATATCACTCCTATGGGGTGCTTGGGGGTCTGTACGACCAGGTCGTGCCCGAGAAGTTTGTACCCGATTACGACAAACCTTTCGACAGCCGTGTCTTGAACGCGTATGTCTTGACCGAAGACATGTTGCAAAAGGCCAAGGAGTTCAAGGTCGGATATGATCAACAAATGCGCCGTGTTATGGCCCAACACAGCATTCAAACCGAGTTTGAAGTCTTCACAGCATTTGTCATGGACCACAACAGAGAGAAACATTGGTATTCTCTCGCAGAAGATCTCGGTAACTTAATGAGCAGTATCAAGGCCGACTATCAGGCTGAAGTGAGAGAGCATCTTGGACTGATCGACTCTGGCTACATGGTGTCAGAGAAGGCATTCGACATACTCGGACCTTTCGTTGCTGCCATGTACACCGTCACTGCACAAGAGGTGGCCCAGTGGAAGGATAGTAGGCTGGTGTCGGTTGACGGAGACACTAGCAACGCTCCCTTCATCACCTACCCCTGGCTGTTCAGCAAGGAGATGGGAATGATTGCTGTCAAGAAGTCTGGGCCTTCCTCGCTACGAGCTATGTTTGCTCCCAACGGCGAGATCAGACAGCGAGCGCCACTCATGAAGACTAACTACAAGACAGAGCTTTCTGGCATCAGGCTGGAGCCCTTGGCAGAGTGGAAGCCTGAACATGGTATGGGTGTGGGTGACCACGTGGGGACTACGGCTTTTGATATTGCAGCAGTCGAAGATTCAGATGAGATCACTGATGCCTCTGTCGGAGCCAACGATGACTGTCCAGCATCTACAAGATCCAACTCTGCCCAGGAATCATACTCTGAAGAAAGCAGTGAGGAGATCACCATCGACGCAGACGTCGAAGAAGTTTGTGACGACGATGACAACAGCAGTAGCGACCAAAGCCACGACATGATGGCTGAGCAGGCCGAAGAGGCAGGACCAGATGAGGCAGGAACAGAAGAGGCAGGAGCGGAGGAAGCCGAGGCCGAGGTTGAGATTGAGACGGCATACGATCGTTTGATGGCCATGATGGCTTGAAGTGAACACAGCATGAAATTGGCAGTGTTGAAAATTGTAGATTAGCATACCAGTATATCCCAAATTGAGATCAATCGTGCATTACACACATGATCCCACTTGACGCGATGCACTGTATTATTGACATGTACATCTCCGTCCAAAGAGAGCTCAATGCAGATGGGCTCTCGGTGGATGGCTTCATCGATGCACAATGTATCGTGCATTGCTGCAGTCGTAGTCGAGAGCTTTACGACGACAGAGAGTGCTTCTTGATGTATGATGAGACGAGCCAGATGTGATGTTTCTGATATTGAGTGCTTGCGACGTGTGAGATTGATATTCCCAGTGACCAATCTGTCCGGATTTGTAGATCTTCTGGCACTCTATGGGATAGACCTATCCAACACTAGCCTCGCCCCTCTCAAAAACCTTGACACCACCATCATTCTGCACAAAATAGAGCGCCTCCAATTCCTTCTTCTCCTGCCCCTTCACCTCTTCCTCCTCTTCCACATCATCATCCCAAGCACCACCTCTGGCCACTCTAATCACACCACTGACATCTCTTGCTTTTCCCGTATCCAGTGGTCGTAAGCTCAGCACCCACTTACTGATATGCGCTTGTTGAACCACGAAGGCGGCGTGTGCTGCTTCCAGTGGTGTGGGAAGATGTGAAGGGTCTGGAAGGGCGGCGGAGAGGAAAGGGGTGTCGGATTCGAGGATTAGTGTTGTGGTGGATACAAGACTGCGGAGGGAGAGGAGGAGGCTGGAGAGGGCGGAGGCGGATGGTGAGGCGGATGTGGAGAGGAGGAGGGTTGGTGAGTCGAGGATTAGGTGAATTTTGCGTTGTGGGTGTTTGGCGAGGAGGTCCGAGATGGTTTTTGAGAGTGTGGTGTATGTGGAGGCGAGGGAGGAGTCTCTGAGGTGGGTTGTATTTATCGGTTGAGTGGATTGCAGTTGCGAGGTTGGTTGGGTAGGTTGTTGTGGTTGTGCTACTTGTGGCTGCGAAGGTGCAGATCCAGGAGGACCTCTGGAAGGTACTGGGCCTCGAGATGGCAGTGGACCGCCTCTATTCGGAATCGGCGAGGCAGGTGTGTTTCTGACAGGGAGACTCCTCTGGGTCGGTGACGGTGCTGCTGGTGAAGGTGTGGCTGCAGTGTTTGAAGTTGCGACCGGGAACAAATGCGTCAAGCCATCTACAAAGACGAATTTATCTTGTTGTGCCAGACGTGCGAGATCAATGCCCTGTTTTCGTTATATTAGCATATTGTCTTTCTCTCGGTTCTTGATCATGAGTGGTGTCGTACAGCGCCTCTTCTAGCCTCACTCTTCCAAAATTCCCAATCGCGTAACCATGATACAAGTATCACACTGACATCCTGCTCTTCTGGTGACTCGGTTTCTTCGGAAGGTGTGTATGCGCTACGTAGCAGGCGAGTGACAAGCCATTGAGGTGATGAGTCGAGTACGCCGGTCAAGAGCAGTTGCGATGCTTCCGAGGGAAGGCGGAGGTATGGTTCCAAGAGCGGTGGTGTGCGATTACGTGTGCTCATTGTCGCGGTAGAATTTACAAAGAGGTCGAGGGTAGCACCGACAATTATCTTTCGTTGCTGATCAAGTCGCAACTTTTCAGTGGTATGGCGGGGTCTTGGTGGTGACGTTGGCGCACTTTTTCTGAAGCTTCAATCACGGATTTGGCTTGTGATTCTTGGCGAAATTATTAACAAAAGATATAGAAGGACGATCACGTCAGAATTGGAACTGGAGACACTTTTCTTAGTGGTGAACATGTGCAAATGGAAGGTTTCTTATTCGATTGCAAGAGTCTGCGCTTGATTTGAATTTGACCTTGAGATGTGTATGCTCGACTATCGGCATACCATCTCTCACCCGCGCTGCGTGAGACTTGGTGAGTGCGAGGGCCTGTGATGACTTCTCGGAAGCTGTATGTACTGTATCGCTGGACGTGGCAGCGAAGCTTCTTCTGAGCCCAACTCCTCCTACGGCTGTATCATCTGCTTCGTGCCGTGAATCCTTGGAGACCTGGCGCGATATGTCGGCCGAAAAAGAGCCCTGGTTCGCGGAGCATGTAGTGTGAGGCCAGCAGGCGCGAAGAGGCTGCTACCGAAGCAGCAGGCATTTGTTGATCATAACCTTGATCCATGGATCGGAGCTCAAACGGTCTTCACAAGCTTGTTGACAAGCTTCTTCTGTGCCTGAAGATCCAGATTCTTCTCGTCTGTTTCTGTCAAGCATCTTCCGATAGCGACAGTCTCGGCGAGGGTCGAGCTGTCCACCCAGACCTTTCCGTTTCTTCCGACAGCAACTTCGAATCTGACCTTCTCGCCAATCTCTTCCAGCAGAACGACACCACCCTTTCCAGCACCCATCATCAAGCGGCGAGCAAAGGCAGGCGAAACATCGAAGAGCATGCCGGCTTTGAGCGGACCGAGACCGTCAGACTTTCCAGTAGAAGGGTTGACACATTCGATCTCGACGTCGCTCCACTTGTCGGCTTTGGAAACGCGAGCATAAACAAGAGCTCCCTGGGTGAGTTGGGGTCTGGTCTTCTTGGTGGCACCTTCAAAGGCGAGCTGGCCGAGCAAGACGGAAGGCGTATGCGGCGTCAAAGTGCAGTGGTATGTGTCAGCAGATGAGCGTTGGACAGTGGCGACAACGAGATCGCCAGTGTGAGGTAGGTAGCGGCCTCCAAGATTCTCAATCCAGATGGCATTCTTCTTGGAATCGGTGCATAGTTCTCCGGCTTGAGTTGCGACAATCGTGACAGGCGGGATGTGTCGCAGTCCAGGACCCAGAGTTAACGTGCGGCTGGTGTTTTGGGAAGGCAGCTGATCAGCCGTCAGCTCCTGGCCGGGCAATACGATTACAGACATGGTTGGGTTGTGATTTTGTTCTTGCGACGATGACGAAGGGAAGAGCAAAGAAACTAAAGATGATGCCAAGAAGCAGGGTTACCTTGATCAAATTGATAAGATGCAGATCTGCAGCCAATGAGGGACGCTCCTTGTCGGCCAAAATTCTGGCGTTTTCCCATCTTTCTTTGCAATTGCATAACTTCAATCAAGATCAAAAAGTTCCGCCCTTATACTTGTCGCCTTCTAATCTGCTTTTGCGACAACTCGAATTTCAGTCTTTTCCACCGTTTTCACCACACATCACATTCAGAATGAGCGCCGAGGGCGAGACCGCACCCAAGGTTGCCATTGGTATCTCCTTTGGTAACTCTTACAGCTCCATCGCCTACACCTCCGGCGAGGCCAAGGCTGAGGTTATTGCCAACGAGCTTGGTGACCGCCAAATTCCCACCGTTCTCTCATACGTCGATGGCGAGGAGTTCCAGGGTACCGAGGCCAAGTCGCAGCTCGTTCGCAACCCCAAGAACACTGTCGCATACTTCAGAGACTTCCTCGGCAAGGAGTACGTCAATGACCCATTCGAGTCCTTCTCGAGAAGCCAGTACTAACAATTCCCAGCTTCAAGTCAATAGACCCCACCAACTGCCACGCCTCTGCCCACCCCGTTGACGCCGAGAACACCATCGCTTTCCAGATCAAGGACACCGAGGCCGACCAGCAAAACACCCGCACAATTCACGAGATCACCGTCCGTCACCTCCGCCGTCTCGCTTCCTCCGCTACCGACTACCTCGGTAAGAAGGTCAACGCTGCCATTATCACCATTCCCTCAGACTTCACCGATGCTCAGAAGGACGCCCTGAACAAGGCCGCCACCGAGGCTGGTCTTGAGATTCTCCAGTTCATCACCGAGCCCGTCGCTGCTCTCCTTGCCCACGATGCCAAGAACAACGAGGAGTCGACCAAGGACAAGAACGTTGTTGTTGCCGACATTGGTGGTACCCGTACCGACATTGCCATTGTTGCCTCGCGCGGTGGTATGTACACCGTCCTGGCCACTGCCCACGACTACGAGCTCGGCGGTGCTCAGCTCGACGCTGCCCTGATCGACTACGCCGCAAAGGAGTTCCAGAAGAAGAACAAGACCGACCCCCGTACCAACGAGCGCTCGCTCGCCAAGCTGAAGCTCGAGGCTGAGGCTGTCAAGAAGAGCTTGTCTCTCGGTGCCTCTGCTGCCTTCAGCATTGAGTCGCTTTCCGATGGTATTGACTTCAGCTTGACCGTCAACCGTACCAGATACGAGCTCCTCGCTGGTAAGGTCTTCGGCTCTTTCACCCGCCTGATCGAGTCTGCCGTTCAGAAGGCCGGTCTCGACAACCTCGAGATTGACGAGATTCTCCTTTCCGGTGGTACTTCTCACACCCCCAAGATTGCCAGCAACGTGCAATCCGTCTTCTCCGAGTCTACCATCATCGCTCCTTCCACCAACCCCGCCGCCGTCAACCCCAGCGAGCTTACCGTTCGTGGTGCTGCCATCCAGGCCAGCTTGATCAGCGAGTTCGAGAAGGAGGACGTTGAGCAGAGCACCCACCCCGCTGTTACCGTCGCCCCTCACCTCGCCAAGGCCATTGGTGTTCTTGTCGGCGACAACGAGTTCGTTACTCTCATCGACGCCAACACTGCCGTCCCCGTCCGCCGCACCGCTCAGCTCAACGCCGCTGAGGGCGATGTTCTTGTCAAGCTCTGCGAGGGTGTCAGCGAGATCAAGGTCACCAAGGAGGAGCCTGCACCCAAGGCCGAGGCCAACGGTGATGATGAGGACTCTGACGATGACAGCGACGACGAGCCCGAGGAGACCCGCGAGAAGGTCTGGAAGGCCGGTGAGGTCATCGCCGAGGCCGCCGTCAAGGATGTCAAGAAGGGCAGCAAGGTCGAGGTCCAGATCAATGTCAATGCCGATCTCTCAGTGCAAGTCATCGTCCGCGAGGTCGGTTCCAAGACCGGTGTCCGCGGTACCATTGAGGCCAGCGCATGAAGAGTCAACACCCCTCCCATTTCGCCCCCTCTTACGCCTCAGATGAGCCGTCCTGCCACTCCCACAGACGCTCCTCCTGCTTCGCCCGCTGCTTCAGTCAGCGTACCAGCTCCGCAACCCTATCCTATGACTTTTTTTGAACGGTTCTGTTTTGCATAGATGAAATGAATGGTGGTCTCTATTTCCTGTCTTTCTACTGGGGTATCTCTGGAGTTATTAAAAGCACGAATAGAAGAATTACAAAAAGCATAGCGGATGTGTTTTTTTCATTCCTCCTGATTTCTCATCTCTCTCCCGAGCCAATTTGTTGTGCTGTTTTGCTGACTCTATACAAAGACCCATTCGTCCTCGTCCTCATCACCACCGCCACCGAGGTCAATGTCGACGAACTCCTCAACGGGATCCATCTGCTTCTCGGCCTCCTTGCCAGCCTTCTGCTTCTTGTTGAACAGCTCGACGGCACCTCTGACAGTCATCGTGCTGTCGAACTTGGAGAAGTAGGTGCCGCCGAGCTCCTCCTTGAACTTGCTGATGAAGGGGGGCTCACCCCTTTGCTTGATGGGACCCGCGAAGTCCTTGATCTCGCGCCTGTAAACCACATCAAATTGTCAACGGATGCAAAGCAACGACTACGATGTCAAAGGTTTACTTACGGGAGAAGAGTAGCCTTTGTGGCCATCTCGGCGAGGACCTCGGTGTAGGCCTCGGCCACCTTGTCGTCGAGACGAGGGTTCGGCGGAAGACATCTGTGCGTTGTTTCTGGTACAAAGGTTAGTACATGCTGCACGAGAAACAACGAATAGGAGGCATACGTTTGATGTCGAACAAGAGGGTTTGGTGATGGACTTACAGGGGAAGAAGAGGTTTTGCGAGGTGATTCCGCGCTGGCGCAAGGTGAGCGAGACTCGGGGTAGGAGGTGGGAGTGCGGTTAGGGTCGTAGTAGCTCGGGGTCGACGGTATGGGTCAGTCGTCGTTGCCTGATCGTGTATCGTGTGCTAGGCTTCACGTTCGACGTTGCAGCGCTTCATGGAGTCGTCGGTCTCCTTATTCTGGTCATGAAACATACATGAGCCTGATGGCAATTGCAGCAGGGTTAGCATACAGCTAATGGATCTCCAGACTCGCAGTACCCTGCTGTATATCTATCAAAAGGCAAGTAGCTTTCGTGAATGCTCAATTGGTCCAAAGAGGGTTCATGAAAACGCTGCTCTCACTGGACCACTCGCCAATCCTGAAAAGAAACTTGCATTTTGACATGCTATTCGACTGGGCTTCCTCTATCTGGGATGGGTCTGAAGAAATTATAACCTTGCAGGATATTCCAGCAGGGTTGTCATACTGAAGCGGTATCCCCTTCCCTCAAGAGGTACTGTAATAATCACTGTCAAAATGCAACAAGCTTTTCGAATTGATCACAATGTCCAAAGAGAGTCCGGAAAGAAGCTACCTTCTCTGGCCAACCTCCTGTTTCCGAAAAACATCTTGCATTCCTACAACCTGATTCAATGGGCCACCGTCTGACTGAGATAGCACTTCAAGCATAAGGCAGGAACGAGCCATTTATACACATCCACAACCCCACCAAGCCCGCCATAAAAATCAATGCACAACCCACCAACGAAATCTCGACAATTCAAAAATTGTTTTCCCCACAACCAGCACCTCTTAGACTTATTTCTTAGTAGTGGTATGCACACAAAAGAAGCAAAAGGAAATGTTGATGAGAAGGGGATTCGAACCCCTGCCCTTTCGGACCAGCGTATTGGATTAACCTTAAGCTGGCGCCTTAGACCGCTCGGCCATCTCACCATTTGATGTTAGTGGTGAGACTGTATAGGAATATTATTTTTTAATCGAGACATGGCGGGAAGCAGCGATGGTGAGGGCATCTCGTGCAGAAGTGCGTGTCGGAGTGGGAATGGTAGAAGCAAAGTGGTTGATCTTGTGATAGCAAGGATTGTCAATTCAATTAGAGACTATTGTCTTTGCGCCACTTTCTGCAAGGATCCAGGCAAGAAATATTGATGTTAACTCCATGAGCTGGAAATGTCGATTCAAAAACTCAAATTTCACCATATTCGACCAACAGCACACTGGTTTGAGACGAACTCTTGCTGACATAGTACCGGCCATTGGTCATTGTGCTTGAATCAAACAAACATGACCAATTGCAATTGTGGAAGCCGTGGCATCGAGATGAGTTGCAAAATGTATGGTCGAGCATGTCACCCTGGCTGCATGGTATAGATGCCCATTGTGTTTTTTGTTGACGAAACAACTTTTCGACTTTTGACAACTCGCACGGCGAGCAGATAGTCCCATGATCAAAGAAAATGCTCAGGGTAATATGGCGGAGAACCTACTGGCACCGATGTTGCTCTCTAAACTCAAAAGGTGCGTAGCCACAAAGGAGGAAGCTTACAGGAAGACAGTCGCCGCCACACACGAAACAAGGATGACAAGGTATGGGAAAGGCAGTGTAGTTTTCTGTGCAAGGTAATCATGTGCCTGCTGTAAAGCAGTAGTGTAGCTAAAAGAGACATCTCGGGCCCAGCCCTCTTTGTGATATCATTCCCATCGTGATCCGCCATGCATGAGTATAGAACCACTGAAACCATCAGATGCCGCCGAAAGAAATCACAGCCTTTGTGAAACGCCTCCTATATACCCGCCATGAAACGCCATGAAAATGCGCGAAGTCGCTGGTAGAAAAGAAGAACGCCGCGCTGAGATGCGAGAAACATCAAGGTTGGTTGTTTACCAAAGGGTGTAACCACCATCGATGAGGCAGTTGTTGCCAGTCATGTAGCTTGAACCAGGCGAGGCGAGGTAGACGGCAAGGTTGTTGAGGTCATCAACAGCACCGAGACGCTTCTGGGGAGTGTTGTCCATCCAAATACGCTTCTGGGCGTCAAGAGCGGGAACACGGTTGAGGGCGGTGTCCATGTAACCGGGAGAGATGGAGTTGACACGGATGTTGTGGCGTGCCCACTCAGCAGCAAGAGACTTGGTCAGCTGGATGACGGCAGCCTTGGAGGCATTGTAGCATGACTGTTCCTGAGGGTAGTTGACGATGCTACCAGACATCGAAGCGATGTTGATGATTGAACCACCGTTCTGGGCCTTGATCATCTGCTGACCGACGGCCTGGGCAACAAGGAAAGTGCCGGTGATGTTGATGTCGAGAAGACGACGGAACATGTTCTCAGGGTAGGTCTCAGCCTTGACGTTGGAGCTGGGAAGTGTTAGCACAGGTGAAGATAGGTGTGAAGGAAGACAACTTACTCGGCAATACCAGCGGCGTTGATGAGAATGTCGATTCTGCCGTAGTGAGTGGCAACATCCTGGACAGCCTGCTGAATCGCAGCCTTGTCACGGACATCGACCTTGTAGAAGCGGACGTCGACACCAGTCTGAGCGGAGAGGTGCTGAGCGGACTTCTCGCCGAGCTCCTGCTGAACATCAAAGATGGCAATGCCCTTGACGCCAACCTCGGAGAGGGCCTGAGCCATGTTGTAACCGAGTCCGCGGCCACCGCTGTGATAAGTATTAGTCAAATGTGAAGTGAACAGGAAGGGAGATGGAATCTTACCCGGTAATAGCGGCGACTTTCCCGAACAGGGTGAACTTCTGCATGGTGGGCGAGAGCTTGTCGAAGAGTTCGTGCTTCAGAGGCTGAGCAGCGACCTCGATGTCTTGGCCGGGAGGGGTGACGGGCTCGTTTCCAGCGGCAGGGACAGCAAGAGTCTCCTGCTCGCGCTTGCCGGAGGTGTTGAAGGAGACAACGTTGATAGACTTCTCATCGCCGAGGGTGCGAGTCGAGGAGAAAGCGCGAACCAAATCCGACTTGAAGGCGGATTGAACGGTGGAGGCATGGCTGCGAGCAGCGCGCATACCAAAAGTGCGCATAGACGACAGGTAGGCCATCTTACCGGTTGTTGAAGAGTGTGATGATTGAAGAAGTAGATGAGTGAAGGTATAAGAAGAAGTAGAACTTTGATGAACTTTGCGAGTTGATGGAGTGGATGGTAAAGGCGATGGCGGAATTGGAACTTCGGCGTCGATTATATAGACGTGTGAACGCCGGACGGAGCTGCCGAAGTGGCTGCGGCGTGATGGAAGTGAATGTAGAAAGGTGAGCCAGGTGCGAGTGACGCTTAAGTAAAATTGGATGGTTTGCTGTTTTCTTTCTGGAAGGTGCAGCCTGAGGCAGAGCAATCGACGGCGATAAGCGGAAGGATGGTCTGCGACTCCAATTGACGCTCAATGACGAGTTTATGAGGAAACAGTCTTGAGCGAGGAAAGGTAGACCTAATTGGCACTACACTGTAACAGGCAAGAGGACTGGCGACGAGCTGAACAAACACAAGCGCTAGAGGCACTGGTTGTCACTTTTACGTGCTCACTGTTGATGCCTGTTGAGCTTCGGTCGGCTGAGATGACGCAATTGGTGACTATTTGCTGGATGAATCAACAAAGTGAGGGATCCGGATTATGTCAAGAATAGAAGTGATGAAGGCTCAGGTCAGCTTATTAGAACAGCCGGGAGCAGGACGGGTTTGTGCAGAGTAAGTGATTGATCAAGGGGACCTGAAACCAGAAGAGACTAGAAGGGACCATAAACCACAAGCAGGGCCTGTCCCTTTTATCATCATTCATCACATCCCTCCTCGTTCATGCATGGCAGAAAAAAAGAACTGCTACTCATACCCACGCCTTCCATGTCTGTAACACAGTCACGCGGCCAGCACACCGTTGAAACCCGGGAGCGGTGAGGGATGCAGAAGCAAGGACCCGATATCCCTTGTCTCCCCCTGTGAATTGCGTGCCTTTGATGTTGGATATGGATGAAGGACGGTGAGCCGCGAAACGCCGTCGTAAATCTGGAGGCTGCCCCAGTCTCTCGGGACCCCGGATGCCCAGAAACGATTGACGTGCAACCACGCCTCCACATCTCCGAGTTCTAACAGGCTTGATGAAGGAGTTTGTGGCTTGACATGCAGAAACCGACTCGATCACTGCATGCAGGAGGAAGAGTATGCACATATCCGCCTTCGACATGTCGCAGTCACATCTTCGGTGGTTTCTGATGGAAGCCTGAAGATAAGATGCAAAGCGACCAATCACTCGTATTCCCGGACCGATATCCTGCCTCTTCTCTTCTTGATACACCAGGGCACACTCCCTATACATAGCAACCTCGTCAATATTGCGCTCCATTGGGTGGTTCGCCTTCTTGACATCTTGATTGCGGTGGAGATTGAGATTGCAATCAGGCAACGAGTGACCCATGCTGTAATCCAATAGACCATCAAGTACGTTCTCGTCGCGATATCGCTGTTAATTTGAGGGGAACCTGATGCCTGGATGTCGGAATTACACAACGTGAAGCGATACATGCCTTTTTGACGAGAGATTGATGGATAACGGTCCGCAGGCACAATCACGATCGGCCCGTCGCGCCCCGGGTACTGGCGTGGGGGTTGGTGCGAACGCCTGGCATGGGAAATGTCAAAACCCAAATTGAAACATGGGGGTGGTTGGAGTTCCGTGTTTCTCGAAGCCAGTCTGTCCAGAATCAGGCTTTGATGCAGCTCAAGGAAACGTTGTCTGTCAGAAACCGAGGCATGGTGGAAATTCGAATGAAGAACGATGTTTGAACAGGAAAGAAAACCAACCACCTTTTGACTATTTAGAAAGAAGCGGTCTGTACGTCAAGGTATATAACAGAAGAAGCAGACCCAGAAACCACCGTCAAACGCCGTGCACGCGGCGCTATGCAAATCATGGACAAAGGAAACCAGGCAACCATAACAAGAATTGGAGTTCGTTTTGGCGCAGCATCATGCGTGTCAGACATAGTATCTGAGGATGCTTAGGTGAGTTCAACGTAGTTGCTATGGGCCAACATGTCAGCTTTGTTTGTCAGTATCGGGAAAAGATGGCGATGACTTACCTTGGGAAAATGCCTTCCCTAGAGCCGATTCTGCCAGTCCACCAATCCGCAGCATTGTCGGTTTTCTTAACAATAGTAATGATTTCTCCCTTCTTGAAGCCCAAGTCACCGGGTTGATCAGGGTCAAATGTGAACTTGGCGATAGCCTGTCCAGGCTTGGGTGTCACGGCGTTACTGCTGAAAGTAGGCTTGGGAGCACTAGGTCTGGAAGGTTTGCGGTCTGAGTACGAGTATTCGGCTTGATCGGCGAATGCGCTATTGCTGCGCTGGCGTGAGGCTTCAAGGCGGTCAAAGGTCTCGCTGGGGTTGGCGCGCGATCCGAAGCTGGGTTGTCTGTCATAGACATCGTCCTGCCATGTGCTGGCGCGTGAAGGACCACCAAAGTTGCCACTGGCTCCTGTACGGTCTGTGCGAACGCCTTCACCATGAGCGGAACCTCTCTTGCCTTGCCAGATGACATCGTCATGAGACTCGTCGTAGACCGGAATGTCGTTATACATAGCATCGCCTTGGTTAGCAGCAACTCCAGCAAAGACTCTGCTGTTGAGAACGCGCATCAGAGGCTCGGCCTGAGGAGGGACAGGGACACCACCCTCAAGCAGGGCTCTAGCAGTGACGCGACGGTTGTACATCTTCTCGTTGGCATCTCTTCTTTCGATCATAGCACTGCCCTCGAGAGAGACACCAGCGAATAGACCCTTGGTTTTGCTGTATGCGAAAATACCGGCGACACCCTTGAGTGATGCTGCACCAGCAGCTTCGGCATTGCGACCAACGGGACCGGCAGCGATGGAAACGTTTCCTCCGAGAGTGATACTGCCAGCTTGGGCAAAGGTGCGAACAGCAGCAGCGTCATTGAGAATGAAGACAAAGTCGGTAAGTTCGAAACCGATCTGACCACCAAAACCACCACCAACGGTACCGATTGCCGAGGGAGCGGACCTGAGAGCTGATGTCAGCAGGAGTCAATGGGCGAAGCAGGATGGAGAGAATTACCAGGTGCCGTCTGCCAGGCGGGCTACTATGACACCGGAGCCGAAACGAGCACTGCCGAGGAAGCCGGCCTTGAAGACGGTCATGATGGCGAGACCTTTTGCATTTGAGAGGATTTGAGGTGGGATGATCTTGTCGGGACCGAAGGACTGTTTCGGGTCGATGAAGGAGGCGAGAATCTTTCCAGTCTTCTTGCATTCGCCTGGAGAGTGTCAGAAGCCGAAGAGAATGCTAGGTCAACGGGTCGCGACTTACTCTTCATGGAAGAGGGCAGCGGGTTGTTGATGAGAGGCATGATGGCGGTCGGTGTAGCAGACAGCGATTGTGGGATGTAGAGGGCGTCAAGGCGATAGAAGAGGAGGGCGCGACAAGGACGGTGTCCAGAAAAGTGCGGTATGAGAAGGAAACAATGGCGGGCGCAGCGACACGAGAATGAGTAGAGTGTCAGGCACTCAACTCGGGCAAGTCATGGCTTAGCTCGGCGGAAGCCCCACCAAGAACTGAATCGTCGTCATCGTCCGTGCCCGTCGACCCCGGACCGGCTTGTCTTTCCGATTCGACCCTCGGGGGTCTTGTCCTTGTCGGCATTTATTGACCTTTGTTCTTTGAACATCGCATTTGCCTACAGTACTACGCCTCAGTCGTCGCAATCAGACAACCAACTCTCACACACATCTCTCTATATTCGCCACAATGTCTGAAGCCTACGAGCGCGAACGGTAAAACACCCACTCCTCTTCCCTGCTTGTGACCCTACACAGCCACTGACACCTCGAAGCCAAAATAACTCGCGACTGGACGACCTCGCCGGAAAGGTGTCTGCATTGCGCGGAGTTACCATCGACATCTACGACAATGCCCGCGACCAGGGTGTCATCGACTCTTCCGTACGCCGCTCTCTCCCCTGACCACCCAAGTCGACAGTTTCGCTAATACCTGGCTCAGACAAATGCCTTCTCTACCTTCTCGAATAGCTTGCAGGGAAGTGCTGGAAGATTGACACGTATGGCACAACAAGGAAACAAGGTCGCCATCCTCAAGCTTGCTGGTATCATCATCGCCGTTATTCTTGTACTCTACTGGATCGGCGGCTGGGTCTTTGGAGGTTCGAAAGCTGCTTGAGTCTATCGTCACTCGTTGTACACATCGCGAAATCCTGGATCGTCTTGATCGCTGTTGGACATGGCGTATAAGGGCCAGGGCCAAAGTCACACGACCGATGGTATAAGAGACCACATGCACCGAACGTCCATAGAAGAGTACCTTGGATCGAACTCGGCAAACGGCCCGCCGTGAGTCTGCAGATTGATGTCGAGGCTGCAGCCATGGTCATGGACTTGGGAACAGAGTCCGAAACTACGCCTGGACACACAAAAGGCAAGGAACACCACAGACATCTCATAGGATCATGCTTCACGAAGCGGCTGCGACAGTCACGAGTACCAGTGATTTCACAGCAACGGCTAACATTCGAACCAAAGATCGTTCTTTGGATATTTTCATATTGTATATTAGGCAGAAAGCCGTCTGTATTCAATCATAATTTGACCATCATGGTCTTGCAATGCTACTTTTACTGCCTGTTTCATGAAGATTTTACTAACCCCAGACGTTTCCGAAGAGATCATCTGCAGCCGGAGCCTTGTTGTTAGATGTAGAGGCAGTAGGTGCAGGTGCGCTGCTCCAGCCGCCGAACTCATCGTCCTGGGCGACCGAAGGCTTCGAGGAAGTGCCCTCGTTGCTTCCCCAACCGCCAAAGTCGTCATCATTTGACACACTAGTTGTAGCAGGTGCTTTGTAGGAAGCAGTCGGCGGTGCAGGTGCTGCTGGCTCAGGGGTGCTCCATGCGTTGTTCGAGCCCCAGGCATCCATGTTATCGAGGCCACCAATGGCGGGTGCAGGTGCAGGTTTGGGAGGAGCAGGAGTCGACAGATTGAAGGCTGAGGAAGATGTCGAAGTAGCTGGCTTAGAAGGTGCAGGAGCACCCATATCGAACAGGTCTCCCATGCCGGAGCTGGCTGGGACTGGTGATCTTGCAGGCATAGGCGCAGGTGATGGTGCAGATGTAAAGTCACCAAAGTCACCAAATCCACTAGACACACGAGCTGCTTGCGGCCTGGACGCAGGTGCAGCAGCTGACTTGGGTGGTGGAGCGGGCTTAGCATCGAAGAAGCTGCCACCACTAAGAGAGCTTGTTCGCGCTGCTGGAGAAGTCAGGTTAGAGAAAGCAGAAGGCTTGGGAGGTTGTTGCTGCTGCTGTTGTTGAGGGGCAGGTGATGAGCCAAAGCTCAAGCCGCCAAACGCATCAGCCATGCCACCAAAGGAAGAAGTAGAGGCGGCAGGAGATTGCATGGGCGGGGAAGCAAAGCCGCCGAAAGCATTTGAAGCGGGTTGAGGCTGCTGCACTGGGGCAGGCTTAGGCGCGGATGCGTATAGGGACAAGATGGACTGCTTCAAGTCTGATCGAGGGTTGCTTCCAGGAGTAGCAGCGCCAGAGGCAGCGCTAGCAGGACGAGCTGGAGGAGCCGATTGGCTTGTTCCAAAGAAGTCGAGACCGAGTAGGGAGTCACCGGGGCGGTTCTGCTTTGGAGGAGCAGCAGGAGCTTTTTGTTGTTGTGGAGGAGGTCTAGAGGCGATTGAAGGCTCGGCGGTGCTTGCACGGGCTGGAGTCGGGTCGTCGCCAAAAAGATCAATGACTGGGGCGACTGCTCTAGGGGCTGTAGGGGCGGCAGGTCCGCTGCTCATGGATGCGTTTCTGAGAGATGCCGATCGATCGAGCTTGGCTTTCTCCTGAACTACACTGAGAGGCTGCAACTTGATCAGCATATGAATCGTTAGACGGGCCGACCGCATCTTACCACGTCTTCGTCACCACCCTCGCCGCCCAGAGTGGAAGGGTCCGGAATTGGGCCATCCATGGTCCATCTCTTAGAGTCGTACTTGGTGCGGATAAAGTTCTCGATCTTACTGTGCTTGTGTTAGTCTTGCAAACTCGGCGAGGTTGCTGTGTAGCAGAGCGGGCACATACGCTTCGGCGGGAACATGTCCAGGGGCGAGCTTTGCTTCCCAATACCTGTAATGTCACCATAAGCAAGGGCATCCCGAATATAGGCGACGATTGCGTACTTGTTGGCTCTAGTGTTGCCCCACTTCAACATGCTCTGAAGCTGCTCGTCGGTCCAAGAATCCAGATCAACGGATTTGACTCTGCTGATGTGTGTGCCCATACCACGGTGAATACCAGAGCATCTACGTTGCTTGTCAGCGAAGAAGCCTCCACAGGAATCGGTCACAGCTGCCTACCGGATGCAAATAAAGATGCCCAAGTTCCAGCTGGCCCATCTCGGGTCTATCGAGACCTGTCAGCTTCCACAATTCTGGCGCCGCGGCCGTGTATCATACGTTTGTTCCTCTTGCAGTCTGCACAGCTCTTGTTTCCTTCCAACTTGACCAAGCTCTTCAACGTCTGCTGGTTCTGCATCGTCCTGTCGGGTCCGGCGGGTCTCCGCGACATGATGGCGATTGTGAAGGGTGCGGAAGAGGTTGTTGAGTTGTGTGGTTGTGTTGCGGAGGTCAAGCAGAGTGACTGGTGTTGCGCCCGAGGTGTCTAACCAACGGTACTGTTGTCAGATGTGATTGTGTAGATTTAATTTGGACAGGAACGGACATTAATCAAAGCTGCCCCTCGATTGTTGTAGCCCAGGACCCAGGCCCCAATTCACTATGACGCACGTGATTCATACAATAGCACTAGTGACGTTCATTAAACTTCCGGTTTCATGACTTGCAATAGCTTTCAGTATTCGTGCCTCTTCGGCAAAGGGGATATGTAAAAAGACAAATGACCGATCCAGCGCCTCGCTGCCATGCCTCATGCGGGTATTGCGCCATAAAAACAGACCAACCAAGCTGTATCCTCGTTTGCTGCATAGACGCCGCTTCTCCTTTCGTAGCCCAATAGATTCCTCATCACCATCTGCCACCACCTCTTCTTCCAAAGCCACCACCACCTCCGCCACGTCTACCGTATCCTCCGCTGCGACCGCCGTAATCTCTGTCGTCGTAGCCGCCTCTGGGACCAGAAGGCTCGTCGCGAATCGGCGGTTGTCTGCCTTGGAGGTCCTTTTGTAGTTGCTGGTATGTCTTGCGCATTTGAGCATAACCAAGATGCATCTTTCCAAAGAAGTGGTCTGCCAATCTGCGATCGTTGTCGAGTCGACTGAGGTATGCGCCGCACACATCGCAGACTTGCAACTTCTGGTGACCCGAGGGACCAGACGTGTCGGAAAGAGCCTTGAGCTCACGTTCGCGGTCTTCCTTCAATTGCTTTTGCTGTCGGATGCGGAAGTATTCTGTCACGGCCGTGTTGACACTACCCAACTCGCCCAGGATCTGAATCTCAATCAGACCGTCCTCGATATTGCGCGACAGTTCGCCAATCTGTTTCAGGAGAGCGTTCGTTTGGCGAATTTCGTCGGGGGTCTTTTCCAAGCGGCGCTGGGCACTGTCTATGCGGCGGTTGCAGTCATCGATGTATTTTTGCATGTCTCGCATGTAGTCGAACTCGAAACCCCATTTGCGCTTTTGTTGGTCGTCTGCGTTCTCGTACTCGGACTTCAAGGCTTCGCTGTGGGTCTTTGGACACAGGCCGAGATCTTGTTTGGTGTTGGTAAACAGGTCGTGAGGACAGGTGCCGACAAGGTAGGAGCGGCACACCTTTGGATCAGTGATGGAGAGTTGGGGAGCGCGCGATGCACCGGGGCCAGCCAGCAACTGCTCGCCCATGAGCTGCTCTGTAGAAACTTGTTAGCGACGTTCGTGCATAGGTCGTTTCATGTGAAAGCGTACCCAGCAGCTTTCTTTGCTCAGCGGCCATGGTGGAGAGGCGCTACGTCGCAAATATGTTCTTGCGGGAGAAGGTGCGATGTCTGGGACGAGGAAGCGATGCTGGAAGTAAATGCGCCGTATCGGTAGGTGATTGATGTCTGTATGAGTCGTGGATGGATGGAAAGCTTTCTTGCCAGCAAAAGCGGAAGAGTCGCACCTCCGCCGAACGTCTTCTTGGCACATATATGCTGCATTCAAGTACCCCTTAGATCTTCTGTTTACGCCATGCGGCCGCCATGCTCGTGATAGTCTTCGCCCTGTCGCTGCTGTGCCTGTTCGCACCATGGGCTGAAGGCCAGTACACCGAGCTGCTCCAACTGCACCCGCTCCCACAATCCCAGCTCCTGGCTGCCTTCAACTTCAAGGCCAACACCAGCCTGTCCGACTTCGATGCTCAAAACTACCGTCTGTTCCCGCGCTCTCTCGGTCAGATTCTACAACACACACATGCTCGAGAACTGCATCTTCGCTTTAGTCTTGGTCGGTGGGACTCTGAGAATTGGGGCCAAAGACCGCGAAATGGCCGCCGTGAAGGAGGCACAGGTGTCGAGCTGTGGGCCTGGGTCGAGGCAGACTCACATGAGCAGGCCAACGCTCGCTGGTTGACTCTGAGCAATGCTCTATCTGGTCTTTTCTGTGCTTCCATCAACTTCATCGACTCGACCAAGACAATCCGTCCAGCAATGACTTTCGACTCAGAGGGCTCTCACAAGAACGTGTCTGGACTACACCTGCTGCATGGTGCTCTACCTCATGAAGTTGTCTGTACCGAGAATCTGACTCCTTTTCTGAAACTTCTACCTTGCAAGGGAAAGGCTGGCATCTCTACTCTCTTGGACGGACACAAACTATTTGATGCCTCCTGGCAGACAATGGCCATCGATGTACGCCCGGTGTGCCCGCATGATGGAAGCGAATGCTTGTTGGAGATCGAGCAAACGGTGGACATGGTTCTCGACCTTGATCGCTCTATGCGACCTCCGAACGATCCTATCCCAAGGCCTCCACCAGTCGAAGAAATCGCCTGTGACACTGATAAATGGTACAACAGCCACGATAGCTGTTACCCGAAAGAACCCTCTACCGAGCGTGCCTGGACTCTAAGTAAAGTCTTTGGTCGTCCTATCCGCGGCTCTTGCCATGTCAACCATGGTGCCTCGCCCCAGTCTGTCGTTCTACACACTGCCGCTGGTCAAGATATTCAGGTTACTGCAGAGGAAGCCTACAATGAGCACAAGTCCGAGGATGGCCTTGTACAATATGTTCTGCCACAATCCGGCGATTTTGATATTGCTCTGGGTGAACAACCATTGATTTCGCCATCGACCCTGGAACAACCACGCCTTCATGCCGAGCGCACCATGGTTGGTTATGGCCAAGAACGAGGTGGCATGCGCGTTATCCTTACAAATCCCTCGACTAAAAATGCTGTCGATCTTGTGTACCTCGAGTCATTGCCGTGGTTCATGAAGCCATATCTTCACACTTTACACGCTTCGATCAACTCCGCACCTTCACCATCTTCTATCAAGCAGATTTTCTACAGACCTGCCATCGATCGCGCCAGGGGTACTCATCTTGAGCTGCGCCTTCATGTTCCTGCTGGCGCCTCCCTGGTACTGACCTATGACTTTGAGAAGGCCATCTTGCGATACACCGAATACCCTCCCGACGCGAATCGTGGTTTCGATGTCGCGCCCTCGATCGTCAAGCTGTTGTCTAACTCGACTAGTGGATCGGAGGATGCGGCTGTCTATCTACGTACCACTTCCATGCTCCTGCCTCTTCCAACTCCTGACTTCAGCATGCCTTACAACGTCATCATCTTGACCAGCACTGTCATGGCCATGGCATTCGGAAGTGTCTTCAATCTGCTGGTCCGTCGTTTTGTTGCTGCGGATGAAGTGGAACCTGCTGGTATTGTTGCACTAAAGGCAAAGGTTCAGGCTGTCCTTTTGAATTTCAAGCAAAAGTTGCAAAAGAACAAGGAGGTCAAGGCTGCCGATCAACAAGGCGAGACCAAAAAAGTTAGGTAGTTGGTTACTTCTCTCGGCCACAGTCCAAGTATATGAGGAAATGAATGCTTTCTGATCACTGAGATTTCTCTGTTCTTTGTGCATCTCGTGTCTGAACATGTTGTACATCATGTGGATACATTTAACAGCCTTCCGTTCGCTCTTTTGATCTCTTGTACCAAGGTTTCTCAAGTCCCCATAGGCTTGTCTTGTGCAGGATGGTCAAACACCTTGCCTGGGTTCATGAGCCAATGAGGATCAAGCGAGAGTTTGACCTTTTGCATCACGCCAATGGTGTCAAGTCCCAGCTCCTTGATCAGAGACTTCTTCTTTCCCAGTCCAATGCCGTGCTCACCAGTGCACGTTCCCTCCATCTCCAGGGCCCTGTCCACCATTCTTGTAACACACTCCTCAACCTTCTTCTTCTCTTCAGGGTCCTTGCCGTTGTACATGATACACTCATGAAAGTTGCCATCACCGACGTGTCCCAAGGCAGAAGAGAAAATACCCAGTTCGTCCATCTCGCGCTTCGATACCTCGATGATATCAGGTAACCTTGAAAGCGGCACAGCAACATCCGTAGACCAGACTTCCTCGTCTCCCTTCCTCAACGACAACATCGACCACAGAGATTCCTTCCTCGCAGACCATAACTTCTTTTGCTCGTCCGCATCGGCAGTAAACTCGAAGTCGATAGATTTGCACTGCTTTGAGAGATCCTTGACCAAGCCGACGTTCTCCTTGACGCCAGCCTTGGTACCTGAGAATTTGAAGAACATGGTCGGTACCTCGCGCCAGACCTTTTTGGTCGACTTCGACTTGTTGACCACACTCATTTGAACCTCATCCATAATTTCCATAGCACCAATTGGAACACCCGCTTTGATGATCTTCGAAGCCGCACTTGCCGCATCACGAATAGTCGGGAAAGTGACGACCGCCACACTAGTCTCTTGAGGGATAACTTGCAACTTGAGCGTGATTTCCGTGACGATACCCAGAGTGCCTTCTGAGCCGATGAACATGCCAGTGAGATTGTAGCCGGCGGATGATTTCCTGGGGCGACGTTTGGTCTTGATGATTGTGCCGTCTGCGAGGACTACGGTGAGGTTTAGGACGTTGTCTTTCATTGTGCCGTAGCGGACGGCGTTTGTGCCTGAACAGTTGGTTCCTGTCATGCCTCCTATCATCGCACTCGGTCCAGGGTCAACCGGGAAGAAGAGCCCAGAGTGGGAGATGTCTTCGTTGAGCTTCATCCAGCCGATTGCGGGTTGTACCACTACATCCAAATCGTCGTCGTGGAGGGCCAGAATTTTGTCCATGAAGGCGAAATCGATACAGAAGCCACCGTAGCTATGGTCAGTGTCAGTGCCAATGTTCATTTCGTACCTCCCCATATGCTTAGATCTGTCACGCATACAGCTGTAGAAATGCACAAAGTTTTCTGAACCAGGGTCAAGGTCCAGTGAGAGCATGCAATGAGCCCATCTCTGTGGACCCCTATGCTAGTCTCGAAACCATCCTACGTTTCTACAGGTCAGATGTCTCCAGCTGTGACCGTGGAGATGCTCAAAATTGACAGATCTTAGCACCCGGGAAGGCACTGAGAGTACCAGACTGTATCGTGACTTACGGAGCAGAGAAGTTGCCTTCCAAACTTGAGCCTCCAGAGTATGGGACTGTCCAGGAAACATGAGCATAATACGAGGCATAGCAATGATAAGCTTACCTATCGGGATCTTGCGCTTGTAGCAAATCTTTGCAATCTCGGACACCTCCTCAGTAGACTTTGGATATACAACTGCAATAGGAAGCACATCTACGTTGATCGTAGACCACTCAGAGTAGCCGTGGCGGTGTAATTCATCGTCGTCCGTGGTGATGGAATCTTCACCAAGCTTCGTCCTCACTTCTTCGATGGCCTGTACCAACATCAGAACCAATCCCTCACAAATTCAGAAACGTCAATAAATACCTTCTCCATCTCTGCTCTCTTAGCATAGACCGGCGGCTGATCCGCCTTTGCCGCATCTTTCTTGTAACTCGATCCAGCATCCCAGATTCCATACGTATATGCCAGCGCTCCAGTAAACGCACTCAATAACAAGACCTTGTTTGTCGTCCAGAACGCAGCCTGATTTACAGGTCCAGTATTCGTAGCATTGAATCGTTGTTGTTGGCGACCAAGTTGTGGCCGACAAGACACCGGCCGGCGGAGGCCCCGCAATGCGGAGGAGTTCAAGCGCATCTTCGTCGCCATGATTGTGTTGCCTTGAGAAGTAGAACACGACAAGCAGGCTTTTGGATTATGGTAGAGACTGGGTAAGGTGTTCTGATTGCTAAGCCTCCACGCAAACTGTTCAATAGGTAGTAAAGGATTGGAAGGAGGACAGCACGATATCCGAGGCCCGGAGCACGTAAGTGGTAGATATTGAGCCGTCGGCGTGAAGGCCGTCTCCTCACCCAGCAAGCAGCCAGCATCCTTTGATCGGCCCGCTATCTATCACTGTCCTTTCTCACCTGTCCCCCCCACTCCTTTTACAACCCCACCTTTGGTTTGGACCTTTTGCGACTTGCGTGGAAGAAGTTTATCCGCGTCGTGTTTGGCTGGCATCTCCGCTTTGTGAACGATGGCAGAGTCGTTGGAACAGGCCATGATTGTGCACCATTACTCAGAGCGAAGCGGGTCTTGGAAAGAGTAAAGCCTGTCTAAGAGACAATTGGTGATGGACAAAAGTAACGACTGAAGCTGATCCTTTTGTCGATTGAGCATGCAAGTCTGGTTGAAGCGAGCATTTGCGACCTTCAAGACTTGGTCTGGGAGATCGCGGTTGGTTGATACGTTTCTTATGTTCGCTGATCATTCGAAGATCGGGAGTCAAGCAGACACACAAGAAACTTTGCACGCTTCAGAGCAACGGTGGTGTTTTGTTTCTACCCGTTGCACAAGCGTTCGCCAGCTCCACGCGCCTTCCACCTCTCATACTCGAGTGCAACAGGGGAAACAAGATGCAATTTCGATATTCCCATGCAATAGATGCGTTCATTGCAGGGGTATCGATCATCTCGTTTACGTGGTTAAACGCTTTGCTAAGCCCTAGTCTCATCCTGCTAGTGCTGGTACGGAGGAGCCGCCATCCTTGTCCTGTCTCGGAACATGACTTCTCATCCCAGAAGTAGACGAACAACAGAGACCTTGGAATAAGGACAAGGGTGATATATTGGCCAAGATGTTCTTGGACCCACCCGTCTCTCGTCCAACATCAGGTGTCTTGCAACTGTTGGCAGAAAGGCAGGAGGGTTGAACAGACTTTAAGGGAACACGACACGAGTAGGACGGAAAAGTTCTCCGTGGCAAGATCTCGGGACAAAGGCTCACTTTTGTCTTGACTCTTGACAGCCTCCTAAAGTGATCAGGTAGCTTTAATGAAGGAGGCTCAACCGGAGGCTCAACCGCATGTGCCGCTTTCATGCACGCGTCAGTTCATGACCACCCCGCCGGATTCTCTGATCCTTTCCATTGTGCTGATGTCTATCACGCATACCTGTAGAGATGCGTGATGTTTCAAGAATCCTGTAACGGGCTTCAGATACCTATGGGCCTTCTTCACACGTTTCCAATGGCCCCAAATCTAGTCAGAAAGCAGTTGCGCGCGACAAAGTTCAGCATGCTTTGCGCTGAAAGTTACCTCAGCATGATGTACCCAAGTCGGGAAAATGCACAAAGAGGGGAAACGGACTCCCCTCCGCGTCATTTTGACTTCCCACCTTTCGTGTTTCTACGCCAAGTCATCGGCCTTGCTTCGCGTACATTTTAGCTGTGGAGACGGAGTCGAATCCGTATCTATTGCCTCGTTCCCGCTGCTCATCTGGGAATCTTGCCGCAAGCTTGCTGTCACACACACGTAGAAAAGGTAAAAAGCAGTCATTCTTCAGCGGAGGTCGGGTCCGCCACAGCGGACTCAGTGCCTGGACAAGGACCACCTACTGTACGGTGCTACCCTATATATATCTACCGAGGTGGTCGGAGTCGTCTCCCCTCTACTTTTCTGCCTATACATTGTTCTCCTGCTTGCCCTCGCTTTAACTGAGGTATTCTGTTACCATTTCTCTATCAATGGATATTGCAAACATGCTGCAGTACCCAGTCCAGGAAACTAGGACACCATCCCACAGCACCAGCGACTCAAGCACATCTATTTCGCCAGTGCTAGCACCGCGGCCAAATTCCGGTGTGGTAAAATCGAAACCGAGGCGAAGGCAGACCAAAGCCGCATGTATGGCATGTCGTCGAAGGAAATCAAAGGTTGGTCCGCCGTCTGTCCATGCATGCTATCCACTCCACGAATATTGACAGCCAATGACAGTGTGATGGGGGCCGACCTTCATGCAAAATTTGCAACGACAAAGCCATCTCATGCCAATACTCAGTCGAAGAAGGTGTGACCCAACAGCAAGCCACCAAAGAACAGCTCAAGTCATACAAAGATGTGCTGGCATTGCTACGAAACAGCTCATCGAGAGACTGTGATGCCATCATACACATCTTGAAGAGTATGGAGGATCTCAATGATGCCTGCAGGTTCATTCTCGATGCTCCAGTGCTGCTGCCAGGCAAATGAGCAGGGATCAGAGGACGGAGAGGTAAGTACAAAGAATTATATCAACGACGCGTGTTTATTGAGCCGCTGTTGGAGGTCTTGAAAGTGGGAGCGAAAGTCCTGTTGATTGTACACAGCCATCATTGAAAGAAACATCCTGCGCACTGGATAGGACTGTCTGTCAAAGTGTAGACTTTACATTTGATTGGATTCTAAACATTAAGTAGGAAGAGGTCCGAGAGAAGAGCGGGCTTTGATGACATGTGGCTTATGCCTTGCCAATCATACCGCTTCTGATGGTGAAGGCAGTACTGATCCGATGGTGTTTGCGAGTTGGGCTGATACTGCTTAATTCACGCCTTCCATGCGACTGCAACCCAGGAGCTGGAGATCCTGCAATGGTGTGTCTTTTTGTCGGGTCCTTTCTCTTGATAGTCTCATTGTTGTCAGGAAGTGGCCATTGTATCGGTGGCAGATCTTCTGAAAATTGAACTCCTGTCTCCTGTTCCAGGTTCTTCCGCCAGATCTCCACTTGCATGGTCCACCATCTTTCGAGCTTGCTCCTTCTCTTCTGTGTTTCTTCGTCCCAATCGCGTACCATGTCGTCGCACTCGCGTTGCAGACTTTCGAGCTCTTTCATCTGGCGTGATTCAAGTTCCGACAGCTCTTCCTCTTGCTTGACTAGTCGTTGGCTGATGCGTCTGCTTTGCTCACCCCTGAGTACACTGATAGCACCAGAGTGTTTGGCATCCATCTGGTCGCGTGCTCGTCTGGCTTTCGTAAGCTCGGCCAGATCTCTATCCGTAATGGCTCTGTCGTGGCGTTCACCACTTGTAGTTTCTCCTCGACAGTATGCTTCCATATGTTTGAGGGCGATCGCATTGTTCCTGGTCTCGATTTCATGTCCTTCGCGCATCTCGTGCTCGTCAACTACATGCTTGTCTTCGATGCGAGCGATAGCAGCGCTCTGCTTCTCGGCCAGCTGATCCTTTTGTCGGTCGAAATAAGGTAGTAGCTGTAGCTTACGCACAGCATACCCGTCGATCACACCCTGTCTCTTTCTCGCAGCCCAAGCTGTCAAGTTGTCGCGCTGCCGCTCTTGGTTTTGTCTGAGCTCCTTGAAGCCAGGCAGTTCCGTCGCAATTTCTAAATTTCTTTTTGTTTCCTCTGACGGTGAATGTTCTTGGGCTCCACATGTCGGAGATCTCGACTGGGATCGTGATTTCGGAAATGACGTAGGGTGCGATGTCGACTCATATATCGTAGGTGGTGTTGTAGTCGCTTCATCGTCCCAAGCAACCAGCATATTCATCAGAGCATCCTGCTCTTCTTGACTCATCACGCTTGCGACCAGACTACCCGGGATCGGACGCTTGCAGCATGTCGGTGGAATGTTCTCGTCGTTGAGCGAGTCTTTGATTATCTTGCGCAGGGCGAGTGTACAATAGCGATGTCCGCAAGACAGCGTGTGTAAGGTTCGGCGGTGTCGAGATCCACTTTGAGGGCAGTGAGGGCAATCACTGTGTATCTGATCAGACTTTGTCTTTTGTTGCTCTGAGGCATTTGCTTACTCTTTCTCTCTGGTTGAATCTCCCGAATCGGTTCTCCTTAACCTCAATCTGCTCAGTCCTCTTGTGATGATATGCCTTTTCGGTGACGACTCTCGTGAGCGAGACCATACGGAGGATAGTGAGAACGTGGAAGGAGATGGCGAGATGATGGGAGAGGTAGCGAAGTTGAAGGAAGAGCGACGGTAATCGAATCTGGCGTGGTTGACTATTGAATCATAATCCCGGATGGACACCGATGTGGCGGAACTGCGCCGCCCACGACCTGGTCGAGCCCTGGCGTGAGGACAGTCTCTTGATATCCGGGACGCGTCTGTGAAATCTGTAGAATGCGAGCCATGAGAGCCGGTGGAGATAGAGCGGCGAGGGTGTGTAGAGCTTGTAAGACTTGACGTCGCTTTCTGACCCTTGTCCTTCAAGGTGTTTTCGAGCGAAGCTATGTCAATGTCCAGGTGTTGTGCTTGATTTTTCAGATCTGTTTCAAAGTCTTCGACCGTTTGACCTTCGGCGAGCCGAAGAACTTCGCGAGCGAACTCGTCGTCCATTGATACTGCTTTCGTGCTCGAGTATCAAATGTCGCCTCGATGAATCCAGCTTTGTTTGGTGTCGAGAGACGCATGAGAAAGGTTGGTTCCAAGATTGGCGAGGAGAGGACAAGGGCAGGTGCAACAAACAACTGCCGAGGCCTCGTACTAGTAGTCGTCCAGGTACCAATGTGTTGTAGCGGTCTGTGTCGGAAATCCCAGCTTGAACTCCGCAATAACCCGGGTGTCAATACCGGACTTTACTAACTCACCACCGTAGGGTGATTGTCTGTCGCGGATTGAGAACAGGGCAGGAGTATGGATTGAGTATGGTCGAGAATCTAACGGGACGGCGAACAAGAAGATAGAGAAGAAAAGAGAAAGTCAACGTCAGTGATGAATGGGATCATCCAGCAGACCGCTGCGCAAGAGCTGCATGACGTTCCCCTACCAAGGGTTAAAACAACCGTCTTCTTCGCCGCTACAAGCCCGAGATCTCTATCCGGCTCCTGCTTGGTAATTCAACTGGAGAATCTCGTTTCCTGAAGGCTCGTGCCCTTCGTACCGGTTTGCACTTTGCTCTGCTATGTCTTGTGACTTGTCCTCGAGCTCGAGTCAGTAGTGTTTTGGAGCGCGAAACACTAGCACCGCAAAATCGGCATCAATGCGATTGCGGGGCCTGTCAATGCATCCGGGTTCACCGAAACTTTGAGCTTGCAGCCACCGTGAGCCTCTGAATTGCTTGTCGATCAGCGGTCAAGAATTGTCTGCTTGACTCGAAAGGACTTGACAGAGCATCTGATGCTTTTGCGAACCGCATGCCGAGGGCTACTGGACGAACAGGCAGGAATGAAAGTATTTTAGACGAGACGCAAGCGAGACTTGAGGGCTGACAGCTTGACATGAACGCTCATCTTCCTCCGTAGTGCCTTGGCCGGCAAATCTTGACGCCACAAGCCACTGCCTATGGCATGTATGAGATTGCTTGAACAGAGTCATGATGGCTTGCATACGAATAGTCAGGTCGTTAGGCGATGTGGTGCCTACTGACTGTTAGAATACCGTAGAGTCGATTGCCGCGTTTACGAGCGAGTCACTGAACGGTCAGAGATCAGCTGCGACTTGAAAAGGTGGCAGTTTATCCTTCGGACTCAAATTCTACCTGATGATAGTCTTCGTGATATTCCCGTCAAGTTGGATGACAATATATGTGCTGCATGTTATTGGGCCTTGGTGTCTTAAGCAATAAGTTACTCTGAGACATGAATCGAACAACGTGGGTGTGAATTCTCGCGATGCTGGCGGTTTCTGGAAGGCGAGGAACAACAGTTCGTAAAGCACACGGTCCTTTCTAGGGCTGGAGCGTTGGTCCTGGAATGTCGGGACAATTACACGATTATAGCATTTGAGTCAGGGCTGGTGAGTTCAAAAACACAAGATGTCGAGTTAGAGATTTGCACTCGTCTTCGTAGCGTTGTATGTCTTGTCGGTCCAATCCCTGTAGCATGTGCCCATCTGTTCCGTAGGTCAAGAATGAAGATCGACTGGTTTACGGCTCGCCTCACGTTGCTGCTGCTGTGCTGTACTGGCGGCTGGCGGGCCTGTCGATCAAGCATGTTTGAAAGATTGTAGTTCACGACTGAAGCAGATGTCTCAGGCTGATACCGAGACACAGCGATCGTTCTTTCCCTCTGATTCAAAAAGTTGGAAGCGACGGAAGAGGGTCCGACGATCAGATGGGACTGATGTTGGCAACGTTGGCAACGCCGCAAACGAAACGCGAAAGCGCGTCAGCTTCGAGGCTGCGAGCGATCCAAAAGATGCACCTTCCATCATGCCGCCATTCGAGGCCCCTGTCAGTGCATCTGCTTCGGACGCAAGCATATCCAGAGGGGGTACTGCTAGATCAGCTTCGTCACATTTGAGGCCGGAAGATGCATTTCTAGCCTATTCTCCGCCATACCGATCGACCAGCAAGGGCGGCGCATCCGAAAACAGGAGGAAAAGAGACAGCCATAGCAGTCGCAACGCCAGTCGGAGGAGGCCACGAACGTGGAAAAAGCTGCTCTGGGTGAAACAAGCATGTATGAGGCGCACGGTAGCAAGAGATGTGGTATACAAAAGTGCAAACACTGAGTCCTCCAGATCCCGACAACTACACAGATGAAGAGACCTTCCTAGACCACCTACAGCGCAATCCACGACTTCGTCCCTATGATTTCTGGCCGCTCGTTGCCGATTCGACCGTCATCGTACAGCACATAGGTTCTGTCATCATCTTCGTCTGCTGCTTCATTGGCATCTTCCAAAGGCGTGTTTCACCTGTATCTGTTGTTAGCTGGGCCTCGTTCGGCACCGTTCTAGGATGGGTCGTTCGTGACTACTGGGTCGGACAAGAGGAGGCTGAGCAGGCTAGGCAGGCTGCTCTTGCAGAGGCTGTTGCTTCATCCAAAGCCATCGTTGACAGCCAGCGCCCCCAAGAAGGACCTTTGTCTCCGGCAGACCCTGCTTCGGCCATGTCAGATACTGCTAAGCTGGGCTTGGGCATCTCGAGCGTTGGGGTCTCACGTCCACTATCGGTCGTTTCGACAAACGAGAGCTTAGCATCTACCGCACCCAGCACTGGTCACCCCAATGGTGCAGCCACATTTGCAAGCTACAGCTACTATCCCCCTTATGAGAGCCATACATCCTCCTTGTCCGCCCGTAACCAAGAAAGGCTCGCGACTGCCAAATCCGCATTGTTGATCTACTGTGCTCTACTAGGTTTGAGTCCTATTCTAAAATCCTTGACCCTGTCAACGTCCGAAGACTCCATTTGGGCAATGAGTTCATGGCTGCTGATCATCAACATCTTCACATTCGACTATGGTGCTGGCGCTGAAGCAAAGTAGGCAACACGACTTCCTGTCAAGCTCTTGACTAATTTATTTCTTAGGTTTCCTGCTTCGCTCTCGACTAATGCAGCTCTTATGGCCTCTACGGTCTTAGCTTCACGTCTTCCGTCCACAACCCACGTCTTCAGCCTGACTCTGTTCAGTATTGAAGTCTTTGGGCTGTTTCCTGTTTTCAGACGACATGTCCGACACGTATCCTGGACAGGACATCTAATGTTGACGGCATTGATTATCCTTGGTGCGGGAGGTGGACTCTGCGTCACCATCACGGGAGGTGGCTGGAAAGCTGGAGTAATCGGTGCCTTTCTCGGAGGAATTCTCACGTGTCTTGCAATGGGAATCACCAGCTGGTGGCTCATCGGCTTACAAAGATATAAGAACGAAATCCATGGTCCTTGGGATCCAGCACGCCCTATCATACGACGCCACTGGGACTGAGAGCTAGAGAAATGAAACTGGTTTGCTCTATCATCATCTATCCTAGTCTATACCAAGACCTCAGGCGCTCTGCCCCAGATGGCATCACCGATAGACATAGATGCCTTTCGCCTCTTGATTGACTCAACCTGATTCTCCTTGAAGTCGAGGAACTCATTCCATAACATCCTCCCGTCGTACAAGAGATGCAGATCACTACCGGTCAACGGCATAATCTTGTGTGCTTCGTCGACACGCACTGTCAGCAGTGTGACGCCTCCTTCAACGACGTGCCACTCAAGAAGCTTGACTTCGTTCTCTTTCGGCTCGCGTATGGCATGTCCAAGCAAGTCGACAAGTGCAGACTCGTCTTTGTCGAATGCAGGCGATACCCACAGTCCCAGACTCCATGGCACTGGCTGGGATCTCCAGGAGCTACTGTCTAGACATTTACCCTTGAGTATGAAGGAGTCTAGGCCTCGAATACTTCGGAGCAACGATTGCAGGTATCTCCATCCACTCACTCGAGCACCGGCATAGTTGGGTTGCCAAGTGGTCAGGTCAATACATATTGAGCGCAGGTGCGGGATATCGTTTTTGAGTGTGCTGAGATCCGCACACCAGGCGCCCATCATGTGTGCTCCTTGAACACAACAGAAGTAATGAACCCATTCGTTGGCAATGGTCGTGCTCTCCTCGCTCTGAGAAGCTGGATCTCCAGATGCTGCTTCTCTGAGATCAATGGTGATGTGGTCGACGTTGCTTCTCTGTGACAACGACAGTCTCGAGAAGAACGCTTGGATGTGAGCAATCCTTGTGAACACAAAGTCGCCTTTCTTCAGCAGCGTGGACTCGTTTGCTTCGAGATAGACGGCGCGGCAAGTCCGCAGCAAGGTGACACCTAGGCTGGGTACTTGTTGATGTTTTGGTCCGGTGGTAGTATCCCAGCTAGGATTGACAATAGGGGCAGACGGTGTGATGACAAGGTCATAAATCCAGTTCCTTAATTCGCCGGGTAGTCTGAAAAGAGGAGAGTTTGCCTGAGGCAGAATTCTATCCTCATCTCTGATGTCGTTCATGGTGGTCTAGTACTGTAGAATCTATAGGAAATGAAGTGTAGACTCGAAAGTTCGTAGACAGAGACAGCAAAGGTTTAAGAAGGAGAGATGCTCGGTCAATTGGCTTGGGAGCGGTTCCTTGATGTACTTCTCAGCTCATCTCATAGGCGCTCGACCCCGCCAAACAGCAATACCCTGATGGTCACGGGCTGTTGCATGATAGCCGAGTGACTCCTCTTCGCCCAAGTCGGCATTCAATCGGCGGCCTGAAACCTTGATATGCACAGCTTCTCAGCGCTACGAGATCCTTCAACGTATCCAGGGCACATGTCTCGGGTTCCCACTTTGGTATATGGTTGATCATGCAGTGAGCATGACCAGCTCGGGATATTTTACCCCGCTGCCGACGAGTCTCGCGTGTACGGAGCCTCGCGTGTACGGACCACGCCAAGCCTCGAGCGCATCACGCGTCGTCAACACCTCCATTCTGTCAACATCGCCGTCGCCGTCGCCCTTTTCAAATATCCATCACCGACTACGTTCATTCTTCAATCCGCCTTCTCGCAAGACGACCCGGGCGCGTTTTCGCTCTACTTTGTGTGCGGTCCGAGCTTGATCTCCGGTCGTGTGACAACGAAGGACTAGACATTGTGACTTCCGTAGCAGAGTCTTCGCGGGACCCTATTGTTCTCGCTTTTGAAGTCAGGCATTTTGCAGGTCTTCTTCTTGCTGGACGTAGGCGCGTTCCCGCTCTACTCTGTGTGCGGTCCAGGTCCAGTCTTCGTTTTGCGTGAGCACGATCACGGGTCAGGCTTCGTGAGTTTCCGCAGCAAAGTTCTTGCGGAACCTCATCTCGTCGAGAAATCGCTATCGGCTTTGCTGAAGTCAGGGCTACTTCTGAGCGTACGATCTCACAAAGCCCGGGTGGGTGGGATCCAAGACTTTTCACTAGTTTTGGGGTATCAATTTGTGTGCGTATAGCTTTTAATGACCTGCTGATTTGAATTCTTCCAACCTAGCGAGCGCCTGCTTCGCCCTGTATGGAGCCTCCTACCAGCATCGCTTTCAGCCACGAGCCTGAATGGATATGCAAAGAGCCGGCTCTGGTCACCTGGAACGATAACGATCGCTTGGAATTATCTTCAATTGGACTGCCATGTCCTACCGGCAAAGCCACTCAGATTACTCTCTGGGTCGGAAAACATCCAACGAATGGACTCTGTATCGTGCTACAATTACGTATCACTGCTCGGTTCTCGAAACGTCGAAGAGTCCTTGACTACTATTTACCATTGCCCCCACCGACTGGGGATATCTCTGTCATGAAGGTAGATGATGCGTCGCAAAATCTCAAAGGGTGTTTGGAAGACGCATATGGGAAGTCATCTACCAAGAAATGCATCCGTGTCTCATTCCAGCTTTCTGGGCTAGGTCGTGTTCTGATGCCTATCGTACCCGATAATGCGCGCTGTTTTGAAGGTACACCTTTCCATCTCTTGACCCAGTTTCGCTCGCTCTCGCACACAAGCCAACTTGATGTATATGTTGCATACAGCTCTTATGCTCAGCATGCCTTGATAAACCTAGAGCCACCACTCAAGAATTTTCTAGCATGCACTGAACACATTGATCTTCCTCGGTCTTATGGGGGAAACGGAGGTGTGTTCGATGATTGGCGGCAACTTGGTGACAAGTCTCCAAATTCCTTCTCGGACGCTCAACAGCCGTGGTTAGGTCAGGGTAAAGATCAAGAGCATACCCAACCAGGTGTTGACACCTCACCACGCGTCGAGACCCATCGATCGCTGTCCGCCGAAGCTTATGAAGTGCCAGAGCATGGTCCCCCTGCAGATGTGCAAGAGATGTACTCGCCGCCTCCGTATTCTCCGACGAGGCAGTCTATCCGAACTTCCGTTAGACCAGAACCGCTACGTTTTTCCAAGCTTCAGTCTGAATTACCTGGCTATCTTAAGCGATCTCGTGGTAAGTTTCAGATCTTCAGCCGTAATGTGTGCTCGACTCAACGTAGGTTTAGATTCAGATAGTCCCGGGGGCGACGAACCATGCGCCAAATCAGCGAAATCCGATCGCATAGAATTATTTTCATCAACTATCATTGACGCCTCGAACGTCGTGAATCACAAACGATCACCTCAAGTGCAGAGAGTATGCTCCTACTCACCTACTGTGGCCAACACTCCAAGCACTGTAGAAGAGCCGCAGCTATTTCCTCCCGAGTACACGACACCGACTCGCCGCGAATATCATACCACTAACTCATCTCCCGTCCAGGGCTTGTTTTCTTCTCGCCACACCACTTCTCATAGCCGAACCGGACGGAGTGCTGCCATAAAAGAGCGTGACTCAGCTACCGGTCACACGCTTGACTTCAATCGTGGAAGTCTTGCCTCCTTAAATAACACGGACTCAAGCAGTCCTGAAACGCCCCGGATCACACCGACGGTGTTCACAAGAAGGCTCGAATTTCTCTCTGTTCCGGTTGACGCAGAAGACATAGTATCGAAACTGGAGCATGAGCAATCACTAGAGAAGAACACAGGCAGTTTCGTCTCGACTCAGAGATCTTTAGATCACGTCTCGCCAACAAGAACCGACCATCCATTGAACAAAGCACTCAAAGCACTTGTTGCTGCACAGCTACCGCCTTTGACCACACAAGCTCTGCAACGCCTCATGGACGATCTCTTAGAATCAGTAGACTACAGCTACAAAGTGGCAGAACTAGGGCTACAAGAAACATCGGACGAGTTCAAGGTTGAGCTACAACTAGAAAAGGACAAAGGTGTTGAAGAAATCACTGAGCATGCTGAAGAGATCCTCGCTGGCGTCAAGGGTCAGATGGAAGATTTGGCAAGTGGCCATCTGGTTTCCTTCGAGGACATGCTGCAGAAAACCAACGGCCAATTGCAGCAGATTTTCAAGGCTTTCTTGGGAGGGCTGGTCAAAGCCATGGCGATGGGTAAGGACTGCCTTGATAGACGAGCGGCGGAAGACACAAAAGTGGATGCACCTCTTGTTCGACATCAGAGACCTGCCTGTGAGAACCTTCAGCCCATAAGCATGCCGGACTCATCACCAGTCGCTGCCACAAAGTTATTCCTGCAAGAATTCGGTAATCTTCGAGCGGCCGCGAAGGTGAAGGTGTTAGAGAGACTTACGAGTCAGAGCACGGCAGAGATCTTCCTGACCGTGGATAGAGAGCTTCGTGAGGCTTGGGTCGCTAGCTGGACCGGTGAAATCGCATCGTAGATCTGACAATGTCTTCGACCAGAGATTGAATGTTCTTTCGATGCCTTGAATGAGCGGATAATATATACGGCTATCTGTTGCGCTTTCCAGTTATCTTTGTATAGCCATCCATCTACTAGGTATAACTTCCTCTTTACGTTTTTAAGATATTATCTTCCATTGTGCCGGAGCAGTTGGTTTCTGTCATGCCTCCTACTATTGCTCGGGGTCCCGGGCCATACTGAAGAAGGGCCCTGAGAGAGAGAACTCTTGGTGGAGTTTCGTTCAGCCGAGTGCTGTTTGTATCGTGATGTCTACTCCTCGAATATCTGAACGGTTAGGATTCGCGATCAGAGGTCGAGCTGTAGCATTTTACCAAGTCACTTTGTCGGCGGCGCGACCCTGACGAAGCATATCACAGTTCCAGCCCATCTGATGTCCAGCTCACCAAGGGTCAGAGAGCGCATATTGTGATTACTCTCATGCGACCTAATCATCAGCGCACATATATCGGAAGTGTCTGTGTTGTGAGACTTTCACCAGTCAATATCACGTGCTCATTGCCGATGTTGTGCATCTCGAATCCATACCACAAGCCTTCGCTCTCCCTTTCTTGCACACCACATCACTTACATCATGTCAAGTATCGAAGACACAAAGCAACTATCTCTGCGGACCGGACAGACCTCAAATAATGCTCTAGGTATCAACGCTCCGCCGTCACCGGCATACAAGTCCGCACCAGCGGACTCATCCGTGCACTACACTTGCTTTATCCGGCTGCCATTTGCCAGAGGAGATTTTGTAGACCCACCGCAGGTAAGACTTTTGAATTTGTAACATAAGAAAAGCCTTTGTCCTGATGTTACAAAGGTCGACTGGAACTCGACAAAAGATCGCGCATTATGGAAGATCATCTCCAAGGCTTCCAATAGCAAAGAGCTGGATTGTAAGTACAGACTTCACCTCGAATTGTTGACATCAAGCTGACATCTCAACAGGGGAAGACTTGTAAGGCTCGTTGTCAGAACATCACTGCCCATAGCTAAATCAGTCTCAGGTCTGCTCGGTTCGATGTTTCGCTGGCTTTTCTACTACAGCAAGCAGCATGGCTTTATGAGCGCCACTTTGCACAGATGAAGGCGCAGATGAAGAAGCTCAGCCCATCAGCCTGCCCTTCGCCTCTTCCGCCTGATTCTACAGGTAACGTCGCGGTGAACAGTAACGCGACGGCTTTCCAAATTGGCAGTCAAGGTACAACAAGTGCAAGTGACTTGATGAGAAACCGCTAATCAAGGCACAGGTCCAAGAGCACCCTCTGCTCTTTCGGCACGTATCAGAGACAGCCCTACTCCAACCATGGGATCTCGAGGCTCTGGACTGTTTCGTCAACCTGCTGTGTTGCCTTCACTATCTACCACTAATCAACCACTGAAGACGGAAAGTCTCTCTCGTACGCCATCTACAAGAACACTGACCCAAAGCCGTACCGGACCGCCTGCAAGTCCGGCACAACCAAGCAACAGAGCCTTCAACACAGCTTTTGGCAATCACAGAAAGCCTGTATCACCTCAACGCGAGATTTCGGAGCCCGACTCAGATCCACTTCAGGAGTCAGATTCAGACTCCTCTTCTGATGGAGAGTCTCAAAGCATGGCACGCAGCCAAGCCTTCAGACGCCCGGCTAACTACAACAACAAGAACAAGTATGGCTACGATGATGATGACGAGGATGAGGACGGCGAGTCATCTGGTGGCTTTCTGCCGTTCGCTACTACTGCTACTGGAAGTGCCGATCCGGCTGCAACACTGAAGTCGCCTGTCAAACGTGCTTACGAGCAGAGGCCAATCGCACCCGACTCTTCGGCGTCCTCAGCCAGTTCTGCGGCACCTCCTCGTGCGGCTACTGGTACTGGTAAGCAGAGGGAAGTCAATCGTGGAGATTACGCACAGGCTCCCCCTGCGAGTGCATTGAGTCCGAGACAACGAGAAGAACTTTCCAAACTCAGCCCAAGGGTCCGCAAGGAGGGCAGCGAGGGAACACCGAGTATGGGCAGCTCATTTAGTGATCTTGACGGTAGGTGATTGCAGGCTCATGTTGTGACAGATTTTGATACTGACATGGAATTCAGATGCCAGCATTTCTCAGTCAGCCATAGAGGAGGCATTCATGAGCCATATGCAGCATGGTTCAACAACGAGCAGGATGAGCTCGATCAGCCAAGCACTGAGGAGCAAGTATTTGTAGAGACGCAGGTATTGATGGGAAAGGTTCATGGGTATATTGCAATCATCATATCTGCTGTTTCAAGCAGAGCAAAGCGTATGTTCCAAGTGATGCGACGCAGAATGCCAAGCAAAATCGCTAGTGTGAGATCATGCGTACATGTCGTCGTACTCTCCGTCTTCCTCATCCGGAGGTGGTGTAGGTGCCCTCTTCTTGACCAACTCTTTTCTGTCGAGAGGGCAGGTGGGGTTGAGCTTGAGCCAGGGTGTGATGCATTCGAGGTCGAAGAGGTGATCCTTGTGGCAGGGAAGTTGGACAACGAGCGGGTGCGAGTCTAACAGACTCTGTCAGTACAATGCGACGAGGGCGTTCAAGCAGGGACTAGTCTCACCGTCAAGGAAAGGGTTGCCGCAGATGGGGCAGTCCTTGTCCTTCAGACTCGTCTTTGGTACTCTGTCTAGCTGTGCGAGGAAGTCGTCCGACACACCCTTGACCTCCCTCGGAGGGTTCTCAGACTCTTGCATCAACTGTTCAATCATGCGACCTAGTAATTGATCCGTGCCGTCTTGCGACTCGCCGTGGCCACCACCTTGCATCATAGAAAAGGCATTTGCGAGATTGCGGAAGGCGGCTGAGACGTCACCGGGTAGAGGGAGAGAGTGGGCGTTCTGAGGATGGCGATCTCCACTGGTATCAACGAGGTCGAGTGTGGTGAAGAATGTGGATAGATCGGGGCGGCGGGGCGGTGCCTCGTTCTTCTTCTCCTCCTTGATGTTGTGTTCAACTGGGCCTTGTCAGTCGTGCGATTACATGTCAAGTAGTCGCATAGACTCACCCTCGTAGCCGGACATGATTGCGCAATATTCAGAAGGTGGTTGGTTGCTAACGAAGTCAGAAGGAGTGAGGGCAATGTCGAAGCTGTATACGGCGTTTATAGGCTAAGTCCGTAGGCAGGCACAGACACGCGTTATTACAAGGCTCGTTGATCTCTCTTTCCGACTACATTGATGGCTGGACCATCTTAAACCTTGCAAAAGAAGGATGCAGATTTCACGATAGCAATGAAAGAGAGTACGCCCGATGGTGCCGAGACTGTCGCATCCCAGGACCAACTCCCTACGCCAGCCTTGTCGCCCATCACCGAACATGGCACAAGTCCACCTACCATCGACGTGGATGGTTGCGCCGAACTGACGAGCCCGCGTCTCGACAGTCTTACAGAGGAAGGGACCAGTCCCGCAGGTACACCCACGATAGGATCGCACCTTCTTGCAACAAAGAGCAGCAATGGAAAACTGGTGCAGCCATCTCCCACGCTCAAGCTGTCACCCGCCCAGATGCAGGACTTGATTTCGTCGCCCGACTCGCTGCCTCTTCGTGCTGTCTCTATCTCGACAGACGACATTCCTTCTTTGTCCGCCGACGACGGCAGCCCAAGGACGAATGGCCTAGGTATCTCGGCTCCCGACTCAGTCTCGACCCAAGAAGCCACAACCCTGCCTTCACACAACACCAGCCGTCCCCCTCCGACCGCCTCGAGACCTGCTGTCAGTGGCCGTTCAAACTCGACTCCAGTCATCAAGCGCAAGGCCTCTTCCGCACAAATCCCGAGGAACCCTAACGACAACAGAGATGCTTCGAAACCAAGACGTCCTACCTTGAATCTCAAAGGCTCTGAATACCAAGATGGTCCTGAAGCGCTCAAGCCGTCGCCTATACCTGACTCTTTCCCGTCACCGATACCTGCTGCCATACCCGTGCCTCCACTGTCCTTACCCACCTATCTCCAACTCGAACTTTCCTCTGAGCGTCCCTCGGCCCTCTACATACACCGTTCTGCGAGCAGCGACTTCCCATACGAGTCTTCAAAAGTCAAATTTGAGCGTCTATACAACTTCTTGACACTGCCGCCTCAGTTGGAGCAAACCCTTGTCTTCGGTGCTCTGGCCTGTTTGGACGCCTGGCTATACACTTTCACCATCCTACCCCTGAGGTTCCTGAAAGCCGTGGCTGTCTTGTTGAAGTGGTGGTTTCAGAGCCTTGTCAAGGAGTTTAAAGATATTGGCTCATTCATATATACCGGTTTGGGACGTGTCTGGCATCGTAGAAAGCAGCCACCTTCCGCCAATCCCTCACGCCGAAGCTCCCTCAGCTCGCCAATGATTGGCCCTACTCCTGCAGTCTCTTCACCTCTCGTCGATGGCCAGAATGATACGAGTTCAACACGCTTTCAACAGCTTCCGTCCAAACTCAAGATACCCAATCCACTGTACCGTCACAGACGTTCCAAATCTACACCTTCGGCTCTGCTTCCAAATCACAAAGCTGACATCCTACATGGCTTGTTGATCATAATTAGCTGCATGATTCTTGTGCAATTTGATGCTAGTCGTATGTATCACAAGATCCGTGGACAGGCTGCCATCAAGCTTTATGTCATCTACAACGTCCTTGAGGTTTTCGATCGTCTCTTGTCGGCCATAGGCCAGGACATCATCGAATGTCTATTTTCCAAGGAGACACTCGAGCGCAAACCCAATGGTCGTAGCAAGATCCTTCTTCCTCTGGGCATGTTCATACTTGCACTGGTCTACAACGTTGCCCACGCCGCTATGCTCTTCTACCAAGTCATCGCGCTCAACGTCGCTGTCAATTCTTACTCAAACGCCCTACTTACGCTCCTCATGTCCAACCAGTTTGTTGAGATCAAAGGAACTGTCTTCAAGAAGTTTGAGAAGGAGAACTTGTTCCAGCTGACTTGCGCAGACGTCGTTGAGAGATTCCAGCTTTGGTTGATGCTCCTCATCATCGCTCTGCGTAATATTGTCGAAGTTGGAGGACTGAATATGGGCTCTGGATCAACAACCAACTTCAGCCCAAACTCGACAGCATCGCCTGTGCAAAGTACGAGTATCCTGCCGCAAGCCTTCAACATGTTTCCAACAGGGTTTGGCCAGATCTTTGGCCCCTTTGTCACTGTGATTGGCAGCGAGATGATCGTTGACTGGGTCAAGCATGCCTATATTTCCAAGTTCAACAACATCAAGCCGAGTCTATACGGTCGCTTCCTAGATGTTCTGACCAAAGACTACTACTCACACGCCTTTGCTGATCAGAACTTGACCAAGCGACTTGGTCTTCCAGTCTTGCCTCTTTCGTGCCTGTTCATCCGCGCTTCAGTTCAGACTTACCACATGCTTATTGCCACACATATGCCATTGCCTATGCCTTCGACTGCCACGGCAATTGCTTTGGAGTCGGCTTCTGGAGAGACGTCACCATCGACCACGGCTGCACTTGCGCACATTGACCAGATCTTCAGACGCGCGTTGGGCAGATCGTCTTTCGGAGCGGGCGCCGATGCCATCACCGGTGCTAACTCGTGGCGTTTTTGGACGCTCGACGACGCCATTGCCTTAGGCACTATGCTCGTGTTTTTCCTGATCATATACCTGATTTTGCTTGCTCTGAAGCTCTTACTCGGCATGCTTCTACTTAGCTTTGCCCGCACACGCTACCGCAAGATGAAGGCGCAGGAGCACAAGAAGCAGAGTTTCGACACTCAAGGCCGCAGAGTTGGCGGCTGGGGAGCCGTAGAAGTGGATGAAGATAAGCGTAGGTGGATTTACGAAGACGACCCGGACGGCTTGAGAAACTTGAGGGAGAGAGATGCCAAAGGCAAAGAAAAGGCCAAAGGAGAATTGAAGCTCGACGGCGTAGATAGATACATGATGGCGGCGAAGAGGATATGGTAAAAGTAACCACTCAGAATCACGAGAAGAATCAATTGAATCCTTCAACCTCAATTCAATACTAGCAACGAAGCCAAAAGAGCAGGTAGAGATTGGGATGGAAGACCTTGAGCAGCAGATGGAAGACGAAGATGTGGCGGCCGCAGAGACTCATCTTCGGAAAGAAGGTAATGGTTGTTGGAATGTAACAAAAAGAGGTGAGGTGAGGGTCTGCTGGGGTTGGAGGATGATAGGCCATCGATTATGCCATCCAAGAAGAACTCGTCCAGTCGAGGGAAGCTCGTCAAGAAGCAGCTCATTGGAATTATTTAGAGACCGTGATGCAAACCTGGGACAGGGAAATCAATCCATAGCATCATCAGCATAGTCGGTACGAAGGCAGGCACACCAGTATACTTTGAGATTAACACCTTTGCATCTTCCCTTCACATGGCGCCAACTGTAGCTTAATTCTTTGTTCCAATCGTGATGTCTGTTGTATTCGTTGCTATGCCATGAGACCATATCTTCGGCCGTCTCAACCCTCCTTGCGCGACAGTATGATGTTTGCAGGATTGACTGAGAAGATAATGTCTGGGGCGCTACTTCAATCCTCCTCGTCTGATGACATGGACATTGTAAGAAACATGGCGTCTTTGGCGATCTTCAAAGCGTCCTTGTACAACAGGTCGAATTCATTTCCAGCAACCTGGGTATGTTCGCGATGAGCGTCCACCATGGTGTGAAGGATGAGAACTGGCGCAGGTGGCTTTGATCTCTGCTCTTTTGCCTCTTGTAACTTTTCGCGCTGCTCATTGACCGCCGTCTGTTCCTCCTTCTTGTTCTCGAGTGTGGTCTTAGCATCCTCAATCTTCTTCTCGATCTCTTGGATTTCCCTTTTCCATGCTTCGTCTGACCTGTTTGAATGTGTTAGCCACGGCTTCTGGTGTGGTCGGTAGGGTTGGTATTACTTTTCTGGCATGTTGATGGAGACTTGATTGGACAGCGCCTTGTGTGAGAGATGGTTGTCGTGATTCGCGTGATGGTTGGATCTTGCAGTAGCGTTGGTGCAGTTGTTAAAAAGAGAACAGAGCGTGGCTCTTTGTTTTGTTGACTTTATCTGGGCGAGTGAGCATGTGTTGCAAGTGAGAGTGTGTTGCAAGTGAGCGCGTGTTGCAAGCGATCGTCTGTTATGCTTGTGTGAAAAGATGACGATCCTCCAACAACAACGGTTCATCACATCACTCATCAAATCCTCTGTCGTCGATAGCAAATCACTCTCACACTCGCTCACCAAACACGCCATCACTTGCCGACCGACCGCGCTCTCCTTTATAAACTCCCTCTGACCTTGCATCCTTGACGCAACATCCAAAATCTTACCCAACATGGACAAAGCATCGACAGAAAAGGAAGGCAACACCAAGTCCACGCAAAACCCTCTCCAAGATGAGAAACGAAAAACCCAGGCTCAACTGACACGCCTCTTGACGAGAATCCAAGAAACACAAGATGGCATCAATAAAACGGTGCAGATCATGGAGGACGATGTCCGCTGCGTCCAGGAGGATTTCGATAACATGAAGTTGATGGTCAGGGGATACACCTCTTCCTCAAATCACCGATGGGATGGTGACCACAATGCCACATTTCACGGCTTCGAAGTCAAGGCCCTATTCGAGACTCTGGTCAAACTCGCCACTCTGGAAAAAGTTCAAGAAGTGAGTACGATGTTGAACGAGATCACACAATGACGCTAAACATTCTTTAGGCTGTGAAGAAACGCAGGGACGGGCTCGTGGCCGATTGGAGAGAGTCGGAGCTACCGGACCGTCACATCATTGCTGCAGCCGATAGGGCATGTACTTTGGCTTACGGAAAGGCTCGGTTTGTCTATAGGGCCATGAAGGAGATGCAGCGTAAGTTCCCCGAAGAAGAAGCCATGAAATGGATCGAGGAACGTATCAAGAGGAAGGCCGAAAAGAGGTTCAACAAGCTGAAGAAGGAATGGCAAAGATGAAAGGTCGCGTGTGGCAGAGATGGACTATTCTGCAGCGACTCGTCGTCACCCACGAAGGCCTGATGCGAATGGAGGACGAAGAATAGACATCGACTCGTGGCACTGGGAGATGCTCGAGGCGATACCAAAGATTGCGAAAGGATTACTCGAGATGATAACTATCCAACAAGAGCATGCAGGTCGAGACATAACATTCCCAACATTAAATTCGATGTGCTGAAAAGAGGCGCTTGAGATCAAAGTGGACTATGACAGAGTGCTGAGACAGATTATGCCCAGACCGTGGACTAATGTTTGAAGTGCTCTTGGATTATTCGTATTCATGACTTTGCTCGGGCGTCTCGCAAGCTCTGAATCGTACCGGTGCTTGCCATACACTCCCTGATGCTGCTGGTATACATTGGAGAAGGACCCGATGGACATGGCGAGTAGTCTCCAGAAAATCTAGGTACTGTTTGAAGCCGCTTGAGATGGAATGGAGAGCACGACTCATATGTTGACAGTAGCAACCATCTCTGCTCGTCTGATCTGCGTCAACCTTGACGACGAACCTGATTTGATGGCAGAGGTTTCTAGTGTCTCGACGAAGCCAGTTTTATGTTTTCGGATCGTTTCACGGCGTAGGTCTCGCATCCACAGGCTTGCAGCCTGAATAGTCCTGGCGGTGGAGACGTGGCATCACAATGTTGACGTCCATTCATAGCAGCGACTTGAAAGCAACCATCAACAGAGCGGGAAATCACCGAGGCTCGGTGCCATCGCAGATGAGGGTGCCATACAATGACGCTCCTTCAAGGGAAACATGGGTGCAGGATGTGATCGTGTCGTGTTCGATCCCAGATGGCAGATAAGTAGCATATCAAGCTCCGTCGAAGTAGCTACAACAGTTCCGCCATAGATCTAGGGCTTGCATCCCAGTGACCATAGATCGTCCAGCTTCGGGTTCACACAGGGTTGGTTCTGATCCATCCGACCGCTGGCTTGTTGGAGCCACAGATCATGACGAGATCATGGCGCGAAGGATATGGCTGTGAGTTGGTGCTTCCTGTGTCGCATGGCGCATGCGCCAGCTTCCATCGCTTGCCGATCATCCTTCTCTTGCTGGTGTCCATCCTCCTCTTGATTCTCACAGCGAGTCGGCTGGGTCCAGTGTATGGGAACGATATGAGGATGCGCGAGGGGGATGCTGATGGTGCTCGCCATGGCTAGTCGAATGCGATACGACTCGACTGGTGGTGGGTGGCACCGTGCTCTTCTGTTGATCCTCGACGACATGACCGTGTCGCGATAGCTCATGCACGTCGGGCTGCCTTACAGAGGAGATGTCGATGGCGGAGGAAACCCAGATCGTAGCCAAAGGTGATGAGCGCACGAAGAAAACGAGAAGTCATTAGTCGGTGGATGGTGTCGTCGCTCGTGATGTGGTGGTTGGTTGGGAAGAGGTTCGGTCCTCGGGCGTCGTGACATCGTGAAGCCTGCATCGCTGTCACGGGCACCCTGTCCGGACCTACAAACCAACATCGGCCACGCAACGCGTTATTTATGAGGGTGAGACGTTGGCAATGAAACTTTTTGCTGTATAGAATGTACATGGCTTCTGTAAAATCGTACATTTGTACATGTGTTGTACTTTATGCGTAGTTGTTGCTCAAGGTCGGATTTGCTCACCAAGCCCTTCAAAATGCTTCAACTACGCTTTTCTCCCACCACGTGTGCAAAAGTACAATTGTCTTCGCGGGCATGACAACTCGTTATTACTACAGTGCTGTACATCTCAACAGAAATGGGAGAAAGTACGTGGGTTGTGTAGATATCGTAGTCAAGGCTTTTCTTGTCTGCGTTTTGGTGGGCGTTTGCGGCTGTCTCGAGCGAACTACATTTTTCTCCCCCAACACGTACAAAACTACAGTTGTCTTGATGGATGTAGCATGTGCTATCTATTTTGACCCCTTATACCCTATGGGAGATTGGAGAAAGTACGTGGTTGGCATAGATATTGCGAGTGGTACGAATGGGCCCAGCTTGCTTGGTACACCGCAACAAACGCCCATACAACAAGTTCAGATACATTTTAACAACGCAACCCCATCGATAACTACATTTATTATGTTATTTCTGTCAATGTACCACATACGAATTGTAGCTCCTGCAATCAAAAATGTATTTATCGACGGGGAAGTGTTGTCAAAATACGGTTGACCCCGAGCACAGCCATATCGTACCAAAACGCTCGCGTAGAAGTCCAGATACATTTTAACAACACAACCCCATCGATAAATACATTTATTATGTTATTTCTGGGAATGTGATACATACGACTCGTAGCTCCTGCAATCAAAAATGTATTTATCGACGGGGAAGTGTTGTCAAAATACGGTTGACCCCGAGCACAGCCACATCGTACCAAAACGCTCGCGTAGAAGTTCAGATACATTTTAACAACGCAACCCCATCGATAAATACATTTANAATCTGAAACGCAGCCTTGGGCGCCTACTGAAGCGCCCACTAAAGCGCCTACGTAAAAGTTCAGATACATTTTAACAACGCAACCCCATCGATAACTACATTTAAATAACATTTTCTCGAGACTTCATGCACACTAAATGTACTTCCCGGTTTCATAATTGTAATTTGGGATGGAATATGCAGTGGAACTACGTTTGAAATGTTAGATGGTAGGTGGATAACCGATATCCTCAGCGTCGAGCACGGGAAGATATGACCCTACAGGTTTCAGTACAGTCTTCACTCCTCTAACCGAGTCTCTTCAGTCGGATGCATAGAAAGAAGGCATCTAAAGCATGTGGCTTGCAGTGTTTCGGGATTAAAATGTGGTTGGGCGCATGTGCGGCGGTGTGCGCATGGCTTCAGTTGAATCGTGTTTTGAAAACCTGAACATTCAACCATAACACCCCAACTGTATTGCATTTGTGTTTTGCTCTGTACGAAGGCCGGACTATCGCGGTCTTAGAAAAGTAAAAAAGGCGTACTTCGAGTACGTATCAGTCGAGAAAAGGGTTGTCGAGTTGCAGACGAGGTGCAAACGTAACCGGGTGCGACAAAAGGCAACATTCAACCACACCACCCCAACTTGTTCGGGAATGTCTATGGCACTATATCAAGAGGTGCCCATTGCAGTCTCAGGGAACTAAAAAAAGCGTACATTGCTCTCAAGTTGGCGGAGATAAATGTTGTTAAGTCGCCGGATGCGCGAGCACGCGCAAAGCTTCGGTGTAGCCGGGTACCGCATGAAAGGCAACATTCAACCACACCACCCCAACTTGTTCGGGAATGTCTATGGCACTATATCAAGAGGTGCCCATTGCAGTCTCAGGGAACTAAAAAAAGCGTACATTGCTCTCAAGTTGGCGGAGATAAATGTTGTTAAGTCGCCGGATGCGCGAGCACGCGCAAAGCTTCGGTGTAGCCGGGTACCGCATGAAAGGCAACATTCAACCACACCACCCCAACTTGTTCGGGAATGTCTATGGCACTATATCAAGAGGTGCCCATTGCAGTCTCAGGGAACTAAAAAAAGCGTACATTGCTCTCAAGTTGGCGGAGATAAATGTTGTTAAGTCGCCGGATGCGCGAGCACGCGCAAAGCTTCGGTGTAGCCGGGTACCGCATGAAAGGCAACATTCAACCACACCACCCCAACTTGTTCGGGAATGTCTATGGCACTATATCAAGAGGTGCCCATTGCAGTCTCAGGGAACTAAAAAAAGCGTACATTGCTCTCAAGTTGGCGGAGATAAATGTTGTTAAGTCGCCGGATGCGCGAGCACGCGCAAAGCTTCGGTGTAGCCGGGTACCGCATGAAAGGCAACATTCAACCACACCACCCCAACTTGTTCGGGAATGTCTATGGCACTATATCAAGAGGTGCCCATTGCAGTCTCAGGGAACTAAAAAAAGCGTACATTGCTCTCAAGTTGGCGGAGATAAATGTTGTTAAGTCGCCGGATGCGCGAGCACGCGCAAAGCTTCGGTGTAGCCGGGTACCGCATGAAAGGCAACATTCAACCACACCACCCCAACTTGTTCGGGAATGTCTATGGCACTATATCAAGAGGTGCCCATTGCAGTCTCAGGGAACTAAAAAAAGCGTACATTGCTCTCAAGTTGGCGGAGATAAATGTTGTTAAGTCGCCGGATGCGCGAGCACGCGCAAAGCTTCGGTGTAGCCGGGTACCGCATGAAAGGCAACATTCAACCACACCACCCCAACTTGTTCGGGAATGTCTATGGCACTATATCAAGAGGTGCCCATTGCAGTCTCAGGGAACTAAAAAAAGCGTACATTGCTCTCAAGTTGGCGGAGATAAATGTTGTTAAGTCGCCGGATGCGCGAGCACGCGCAAAGCTTCGGTGTAGCCGGGTACCGCATGAAAGGCAACATTCAACCACACCACCCCAACTTGTTCGGGAATGTCTATGGCACTATATCAAGAGGTGCCCATTGCAGTCTCAGGGAACTAAAAAAAGCGTACATTGCTCTCAAGTTGGCGGAGATAAATGTTGTTAAGTCGCCGGATGCGCGAGCACGCGCAAAGCTTCGGTGTAGCCGGGTACCGCATGAAAGGCAACATTCAACCACACCACCCCAACTTGTTCGGGAATGTCTATGGCACTATATCAAGAGGTGCCCATTGCAGTCTCAGAGAACTAAAAAAAGCGTACATTGCTCTCATTTTGGCGGAGATAAATGTTGTTGATGCGATGGGGCGGGTGCTTGCAGGGCGTCGGTCCAGCGAGAGTGCAGATAGCAACATTTGGCAACACCACCCTAACTTGATCGGGAGTTTCTTTTGCCCCAAGGGATGCGACACTCGGTGCGATCTTGAAGAACTAAAAAGCGTACATTGCTCCGATTTTGGCGGAGATAAATGTTGTTGATTCGCTGGGAGCCAATGATTGCAGTGCGTTGGTATGACAAAGGTGCAGCAGACAGCTCAATTCGCGTTTCATGTCCACAACACGAGGAAATAAACAATCCACTGCAATTTTCTGAGCCCTCTGAGTATGGGAGATGTACATCCGCCCATTAAATATGTACATTTCCGGCAATGGGTGGTTGAAAATGTACTCTGCTACTGGGGGCCATTTCGGTAGAAAATGCCACCGAAGTACATTCTGACAGAGCAAACTCCCAGATATCCCGGATATTGTACATTCAGCCAGACCGCAATCCTTCCATCTCCAATGTGTGCCCATCTGTGTCAAGATCGGACACGAGTGGAGTCGGCAATGTACGTTTGAGGTGCTCGAGGTTGGTGGCTCAGCGTCGGTGGTCAAGCGTCAGGCTTCAAGCTTCGCCTGGCGTCGCGCACATCCAACGATGACCAACTTATCTACATCCTCACGATTCCATCACATACCACACCTCACCAGCTCTTGCCCTCGGGCCTCTCTATCATCGTACAAATCTGCGCAATTGATAACCGTCAACGCGCCCTCTCGCCGAGGCCTTCCGTCCTATCGCCGAACCATATCGTCCTCTCGCCCAAGACTCCGTCCTCTCGCCCAAGACTCCGTCCTCTCAACATCGCACAATGATACCATCTTGGTCCACCAAGGCACGAAGTCCCCCTGGTCAAACGAGATGGAAGAGGACACGGTGAATACACTCAGCCGAGCTGGTGGAGTTATCCGAGTGTTGCGCGAGGTTTCATTTACTCGTCGTTGGGGTTGACTCTGCACGCGCGACCATGAAGTGGCCGTTCAGACCACTGCATGGTACGTAACTGCTCGCTCGCGCGCAACTGTGACGACGTGGTACATGCCATGGCTGGAACGGACGCGCGCTGCACTATAGGAATCGCATTCGCCAATCAGAAGCAATGCAGTGCGCTGGCGACACCCAGGGCAGACAAACAGACAAAGAGCACAACATGCATCTACCTCCAGTCAACCACTCGAGTCCTGTTGATGAGTTTGATATGGGATGGAAAATTGACTTGCGGAATTTCATACAAGTGCAGGGTTGATGACCTTGGAAAAACTCAAATAGTGATCGAGGGAAACATGGAACGCCACCAGCAGCAGCATCTTCGGCGCCACTGGTTTCCCTTCTCAACCCCGAATACACATCACATCCTGGAAAATGGTCACATGCGAGCACTAGAAGGATCGGAGAAGCATGATGATCTTGTGTGCAATGCTGGGGTATGGATTCTATCTACCATTTGTCAAGCTCAAGCCACTACCGAGGGCGCCTTGTGTGCAACATTCGCAACGAGTACGAGCAGCTGCTAGTTGTGCAGTGGTCTCAATGAGGCTAGATTGAGCATCCATGGACCGGTCAACAGCCTCTTCAACTGGGATGCGTCTGGTGTATGGGGCCAAATGGGGAGTACGAGGACGCTGTCTGCGACCTGGATGGCGACGGATAGGTGTAGCAACACCGACACCGCCATTTGAGCCCTTGTTCTGGCCGAGTGAAGTCAAGGTAAATTGGGCACGTCCGATGGTGTGGCCTTGGTCTTCCTCGATGCGTATCCTCCGGTACCATTGCCAACATATCCACGCCTGTTGGTATCTTGTGCAGCAGGAGGGTTGGGGTACTCACGAGACATGCGGTCTTCGGTGTGAGGATCAGAACGCGGTGCTTTGCCTCCACTCAGGAAGCGGGCCTTACCTCCAATCAAGGCGTGGCCCTTGCCTCCAGTCAAGGCACGTCCTCTGGTACAGGTGTCAATAGATCCACCATCGTTGGACTCCTGGACAGCACGAGTCTCAGAGTACGCACGAGGCAGGCGGTCGATCTGCATCCCAGCGGTATCAGGAAGGCTTTCGGGATCATCTCCAGCGTCTTCGTGGTCTCAGCAGACTGCTCGCTTTCGTCCTCGTATTCACTGGTCATGCGGTTGACCTGCACCTCGGTGAAACCAGGGGGNGGGGGGGGCTCCACCACCGTCTTCGGCGTCCTCGGTGTTCTCGGCGTCATTTGCGTCAAGTTGCTTGTCCTCCACCCCTTGGTCGGATGAGGTCGTTGGTACAGTCGTCGTCGCTACTGTACTCCGTATACTCTGCGTCATCCTCTTCGATGGGAAGAGAGCGAACGTCGAGTACCCAATGGCCCATGTTGTGCATCAGTTGGAAGAGGAATGGCCAGTGGTTGGCAAGCATTGAGACGAAAGAGGGCTGCTGCATGAGACGATTGTGCTCACGCATCATGAACGCGGCGAGGTATTCACCCAAATTTCCACCTTCGCCTAGGAGAGACTGCACGATGTTGCCAACTTCGGATAGTTGAACGGTTGTAAGCTTTTGGACGAAGTGATCAGCGGCGAGAATAGCGAGGTCGTCGACTTCGTACTTCTTTGCGATGCGGTAGAGCTGCAACAGGAAGTCGAAGGTGATGTCGGTCTGGCCAGAGGACTTTGTCAATACCTCATTGTAGGTGCGCGTCTCTGACAATCAATTGAATCCTTCAAACTCAATTCACCTCGCGGCTAACTGCATCTTCGCGATGTGGGCATCATGAGAGAGTCACGCCCGTCCGGATAGCACTAAGCAGGATATACCAACATCCGATGTCTTGCTATGTGTCCTCCCCGTGTGCTAAACTTTGTCACGCGCACCCTGTAGAAATGCACAATGTTTTTAAGATCAGTGCAGCCCTCCACTAAGAGTGTGATACTTAGCGCCTCTCTGCGGACGACTAGAGAGATCTTAAAAACGTTGTGCATTTCTATAGACTAGATAACCCCGGGCATGGCCGTAGGAGATGGCTAGAAGTGACAGAATTTAGCACACGGGGAGGGTTGAGATCGTGACCCTTGCCAATCCGCCAATATTCTCGGCCCACGTAGCGATCTGGTTGTCGCGTCCTGCGGTTGACAGGTCCATCGCGGGTCAATCGTAGATCAGGGAAGACAAGCACTGGGCGTGGCTTGAGGCTCAAACAGCAGAGATTTTGATACAGAACATGTGGGCTGTGAACACGCGGGGTCTTGACAGATTTTGCGTGGCAGGTATATGATATAGAACGTGAGATATGAACCGATGCTCTCTAACAAGTCCCCTTCTCGGAGTTCCGTAATCCCAAACAAAATCCGCCATCCATCCAACATCAAGCCTGCCCGTATTTCTCATGTGCCGTCCAACGTGCATATTCCGTGTCGTCATCACAAACATCAGTGTGAGGTCTGGCATGCATATGAGTGTCTCCTTATAGAGATAGGCAAGTAGAAGCAAAAGTAAGTAAGGGAGTGCTTTCCCTGCCTCGTTTTCTCGTCCATTGTTGTGCATTGTTTACATGCCCTGCTTTGTGGTCGATCACCTTGATTTGAAGCCTATTTGGGTGTCGATACATTTTACACTGAGCTGCTCTTGTCTTGACGAACCGCTTTTGAAGCCTTAAATACAACAAATCAGCTATGGAGCGACCGACGCCGCATACTGAGGACCTTCCTGGTGGCTGGCCACAGACACCAGCCGAGTCACTTAGACAGCGAGAATCAAGAAACCACTCATATACAAGTTATGTACCATCAGGGAGAATTGATGAACATCCACCAGGAATACAACAACAGGGCGACACATACCTGTCCTGGCATCCAGAGACCACTCCGAACGATGAGGTCGCCATACCATTGCACGAAACACTTCGATACAGCGGATCATCTGGAGAGACTGCGATACCGTCAGACTCAGAAACCTCGCCAAACCATGCCGCCATGCTACATCACCCGACCGAAGAGGTCGAATTACCAGAGACTGTCGAGAAACGACCTACCGAACAAGATCCTGCCTTCGCTCCCGTGAAGACAACTACAAGCTCGCGACCGAAACTGTCTGGCAAGATGACGGAGGAAGACTTCTTCCGTACATTATCACGTAGGAGAACTAGTCAGACCAGCGGTCTCAACAGAGCCCCAACACAAGAAGACGAGGACGACAGAGAAGAAATTGATCGTCTCATGTCACGCATGTTTGGCAAGAGTCGACAAGAACACTCCGAGGAAGAGCAGACGAGACACGTGGGTGTCATTTTCAAAAACCTTACAGTGAAAGGTGTAGGCCTTGGTGCAGCTTTGCAGCCAACTGTTGGAGATATCTTCCTTGGTCTGCCTAGGAAGATCAAGAATCTGGTTTCTAGGGGGCCTAAGAAAGCTGCCGGAAAGCCCCAAGAAAGAACCGTTCTTTCTGATTTTAGCGGAACCATTAAGTTTGGAGAGATGCTGCTTGTGCTTGGTCGTCCTGGATCTGGATGCACCACTCTGCTAAAGACACTCGCCAACCAAAGAGCTGGATATACCTCGATCGATGGAGAAGTCACTTATGGCGGCACCCCCGCAGAGGAAATGGGCAAGAAATACAAGGGCGAGGTTCTCTTCATCCCTGATGAGGACTTGCACTATGCTACAATCACAGTCAAAAATACCTTGTCGTTTGCTCTAAAGACTAAAACACCTGGAAAGGAATCCCGTCTGGAAGGAGAGTCTCGAGGAGCGTACGTCAAGGAGTTCTTGCGAATCGTGACGAAGCTTTTCTGGATCGAGCACACACTGGGCACCAAGGTCGGCAACGAATACATCCGTGGTGTATCTGGTGGTGAGAAGAAGAGAGTCACAATTGCGGAAGCCATGGTCACAAGAGCTAGTGCGCAATGTTGGGACAACTCAACTAAAGGTCTCGACGCCAGTACAGCTTTGGAGTATGTCCAGAGTTTGCGATCTCTGACCAACATGGCTCGCATTTCCACTGCCGTTGCTCTATACCAAGCAGGAGAGTCTCTCTACGACTGTTTCGACAAAGTGGTGTTGTTGCATGAGGGAAAATGCTGCTACTTCGGCCATACCGAGGACGCTGTCGAATACTTCAAAGAGCTCGGCTTCGTACAACCCGATCGCTGGACTTCTGCTGACTTCATCACCTCCGTCACAGACGAACATGAGCGCCATGTCAAAGAGGGCTGGGAAGACAAGATTCCTAGATCTGGCGAAGACTTCGACCGTATCTTCCAACAGAGCGAACAGAAGAAACGCAACCTCAAAGAGATTGAAGAGTTTGAAGGCGAGACTCAGAAATTGGCTGAAGCAAGACATGAAGCTCAGACTAAGGCTACCAAGAAGAAGAACTTTGAGGTCTCGTTCCCTAAGCAGGTTATGGCTTGTACTCAACGTCAATTCCTGGTTATGGTTGGTGACAAGCAGGCGACTGTAGGCAAATGGGGTGGTATCGGGTATGTTCTCTGAGGCTTGTGCTTGGATAAGCTTCAAATCTTGCTAACCAAATGTTCTATACAGATTTCAAGCCCTTATTGTTGGATCACTGTTCTATAACCAACCAAAGACCGTTCTCGGGGCCTTCCCTCGCGGGGGTGTGATGTTCTTTTCACTACTGTTCAATGCTCTCCTGGCTCTCGCTGAATTGACAGCCGTTTTCCAGTCTCGACCCATTCTTCTCAAGCACAAGAGCTATCAATTCTATCGCCCGTCTGCCTTCGCAATTGCTCAAACTGTTGTCGACATTCCATTGGTCTTTGTACAGGTCTTCATCTTCGATATCGTGGTATACTTCATGTCTGGCCTGCAGAGAACGGCTTCACAATTCTTCATCTCGTTGATGTTCCTGTGGATTGTCACGATGACCATGTATGCTCTGTTCAGAGCTGTGGGATCACTCGTGGCGTCGCTCGATGTTGCTACTCGTATCACTGGACCAGTCATCCAAATTTTGGTGGTTTACACTGGCTATTTGATTCCGCCTCGAAAAATGCATCCTTGGTTCGCGTGGCTGCGCTGGGTCAACCCCGTTCAATACGGATTCGAAGGCTTGATGGCCAATGAGTTCTACAACCTTGAACTACAATGTGTACCACCTTACCTGGTTCCGCCGAATGCTCCTTCTGCCGAGTACCAGTCATGTGCTCTGCAGGGAAGCACTCCTGGCTCGCCAGTTGTCAATGGCGCCGACTATATCCAAACCGCCTTTACTTACTCGCGCAGCCATTTGTGGCGCAACTTCGGCTTCATTTGTGCTTTCTTCTTGTTCTTCGTTGCTCTGACCGCTATTGGTATGGAGCTGCAGAAACCAAACAAAGGTGGAGGCGAGGTGACAGTGTTCAAGCGAGGCCAAGTACCTAGATCCGTGGAGAAAGATGTCGAGACTGGAGGCAGAGCCTCTGATGAGGAATCCGGGGAGGCAAACTCAGGCCAGGTTGATGCAACACCAAACAATGACGAAGCTCGTAAGGAGTCAGACTCCGATGACACTGTCGCGGCAATCGGCAAGAACGAAACCATCTTCACGTGGCAGAATGTCAACTACACCATCCCTTATGAGGGAGGAGAGCGCACGCTTTTGCAGGATGTGTCCGGATTTGTGAGACCTGGGAAGTTGACAGCTCTTATGGGTGCTTCAGGAGCTGGCAAGACAACTTTGTTGAACACCCTCGCTCAGCGCATCAACTTTGGTGTAGTATCTGGAGATTTCCTGGTCGACGGCAAGCCCTTACCGAGAAGTTTCCAGCGAGCTACTGGTTTTGCTGAGCAGTCTGATGTTCACGAGCCAACTGCTACGGTCAGGGAGGCATTGAGATTCTCTGCGAAACTTCGTCAGCCCAAGGAGGTCTCGCTCGACGAGAAGTACGACTATTGCGAGAAAGTCATTGACTTGCTTGAGATGCGAGACATCGCTGGTGCCACTATCGGGAAGGTTGGCGAAGGTCTCAACCCTGAGCAACGTAAACGTCTTACTATTGCCGTCGAGCTCGCTTCCAAGCCTGAGCTGCTGATGTTCCTTGATGAGCCGACTTCCGGTCTTGATTCAGGCGCTGCGTTCAACATTGTTCGCTTCCTCAGAAAGCTTGCCGACGCTGGCCAGGCTATCCTGTGCACAATCCATCAGCCTTCGAGTGTTCTTTTCGAAGAGTTTGATGAATTGCTTTTGCTCAAGAGTGGTGGACGTACAGTCTACCACGGCGAGCTTGGCGATGGCTCGAAGAACCTGATCACATATCTCGAAAAGAACGGAGAGCAAGAATGTCCTGCCGATGCCAACCCGGCTGAGTGGATGCTTGAAGCCATTGGTGCAGGAAACCCTGACTACAACGGACCCGACTTTGGCGACCTCTGGGAGAAATCCAAAGAGAAGGAACAGCAACAGCAAGAGATCAAGAGCATGATTCAAGAACGCCGCAAGGCTTCAGATGGAGCTAAAACAGACGATGACCGCGAGTACGCTATGCCACTCGGTACACAAATCAACACCGTTGTCAAAAGGTCTTTCATCGCGTATTGGCGCTCTCCTCAATACGTGGTCGGCAAATTCATGCTACATATATTTACCGCCTTGTTCAACGGCTTCACCTTTTGGAATCTGGGCAACTCGCAAATAGACATGCAGAGTCGACTCTTCTCTATCTTCATGACACTGACTATTTCGCCACCTTTGATCCAGCAGTTACAACCAAGGTTCTTAAACTTCAGAGATCTCTACCAGTCGAGAGAGGCGAACTCGAAAATCTATAGTTGGGTTGCCTTTGTTATCGGTGCGATTGTTGTTGAGATTCCTTACTCACTCGTTGCCGGAACTGTAAGTGCTTCCCCTTGTTCCTCTGTGCTCCTATGTTGAGGGAATTATATCCTTGTTCAGACACTGACTTCCCTCTCAGATTTATTGGTGTGCTTGGTACTTCCCACCCGGTTTCCCTCGCGGTACATACAGAGCAGCATCAGTCTGGCTCTTCATCATGTCATTCGAGCTCTTCTACATTGGCTTCGGTCAAGCCATCGCTTCGTAAGTGTTCTTCTCGCCAGGTTTCCGGACCTCCAGATCTTTGAAGTTGATGCTAACACGCGCGTAGGTTCGCTGCTAACGAGCTGCTTGCTTCATTGCTTGTACCAATGTTCTTCCTATTCGTCGTGTCATTCTGCGGTGTTGTTGTGCCCTATGTGTAAGCATCGAGCTCCAAGTACTACCGCCATGAACTGTACTAACTCTTCCTCCAGAGCACTGCCTACTTTCTGGAAGGCATGGATGTACTGGCTCTCGCCTTTCAAGTATCTCCTTGAAGGACTGCTCGCGCTTGTCACCCACGGTCTACCAATAGAGTGCGATTCTCAAGAACTTGCCAGCTTCCCAGCTCCTCCGGGCCAGACTTGCGATGCCTATGCCGGACCATACGCTCAACAATCAGGCGGCTATGTCATCACCCAAGCCAACGGCCTTTGCGGTTTCTGTCAATATAGAGATGGAGATGCCTTTGCAGCATCCTTTAATGTGTACTGGACCTACGTCTGGAGAGACTACGGCATATTCTGGGCGTACATCATCTTCAACTTTGCTGTTGTGTTTGTTTGCTCCTGGTTGTACCTGCAAGGTGTTGGTAAGATCAAGAAGTTCTTCAGCCCGGTTGCGAGAAAGCAGAAGAAAGCCGCTAAGCAACGAGAGCATGAGAGTCAGAATGAGAAGGCTTGAGCTTCTCTTGCTAGATTTCACTTCCTGTATAATTTTAGAAGGGGTATCTTCACACACCTAAATTTCTTCTTCGAAGCCTTATACAAAGTCGTTCGTCTCAAGTACTCCTCTTATTACACAGCAAGAGCCTCGTTGCCGGTACATTTCTACAGGTCACAGTGGCACAGAGATAGTCACCGAGGACAGGGGAAAAGGAAGACGAAAGCGCCTTGAAGATGTCGTGAATATCGTGGGGGCTAGAGTCCAATCGAGATCGATCGCCCAGCTCCGCATTGTTCCGACCGGTTGCTGTTCCCGGCGAGTGAGGCCTCGCGGCACGAAGCCCGAGGTGGCCCATGGCAACAAATGAACAAGAAGCTGAACCTGAATCGCAAGCGCACATGGCTGGATATTTGCGAGAAGCTTTGCTGCCGTTACGAACTAAAGGTTCGAGAATACCGGTATACAAGGGGAAGAGGCGCATCACGAGGACGGGAAGACGAGTAGTTACGGAAGGCGCAAGGGGCAGACCCCACGCAAGCCGCATACCAAGTATCATGGGGAAATTTGGGGAAACTCGGCAAACCCGTTCGTCATCCATCATCTATACAACAGCAGATCATCATGGTTCGAGCAAGAGCAGTTGGTGGTGTGGTCATCGTTCATCCAATGAGAGCAATTGCTTACGAGCTGTAGAGTTACCATGAAGGTGAGGGGTTTGCTTTTCTCTCTTTGTCGTCAAGTCTCAAAATCAAAAAAGACATGCACACGTTCCTCGGGCTTGCACCCCGCAAATTACAATTGGATCACATTGCGAGTCTAGACAGTTTCATGACGCAGCAATTCGTTGCTATTACTTAAGGCACCCGGCTTGTTCCCTTGGACCGCTGAGGAGAGTCTTTGTTGCGGTTATTAATACGCAGATTCCAAGCATTGACTCTTCCTTGAAAACAACGCAATTGATGGACTCGTGCTGAATTCCTCCGAACCTCAGATATCAAGCAAGCCCGCAGCATCCGCGTTTCCCCGTGCCAGCCCAAGATTTCCCGGCCCATTATCGCATTTCCTCTCCGCGAAACGGTACCATCCAATTACAAACGGTTCATTGGACGCTATCCATACTGTCCCGTAAGTCCATGCCCTCCCTAGACTATATCTAGCGCCGAGAGGCCTCGGCAGATCCATCGGAGTACTGAGGGTTGTGGGGAAACTGCTGGAGCTCATGAAGAAGTAGCGCAGGAACTGATCCGAAGTAAACGCTCAGGTCGAGTACAAATATGCCCTCGTCGTCCGGTCCTGAATCTGTCCGACCATACTCTCCTGCTCCTCCCCTTGAACAAGACTACATTAGGCAACAAATTGCCAAACAACAAAAGGGAAACTTTCATTCTACTTCACTTAAAATGGTTGCCGACAGCGTCAACAAGACCGCCCTTCACCCTGGCGGTGTTCAGTAAGTTCACTGTCGAATCAAGCTTTGCAATTCTTTCCAATTGCTTGCTCTTCCACCATCACACGACTAACAAGATGTTCAGACCCCAGCGTGAGCACACCGAGATCGAGGAGGAGCTCCACGAGAAGGCACACATTGACTACGACCGTGTCGCCATTGTGAGTTACTTTGCGGAAGATCTCTCTCCTGTCCGTCAACTAATCCATGTTTAGGTTGCCAACCCCTCCGTTGCTGCCCTCTACGAAGATGCCCTCGTGTACGAGACCGGTTCAGCCATCACATCATCTGGAGCCCTCTCCGCCTACTCAGGAGCAAAGACTGGTCGCTCTCCCTCAGACAAGCGTATCGTCCGCGAGCCCAGCTCAGAGAAAGAGATCTGGTGGGGTCCTGTGAACAAGGAGATGAGCCCTGATGTCAGTACTCCTCTTCTATCCTTCCCGATCCTGATCATGACAAAAACATTGTTGCTGGGTGGCCCGAATTGTTTTCGCATAGCGGAGCCTCCACTGCGGGGCGCGGGCCACTACGTCAACTTTACCCCACTTTAGTTTCGGGCAAGCGCAGCGGCTCGGGAGCCCACTGCACAGCTTCGGCATCCCGATCGGCTGCTTGCGCTTGTCCGCGGCTCTGCCGATCCCCCTCTGCATCACATGAAAGTCGATGAATATCTGCTGACCATGTTTGGAACAGGTCTGGAAGATTAACAGAGAGCGTGCCGTCGACTATCTCAACACCAGAAACCGTATCTACGTTATTGACGGTTACGCCGGCTGGGATGAGCGTTACAGAATCAGAGTCAGAGTCGTGTGTGCTCGCGCATACCACGCTCTGTTCATGCGCAACATGCTCATCCGCCCTTCAAGAGAGGAGCTCAAGACCTTCCACCCCGACTATGTCATCTACAACGCCGGTGCCTTCCCTGCCAACAGATTCACCACTGGTATGACCTCGGCCACCTCGGTCGCCATCAACTTCGCCGAGAAGGAGATGGTCATCCTCGGTACCGAGTACGCTGGTGAGATGAAAAAAGGTGAGCGTTCTTGTAATTCACTCGTTAGGGGTCTCTTTGCTAACCTTGTTAGGTGTCTTTACCGTTCTCTTCTACGAAATGCCCGTCAAGCACAACGTCCTCACTCTTCACTCGTCCGCCAACGAGGGCAAGAACGGCGATGTCACCGTCTTCTTCGGTCTTTCCGGTACTGGCAAGACCACCCTCTCAGCCGACCCCAAGCGTGCTCTCATCGGTGACGACGAGCACTGCTGGTCCGACAAGGGTGTCTTCAACATCGAGGGTGGATGCTACGCAAAGACTATTGGTCTCTCTGGCGAGAAGGAGCCCGACATTTTCAACGCCATCAAGTTCGGTTCCATCCTTGAGAACGTCGTTTTCGACCCCACCACCAGAGTTGTTGACTACGACGACTCGACTCTCACCGAGAACACTCGTTGCGCCTACCCCATCGAGTACATTGAGAACACCAAGATTCCCTGCATCTCGTCAGGTCACCCCACCAACATCATTCTCCTCACCTGCGACGCTCGTGGAGTCCTTCCTCCTATCTCCAAGCTCACCCCCGAGCAGACCATGTTCCACTTCATCTCTGGTTACACTTCCAAGATGGCCGGTACCGAGCAGGGTGTCACCGAGCCTCAGGCCACCTTCTCCTCTTGCTTCGCCCAGCCCTTCCTGGCTCTCCACCCCATGCGCTACGCCACCATGCTCGCCGAGAAGATCAAGGAGCACAAGGCCAACGCCTGGCTCCTCAACACCGGTTGGGTTGGTGCCGGTGCCACCACTGGCGGCAAGCGTTGCCCTCTCAAGTACACTCGTGCCATCCTCGACGCCATCCACAGCGGCGAGCTCGCCAACAACGAGTACGAGACCTACCAGACCTTCAACCTCCAGGTCCCCAAGACCTGCAGCAACGTTCCCGACGAGGTCCTCAACCCGGCCAAGTGCTGGACCGGTACCGCCGACTTCCAGGGAGAGGTCAAGAAGCTCGGTCAGCTCTTCAACGACAACTTCCAGAAATACTCTTCCGAGGCTACTGAGGATGTCATCAAGGCTGGTCCCCAGCTTTAGATTGACTCTTCCTTTGCTTTCCCCATGAGTTGACGAAACCCCTTCTAAGTTTTCTGTGCATATTTGGGCTTCTTTCCCATGGCGTTTCTTCTTTTGCCTTTTGCTCGATTAATACCAAGCGCCGCGCGAAAAAACAGTGTACCGCGTAAGACTACCGCTTTTGCTCCCTTCGCTTCAGAAGGAGGCTCACTCCTAGATAAATTGTACTTGGAGGCAGATCAATAACAAAATCAATCATTCTAAACATTACTTGCTTGCTTCTCCCCTTCCCCTTGTGATGCATTTTATTTCTTGTGCTTGACGTAGATATAGGGGCATAGGATCAGAACCAAAACCGAGCTCTCAGCCTAGCAAGGTCCCTTGCAACATAGACGTGAAAAGGCACAATGATTTTTGGTTTCTGACGTAGGTCCAAAGAGATCAAGCGGTGGTATCGCTCTCAATGGACATTTACATGATCATCAAAATTATCCTGCCTTTCTGCAGTCAAAATTGCAAGCCTCACAGAGGAGAGAGGGTTCAGTGCCGGGTCAATTTCTTTACGGCTGCGTCTATGTTTACTGACTTTGCATGTTTTATCGCTCTTATCGGCAACTGTATCTGATAGTTGTAATGAAGGTATGGCATGAAGAAATGACTAACGTTGGACTCGTGAGAGAAATAAAGAAGAAAGAACAATGAAATATGCCGCTCAAAACGCTACAAAGAAGCACAAAAGGAAGATGAAATGTATGCGGAAAGATCTAACAGCCAGTCTCAAGAGTCAATCAGTCATAACCTGCCAAATCGCTAAACAAACCCGCAAAATAAGTGGAAAACAAAATTTCGATAGAGTAAAAGATGACGAAAGATCATGCGCGTGTCTTGAAGAGCATTCTGAGACCGCTGGGCTCTTTCTTCTTGCGCTTCTCTTTGTCCTTTGAGCTGCTCGTGGAGGAAAGCTTCTCGCTCTTTGACTCTTTCTTGCTCTTCTTGGACTTGGAAGTCTTGTGAGATTTGCCCGAGCGCATAGACTTGAGGTCCCCTTCGCGAAGTACACCATCTGCGACAAGTTGTCTGCCTGCATCAGGGGTAAGAAACTCGCCGTCGACACTGGTGCCTAGGCTTTGAGCCTCAGCATCAGCAATACCACGGCGCCATACTTCTATGTGGCTGAGGTCGCTGTCGATCTCGTACAACTCGTCGTATTCGGATACGGATTCAGTGTCCTCGATTTGACGTTGGTTGTTGGCTTTGAGTTCGGCGGCTTCCTCCTTGTGTTTCTGGATTTTCTTGATGATTTTATAACCTCCAAATGCGATGACAGTGACACCAACACCAACACCGGCAGCGATCATAAACTGCGGTGAGGCGAGCAGAGCAATGATGGCTGGGAATGCTGTCTTCATCGATGTCAACACGCCAGGAGCCATCTTGCCTGCCATGGTACTGATTTCACCCAAGGTCAAGGCTACAGCGGCCAAGGCGTCAGGGTTCTTTTGAAGATTCTCGATGGTGGCAATGACGGAATGCTGAACACAATTTGCTTCGTCCAGGAGTTGTTGCAGCTTGGTCATTTTCTCTCGCAATTCGATCTCATTTCCGTGAGGACGCTCTGGTAGAGGTGGTGGTAGTTCACCATAGGCCAGGTCCATATCTACATCTGCTTCAGATGCTGAGCGCGAAGTGGTTGGTCGTCGAATTTCCTTGCCCATGTCTGTGGTGTGCCTTCGCACTAGTTCGTTATGTTGTCTTTTGCCATCTGGATCGAACTCGTTACGAAGACCCGACTGCTGATGGCTTCTCGGATTTTGCATTCTGTCGTTGGCGTAAAAGCTGTCCGAGTAACCTCTCTCCACCAGTGGACGATCTCGATGCGATCTCTTGTCTTTGCTTGACTTGTGTGAGCGGCGGGAAGACTGTGAAGCGTGGTCGTCTTCTAGTGTGAATTTCTCGAGTGTCTTCTGCACACGCTTTTGCTCGATCTCTGCATCTCGCACAGCCTTGATCTCAGCTTTGCGTTCTCTATATGCTGACTTGGCCTCCTTGAAGACGTTGACAACATGTTTTCCGGTGCTGACAACCTTGCCAGACTTGTTGACCACGGTCACGGTTTGACCGATTGCCATGTCCTATATGCGACGGGTGTTGTTCTGCGAATTTATGGAGTGTACTTCTTGAGTTGATAAGCTTGGCCGGCAAGCAAGTCGAGAAGCGGTGAAATGATATTCCTGATTGATAAGAGTCGCGGTAATGATGTGAGTGTGTCGTGAGATCGAAAATGAGGGGGCTGGTCGTTTATGTAGCGGTGTGCGAAAGATAAATGAGGTCCTTTCGAGAACAAAGACGCGATGAGTGCCAAAATTTTTAAACAAAGCAAGTTCCTCTGATGCTTTTACAAAGAACTTGAGCGAGGTGCCCTAGGCTGGCGGATGATATCCTCCCGAACAGTGTGATGAGATGGCCTTTGGGTAGGTATGCTGGGCACGCGGCTAGTCGTCACGCAAGTGCTCGTCGGTAGCTTTGGGCTGGCGGATTATGTGTCTCGTACATCCGCTGTAGGAATTATAAAGTTCTGGCACAATATGAATGGTCGGTCGAGTTCGAAGGTCAACGCGCCTGCAGCAGTCGGGTGTGACTTTATGGCACCGTCGCTGCAAAAGGTGCAGACGCGCAGGTGTCAGCACCGACCGCAGATCTGATGGAACATGTTCGATTATGCGCTTCCCAAGCCCGCGGGAATTCTAATTCGATAGATTGACCTATGACATTCCACCCAGGTTGCCAGGTTTTCGAAGGTCGGCGAATCAATTGTTTCCATGTAGCTGTGGCTGTGCATGTGGCGAGTGGGAGTGGCTTGTTAGCTAGACGCGTGCATCACGATCTGCTGAAGATATTGATCTGATGCGGCTCATCGGGCTCTTTGGATCCAGATGCGAACAGCCACGTTGCTTTAGATGTTCATACTACCACGCGAATGATGGTCGAAGCAGTTGGGCGTCAAGGGGATTGGAAAAGAAAGTCGCGATCATAGGCGGCTGTCTGAGTCTGGCAGACTAGTAGCTACCAGCGATGGCGGGCGCACGAAATACAAGACACCTGAGCAACGAATCACCATCCACAGCATCTCGCCTGTCTTTTTTAAGATTGTCGGCTTTGTGACTGTTCACACAGTAAAAGCAATGAATGTGAACAGCGCATACGTGTGGGTCTGGAAGACATGAGCATCCAACGAGGGAGGGCACCATTACCAAGCAGCCTTATCGATTAGAGTCATCACCCTGGCATCAAAATTGCATGCATCTCTTCCTCCTTCTTTTGCCTCGGTCACCAATGTCATTAAGAATCGTCTTCTCATGTCTGACCAGAGCAAGCCCGCTTAAGATTGTAGCGGTCGATGAATCGAACATTGGGAACTGCTTGCGGCAGCTGTCCGTTGAACCCATGCCAATCAGCCCCGCAGTTGGAAGGTAGATAGGCGCCCGCCCCTCCGCCGACTCTCGGAGACGTAGGCAAACATCGTCAGAAAAAGGAAGGCAAATAAATGAACTGTTTCAAGCTCGGCCAAGCTGCAACTGATATCTTTGATATCGAATCGCAGACCTTCCTCCCTCCTTGACGTTACTCCAACATCGTTCCGTTCTTATTGTTAAACACCATTCACCATGGTACCTGACTGGAGACAAATAGCTACTCAGAAGCGTGACTCAGTCCTCGCTCTAATACCTGAAGAGTGGCGTATTCCAGCACCGCCTTCTGTGGATGAGCAAAGAGACGTTACTGGCAAGTTTATTCAACAATATCTAAATACACAGGAGATAGAAATCACCGAGACCGATGCTATTGGGATTGTTGAGAAGACAAGCAATGGCACATGGACTGCCGTCGAGGTTACCAAAGCATTCTGCCATCGTAGTGCTATAGCCCATCAGCTGGTAAGTTGGACAGACTCTCCATATCGTAGGGCATTAAATGCTGAATTACTGTCAGGTGAACTGTCTCCATGAGATCTTCTACAATGCTGCCATTGAATCTGCTCAGGAGCTCGATCAATACTTTGCAACCCACAAGAAGCCGATTGGACCTCTTCATGGTTTGCCCATATCTCTCAAGGATCAATTCCATGTCAAAGGTGTCGAAACTTCGATGGGTTACGTTGGCTGGATTGGTACCTTCCAAGGCGAAAAGGGAACAGGAAAGGAGAAGGTATACGAGTCTGAGATGGTGAAAGAATTACGCAATTTAGGTGCGGTCTTGTATGTCAAGACTGCCGTGCCTCATACTCTCATGTGTGGCGAGACGACAAACAACATTATCGATTATTGCTGGAATCCCACGAACAGGAATCTCAGTTCTGGTGGTAGCTCTGGAGGCGAGGGTGCACTCATCTCGTTGAAAGGAAGCCCTCTTGGATTTGGAACAGACATCGGAGGGAGTATCAGAATTCCCGCTGCGTTCAATGGCCTGTTTGGCTTGAGACCCAGTAGCGGTAGACTTCCCTACGAAGGGATGGCCAACTCGTTCGACGGTGCTCCAAGCATTTTGAGTGTGGTTGGGCCGTTGTCATCGTCGTCTGCGGGCCTTAAATTGGCGGTACAATCCATCCTGCAAACCGAACCATGGCAACGCGACCCGCGCGTACACCCCCTACCGTGGAGGCACGAACAAGAAGAGGCGGCCAAGCAATTGGCACAGGACAAGAAACTCACCTTTGCGGTCCTCAAGCACGACGGCCTATGCGCCCCGCATCCTCCAATTAAGAGAGCGCTTGAGGAGACTGTTCAAAAGCTCGAGTCTCTTGGTCACAAAGTCATTGAGTGGCAACCTCCTAGCCACAGCAAGCTACAAGACATTTGCGTCAAGGCATGGGGATATGATGGCGGTGCAGACGCTGCAAGAGCCTTTGCCCTTAGTGGAGAGGAGCCTAAGCCGAACATCATGTTCGAGGAAGCACCCCAAGCTAATGCTACTGATATCATGCGTAACCAGGTTGAGAAGAGAGATGCCGAGAAGGAGTACATGGAGTACTGGAACTCTACCAGTCAATTGACTGGGACTGGCCGCCCTGTAGACGCTATCATCTCTCCCCTTGCACCATTCACCGCAGCTCGGCCGAACAAGTACACCTCATACAGCTATTCGGTATGGGTCAATGTTCTCGACTACAGCTCTGCGATTGTCCCGGTTACCAAAGTCGACAAAAACGTCGATAAGGACTACACCGACTTTAAGCCGGTGTCGGAGACAGATGCGAAGACGCAGGCAACATGTAAGTCAACAACCATAGTTGTAAAGGCAGTCACTAACGCCAGATAGATGATCCGGAAATTTACGATGGTGCTCATGTTTCGCTACAGGTCGTGTGTAGAAGATTGGAAGAAGAAAAGGTGCTGGCAATCTCGGAGTACGTTTACCAGACGATTCATGGTTGAATGGGCAGGAGTTCCTTTGTCCAGTACGAGTATTCGAGTTCTCAGGATCAATTTATAGAAAGACACAAGTTTGTGCAATCTTTGAGAAACATGCTCAATAGGTGTCTCAGTGGGGGCACCTTCCATTTTGGAACAATCTCGTGTAATGTGATGGTTGCCCGTGATCGGAAAGCTTCATGGTTGGAAGAAGAAAATTCCGAAAGATGCACACATAATGCATGGACTCGGACAATTGGATGCAAAGTATATAACGGCCGATAGCAGGCTAGCTCTTCATGTCATGCAAAAGAAAACAGTTTCACGTGGTGGAATGTAAGAAGTTCGGAATCGGGGAGTTCGAGGCAGTCGGCAAGAAGCGTTTCTCGGTTGCGAAAAGGCTGGGCATTGAGCAGCTCAGTTAACTTTAAAGACTTAACCTGACCTCGTACTGTCACGTCGCTGGGGTGTGGCATGGAAACATTGAGGAAACTCTGAGGAAAGCAAAATGATCGAGAACATCTAAAGACGTCGAATGACTCTCTCGGATTACACCACCGACTCGACTCAATCTCAAGGACGGAGCAGAAAAAACCATGGCGGAAGCGTCTTCTCAGACGCCGGCCACTGTGTCGACTCCCTCGTCGTCAGCCGCCGGCACAGTCACAGGGCCCGGTGCAGGCGCTCAAGGCTCAGCATCGCACGAACACTCGGCCAATGGCAGCCAGAACGGCCTTGACAACAGCGTGGACTCGTCGACCAAGGCTCCCAAGGACCGCAACTGCCCATTCTGCAACCAGGCTTTTACCTCTTCATCGCTCGGCCGCCATCTGGATCTGTACATCAAGCCTAAGGTGAGTGTGCCCGTCTCCATTCCTCCGTCCAATTGCCCTGCTAACCTCGACTCCCGCAGAACCCCAAGCCGGCCGATGGCATCCACGACGTCGAAAAGATCAAGGTCATGCGAGGCGGCATCACGAGACGCCAGCCGCGAAACAGCCTCAGGGCCAGTGCTAATAACAACAGCCGGCTGCAGCACGACGATGATGCTGGCAGCGACCGCGGCACTCCGACCGGCCAGTGGGCTCGCCGTATGACCATTTCGTCTCAGGACACAGCTGGCGGCGCCTCGAGCGCCATGGGCGTCAGCCCCGTCAACCTGCGCGACTCCCGTTTCGGCCTCAACACTACGAACTGGCAAGGCACTGGCGTCATCAACAACCTGCCTCCACGCATGTCCGATCCCTCGTCGTCCAACCGCATGACGGTTGCCCAGATTCAGCGCTCTTCGCAAGCCAAAGACCAAGATTCCCAAGATGATGCAAAGGCCGCCGAATTGGCTCTGCGTGAAGTCCTCGACAGTCTCGAGGCTGCTAGGTACAATTTTCGACTTTTTCCATTTTTCATCTCAATGCTGACACGCTACCTCTCAGACGTCGGGTGTCACACCAAGATGTCTTCAGCTTCGATTTCTGCTCCATGAACTTCCCTTCGCTGTGCCTGCATGCGCTGCCCGCTCCTCAGACCCTCTTCTCCATGACTCCCTTCGCCAGCACTGAATCCTGGTCGCTCGACGCTCCCGGTGACGCACAACTCGAGGCTCTTCAACGCCAGATCACTCAACGTGTCCAACAGAGCCCTAACCCCATTCCCGAGAAAGATGCCCGCAGGCTGCAGATGCATCTGCAAGCCGCCTGGAGCAACTGGTCTCAACTATCTGACAAGGACAAGAGCTCGACTTGGGGAATTGAGATCATGCGTGCCTTTGCTCGTGCTGATGAGCGCTCAAAAGAGAAGGACGAAGAATTGGTCAAAGCAAAACAAGAAATCGCCCAGCTCAAGGACCAGTTTGCTCGTCTGAGCAGTATGCAACTGCCCCGCGAGTTCCTCCTGCAGCCTCCCGTCTCCCTGCCCCTCGACCCTGCCGTCGTCTCCGAAATGTTGACCAAGGACGACCAATCTCGCGATTGGGACTATGACCGTATGATCGGCAGATGGAGAGGAGCCGTCAAGGCTTCAAAGCTTGGAGGTGCCACCGCCGCCTCTTCCCTACCTACACCCAATGAGCAGACAGCCACCTCGACCTCATCAGGCGCCCCTGCTGCTTCGGCAAGAAATCTGCAACCCGCTCCAGCTCAAATGCCTGCAACCTCCCCCTACGATGTTAGGGCGAGCCAAACCCCACTGCAGAACGGCCACGCATCTGCCCACGTTGCCCTTTCTCGCCAGATCAGCGCTCATCAGATTGATGACGACGAGGATGCCGATGCGGACGCTGACGCCGATGCAGATGCTGATGCCGACGCTGATGCCGATGCTGACGGAGAAGACGCTCCCATGACTAACGCACCGTGGGGCTCTCACCCTCAGCACAGCTTCACCGACACACATATGGGCGGCATGACCAACACCAACGGCAAGCGCCCTCCCCCATCCTTCGACCGATCCAACTCGAAGAACCTGAAAATGTACCATGATAGCCCTCTTCCTGACGCTGCCGATGTATTTGGAGCTCGTCCCGTCGGTCAGGTTTAGAAAGGCTGAACGACGCTGCATACGACTCGATACCACTATCCCATTCGAACTGTTTCCGCCATGACTCTCATGGCGGTCCACTGTACAGGGTTCACCAATGGGCCTGTTTGGTTAACTTTCGTATCCTTCTTCTTCTTTTTCTGTTTCCCCAACGTTTATTCCCCCCCATGCCTTGTTTTTCACCACAAGAACAGCGCACGCGGCGTCTCTTTCGAAAATCCTGTTGTATGTGTTGCTGATGCACAAGAGAGATGCCCACAACTTTAACGAGCCCTCGTCTTTTATTCCTTTCATTTTTCGACACCCCCACGCAGTACTTTATGAGAAATTTGAAAAAAATGCCCACTCCTCCCGCCTCTTATTCCCTTTGCTGTTCATTACACTTTTCATGCTCCTGGTTCTATGCTTTTTGTGGTTCCGTCCACACCCAGATTGCTATTCGTTTGCGCCGCGAAGATATCACAAGTGTGTTTGGAGGAAAAATTACCCCTTTGAATTGAAGCTCTGACGAAAAAAGATTTTTCTTTGTTTCCTTTACGTTATTGTATGCGGAGGAAGAAGAAAAGAGGTAGTTAGCCAACTAATTCTTAAGGCTTGCTCTTTCCTCTATCTCTTTTTGCGTGTTGATGCTGTTGAAAATGTGCTTTCTCTTTCGGAGGGGTATCTATATTATATGTCGTCTTCTTGATTATGTCGTTGCATGCCTTCCTTTACATGTCTTGTGCCATCTTCTTGATGCTCTTCTGCCTACATATATGCTTCGTCTCCTGTCGTGCTCGTATCAAGTGGTATAAAACAGAAAATGGAAAAAGTGAAAAACACAAAAGAAACTCCCAAGGCCAAATGCTCCCCTGAACGCCATCATGCAACTTCGTAATCCTTCTTCACTGATACGGTGATCAATTCAGCTTCGACACGCAACCTTCTTCGCTCGTTCTTTCTTTCGAGGGTTGAGCAAATCAGTGAGCACTCTCCTCATCACTGGTGTAATGGCTACCGCCTCCACGTCGAGGGAACCCGTTTTGCATCCACCAGATCAGGAAACCAATTAATGTGAGGAGGATGAAGAGGACGATGATTATTACGGCGATGACGATGTTGCGTTGCATGGTTGCGGTTGTGTATGCGTCGATCTGGCTTCGTGTGGATATGGAGTGATTGGCGGATAGTCGACGGTTGATGGTTTGGAGGTTGATATATTGATTGAATGATATCAGATGCAGCCGTGTAGTGGTCGGTAAGATTTGGATGCAGAGGTTGAGCTTGAAGTGATTGATCAAACACTCTTAGGCGTTTGTGCGAGTGTGATGTTCGTGTTTAAGTTGATAGAACAGATAGATTCTGTATGATATGCTCTTTGAATAATTATTTCAAAGGTATGGATATAATAGACAAAGTTCAAAAACACCGTTGAGCAGTTCTCTTCAATACAACGGTCCGAACAAGAAAGTAAAAGCCGTGTGGAGTTTTGTATCTTTTTACCTTGGAGCCTGCGAGGTGGTTGGTATGGCTGGCGTGGCTGGGGGCTAGTTTTTGGAAAAGGCTAGGGATTTGCACTGCATACAATCAACACCTTGTTTCACCTCCTGAATCTTGCATTTGATGGGTGTTGCCTTGATCTAATGTTATACGCGTGCTAGCTAACGTCATGTTTGGGAGCGAGTGAAAGATATCGTGTCGATGCAGGCTTCTATCTGTTGTTGAGGGGACAAGCGCACACTTGGGCGATGGAAAGCATGAGGCTAGACCGCATCTCGAATCGATTTAGAATTGCGCACACAATTTCGAAAAGCCTAAACATGATCTTCCCTTTCCATTGAATAATCGATCCTTTCCTGACATCTGTCCGAATCTCTCAGCCCTCATGCATTTCCACGATCAATTTTTCTTCCCATTTGTTTACTCGAGATCTGCAGCATGCATGTGAAAAATGCGGGGGCGGGAAAGCGTGGCTATTTAACCGCCTCCGACATGCAAACTTGGCAAGGGTCAGGGTGCGTCGTTGATTTCTTGGTGACGTTTTTTTTGGTCCATGCGTTCGTTCATTGGAAAAAGCTGCGAGCTGCACGCTGCAAGCGAACCCCTGAGCGTTTTGACAAACCATTCAACGGATTCTTGGACAAACTCGGCAGAGAGCATTGAGAGATATACATTGGAGCTTAAAAGTTATCCTCTGAGTATGTACATGTATGCAAACATCTTGCTGTTGAGGATTGTTTCCGATGCTCAAGTAGACCGCTCTGATATTGCTTTGGACCCGCTATAATGCTGCCAAATACTTCGATGCTAGAGGATGCAAAGGATTCAAATACGAAAGAGCCTACGTTAGAAACACCACTTGGCCCTCTCAAGGCAACAGAATAAAACAAAAGACACCAGAATAGCTACAGAGTCGTCAGGACAACATGAGGCAACAGAATAACATGAGTACAACACATGTATATCAATCGTAGCCAGCCAGTTCTAGGCTTTTGTTATCTTACAAGCAACTGCAATATACAATCTGCATATCATACCACAAAAGCATCACTTCCTATACCTCAATCATGAAATTCGTAACAATCGCCAGCGGCTTGCTGGGAGTTTCCACTCTTAGCCAAGCAGCCATCAATCTCACTCACTCCACCAACACCGACGGCACAGTAAACAAAGGCGACTTCGTCAGAATCTCATGGGAGATCGATGAAACTCTTGTCCGTTCTCATATCTCCATGTTCGCGCTGCAGAAATAGTACTGATGCTACGCAACTAGGATCTCATGCTCTCGTTCGTCAAAAAGGAGGATGACACAAAGAAGTGGCCTCTAGGTCATCGACCCATCTACACCATGTGGGGTGGCTTGAGATTGGACGAGGGCAAAGGCAGTTTTGGTTACAATATTCCTTCGGGCAAAGTTAAGGAGGGCCAGTAAGTCATTTCTTCCATTGCGAGTGTTTGCAGGAGCAGGCTCGAGAAGTATGTAGGCTGACCTGGTGGTGCTTGAAACAGATTGTATGGCTTCTATCTCGAGGGAAAGACGATCGAGGAAAGCCCGCTCGAGTTCAACAATCTCACCGAGTGGTTTGAGATGCACAAGTGGACGCCGCCGAAGAAGGAAGACCTCAAGTTGTAGCAATGCACGAGGAGACAAATGTGTTCAATGCCAAATGCTTGTTTCAATTATGATACCGAGCTCCAAATCCTCGTGTATGTACAAAATTATTCATCAGGTTCGTTGCCGTGTCGCGACTTCTTCTTCTATGCCTTCGAGTCCTTGACAGGGTCGTTCTTGTTGAAGGAAAGCGAGACACCGTTTACTGTAGCACGGTCAGCAGGTGCTCGGAGGGGAATTGAAAGATGTACATACCACAGTGACGCTCATCGGTAGGGGTAGGGTAGCCCTCGCCCTTGAAGACGTGGCCGAGATGACCGCCACAGTTGGAGCAGACAATCTCAGTGCGCTCCATACCGAAGGTACGGTCGGTGTGTCTTGTGACAGCTCCGGGGACGGCGTCGAAGAAGGCAGGCCAGCCGCATCCTGACTTGAACTTGTGGTTGGCCTTGTAAAGAGGTGTTTCGCAGCCAGCGCAGGTGTAGACACCCTCGGAAGGCATGTGCTTGTCAAAGTCGCTGCTGTAGGGAGACTCGGTGCCCTTTTCGCGGAGAATGCGGAACTGCTCTATACCAAACGATTAGAAGACTGTCGCATTGCCACCAGACAATCGTAACGTACCAGGGCTAAGCTGAGCCTGCCACTCCTCCTTGCCCTTCTGCAATGGGTAGGTCATGTTGTTGGATGAGGAAGATGTTCCAAAGAAAACTCCGAGGAAAGGAATGCTAGGAAGACCCAGTTTTGCGGTAGGTCGAAGAGCTGGTCTCAATGGAGGAGGTGCAACTCTGAAGGTGGCGTTCGAGAAAGCGTAGAATGTGCGGACGATGTTCGGGAAGGAAGGCAAACGCATGGGTGTTTAGATGCAGGCTTTGGAGGTGTCGTCTCGAATATATGTCAGTGATCGAGGGTGGCCAAAGTCGTTTGGAAGAGAGCGGAAACAAAGAGCTTCATGGATATCATAACGTCATGGCCTCGGCCCAGTCGGACTTTGCCGCGAGTCAGTGACCAACACTTTTCGCTTATGGTATCACCCTGTCTGGATATGTTGTCGCACATAACACGACCGATATCTGTCTGCAGGTCTTCAAAGTCATCCAGCTGAAGCCTTAATGCATTCGAGGTCTCTGGAGAGTGTTTTTGCGAATGCCATGCGGTCGTATCTTGATTGAGAGATAGCATTGTTGTTTACGGCTTCCACTCTCGGACACTTGACTGGACATGATTTGCTCTTCATCAACCATGTGAAGAAATCACCGACGAGAGCATTTGACAATTGGTCTCAGCACACAAGGAACGCTCTGTTCTATTTGAAAGGTCGAAGTACGATTCGAAAATGATTTGAATGTTCAAGGTTATGTCAACTGCAGCAGCTGTCTACATCCCAAACGCCACGCAGGCAGGCCACATCGACCTTACAGATTATAGTCCGCCCTCTTTTTGATTTCCTGACTCCTTTCCCACATGAACCTAACGCTCAAAGTCGACCTTCGATCCTCGCTTTCCTACTAGCCTGGATGAGTCCTCGTCGCTCTTTCGTGAGATGACCGAGATGTAACTATGAGATACCCAAGCCAAGGCCCTTGGGATCCGATGGTCCACTTATGCTGCCACTAGCCACACTTCCACCAGTGACGCTGCTGCCAGTGATACTACCTGCGGTGCCTGTACCATCACTACGTCCTCTCTCACGGATGCGACGACCTTCCATGAGACCACGTAGTCCGCGCTTCTGAAGACCGATAACATGGCTTTGACCACCATCCCAAACCTCCTCATCGTCGCGACTTCCATGACGGCTGCTTGTTACGCTGTATGCTGAACCAGTGGTGGAGGCCGAGTCTGGCACGTCCTCGTCCTCTTCGGTCAAACTTTCTCCACGAAGAGTGGTACGTGTGGTGCGGCCATTGGCCATCTCGGTATCGACACGCAGTGGATTACGTCCACCACCGTTACCATTGAGAGACAATCCCTCGATACCAGCAAGGCTCTGTACACGAGGTGGGTGAACACTGGTACCAATGTCCTTGAAGGCGACACCCTTGCCGCCACCAGCAGCCATAGCTGCAGCATTGAAGATGGCTGCAGCATTACGACCATCCAATGTCTCATGTAATCTCTCTGTCACTTCTTCAGCCAAGCCGTCGATCTCGTATGGTCGAGCAAGCTGAAGCAGAGAGCAGAAGATCTGAGGTGTTGCAAGATGCGAAGGCTGCTGGGGAAGAGAGCCAGTGTATAGATAGTGGATAAGTGCTTGAAGCGCCGGGACTGTGTGGGGAAGATACAAAGTTCTTGGACGAGAATTAGGCGGCATGTTTCTAACATCAGCGGGCTCTAACGTCATTGTGGTACCGGTCATGCTGTTGGCTGTGAGGGTTGATCCATTGGAAGTAAGTGTAGGCGTGATGGTGATGCTAGAGTTGCGAGACGCCATTGTGGCAGGTCTGAGAGTTGCAGTCTCGCCACTTTCGTTGGGCCCAGCACTTTCGCGTACGAGCTGATTGAAGAAAGGACCCCACCTGCGTCCAACAAGGCGTGAATTGACAGGGAGACGAGTGCCGTCAATAGCGAGGAAGTCCATATCGCAAAGCTCACGCGACTGAAGCATCATCTCGCCCAGCTCCTCAGCACCACTGTATAGCCTTCTACCACCTGCCGAGCCTTCGGAGCCTGGCTGGTATTGCGGCGCGCTAGCTGACATGTAATCTGATGTAGGCCAGGCTTTTCTGGGGTTGTCGTACAAACCAAATGCCTCGAGCTGCACCACGCACATGTTGTTGAAGTTTAGACGACGATTGTTATAATCATCCACCAGGTTGCGCTTGCGGTTTCCAAGGATGATGAAGGAGTTTCTGCGCTCCCATAGAACACCTCTGTTCCAGCTTCCTTGGCTAAAGATGCTACTGCCACTATCGATGCGTGCCCATGTCAATGAGCGAAGATCCAGAGCCCATAGAGAAAACTCTTGTTTTGAAGATGTCAAGAATGTGCCGGCTACAACAAAGTTGTTACCGATAACACCGCCTGTGGGGAAGCGAAGTCCAGGGGGCGTTACTGTGCCCTGCATCTGCTTATCGACAAGAGTGCCATCACGATTGCGGACCTGTAGCTCGAGCTTGACATCCAAGAAGTTGTAGTTGGTATAGATGAGCATTGCTGAACCGGAAGCATTAAGCTCTGTGTCATCATCTTCGTCGTCATCATCGTAATCGTCCATTGAAGCCTCGTGGCCTGCACCAACCTTAGTACTCTCCATGCTGACCAGAGGTGTGACGACAGATCTGTATGCTCCACAGCTACGACCACCCATGGGCTTAGTCGAGGTCCATTTCAGACTGCGGAGATTGAAAACACTGATCTGTTCAATGTATTGGTTGTTGCTGTCCTGACCTCCCACGACGATCATCTCCGCACCACCCCTTCCATCCAGTTCCACACCAATTGAGCCCGAGTTCGGTTGAGGACCAGAAGGATTGTGGTGTATAGCGGATAGAGGCGCGTTAGAGGAGGCGAAGACGGCTCCAGAGGGAAGAATGGCGGCGCAATGAGCATAACGGCCCTGAGGAGCCTCTCCTGTGCTGATCTTCGTCCATGTATGTGAAGGGATATCGTACACGTGCACATCAGACATGACGCTGACCTGAGCGTCTGGAGACTCATTCTGAGCGGCGGGACCGCCTTCGGGCGACATGCCTCCGTAGCAAACCAGCTTGTTGTCTCCAAGAGAGCATACGCTGTGGAAGTATCTAGGAGGCGGAACATCGCCTTTGGTCTCGATCTTGGACCAATGTCTGCGGGGAAGGTCAAGCTCGTAAAGATCTGAAGTCAAAGTAGGACGAGATTTTGAGATTTTGCGACCTCCAAAAACGTATAACTTGTCACCGAGAATTGTGGTAGTAGCTCCTACGAGCGGATGAGGCTCTCTTCCGGTGGTGCGATGTACGTTACACACAAGTCCAGACAAATTTGCTGTAGCCGAGCCCGCACTCGGTGTCTGAGGAGGAACAGGTGAGCCTGTTGTCGAGCGACCGGGGTGACCGGAAGCATGGCTCATCGCATCCATCTCCGAGGAAGACTCATAGTCATCCCGTCTCGATGTGCCGGACAAGTGGCTTGCGACAGAGAGTTGAGCAATCGAGCCTTTCCTTGAATCCAGATAAGAAGGTGTAGGTGAAGCAATCAAGGAATCAAGCGTATTAGTGCGGCTGGAATTAGGTGGCTGCGCCATGATTGCTATAGACGTGCGTTCTTGCTCAAAGTCAAGATCTTCTGCCGTGTGAAAAGAGCTTGTAGAGAGACTGGGAACTGGTGAATGAGCTCGAGTCAAGTGAACATGTCGTAGCCGTTCGGCGCTATCAGGAGAGACGTTGGTGTTGGAATAGACAGATCCTGAGCAATTATGAGGACAAATCGTTGACGGTGAAGATGTTCCCACGATATCAACGAGTGTGATCGGTCCAACGAAACCGAGCTTAGGTTGAGGATCCCGATAATATTGAAAAGTAGAAGTCGAGCTAGAAAAGCAGATGCTAGGTTCCAGGGATTCAGGAGTCCTTGATTCGCTAAAAGTGTTGTGTACAACGATCGGTATATGTCTCGATCTTTGCGGGCTGGGTGTGCGTTCGCGGTGTGCTGCTGGATATGGTCCTGGTAAAAGAAGACTCCCAGTGGAATTCGCAAGAGCGTATGGGCCTGAGTTTGACGATGCCTCAACTTGGAGATAATCTTCTTTGTGTCTGAACAGGAGGTTGGAAGCAGTCCTCCTCAATCCTAGACCCGATTTGACACCTGTTGATGTCGACATGTTAGCGATATACAATCACAAAAATCGGTGACATAGAGTGAGTGAGCCTTGATATGCTCGATATCGGCGTGAATATGATGAGATAGTGCTGTCTTATTTCAGAGGGGAGAAACAGTCGACCAAGGCCCAGAGAGATGCGCGTAATCATAAGGAGCATCTGGTGTTGTTGAAACCTGGCATTTCGTCTTCCACGATTGTTCCCAAACCACCCCACTTGAAGACTTGATCTGCAAATATGTTCCCAACCATGGCTTGTTTGCGCCTTCCAAGGCATTTTGACTCTTTCTGCATCCTTGTATCCTAGAGCATGACCCAAACAAGACCAGAAGCTCAAGAAAGAAAAATGGTAACTTTTTCCGTGTGCGATTGCGCAAATGTATTGATCCAAACAGAGAGGGTAATGTTGTCAAAAGAAAAGGAGAAGGTTGAACCTACCACGATTGCGCAAGAGATTGTCGCCAATGGAACACCCGTCGGGATATCACCAAACAAATGTCGAATTGAATGCGGCTGTGCGAGGGCTTGTTGAACAACAATTCGACTGTTTGGAAGAAGGGAGGTGCAACGCTGGATGTGTTTCAGACTGCAGGACGGAGATTGCCGCACTGCGTTTCTAGACCAAGGGGCCCGGATGTCGTTTGATCCCGAAAACGGTAACATGCAGGTCTTCAGGACTGTTTGGAATTGGCCTTACGGATAGATGATAGCTGTGCTTCTTTGCAAAACAATCGTTTTTCCACCGACCCATTGATAGTGTGTCTTAATAGGAGATCTCATTGCTAGGGAAACTGCTCTACATTTCTTGAAGATGCCAAGACGTCAACATTCGAGGTGCGGTTACGGAGACCATGTCCGTCGCCGAACGAGGCAAGCCTGAAAGGCGTATGCAGATTCACATTTGTTGTAGGACCATTGAAACATTTGGTAGACATCAAAATCTTCATATCATCAAGGCTATTCGTATATATATAAGGGAGGAACCCAATTCCTCAACCGATCCGAAGAGCAGGGTATATCATTCGCTTTTTAACCGCAATAAACCATTTAGACGTTGGCACTGGTCTCCTCCTTGGGAAGAGTAGTGAATCTAAGGTAAGGCTTAACGATGTTGACCTTGGGGAAGATCTTCTGGGCCTCCTCAGTCTTGATCGAGGGGTGGACAATGACGTCGTCACCTGTTTACAAAGTCAGACTATCATTCACAGAACGCATTTTGGAAATGTGTAAAAACTTACCGGGAACCCAGTTGATAGGGGTGGTGATTCTGTGCTTGTCACCAGTCTGGAGAGAGTCGACAATGCGGAGGACCTCAGCAGTGTTGCGACCAGTGGAGGCAGGGTATGAGAGGATAGTGCGGATGGTCTTCTTGGGGTCGATGATGAAGACAGAGCGGATGGTGAAAGCAATGCCCTTGGAGTCGACATTGGTGGCGTCCTGGTGGTCGAGCATGTCGTAGGCGAGAGCGACCTGGCGCTCCTTGTCACCAATGATGGGGAACTTGAGGCTGGAGCCGCTGATCTCGTCGATGTCCTTGATCCAGCCACCGTGGCTGTCAACGGTGTTGGCGGAGAGACCGATGAGCTTGACACCACGCTTGGTGAACTCGGGCTCGAGCTTGGCGAAGGCGCCGAGCTCAGTGGTGCAGACGGGAGTGTAGTCCTCAGGGTGAGAGAACAGAATCACCCACTTGTCTCCAATGAACTCGTGGAAGTTGATGGGGCTGAAGTAAAGTTAGTTTCCACAGCAGGAAGCAAACAACAGTGGTGAACCTACCCGTTAGTGGTGTCGGCATCGAAGTTGGGGGCAACGCTGCCGAGGCGGAGGGGCTCAGGTCTCTGGGACATCTTGAATGTGATTGTGTGTGAAGTGGTAGAGGAAAGGAGGAGTGGTTTGTGTGGAGGACAACAGAAAGAGAGCTCCGAAGTGGGGTGGAAGTTGAGGGTTATTAATATTTGGCGGGACCCTCACGCCACAGCCACTAGAACTCGCATCATCTGTCTGTGCATAAAGAGTCCAACTCTTGTCATTGTCTCTCTCGAGTTCTTCTTCCTTCTCTGACCTCCAAACAATCCTATGCTGGAAGCTATGTAGACCACCAACACGACACATACTGACCTGGTCTACTCAGTCCGCACTACCCTTCATCACTCTGCAACCTCGTTCTGAAATGCTCCATCTTCGACCTCCCCCACAATCAGCTCGAGAGCGAACTCGGAGAAGCTACCTATTGTTTGCGGAGTGGCTTGAGGCTGGCGGATTCTGATTGGTCGGAAATGGCGTATATATCGACCCAAGACATGGCGTTGGTATCGACCCCCACAGTTTCTCATGCCGCTCGAGTAAGGAACAGCTCATGACTTTCTGTGTTTCTACAAAGAATAGAGAGCTCACGAGCTCCGACACATGTGTTTTTTTCTTTTGGTTGACTCTGATCTCAGTTGGAAGTAACAGAAATAAATCAAAGTGTGTAGTGCATCCTAAAACAATGCTTCGTCGAGTTTGGCCCAAAACGTACTATCCCCAGCTTCCTCGACCTTGATTCCCATGCCTTCTCTAAGAAGGAACCGCAACTTGCTGGAGGTTGAGTACTCAACTACAGACTGTATTTGAGCATGTGCTATGGACGAGTCCACATCTACGGTGTGCTGCAACGTCAGAAAAGCAAAGGCCCTCAAGCAGCGACAAGATCGCTGTGGGCTTAGATACCACGAGTCGACCATCTCTTGAGAAGACTCTTGGCATGCGTATCCATCGACTCCGCACGTTTTCATGGCTTCGCTCTTATTGTGTTTTTGACGTTCAAAGCAACCGTCAATTATTTATGATTTCAAAGCGAAGGACCAAAGGAAAAAGGTACACCGACCTAATGTAAGTTTCCCGCGAGATCGGCCGTTGTTCCGCAAAGGGCGTGCATGTATGACTGTTTCGGCATTCGGCAACCATGAGGTGGAGTATCTTTCTGGTGTATCCAATGCTTTTACAGCTCAATTTGCCTATCATATTCCTATTCCTATTCTCTTTCTGTTGCCACTCACAATTCAAGAGCGGTATGATACTGGCCCACTCTCGCGACAATGAGTGCAATGCCAGAGATACACCTATCCCAGCCTCCCCCGGACTACGCCAATCAGAATGTCCAACATGACGATAACGAAAAGTCCCCAGACGGCTCTGCGAACATCTCACCCTCACATACGACCAGCTCGGACGATATCGCATACCACTACCTCGAATTCGAAACGCCAATTCCTCGCCCGTCCTACCTTTCGTCTCCCTACGATTTAAGGACGACCCCACCAGCAGAACCGGACCTCAAGAAATATGAGTCGCCATTCAAATGGTCAAGGAGGAGGAAGCAGGCGATAACTTGGCTATCATGTCTTGCGACGACAGTGACTGCATACGCAGCTGGTAGTTATACTGCCGGCGATGCGCAGATGGAGGAGGAATGGGGCGTGTCCCGTGTGGCCATCACGGTGGGAGTCACCATCTTCACTACCGGATTTGCGATTGCTCCGATGATTCTGGCTCCTTTTTCTGAGATCAATGGACGTCGACCCATGTTCGTGGTTACTGGTATCCTCTACGTCATCTTCCAAGTTTGCTGTGCTGTCACAAGGTCTTATGGTGGCATGCTCATCTCACGATTCCTCAAAGGTTGTGCGTCAAGTACGTTCAGCACTATGGTAGGTGGTGTGGTCAGCGACATCTACCACGCCGAGGACCGCAACACTGCAATGGCGCTCTTCTCCGGCGCGGCTCTCTTTGGAACAGGACTAGGACCTCTAGTGTCGTCCTTCATAGCGTATCACACAACATGGAGATGGATCTTCTATCTACAAGTCATCACCTGTGGCACAGTCCAGATCCTAGTCATTCTGTTCTTCAAGGAGACTCGAGGATCAGTGCTGTTGTCCAAGAAGGCCAAATGCCTCAACAAGTATTATGACGAACTAGAAGCGGCAGGATTTGTTGGAGTTGACATGCCGCACGATTCCAATCCGAGCAAGACTACTATCCAAAGAATACGATGGAAGGTCAAGAGCGACGAGGAGCGTGCCAGTCTCTTGCAGATGATAAAGATCTCCCTCTTCCGACCTTTCCATCTCCTCTTCACAGAGCCCGTGGTGTTTTTCTTCAGCTTGTGGGTGGCCTTCTCCTGGGCAATCCTGTACTTGACCTTCTCAGCCATTCCCGTCATCTTCACAGCTTCCCACAACTTCAACCTCTACGAAAATGGCTCCGTCTTCTCTGCTATAAGCGTCGCCTCCATAATCTCAACCATCATCTCGATCCTGGGTGACAAGTGGATGAAACGGCGCTTTCCACACCTGGGAGATTCTCCAGAGGGTCGATTATACCTGACTTGCGCGCAGAGCATCTTGTTACCTGTGGGTCTCTTCTGGCTCGCGTGGACATCAGGCAGTAATGTCCATTGGATCGTTCCCACCCTCGCCATCGGCTGCGCTACCATGGGTATCTTCAGTATCTACCTCGCCGTCTTCAACTACTTAGCCGATACATATCATCGCTACGCCAGTTCCGCTCTCGCGGCACAAAGTTTCTGCAGGAACATGCTGGGAGGAGCATTTCCTCTGTTTGTACCGCAAATGTTCAGAGCGATGACATTTCAGGGCGCGGGTAGTCTGTTGGGAGGTATCGGGGCGGTGTTGACGTTGGTGCCTTTTGCGCTCTTGATATGGGGACCTAAAATTAGAGCGAGGAGTAAATTTGCCAGTGAGATTATGGAGAAATAAATGGTCCATACAATATTCATAGATGCGAAAACATGATTTCCCCAATCCGAATATTGCTATGCGTGATTTGTGTCAACGTGACAGTAGAGATGGGAGCGAGTTCACTTGACCCACACAGCACGGATGAAGTTGGAACACATGAAACATGTCAAAAGTGGTATTGAACTAAAAGGGAAAGCCTTTTTCTTGTATCCTCCTCGCTAACGCTATTGGAGAGGACCGCCGCCTAAACATAACAAGCAGGAAATCAATAACGCCACTCTGCATGCCATCGTTAAACCAGCCAAAGAATTATTCGCCATGATGATAGTGAAACAAACAGACAACATCTAGCCTCCACCAGCAGTGATGGCGCGGATGACAGCGCTGAGCTGGCTGACCAGAACGGGGTTGTGTGCGAAGGCGAAGAAGAGCTTGTCTCTGATGGGATCGAAGATTTTCTTCATCAACTCAGCCGAGGCAGGAACTGGCAATTCGGGCATGGAGACCGAGCCTTCGTCATCTTCGCCGTCACGGTGAGATTGCTCGCCATCAGCAGCAGGTGCCTTTTCATCGGCAGAAGCGGGGGCAGCGGCAGCGGCATTGTCGTTAGGAGCCATCTTGCGGACGCCACGAGCGATGTTTCTCAACACGAGTGCAGAGCCCAAGGGCAAGCCAGCGGGGTCGCCGCGCTCATCAGTGATGGTACGGTACCAGATGCGATGGCTGGGAACCGGGTCTTCTCCGTCCTTTGAGTCGCGCTGGTGCTGACGTCTTTGCTCCGTCAAGGGACTGGTGTCTGGCAGATGTGTGTAGATGTGACGAGCCAACATCGCAATACTGACAGGCAGGCTCGAACCGGTGGCTTGGCGAGAACAGCTGCTCCATTTGCAACTGTACGACAGCGAGGAATCGACTGAGGCAAAATCGAAGGCAACACGCTTTGAGGTGCTTTGTGGTGGTTGTGGAATGTCGCCGTTGATGGCGGTCGGGGCCTTCGTAGGTACTTTGAGGTGCGAGATGAGGATGTGCTCCATGAGCTTCTGGCCGTCGAGAAAGAATTCGCCGCACTCTTTGCCGTTCTCGTTGGCGAAGACGTTGATGGCGTCCCCTGTATGGTCGGTAGGCTCGGTGCGCCAACAGCACTTGACTAGCTCCTTGCCATTGATGTCATGGGCAATCTTGCGAGGTCTAATACCGCGAATAACGTATTTAGAGTTGGCAACCTGAGCTGAAGCACCAGTGAATGTGTTGGAGACGTTCTTGATGAACTCCCCTGCTATCAGACTGCCATGAGACGGTTGATACTTGGAGAAGGTAATCGAATATGACTGCCACAGGTGGATCTGCGTCATCTCGGAGTCAGGGTCGATTTCAAAGCACATGCGCAACCTGTAGACGTTAGATGTGTCAAGATACTTATGGTGTAATTTCACTTACCAGTGTGAACTACGATCGGGCTCCTTGTATTGGAGAAGTTGCTCAATGACATCTTGCGATAGACGGGGGACATGGGCAGAGCTGTCCGAGTCGTAATGAGGCTCTGAGGGGCGAGGCTTGGGCGTCTTCAACACTTCCTTCTTTGCATTGTAGAGCAACAAATTAGATAGCTGTCTGACAAGGCCCTGGACATCGGCATCAAGGACCAGTGTCTCGACGTTGTCGGCAATGGTGGTGTACTGGAAGAGGAAGTCCAAACATGCAGAACGCAGCTCTTCGTCAGGCAGCATCATCCAGTCGGGTAGCTTCTGCACAAGCTCGAGAGGAACCAGTTCGAGGCGCTTGTTCTCCTCGAAAGACATGCCAAGTCGGCTGATGGCGCGCAATGAAGTGACTATTCTGCCACGGTCGTTCGACTCCAGTTGAGCCAGCAGGGTTTCGTAGAGGAGATCAGTTGCGTCGAGGTCGTAGTGTTTGGTAAGTTGCTCAATAGTCTCAAGCGCGTAGTACTGCAATTCGACCAAGGCAGGATGGCTCGGGAGGTTCAAAACGATGCAGAAGTAGTCACGGAGAAGGGGCAGTTTGGCAATGTACTGGGCGTTCTCGTCCAGCATGACCATGTTGCGGATGACAAGACCGGCCTCAGTGATGCGGCCCAGAGCCTGTCTGAATTCCGTAGTCTCAACAGAATTGGCAGTATCCAGGGGCACTGCGGCCTGGAGTTTCTGCAGCAAGTCCGGGGTGCCGTTGATGGCGTCCAGGGTGCGGGGACCAGAAGATTCTTCGTAAGACACGATCCACTCGAGATCGTAGAAGAGGGTGCTTACTTGCAAGAGCTTGTTGATGAGAGCCTCAGCAAGACCGGGGAACTGGTCGAAGCGGTACTTATCGCCTCGCTCGTGCGAGATCTTGACGAGATGGTGGAGTGCATACTCTTCCTCTTCGGGCAAGCCAGATTGCAGAGCAAGTTGTGCGCGGACGTAGATGTTGGGGCCAATAAACCCAGTGCCCGGCAACATGAGGCCTCTATGCTTCTTTGCTACGTGACTGGCTTGTGCTTCTTGTTGCTGTTTGCGCTTGAGGCGGTAGTATTCGGAATTGTTGGCAGGGGTCGTGACGGGCTTGAGCGTCAGGGGCACCTGCTGCTGCGGCTCGTAGGTGGCTAAAGTCATGGGAGTGGTGTTGTTGTAGGCAGGTGACGGTGAGGCGGGAGGTTGCGATGGATGTTGACCCTGGTTGCGCGTGCGCGAGGGGTTCACTTCGGGTTGGAACAAAACACGCTGCGGCGGCGCATGTCGAAGACCTCTTGTTGAGCGCACACTGCCCGGTTCTCCATCCTCGTTCGTTCCCTTGGCGTCGTCCTCGTTGTCAGACGAATGGCCGTTTGCAAGGCCTTTGTCTCCACTCGACGAACTTGGGTAATTCTCCAGCGTCCTTGACATGACGTCTCCTCCCTTGGCCGTCACATCCTCGACCACCTCCTTCGGTGGCGGGTCTTTCTTCCAGTGTGTCGAGATCTCGTATGCGACCAGATTGTAATAGTACGCCCTCTTGACCAGGAAAGCCGCGCCCGCCAGGTTCTTGATTCCAGGTAGAAGCTCCTCAGCAATCTTCCTCCACATCAACGGCTTCTTCTTTGTGTCTGACACCAAATCATAGCCGCCTTCTTCAACCACGCGATGGTACAGCTTTAGCAGATCGATGTGGTGTGCTTCGACCTTAGGTTCTACTTCCAGTGTGGTACTGTGCATCTCGTCAGAATCACTTTCGCTCTTACTCGACCACTCGACAAGGTGCATACCCTCTCTGCTCATGGTAGACGGCCAACTCTTTCAAGAAGTTCTCATACTCCTCGGTCTTCTCAATCGACGACTCGCGCTCGACCCTCTGCCCAAATTTGCTGCCTTTGGGAGGCATGGTGTATGGTTGCCCTGTTCGGAAGGGTCGACTGGTCTATCGGAATCTCGGCGAACGATCCAGGTACATGGGGATGTCAAGGCGATGTCAGATGTGGTATAATCGAGCTCGGCGCAATTATTTGAGGGTGGTTCACGACGCGTCGAGCAAGTACACCTTCGGACCTTCCTTGCGTGGATCGGCATCCTCCACAATGTGAACTTGGCACCACCCTCGGTGTTAACTTGTCGCTATCCCCGAGCAAGAACTACAACCCCATTCAGACACACGAAAGCCTGTCCTCGCTCCTGATAGCAGCAGCACTTCATGAGAGCCTAACAGCCATGCTCTACGTGAAGCCTAGAAGGAATGATCTGGGAAGGGAAGAGAGATACATCTGCCTTGTATTGCTCCAAGCTCCTTACTCTAGCCTCTACACAATGGTCGTTCCTTCCCATTTCACGTCGAGGCCATCATGCATTCCAACTCCAATGGACAGACGGGATATCCGAGAGACTCTGATGCCTTCGCTCACACAAGTAATTTTCGCTTGCCTTTTCATCTTGACAGATCCACCTACCTCCCAGCCACATCAGCGGTACTCTACTGTATAGTGTACTTTTTCTCGGTCTTCTTTTCCCAAACACTGCCGTGCTTTCCAATTCAACATCTGGATATCACGAGTCACTCAAGGATCGGCGACCGGTTTCTTCAACGAGAAACTCAACTTGCTTCGCCTCTTTGAGTTCTTTCATCGAGCATGGCAAGTCAAGATGGGCTCTTCGGTCGTGCTTTGCTGTGCCATCCTGTCCTCAAATTCTCCCACTCGACGCTTCCTCGACATGCGACCCCTTCTGCGTGGAACCATATCCAAGGTCCAGAGATATTCGCTCTGATCGAACAGCTCGACCACGACTGTCTTCAGCTCAGAGTCGTACAAGGCACCAAAGATCTGGTGCGTCCTACTGAAAGACGTATTTGCACGACTGCTCACAAATGTATCGTAGGAGGTTCTTCCACTCACCGCCATCGTGCAAGAGACTAGAGACTTGCATAAGAAACATCCCCATCTGCCACCTGACAACTTGCCAATCTTCGGCCTGACCAAGGGTACTGCACTGGCAGTCAGGTATTTCTGTCAGGACAACCAGGTAAATTGCGAATGTCAGCTTTACGAAAACTCAAAATTGTCGTTCTGACCTTTGTCGTTAGATCAGACGCATTCAATTGCGGTTTGCCAACATTGACTCTTGCAATGAAGCTGTAAAAATTCTCTCCAGTCATGGACTCATGTTCTCTGTACCGACTGTCAAGCAACAGAAACAGCCTCAAGCTCGGCCATCCACTGCAAACTCATACATGAGTCGCCTGTCTTCTTTTCAGCCCGCCCGCTTTGATCGTGACACGTCTTCAATCATTGTGCCCACGGTTCAAGGTATGTTGATATGGGTCACAGCTTTTGTGTAGCCATACTTACAAGTCAGACACCTTTCATCCGGCTTCATCATACCCTCAGCATCATTCCGATCAGCATACCACCAACCAAGGCAGCCCCTCTAATATGCATATGTTTACTTCTTCACCGACTGGAAAGGAGTACCAGACTCGGGACATTGAAAGACAACCGACCGACCAAGCAGCTGACCTGCGCATGTTCATATCTTCGCCAACTCCGAAAGTGTACCAGAACATCCAAAGACAGCCAACCTTCGCACTTATCCGTACAAGCGAAGAACCGGAGAACAGACCCTCGACTGCGCCTATTCACTGGCCGTCAGACATGACCAGGGACCTGCTGCCTCCAAGAAGAGAGCTACCATTCCCAAAGCCGTCCAGCAGTCCTGCAAAAACCAAGATGCTGCCGCCCCTAGCGAAGCCAAGCTATGTGTCAGAAGCCGCTAAACCAGCCAAAGCAGAGAAGGAGAAAGAGGCCAAAACACATTCATCGCCAGAGAGACATCCTTCTATCCGTCCGGGCATCACTCGACTTGCGACGCCTCAAGGACCCACCAGGTTTGAGCCACCAGCGTCACGCATGTACAACTTTCACCCCAATGACGATGAGATGGCAGTCGACAGTGGCGTTCAGATGTTCAGCGACAAGAACACTGGCACTATGAGTAGTGAGACAAGCCCCGGTACCGTTGCGAACTTGGATTGGTACCGCAGTAGTGCGAGCCCTGTTCATTTTGGATCAACGAGTACACATACAATGTCTTCGGGTCCAATGATTAACATGTCTCCGAGCCCAGAACAGATTTCTAGCTCGAGTCCTGAACGAATGGACCTCTCCAGTCCATCGGAAAGACGTAGCCAACGGCTCGCTCAGAAGCACGATCAACCACAGTCAGAGATGCAAGACATTGAAATGACAACAACCATTGCGCAACAGCAACCTGCGCAGGACGATCTAGGACGCTATGCCGAGCAACCCGACGAAGTACGTATGGAAGCCATGAACCAGTTCATATTGGCCAACATCGAAGACGACGCTTTCATGAAGTTGTGTGTTGATGTCGAAAGCTGCTGGCGCCGTTTTGCGCTGGACAGACGTGGCTGAGGTTTTGCAGCGAACATCGCACACATAAATGCTTGAGGAAGCGATACACGATACACACCTTACGACGCATGCATGCATACATACAGATGTATCTTTGATCATCAAGATGGAAGGAGGACAAATGTCAGTCGCTAGAGAAGAAAAGATAGCAGGCCGTTCATGAATAGTCTTATACCGAGAGCAATATTAATGTAATATGATCATTCTCAACCCTTCACCTCACCTTACTTTGAGACAAACATCCCCTGCCCCAGAGCAGTAAGATAGCCATACCTAGTAAGCATAGTAGGATCAAACTTGCCCGGCCTTCCATTCTCCCCAGCAACACTAGTAGCAGCAACATTCCCTTGCGCAGAACTAGGCGTCAAAGTCCCATTCCCCTCACCCGCACTGGCATGAGCCAAATGCTGCAACCCTCTGGGCAATTGCTCGATCCCACCTAAAATAAGTTGCAACTTATTCCTCTTCTGCACGATCAGATCTCTAATCGCCGAATCCCAACCGGTGGATTTCTCGTGCCCGGCGAGACCGCGACCGAATCCTAAAGCTTCGGAGATTTGCTCGAGTCCTCTGATAGCCTCGGAGCGCGTTTTTTCGATGTCGACGAGTTCGCAGAGTGTCATTGCCGCCAGGGCTGCGAAGTGATGGTTCAGTGGAGTGATGGGTGTTTGACGTTGATTCAGCACAGTGGCAACTTTGACGGCATGACCGATCAACTCGGTAGGTTCGGTGGTGGGATTGAGGCGTTTGATGAGGAGATGACAGTGGTGATAAGATAGATGGACTAGGTTCAGTGAGCCCCAGACGCTTTCTACCGATTCGCGGAAGCGGTCGATTTCGCCTGCTAGAGTAAGACCTAGGAGTGATGAGGCTGGATTTGATGGAGCCATGACGTTGGTTTCTGGTGTTTTTGTTGTTGTGAGGATGGCGGCCAAGTGGCCTATGATGAAGGAGAGACGTGCTAGATGGTAGGTGGATTCGCCGAGCAGGATTTGGTCTTCTGGTAGTAGGACAACGCTGTTTTCGGGGAGCTTGAGCAGGTCCGAGGTACTGGATGCGTGCCAGCGGTCGAGAATAAACAGAACCCACCAGACTCGCCTTGCCAGTCTTTCCTCAGAGTCTGGGTCGCCTTCAGTTGCGAAGCGTTCGCGTGGTCGCACGAGGTTGATCTCCAGTTGACCGGCAACACCTGCAGCTCTCCCTAGCCACTCTGCTCGTGAGGGTCCAGCTTGGCCTCTCACCGTCGCCGGGCCGTGATTGTCAGATTCCAGGGCCATCAACAAGAGAGTTTGTAAGTAGACTAGGTTAGTCCCGCTATTATGCGTGGCCGGATTCTCAAATGGGTAGCCCGCAAGTAACTCGGCAGCACGTTTCATCATGGGTGCGTATGTATGCTGCGGACGGAGATTCGAAGAAAACGACGGGAAAGTACGCATTGTACATTCCAAGACAGTCAAGAAAGCTTCTCGTAGCGTTACAGGGCACTCGGCTAGACGCGTACGAAGACGATGTTTCGAGTGTGGCAGTAGCGGAAAGGTCTGGTGTATTGTGCGATAGTACTCATCGACAACCTCCTCATCCCATTCAACCAGCACTGGCACGCCTGCTTGTGTGTCAAAGGGTATGCTGACACTCTCGCGGCGACGTGTGTCTCCACCGTACTTGAAGAATGGTTGTGTGTTGATTGGCTGCGGCTGTGGAGTTGGTCTCATTTCCTGGCGATATCCCTGCTGAGGAGGATACGGCGACATACGCGAATCACGAGCATAAGGGTTCCCGTAGCTATGGAGAGGAGCTGGAGCAGAAGGGGGTTGGACGGGAGGTTGCGCAGGTGGTGGTGCTGGAGTAAGCCGTGGGGCAAGGACAGGTGGAGAATCAATGACAATGGGCTCAGTCTGCGAGTGCCTTCGCTTGTGACCGGCGTGACGGGGCGGTGAAGCATGCTCTCGTGTGACATATGCCGCTTCTGCAAGCAACGACTGGAGTTCTTGGTCTACATGGCCGTGTTGTTGTGGCTGCATCTGCCCCTCGAGCGCATTCAATCGCTCGGCGAGCTCTTTTATGTAACCCTTGCTAGGTCCACGCTTCAGAGGCTGTCGGCTGAAAGCACACGCCGAGTTGGAGCGCTTGCAGTTGGTGCATATCTCATGTTCATTCAGGGCGTCGCACCGTATTTTCTTGCGCCGGCATTCGTCGCATGCCCGGCTGACTTTGCTTCGCTTGTCCCGGTTGTTGTCGGTGGCAGGTTGACCTGGCGGGGGACTCTGCGGGTGCTCGGCAAAGGAGTCGGGGATGACGGCACGTTGCGACGGCGAGGTATGTTGCGGCTGAGATGGTACTGAGGGTGGTCGAGCATGCTGTTGCCGAGTCTCATCATGTTGTCGTGGGCCATCGTGGGGTTGCGGTGACTGTTGATGCGATGTATCTGCCAATTCGTGGCTTGTATGATTCAGACCGAGGGACTTGGCCAACTCGGCTCTTAGATCGAAATCGTCGTCGACGTCGGGTTGGTGTAGATGGTGTCCATGGTGCGGCGTCCCATTGTTCGACTGGTTGTAATACGGGCCTAGCGACGGATCGACCACTGGTTCTGTATAGCTATGTCCGCTGGCCATCTAGGGGTCGCGCGTGGATGTTGCTGCGAGAGTGCGGAGGGGGAGAGGATACAACTTCAACGACTGAACTATCACCACATCGCCAGGCCGAGGAGCCCGAAACACGCGCGACGATACCATGGCGGCGTCACGGCTATGCCTTCCCATCTTCCGTTTCTATTTTTCCGGGCTTCATCTCTTTAGCATTCATTCATCTTCATACCAGCCCTTCGGATCAATGTTTAGCCATCTCCGATGCTTCCTTCCTACTTCAGACCGCAACTCTCGACACCTGCCGTCGACCGACAGCACACCCTGCTAGTTTAATGACACGTCTAATAAACGCATTACGAATCCGCTTCTCTCTTTAGCCGTTGAACAGAATATAGACTTCTGAACTTGGGACGCGAGGCCTGGAGAGAAACCATTCTTGTTCACCAGGACAGGCCTTGTCTACAGCGTCAAGGCGTCATCTCATGAACCAAGAACTTCTTCAAACAGTCTTGTCCATCACTGTCAATAACAATGATATGTTTGTTGTCTTAGACAAGATGGCTGAAACACATACTGATGGCAATTTCCAAATTGCAAAGGAGCGACTCGGCGCTTGAGTTGTTAAAAGCCTCATTGAGTGAGCGGCTTGCCGTCAGCAGACAGACCCAATTCATGCAGAAAAGGAAGCTACTCGAGTACGAAGCGCGGTGCATAGATTGCCGTTACCAACAAGCAGCACGGGTGAGAGAGGTGCATGCATGCAGCAGTAGCATGTCTATTGTGCTTGTCGTCTTTCGTGCGTGCGTAATGCGAATGATACAAGCAGTGGTCACTACACCCGGAAGATCACCGTCCCTTGAGCCCCTTCGAGTACTCGAGTTGACCGAGGGGTGGCTGTGAAGTAATGAGGAACGCTCCGTTGAACGGGTTTTGGATAAAGAACACCTTCTCCAGGGCCGCCCACGCTAAATGTGTCATCTCCATCATTCTCTTGATGAAACCGCAAGCAGCGATGTAGGCCATCTTTCAAGATGCAAATTGCTTGATAGATAGATCGCTCTGCCGTGGAGAGCAGCTACTTGACTTTATGTTCTTTAAAGACGACTGCAGTTCCGAAGCCTCGTGCAATCTTACAGCAGCGCAAGCGGGTTACCTTAGCACTAAATAGGGAGGTTCCGGGAGGCGCTGCGGAGGGGTCGCAAGCGGCAGATTCACGGATTGTCATGATATGGACAGGAAGGGTGAAGTGAACGCTTTTCGAGACAGTCCGCGATGGGCGGTCTGTGCACGCACTTTGTATTGGTTCATGCCAAGGCTGGCTGCGGGCTCTTCATCGACTTCCTCGCGAGCGTCCTCTTCTCTTTGCTACTCATCGTCTTTTCGACTCGTTGATATTTTGGTCTCTCATATTTGCCCAAAGGCCATTTGAAAGGCCCCGACATTGTCGGTGTGCCACGGCCATACGCTCTGTGCTCTTCTCTCTATCCGCTGCCTCTTGATCCTCTCACCGCTGTCGCTCGCCATCCACGCCGGCCCTCGTCGAAACCTCGCCGCAAGGACTCGACCGCATCCACCTCCGCTGCCCAACTCCTGCATCTCTGGCGTTCTGAAAGGCGATTTTCGCAACGATACCCAATTCTTTGACACGACCGTTTCCATATCAGCTCCACGCTACTTTCCTTGGTCTATTCCTATCAGAAAAACAAAGCAATAACAAGGCCCAATCCGTCAGGCCGGCCCTGCGACTCACCCCCACCACAAACCGCATCCTTCTGCGCTCGACCGACGTATCTCCGCCGGCCCCGCTCCCAATTCGTCAGGTATGGTAGTCAAGGAAGATGGGACCAAATGGGCATGCCAATCGTGCCTAAAGGGTCACCGTGTCAGCGGCTGCACCCATACCGGTAAGTGGCTGCATTCCAATGTCAGTATATAAAGTGCCGTTTCTCATAGACATACCAGACCGTGAGCTCTTCTTCGTACCCAAGAAGGGCCGCCCCATCACCCAATGCCCGCACTGCCGAGCCGAACGCAAGAAGCGATCATCCCATGTCAAGTGTGATTGTGGAGAGAAATCCCACTCCAAGGAGAAATGCATCCACCTCCGCGAAGCCGAAGCCAAAGCTGCTGCTGCCGCTGCCGCTGCCGAATCAGGCATACCCTTGCCACCTTCGTCTACGTCTGGAGAACACCACTCGCCTGATCTCTACCCTGTCGCCGAAGAATCACCATCGTCCGACGAACACCGCTGTTGCTGCCCTCACGGCGGAAAGTGTATTTGCTCGAGCCTCAAGGAGTCCTCCCCTGAAGACGCCAAGGACCATAAGGAGCCCATCAAAGTCTCGCCCAAGAAGGATACCACCAAAGAGACGTCTACTGTACCAACCAAGTCGCTCAGCCAACGCAAGCCACGACTCACGTCTCATCAGTCCGAAGGCCACCTCACCGTCTTTGCGAACGGACATCACAAGCCATGCCATCGCAACAACAATGCTGCTCATGAATCTGGTGCTCCTTATAAGCTGCCTCGCTCGCACACTACCCAGTCCATCTCGACCAAAAACAACGCTCGCCGTTCAGTAGACAGTCTTGCAGCCGTCGCATCTACACAGCCACACTCTTGGTTCCAGTCCTCTGTGTCTGCTCAGCCTTCAAACACCAATTCTGGCCAAGCCTCACCTGTATCAGCAATCACCATGCAGGCCGAAGCCATGCAGCAAGACATCAAGTCCTCGACCGACGTGCAGTCTCAATACCCCGTGTCGAGTGTCTCATCAAGTGTTCCGACCTCTTTATTCGCCGACTTTGGCTTCCCGAGCACCTCGTCTGTTGGCACCACTACCACAGAGGCGTCTATGCCATCCTTCTCCTTGCCAAGCTCAGACCTCAACATGAACACCGACTTCTGGAACAACTTCGACTGGTCCAAGGTCGACACCACTTCCTTCGATGTTCAGCCTGCTTTGACGAACACTTCCTCGGGTACCATGTCCGAAGTCGATGAGATCCCAGTCGCCGAAGACATCACCACTTTCGATAACAACCCCTACTCGATGAACATGCAAGGCCTTGCAGGTACCAATGCCAACAACAGTACCACAAACTTCGACCTCGATTTCTCCGTGCCCACTGGACAGTCAAACCGCTGGAGTATGCCCGTTTACTCCAACCCGAACACCAGCAGCATCGATTTAGCCGCCATGACTGCCGACACATTTGCCAAGCCCAAGCAGTCCCCTGAACAGTCCATGTCATTCGGCCAATTCTCTGGCTTCGATATGTCCTCCTCGGTCCAGTCTCAATCACCTGCCCAATCTCAGTTCCAGTGGGACCCGGCAATCATCGATTACGCCATGGGCAACAGCACAGATAACAACGCTTCTCTTGCCTACTCGGTAGCTGGTTCCTCTGGTCCTTCGATGGCTCCCACTGCAGCACCTTCTCCAAAGTTCAATGCGGACAACTCGAACATTAACGACCAATTCTTCGATTTCGATAACAGCTCCAAGCTGGTCAACTGGAATGACAGCATCATGGTTCCTGCCGGTCAAGACTTCCTCAACACGTACAACTACGATCAAAACTTCTCGACAAATGATTTCAACAGCCAAGGCTGGTCAAGCTAACACTTGTGGCATGCCTTGCAAGGCCAGTCAAAGTAACGCGCGCTTCTTTTGTCTTAGTTCTCGATTAACGATGCTGATGATTTATGGCTTAGAGCCTCTCCTATCGTCTTTCCTCCAAGTTTACCGTATTAGCGTCGTCATCTGGTGGCAGGGTCTTCTCTTTTCTTCTGGGTGATACCCTCCGATAACATCCTTTGTTGTGGTTTCCTCATTTTCGGCCCGTCGATTTTGCTCAAAATCTTCTTTTCACTTGTCGAAGTCACTCCCTTTTTTTCTTTTTTCACAACCTCTTCCTTTTTTCACTTTTGGCTATCAGTTGCATTTGGCTTCTCCCATTGTCAATACTGGTCGTTTGTAGCTGGTCAGCTGGGACGTTTTGCATTGTGGATCTTTCATACGGCCTAGGGCTATCTGAAGGTTTCAACATGTTTGCGTCTTTGGTTTCCCCCCAATATTTTTGAGAAGCGCTGGAGCTGGTGGTTAGGTTGATAGTTTTGATAGAGCAAGCGTAAATGGCAAGACCATTTTCAACGAGTTCCCGATGTGCCTGCCGTCCTCTTCTTTGTGAACGGCCTTGCATCCCCGAGGAATATGATCTATCGGCGACAGCACTTGGTTCGATGTTTCGATTCTCGAACAGAAAGTCTATCGTCCGCGGATGCCGAATCCCATACCATGTGTAAGGCTTACGCGTCCACGTAAAGTAAGATGTTATTTCCGGTTTCTCTGCTCTTTGACTGGGGACGTCAGAACACGAACGCCGCTCGATCTGCCGTGCTTCTTCCGCTGCCCGACGTTCTTGTTGAAAGTCTGGATAACCTTGTTCTGACAATGACAGTATTGGTCTCGTTTGTCGTTTAGGTGGGATAAGGGATTTTGACGATTTGAGGCTCTGTGAACAGGAGCTCGGGAATAGTTACAATATTATGAGAGTGAACTCTCGAACGTTGTTTCAGGGCTTTGTTTATCGAACACTCGTGATTGAATATGGATGGATCGAGGTTGGGCATACAGAGATGGCTCTCAGGTCGACAGTTTATAGTTTGGTACGACCCTGTCCTTGCAAGCATGAAAGTGAAGCTTGAAGACCATCTAACCATTATAATCATATTTACAACCACGTCTCTATACATTCCGCGCCTAGAATATCTCGAGCAGAATGCCAAAGGGTATGAAGATAATTGTACATTGTATGTATATCGTAGCCGCCTATATTACAGAAGAAGAGCAACACATAGTTCTATTTCAAGGGCTTGACACCCTTGTGAATAGCAGCAATACCGTTAGTCAAGTCCTCCCATCCTTGACCATTCTCGCCACCGGGAACAACGAAGCCAGCCTCCTTGATCATATCCCTCCACTCAGTCTGGCTGGGGAACCTCTCAATACTCTCAACGAGATATTGATAGCTATCTCTGTCTCCGGCAACGACCTGACCGATCAAGGGAATAGCGGCGAAACTCCACCTCTTGTAGACGAAATCAAACACAGGATTGTTGACCTTGCTGAATTCCAAACAGGCAAACACACCACCGGGCTTCAAGACACGGAATGCTTCCTTCAATGCGATATCCTTGTGTGTGAAATTGCGGATACCGAAAGACACAGTGTACAGATCCATACTGTTGTCAGGGATCATGTGCAAATTCTCGGCATTCGCCTCTACGAAATCCAATCTGCCGGTGCCATTGTAGTGGGAAAGAGCGGCGCGTTTGCGACCTTCGGCCAGCATTTCCGGGTTGATGTCAGAAATCGTGACGTGGGTGTTTGGGTCGTGGTTTATGTTTGTCGCGTGGTCGAGGATGCGGAAGGCGATGTCGCCGGTGCCGCCAGCGATATCGAGAATCTTCCAGCCGGTTTGGGGGGCGCCCGGGGTGTGGCTGCCGGGGTTCAGGCTGCGGACGAAGTGGTCTTTCCAGAGGCGGTGGATGCCGAGGGACATGAGGTCGTTCATGGTGTCGTAGGAGGAGGCGACGGAGCTGAAGACGGCACCGACTGTTGGATTGCTTTGTTAGTTGTTGGTCTTTCGTGTGATAGCTATGCTGTAGTTGATGGATATCTCCTTACCCTTTGACTCCTTCAATGACTCTGCAATGCTCTCGAAACCGAAATGCGTCGTCTTCTCATCATTGCGATTGGGCTTTTGCTCGGCCAGATACGGTGAGGAAGTGAAGGCGCGGACAGGCAGAGGTGTAATAGTGCGGGTGGAAAGCCGTAACCGCTTTGCGGCGCGAGGAACGAACGAAGACATGATTGATGTTTTGGTTGTTGCTGAGATCAAAGTCCCACAAGCCGATCATCCAGGAACTTTGTCGAAGCCAAACGCTCACGTCGCGCCAAGCTCCGTCTCGATGATCGGAGATTAGATCCGTCGGGTAGATCCATCGCTAGCGTAGGGCGTACCCCAGACTGTCAAGGGCGCCTGCGGAGACTACCCGAGGCTGCGGAGGGGTACTCGCCATCATTGTACTTCTGTGTTCCTGCCCTCGAGGACATGTGTTCTTGGAAAAGATTCACAATATGAATGTCCTTAGATACCAGACCCCTACGGCTATCCGCTCTACAAGATGCATACCTCGAAGTGTAACGAAGAGATGGAACTCAATATCACAACGACAAGGCTCAGATCGGTATGTTGTGATGAGTTATTGCATGAGAAATTTACTGATGTGAGGCCAGAGTGCGCTTTCCTGGTGCCATCGACAGCAAATTCACAACAAATCTTGACTTTACGCGACCTTCAAACAAGAAAGCCATGCCGACTTATCGTATTCTTGATCAGGATGGTGTGGTAGTCGACAAATCAAGAGAGCCTTCCGATATCTCGAACGACCATCTCATCAAAATGTACAAAGACATGCTGAGCGTGAGCAGTAAGAAAACTCCAGTTCCGACCAATTGTGATAGTAACTGATATCGTCCAAAGTCATGGACCTCATCATGTTCGATGCACAAAGACAAGGCCGCATCAGTTTCTACATGGTATCAGCAGGTGAAGAAGGCATAGCAGTAGGCTCATCATCCGCCCTAGATCCCAGCGACCCAATCTTTGCCCAATACCGTGAGACTGGAATCTTCAAGTACCGTGGCTTCACGCCAGCAGACTTCATGAACCAACTTTACGCCAACAAGCACGATCCAGGTTTGGGTCGCAACATGCCAGTCCACTACGGAAGCACAAAATATCACATCCACACCATCAGTTCACCGCTAGCTACTCAGATCCCACAGGCTTCTGGTGCGGCCTATGCGGTCAAGATGCAGAATGCCATGAACCCCAAGGACACACAGCGTTGTGTAGCTTGCTACTTTGGCGAAGGTGCAGCCAGTGAAGGCGATTTCCACGCAGCCTTGAATATTGCCGCTACCAGAAAATGCCCTGTCATATTCATCTGCAGAAACAATGGTTACGCCATCTCCACGCCTACACTTGAGCAATACCGCGGCGATGGCATTGCATCCAGAGGTGTAGGCTATGGCATCGACACCATTCGCGTCGACGGCAATGACATTCTCGCCGTCAGAGAAGTCACCAAAGAAGCTCGCAAGATGTGTCTCGAAGATGGTGGCAAGCCAGTCTTGATCGAAGCAATGAGTTATCGTGTATCGCATCACAGCACATCCGATGACAGTTTTGCCTATCGCGCCAAAGTCGAAGTCGAAGACTGGAAACGCAGAGACAACCCCATTACTCGTCTGCGCAAGTGGATGGAAGGAAAGGGTATATGGGACGAGGAAAAGGAGAAAGAAGCCAGAGCTGTTCTGAAGAAAGAAATCCTGGAAGCGTTCAAGCAGGCCGAGAAGGAGAAGAGACCGGCGCTGAGAAACATGATGGAGGGTGTATACGAGGAGTTGACCGAAGAGCAAAAAGAGCAGATGGAAAAGCTGAGAAGTATCATCGAGAAGTATCCTGACGAGTACGACGTCAGCGAATACGAAGGTGGACTCGACAGCTTGAAAAACTAGCTTAGATGATGACTGACACAAGAAAAATAAAAATATTGAAATGTGTGCAATAGTGCAATCTTTCCATCTACTCCATGAGGTCCGCGACTGTACCCAAGAACTCGCCATGCGTACCAGCTTCCTGCTGCTGTAACAAAGCATCGATGTCAATACCACTGGAGGTCAAATACCTCTCACTAACACCAACATTGACTCTGCTACTCAGCATATCTCTCAACTGAGCTCTGAGCGCACCAGTCTCAGCCTTGGTCAACCCTCTAGCCTCTCTCTCCTTCTTGATTCTGCCAGCACCTCTACCTCGCTTACCAGGTGCATTCTCGAACTCCTCAGAGTCATAGTCGACACCCAGATCCTCAGCAGCTTGCCTCAAGAAATCGTCTTCACTGTGCTTCTTCTCCTTTGCAATAGTGGTATCGGCAAGTTTCTTGGAGAGATTGGCTCTGGGCTTCAGTCTGCTGACGACACGACGATCGATGTCTAAACTGCGGATAAAGTAGCCGTTCTTTGCTGCGTCGTTTGCGGGTTCGGCGCCGGCTGCTGCAGAGCTGGCGTGCACTTTTGCGATCAATCTGCGTACACCGGCCACTTCTTCGGGTCCACAGATCAGGATACTGGAACCTGTCTCGCCGGCACGGGCAGTACGACCGGATCTGTGGACGTAGTTGTCTGCGGCACGGGGTAGATGGTAGTGGATGACCAAGTTGACGTTGGGAATATCGAGACCACGGGCAGCGACGTCAGTGGCCAAGAGGATGGAACCCTTGTGGTTGGTTTTGTTTTGGTTGTTTGAGGTGAAGCGCTCGATGGCACGCAGACGTGCCTTCTGTGCCATTTGCGAGTGAAGAGCGTGAACGGGTAGTTGTAGATTCTGCAAGAATGGCGTGAGACGGCGAACAGCTGAAATGGAATTGCAGAAAACGATTGTTCTGGCATTGGGATGCAGCAGAAGAAGTGCGTAGAGGTAGAGATCCTGAAAACGTACGTTAGCAATTCGAACATATAGTGAGAGAACCTGTCAAGCATACCTTTTCGGTACCACCACATTCAACCATGCCTTCCTTGAGACCAGAAGCCATCTGACTGATAGGGTTGACATCGACGAACTTGGGCTTTTCCTCACGGAAGTTGAGCTTCTTCAGTAGATATTCCATACTCTCCTTCTTGTCCATAAGACCAGCACCTGGCTTGGCCTTGCCTGCAAGCTTGTGCTGCAGACCCTTGTGGAAAGTAGCAGAGAAGACGAGTGTCTGTCTCTCGACTTCCTCAACCACTTCCGGTGCTTCGTCCTCATCCTCGTGTTCCTCTGCTTTGAAGTCGTCCTTGCGGTCGAGGACGTTGATGATCTCCTCCAGCTCCTTGAAATGGCCCTGACTGAGCAGTCTATCGGCTTCATCTATAACCAGGAATTGAATCTGCTTCAACCACTTGAGAACACCATGACCTCCACTGATGATCTCCCAGAGACGTCCGGGAGTACCAATAATGATATCTGCGTTCTTCAATTGTCTCTGTTGCTTGGCCATAGAGAGACCACCTGTGAGAGTTGCGATCCAAGGCGCCTTGTCCAGACCAGAGCATAGAGTTGTGAGATGGGTAGAGATTTGGTGAGCGAGTTCACGAGTAGGCGAAAGAATCAGCGCCAAAGCAGGTTTGCGAGCAGCCTCCTCTTCTGAGTTGACCTTCTTCTTGTTGTTTCCAGCAATCTTCTGCATCTCGAGATAGCGCTCCAGGATGGGAATACCGAAAGCCAACGTCTTTCCAGATCCGGTGCTGGCTTTTCCGATAACATCGTGACCGGCCAAAACCTCAGGGATGGCTGCTTTTTGGATGGCTGATGGCTGGTGGAACTTCATCTTCGAAAGCGCTCCAAGAGTCTCGTCCGAGAGCTTCAGAGGGCGCCATGCGGTAATGTCGGCACCTTTATCCTCTTCTTCATCCAAAAGGTTGGCGAAAGTCGCGGAACCAAGGTCAGCCTGGGGAGCAGCTTCCTTCTTCTGCTTCTTCTCGGGCTTCGGCTTCTTCTCCTTCTTTTCTTTCTTTTCTTTTTGCTTCTTCTCCTTCAAGTGCTGCTTCTGCAATTCTTTTTGCTTCTTCTTTCTGTCTTCCCAGGTTTCTCCTTCCTCGAGTTCAGGGGCCGATCTGGGAGTCACAGTTTCGATGATCATAGCACCGCCTTCCTCCTTGTCATCATCAGCGGCCTCGCCGGCTTCGTCGTCGAAACCAGTGAATTCTTCACCGTCATCTTCAGATTCCTCGGGTGCAGCTCTCTTCTTTGTAGCCTTGTCGCTGCTAGCCCGGTAAGAGACAATGCCGTTGTCGTCTTTGACAACATCCACGTCTTCGATCTCCTCCAGACCATAGAAACCCTCCATATCATCCAGTCTGTCCGGCATTTCGACATCGTTCCAGGCTAAATCATCCAGACGGACTTTTTCCAACTTTGGTGGCGCGGCTTTTGAAGATTTGTTTGCGGTCGCCTTCTTTCCGGCTTGAGAACCCTCCAGCTTTTGACGTTTCCTGGCTTTCATTGCTGCGACCTTTGGAGGCAGAGCTCTCTTATTTTTAGTCGCCATGATGAGTCAATTGTGGTTATGTGGTTGATTATTGACAAAAATGAAGATGGACTTCGAGGAAAGAATGAATCGATCGGCCTTGGCAGAAAAAGTTCAAGGGTCCACCGTCCAGCCCACCGCCCTCGCGGGAGCGAGCACCTCTCGGCTTTTTCTGCGCGTCGCTTGGTGGAGAGACGTTCAATTTATCATCACTATTTATCGATACCAATTTACCACTCTGCTTCTGTCCAATTTATTCGAACATGGGAAAATCATCAAAGGATAAGCGCGATGCCTACTATCGTCTTGCCAAAGAACAAGGCTGGCGTGCCCGCAGTGCTTTCAAGCTCCTACAACTGGATGAGGAATTCAATCTTTTCGAAGGAGTGACTCGTGTAGTCGATCTCTGCGCCGCACCCGGAAGTTGGAGTCAAGTTCTATCTCGCGTCTTGATCAAGGGCGAAAAGATCGGTCGCGCGGGCTGGGAAGACAAGCAAGCCAGAGAAAAGCTCGAACTTCATGGTCAAACTACCACATCAAGACATGAGCAAGAGACGAGACAGCAACTGCAACCGAGAGAAAATGTCAAGATCGTGGCCATTGATCTGCAACCCATGTCACCTCTGGAAGGCATTGTGACCATGCGCGCAGACATTACACATCCTTCGACCATTCCGTTACTACTCAAGGCCCTAGATCCTGATACTTTTGACCCCACGTCTGTGCAAGCATCTCATCCCGTGGATCTGGTCATCTCGGACGGAGCACCTGACGTTACTGGACTACATGATCTCGATACATACGTGCAATCACAACTACTCTGGGCAGCTCTAAATCTCGCCCTTTGTGTTCTCAAACCTGGCGGCAAGTTCGTGGCCAAGATCTTCCGAGGCAAGGATGTGGATCTGCTATATGCTCAACTCAAGATTGTGTTCGAGCGCGTGCGTGTAGCCAAGCCGAGAAGTAGTCGCGCAAGCAGCGTAGAAGCATTCGTCGTATGCACAGGTTTCCGCCCGCCGAAGGGCTTTAAAGCCAGTCTGGAGAACCCCTTGGGCGCTGGTACGCAACTGCAAGTACCGGAGGATATGGAGGTCGAAAAGACACAACCATCACGCACATTACGACCAGACGGTATCACGGAACTGGAACTTGGCTCGGAAGATGAGGAGGACAGTAAAGACATCAGATGGATTGCTCCATTCTTGGCTTGCGGTGATCTGTCTGCCTACGATGCAGACGCTTCTTACCACCTTCCTAAAGATCATGTTGTTCTGGACCCTGTACAACCGCCTACTGCTCCGCCATACAGAAAGGCTTTGGAAATGCGCAAGGCAGCTGGTGGAGCTTACGGCAAGACCAAGTTGGGTTGAGCAACCATTTGTACCGAAGATGGATCAATTCAGAGATTGCTCTCCCGCGAGAACCACGGCCATGACTATTCGAAGCAGTACCGCGAGCCGCGAGGAAGGCAGATGTGGAAAAGACTTTTCGTGACTAGCTATAGCTGGAGTCTGTGCCAAGCGAAACAAAGGTCCAGCTACACGACTTGCAGCTCCATGATACAGCACTGGACAGTGTGCCTCATGTTTGAGATGCTTTTCAGAAAGCAGCTACAGATCGTTGCGACTTATCGGTCTCAAGATTACACGATATATATTCAAAGCATGCTATAATGCAATTGGCGAGCTGCTCTGCGTTCGTCTTTTCTCCATTTCTTGCCCTCAACCTTCCCTTCTCAATCCTGATTCTGCATTGCGAATTTCTTGTTACGCTCTTTGTACGTATCCGTCCAGATCTTCTGGATGTCTGCAGCACGTCAATATCGGACTTCATGATAATCAAGCAAGAGAACTTACGCTTCGGTACCTCTTTCCCGGCCGTCCTAGCCATCTCCCCCTTATAATAGATATCCTCTCCTCTCCCCTCAACAATCTGCCCATTCGGCTCCTCACCACCCCAACCCTCACCCTCGACCTCATCAAATCTACCCAAAGCATCAAACGCCCTCAACAACGTCTCCATCTTCGTCAACGCCTCTTTCGGATAACTCTCCAGCAAACCCGGAGGTGCCAGATTGGAAGGCGTAAGCGCAGGAGCAGCAGCATTAATACTAATCCCCACTTGAGCAGCAGAAGGCGCCAGCGAACGCACAAGACCAACAACAGCATGTTTAGTAGCCGTATACTGCGGCACAGCAGGTAGAGCCCAAAGTCCCGCATCCGAAGCCGTAATGACAATTCTTCCACCTTTACCCTCGCCTTTGCCCATCAAAGGTGGGTTCAACGCCATGTAATGAGCAGCAAGCTTGACACCGTAATAAGGACCAAACAGATTGACTTCAAAAGTCTTCATATTGGGTTTTGTGGGTGGGAGATCGAGTTCGTTGGAGGTGGAGTTGAATATATCATCGCGGTCGTCTATGCCGGCGTTCAAGGCGCAGAAATCAAGACGGCCGAAGTGGGAGAAGCAGGTTGCAAAGGCGGAGGATTGGGCACCCCAGGATGATACGTCGGTGATGTGGAAGTGGTGGGTTGAAGGTGGGAAGTCGGCGAGTTCGGAGGCGGGAGGTGGGTTGATGTCGGCGATGAAGACGTGCCAGGATTGGGAGAGGAGGTGTTTTGTTAATGCTAGACCGATGCCTGGAAACAAGGCTTGTCAGTTGTTTGCATGTGGAGTACGAGTTCTGGAGCTTTTACCTGAAGAGCCTCCGGTGATGAGAGCGACTGGTGCTGCAGGAGCCATGATTGATGTACGGTTCGGAGGTAGACAGAAAATCAAACTCAATTGACTATGATTGGGAAACCCAGCTTCTTTTCATTCTTTCTGCTGCCTGGTATTACTAGGCATGCTCGGCAAATGTATCCCCCCAAGGCAGCAAGATGGGGCATGCAGGGTGGATGATAGTGGGGTCAATGCGGGGATGCTGGAGGTGTCCCTGGAGGACGGAACGCATGCCGCACTCCCTGTTTGATCAACACAGACATACAATTGATTACTCTATCAGCCAGCGCCTGCCGAGGATATGCTTGTTGATGACTTTAGATTTTGATTATGTCTATACTAGAACGAGATGGACTAGAGCCAATCTACTATGCATGCGTGCCGCTGAAACGTGCCATCCTCCTTCATCACTATCATGTCGCGTTTGTATCCTGACGGAATAAAGTGCCCGATGCGTACTTTTCGTTTACAGGTAGCTCTTGAGGATCTGGCCAGCCTCGAAGCCATCTTGAGCTTCAAGGGTGATCCAGCCGTTGACAGCACCTGCCTCGACACAGACCATGTTCTTGTAGCCGTCCTTGGGCTCGAAGTCGGCAATGGCCTCGGCGCCCTCCTTCCAAGGGTTCCAAATAACAGTGTCCTGCATGTTGTCTCTGATGACATCGAGGCGGGGCTTGTCGTCGACGAGGATGGAGGTGGTGTCTTGGGTGAAGGACTTGTAGACGCGGTCGACGGTGCCCTCGAAGCGGAGTTCGTTACCCTTGGAATCGTGCTCAGTAGCGTTGAGGATCTTGTCAATGTATCTGATGCCTGAGAGGCCGGTGACCTTGACCTTGGAGATGTCCTGTGAGAGAGTGTTAGCACGATGGCAGAGGGGAATAAGAGAGAGACGGATGCATACGGGAACGGCAAAGTAGGTGTGGAAGAGAGTCTGGAAATCGAAAGGCTTGTCGCCTTCGTTGCGGACGTTCAGCATAGTCTGCAGACCATCCTTGGACAGAGTAACGCTGTACTGCAGGCTGAAGTCGTAGGGCCATGCCTTCTTCATGTCATCGCTGAGGTTGTTCGGTGTCAAGCCAAAGTCAAGGCGGATTGAGTCGTCACTGCCCTTGCCCTGGTTGCCGGACTCGGACGAGGTAGTGCCAAGGTACTCCCAGCTGGAGATGCGTGCAAAGCCGTGCTGAGGGAGGCTCGATGTGGCGTGGTTCTTGGGGGCAGGCCCGAAGTTCTATGCATACAAAATGGTCAGTCGTGACTCCATCATCTGGCATTTCCAGTGTGAGCACTTACGGGGAAGACGACAGGGACACCGCCTCTGATGGCCTTCTTGCCTTCGAGGTTGGCGTTGGAACTCAACCACATGTTCTCCTTGCCGTTGTTCTTCCATGAGATGACCGTGGCGCCGTACAGCATCACCTCGACTGAGTCGCCGCTGGGCAGGCTGGCTGTGACCTTCTTGCCATCCGAGTTGACCCTAGGCTGGGGGCCCGTGGTGCTGGGCGAGAGTGCTGAGGGCTTGTGTGCTCTGTCGACCATGATTGCGTTTGTGGGTTATGGTTTGATAATGTAGAATGGAAACAGAGAAAGACAGCTCCAACCGCCAGGAGCTCTTGATTGACCCTTGATGGGGTTGCTGTGGAAATGCGTCATCTTTCATAAACCGCCTTGCTTCAACATTCTTCACAACTTGTGCATAAAATATAGCTCTTCATCATGACATTTGAACAGGTAATTACAATCATGATATACTAATTACTCCTCTCCCATCTCTCGTGATCGTTTCCGAGCATCATAAACCTCCCTCCCAAGCTCATACAGGACGTCCTGCATCTCTCTCTCCTCTTGTGAACCAAGTATTAGCGTCTTACACTCGGCAAGGAGCCCTCTCAACCGTGCGATCACGCTCTTAGGCTTCGCAATTGGTCTTCCACGGATTGCCGCTTCTTGCTCCTCGTGCTTGAGCTGAGAGTCTGCTTCTAGGTTGGTTTCCTCTTCATCCTCTTCTTGAGCAATGTCTTCTTCAATTCCTTCTTGTTCGTCGCCCTGTTTGTCGTCTTCCTGCTCATCCACTGATAACTCGCCAATGAACGATTCATCAATGTAGGATGATTCAACAGACTGACCTGGACTGACAACAACACCCTCAACCTTGCGACCTCGACGCCGCGTATGCGGAAGCATGATATGTTCGACTGCTTCGCCCGTTTTTGCATCCTGGCTTCGTGTTGTCCTCCGAGACTTCCTAGGTGCTGGTGTGTCGATAATGACAGAATCTTGACTCTCCTCAGCCTCAAGCATTGAAGCACGTCGTGTGGCCGCTCGGGTCCTGACTAATGAGACCGGACTCGAGACTATCGGTGTCGTCGACTTCCTTGGTCTTCCACGGCCACGTTTGGTTGTAGTTGGGACAGCACTAGTGGGGACCGATTCAGGGATCGGAAAACCTTCTGCAGCTTCTGACTGAGACTCGTCGTCCTGATCTCTCTGGCTTCCCACAACGATACAATCCTGCATGTCTTCATCTTCATCGTCTTCCAGGTCCGGCTGACTCGCCGTGAAGAATGATAACGTTCTTGTCATCATGCGCTTGAATGGCGAGGTCGACGACTTGCGGCGCTTAGCCGCAGCTCTTGTTTCGGGTGGCTCTTCGCGCTTGCGCTTCAAAGTTGATGAGGGAGCATCAGTCCTGGTGGTTGTTTGTGCTGGTATCTGCTCCTGGGCTGATGTCGTATCATCATCATCGGACGCGGTTCCAACAAAGGAATCCAAGATTCTGCTAGTATCGCCCTGTGTGACCGCATCCTCCAAATTCCCGGTTGTAGTCTGATCAATCTGACTCTTGTCCGACCCTCGAGGCTGTTCTGAAAGACTATCCGTGAAGCGTATAGGCGAGGATCCATCAGGTTCGATTGTATCTTGACCTTCCAGTGTTTCATCAACGGCTTGACTACCAAGCTTCGCCTTGTTGGCCGGAAGATTATCGATCTCGGTGTTAGTGAGCTCTGACCGGGCGTCGACGTAAACGTCAGACGAGATGCCAACTTCGAGGTGCTGACCAAGACGTTTTATTGAGGGATGTGTCGCTGGTTTTACTGACGGCTTGTCTGCCGGGAGCGCCTCGGAATCTCCGACCTTGGGGGCCTGAGGAGGTACATCTGTGGCACGATTCTCCAGAAGGGTATCAAGGACGACTCCAATTGTTCCTTCATCTTCCGTAGGTGGTAAGTTCTCGATTTCGGTCGTGCCTTCATATGCGGTCTCGTCCGCCATTTCCGGCGGCGATGACGGGATTTCAGCATCATCTGCCTCAAAGGCCGAGTCTTCCATCTCTGTATCTCCTAGGACAGGCGCTTGTGATTTCTCGCCAGCTTTTGGTGTGGGTGAAGACGTGATGTATTCGTCGATCGGTCCGTGCTCATCATTGAGGGTGGGTGTGGCATATCCGGTGTCCGTCACAGTCTGCTGCCTGGAGAAGTCCAACAGTGGTAGACCTGACCTTGAAGCTCTTCTCTGTGGACCTGGGCTTGAGGAAAACTCGGGGTAGAAAGTCGCTGTTTCAAGTTGTTGTCGAGATTTGACCTCTCTTTGATGTTCGGTCAGAAGTTGCGAGTCCATCGGGGCCGGTGAAGAACTTTCAACAGCCGTGAATTCGACTTGAGAATCATTGTGTCGTAGCTTAGATTTCGGTGCTGTCTTGGAAGCAGGTTGTCTTCGTGTCACGGTCCTCTCCCTTCGAGGGCTAGCGGCGACTGCTCGACTTAGCACACTCATTCTTTGAGGTCTTTTGGTGGGGTGGTGCCTGATGGGCGACGGTGTTTCCTGGACATCCATGTTTTCCTGGAACTCGATCAGATCACGGAGGGGAGATGGCTGCTGTACTTATTAGCTTAGTCTCAGAACTGCAGAGGAGTTTACTTACAGCTGCACTTGTGGTTTGAGGGAAAGTAGGCAGATCAAGATCGACGAGCGGTTGAAGGCGTCTCATGGCCTGCTCAATCTTGTCGGGATATTCGAGAGATTCGACTCTGCCAAACGTGCTATTCCAAAAGGCCACAGTGGGGTTGATTATCTCTCGGTGTGTGCTATTTAGGCCAGCAGCGAACAATTCGTCCAACGCCTTCAGGAGTGTCTTATTTGATGGCAAGTTTCTCACTTGATCGAGTATAGATTGCCATAAAGTGAGTACCTGAGTACATTAGCCACAACACCAAATCATTGTGTATCACAGTTCATGACTTACTTTGGAGAAGACCTCTTGGGCATCCTTGCTGCCTTGAAGCTTGCGTTGGTCATCTTTAACGATCTGCGAGATTCCAGGTTGCAGTCTGCGCAGTGCAGGCGATGCGAAGAGAGACAGGGGACATTTCGACAAGAACCCTTGTGCTGCCTCGATAAACTGTGCTAGGTAAAGTGTATTCTGGTCAACAGTATCATATGAAGCTAGCAACGCCGAATTTATGAGGTCGTAGATATGATTGAACGGCTCGAAGCTTGATTGCTTCGAATTAGACAGATGTGTGTTCCAAAGAGATCTGCGTGCTTCGTCCATCTGCTGTTTGTTCCGGGGGAAGCTACCTTCAAGGAGCAGCTTTGTAGCGAAACGGACAAGGACGGGATTTGATACTGTTTTCTCGGACTGCTGTAGGAGTGCCTCAGCCAGGGGTTCCATAAGACCAAGAGCTACACCGCCTTCACCAGCTTCTTGCTTCAAGATCTTTGCCAAAACACTGACCAGCTCGAACGCGGCAGTCATAGAATCAGTTTCGTCAACATTGTGATGGAAGCCAGAAGCCAGAATGGAGATCGCATGTCTAGCTTGATGGCCAAGACGAGCTGGTTCTTGAACGGACTCGTTGAGTTTAGGGTCAAGCAAAACCGCTGTGGTTTCGAGCACCGCAGTCTTCCATAAAAGTGCAGAAGTCGAAACCGAACTTGCGTGAGCACATTTCCGAATGACATCCAGTCGGTCTTTGCGTGAGTTCCGACCCCGGCAAATTTGATGCAGTAGTTCACGGATAGAGTCTGCGTATGCCGAATCTACACTGATTCCAGGAGGCGGCTGGGCAAATAAATCGAAGAGAAAAATAGCGGATGAGTGCAACTTCTCGTGGTGCTTTGATGAGCGGTTCGACGGAGTGGGGGCGGCCTCAAAACTCTTAGTCTCACTACGCGTGAGGTTATCTTCACTGAATGGCAAAGGTCCAATGATCTCGATAGAGCATTGTACAAGAGAGGCGAAGCGCGACACCCAGGGTGTCTCCAGATGATCTTCGGTTTGTGGGGCCTTTGACCAAAGGCGATTGAAGAGATTCATTAATTGGGCCAAGCACTCTTTAAGTTCTTGAGACCTCAAGACCTCATGACTTCCAGCACTAGCGATGGCAGTCATAAACTCCCGCCAAGGCGTTCCGTCAATGCCACGACCATCTCCTGATTGAGCTAAGGAGAGTTCAAGGAATGGGCCTAGCAATTCCAGTATGGTGCGGGATCTGGAGCGCACCCACTTACAGTCTAGGCGAGGTAGTGCTTCAGGAAGGATTGGCGCCTTGTTCGCTAGGTCCTCGTCCCAGACGGTCGATTTGCCATCGAACAGAGCCTTGAGTACTCGACAAGCCAAGTTGGCATCTCTGCCGCCAGAAAGGAGTAGCTTCGAAAGAACTTGACGAACGTAACGATCCCAGAAATAGTCAAGATCCTCCCAAGGCTGAGATGGTCGTAAGGAGTAATGCAGCAAGTTACAGTAACCAGAAAGAGCTATGTGACGGATCTCTTTGCTCTTCTTGTCTCGTCCCTTGTTTGTGTGGAGAATGTGTAAGAATGGGACTCGGAGCGTGACATCCCATCCTTCCATCTTCTCCAGCATCTCGCGGTCTGGGTTTGATACATAGACGAGGCGGTTCCAAGCGCAGGTGGCTCGATATTTTACCGTGAGGTTCTTGCTGTTGAGGCAATTTTGGATCAGGAGGAACCACTCTTCGCAAAACAACCGCCATTGTGATAGTCTGACTTTTTTGCTTTTGAAGAAGAGTACCACCATTGACCAGATCTGTGGAACGGCTTCTTCAAGATCTGTGTTTCCTTCGGCTTCTTTCGGTTTGCTCATGTCAAATAGGCGAGCGGTGAAATATGCTCCGTATGTGCTGCCCTCTGCAGTTGCTGTATGGAAAAGATCGATGATGACCTTGGTCGACTGATAAGTTGTGCCATACATCAAAGCAGCGTCAGTTCCAGTATCAATGGCGCGTATGCGGATGTCTTTGATGCTACTCAAAACACCATGAAAGACGTGTGGCATCCAGTCACGCATATTCGTGAGCATGACGGCGGATGCCTGGTCCATCAAGCGCTGGAAAATGACCAGACGAGATGCAATGACACTATTACCGCTCACACGTTCGTGTATGGTGGTCAAGGAAGAGACAATTCGCTCTACCTTGGTTGATGTCATGACTCTTGATGGGAACCGTTGAGTTGCAAGCAGGAACATGTGATGATTGGCGATAGCCTTCGGCACAGGATCTTGCTCTAAGACTTCGATGGCGCGGTCGACCAGCAGAGTCTGGAATTGCTCGTCCAGACAATCAGCAAGAGCAGGAGACATCAAGATAGCAGTCGTGAGCTTCAAAGCTTGTGTGGTTAGATTCGATGTCATGGGATCGGATTTACGAGTCGATTCGAGAATATCGCGGGACATGTGTTTGATGAGAGCGGGCATTCTTGATCGCATTGCGGCCATGTCAGGCAGATCGTCGTAAGCTTTGAGAGCGCCATTGAGAGTGCTGTACCCGTCCAGGCGCATTGCCGTAGACGGAGACTCGAGGAACTTCAAGACAGACTCGAGCATGACGGGGAAGGTCTTAGGATCGGAGATGGAGAAGTAATCCGGGGCAGGCGATGCAGCGTCGGGTGTAGGCGTCTGCAGGTCTAATGTGGCCTTGAGTATGGATCTGACAGGTCTTGGTTGCTTGCTCGACGGGAATCGGCGTGGAAGAGGACTAGCGGTGCCTGCTGAAGTGGCATGGAAGGGTGTAGGATCGTGAGCAGTGACGCATGGCGAAAACTCGACTCGCTTGCTTGACCGATGATGCGATCCGTTCTCCTGCGATGATGGAGGGGACGGTTGAGTAGGCGTGCCTGCACGGGAGCAGGGCTGTTGCACTTGGTCGGCGTCTTCTGTGAAGTCCACGTCCAGGAGGCTAATTGCTTGGTCCAGGTCGTGGTCGATGTCTTTGGGAGGGGTAGGAGGACGATTGGCGAGATGCTCGAGAGGCTCAGCAGAGACCATTGCCAGACGATGGAATTGGTATTTAGTCTGAGATCTTCTTCACTCCACCCTGCTTGTTCAGCAGCATGATTGTGTTGTCTTGGAGCGTTGACATGTAAACTTCCCAAGTCTAGATGACGCGCCTCGAAAACGCGCGACTGGCGCTTTCCTCGCGTTCAATCAATTACTGGAGTCTTTCCGATTTCTTGGCACGCTTGCAGTTGCTTGGTGACCGCTTCCCAATTGGGAAATTGCTCCTTCCCTCCCTTTTGGTCGTTGAACCTTGCGCACAATCAGATCAACCATGTTTTCAGGAGCTATGCAAGCCAGTGGCCGAGGTAGACTCAAGTCTGTATCTAGATCTCATGCCAGGCTTACAGATTCTGTTCAGGAAAAGCTCAGGTCGACGAGCTACTTTCACAGCTCACTGCCGACCTGCAAAATGAAAGATTATCAGCCGCACGTATGTCTTTGGAAGGCCTTTTGCATCCAACCGCACCGACCTGACTGGTGCATAGAGCGCAAAAAACTGCTTGAGAATCTCAAGGTACTGGGAAGAGATCCTGCAAATTCCGACTCTATTTTCGCTAGACAGGTAACACCGCTCTTACTCCTTCTTAGCCAACATGCTGACTGGAAGAGGGAATCGAAACTTTGTGTGAATATGGCTTCGAAGTCGCCGAACTTGATGTCTCTCAAGAAGCATTGAGGTGTTTGGCAAATGCTATGCTTCTACAAGAAAAGTCGAGACAATATCTGCTAGACTTGGGCTATGGTGACAAAGCTGCTGAACGACTTAGGGTGAGTATCTTGCCGAACCACGATTGCAGTTGGCTTACAATACTTGCTAGAACGATGATCGGGACGACGAATTCTTGGTTTCTCGCATCATTTTCCTTCTGACGTACAAGACTACCGTGAATCTTCAAGAGCTTGTTGAAAAACATGAGCTGGCCAGCAGTATTTGCAGGGTACAGTTCGCTAATCATCAATCGAGAGGTCATAAGCTAATCTATGCCTAGAATCTTGCAGGTCATGCAGACAGGCTTGCTGATTCGAGCAGTCAGCCTGCACATCCGATGAGCGATATGGCCATGATTGAGTCGCTGAAGCTGCTATTCAATGTCACGGCCAGAAAGCCAGAGCTGTCTGCAAGGTTCACTGGCTGTGTGCCAGATCTATTCAGCATACTCTCCCGCCAGAAACTGCCAGTACCCCCTCTGCAGGTGCCTGTCAACTCTATTATCAACGCCTTGATGAACATGCACATAACCGAGGAGACCTGTCCTACCGAGACACAAACTCAGCAGTTGGTCGATATCCTTGATCGCTCTATGAAAGCATATCCGGAAGCTGAGCTCGATCAAGCTGCGACTCCGCTTCTAACACTGCTACGAAAGATCCAAGAGAGTGCATCGCCTGACGTGCGTAAACACATGGGTGGCCTCTTGCTTCCTGATGAAGAAGCCCGTGCGAAGCCTCTGGGTCAAGGTGAATCATTGCCGGCCAGACTTCTGCGACTTTCCATCTCACCGTCTTTGATGAACTTACGCGAAAGCATTTCTGCTTTGTTGTACGAGCTTTCAGACAGCAACCCAACAACTTTCATCCACAACGTTGGATACGGGTATGCGGCAGGCTTCCTCTCTACTCACAAGATCGAAGTTCCAGAGAGCATGATGCGCGCAGATGCTCAGGGCGCGGACATCAATCCGGTCACTGGTCAGCGCTTAGCTGCTGAGTCTGGAGACTCGGAACCTGAGATGACAGATGAAGAGAAGGAGCGCGAGGCCGAGCGTCTGTTCGTGCTCTTCGAAAGGCTGAAGGCTACCGGTGTCGTGGATGTTGAGAATCCAGTACATCAAGCCATGAGGGAGGGTCGATTCGACAACTAGCAACCAAATCGCATCTTACTTCTGGTATCAACAACGCACTGCCTTAGCTGATACTGGCTGGTACAAGGAAAAGGCCGCAGGAATATCAGTATATCGACAAACAGCGAGTCATCAGGCCCAACATGAATTGAGAAAGCTTTCTTGTCAAGGCGCTGGAAATCCGGGCCGAGACAGCCACCCATCTGACACTTTATTGTGACATCCTTGCAAGACGTCTTTACTCCAGAGCACACAACCACTTTTTCTTTGAAGCTCTGATGACTGTGTGTAATTGATGCTCCTCGTATCAGCACCGAGAGATACACATCTCTTTCGCACCTCGCCTGTCCGAATCCTGCGCAGTTTCCGCCCACCGTCGACGACGATAAGAAGCTCAGAAGATGGTTTTCCGAAGCCGATCTCTCTTGGCTGTGCTCTTTAGCCAACCTTTCCCGCACGGGTCGATAGATAAGTGTTTTCCATGATAGGCCGTGCGTCAAGTTATCCTGCCTGTTATGGACAAGTTTCTTCCTTGCATGGTTAGAGGCTTTCTTGGCATGACGCGCGATAGCGCGATAACGCGTGCAACCCTGCTGCTTTTTTCTGGTTTGAAAGCTTTCTGTGTCTTTGAGATGGCCGGGCATTGAGCGCAAGGTGCGCTCGTCGGCTATGTAGATGGTATGGAGCTTGCTTGACAGCCACTAAGCCTCGGGCCCTGTGTTGGGTCAGTCATGCAGGCGCATTTAAAGTCCTTGGGATCGCCAGTCGTCTAGCAAAATCTCACTCGTAGATACTGCTCCATCGTTTCTCTCAGGCCCTTCGTTGTTGTCGCCCCAAGATGCGTGTTTCCTCCAGCATCACCTCTGCCCTCCTGGGTTTGAGCTCCGTTGTTTCTGCTTCTGTTCTGCACAAGCCTGTCGCTGTTGCTGAAAGATCTCTGGATTACCTGGTTGTCAAGCCGAAGGTCATGCTCATTGCAATGTTCACACCCGAGGCAGAAGTCTGGTACGGAATCCCTGAGTTCAACCTTCTGGCCAGAAACATTACCCTCCCCGGTGCATCACCCCTGTTCCCCCACGTTCATTGTACAGAGGACGGAGATGTCTGCCAGGTCATTACTGGTGAGAGTGAGATCAGTAAGTAAGCCGAAGTTACACGTTCAGCGGGCCAGTCGTGCATCTTGGCCAGCATTGATGAGACGGCGTCCAGGACGCTTTCAGATTGATATTGGGAGTCGACTTGTGAGCTGGCTCACTGAACAAGTACCTGATTCCATTCTTTCACAGCACGTTGCTAACTCCACCTTAAAGATGCTGCAGTCACGATCGCCTCGCTCGTGCGTAGCCCTCACTTCGACCTGACCTCCACCTACTTCATGGTCGCCGGTATTGCTGGAATCAACCCCGAAGTCGCAACCATCTGCTCGGTCACCTTCGCCCGTTACGCTGTCCAGGTCGCTCTTCAGCACGAGTTCGACCCTCGCGACATTCCCGGAAACTTCACTACCGGATACATTCCTCTTGGTGCTACCAGCCCTTCTGAGTACCCTCTCAACATCTACGGCACCGAGGTCTTCGAGGTCAACCAGGACCTGCAAAAGATTGCTGCAAACTTCGCTCGTAAGGCCACTCTCAACGACAGTGATGCCGCAGTTGCATACCGCACCTTGTACGCCAACGACGACATTTACACCGCTGGTGCTTCTTCCACTGGTCCCAGTGTTGTCGAGTGCGATGTCGCTACCTCGGACGTCTACTACTCTGGTCGTCTCCTTGGAGAGGCTTTCGATAACTTCACCACTTTGATCACCAACGGTACTGGCAACTACTGCTCTACCGCTCAGGAAGACAACGCAACCCTTGCTGCTCTCCTGCGCGCCGCCGTTGAGCAACTTGTCGACTTCAGCAGAATCATCGTCATGAGAACTGCTTCTGACTTCGACCGTCCTTTCCTCGGTGGTTCCGCCACATACAACCTGTTTGAGTCTTCGGTGCAGGGTGCTTTCGAGCCCGCCATCAACAACCTTTACCTCGCTGGTGTCAAGGTCGTCGAGGGAATTCTTGACGGCTGGAACAGCACTTTTGCCCAAGGTGTGAACGCCACCAACTACATTGGCGACATCTTCGGCACTCTCGGTGGCGAGCCAGACTTTGGCCTTGGAGCCGAAGTCTCTGGCGACATCTTCTCGAAGAGATCTACCATTGCTAAGAGAAACACCAAGGGCAGAAGAAACGTGCCTGTTCACGTTCCTCGCGCTTAGGAATTGGCTAGTCTGTTCCCTTGCCCGATGTGCTCAAGTTTTAAGGTAACCATCAGTCCGCTTACCGGATGATGAAAGTAAAAATTGTACATACATAATGTCTACGCCTGACCACAATGGCTGGCTGAATCAACATAATCTAGAGACTTGAGAGCCCCTGATGTCGGAGATAACTGACTATCCAAATGTGAAATCGACGTAGGCCTCTGTCTTCCTTAGACGGCCTGTTGAGGTTAACCCAATCATTTATGGGAGTTGTCAATCGCGTCCAGATCCGGGTCTTGGCATGCTTTAATGAAGTTCTTCGGCATTCTTCAAATTGAAAGTTGTCACCACAGCAACTTCAACAATAATGGCTTTGGCTTCAATTTTGCAAACTCTTCGCCCGTTTGGACTCAGGGCTCTCCCGATGACCGCTTCACCTTGTCAATTCACAACATGCTGTACCTACCATGAACGTCCACGTCTGGATCCTGAAGGAAAATCGAGTCGAAGTCGACCGCGAGAAGCGGAACAAACAGGTGACGCTGAGCTCCGCATCATCAGGCGCAATCATGACAGAGATTACGCACGCAGGAGGCGCTCGAGTGAGAAGTACGTGGCTGCAGAAAGGGCTTCACAAAAAGCACGAAGGGCGAACAACCCAGAATTGTTGAGCCACGGGTTGCGCGCGTGGGTCACGAGGAACATGCTCGCCATCCAAAACAAAAAGTTCGAGTGGAAAGTGGCGACCCCGGTGTATTCGGAGAAAGTTGAGCATCTGTGTTCCACCTGCGATGTCTTCAGGTTTAGGAAGTTGTGGTGGGAACATCCAAACGGCTTCGAATGCCATGATTGCTACACAAAGAGGGATTGGATTACCGAAGTCAGCCCTGTGGGATTAGAAGACCACAAGTTTGGAGAACTACGGGCACTCAAGAAAAGTCCTTTAGGAGAGCCTAAGCATTAACTTTTATGGACTCTTGATTTATACCATGTGCGTTGTCTGGTCTCTGACCAACGTATAACTCCCTCTGCGTGTTCTCAAAGTTATATGAAGGGTCAACCACGCTTTTGTTGTTTTTGAGGATGATCGTTGCAGCATTTGAATTTGGCTCTGTGCGAGTAGATCAATTCAGATCACTTGCCTTGAAGCATGCTGTCGCTCGTACCCAGCGCCAATCCATCGCCCACCTTGATTTGCACATCGAAAAAGAATCAACGATACAGATAGTATTCAAGATGGGAGGGCCTGTGAGAATTTGGAGATTGATTATCTCATTAATCAGACGCGAGAACGAGCCTCGTCATTATTTTATGCAGGGTGTTGGCCAATCAGAGGGCTGGAAACGACGTGTCGTTCTAGCGTCTAAGGGCTAAATGAACGTCTTTTGGTGACGGTGTACAAGTTCTCAAATTTTGAAATGGCTATCTCCCTCTCGAACAGACGTCAAAAATTGACCATAATTCAACACTATAAGGCGTATAGGTAATATTAGTCCTAAAACACAGACCTAACATACAGCTATATAACAGTCTAAAAATTAGTCGAAAATACGCTGTTTCAGTAGAGTTATTACTGACAGAGATGATTTTAGGAATTCGTCGTCGAAGTTCATATTGCGCCCGGGGGCTTCGGTCGCAACACGACGACAAATTCTAGCCATTTCACTAATTAATTAATAACAATTCAACCATAGCAGCTATTAAGTTACTTATAAGTTTCAATGTAAGTGCTATATCTATTCTTTCTATCTATCGAAAAAAAAGTCGAAAAATCCTTATGTTTCTCTATTGTCTCTTCTTTTCCCTACCCCCTACCTACTAAAATAGAGACTATTACTTCTAGTACTACTTATTTAACTATAAGAGCTCCTTATTTACACTGTTAGCTACCCCCCTAGCTAGTTAGCTACTTCTCATATGTTGTTGTTGCTATATAGTAGTAGAATACGCCAAAATTTACTTGGATTTTAAGAATCTGTTCTCATTTTAAGGATTAGCGTTTTACGCATTATTGCCACTCGATAGGGATATATAAAATAGGCGCACCTATAGAACACAGTAGTGCGCATCTACTAGTAGTAATAACTAGTTGCCGTTCGTAGAATTGTGGTAGAGCTGTCGAAAAAACAGGTCGAAAAATCATGGATTTTGACCGATTAGTGGCAACCTCTCACTAAACGAGTTCATTATTAAGATCTTAGACGTTATATAAAGAGAGAGAGAAAATTTCATAAATCCGTCATAATTACATAAGTCTTATACGATCTTTGTATAACGTCTGATTCATGAGATAAGAGATTGAGATATATGTGCTAGTAGAGTGCCAGGGTCACACCCACCACGATGCCTACATGGATATGAAAAGCTCTGTATTTTTTTCCACGTCTATTTATATTCCTGTCCAAAAGTTCGACTACGGTCGCAATGAACGTCTTGGCTCAGCAGACGTTGTGCTTATGTGCAGGTAGCATACCCACATAAGCAACCATGCGGACCACATAGACATCATGCTCGCCGCAGTATGAGATCCAACAGGATTCCCATTTCGTGTGCGTATAAGAATACGACGAAGGAAGGATCGCTGGACCGTTGATGTCGGCCGACGGCCAATAAGCGGCGGTTTTCCTGGGCGCCTTTGCTTCCTTGCATGCACAGCAACAATGCACAGCCGTCGGCCGCAAGAGAGCCGAGAGAACCTGTCTTCCTTGAGGATCCGAAAGCAGGGCTGAGCAAGTACGTAGAGAGACGTTGGTATTGTCAGACCAAAGTAGATGTCATTGTGCGCATCGCCCGGCATGACGATACCGAGCGAACCGGAGAGGGCTGCCGGAGCTGAGGAGCAGTAGCGTTCTGGTGGCTACAACGCCACGCGGCTGCATCTGCGATGAAACAGCTGAAAGATACTGTCACCTAGTCGATGTACAAATTGATCTGCAGGGTTCCTCCGCGGCGACCAACCACACGGAAGATCGACTTTGAGGAATTGATCTTGTGCTCAAAATATCTTTTTTGAGCACGCCTGATATTGCGACAGCGTTTACCGCGCTCAGCATGGGCTGCACCTTGCGCTTTCTGCATAGAAACAACTCACTATATGCGCGCGTCTCTTGGTAGTAATCTCAGTGTTATATGGAAGAGCGTATTGCAGCGTATGCAAACACGACAATAAGATGAAAAGCGAGTCCGCCAAGGAGTGCTGGGTCCTGCATGAAACTGTAATAACTTTAGCGGGTACGTCACTTTACTGGTACCGTTTCCGTGGGAGCCGGCAGACTCTTGATATATCTTTGTTTGCCCCGTTCGCTGGTTGATCCCTGTCATTCATTTTCCATTCTGTATCTCTATCTTGGCGACAGGATGAAGGCTCACTCTGCATTGACCGGCCTGGTGTCGGTTGCCGCCCTTCTCCCCGAGGTTTCAGCCAACGTTATTGCTATTCGCGACCCCTCTGTTGAGCAGGTCGCTGCAGAGGCTCTTGCTGTCCCTCTTGCCGCCCTCAAGCGCGCAGCCCCCGACGCACCTAATGGATATGTTCCCACACATGTCAACTGCCCTTCAAACCGCCCGACCATCCGCAACGCAACAACAATCTCTCCCAACGAGACCGAATGGCTATACGTGCGCAGAAACAACACTGTCTCGGCCATGAGAGACTTGCTTGGTCGCATGAACATCACTGGACTCGACACCAACTCGTACATTGACAGCGCAGCAAACAACGTCAGCGCTCTTCCTAACATCGCCATTGCCGGATCTGGTGGTGGTTACCGCGCCCTCATGAACTACGCCGGTGCCGTAGCAGCATTCGACAACCGCACATCAAACTCTACTGGAGCTGGTCAGCTCGGTGGTCTCTTGCAGGCCTCGACTTACCTTGCTGGTCTTTCCGGAGGTTCGTGGTTGGTGGGAAGTCTTTTCGTCAACAACTTCACCTCGGTCGAGAACATTCTGGCCCAGGATACCGGCGACAATGGTGGCACATGGCAGTTTGGAAACTCGATTCTTGAAGGCCCCTCAAGCAGTGGTCTCCAGATCCTGAACTCTGCTGAGTACTACAAGGACATCTACGACACCGTTCAAGACAAGAACGATGCCGGTTACGAAACCACCATCACCGACTACTGGGGCCGCGCTCTCTCGTACCAGCTTATCAACGCTTCCATGGGAGGTCCCGCTTACACTTTCTCATCCATTGCCGACGACGAAAACTTCATCGCTGGAAACACCCCCATGCCTATTTTCGTCGCTGATGGCCGTGCTAGAGGCCAGCTCGTCATTGATGGTAACGCTACCGTCTACGAGATGAACCCTTGGGAACTTGGTACCTTTGACCCTACTACATACGCATTCGCCCCTATTCGCTACCTCGGCTCAAACTTCTCTGATGGTGTTGTCATCGACGGCGACATGCAGTGTGTCCGCGGATTTGACAATGCTGGTTACATCATGGGAACCTCCAGTTCTCTCTTCAACCAGGCCTTCCTCCAGATCAACGGTTCCTCTGGTCTGATCAACGGCGTTCTTACCAGCATCCTGGCCAACATTGGTGAGGACAACGACGACATTGCCAACTACCCTAACCCCTTCTTCGGTGTGAACAACCAGACCAGCCGTGTCGCTACTACCGATCAGCTCACTCTCGTCGATGGTGGTGAGGATTTGCAAAACATTCCTCTTCACCCTCTCATCCAGCCCGAGAGACACGTCGATGTTATTTTCGCCATTGATTCATCCGCCGACACCACCGCTGACAACGGAGGCGCTAACTGGCCTAACGGCACTGCCCTGGTTGCCACCTATGCCCGTACCTTCTTGGATATCTCCAACGGCACTTCTTTCCCTGCCGTTCCTGACCAGCAGACTTTTGTCAACCTTGGTCTGAACAACCGTCCCACTTTCTTCGGATGCGACTCTAGCAACACAACCCACATGACTCCTCTTGTGGTCTACCTCCCCAACGCCCCTTACGTCTACCACAGCAACGTCAGTACCTACGACCTGTCTTACAACGACACTGAGCGCAACTACATTATTGAGAACGGCTACAATGTTGCCACCCTGGGCAACGGTACCCTCGACTCAGAATGGCCCACTTGCGTCGGCTGTGCCATCCTCAGCCGCTCCCTCGAGCGCACTGGCACCACCGTCCCCGATGTCTGCAACCAGTGCTTCCAGCGCTACTGCTGGGACGGCACCGTCAACTCGACCACAAACACCACCTACGAGCCCCCATACAAGCTCGCCAAGGGCGACGTGCTCGGCTTCTCCAGCAGTGGTTTCAAGGCCGCAGCACCCACATTGGCTCTCGCCGTGTCCGCTGTCGCCACTGTTTTGATGATCATGTAGATTGCGATAGGTGCTTTTGTTTTGTTCGTCGCCTTGTGGTTCAAATAACACCTCTTTTGTCGTCTTTCTGGAAAGACATTCCAATTTATAGATGGATAGATAGCCGGGTGTTTCTCGGTTTTGGAAAATAGAGAACAAACAGCTTCTTGATTAATGAATCTTCAAAAAAATATTTTACATTTACACAAGATTGTTTTCACTGTCGAACCGTGCTCTTCGTGGGATTTTGACGTCCAGTTTAGCCGTGTGTTGCATTGACTTGAAGGAGAACCAGGAATACCGAAGTCAATAAAATCAGTGACGCAAACACGAATAATAGATTCTTAATATCGACATATGCGGAAGGGACTACGGAGGATGATACGAGAAGGAAGCCACGGCTCAGGTGTGAGTAAAAACGACCAAAAGATTTGAATTTGGAACACATCAAGAACCATTTCTTCCTTAACATTATGTAAAAGCCTTCTGAACACAAGAAGCAAGAACGCATGATGACTTGATTGTAGATTAAGTTGATTGCTATTTCCTGAACAAACTATGGAAGTTGTGGAATATTAGTGTTTCAAGGAGCAGGAAGGTGGAGTACATTTCAGTTGCTAACTTCTTATGTAGGCTCGGTGAGATCTTTGGTTTGAAGGAGGTCGAACGACCATTAACTCCTCATCCACCGCAATAGCAGTGTATACATAGTGCCCTACGCATATTACGAGATGAGGTGTAATATATTATGTACAACCCAAAAGAAGAGGTCCAGTGTAGTGATCAGTTGCTCGATTCTCGCTGATCATAGAAGAGTACTGGAAGATACATCCGGGCTCTGACTGCGTGCTCGACGGCTGATGCTTAGATCTGTGTGTACAGCAGATTTACTCGTGCTTGTATAACCACAAGCCAGTCCGTGGTCGTATCAGAGAAGGGGTGGGTTTCTAGTCAGGAACAAACCTGCTAGCGTCGAACCAGCATCTTTAGTAACACCAGAGAGTGTTCAGCTAGGAGGTTGGATGAAAGTGTCCACAGAGCTTCGTCATGCAGAGAGAGGGAATGCTCTGCTCTGGTCATGATGGCAGTCTCTGAAAGGTATTTGATCCTAAGATATTTCATTAGCCGATAGCCCAAACATTGGTAAAGCAGAAATCCATGTTGCGGAAAAGGCTGGTTGTTTCTTTTCAGACCAGAGAGGCATCTACTAAAATACTCTTCCTGAGTTCTCAGCATCTGCACATAGTGCATAAGCTGTCCCTATCAGGTGTTCATCCTTTGAACCAGCACAGTTCGGCAACAAGAAGAATAGAAAATGTGGTCCTTACCTTTTATGTCGTGGACGTTAGCAATCACGCTCTACGAGTCGGGTATGGGCAATCCGTGGTGGCTGGCCAAGTGGCTGGGTGAAGTGGTGGTTTCATCATGAGCGCTCAGAGTCACCAACCACATATCCTCGGGCGACACCACCACGGCCTTCTTCCATGGCTGCGCCCTTGATCTTGCCTTCTTCGTCGTAGTCGTATACGATTTCATAGTCAGTGCCCAAGCCCTGCCATGTACGCTTGCTGCGCAAGTATTCTGCAGCAGGAGAGACCTCGCCACCGATTTGGGCGAGATCACCGTTAGCACGCTTGATGAGACTGTTGGCAGCAGTCTTATTCGAAGCAGAAGCGGAAGGTCGCGCCATGGGACGACTTTGCGAGACGTAGCGTCCAGTTCGGAGATCGAAGACGGGTGCTTCTGACTCCGAGTCTGAGTCGTCATTGATGCCTTCACCATCTTGCTCGTCGGACTCATCGTCGCGAGTACCTTCGCCGCGAACGACAGTCTTCTTGCCTAGCAGTGACTGGAAATCACTGTTCCACTCTCCAGTCCAGATACGGTCGCGTTCATCGGTGAGAGCCAGAGCCAACTCGAAGGGCGTGATGATGGGCTTCCAGAAGTCCTTGCTCTCGATCAAACTGCTCTCCCAACAACCAATGATGACCCAACCATCAACCTCGGAAAAGTTTGCAATCTTGGCGGCATTGACCTTGCCCACAACGAAAGTGTAGTACTTCTTACCAGCGCGGGTGATGAGGTCCTGAACATGTGCCAAAGCTTCCATATAATTCTTGACTGAAAGAGTGTTGATCAGGATACCAAAGACTGAGACAGTGCTGAGGTTTGTGACGAGAGCATATCGGCGACGGAGGATCTGAGCAGTCGAGGCTGACATGGCTTGAGGGGCCTCGGAACCTTCAGAGATGGTAGGGTAGATGTCAATGGAAGCGACGCGAGAGGTGAGGTTGAGAAGGAGGGAGGTCGGAGGCTCGGAGATGTGGAAGAGCGAGTAGTCGCGAAGAACGGTGGCATCCTCATCTACGCCAGCAGGGACTGTGCGGTTAGGCAACAAGGACGAGGGGTTATGTACGACGGAGGTGGAAAAGAGGTTGGTGTAGCCGACCTTCTCGAGGGCAGACTGCAGAGGTTGGACGTGTTCGGAATAAGGAATGTCGGCCATCAAGACTACTTTGTGGTCTTTCTCCGGGTATGTCTTCTGGAAGCTGGCGACTACGGCATCCAGATCAAGCGGGCGGAAGGTAAAGACATAGATGACGGGCAGTCTTTGTGTAGGAGAAAGGCAGGTGCGGCCGTAGTGTACAACGACCTCGGCAGAGACATGCTCAGCAGCGACCTCATCAACACAGCATGCACCGTATGAAGTGTCACCCAAGATGCACAATCTCTCTCTCTCAGAATCCAGCGAAACCTTGTCCAAAGCTTCAGTCACGTCCTCATTCTTTTTCTGTAGATCAAGCTCTTTCTGCAATGCTTCGAAGACCCTCGGCGCATCTGTCAACATATGATCCGGGAACTGAAGAGCTATCTTCTTGTATTTCCCATGTCGGATTTCTTGGACGGTCCTCTTGATCTCGTAGGTGAGGTATAATTGTTCGTCCGAGAAGGTTCGCACGAGCGAAGGGTCGATGGCCGGAGTCGGATCCTCAAAGACATGTGTGTCCGGAGTCGACAAGACAGGCGCCACCTCTGGCGGACCGAGCGACATGATTGCTCGATAAAATTGAGAAACAAGAAAAGTCGCGGTGCGGTGAAATAAAATTCGGACCATCACCAGATCGGAAGTCGACGCCAAGGCCGGTCTTCGATCGTCATCTTCGAAGATCCAGAAATTCTGAGCAAGAGGCAATCACCACCAGCTATACCGTTTATCCTCTTCCGACCAGACCGACACACATCTCACATTCGCTATGGACCACAGCAGAGACCCTTGCCCTTGGGTGTACGTTTTCCATTCTCGCCTGCCACTGCGACCAGCCCGCTAACTTTACTTCAACAGGGCTTTGAACGATTTTGGAGGTGCTTTCTGTATGGGCGCAATTGGTGGTTCGCTTTGGCACGGTATCAAGGGTTTCAGAAACAGTCCGTACGTTTTTGCGCAATCCTCCAATATGACCACACGACCAGAAACAGTATACTGAGACTCGACGCGACAGCTATGGAGAGAGAAGGATAGGCGCTCTGACCGCCATCAAGGCGCGTGCCCCCGTCCTGGGTGGTAACTTCGGTGTCTGGGGTGGCATGTTCAGCACCTTTGACTGTGCGGTGAAGGGCATTCGGTACGGACTCCCCAACAGCTCGACTCAAGCGACGACACACTAACTGTCCAACAGCAAGAAGGAAGACCCTTGGAACGCCATCATTGCCGGTTTCTTCACTGGTGGTGCTCTTGCTGTCCGTGGTGGCTACAAGGCCATGCGCAACGGTGCCATCGGTTGCGCCATCCTGCTCGCCGTCATCGAGGGCGTGGGTATCGGTTTCCAGCGCATGATGGCCGAGAACACCAGACTCGACATGCCTCCTCCACCTCCCCAAGGCATCGAGGGTGGTGCCGCCAAGCCCATCGCCGCTTAAAGGAAGAGATCAAGACAACAACAAAAAACACTTGTGTTATATACGGGTATATTCGGCGTTTGGAGCGAAAAGCATTATTCTGGGGCTGTCCTTTTTCTCTCGATCCCACACACGATATGGCGGCGCCTAGATGGGTCACTTTTTCCCGTCTTCTCTTCACTCTTCGAAATCATGTATTGTGCCGCACAGTGGAGAGGACAACTGTGCTGGTCAAATTGGTTTTTGTATAAAAGAACCAATTTTGTATTTCTATGTCTTTCATGTTATATCAAGAATCCACTTTCTACACCCAAAAGATTTTCACGTTTATGTTGAGGACGAAACTAGATACAGCGACCATGGAGAACAAGGGTCGCCGAATCAGAGAGCCCTGGCATTGTTCTAGGAGCCGTCGGTGAAGTGAAAGGCAGAATCAGCTCTCCGCCTCCACATTCGCCATCCTTGCGGACAGACTTTTGACGTTCCATAATCTCACGCTGTGTCATTGAGAGAATGTGTATGAACAACAAGATAGCCGTACTTTTATCTAGCCGTCTAGAACTTCATCCTGGCAGCCTTGAATCTGCTGACCTTCTTCAGCTTGCCATCGGGGAACTGCTCCATCAATGGGTCATCCTTCTCTTCTTCGGTTTCCTTGAAACCGCCTTGTTGACGAATGATGTTGTTGCGTAGACGGTAGTATTCAGAAGCCAGTTGACGCTGCTGCAGCTCGGGGTCAAGCTCGTCTGCTTCCTCGGGCGCACGTGCATTTGTCGACGATGCAGATGAGTGTTCGACGATGTTGTCCGAGATGACGGTCCCAGGGACTTGGCCCTGGAAAGGTTCGGGCTGAGAGGCCTCAGGGGTCGCAGCGGCTCTGTTTTGTTTGAAGCGAGAGACCTTGGCTGGAGGCTGTGCCGGTTGCGAGGGAGGTGCGACCTGAGTAGGTGCGCGCTCAACAACATCGGCAATGGGTGCGCTGCGTGGCTTGGAAATGATAGGTGCTTCTGGTGCCTTTGGCGCTTCTTGAACATCAAGCTCTTCAGAAAACCTGACTCCCTTCTTCGCAGATGCATCTGCCCTAGCTGGTTCCTTGCCCTTTGAGGATGCTGACTTGATGTTTTCGCCCGAAGCGCCTTCCTCACTGCGAACCACAAGTCGGCGAAGTCCTTCAGGGTCATAGACAGGATCGACCTCTTCAAGGTTGGGCCCAAGGTTTCCAATGACTCTTGAGCGAAGTTGTTTTTCCAGCTCCTGCATCTGATCGCGATAGCTCTTGGTGACGCCAGGACGGATCGATCTTCCATGCTCATCTTCTTCCTCTGATATCTCGCTGTCATATTCGTCGTCGAAATAGTCTTCGTCGTCCTCGAACTCGGACAAGTTCTCGTCCAAATCTAGCTCAGCGACCACTTGTCCGACTTCATTTAGATTGTACTGAAGCATTTCTCTTCGCAAGCGTGCATCTTCTGGTGACTCGTCCTCGGGAATGACAGCCTGAGCTCCAATAATCTCATCGTCATCGTCCAGCTCGATAACACGCTCGCCGTTGGCGAATGAGCCATTGAACAGGGCAGGGTTGACTCCAGACGATTTGCTGGCATTGGCGTTATCAGCACGAGACGGAATCTCTCTTTCCTGAACTTCTTCTGCGAAACTGACTCCTTTCTTGGCCGCCTTCGATGATCCAGCTGCAGCTTTTGGCGTATCCTGTGATTTGATCTCGGAGGGAGCGGGTCCCTTTCCTTCAACTTTGGGCGCAGAATTCCTGGTTTTCTCTTCAATGCCTGATTTCGAGTCCATTTCTTTCAAGCCAGCTTTGCGAAGAGTTTCGATGATTTGCGCTGTTTGTTGTTCCGGTTGTGTGACTTTGCTCGAGATGATGTTGCCGTCTTCGTCCAGTTCCTCGATAATCTCAGTCATGGGGAACCCAAGTTCTGGGGATTCATCGTCCTCTTTGTCCATCTGTTCCAGGACCTCCGAAAGTTGTCCTTCTATCTTTTCCACTTGCTTGGAAATCGTTGACACATTTTGTTGGACATAGTCGAGCCGTCTGTCGATTAGCTTGGTGACCTCTATCGGATGGCGAATTGGTCCTTTTCCAACTCCGAATAATTCAAAGATTTCTGCAAAAGTTAGAAGTCAAGTTCACAGCCTGGCATAGACATGCTCAAACCTTTTGCATTTACAAGCTCTCCTCCAAACTTTTCACTGATGCGTGTCTATCTGGTATCAGTAAATGGAAATTGCAAGAGGAGTCTGAGTCGACTCACACAATCCTCTTCAGATTGTACATTGACACCCGACGAAAGCTCTTCCTTCAAGCCTTCATATTCCAGATCCCATGTTCGCCAATGCTGCAAAGTTTTGCGTAGTTTTGCCACGTTCTCTTCCAATTCGAGGCGACGGGTTTCGAGTTGCTCTAGGTCCGCCATATTGTGTTGCGACTGGATAGTAAGGAAACGGCAACAAAAAAAGATTTGCAAAAGCTACAGTATGTTTGTAATCAAAGGTTGCCTTCTCGAAGTGACCGACAATGGTTATAGAACGGCAAACGCCGGCTAACAGCGCCGAAGCACTGGCCGTCTCGAAGTGACAGTTGAGCCTCCACTTCCGACTGTTGTGAGCTCACCATCATCAGACACGAACATGTCTCGTGTTGCGCAACCCAGGGCAGCGGCAGCGCGGCCTGGCGAAGATGGTGAGCCACATATCGCCGACCTCGACCTGTCGAGTCTCCGTTTGACTGCAGGCATCGCTGACAGCCTAACCTCAGACATCTGCCCTGTATGTAAATCCTCACGCTATCTCAACAAGTCGATGCGCTTTCTGGTCAACCCAGAATGCTACCACAAGATGTGCGAGTCCTGTGTGGACCGCATCTTCTCCCACGGCCCCAACAAGTGCCCCATCGCTGGCTGTCACCGCACTCTACGAAAGCACAAGTTCCGAGAACAGACCTTCGAGGACATCCACGTCGAGCGCGAGATCGACATCCGAAAGAGAGTGGCCAACATCTTCAACCGTCGCGAGGACGACTTTGACACATTACTTGACTACAACAACTACCTGAACGAGGTCGAGGACATAACATTCAATCTCATCTACAAGGTCGACGTTGAGGAAACCGAAAAGAAGATATCCGTCTATGCCGACCAGAACGCCAAAGCCATTACTACAAATGCCGCCCTCGCATCTCAAGAAACTTACGATTACTCCGCACTACAAGCCGCAGAGAGAGAACAAGCCCGCTTACGGCGAGAGGCCTCTCGTCGGGAAGAAGAGGAAGAGCGAAGAGCACGCGCAGAAGGAAGACAGGACATCATCGATCGCCTTGCCACTGGTTCGGGCGATGCAGACACGATTGCCCAAGAAAGTCGCGTCACGCTCAAGAAACGTCTCGACAAGAAACAGGCCGCCGACAGACAGAGACAGCTGCAAGCTGCTGCTGCTGCAAAGGATGCTACGAATGGCAGCAGCGGTATTATCATCAAGGGACTCAAGACAAGAAAGGCACCCGGTCCAGAAGCACCTTTCGACGTCTATGGAGGACTCAAATTCTCAAACGAGTATCACATTGTGCAAGACCACTACGACTGGGATTGGCTTAACGAGATCGACTCGCAAGTCGCCATCATCGCAGGTGGCTACAGCAAGGATGAGTTCCATTCACGAGCATTATGCGAAGCATTTTCAGGCCTTGGAGTTATTATTGGAGAAGAAAAAGCCGAGCAGAACGGCACACATAACGCAGCCAGTATCGGAACTGCGGCAGCTATTCATGGCGGCACTGGCGCAAAGGACGTCAAGATGGAGGACCCGTTTTGAACTCATGATGAACGTTGAATGATACCCCGAAAAAGGCGTTGGCATTGCATATACATTTATTTTCTACCCTAGAGCATTACGGCTTTATCAATCGAAAGAAACCGGGAATTGTGGCATTCTCTGTGATGTTGTTGTATAGTGATTATGTTCTTGGCATTCGCCGATTGCTTGCTCAGGTGACAAGTAAGATCTTTGTTACGTATCTTACCAATTGAAGTCGCAAGTCTACCTAACCTTCTCAGTCGCCGAACAAAGACCATAGCTCTTTCCGGAGAAAACTACTTTCTCTTAACTTACCTGCCTACGAGCTTCCCAACGCAGCTGCCACCAAGCGGCTGAAACCAAAGTCAAGCATGTAAACATGGCCGACGCGGAGCCCCAGCGTCAGATGTCTCTCATACCGTACACATCTGATTCTCAGGAAATTGTCTTGTAAGACTCTATCATGTAGAGAGTTTCAGTAAGTCGTCGCATGCTAACTTTACAGACGTCGCGGTAATGCTATTGTCGTCTTCGACCCAGAGTCGCGACAACTGTCGCTGCATGGAAACCCACAGACCGCCATTGGAGGCCTTGACCACCTTGACCTGCAACAATGTCCGTATTGCCATCGACCCATGCAAGACGATACGAATTCACGACAGTATGATTCCGAAGACGAGGATGCTTCTTCGCATGATCAAAGCACCTTTGTGAACCCGGAGTACTTCCGCATGCTAGCTCATAGCATACCAAATTCCGCAGCAACCTCAAGACCAGCTTCACCATTGAAGCGACTACCAGGGCTGAAATCAGCAGGCTCTAGAAACATCAGTACCTCTGGACCTCCGACTGGAGCTGAATTTGTTGGTAGTGCTCCCTCTCCTGGCACATCAAATCAAGGTATCAAAGACGACAGCTTCTTGCCAAACTATTTCAAGCACTTCTTCGTTGAGAAAAGCGAATTGGGCCGTGGTGGCCGTGGAGTCGTCCTTCTCGTTGAGCACTACCTGGACAAGGTGTTCCTCGGAGAGTTTGCCTGCAAGCGTATTCCAGTTGGCAATGACCACGGTTGGCTCGAAAAAGTCTTGATCGAAGTACAGCTACTTCAAAGACTCACGCATCCGAATCTGGTCTCTTACCATCACGTCTGGCTAGAGGATGCACAAATCACCAACTTCGGACCAAGTGTGCCTTGCATCTTTATCCTGCAGCAATATTGCAACTCAGGAGACCTACACAATTATGTCCTTGGTTCAGCCAAGGCTCAAAGCACCACTGAAGTGTTGAAGGAAAGAATGAGAAGAAGATCGAAAGGATATGCGGAGCGTCCTACAAATCTCAGCACTCGCACGATGAACTTTGATGAGATCTTCTCCTTCTTCCGCGACATCACATCTGGCCTACATCACCTGCACACCAACGGTTACATCCATCGAGATCTCAAGCCGTCAAATTGCCTCTTGCATAACGATGGACAGAAGATGACAGTCCATGTTTCTGATTTTGGTGAAGTTCAAGCGGCAAACGAGCAACGCAACTCTACAGGAGCGACTGGCACAATATCGTATTGTGCTCCAGAAGTGCTGCAGAGACAAGGCGCAAATGGCGAGTTTGGCGAATTCACCACCAAGTCAGACATCTTCTCCTTAGGCATGATCGTCTACTTCATGTGCTTCGGTCGCTTGCCTTATCAGAATGCCGATGCTGAAAATGACGAGAACGAAGATCTTGACAAGCTTCGTGCAGAAGTATCAGCCTGGCACGGCTTCGACGATGTGACAAGAGCACGAACAGATCTCCCGGAAAAGCTCTACAAATTCTTGAAGAGATTATTGAGCCCTGATCCATCCGAGAGACCAAGCACGGAACAAATTCTACAAGCCATCAAGGCCGGAGGAGAGATCGATGACATTCCTATGAATGTGACCAGAGCAGGAGGAGACAAATCACCAGATCTCGGAAGTATGGGTTCTCGCATCTCCTCTGTGGACTCACCTGCTCCGAAGAAGACTTTACGAACAAATTCCACCCACCAAAGACCAGGAGTGTCGCAATTAGCCAGACATCATTCCGGCGAACTGGTGCACTCAAAAAGTCCTCCCCTGCAACCTCGCCGCTTCAGTAGAGATAAAAGCGTGAGCGTCAGCACGACCACAAGCACTCCTTCACCCCCAGATACCTCGACCCTTACTTTTCGTGGTCGAGATATCGGCACACCTCCCATTGCCAAACAGCCTACACGCCTTATGCTCCCACCGCCGCCTCCACCCAAGCTTGACCTCATACATACCCATCCTTCTCTCCTTCTAACTTTCAAGATCATGCTCTTCAGCTTGAAATTCTTTCTGCTTAGTTATCCATGCGCGCCCTTTGCAGGAAAAGCCTGGCTCACGTATCCGCTGATGGGTCTCGCATTGGTGGACTTTACAGTGTGGAAAGCAAATTTGAAGGGAACCTTCGCGTTGATGGTGGTGCATGGGCTTATCATTCTGGTAGCGATGAGATGGGGTGTGTTGTGTAATGGTGGGTCGGGTAGTTGGAAACCAGGAGGACTTTATGATGGTCTTTGAGTGTTTCCGACTCGGTTTCGATAGCGGGCTGTTGAAGCGCTCGAGTAAAGGGTGTGGCTAGGCAGGGTGGGAATGAAATTCATGATTATCCATGACTGTTTACTGTGACGTTGCTCATATACCTGCCATTGCACTTACGATTAAACTATAGGCAAGAATGAAGTCACGTATCTGGACAGAATAAACAGTGGAAGAGAAAAAGTAATCAATCGAGTACAACAACTACAACAAAAGCACCCAATGCCGTGGTTCGCTCTGATAGCTATCCATTAACAATCTCCATTGTCCCAAAACCCCATGTCCAATGAACAATACCCTCCCTGCAAACTCCAACCACAAGCAAAAACACAATCATGTCATCCTCGTTCAAGCAGTAACACCCCTCTTGACACCACCACCACTACTACGCCTTCTAATAGGCAAACCCACCTCTTCAACCTCACTCTCATCACTAAACCCACCCCAAGGTAAATCATCCTCACTCTCCTCCACCTCTCCATCAAGTCCAAAAGGATATTGTTGGTTCTGTTGCTGGACCTCCTTGGCTCTCTGCCCCAGCTCCTCAACATCAATACCCAAACTCTGCAATGTGTTTTCCACTTGCTCTTCATCCATTTCCTGCTGCTGATGCTGTACATCCTGTGCTTCGGCAGAACTCTTCTGACCTTCGAGGACATCATACAGGGAGTAGATTTGATCACTGCGACGTTCGATTTCAGTCATCAAAGCGGTCATTTTGGCTTTGACGGCCAGACGCTTGCGACGACCGAGGGCGGGATCGTGTTGATTGTACATTTTTTCGAAAGAGGCGAGTTGGAGTTTGAGATGTTTGACTTCATCTTCTAGTTGTTTGAGGACGGTGGCCAGAGCGATGGGAGGGGATTGGGAGGGGCGGATGGTTGCGTTTGTGTCGTCGATGTCGCGGGAGGACACGGGGATGGGTGTGGGGATCGTGATGTCCTTGTCTTGCGAGTCCTTTGAGGGGCAGGCGGTGCAGTTGAGGTTGTCGTGGGAGATGTCCATGGCTGCGTTTGTAACGGTGGCCTCGGCGCCGGGACCGGTGTGGAGAGTGATGTCGGGGAGGATAAAGGCGGAAGTCATTTCTTCGATGCTCTTGCTGCGGTTTCTGCGGCGTGATGAAGTGCTCATGAATGAGGCCTCGGTTGACTCTCTAGGCTCAGAGTACGAGATGGCATCTGACATGTGAGGTGATTGAATGCGAACATTCTTGGGCAAGCCAGTGTTCTCATCGACTTGAGATCTGATTGTGAAACGACCTATGTCGTTGTTGGTGATGTCCCTGAGGGAAGACTTGCGAGGTGCAGCAGTCATGGTGGAAGTTGCGTTCTCCTGAGCTGCAGGGGCAGAAACAGAGCGTGCAGTCTTCGAGGCACGACGCTCTTCCTCAAGAGTCTTGCGCAGCTTTGCTAGTTCCCTGGGGTCGAGGAAGCTCAGGTAAGTGATATCCTTAGAGTCTTCCTCAGCCTCAACAGTGTCATCTCTGATAGGCCTCGAGAAATCAAGGTTGGTAGTCGAGTCAACATCGCTGACGTCCACAACGTGCTGAGGCTTTGAGGTAGTCTGGCGGGTGTTGGACTTCGAGCGCGAACGAGAACGAATGTTGGCAGGCGTAACACCCGAGCGCGACTTCTTGATCTCATTCTCGATGCTGTCCAGAATGTTGTGCTTGGTATCTTGACCAACTCTTCCACTTGCTCGGCGCTTGTTTGTAGCCTGTTGGTCGTCTGGAACAAAGCGTGGCTTGATTGATCTGGAGGTTTGGTCTTGAGCAGGAGCGGATTGCATGGTCAAATCATGCTGCATATCCCGAACAGCGGCCTCGCGACGATGGATCTTTGCTTTCAAATCAGACTCACGCGAATTCCATTGCTGTGTCTCATCGTTGAACTGGGCCTTGATTTGAGCAAGTCTGACACGCAGACGACCGTTCTCAGCTTGCAGAGCTTCAACATCAGCTTCGAGATGCTCGTTCGACTCACGCAGCTGGAGGTTCTCGTTTTTGAACTCCTCAGAATTGTAGTAAGCAACGCCAAGTTGAGTGACGAGGTCGTCGCGCTCCTGAGTCAGACGCTTGACAGCAATGTCATTGACCGAGAGCTTACGCTCGCCATGGTCGAGGCGGTCCTGCAGAGTCTTTACGGTAGATTGCAGGGTAGCTCTCTCGACACGCCATCTCTCTTTGGCGCTACCGTCATCGTCCTCGCCCAGTGCACTGTCTGGCCGGCGCAGTTTCTGTTCAACATCGAGGCGCGACTTGAGGTGGCCGACTTCGGTCTCGTACTCTTCTAATCTCTTCTGGGCTTCGCTCTTTTCAGTCTCGAGGTTTGCAACCTTATCTTTCAGAAGTTGGAGCGAAGCAAAGATGGCTTTCTCCTCGTCGGGCACAGCGATCGAGTTGATGTTCGCGTGAGTGACGGTGTTGGTAATGGTAGGGTTGTTGTAAGAGGCAGAGGTGAAGCGGGAGCGCGATTTCTGCGAGCGTGAGAAGACTGGAGTGCCGTCTTTGCGTACACCAGATACGAGCTCGGTGATATTGGGAAGATCGGGCAGCATGAAGGAGGCTTGCGTCTGAGTGCCGCCGGTCCATGTAGCAGTAGGGTTCTGGATTGGGCGCTGAGGGGTGCCCATGGATTGTAGGCCCTGGTCGTGTGAGTATGAGGTGGGCAAGTTTGCCGAGGTGAAGCGGGTGTTGCGCGGCTGGACGGTCTGGGTGGTTGGACGGTCTTCGCCGACAAAAGAGGATTCGCTCTCGCGGTGGACTTTGTGGTGCATGTCGGACAAGGAGCGGCGCTGTGATGCATTGGCTCTCTTGTCGCTCGAGTGGGCGCGTCGCAACGAGGCTTCCTTTCTCAAGCTGTCGGTCTTCTTAGGCGTAGGACGCGTGCTCCTCGGAGGAGTGCTGTGCAAGTCGTATAGGCTGTCGCTGGGCAGAGGAATGTCTGATATGTCGAAGGTCTTGGGGCTGCCTTTCTTGCCGCGTCCGGCTTCGATGGACATGGAGACTTCGGGCGAGGGGGAGGGCGACTTCTCAGTAAAGTCCGGGAAGCTGTCGCGCACGAAGGACGAGTCTATGTGCATTGCGGGCTGTGGCGGGTTGTAGTAGCTGAAACGCTGAGCACTCGAGCGGAGGTTGGGCAGCTGCAGCGATTGCGTCGCCGTGTCGAATTGCTGTGTCGACTCGAACTCGGGCTGGAAGCTCGACATGGTCGATGTGTTTCCTGGCGATTGGCGAGGCGAAGGCATGCTAGTAGCAAGAATGCCTGGTTATCCAATGCTGGAGAAGGATGCTTGAAACTTGACACGACACGCCGGTACTAGTACAAGTCTCGCGTCAACATCAAAACACTGCAAGTAAACATGCCGCACGCCAAGACAATCTGACTCTGTCCAATCATATCCTACCATCCACTCCTCCATCACGACCACCACATCGTCACAACATTTGTCACCTCTTGAACGGTAGCACTCATATTCATGTATCCAGCCAGAGTCAAGAAAAGAAGAAAGCAATTGTTATTGGAAGAAAAAGGTTTAAACGATAAACGCCGTCATCAGCATCAATCAATCATGAATTCATCAAACACCCTTCATCCCAGCCTTCCCAGCCATCCCAGCCATCTCATCATGCATCACTGACAACGCCATTGTCATGAATGTTGGGAAAGACAAGACGTCTGCCGCTGGGCTTGACCCAGGGGGTATAGCTTTCGCCGTCGTCATCGCCATCCTTGTCATCGGTAGAGTGGTCGTTGCTCCCATCCTCAAAAGTAGGACCATGCTTCTTGGGTGGTGCAGTACCGAGCTTGAGCACGTATCGGCCGACCATATCTCCAAGGTTGTTCCCAGCGGAGTGCCTCTGCTTCTCGACTGTCAGAAGTGTTTCTCCACAGAGCCGGGCGTCGCTGTCCAGCATCCAGTTCATGCTCTCCACCACAGATGCAATAGGCACCTCGTCCTGATCATTCAAGCTCCTCTGTGTCATTAAGTCCTCGACGAACTTGCCTGCCTTGGGACTCTTCTGGATCCATGGCTGCCAGTCGATCGAGGCACAGTAGTTGGTGTTCTGGTCAATGCACGCGACCACTTCTCCTCTGGCGAACGACTGGTTTGGATCCGCCTCGTACAGTTGGAAGACCTCGTACGCGAGCCTTTCTTGGCATGGCAATACCGTGTTGTCATCCTTGGCAGCGAATTTGCACTTCTTGCTCATTGCCTTGCAGGCATCGCTGCCGTGCTTGTTGGGGAACTTGACCGTCTTGCGATCCTTGCCAAGGCCTTTGAATGTTCCCAACTTCCGATCGTTGATACCAGCATTCATGCCGCGGATCTGACGGACTCTGGCGTCGGATACTGTAATAGTTTGAGATCCCGGTGTACTAGAATCAACGGTAGTGCTTGCGGTGCTTGGGCGCCTTGTGATTGTTGTGCTGTGGCCAGGTATAGTGATTGTGACGTCGGGTTTTTCGGAGACAACGACAGTCGGGCCAGTGCGGCTCAAGGTTCTGGTGGATCCGTCAGGTCTGCCAGTAACGACAGTGACTGTCTCGGTGGGTCTGGGAGGTCCGTCAACATCAAGAGTGACTGTCTTGGTTTGGACGCCCCCAATGTAAGTAATCGTGGTGGCAGTTGTGGTCCTGGTCCTGGTGTGTTGACGAGTCGTAGCCCTGGTGTGCTGACGAGTCTTGGTCCTGGTGTGATGAAGAACCTTGGTCTCCATCTTAGTCTTGGTGGAGAGGAGATACTCTGTTCTGACACCGCTGGGCCTGATGATTGTCTTGGTTCTGGCACGAGGTGTCTTCGTCTTAGTCTTGGTGCGAGTTTTCTCCCATCTGGTGGCGGTAGTTCGTCCTTTCTTGAACTTTGTGCTGACGGTGGTGGTGACACTGGTGCTGATGCTGGTGGAAACCCTGGTGGCGGTAGTGGTTGTGGTAGTCGGACTGCGGACCGTCGTGCGTGTAATAAACGTCTCGGGAGAGGCTGGCTTCTTCGGAACAGACGAAACTCTGCGAGTGGATGAACATTTCTTGGTCTTTTTGGCTCCAGTAGACGACTTCTGCTTGGTCTTGATTCTGTACGAGACGCTCAGCTCCGAGGTACTTGTGGAAGATGATGGGAAATGCGTGGTGGTTGTGGCACGAGCCACGGTCTTCGTTCTGTAGGAAATCGTACGAGTGGAACCCTCCAAAGTAGAGGAAGGTGTAGTACGAGTGGAACCCTCCAAAGTAGAGGAAGGTGTAGTACGAGCCACGGTTCTCGTTCTCAATGAGATCGGATGGGTTGGACTCTTCATCAGACCACGCGTCGTGAAGGAGGTACCATGTGTCGTGAGCCTTGAAGACGACGAGGTTGGCAAGACGGTAGGTGATGGAGATGGGTAAACCGTGATGGTTGTTGTGGAGGTTGAAGCCGTGGGCATTGAGGACCTGGTCGGTTGTCTGGTCGGTTTCGTGACCACTTCAACCAGGAAAGTCGAAGCTCGTGCAGTTGTCGTCTCTGTCGAAACAACCTCAACCGTGACATTGGAGGGTCGTGCAGTTGTCGTCTTCACCGAAACGACATCAAGAATGACAGTGAGGTCTTGTGGTGTCGACGTTTTTGTTGATGACTTGGTAGACTTCTTGCTCTTGGTTGACTTCGTGGATCTTGGAGGACTGGTTGTCTTTGTGAGAGTCTTCATCTTGGTCGATGTCTCCGTGAGAGTCGTCATCTTCGTCGATGTCTCTAAGTGGACGGACGGACGACGAGAAGATGACTTGGATGAGCGGACAGACGAGCGACGAGACGACGATGTCGATGTCGATGGCCGAACAGAGGAGCGACGAGTGGATGATGTCGACGAGCGGACGGATGAACGAGGAGACGAAGATGTCGACGATCGAACAGACGAGCGACGAGACGACGATGTCGATGNGAGTTGACGGTCGATGTCATGGTCGTGGTTGGACTGGCTGATGAGCTTGACGCGGTGACTGACAGACTGGACGAGCTTGACCTAGTGATTGATAGTCTGGATGATCTTGATCTTGTGCGAGTACGAGTACGAGTGCGGAATGTCGAGGTCTGTCTGGTACGGGAACGCGAAGGAGAAGATGAGCGTGCTCCGGTACGAGTTGGTAAAGACGAAGACAAGCGTGATCTGGTACGAGTATCGATCGCTGCTTGACCGAACATCGTGCTCTCAAATGATGACGATGGAAGTAGCCAGTCCGAGAACATCGTTTGCTCCGACTCGGTGGAGGTTGGATCGAGTAATGAGCTGATTTTGCTGGAACCCCGAGATTTGAGGCTCGACTTCTGGCCATCTGTGATGGTTTCCCAAAAGCTTTCATCATCATCATCATCATCATCGCTGTCGTCTGGGTCATCGGTTGAGTCTTGATCACTGTCCCTGGTGCTTGTCGACTCGGCGGTGCTTGTCGACTTGGTGGTGCTTGGGCCTAGGAAGAACTCACTGACCGCTGAAAGCACTTTAGTGGCAATCCCTGTGCCAATTTCACTTGCAGAGCTTAGAAGGCTACCATCTTCATGGTCGTCATCGTCGTGATTATCTCCATCATCCGTATCGTCAGGGTCATCGATCAGGTCTCGGCCACTGATTGAAACCAAGATGTCTTGATCCCCGTCGGATGCGCCATCGCTACGGCGAGAAAGTGTGCTCCTGCTGGCAGGCAGCTTGGCAAGGCTGCTGGATGGTCGAGCGGAGATGCTGCTGGGTGGGAAGATGAGGATATGAGACGGCCCGACGAATGGAGGTCTAGTGACAGAATTGGTGTCGGTGGTTGTATCAGGCCAGTCTGAATCGTCGATGATCGTGGTAGAGTTGGACTCGAGTATGCCATTGCCAATGGAAGCAGTCGAAACAGCGGCGAGAGCGCTGAGCAACAGGCACGACCTCATCTTGGCTGGTACGTGTTGTCAGTAGAGGCATCAAGAACCGGACGATGCCGGAGGATGTAAAGGCTGGGAAGAGACACCATCGATGGGAAGCGATGATGCTGCATGAGGATGAGGACGAACATACCGTGTTGATGCTGGCGATGAATAGTGTTGGATCAATGAAGTAAAGCTGAAGACGATACGCAAAGTAATGGAAAAGAGCTCGAAGCAAAAAGCAATACAAAGTGGTATGTCAAAGAAGAAGAGTGCTGAGACGCTGAAGAGAAGACGGCTTTGGGAAGTGGTTGAGGGCAGGTCCGGCTTCAGCGTTGCTTCCCATTGCTGAGTTGGTGACGCAACGACGACTTGAGTTGAGCGTGGAAGCCGTGACGAGCCTGCCTGCCTATTCGATTCCGGTTGAGCGGAAATCCAATTTGCAAAGACCAAACCAGGAAGCAACGAATTCCATTGCTGAAGCCTTGGAGATAATTCACTTGTCATCGTGCATCTTGAGTTGGAGTATGGCTTCGTAGCAAGGTCTGTTTCCAAGATGATCTGTTTGGCAGCAAAACCTATATGCGATCATGATTTACCGAGCCTCTGCTCCCTTTCGGGACTGTGTAGCAATCTTTCGCGGCACATATCAAGGACTTACAGGTCTGTTGCAACCCTCCGATCCAACCGGAATTTATGCTCGATTGCTATAGAACTTCATGTTGTGCTGTGAGTCGTGAGCGGATGCTAGAAGTTCGTTGGTTAGCTTCTGAGAAATATTCAGTCACGTATCAGATCAGGATGACATATCCAAGACGAGCAAGTCAGTGTTGAGACATCGCGATTGCAAGAGAAGCATGGAAGAAGGAACGCATTGATATACGAGGAGACACTAAGTCAACCTCGTAATAAAACATAACGCTCTATGCCTTTTCGTAAATTTAAAAGACCATCACTGATGCAATCCGCTGAAACCCAGAAATGTAACAATCATAAGATATACCTGTACCAAACGCTCTCCAAAGAGCGTGCAGCAACCCAGCGGACAGAGTCTGCGGTAGGAAGCGCACATGACTACTGCAAGAGATGGTCCTGTTATGGGTTAGCAAGAAGCTGGCAATATCATTGGCGATAAGACTTACGCGGAAATGCTTTTGGTTGTTTCCTCTCTTGTCGTTACCCCATTGGTAGTTGGCTCGCACTCTTTGTTCGCGCTTCTTCTCTCTTTTCTCGGCAGCACGCACTTCCTTCTTCTTAACCTCGCTGACACCGACCATGCCAAGACCGCCCTCTGCACGAGAGACGATTTGACGACCACGGTCGTGCCTTGATCTTCTGGCCTCCTCTTCGTCGTCGGAATCGTGACGGCCTTCGATGGCTCTTTGCTCTGCTCTCTCCTCGGGTGTGGGGTAGTTGCGGAGATTCTGGCGGTAATACTTGGCAAGCGAACGATGACCAGCGGTACGTCCAGTAGGCAGATGCAATTCGTAGTCGTCGTGGTAAACAGCGTGAGGGGTTGAGTGAGCGTGAGAGTGATACCCGTCGGTGTTTCTGTGAGGTCGAGGATCATTGTGAGAATGGTGTCTGTGGCGATCAAGAGTCTTGTAACGGTGCGAGTGGTCGTCAATGGGCACGGAAGTGATCTCATCAGTCGGCACCGAAGACAGAGATCCGTCACTCTCCCATCCTTCGTCGTCCTCGTCGGCCATCTCTGCATCTCCGTCGCCCGCTTCAGTCTCGATGGTAACCTTGGTGGCACGAGCAGCGCCAAGCTTGACGCCTCCCTCCTGTTGGTCATCTGCGCCATCGGTGCTGTCGTCGTCTTCCTCGTCTGAGTAGGTGCTTCTGAAGTCGTAGAACTCTCCAATCTCGAGCATCTCGTCTTCGGTGCTGTACGGAATCATGCAGTGACCTCTGTCACGCATGTGTGTCTGAATACCGGTAGCTGTGTGCTTGAGTTGACCGCAGTATAAGCACTGGTGGTCGTCGTGAATCTTCTCGTGAAGGTAGCTCAAAAGACCTTCCAGATCGACCAGGAACTCTCTCTCAGGAATGAACATGCCGTGCTGTTTGGCCATGTGGTTGATGTTCTCATTGAGGTCTTCATAGATAGTGTTGCAGAAAAGACATTGGTTGAGTAGGACTTCAACCATGTCATCAGTACCGGTAGTGTTGGATGGGGTTCTGGACAGCTTGTCGGCATCAGTGATGTTGGCTTGTTGAACACCATCGGTGACTTGAGCAAGGTCAGCGTCGCGCTCTTCGGGGCGGTCGGTAGCGACAGAAGCGACAGAAGCAGTCTCAACGTTTGAAGCGGTTTCGAGCGGCTCTCCCAGAGAGAAGGTGGAGCTCATGACGGAGCTGGCATCGTCGACGTCTCTCATGTGCATACGGGCGATTTGCTGCCTGTGCTTTTGACTGCCGAGGTGGTTCGCGTAGGCATTTTCGCTGAAGTACGTCTTCTGGCAAGCGGAGCAGACCTTCTCGAAAGAGGCGCGAGCGGCGGTGGCAGCGGCCGAGGCCTTGTTGGCGAGGACCTTTTCGGCGAAAACTTCAGAGGTAAGCGGAGGGAGCGAAGCGACTCTTCTCTTGAGGTTGTAGCGGCTAGAAACGAGGTTAGGCATAAGATTTCTCAAGGACTTGGTCAGACTCACTGCCAGTCGCTTTGCATGTGAGTGCGCTGCAGGTCGCTGGAGCGGAAGGCGACCTGACAGGTGTTGCAGGTGAAAGGATGGGTAGGACCCGAAGCCATGCTAGCCATCTTGGATTGTCGATGAAGATGGTATGTGGCTATGTGTGGGTTGTATTGACAGTGGCGCGCAATGCTGAAAGGACGAGAAAGCAGCGCGATAAGAAATGTCTGGAGGGGCAAACTTTCTTACTCGCAAACCATTTCGTCAGTCGAAACGCCGCAATCCCCGTCGTCCTCTGCCAAGCCCGCCATAGACCGAGGGACCCTTCTTCTTGCTCTCGACGATTCCATCTCTCGAGTGTCGCTTGCCTCTGCTTCTACGAACTGGTAAGTTTCGATCCTTTATTGAACGGCGCTGCTTTCGACCTTTACTGAGATAGGCAGATTCCGATCTGCAGCATCCAATCAACCTTTTCATCCTTCTTATATGTCGTTCCCAGCAGAAGCCTTGTTCACATCGCGTCTTTTACCCTCACGTGCCCATCAACCATTCTTGACAACGTATGCTATGGCGGTATAGTCGCTCCCCTGTTCTGTTTGTTCTTGTATTACTATGGCCACTCAGTCTTCTTCTGGCTCAACTTCTTCGCCATCATCTTCACACCGGCATCATGATATCCAGGACTTGATCAATCGGTGCGTCTTCTCAAGACATACTCGATCTATCGCCTAACCTCTTGTCCTGCAGCTTTTTCGTACAATTACGACAAGGATGTGGTGTTTCCACCTGCTCGACGTCTCTGTGTGCCACTGCGCGGTCTCGGCCTTCATCGCCACCATTGCGTAGCTACACTGCTGTCAGCGCCCGGGCTATGGCCGTCGTCTTGGCTTCATCAGAGAATGCATTGGATCGCCTCTGTCCGAATTTACCGAGCCACTTGCCTGCTATTTTGGCAGCTCCACAAGAGAAACTAGACTCCAAGGCTATCATGCAGCAACTCTTCAATTCTGAATCACTGAGAAACATTCACTCTCTAGAAGATACACATACACCAAGGCTCGTACACGAACGGTCTCTATCGGGCAACTCATTCCTTACAGTATCATGCGACGACTTGGTCAGATTGTGCGATGCTACATGTAGCTTGCATCTCGGTTCGGAGTCTGACCAACACATTATCACAGCACGCAATCGCACCTACACAAGGCTGGATTCCATATTTTCCGACTTCACCAATCTGGCACAATCCTTCTCTGACGATCCCATGAACGTTCGCAAAGATCCAGAGACACATCGTTCCGCTACCTATTCTGTCCGTCTTCACCATGCACTCGAATCGGTACATGCTCTCGGAGAAGATGCATCAAACATCGTTTTTGATTCTACGTGGATAGCGCTCGAGCCGATATTTGAGAGTCCGTTTGATTCCCGACATAAAGGGCCAAGAACCTTCCAAACAATTTCTTCTGATGCCAAGAGCTCCAGCGTTTCTGACGTGGTTTATCGTGCCATCCATACGCTGACTTCGTTCGTGCCGAGAGCTGGATGGAACACATGGTATTTTGCTTGGTCTGCACTGATTCATGGCAGAGCGCATGGTAAGCAGATGGACAGACGAGATAGCGAGTATTTCTCGCCCTGCCTACCAATCCTCGATGCTTTCGAACAGGACACTGCCCTTCGTATGGCGAAGCGACTGGTTCGGGCAGTTGGTGCAAGAACATGCCTCGAAGAAACCTTGTCCGCATGTAGTAAGGGTGATGCGAAGCCAGATCCCCGGTTGCAAGTCTGGCAGACCAATCGCCGTATCAGATCATCAATTACTGATTTGCTTGTCCAAGAAGAGCAGAATATACGTTTGGCCAGTTTCAAGACTATTTGGAGGGACGAACTGCGACATGGTGGGGAGCTTGTTGGTACCACTTCTCTCATTTGGCTAGAGTGGTTGCGAAAGTGTTTCCTCAAAGAGTGGGATGGCTCTCTACGAATCAATAGATGGAGTGTTGCTGGTTCAGCACTCGAGCTCATTGAAGACCTTTGTAAGTACGACAGATTTCTGTCAGCATACACGGCTGACATATGTAGGGAATCACAAAAGCCAAGGTCAACTAGACATGCCTGCAAAACTGTTCATGACTCCCGCCGCTTTTCGTATCCTTGACGTTGACAAAGCGGCGCAAGATTGGTTGTCTTACAAGTCAGATGTCAACAGTAGGCATTTACTGTCTTTCAAGTTTTTGTTCAGCACAAAAAGGATTATTCAGTTGGTTCGCACATCTCATCACATACTGATGCGGCGAGCCTACAATGAAGCAGATGCAACATGGCACTTACGTAGGAGGACGATGCCCGAGGTTAATTTACAGGACGTCATCTACCTAGACCGCCGTCTGAGAGCTTCTCAAGATCACTATCTTGTGCTAAAGATCAACAGGCATTCAATTCTGTCGGACGCTTTCGACCAGCTATGGCATAGGGAGAAAAGAGAGCTACTTCGCCCACTAAGGATACGAATGGGTATCGACGAAGGCGAGATCGGTCATGATCTTGGTGGTGTGCAAATCGAGTTTTTCAAGCTCGTTTGTCAGGAAGCCTTTAGTCCCGGCTACTGTGAGTTGGTCGCGTTTTACAATCATGGCTTCGTGCTAACATATATTTAGCATTCTTCACTACAGATCCTCAAACTCGTCTGTCGTGGTTCCAGCCTGCAACCTTGGTACCACTCTACAAGTACCAGCTCTTCGGCGTTCTATTCGCACTTGCTATCTACAATGGCATCACCTTACCAGTCTCATTTCCTCTGGTCTTCTACAAGAAGCTTCTTTTCCAGCAGTTTGGCGAGACTGATTTGGCTGAAGGATGGCCCAGTCTGAACAAGTCATTGCAATATCTACGTACGCATCAAGGTTCTGTTGAGGAAGACTTTGCTCGAGACTATGTCTACAGTTTCAGTGCAAACGGCCTACATTTGGATGTAAGTATGGACGACCCTTGGAATGGCTGGTCAATATGGGGCAAAATCAAGTCTGGCAAGGGTATGACTTTGGGCCTTATGAAGGTCATACGACAATATCCTGACAAGCATCATCCTGAGTTCACTTCTTCTCGTGGAGAAAACGAACGTGCACATGCGCGGTCTGACTCGGAAGGATTGCTGGAAATCACGAACCATTTGAATTCAGAGAGTCAAACGAGAGACGTGTCACAAAAGGCTCAAGAGCCTGACCAAAGCAGATTTGAGTGGCCAGGTTGGAAGGTCATGTTTGTGGAACCTGACGAATACTCCAAGCCTGTCACGAATGAGAATCGACACCAATACATCTCAAGCTATGCCAAGTGGGTCTTGGACTGGTCCATCCGCCCACAATTCAATGCGTTCGCGAAAGGCTTCTATTCTGTTATGAATCTCAGGCCTTTGACAGTGAGTGTATTTTGCATCCCCCCTCTATTGTTGACTTCACTTACATGCGTGCAGCTCCTGAACGCAGACCAATTCCGTACCCTGGTCGAAGGCCACAATCATCTCGATATCAACGCTTTGCAAAGAGCTACTACCTACAGTCATTACACAGAAACCTCCCCTGTCATTTGTTGGTTCTGGGAGGTGGTTAAAGCCTACCCTCAGGAGAAGCAAAAGCAGTTATTGGAATTTGTCACAGCAAGCAGTCGCGTTCCTGTAAACGGAGCCGAAAGCTTGACTTTTGTCATCGAGAGAAGCGATTCTGACACCAATGCGTTGCCTGGAAGCAGCACTTGCTTTAGCACATTGAGGTTGCCTGAGTATGAAAGCAAGCAAATCCTGACAGCCAAGTTGGATATCGCTCTTGAACATTCTTTGGGATTTGGACAAGCATAGACTTGCTTCTGATTGAGTCGATCGTTCATAGATGGTCTTGTATGCATTGGAAAGTATCAAGCGGTTTGCTTTTAGGTGCGTGCTAATCTGATGTGATCTTGTTTTTGGTGTCTCTTTGTTAAGAGTAAGGAAACTTATGCGGAGTTTGACATAAGCACTCTGGCCTCCGAAGCCTGCAGCTACTCAATTTCGCGTCTCGCCATTCGCCTAATCGCCACTTCCGAATTTTCTCTGGGGTGGTGAGTTTTATTCAAATTTTGATTTTTGCAATATATTAATTTATCTTACTCACAATCTATTCTAGCTTTACACTCGAACACATCTCTAGTGTGCCTCGACCTCCTTTGATGGGCCGGGATTGTTCTCCACGTCGTCGCCAGCGTACGCGTACTTGGAGAATTTTCTGATGCGTTCACCGAAAAAGTAGAATCCGTACGGTATTCCGCAGCATGCGAGAGCAATGAAAGCCATCAGAGTACCGGCCCACTGGTAACCTAAACGGTGAAACATCTGCTCGGTGAACAGCACGACTCCAGCACCCCAGAAGCTTCGAATGAAAGTTTTTGCAGCAAGAGCGGAAGCGGCCGAGTGTTGGTAAGTATCCACCAGATAGTTGTTGGCACTGTTATAGCAAGGGATGAAACCGAAACCGATGCAAAAGCCACCCATTGCTGGACCCCACCAGGATAGGTGAGGATACGATGTCCAGGCAAAGATGAACATGCCAATGGCAATCCACCAACAGCTGTACATCATGGGTACCAGACGCTGTTCTGCTGGTGGTTTGCCTCCAAATCTTGCAGATCTTCTTGCATAGTCCATGTTGATCAAGGGTGCCAGAAAAGCGCTCGCAATGACACCAATTGCTAGAGGAATGAACATCAGACCAGTAGTACTGGCACTGTAACCCTTTCCCTCTTGATAGATGATTGGGAAAGCGACAAAGAACATGTAGAGCAGTCCGTACAACACACTCATGTACAATGAGATGAGGAAGACGATAAGTTCGCAGAATAATAGCTGGAAGGGACGCAAGATGAAGACCTTCATGCGCTCGCCGATGGGACGGGTGTCCAGATCAGACTCGCTGACATATCTGCTGTCGCCAGTGTCCTTTCTCATCTTCTTTGCGCGCTTGGCGAGGATAATGGGTGCGTATGTCTCCGGAACGGTAAAGACGATCAGGATGTAAACGAAGCCGGACAGGATCAGCTGCAGCCAATACAACCAACGCCAGCCAAGGTGGTCGGAAGTGAAGCCTCCTACGAGCGGTCCAATTGCGGGTCCGACGAAAGGTGCAGCACTGAAGGCAGCCATGGGTACACCTCTCTCCTCGGCCTTCCAGAGATCGGCAAGAGTTCCACCGACCAGGACCATGGGTGCTGAAAAAGCGATACCATCAATCAAGCGACAGACGATCAAGGTACCAATGTTTTTTGCAACCGCACAGGGGATGATAAAGATGAGAGCGATCAAGAGAGTGCTGGCGTACACCGGACGGCGACCCCAAGTCTCACTGAAAGGAGCAAAGGCCATAGGGCCAACACCAAACCTGCGAAAACTTAGCACGTTGCGAACTATTTCGGATACAGCTTTACTTACCCTACGACAAAGACAGTGATGGTCAGAAGAGCGACTTCCTCGCTAATTCCGAAGGTCTCCTGAGGACCGATCATGTCTGCTGTGATGACAGCACTGTTGAAGGCGACGGCGAAGCAGGTGACTGCAACGACCATGGTACACCACCACTTGTATGCTTTACTCCAATTTTTCGGGTTCTCCCTATCACCTGGTGTAAAGGTGACAAGCTCATAGTCCTCGGTCTTGCCAGTCTTGTTGGAAGTCACCTTTCGGGTTATCGTTCCAGTGGCAGTCTCGGTGGTGTACTCCGCCATGTCGGCATTCTCGGTCAGGGTACGGTACGGTAGCTCCAGAGGGTCTGCGTCGATCGGACTGGTGGTATGCTCTCTAGTTGGACTTCTGGGAGCATCTTCTAGATCTGGCTTGGGTTCGTATGTTCTTTCGGGATGATTTAATGTCGAGGTACTACTCGGTGTTCGGGAGGTATATGTCGACATGGTTTGCGGTGAGTGGCCTGGGCCAGGATGGACAAAATGAGAAGGTCTATAAAGAGATAAAGGTATCAGACCAGTAAGAGATAGTCTACAAAGTGTAGAATGTTCAATGCTCCAAAGTCTGACCATGGGGGAACGAACAGACATATATATATATTCATAGAGGCGTTTTTTGCTAGATGACATCGCTGCGAGATAACTCCCTGTTGGATATCACAACCATCATTCGATGCAACTGCAACCGTATGTTGCATGTTTTTGATATACTCGAAGCGGTTTAGACCGATGAGTGGCCTTGTAGTTTCTGGAGGGTGTGGCAGATCTCGGAGATCGCTCGGACGTGTCACAGGCGAAACAATTTTGACTTTCCTCAGGGTCCATGCCAGCCAACCAACCAACCTCTTTCTACTTCGAGCTCTTCTTTGATCGTTCTACTTGAGTGATTCTCGTATGATTACAATGCTAAGGGGTTTGTCGAAATGGACAATGCTTTTCTATGAGGACAAGAGAGAGACACTATTTGATGTTCTCTCCTTGACCCAGCTCCAGTCTATAATTCTACTATCGTTTTCGAAGGGACTTTCTTGACAGTCCCAGCACATGAGAAGTCTGAAAACATCTATGAGCACTCACAGGCTATTCCAATATCGAATTATCACGTCACGCTACCATCAAACGTTGCATTGCTCCGTGCTTGATGCGTGTTCGACTCGCCAAAAATCATGTTTTGGGTTTCGTGTCCAAACCCCAAAGGAAATGCACAGGCCGAGCGGCTGATCCGCGTGTCTTTGCTTTCGGTCTTCGCTCGCAGTCAGACTTGGTTGTTTTCGTTCAATGCATTCGATACGGGATTCTGTTCGCTTCGTCGACATGTGAAGCAGCGAACACGGGACTGAGATATGAGGAATATCACACCCAATCATGGCAGAGTACGAAGAGCTTTATGGCATATGTTTGTTGACACAACCTGCAATCCGCCGCAATTCAACCATTGCACCTTTGAGAACTCACTGATGGGCGTGACTCGATGTGTAGGACCGAGCCGGCCGATGAGACGAACGTGTTCGGAGAATGCAGCCGACAACACGCTATCTCGGATCGCCCCGAGCGTGGCTGTTAGCAACAATCTTGGCACCGTTCAACATCACCGATAACAAGTTTGTCCTGAAGACAAGTCGTCCAAGCTCGTGTTCATACTTCGAGAAGATACATTGCAGCAGCGTCTTCAGTATGAAATCTTCGAGGACGAATACTCCTCGCATCATCATTCATGGCGGTGCCGGAAACATATCTCGCGCCAATCTGACCGAGGATGCTTATCAAGAATATCGATCTGCCCTTCTTGCGACTTTACACTCTTCGTATGCTCTACTGTCGAAGCCAGGTGCCACGGCATTGGATGTCGCAACTCATGCTGTTGCGATGCTAGAGGATAATCCACTGTTCAACGCGGGTCATGGTGCTGTCTACACAACTGCGGGAACACATGAGCTAGAAGCTTCCGTCATGGTGAGCAAAGGTTACCACAAACGTGGTGTTGGCGTCATGGAGGTATCAGGAGCAAAGAATCCTATCAAACTGGCACGCGAGCTTCTGATCAGAGGTGAAGAAGCAGATGGAGGTGGTGCTGCAGGTCATGTTCAGCTTGCAGGTGAAACAGCGAATAAGCTTGTAGAAACCTGGGGCCTGGAGACCGTGAGCCCGGGATACTACTGGACTAAGCGACGATGGGATGAACATCGTAAGGGCTTGGGCAAAAGCACCGATCGTGAGACTTATCAGAAACACAAGAGGAGGGCGGACAAGTGTTCCTCGTTTGTCGCAGAGTGTGCAGCGGATGCTAGAGATCTGAATACCCATGACCCATCTTGGAACGGTCATGACTATCTTCCCCAAGGAACGGTGGGTGCGGTCGTCCTTGACAGCAATGGCATGCTTTGTGTGGCCACTTCGACCGGCGGACTTACGAACAAGCTTCCAGGCAGAATAGGGGTCAGTCAAAACATATTTCATACACGATGATTTGCCTACTGACTTCTTGCAGGATACACCCACACTGGGAGCAGGCTTCTGGGCCGAACAATGGATTGAAGAGAACCCATTCGACCGCCCGCATGGTATGATGTACCAGCAGCCTACATTATCACCAGCTGCAAGACTGGTGAATGGTGATTTCGGCGGCGTCCTTCAGGACTGCTTGCCTAATCTCTCGACGTACCTACCTGTCTCTTCTCGTGAGGATATCAGCAGCGAATATCCGGTCAAGCCAACTTCAGCACCTCATGGAGTTGCGCTTTCCGGCACAGGTATCTCATCATGCGCCTCCGATTTTCTACTCCACATCTGACCGCTTCACAGGCAACGGTGACTCCTTCCTCAAGCTTTCAGCAGCTCGCACGACCTCCGCCATGACTCGCTTCTCTTTCCCACCTCTACCTCTCGCTTTATCTGTATCACGCATGGCAGGACCAAATGGTATGCTCCAGCAAAGTGCAGAAGACCGTTGGAAGAAGACTGGAGAGGGTGAGGGTGGCATCATCGGCATCGAATATCGGTATGGCGAGGGAAGGGTCGTCGCGGACTTCAACTCCGGAGGCATGTTTCGCGCTTGGATTGACGACGATGGAAAGGAGCAGATGATGGTGTTCAAGGATGAGTTTTGAGAGACTTTGCAAACCCGACGTCATCATAGTGAGGTTGATTGTTCCACCCACACTTCCTCTCTAGCGTGGTCAGTCATCAGTGGCTTTCGATACACTCGATTAGTGGCGACACCAGGCTCATGATCGAGACTTGGCATACCATCCAGCACGAGTCTCGTTCGCGACTCGGAGATGATCGAGTGTCGGAAGCAGAATGGCGTTTTCACACGGACGGGCCGATTGGAAGCAGGAAAGTTTTGAGTTTCGCAACTTTGACCTTGCGCTAATTTAGCGCTACATAGATCTCGGAGATTTGATAAGATGAGATGTACAACAATAGCATCGAGACGACAGGAATGTCAAATGGGCTGATGAGATCGATCACAGTCTTTTAATGATCTCGAAATACATCTTCCAGCCACTGTCCTGTTTCGAAACCGATAATCGATATCGGTGCTCAGCGCCATCTGACAACCGCCACAAATCGCTCATGAATCTTCTCGTCTGAGCGCAATTCTAAATTTATTGAAGAAAGACATGTCAAACTCGGGTTCCAGAGGGCGGTATACACTTTTACAAATCAACTGCAGCTCTATCGACGATCTGGAACTCAGGCAGCAGATGTAACAGGAAATCGAAACCGTGTGGCGGGCTAAGGATGTCGTCGAAGTTATCGGCAGGGTGACACACACGACTGACAAGAGGTCCAGTCCATGTTCATTGGCTCGTCACTCGCTTAGCCACAGCTTTCACAAGTCCACGGGCAGAAAATTCCTCCTCCATGTGTCGCTTCCATCCCCACTGTTTCACCACTTTACTTCCTTCCAGCCTCCTGAGCTCAGCCCTTCCTCGACTCAACGCCTAGCACCCTTGAGCCTGGAGTATATATTCCAACCCAACGATTCTGCCACCATCAAAGTCAGCAGCCAGTTGTGTCACACAACTTGATCATCAGACCTGCCGGGGTAGCTCAATCGGTAGAGCGTGTGGCTCTTATCAATTGATATCGTCAACCTCAAGGTCGCGGGTTCGAGCCCCGCCTTCGGCTATTCCTACAAACACCGCTGTCTATTCTTTTTGCACCACCTCGTCAGGGGCTAGAAACTCCATCTTATGTTTTTGATAGAGGCAGAGAAAAAGTTTGTGCCGAGATTTCGGTAATTTTGCCAAGCAAAGAATTGTGGACCCTTTTTTCTGCCTTTTCTTTTCTTTTTTCCTTTTCTGGATAGTATTCCTATTCAATATGGATTCCATGCCCTTTTGCCCTTCTGGGAATGATTGGGGATGGACGTACAGAAACAGGCCTCATTTGAGCAGTAATATCGCCGGACTGCTTACACAAAAACATGTTGAGAGTCCAATGTCACGGCACAAGACCGAGCGAAGAAGAAGACACTCCCATATAATAAATTCAAGCCAGTAGTTCTACTCTCACCATCTCAATACTCCTCTTTAATCACTTTAAGAAATTACAAAATCCGCACCATCCTCCAATATTCAGCGATGATCCGAAGGCGGTCTTGAACCCACGATCTCGCAAAATGGGCTCAAAGCCTCGTCTTCGGTTGCCTCTTTTTATGTTCTTACCCTTGATCGATACTGATGGAGGCTAGTATAGATTTAGCTACAAGAGCTGTGTGATCTGCTCCATGAAGGCTTCGCTAGGGACTAGATGGCACTCGTAAGCAGTTCATGTGTTAGTCTTACAAGGGACATGGATTGTAATGTGTTGACGGCTTTCGATGGTCAATGAGTATATCATATGCTATTTAACTGTTCTCCCTCTCCGCCATGCCAATGCCTCGATAGAGAACGCCCTCTGCATTCCTCTGATGTCCCTTGCTATCCGTAGTGATGCAATGTGACTGCCTGCAGGCTTGTCCTTCCTACGAACGCCGAGCAGTATGCTTCTCCGGTATGTTTGAGCACACTTGCTCCATAATTCGCTAGGTAGACGAATACTCCTGTAAGCCGTGGCGCTATGTAGGTACTGTCGATACGGAGACCGTGACTAGGTATGTTCAAGTGTTCAAGCGTATATGCGCTTCATTGATTGATGTACAGAAGCTCGCCGCAAGTTCATCACCAGACGGCGCTGGCCTTTTTGCTCAGCTTGCTGTTGCTTGTACCACTTTGATCGCTGTTGCTCCTCAGACCCCAGAAGCTCTTCTTCTTCATCTTGGATGGTGCAGGAGCAGGAGCTGCTTGCGGATTACCTCCACTCATGACTAATCCGTTACTGGAGTAGACAGGTCCTTGAGGCCTAGGCCGCGAGGGTCCAGGCTGTTGTTGTTGTTGCTGGTGAATTGGCAACGAGGGTGCAGAGTGTCTTGATTGATTGCCCACCGGTGAAGGCGGCTTGAGACGATACTGCTTCCGAAGCCTCTCTGTCTCACGATCGACCTCTTCCTGACGACGACGGGCTTCACGCTCTTCATCCTCGACCATTTTTCGTAGGCGTCGTGTTTCAGCTTCATCTGCTTTTTCTCTTTCGCGGCGGCGTAAAGCTTCCTGTCTCTTCATCTCTCGTTCTTCGGCATCGACCTGTGCGCGCAGGCGAGCGGTCTCAGCGTCGAGCTCCCATTGTGTTCGGGGGTCAGGTGCGGAAGCGGTACCGACACCTGCTAGAGGAGGCCGCTGGATCGGAGCTGCTGTGGGTGGAGTGGTTCGCAGGCGGGGCAACGATTTGCGTCGGTCGGCATTGGCGGCCAATGGAGGAGAGGGTGCAGCAGCTGAAGGTAGAGAGGCGATGCGACAGGGATCGAAGACGTTGAACACTTGGTTGAGATCATTAGAGAAATAAAGGTCCTTGATGACAGCAGCAGACAGTAGTAAGACCAATTCAAGGCCTTTGGGGTCTTCCAACTCGACACGGTACAGGTTGGGCTCATAGACGGTCAGCTCCCGCAAAGAACGGAACAGACCGACGATGATGTCCGGATCTCTGTGCTTCTTCTTGACGACTTCATCTGTCGACTTGCCAGTCATGTATGCCGTCAAGTCCTTTGCAAGCTTGCTCTCCTTGCGCCATACAAAGTTGAGTTTCGGCGTGACCAGCGATGCGCCAGGGTCATCTTGTGTTCGGTCCAAGGTCGAGGCTGAGGGAGTGCGAAAGACGAGTTGAGGCAGACTGAATTCATACGAAGCGCTACCTCCCCAAGTACCAGGTCTCTGAGTCACCGTCACTTGTAGGTCGGGATTGTACAGCTGAACTGTGAATTGCGTGGGCAAGATGGGCGTAGGTGGTGGCGGCACACCGCCATTACGGCGTATCTCCTCCTGAGACAGGGACGGATGACTCCATTCCGGTTTGATCAAGACTTCGCCGTAGAGAACCTCGGGGTTGTAGCAGTCAAAGAGACCGGCAGCGTAGCAGTTACGAGAATTGGCGGCGGCAGGATCGCCGTGCCTCAAGCTGTATGCGGGGCTCGGATCAGATCCGCGAATGGAGAAGAAGACTCCTTTGTGATGTGCCACTCCGTCTGGCGAGTTTCGATAGAAGAAGGCGGGTAGGTTTTCGTCCAGCATGGTTCAAGATACGAGGTTTAGGATGTCACCATCAAGAGGCAAATGCCTTGTCCAGATATCTTTATTCAGCCCATCATGGTCAGAAGGCGCAGTTACCGCGCTTCGTCAGCTCCTTCTCCGTGCTCCTATTTCCGTATGCCAAGGCCCATATACGCATCATACGGCGCGCTCCAAGCCTCGTCCAGCTTTCACTTTCACTGCCTTCACCGAGTAATTGTTTCTTCGAAACGTAAATTTGCTTCTTAACTGCTGCCTTGTACTTGTATACCTTGTCGACGACTACGAACACTCCTGTGCTTGATCATCTGCTTGGCCAATCACCGTCAAATCCGACCTCGCCGAGCACAAGCTATCCGTAATCTTCATCAGCTTCCATGCTTGAGCCACCTCCTTGACGTGGTCCACAGCCTTCTACAATATGCCGTCTATCCACCTTTTCCATGTTTCATAGCTATCGTCATTCGTAACAAGTGCTGACTTCAACTTTACACAACGAGAACTCTTACTGCAGGTCAAACGTCTCTCCAGTCCAGCCATAAGCTCTATTTGTCCTCGTTAGCACGTTGATCTCAGTTCTCAGTTGTACCACATACCTATGCAGACGTCTACCGTATTCCTTCGAGAGCCAGTACCACATCTTGGCGCGTGGGTGTGGCTCGTGGAACTGAATACTTCTCGAGGCTTCAATGGTATCAGGCGTGAACTGCCAGCTAGATCCATACAGCTTCTCAACAGAGAATCCGATCATCTTCATTGCGTACAAGAACTCAGACCAGGCCACCTCCCCGGTGTTCTGCTGTTCGTTGGAAGAAGGTACGTGGAACATCGTGGCGAAGACTTTGAAAGCGCGTTTGTTGACCTTGAGCTTCTTCACCTCAATGTTCTCCTTTTCTTCCACACTGGTGGCAGAATCTCTGCGTGATTCTTGCTGAGGTAAGGCTACAGAACCATCAGGTCTGGTCTTGGCCTTTGCTTTCTGCGGCGTGATGCTTCCCAGCAGTTCGCTCTTCTTGGGGTGAGAACAACATGCGTTGGGGTTGAAAACATGCAGAGGTAGTCCACTGGTCTCTGTCAGTGCTCTGCTTGTAGTATCCGGCGAGAGCCACTCACGTTTCATCGTCTTTCTCGTTGTGCTGCTGAATGGGCTTGCAGCCAGCAGTTTCCTTTGGCTCAACCCAAGCCTTGGTTCTGTGGATCTTTCGGTTCCAGTCACTGAAAAAGTCCTTCAATCAGTCAGTATGGGTGTTCCGTCAAGACCGAAAGGTCGTCTTCTTACCATGAGGAGATAGAGCACCGAGTATGAAGTGTGTGCCTCGCAATGGTTGTCAACAGTAGCCCAGAACTTGTCCAGTCGCTTCTCGGCTTGTCGCATTTGAGTGACTGTCTCGCGAGTTCTGCGTTTGTCAGACGGATAGGCGAAGTTCGCGGGATCAGCAGCGTCAAGAACAGCACATGAAGTGAAGTCATGAACGCATTCGACCATGCTGAAGAAGAATGGAGCATCATCTTCGATGAGACACTTGCTTCGCCAAGCGGTGCACCATGGCTGGAACAGGCCAAGTTGGCGTCTAAGTTCTGACATCAAGGCCAAATCAGAGAATCGGCTGGCCACCCAACTGGAGATCAGGTCGCTGTCTCTGCTGTGTTCATCCAACATTCTCTGAATCTCCTCAACAGTGTTGTTCAATCCATGCTGGAAAAGTTAGCATAGTGTTCAAATCATGTCAGACGCGATGTCTCAGCCTGCCAGATGAGAGAGAGAGCCTCGTATCCCCGTAGCTTAGACTTACTTTCTTCTGCTGCTCGGGGCTCAATAAGGTTCGAAATAGAACTTGAACTCTCCATGCTGCGCTCAGCCTACCCATCTTAATCTTCAGTGTATTGAACGAGGGACTCAGATCAGATGATGCACGCTCATAACCATAGCGCATAGGTGGAGACGCAGGGAAGCCGAGCATCAAGTCGCCCAAAGGCTCATCAGCCAGAACTTGAACAATATAATCAAGTCTCTGGAACACTTTCTCAACTTCGACCGGTAGGCTAGAAGAGGATTCAAGCTTGTGGAGGCAACTGTCGAGCTTCTCTTGTGCCAATGTCACAGCTTCATCAGCCGTGGCGAACAGGATCAGGCTGCTGTACGCGTGAAAGATCATGCTTGTAGCAATTTTGTCCCAGAATGCTGGCTCACCGACCATTTCATGAGGTCTCTTGTTCTTGTCGGGAATCATGAAAGGGGAATGTTCTGACCATTCTCTCATGTTCTGCGCGAAGTAACCGGGATCCTCGCGTAAAGCCCAGACGTGTTCTTCAGCTTCCTCTCGTCTTGCTGAGATAAGCAGTCTCAGTCGCTTCATGTCGAGCCTCTGCGGCAGACGGTATGGTGCAATCTGGGCCATGGCGGTGACGGTATGAACGGGAAGCGTGGACTTGATTTGAGGCGGAGCGGGCTTGGTGTCGACGAGGTCCAGATTGTCCAAATCCATATCATGCAGGATGAGTCGACAGCACTTGACGAGGAAGTCGAGGTTTCGATCTTGCACCTCGAGCACCTGAAGACCCGCAACAGGCTCCATTCTCAATTCTCGCTGAACTTTGTCTCCGGTGTCACGAAGTACGAGCGAGCCATAGGTTTTAGGAGATCGCTGCCCATGAAGGCACATCTTGTACTTGTCGACGTCGCTCATGCCAGAAGGTTTGTTGGTGTTTGCTTGCTGCTGATCACCAAAGACGAACTTGTCCGGATGGTGGCGTCCACGAGAATTGAGGAAGATGAGGAGATTGTGGGTCTGCACCAGGTCCTCTTGGTTGACGTAGGGCCAGAGATAGGCCTCCTTCTCCTTGGCTTGATTGGGGCGTCGCTTGTTGTTGTTTACACCGATCTTGCGCAAAGTTGCAAATTCCGGACGGTGAGTGGCTGACATGTGTGGCCAGGCTTGTAGAAGGACTGATAGTCTCTGGCTGTTGTTGCGCTTGATCCATCGCTTCTGGATCTGTCCTTCAAAGCGCTTGAGTATCTTGTTGAGGAGAATCCAGTGTCTGAAAATGCTGATTGACAGAGCTTGTGATTGAGAGCGCAGATCTTCAAGGTCAGAGATCGTGGGAGTGGGAAGGTCAAGGCCGCCCTGGAACCGGCAGATCCTACAGGAGAGGCAATTGTCGTCGTCTTCAGATGCGCTTGAATCCATAGCTATAAAGCCAACAGGAAGATGTAGAAGGCAAAAGGTGAAATTGGAATGCAGAGCGCAAAGAAACAGAAAGTGCACGGATGGTTTGAAGTGACGAAGTTGAGGTTATTGGTGTTGGGCAGGAATAGCCGACATATATGCGACAGGCAGCAACGGAAGCGTACTTTCCAAAATTGTTTGTCGTCTGCTTGTTCCCGGAGAGGGGTCAACTGTGTTGATCGATTATTGACCCATCACTTCCTATGTGTCCCTTGAGCTGTGACCTAGCCACAGCTTCGAGGAGTAATGGCGTTATAGAGTAAGCTCTTTAAACTGCCGCGCTCCAGCTTTGAAGTCCCTACAGAAATCCACCTGGTCTAGCTGTGGTCCAAAACCACAATCGCCAGCAGGGATGATCTCTTGGGCTTCAACGCCTGGCGGGCGACTTACGGGTCCCGACCGACAATTGTGGATAGATGCTGGAAAACAAGCGGACCAAGTCATGCTTGCAACGAATCAATGCACATAAAGAAAAGACTGGTTCTCTGACGCACATTCCCGCTGAAAGTACCTAGCCATCTCGAACGGGCTCTGAGCGAATCTTCAACTGATAACGAGCTTCGAGGCAAGCCGGTCGCATGTCTGAGATGCATATCGACCGAGCTGGCAATATAGCTTCAAGTGACTCTGCCAAAGATGTGCATCACAGCACTGTTTCGCTTACCTTTATGAAATCATTGGCGGTCAGGCTCAGATGCATGCAAATGTCGCTATCCGGTGTGATAATGCGTGCCAGCGAAGCGCGCACTTCTTGAGCCATGCCAGCTCGGCGGATGGATGCATCTGCGTGCCGTATTCGCATGCTGATGTCTCGTGAGAATGACCAATAAGTTTTCGTCTAACTTGTTGCATTTCGAAGATCGGAATAGTGCTGCATGAAGGTCTTTCAGGAAACTTGGACACGGTCTTCTCAAAGGTTCAGGCTTCGGTAAAAGGTCGGCAGCGATATCGGAGCTGTTTCTTCTCACTCCACGACAAGGGATGCACCGCCTCTCAGATTACGGCCTCTATGACTGGTTGTAAAGATGCAGAACGTCCATTGAGAGCCTAATTAGTTACGCTTCTATCTCTCGCTGAATGATCTCTCAGACCGCGGCCCTTTTCGGGCAACTTCATGACTGGACTCGTTCAGAATTCAGCCCATGCCACTCATACCACTGCTCTACAACACGCTACAGCTACTAAGAAGTGGATGGTGTTATTGCGATCATACTTTTGATTTGTGACTACAACGATGAGCTAGTCTGTAGCCCATCTATGGACTGACCATGTGAGACAGATGGTGCCGACAAGACCGCTTGAGAGTTTTACATCTTTCAACCCTTGTCTGCAAACAGCTTTATGAGACACCTGCGAGAATCTTCTTTCCGCCCTCCATATCATTTACCTCCTTTGCCAGAGCGATACGTCTTCTTCTGAGGCCGGCATCTTCGCCAGCAATTTCTTCGAGCTGGTCGTCAGTGAGGGAGCTGACAAACTGAGGCGAGAAGAGCTTCAGAGGGTTGTTTGGTCCGGTGACCAAAAGATAATCTGCGGCCTGCATGCAGACGTTGTCGACAAATCTCTTCCTGGCGACCTTGTAGTAGGCCTTGAGGATGTCATGAACTTCGTAGACGACATGCTCAGCGTTTGACATGGGGTGGTTCTGCACGATATCGTCGAGGGCAATCATGCTACGACTAACGCCAGCGACGCCGAAGGGAGAGGGGTGAACGGTGGCTTGTTTCTCAAGGGATGCGCGAAGACGTTTCTGGCGACTGTGCATCATAGCAGGTTAGTGTTGACCCTTCAGGGCTCATAAGATGACTTTGTGTTAACTTACCTCTTCTCCAGATTGTCGTTGAAGTAGTGGTTGATGGTCTGTGGATTGTTCTTCTCAACGCGCAGGACAAATTGGACCTGCTCCAGAGCACGGCGGTACGTCTCCAGCAGAGGCTCCATCAAGACAGACATGATTCCGTCTCTGACTCGTGCAGTGGGACAGACGTGTCTAAGCAGGGTGGCTACAAAGCCGTGTGCCATATGAATGACATCCAAGATGTACCCATGAGCAAGTGGCTCCCACTTGACGGACTGAGCATTCATGGTTCTGGACAGCAAGTTCTTGTCAAAGGTGCCCAACTCAAAACCACGGGAGCCCTTGTAGAGCTCTGAAAGCCAGTCAATGATGTTGCCATAGATCTTGTCGTCGATGCGGCGATCGCCTGTGATCAAGTCCTCAAGGTCAACATGGTCTTTGATAGTGCGCAACTGAATACCCTGGCCGCCAGTGCTCATGACGTCCTGCTTGACGTTCTCGGCCGAAGAGTAATCGAACTTGAATCCATAGGTATGACCGCATTTCTCGATGTCGTTGGCAAACACCTCGTTACGGTTGACGACTCTTGTCACGAACATCAGGTCAGGTTCGTTGTCGAACCAGCTGTTACCGGAATAATTGCCATTGAGTGCCAAACTGACGATCTCACGGAAGCGCGAAGCGATGTCCATAGCGAAGCGACGTTGTTCGTCAGGTGTCTGACGCTGATCTCCCAGCTCCTTGAGCGCACGCTTGGCTGTACTGAGTTTGTGCAGGACTTCGCGCTTGACGTTGGGGAACTCGCGGCGGATGTTGCTAGCCAAAACCTCTTGGAGACGTATACGCAGTGCGTCAACACCGACGCGGTCCTGGTCGAGCTCGTTCCAGGGAGCTCTGTCGCGGAAGAAAGCCTTCTCAACAGCTGATCTATCGGCAGCAACGTCTTGGATCTGTTGCTGGCCTAGGTTGCGTACGATACACCAGCCGAGGTTGAGCGGGTGCTTCTCGCCTTTGATCAGCTGCATAACACCGATCTCAGCTCCGGGGTCAACGAGATCGGGCTTGGTCAGCACGCCAAGTGTACGGTGACCATCAGGATCAGCCTCTTCTGCGAGAGTAAGAATTTCTTGAGTTGCGATGTCGACATTAGCAGGGATGACCACCAACATGACCGAACGAGGGTTGATCATGTAACGGTGAACCATTGACTTGACCATGGCTGCATCTGCGAGGGTAGTCATGCCCTTGGTAGCAGTTCTGAAGATGCCAGGAACATCGACCACAGAGAAGTGCTCTTGCTCAGGACCACTGACTTCGACTTTGAGGATGTCTTCCGAGAAAGTCGACTTGCCATCGCCGTCCGCAGGAGTGTCGGCGAGGCCCATAAGCTTGTGAACCTCTTGCATGGTCTTGGAGAACGAGACCGGCTCGAGAATAGCGTTGGTGACGCTCTTCCAAGCACGGAGTTTGTCGGCATAGCCCTGAGTAGCGCCCTTGTGAGGGATAACGGTCACAACAGTGCTGGTGACCTGGGCGCGGCGGAAGGTGATTTGCGTAGCAAATCTGGTGCACAAGCCGGAATCTCTAGGAAAGGGCAGCTTGGTGATGCCTTCAAGAACGGATGACTTGCCGCTGTGCCAGAAGTCAGAAGATGGAAGTGAAGCACAAGCAGGAATAAACGGCTCGAGTGAAGAAAGGGATCGTGCGCGCTTACCTTGACTGATCGCCAACAACGACGAGCTGTGGCAGAGGGATAGTGTCACCGACACCGCATGCAAAAAGCTTGTCTATCTTGTCGAGGAGACCGGGGTCGACCATGTTGCTAGCCATGCCAGCGTGGTTTTGATGCATCTTGGTATTGAGATGCATTGAAGTCAGAGATGGTGGAAGAAGGTGAACTTTTATAGAAGTCTGAGATGGCGTGTTGCGCAAACTGACGGAGCTGGAAGGAAAGTGAAAGCGAAACAAACACAACAAAGTGTTTGACGCAGCTAAGAACGGCAGGTGCAGGGGAAGCAGCTGGAATGACCTTACAATAAAATTTCGGCATCTTATCTCCTCTTGCTATTATTTATCTCGATGTATACACCTGCAGAGATGCACGACGGATTTCTCCAACTACAACAGTCCACAGAGATGAGACATTTGAAAAGGTCTCACTGGACAACGCCCTGTTTCGAAAAAACATTGTGAATTTCTACAACTGTGCGCGTGAGCCTTTAGTACATGGGGAGCTCAGAAACGAACAAATGCTATACGGACTTACTAGAGATAGGGTATGTTCCTTTTGGCAATTCAGACACAGGAAGATTTTCAGTTGTGATAGAGTCCTCGGTCGTCCTCTCACTAGAGTCTAGACACCCAATTGAGCAGGAAAGGTTGTGCATTGTCACGACTAGCTCAACCTCAGCACACTTATGCTGATATGGTACATAAGTAGGCACCGCACTCCGATCAAGATTCAAGGTATAAAGAGTACTTCGACATGAAAGGACGAAAGTGTGCTCATCCTATCTCTTTGTATGCGGTCGCCTTAGGAAGCGATTACGACTATGGTATCTTGCGAGGTACAGGCGAATTCTGTCGGAGGCTGAGGTCCCGATCGAAGCTGGCGAATCTACTGTTCATGTTGACCTCATGGTGTTGTAAGACTGAGGGCTGAAGACTCTATTAGAGTTGGAGAGCAACTAGTGACTAATGTGGGTATCTCTGTAGTAATATAATGCAATAACGGTACAATTCGTAAAGGTTGGCTTGTTCGTTATGCCAGTATCGTGTGTAGTTTCCGGGGCCAGTGGCGGAAGAGGGAGGTTGTCTAGAATCCACCATCTTATGAGCCTATCGCTTTGACACAACCCATGGCTGCTGCCGCAGCAACACCGCCCAAAACCATCATCTGGACACCAGCTTTGACGCAAAGCAGTCGCTTCTCCTCGCCGACCAATAGAGTCTTGATATAGCCGAATACGAAGAGAGCGAATGCCATCACCCCAATACTCCAGCACAAGGCAGTTTGGTTGTTGCTTACGAAGAAATAAGGCGTTAGAGGTACCAGTCCACCGAGGAGATAGCCAAGGGCGATAGTTACAGCCGAAATGTAAGCCCGTGATGTGTCCGCTTGAGACTCTGGGAGGTCGTGGTGAAAACGCATGATAAAAGTTTCTGACTTTTTCGGGCAGGAGCTGATCTGCGTAGCGAAGGCGTCCAGAACATCCTCCGTAAGGCCGTAGGAGTTAAAAGTAGATTTGATGATATGGTTGGCTTCGTCGGGGTCTTGATTGACGGTTTTCCGTGTCTCTGCTAATGTTGCTGCATAAGATTGTCTAGCTGAATATTAGTGGTTGATCCTTAATCATAGGTAGATCGACTTACGCCTCGCTTACGCCACCTAGATACCCTCCAAGCCCCATCGATAATGCGCCCGCCGCTAATTCTGCGAGTCCAGCATAAATCACCAATCTTGTGTCGCCTAGCGCCGAGAGTCCAGCTGTGAGGGCGAAAGGTACAGTAAGGCCATCTGATAGACCGATAGTAGCGTCCGAGATGATACGAGGATCGACTCGAAACGAAGACGAGCTTCCTGCATCGCTCCTCAAAGTCGAAGAATCTGAGCCGTCCTGTGAAATTTCCGATGCTGTGTCGCAGGCTCCATACTGTGATTGCTGCTTGAACGAGGGCAATAAGCCGTTCTGTTTCTGGGTCGGGAAGACCATGTTCTTGATGTAAAGTAATGCCATCTTGCAGACACTGGCGAAGAAATGCGGTTTATGATTTGATGGGCCGATGATAAGATCGTAGATTTCTCTTTTGCTTGGAGATGTAGGAAAATGGGAGTATGGCGTGAAGTCGATGGAAGGGCAACAGTGGAACAGCAGGACAAGAGGTCGAGGGCCCTGACAACATAAATACTTGTTCGAGACGTTGGTACCGCGTCAAGATCCCAGCCCTGACCAGTTTTTTCGCACGCTACTGATGTACTTCCCCGCAAGCCTTTTTACCAACACCATGGAGCTTCCGCGGTGTAAGGAGAACAGCATGTTGCACTGTGAGACTCAGAGACGACTCTTTGCTTCAGACCCTGACTTACCAAAGATCTTGTGCCATTCCACGATACAACTACTCATTGCCATCTCAAAGAAGAATTCCCGAGTCTGAAGCCATGATTGGACGCAGCATTCAGCTTGCATGTTTACAAAGAGCCGTTGTCCACACGAATAGCATGTCTTCTCATGCTTATTTGTAAGCGATTTAATTGGCTCGCAAAATTGCACCCCTTGTTTCGTCTCCACGAACGGGAACAGCCGCCGTCGGATTTCAAGCCATCCGAACCTTTGATATCGATTTGCTTACGATTGCTTGCCTTTTGATTGGATACCTCTCAATTCTGCTGACCATTTGGTCTGAAAATGTTCGAGCAAGTCTTTTCGCCATGACACTTTCCGAATCGTGTTGAAGAATTTGGCATAGGCTCTCCATCTCCGACCGGGCACGGTCCCCTTTTGATGCTAGGCTTTTCTAGAAACAAACAGGCTGACAACACAGCACTTCTCATTGGCTCCTTCCTGCTGGTCTCTCGCTGGCTCTTAAACGATCTCTCGAGTTGTGCCTTTGATCTCACACTCTTTAAATCTTCGACCTGGTATAGACGAGCATTCCATCGAGCGCATGAACTCAGGATATGCGTCTCCCTATCGACTGAGGTCACTTTGATCCACTGCAAGAACAAACGGATATGATGGGATACCAGAGTTCTTTCGGTGAGAGAGAGCAACAAGCCTAAGCTTCTGAAGGACACTCTGAATTTTCAAGATTATTGTGAATTCCTAGGGCGAGAGTCTTCTCGATATCTGGTGTTGAAATGGACCAACATGCGCGCTCAACGTCCACTGCTACGATGTTACGGCTGTACGATGTGCGTCTCTTGTCAGAGAAAATGTTCAGTTCCATGCCGGACCACACTTGCATCGGGCTGTGATTTTGGAGATGTGCAGGGCAAGCCAAGGGAAGGTAGACCAAGTTCATTCTGCCTCGGTATCATCAATCGAAAGGTACGTGAACTGTAAGTCAAGCGAATACGGAGAATATGCATACCCCGCATTACTCCAACCTCGAGTACAAAATAGGAAGTATCATATTGCTGCCTGCACAGGATCCTGGTGTCTGGTAAAGTCTAGGTGCGTTCGACTGTTGCGAGAGAGACATGCCTCCAAACTCATCGCAATGTAAGACGACAAGGCTGTGCGAAGCTGTGCTACTTTCTAAGCGCTCACAGACGATCTGACAATGTCACCTCTCAAGCCATGCGCCAAACGCTTCTAAGACCTGTCTAGCTATTGCTCTGTTGTCAAGTCAGCAGTATGGCTCGGGATCCTGCAAACTTCCTCGGCAGTGCCGCAGTATTGACCACCCTTGTTAAGATCTGCAGGCAGTCACATATATAAGTTGCATCATGACTTGCTCCAAGTCTAGTCGGTTGGCCTACTCTTGCGTATGTCCTACAATGTCTACCTCACGCTACTTTCTGCTCTACCTTTGGGCGGCCAGCCTAGTCAGTTCTCATGCAGTAGGCTCTGCTCAGACAGGACCGACCGTACGCATTGAGAATGGATTAGTTCTGGGAACGACGACGAGTGTGCCAGCAGCAAGTGCAACGGTCGACCAATTTCTTGGTATACCTTTTGCTCAGTCACCACCCGAAAGATTTTCACCTCCAAGAGCGGCTTCTCAAGTGGGGGTCATCAATGCCACAGCCTGGAAACCGGCATGCATCCAACAATTCACATGTACAATTGCCAACACTCGATCCAAATCTGACGTAGCTAATTCATCTTAGACCCTGTGTCTTCCCAGCAGTTCACTGAATCAGTGTTCAATAGTCCTGCGCCTGTGGAGTCAGAGGATTGTCTGTATCTGAACATATATGCGCCTGCTACGCAGCCAAACGACCGCAATGGCAGAGCTGTGTTGTTTTGGCTCTACGGAGGTGGCCTTGAGTTTGGAAATGCTGGACAGCCCGCCTACGACGGTAGCCAATTTGCCGGATACGAAGATGTGATAGTAGTCACCACGAATTACAGGACAAACGTTTTCGGCTTCCCAAGCTCACCTGAACTACCTCTGACAGGACATAACCTAGGTTTCCTGGACCAGCGCTTCGCACTGGATTGGGTGCAGCGCAACATCCATGCGTTCGGAGGTGACCCGTCGAAAGTCACGATATTTGGAGAGTCGGCTGGTGCATTCTCGGTCGATGCTTTGCTCACCAGTTATCCAAAAGATTCGAATCCGCCCTTCAGAGGAGCAATCATGGAAAGTGGTCAGGCTAGCTACATCGGCAGTCCAACGACCAGCAGTGTTCCTGCATGGTACAATCTCACTGGCGAGCTTGGCTGTCCTGGTAACTTTGCAAGCAACTTGAGCTGTGTCAGAGCGGCAAATGCGACAGATATAAAACGCATCATCGAGATTCACAGCCTCGAATTCAACCCGAGCCCCGAAAACGTGACTCTAGTGTCCGATCCTGCACAAAGACGAGCTTTGGGCCAGATTGCCAAGGTTCCTATTATGGGCGGTGCGAATGCTCAGGAAGGACGGTAAGATCTGGTCCAACGCTTCTCGTTCCCAGTCATTTGCTTACAATGTATAGTGTCTTCCAAGTTGGACAAGATAACATTACAGAGTTCCTCAACAGCTATTTGAGCAGCTCGCCAGCTCTCATTCTTGCGATCGAAGAAGAATATCCGCTTGGTGAAAATGGGTTGAATACGCCGTACGACGTGATCTCTCAGATCTGGACCGACTACATCTTTCAATGCGTAAGTGCCTGTGTCTGTGGGAGACACAAGCAATCTAACAAAAGCTCATCACAGCCGCAAGCTCTTTTGACCAACGCGTCTGCTGCCAGTGGTATCCCCACTTGGCGTTACTACTTCAACGCCTCATTTACAAACACTCAACGTTATCCGGACCTGGGAGTGTATCATTCTTCTGAGATACCTATTGTGTTCTCAACCTACCCTCTCTTCAACGTCACGACTCAGGAGTATGCCCTCAGTCGATTCATGCGTGGTGCATGGGCTACCTTTGCTAAAAACCCGGCTACTGGTCCTGGTTGGAATGCTGTAGGTACTGGTATTGTGGGTGCTGTATACTCTACGCCATTCGATGGTTTACTTGGTGGTGTCTTGACATCCTCCAACGAAACCGTATTGCAGGGACAATGGAACCTTGGTACATTGGGTGATGTTGGTGAGGTCAAGGGGAGTGGTGTCACTGTACTGCCTCAGAGTATCGCTGATGGTAGATGTGCTTTGTTTGCTCCTGTATATGAGGCTCTTTTGCAAGGCTCGTAGAGGAACGTTGACGTTGCTGCAGAGGAACTGGTCCGGCATCGATTCATGCTCCTCTCTGAGCTTTCTCAAAGCGAGCTTTCCAGAAGGCAGGATGCTTCTGGAATTTAGTTACGTATCCACTGGGAGCGGCACTTTTTACGGTATTCTTGAACTTTCTTGACAATCTCAAATACTTTGTGCCCTTTGATCGAGTTCTGGTCCAATTTTCGTACCTCTGCCAATCCCCATATCTTCGCCCTTTCTCAACATGGTCAGTCGATCCTCTGTTGCAAAGTCCATGCCCTCTATTCCCCACACGCAAAACAACCAAGGCTTCAAATCGTAAGCTTCGGAAGCTAGCCTCTTACCTTCAACCAAGATTTTGCGAAAAAATTACCTACTTTGCTGTAGATTGTTTCCTGTCAACCAACAAAGCAGCAAAAGGATAAGCTCTCCATCGGGGAATCGAACCCCGGTCTCCCGCGCTTGACGAGATTTTACTCCTGACAAGCGGAAATCATGACCACTAGACCAATGAAGATGAGCCAGCTGAGCTGGTATTGGTTGATGCCTGGAAATTAGGGCTACATCAATTATATACCAGCGATGAACCAGTGGACAAGTTGCATAATCTGAGACGGGAAGAAAACCGTCCGAGAACATTGCCTTGCCAAATTTTCCCGAGAATATTTCCTCCAAAACCTGTCATCTGCGCTTAAGTGAGCCGAACGTCTTACTCGTACGCTTTTCATGACAGTGGCAAGAAGGACTCCAAGAAAACACAGTACAAACGACAGCAGAAAACTAATCAGGAAATTTTCTTCGGACGAATTTCCTACTTGTGACGGAAGCGGAGAAAGACTTCCGTCCCCGGAAACACATCTCCATCTTCTTCCCACCTTTGGAGATCAAAAACGTTGGCATGGATCCACTTGGGCACTCCGAGTGGCCACTCGTGATCTCGAAGCTCTGGCACGTCAGGTCACATTGATGGGCGAATTTTTCTCTTTAGGTGTGAGATAAGGAAGATGGGCAGAGATTTTCTTTCTTGCTTCTTTCGCTTTCGATAAATAATGAGGTGAAGAGTGTCATGCAGAGGTAAACTTTCTTTTCTTCTGTACAACAATCCAGGATGTCTACCACTACTACGCGAACGACATTGGAGATGCAGGAGCAGCCGCGTCGCCGGTCTGTTGTTCCTGGTGCTGATATACAAGCACCCATCCCGGCGACAATCTCAGCTGGCTCTTCGTACTTTCCTGATCTTGAAGGCAAAAGAGTTTTGTGGAGCGACTTGCCGGATATTTCATCTTTTCCATCAACGCCTGCTGGAGCTCAAACACCTGCGGGAGCTTCTACACCTGGTTGGCTGACTCCTGGAAATGCGACACCTGGATGGCAGACGCCCGCTGGAGCATCGACACCTGGATGGGCGACACCGAAATCTACTCAAGCGCGTCCTTTGCTGTCTGAAGATGCGTATCCGGATATTGGGACAATGTACTCGTGGCGTGGTGTTATGATTTTGCTCATCACTTGCGGCTCTCAGCTCATGGACAACATTTTTATGACTGCAGTCAACCTCTCCTTGCCAGCCGTACAGGCGGAATTTGATGTCTCTTCTGGCGATCTTCAATGGCTGCTATCTGCATACACTCTTACCTTTGGTGGTTTTCTGCTGTTTTCTGGTGTCTTGGCAGATCGCTATGGTAGAAGACAGGTCTTCTCTATCGGCATGGGCGTGCTCTCCGTCTGGACTCTGGCAAATGGCTTCGGCAACTCTTTCATCCAGTTGGCAATCTTTCGCGCACTTCAAGGCATCGGTGCTGCAATGACAGTTCCATCCTCGATCGGCATCATCAGCTCGCACTTTGTCGCAAGCGAGCGCATCGTCGCTTTGACAATGTTCGGTGCGTCCGGAGCCATAGGCTTCTGCGCAGGTCTCATCTTCGGCGGATTCGTCACCGACTCCCTAGGCTGGCGCTACATCTTCCGCATCGCCGTCGCCGTGACCGGACCACTCGGAATCATGGGCTGGATCCTCCTCCCCAAAGACCGCAAAGAAGGCAACGCACGACCGAAACTCGATTTTGTGGGTGCTGGTCTTTCCACCGGCGGCCTGATTCTACTCTCATTCGTTCTCTCTAGCGGAGGCGAGTATGGCTGGAACAAAGCCTTCATCATCGCTCTCCTCATAATTTCCGTCATTATGATCTGCGTCTTCGCCTATGTGGAGAAGAAAGTCAGTAATCCAATCATGCCGCTTTCACTCTGGAAGATCAAAAATTTCGCACCACTATGGATAGCAGGATTTGTACTTTACGGCAGTTATCAAACTGTAATCTATTACGTGGTCTTGCAGGCCCAAGAAGTGGCCAAACTTTCCGCCGGAGCAACAGCATTGCGCTTTTTACCCATGGGCGCTGCAGGATTCACCACGAATATGGTTCTGGCCAAATGGATGAAGTACATGAACACGAGATACTTGATGCTGTTGGGTATGTTGATTACCACACTCTCGCCAATCCCTGCTTCCTTGATGCCGGCTGAGGATCCCAATTTCTGGAGATACATTTTGCCGACTTCGGTGATGGTGGTCACGGGAGTCAGCATTTGTTACATTTGCATCACAAATATCATGTTGGGATCTGTGCCGGCGAATGTGAAGAGTTTGTGTGGTGGATTGGTTAATACGGCGTTCCAGATTGGAAGTGGTGTTAGTCTTGCGTTGGCTGCTGCGGTCGTCGATGCGGTGGATATCAAGAAGGGGCATGACGAGGCCACGCAATATCAGACTGGTCTGTATTGTTGCATTGGGCTTTCGGGACTGGGTCTTATAGTCTCTGCATTTGGACTTCGCGGGTTGGATGGAAATGCTGGTAGTGCTCAAGTTCACTGATCTTGCCTCACAAACAGCTCTGCTTTTTCTGGAAATAGACGATGATGATTATATAGACATAGACTAATTGGAAAATAGACATAGATCGAAGTTGTTAGACTTGCGCAATCTTCCATTGGTGTATCAGTGCTAGTAACTTATTACAAGCGGTCACTGGCAACGAGTTCCAGGCTCTTGGGTGAGAAGTCTAAACTGACAATGGACTTGAATAGAAGGGAGGTACGCCCATGCATCCGAATCAATCACTTCGGTCTCCATATCCAAAGGCAGGTGCTTGGTCGCTTTGTTCCTTCCTAGCCATCGATGATTTCGTACTTCCTCAAACATCCTCTTGGTTCTTGAACGACCGACATACTTGGAAGATGAAGCATCCTGAAACCATTCAGTCCCGTGTCCTATGCGTACAATAATCCGCATCCAGCCACTTCCCACAAAATAACGCTCAATCACGGCCAGAGTACCCAATAATGCTCATCCCTCAACGCAGCGAGAATGGTTTCGAAGAATCTCCCGTGCACACCGACTTCGCAACTCGCACTGTTCTCAAGATGCGAGGTCAAGCTCCCCAAATCCTTGAAGAAGCGATCGCACTGGGCGCACTCATAAGGCTTGTCGTAAGGCTTAAAGTCTCCATAGTCGTAAAAGAAATCCAGTGATTCGTTTTTCATGCAGAAGCCATAGGGACGTATACTGGCAATTCTGGCTCGAATGGATTCGATAGAGGCGTTCTGGCAGCCATTTGCTTCAATATGACGGATCATGTCGGAGTGAGAGCGGTAGTTGTTGGGGCAGAATATGCATGTGATGTTTGCCGGTCTGTGGACTTTGGAGTGCTAGGATACAGTAAGCTGGTGGATTGCTTTGGCAGAAAGGAAAAGGAACAGCGTGTACAGTACCTGCTCAAGAGCATGCCCGGTGCGGAATACAACTTTGCAAGTCTGACAGCGGAAATGCCGTAAATCTCCTACTGTGTCCTGCCAATGCTGGTCGTAGGTATCTTGATCGGGTGCGATCATCTTGCAAACCTGGCAGGTAATTGTCTTTGGCTTGCAGTCATGTTCGAGCAAAGCATCCACTGACGAGAGGCCACCGTCACAGACATGACAATAGAATTGATGCTGTGTGGCTACCCAATGGTATGCGAGTAGTTTTGTGGTATCGAATTTGGCCTTGCATGATTGATCCGGACAGACGAAATGTACTCGTGATCTGTGACCGACCACCACTCCTCGCGAAGGATTTGTGTAAGAACATAGAGAGCATTTCCATAGATCCGGTGGCATCTGGACGATTGGCGCTGGCTCGAGAGACAACTGGAAAATGTAACCACTTAAAAGATCAAAAGTCAATGGACGTTGGAAAATTGAGACATGGATCGAAGCCTACTTTTGAAGTCAGCTCAATCACCAAGGACGGATCTCAAGGATTCCAAGAATCATATTAAAAAAAATGTATCGTCGTTTGAGCTTGCAAGGTACAAACGAGGATTGACAAACGACGGGAGACCAGGCGTCTGGGAGTCTCCGCAGCGCAAAGCTTTTGCTCGTGCTTGCGCCCCATCGGTGCTCAATGAGGGCCTTGATGTTGTGTCTGAAAAGTTCCCAATTAGCAGGCACTGCGTTATCATGAAGATGAAGGACGTCGAAAAATAGTCTTCGATCATAGCTGTAGAAAGAAGTGAAATTGTCGTTTCAGGGACGATATCTGATTATTCTCTTCCCGCTCGAGAAAAGTTTTGAAGATTCCATGATACAAAGAGCAATGTATATACGCCCACATTTGTATAGAAGTATGGAAGTTTGCGGAAGCCAGTGTATTGCATGAGTGTTCTGATGAGCCATCTTTCGTCGTTCTATCGGCATGTCTTAGATGTCATCCACCATCTTTTTCCAAGCAGACCAAACACCAGAACCTTAGTGATTCTCATGTGTGACTTTGGTTGCTGGAAACAAGATTGACTGGATCCAGCCATCGAGCATATCTCTTGCACCTTCGATCTGCAAAGCAAGATAGTGATCCATGGTGTTTGGCTCGATATTGCCAGTGATCACGCCTTTGAAGTGCTCGACAAATTCCTTGAGATTGCTGTCTTTGTATAGGCCAATGGGAAGTACGCATGCGATGGTGTGGATTTTGCGCAGTTCGAGCAAGGCGCGCATGATGACTTCGACGTTGGAAACGCCATGGATGGAAGAGCTGCGTGGCAAGGAGTTGGAGCTGTTTTGCCAAGGGTGAGGACGCCATGGGGTGCGCCTAGGTTCGATGAAGCGGATTTGCAGGTAGTTGAGGCCGAAACTGGGGTCCCTCTGAAGAAGCTGGACGAGGGCGCGGAGCATAAAGTGAGTGTGCATGGCATCGTGGCGGCTTGTCTTCTTCTCGGTGGCTTCCTCCTTTGCGGGATAGATGCGGATCAAGAGACGCTTGATGCGTGAGAAGCCGTACGGGTCTTCGGGGCCTTCGAAGCGCTTGAAGCGTACTTGAGTGAAGTGCTCGCGGTACTGGAGCTGCTGGAGACCCGAATCGAGGAATTCGACGCCGCCGTCAAGGATTCCTTCGTGGATGTTGATGGCGAAGGTGCGCTCTTCATATAGCATGATGAGAATCTCGCTTGCGATCTTCTTGTTGAGTACAAGTGCGTCGCCAACTCTCGGATCAGGCTTGAAGTCTATGCGCTGACGCGCGGCGGTGAAAGAGAGAGTGTCCGCTTCAAGATTGGTCGACGATTGGGACGGCTCGATGATCTTGTCCTTTGATGGTAGTAGATAGCTGAGAATCTGGCGGCGCATCTCACAGGGCAGGGCGAGAAATGGGGATGAACCATTCTGAGGCGCAATTGAGGGGTCTTTCGAAGGATCGAGTTGTGCCCATATCGGCGATGGGACCATGACGCGGGTCTGGATGTCCTGATAGAGTTCATTGGGCAGCCTGGCGAGAAGGCCGTACATGTCTGTGGTCGGGGTCGATGTTGACATTTTACTGTTTTCGATTGGCCTCTATGCGCGAGTAATTTGTTGGAAGTATGACGCGATGCCTTGTGCGCATGTCTGGTGTGATGGCGACGGGTTTGGTTGTTTGCGTGCGCAATAAAGTAATGTTATATGTGATATGACTCAAGGTGAGTGAACCAGTGATGAAGCCTTGCAATGTTTCGGGTCGACGGGCAACTGAGTGAGTTCGAGTTAGTTGCACACAGAGGGCTTGTGAGTTGGTCGAATCTGTTGTAAAGCTGGCTGTTGCTGCCTTGTGATTCCTCGATCAGTCACGACCTGACAAACAACACATTTCCTAGATCATGAGACGAGCGAGGCACTTATCGCAGGGACTGAACTATTTCATACTTACCACTATCCCTGCCATCTCTCCTACCCCTCAGCCCCTTTATGATAGCTGTCAAAAGGCACAATGTTTTTGAGATCACAAAAAGGTCCACTGAGAGAACGCCTTCTACGACCTCTCTCTGGAACAACCCCGTTATCTCAAAAGCATTGTGCATTGCAGCAAGGTTTAAAACAAACATGATCACTGAGAGGGAGCATGACGTTAATTATAATAATTCGTTTCATTCGTGTGGTATCTCAATGACTTATGCATTTCATGCCATTCAAGGCAGTTGTGCTGGGTATTCAGCGGAAGAGTGTCAGTGACACACACGTCGCTAATGTTTCCAACCAATATGACGCCCTTGACGGCGTCGGGAAGAGTGAAAGCGTTCTCTGAAGCGTCGCTACCGCTGGCGGGGTGCTGAGACTATGTCTTCATGCCACGTCTAGTGACCGACGGAAGGGCCTTGGGTGATGTTTCTGTCACCGTTGCGGGCAGAGTTCTAGTCACACGTTAGTACTTGTTCACGTTCAATCGGGCTGTCGGTATATGGCTTACCTCGGTCTCGAGAATGTCACCCTTCTCAAGGATCTGCTGAACAACATCCTCCTCCTTGTGGGTACCGAACTCGTTGTCGAGCTGGCTGTTGGAGGCGCCGTCGAGGATACCGGTGGTACCTTGCCTGATGACACGATTAGCATTGGCGGGGTATGGCGGGGTAGCATCGAGAGACGTACTTGTGGGTAACGAAGATCTTCCAGCCGCTGACGACCTGAGCGAGAGGAACAGACTTGTCGGCCTTCCAGTCACGGACTGCCTGAGCTGAGTCGACAAAGACAATGTAGTCGTCGTCGTTGCCCTTGAAGTGAACCTTGACTTGAGCGGCGTTTCCTCTCATATTTGCGGTAGGTGGGGATGAGTGATTGGTTGGTGGGTGGGTGTAAGAATTGGTGATAGAGCTTGGTTGATGGATGCGAAGTTGATGAAGGAAGAAGAGTTGGCCTCAGTGAGCGTTCAAAGGTCAATTTGAACCAACCAAGCTGCAAGCACCATCATGGCACACGCGACTTCCCTGACTTCATAGCTTCAGCACGGGCCTGCTTACCTACGTCACAGTGGTGCCTTGCAGCTTGGCCCCTCCTCTCACACCCCACGTTTGGGCATAAACACGCGATGGGAGCAATCAGAACTTCATACCTATGTTCTATTGACACTTATCCGAGGTATTGGTGATAGAATAGTGTGATTGCAAAGCTAAAGCTACTCCATGCTGGCATACCCAATGTTACCTCCCTAGCTTGTAACGAAACCTCATATCCGACAAAGCCATGAGCGAAGCCTCGATCCGAGCGACCCTTTCTCCACATACGTAAACAAATCAAGGTGTCTCCACCCGACCATAGAAATACCGAGCATCATCCCACTCGTTCGTCACCAACCCGAGACTTGCTGGTCAGATACCTCAAGAGTCTTGGTCTCTTCTTCCTCGTCGCATCTGTTTCCACCGCTTTTGCTTCGTTTCTCGCCGCGCCTGCCACTGTGTTGCCAGCCTTGCTCTGCAAAACTTGCAAGCTGTCCTTCCTGCCCGATTCATCCACCGTTTCAGCTTTGACCTCGCCATCCGTTGGTGCACGCGCCTGTGTCGTACTCTTGGCTCGTTTGAGCTCCGGTGCTTTGTTCTCCGAGAAGAAGAATGGTGAACGCGGTCGGTCTGTCATTGTCAACGTACGCAGTCCGAGTCGACGACTACGCTTCGAATCTGGTCCTTGTAGCTCGAAATCCTCAGGAAGGAATGCGTCCGGCGCATTTTGGAAGTTTACAAGAGGTGGACGCTTCGGCTTGACTGCGTCAGGTCGTTGTATTGGCTTAGCTTTGACGAGCTTCTCGGTCGGTGCATGGCTGTTGTGGACACTGGTATAGCTCATTGATCGTCTGGAGAAATTGCTTGCGATGCTCGCCATGCTCAGCTTGCGGAGCAAATCGTTGGCAGTGTCCTTGAATATGTTCTCGGTACGTCTTGAACCCATGCCTGGGTAAGGAATTGAATCCTTTGTCCACACATCATACATCGCTGTCTCGACCTTGATGCGTTCTGCCCGCATGGGTGCCAAAATAGGTACACCACTGGTGGTTGGAAGCGACTTGGACCGTCCTGGCAACGAAGAGGTCGAAGCGTTAGTCATGTCGTCTTTCGGGGCTGAAGTGTGCATGATGATGACTTGGTTGCTGTCTATCATCGGTCCCAGTGTAGCCGTACGCTGGATTGAGAGCCGGCGAACAAAGCCTCTAGCCTTGCCATATGCTTTGCCAATGCTCCGAAGCTCTCGTGTGAGCGGAGATTGAAGATCGATCGGGACAATGTGACCTTCGGCAACGTGCTGTGCCTCGACAGCGATTCTTCCAGCAAGACGGTCTCGCCAAACGCTCTCTTCCGCCTCGGAGCAAGCTCCCAGGATCAGCTCGTACATTTTACCGCCACTTTCGAAGACAACCTTCCAGGTAAATGGTGCCGTATGACATTGAAGTCCTTTTTCAGTCAGTGGGTGACACAACGTACGATGCAAGCGAGCAATATACCTTTTCCATTATCGCTCTCCTCGATGCTCGTTGACGCCAAGGAAGTGCCGACGACAACCTTGTACTTTGAGGAATTTCGATCTGCCAGAGCGAGTAGAAGGCATGACTCGTATAAGACACAGATCATGTAACATCCATGGAACTTCGTCTTGTTTCGGTAGGCAACATACAATGTACCGCAGAGAGATAAACGGCCAAGGCGCTGGAACAAAAGCTCGCGTGGAAGCTGATAAAATTAGCAAAACAAACTTACCATGGGAGGATATGCTTACTTTGTCAGAGAAGCAAAGGCGATCTTGGAGAATCCAGGAGTTTTCCATCAGCCGAAGCTTGTCTGGATTGTCCCTCGACTCATCTACATTACGACAGGTCTCTCCGAGACGGTACAGGACATCGTCCAGAACTGCGTGAGAAGTAGGGTCATCACATGAAGGTGTGAGTCTGCAGAGGTCCTTGAAGAGCAACTCGTAACGAGTAATTCTCTGGATAGGCTGAAGCTTTGTCAGTACGTTTTGCAAATGCGAAGTGAAGTTACATACCTTGATGAGCAGGTCTTTGATGCTGAGTGCCTTCCTGCGATTTGCCTCTCGGCTCTTGATGGGATTCACAGAAGCAGACAGCGTCTCGATAGCTTTGTCATAGTCCCAGACAGAGAAAGATGTCCTCTGCGTAAAGTCGATATCATCGTGCATCGACTCGCACCTTGCGCTGTACTCTTCATAGAGGGCGAACCGCTTGATCTATCAATGCTGTCAGCGACATACCGTTCCTTGCAGGTGATTATAGACACTGACATTCTTTGCAAAGATGCGACCAATGTCGGCAGCTGTAGCTGGCGTACACGTAAGAGACAGCGGCTCCTGGCTCGGAGCTCTGTGGGAGTCCAGTGAATAGCGGTTCGACCACCCGGTATGACTGGTGCCCAAAGGAGGTCGTCGGACAGGGATAGAATCCTCGCTGTGCCAGCGGACATGAAGGGGCTTGCGCTTTGGTGTTGAATCATCGGTAATGGTTTGATCGTGTTCTGAGAATGGGACAACGCGGTGGAGGTCTTCCAGTAATTCGGTGTGTAATTGGAGCATGTTGGTGATGTTACTTCGGGCCGAAGCACGAACTTGTACCGAGGGAAAGGGCGAGGTTGGAGGCAAGAACGTAAAGTATGCCTGTGATAAGATGTGTCAGTATACGCGATCTGTGAGGCTTCCGAATGCAAAGCTTACGTTGCTCAAAGCCTTGAGGTCAGAAAGATAGCTCTCCTCGGTCTTGATCAATTCTTCAATCTTCTCGCGACGTTTCTTTGCTCTCTGGCGGGCGGCATCGTCGATAATGAGGCTCAACGAAGGGCGACCGCTCTCTGTCGAAAAGCGAGGCTCGGAATCGAACAAGCCACTGCTCCCACGGTACAGCCTGGGATGACTAGACCTCTTGCTGGCCGACCTCGACAAAGGAGCAATACTTGCACTAGCAACCGTCATGGTGGCTGACTTGACGGCGGTGATGAAGTTGACAGACGAAGTCCAAGACCCTGACTTACGATGACCTCTAATAGAGGGATCCGGCGAGGTGACAACAGATTGGCTTGCGTGAGTGATCATGAGGGCGTCAAGTTTCGGTCGGATATGTCTTTTGTAAGCCGCTTTCTTCATTCTCAGGGTATTCATCCATCTCGAGAAAGGTTGGTGAAGCGACGATGATGAAGTTTCGACACAGTCAAAGGTTACCGGAGGCTCAAGATGTGGAGCAGAGCTATCGTACGTCTCGGATTCGAGCAGAGCATGGTCTTCTTCGTCCCAATCAGCTCTTTCTTCGTCGACGAGGTCCAAAGCAGAGTATTCGGTCCTCTTAGCCGGTGTAGCGAGAAGAGGATCCGATTCGACCGGAGACGGCAGGGGTGTGGTAGCAGTGGTCACGAGTTGCGGTACGGCAGGTGGGACGCTGAGAGAACGAGATATATTGCTTGCAATAATTGGAGGGCTGAGAGCTGCAGGGGTTGTGCCCTTCTCGAGATCTGAGTAGGAAGTTGATCGTAGCGGCGTGCCATGGTTCGAAGCCGAGCGCCACGGTGTGTTGTATAGCGAAGCTGCAGATGCCAGAGAACCGACCGACAACTGTCTCGAACGACGACGATGGACGGTACCGGTACTGCCCAATGATGACCATGATCTTTCATAACTTCGTTGATCGTAAGGTGTCCCCAGCGGACTCTGGGGCATAAGAGAGAGGACGTAAGCCATGCCTAGATACTGCGAGTATGCTGCTGTGTTGGACTTTGAACTAGTTTGATATTTGCAATTAGTCTTGCTGAAATGCCTCGTCTTCCAAACGGGGACTTTGCATTCGGCCAATGATGAAAGTCGAAACCAAAAAGTGGCCACCAAGAACTGAATGTTGATTTCAATCAGAGGACATGTCTCTCGACAGGCATGCGACCTCTAGGCCGAGCTGGCCGGGTTGGTTGGAAATACGATAGATGGAGGACCAGGTCAAAGAGAGCTTCACAGAAGTCGTGACTGTCGCCCACCCTGCAAAAGGCCAGGTCGGAATCGCTCCTTCCATCACACCCAGCACTTGACGCGAAGCCTGCAAAGGAAATCGACCAAAAGGGCTGTCACAAGAAGATCAGCGTCATCGCAAGCGCCCACTGTGATGCCGTTCGCCTTTGCGTATGTCCAAAGACACGACATAAATCAACTTGGAGAGAAGTCAATTGTCTATCAAGAAGACAAGGTACTCATACTTCCCTGCGGCGGATACCTGCCGAGAGCGCGTCCTTGCTTCAAATCTAAAGCGATGCGAGCCACGGTTTCGTCAATATCTCGACACTGTTGTATACACATTCCACCATTGTCAATGTTGTCTCCTTCAAATCTGGGAGACCACCTGCATCAACAAGATTGTTGTTGAGGATGGAAGAAAGTCAACAGGCAAATGAACCCTCAGGGAGAAGAAGCGCGTGTTCTTGGCGGCGTCCATGGAGAGAACCTTGCTCGGTCGCTGGTCGGCACCCTCTCTCAACCCTTTGGCTTCTTCGCGACTCGCGCAAATCTTCCTGACATGTCATAAGATCTGAATAGACGCTGAGATCATGTCGGGGATGACCATCCCGCCAGCGCCATGTCTGACTGTGAATCGCGGCCCAAGCAAGGACAAACAGGTTCATCGTCCTTTGTGTCTCTGTGCGGCATCTTCCCGCAGAACCGGCTTGCTGCCTCCGGACACATCGTGTTACCACAAACGAGCAAAGTACATCTCGCCTTGTTGCAGACAAGCTGTCTGACCGTCCACATGCTCTGTGATGATTTCTTGGCCACGACATACAGTTCACGGCTGGCTGCCAGCAGTACCAAGGATCAGCTTGGTGTTTCGGTGACTGGACCATGGACAGGTGCTATCAAGTGACATGATTCGAGACCGCGAGAATTATTCGAGATCACGGCAACATTCTGTGTTCCCACCGTCGAGCAGAGATGCTTGCTTGGATATGTATAAGAGTAAGTCACCATGTAGCAGGAAGATACCCCAGTCTACAAGCATTTGTCCCGACACCCATTACCACATCTACTTATACTTCAAATTCAAACCCAAACAAGAGCTCGCTCTGTCTTGACCTGGAAGCACCCAACAGACCCGACGTCGACCAGATTAGCACAAAGCAAACAGCACAATGCACTTCGCCTCCATAACCCTCTTGCTCGGCTTCTTTCTCGTCGTAGCAGATGCCGCTCCCGCATCCATCCCGGCCGCTCTCATCATCCAGTCAAACACCAGTCCGCATACTCGATACTTCCTCAAAAGACAAGCGGGCTGCGATCAGGCGAAATGTGACCAGTGCCGTAAAGATGCCAAGTGCATTGCTGGGACACCAGACTGGTGAGCTACGATTTGAGGGACTCAAGAAGAGCTCGTACTAACTAGGAATAGCTTCATCTGCGATACATCGCCGTCATGCGAATGTGGTGTTTGAAGCGTATGGAGAAGCTCGATGATACTCAAACGAGATGGGATGTCAGACAAATAATTGCGGATTAAGGCAGAGAGTCATAACGAAAACCACTATATGAGCCCTACCGTGCCGTCTATACATACTTGTTTCCAGTGTACCATTTTGTGTTTTCCGAGATCACACATTTACTCTTGAACCATCCGCTGTCATTCGAATGGTCACAGGTCCATTTTCTGAGAGACCAACTTTCAAACTACAAATCTGGCCACACACGACGACATGGTCGACTCAGCCGTTCAAGACTCCCTCCGGTATAGACACGGATATATTTGTATCCCTAGATGCTAAGTTCAATTATATAGAATGACCAACGAAGCAGATAATTGTGATTGTTGTCTGCGCTCGCTAGTAATTGGGGTGACCCTGGCGATGCAATCCAAATTCGCCAACTCGTCTCTCCAGCCATGACGGTACGCGATAATCCATCTGTCGAATCGCACAATAATACTGAGATTTTAAACAGGGCAAACTGAGAGTCCGGTTGTCTCCCTCTCTCACTCGAACATCTGGGAATTGCAAATACTTTGTGCGTTGTTATCGCTAGGTATTTACCAGCAACTATGGTCAGAGTAGCTGCATGCGACCGATTGACATACTGCAGGTGCTCAACATCAAGCAGCGGCGTCTGGCATGTCCTCATCTTCGGTGTCCTTCGTAGCTCCTTCTTCTGAATCCTTGGTTGCTCTTCCAGCTGCAGCTTCCATGTTCAAGGGTCGTGTTACACCGATAGCTGTATCCTGTGGACCCATGTCTTCTGCACCGATTTCCTCCGGTCCACGCGCGTGCGCATGTTCCTCTGGCTTCTCTCCAGCCTCTTCTTCTTCTGCCGCCAACGTGCTTTCACCTCTTCCGACCGCAGAGGCAGACCCACTGGCCATCAAGGTACGACGAGGCACTTCTTGGCCAACCGGAACGATGCCCGCTTCTTGCTCTTGACGTAACAATTCGCCCTGAGTAACACCGCCTTCTGCGCGCAGATGCTGTTCGTGACTCCTGGAGTCATCTTCTTGAGGCGACGCAGATCCGCCGTTGGATGATACAGAGACGGTTTCGACAACGCCTGCGCCGTTGGGACCTTCGATTGTCTGAGAGCTTTCGCTACGAAAGTCGTGATGGCCGTTCTCGCGCTTCAGCCAGGGGATGGGTGTGAGTAGTGCGCCACCCAAGCTTTCGTCGCTTCCTAGACCTTCGCGCTCGGTGAGACTCTCGCTAGGTTCGCCATTGGCGAGGAAGCCGCTTGCGGAATCGATATTGGCATGAGCCAGAGGGAACTCGTTCACGGCACTGGTGACGCAGACAACGCGATCGAGGGCGGCGAGATAGGGCGGCAGGTAACGATAGTATCTCTTTGGTTGTAAGACTAGCTCTGCGAGGCGCTGTATCGTGTAGGGCGGATGGTTGGGAAAGTTGTTTTCGAGGGTAGTTCGGGAGTAGTGGTAGAGAGTGTAGAGGTCTGGTGGTAGAGGTGAGGATGGCGACTGTTGGCGGAGTTTTGGGATTGCAGCAAAGGACGGAACTGGTGGACGTGGAACAGTGTTCTCTTTGTCGGTGCTGGCTGGCGGCTCTGAAGCGTCCTTCACTTGGGCAGAAGGTTCGGGCGACTTTGTTTTACGTGCAGATTCATCGTTTGAGAGGAGGATGACCGGCGCGACAGGTAGAATTGGCGCTGGTAGAGGCGGTGCTTTGGGTATCGGGAATTCGTTGTGCACAATCTTCAAGAGTGTCAGTCATGATCTGTGATATGTGTGTAGAGCTTGGTGCACACACGTTGTGTAGTTTCTGCAGGATGTTCTCCAATACTCGCGGCCATTCAGATCTGTCGTCATCTTTGTCAGGGAACGCGTCGTGTAGAGGGAGTTTCGCGACTTACATGTCTATGCTGCCATCGCGTGCAGCCTGTTCTAGGATCTCGTCGCTCGTCAACATGGCGCCTTGTTTGCTATAAGCGCATTGTGACTTCGGGGAAGATAGCTTGATCGTGAGTGAATAGAGCCAATGTTTCGACATGATCGTCGAGCTTGGCTGACGCGCACAGACCTTCGTTCTTGCATGTGACAGTCCATCCATTTCGTGTGAACAATCATGACGGATCGAAATTGTGTGCCTCGACAGCTTTCATCTCTCGAAGAGCCGTGACGAGAGAGAAAGGCGATAAAGATGCCTAGATGCATGAACTATGTCCCGAAGGTCACCTCCAAGACTTCTTTAGTGACTTTGACATTGATAGAACCTTCTCCCCTTGGGTGCACTTTGTCATGCTTTGGGCTGTAGAACTGTACGCCTCTCGATGCATTGATATAGCCTCCACTCAAAATGTTCCGTCCGACACACCATGAACTGTTTCAAGAGTCTGTCGCATCCCTGATGCCCGACTGACTCCAGGTCTGTTGTGGGAGATGGCTAAAAGCAAAAGATCTTAGCACACGAGGAGGTTGTATCAATTCGCTCAAATTGTGCTGGTATATCTGTCTTTCTGATGCTTATTCCCTTCGACGGGAACATGTTTGATTGTCCCTCGATGCACTTGATCCTTTTCTGATTAATCCACCTCGCTTCAACTCCATGGGTATCCCGACATCGCTCGTGATTTGCTTCATCTAGACATCTATTGCGTCTTGAACAACAGAATGGCGCAGTGGCCGAGGTAGAAGTAGATGAAATGCTTGGTTTCTGAGCTTTGTCAGCATGCAGTGCTTCCGGCGGGCTTTAGATGACACCTACCATGGGTGACAAAACTGCCAAAGTTTCTGCCGACAATGCAGTGCCAGGTAGCACCCTTACGCTCGTCGAACTGTACAAAATTAGTTCCTGGAACTGGAGCACATCATGTCAAGTCTTGACAAACCGTCTTCTTGATGTGGTGTGCAATGTCCTGTTTCGTATAATTAGCATATGTCCACATGAATCAATGACATGCGTCACGACTTACCTTCTCGATGTTGAACTTCTCCATTGCTTCTTGTGCTGTAGAACAACATGCTGATTAGCTTCGTCCTTGATGCCATATCTCTCCACATGGCCGATTCTCCGCAATCCCCAAGACTTACCGACTTCGATGGCTTCCTGCTGCATGTCCTCGGTCTAGGAAACATAATGAGCCACAAGCGCGCGGTGAAAGCAGCCATAAAACTCATACCATGTCTGCAGACTTGACCTGGGCTATGAGCACGGTATTAGCCCAACTGCCCCTTTATCAGATTGACAGTATCTTCACTTACCTTCAAGCCTCTCGGTCTGCTCGAGCTGTGTGGTGTTCTTCTCGTCCGACATTGTGATGATAGATTTCTGCAGCGGTTCTTTCCACTAAGACTCCTGAAGAAAGGTTTGGGGACAAGTTGATGATGTTGGGATGTCGCGTCGCAATGAAGGGCACGTGCAAAGCCGAGTGAGTCGCCGGCCGCAAAGTCGCCGTGCATGAGGGTTTCTTATCCGGCGTATCGCTATCGCACTCCGTGATCTAGCGATAGATGATGAGATATTACTAGCTATGGAAGCGCACTAGATTGTTGAGAAGAACAAGAAGAAGCAACAGAAGCTCTGCGAAAAAGCACAACGATCACTAATCTACAATGGACAGTCTATGATTCGCCAGTAGATCCAAGTATCTGTACAGCAGTGATGGCGTTGACGATGGTGGTAGGCTTGTAGCAAAGCACACGCCGCCTAAGACTCCGCGCACGTTCGTTATCCGCACCTGCAAATTCTCGACAATCTCGAGACGCCATAAATTTTTACATCATCTTTTCTTTCATCAACTTCCTCTCTTCCCTATCTACCACAGCTATCTGTCATAGGAAGCTACGCAACCATGGAGTCAGAGTCGTCGCGTATATTCGTCAGGGGCTTGCCTCCCACTATGAATGAAGCCGAATTTAGAAAGCACTTTGGCAGCAAATACGAAGTGACTGATGCCAGACTCTTTCCTCAACGCCGAATTGGTTATGTCGGATACAAATCGCCTGAAGACGCTCAAAAGGCTGTCAAGTACTTCAACCGTACTTTCATTCGCATGTCCAAGATCGGCGTTGAGCTGGCCAGGCCGGTACGTCGCTTCCACCTTACCACCCATTCCACCAAGATGCTGACTGTTCACCCAGATTGGTGAGGCTCCTACAAGAAGGCAAGGTCAATCATCACAACACCCGTTGGCTATGGCCAAGATGCCCGCACACAATGCGAATGCCGAGCCCATCGTAGCCAATCTCAAAAGGAAACGTGCCACGCCCGAGCCTGAAGTGAAGGAGAAAGACCCGAAACTGAGCGAGTTTTTAAACGCCATGCAAGCTCCATCGAAGCTTCGCGGCACTCGTGGTGAGGAGGTCAACATCGCTGCACAAGAGCTAGACACCAAGGTTGTGGTCCCTGAGGCCGACAGTGATTCAGAGTATGAGAGCGTGCCCAAGAAGCAGAAGAGCGTAGCTCCAGCTGTGAAGCCTCCTCCAGTTCCCGCTGCAACAGACGCCATGGACATTGACAGACCTAGCTTGCCCCAGGGAGACCAAGTGGAAGAAGGCGCCCAACCGACAACGGAACAAGACACAGTCATGAACGATGACGATTGGATGCGCTCACGGACGAGTAGACTTCTGGGTCTTGCGGATGAACAAGAAGAAGAGGAGGCTACCGCTACAAGCCGACCATCACACACTGTCGCTGCCTCACCGAGTCCCGAGCCTGCCCTTCAACCCGAGCCTGCCGCAAAGGAAGAGGAGTTCGAAGGCTTCGAAGACGAAGCCACCCAACCAATGGACGATGTCGAAGAGAAAGTACGAGCAAGTCAGCGTCTCTATCTACGAAACCTATCCTACGCCACACGAGAAGACGACTTACGGACCGCCTTTGCCGGATTTGGCAATCTTGAAGAGGTAAGCACTGCATTTTTCTCTCATTTTATCACGTAAAGCGTGCTGGTGCAAGGATGAACACCTGATAGGGACAGCTTATGCACTATGTGCAGATGCTGAGAACTCAGGAAGAGTATTTTAGTAGATGCCTCTCTAGTCTGAAAACAACCAGCTTGCACAATCCTGATATCTGAAACTATCATGCAAGAACAGCCGGCTAACACAGCATGGCTTAGGTTCACGTACCGATCGATCCCAAGACTGGATCTACGAAAGGTTTCGCATACCTCCATTTCGCCACTGGTGACAGTGCTCTGCAAGCCTTGCGCGATATGGACGGCAAAGTGTTCCAGGGTCGACTACTACATATTCTTCCTGCTGCTGCCAAGCGCGAGGATAAGCTCGACGACTTTGCTCTGTCGAAGCTCCCACTCAAGAAACAGCAAGCCATCAAGCGCAAGCGCGAGGCTGCATCTGCAACTTTCAACTGGAACTCTCTCTACATGAACGCCGATGCCGTTATGTCTTCTGTTGCTGACCGTCTCGGTGTTTCGAAGTCTGAGCTGCTTGACCCTACTTCTTCCGATGCAGCCGTCAAGCAGGCCCACGCCGAAACTCATGTCATCCAGGAGACGAAGTCATACTTCAAGGAGAATGGTGTCGACATGGATGCTTTCAAGAAGCGGGAACGGGGCGACACTGCCATCTTGGTAAAGAACTTCCCATACGAGACCAAAGCCAGCGAGTTGAAGGAGTTGTTCGAACAACATGGCAAGATCAAGCGCTTCTTGATGCCTCCTTCGGGCACTATTGCCATCGTCGAGTTCGAGCATGCCCCCGAAGCTCGTGCTGCCTTTGCATCTTTGGCTTATCGCAAGATACACACTTCTGTCCTTTTCCTGGAGAAAGCGCCCAAAGAGCTTTTCCAGGCAACAGCACCACTCACGGACAGCACCGACAGAGAGACCACACAGGCCGGTCTAGATGCCAAGGCCTCTGCCAGCGAGCTTCTACAAGAGACTGGCACCGAAGTCTCAGCTGGTACTACCAGCACTCTCTTCGTGAGAAACCTCAATTTCTCCACCACAACAGATCGCCTAACAGACATCTTCCGTCCGTTGTCCGGCTTCTTGACAGCAAGAGTGAAGACGAAGACAGACCCTAAGAAGCCTGGTCAAGTGCTCAGCATGGGTTTTGGTTTCTTGGAATTTGCAAGCAAGCAACAAGCTGCAGCTGCCATTACAGCAATGGATGGCTACAGTCTTGACGGTCACAAGCTGCAACTCCGTGCTTCGCACAAGGCTACAGACGCTGCCGAAGAACGTCGCAAAGAGGATAAGGCCAAGAAGCTCGCTGCCCGGGGAACCAAGATCATCATCAAGAACTTGCCATTCGAAGCGACCAAGAAGGACGTGCGCGCACTTTTCGCCGCATATGGACAGCTTCGCTCCGTCCGTGTCCCGAAGAAATTCGATAAAGGAGCTCGTGGTTTCGCTTTCGCTGACTTCACAACACCGAAGGAAGCAGAGAATGCAATGGACGCTTTGCGCGACACTCATTTGCTTGGTCGTAGACTTGTTCTCGACTTTGCTGCCGAGGATCCCGACGACGCTGAAGCTGAGATCGAAGCCATGGCAAAGAAGGCCGGCTCCCAGCTCAACAAAGTCGCCCTGCAAAAACTCACCAGCGGTGGTCGCAAGAAGTTCCGTGTGGGCGACGATCAAGATGGTTTGGAAGAGGCGTGAGTGCAGCATTAAATTTCGAGATCTTGGGGGGTGCGGCAATGTCCCTTGCTTGCTCGCTCTCACCTTTCAATCTTACACCCACCCTACCCCTTGGCTTTGCTCACTTGGCAGGATCTTCTAGTAACTCACCAGGTGCGTATTGACGACTAGTCCTAAAGGTTGATGCCTGCCCTTTCGTCACGTATTTGCACGTGCAGAAGCCGATCGAGACCCTTTTAGTCGAGGCTTCTGCGTGATCGCATTCCTGAATCGTGTGGGAGGTGAAATTAGCCCACCACCTTCACGTTCCCTTTCTGGAACAGGCAGCGCCACTGGGAGGATCGTTCATGTTCCCCCACACGTCATGTCAGAACCCTTGCTGTCGACGAAATGATGAATTCCACCATCAGGTCGTATCCGTAGTGCTGCGCGACCACCGGCCTGCTCCTACGGCAAGTTCAGCCTGTCACTGTAGACCTCCTTCGAAGGCCACGACCCCTGCCGAGATTGGCCCATGGGTCGTGGCCTCTGTAGATGTCCCTTCGATGAGGACCACCTCTATAAACATGTAATCGGTCCAATGATAATGACCCTATTCACTACCTATTCTTCTCTCAAGTCATTCCTTAACCCATCATCCAGCTTTTCACGATCCTTTCTTTCTCTCATTGTAAACCATATTTATCAACAGCATTCTTAGAAACACAATCCATTCTTCACACTTCATTCTTCTGCCACGAAGCTTAATCACAGATGGAATCTTTCCACCCTACTCCTGTTGTACCTTCCAACGCACCATTATGGGCTGAAATCGACCAAGATCCCCGTATCCTGAGGGAGCAGTGTGCCAATAGACAGCTTGGATATCTCCAGACACAGAATACCCAAGACTACTACTCGACCATTAACGATGACTCCACGTGCGGGTCAGCTGGTGCTAGAGCCTCGGCATACCAGCCATTACAATTCGGTCAAGGTCGACCAGGCAAACCCCATTATCCTTGGATGGCAGGGCTTGCCCAAAAGTATGATCCAAATTCTCAACATCTATTCAACAATGTCAACCGTGGCCGATTTCGTGGACTGGGCAATATTCCTACTGGTAACCAAGAAAAGGACCAAGATGCAGAGAGGAAAGCCAGGCTTCTTGCATCAAGGTTTCTGCGGTGCGATGGATATATCAAATATCGAAACAGGCAGCCCAAGGAGAAGAAAGGCAGCAAGGAAGATGCAAAATGGCCCGACCACATTGAGGATGCCTTCATCATAGGTTTGTGCACCACAAGATCTTGCAGTCAAGGTTCTTTCTGACGTGTTTGTTCTCTAGCTCTCTGTCGCCACCCTCCATGTGGTCGCAAGAAGTCAAAAGCCCCTGGTGAGGAACACAATGATGACGCAAAGGCGATGGGTAGGAACGAGCTCATCGCCGACTACATCTTCCGCAACACAGGCGACGTTCGCACCAGGAAGCAGGTCTCGAGCCATATTCAAGTGCTGAAGCCCTTCGTACAAAACGAAGCGATTAGTAAGTCTCCGAGGCAAAAGACGCGGAGCATTTCTAACAACTGAAAGTCATGCGTTTCCTTGCCACTCCTGGTGAAAAAGAATCTGCCGCCACCAAAGCTGCTCGAAAGAGAGCGTCCGTGTACAACCCTGGCACGCAAATGCGTAACAATTTGCTGAATCAGCATCGAAATTATGCTCTGCTGACAGCTTTCGATTTACAACCTGAGGAGTTTTGCATGTTTATGCGACCTCCGCCTCCAAAGGCATCTGAAACTCTACACACATACAGCACTACCGAGGGATTCAGTCCGAGCCATTACTTCGTACAAACGCAAGCAGAGCTCTATGATTGTTTCCCTGGTCTGGCTAATATCCCACCGGATAGATTCGCAAGCGGAAAATTCCTTGCCCTGCATGCGCCTATCGTGCTGCATCCCAAGGATCTGGTAGGTGAGACCGAGCTTGCAATTCGCTGGGTGTTCAAAGCTCCTGCTCGCAACCCGCCGGTCTCAGTCAGCAGTCGTACACGCTTCTATCTCAATGGCCGACCCATATACCTTGACAGTGCGGGTAATCGAGAGTTCTACGACAACCAAGACCGCGAGCTCACGAAGGCCGATGAAGACGATTGGCACAAGTTCACCAAAGAGTATGATGCCGCCGAGGTGTCTGAACACAATGATAGTCTCGAAGTCGACTTTAACGGCAACTATACGTCAAGAGTGAAGAGTGATGGAGGTATGGTTCAGTACTATGTGCCGTTCAGTAGTACCTTCTGGGCACGTTACCTTTGGCACGTAGCTACTCTTCAAAGACAAACTACCGATCTCGAAACCCGTCCCTTGCAACGAGACGAAAGCAACGAAGACCGCCACAATCAACTGAACAAGAAACGGCTCGAAGTATCGAGGTCTCTAGCAGAGCTCACAGCTGTTCAAGAAATCATTGCAAGAACAGAGATGGGAGAACCTCAGGTAGTCTTGACAGTGCATTTTTCGTTTTCGCACGCAATGAACAAGGAAGCTGCGGTGACGACGTGGCAGTATTTGGACATGACAAGCGCGTTCGAAGATGCGATTCCCTTGTCCGCTGGTGGGGTGAGTCAGATATCGCAATCCGCAAGCGACAGTCAGGAAAGTGCACTCAGCGTCCAAGACGCCTATGGCGGAGGAAGCCACGACTATGCTACTTTCGACTTTTCCGCAACCAACTCCGGTCATCATGTAAACAATCACCATGCCTATACTGATCCTTCCGACACTGGTGCGAATGCATTGGCTTCTCCTATCGATCTGCATGATTCACAGGCAACGACAAGCTACAACACTTCGTGGCTCCTCCCAACCTCAGCAACTGACCTTGACCATCTCGCTTCGACCGTTCTTGATCCTCTACTGCCTCATAGCACCCAATCGAATATGCAACAACACAACTTGCACGACATGAACAACTTTGATTTCAGCAACGGCAACATTTCCATCTCCCTCGACAGCTCGGCGTTGTCACCGCATCAACCCGTTCCCCATTCCTCTGCCGCCTTCTCGTCCGCCATCGACGCCTTAGATCTCGATCTCACAGCTACCGACCCACTACTCTTACAGCCGTCACGTACCGCAACCCCATGGATGCAAAGCTCGAACGCTACACCCACCGATTATGCTGCATTGTTCAGTCAGCCGCATTCACCCGCCACTGCTAGCTTCCCCGATTATGGCAACGGACATGGCGCTGAACTCGCTGATCATCTCGCCGCCGCTGCTGGAGGCTTGACCGACACATTCGACGTCAACTCTTTACCAAATTCGTTCTCACTGACAGCGCACCAAGCATACGCTGGTGCCGGCAACGGAGCTTCTGATCTGGACCACACATCACGCCAACACAGCTTCTCAGCCGTACCCGAAGACACAGAAGCCGGTGGTGTCGCCGTACACGACAACAATCACTTCTCACCGACCCAACATCAAGGGTATGGCTACATCAAAGGAGAGTTTTCGCAGCACGATGGTTTCGCCCTTCCGCAACAACAAGAAAGTTTCGACAGCACTCGGCAGGATTCGTTTGCCAGTCACGCCGACGCCTTTGCCAGCCAGACAGATACCCACGATTTCGCCCATTCTTTCGACGTAGGCGCTGACAATAGTTTCGACGTAAATGACTTGCATGAAACACAGCCGAGTCAGAGCCACAACCACAGCCACCATCAAGAAGCTTGGGCAGGCGCCGGATTTTGAACACATTACCTCGACAATCAGCGCTTCGTCTGATATTTAACTACAAGCTCGAAGTCACCACTCACGTTCTTTCTGCCATCTCACTACATCTTTACCCTCTCATTTGTTCTTTTTTCTTGTCTTTTTGGGATCTTTCCTACTTTCGTTCATCCTGATCCACCCAAGATCATTTAATCTTTAATGGCATGTTCTACCGCGAGCACCACATGCAATGCTGGAAAAGCAAGGATACGGAAGATCGGCCTGTGACTGGCAGGGATGCATGTTGCCATGGCACCATGAAAGAAAAGAGAAAAGCGAGCTGCTTGACAATTACCGGTATCAATTGAAAACAAGGAGCAAGATGATGTGGCAACGAGTGACGAAACAGACTCTCATGATACAATGTTGTGAGAGGAAAAGAAATGGAAAGTCTAGCACGATAACGCGACATGATACAAAATCAAAACTTCATTTGTGCCCAAACTGTGTTGACATTTTCAGCAACTTTTTAATTTTTCACGGTGTATCACATAACCATGTCAAAATCCACCAGTCGTCCGACTTCTCCAACGTGCTGATCACACAAGCTCTCCGACGACCACAAAGTAAGAGAAGAAGAAAAAAAAACGCAAAAATGGTTCCTCGTTTGTGGCGATAGCCACAAACAAGGAACAAAGATCACGGGCAGGAATCGAACCTGCGACCTTCCTAGCTCATCGGGACCACGTCAAAGCGAACGACCACGTGCCCAAACTTAACCAGATGTGCTACCACTACACCACCGCGACTGAATACTTGAAAGGGACCTAACGGATGTAGTATATAAGAGTTATCGAGAGCAGAGGCGGTCATAGGTGCAGGTGATGGTTGGTGGAGCGTGGGTGAGTCAGTTTTCGTAGGCAGACGTATGCCGGATGTCTGAAGCTCGCCAAACGCCGGGACAGTATTGGACAGTTATGATACTCGTCCTACCAATGATCTATTCTTCAAAATTGTGCTGCCCAGAGAAGAAATGGAAGTTATTGAATTTCCGCTCTCGTACGCATGTCCATGCCGAGAGAAGTGATTGCTGCCCTACGGCAACACCAGAAGCAGAGCACCAGAAGCAGGAAACCAGAAGAGAAGAGAATAGTCGAATCGATCATCCCAGATCACGGCCGCTGACCAGGGCGCTCATCTGCACCAGAAGCTCCGGAATTCTGAATGGCTTTGTGACCACATCATTGACGCCTGCCTCCAATGCCGCCTCGATCTGTTCATTACGAGCGTTCGCCGTGACTGCAATGACAGGTAGTCGTCGCTTGAAGAAGCCTTCGTCCTCCATAGCTCGGATTTTCCGAATGCAAGTCAATCCGTCCATGACCGGCATCTCGATGTCAAGCAGAATTATGTCGAGCTTGAGAGCAGAGGGCGAAGATGAAGCGATGTTAGTCTTGGAAAGGAACTCCAAGGCGTCGAGGCCATGATCTGCAGTGTGAACTGTACAGCCTTGATTGCGCAGCTGTTTAGCGCAAAGGCGCTGGTTGAGTGGATTGTCTTCCACTACAAGAACATGCAAATTCCTGACCGGGGATGGCTGACGTAGGAAGCCAAGGTCTTTATCGTCGAATGCCTCCGTTCGACTCATACGAGGTCTGTGACCTTTGATTCGGGGTGAGCTGGGAACGAGTGTTGGTATGAGTGTCATAAGCCCCGGCTCCTCGACAGCTGTCCTGCATTTGATGTAAAAAGAGAAGCTGGTTCCGACGTCCTCTATACTGCTTACACCAATACGGCCAGATTGCAGTTCGATCAACTCTTTGCTCAGAAAGAGCCCGAGGCCAGAGCTACCATACTGCCCGTATGTTTTGGGCTGCGAGAATCGCTTGAACAGCAAATTCATCTCGCTCTCCGACAGACCGCAACCTGTGTCTTGCACTGTAACATGCAAAAAGATTTCCTCTCCGGAACATGTGTCGTTGAAAGCAGCGCTGAAGTGATCTTCTTCGGGCGCAGGGGTCAAAGGACTGTTGAGCTTCCTCGGGGTTTGAGGCATGTAGACTACCTGGTTTGATGCAAGTTCGTCTGGCTCTGAGGTGGAAGCACCTAATGAGATGACGATCGATCGCTCTCTACACGATCGTGTATGCTTGATAGCATTAGTCAGTAGATTAATGATGACTTGGAGAAGTCTGTCCGGGTCCACCATTACGAATCCTGTGATGTGCTCGGCATAGGTGTCCTGAACTACCAGAGATGCATTGATATCGCTCCTTCTGGCTTCCTGCTCGTACATCTTGAGCGCTTTTTGCACTACATCTGTTGGCCGAACCTTTCCCGGCATAATCGTGAGTAGCTGAGAGTCGAGCTTGCTGACCGTGAGTATGTCATTGAAGATGTTACTCTGGTGTTGGGCGCATAAAGAAATCGTCTGAGCTGCATCCTCGAGTAACTTGAATTGAGTCGCCATGATCTCCGGCGACCTTGACTGCTTGAGGTGTTTCTGGATTATCTCCAATATCTCGTCGGAGCACTGGAATATAGCGCTGAGAGGATTTCTCATCTCGTGAGACACCACTAAGATGAAGTTAGTGGTAAATTCCATAGTTCAGAGCACCGTGACTTACTGTCAAGGAAGTGCTCAGTGGCCTTCTTCGTCTCCAGAGCATCTTCAAGCCTTTGAGCTAGCAAGGTTTCTTTGGCCACACGATCGCTGATATCAACAAGCCACCCGTGAATCAGATAGACATCACCGTTCTCATCAAGATCTGGAAACGATGTGGCAGAGACCCATCTCGGATTGAGATCATCAGGCGAACCACGAATCTTATACTCAATGGCAGACGGGGTCTTCTCGGTCATCAGATGCTGCCACTCTTTGACTGCAGTATCGAGGCACTCTTCGGAGACTGTTTGCAGCCATGGTAGCTCCAGCGCCGATTCTCTGTTCAGGCTCTCTTTGGTGGTGCCAGTGATGTTAAGGTATGCGTCGTTGACCTGGATGGTTCTCTCCTTGGGAGAATAGAGGTACCTGGGGACCAGATCAGCAAGGAATTACAGCAGACGTTGTATTTTCGTAGCTCTCCATCTTGCAAACATTCTGCATTGCGACGGGGTTACTTACATTCCAAGAGGTGCGCTTCTAGCGATCCGCAAAAACTTCTCCTCCTTCTTCTTAGCCTTTAGTATCGAAAGCCGTAGCTGGTGCGACAGAGCCATGGTAGTCTCCTCGTATTTCCTTTGGAAGTCTTGCTGTGCCTTAGGTAGACTGACCAGGATGGCATGCTTGCAGACCGCTTCACGGATATAGTGTATGAAGCCACTTGTTTGCTCAGAAAATGGACGTCTTGGATTGAGCCCAAGGACTGCAAAAGCCAGAGGTTTACCATTAAGATCGGAGACAGGTAGAACACAAGCTGAGTTGACCCGAACCGAGTCGGACGTACTGACCAGTAGTTCCCGAGGAAGTTTTTGGCCGAAATGAGAGACAACATCGTTTGTTTTGAGAGCTTCACGAAAGGTACCAGCAAGACTGGGACCACTCGGATGCTCCGCAATGGAGAGGTCGATTATCGGGTCAAGTATGTCTGCCGACAAGCCCATCGAATCTACTAGTTGGAATCGTTCGGCGAAATACGATGGTGAAGTTTCGAAAGGACTGTATAACGGAGTGTCGTCAGGCGTTGGCAAGTCGTCAGGACAAATGCGTGATGATTCGTCCACGGCGCTGTAGATCATAGCGTAGGATATGTCAGGTGCATTGTGTTCGAGAGCCTCCAAGAACTTTGGCCACAGCTCAGACAAGGTCTCCACTCGGGAGATGGACTCAAAAATATCTACGCCTTGCACTCGCCGTTGGTCTTGTACAACCGCGTCGGTTGTTTCGGTAAACTCACCGACGACACTATCACAATACCCATCTGCCCCGGGTAAAGGTGAAAGGATTATGTCCCAGAAGCTCTGCACCGATGTGCCGTTACGATCGACAAGTAATTCTTGGTTGATGAGTCGTGCGCCTTTACCATTGTCGTAGGCATCCCGAGACATATCGTATATGAGCTCAAAAACCTTGTCGACTGGTATACCAGGAAGAGGAGCGCCTAAAGAGCTGGGATGGTGTCGGCCGATGATGGCAGCGAAGGCTTCATTGTACATGACAGCCTTTTCGTCGCCGAAGATGAGGATGCGGGGGTCTGGCGAGTTCATGATTTTCGCAGTCGAGCGTCGCAACTCCAGAGACCAAGTTTCGATAGCGCCAAATGGTGTGTCCGACCATGGGAAGTGCTTGAGGAAATGGAACCAAGGGGATGTAGCCTCGGCCAGAGTCCAGTCTGCCAGCTTGCGTTGGGGGTTTGTCACGCTGAATGGTGAGAGAGGCGTAAGAGGTGTCATTGGTGTGACAACTTGCGACGAGTTATGCCGTCTGTAGGTCGAGGTGCTTTGACTGTTCGTTCTCGAAGGAGCGTTGAGGCTGATAGTACGAGCCAACTGCTGTCTGGCCGGGATCGCGTCGCAGGAAACGATTCTCCACGTCTCACGCAGTCGTTTGCTTGACCACTGCCTTCCACAGTAGAATTCAAAGCCATTCAGTAGCGAGTCTGAAGCCATTGCGACCCAATTTTCGAAGGCCAATGGTTCCTTAGCTTGTGTGACGAGTGTGTCGAGCGAGGCATTCTTGAATGCAATCTCGGGATTGGCATGTTCATCCCTCAGCTCAAGGATAAAAGTCGGACGTTCGTCCTCCATCAAAAAGTCCAGCAGGGCACCTGCATCGGGCAGAGAAGCCAACTGCGAATTTGCGACCGCCATCACCAGTGGTAGACAACTCCCTGATGACAGATGTTGAGTCGCGATAGAGAGTGTTCAAGATGAGGTCGAGAGCTAGCGACGACTCCCCTTAGCCAAGGCTGTACTGTCAGACTCGGCAGGTGCAAGGCAGCAGAGACAAAGCGTCGTCCGCAGGGATGCAGCCTGTAAGTCGCAGCTGTGGAAAGAGCTTCCTATGGGCGTAGAACACTTACGGCCGTGACTTCCACGACGAGGTCTTGTCTGCTCGCAGCACAAAAAGCCAAACACTATATACCAACACGACGGAACGCGTCGGATAATCACTGGTATCGCGACTGTGGTTGACAGTCCTCGCGTTACACAAACGAGGCTTGTGGAGTCAAGGAGGAAACAAGTGCTGAGTGTTGCCAGGTGCGCGCCCCTCCATATCTAGGCAACCACGCGGCGTTTCGCCCTTGACTCTGACAAGGGTCAGATGCATTTCGATCGTTGCAGCTATCCTCACACAATCCTCGATGCTTCAAAGGTTGAGGACACTTTTGAGCCCTTGTCAGGGTCTCGCGCTAACCATATTTGTGTCGGTGAGGCCACCCTTCGGCACGAGCCATGTGTTCCGAAACTCCGAAAGACAGCCGCACTATACTAGGATAGGAAACAGCATTTTTCGTTCTCTCTTTTTCTTGTCCGTTTGCTCGACTTCGATCTGTACCACGATCGAGAATTTGCCAGCTTAAATGTAGATGTGCAAGAAACTTCTGGAGTGTTCTCCGTTGAAGATCGTGCAAAAAGATGCAAGGTCCTGTTTTGTGTGTTACACGAGATAGTCAGCTATCTCCACTACAGTTTACTAAGTGTCTCTTGAACAAGCCGGCCCTCCAGACATGACCATCGCAATGCACAGATTGATCTTCAAGTTGGGACTTCCGAAGAGAGTCACATAGGATCGGGATGCTCGCTCGATAAGAGTGCATGTATACTTACAGCTCGAATGACATGGATGTAGGGCACAAGATTTGATCGAGAATCGAGCTCTCCGCTTACCGGTCTATCCTCGAAACCAGTCATCAACATGCAAGATGTTTTTCTACCCAAGCGCATTGTCCAAAGAGAGCAGCAGAGAGTGTACGCTTCCAGCGGACAATTACACAAGCACCAAAAGCTTCTTGCCTTTTGATGGCTAGCTTCTTACACAATCGGGGTCCGAGAGGTTCGAAAATCACAGGAGTCATTGACACGAAAATCATGCAGGAGTTCAGCGTCATCATTTTGTGTCATTTCCTCGTCAGCAATTGTAGCTAATTCTTCCAAGCTTTTCATATCATCCGTTCCTTCGTTTCCGTAAAAGCGTGAGCAAGTAGTAGTAACAGTTCATCTGTGCATCTTCGCCAGATCTCAGCATTCTCAGATCCATTCGCTCTGACTCTTCGAAAGACAACATTTGTGCCATCCACCTGTTCCCGCAAAAGCCCATAAAATTCTTCGTCCATTCATCTTGTCGCCTCGAAATCGCCGCTTTGATATCCCGAAATCCTTTCTTTATCGTGTCGTGAGAGCCCTTGATTAGACAGAGCAATGCTCAATGTCTTGAACGCCTGCCAACCAACTAAGCTGTCAGGAGTGCGATGAAAAGGACCTCGGCGAGACTGAGGAAAATTGCGCACTTCTTTTGGTATCTGGTGGGTTGAGCGTGGGTATTGGCAATGTGTACCATGTACTTGTCGAAGCCGCCAAAGCCATATAAGAGCAGGATGGGTGGACATATGGTGCAGACGACAAAGAGAGCCCACGATCTGCGCTTTCCGTAGGTGTCCCTCTTGAGCCAAGCGGTGTCGTTGATGAGACTGTGCGAGCCGCTGGCCTCAAGTACACGTGGAGACTGCTTGTTTTGTCTTTTCAAGGCGAGATCTTGGTTGTTGTCGTACCCCGAGTTTTCGATAGGGACAGTGGTGGCCATTGAAGCAGTGCTGGGTTTGGTGTGAACGCTTGCTGGGAGTGCAGGAGTGATATCGTCTTGCTGAGCAGAAGGGTCGGCGAGTTGGATGTAGCTCTTGTAGGGAGTCAAGATACGGTCGCTCGGATAACTAACGTCTGACTTCGAGGGGTTGTTTTCGGCGACGCTCACTGGACGTTCTTCAGATCTCAATATGTTTTTGCCTTTAGGCAGAGTGGCAACAGAGGGTCCCTTGTAGTTGGGATGGCGAGATCTGTGGCCTAGAGGGGCGACGGGGCGCTGATTGGGCTCCATAGCGTGACTGTCGTAGGGTCGTGAGAGTCTGCTGGGAGTTTCAGCAGCACGACTGCAGGCACGAGATCTCAACTGCTGAGGGTCGAAGTGAGGAGTGAATTCAGCCCGGGGAAACAAGCTGTAATTGACCGGGTCGTCGTCGCGGATCTTGAAGGTGCTTACTTCGCCGAGGGCAGCGACTACGTCGTCTGACTGCCTCTGTGCAGTAGTCGAGCCAGCGTCAGACTCCTCGGACTCGAAAACACCAGAATTGAGGCTGGACAGGAAGTTGGAAACGGGGTAGGGGAAGGAGGGTACGTCCAAGATGCGGCCATGGGTTAGGTTCTGGAGCTCTACATCGGCCGATCCGTCGTCGTTGCGCTTGCCTGACGGACAGCAGGAAAACTCATGGTCTACAGCTCCCCAGAGATCAGGCTTGTGACGCGTGAGACCGCCGGTACCAGCATGGTCGAGGATGCGGGTGGGAGGAGTGGGCACCCCCACCTCGCTCTCGTCGAGGAGCTCTCCACGGAACGGAGCCGGGCGACATGCCGGCATGGGGGGCAGCAAGGAGGGTGCGGGCCCGGGAGTGCTTGCTGGGGCTAGAGCAGCAGCGTCTTCTAGGCGTGCATCGATGTACGACTGGCGGTTAAGATCTCCTGCGTGAATGAACGCGTGAGAATCGTCGGAATGCTCGGACGCAGCATATGCCTCAACGAGGTCTTCAAGGGCATTGAGAGTGGTGGAGCCATTTAAGTGTCCTACACCCTTGTCTTTGGGTGGTTGACCGTCCATGACTGCGGACGAGGGCAGGGTCTACATACGTCAGTCGGGTGGACTACATGTGGGAAGAGTAAGCCACGTACGATCTCGTTACCTGCGTTGAAGCAGGAAGAAGCTTGCAGGAGATAGAGGTCGAGGAGAGAGGTCGAGGCTGTCATAATGTCAGCAGAGCCCGGGTTTGGACAGGGTAGGGGCTCAAGGGAATGTTCCGTTGAAGGTTTGCTCCCATATCAGGCAGCAGACCCAAAGTAGCCGTAAAAAGGCAGGAACGAATTGGAATATGGAGAGGGGTCCAAGGAGACAGAAATTGAGTGACTTACATTGGGTACAAGGACTCGATGGAACAGTGCCTGCTGCCAAAGAGGAGAATGATGTATGGTTGTTCAGAGATGGTCCTCGAGGCCTCAAGATGGGGGTCTGTGCGGACGCTAGCGTCTTTTGGGAGGTGATAATGCCTGTGGCAGCATTGTGTTCTGTGACCAAGCGGAGAAGAGAACCAGTCGTCAATGACAGATGACTGCTGGTATCGTCGGACTGCATGTCGGTATCCTTTTCCAACTCCACTTGCCTCACGAAGCTAAACTCATCAAACTCTTCGAAACTCCATCCCCAATCCCGACTGTGCTGGCAGAGATCATGCTCTCGGTCGAACATAGGATGATACGACATTATCAGACCTGTCTCGCTCGACTCTCGAATGCCTCGAGGTCTCGTGGCGAATGGAAACACACCACAGAACGACATTTGAAGCGGTCGAACGGTTCTTCGCACAACTCGGGCCAACGCCAATGGCTCGTCAGTCGCCTTTCGACTCGCGCAAACGGGACGCAAAGTCTCTTGAACCGACTCCAAGAAACAGCTCTGCTGCTCATAAGTTGTTTGACGAGCTTGTGCTAATGCGGACGCCTGTCAGATTCCAAACGATCGCCAGCAAGACCGAACCAGTTGGACGTTCACGACGACTACGTCTGTCGCGATATTCGGGGCAAAGCAGCTCTCTTGTGATACGGAAGAACCGTCAACTTTCAGTAACCGTCTTGGATCCGGTATCGAGACGTGTGTCGTGGGCTTCTCGAAGGACTCCTATCCTGACTCTTGGGTGCTGCTGTAGCTGCTCTTCGACTGGTCCGGCTTGATCCCAGGAACTGTTGTTCTCGACACGGATAACAAGGATCTTGACATGTGATGATATCAACACAAATCCAGTATGCGATCCATGCTGTTCGCCGTTGGATACAGGTCCTTGTAAGAGATGGGATTGTGTCGAGGATATACCAAGGCGATTCGGATGCTCCAAGGACTCCGAACGAACCAGGACGATGAGCTGTCCAGGACACGAGTCGGCGTCAGACACCAGCGAAGTAATTCGTGATGGCTGAGGCTTGCAAGTTGTGCTGCTTCCCCACGTGGTGGCCATGTGAGAAAGTGTCACCCTGTCGCGACTGCCAACGGAGTATCGACTCGGTTGTTCCGGCGCTGAATACACGAGAACATAACATGAAGCGAAGGAAGGCATACATCATCGACCAGGGGGGAGCTCCTTCCTCAGGTCTTTGCAACCGTCGAGAAGATGCAACATCACCCTCGACACAGGCGTCACGCTCTCGACGGCATGCATGAGCGTGAAGGCTTGTGTGAAGCCTGGCTCAGGTGCATCATTCTTGCCTGACTGTTCTGTCTTTGCCGAGCACTCTGCGACTACTGTACGCTATGGTGTTCGTGCTGGTCGAGGAAAGGGAGCAACGCGTCCAGAGAATGAAGTTTGTCGGTATAACTCCGGCTTATCTCCATTGGCGCCAGGAGACAGCGAGCTGCCCGCCCTCGACTTCGACAATATTGTCATCGCAGTGGTTGAAACGGAGTTTTGCGAGATGGAGAGGGCTTGAATGGCTCAGAGAGAGTGCTTTATAGCCCAGCTCGCCTGTGTCAGTGGCTCTTGATATCACGGTCTCAAAGGTCGAGAGTTGTACCTTGGCCATATGGACACTGATGGTCATGCTGGTCATCTCTGACCTTCGAGCATGGTGGCATGAGCCATCACGGTACAGAAGGGTCTTTCGATATGATGCTTTCTTGCAAGGAGTTAATGCTTGAATATGCAAAAACGAAACCAGTGATGTCTCAGGCCGTCGTACCAGGCTTCAGCCTTTGGCTCAACTCGAAGTACTGCGACAGAGCTCATCCTGATAATTTCTTATCTCCAACAGAAACAGAGACACAAAAAGTAGATGTCCCTCACAGCTATCTCTCAAGTACACTCGATAGCATCACACGTTCGGGTCACACCACATATCTCCTCAGCACCAACACTCCCCCAACCCCTTATCACCCCAAACAAACCCCCCTCAACAACCAGCCTAACCATCAAACACCCCTCGTCACGAATACTACGATCTCACCACCCATATCTCCCAATACCATTAACCCCCCTGAGACCGCCAAAAACCACATTTCTTCAACGTTAGCGTCCAAGCTTTTATGCGAACATGTCCGAGGCGTTTTGTCTCAAGTGGCTACCACAATCGTTTTTTCTCTCTCGTGAAATAAACAACTGTCACATCGGCTCAATGAACCTTTTTGGGGGGTTCTTCGTAAAAATAGATGGCAGGTTGAACGTCTCGGAGTATGGATCAGTTATAGGAGTTTTGTTATAGGAAATTGGTGTTTGTGGCTATGCGAGGGGATGAGACGAGTATGGAGGCCGCGGATAGCGGTTTTGGACAGATAGGATGTAACGATGGTGGAAAGGAGAAGAAAGCATACGGCCGAGCGATATCGACATCACCACGAAGTAGAAGGAACACGAGACCGAGAAATACAGTCGTTGGTGGATACAGAATTGGTCATGAATAAAGCTAAATACAGCAGATCTATAGGGTCATAAACATTAAGTAGGAGGAGCATGAAAGCGCAAGACTTTTTACACATAGCGATAACAGAGGTCATAACCTTCAGTCGTCGCAACACTCTTCACGGCAACGGAATTGCCGAATCCTCTGATACGAACGCGCTCGTCCTCAACAGGCATCTCAGCCTTGGGATGTTGCTGTTGCCAGAGCCACCACAGACGATCGACCTGCATTTGGTGCAGGAAAAGAGGATCTACAAAAAGACAAACGTTAGCTCAGAGCTCTCAACATCGTATGAGAGTGATCATGATTTACCTTGAGGTAGTTCCGGGGTCGAAAAGTCAAAGGGTGCCAAGTCGGTAATACGAGCTTCGAGGACGTGGGCAAAGTCGTCGTAATCGACGGCAGACATGATTTCGGATACGAGCGCGGCATCGAGATGTTGTTTCGCGGCCTCATCATGGATGGCAGCTTGTGATGATTGTGCGGCTGTTGAAGTTGCACCCGATGATTCGGCGGAGGCCGCGGGCACGGCGGTCCAGTCCAGGTATGGCATGTCTCCTCTGTACGCACACTCGTTGCGCAGAGCGGACTCGAGAGTGTGCATGAAGAAGCGGTTCCATGGCAGGTAGTCTGAGGTTTGGGTTGCATGCCAGCCAGAGGTGCTGTAGGCTGACAAGAAGTCACCGAGTCTGCTGCCGGTTCTGTCATTCTTGGAGGGAAGCTCAAGAAGACAGCGCATAGCAGTCTGGTAGCGTCTCTGCTCCCTTGGCTTCATGCTGCGCCATTCACGACGGAGAGTGAGGTTGTTGCATGTGCTTGTTGGTGCCGATGTTGGTAGCGATGTACTTGTAGCTATGACACTCGTTGGCTTTTGGAGGATGTGTTGGCCATGTACGCGAGACTCTGGCTTGTTCCAATTCGAGGAAACTATCGTAGCGACTGTGCCAAAGACGAACAACAGCCACAGAACCAGGAAGACCGGTCGTGCAGGAGGGGGTGTTGCTAAGTCTTGACTCTCGAGGTCGTTGTTGTGAGGTTGCTTCTTCTCGAGATCCATCGCCAACTGCTGCTTCTCGGAATAGATAGTTTGCTCCGACATGTTGTTGTGATATAGCGTGCAGAGTGGTGATGAGGTGATGGGAGTGATGATGGACGGAAGAGAAAAGCGGCCGTATAGGCTATATAGCACAGAAGGATCGTTATGGAGCCGGTGGTGAGCTTTGGCGAGATGCATATATATAGGATGGTGGCTTTTGACGTTTGGAAAGACTATGGTTAGCGTTCGAGACATGTACTTAGATCTTCAACGGTCAGGATGGTGGTCATCAAATAAGAACGAGACGTTATTGCACGCTACCGTGCGCTCGGGTTCAGCTTCCACTTCTTCGCTGCAACGACTCCGAGGATGGCTTCGAGGACTGAAGTTTACCTCGACAAGCTTCAGCTGTGAGGTGCAGCTGATGGGCGGCTTATTTGGCGATCATGCCAATCGGCTGTCACTCGATGGTCTGCAGATCTGCCAGTTCCGTAAAACGATATCAAAACACATCTCCAACACCCCGCAAAGCACCTGCTGAGATTAGGCGCGACAAGCATTTTTTGAGTGCATATGTTAAGATTGGCAGAAGGATGGCATCCCTCGCGAACTGGGTCTGGCCAGTGGCGCCAAGGATTTTAAAAGCTTGTGGTTGGAGGAGAACTCGAGCGTCGGGGCTGGGAGCCTGGGAGGGAGACAGCGCGAACGTCGAACACGAAATATGATGGGAAATGGCGTTTTTCATGGCTGAAAATAGCCAATACCGAGGTGTCTGGGGCTGCCGCTGGACGAACACGTGCGACAGCAGAGGAAAGACAGTCTGCTCAAACATAAATCAACTGAGACCGAGTCAGAGACAGGCAGGTCTTTCTTTCTCCTAGACCCGAAAATATGATTGCGACATTCTTCGCGGCCCGCGGACAACGGCTGAGGGCGAGGGCTTGGGTCAAGTATTGTACTTGTGGCAGACACCTTCTCCTTTTCCATTGCCCGACGCTTGTTAAAGACAAGACAAGGACAGGGTTGGAAGAACTATTCGCGCATGGTGAGATGGTGTTGTAGAAGTCGGAATGTCACGGCCGACGAAGGAGCGGGGTGTCGAGCCGCGAAAGGAAGGTTCAGACGATTTCGGCGGCAAGCTTCCCTGTGGGCGAGCTTTTTACACATTGAAGCCCGTCACGGAAGCTGGCCTATCGATAGAACAGATGCGATGTGGGTGTTTTTCTTTGACTCACGATTGTTCAGAAAGACTTGAAATTTTGAATCCGCTATACAAAAACATTTCATACCATCAATCAACGACGAGTCTCGTGTCGAGAAGCATCAAAGTCTTTTGAATAGTCACGACCTCGGCGAGCTTTCCCCGCATCTAGCCTCCCAGCATCGTCATCGTCAACAGGAGAGGCCTATCGCGAGCCGAGGACTTGTGGAAATCCATCCAGTCACCTCTTGCCCGAGTCTACCATGACCTTCATCTCTCGCATCGTCGCAAAGCCTGCATTCAGGTCATCATTCCAGCCCATCACACGCATCAGCATAGCCTCAAGATCATACGCCATGGGACACAGTGTACCTCCGGTGCGTGGACTTGCCAGTTTCCGAATCCACACAGAGCCGATGCTGACAGAGAGAATATAGCTCAACGACCCTTCGCTGTTCAAGCAGCAGGCCTTTATCAATGGCAAATGGGTTGATGCAAAGTCGGGCCAGACCTTCGACGTCTATGGTAACACTCGGCAAGAGGAGAGAGAAGAGTACTCATTCTGACACGACGGCAGACCCGGCAACCCACAAGGCCATTGGCAAGATGCCCGAGATGAGCAGGGAAGACGCTCAACTCGCCATTGACGCTGCCGCCGCCGCCTTCCCCTCGTTCCGCAAGACAACAGCAAGAGAAAGATCGAAGATGCTGCGCAAGTGGTACGACTTGATGGTTGAGAATGCCGAAGACATCGCAAAGCTCATCACATGGGAGAATGGAAAGCCAATGGCTGATGCAAAGGGCGAGGCCACATATGCTGCAAACTTCTTCGAGTGGTTCAGCGAGGAAGCTCCCAGAGCGTACGGCGATACCATCTCCGCCACCGTCGCCGGCAACAGAGTCTTCACCCTCAAGGAGCCTGTCGGTGTTTGCGGTCTGATTACTCCATGGAACTTCCCCGCCGCCATGATTACCAGAAAGATTGGCCCTGCTTTGGCTGCCGGCTGTACAGTCGTCGCAAAGTCTCCTGGTGAGACTCCCTTCACGGCCGCCGCTCTGGCTGAGCTCTCAGTTCGCGCTGGAATTCCTCCTGGTGTCGTCAACATCATCACAGCCATGAAGAACACTCCTGAAGTCGGTGAGGCTATCACCTCTTCCGATATCGTCAAGAAGGTTTCTTTCACTGGCAGCACTGGAGTCGGCAAGCTCCTCATGAAGCAGTCAGCAGACACCCTCAAGAAGCTGTCTTTCGAGTTGGGTGGCAACGCTCCTTTCATCGTCTTCGACGACGCCGATCTTGACGTTGCTGTCAACGGCGCTATTGCTTCCAAGTTCCGCTCTTCTGGTCAGACTTGCGTTTGTGCCAACCGTCTCTACGTGCAAAGAGGTATCTACGACAAATTCGCCGAAGCCTTTGTTGCAAAGGTCAAGGACTTCAAGGTTGGCCACGGCTACGACGAGGGCGTCACTCACGGCCCTCTCATCCACGACCGTGCCGTCAGTAAGGTCGAGGCTCACGTTCAGGATGCCGTCAAGCAGGGTGGCAAGGTTCTCATCGGTGGTCAGAAGCTTCCCGACCTGGGCGACAACTTCTTCCAGCCCACAGTCATTCGTGACATGACATCCGACATGGCCCTCGCTCACGAGGAGACTTTCGGTCCTGTGGCCGGCTTGTTCCCCTTCGACACTGAGGCTGAGGTCGTGAAGCTTGCCAACGACGCTGATGTTGGTCTTGCTGGTTACTTCTTCTCGCGTGACATCCAGCGTGTCTACCGTGTAGCCGAAGCTCTTGAGGTTGGTATGGTTGGTGTCAACACTGGTCTCATCAGCGACCCGGCCGCGCCGTTCGGAGGTGTCAAGCAATCAGGTTTGTTCCATACTTCTATCTTCATTTTCAGAGCCCTACTAACGAGTCTCTAGGCTTCGGACGCGAGGGTTCAAAGATTGGTATCGATGAGTACATGGTGACCAAGATGGTCACTCTGGGTGGCATGGGCCAACCGCTGCAAGGAGAGTAGAAAATTGACGACAGCCTGTTTTACGACCATTTGTACATCACATATAAGCTTCATCACATATTCTGCTTACCTTTTCAGTATCCTCTCAGAGCTTTGCTTCCTCGTGATCACTTTGGACAGTCATATCAAGACCAAAATCATTGTTCCCTTCGATGGGTGTTTACTGAGAACGCCTCGTCAGGTTGAGAAGATTTCGGGTGTCGTAAATCTCATGCTGTTGACACAGCCACGGAGATCTGGAATCAAGCACCAGTCCGGCTTTCATTCAGTATTCCACGCCTTCTCAACCCTCGCCATCGTCATCGTCAACCATCAGTCTGACCACACTATCACTTCTGAGAGTGATCACTTCTGGCTTCGATTGAACACATCTCCAGGCCTTGTGAGCTATCCTTTCCTCCGTCTGAATTGGAAGGTTGACATCACTTGAAGCTGCTCTCTCATACGATCACACAGTGCTCCACCAATACGCAGCTTCAAGTTTAACAACTGTCTACGCCTCGCTGGAAAGTCTCACTCACGTCACACAGACTCTGCTGCTGTACAGCGAGAGTGACATGTTGACAACCGCATCGACACTTCGTTTGCTCAATCCTGGCATCCAACTTCGACTCGAGACCTTCTCTTCCTTTCACCAACTTCAAACGTGCCGACATCGAACAAATCTCCAGCCGTCCATCTGCCATACTGTCGTTGGGGAAGTATTCACGAATCATCTTTCCTCCGACTTACTTTCGACATGTCGCGTCGCTTCTCGCTAAGAAACAGGACCCCCAAAGCTCGCAGACCGATCCTCACAGAAACCCAGAGATCAACGATCGTCTACAAGTTCTGCGAACACGTTCTCCAGGGGCTCATTACTTCAGATGATGAATGCGTGCAGCCCTTTCTTGAGCTCGTGGATCGAGGTTCAGATGATGGTCCCGAGTACTACTCGACGATCGAACGTCCGATCGCACTCTCAACCATATCACGAAGACTCAAGAATGAGCAATATTCCGCAATCCATCAGTTCAAAAAAGATTTCGAATTGATGCTCAACAATTGCTTCAGGTATAACGAGTCGAGCAGTGACATCTACAAACAGGGTAAGAGACTCCAGACTGCATTCAACACCAGTATGGCTCTGAAAGAAGCTTGGGAGAGCCTAGAAACTGCTCGATTGTACCCAAGTTCTATCCCTTCCGAAGACTATGCTACAGGCTCAGACAGCGATGAAGACGAGAGCGATAGCCCTGACGAGTACGATTCGGGGATGTACCGCAATGAGATGGCGGGTGATACGGCTTCCGAAAGCAGCGACAGATCTGATGAAGATGAGTTTGCAGGAGATCAGAACAGTATTGCCGATGAGGATGACTTTGCACCTCATTCCGATGCCGAGGAAACACCTCACCCAGATGCTGGAAACCCAGCTGAATTGGGCTCCAAAGACGCTGCTCATCCCGTTATCGAGACCACTCAAGACACCACCCACATCACCCACAAAAGGTCCTTGGAAGCCACCACAGAACCAGAAACACCGACCATACAGCCCACTCAAGACCCAACCATCGACGAACAACGTCCAACCAAACAACCTCGACTCCAAGCAACCCCAGAAGAGCAAGTACACCCATTCCCCACTCTGTTACAACATCACTAACAACACAATCAGCTCCGACCCCCTCCAAACCATGCTCGAAACCATGATAGAAACCCAAATAACCCTCCTCACCACCCGCATCACCACAAACGCGAACAACGAATTCACCGACCACCAATTTATCCTCTCCCAACTCTGGAGCAAGAACCGCAAAATTGCCTTCCACGATATGTGGAAACGAAAGGCCGTGGACAAAGTTGAAGATATGGGGTTCAAGAAGATCAAGGCTGAGATTGGAGGGCAGGTTGAGCGGGCTTTTGGGGAGACGGTTAAAGAACAGGCGAGAGTGGTTTGTGAGGAGATTAGGGAAGGGGCTGCTGGTCTTGAGAGGGTTTTTGGAGGGTAGATGGGGGACTTGATCGGGAGATCAAAGGAAGGCACCGACGAATGGCATACTCGGCAGCTTCGTGGTGACTTCTAACCTTGCTTCCTGATTCGAATCTAGGAATATTCACAGCGGGAGAAATGCACAATACTCTTTCCAGCGGTACAATGGTTCATTGGCATAGCTCTGGACACAGACCTCCGGCAAAGAGATCGATCTGGAGCCTGCTACCCTCAGATACCCAAAAGCCTTTCATGGTTGACTCTAGCCACTGCGACGTCCCCGATCACCGCTGCTTCGATAGTGACGAATCCATCGTCGTCAAAACGAGGGAAGCTCACGTTAGCTTTGAGAAGAGGGAACGAGCAGAGAAACCTGTCTACAACTTCTTCATCTCCAGTACATATATATATCGAACGTAGCTCTCGTAGACGCTTCACACTCAAAGCTTAACACCACCACCCACAACACCATCCCAGTCCCTCTTCCTAAACTCCGTATAAGCCTCGGCACCCACAGGCAACCAAAACAATCCATCCTCTCCAACCTTACCAGGATCAACACCTTGCTCTCTCAACCCATGTTTAGTATACTTAGCAGTGCCCGTGACTTCAAACTCCCTAACCACTCGCAAGAACAAAGGGATCGCGAATTTCGGCATCTTTTCTCTAGCGTGTGCGGCTATTTCCTTGAGGACTTGAGAGGAGGGTGCGGATTTCAGCATTACTGCCGCACAGCCTGCTCGTCCGTCGTGGTTTGGCAAGGCGACGCCGTAGACGTTAATTTCTTCGATGTGAGGGGAGGTGGATAGAGCTTCGGCGACTTCGTTTGTGCTGACGTTTTCGCTCTTCCAGCGGTAAGTGTCGCCGATTCTATCGACGAAGAAGAGACGGCCTTGTGTGTCTTTTCGCAACAGGTCGCCGGATCTGTACCATGCGTCGCCAGCTTTGAATACGTCCCGCAGGATTTTCGAGTCGCTTGCTTTTTGGTTGCCGTAGTAGCCTACATATTTGTCGCTGATGTTGTTTGGATCGAGAGCGTTGATGTACTCCCCTGATTCTCCCGGGTTCACTCTTTCGCAGAGGTTGGAAGAGTTGCGGTAGGGTTCTCCGGTTTCGACATCGTGTTTGACGATAGCGGTTTGTGAGCCCATGAGTGTTTGTAGAGTTGTTCCCGCTCTTCCCACGGCACCGAGACCGAAGTTGTTCTTGCTCTTTATGAAACTGCCGCCGACTGCTTCGGTGGCTGAGTAGAACTCGGCGATTTCGAGGATGTTGAAGCGTTCCTTGAATTTCTGCCATACGTCCGGGCGAAGGCCGTTTCCGAAGGCCATGCGGATGGTGTGTGACTTGTCGAAAGGAGAGGGCGGAGTGCTGAGGAGGTAGCGGCACATCTCGCCGATGTATTGCATCATTGTCGCTTTTGAGGCTGTGGCCGAAGCGAAGAAGGTCTTGGGAGAGAAGTGGTGAGATAAGATTGTTGTTGCACCGGCGTGAAGGACGACTGAGATGTTGAGGATACTTGCTGAACTGTGGTAGAGGGGCATTGCCTGGAATTCTTGTTAGCCTTGCTCGAGTATCAGAGAGAGATGGGCAACTCACCGTGTAGTATCGATCCGTCGATTTGACACCGAGCCAGTTGCTCACTGTTCTGCCAGACAGTAGGAACTTCTTCCAAGGTACGACAGCAGGTTTGGGCAAGCCAGTGGTTCCAGAGGTGAAGATGAGCACTGCTGTATCACTGATCTTGTCACCACCTCTTTCCTCATCGGGCACTCGCAGCCCTGCGGTTGCAACAATTCTGCCCTCAGTCACGTCGTCTAGGACAACAGCTTGCACCGAGTTCGCAAGCTCTTGTCGAACCTCGTCTGTGAGTGCATCCTCAATAGCAGGATCCACAATCAACAACTTCGCCTTGCAAGCCTTGACACAATGCAACAAGGCCTTGCCCTTCAGGTTTGTGTTGATGAAGGCAGCTTTTGCTCCCAAGCTGAACAGTGCGAACCACAAGCACACGAATTGAGTCTTGTTCGTATAGTCAATGGCGACCATATCGCCCTTCTTGACTCCATGCTCTTGCTTCAGCCATGCGGCAAACTTCAAGACCGTCTCATAGACTTGCTTGTAACTCCATTCTGTTGCTTGTAAACCCTTGAGATCTGCTGGTGTCGCAACGTCTTTTGGAATGTGTGGTGGGATGGCGAGGAAAGAGTGGTCGCGTGTCTTTGGATCGAGGGCGTGTTTTTCGAGTTCGTAGAAGAGGTTTACGCGGTCGTTCTTGACGCAGTTCCTGACATAGAGGGCCCCGCATACAGTCGCCTTGAGGATGGCGTAGTCATTGGGGAAACTGGTCTTGGCTCGTAGGTAGGCGAGAGATGCTACTGCTGCTGGAGCTGCGAGCGTCAAAGGTAGTGCTGTGGGTAGTCGTCAGTAGGACTCGACAACTCCGTAGCTCGAAGAGGAACATACCAGCCATTGCTATCTGATATGTGAACTCAATTGGCACTAGGTAAGCAAGATAGTACTATGTACACGCCTGTCACGGAAGGTGTTGAAGTAGTAGAAAGAGGAAATTGGGATGAGCAGCAATGAGAGACTTGACAGTTAGCAGACCTACCTCGAGTCTACCCCGACATCTAGAAAATCGCCTGGCGCGCGCCCCATGGCAACGGCATTTGATGACCGAGGGAAGCTCTATCTTTCCCATAGCATTTCCCGTGTAGGACGTGGCTTGTGTGACGTTCGAGAGGGGCGCGCAAAAACAAGCCGAGGCTCGGCAGCAATGCCCGTCTGGAAATGCTGGGCATTTGCCAAATACTGACTGCTCGCTTTTGTGGGATAGCTCCTTCCGTGCCTCTTTTGAGTATGAGGTCGAAGACAGCACTCGATGCTGAGCTCGACGTGATACGGCGTCAAAGTCTCTGTATGGATATCGACACTTGCTGACGTTCATGTGCATAATGCATATGTCGTGCATCCTTGACACCGCCGATCACGCACTTACGAGTACAACTTTGATGCTCTCAACATCTGTTTTATCTCTAGCATACAGCGAACACGGGCGTAGCTGTAAAGAAACCGCACGATCTCACTATCACTTGTAGATGCGAGGTCGCCAACATGTTTTGAAAATGTAGGATGTTCTTCATGTTTATTGGCCAGCGAGAGCGAGAAGAGAAAGCTTTTCTCTTTACCTGTTCGCCTGGACGACCTTTTCAAGCCTTTTGTATGCATCGAGTGCTGCGTCTGGTACATCAACATGTCCAATGAATCCTTTGCCCCTTGGTCCGTAGCCGTTCTCGTCATCTCTCAGTCTGACTACCTCGCCCAAGATGAGGCCCAAGAATCTGTCCATATTCCACAGGTCGTCCTCTTTGACACCTTCGCTCTCGTCGAAACTCAATCTGCCATCTTTCTCGATGACTGAGGGTACAAAGGTGGGACAGGCCTCAAACGCCACATTGTCCAGTCCAAATGCTTTCTCAAAGGACACTTTCGTCCTCAAGCTCATGGTGGGATCTTGAATAATCAGGACATTACTTCCAGACACCAGTAATCCACGCTTCTGTAGCAACTTTCTAGTCTCCGTGGCATTGGCACCGCAATTGGTGCTTTGATCCTCGATCAACACTCTCACACCGGACTCTCTCACTCTGCTTCCGTCAAAGCGATGGTCGAAGATCTTTTCCATGACTTGGGCTTCCGGTAGGCCATTGATCTGCTCGGATAGGTCGGCATAGCGGGCATTTCTGGCCACTGCAGTGTACAAATGTGGAGTTGAGTGTCCGATGCCGCCGCAGAGGACCACGGTGGAGGTTAGAGCTGAGCCATGTTTTTGTAGGGTGCTGAAGAATGTTTCGGCGCAGTGGAAGATGGCACTGACGCAAAGCACAATGTAATCATAGTGTTGGGGCGTGCTTGAAGCTGGGTCGAGCTGAATCTGGTCGTGGGAGAGAAAGGTAGATATCGTGTTAACATCTTCCGCGAGAGTCATCTTGGTGATGCTTGTAAGTCAAAAACCAGATAGCTGCAGTTGTGCTGTCGTTGGTCCGAATTGTCTTCTGGTCTTTGTTCTGATGCAGTTGGCAAAGAGATGGTGCCGAGAAACCGAGAGCTGACGAACTTCGAGACCAAGACGGACTGCCGGATTGACGCCATCATGTTCACCTGATTATGAGCGTGAGAGACAACTGTACACAACGAAACTCCATTTGAATGATTTGTTAATCTTTGAATGGCATTGATAAGGCAAAGAGGCATCGACAGGATCAAACCAGGGTTGCACACTTGACCAGACTCCAGCCTCGGCACCTCCGCTACTCCCCGCACGTCTCCACTGAAGTTCTGAACATATCCTCCCTATGAACATTACAAATAGGATTTCAAACAACCAATATTGTTAAATATCCTCACTGCCGAATCAAAATGTCGCAAAGTGAAGCTGTGTGGCAGTCGATTGCTCGACGAAAGAAGCAGGAGCAATCGAACCTGATCCCCAAAGACTGGACGCCCAAGACTCGGCCAACAGCCAACCGCAATGATGTACTAGCCGTACCTCGAGAATGCGGTCTTCTGAGCGACCAAGAGATTCAGATTACAGAGAATCATGATGCTACAACTTTGGTCAAAGAACTTGCAGCGAGAAGATTGAAGAGCGTCGATGTTGTCACTGCATTCTGCAAGCGAGCGGCAATTGCTCAACAATTGGTTAGTCAGTCGGACCAAGGTGTTTCACTGGAGGCACTAATGAGAATCTAGACCAGCTGTCTTACCGAGATCATGTTCGGAGAAGCTATCGTCAGGGCAAAACAGCTGGATGAACACCTCGAGCGGACGGGCAAACCCATTGGACCTCTACACGGCCTACCCATATCTGTCAAAGACTCCTTCAAGATTGTGGGCAAAGATGCGTCCATCGGTTATGCGTCACTATGCTTCAAGCCCGCAGAGACCAATTCGGCATTGGTGGAAATGTTGCTTCAAGCTGGAGCTGTTATCCACTGCAAGACCAACATCCCACTTACGCTCCAAGCGTTGGACTCGCACAACAACGTCTTCGGCCGTGTGCTAAATCCTGCAAACTTGAAACTCACTGCTGGCGGTAGTTCAGGTGGAGAAGGTGCACTTGTCGCAATGCGCGGTAGTGTGCTGGGAGTGGGCACAGACGTGGGAGGAAGCATTCGCATACCGGCTATGTGCAATGGACTTGTGGGCGTCAAGCCTAGCCATGGGCGCATACCTTATAGCGGACAAGAGAACGGTAGCTTGCCGGGCACGGAAGCTCTTGGGATCAGATCTGTTGCTGGCCCGATTGCTCACACTGTGAGAGATTGCGAATTGTTCTTCAAAGCCATCGGAGATCAGGAGCCGTGGGTATTCGACCCCGAGTGCATTCCTCAGACTTGGGAGCAACAGATTGTACGCAGTGCTCTCAGGACACCATCACTCTCCGACCACATGAGAAGGTTGAGAGTAGGCATTGTAAAGACTGACGGCATCACGACGCCACTTCCACCTATCCAAGCAGTCATGGAAGAAATCTCCAACACGTTGAAGAGAAATGCTGCTATCGAAGTCATAGAACTGGACATCACCTCTTTGCTCTCACAATGCCAAACTATCGCCAACGGGTTGTTTGGAGTCGACGGCGCAAACACTGCATTCGACCTCATGGAAGCGACCTCTGAACCGATTTCACCGTGGCTCAGTAAGCGCCTGCGCCGTAAGGCAAATCTCACGGCGGAGAAGATACGAGATCTTCAAGCACGACGAAACGCACTGCAAACACGCTTCCTGGACATTTGGAGATCAGGTGGTGGTTATTGGAAGGATGACACAGGAAGCGCCAGGAAGCTGGATGTCTTCATCTGTCCGATCGCGCCTCATCCTACGCCCGCAGTAGATTCCTGGAATACCGTCTCATATACTTCATCGTTCAACTTACTCAACTATCCAGCGGCAACACTGCCTATCCGTCCAGTCCGAGTCTCGGATCTCAATGGCAATCTTTCCGATCAGTCGGCGGCACCGAATGGTTGGGAGAAGTATAATCGCAAGCTCTGGGATGGTGATCGTAGTGTTTTCCTCGGCGGCACGTTGTGTGTGCAGGTCATTTCCCAGTGCAGGCAAGAGAGAGTGTTGTTGCAGGCGATGACAAAATTAAAAGACTCGCTTGCGGTACTGAAGGAGGATAAAGCGGTGAAACCAAGGTTGTAGACATGACTGGTAGAGAGCGGATAGCAGCAGCATGAGTGTTGAAGGAACTTGAAAAGCCTCTGTCCTCGACGGCTGACGGCAGTGGAGGCGGCATATTGCAGCTATTGAACAGCACATATATGCAAGAGTTGCATATCAATCAATGGTTCCTCATGCAGAAGCGGCTTCAGGTAGAATGCAGTTTCGTGTAACGTGGAAGTCTCGATCTTCTCTGCATGCTCAGGTTTCTTGCTGACGGCGCAACCGAGAGCAACAAGCCGGCTAACTTCATGCATGCAGAACGTGAGATGATTCTTAGAAAAAGAGTTTGTTTGATGAGGAGGACGAAATTCTTGATGAGCCCCTAATTTAGGGCGATGTCGTTCTCCCGGGCTCTGAAGATCCACTTTTGATTTGACAGCGCCCAAGCTTTTTGACACCTTTGCTGCACGTCACCTTTTTGAGAAGGAAATGACTCGTCTACGTCGATGCGGCCTTCCGTTCGAGGGGTCGGTTCCCTGCATGTAACTGACATGTTCGACAACTCGAGATCTACCAGACGTCTCGTCGTCGAGCGACAACATAACGTGAAGCGCAAAATCGAAGCCTCAGAGCCAGCATCCAATAGCCACGGCGCCAGCAACATTGAGACTTGACAACAAAGTGCCTGACCCGACCTGCATCCGCATACGAAGGTGCGACTAAGGTAGTCGTTCCAAAGGCGGGGTTCGCGCGGCGGGCGGAGGTCGGAAGAAAATAGACGGCGCCCTCGTGGCCTCATGCACATCATGCAAGTAACAGGTGAATAAGGGAAGGGCACTCAACGGTCGTGCCTGTCTATACTCGAGAACAGTTCGCACGATTACTTGTGCGACCAACAGCCGAGACTCGAACGTTTCAGTCGCTCGAGCTTGGAGCTGACATTTCTCTCAACGGCTATCTCAAGTCGTGATCACTGGTGAAAGAATGGAAAACAACGTGGCAGTCTTGAAGAATGTCAGCTTGGGCGCCGACTACCTGGAAGACCCAATAGCCGCTCAACCTACCACGCCTCATCTCCAAAAGAAATACTACGCCACATGTTAGATCAGGGGTCATCAAGATCGTGTCGCTCTCAATCCCGGTTCCGGGCCCAGTCCTCATCGCTACAGAGTACTTTCGAATCTTCAGAGTGCCTGAAGTCATGCACATGCAAGCTTCAATCACAATTCCACAGTAGACAAGTCGTCAATCATCTAATACGCACCGGCCCGCGACGGCGCTAATCGTAGCTTGGCCATCTATGGTTATTAACGGGGATGCAGCCGAGTGGAGAGATGGTGCAGTTTTGCCAATAGCAAAGATCGACACCCACACACCTCCGGCCACATGCCAGCTAAAGCCATGCAAAAACCGCATGCATTGGCTCGCCTTACCAATGGGAGGATCTTTCATTGACAAAGAAGATTAAGCTAGGTCGCACGGCATCAAAGAAGAACTAATGACGCGTGGTGTGGAATGTTGGGGCCCTTCGAGAGCAGAAGAGGAGGCTACTGCCCTCATTCTCTTTGTTCATAATCCCGACCCTCTTTCTGTCACACTTATGGGGTGATGTCCCTCGTTTGAACTACCATTTCTCTGTCAAAGAGTAATGCAAATCAACTTGACTCTGTTGCCATTCGAATAAAACGATGGCCCCGAGTCTAACACCAGCAATACAGGCCCCGGCTGGCCGAGTCAGCAATCTGATTAACCCTGATGGTGTTGGATATCGCATCACAATCACCAATATTGTCTGCATAGTCCTCTTCATGATTGTAGTAATCATTCGCTTGATTACTCGAGTATTTTTTAATAGATCATTTGGTCACGATGACTGTAAGAACATGCTTCCATCCTTCGTCATCAACACCCACTGACTCCGGGGTGTTAGCACTCATCCTTTTTGCTACAGCATCATTCTTGGCCATCATGGGTGTCTTCCAATGGATGGTATCACTAGGTCTGGGAAAGCACCTCTGGGACGTCCCGCTGGAAAGCTATTCACCCAGCTTCCTTCGCGCCTGGCTTACAGTAGCCGTGCTCTACTCAGCATGTATGCTCACCATGAAGCTGTCTGTACTCATGCTGTACCGCCGCCTCTTCCCCATTCAAAACTTCCGCATTCAATGGTGGTGTGCCCTTTGCTTTGTCAATGCTTACAGCGTGATGTTCATCTTCGCGTCGATCTTTTCCTGCTCACCAATCTCGGCAGCATGGTATGACATCTTATCTCTTATACCTGGACATTACTGATATTGAGCAGGGATGTTTCCGTGTCGGAGCACAAGTGTATCAACCGCACAGCGCTATACATCGCCTATACCGTCATGAACAGTATCAGCACTTGGTGGATCTTGCTTATGCCCATGCCGATCATCTGGAGCCTTGCTCTGAAGAACGACCAGAAATACCTTCTCACCTCTCTCTTCGCCCTTGGATCATTACCCTGCGTTACAAGTATCGCCAGGTTAAAAGTGCTTGTCGACTGGCTCAACCATGGCGCAACCGACAGGGATATTACCTACACCCTCTGGAACATAGTCATCTGGACGTAAGTGTCTTCGTCTTAAAGCACAGCCCAGCGACCGTACTGACCATGACCTACCAGACAACTCGAACTCACCGTCTGTATGATCTGCGCATGTGGTCCTACTCTCCGCACCTTCATAGACCGTCAGATCAAAATCGTCAAAACGATTACCAGCGAAAAGAGCTGGAGCAAATCTTGGACACGAAGCTGGAGCAAAAGCTGGGGAGACAGCAAACATTCACACTCAAATTCCCACGGCAGTGCCTCTTACGCCACCGACACCACACTCGGAAAATCCACACGCTTGGGATCTGAAGCCAGCAACCTTCCCAATTTCATCGAAATGTTACAAGGTCGCGGCACGAAAAACAAGACACTGGTTTCTAGCAATGACGTCGCGCCTGACTCGGCGAGTATGGATCATATCATTGACGAAGATGCACATTACAAGCCAAGTCAGGAGGGGATCATGGTTCACACGTCCTATCAGGTCAGGACGGTGAGCGAGACTGTATGAGCTTCTGTTTTCCTTCCTTTTTCCTTCTGTGACGGTCACGCCTTGTTTTCCTTTATGATACCTCCTCACTATTCAGGACTTTTTCGGACTTTTGGTCGTTTGCTGTTGGCTGTATATATACATAGACTCTTCTTCGCCATTCAGATGCTGTTTCTCTGACCTTCTCAATCTTGCCGCAACTTCTGTGGTCCACAATCACGTCCTACATGTCTTTAACGTCCTGCATCCCCCAGTAGCGATTCTCAGTGGAGACCCACCCGGATCGATAAGAAACCTTGCGTTTTGATAGCTGATCAGGCAGTCAGAACGTACACGGAGAGGCCAAGAAGATTCATTGCTATTCGCTCCCTTTACACGTACGTAACTCGCCACTTTCCTTAGCAAGGTCCATTACATCGACCCAATCATCATTGGTCAACCACTCCAAATCTTCAAAAGCCCTTGTAGCTGCTCCCCTCGCCGCAACGAATATCGGATCCACATTTGCAGCTCTCTCGTCATGTCTTTGCTCCAACGACTGCCAGTGCTCTCCGAACACGCTTTCCAGTGCCTTTGATAACACCTCATCATTCGCACTTTCTCCTATCACCACGACCTCTGCAATATCATCTCTTGTTCTGACATCCTCACCTCCAGGACCATACCGCCACAACGACGAACCCGTAGCGAAAGGCGGCTTTGTAACCTCCCTGATCGCAACTTCCAAATCATCACTCTTGCCTTCCCAATCCACCGCAGAACCTAGAGTAAAATTCCTGATCTCCCTTTCCTCCATCGAAAACCCGCATTCCTCCATCGCCAACACCGCTATCAACCCCGCTCGCGTATACTCCACAATCAACACTAATTGTTCCGGATCATCCAGCTCTGAGGCCGGTTCAGGCCATGTCTTGTAAGAAGGACAGTGGGAAGTTATATTCCAGCCGCGGAGGGCAGATTGCCATGCTGGGATACTCAAGGGGATAGGTCCTACGCCTAGAGCTTGACTTGCCGAGTGTAGAGCGAAGAGGGCCGAGTCGTCCAGAGGTGAGGAAATGGTAACGTAAATTTCCATTAGAGAGGTGTTGATGTGTTTGTTCGCCTCGAGTTTTAGGAATTGCAGGATTGGTAGAAACACTGCTGTTGCGTTGATGTCTGTTGCGGTGATAGATTGCTCATCTGGCAGATGTATCTCGGCAAGTGAGGTCGAAGATTCTTTGTCTTGAATAACTTGTCTCATGGCTTGTTTGTATAACGTATCTCCTTCGATTTTGGCTGCGTCGATTGCAGTGCCGTTGGCGTAGAGTATACTCGCTGTGCTGTACAGAAAGATAGGTCAGTTTGATATCTCCATATGTGATGAGAATGGCAAAGTACTCACGCATAGTCAAGAGTGAGATGGAACCCAACACCATACTCTGGCGACTCTTTCGTAACCAGACGGCTCGCATGAGTAGACGCGCAGAGACAAATCAAGAGATACAGAAATGAGGTCAACGTTGCACGCAACATCATTGCCACTCTTCGAGTATGTGATATCGAGCAGGGTGAAATAGACGATGATGAAGGATACGAGAATGGTACAGTACTTCGGAGTGAGCATGTGGAGTATTGCCTGACATCAAGGCCACCTGTACCCGATGTTTTCATCATGACTCGTCGCTCGAGTCATTTGTTTGGAGTCCTGCGATCGGCGGGGAAAATAAGGAGAAGGAGCGAAGGAAGAGATAAAAATGTTCTGATACACATCTGTCGCAATTACAATCTCAAAGCTGTCTGGTCCAGGAAGCAAGGAGATAGAAAAGAAGAAGATAGTCCTTGCCTTCCCATTGAAAAAGAAAAAGAGTAGTCTGAGGGAAAAAGAAGATAGAGAGATCCCATCGTTCGTCACACTCGTCACAAAACCTAGAAACCCAAAGGGACGGCTGATCATATTCCCACACTCGATGCCGTCCATATGTTGCTTTTTCGAACAAAACGCCTGCCAACACCATGCTCAATGCTAAATGCCTCGAAAAGAAAAAGTTCTGAAATGAAGAAAATGGAGGTGACCTAGTTCTCGCCGGAGAAACGTTGTGCGGGAAGATCCAGAGAGTTGGGCCTCGAGTTTTGGTTCACGATAGTGGTCCTGTTTTTGGTGTTGCCAATGGAGTGTACCGATATGGCTGGTGACATAGGTCTCGGCGGAGGTGATTGAGTCCTCGTTAGAGGCTCCTGAATCTGCGGTGGTGCAGGCTTCGACATTGGTTTAGGTTGAGGCTTTTCCGCCATGGGGCTGACCTCCTCGTCAACCTCAATAATTGGAGGACAGTACTCCTTGAGCACCTTCTTGAGTGCTGGTCGTCTGATGGGTTTGCTAAGGAAGTAATTCATGCCTGAATCGAGACAGTCCTTGACATTACTCTCTTCTGCGAAAGCAGTGAGAGCAACAATCGGAGCGTCATAACCCATCTCACGAATGAGTTTTGTTGACTGGATACCGTCTAGATTGGGCATTTGGACATCCATGAAAATCAGGTTGTAAGCTGGTCTGCCAGCGTTCATGGTTTCCTTGACGAAGTCCAAAGCTTCCTGTCCGTCTTTCGCTACCGTCACGTCGTAAATGTCCTCCAGTTTGAGCATTCGAAGCACCACCTCGCGATTCACAGCGTTATCCTCAGCGACGAGCACCCTGATCTTGCTAGTGCCCGTGGCGTCGTTCGTGATTTTTTCCATGGCTGCTGCTTGAGATCCTGGTGATTCCATGGCTTGATTAGATGAGAAATATGGTTGGCTGAGACCAACTAAGCGAGGCTGCGCATCTCGCGGTTGGTTTTGTGCAACAGGTGCCTGAATTTGTGCCTGAGCAATGGTCGGTGATTGGCCGCTGCTAACGTGCGAATGACCTGATCGGTGCGATTGCGCATCGTCGGTGATAAGTTGGCTGACACGTTGTGGTGATCGGGTCCCTTCAAATCCAACGTCGTTGCTGTTATTACCAACGACTGAACTTGCGGTGCTGTCAGATCGTGTCACCACGTGGCGGAGCGGTATCCGCATGGTGAATGTGCTGCCACGTCCCAGCTCGCTGTCCAACTCGATTGTACCTTTCATGAGGGTGGCGAGCTGTGAACAAATACTCAAGCCAAGACCTGTACCTCCGAACTTCTTGCTGAGTGCGAGATCGCCTTGTACGAATGGTTCAAAAATACGTTGCTGGAGGTGCTCCGCGATACCCGGTCCAGTATCCGTTACTTCGAATTCGAATAGAAGAGTACGTCCTGGAGGTGGGGATGCTGGTCGTTCAGAAGCAAGAATGTGGGCGTAGGCATCAGATCTCTCGCGATACGGGTTGATTTCGTTGGCAGTTGCGGAGGTCCTAGCCCCGAACGGTCCAGCGATTGACGCATCAGAGTTCTTGTGCCTACTGGAGATCGGCTTAGAGCTCCTAGACTGAAGAGACGTCTTACGACTGTTAACCTCTGCGGCTTCGCCAGTGCAGCGAACGGTAAGGACAACAGATCCACCAGCAGGGGTGAATTTCAAGCTGTTTGAAACAAGGTTGATGACCACCTGTAGGATACGGTGAACATCGCCCCATAAAATCATGTCCTTCACACGTCCCGTACCAGCAGGCCCAAACTGAGTACGTTCCTCGTCGGAAGCGAAAATTATACCGTTGGTTGCTTCTGCACCTTGGAAATCAACGCGCAGAGTAATCTGTCCTTCCCTGGCCTGTTTTTCGAAGATAGCCAGGACCTGAGAGCTGACTTCGCGCAGTCGGAACTCCTTGGAATCGAGGCTAAGTTGTTGACCAACCTGATTCTTGCTGAAGGTGAGTAGATCGGTGAGAAGATTAAGAAGGAGATCACCACTCTTGTAAATGATACCGAGAGACCTCTTCAGCTTTGTTGGGTCTTCCTCTTGCATGCAAACAGCACACATGCCAAGAATACCATTGAGCGGAGTTTTGAGCTCGTGCGAGATGTTGGCAATGAAGAGTGTTTTGCTCTCGTTGGCAGCCTCGGCTGCCTTCTTGCTGAGTTCGAGTTCTGCGGTGCGTTGCTTCACTCTTTCTTCCAAGCGTTCGTATTGCATCATAAGCTCATCCGACATCTCGTTGAACGTCCGAGTAAGATCGGTCAACTCGTCTTGGACGCAAGTCTTACGTTCCTTGACCTTGCCGGGGATGTGGAACTGACGCCTTCTTTTTTCGTCTTTACGTTCCTGCTTGGATAGCTTGTTTTTCGTGTTCCAGCTGCTCACGGTAGCAAAGAAACCCTCCTTGCGAGCTAGTACTGCGTCAGTGTGTTCGTCGTTGCTCCCGTTTCCATCAACGTTGTTGAACATGTCGTGAGAGTCGCGACTGTAGTTGCTTTCCGAGTAACCCATTGGCAAAACCGACCTGCGCGTAGCCTCCCTAAGTCTACGGATGGGAGCGCTCGCAAAGTGGGCTAGGGGCCAAGCGAAGAGTATGACACCGCCAAGAACGGAGAAAATGCAGGTTAAAAGGACTTTGCGCAGGTGACGGATAGGCTGCCAGACTTCTCGCTTGTCTTGTTCGACTATCACAACCCAATCGACCATTTGTGTGTCCGGAATAGCGAAACCTACGGATACTCCTTTTCCGGCTTCGTCGTGGGTGCTGATATCACCCCCGGCATTGCCGATCGAGTGTTGATTCTGAGTGAGAGCGGTGGCGACTGCGGGATACCTTGTCAAACGGAAAGGAGGAGGGTTGACTGTTCCAGAGAATCCAGGATGGCGGTCCGAATGCTGTGAAGGTAGAGACCAGACGAAGCGACCTTCAACGTCGGCCGGATCTACGGTGCCAGCTCCAGCTGAATCGTAGATTAAACCACTTGGGAAGTGATTTGTAGTGTTTGTAGGACCAACAATTAACGTGAGACCGGTGGAACCGAGACCTTCGGCTGAGGATATCACATTTCCAATGAGTTTAGCATCGCATACGACGGTCAACCAACCCAAAACGTCAATGGCGGAGGTGTTGTTAATGACAGGCATTGTGAGAGACAGCAGACTGAAAGTGTCGTTGATGTGGTAGGGGCCTAGAAGCAGGGTCGAGTTTGGCGATCGCAGCACATCTCCATTGTATATGGCGCGAGACTCGCTGTATGTGCTGTTGACGGGAACGGAGAAGTAGGTCAGGTTGGGATAGAGCTCGGGAGGATAGCCGTAGTCTGTGTCGCTCAAGTAAACGTCGCTTCCGTTTGGTGCTTTGTAAGGCAGGAGGATGGTCTCGATGTCTTCGGCAGTAGCGTTGAGGACAGAGGCGTAGCCATTGGGGCCGTCTGCATCGCGTGGAAAGATTTTTCCTTGCAGCATGAGGGCCTGGCCAACAGCTCCCGAGGCAGGACCAGCGACGGCAGCATCGAAGTCGGTTTGAGCGGAGGCCCAGTTCGCAGCAGTGTTGTTATTTTGCAGGTTGTATCTTCTCAGGGCATTTTGCATGACAATGCGACTAGAGACGAGCTGAACGCCGTTCTGAATGAGGGCCAAGTTGGAAGCAATCTGGGCTGCTTTGAGCGATGCGGTTAGAGAAAGTCTGGTGGTTCGAATCTCGAGAATGAAATTGTGGCTGGTATACTGTGGCATGCGTCAGTGGATGAGCGTGGCTACTTGGGTGACGGGCAGGACTGACCCATGTCGCTATGGAAATAACAGCCAGACCGATGGCAGCGGCCAGCAGGATCAGGCCGGCGAGCTGCTCTCGGATGGGGATGCGCATGGTGAGAGGTGCTATCAGCAGCGGACGTGATGGCCAAAGAAGTCGCCGGCGCGGGGCGTGAACATGAAGGAGTGGACGCGACCGACGGCAGCCGAAAGGAGCGAGAGGAATGCAGACGACGACGAAGACGACGACCGAGATGTAAGCGAAAGATGTTCGTATGCGACGACTCGGGGCACGGCGGCTCAGCAGTCGACGAGGGCCAGACTGGTTGATCTGCCGATCAGAAGAAAAGCAACAAGCAACCAGTGGAATCCGACAAAAGTCAAAAGCTCCTTTTCTGAAGTTGCAAGCGAGAGCCAAGCGACCAAGGACGAGATGTTCTGGGGGTTGTTGTTGTTGTTGATGTTGATGTTAATGGCAAGGTAGAGGATAAGGAATAAGGACGGCGACCGAGGGAAACACGACGGAGCGATCGGCTCTCAGGGAACGGGATAGACGAGCGAATAGGACAGATGAATGGCAGCGTGCATTGTGGCTTCGTGCGCAGCGCAGCATCCTTGCCCTGACAGAAAATACCAAGATCCAAGCCGCTCGAACACGCCCACTCCCGTCGTCCATTAACCAAAACCTAATTTGGCTGTGACTTCTGTCCGCCTCTGTCCAAGGAATGCAATTGGCAGTTGCACGCGCCAAGCACGTGGACGAACCTAACCTGCGATAGCTGCAAACAGCCTCACGCTTCCACCGATTTGAAGAAGTTCAAGAATCAAGAATCTTCCAAGTCCGCAGTCTCAAGAATCAAGATGCGCTCCGACGCTCCAAGATCAATACGTGTGTGCATTTATCTTGACCCTCGGCTACAGACCCCCTGCCTGCTGCTGAGAGACAACACGCGCCTGCCGGATTCGCAAATTCCGCTGTACATCTCGAGCTCTCACATTCTCCTTTCGATCCTTCAACTCCCAAACTGCTCGACTTTCTTTGCTTCTTTACAAGCATCAGCCATATCGTTGAGCTTGATCACACCACATGTTTCGCTGCTTATCACCCTGCTTTGCCCTACCGTTGAACCTGCCCTCCTGCTGAAGTACCACGCGTCCGAATCGATCGTCTCACATCCCCAGCTTACCCACCCCGATTGAGCCATGCTGCAACCCATCTCGCTTCAAATTCTCCCACAGACTGTCATCGGGAGCTGAATGAAGCATGTCTTGATGATTTTTCTCCTGGTCAAAAGTGTTGTACATCCCGACAGCAATCCTCTGAACCATAAGCGATGTTGTTAGTTGGCATCAACCTCCTCTCGCCAATGCGCGAGACGCCTGAGGAACATCAAACGCTCGGCCGAATACCGAGGTGAAGTGTCATAGCCCCAGGTGCCCGCAATCACTTTAACGAAGGTGGAGATTTGTTTAAGCTGCATCATAGCTTCTATAGATCGATGACATATACGAGGTCAGTTAATTAGGATAGCCGTCTCTCTTCACAACTTCCCGTCCACATCCAAAGTCATGATGGCTTGAAAAGCGCTCGTCGTCGTCGATGAAGAACAAAGAACTACCAGTTGATTTCTGCACTGACGAACCGCTGTCATCCAAAGTCCGTCCGCCGCTAACGAAATTTGCCTGACGCTAATTGCTCAAGAACGCATGCCGCTAGTCACCTATTTTCCGGCTACTGCTAACTCCGAATCGCGAAAGAGAATTGCTGCGATTTCTCGACGAGTTTCAAGTTTTATGGCATCGCTCATGTCCGGCTTCTCGAATCGTCCAGCAGAGACTTGGGAAATGTTATGAAGGGGTACCTCGAAATCGATCTCCGAGCTCGTTCTTGGAGAACGTCTCCAAGTTTGTTGTCGCTTTTCCACTCGCTCGAATCTCGTGAGATGGATACGAACATCTTCTTGAGACATCTAACGGCCGTGTAAATTTGCTGTTGACCTGTCTTCTGCGCCGTTCCTCTCGACAAAGAGGGTCATGAGCTCTGCTCTTCCGCGACGTATAGGTACGACAACCGCCATGGCCCAAGCCAGGAATACGTTCTCAAAACTCCCAAATGCCGTCTGTTCCCGGTAGCCTTCACATAACCGTTTCCTATACCACTCCCACTCTATTGCGCCAAGAGCACAACGGCTGGCTACAATACCCATGCGGCTCGGGATTTCAGACTTTAGAAGTCCCTGGGAAACCGTCGAATGTAACTGCAACACATCGGAACCTGAAACAGTTCTCTTTACGAGTCGAAGTTGGCTCATGGAATCTTGTACATGACTTTCAGGTCCATCGCCAAGCAGTCAAGCTGGCGCGGTATCCCGGTATCTGGGAAGCCAACCACAAGATCTCTTGGTCCTTGTTGATCCGCGTAACTTTCAGTACACGCAGAGACCTCAGTGCCGCGGTCTTGTCGTTGAGTATCACGGACGCGTACTGGCCGAAGTCTCGGCGCCAAACCCGGCGGAGACACCGCCGAGATGTGCTCAAGCCGTCCCTACGAAATGTTGCATACGCCTTCAACCCGCTCTCAACAGCAACGAGTCCGGGCAGGCACATGTCGGAGTATGCATCCGAGTCTTGGGCTATGTTTGATTGTTAATCGATCTGATTCACCAAGAAACGTGAAGGTAGTGTCCTTGATATGAATTCGAGGAGACCGCGGACTTGTAGTGGTCGATAGCACAGCGTTGTTATCGCGACTCCTCCAAGGTACGTGGGTCTTTCAAGTGTATCATTGACATTTCATAGCCTGGTGTACTTCATTACTCTATCATTTATTCGACCTCTCTTAATTAGAGCTTGGCTGCTGGGGCATCGGAGATGCGTTGTCCAGCCTCGTTCAGACGGATCTGAATACCCTTTACCAGAGCCTCTTGTAGAAGAGCACCAATCTCGACTGCCTTGACTGCGTTACGGAGCTTCAGGGGGAGCGCAGTGTTGTCGAGACAAGCAGCTGCAAACTCGTTGGCTTCCCCTACGAAGGCCTGTTCGAATCTGCCATAGTAATGAGCAGGAATCTCTCTGGTGACACCTTGTGCGCCATAGTATTGCACGTGATTCTTCTGAGCAAGGCCGTTGACAGTCAGCTTTCCCTCCGTGCCGATAATCTCAGTCACGTCTTCTTGACCATGAGCCATCATTCTCGAGCAGTAGAAGTTGGCCACTCTACCATTCCAGAACTCGACGATACCCATGGCGTTGTCGTAGTCGTTGTACTTGGCCAGCTCAGGTTGAACAGCTCGTACACCGTATGCTGAGACACTCTTGACTTGGATGTCGTCGCCGAAGAACCAAAGAGCGAGATCGATGTCGTGGACAGACATATCCACAAACACACCTCCAGACCAGGCAGCGTACTCAACGAAGAAGCCACTGGGGTCGTGCTTGTCGCATGTTTGACTGCGAATGATTGTGGGTCTACCGATCAAGCCTCTGTCCATCTTTTCCCATGCATCACGGTAAGACTCGTCGAAACGACGGGAGAAACCACACATGACCTTCAGGTGAGGGTGCTTGAGTGCTTCGTCCAGGACTTGCTTACACTAGGACAAGGTCAGTACTCAGGAATGGATATGTGTTCAGACAAAACTCACGACAGGGATACTGGTGGAGAGAGGCTTCTCGCAGAGGACGTGTAGGCCCTGGTGCATGGCCTTGATGGCCTCCTCGGCGTGAACTGATGTGGCAGTTCCAATGACTACAGCTTGCAGGCCTTCTTGCTTGATCATCTCGTCGTAGTCGGTGTAGAGTGTGACTCCGTGGGGCTCCAGGTTGGTTCTAGCCCAGGCGAGCTCTTTCGGGTCAGGAGTGAAAGCTGCTACGAGCTCTGCGCGAGGAGTGCGGTGCAGGAAGTTGATGGCGTGGCGAGCGCCCATACGACCAAGGCCGGCAGCGGCAATCTTGAGCTTCTGAACCATGTTGACGTTCAGGGTGTATGTGTTTTCGTGGGAGATGTGCAAGCGAAGGACAATGGGTATGAGGTCTGAGAGAAAGATGTCTACCTCAACACTCCGGCAGATCCATCCTTTATAACCTACTACATCCATATGATCCTACAGCGCATTTCTTACCTCTCTCGTCCACGCCCACTACGGTCCTTGAGAACTGTGGAGATGCATAGCAGATAAAAACAGAAGTGGTAAGAGGGGGTGCGAGTGTGTGGAGTAGCGGGGTTTGTGGGGCCTTCCCAAATCGATGCCTGTGACAAAATGAGCAACTTTCCCTCCGAGACAGAGGCAAGACATTTCCCGAAGACATCTGACCTGCAATTTTCTTCTCGTTGCGAGATTGCAAAAAAGAGTCCGCGAGCTCCATTTTCGGTGTCACCATACGGGAATTACTCACGCGTAACATATTGCTAGTACCTCCGAGGGATGCAATGAACGGCGGAGAAAGGCTTGCGTGGTAGGAGTTTCTTCCTACATTGGGCAGCCGCCCGAACCCCTCGTATCGCGCATGATGTACTGACCGCTTTCACCACCACAGTCAACAGTGCCGTTCACGGCATCTGAGATGCGATCGCAAGAGGCCAAGATGCTCCCGGTGTCTCAAGGATGATGTCGATTGTGTGAGCCGGGCCGAGCTCCCCGAGCAGCCGAAGAAGAAGGCAAGGTGAGATGCCGAAAATCGATTCTGCTCGTTGAGGACAACTTGATATACTGTTTCAAATGATAAATGTAACATGTTACTAACTTCTTCTTGAGGCTCGCCAATCCATCCAAACATCAACCACAGTTTCCTGCCGACCAGCCATGGTTTCGAGTCAAAAAGGCACTAGTGTTCATTGACGAGAATGAATCAACAATCTTCGGAACTGGGCAAGTCCTGGACTTCGAAGAGGAAACAGAAGATCCGACGCAGCTAATAGGAGAGACATCTGACCATGCTTCCACTTCAAACATTGGGACGGCACCTACAGGGAATCACGATCAAACAACAGACTACATACAGGCTTCAGAAGAGCCTATTGAGCCCGCTGGAGACCCTCACCAACCTCAGGCGACAATACGCTTTGAGACGCTCGTTGAGGCAGCTGCTGAGTGTAGAGCTGAGCGCTCACATAGCGCTCCGACAGATCTCGCTACGGAGCCCATAGCTGACACGGCCTTCCCAACGTCAACAAGTGGCATATCACCACCCATATTCGAATTCGCGCTGGATGGTGGGACCTCGTCATCCCACACCTCTCTTCATCAAAGTCGATTGTCAGAGCGTAACGATGCCTTGTCACCACACAACTTCCGATCCTTTGGGTCGCCCCGAGATCCTTCTACAGGCCGTACCTCCACCATCTCTCCGGAAGCGGCCTTCTCTTTACCTACAACGCCTATATTGTCCGCACACGAAGGCCGGCTGATGCAACACTTTATCGAGCATCTCGCACCTAGCATCGATGTGTGCAGTCAAGAGCAGATTTTTGGACGACTTGTCCCACGGATGGCTTTCTTGTCGCCTATTCTACTCACAGCCATCTTTGCGGTTGCCTCAAAGCATATATCTAAGACGATAGAGATGACCGATCCGACCCCAGAGTGCTACTTCCAGGAAACTCTGGACCATCTGATACCTGTATTGAACGAGCCTGATGCGCTTGTCGAGGATTATGTGCTGGCTGCAGTAGTGATCTTGAGAGTCATGGAAGAGATGGACAGTACGTGCTGGAACAACGATATCATACCTCAATGCTGATAGAATGCAGTTTCACTCTCCGGATACGATCAACAGAGCCATCTGCCCGCAATACATGCTCTCATCAGTGCACAAGAGCGATTTGCCACTCGAGGTGGTCTCCGACAAGCAGCTTGGTGGGTAGGGTTTCGCCAAGAGATGGTCGTCGCCTTCATCAACCAAAGACCGATTGTGCCTGTATTGGAGCATTGTAACCTGGACCGATCATTCTCAGCAGCGGATGATTGCACTTGGACCAACCGGATCATCGTACATTGCGCAGATGTTATAAACCATTGCTTTCAAAATGGCTCGCTCGATCAACAAACCTATCAAGCACTTCGAGATTACGGAGAAGCCTGGATGGCCCACAAGCCTCGATCTTTCAATCCCATATTCCAGTCGCAGCCTTCAGGGATGGGATCGTCGTTCACAAAAACCTGGTACGCCGGTGATACTATCGCTAAGGGCATTCAGCACTACCATCTGTCGAAAATACTACTTGTCGCTCACGACCCAAACATACCAAGACTGGGGCTTCAAAGGAAGGCATTTGAGCATACCGTTGACGTTCGTCCTTCCTGATTGTTTCCATTTGTTTGCACCCGCTGATTTTGATATAGGATCAACTAAGGTCTCACGCGAGAACCCTCTGCGGTATTGCCCAGGGTGGTTGCAAGACAGCAGCCATATGGGTCACCACATGCATGGGTATATCATGGTGTGGAGATCGATTTACCTCTCGCGCAGAGCAAGAAGAGTTGCTTGAGATTTTGAGATACACCGACAGAGTTCATGCTCGACATACTCTGTCTACGCAAAAGCACCTCATACAAGCATGGGACTGGCCTATAAGCACCTGAGAGATTGATGTTGGACTGAAAATGATCATTAATCTCTACCTCTTCTAATCATTAGTCTCTGTGTCCTTCGATCATTGGTTCATGTGCCTCCCGATCAAAACTTCATGCACAATCCCACAAGCGCTTCGCATTGTCTCGGAATACCAGATCTTTAGCGCCGTCAAGCTCTTCGGTCCAGTCGAGACACTTGGACACGAACGGTTTAACATCCAAGCCTTCAAAGCGTGTGTGTGGCCAGTCGGACGCAAAGACCATCCTATCCTTTGCCGTGTTCAACAACAACTTAGCGATGGCTTCTGATCCGGCCATACTTTCGGCATCGATATCGTAACGGTAATGTGCCGAGAGCTTGACCCAGAGGTTGTCAGCCTGCGACAGAAGCGTCGTCAAATGCTGCATGCCAGGCACATTTGATGCGTCCGAGGGATACGATGGCCAGCGCTTCATATCGGGAGCACCGAAATGAGCAATACAGACCTTGACGCCAAGTTCAGGTACAACATCAGTGATGAAGCGGAGCTGTTCAAGATCTATGAAGAGCTCGACAACCCAGTCAAGCGGCTTTACGATATCCGCATATTTGCGTAAAGTTTTCTTCACAACCTCTGGATCGAAGGGCTCGTTTGTGGACTTGAAGTTCAGTCTTACGCCTCGGACGCCCAATGCATGCCATTGCTTCAATGTATCGGAGGCAATGTCGTCGGGATCGAACGCCACGACGCCTCGGCCGCGTTCAGGTCCAATTTCCTTGAGAGCGTCTAGGAGACAGGAGTTGTCATTTCCGTAGATGGATGGTTGGACGAGTACGATATTGTTTATACCAATCGTTTTTTCGAAAGCCATGGCGTGGTCTAAGCTGTGTAGAGATGGTTTGTAGGCGGCTGTTTTGGCTAGAGGATAATCGGGAGAAGTTACGTGCATGTGACTGTCCCATGCGCCTTTTGGCATTCTATCGGTGATACTGCTTGACGATACATTTCGTCTGATGCTTTGTTGGATCATGGACCTTGGTCGCAGACGGCAGGAAAGACGAGCGGCTGAGCTGGAGCCGGCGTGAGAGGTGGGCAATCGAGAGCGGCCAGATCAGAGCTGTATTTACCTGTTCATTGCAATCACGGCGGTAATTCCACGTTGGTTGTCAGTCGCGATATTCTTGGCTCTCAAGTGACATCGACTGTGTACTCGGGCGTGTTGTTCAAGAAACGGCAGAGGTCATATTGGCGCGAAGGCGGGGGTCATGAGACCCGAACGATGGACGGGAGGACAACACTTTTCGCAACACTTTCCACACGATCTCTATACAAACATCTCTGACCGGGCCAGGCTGCTTTGAGTAACAGTTAGGCGTCTACCGATACAGCAGTTGGAAAGACGCGTTGCTACAGGGAGCAAGATTAACGAAAGAGAGAAATCAGGCCATTGCAAAAGACGTCATTACTTTGAAGCTTCAGAGTCGCAAAACATTGGGGACGAGATTGTTTTCTCCGAGGGACATATCCGAACATACGGGTCGATCAATTGGATGAGACAGTCGGATTTCAAGACAGTGCCAGATGCAACTAATGCTGTAGCAATGCCTGGTCTGGTGCGCAAACTCTTCATGCAAGTCTCCGGCCTCGAGAGTACAAGCACAGGCATGATTTGCTAACGAAGACAACAGCTGCGCGGCCGCAGATGGTCTGCTGCTCCAACCTCTCTCGCAGCGAAACCAACAATCTTCCTCCCCTCCTGTAAAGATCGACTACAAGACGCATGCTATCAGCCCCTCGCTCCACCAGGACTCGGACGACTCGACCGGCGAAGGACTCGAAGCTCATGGTCTTCTCGGTATGCATGCTACCCGATTCGAGCCGTCATTCCTTTTCTAACACTCCTCAGGTCTCCTGAACCTCGCATCGTCCTCATATCTCGTCGCCATCTCCAAGCGTGAGCAAATCGCTCAGATTCGTGGAAAGCCCATATACGTCATCACCGATGTCGCTCTAATCCCTCTGGCCTCGCAGGCGGAAGCACAACATGCCATTCAGCAGGCAAAGCAGGCTCTGAAGAGTAATAAGCCCGAGTCTCTGGACACGAGCGACGATGAGGAGGACTCGACCAGTACAACCGCCGACGATGAGCAGGACGACAACGCGTCGGTAGGCTCACCAGATGAGCCGCTGAACGTACCTAAGGGCTCGGTGAACAAGGCTACTACCGTGGTCGCCGATGTCATCAAGAACAAGGGTCAATATGGTCGCTTCGCACAGCGCTGGTTCTCCAAGGGCGGTTGGAAGTCTGACGGCATCCGCAAACAAGGCATGAGCGCCAGCGAGGACGACCTATCTCTGACCCCCGAGCAAAAGAAGCAAGCCGAAGAATCTCTGCCTGATGACAAGAAGGACGAAGTGGAAAGCGCCCCTGTCAACACACAATCTCAGACCTCTCCCGAGGAGGAGCATTCAGACACCAAGCCAGAGGTTGTCGCATCTGGCGAAACCACTCTTACTAATCTCATCCCAAGAATCCTCAAGACGACAAAGTTGTATTTTACCTCACGAAGCTTTTACTTTTCTTACGATTACGACATTTCACGCAGCCTTTCTCGACAAGAGTCAGCCTCTGCTTCTGTTCCGCTTCACAAGCGTTTCGATCCTTTGGTGAGCATCTTCGTTACATACTTCAGCTCGAACGTCTGCTGACATGTCTAGTACTTCTGGAATCACAATCTCGCCGAGCCACTGATCGAGGCTGGTCAGCATAACCTCGCCCTTCCTGTGATTCAGGGCTTTATTGGCCAGCGCGCTTTTACCGTAGATGCCGCCGAGAATGAAGAGAACAAGATAGTCGATTCCAAACAGGAGGCCTCGGAGGTCGTCAAGGTCCAGGAAGATGCACAGAAAGAGGATGCAAATACGAACGACGACAAGTCTCAGCCCAAGGAACTGCTGTTGACTCTTATCTCCAGACGCTCCGTCAAGCGTGCAGGACTGCGCTATCTGCGTCGTGGTATTGACGATGACGGCTATGTCGCCAACAATGTTGAGACCGAGCAGATCCTTGCCACACCATCGTGGGACTCTAAAGACAAGGTCTTCTCCTTCCTACAGATCAGAGGATCCATCCCGCTTTTCTTCTCACAAAGCCCTTACAGCTTCAAGCCTATTCCTATCCAGTATGGCTCCGAGGCAACCAACCAAGATGCCTTCAAGAAGCACTTTTCCAATATGCTTGAGCGCTACGGAGAAGTCCAATGCGCTTCACTGGTCGACAAGCATGGCACAGAAGCAAAGATTGGAGAGTCGTACGAGAAGCACGCCAACAGTCTGAACACTTCCGGTGGCGTCTCTGGCAAGCAAGTTGGGTTCTACTGGTTCGATTTCCACACTGTCTGCAAGGGCATGAAGTTCGAAAACGTTTCAATTCTGATGGACACGCTAAGGCCGTCTATGGAGTCGTTTGGATGGACTGTTCAGCAAGATGGCAAGTTCATTAACACCCAGACCGGTGTTCTGAGGACGAACTGCATGGATTGCTTGGACCGAACGAACGTTGTTCAGTCCGGCGCCGCTGGCCTCGCTCTCCAGGATCAGCTTGCACAGATGGGTCTCTCGATCAATCTTCAAACTGACCCTAAGACTTCGTGGTTCAACAACCTGTGGGCTGACAACGGCGATGCGATTTCTCGTCAATACGCAGGTACCGCTGCCCTCAAGGGAGACTTCACTCGCACTCGCAAGCGAAACTGGCAAGGTGCTCTGAGCGATTTCAGCTTGACCTTGAACAGATATTACAACAACATCTTCGGCGACTACTTCCTACAAACTTGCGTGGACTTCTGGCTCGGCAACGCTGGCCCTCATGTGTTCGAAGAGTTTGAAACCGACATGATGAACCAAGACTACGCCCTCGATGTGGGTCGCATCCGCCAGAGCGCCATCGAGACCTGCGTTCGCATTGTCCTTGAAGACTCAGCAGACATGGTCTCGGGCTGGACGCTCTCCTGTCCTGCCTCGGCAAACACCCTCCGCTCTCTCCCCTTCGAGGAATGCATCGTTCTCCTCACCGACACCGCACTGTACTTCTGCCGCTTCGACTGGGACACCGAAAAGGTCGGCTCCTTCGAGCGTGTCGAACTCGTGGATCTCGAAAGCATCAACTACGGCGCCTACATCACTAGCACCCTCGGCCCCACACACATGGACGAAAAGAAGAATGTCGGCTTTGTCGTCAAGTACTCCTCCCAAACACCTGCTATGGTGCGCACCAACACACGCAGTCTGGCCAACGAGAAGGAAGCAAGCGCTGCGGAGAAGGATGGCAAGAAGACAGACGTCAAACCTGCTGAGAGCAGACTACTGGCCTTCAAGGCGCTACCACCCAGGAACTCGGCGTCTAAGGGAAAGAATGCTGAGGGCGAAATGAGTGAGGTGGAGATGGTACGTCATATTTGCGAGGAGATTGAAAGACTCAGCAACAAGGCGCTTGACAAGCAAACGATCACTGCCGAGGGCGCAGAAGATGAAGGTGGTCGCAAGCTGAAGGCTGAACAGAAGGACGTCATTTCTGTCGCTGAAGCCAAGAAAAGTACTGGCTATCTCGAGTCCCTTGGATACTCGCTGAAGAAGTTGGTTTGGTCGTAGAGGCTGAAAGAGGAAGAAGAGATGGGCAACAAGGGACATACTATGGGGAAGGTTAATAATTACGAGGGCGTCTTTACATTTGCAATGACTTGATGAACATTTCGATCGTTCTTTCTTTGTTCTGTCGTATCTGAATTATGCATGACTTCGATATTCCGCCTTGTGTTCTTTGTACTCTATTTTCTTTTTCCGTTCAAATGTACAAATGATCGGAAGTTGTGACCTTGACACGCGGCATCTGGAGCTCATTTTCCAGAACTCGACCATTGAAATGCTTTATATCGACGCCACGACACCAAATAGGGTCGCACGCCAGCCAAAATCGCAATGCGTACGGAGGATAATTCTGGCTACTCAAAAAGCCATCGAAGAGCATACTTAACGCCATAGTGCTGATGAAATGTCACAAAAAGTGTTTCCCACCATGGTCGAGGCCATCACCCTGATCTCCGATCAGCCGCCCAAACGTCTTACCGATGACCTCTTCCGATACCTTCGAGCCCTATCGAATCGATTCACTCTCGCTCCGAGAACATCACTCGGCCGCAGAACATCTTCACCACTCGGTTACATCGGCACCATCAACTCTTTGTTCGCCTGCTCACCTCTCGTGTGTGTTCGAATCTTTGCGAAAATCTCAGCGAGAATTGTAGCGAAGGGATAAGTATAAGCTTTGGTAGCCAGCGGGTAGAAAAGCCCGAAAAACGGGCCGGACATGGAGGACCCCGGATGGCTGGGGGATCAAGCAAGCGGGGCTCGGCGGACCATCTGTAACCTTATTCACACTCGTATTCTGCTCGTCGCGAAAGAGAGAAGGAGTTGTCGCACCTGCGTCATGGTGTTTGCTGTGTCTGTGTTTCGCTTGGAGGCTTGGAGAAGCTTGTGTACAGGTAGTTCTTGTTGTTTGCTCGCCTTGGTGGCTTCGAGGTCGAGTAGTTGCCGAGGGCGTTGCAGACGAGGCTGAGGACTCGATGGATATAGAGAAGTACTCGAATGGTTGTAGATACTTCTTCTCGGACCGGCAGAGCATCGAATCGGTTTCCAGAGCTGCCGAGATCAGCAGGTCTTCAAGTAGTCGGATGGCAACTCGGATGAAGATCAAGAGATGGAACAAGACGGCAAGCCCGTGGGGCAAAGCTTGGGGAGGGATGATCTCCACGGTCACTCCATATGTAACCCACATGGCGGGGCACCAGTTCGAGCATTGACGTCGGCGCTACTTTTTTCTCATGCTGATTCACCTGTTTCCTGCCTTCCTACGTGACTTGACTTCATCTCCTTCACGTCAAAGCTGAATAGCTAGACTTTTAGCTTCACTTCGTCGCAGAACGGCATGTTCGGCTGCCTACAGTAGCAAGTGATCGGCGTCGTGCCTGAATATCAGTGTGTGAAAGTCGTGTGAAAGTGGTCGTGTTGCGGGGAAAGTTTTCCACTATGCGAGGACTAACCATCGGCATTAGTGTTGTCGTTTGTATAAAAGCCCACACCATGTTCCCAAGTTTTCTTGCTCACGATTCTCATCCAGTTCCAACCATCACGTTCCTTCTTCTCCTAGAGACGATTGACAACATGATGTTCCCTTCGTTCAAGAGGCCTGCTCTCTTTGCTCTGTCTGCCTCGACGGCAGTCATGGCTCAGATGACCACCTCTGACTTTTCACCTAACAATGCCGTGTCCGACACTCCTTCGGCGCAGATCACGTCAGTATCATCCTCTGCCTCGATTGGCACGGTTCTCCTGCATGGCACACCGACTACGTGAGTTGTCCAGAGACCTTCCATCACAGCAAACACTAATCCTCTGATAGTTACTCTGTGCAATACACTCTGCCTGCTGCCATCGATGTAGGCGCAAACTTGCTCCCCAACATCGAGGATCCTGAGGCCAAGGTTGCTCAGACAGTTTGCCCCGGCTACAGAGCCTCCAACGTCGAGCACACTCAGCATGGTTTCACGGCCAGCTTGTCTCTTGCCGGCGCGTCCTGCAACGTCTACGGCACTGACATTGAGGATCTCAACATCACCATCGCCTACCAATCTTCCCACCGTCTTTCGGTCAACATTTCCCCTGCTTTCGTCACTGCTGAGAACTCCAGCCACTACATTCTGCCTTCGGGCATAGTGTACAAGCCCGAGCAAGGCGTTCCTGACGAACCTACCGAGGACATTGATCTTCAGTTCGTTTGGTCCAACGACCCCACTTTCTCATTCGCTGTCTTGAGAAAGTCAACTGGCGATGTAATCTTCTCTACCGAGGGCACTGTCCTTGTCTACGAGGACCAGTTCATCGAGTTCGTCTCTGCTCTACCCGAAAACTACAATCTTTACGGCATGGGTGAGAACCTCCACGGAATCCGACTTGGAGACAACTACACGACTACCTTCTACGCCGCAGACAACGGTAATCCCATTGACCGCAATCTTTACGGTGTCCACCCGATGTATGTCGACACCAGATACTACGAAAAGGACCCGGTGAATGGCACTTTGTCTCTTTTGACTGGTGACACCGACACCGACACCAACGCCAGCTATATCTCGTACAGCCATGGCGTTTACCTGAGAAATGCCCATGGCATGGAGGCTCTCATGCAGAATGGCAACATTACTTGGAGAGCCCTTGGTGGAAGCATCGACCTTTACTTCTTTGACGGTCCTACTCAGGCTGAAGTCACCAAGCAGTACCAGCTGGGTGCAGTCGGTCTGCCTGCCATGCAGCAATACTGGGCTTTCGGTTACCACCAATGTCGCTGGGGTTACAAGAACTGGACCATGATGCAGGACGTTGTTGACAACTTCGCCAAGTTTGAGATCCCTATGGAGACTATCTGGAACGATATCGACTACATGTAAGTGTTTTTGTAGACCTCAATACTTGCGAGGAATCACGCTAATCAGGTCTTCACTTCAGGTTCCAATACCGCGACTTTGAGAATGACCCCAACACCTTCCCTTACGACCAGGGCAAGCAGTTCATCGACGGACTCCACGCTAACGGCCAGCACTACGTTACTATCGTCGACTCGGCCATCTACATCCCCAACCCTGATAACGAGACTGATGCTTACTCTGTCTACAGCCGTGGTCATGAGCTGGACGTTTTCATGAAGAATGCTGATGGCTCCGAGTACATCGGTGCTGTCTGGCCCGGCTTCACTGTTTTCCCCGATTGGCACGCCGAAAATGCTTCTCAGTGGTGGACCGAGTCTCTCATGAACTGGTACCAGAACGTCCAGGTTGACGGTATCTGGATTGACATGTCGGAGGTCAGCTCCTTCTGCGTCGGCAGCTGTGGTACTGGTCAACTGCATATGAACCCTGTTCACCCTCCCTTCGACCTTCCTGGTGAGCCCGGCTCAGTCGACTATAACTACCCTGAGGGCTTCAACGTCACCAACTCCACCGAGTACGCCATTGCCTCTTCCAAGTCTGCCATCCAGGTAGCTGCCAACTCCGCCACCATGACCTCGACCACCACCCAGCCCTACCTCCGCACTACCCCTACCGCTGGCGTCCGTAACGTCGATCACCCTCCCTATGTTATCAACAACCAGCTCGGTGATTTGGCTGTCCACGCTGTTGCCCCCAACGCCACTCACTCTGATGGTGTCGAAGAGTACGACGTCCACAACCTCTTCGGTCTTGAGATCTTGAATGCCACTTACAATGCTCTCACCCAGACCATCAGGGGTAAGCGTCCATTCATCATTGGACGTAGCACATTCGCCGGTGCTGGCCAGTATGCTGGCCACTGGGGTGGTGACAACTACGCCACCTGGGAGTCTATGCTGTTCAGCATTCCTCAAGCCCTCGATATGGCTCTCTTTGGTATTCCTATGTTCGGCGCCGACACCTGTGGTTTTAGTGGAAACTCAGATGAAGAGCTTTGCAATCGCTGGATGCAGCTGAGCGCTTTCTTCCCCTTCTACCGCAACCACAACACCCTGGACGATAACTCTCAGGAGCCTTACATTTGGGGCTCAGTCATTGATGCTAGCAAGCGTGCCATGGCCATTCGCTACTCGCTTCTTCCTTACATGTACACCCTGTTCCACATGGCACACACCACTGGCAGTACTGTTATGAGAGCCATGGCTTGGGAATTCCCTCATGATCCCAGCCTTATCGCTGCGAATCGTCAATTTATGCTCGGACCCAGCTTGCTCATCACCCCTGTTCTAATTCCTCTGGCTACCACTGTGAACGGTGTCTTCCCCGGTATCAAGGAGGGCACTGTCTGGTATGATTGGTACAATCAGACCGCTGTCTCCGTTGCCCCTGGCGCCAACATCACCTTAAATGCCCCTCTTGGCCACATCAATGTTCACATTCGTGGTGGCAGCGTCTTGCCTCAGCAGGAGGCCGCTCTTACCACCACTGCCAGCAGAAACAGCTCTTGGAGTGTCATCACTGCTCTCTCAGCCGAGGGTACTGCCACGGGCAGCCTGTACATTGACGACGGTGAGAGCATCATCCAGAACTCGACCCTCTTTGTCGACTTCACCGCCGAGAACAACCGCCTGTACGCCTCAGCCCGCGGCTTGTGGCAGGAGAAGAACGCTCTCGCCAACGTCACCGTCCTCGGCGTTCAGAACGCACCTTCAAACGTGACGCTCAACGGCCAGGCTCTGTCCGGTTTCAACTACAACTTCACCACCAAGGTCCTCAAGGTCACCGGCCTGCAGAACGCTACTTCTTCCGGTGCCTGGGCCAACGACTGGGTTCTCCAGTGGTAAAGGAGTAGAAAGATTCACATGACTTAATGATTTAAAGGATCCCATTGAGGTGGCTTTCAAAAATGTTCATATGGAGGAACGTCTTTCCATAGAAATTCGTGATACACAGATTTGCTTATACCACCAAAGTGCCCGAGTGTAACTTGTGTCCTATGGTTGTTGATTCTGTGACCAAGACATCTTCTGGCAAGAAAGCCGTCTTCGAAAACCAACAAGGTTCATGGTCTCCAATTTTTTTGGAATCTGTGACCGTTGTTGAATCGTTTACTAATCAGCCAACCTCGGCAAAGGACCTAAACTCCGGACAAGTTGTCTTGGATCATCGTCATCAATCCGTACTCTTATCCAGAACATCTCACATTCCCATCTTTCCAGAATTCCCATCGTCCCCTCCTTTCTCAATCGCATCACATTCGAATTCGATTTGCATACAATCATGGCATCTGCAATCTTTCAAACCAATCGTACGGCTCTAATCACTGGTGGTGCTTCCGGTGTCGGCTTTGCTTTTGCTCAGCTGTGCCAGAAGTATGGTATGAATGTTGCTCTCGTGGATAAGTCTACCGAGGCACTTGGAAAGGCCAAGGAGATCTTGACGGGAACTGCGAGAAATACGCAAAAGACCGAAGTTTATGAGATGGTATGTCTTGTGAGCGATCTCGAGGTCAAGCTTGAGCGAGATGCACAACTACAATACACACGAGGCAGTGCTGACAAGATACTTCCAACAGGACGTCTCCGAACTCACACAATGGCGATCCCTGAAGTCCGAAGTCGAAGCCAAATTCGGCAACATCGACCTCCTCCTCCTCAACGCCGGTGCATCCTTCAAACCCACCCAAGGTTTCGGCTCCCTCTCCACCTGGCTAGACCCCTCCTACCACCACAAAACCTACGACACAAATGTCTTTGGCGTGCTCAATGGCATCGCGGCCTTCCTACCCCTTCTCCAGAACAAAGATACGCCTTCTGCTATTGTGATTACGGGAAGCAAACAGGGGATTACCAATCCACCTGGTGGAGGCAATCCCGCATACAATGCCAGTAAAGCCACACTCAAACATTTGGCTGAGCATTTGTCGCATGATTTACGCAATAACAGTCCTCAGATCTCTACGCATTTGCTTATTCCTGGATGGACGTATACTGGGTTCTCTGGCAATGTCGGTCCTATCCCTGATGAGAAGGCCAAGCAGAAGAAACCAGAGGGTGCGTGGTTGGGTAGCCAGGTTGCCGAATATGGTGTCAAGAAGATGTGTGAAGGACAATTTTACATTGTCTGCCCTGATGATGATGTTGATGAGGCTTTGGACAAGGCGAGGATGGCGTATGCGGCTAATGATGTTGTGGAGGAGAGACCTGCGTTGTCGAGGTGGCATGAGGAGTACAAGGACAGTGCCGCTGAGTGGATCAAGAATGAGGCAGAGAGGAGAAAGGCGTAGAGGTTGAGGTGTTCTAATTCGAGACAACACTGGTGTAGAAAAACATTGTGTATTTCTACCACTACAAAGGACGCCTCTCGCATACACGGGATCTGGAGCTAGGACTTTCTTGTCCGGTATGACTGGTATTCCTTGTTCTCTTCTGCCACTATCCTTGACTTTGGCTTCCCATGCCTCAGTATCCTACATCTCCTCGGTGATACTCACCGCAAGGCAGAGTGTTTTTGACAAAGAAGACCATGTCCAAAGAGAGCGGCACCCTCATATGCTCTTTCTTGTTGGATTCCAGAAGACTCTCAATGGCACTCACTCAATCAGAGAGCCTTTGTCTATTTGCTTGCTAGCACCACTTGGCAAACAGCAATCGCAATCATGACCTTTGTGAAGTACAAGTCATTGTAGTAAAGCAGCATATATAGTGCTCACTCAGGTCTTCCGTTTGAGATCCAAGTCTTGCTCTCACCAGTTCCTTATATCTCTGGACAGTTGTACCAACGTTTGAGAAATGGCACTCGAAAAGTCATAGCAACTTCACCCCGTCTCTGGCTTAGTCCGGTGGTCTTTCTGTGAGCGGAGACATTGCAGATTCTCTCCGGCTTACTGCGTCGATTCTTATATAAGCGGAGGCTTGGAACTTGGTCGCCCTTTCTTGCATTCGTTCCTTCAACCAATTCCCGCGGTGAATTACCTGAACGGCTTCTCTATCGTATCTTTTTCTTCTCCCATCGCACTGCCTTGCCAACTATGGATATGGAGAAATGCCAGATTGTCACCTTGGTTGCTCTGTTCAGCCCGTCCGACCAGAAGCTTGGTTACTTTATATATAGCGCGAGGACATGCCCGGGAGATGACCAACACCAGCGGCTCCGAAACAATCGTCAGACGGCTGTCACAAGCTACGGTTTACGGAGGATCAGCAGTGCGTTATGATACTCTCCAGCATGAAGCTATATAGATCCTCCTCTTGCCGATACATCGTCTCTGGGCTATCCTCCCCTTCGTAGGTGGACCGCTATTAACTAGTAATTCCTAACTACAAAATCTACACCTTAGCCGTCGATCGACATGACATTCGAGAAAGATGACTCCCGCGAATCTGTGGCTACTCCGATAGATTAGCCGCCTACACACACCCCGACTTTCGCGAAGACACTACACTTAGAAGAGCAACCTCCGACTCCGATACCTATATCCGTTAAGAGGGATGCTACAGGAAAGAGAGGGAAACAAGAAAAGAAGACTAAGTAGACACTAAGGAAGAAGAACAAGCAGGCACTAAGCGACAAGACCGAGCCGGCACTAAGCGAGAAGACGGATACTCCCTATGTGTCTTAGCTAAGTAATCTGGCGAAGCGGCTAGCAAAAACACACGGCTAGTTCCTAGCTCTAAAGCTCATGGAGGGAATATATGCCCTCGCCGGGTTGCGAAACACTGATTCAAAGGCAACAAGGCACGGATGCGAGCCCCTTGCTTAATTACAGCACTATCCCCTTCCCAACCAATAAGAATACTGAGCTTCATCTTGTAACTGTTGGAGAAGAGAAGGTCATTGTCAGTATCGTGCCAGCGCAACCCTCAAGCCTTTGGCGATCTCGTCCGCTCAATGCCCTCCCTTACGCACGTTTCTACCGGATCTCTTTCCTCGCCCCAGGTCTTCATTAAGCTTGCTCGTCGTCCCATCATGGAGCAGCTCTCCATGTACAGTTACACAGACATCGACATCTACGACACCATCCAGGCCCTACAAGCTCCCCAGGCCCTTAGTAATCTGAACGGCCTGTACATCACCATGCAGGCAAGCGCTGCCGCAATGCTCCTTCCCCTTCTCCGCCGCCTCGAGTCAACTTGTGATCCCTGCTGGCGGAGAACTGTTGAATGTTGATCTCGACCGTTTACTGAGTGCAACCGGCGTGGGCGGCATGTCTGGCGGCAGCACCACCCTGGGGACCCATTCTCTTGCTCCATCTGGGACGAGGGCTTCCTCTACCTTAGAACCCACACGTACCATGGTAGGCCGAACCAAGATGTTTGGTACCGATCAAGATTCCAGATCGACCCAAAGTGGCGTGGGTGGCTATACCACAAAGCGTCACTTTCGGCGGCCTCTTACATATGCAGCGACAGCCTGCTGAGGAAGAATGAGTACTACCGCCCCTTGCAAGACCTATTCGGTCATGTCATGGAGGCAGCAATTGCCCAAAGTGAGACACTCAACCCACTGCTCGGAGCGACGTGGCAGATTGTCTCAAAGTTGGTCTGCCAACGCGCTAATCGCTCGCTTCGGAGTTACGCAACTGAGCCCAAGTTCCCTTTCTGGAGGTACGAGGAGGAACATAGAAAACCGAACACCGTCGTCCAGCGACAGCACCCTCAGGATTCAGATCTCGCTCTTCAGCCACCCGACCGCAAAATTAGTAGTCCGAAAGATACTAGAAGTATTAACTAGGAGCTCCTTGCAATCCTACAGACACCCCAGACGCTATATACTTACCTGTCTTGTACATGTACCACAGCCTTTTGGCAACTGTATACGCTGCCAAGCTGATCCTCGAACAATCGGACAATCCCCTTCTGTGGTCAACAGCTTCGTAGCCGTCAGCAATTGGACCGAATTCGGTGATATAGCCGCCGTGGCAAGGTAGAAGGAATAACGTCTTGCCGCGATCGGTAACATGAGATCACTGGCCAGGTTTCTGCGATTAGCAAAGGCAAAGGCAAAGATGCAAGAGGACATGACGGCTGTGGAGTCAAGGTGAATGACAAGACCAGCGCTCCAAACAATGGTAAAGACGTGATTGCCAACGCCCATGGCAGAAACATTGCGTGCCACAACTGCAGAAAGGCCAGAAAGCCGTGCATCGGGGTGCCCTGTCAAACCTGCCAGAGGAAGAACCTTGTTTGCTCGCACTACGATGGTCCCGTCCTTGGAGCTCACCAGGACTGGGAAGACAGTGGCCGCCAGGGTCCTCAGCCCAGTAAGGGCCTTGCTAAGGCAGGAAACCCCCTGCCTCCGCAATGATCGATGCTACCAAGCCTCCGCTGGAGTTAGCCGCATCCGTCTCCCGTGCCGCGGTGAAAGAGCCATCGGTAACCTGAGACTCCATTATCGACGAGATTAGCAGAGTCGGGGGGCCTGAGACTGAATGAGTGGCGTAATCGTGCCACCAGAGTCAGAGGCAGAAAGCTCAAAATCTACACCGATGGCAGAAAGAAGGCAACTTGAGCGGACAGTGTACCACCACTGGATGGATTCTGACAGCCTGATGCTAAGGAACGTATTGCCTCTCCAGCTGCACTGCAGACACCATAAGCTGCTCACACCCATTCGGTATACTCAGTCATCTGTCACGCCCCACTGACACTTTCGAACGTTCCGTCTTAGGAAGTGCGCCTAGACGCATACCATCAGGGTACGGCCCAGAAATTTTACATGAAAAATGTAGGCTCTTACAGTGGGAAGGAGTTTTGTGAGGCTCTGAGCAAGGCCTTGCCCAAGGCCGAGGGAGGAGTCTTGCTTCTCCATTCGCCAGTGTCTCGTCTCGGCGGTGATGCCTATTGAAAACCACTTCATATACTTCGGTGTAGCTCCAGGGTTCGCGTCTGTCAGAGAGCCAGAGGAAGTCATCGCCGAGGAGCTGGAGCAGCTAGCCATCACCGAGGAAGAGTCCATCATCATGCCAGATACTGCCGCGGAAATTAATGAAGCTACAGCTGCCTCTGTCACACGAGCAGATATGGACATGGCTGTTTTCTGTCACAAGGCTGATGAGCAAAAAATCGTCTCTGGCATGTGGTCCGAGGTACACCTGCTTCACCGGCTACGTGTCATTTTTGAGTAGGAGGCCCTGCCAATTGATGACATGGAGGAACTGGAGATGGCGAGGCGAGTCCGTCTCGTCATGGCGGACCTTTGAGCACCCGCCAACAATCCGGTCACTTCGAACAATCAGAGCACCATCGGTCAATTGCCCACACCAAGGGCCAAAGGTTCAAGCGCTGCCACGGTGCAGGAGACTCCAGGCTGTCCAGCAACGCCATCTAAGAGAGAAGCGTGAGAAAGAGGGCCGAGAGACGGAGGCAATACGTCTGGCGGAGGCGAATGCTGGATATCCTCGCGCTGTGACCACTGCGGTTCTCGAGGCAAACGCTGTGGAAGCCTTGATCAACGCGCTCTCAGTGGAGGCTACCCCTGATGTGAAAACAACCGTGCATTTTGACAGGTGGCAGGAAGCGACATACGAGCAGCAGGTACGCCGCACCTTTGCGGGGAGCAAGGATCACTCCTACTTGCGAATCAACCACTCAGCATCCACGAGGATGGCAAGTGTCTTGGTGCATGCAGTGATGCTGGTGGGGACCTCAGGTGTGGAAGTAAGTTGACGGTAATTAAGGATAGGCCAGCAACAAGAAGGGGATCCATGTCATTCGTAGTTCGCTAGACGCCCACCGTGATCTTTAAACGTGCGTGTGCAGACCCTGGATCACAATATTCTGTCTTTGCTCTCTCCACGTGCTTTTATGTGATCATGTGCTGCTCCACAGTGCCTCCTCGACCAGGCACTAAGTGAGTAGTTGGGGTTCTAAAGGCACTGTCGATGAAGATGTGTGGAGTGTGGGCAGGAAGAGACAGACGGTCCAGCCATTGTTTCTTTTCACATCATGATGGCCAAGGGACCCGAGGGCTGAACAAAGACCCGACGGAAGTGTATCGACATAGTGGACCAGGGGCATTCGATCAACAAGGGCGGTGCGGTATGAATGTGATATCGTCATTTGAATTGTAGAAGTCTAGATCTCGTCCATGATACATATTTCCATCTCTTTCCTTCAAGCTTCGGTCTGCTGCGCAGAAAATCTGTCTTGAGCTTTGTCAGCGAGTTGCTTTTGTAAAAGAACATCATGAAGTGAATTCAACGAGCAACAGTGATTCTCAGTAGGAACAATAAAATTCTCCACGGGTGGACACTTCTCTTTGGAAGGTCATGTCGAGATCCCTTGTAATCATCATAAAAGCGGGAGGGGAGGGGGGATGAGGTAGGAGAGAAGCTGCTTACCAGATTTTCTGGTCCTCGTCGTCTGTGGCAGTAATCTGACTGCAGTCTTTGGCAGACGACGAGGTTGTTGTCGAGAGTGTAAGAGGAAGATGCGCAGCTTCGCAAAGAAAGGCAGAGCTGAGAAAGCTTGAAGAAATCAAGCCGGATTCGTATTGCCGGAGATCAGCCGCTCGGCAGCATCTCTGGTGCAACGATTTGTCTCTTTTCGCTTCTCGGTACACGTCTGGCGAGAAGTTCAAGCTGTACCTATCACCGATCCTGAGATTTGAAAAGTTCACGAGTTCACTGCTGATATGGGGAAAGTTGGTAGTCAAATCGACCGGGGCCGAAGAGTACCGATGCAGAAGCCGATGCGGGAGAGAGCTTGCCGACCACCTGCCGTATCGCAAGGCCGAAGCTATCGACTCCACCGACCCCTCCGAGTGACCTTGAACATCAATCAGGTAGGAAAAAACATACGCTTTTGGTTCTCATCCAGTACATTCTTCTCAAACATCTTTCCTATCGAGTCTTCCCAGTACAAACGTTCAAGTCAAGCACCTTCAATATCAATTCTACCGCCATGGGCTCCATCCTCATCATCAACGGACCTAACCTCAACCTGCTCGGCACCCGCGAGCCAGCAATCTACGGCAGCGAGACTCTCTCCGATGTCGAGAGCTCTGCAAAGTCTCTCGCTAGCAGCCACGGTCTCACCCTCGAAACCTTCCAATCTAACCACGAAGGTCACATCATCGACCGCATTCACCAAGCCGCTGGTTTCGGTCCCAATGGCGACGGCAAGAAACACGTCGACTGGATTATCATCAACCCTGGCGCCCTTACACATACTTCTGTTGGCCTCAGAGATGCCTTGACGGGAGTCAGCATTCCGTTTGTGGAGTGTCATATTAGCAATGTTCATGCGAGAGAGGAGTTCAGACATAAAAGTTTCTTGAGCGATAAGGCGGTTGCTGTCATCGCTGGATTGGGCACTTTTGGTTATACCGCTGCTGTTGATTTTGTCGCAAAGAAGATCAAAGCTGGAAAGTAGATTTGGTGGATTTCCTAGCCGAATAAACTTCCAACGAAAAGATAATTGGAGGGCCTATAGAGCTCATGTGATGGATTCCTCTCTCCGAGCCTCTGTGTGATCATATGCATTTGTCATTGAAGCATCTCATCATCATTGGGAGCATTTCTGAGGGCCTCTACAATAACCCCGCTGCTATGTTAAAGATCAGGGCTCTCTCTGAATTGCGTCACATCACACTCGGACAGCCAGAGGTGGACGGGGTTAGCAAGAGAAGATTCGAGTCCCAGCCGGCTTGAGAAAAGACTATGAGAAGGCCATGGAGAAACTATTGAGGCTATGTGATTTTCTTGCTCTCCACGGCATACCCACAAGACGTATGTGGAGGCATTATTACAACGGCATACGGAAGGAGCTAACAGTATGAATTATGTAGTAGGAGCTGCAGAGACTGACCTTCCAATGACGAAATACTTCTCTCCAGCAAAGGTGTCGTGAGTGCTGCAGGAAGGCACAATTGGTTTAGAGAACAGAGCAAGGTGCAGTGAGAGCGCTTTTTAGTGCTGAATAGAGAAGGTAGACGAATTGACTTGTTGTTGTGATGGTTGATGAGAGGGTCAAGGCGTAAGTAACAAGTAAGAGCGGGCTGAAGCGACTGCCCTGAGCTGTTTCGAGTGTCGAACTTGTCAGACTGGAGGAAGAAGTGAACCATTATTCAAAGATCACCAAGAAAGATGCACCACGCGCAAACCAGTGCTCTTCCCTCAAGAAAATAAAGAGCAACTGCTGACAATTGTGCCAGTGAAGTATCTCGCAGACCCTACCTTTATATACCCACACCCCGCAACTCCTGCAACATTGCCATCGCTTTATCAGCAAGCGGTGGTGGCCCAGTCGGTAGCGAGTCACCAACTCGTGTTTGGAGGCTCTCTCCACTGAAGGTCATCGGTTCGATCCCCATCGAAGACAATGCCAGAGTCTTGACACTCCATCCTTAGTTCAGAAACGAAACTGGTACGCTAGTTGCTTTCCACCTCCGCAAGGGGGCGTTTGTTTTGCTCATGGTGGGTGTGTGCTTACTTTTTTTGGTTTTTGTATTGGTATCATCTGCGGACCAGGATATGAGAGTCTGGCCCTCTATCACTTGCATCTGCTACTTTCATCATAACTTTCACATCTACACGAGTGTTGTACTCACCAATGCCTTCTTCATTCTGATCATGTCCCTTCCTAGAGTCTACAAAAATCCTCTCCGGCTCAGGATTTGAGCCACCACACATCGCTCCCAGTCGTACTCGATTGGCACTGAGCAGCGAGCACCTCGACCATTGCTGCCGGAGCGCGTGCAAGCACATTGCCTCATAGTCTGCGCCACGTACATAGCCGGTCAGGCTAGCGTAGGCTTTCCCCAAGTTTGGCAATCCATCGACAGTCCGATACCGCACGTGCAATCGCATGTAAACGGCAGTGGTATTCCCCAGCTAAACCCCTGGGAGAGGGCATGGAAAAGGAGGCTCGACCGTACTCGATGTACTGGTATAGAAGGACTAATTCGTCAAGCTTTGATTCAAGTCTTATACTCCTTGTTGGCCGAAGCGTACTCGAAGAACGGCGTAAGTCAAGTTCGATCTGCACGGGCAGCCCGATGTTGTTGACTTGAACCGACTCGAGTACGAGGATGCCGTGAGCCAGCTCAGGAAGCCCATCCAGTCTGCAATATGAGAAACACGCGATCGCGTACTTGCGTCTCAATCACAACTCCTCCAACGCTTCTCCTTCTTCTTCGCATCCATCTTCTATCTCAACCATTCTCCAGCCTCCTGTGTAGGTGCCATGGATTGCAACACCGATCAAGATGTTGTTGAAAATTGTCCATATCCAGTACCAAATGTCCAGATTGGAGCGAAGAATCCAGATGTCAAAGCATACGAGAAAGACACTCAATACGAAAGAGAGGATATAATGAAAACGAGTTGGTGGTAGTTTGACTTTTCGCGACATCTTTCTCGAGATGTTGAGGAGAGTTGAAGGTGCGACGAAAGCTCGGAATGGAAAGTCGAGGTCAGACGAGGTTGGTGCCTAGTGGAAGGGACGAGGAAGCGTGGTTGCAGGGAGATGAGGATAATGAATGCCAAGACCGCCTGGAAGCAATCAGCATATTCAAAATCAGGTCAGCTCCTACAAGTACAGGAACACATTGTCTGCTCTACTGCTTTCCCTGTATGCTGAGGGTTTCTACTCACATTGCTGTGGGAACGGACAATGATCTTCGAGACCAGACCTAGGACTTAAGAGATGACGCAGAATATTCGCGTTGCATCCGCGACATCGATATTCATCGCTCCTTCCCATAGATCCATCACTGCACCCAGCTATCAGAAGAGCCCGAAGTAATCATTAAACCTCTTCCTTCTCAGTTGGTTCTTCTTTGGCATCCCATCCCTTCCGGTAAACAGCGCGAATGATGACGGAGACGCCAAAGTTGATGGTGAATAGCCAAATCCAGTGACCGGTGTTCATGCGATACGAAGTTATCCAGACCTCAAAGGGTACAAGAAGGGCAGACATGACCAGGGACAGAATTGGATGGGCACGCGCTGACGATTGAGTGGATCGCTTGGGTTGATCACCATAGACTTTGGACATCTTGTGAGCGATGAGGAGACGAGATATTGTGGATATGAGGTAGAGATCGGTTGCAGAGAAGACGATGGAAGAAGAGTTGAAGCATGATCGAGGATGTTGACGGCCAACGCCAAGCCAACCTAGTCGAAGGAACGACCAGCATAGAAGTACAAAAGTGGATCTGGTCTTTATGGCAGGAACACATTATTTGTCTGTTATATCTAATTCATCATCGTCAGTTTCTATTTCTATCTCATTTGAGCGCATACCCAATATGGTCTCTGACGCTACCATCTGGAATCATTTAGTCGGAATCCCTCACAGCAGCTTCGGCATCCCTGTCCTTTTCCTTGTCCATCTTCTGTTCAACCTCCGCAGTCTCGGCAATGGTAGCTCTGCCATGAGTAACAGGATGCTTCTTGCCAGTGACATCCAAGTACATAGACTTGAATGTTCTAGCGATGGTCTTGCGGCCCTCGAACACAGGATAAATGCCAACACAGATGGACGTGACAAACAACCACAAGATACCCACAACGACCCATCCGGTAAAGAACTTCTTGCTGAAAACGTAGCCAGAACCGTACATAGGCATGGGCCAGAGGATAAGGAAACAGAGGACCAGGCAGACTGTCAAAGTGCGGGCGATTTTGGAAGCGCGGAGGAGATGTTTCTGTTCTGCTTCCTCTGCTGCAAGCGCTTGTGCTGTTTCTCCGTGTGCACCGCCAGGAAGAAGTTCAGGGTCCACGTGAGCAGCGGTGGTAAGATCGGTGTCATCGCCACGTCTGATCATCTTCATAGAGACCCAATCGTATTTCTCGGTGCGGAAGATGAGGGACAGCACAGGTACAGTGACGAGTGGTGTAAGAAGGGCGACTACGTTGCCAACCAGCATGGGGTAGTTTGAGCCGGTCGAGTCGATAGAGAGGTCTCCGTATTGTGACTTTGCTTGCACAAGCCAACCAATCAGAGCACATGCTAGGGCAATGATGGGGGAGAATGTGGCGGCGGCCCAGGATTGGCGGTCCCAGAGGAGGGTAAGAGACGCTGGTAGAACCGCACCTCCGATGATAACACCCATCATGAGGTAGATGTAGCCCCTGCACAAAATTAGCATGTTTGTTCAACACTGAGTATCATATTAGGATCTTCCTTACATTCCAATGCCAGCGTAGTACAAGCCTGTCGAAAAGGCCGCCATGATCAAGGCATATGCTACACAAGAACAATGACTCATGTAGATCAGGTTCTTGCCCTGAGCCTTGGGGTTGATGTAAGTCTGGTAGATATCGTAAGTCCAGATGGAAGAAACAGCAATCAACTCAGCAGACATCGCCGAAGTGACAGCCATGAAGATGAGCACCAATGTGGCAGCGGCACCTCCGGATCCAAGGAGAGCGACAGCAGCGTTAGGGAGGACCAAGCCAGCAGTGACGTCAGAAGCTGCCATGCGAAGAGGGTAGGTAGGGAAGACGGGGTTGTTCTCGAGAGCCAGAGCTGCAAGACCCATGGTAGTAGCGCAAAGCCAGCTAGAAAGTGTTAGCAAATCAAGTATTCGATCTCAACGAGAGGTGAGGTTTTCTTACGGAATTGCAAACCACGAAAGACCTCCCATGATGTATCCAGGAAGAGCGTGTACTGGCGATGCAGCAATAGCCTTGTTCCAGTAACCGTTGTCAAGGTATACGGTACCAAAGTTTCCGACCAGGTTGATGACGAAGAAGATACCACCCTCACGAGATTGCATGGTAAGATAACTTCCCTGCGCATTTCCTTCGACGGGATGACGAGCAGAAGCAGCCTTCAGCGCATCGTACACAGCTCCAGGAGATCCAAGAATGTTGTTGGTAGCGTACGTGGTAAAGGCGAAAAGGAAGATAATGATCAGAATGACAACGGTGTGGACCCAATCGGTGATGAAGGTCGCTTTGATGCCACCGAACATGGTGTACAGGACGACACCAACGGGAAGGAGGAAACAAGCTGCGACAGGGTTCATGCCTGTCAGGTCCTGGATGACGGCACTGCCACCTGTGAGAAGCATGGCTGTAACTAGAATGTTGGTCATGAGACCAAAGGTGATGAAGACTCCATGGGTGATTCCTCCGTAGCGGGCGCGGATGGCCTAGAACAAACACTGGTTAGGAGGGTTACCATTTTGATGCGATTGATGATACAAACCTCGAGGAAAGTATGTGCGTTGGGTGCCCGTCTCTTCAGTTCAATTGCGAGGGTTGCAAAGAGAATGACTTGTACTGTGGCCTGGAATAAGATTTCGTTAGCACGGTCATATTTCCCGCAATGAATCCTAGTGAACTTACGCCTGATGCATACCAGAAAGGCCCAGAGACGCCATAGTTGTAGGCCACGGCAGATGACTGCAGCACTGTTGGAAGTTAGATACCATTCGTGGTTCAAGACGCAACTAGAAAAGAAGATTGAAAGAATAGAGAACAGTGCAGGAAGGTAATACTTACGAGTCGCGGCCCAAGTCCAACTGGAAACAACGGCAGCAGCCACAAGACCTGACTTGACACTTCTACCAGCTGTAGAGAAAACTTCACTGGTCTGCAACTCATTGTTGTATCTTCGTAGTGTCCATGTAGTGAACATCATGCCCAATCTAATCATGATAATCAGCTTCCTAACTCTCATCTGTACGACATGCAAGACTCACGCGAAAAGGAAACCGACACCCAGGACGACGCCATAGCCAACACCTTGTGAGAGAATGGCGATTCCAGCCATTGCGAAGAGAAAGTTAGTATAGAATTGATTGCAGCCAGTAGAGCAGGACTATAAAGATCTTATAGTAAAGAAAAGCCGATATCCGGCTATGTCTCTCAAGTCAAGTCTGGTCTGAGTAAGGAAACCGCTTTGTGAGCAAAACTCCGCGGCGAGAAGAAAGCTGCCAGCCGTTTTTTATATATGCGATGCGCACTGCAGGGTCTCTCTATCTCACATGGCACAATCGTCAAAACGCACGACTGGGGTTGTTTGGTGGGTCGTAAAGTGATCGACATGGCAGACGTTGTGGTGCGAGGTCGCTGATAAGGAAGCAAGTCTGGGGTTGAGATTGGCATGTGCTTGTCGCTGATTGGCTTTGACAAACTCCCAACACTCTTTTGCTTATCAGTGTTGTTAGACCAGCCGCCAGCGCTGTCTTTATCATCCACAAACTGCCCTGGTTGCCAGTAAGAATTTGCTCGATCGTTTCATGTAATCATATCTCTGCGTCTTCGTCTTGGCAAAGAAAAGAACTGGTGGATAGCGCGCTGTTTGACAGATTGTGGGGTGCTTACTCGATGCGATTGTTTCTTCGGCGCGCCGCACCGGCATACTGTATCTACCCGACCTAGCTCTGTGCAGGAGTTCGACACGACGAACTAGAAGTTGAAGGATTGCTGAAGCTTATTGCTGTTGTTGATTTAACTGTCATGAATTCGTTCCGGTTTCGGAGCATCTTCCTATGCATCCTTCCACTTCCACATACCCATCCAGCACTCAACCTCACTCAGCTCTTCACCTTGTCCATCACTCCAATCGTCGTAGCCTATCTCCGTTTGTTCATGACAGATTTCTAGACCAATCTTGACCATGCGGTCTTTCAGATCGGCACGCTCTTCAGCATATGCTTCACGGATCGGGATTTGGATCAAGACGCGTGCATCAGGACCGCGAGCGAGATGGCAGTTTATCGTTTGGACAAGCCATGCCGGGTGTTCCTTTGAGTAAATCGGATCGGCAGCAACAACAAGAGGGTATTTTGAGCTCTCCGCCTCTGCAACCAGTGGTCGTTTACCCTCGGAGTCCTCGGGATAGATGATTTTCTCCGGCGCCGTCCAATCAAGCATGGCTGCTTGGGCAGATCCATTCCTCGATTCAATCGTTTCTTTGTTTGAAGCGATGTTTCGTTCTAGATTGGGTACAATCTCAGGCAAGTCGGTCAAGAGTACTTGTGCACCTAGCACAGCGGCGGCTGCAATGCCAACAAGACCAGTGCCTGCGCCCAGCTCCAGTATAGTCGCGTTCTTGTCCTTGCCAAACACCAAAGGTATGCGATCACGCAGATTGTGCCAGTTGCGAGCAAAAACGAAAGATGACGCCCACGTCTTGAGACCAAGGTTATCTTCAGTAAGGGCTGGTTCGTGGATCTTGACGTCTATGTTTGTGTCTTGCTCGTCTGATGTGGTAATGACAGGCTTCATGGTGCTGGAGCTGTTGGTTGTCTCGGCAGACAGAGGTATGCGGAAGGAACGACTGATAGCACCCATCCCAGTGCGACCAGATCTCTCGCTCAGGCGTAGCGAAGCCGAATCCCAGATCTTCTCTTTCTCGGCATCATCTTCAATCCAGGTCAACGGGCTTGACACGATCCGTGTAAGATATTGGGGAACACCGTTGGAGCGGACTTTGGGTTTAGATTGTGTGGCTGTCTTGTCCCATGATTGAGGTTCGAGGCTGAGCAAGGACAATGTGTCTAGTAGCTGTTTGGAAGAAGGCTTGGTGTAGATCTGCGGGAGATCGAGCACTGCAGTAGCGTCAGAGGTGCACGAACGCAATCAGAGGATACACCTACCGTCTAGAACCTCTTCTTCGTGGTCTGACTGCTGCGACGGAGCGTCTTTGGAGGAAGAATCGGACATTTTGGTTGATCGTTGCAGGTGACGCTCTGCTGCACAACTTCTGGAGAAGGCGCGGAGACGCACAGACCATCCGAAGAATATCCATCTTCATTACTCGAGTGTCGCCTTGAAGCCATCATAAGCCAGATTCATGTCGAATTGGAGTTCACGAGCCTGTTCGTCGGAAAGGTCTTGAGCGGCACGCATCTGATTGAGAGTGATGAGCCATTGTACTATTTTGGCCTTGTTCTCAAAATCGCGATCCGTGACTTTGTTGACAGCTTGAATGGTTTCGACGAGGATAGGGTGAAGCGTGTCCTTGGAGAGCATGTTCATCTTGATGGCATCGAACAGGGTGATGAAGTTTTCGGAAGCCGAAACGATATGAGTGGCAGCAGCACCTGCTCCACCGCCAGAAGGAGCACCGGGTGCACGAGAGGGAGCTTCCACAGTAGCTGGTAGACCAATCTTCAGACGATCGGTGGCACGAGGAACTTCCAGATTCCATTCCAACTTGAAAGACTCGAGGCTTCCAAAGGCTCTTGCGACCGAGTCATCTGCAAGGTTGGATTTGTACTGCTTCAACAAACGGCTACATGTGTCGGTATAATCCGTTTCGGAGACAGAATCTTTGAGGAAGGCCCTTTCCAGTGCTTCCAGGGTGACAATGATGCTGTATATCTCGGCCAGAGATTCATATAGGTCGCGTTCAGCACTGTTGTTGGCAAGTTTCAGCTCTTCGTCGACATTGATGGTGGCTGATAGAGTTGAAGTCGGTGTATAACTGTACGGAGTGGGCGCGTAGGCCAACTGCCGTTCTGCATACATGTTGGCGATGTGTTAGCTGCAGTATAGAAGTACAAGTAGAAAGGTGACGATGCGGGAGAGAGGTGATGGAGTGTCGGCATGTGATTGACCCGATTGGGCAGGGTGTCTTGGCATCTCCGCAGAATCGGGCGCAGAGATCAAATCGCCGAGAGACTTTCTCTAGGAATTTGCGCCATCAACCAACTTTTTCTTAACCACCAATTCACATCTCACAACATGGCTCAATCAAAGGCCACCAAGAAGTTCGAGAAGAACCATCTCAAGGACACAATCAAGCGTCGCAAGGATTTCGCCAAAATCAAGCAGCGCCACCAAATCAACGAGAAGAAAAAGGCAAAGAGAGCTGCCGACAATGAAGTTTCCACACCACCACCAGAGACCAGAGCGCCGGCCAAGGATGGAAAGCAAGACTTTGAGAGCATGAATGTCGACGACTTCTTCCAGGGAGGCTTCGACGTACCAGAGCTGCCGGCAAAGATGGACAAGTCGCTCAAGAGGAAACGCGCCGCAAAGACCGACGACAAGGACGCACAAGCAACACCCGCCGCCGCCGACGATGATGCATCAGACTCGGATTCTGAAGTCGACGACCCGGAAGCTTTCCAAGCACAACTGGACGCCCTCGCCGCAAAGGACCCCGAGTTCCACAAGTACATGCAAGAGAATGAGCCCGATGCTCTCAACTTTGAGGATGCAGACTTGGGCGAGATTGATGAGCTGAGTGGTGATGAGGAGGACGAGAGACCATCAAAGAAGCAAAAGGGAGAGGGCAACGAGGTGACCAAGCAGATGATCGCAAAGTGGCAGAAGGCCATGACAACACAACACTCGCTACGCGCTTCCAAGGAAGTTGTTCTTGCCTTCCGTGCTGCTGCTCACGTTTCAGATGAAGAGGACAAGATCTTCAAGTACTCCATCTCAGACCCGCAAGCCTACCACGAGCTGTTGGTTGTCGCGCTCAAGCACCTGCCTGAGGTTCTCGCACACCATCTGCCCGTCAAGGAGAAGGCTGGCGGCAGAGTGACTTTCTCGACCGACTCGAAGAAGTTCCGCAACCTCAGCCCTCTGCTCAAGTCGCATCTCACATCAGTTCTGCACTTGCTCGCCCACTTGTCCGACCCCAACACCATCCGCATGACCCTCACCAACGTTCTTCCTCTCCTCCCCTACGTTCTCTCATTCAAGAAGATCATCCGTGATCTGACAAAGGCTGTCACCGGTGTCTGGTCCGAGTCATCAAGCACCGAAGCCACCCGTATTGCTGCTTTCCTCGTTCTCAGAAGATTGGTCGTCATTGGTGACGCTGGTATCAGAGAAGCCGTTCTCAAGACCTCATACCAAGGCCTGATCAAGGGCAGTCGCAACACAACCGTCCACACCATCCAAGGCATCAACTTGATGAAGAACTCGGCAGCCGAGCTTTGGGGCATCGATCCTACCATTGGCTACACAACCGGTTTCACCTTCATCCGTCAACTCGCCATCCACCTCCGCAGCAGCATCACCAACAAGTCAAAGGACTCATACAAGACCGTCTACAACTGGCAATACGTACACTCCCTCGACTTCTGGTCCCGCGTTGTCGCCTCGCACTGTCAATCGCTCGCCGAGGCCGAGAAGGGTGCCGCTTCCCCCCTGCGCCCCTTGATCTACCCCATCGTGCAAGTCACCCTCGGTGCCATGCGCCTCATCCCAACCAGCACATACTTCCCCCTCCGCTTCCACCTCATCCGCAGTCTCCTCCGCATCTCCCTCTCCACCGCCACCTACATCCCCCTCGGCTCCGCCCTCTACGAAGTCCTCAACGCCGCCGAAATGCGCAAGCCCCCCAAAGCCTCCACCCTCAAGCCCCTGGACTTCTCCGTCGCCGTCCGCGCCCCCAAAACCTACCTCCGCACCCGCGTCTACCAAGACGGCGTCGGCGAACAGGTCATCGAACTCCTCTCGGAATTCTTCATCCTGTGGGCCAAATCCGTCGCTTTCCCCGAACTCGCACTCCCCCTTGTCGTCCTGCTGAAACGCTGGCTCAAGGAAACGGGCAAGAATTCCAAAACGCCGAATAACAATGCAAAACTCACTTCGCAGATGATCCTGCTGGTGCAAAAAGTGGATGCGAATATCCGCTTCGTAGAGGAAAAGAGAGTCAAGGTCGACTTTGCACCAAACAACCGCAGCGAAGTGGAGAATTTCCTAAAGGACACCGAGTGGCAAAAGACACCACTCGGCGCTTTCGTGGTCGGACAGAGAAGAATCAGAGATGAAAAGCAAAAGTTGATGGAGGAGGCAAGAAAGGAGGACGAAAAGAAGAGGGAGGAAGAAAAGGCCGAAAGATTGGCACAGGATGGTCAAGATTTCGACGACGAAGACGAGGCTAGTGGTGACGAGGACGAGTCTGAAGATGAAGAGATGGAGGTTGAAGGTATCAGTGATGAGGAAGACAGCGAGTAGATGTGGCCAGCACAGTAAGGAAAAGTTGATTTTTTGCATCGTGTATAGGCGTCTCTATTTCTTGGTTGGTTTCTTCTTCAGAGATATCAAAGTATTACATTTTGAACCTTTTGTCATTCAGAATGTCACGTTTTCTCCTGTGTCCGTATTCGTTACGTGTGTAGCTGCAGAACTGCACGTCGTTTTCTACAGAGTTCTCGTACCAAGTAAGAGCATCGATTGAATAGTTCACAGAGAGGAGAATAGGAGAGATGGAAGTCAGTATGGATAATTGAATCATAGTTCATTACTTTTGTGAGTATCAATACGTATCATAACAATGAAGCCTCAAACAATAGTGAAGCCTCTGAAGCCTAGGTAAACAAACAGAAGTGAAGCCTCATATCTAGCTCCAGCCACCGGTGTGGTTCCAGTATCCGTGTACGCCAAGGAGATGGATGATGTCTCTGAACTTGGGAGTACCGAAACCAGTAACAGGATCCCAACCCTCGACAGCAGGGAAACCCTTACCATCGCCAATCTCAGAGCATCCAACAGCAGAACCGCTGGTGATGTCGGTGAAGGCGCGGTAACCCTTCTTGTACAGCCAGGGGTTGAGGAAACCAAGAGTGGGCTTGCCACCAGCGAGCAGGGCATCGTTGACGAGAGCAACAAGCGCGGCGATGAGGGGTGTAGAGGCGGAGGTACCAGAGACGAGAGTATCAGTGCCGTTCCAGACGGTCGAGAAGTAACTTCCCTGGCCAGCAATATCAGGGTAGGCTCTTCCGCTAGCATTGAAGTATGCAGCATCTCTGTCTCCAAGTCCCTTCAGGTAAGCCTTGACGGCCTTGTCTTGGTAGGCAGGTCTGGGGAACAAATCCGAGAAACCACCTCCAGATGCGTAGCCAGAGGCATGATAAGCCACAACTTCGGGCTTGAAGTCCATAGTTGCGCCAACGGAAGTGATGTAAGGGCAGGTCGAGGGGAATTCGGGAATGAAGCGTTTGGCATTACTGCCGTTGTTGGTGACACAGCTGCCAGAGCCGCCGACACCGCTGTCACCCGAGGAGTAGAAGACAGAGACACCACGGGCGCCGAGTTGAGCGAGGTCTTCACAGACACGCTTGGCGTAGCTGGCGGGGACGGTCTGCTCTTCATCGTCGTAGGAGGTAGAGACGACCTGGGGGATTGTATCGTCTGACTGGGCAAGGATGTGTTGCAGCCAGTCGAGGTAGGGCTCGTTGGTATTGGTGGTTGTGCCGTTCGAGGGGATGAAATCGGGTGATCCGCCGACAGTGTAGGCTGTGAGCGGCACGGGATATGAGAAGCCAAGCATTGTCTGCACGTCGAGGTTGCCTTCGATGTCGATTCTGCTAGTGACCTTTGCTTGAGATGTGCTGCCGTTGTTGATGACATCGAACTGGAATTCGTATGCAGTTTCCTTGGCTTCGGGGCGGAACTTCTCGAGGAAGAGGTATGTGTCTGAGCGGTTGTTGGTCTCGCCAAGGTAGTTGACAAGAGACATCTTGTTCTTGCCGGAAACTTGAGGAATGTAGTCAATGGTCTCGTAAAGAGTTCTCATGCACAGAGGGGTGACGCCACGAGGAGTACAGATGGCAGTAACGTTAGGGTCCTGGTGGTATGTGACATCCTGGGAGTATGAGCCACCGAACTTGTTAACTTCCAGAGAGACGGCCTTGGGGCTGCTGCGGAAGAAAGAGTTTGTGGGTTGGATGGTGTCGATGTGCTCGTGCAAGTGCAGAGGCAAAGACCACTCGGGTGCACGAACGGTCTCGGAACCATCCTCGTGACGGTAGACATTGTACTTGGTATCGAGGAGGCTCTCGATGCGGTGAACGGGGAGGGAGACCTTGATCCAATCCTTGGAAGAACTGTAGGAGAGATCACCGGCTTCAATGCCGTTGTCGGCGAGCCACTCGTGGACCAGAGCCAGTGAGTCGTCGGAAGGCTGAACAAGCTTCTTGACATCGAGCTCGCTCAAGTGCTGGCCGTAGCGAGAGTGGTCGGGGTCAGAAACTATGAATTTGGTCAGACACAACATCAAGAGTCTAAGCGGAGTGATTTTTTGTGAAACAAATCCAGCTAATCGGAAAGGAAGGCTCGACGCAATTGGTGCTCGATTGGTTGCTCTAGGATATGTTGGTGTTGCTTACCCTCGTACAAGTGCTTCTCAAGATCGGTGAATTGGTTCTGCTTGACAGCGATGCGGAGATCAATGTTGTGAGTTGAGGGAGCAGCAGCAACCTGTCTCCACTTGGAAGGAACAAAGTGGGAGTCCTTGACGGCATAAGGAGTTCTTGCCTGGATGGGTGAAGCGTAGGCACCGCTCGCAAGCAGGCCGGCGACCAAGAAGAATTTCGCAGCACTCATGATGGATGGATGAAGAATGAGCAGCAAAGGTGATCTGAGACAGACCGAGCAACCTACGGGCACAGGATCCTACTTATACACGCGCTTGACCTACCTGTCTTGACCAACTAGAGTTTCCAGTTGGCGAGATGATCGTCTGTTGGGGGCAACAATAAAGAGGCTCACGCGGACTGCAAGGGACACAGACGCTGCGAGCAGCCGCAGAGGGGTAATAGATGAACAGCAATAGCGAGCTAGAATTAGTTTGGAAGGTGAGGGTTCTTGCGGTGATAAGACGATTTAAAGTACGAGATGAAATGCTTGGTGCAGACAAGAGTGGATGCATCTGAGCTTGTCCGTCTTGACTTGATTGGCGGCTTGGGTGCGCTGCCTCGGCAAGATGCGATGCCGCTCCATCGCCGGCCACTCGTGCACGGCTCGGTTGAGATGGCATCACTCTTGGAGACTTTGACATCAGTCACTTACGAGCTTCCTAACTCGATTTTACGTCCGTACACTCGGCATCGCAGCTGCATAACTGAGGTCGCGTGCTGCCGCTTCACGGAAAGAAAGAACCATGTCGGATCTCGCAGGCGGCTTCGTGCCTCTTTCACCACCGCCGTCCTCGATCGCGTCTTCGAATACTCCCAACTCGCTTCCTCAACCGCGCAGAACTCCTCTTAAGCCTGGTGGTACCAAGGAGTCGAGATTGATCCGCCATGTCGACCAGCAACTTCTTCACATACAACGACGATTCGCAAAGCGGGACCCGTCACTCGGTCATGAAGGTGTGCGAGAGATGGACGAGGAAGGCAGGATGATTGAACAGCTCAACGACCCTGCCACCGAAAAGAGATTGCAACAGTCCGAAGAGTGGAATGATGTACAAGGTTATGCTGGTTTCGCTGAAGCAGCAAAAGACGTCGAAGAGCTCATTGGTGTTATTTGGGTCAGCGGTACACCGGCACTGCAGGTCCCGTACTTGATCAACATGGCTCTCTTGACGACTACTATGATACCAGCCTTTCCGCTAGCGCCTCGTCCTTTGTTCAGACTCTTGGGCAAGCTCGATCATGCCTTCGCTTCATTACTGGTAGGCAGAGACGTAAGCACTGACGAAATCCTGCCTGGCTTCAACACAGGTCGTGGTGTAAGTGGCACAGAAAAGGTTCGCATCAAGAGCTTGGTTGAAAGAACAAGGATATGCGTCGTCGAGGTCGTAAACAGAGGAGAGTTTGATGAAGACGACGATCTTGATGAACCTTCACCAGAGGATACGGACATGGATGACGATCTGATCTTGGACGAAGATGACGGTCCCGAAGACATAAATGTCGACGATACTGAAGATGACGACTGGAACATGCAAGTCGCTAGAGTCTATGACAAAACTCTGGTAGAATTGGGCGACTCGATGGATGGTCCTCCAATCGGTATCAGGACTGAAGCTCGGATCGGAACTTGAACTAACGACCGAGATCTGAAAAACGGCAACTACGAGATGAACTACGAATTGATGCAACCGCTACAACCAGCAAATTTCCAAGCCAGAATGTTAGATCAAGAAACGTTATTGCTGAAAGCATCCCCAAATGGTCCTCGATTGTACTACAACTTTCGAACCAGAGCCATGTACAAGAGTGTGTTGACTAGCTCATCTCTATTGAAGACTAGAGAAGAGAAAAAACACTGTGCATTTCTACAGTCACAACGTCGCAAAAGCAAGAATCGTGGGAGTATGGCGACGTTGACATACTTCTGTAAATGAGGATAAGACCATGATCCAAGAGATGGTCTTCTCATGAGTTTTCTCCAGACTCAAGCAGCATGGTCTTCTGCAATGGTTCAGAATCCATGTATCTTCCGACGCCACGGCCACTCCTGACCGTTCGAGCCTCGGTCTTGCTCAACACTGTTACTCACATTTGACCATCATCGCTCGTTGTGGACTTACCTCGAGTATCTGACTGATTGTACGATGACAAATGAGACAATTGTGAGACTTTGAAAGGAGTCAAGCATGTAGGTTGGTATAGAATGCGACAAGGCATTGAAGTGCTCCTGTGTTTGACCAAACTCTATTGTAAGGTGGCACGCGACGACACGATATCTGAGTCGTATCCATCACTGTTCTGCCAACCGTCGCTGGGTCGAGTGAGATTGAGGATGACAAGAAGATTGAGTCACATGGGGCCTTGATCTATAAAATATTTTCCAGCTTGCAGCTCACACCGACCCTCCATCGCAGAAATCCAGGACGGCTGATTGATTGCGAACATTTCTCTGGCCCTCGAATCGACCATGTCGTTCGACAACTTACCCAATGAGTTGTTGCTCATGATTATTGAACCTTACAAGCGCTGTCACCAGCGAAGTCCCAGAACGGGTCAAGCTTCAGTCAGTAGTATTGAGCAAGCGGATAACACAAGACGTCTTGCTGGCTTCGCAAGAGTGTCAAAGACTTGGTATGGCGTTATTGCGCCTATCTTGTACTCGACATATGTCAAGCCAGACAATGCCTATCACAGGTCTTCTCCGCCCATTGCAACGCTTGCACCCTTGTATGCACAGCCCAACAAGAACCTCAGACTATTCCTTCGGTCCGTTATCACAAGACCAAAGCTTGCAAGGGATGTGAAGAAGTTGGTCCTGGGATCTTGGGATCATACGATGACATGCTTTCAGTACAACGATATGCTAAGCTCGGCATCCGGACTTGCGAACTCACTTCGACAATCCTCTGTGGCGATTCCTCCTGGCGATTTTCTCCGCAGCGGTTACAAGGCCACCCTGCTCAGTCTCCGACTTACGCCAGCTCCCCCATGCACGAGGGTGGCACAATTCGTGACCAATCTCTTTGGAGGTGATGAAGATGCCGAAGTGGGCTTGCTGATCGCTCTGACACCAAACGTGCATGAGCTCTATCTCCGACAACGAGTCGATCTGGGGCCCTTCTTCTGGCCGTTATATAATGACTATGGTACCAACTCGGCACTTACTGGTGCCTTGTCAAGCCTCGATACGATAACCTTGGATCTCCCGAGAAATGGATTTTACCCTTATCACAGACTCTTTAGTTGGTTGTTGAACGTAGAGTTCCTCTCATCTCTCACCGTGGAAGGATGCAATACGGAAATTGCGAACCTCATTTCGGTGCTCGGAGGACCTCAACTGAGTCATCTCAATCTGCAAACTTGCAATTTGAACGTACTCCAAGGAACCGTCCGCCTCAAACATCTACGATGGATCGTCCCAGGGAATGCCGGTTTTCGACCTACGTTTGATGAATGGAATCGATGCAAAGCTGTTTTGAGTCTTCAAAAAGACAGCCTCGAGTCTTTGCATTTGGAAGGAGATTACTTCTTGACCGGAGGCTTCGATCGCAGCGAAATTTCATTCAAGGATTTCAAGCGACTGAAATCTCTGAAAATACAACAGCAGTTTTTGTTTGGGTATCAAAGGGCCAGTTCTCTTCTCTTGGACGACTTACTGCCCGAATGTCTAGAGAGATTTGAGGTGACGGTCTGCATGTATGACCTGGTCATTGCGCTAATGTACTCATTGGCACGGCGCCGACACCGCACAAAACTGACCCATCTTACACTGGGTCCTTTCTGGAAGTTGCCTTCTATCTTGCTTTGCAGGTGTCTTAGGCGTCAATGTGCTAGGACGGGTGTCAAGTTCAAATTGGACGCAAACATCAGGTTGGGCTGACCATACGCATACCCTACTGCTATTTGGTTCGATTGCGATATTGGCGAGGTGCTAGATTCCTCCAGCTTCCGTCTTTGCAAGTGGGACAACTCTCGAAAACATCTCTCCGTGCCCAACACCTTGATCTACAGTGATTAGGATAGCTAGAGATAGCGCCGTTACATAGCATGGCCGACTTCCTCGACGCATGGTCCGGAAGGCTTCAGAGCCATCATACTCCAGCGCCAACTGCGAGTCGCATACCGCTAGCTGGCTCAAAGCGGAAGTTGCTAGGAGTGGAAGGAGCTATTACTACGGAGCTAGTATAAATTCCGCTCGCGACTTTTCCCTCTACTGTACCTATATAAATCATCACCATCAACCATCATATTCATATTCATAATGGCCGACTCCTAGAGAAACTGGGCCCTATTCTCCGTCTAACCTGCCCACCGCACCGCCAAAGAGAAGGCCGCTACCGCTGCCTAGGAAGCTAAGGGAGAGAAGAAGCGCACCAGGTTAGTAAGCTTAGGGAGGTAGACCTCATCTCAACATATGGACGAGCTGCGTCGCCCGGGGTTCCCGCCTTCTATCGCATAAAGAGGAGAAGGGAGAGGGGGAGGGGAAGGAGATAGATATAGCAAAATGTCTCCCCACCAACCTCGAGGGGCTGTAAACATGTTGTTACAATGCAAAAAGGAAATCCCAGATCTTAAATCCTCCACATAGAGGCTACTCCCTTGAGCACTATCACTGGGCAAACACCTATCCTTAATAACATCTTACATCACAGCAACTGCAATCACAAAGGTAGGTATCAGGAGAGATAAGTTAACTCATCATAATGCTTGTATTCATGCTTTAAAAAAAGAAACTACCTATCTACTCGCTCAATGATTATTACATCCATCGTTTCTTCCTTGAATGAGAAAACCAAAACCAAAAAAAGGACAATTTCATGGGGGCAGGTGCTTCGTTTCAACAATTCATTCGTTCGTTCCTTATTTTTACTCCTCGAGCATAGAGCTCTCATCAACGCCAATGCCTGAGTCGTATTGACGTCTGTGGCTGGTCTTCTTGATGCGCTGGACGCGGGGGTTGGATGAGCTGGCGACAGCGACCATTTCGCCGAGTGTATCCATTGCCTCGACCTCCTCGAGGACGCGGCGGCCAACCTCGCGGAGCTCACCGCTCTTGGCCGATGCAGAGAGGACAGCGCTGTCCAGGTCCTCCTGCATAGCTTGCACAGTAGCAGTAGAATCCCTGACGTACAATCTGAACTTCTCCTTAAGCGCAGCATTGAGCTTGGTCAAACGAGCAATAGTAGCAGTGTTGTCAGAACCAGTGGTTTGCAGTTCTTCAATCTCGACGTTGCGTTGTTCCATAACGCGCTCCCAGCTTCTGTCGACTTCCTGAGCCTTGCGACCCAAGTTCTCGATCTCGGCTTGCTTGTTGCGGATGTTGTTCTTCAATTCGGCGATTTGGTCGTCGCGGTCGGCTTGCAATTCGAGCATGGCCTCTGCTTCGGCTTCTACGCGGCGCTCCAGCGATTCTCTCTCGGCCTCGAGGCTCTGGATTTCGGACTTGGCGGATAAGATTTCGTGGTTCAGGTCGGCAATCATCTCATCACGCTCGGTAATAGCGGTAGCGTGGGTCAAGGCAGTGGTCTGGGCTTCGGCGTTCAACACCTTGATAGTTGCCTCATGCTGTGCAATAATGCCAGTAAGATCGGCGACGTCAGCTACGAGCTCGGCGATGCGAGCCTCGGATGTCTGCTGCAATTGGTCAAGGGCGTTGAGAGCAGTGTCGAGCTCCTTCTTCGTTTGCTTCAGCTCAGCAGTCAACTCATCAAGCTTGGCAGCAAATTCTCTGATCTTTGCGGCGCGATCGTCAAGCTGCTGCTTCATACGCTGGGTGACCGCAACAAGCTCAGTCTCGAGCTCTTTGATCATGATGCTGTTGTAGTTGGCAGCATCTTGAGCCAATTTGGCCTTCTGATCCAAGGCGATGACGTCCGCAGCATGCTGAGCCTCGCGTTCCTTTGCGATATCCTCGAGGTTTCCTTGCACTTCCTTGGCACGTTGCTGGACCTCGAACAGTTTCTGCCTCAACTCATTGGCTTGTTTGCCTGACGCGAGCAGCTTTTGTTCGAGTTCACCAATCTGGTTGTTACGATCATCCAAGTCGGCCTCAGCTGCCTCACGCTGGCGGCGCTCAGCTTCCTCGAGACCGCGAAGGTTATCCATGTCCGATCTCAGTTGCTCCAGGTCTACCTCGGCTTGCTCGATCTTGACTTCGAGTGCAGCGATGACAGTAGCGTTTTCGTGGTTCAGCTCATCGGCAATCTCTCTGGCCTCCTGCTCTGCATTGTGCTGTGCTTGAAGTGCGGCGAGCTGCTGCCTCAAAGTATCGATGTTGGCTTCGTCCTCCTCGGCGCGGCGCTCGAGGGTGGTGATTGCGTTTTGCTTGTTGTCTGCATCAGCTTCAGCGGTGTGGCGTTTAGTGCCCTCAACACGGAGCTGCTCCTCAAGCTCGGAAACAACGGCTTGGCTGGCCTTGGTGAGGTCTGAAATCTTGACATTTGCCTCCTGCTCCATGCGGGTGATCAGGGCGTGAAGGTTGACTTCGTTGGTTCTGTATCCCTCGAGAGCTTCACCAAGCTTTCTGATGGTTGCATCCTGGTCCTTGTTCTCGCGGTCGAGCTCGGCAAGCTTGACCTTCTTCTCACTGATGAGAGTCTGAGCCATGTCATGGTTCTTCTCGATCTTTCTCAGCTCCTTGCTGAGCGAGTCAATCAACTGCTCGTCCTTTTGGCTTTGTGCGTCGAGCTCGTTGAAACCGATCTCAAGGGTGCGCTTGCGAATCTCGGCTTGACTCAATCTCTCAACAAGACCGTCGATCTCATTGACGAGCTCCTGACGCAACTGATCATTGTCGGCCAGGAAGACTTCCTGCTCAGTCACCTTGCTGGCAAGAGACTCGAGGTGTTGCACGACAAGCTCAACGAGGTCAGCATCGGAGATGTTGCTAGGGATGCTCCCAGGGACGGCAGATTCGAGACGCTCGCGGACCAGTGCAAATGAATCACGGATGGAAGAGAGAATAGCATCAGAGTTCTCGCCAGGGAAACCAAGAGATTGCAGTTCAATGGTCAGAATCTGGAGAGTGGACTTTGCGTTGGACGCTTCGTCGGTCCAATACTGAATGGCTTCCTTGAAGGCGCGGCGCTCTTCCTCTTGAGTAGAGTCGGGCAGGGCGACCTGGGTTTGGGCATCGGTGATGTCGACAGCGTCGGAGATTCTCTCAACAGTGCGGACTTCTGTAGCCGACGAAGGAAGGTGAGGGTAGGAGATGCTCTGGCTGCTATCGAAGACCATCATGTCCTCGTTAATGACATCGACGTTCTCAATGGCATCCAGGTCGGGAAGAGTGGCTTCTTGAGCCTTCTTCTCGGCAAGGTCCTCGTTGAGCTGGTCGAGTTCGGCCTCGATTCTCTCCAACTTCTCACCGCTTGCCGACGAGCCCAATTGCTTCTCAACATCGAGCTGATGAAGGCGGGTGCGGATTGTGTCCTCAATCTCTGAAATGTCTTGACGCAGTTGTACCAGCTCTTGGTGGAGCTCAGACCCATCTCTTTGCTCTTTGATCTCCTCGCTCAGACGGCTACGACGAAGACGGCTCTTAACACGCTCCGACAGGACCTGGCTCAGGGGACGGAACAGCTTTGAGACGGGGCTGTTGGGAGAAGGGGAAAAGGTCGAAGGAAGAGACAAGCGGGACTTGGCTGGGGGTGTAGAGAGGTGCTCAAACTTGGAGGGCGAGATGGTCTGGCGCCTATCGACGCTGACGGTCTTGCGAATATGAGGAGTTAGGTGTGTCGAGGTAGCCTTCTGGCCTTGTGAGGTGGACTCGGTGAAGTGAACATGGCGAGCAGCGGGAGCGGGAGTGTTGACGGTGATAGACTCTTCCTCCTCGAGGATGTCCAGATCTTCGGGGTGGTCGTGCGACGCGTCTTGTCTCTTTCTGCGCTTCACTTGTGATGACGACGATATAGTAGTCTGAGAGCTTTGGGGGATAGGCGCGTCCGAGGAGCTGCTGGCTCTTCTCTTGCGGCTCGTGCGTCTCTCTGCACCGGCGCTCTGCGACGATGAGGGCACCTTTTCTTGGTTGCGAGTGCGCATTGTGAGTGTGGTATGGGTGTGAGTGTCCAAGAAACAAAAGTCGTAAAGCAACAAGCAAAGGTAAACAAGATAATGCTAACAAAAGGTGATATGGAGCAAAAAGGATCTGCTGTTCAGCAAATTGATGTGGAGGTAAGAATTGGGTGGCTCGAAATGAATCGCGAGGCTTGCTTTTGACACGCGCGAGGATAGATGACGTAGTGGTCAAAGCTTTGTGCAGCAAATCGTCACGACAGCAACGGAAAGGTTAATCGTACAACGTCAATTATGGAGAAGCTATTGAAGATAGCTTCCAAGAGCTGCTCCTGTCCTTATAGGCAATCTGCCTCTCAAAGGCCAACACACTGCTGCACCAAGGACTCATTCATTGCGACAGCTACAGCTTCTCCAAGACCGCGTCTCGGAGAGCGCGTCGCGTGTCTTATCCAATTTAGAACTAATGAAGAACCTGCATAAGTTTTCCAGCCACCTAGGCAGCAAGCACGTCCAGAGCGGCTGGGGAAAGTAACACATGTAGATCTGTCCGATGAAACTGGGAAACATGGCACTTCTAGACACATGTGCTACTTTACCGATGACTGCTGCTCATATTCATGGATCATTTGCGTGGAAAACTCGTGTCTTGAGCTGAGAAGAGTATGTGCATTCGGGGGTATCGTCTATCATCTAATCTATCCTGATCGTCTCTAATCCAGATCTTCGTCGTTCTGGCCAGCCTTGCCTTCCTTCTTGGCTTCCTCTTTCTTACCCTCACTGTGGCGTGGCAGGAGTGTGAAGATGATGACGAAAAGGACTTCGTTGGTGCTTCTGTCCTTGAGAACATATCTAAGTGCATGCGACCTTGTGTTAGTCAGATTCTGCTCATCACACACTGGGAACGACTTGGGCTAGAGGAACGACTGTGCACGAAGGGGTCTGCTTACCTCAGAGGTTGGCCATCCCAGTAGCTGATGATGGGGATGGTGATGCCAGGGATGTAGCTGAAGCCAGGCAGCTTGAGCGCAAAGTCTGTGTCTCCGTCAGTATGCTACTCAAGAAATGACACGAAACGCAGGAGATTCCGAATAGAATGCATGCCTCTCCGGGTTAGTCGCAGCCGCCAAATCTAGCGATGAAAATGCGCAAACATCGTGATAGCTTGGAGACTGTCCACAGAAAGTCTAGCTATCATCTTCATCGCTGGAATCGTTACGGAAGTGTAACCACCAGTCGTTCTACGAGAACACCTCTTGCGTCTGCTATCACCTCCCTCGGTGGAAAACTTACCATTGAAGTCCAGGTAGGGGTTGAAAAAATCACAGCTGTAGTTTCTTCCCTCCTCAAAGGTAAAGTCCTTCAGGTGCTGCTCCTTCAAGAAGTGCTTCTTGCGAGCGTTTGCTTCATCAGGCAAACCAGCCTTCTTTCTGGCTTCAACACCGTCGCCGTCGGCACCCTCAGATACCACAATGGGCTTGTCTTCGCTTCCTTTCATCTCGGTAGGCTCCTTCTTTTCTCCGACTCTCAACGTGTTGATCGAACTGAGGAATGGTCCATACAAATACGGCTCGTCGGCGTAAGCATCGCCATAGAGCCCAGGGTCGATGAACCACTGAGCAATCTTCATTGCCTGTCCGAAGCCTGGTGGCAGCTTGTCCTTGATGGGATGGTCGAAGTCGTTTCCGAAGACCAAGTCATGGCCGTTGATGTCCTTCTTAGGCGTGAAGGAGAAGGAAATGCTGTAAAGGTCTGATTTATGAGGGTCGGCATTGAAGTAGGCGCAAGATGAAGGGGAGTTGACGGGTTCGCCGCGGTAGTTTTGAACACGGACGGTGAGGGAGGCATCGAGCTTGGAATTTGAGATTTTGATCGGCTGCTCGGTGTTGACGTGGACTAGCTTTTGGTTGGTCTCGTCATAGTCTGAGCCGGCAGTCACTCTGAGCATGTATTTGTCCGCCATCTTGAAGTACGTAGTCGTAGGTAGGTAGTGCTTGGGAGAGGAAGGAAAGAGGACGAGCGTTTCTTTGTCGACGAAATATTGACAGTGACGTAGAGAATTTCCCCAGATCTGACGTTTCCAGCATGTGAAGGAGCCCCTCCATTCTCCCCGTCACGCGTATAACTGTAGATCTAAACAACATTATGCATTCTTACAAGCCGGAACACTCCTGGCGTGGTTGCGAGAGATGGTTAGAAAACTGGGTCGGAACTTGTAATGAAAATGGTCTTGATCATATGGTCCCGTATCCCATTGCTTTTGGTATCTCAAAAATCTATACAAGCATGACTGATTTACATTCTTCTGAGGATGTCCTCGACAACCTCGGTGGTCTTGGCCTGGCCACCCATGTCGGGGCTCAGGAATTTGCCCTCCTCAAGGTTGGCATCGACAGCCTTGTAGATAATGGCAGCGGCCTTCTCCTCGTTGAGGAACTCAAGCATGAGGGCAACACTGCGGAGGGTAGCGATGGGGTTGGAAATGTTCATGCCCTGGATGTCAGGGGCAGAACCGTGGCAAGGCTCACCAATGGCGAAGCCCTCACCAACGTTGGCAGAGGGAACGAGACCCAGACTGCCAACAAGAGCAGCAGCACCGTCGGACAGGATGTCACCGTAGAGGTTAGGAGCGACAATAACATCGTAGGTCTCAGGCTGACGGAACAACTTGTAGACCATGCTGTCTACGATTTGCTCGTCGACGGTAACGCCCTGGGATTGGAAGTGAGCAAGAGCCTCGCGAGCAGTCGAGCGGAAAAGACCGTCTGTTTGCGAGAGAACGTTGCTCTTGTGGGTGATGGTGACGTTGGCAGACTTGCCGGTCTGGCCGGTAGAGTCGCGGACACGCTGGCGACGGAGAGCAATGTCACCAGCCATGGTAGCGATACGGCTCGAGGCACGCTCGGAGATGCGCTTGATGGCCTCGGCGACCTTGCCGTTCTCGGTGTCGTATGTCTTCTCCTCCTTGACGTACAGGTCCTCGGTGTTCTCGCGGACAATGACAAGGTCAATGGGGTCGGGGAACATGGTGGTGTTCTTGACGCTCTTGACGGGACGAACGTTGGCGTACAGGTCGAGACGCTTGCGGAGAGCGACAATGGGAGACGAGTAGCCCTTGGTAGGGGTGGAGGGCGAGCTCACGGCACCGAAGAGAGCACCATCGCACTCCTGCTTCAGTGTGTCGACGGTCTTCTCGGGCAGGGCAACGCCAGTCTTCTGGAAGGTCTCGAAACCAGCTTCCAGGTCGACGAAGGAGAAGGTCAAACCCAAAGACTTGGGCAGGGCCTCGAGGATGCGACGACCGGCAGGAATGACCTCGCGGCCAATGCCATCACCAGGGATCAGACCTGGATATATGTTAGCTCATGGTACTGGTATAGGAAGGTCAAAGCCGACCAATTCGTAGTGTGCGGGAAGCCATTGTTGCTGAGGAGTGTGGAGAAGAGTCATTTCGAACAAGACGACTTCAACGAGTCTGGGTGAAATTTCGGCCGATGTCGGGTTGCTGCTTCATCCAGGTTGTGGGGCTCTCGATGGGTTCAGCTGTCACACGGGCTGTGGAAACATTGTTCCCTGAGAGACTGTTGCAAGAGTCGAGTCTGGAAACAGACTCTCGCTGAAAACTGCACAGATCTGGAATAAAGGATTCATCTTGATAATTTGTCTCCGTACATGGCAGGAGCACTTGACGGTCAAACACGACCGAGGATGCGGCCAAAGCTTCACGCGTTGATGGGCACGCGGGGCAGTCGCAAAACATGACGAAACTTTGTTAAAGCTTCCAGACAAACATCCCCAAAATGTCGTCTTCACCACCACCCGAAGAGCGCGAGGCCGCCGACAAGGCTACTGCTGCCCGTGAGGCCGAAGAACAGGCCAAGCTTCCTTACAAGTGGATGCAAACGATCCAGGATGTCGACTTGACTGCTCAGGTTCCTGGCAACCTCAAGGCTCGTGACTTTGACATCAAGATCACAAAGGACCACTTACGTGTTGCTGTCAAGGGCCAGGATCCCATCATCGATGTATGCTCTTTCTCCTTTCTCCTTTCTGTCCCCCGGGCTAGGCTGATCAACGACAAATAGGGCGACCTCCCTCACAACATCTACGTCGATGAATCCACCTGGACCCTAGAAACCACTCCCTCAGGCAAGGAACTCGCCGTCCATCTCGACAAAGTCAACAAGATGGAATGGTGGGCCCATGTCGTCAAGAACGCTCCCAAGATCGACACCTCCAAGATTGCTCCCGAAAACAGCAAACTCAGTGACCTGGACGGCAACACCAGATCCATGGTCGAAAAGATGATGTACGACCAGAAGCAAAAGGAGATGGGTCTTCCTAGCTCTGATGAGCAAAAGAAGCAGGAGATGCTTGGTATGTACCACCGATACACCGATACCATGGCATGCGAGAGTTGCCTTGCTAACGTACAACCAGAGAAATTCATGGCTCAGCACCCCGAGATGGACTTCTCCCAGGCCAAGATGTCGCCGTGATACCCTCCAAATGCATAGCATAGATCAGAAAAAGAACATACCAATGAGAAACGAACAAACCCCCTCTTATCCTCTCTCGGGACACCGATTTGATATTGTATGGCACTGTCTCAACACTTCGTATGTAGCACTGCTCCGGATGGAAGATGCTAGTATATGGTTGCCAAAAGGCACATTTGATTCGAACTAGTGATGTGTCTATTGAGAGCACGAAAGTAGCCTCTCTTGAAAACGGCAATCAGCAAACCAAGAAAGTAGTGAGTACGCCTTAGATAAAGGTCGATCCTGGAAGAATTCTGAGCACACGAGCGATATTTTTTACAGATCAGGGTAAGATTTGGGAAGAAAAGTAGTTTTGTGCAAGTAAGCTAAGTAAGAGTCTGGAAGTTTTTTACAGGCCTTCGCATATGAGCATGTATAACGAAACAGCCGACATGGGCAAGTCTATAGCGCAGGAGACGCCATTGTGGACATTGTAAACAAGATCATCAGCCAATAGTACCTATAACAACACCCCTAGGTACGCTGCACTTCCATCACCAAGCTTGAGAAAACCTCACTGGCAAAGCGTGCAGCGAATCTTCCATTGAAGACAGTTCCACATTGCAGCGCCCTTGCAAAATAACTTGGGGGGTAATCGCGGCTTTCTCTTAGACTCCGCACACGATGCAGGACTTGCTGGAAGACAATCTCAGAGAGTGTCGATTCGGAGTATCTGGAATAAACCGGTCCGCAATATGTTTCTAGGCATGCGATGTAGTCATATGTGAATGGTTCCTTGCTCAACAAAGCGCTGAAGCGTTCCAGGTAGAATGGAGCTATGTCTTCACGGCCAAGATGTGTTGCCAGTAGGTACAGATCAGCATAGAATTGCACCGAACATTCTGGTTCAGAGTAGGTATCGGTCATGTAGAAGTCCTTGAGAAAGGCCTTCATCGCAGCATGGCTGCCTTTGATACCAAGGTCGATACTGTCGATCTAAGATAATGTTAGTGTTGTGACTCTTGATTGTTATCATCATCAACTGACTGAGGGGGTTCTTTCGAGCTTTTTTTGGAAGCAGGTCGAGTAACTTGCAAGGACGGCTTTGTGGGCGAATATCTTTAGTCCGCCTCCGATACAAATGGTTATATCGGAGAATCTTTTATCATTGGAGAGACTGAACATGTTCCTGCTTGAGTGTTAGGAATAGTCTGGTGTAAAAGTACAAGCCATATCCAAACATACCTCGTTTTGGTTTCCCAGTCCCTGCGGGTGATTCTGGGATATATCAAAAGGCAGTCAGGTTTGCTGGATTGGATTTCGGAGTAGTTATTCGAGCGAATCCGTTTGTCGAGCTGCAATAGAGCGATAGCTTATTTCTCATCAAATAGTTCCCCTTTGTTGTATAGCTGGAGAAACCTCCAGTCTCTGAGTAACGGCCGGCAGTATTCACAATAAAGGTGTATGACAGTAGACTGCAGTCTGCTATCAGCGGCTTGGAGAGCTCCAGGTCCACAGGTTCTCGCGATGCATTCATAGAAGGTGTTCTGGTGCTTTGAATTGGCGCGGAAAGCATCTAGATGATGTGTAGCCAATCGATAGAAGGCCCTATCAATGTACTTGCGTAACACCTCGACATCGTATTTGTCCGCGAGCTCGAACAGATCGATCAGTTGTTCCATCGACATTCGTGGATTCGAGGTTTTCAAGTTCGAGAAGTAGTTGTGAAGGGTGCCATGGCGATAGATGTACTGCAGTATCCATGTGAGGAGTCTAGGATCGTCATCGTCTCCTAGATCGATGCCTGGGCTTGAAGAAACCTGGCAAATCATGTCAGATGAGTGACTGTCATTCGAGGGTGAAGATCACATACCGGGAGCAAGGTTGTGAATGCAGTCAAAAAGTGCCCAGACTGTTGCACGAGTATTGCTTTGTGCGCATGGATTTGATGCTCTCCGTATTTGATGATGATATCTGACCACTTTGCACTGACATTATAAAGACGAGCGGTGATGTCGTTTGCTGACTCCATGAACTTGATGCGTGTGCCAAAGTAGAGTTGAAGGTGAGAGAAAGAGCTGCGCGTGGTTGATTTCAGGCGAGTTGTCTGGTCTGTGAAAGTGAGTAAGCGGACGTGTGGAAGTGAAAGTCAAGTGAAACAAAGGTCTAAGGCGTGTTGTCTGGTCTGTGGAAGTGATCAAGGGGATGAAAGTGGAAGTCAAGTGAAACAAAGGTCTACTAAGTCAAACAGTGGAACAATAAGCAAAATTCCGCTGATTGCTTCGCTGATGATGATAATTTTCACGTTCATTCTTTCGACAGATCACTCATTTTATAATCGACCGTGCCTTTTGACAACCCTTTCGACAGCCATATGCTAGCATCTTCCAGTCTACAGGGGAAAATGGTTTGCCCTCTTTCTTCCATGCATCAAACACCGCATCTAACTGCTCTGCTATCATATATATCAATGATCCTGCCTGCCAATTTGCTTCTTCCACTTTCCAACAGGACTCAGCTTCGACAAGTACACCATGTCGACAGCTGCTCCACCAAATGATGACCTTATGCCGAGCTTCTTCAACAACAACATGTTTTCTGACGTAATCCTCAGGTTCGGCAAATATGAGATCAACGCCCATAAAGTAATACTGGCCCAGCAGTTGCGCTAAGTACCACAAAACATTGCTCAAGATTGACGAACTTAGCAACTCGTACAACCAGGATCTGTTATTCAATGCCAAATGTGCTGCCATGTTCGCAGAAGAGTATGCTGTGGTATCGCTGGCTGGTGATGGTTGGGGTCGTGAGAGAAACCCCAACTTGCATACGAAGGATTTGTTAGCAAGGGAAAGGTAGACCACGTTCTTCATCATAACTTCGACGATTACTGACGAGCGATGATTGATAGAAACACGACCGAATTTTTCGACAACCCTGAGTTTGCGGACATCACACTCACCATTGGCAAAGACCGCGAGTTTAATGCGCACAAGGTGGTTCTCGCAAGGCATTCAACCAGCTTTCTAGCCCACTTCGACGCAGGCCACTCGGTTCGTTGAGTTTGACAGAACGCTTGCGACAAGCTGTAAGACTGACACAGGCAATAGGCCCATCGTATGAGCTTCGACAACAACGATGACGATCCCGCTATTGTGCTAGCTCTCATTCGCCGAATGTACATGCCACTGCCTCCAGACATTCCATCACCTTCCTACGCCGACCTCTGTCTGTTGGCCAGAAGCTTTGGTTGCCACGCAGTAGCCTCTGGTCTCGAAATACAGTTCATGGATCTGTTGGTCCGGGAGCCGATCAATGCCAGATACATCTCGAGTGTGAGCAAAGTTTGCGGACCCGAAGCTGGCGAACACAAGAACACAGCTCTGTCCGAGCAGATCTTCCAGGACGTTCTTGAACGCATAACAGATGGCGAGTCTTATCGCGAGTCGTTTGCAAGAGCAGTCGAAACAGGACTGGTGTTTAATCCAAAATTCGCTGTGCGTCTTGCCGGACAGATGCTTGTGATACATAGGCCTAGAAGACAATGAGGCGTGCATATTTGGTCGGTTTGGAGGTATCCAGTAAGGTACTCGATCTCGAATCGATTGTGCGTGTGTGTAGCACTTGCTTTGGGCCAACCTTAGGCTAAGAAGATGGTCTTTTAGATAGAACTCTCAAGGTGAGATCGGAACGAACAATTTCCAAATATTCGAGCACTCAATATTCCTGTCAACGGCATACCTCGCGAACGTTAGCTAGGGGCATACACACATAACTTCGAAAGCAAGATCGCTTGAGAGCACACGAAGCGACTGCTTCCAAAATGCGCTTCTGACCACCAGGGCAGCACTGTACATTTTGCGTGTGTGTGCGTGATGTAGCAACAATGACAAGTCGACATTGACCACAGATTGGCATTCGGTGATGATGTCGTTAATGAGGTGGTTGGTTGGAACATGATATCAAGCGCATGAGGATTCCTTACATAGCGCAAGTCAAATTGGCCAACGTCGCTACTTATCGAAATATTCAATGTTTTTAGGGTTCGAGGTGTCCGGTGAGAGAGCAGGTGATTAGAGCTTCCAGCAGACCCTCTCTGAAATCTCGATTACACTGTACATCTTGATAGCTAGATTGATGAGCATTGGATGCTTGGGACATGCGCTGTATAAATAAACTCCATGCGCTTGATAACAACTCCCTTCGTTCGGCTCTCGGATATTTACGGCTAGAGGGCTGTTGGTCAGGGTCGTGGGCTTGACTAGTCATGTAGAGGTCGTCGACGATATCGACGAAGATTGATCGACGATACACGGAATCGAATGCCTTAGGCATATCCTCCTTATTTTCCTGCTTCGATTCGTATGAGTTTCGATGGAGTAGTCTGCTCTCTCCGCTCTCTGTAGACGATAATTGTTTTCTTGATCTGTCGAGTGGGAAAGGTGCATCCAATTGCGTGTGTCTACGTCGCAGTCTGTTGAGCAAAAGAGTGTATGTCCTATGAAGCATCAAGGACTAGAGGAAAAAACTGGTGTATTATACCAATATTGGTCTATGAGCACAACCTTTCGATCACAATCATAGCATTACAGTCGCCTGAAGTTTGTTTCATGAAGGGCTGCAACTAGCCGTCAACTTGGCGCGTGTCTTGGGACCAAGCCCCCCTCGACCACAGCCACCTTGAAACACGCATCTTTTGCGTTCAAGGAGTAGATAGGTTTGCTCGTGAGCTGAGCGCATACAGCCCTCCGTTTCTTCCTGTCATTCTTGTCAACAGTGGACACGCGACACAACAGAGCTCCTTCCTAACAGCACCTTCCGTACCATCCGCTGACTGTGGGGTCGCAAACGCCTGTCATCTTTACTCACCACCATCAGCATTTCTTATTTCTCTTGAATTGTCGTCTGATTCAAAAACCATTCTTGCGGTGTTGTTGCTCGCATGGACGCCTTACGGAACTTGAAGCTGCCCTTTTCGAGTAAGCCGCTGCCTGCAAAAGTAGTCATATCGTTAGTACATGGTCGCGTGTTGTTCTTCTGAGCAGGAATGCTAACCTCCACCAGCTACTTTCTGGATTATGTGATTATTGTGTAAGAAAACCTTGACACAATAACTCTAAACCAACTAACTTCTGTCGAACAGTATTCTAGCGATACTGTTTCTTGCAATTGACAAAGTCAAGTAGGCCAGCCAGCAAGCATATCTTCAACGGGCAGCTTCGGAGACTAACTTCACATCTAGCGGATTCCGACAACACTTTGCACTTCAAAACTACACACTCCAATACCCATATGCGGTCCACGAGCGAGTTCCGGCAGGAATATGCTATGTCATCGTTGTCATGTGTCCCGCGGCCATAATCTGCTTCTGGACGCTCGTCATCGACGGCCTTTTTGCTCATTCACAACCCACCGACAATGAGGGTACGGGCCGAAGACTTGGGCGCTATAGACTCGTGGACAGACTGTGGGAACTCAATTGTGGCATCCTAGGCTTGGCCCTATCGGAAGGCACTGCGTTTGTCATCACAGGTGGGTTATGTTGCAGATGACGGGATGAATCGATTTACTCATGCATGGCATAGGCGCACTCAAGAATACGGTGGGCAAGCCACGACCCGATCTTATCGACAGGTGCCAACCGAGGGCCGGATCGGTGGATCCATCACCATATGGTCTTTCAAACTCCACTATCTGCACTCAGACCGACATGAGCATCCTAAGAGATGGCTTCAGAAGTTTTCCTTCAGGTCATTCGAGCAGTGAGTAGCTTACGATATCAGTAACGAATCGATTAAGCTGACGTATTACCTACAGGCTCATTTGCTGGACTCTTCTACTTGTCGTTATACCTGGCAGCCAAGCTCCACATCTGGGACTCGAGAGGTGAAGTATGGAAGATTTTCGTTGTCATGATCCCAACCCTTGGCGCCGCTTTGATTGCAGCTAGCAGAATCATGGACGCGAGGCACCACCCGTAAGTGAGACAATGCCCAGGTCCGCGGATGAGTATTGACACGCATTGCAGCTTCGACGTGATCACTGGCAGCATGCTTGGTATAGCATGCGCCTGGCTAGCTTACCGCCAATACTTCCCACCAGTCAGCGAGACATGGCGCAAAGGCCGTGCATATCCCATCAGGACCTGGGGACAGGAAACGGCACCGCCAGCATCGATATCAACGGCATATGAGCCGTATGGCAGACAGGAAACGGAAATGCAAGCACCATCGCAAAGAAGACACACGCAGCACTCAAAACACCCTGGCTCAGATAGCCAAGCAATGCTGGCGACGCATGCAGCGCCGTTGCCTTCTGGGGGATTGGCTGGCACGGCGGCAGATAGACGGCGTGACGAGTGGGACGCGTCTTCAACCGAAGAGGATGAATTCGAGTTGCAGCAGCAGCCTAGATATCCTCCGGGAGCGGTGATGGGAGAGTCGACAGCGTACCTGCCTCGTGCGCACATGGGCACGACATCGGACCAGGTGTAAAAACTTGGGAGCTATTGGGCGACGCGGCCGGCGGCATGTCATACGCATCACGAGTAAGGGTTTTTGGATCAGGTAAGGTAGGATAAGGCGTAAGGCTGAGGACGACAGTCGATAAAAGCGAGACGAATACAACGTGCATACATCACTCACCAACGTAGTATCTTATCACGACCATGAGCGTGATGTATTGAATTCGAAGCCTCTGTCAAGCAGATGGAGGACATACGAATCGTGTTGACGGGACGGACGAAGCTCCATCTGTCATTTCTGCATTGGGACAAATATGCCGGTGCGTCAATGTTACGAGTCACTTGATGGGCTACACGTCAGCAGGTGCGGTCGAGGTGTGTGTAAGCATGTGCAAAGAAGCAAAGCAGTGCCAATATACTAGACATCTGCCAGCAAAAGCATATCTAGCAGTTCCACCAAAGACATCGATCGCAAGTCGACGATAGAGTAGTCACGACGGTCGAGTAATTAACACATCTCAGATTCGTGGGAGTGTAAAATTGTGGGCACGCGTCCACGTATGATGAGCAGTCGCAGTGTGGTGTGGACGATCAGCGACGACAAAGAGCAAAGAAACCCCAGAAACTCGCGGTGGCCGAAGGTCTGAAAGGGCAAAAAGGGGACTAGAGCCGCAATAGGTAAAAAGCGGGCGGATGCAGGCGATGGGCAAAAGTATTCACACGTCAGCCTCCTTCTGGGCAGGGCGTTCAAGCAACAAACCAACGGTCGGAAAGGCTAGACATGCGACTCTGCTGCAGGGTGGGAGGAGAAGATGGCATTGCTGAAAGGCAAGATGGCAAGCTAGAGGGGCGACTGTCGAGGGAGAGGATTGCGTGCGAAGACGATCGGTTGATACGACAAGGCCAAGAGAGGTGTTACACACAGGAAATTACGCAGGCAAGTATGGATATCTGGAAAATAGACAAGACAAGCAAAAGGGAGACGCATGCTCGAGTAGAGAGCGGCCGGTCCACAGTAAAAGAGTGGTTTGCTTGAGCTTGGCAGCGGTTTCTACGCCACGCAACGTGGAGAGAGGGAAGCGCAGATTGAAACAACACGGGTTCTGGAACAAAGGGTGCAGCAGGAGTGCGCATCTCTGCCTGAGGGAGAGATGCAATACGAATGATGTGCAGCGTGTTGGGCAGATAGCAGCAACTGTAGAACAGTAGAAGTAAATGTGTGGGAGGGTCCTGGACGTGTGGTCGAGGACGACGTGGACGGGGATTGGACGAAACCCTTTGCGGAAAGGCTGACGACGCCTTCCTGCATGGTCCGAGCGTGGGAGTGCGCGTCGTGTTCGCCGGAGCATTGCGTGGCCGCGAAGGCAGAGGATGACCATAATCTGCTCGTCTCTCTCTTCTCTACGTTCGTGCAAACCACCGTCGCTCCCTTTGAACATCGTCCGTTAAAGTGCTGCATCCCGGGTATACCAACTTCCCACGCAGCGACCGACTCCCCCGCACATAATTCGCCCTCTGCAGAAAAGACGGTCCAGGTGCCAAGGGGCTGTGCAATCCATCCCACTTACGTCCTCGACCACTTCCGGATTGCACTTTGCACGACCCGTCGATAATCACCACCACGACCCTTCCACCTTTCGCAACCTCTTATATCGGACGACTTTGTCGACCTCTCTTCCATCATGGCCAGCCGCACACCGACGAGCCGTGGCAGGCGCTTAGCAGTGCCCGAAGGCCTCAATGAGACATGGGCCAAGGACTTGACCGACCAGTTCCGCCGCACTCTCAGCACAAAGCGTATGAACGCTCTCACGAGACAGACAACGCAGCAGCAGACCCAATCGCCCAATGCTCCACCGTCATACTCTTCTCTCCGCAACATTCCGCTCGTCGCTACCGCCCCATCGGATCGCAACTCGTTGCGCTTCCGTTCTATGCTCCTCTCCCTTTCCAACACCCCCTGCCGATGGGAAAACCCTGGTCTTCTCGACGAAGCACTTCGCTCAATTCCCCTAGAACGTATTTATGACCAAGCACAAGAAGAGAGCGACCTTTACCTAGCCGAGGCTGCCTCATTAGGACCCAACACTAAGCCCGCCTGGGGCTACCAGGACTGTGTCGTCAGAGCCCTCATGAAGTGGTTCAAGCGCTCTTTCTTCCAATGGATCAACAACCCCAAGTGTGGTGCATGCCATGCACCCACCATTGCTGTTGGCATGGCTGCTCCTCTTCCCGACGAGCAAGCCCGTGGCGCCAACCGTGTCGAAATCTACCAATGCTCCAACGCTCAATGCCAGGCTCACGAGCGCTTCCCCCGTTACAGCGATGCCTTTGTCCTCCTTCAAACACGAAGAGGACGTGTCGGCGAATGGGCCAACTGCTTCAGCATGTTGTGTCGTGCAGTTGGTAGCAGAGTGCGTTGGGTATGGAACAGTGAAGACCACGTCTGGACAGAAGTTTACAGCGAGCACCGCAAGCGCTGGGTTCATGTCGATGCCGTCGAAGAAGTTTGGGACCAACCCCTTCTTTACACTCATGGTACGTTCAACTCTTGCATTCCTAGCAATGTATCATGTTCTAACACATTCTCTCAGGTTGGAAGAAGAAGCTTGCTTACTGCATCGCCTTCTCCGCCGATGGCTGTCAAGACGTCACCCGCCGCTACGTGCGCAACTTTGGAAAGTACGGCCTGCCCAGAACAAAGGCACAAGAGAGTGCCGTTCTTCACATCATCGCCGAGATCAAGAACATGCGCCGTCGCGACATGAACAAGACAGACAAGTTCCGCCTTGAGGGTGAGGACATTCGCGAAGACAAGGAGTTCCGCCAGAACGTCATCGAGAGTCTCTCACGAGAGATCTGCCGTATGCTTCCTGGTCGCCCAGACGCAGACATGCTCAAGGCCCAAGAGCGTGCCAGAGAGGCTCAACTCGCTCGTGCTCGCAACCAACAGAACGCTCAATATTTCAACCCTCGCGATCAACAGCAGCAATAACCTTTCGTCTCTCACACATCGACCACCTCCAACAGACTCCCTTCTGCTGGTTTGCAGTGGCAGCTATCGTCCTGCTTCGCATCTAACATTATAATTACCTCAAAACCTTGCGGCATCTCCTCCTCCCTTCGACAAACCACTTTACATCATACATCGGAGCTTTTTATGACCGCGCCGACAGATTCGATTTCCTTTGTTATGCATTTCCTATCATCTCGTCTTGGAGCTTAGGAGTTCGGCCTCGACCCTATGGGTACGAGGATTCTTTCATGGGCTATACCACGTTCAAACCTTTGGGCTCTTGGGGGGCATACGATTTTCCTATCTGTGTTTGCTTTGCTCGGTGTTGCAGGCGCTCTGGGTCCATCCTCTTTTGTACGAGAGTGACGACCGGAATTTTTACAATGTCTAGTGTTTCTTCCCTTTCCCTGTCTCAGTACAGCTTCTTGTTCTACTTCTCTTCTTCATTCACACCTTTTTCTTCTTCACCACATTGTTCATCTTCCTCTTTTTTCTGGTACGACGTTTTGGATGTGTGGAACTACTTCTCTCTTATCGATATTCTTTACGCGACCAAGGAGATGGAAAGGAAAAAGAAGGATGTCAGCCTTTTTCCACATGGCGATGGCACACGAGTTTGCAGTTCACCGATATAGAATCAGAGAACGAAAGCGTTGCTGGCCAGCACAAATTTTACAAAGATTCAAACAAATATACCAGTTCATGCCTTCTCTTGTGACCCGACCAACCGTGGCTCTTGAGAGTAACGAGGATGTAAGTCTATACAGACTCTTGTGATGCGAGTCAAGTAGATGTCTCGTAAGCACCCAATATTGCGACGACAAGATAGCATGCGTATAAGCCGACGACAAGCATTCGTTATCATGATATCATCGTTCGGCTATCCAACCACCTATCTCTGTTTCATACACAAAAACCAAGCATTTTTTCTGATGTGAGAAAGTTGCAAAGTGCGGTGACTCTTGCCAACCACTGGCCGCGTCGATATTCGCCGACCCTGCCACAGTTTTTTCTAAAAATAGCTGCTTGCGGACGGAAAAAAAGCTACACGGCCGCGTTGCCATGTCTGGGCATTTATGAAAGACCACAAGGCAGACGTAGTCTTTTAGCTGGGCAGAAGATGATTAAGGAGATGAATAAGTTAGATGGATGTGATAAAGTAAGTGAGGAGAAGACAGAGGAATAGCTTTGGAGGTGTGTTTGATTTTCAGCAACAGGATGGGATCTGAGGCCAAGGATTCGTGGTGCGTTTCAGCCCAGCAACGCAGAGTGGCAGCATGTTGGAGGAGCAAAGAAAAGTACGTCAGCAGTGTTTGCGCAGCCACCCCTGCGGACAAGGCTGCGGACGGCCTGACTACGAGTCGAGGATGCGCAGAATTGATCGCTCTCATGCGGTCTTTGACACAAAACCCTTGCGTTCGCCTGACAAGTTGTTCTCCTTCCTTCCTATAACATCTGTTGGTCGTCCTTCCATCTTCCGCCGTCGCCACAACAACAACAACTCGTTTTTGACAACGCCTCTTCCACCTTTAAGGACCCTTTATTAGCCACCTCCGCAGTTTCATATTCGCCATACATATACACATCGTGTCTCTCCACATCTGAACCAATCAGCAGGGCAGACCTAGGACATACAAACCATCAACAACACCCTCCACATCTTTCGCAACCATGGGCAAGGCAGGGCGCGCAGTATGCATTTTCACGCCAATGGCGTTGACTATCGCCTCGTTTGTCTGCATTCTTCTCATCAACCTGGGTGGCATCAGCAAGTCATCAACAACACTGAATGACCTGCACTTCTTCAGTGCCGACTTCACAAATTTCACAACGGACAGCAGTACACTGGGTACGGTTATCAACCTGGCCAAGCAAGAGGGATTTATCTCAAACAAGTACGAAATCTTCCTCTGGAACTACTGCGATTCTGGAAACGGTACTGGTAGCGAAAACATCACTCACTGTTCGGCTCGTCAGACTGGCTTCTGGTTCAACCCTTACAAGGTCTGGAGTCTCGAGAAGGCCCTCAACGCCACCGAAGATGTTGCCAGCAGTCTCTCGGGTACCGGTGTTGACAGCAGCATCATCTCTGAGCTGGAGTCGTATGTCACCAGCAATGCCGACGCTCTCTACGATCAGGTTCTCGACAGCAGCACCCGCAAGTCAATCGATTTGTACAAGAAGCTGAGCAAGTGGATGTTCGCCGCCTACTTCGCCGGCCTGTGGGCCTTGATTGTCACCATCGTCTTCGGTATACTCGCAGTCTGCTCTCGTTTCGGCAGCTTCCTCACCTGGATTTGCGCCATCATCTCTACCATCCTCATCTTTGGTGGCTCCATCACCGCAACAGTCATGTTCAGCATACTTGTCTCGACCTTGCACGAAAAGCTCAAGGATTACAACGTCACAGTCAGCCTTTCGACACACATGCTCGCTGTGACTTGGCTCGCTACTGCCTTCATCCTCCTCGCCACCATGTTCTGGCTCTTCAGCTGCTGCTGCTGCTCCGGAAAGTCCAACCCTCACCACATCCGCAACAAGGAGGCTCCCGCCGCAGAGCTCGGTCTCCCCAAGGGCGGTCTTTTCAACAGAGGCAGAAGCATGAAGTCTGAGAAGAGTGGAGCTGGCTACGCCCGCGTCGAGTCTCCCTATGCTCACCACCACACCGCTTCCGACTCTGTCCCATTGACACACGTCGACGGCGCCGCCAACTCTTACTACAAGCAAGAAACTGGCTACATGCACGAGCCCCAGAGCCCTGTGTGGAACGCCAATGCCGCGCCCTATGGTGAAAACTACGGCCGCACAACCGGTGGAGCATATGAGCCTTACCGCCATAACAACTAAGCTGTAACGCCCTCTGTTGGACCTCATCGCTGCCTCGGTTTTTTTCTTTCCCGATACGATAACATACCCCACCTTTCTCCATACTATATGGATTACGAAGAAACATTCATGTACATAGACACCAATTAACGAAACCTCATTGAACTCTTTCCATTACAAGCTACCCTCATCATCATAAGCTATATCTCACATGCCATCAACTTTACAGATCAGAAAGTAGTTGTGCTTGTGGTACCATCTCGACAGCCCCACCAACCTGGGGTCTGGCAAATGGTAGTCGTGGTCTGGGATGTTGAGCTTTCTATCCTTGAAGTAGTGGTAGTCTTTTCCTCATCAAAAAACTTCCACTCAGAGCAATCAGCGCAATCGACATCTTGCTCACACCTCGGAGTGGCGTTGTATTTCTCAATCACATCCTTGATCACACTGCTTATTCTGTGCGTACCGATAGACTCTCTCCAACCTAGATCGCCGACTGTATCGTACGTACAATTGTGTCCAGTGTGGCATTTGCTTTGGAAGGCATACCCTGCAATCGTGCAGGGTGAGTTGAAGGAATTGCAGTGTCCCATGTATACCGGGTCGGCTGTATGACCGAAATGATAGATCCCAGTGTAGTGTTTTCCAACGTCACCAATGCTGTAGCCAGGAGGTGTGGGTAAACCCAATCGTCGAGCGGCGAGGGCATCGGGAAAGGCTTCGAAAGTGATAGTGGGGAGTCCGTAGGTGAGTCCCAGAAGCGAGGATACCACGCCACCTAGCGAATGTCCGGTCAGCCAGACATCGGCATCTGGATAGATTGCAGTGATGTTATGGTATAGATGTCGAGCGGCATGGTAATAGTTGCTTTTCTTCCGCAGACTTGTCATCAGACAGCTTGAGTTGCAGGTATCTGTTGAAGTCTGGCAGTCGCAAACCCTCCTCCACGCGTATTGGCCACCTTGACCACAGCAGCAACTCCCGAATAAATTATCGTTTAGGATATCGTTATTGGAAGTCTCGCCGTCGTCGAAATAAGGTAAAGAGGTCCCTTTGAGTCCGATAATCACGGTTTTGTTTTCCGTGTCGGCAAACACATGACCGCGTAGTCCATCGCGCTCCCACCCGAAATCCTCAGTGTAGTTGAAACCTCCACCAATATCGGTCCATTCTCCTCCATGTGGCGGATCGACGTATGCATTTGCAGCAACGTGTGCGAAACTCAACACCGTACTTTTATCACTGACGTCAGGCCCGGAGATCCTATCTATTGTCCAAGCATCAGAGGTCAGCGAAACAGGTTCTCCCAAGAATTCTCCAGCTTCCAATAAACTATCGATGCTGTGGCGACTGCGGTCAGATAGTCGCTGTATCTCAAGTGCATTCGATTTGACAGCAAACGCTGTTGAAGTCGCCTCGCCTTCGCAGCAGCTCTCTTTTGTGCCATCTTGAACAAGTGAATCGTGATAAATATCGATTTTGCGGAAAAGTCGTGGGTATCGGTGAGATCCTTTGTGGTAAATGTGTCTCAAGGTCTATGCAACGCGGTTAGTCACTTCAGACTTGCAGACTTTGAGAAGTAGTCACAGTACAAAATTATGCTCTTTCGACAAAGGAGGGTTGTTCACGGGCACGAAAGGAAGTTGCAGGTCGAGTCTACCGTTGTTAGGGGTGGCGCACGAGGGCTTGCAGAAGAGTAGACATAGAGCGGAGATGAGGATTTGGAGATGAAGTGTATGGCTCATTGTCCTAATGCTTATACGCGGTAATACCTGTGGTGCAGTTGCAGGAAATATCGAGTGATGTCAAAACAGGCAGTCATGTGGTTAGTAAGCCATCGAAGGATTCCGGGATGCGAACTCAAAAATCATCCGTCATTGAGGTAGCTGTCTGTACCGATCATGTCAATTCCTCAGGCTTGTCTTGAGGAACAACTATAGAAAAGGAACTCAATGTGTATCAGCAAATACTTGAGCTTTACGAATATGGTATTAAGATTGCTAGTATATATATGCAAGTGTAATGCTTTCTTCTTTCACTTCCTTTCTTCAGTCCGATAGATAGTCATATAAATCATACTTATTCCCTCACCCATGCATACCATCTCTTAAACAAACAGCCTACCCTTCTGAACAAAAGGAAATACGCGCCTATTTCATGCCACAACAACCAAACACCAAGAGACGAGTAATAGATATCAAAACATAGGAAAATACGTACTCGAACAAAGGTCGAGGTACACATCATGCTTATGCTGAAGACTTCAGCAAAGCGATAGCAAGGCTACCATCAATGCCTATGTTCTCAGCAGCAGCGGTTTGAGCGCTGCCGACGATGCAGTTCACAGGTCTTGACCCCTTAACGTCGTAGACAGCCATTTCGCAGGTCGTTGATCCGCCAGAATAGACATTGTACGCCGCACACATCTCGATGCAGTCGTCAAAGGTATACACAAAGCCCGATGTCAGCGGCTTGAATGTTGCAGGTGTGTTGGCATCGCAGTAGCGGGTAAATGTTAGGTCGACAGTAGATGTTGTGTTGTCGGCGGAGGAAATGAGCGACGACGAGTTGGAGATTGCGGAGACGAAAAGAGTGTTATTCGCCGAAGGACAGGCGGATAGGGGCACAAAGGTTGGTGTTGAAAGTGTAGTCGATGATGCACTTGTTGGTGTGGTGGACTTGATGGATGTAGTCGTGGTCGGTGATGAGGCAGCAATTGTACGAACTCCCGCCGATTGTGATGATGTTGATGTGACTGACTGTCTAGAGAGCGAATTAGTGCAAGTTGTGTATGGCAAAAAGGAGCATACTCACGAGCTTTGGTCGCTAGCCAAGGCTTGAGCGGTCGCAGCATGAGATGCATTGCGCCCTACTGTGCCTCCCACTACTGCGCCGACAACTATCAAGACGAACACAAACGCCACCAGCAGGAATGATCGCACTTTCATTCCGAAAATAATCCGTGGCGGCTTGTTGTTGTCGCGATACTGTTGTGCGTGGAAGCTTGCAGGATAGTCGTCCATGCTGGTCACCGGATACTTGTCAGAGACAGGATATGTGTTGTCATCGTACTCCAATCCATGCTCGGGTAGCACCTCAGGGGCATTGTGATATTGATATATGCCTGATAGCCTCTGAGGTTCGTGATGTTGTGGTTGTTGGTGCGAGAAGCGATGTTGATGTAACTTCTGAAAGGTCAGCATTGTTTGTACCGTCGTGTGTATGACTCGATGCTCTGTATCTATGCGACTCGATGGGATGAAGAGGGTAAAACGAAGATTCAGGGATACGAGGTAGTAGCGATACAAGTTAAGACCATGTTGTGCATGCACTCACCTCTGTTGATGCCATGATTCGCTTAGTAGAAAGCCAAGATGCCCTTATCGATCAAATCAATCTAGTAAAGTCTGTATTGTCGAGATACAAAAGACGGTGAGTTGACAAGTAACGCGTAACGGTGAGATGGTTGGATAGAAAGAGAGAGACGAAGGATTGAACGGTTCCCACGAGGGACAAGAGAGAGACAGATAGGCAAAAGAGAGAAGACGAACGCTCGGTACAAGTGACGGCGTCAAAAGCGAACGAACGAAACGAAGCGGCCAAACGCGTTGCATGAAGGAGTCAAAGCAGAAAAAGGACGATCGTCAACAAGGAGGTCTGGTGCTGTACCTTGTGCCTGGGTTGCTGCATCTGCATACTCTAGCCCCCGGACCCGCCGCGTCCTAATTCCAACGTCCAGGAAAATGGCGACGAACTTGCAGAGAGAGGTAAAGATGGTCCGGGCAATGCATGTCATGTTCCCTGTTCGAAACGCCAACGACAGGAAACCTACCGATTATTGCGTTACTACTTGGAGATCCCCGATCGTAGGGTGGATCTCCCGTGTCTTTGACAGCCCTGTCATGATGAGGAATTGAGATATGGCGTCTCGACTTCGAAACATGGCTTTGCTGAACGGCGAGGTGGAAAGATCAGCTAGAAGGAGAAAAGGACACGATGTGGAGATGCCTGCTTCCAGCCTTTGCCTCGTTCGGTAAGGTTGGTGTTGCACAGTCATGCAGGTTTACCCTCGGTCGCCCCTCCGTCACACAGTCCGGCGATTTGGGTCTCGGTGCATATGACCCCCTGAGAAGGATCATTGCGTGTTGGTCGCACGCCTTGTTTGTGTCGCTGATGGAGTTCACGTCGCGAAGAGGGTTTGGCGATGATGTGGTGGGAGGGAAAAGGCAACGGACCGCTCCTTCCCGCTTTTTGACAGATCAAGATCTCCCCCACGAAAACAACAGAAACCGTCAACCTTCAACCTTGTTCCTGCCAATCTCATCGTCCGTTTTTCTCGCAGACGACAAGAGCCATAACGTCAAACAGTCATGCATGACAAGGTCATAGAACGATAGTGGTATGTGTTCGACGACCTGCAAAGGAAATGGGAAGACAACCGACGATAGATTGCAGAGTTTAGCAAGCAAATCTCCCGCCGCGCCGGACAAACAAAACCTCATGCATGTCATCTAAAAGTCCCACAAAAAGGAAGCTGAAGAAGAAGAGCGCGCCTCGAAAGGGCAGAAGAGTGACATAACCCTGCAGGAAACAAGGGCTTTTTACGCACGAAAAGATTCCAAATGGTCAAACAGCTGGATGGGGCTGCGCATTGCATATTGGATTCGATTTGCCGCTCTTCCTGCCTTACTGCTATCTTCTTGCTTGAACCTTTTAGAGCGATGGACGAAAGAGAGCCAAGGGAACCTTGCATACAAGACTATCAAACAGTTCGAGCAAATTGACATGTCGAACGGTTTCTGGCGTGTACAGCTGAATCATGCAGCGCTCCTTGCAAAGAAGAACCTCGCTTGTTTCGCATAGACAAAGAAGCACCACAGCCACGAAAGACCCAAGAATTCGGATAGGGCGGACTGCCGCTGTTCAAGATGATGGTGATGCTTTCATTCAATTCGTACAAGGTCGCTGGCTAGCTACTCTTGACTACCCTAACGCACGTAACCGCGGATAGTTGGAAAGTGAGCAAAGACATGGGCCTGCTCGCACTCAAAGTGTAGCGCGGCTTTACAGCTTCATGCCCAAAGCCTTGTGCACCCTCAGGGACTGGCGTATGCTCAGGTCCAACATAATCTCCTCACTGCCACCGGGGATCGCATAGGCTCTGACATCTCTGTAGAGTCTTTCGACCTTGGCGCCCTGGCCACCACGGCTGTAACTGAGACCACCGAAGATTTGACTTGCCTCGCGGGCACAGAATTCGAAAGTGGTGGTTGCTTGGGCCTTGAGACCGGCAATGGCACCTCCGAGTTTCAGCATGGCTTCCACCTCGTTCATCTGCTGGCACTGGTAGATAAGGTTTTCCATCCATGAGTACGATGCTTCAATCTGGCGGAACATGTGGGCTAGCTTGAGACGAATGACGGGGTGCTCGATAAGCTTCTTGCCGAAGGTTCGTCGCTTGTGGGCGTACTTCATCGACTCTTCGTAGCAGACGCGCGAGAAGCGCAGGCACTGGATGATGATGCCGATACGCTCGTGGCTGTCGTTGCTGTCAGTAACCGTCTTTGTTCGTCTCGGCAGATGTTGAAACTTACTTGAAGTTGGTCATCAGGACTTTGAAACCTTGATTCTCCTTGCCAACCAGGTTCTCTACCGGTACCTTGACATCTTCGAAGGTGACATATGTCGTACCACTCGACCAGACACCTTGGCAGTCCATCTTTCTGGTCGAGACACCGCCGAAACTGCGCTCGATGAGCAGAACGCTGACACCGTTCATGCCCTCGCCACCAGTGCGAACGGCAGTGGTGAAGTAGTCGGACCAGATACCGTTGGTGATCCACTTCTTCTCACCGTTGACGATGTAGTGCTTTCCGTCCTCGCTGAGCTTGGCCTCGCAAGTGAGGTTGGCAACATCGGAACCAGCATCAGGCTCAGTGATAGCCAAACAGATTCTCTTGTCGCCGCTCAGGATCTCGGGCATGATTCTTTGTACAAGCTCTTTCTTTCCGTACTTGAGTACTGGAGGGGCACCAATGCCGAAACCACCAATCAGGTTCCATACAAAGCCACCGCTACCAGCTCTCGAGATCTCATCGGTGATCAGCATCTCGTGGAACAGGTCCCACTTCTCTGGAGCGACGCACTTGACACGCTTGTCGGTGAGGTCCTTGGGGTAGTGAACGCCCATCAGACCAGCGAGATAACCGCGTTCTCCCATAGCTTTGTATACTGAGTCTGGTACTTTTCTGGCTTCGTCCCATTCGGTAATGTTGGGCATGATCTCGTTCTCCATCCATTCTCGTACTTCGGCGCGGAGGTCGGCGTGGGATTGGTTGAAGTAGGGGGAGTGGTACTGCGGGCAGTGTGAGTAGACTGCCTAGGTCATCTGAGAAAGAGCACTCACAGATTGGTACCAGTTGGGGTCACCTCCAGGGATCATGTCACCAAATTGGTCAAGAGCCTCGGCCATCTCCTTTGCATCGGCACCAGGCTCGGGAGCCACGGTACCCGACTCGGCCTCGGGCTTGACGATTTCCTTTTCCTTCTTTGCTGCTGGGGGAGGTGTGGTAGGAGGAGTCGGGGGAGCGGCAGCCTTCTTCGAGTCCAAGGAGCCGACCTGGAGCTGCTTCTGGTACTTCTTCAGGATGCCCTCATTGTGGTACTTCCAGAACTGCTTGCTGGCATCCTTTCCGGCTACTCGTTGCAGGATCTTCTTACCACCGGGGTGCTCTTCCTGGAGTGAATGTGTCAGCTGAATGTCATGCCGGGGTCAAGTCGAGTCTTGGTTACCTGGAACTTGGTCAGGTCGTAGACGTCCTCGTCGACGATGATCCAGAGGTTGTCGGCCTTGTTGTGCGACTGCACGTCTTCCTTTGAGAATGTGCTTGACATGTTGTATTCTAGATGTGTGTATCCGCGCGTGCGTTGTACAGCGTTTGGGAAAGGTCGAAGACAAAGCAAGGGGTGGAAGGAGTCGAAAGGCAATATCCGTTCCTGTCTTCACATGTCAGCCCTCGATTGTGGTTTAACGTCTTCCGGTAACCCGCTAATAACATACCACAAGTCACGAGGGGAGGTAGCCGTCTTGGAGAAAGGTCAAGAAACGGACACGAGAGCGAATCAGACGACTGCAATTTGAAAGAGGGCTCCCAAAATGTGACTTTTGCCGAGGTACCGAGGCAACTTTCACATGTTTCCCCAGCTTTTCACCTCCGCAATCCGATGTCCGCTTTTGTCACGAGGCCGAGGACTGTTTTTAAACTCGAACACGTCTTGGGCCATGGCATGTGAGATTACATATGACATTTGGCTTGCCTTGAGATTTACCAGACATCAGATGTCTGGTAATCGAGTCCAATGATGGTTACAAGGAGGCAAGCTCCACGCGCTGATTAGAATCACTTTTACCACTGGAAAAATGTACAAACTGGTCCAGAAGCGGAGCTAGATCCAAGGAGAGAAGATCAAACGAACGCTTCGAATGGTTTCCCTTGATCGTACCGCGCATTGTGATAGTTGTATCGCTGCTTGCTACTGCCTAGGTAAGATAGCTCCAGAGAGTTGATGTGACCTCGGAAAGTTCAGACACGGCGCGAAGGGTGACCGATTACGTCAGGCAGCAAACAACAGAACACGAACCATATTGAAAAGCAAAACTTTCCCCTTCAACTGTCCTATTCAAAACGCCCTTTTGAACTGAGATCAATCTACACAACCACGCCGACCATGTCTTCGTCAAAACAAGTCCACGTCGTCAAGTCTACCGACGTTCAAACCTCCTCCGGCGGCCAAACGGATGGCATGACACGCAAACCCGCCATTACAGGCCTCGCCTCAATTTGCAGCTCTATCATGCTAGCCGAGCCCCATTCAGCCTCTGCAGTCCACCATCACGGCGCCCAGGATACAATCGTTTACGCGGTGCGTGGACAGGGTGCTGTCGTCAGTGAAGGAGGCAAGAAACGACAAGTCCTGAAGCAGGGAGACTTCGCCCTGATACCTGCGTATCAGGAGCATCAGGAGGTCAACGATGGGGATGAGGAAGTCGAGTGGGTCATTGTGAGAAGTGGAGCTGAACCTGACGTTGTGAATTTGGAGGGTTGGGGGAAGAGTTGAATAGGTCGACAAGCGACTTTTCTATTTGTACAAAATATGTTACAATCGAGCGACATCGTATGACTAATCCCTGAGCTTCAAATGATAGGTCTTCAGTTGTTCCTCGGTCATGCGTGTCGGGCTCTTGACCAATAAATCTTCGCCTCTGCCGCTCTTGGGGAATGCAATTACGTCTCTAACACTTTCCTTTCCGAGCATGACTGCGATGAGTCTGTCGAAGCCCAAGGCCATGCCCGCGTGTGGCGGACATCCTGCTCTCAGCACCTCGATCAGATGGTCAAAGTCCTTGAGGCGCTCCTCACTCATCTTTAGCACCTCTCGTAGGACGAATTGTTGCATGGCTGCTGAGTGGATTCTGCGACTACCACCTCCGAGTTCAACGCCGTTCACTACCAGATCGTAATGTTCGGCCTTGACGGCGGCTGGGTCTGTGAGTAGTAAGTCTACATCTTCCGCGGTCTTAGGTGCTGTGAAAGGATGATGTGTGGAGCTGAAACCTGCTGCACCGCCTTGACCGGGCTCATTGGCCACAGACGGCGAGAATAGTGGGAAGTCTGTAATCCAAAGGAACTCGAAGCCTTGAGGCGCGGGCATATATCCATGTTGGACCGCAAACTTGTGTAGAGCCAGTCGCAAGTTACCAAGCGGCGTGGAGCCGCCTGCATGAGATGCATTCTTACGAGCTTGTAGGACGACAAGATCTCCTTCCTCAAGGTCAAGTGTCTCTTCTATCGTCTCTGCGGCTTCAAAGCCGAATACTGAAAGACCAGAGAGTGGTTTACGTGGATCGAAGATGAAGATGCCGGGCTGACCCTCTGGATTCTCGTTGAAGGGCTTGGCTTCTGGTGAGTCCATGAAACGAGTCACGAACCCGCGAGTCTCTTTGGCGTCTTCCGAGATGGGAATCTTCAACACTTCCACAATAGGGTCGTTCAAGGGACCAATTTTGCGGACGAGGTCAACAGGGAGCATGTACTCAACACGTGAGATCTTGGATCCAAGACGGACGTCAGGCTTGTCGGAGCCGTAAGTCGACATTGCATCTTCGTAAGAAAGATGAGGGAACTGGCCATCGTAGGAAATGCCGAGTAGTTTCTGCCAGAGTGTTTTGATGACAGATTCGACAGTGCTCATGACGTCTTGTCCAGTTGCAAAAGACATCTCCAGATCGACCTGCGTAAACTCTGGTTGTCTGTCTGCGCGAAGATCCTCATCACGGAAACACTTCGCAAATTGCACGTAGCGTGGAATACCACTTGCCATCAGAATCTGCTTGTACTGTTGTGGACTCTGCGGTAGAGCATAGGCAAGACCTGGTGTGCGACTTGGGACCAGGAACTCACGAGCGCCTTCGGGAGTCGACTTGAATAACAAAGGTGTCTCAATTTCGGTGAAGTCTTTACCTTCGCAGAGCTCTGTGCGCAGAATGCTGGCGGCTTTACTCCTGAACGCTAGTGCATCTCGTAGCGGCTTCTCCATGCGCAGCTGTAGATGTCTTTGTTCGGCCGAAAAAACAGAATCCTGGGTGACCATGATATCCTTGGGGAAATGGTTTAGCGGAGATACCTTGGTCAGCTCGATCTCGACATCTGTAACTGGTTGGATGGCTCCCTCTTCAATCTTGGATGATGAAGGTTTGGCTTTTCGGCTTTTGATCTTTCCTTGTATTGCCACGGGCGTCTCGACACTCAATTCAATGAGCTTTTCGAAGACGCTCTCGCCTGTGCTGGTCTTGTTTGACGCCACTAGCTGAATGGAGCGTGATAATGTTGTGTCTCGAAGCTCAGCGAAAAGCAGGTTCTTGCCGGCTTGTCTTTGCGTACCCAGATAGCCGTGAAGCACAACATCTTCTCCAACTTCCCTGGTGGCTACATCTTCGAGTTTGCAAGTGGCTGATGGGAAATGGACTGCGAAGGAATCAGTAAGCAAGATGGACTCGGGTTTCTTCCCACCTTACAGTTCTCTTTGAACTCCGTCAGAAGCTTTTGGTGCTCTCCAGACCGAAGTACTTGGCCAGAGGACAAGGGTCTTGTTTTATATGTCGATACCGATGGCTTTGAGGACCATGATCGGCGTGTTGTGTTCAGGGCTGCATGTTGTAGACTACGACCGCAAGATACGGCAAGCGGGAGTATGCTAGGCAGCATCAAGATCAAGAAAAACAAGTAATTGAAAGATCAAATGATTTCTTGGATATCACAATTGAATCTCGAAGTCCATGGGCGAGGATGGCTCATGAAGAAGCAACGGGCCAGGCCGGCAGAAAAGCCGGGATTTTGCCGGCGCATGGTTTTCTTTTTCGCGCGTCGCGGTGATTTTGAAATCTTTCATGACCTTCCAAGTTTAACAAAAAGTGAGTATACATCGTTCTACGAGCACGCAGGAATCTCAACTAACCAAACGTGCAGATGATGAAAGCCTAGTGTGTATCAGTCGAGTCGTCCGCAGCTTTTCTATAGAGCTCTCCTCTTCGGAGGCTCAAGTGGCTCTATGGAAAAGTTGCGGCGGCATGAGATCTGCGTTCGGCACACCACCTTGTTATATCAACGGACGCGAAGATGGCATCTCTGATTCAAATTTCACTTGGAAGGTTCTCTGCGCCTTCAACTTATGTTGGTAGGTGTGGCGTACTATTATATAGCGATATGATCTCTTTTTCCAGCACAAGTCTTCGCCATTTCCTATGCACAGTGAAATGTTACGCTGGTGTCAACCTCATGGAGTTGCTGGAACTATATTTCTATTCCACTGCCTTCAACGACATCGGCGAAGAAGAACTATAGCATCATCAACAGGTCTCGCTGCCTTTTTCAGTGGAGGCGCGACCGTAACATGCTTGCTACATATGTTATGCAAATCTATGACAGTGATAGTTGCACAAGTAAGATTGTCAGATGCAGGTTTGCACTTCGTCATCTGCCGGCGTTAGCGCGTTTTGGCATTCCGAGGTGACCGAGTCGTTCATGGCAGTCGTTGCGCCCAGAGTTGGCCATTGCAAGTTACACAATTCTTACTAGGGGAAATCGCGCCTGCCATTTGGAAACAGCATGAACTAGACAGCGCGTCCATCACGTATCAAGAGTCCTCGTCGAAGCACAAGCACGCGCCCAATGTCGAGTTCGGTGGAGAAGTCGGTCAAAGGCGGCACCAAGGTCAAGGTACGACTGCCACTACCACCAGACGCTGCACCTACCCACGTCTCATGCGCGCGACCATGTTTGCTCAGTGCTGATGGCTTCTCTCACAGCTTGCGCCGCCCAAGTCCAAATATGTCGAACACATCCTCCTGGCCACGTCCGGAGGTGAGGCCGGAGTGGCCGAGATCTTCCGCACACTGAAAGAGCGCCTACGCGACACCACCTGGACAATCTGCTTCAAGGCCTTGATCATTGTGCATTTGATGATCAAGGAAGGAGAAAGAGACGCGACACTTAAGTATCTGGCCGCGGCTCCCAAGAATCGTCTAGCCATCAACAGCTACACTGATGGTATGAGCCCCTTGCCGACTATCTCATACGTGAGCTCTGACAGGTCCAAACAGTCCAGACACAAGGGCAGAACATTCGACGATACTCCAACTATCTCATCCAGCGCGCAGAGTCCTTCGCCGACACGCACGTCGATCACATCCGTAACCCTGGCCGCATGAAGACCCTCTCGATTCCCAAGGGACTGCTCAGGGAGACAGAAGCCATCCAAGACCAGATCAGGGTCTTGATTAAATGCGACGTGTGTACATCTTGGTCAACCCATCCTGCCCACAAGAGTCTGACAAAGCATAGCCCCTCGAGAACGAGCCTGAAAACGACATCTCGTTGATGGCATTCCGTTTGCTCACCAAAGACTTGCTCGATTTGTTCACTGCCATGAATGAGGCAGTCATGAATATCCTGAGTCAGTAGCCCATTGTTTCGCATCTATCCCAAATTTCTGACACGCCCTTGCACAGGCCACTACTTCGAGCTGTCTAAGCCGGACGCCGAACATGCCATTGGCATCTACAAAGCCTTTGCGAAACAAACAGATCAAGTCGTACAATATCTAAGCATCGCTAGACAATATGAACACATCACCAAGCTGGAGATCCCCAAGATCAAGCACGCTCCTACCAGTTTGGCCAACTCGTTGCAAGAATACATCGATGATCACGACTTCGAGACCAACAGAAGACAATACCTGGCCGAACAGCAAGCCAAATCTGGCAAGCCGACAAAGCCTTCAAGATCCGTCACCTTTGCTGCCGAACCTGAAAAGGCGAAGACTGTGACTGCACCGGCTGCTTCTCAGCCAGCCGCCAAGGGTCCAGCTCCTGATCTCATCGACTTCTTCGGCTCAATCGAAGACCAGCAACAGCCAATGGCCCAGCACCCTACACAGCAATACGCTCAAACAACCGGTCAGCCATTCGGCCAAGTGTATGGCCAACCAATCACAGATGCATCTTTCCAGACTGCTCAGTCGACGAATCCGTTCGGCGTTCCACAAAATTCGCAGTTCATGGCCCCGCCCGCAACCCAGATTCAACCGCAGTTCACGGGTGCCGGCTTTGGTGGCTATGGTCCTCAACCTCACCAACAGGTGCAACCACAGCAGACTGGCTTTTCCTCGAACCCCTTCCAGTCGGCAATTCAGCAGCAGCCCTTCCAGAGTGCACCGCCGCAACAGCAGCAACAATCTTCATTCTTGCAACAGGATCCTTTCTCCATGCAGCAACAACAGCAAGATCCTTTCGCCATGCAGCAACAACAACCTGCACAAATGCCGCCTCCGCCACAGCAGGTCCAACCACAGGCAACCAACCCTTTCCGTCAATCCATGATGCCTACCGGTCAGATCAACGGTTTTATGCAACCGCAACAGACAGCCCAGCCCCAGCAGCGGCAGAGCAGTAACCCGTTCGCAAGGCAAGCACCTCAACAGGATGCTATGCAAACTGGATTCCAACAACAGCAGCCCCTGCAAGCTCAACCCACTGGAACAAATCCCTTCGCGAAGCAATCCCCCCAAATCCCTCAGCCAACAGGACAACCAGCATCATTCCTCACCCCTGCGGCCACAGGAAGTACAAATCCGTTCAGACAGTCAATGTTCGTGAACCAACAGACTGGTCAGGGTTGGCAGAATACACCTCAAGCCAGCATGGGAGGATGGGAGCAAATGGAAACTGTTCCTGTGTTCCCTCGACCTGGCCAATGATTGAATAAGCAACGCACAAGTTGTGCATCATTTCAAATCTACGTCCTACATCTCATCTTGGTTTTACTGGTTTCTTGCGTTAGCGTGGCGTTTACTGAGCGATGGACCGCCGAGAAGCATTGATATAGCAATCATTGAGCGTGTTGCATTCAAAGAAGCATTTGTTAATTGCCTGGATAATCTATATGCTTTGGATTTGAATGCAGCTCGTACACCCATACAAGACATTATTTCTCTGGTGATCGCACTATAGCCCAAAGCAACATTATCGATATACAATGTATAGGAGTCTTCCGATATCGGTATCGATGGAGCAACGCTTGCTGTGCTGCTCTATCGTGCCTTCCTAAAACAGGTTGATGCGGGAAGCGCGGCTCTGAATCTCCAGATTCTGCAAGCCAACGGCAGACGGCATGTCATCTTCAAAATTTCGGTCGACACTCGAGATCGGCAGGTTTCAACACATTTTCGGAAGGTGGTAAATATACCCTAGTGGGCGGTCCCATGTTTCAATGCTTCTCCGATTCATATCGTAAGCCCACCGCCATGGATAACTGGGCGACCAAGCCCTGGGCTTCATATCAACACCTCCATCCGGCATCTGCAAGTGATAGTGTGGAGAAGATCCATGCATGATATCGGGACCTTGCAATCTTGCCACGGCACGGAAGAAGCACCACGATTTACGTTATCGACATTATCTAGGTGGGCAGTGTTGAGCATAACTGATCTGGCAGACTACAAATATGGAAGACTGCTACTGCTGATCACCAGGCCTCCTTGCTATCACGACTTCGCTCGTGGCTTTTGGTGGTACCTTCTTCTGCTTCTGGTATCCTCATTCGCTGTTTGTCTATCGCTAAACTTCATCCTTGACGTGCGCATTTCACGAACCATGCGTTTCTTCAGCTCATTGTCGGTGGGTGTTGCTCTGGTCGGTGCTGTGACTGGCCTGGTGACCCCATACACCAACACTTCCACGGGTCTTGGGGACTTTCCTTCACTCATCAATGTCACGACTGAAGACCTCGCCACCGGACTTGAGGCTGGTCGTTTCACCAGTGTCGACCTGGTCAAGGCATACTCTGCCAGAATCATGGAAGTCAACAGTACTTTGCATATGGTGACTGAGATCAACCCTGATGCTCTGGCCATTGCTGCAGAGCTGGATGCCATGCGAGCAAATGGCACAATTTTGGGACCGCTCCATGGACTGCCAATCCTCATCAAGAACAACATCGCTACTGCCGATCAGATGAACAACACAGGTGAGTTAAGTGATTAGCTATGAACAAACAGGATAAGATTCTGACAAGACACAGCTGGATCTTTTGCCCTGCTCGGTGCAAAGGTTCCTATTGACTCTACATTGGCTACTAAGCTGAGAAAAGCTGGCGCCATCATCCTCGGCAAGACCAACCTTTCGCAATGGGCCAACTTCCGCTCAAACAACTCTACCAACGGATGGTCTGCATATGGCGGCCAAACAGAGGCTGCTTACTATCCTCACCAAGATCCCAGTGGCTCTTCCAGTGGCTCTGGTGTTTCCTCCTCTATCGGTCTTGCTCTTTCCGCTCTTGGCTCTGAGGTGCGTTGGGGCTTGATCCAACATTGATATGATATACTGACTTGCACCAGACCTCTGGATCCATCCTTTCTCCCTCAGACGTCAACAACCTTGTTGGTATAAAGCCTACCGTTGGACTTACCAGCAGATACCTTGTCATTCCCATCTCCGAGCATCAGGACACTGTCGGACCTATGGCGAGATCCGTAAAGGACGCCGCCTATCTGCTTCAGGCCATCGCCGGTGTTGACCCTAATGATAACTATACTCTGGCCATTCCTAACAACGGCAGCATTCCCGACTATGTTGCAGCCTGCGACTACTCCGCTCTGGCCGGGAAGCGCATCGGAGTTGCTTGGAACGTCATCGACATCTATGGCCCCATCGACGAACCCGTCATGACCGCCTTTATGGAGTCCGTTGCCCTGATCGAACGTGCCGGCGCCACCATCGTTGACGCCAATTTCACCGCCTTCCCCGAATACGTCCAAGACAACAACGAAACCCTCGTTCTCAACGCAGACTTCCTCACTAACCTCGCCACCTACCTCTCGGAGCTCAGCTACAACCCTAACAACGTCACCGACCTCCAGGACGTCAGAGATTTCACCCACAACTTCACTGCCGAAGACTGGCCCGATCGCGATACCGCTGTCTGGGACGACGCACTCGACAATCAGGGCTGGAACAACACCGACCCTCGTTTCTGGGCTGCTTACCAGGCAAACCTTTACTATGGCGGTGAAGGCGGTATCCTCGGCGCCTTGGACCGCGAGAACGTCTCTGCTGTCCTCCTGCCTACTCAACTCTCCCCTGGCATCCCTGCTCTAGTCGGTAGCCCTGTCATCACCGTTCCTATGGGCTTCTACCCTGCCGATTGGAATGTCACATACAACAGAAGAAACACCTTGGTCGAGACCGGGCCCAAGGTCCCGTTCGGTTTATCCTTCATGGGCAGGAAGTTTGATGAAGCTACTTTGGTTGGCCTCGCATATGCTTATGAGCAGAGAACTATGCACAGAAATGATGTGCAACCTTACATCATCCCTAACATCGAATTGGGAGATTTCGTCAAATAGAATTGATCCGTTCAGAACAGTAGAATTAGCACGATATAACACACATAAGTTGAACCGATAGGTTACTGTGCATCAGATCTATTGAAAATCCACACTTTTGATTGCTCCCCTCTCTTTCGGCAGGACTCCTATCTAGTAAGGTTGACCTTAAAGGTCGAGCTTCTTCGTACGTATACCTCTGATCAGCGTATCATACCCTTCTAAACTCTGATGATAAAGTCTGTTACAATTAATGCCAAACATCCATGTTTTCTGTTCGTCCGAGATTGATAGAGAAAACACAAATCTTGATGTCCATTCCGTACCTGGCCAATTTACAGATGGATAAGAGCGTGTCCTCGAAGATCTTCGTTGACAGCGAGATGATCACACATGGCTTCCCAAAGTATTGTTTAGAGACAGATGGAGACAAACAGATACATGGGATAATCGAACAAGGAAGCAAAGATGCGATGGCTGTCGTGTGTATGCATATCAAGACTTTACGTTTCATAAATGGCCAATACTGCTTATTCCATAGTTGTCTAAGTGCTGTTGTGCATGTCAGTTCTTGACGATGTTTATGCTAATCATACGGTAGTCAACTCGCTCCATCGAGACAGCTATATCCAGGGTGTAAATGTAATCATCTGTTGATGCAGAAAGGGTACCAGCCTATTCTTGCACAACAGCTTGTCCCAATAATGCCAACTGTGCGCAGCACCGGCTTCTATTTTTTCCTCCTGCCGCGTCGATTCAATGCGCAATCGGTTATCCTCAGCCGCGGTGGCAGTCATTGCACTATCTCGTACTCGTTGAGCGAGGGTGTCGGCATCCTCGGTATCGCCCTGTGACCATATATCCGCCATACTGATTTGCAGTGGTTGCAAGAACATTGGTCTGAAACGACGAGCTAGAACTTCCTGCTGTCTATTGAGCTCGCGCTCACGTTGCTTCCAAGCGATATCTGCGAGCTTCACAATCTCTTTGGAAAATGGATTACGGGGGTGCATCATTAGATCCGGATTGCCTGTTAGCAGTTGGTCGATTTTGTGCCATTCCTTGTGCATATTCGCACTCTGACGAGGAAATTGCGTGGATTCGAAGAGCGAGAATATGAGAGCGTCGAGTGGAAGATAATTGTCGACGTACCACATGTATTTGTCCGTGATGTCGTATGTGTTGATGTAGGTGTGAATCCTGTGCTGAGAAGCCGACCATACACACTCTCTTTGCTTCTTCGTGAATTCGTTGTCCTCGCCCCCCTTGCGTATGCTTTCGTGATTGATGATATGATCCAATCTGTACTGCGCATTGCACGCATTGACAAAGGCTAGCAGGTACAGGGGATCCGAGTCCAACGTCGCTGTAGGGTATCTGTCGTCGCACTCGGTCTTGTAGATGCTGACAATCATGAGCTTCGAGGCAAGGGATCTGTCAGAATCGAATAGCTTGCGGCCGGTATCCTTGTCTCGCAAGAAGTTTGCGAAATGATACTGCATCTGACAGAAGGTCATCTCGCCTAAATGCTCACGCTCTACTGGTGTACCGAGAGATTCGGGTACAAGATCGTCATCGTCTATGTTCCTCGGCTCTTCCGTGTCAAAGTCTGACAGCAGCGAACTCATCAAGAGGTCCTGACCGCACAATTGGCCGGCCTGAGTATCGATGAGTATAATCTGCCACCAAAGACATCTTCTCATTTCGCTCTCGACAGGTGGAACATTGAGAGTTGACCCGTCTTTGTGGAGATCCAGGCGTTGCCCGAATCTGACTGCAATGTTAGTCAGAGGCCATATTGCCTCTGGAGGATAACGTCGCCGAACACCCAACTACACAATGGAATCAATGCGCGCTATGTCTGAGACCGTCGGTTGAGATGGACTTACGAGATAGAAAACCAACGCTTCCAGAATCCTTATGCTGTCTGATCGCATAAAATCCGCTCTAGCCAAAGCAGTCCGCGTGGCCTCCTCGTATTTCATGAGAAGAGTCCCCCACGAGGCGCCATACTGGCTCTCAAAGTCCGAAAAATGCCTGATTGACGAGACAGCCACAAGAAGGTAAGAAAACAACATTGGTGCAAGTAACGGGTTGACATCCAAATAATAGGGAGGCGCCCTGAATAATCTTTCCACAACCAATCGTTGTGCAATCTTCGTGACTGGATGGACATGCTCAAGGAAAGCTTTCAGTAGCAATTCTCGGTGTGGTAAGGAAGGAAGCAAAGAGCTCATCTTAACGGATGAGGGGAAAGACGCAACGATCAAGGTTGCTGTATAGTCGGATGCAAAGCCACTTGGAGGAGGCAACGCCGGAGCCGCAGTTTCCACAGGAGTCGTGCTCTCATCAAGGATCATATCGTTGACGTTTACGGATTGCGCAATGATGCTGTCGGCGACGTTCAGATCGCTAGCAGGTTCCGACGTAACACTCTCGTCAGTGTTGGCCAGGATAGCAAGCATTTCAGTCGGGCTACTTCCATCGATCTTGATATTTCGCTGTGGCGACGGCGAGCTGTCTGGCTCAGACACCCGTCGCCTTTTGGCAGCTCTATCAGACATGGCTTGTGGAATTTAGGTCGACTGATTGGTATCGAGAAGATCATTGAAGGTCTACGGAGGAAGGTGGAACCACGTGGAACGCAGCGTTATCTCATTAATCAGACGCGAGAACGAGCCTCGTCATTATTTTATGCAGGGCGTTGGCCAATCAGAGGCCTGATAGCGATCTTATCTGCACAACTATCATAAATCACATAAACTTATGCTCTCTTGTATAACCTCTGATCCATGAGTCTGTGGAGCCGACTCCAGGGTTGCTCCCGAAACAAGCATTTCTGAGGGCGGCAACGAGATTTCTTGCTGTACGACTGAGCAACTCCTCTCACGATGAGCTGAGTACATGCTTTGAGAACTATGATCGATGAAGGAAACATTTCTGCCTTGGTGAGTACCTCCTACGCTGTTGCAGCAACATTGCAGTTTGCCTCTGTCTACACTCACTGAGGCCACGCTCAAACATGTGATGTTCTCAGCAATGTCCTTGCGGATGACCACATTCATGTTGGAACCATGTTCCTTATTGATTGGTGCTGTAAGTCGACTCGACATAGCAAAGCAAAGACCATAACCTTCTGACACTTAAGGCATCCCACTATGCGACTTCCACACCCTTGCTAGTCTTCTTATGCAAAGCTCCCAACCAACTGTTGTACAAACCACTTCTAGTCTTCTTTCCAAAAGGCAAGAAGATCAGGACGGCGAGATTGTTCACCGCCAAGACAGCACAAAACGCGCCTCCGATAATCTTCGCGTACCCATGTTCCAAGATCCAGTCTAGCAGGTAGATGCCCATACCAAAGGAGATAGCTTGTTTGCCCAGATTCATGGCAATAAGCATTTCCGCCGTGTTTGCAGTCATAGAGTCCACAGCATAGGCAAGAACGAAAGAAAAGTAGAAATAACTAACGAAATCAGTCATCGCCACGCCGGCAAAGTATCCTATCCAATGTAAATTTCTTTCTGCCGTGAACCCATAAAGGATCAAGCCAGCAGGAGCGATAAGGCAAACCGGAAGCAAGACCCACAGTCTCATCTCCGCTTCTCGGATATTGTTGTTGCGTTTTGTGAGGTAGGCTGCAATACGGTCGGAGGAGGAAGCGAAGGGGACAGCAAGGGCGTAGCCGATTATGTTGGCCAGAGCGATCAGGCCGCTGTTGTTCGGGTTCCAGGAGTACGGGGGCGCAACAATCTTGATGGGGAAAGTGTAGTTGAAGGTCAGGGCGCCGAGACCGATGTAGATGCCTGTCGTCGCATGATGTCAGTCACGTCTTTGAATGCGAATACGCGGGAAGGCACAAACCGAAGCTGGTCACAACCCACATGACACTAGGCACCAAGAAATAGGAGAAAGAGCGAAGCATCGTCATGAAGAATTCAGCTTCGTGGTCAATGCCACTCCATGGCTTCAATGTTTGGATGAACGATCTTCTCGCTGGTGCCAGGGTGATGACTTCGACATGCTCGGTGTGACCTTTTTCATTATCTTCGGAGTCGGCAGATGATGTTGAGACAACGATACGTTTGTAGGCAGATTCTTCAACGAAGATGAAAGCCATGATGAGCAAGGCGCATGCGAAAGCGAATTCAACGTAAAAGTAGAGTCTGATCGCATGTTTAGAAGGAGCGACCGGGAGTGGGGAGGGAATGCACTTGCCTCCACGAGTATCCTGCTGCGAGCATGTAGCCGGCATAGAGTGGTCCTGTTGAGCCCCAACATAAACATACGGTATAGTATCCTAATCTCTTGCCTCGCTCGTGTAGGAAGAAGATGTCGTTCACAAGTTGAACAGGCAGAGCTTCGCAAACACCAGAGCCAAAGGCGTGAATAATACGAGCAGCCATGAGACCACCGTATGATGTAGCTTGTGATGCACCGAGGAGACCAAAGACGAACTGGACTGATCAGTATATACTTGTTGTCGAAAGTCAGAATGTATTTACCAGAAGTAGAGAGAACAACATGACAGGTCTGCGGCCAAATTTGAGATAGGCAGGAACAAGCAGCAGAGAACCTATAAACTTATGAGTAACGGATTCCAATGGTAGGATATCAGACAGTCATACCAAATCCAAAGACCAGATTAGGATAAGACACCAGGCCTGAAGCCTCAGTGACAGAGATGCCAAACTCCTTGCTGTAAATCTCAAGGTAGACTGAAGGTCCCACCAGAGCGCTGTTGCCGAGGAATGAGTATAGTGAGACGATGATCAAAATCATGGTCTTCTTCGATTTTGACCATTGCAGCGGGTCATTCGGATCCTCGCTAGGTACAGGGTAAAGAGCCTGTCCGTATGCCGTGTCGTCGCCCTCGAGAGCTTGGAGGTTCACAGTCCCTGGCAGATCCTCCTCATGAGCATGGCTACAGAAACATGAGCATTGAGAGCCGATTAACGAGAAGCTACAGGATGTACCTGTGAATGATATGCCGTTGGTGTGGATGCTGCGAAGATCCTTCCATTGTGTTCGAGCTTGGAGTTGAGAAAATACTACTGGAAACGCCAAAATGGGCGGAATAAAGCACCGGCAAAATCGTCTACATATATCCACTCCATCTCGCACTAAGCTTTCTTCCTCTAAGGATTCTCGTTATCGCTAGGTATGAGTATGCGGAGGTGATGCAGTTGATAGACACTCTGGCCCCACGTCCTGTGGGGCTAAAACCGGGGACCCCGCATCCCAGCCAACCAGGAGCCTCCTCATGCAGGTCGCCTTGCACGTTGTATTCCTGATCGTCTCCTCTTCGTCCGTAACCAAGTTGGTTTGAGATGAAAGCGGTAGGCCACGCATCCTCAACTGCCGATCCCTGTCAATGAATGCTATGCACCCTTTCTCAACCGCTGTGAATCCATACGTCCATGCCTACTCCGCAGACAATGAGCGAAGACGAGTCTAGAGCCGCGAGATCGGAAACATCTGCGACAGCCGTAGAATAAGTGCCTCTCCGCTTGATGGAGAGGCCGTCTACCACTGGCAGTGAAGAGTCATACTGCACCTCCCAGAGTTTGAGACGCTGGTCGATACTGGTTGTAGCAACGGTAAGTAGATTGGCGGTGGAAGAGGCTAGAATCTCGACGCCAGTTACAGCAGCCGCATGCGCACGCGGGATAATCACTGTGCTGACTTGTGGCGTACATTGAGCCGGATGCCAGGCACAGATGCTGAATGCGACGGCGTTGTCATCACCTCCTGTGAGTAACAGACATGTCCTGTTGTCAAACCAATGCAATCTCATCGAATGAATTGTGTTCTGGTGGATTATGGAGCGAGACGACCACCTCAAAGCGCTTGGTTCGGGAGTAGCGAAAGTCGAGTCGGCCTCCAAGGAAAAGAAAGCAACATGCCCATCAGTACCAGCTGTGATAAGCGATTGTGCCCCATTGTCACGCTGTATGTGCAGACATTGTGTGAGACAAGACGTCAAGTAGTTGCCAACCATCAAGATACTCCAATGATTCTCTTGACCAGGGCTGTATCGATACATCTGCTTATGTTAGTTGAGTACAAGAACAACACGATGCAGAAAATCTTACTCGCAAAGTAGAGTCCGAGCGAACCATGGTGATGATAAAGTTGTCACCTTCTTCTACGCAGGAGAAGCTCATGATTCTGAGATCAGGCAAGTCGCTCTCGGTAGGATATACCGACTCGCAGACTACACCAAGCTCGACTAGAGGTGCCGTCTCCACTCTCCAAACGAAGAATTCCTCGAACCCACCACTACTGAAGAGGTAGTGCCCATCAGATGACCACTCCAGCTGCCGAATACCAGTGTTGTGTTTTCGCAGTGTTTTCAAACAGTGGAAGTGGGGCACTTTACCCTCATTCTGGTAAGTGAAAAGCTTGATATCCGTGTCCTCCGAACCGGTTGCGAACAGTATGCCGACATTTATGGGGTTCTTAGGAGCAACAGCCACCGACTTGATTTCGCGGCCGTGATTGCCTTTGTTCAATACCTTGGTGGGCTGCTGAATCTGCGAAAAGAGGCAAAGCTGAGAGGCCTGGGTCCAAACGAAGTGGCCGCCTTGTAGCCCGCTCTCGGGTTCAAATTTCCAGATCCTGTTCGCTCCTCCACAATCGATGCTCATGATCTCGGTCTCGTCAGTCGCATCAAACACGATAAACCGCCGACTGTGGAAGCCCCAAACCAAGAGGTGACCAGTAATCCCATCGATGTATAATCCTTCAATGTTTGTGCCTAGTGGCAGAGTAGTCTGGCTGATAAGTCGGAGACCGATACTCGAGTCTGACCTTGATAGCCGGTGTATAGCATAAGTTCCATCTTTGCCAACTGAGAAGATGTGACCGCCATTAGAGGTTGAACCCGGTTCAGCGAACCAAGCGAGGTCAGTAACAGAGTCGGTGCCATGGGCTCGGTCGAGCAGACAGTGGTGTGTTATATCATCTTCAATTATCCCACCTTCTTTGATGAGAAAGATGGATATTGAGCCACTTCGGGAGCCAACAACAAGCATCATGCTGCCTTCTGAATCGAGATTGATAGTAAGGAAGCTAGTAGTGACGAAACCTTTGGGCAATGTCAGTCGCCAAGTCAAAAGGTTTTCAGTCGTTCGAGGACTATCTTCGGAACCGCTCAGATCGAAGCGTGAGAAGAGAGCCGTTTTGGCCTCGACGTTGGCAATTAAGAGACCAACTTGGTGATGAGCGGTGTTCAGGGACGTCAAGTCTTGAGCGAACAAAGCTGCCGTTTTCCTGGTTGACTTCACCAACTGCTTAATCTCGCTACCATCATACAGCATGACCGAGCCATCCATTCCGGCCAAGAAAGCAATTGATAGGGTTGGTATGCTGGTGACGACGGAGTATCCGCGAAGCTTTGGCTCGTTGCAAATCCATTCTGTTACAGGCTGGCGCTGCTCATCCTGAGTTAACAACAATATATTGCCTGCATTGGTAGTGACCAATAGGTCTGTCTTGCCGAGGAAAGCATAGCTTCGCAGCATATCTGGTCGTCCAGATGTTGACTGCTCGGGACATAGCGACCCAAGGTCCTGGATAGACCAGCTCTGAGTATGATCGAATTGGTTCGTAAAAGGCACAGACTTCGGTTCAATCGCAACACTACCGTCAGCGCCACCACTGGCAACGACAACGTGTTCTGGAGATATCTGGTGGATTGCCCAGGACCAGATGTTCTTGCCAGAATGTAGGCAAGAACCTCCATGGTGTGTTAATGAGAACTCATCAGGCGCTGTCTCCTTCAGACTCCAGAATTGATGGGTGGTGTCTTCGCCAAAGGAAACGACATAGGAAATCGTGCTAGAAGTTGGAGACGGAATGAACTTCACGCCCCATATCCTGGAGGCGTGACCCCAAGCTTTGGCGATGCATTTTCCTCCAGATGCGTTTCCTGGTAACACATCTGCAACGTTAGCACCAAAACCAGTCTCTCGAGCCGATGTCAGATCTGCAGCGGCTTGTGGATCTGTAGCAGTCTCCGGCAGGTATGAAATATCCCAGACCCGAACCGTACGATCGTCGCTACAGCTAGCGAGTAAACGTGATGGACCCTCACGACCTTCGTGAACTTGGTCAGTCGGAACTTCGAAGATTTGGACCCCGAAGATAGACCCTTCATGACCGATCAACACATGATGGAGTACTGAAGAAGGTGCACCGTGCGTTTGTAAGAAGCAAGACCACAGAATAATGTCGCCAAAGACTGTTCCCGAGGCAATAAGAATGTGCTCGTCGTCAGTCCAGTGTACATGGGCCGAGTAGAGAATGCACTTGGAATTCGATGTCAATTCCTGCAAACCAGTGTTTGAATCGCCCAAATCGAGCAGAAGAAGTGCGTTGTGAGCAGTGATCAAAGCAGCTTTCCTTTTATTCCCAGATAGCTCTGGAGAGATGGCAATGTCAAGGATCCAGTCCGTTGCTTCCAGAGAGGAGACGAATTCGAGTGTGGAAGTGCCATCCGAGGTGAAGGTATAGAGTGCCACCAAACGACCACCCCAGACAACAATGCCATCATAATAGATAGCTATCCCATGAATGGCTTGAGAAGCGAAGATTTTGACTGTCTCGAGCAGATTGTTGTCATGACGCTGGTGGATTCTCAGGACAGGGCCTTCTCCTGCAAACAGATAATCCTTACTGAAGGCCAGTGCTGTCACCGGGACCCGATGTAATTCATGCTACAACAGTCACTACTTGCCAGTTCGAGTTGATCTCAAGTAGACGTACTTTGATCATCTGCAAAGAGCCCTAACGCAGAGCCGAGCAGGGAATCAACCGCAGAATGGAAAGGTAAATATCAATTGATAAATAATTCGAAGAGTCGCAACGAGAAAAGAGCGCCAAGGCTGTCGTCTTGCAAAGTCCGAAGCCAAATTCTTGTCGAGATTCTTTCAAGCATCGGCCTTTTCTTCCAAAGTCCGAGCAAAGCAAATTCTTGGTCGCGGATTATTTCTGTTTTTTTGACACTGACAACCACTCATTGTTCAACAGAAGTAATGTCTACTTGAAGAATACACTAATTTCGATTCTTCGTGCATTATGGATATTCACCGCTCTCGATTTGTGGCGTTCCCGTCATCAGCAATCAACGCGCTTTCATTCTCCCGGTCAAGCGACAAAAACCTTACGGATCCTAGACCTGCGCTGAAGCTCGCACTTGGACGTGCAAACGGAGATATAGAAATCTGGAGCGCCGACAAAGGAAACTGGGTGCAAGAGTCTGTTTTCACAGGAGGAAACAAGAGAAGCGTAGATGCTTTGGCATGGATACAAGAGCCGGACGATACGGACTATGAGGGACACACAATTCTTGGCCAGCTGCGTCTCTTCAGCATCGGCTCGACCGCTGCTGTGACGGAATGGGACTTGACGACAGGAAAGGAGCTACGCTCGTCAACTGGAAACTTCAGTGAGGTCTGGTGCTTTGCCGCCCAACCGCGCTGGCGTCAGACGAAGACTTCGCGCGACGACGAGTTCCGCGGCCAGAACCTGGTCGCAGGAACAGGCGATGGTACTCTGGCCATTCTTTCAACCGAGGACAACGACCTTGTGTTTAAGCGCTTCTTGGCTCGTGGCGGCAGTCGCAAGACTCGATGCATGAGCGTGACATGGAAGGACAGAGACACGGTCGTTGCAGGCTTCACCGACAGCACCATCCGCATCTACGACGCGCGTAACGGCTCTCTTTTGCGCAACCTCAGCCTGGGCGCAGGTGTTCCTGGCGCTCCTCGCGACATCTTGGTCTGGAAGGTCAAATGCTTACCCAATGGTGACATCGTCTCGGGTGACTCCAACGGCCAGCTTAAGTTCTGGGACGGAAGAACGTACACTCTCTCGCAAAGCGTACACGGCCACGATTCGGACTGTCTCGATCTTGTTAGCAGCACAGATGGCACTACCGTCTTCTCCGGTGGCATGGATGGTCGCATCGCTGTCTTCAAGCTTGGTGGTAAAGAGGGAGACAAGAGAAGATGGGCCAAGACCAGTCACCGCCGTATGCACGAGGGCGACATCAAGGCTATGGCTGTCTACGACTCCAAGCACATGAGTGTCGTTCTGTCAGGAGGTGCGTTGCACTGATCCGCTTCATCTTGTACTATGCTAATCTCTAGTAGGCCTCGACACTACGCCATTCGTTATTCCCCTCCGCAACTTCAACAAGGAGAACCACCGAAGACTTCCAGGTCTGCCCCAGAACCCTGTTCTGGCTTCATGTCCGCAACAACGCGTGCTTGTAAGCTGGGCCGAGAGCACAATAAACATCTGGCGCATGTACAAGCAGAACCACGAGCGCATCCCTGTCCCCGAAGGCACACGAAAGCTTCTCACTCGCATTCGAATCGACTCGACCGAAACCATCACTTCTGTCGCCATCTCCCCGGATGCCTCACTTCTCGCTGCGTCCACCACCAGCTCCGTGAAGCTCTTCCACCTCTCTCGTACCGAAGACGAAAGCTCCGAACGCCTCCGAGTACGCAAGATTGCCGCGCCTGAGACTATCGGCGAGAGCGGAGCTCGCCTGATTACTTTCTCGCCCGATGGACGTTGGTTAGCAGCAGTGACGCCGCAAAGCGAGGTTTGTCTTGCAAGAGTAGAGGATGATTCGGACAAACCCACCTTCTTGGATGCAAATGTCGAGTTGGAACGTCAGACTCGCAAGGTCACCATCCAGACTGGCCTCAAGAAGTACGAGCGTACTATCAACAGACTAGCTTTCTCGCCCGATAGCGCCGTTCTGGTCGCAAGCGATCTTTCCGGTTATCTCGACAGCTGGGTACTCGAGGGTCGCTACGACTCCACGGCCCCTGCTATGGATACTACCACGAAGTCTGCATCTGGATCTGACAAGGGCGCCGACTCTGACGACAGTGATAGCGACGATGAGGATGAGACTACCGTCTTCTATGGTCAACACTGGACGGACAATCCATCTGGTAGCCTTTTGCCTAAGCTCGACTCTGCGCCTCTCGTTCTCTCTTTCCAACCATTAACACCAGCTCAACAAGAAGAGCCTACAGTCAACGGCAACCCTGGCGTTCACCCTACTCGAAACAACCCCCACCCCCACTCGCATGCTCTTCCTTCTACCAAATCACCTCTTTTCATCGTGACCTCCCACCATCAAGTCTACACATTCGACGTCCTGAGCGGACGCTTGACAGACTGGTCGCGTAGAAACCCCACAGCTGTTCTTCCTGCCGAGTTCCAGACCATCAAAGATCGCGCCATGGGTGTTGTATGGGACGTCAACGATGCCCGTGCCCGTGCCTGGCTGTACGGTGCCAACTGGGTTGGCATGCTGGACCTGTCGCAAGATTACGAGCCTTCTAGCGTACTGGAAGAAGCCTTGGAGGATGGCGAGGACGATGTCGCTGCTCAAAACACGCCCAGCAAGAAACGCAAGCGTCGCGAGAGCAACAAATGGGGCAAGCTTGCAGAGAACCGTAAGAAGGCCAAGGGTATGGGCGGCGCCGGTGACAAGACCGCAAGTGGCGAGACCAAGGGCGTTGTAGATGAGATCCGTCGCATCGTGGACGGCAAAGCCGTTGAGACCATCGATGGCACTCACGAGCAAGACCTGGATGATGAGGATGCTTTAGAAGACGCAGTGGGCCCTCTTCGTCGCGATGACGCCGAGGCAGACATGAATGAAGGCACAAATGGCGCTCTTGCCACGACAGGCCGAAGAAAGTGGTGGTGTACATACCGATACAGACCGATATTAGGAATGGTTGCCATGGGCGAGGCATCGGAGGCAGACGAGCAACCAGAGGCAGTACTGGTAGAACGCCCCCTTTGGGATCTACCTCAACTGCAAGAGTTGAGTAAATAGGCTTCTTGATACCACCGTGGCCTTATATCTAAGCAAAAAGCATTATTCATTCATCTCCTTGGACAAATGCATCGAATCCGAAAACATCGCGCCTTTGGATGGCTGCCTTGCCAGGCCCCTCTCCAGCCTGAGAGCTCGATTCTTGTTATGTTTGTGCCCCTGTTTGTTAACTCACATGTGTCATGCGCTATACCAACTTCCCCATGTACCTCTTTCCAAACACCCGCAGCACGTTATCTCCACGATCACGTTTCACAACACTCCACGTGCCATGGTCAACCACAAGTCGCGTTATCTGCTCCGTGTGACCTCCCAGATTCAGGCCCCTGCAGTAAAACGGTCATCCCCAGATACGAGGAGGATGCAGTATGGGGTATACATCTTAGTTGTACACCGCCATCTTCCCTCTTGGCCAGGAGTCGTTTCATGATGCGGGAGTGTCAGCCCTCGTCAGCCGAGAGAGAAAACGCTGGAGAAGATCACCGAACGTCCTTTTTGGCGCCGAGAAAGGGGCTTCTTGGGTGTGCATCACGCTCTTTGAGACACGACTGTCAGCCTGCGATGGCCAGGCCGTTAGCTGTATCCTGATACACCTTCTGAAAACGTCAGTGCAGAGGGTATAGCCTGTATAAATGCCACCATTATCGTCAGGCGATGGAGGAAAGATTGTGGTGGAAATCTAGACCCAAGAATCGCCAAGCAGATTCCACTTTCAGGGTCCAAGCCACGGCGCAATCTACAAAAAGACGTGGGCACCCCACGGGATCAGACGTCAACGAGTCAGAGGCATTCCTCGATCTTTGATATTCCACCAGCGTACTAATATCAGCCCTTCCTTGTCCGACCTTTTCTTGTCGATCGTCGAGTATACCGAAGAGACGACTACGCATACAGAGATCGGTTCGGGTAACTTCTCCTGAGCCGGACTACCTACATCGAACTCGATCAGCTTCCGGCAGAATTCAATCTTTATCATCACTCAACCAAAATAATCCACAATGGCTGCGACAGTTACAGCTTTTGTGACGGACACCGTCACAAAGACGATTGCCATGTCCGCCACGGCATCTTCGACTGCAAGAGCGAAAGCACAAGGTGGTATCCTGGAAGGCGAAAATCCGACACATTATAATCCCAAGGATCCTATCATCATATTCATCATTCAGGTACGCGTTGCATTGGGAGAAACTCATGGCTCGTGAAGGTCGCCTACTGATTACAAGTTATTAGGCCGGTGTTATCATTCTATTCTGTCGCTTGTTGCATTGGCCTCTGTCCAAGATTCGGCAGCCGCGTGTCATCGCAGAGGTCATCGGTGGTGTCTTGCTCGGTCCCTCAGTCATGGGCAGAATTCCAGGGTTCACAGCAACTATTTTCCCGGCGGCTGCACAGCCAAATCTCGCTCTTGTGGCCAACCTTGGCCTGGTACTCTTCCTGTTCATCGTGGGCCTCGAAGTCGATCTACGCTACTTAGCCAGTAACTGGAAGATTGCATTGAGTGTCGGTCTGGCCGGTATGGCTCTTCCGTTCGGTCTTGGATGTGGTATCGCCTACGGTCTCTACCATCAATTTTCGGACGAAGACGGAACCGAGCCGGTTGCATTCGGCACATTCATGCTATTCGTAGGTGTAGCTATGGCCATCACTGCCTTTCCAGTGCTGTGTCGTATCCTCACTGAGTTGAAGCTTCTCTCGACTTCTGTTGGTGTCATTGTTTTGTCAGCTGGAGCTGGCAACGACGTTACCGGATGGGTCCTTCTCGCTCTCTGCGTCGCTCTGGTCAACTCCGGAAGTGGCATAAGTGCCTTGTATGTTTTACTCACAGCTCTCGGATACACACTGTTCCTCTTCTTTGCTGTCAAGCCAGCATTTACCTGGGTTCTTCGACGTACGCGTACGTTTGAGAATGGACCATCTCAGGGGATCATCGTCTTGACTCTCCTGATTGCGCTCGCTTCATCCTTCTTCACTGGCGTCATCGGCATTCATCCTATCTTTGGTGCTTTCATGGCTGGATTGATTTGCCCTCACGAGGGTGGTTTCGCAATCAAGGTCACAGAGAAGATTGAAGATCTGATTAGCGCTCTGTTCTTGCCACTCTATTTCGCTCTGTCTGGTCTATCTACAAACCTCGGTCTGCTTGACAGTGCCATCACCTGGGGATATGTCGTTGGTGTTCTGGCCGTCGCATTCATTGGCAAGTTCGTAGGTGCCTCGTTGGCTGCCCGTGCGAATGGAGTTGTCTGGAGAGAGAGTTTCACCATTGGTGCTTTGATGAGTTGCAAGGGTCTTGTTGAGCTTATTGTGCTGAACATCGGCCTGCAAGCCAAGATCCTGTCTCAGAGGACATTCACAATCTTCGTTGTCATGGCACTAATCACCACATTCATCACTACGCCTTTGACCATGGCCTTGTATCCTCCTTGGTACCAAAAGAAGCTAGAAGCTTGGAAGAAGGGCCTGATCGACTGGGACACAGGCAATCCGATCAATTCTGGCGACGATACTTCATCGATTGTCGCTGCGAAGCTCGAGACCAGCAAGATTAAGACTCTTTTGGTCCATCTGAGACTGGACAACATGCCTACTCTGATGACTTTTGTCTCGCTCCTTGCTGCACCTACCAAGTCTGGCGAAGCAGCTGTAAGGCAACATCCGATGTTGGCTGGAAAGAGCGCTAGCGTAGCAGAATCTCTCAAGGCCCCAAATCGTCCTTTGGAGGTTCACGGCGTTAGAATGATCGAGCTCACAGACAGAGATTCATCCGTTATGAGTGTTTCGGACGTCGAAGAGTTCCACTGGAAGGATCCAATCATCAACACCTTCCGCAACTTTGGCCGACTGTACAACCTCAGAGTCTCGGGTGAGGTTGCTATCGCGCTCGAGTCTTCTTTCGCGGAGATAATCACGTCGAAAGCGTCAAACGAAAACTCCGATCTTCTTGTTCTTCCTTGGAGTGAAAGTGGAAGTATCAATGAGCAGCAATCATACAATGGAACTCCAGCAACACCTCGACGTCTCGAAGACACAAGCTACGTCAGCTTTGTGGCAGCTGCCCTCATATCCGCCACCACCAACACGGCCGTACTCGTCAACCGCGGTTTCGGCGGCAGCGCAGTGGCACATCGCCCAACATTGTCTCGTCAAGCGAGCAAAGTAAGTTTGTCAAACGATCGGGGACCTGCATCTTCACCCATCATGGACAAGTCTCACCACATATTCATGCCATACTTTGGCGGAGCTGATGGCCGCATGGCGTTGCGTCTTGTGTTGCAACTTGCTGAGAATCCCGAAGTCACCGCCACAGTTGTGTTCTTCGACAGACTTGAGGGCAGTGGCTCACCGGAAAGCAAAGAGGCTGAATCTCACGGTTCACCGAGGGAGATAACACGAGAAGGTTCTTCAAGCTCGAGAGAAGGAAAAGCCGGTGCTGTCGCACGGGTCGAGGATAGTGATGAATCTTTCTTCGCCATGATTCAGAAATCGTTGCCGGTCGAACTATCCTCAAGAGTGATCATGGAGTCTGTCTCGTCTCATTCGCCCTTGGAAGAGGCAATCGCAAGAGCACAGATCGAGGTCGCGCAGAACCCGAAGAATGCAGGCGACTTGATTGTTGTCGGCCGAAAGGACTTGTCCAACGAGTTGGGCAAAGCATGTCTGGGTCTCGTTGCTCAGCGATTCGTCGACAGCGGTCTTAGAGCGAGTGTTTTGGTCATGCAAGCTCGACCGTCTCACACGTCTTCCGAGATTTTCTGATTGAGAAACAGCGGTTGCGGTTTCTTGCTCATTCCGAATCGAGGGCACTGTTTGTGTCGAGATCCAATGGACGCGATACGTGCGTAGGTATGGCGCATGGCGATAGGTGCTCATCATGGAAGCACGGGCTCGAGAGAGGGGCAGTGGGGAGCTACAAACATCATGGCATGATTTTACGAACATATGGATGGAACCATCTGGGGGAAGGTGTTATTGGACGGAATAATGTTTTCGGTTGAAGTTCGATGACCTTTTGCCTATATACCTTTTGATCTCTTTGCATACTTGCTCTCATACCCAAGTCGCTCTTTTCGAACGTGTCACTCGAAAAGCAATCAGGACGTGAAGTCCGGCCTGCGTAATCAAGGAACAAGCCCCGTAGATACTTCTTCAAGGTACAACTGCAGGCTACGAGGTCTTTCAGCTCCCTGCTGACTGGCTAGTCGCTCCGGCAGATGCAAGAAACCAGATCATCTGCCTTGTGGCCTCTAAAAAGTGATACACCGCCTTCACATGCTACACGGGCGTCTTCGCTCATTAACCCGATCCGGTAGCGAATGAGACGGTGAGACCTAATCGTCTTTGCTACATGCTGCGATACTTTGCTACAGGGAGACGAAGGAGAGGAATAGGAGGCCTGAAACACGGTCAATTTGATCGACGGAGATGTGTTGTGAGGCTGCAGGAAGGCGGGCTGAGAGATGGCAGGTCGCATGCATTGCGCGCATGTGCCTGCCTTCCTCGCAAGGGTTGCCTGTTAGGCATAATTATACTTTTCGAATCTGATGCCGTTCCGCGCGGTGCCTGGAAGTTTTAAGCTTCAATCAAATATTTTGTTTTCTTATGGGAAGAATCGATGCTGCCATGTGTGAGTTGTTGCACAAAGTTGTTTGTGTCTTGGAAACAGAGGTGGTGAGATGGAGCAGTCTTGGTCGCCCTCGCTTATCGGAAGTAGTCAGATCAGGAATATCAGGCACCCTCAATCACCCCTTGTGACAATTGCCATGTCTTCAATATCTATGATTTAGGGTGTGCGCCGGTGTAGACGCTAGACCCCTCACACTGTCACATGGCCGTAATTTCCTGTGACAACGTGGAGAAGGAAGAATTGTCGTCATACCCATAACAAAGTCTATAACAAGAATCTCTATCCCTTTGCTGCCGCCTCACCACGCACCTAGTCACCAACACAACACACACACATGGGGCCGGATCTGAATTAATCTTCAAGGATCGCGCTCAAAGCATTCGATGGCTCCCACGATCACATGGACTTTTTCCATGACTCACTAGTTCTACCTGGCTCGTCGTCGGCGAGACTAGCACCGAATAATGCGACGGCAAACAATTCATCCTCTGCTTCCAGAGCGACAAGATCCAATGGAGGAAGCACGCGCATATCTCCCTCGCTGATACGAGCGCTTCGGGATCCTTACTACTTGGTCGGCGCCAGACCCGTTGAATCCGGCAGTCATCGACAAAGAGCCGAAGGGCCACAACTGGACGACAGCGAGTGGCGGAGGCAGGTCTTGAATCTGAAAGTCTCGCAGGTATTTGACCGCTCCTCCACCATTGAGCAAAGACACGACTGACATGTCAATGACAGGCAAAATGCTACACGGACTGGTTTTCGGCAGCTTCGGAACTGGACACGCTCGAAGGCAGAGACGCCTGGAAAGAGGAAGAGGAATGCGATGAATACGATACCGCCTTGCTCAAGGCACGCCTACAAGAGCTGGAGGATGCACGCATCAGCTGCGACGCAAAGCGCATGCTGTTCCTGGCGCGAACCTCGTTGACAAGAGACCTTGGGAACATGGGTGATCTAAGATTATACAAGCACTGCAGAGTCGGCACAAAGGCTCTCATCGAACGCTACATCTCTGCCGCCTTGGAGATGCTCGAGACGATTGTCGACATGTGCTCGCCCGCGAACAAGAAAGATACGTATGTGGACGTCAGGGAGGTCTACGAGCAGCTGTTGAGTGCTAGACAGGCCTTTGGAAGAAGTGCATTGCTACTTTCAGGAGGTGGTACTCTCGGAATGAACCACATAGGAGTGCTCAAGACGCTTTTTGAAGCCCACTTGCTGCCTCGCATCATCTCGGGCGCATCCGCTGGCTCCATCGTTGCTGCCGTTCTTTGCACCAAAACGGACGACGAGATTCCACAAGTGCTACGTGACTTCTGCTACGGCGATCTGGACGTCTTTGAAAAAGAGGGAGAGCCTGAAAATGTCTTGAAAAAGGTCTTCCGCTTCTGTACCAAGGGCGCGCTGTTCGACATCTCCAACCTCGTGCGTGTCATGAAGGATTTGTTGGGAGACATGACCTTCCAAGAAGCCTACAACAGGACAAGACGTATTCTCAACATTGGCGTATCGACAGCTAGTCTCTACGAGCTGCCAAGATTGCTAAACTACATCACCGCTCCAAACGTCATGATCTGGTCTGCTGTCGCCACGAGCTGCTCTGTTCCATTTATCTTTTCTCCTGCTCAACTTCTAGCCAAGGATCCACGCACTGGTCTCGAAGTGCCATGGGACCAGTCTCCGCAACGCTGGATTGATGGCTCGGTTGACAACGACCTGCCCATGACTCGCTTGGCCGAGATGTTCAACGTCAACCACTTCATAGTTTCCCAGGTCAATCCTCATGTTGTACCCTTCCTGGAACGAGATGATGAAATTGCCAATTTTGGATCTCAAACCTCTAGATTTTCTCTGGCCGCTGGACCTGGTTGGCTTCGCTCTGTCGCCAACCTTGCCAAAGGAGAGGCACTCCACCGCATGCATGTCCTCGCCGAACTAGGCGTCTTACCAACTACCATGTCCAAAGTCCGATCGGTCTTGAGTCAACGCTACTCAGGCGATATCACGATTTTACCGGAAGTCTCGTACACGCAATTTCCACGAGTCCTCATGAATCCGACACCCGACTTCATGTCACGCGCCATGCTCAGCGGAGAAACAGCTACGTGGCCAAAGCTATCACAGGTTAGAAACCACTGCGCCATCGAGCTGGCTCTTGACGTCGCGGTTCAAAAAGTACGATATGGTCTTGTCTTTTCACCCAGTCAAATCGACCTCCGTCTCAATGCCTTCGCTTTCACCGCTGCAGCGAACGAAAGTCAAATCCGCCATGCCCGACGAGCTAGCCATGGCAGTCCCCCTGAGAGTGAACGACCACATCTCCTTGCCGTACCACCTACATACTCTCTACGCAAACCTAGTGCAGCGCACACTTCTCATGCCTCTAGTATCTTCCACGCACCCAAACACTCCGGCCACGACGACTTCGCCTCGGGTCAAGAAACAGCCGTCGACTCCGAAGACGCAGATTGGTCCGACTCTTCCCTAGAACCACACTCGCCCCGTCAAACACCAAAACTCTGGCCTCCCGTCTTTCTCTCCCGCTCCCAACCCGTGACGCCAAATCTGCATTCCAAAATGTACAATACCTCTTCTCCAGCATTGGTGTTGACCAGACTGAACAAAGACGGTTATGGCGGAGATGAAGACTCAGGGGCATTAGTGGCGAGCCCTATGGAATATAAATCTGTATTCCAGAATGCCAGGCCCTCTTATGCTGGGGAGGAAGGCTATGATGTTTCGGGGACTAGGGGTATGGTTAGGAGGAAGAGGAGTTTGACTACTGGGTTTAGGGGGCTGTGGCCGCCTGGGAGGTCGTGATTGATCATCTCGATGGTATTTCTTTTGTGTCTGGCTGGGGATGGGTGGCATATTCTCGGTCTACTGGCGTTTTCTGGGCATCTTGGTGGGTGCGCATGTTTGCTTAGAAGTTTTTGGGTACACAGGCAACGGGTTGAGTCGGGATCATGGATTTGGCGTTTTCTCCTGTGAGGGCTGGGAGGTCATTATTATACTATCCCTAAGAAATATCTCATCTATCACGAAACAATATTTCTTATCTCTACCTTTTTTTCGTTTTCGGTTCGTCACTCCCACATACTGAGACAGCTTCGATCAGCGCGTCCTGTCTCTGTCTGCTCTAAACTCATTACACATGGGAGATCCGACCGCGATGGATATCTTGTCGTTATTGTAACACGGATTGGGTGGTCGCGATCTGCTGGAGCTGACGCGACGTGGCAGAATCTCACCGCCTTGTTCCACATTTTCGATCCCTCACCTCTCTTTCTTCTTTGACCCTCCACAGCGCATTGCTAAACTGTCGTTACAAGTTCTAGCAATTTGACTGTCACTAGCACTGCCTTCAATTGTCTTTTGGAAGGAATGGGGGACTAGCTCATTCCCCGTGCTGGTATGCTACTCACACATATCATACACAATACGTCGAGGTGTCTGATATAGGATACAACGAGTTCTGAGATTGATCTCGGCGACGATATGGTTGACTGTTCTCTAGGGATCTACGAACTTCTACTTCATGGCCTCTTTAATCCAATCAGGGATGACAGGCTTCTTCTCCCATGCCTGACGCCACCTCTCTGTCCAACCTTCCGAGGCTGGCATCGCGAAGACAGCCGTCACAAAGTACACATCTTTACCGACCTCAACATCCATGCCTAAAGCAGGCAACACCGTGCGAGCCTCGATCAAGTTCGAGTTGGCGTCGACATCAAGCACCTTACCAGATCTCGGTGCTTGCAGGTCAACTATACCGACAGCTCCAGCTTCCGATACGGTCAATGCAGAAGCTTGACCAGCCTCGGTACCTTCATTGTGCGAAGACGATGACAATGCGCCGAGTGCGCGTCCGGTGGCTTTGGCTGTTCCTTTGATAGCAAAAGCGCCTTCGTAACTCTGCAAGCGTCTTCCTGACTGGATGTGATGTACACGCAGATGCCAAGATGGTGCATCATCGGTTGGTGGAAGCAACCATGTGCGGACTTTGACGTCCGACCAAGGTCTCATTTCTGAGTAGAGGTACGGCGAGCCATCCTTGGTACTCAGCTCGGCGTTCTCAACATCGCGGCGCATTTTCCACATCTCGCCCTCATCGTCACTGAGAGCGAGAGCAGATTCTGGAACATACTGCTCAATAGTATATCCACCAGTGGGCACGCTATAGCCGAAGGAAGCGCTGTATGCAAAGTGACCATACTTGGCTTGTGTGGACTTGAGCGGGTAATGGCATTTTTGACCTGATGATAGCAGGAAAGTGTGTCCGGCTTTATGCACCATGATGTGCAAAGGATACTTCAGAGCCTTGATTTCCGGAAGTAGAGAAGACGACGTCTTGAATGGGTGCGCCTCTTCTTTGGATGTCCAGAATGGATGCTCTTTTGGCAACGCTAGAGGAGCGAATGCCAGCATACACCAATACGGTGAACCAGGGGAGTTGTAGTTCTCTGCCAGGTAGTAGTTCGGATACGTGTATCCGATGTTCAGCATACCGTTAGGCTGGAAAATATCTGGATGTTTTGACCACCAACGCAAGTTACGGAGAAGCATGCCCTTGATCACACCCCACGACAGAGGAGCCGGTGGCTCGACATCTGCAAAGGCAAGCGCAGACCAGAAGCCTACAGTCGCAAAGCGATATGTCAAGCTCCTTCCGAATGGAATAGCATGTCCTTCAGGATCCATATAATGGGCAAAGTCGAGTGAATATTTGCGAGCTCTCTCGCGATACTCTTCGGCTCTCTTCGGATCAGAGTCGCCTGCAAGCTTGGCATATAGCAGCTGGAGATATTGTATGGCAAATGATCCAGAGTAGTAGTCCATCTGTGTATAACCTGCTGGACCATCGTTTGACCAGCCGTCGCCCCTGTGGAAAGTATCCAAATGGTCCATGTCAGCCTCCAGACGGGATTGCGAGAATGGTGCTCCATTCTGCTTCAGGCCGAGATTTGCGAATACTCTGAACCAGAGCCTACATCTGTTAGTATCAGGGTCATTTTCAAGCACAAATCTTGCTCACCAATTCGTGTTGGGCATTTCCTTGTCGTTCATGCTTCCGAGCCAATTTGCGATATTGTCCTTCTGTTTGTCGGTCAAGGGATCCCAGAAGTCTTTTCCAGCGATGGCCAGGGTGAACCCAATTGGGCACGCCTCCACCATACGCTGGTCGAGATCCTCCATGTTGCCCCAGAACTCTGGGCTTTCAGGGTCTGTACCTGCGATAAGACCTTTCACCCATAGATCCGACTTGCTGTAAGATCCCCCTGCAAGGAGTGGTGCAAGACCCCATAACGGACGGGCGAATCCTTCAATCTGAGCTGCTGTCTCGTCGACTGCATCACAAAATCAGTTATTCCATACGGTAAAAGTTAATCCGGACGAAACAGAGGACGGAGAATCATTCTACAGCCTTGGGGAAGTTCACTGCCACATTGACTTGGTGATGTATACAAAGAAGCTCCTCCTACTGGCTTGGCTCTGTACCAATCTCGTGCCTTGGCGAAACTGTCTTGCTGCATCTTGCAACCGCTGGAGAAATTACTTGCTACTCACATCTTGTTCCAGAGCCGCCAACTTTGACCAATGCCTTCTCCGGACTGAATCCTGCTTCCAATGGATCTAACAGCGAGGCGCAGGCTGCGGCGAAATCATCACGAGTGACCAACGCATTCTGCGACAACGGATGCAGCGGGAAAGGACGGTTCTGACTTGCGGCTTGAGCTGTAGACATTTTGATGAAAGGAACGCTTGCTTCACCTGAATACGTCTTGGGAGTGTGTTCTTCTTATTGTCAACGTGGAGTTTCTCCGCCCCGCTTGCTCTTTGCCTGAACGCTTCGGCATGCAGACCACTGATGAGGAAGGAGCCGGTGACGATCTATTGGTATACCACACGTGATGATGGTTTAGCCTAAAGCGCTGATGGTCTTCATCCGGATCGGGTTCTCCAAAATCACCCCACCCTCCCCCACGAGGCGCTAACGTACCCCGGATTTTAGTGCTATCGCGCATCAACTCCCCCGCCATTCAGAGAACAGCGTCCTTCAAGTCTTTGTATGCGAAAGTTCATGTCTTTTGCTTGGAGTCCTGACTGCCCAGAATCGCCCAGACGGGCCAAGTATCGTCGACAATGTCCACGAATGAATGGAATGCAGTGTTGCACACGCATCCGGGGGTCTACTGGCGACTGATATATTAGAGCATGTCCGATCTGCCATCGTTTGGTTTCTCCTCAGTTCATCAGTGTGCGACTCGACTCAGCTCTATACCATTCAAGTGACTTTCCTTCCAAGATGGGTCTCCTCCAGAAAATCGTCAAAAATGATGCGATGAAAGAGGATCCACCAGAGATTTATGGTTGGAGAGTCTATTTCTTGGCCTTCTCAGTACGAATACACTCCATCAAGACGTTGGCACTCAAGACTAACAATGCTTAAGGCTTGTTTTGGTGGCATGCTGTTTGGTTTCGACAGTGGCATCATTGGCGGTGTTCTTACTCTTCCCGCATTCAAAGCGTAAGCGTGGTGGACTGCTCAGTTGATATAGCTGCTAACTCGTTTTGCCAGTAAATACAATCTGGACAAAGCTACACCCATTGAAAGAGCCAATCTACAAGCCAACATTGTCTCGACGTTACAATGTGGCTGTTTCGTCGGTGCCTTGGTCGCCTCATACATTGCCGACAAACTGGGTAGACGCAAGGCACTTCTCATGGCTGGTGTCATTGTTACAGTTGGCAGTGTCTTCCAGGCTGCAGCTGACGGCCATATTGCTCTCATGTACGTTGGCCGTCTGATCGCTGGATTCGGTGTCGGAGAAGCGTCAATGGTCACTCCTCTATACATTTCTGAGAACGCACCTCGAGCCATTCGTGGAGGACTCACTGGTATTTATCAGCTCTTCATTGCTACCGGAACTATGCTTGCCTTCTGGACAAATTACGGTTGCAACAAACATCTATCTGGCCAGACGACGTACATTGTACCTTTGACTATGCAAGCTCTACCAGCAATCTTGCTTTTTGCATCAATGTTCTACTGTAAGGAGTCTCCAAGATGGCTCGCTCGCAAAGACCGCTGGGATGAGGCCTCTGCTGTTCTGTCCAGAGTCAGAGCATTACCCTCTACTCACCCCTATGTTCAGATGGAGCTTCGCGAGATGCAAGAGCAGCTGGACCATGAGAGAGCTCTGATCGGAGGTGCTTCTTTCAAGGACTTGATGAGAGAGATGTGGACTATTCCCGGAAACAGAAAGAGAGCCATCATCACCATCTGGCTCATGATCACGCAACAGATGACTGGTACCAACGCAATCAACTACTAGTAAGTACAAAGGGCACAGGCTCACATCCACCCCCTTGCCGTGGTGCTCTCACCCTGGAATCTAGTCTCTGAGGGCATTTCGAGTGATATACGGCGCTGCAACACACAGCCCGATGTACCAATCACATCTTATAACAGCTATACTGACACGTACAAGTTCTCCTCAAATCTTCATCAATGTCGGACTATCGGGAACGGATGCTGGGCTCTTTGCGACTGGTATCTATGGCGTTGTAAGTGAAACTTTGTTTTTCGTGCGAAAGGTGCTAAATTGACATCATTCTCAGGTCAAAATGACCATGTGCGCTTGTTTCTTGGTATTTGCAGCCGACTCTCTCGGTCGTCGCAGGTCTCTTCTCTGGACTTCAATTGCCATGGGTTGCTCCATGCTGTACGTTGGCCTTTACGTTCGCATCAAGCCCCCGGTCAAGGGTGCCGATATTCCTCCAGCCGGATACATGGCTCTTGTCTGCATCTATCTCTTCGCTGGCTTCTTCCAATGGGGCTGGGGTCCTGTCCCTTGGATCTACATCTCTGAAATCCCCACCGCCAGATTGCGTAGTGTCAACGTCGCTCTGGGCGCTTCCACACAATGGGTAAGTGCTATATCAACCTTGTGCTTTGCGGACACTAACTTGCTGATATAGCTCTTCAATCTCGTGGTGGCTCGAGCAGTGCCCAACATGCTCGCCACAATGGGCAAAGCAGGCTATGGTACCTTCATCTTCTTTGCCACTGCTTGTTTCCTCTCTTTCATCTTCGCCTGGTTCTTGTAAGTCTCTCCTCTCCTTCATCTTCTGCTTCTACGATGTGACCGTACTGACTTAAACATAGTATTCCCGAGACCAAGGGCCTCTCGCTCGAGAAGATGGACGACCTCTTCGGTGTCACCGAGTTGGCCAAGAAGATGGACGACGACGAGGGTGCTCATGATGTGACACCCCCTAAGGACTTTGAGAAGACTCAGCATGTCGAGGTCTCGCAGGTCAACAACACTGCTAAGCACTGAATACTAGGGGAGACAGAAGAGTTGGAAACGAGATGATGGATACAATGGGATGCTGTTGTGGATTTTATAGTGAACTATTGGCATATAATCGATGTAATTTCTGCTACTTTTACCCCTGACAAGCATCTCTTGTGGTTGTGTGACCGGATCATAATGAATTAAGGGGTAAGCGGTCTCGTTGCTAATTATTGCTATCTCCGTCATGGGCTTGATTTGCGACCGCGTACCTGCTGCAATGCAGCATCCACCCGCTGCGTGGCTATCGACCAGTGAAAGACCCCTTGAATAGCACTCTCAGTGGTGAATCAAATTCATGTAGAATGTCTCGTATGATTTTCGCAGGTCCGCGCAGATCAATCCTTCTCGACAGCCTTGCTAGACATGATTATAAACCGGAACGGGAAGAATATCAAGATTCGAGACTGCTGGTATGGTGTAGTGCGTGGAACGTGGTCTTTTCGAGACTATGGGCAGCAAGTATGTAATGATCTACCCTTCAGAAGACAATATAGCCAAACCGCCACACAGACATGGATCCCTGCTCAAGAAGCGCTACCACAGGTAGTGATACTCGTACGGTTGAAGTATACATCGATAGACTTGATGTGAAGGACAGCATCCTTGGCTGGAGGGCCGTAGGTCCAGTAACCGGCGTTTCTGCATCCAGAGTCAGCTCTAGTCTCGACACTACATCATGACACTGCATTAATAATCACTTACGTCCAAGAGTTCCACATCCAATATCCGCTCGTCCTAGGCACGAATTTGGTGTAGGTCTGCAGAAGTTTGCCATCCACGTAGTAATCAGTTCTTCCAGGCACCCAGTCAATACGGTATTCGTGGTAAGCAGCCGAAGTATCTGCAACAACACTGCTGTTCGACATAGCGTTGTCTCCGTACCAGTCCTGGTTGGTAAAGTGTGCGTAAGTGGTATTTCCAGTCTGGATTTCGATGTCCGCCTCATTGTTGTCATCACTGTAGAAGAACATAGCACTGACGGTGCCCCAGACATTGGGTGTCTTTGCGACAGTACGCATGCTTCCGTACATGATATCGTCGTATGCGGTGGTGATCTGGGCACTTCCACAAGGACTGTCGTCGGAGCATGTTGCTTGGCCTCCGGGAACAGTCAAGGTGAGACTGCCGTCATTGGCGTCTACACCGACGTTGGCAGGGTTCCATCGCACACGAGCCGGGCTACCAGTGCGATCGGTGGCTTTGAGGGTGAAGGGGAACTTGTTCCAGTTCGTGACAGCGATGCGGGAATTGAAGGCCCCAACTTTAGACACCTGATAGAGACATCCGTCGAATGGTGCGGCGGGCGATGTAGTGACACGCTTCTCAAGAGGCGTGGCATCACTGGTGGCAATGAGGCTGGTAATACCAGTTACCCATGATAGAGCGGATTTTGAAAGATGCATAATGTGAGTTGGAATCGTGTGAAGTCGACTGCTTGATGAGAATTTTGAGCAAACTGTGCGGCTACACCATACCTTTTATATAGCTCCGGTACACATAGACCATCGTATATCCTGCTTCGTCAAGTGCTTGGCCTAGTCGACACTACTTTGCAAAGCATCCACCAGAGCAGTCTGGTCCCATGCGGCTTTCACAACTAATCGCTAACACTCGAACATCATGGTCGTGCGTCCAGCACGCTACTACTCGGCACTTCATCAGGACCCGCTAACAGCGCCGTCCATGCAGTTGAGTGCACGATTCGACGGACGTGACAATTGGCTTGCAGAGGGCAAGCAACGCGAGATGTTGTTGAAAGCCGGATACTCCTGACCGTTGTCCAGACTTGCGCCCCATGACTGCTCGAGGGAAACGGTGAACGCGTTCTAAGGCGTTTCGCGTCAACGCGATCTTGAGTCGAGGATACGGGTTGCAGCAGACTCGAATCTCGAGCCTAGAGAGTGGAGTCTTCAATCAATTTCGGGCATTTGTTCGGCCGTAGGCGATGTCGACACTAGTTGTGCGAGTAATTGTAGCGTAGAAGAGAATGCACGCATCATGCGAGGTTAGTCGTCTAATGGCAGAATCTCACCGCCTTCTTCAGCATCTTTTCGAGACCAGGGTAACCCTGCTTGAAATCGTCGTGCTTCAACTCCATTCCCAGAGCTCCTTCCAGAGTCAAGACCACATGTGTGAGATGGAAAAATGAGGTTTCTCTCATAAGAACGATGCGCGCCGGGTAGTTGGTCAAAGTGGCTCAAGATATGGGCATTCCGAAAATTTGAGTGCATCGCACCAGGCTTGGACACCAAGATCGCATTCCTTTGCCCCCTTCTCTGTTCGAAGACATTTGGTCTTGTGGTTTCAAAATGGTCCAGCGAGCTTCAGTAAATTGAATAGCAGTCATTTCGATTTGGTCTCTCATACTCTGCACTGTTTCGTGAGGAAATCAGAGAAGAGCAGATATTATAACGTGCACGTATCTAGTCGCTACAAAAGCGCGATGTCCAGTTGCGTCTTGTGAGCTCGGACACGGTGACTGATTTCTCTGGAAATGTTTCTTTCACTCCCGAGAGATCGAGAGCTGATATGTCAGTGCCTCGTGCTTTACGACAAGATTCATGTAATTTCAGAGGACTTGCCGGGCCCGGCGCGCGACATGCGGTTCACGGCAGGGCCAAGTCAAGTTGATGCAATGGCGGGGAGTTTTCTGAAGAGCAAACATCACTCTCCAAGGTTGTGCCGAGTCCTGGAGTTCTTAGAGCCGTTGACAGGTGCATGCAGGGCGTACCCGAGGGATCACAGACGTGACGATTCAAAGTTCGGGTTCCCCTGATTTGTGTTTCTAAATGGAGCGACGATGTCGCAAGAAGCATCTGACGGATCAAGATGGGAAATGAGATGTCGTTAATCTTGTGTGCTTGATTTAGAGGATGACATGTAGAGTTAGATGAATGGTGCTTTTGATAGCAAGGTAGGTGGTTAAGCCACGCGGCAGAACAACCGAATGGGGAAAGAGACCCTGACAGCGGTCGAGCTCGAGCCTCGCGACCGTTTGGGAAACACTTTCAGAGAGTTTACAGTGCTAAGTGTGCTCAGCCCCATCAGTTAATATTCTGCGTGAGCTTGGCCGGGATCTCGCACAGTCACAGCCTCACGGACTATTATTGTCTATACATACCTCTGAAGTCATTGTCGTTGTCATTGTCGACTTGTATATATCAGCGAGGGTTGTCGCAAGTCGTGGGTTGCAGCTTCCTCAGTCAGCCCAACAGCTTAGTGAAACATCCCTGGTTCGCACCTTCTCTGGTTCGCATTCCCCTCCTTGGCAGCCTCGGCGATGGTGTAGGCCTGAAGCACCGCAGCAATCAATCGACTCAGCAGTCAAACCTCTCGCAAACACGACTTTTGCTCGCTCTTTTCCAGTCACTCGTCACGCAGCTACTCGCTCTTCCGCTCGTTCGATCCTTCTCTCCGCACGCGACACACCGCCTCCTGACACTCCTGACACAAACGCCTTCGAGTCTCGGCCCAACGCCTGACCTCCTTGCACAAACACTCCTGTCCAACACACCGCTCGACACAAATACCCAGGCCTGAGCGGCCTCCGACCGTCACCATTACCAACCACAAGAAAAAGACCTCTCACCTGGGAGGTCAGGGTTTCCCCAACAGCTCTTACATACCGCTTGATCGCGACCGCAGCGTCAGCCCTTTTCCTGCCGGAGGCTACCATGATCGCGAGGGACTCAGTGGCCCTTCTTCATCGAGACAATCAACAACCAGTCGCATCATGTACATGCCGAGTTCACGATGGACGTGGTCGTTCCTGATGATCGCCGTTTGTCAAGCAGCTGTCGGTCTGGGCCTTGAAGGGTATGTCATTGTTGTTCTCTGCTCTTGACTTCTTGTGCTGATGCGTAATACAGCTATGTCTTTGCCAAATTCCAAATCTCACTCGCCCCTCAGGCGCGAAAGACGACACAATCACGAACCATTCCCACCTACCTCGCCCTTTTCATTTTCGGATTCATCTACCAACTTGCGCTCGTCTGGGACGCTTTGCGCTTGAAAAACACAATTCAAGTCATTGGACTTTGTCTCTACAATCTTGGTCTGCTCGTATATGCTGCAGTCCAGTACGATCAGATCGATCGTGCTGTCGACGTCCTGGACATAGCGCGTGAGATCAGACCCGACTTTGGCCATGATGTGAAGCCTTTCCTCGTTGCTGTGCCTTGCGTTCTTGCGCTGGGAACAGTTGCATTCAGTATCGTAGCATGGAAGCTATATGACGAATTTGCTTGGACCATCTACAAACACATCTCGGCAGACTTGCGCTTGAAGAGACGCTACCTTGTTTACCAGGTATGTTAAATCCTCTCGGCTCGATTCAGAAACATGCGCTAACCACAAACAGATTTACATTGCCCTCCTCAAGTTCGACTTTTTCTTCTTCCTTGGATTTACAGTACAATTCGTCGTTGTGGTCCGTGAACACACATCTGACATCGAATTCGCCCTCACCATCGCCGCTATCCCCGTCACGATTGCTATCCTTCTCGCGGCCGCTTGGTTCACCCGACGAGAATCGACATTGGGAATGTGCAGCACAATCGTTCTGTATTTTGCTGCCATGGCCTATTTCCTATTCAAGCTGGTGCGCATGTACGATTCGAGCAACCCAGAGAGAGTGGCCGATTACGAACCTGCGCGGAAGAGTTTGACCACTTTTGCCGTCATCACACTTCTATTGTTGATTCTCACCATCGTAAATTGCGCATGGTGTACGGCCAACTTCAACAAAGGCTTGAAGCCTCACATCCAGCGACGAAGAGTTATTGGCGTCGAGGATAAGGGCTACTCTTATGAAGGAAGGCATGGATCCCTGGGAGGAGCACATGCCATGGGAGCAGTGCCCTCGCGAATGACGATTGATTGATGATGCATTGATTCGATCTTCTGGCAAGAGAACAAAAAGAACGACGTTTCGGCTGGGCCGGAACGAACAACCCCATCGCATAGACGACCTTTTTCGATATCCCACGAGTGTCTGGCTGAAGGCTTAAACGAGTGCCTGCCTTTCATCTCGGCGTTTTGATTTTATTTCCTTTTCTTTTTCTGGTTCTTTCCTGCTTTGTGGCACGATTTGGGAAAGCGTAGTCTTTCGGACGGGATGTTCTCCAATGATCACTTCACAGTGTACAAATGTCTAGTTATGCCAGATTTCTGTTTCTCCCTCTCTCTTGATCCTCTCGTCCTTGGTGTAATATACACAGATGTGTTGCTTGACGTGCTCTCCCTGGACGCGTCTACGATACAGAAAACATATACAGCTGGGGTGAATGAGCATAAGGGAGGTAATCACAAAGCGCATAGCGGGCATGTTGCCCCTTCAAACACCAGATGACGTGCAATTGAACCAATAAAAGGCACAAAGACATGTGAGATTGAAGACTGTCCAGTGAGAGATAGTTGTAAATGAGTTCTCGGTAAACACCCTCTTGATCACAGAGACTTCTAGCATCTCCATAATCATGAGTGGCTAGGAGTAGAGTAGGTAGCGACTGTGGTTAGGTAGTGAGACAACGCATTCCACAAGATCGACATGGAAAGTGGCTTGGAAGACCAGCTGCCTGCCGTGTCTGCACAGCGCCCATCCAAGTCTGGAGCGCTCACAGCCACAAAACAGTGACGTAGAAAATCGCGGGGTCGACCTTCTTGAGAGTTTGTGTAGAACGCAGGGTGCATGTTTAGAAAACACCAGCATTTTCAGCAGCATTTATGGGCGGAATCTGGCTGTAGGATCGGACGATATTTTCAAGAAGCCGCAAAAGACCTGGTGAAATAGCAAGAGCTTTGAGTTGTCGCTGGATCTTCTCTGAATCGTCGCTGACATCGTGCAGTCTGATAACTGGTAAGTGAGTCTGCTTGAGGCATAGAGAGTAGAACTCGTGGGCGCCAGATAACAAAGCTTTGAACGCTGTATAAACAAACCTCGTTGGCTTGTATTAACCTGCGAGCGCGCCCGCCTGGAAACATCAACTACACGGCACTCGAGTGCCTGACAGTTACAACAAGACTCAGAACACAAAGTGTCATGGCGGAACAAAAGACACCCAGCGCTACCATGGCCGAAATACCATCGACCATGGTTGCCCAAGCAGCAGCTGCTGCACAGGCAACTGAACATGAAGACGGCCCGGACCCCTCAAGGGTAGCCCAATACCTCAATCCGAACACGACAGACGAGAACCTACCACCCCCAGCATACGGCGATACATACGGCGATGTCAGCTCCAACGACGGTGGACTGGGCACCAAAGCTACTCTTCGCTCGGATGGACGAGTCAACATCAACATCAACCAAACGTCTCGCCATCTCTCCAACTTGCTCGTACCTGCCCTGCGAAGTCAACTCGACCTTGCCGATACTACACAAGTCCCTCCTCCGTATATTCCCACCTCGCTTGGTGGAGCTCCTGGCCAACCGCCGCCGCCACCGCTAAACGTCGTCATCCACGTTGTTGGTTCTAGAGGAGATGTGCAACCCTTTGTTGCCCTTGGAAAGGTGCTCAAAGATCAATATGGCCACCGCGTACGCCTGGCAACACATCCAGTCTTCAGAGACTTTGTCACAGAGAATGGTCTCGAATTCTTCAACATCGGAGGTGACCCCTCAGAGCTGATGGCATTCATGGTCAAGAATCCCGGTCTGATGCCTGGATTTGACGTTCTTAGATCTGGAGATGTTGGCAAGAGACGCAAAGAGATATCGACCATGATCAAAGGTTGTTGGAGAAGTTGTATCGAATCAGGAGATGGCACCGGAGTCGCTGCAGACGACAATACAACAGAAGAATGGATGCGTAATACTGATGCATCAGACAAGCCCTTCATCGCTGACGCCATCATCGCCAATCCTCCGTCCTTTGCTCATATCCACTGTGCTGAGAAGCTGGGATGCCCCTTACATGTCATGTTTACCATGCCATACTCTCCGACACAGGCTTTCCCTCATCCACTGGCCAACATCCAGTCAACCAATGCCGACCCTCACCTTACCAACTTCATCAGTTATACCCTTGTCGAGATGTTGACTTGGCAAGGTTTGGGTGATGTGATCAACAGATTCAGAGTCAAGGATCTGTCTTTAGATCCGATCAGCTTGATTTGGGCGCCCGGTATGCTGACAAGACTGCGTATCCCACATACCTACTGTTGGTCACCAGCCTTGATTCCAAAGCCTAAAGATTGGGGCAACCAGATTTCCATCTCCGGATTCTACTTCCTTTCGTTGGCTTCGAACTTCACACCTCCTGCTGATCTGAAGGCCTTCTTGGATGCCGGACCGCCACCCATCTACATTGGATTTGGTTCAATCGTTCTTGATGATCCCAACGGAATGACCAAACTGATTTTCGATGCTGTCCGCAAGACTGGCCAGCGTGCCCTTGTTTCAAAAGGCTGGGGTGGCTTCGGTGCCGACGAGCTCGGTATTCCCGAGGGTGTCTTCATGCTTGGTAACGTGCCTCATGACTGGCTATTCAAGCATGTCTCTTGCGTAGTTCATCACGGAGGTGCCGGAACCACTGCTGCCGGTATTGCATGTGGTGTCAGCACGGTCATTGTGCCATTCTTTGGAGATCAACCTTTCTGGGGAGCTATGGTAGCCAAAGCTGGTGCTGGTCCAGATCCCATCAACCACAAGGACTTGACTGCGGATAACCTAGCCGAAGCTATTAACAAGGCTCTCGAACCTGCGACCAGAGAACGTGCTCAGGATCTAGCTAACAGTATCAGCCACGAAAAGGGTACTGAATCTGGTGCTCAGAGCTTCCACCAATTCCTGGAAGTCGACAAGCTGAGATGCAGCATAGCACCCAGCAAGGCAGCCGTTTGGCGCCTGAAGAGGACTGAAGTTCGCCTGAGTGCCTTGGCAGCGACCACATTGGCCACTGAGGGGCTGCTTGACTTCAAAGACCTCAAGCTGTACCGCGCAAGGGAATACGAAGCAGATGAAGGACCACCAGAGCCCATCTCAGGTGGTGCCGGTGCTCTCACTGGTACAATCAGTACCATGATGATGGGTGTCGCTGATTTCCCTGTCGCTGCTTTGAAGGCGTTGCGCATTCATCCTGATGCTGTTCCTAACAAGACCAAAACAGACCCTCAGGCTATCTCACAATCAGGATGTTCTGGGCAGCAGTCAAGCCAACCTGAATCCTCCACGAGAGAATCCGCTGTATCTAGTCCCAGCAGGCCGTCCTCACCTACTCGAGGTGCGAGTGCAGGCGCGACCTTTAATCTCGACGAATCGCTTGCAAAGATGGGCTCTCCTCATCTGACCGCCGAGGACAAGAACGATAAAGAAAAACGCAGTCGCTCTTCGTCGCTTGCTGCTGCACTCCAGGGCCGTCTCGGCGGCCAATTGCGTCATCGTTCTTGCTCTCGTAGTGGCTCTAACTCCAGATCTTCGAGCCCACACAGAACCAACACAACACAGTCTCAAGCGTCGGCTCAATCGCAATCGCAAGGTGGAGAGACAAACATTAGAGAGGTTATTGATGCTGCATTTGGCACCAGTAAGGGTGTCTCGAGAATTGTTGGCGCTGGTTTCAAGTCGCCTATGGACTTCACACACGCTCTTGCCAAGGGCTTCCATAATGCCCCGAAACTCTACGGAGATGAGTCAGTCAGGAAACCCGATCGTATTACCGACTTCAGGTCTGGTCTCAGAGCAGCCACCAAGGAGTTTGGATACGGTATGTTCGATGGCATCACCGGACTGGTCACACAGCCCATGGAAGGCGCAAAGAAAGAGGGTGCTGCCGGTTTCCTCAAAGGATTTGGAAAGGGTATTGGTGGTATTGTGCTCAAGCCAGGTGCAGCCATCTTCGGCATACCGGCCTACACTATGAAGGGTGTCTACAAGGAGCTCCAGCAGTTGTCCGGATCTTCGGTTCAGAACTACATCATCGCAGCTCGGACGGCACAGGGTTACGATGAATGGCATAGGTCGAGTGCTCAAGAACGTCAAGAAATCATCAGACGCTGGAGAATAGTTGAATCCGAGGTCAAGAAGAAGAGATTCATCCATGAACAGTTCCAAGACATGCTTAAGAAGCAATGGGATGGTAACGGTAATAATGGCCAGGGCAAAGGTAGTCGCTCCCTCCTAGGCATTCGTCCTCGATCGCGTGCTAACTCGCGTGCAGCGAGAACGGGTACACAAAGCGAAATCTCGACGCCGACTGTCGAGGTCACACAGCACTCTACTGAGCCTCCGAAGTATGATGACTTGCAATTCACTCGTGGTGCGAGTGGCAATGACTTAGAGAGAGCCATCCAAACATCGGTCGCTGACACCAGTCGTGGCGATCCCGAGCAGGACGCTATGATCGAGCGTGCCATCCGGGCCAGTATTGCGGAATTGACTTCTGGTCAGAACGCTCCTAGCGGTGGTGAAAACAACGACGACGAAGATGAGATTCTCAGAAAGGCTATCGCGGCTAGTCTGGTAGACCACGATGGACAACAACCCCCAGCTTATCAAGAGGCATCGTCTGAGCATGATGAGGAATTGGCAGCAGCTCTCAGAGCTAGCATGGCAAACGAAGGACACAAGGACAAGCGTGCCAAGCGTCAAGGCCACTCCACAGACAGCGAATGGGACACCAACTCTAGCGAAGGCGACGACGAGTTCCGTCTTGCTGTAAAGGCCTCTCAGGATCAGCATTCGCAACACCAACAGCGCGATGACGATGCAGAGCTACAACGCGCAATCAGCCAAAGCCAAGAAGCCCACAAAGAAGCCACAAGCGCTGAAGAGGAAGAAAGAGTCGTCATGGAGTATGTGAAGAAGCAGAGTTTGCTCGAAGAAGAACATCGCCGTACCGCAAACAAGGGCAAGGGCAAGATTGAGGAGAACAACGATGAGGAAGATGATGAAGATTTCAAGAGAGCTATGGAGATGAGCTTGCAGCAGGAGGGCAAGAAGGGCGGAAGAGCTTGAATTGGGATTATGACTTGATGAGAAACATAGCAAGATACCCCTTTTTTCCTATTATACATGATATTTCACCGCAAAAGACTTTGGAGGCAAACTTTTCTGCATTCAGTCTCAGCCAAGCATCTTTGTGTTTGTCTAAGGGTGTTTCAAAATGTGTCTCACTTTCAGATCTCCAGACAAACAACACGCGCGACTTTATATAGTCTTGCTCTCGACCATTCTCTGCTTCCTCTCATCTTCCAACAACACAAGTAGCCGTGCCACCAACATGAATTCCAGACGGACCTTCAGCGAGGTCGAAGAATCCGAGTTCGCAGATCCTAGATTCGTTCAGGGTGAATGCGCGTATGTTCACACAAACGATGTTCCACGGCCGAGACCAAGATTGACAGTGCAGCAGCGATTACAGTGTCTTTAACAACCCTCAATATTCGGACTTGATCATCAAATTCGGCCAAGAGAGGGTGTTGGCGCACAGAGTTGTGCTGTGTATGTGGTCTCTCTACTTCAAGCGCTGTCTGATTCCGCCTTTTTCGGTGAGTAAACATGCGCGTAGATGGATTCAGACTTCCAATGCGCCGCGGAGAATTGTTTGATCTCGAGTGCGCCGACCGGTTGCTGCAGCACTTTAGTTGAGGAGGCTGAGCAATGAGATCAGGTCTTGGAAACACGTTGTTGCTTGGTCTGGCTTGTCAGCCTTGTCTCGGCTGAAGCCAATCTGTATTTGTTGTCAATGGTCAGGATTTGTGGCAGCTTCATACCGACCACACTTGCCTTCTCGGATTCAACTTGCAGGTTACCCCTTTTATTCTAGGCTTTTTCTTGCTAGTCGTTCTTTCCGTGGCATAGGGAAAGAAGAATGCCCATGATGAACACAGTCCCTCTTCAATGCATCGATCAGATTGTTATAAGCCATCTACCTTTGGTGAAACACTGTCCTGCAACCTCTGACCACTGATGAACATGGCATAATGCCCCTTTTTTCTTTTTGTTTACTAATTTTTCTTTCTCACACGCTCTCACTAGATGCAACCCTGGGTTCGAATAGGTTCTTGCAATTCTGCAGTCACATTGTCGCCGGCTCTTAACTGGAGAGCAGGTATGACCATGAGCTTGATTATGCGCGCGTGACTTCACTGTATCAGGTACCCTTCCAACCCGATCATTTCTTCGACTTTCACTCTCACTCAGTCGTTCAGCCTGACATAAAGACGCGCACCGATCGTTCCTCTCCCACGCCATCCTTTCTCCCTTCCATCCATCAACCAACATCACCAACACAACATGGCCGCAAACATGCCTGAGGACAAAGGGTTTGTCGGCGGCGCAAACGCGTAAGACAACCGAGATCCGTTTGATTGTTTACTTCTTCGACTAATGTGTCAATGGAATTAGTGACCCTGATGTCTTTGACAACCCGCAAGACTCGGACATCATTCTTAAGGTTGGAGAGACCCAGTTCTACGCCCATAGAGTCGTGCTACGCATGTGGTCGCCATTCTTCAAGCGTGCACTAAACTCGCAGTTCTCGGTACGTCTGAACTGGAAACGCGAGACCGTCGCGAGCCAGCTGGTAGTGTATCTCAGTCCAACTGTGCCAAAGCCTGAGACAATTGCGGAGTCTCTGTTAATCCGACTTGATCGCGTGCTGACTCGAATCTTCTATCAGGTCGCCAAAAGTGCCGTCTTCGATCTTGGTGAAGACGACATTCCAGAGCACGTCGAAGAAATGCTCAAATACATGTACGGCTTACCTCACGAACCCGTGATTCCTTCACAGATCGCACTCCTCAAGCGTCACATCAGCATGTACATGTTGGCCGACAAATACGACTGTCCATCCATGCGCATCGTCATCCTTAAAACCATCAAAGAACTGCTGGAGAGCAGCTGGGAGTTTTCCATCACGCCAAAATTGCCCGAGGCAATGGCCGCTACCATCGCCACTGTCTGTGGTCCCGAAGCCCCACAGCTAGCTGATCCCGGACTGCGTGCTGTCATGCTTGAGTGGACTTCCAGGAACTTTTCCGCTTGTATGTATTACTCTGGCTTCAGCCAAGTGGTTGACAAGGGTTCTATGCTGGACTCCAAATCATTCTCGAGATTGATTGCGAGGATCTGCCAGGATGCCCGTTATAGCAAACAGCCAAACAAACTCATCAACTAAGCGGTGATCGACACAACCGCATGTCAACCCAACGAACACCCACATAATCAATACGGTACGGAGGCAATAACAGAGAAAGAAGTAGCGGAATATGAGAGCCGGACAGGGTCTACACAATCGATCGGGCCTTTGCTACACATTTATTCCTGACAACCAAGACATAAGAAGGGGTAGATGCTGATAAATGCGGTACGAAAGAACGATATGGATAAAGGAAAACAGTCTTTCTAGACTCACACTCCAAAAGTACAATCAATGCTGTCCACCAGTTCCAGCGTGATTTTTGTGCACTATTTTCATCTGCGCCATTGATAGTTTCTTTCTACTCAGTTCAATGTTTCTCTGATCTTCTTCAACAAGGATATCGACCATCCTTTGGTCTTGTATTTTCTGGTGTGTTCTTTGACATGTACTAGATATAGGAGGTCGAAACATCATCACTCACCAAAGACGCATCCAGTAAGTATTGGAAGAGACTGTCAGGCAAATACTCTTCTAGCTCATCATCGCACCATGGCTGCTGGCATCTCAAAAAGCCTCATCGTTTCAACTCATCTTCGAGGCAAAGGATCTGGACTTGATGTTGGTGGCGGTCGAGTACATTTGGAAAGGAAGTTTGGGAACAGCGATGATCTTGATAATGAGGAAGCAGCACAAGCCTTTCACCCCAGTCAAGCCTTCCACGCCAGGCTCAAGGTAGGAAGCAGAAGATGATGTCCATGTGCTTTCCTTTTCTGGAACAAAACATCTTCTGTGAAAAGAAGAAAAGTGCACTGGAGACAATCTCCTACGAATGAGAGGAAAGAGAGATGAAGAATTCGAGATTACAAACACATCGATAAGAGAACACGGTAAAGCGTCTCTTTGATTTCGCATGGTGACTTCTGATTCATTGTTCTGTTATGCTGTTTTGATGTTCGAGCCAGTCTATATCTCCTTCAACCGACTGGAGTTTTTGATTCAGCTATTTGGCCCAACTTTCGAGATGTTCCTGTACCCAGTTCTGCAGACCGTCTTGATGGCTCCTTTGGAGCCCCTAAGTAGTATTGTTGCATCGTTGTAGGCGCATACCCACGCCTTGCATATCTCGAATGTGTGTCCCTCTTCGGTACTCTTTCCATGCCTTTGCGGATTCATCGTCCGCTCAACCGGCGAGACCGAAGAATTCTCCTAATGGGCTTTTCCATCTTGCGATACTTGAACCTCTTGAGAGAGGGTCGCGACGGCGTCCCCTGCCTCCGACTTCTTTGCCAATCTTGAGCAACAGACGTGTTGTCAGTTGGGCCTCTAGCAGAGTACCATCCTTGACAGCCATGTTGAAGACCTCTTCCTGAATGCAAAGGTCGAAGTTACGACATAGCCAGTCGAAAACGGCATCGCGCATACCTGGGCAAGCAAGCTGGAGAGCATCAGGACCGCAGATCTTGGAGATTGCTTGGATCAGATCCTCATAGAATGTGCAACGCGCGGTCACCAGGTGGTGATCTAGAGATATCTGGTTTCCGAGATATCTTTCGGTCCTGGTGACGATGGCGAGGCGCATAGAGGGGCAATCGTACTTGTCGGCCACGACGTAGGCTTTCCAGAGAAACTGTAGGCGGGAAACTCTGTGGCCAAAGTTGTCTGGGTGCTGATTGAAGGTCATGCCGTACATATGCTTGAGCATGGCGTAAACGGCGTCGGCATCGTCATCGTCGTCGAGATGGAACACTGGGCTTTTGGCGACGGAGAACTGAGAGCTCAGACTGCGCTCGAAGAAGGGAGACCATAGACGCAAGATGGCTCTGTGCGCATGGATTTCATGGCCTGCGAATTTGATGATGATGTCTGAGTCTCGAGGGTTGTTGAAGACGGTAGAGTTGCTGAAATGATAAGTCAGAATTCATTGCATAAAGCGGAGACTGTATGCGCACGCGTGCTTGCCGCTGGTGAAGTTTTCGTCGTCCATGTTTGTGGCGATTCTGTTGTTTGGTAGAAGTCCGAGAAGAGAAAGAGGAAGGAGCGAGCAGTAAGATAAAGCCCAGACAAGCAATCAATTTCCAGCAGACTCGACGGTCACCTGAAGAAGTTCCGTTTTCGCAATCACTCTCAGTTGTTCTCTCACTCCAACAAACCAGCCAGCTGCATTCACGTCGTACATCATCTCGCACCTGTCAAATTTTCACTTCCGCCTGCAGAATACAAACTGCCCATCACTACTTGTTTGTTACTATTGGTCACCTCCCATTGCCAATCAGACACATAATAAAGTAACTGCAATGGCCAAAACTGCCGACTTTGAGTGAGTCACGCTTCTGTACCTTGTCTGAGCGAGTGTCTCTTTTGAAAGTTTTCTCTCGTCGACTAGCTGATAATCAAGGTCAGAGAACACGTGGACACAGATGTGGAAAGACGGAGCTACAGATAAGAATGTACAATGAATAGGCGGTGTTTCTGTGGCGCTTTGTTTGATATGGAATCTTCTTTGATTCAATCAAGCAAGATCGTTCTTTTGTTTAGCGTAAGCTATGGTACTGCGTTATCCTTCACAACTCGACAAAGGACGATTAAACTTAACTACCACGGCCTCTACCACGACCTCCACCACGACCTCCACCACGCATCCTAGCTAAGACTCTTCTTTCAAAAAGACTGGAGGCGGATGCTCCATTGCTAGCAATAGGTACAGCGTCCTCGACTGTCTCAGCGCTCAGCAGATTGGTGAAGTCTTGCGTATCGCCTGATGCTGTGAGACGTTGACTGACTCTAGCCAAGATCTTGATAGCAGCATCGCCGTCGAACAATCTTCCTGCTTGCATCTCCTTTTTGAACACATCTTCCTGAGCGAGTCTACCGTAACGTGCCATGCAGATTTCCAACATGCGATTACGCAGAGATGAGTCGGCAAGTTGAGGGGCATCAGGACCGCAAAGGCGTGGAATACAATGAACGATCAAACTGGATATCGTTCCCCAGGTAGCGTCGAGAGTGTAGAGCAGTTTGGCTGATTTGAGGGTGAACTGGGTGACAGCTGTCTCGCGAAGCAACGGACAATCGTACTTGTCGGCGATAGTGAAGACTTGGATGCAGTGTTGAAGAGAGCGGATCTGGTTGTTGGGGTGCTGACCGTAGGGCATGTTGTACATATGACGGAGCATGGAGTAGACTGCGTCACAATCCTCTTGGTCGTCGAATTCAAAAGATGGGCTTGTAGCCACCTGAGAAACGGTTAGACTTTTTCTTGGAGATGATAGAATGCCAGGAATGAGCATACTGGGAATTGTGACTTGAATGCGCGTTTGAAGAAAGGAGACCACAGACGCAGGATTACGCGGTGAGCGAAGACTTTGTTTTTGCCAAAGACAAGGGTGATGTCGGAGTCTTCTTCGCTGTTGAAGACGTCGTCACTGGCTGATGTCAGTAGCCACCGTGGAAGACGCGTGCTCAGACTTACGGAGACTGGCCATCATCGCTTTGATTCGGAGGCTCGGCCATGACTTCGTGGTTTGGATGATGTGTTGAGGAAGGAGCGAGGTGGAGAGAAGCCCAGCTTTTACGTGCGGATGGAAGTGTGCTGTGGATGTTTTCTTTGATACTGCCGAGTGAAACTATGAAAAAGTCTGCAGGCAGCAGCTTCACTTTGTGCCTGAACGTCTGTAATCAGTCCGAGGTGCCTAAGACTTGGTGGTTTCGATTCTATCGGGTGAAGAAATGAGCATGAAAAGTATCAGTGAAGCGACACGAATAAGGGATTAACGATTACAGTTATACACGACGTTGGTTCGACATAATAGAGATAACACCGAATTCGAGACTTTGTCTCTCCTGAAGCCCTTACAGTATGGTTATGGAGAGGCAAAGTGGATGTTGATGGAAAATGACAATAATAAACCATTCAGAGAAGTGCGGGCAAAGAATGATGCTTGATCGTTATTGGATTTTGTCCCTGATCTCCGAACTCCTTAGCACTTCCTCTCACACTTCCTCTCCCAATTCCTCTCCCAATTCCTCTCCGAATGGATCTATGCGGAGGCAAGACTTAAAGCTTCTGTCGAATGTCTATCAGAAGCTTTGGCATCCCTCATCAGGCCGCAACGGCGCGAGGCCCGAGAAAAAGAAGCGTGTGAGGTTCAAGCCTGGACGATCAGAGTTCGGCAGGATTGTAAGAATACCTCTTCTTCAGAGCCAAAACTCCGATCGTCTCAAGCAGTGTAAGTTGGTAACCATGGCCTCTGCATCGAATAACTTCCTTACTTCCCTCTCTCAGGCGTTCCCGAACTCGCTGTGCATGAAGATCTGGTCATAGTTAGGAGCACAAAAGTCCAAGGCTTCTCCACGCAGTAACTTGTCGGGTGGTCGCAGGGCATCGGGACCGCGGTGATCTGGGATGTTCTTCATAAGGAAAGCCGTATTTCCTGCGACCTACGTTTCTACCGGCGAGGAGGTCAACCGCAGCGGTACGGAAGTTCGAAATAGTGGAGGCACGCAGAGAAGGGCGATCTTACTTGTCGGCCACTATGAAGAATTTTGCGTGACAGAAAATGGGCCCGTGAAGGCCGGAGGGCTTGGCCTAGGTGTAAGGCAGGTTTCACGTATGGAGAAGCATCGCTTCTGCTATCTCGGTGTTGTCTTCATTACATAGAGTCAAGACCTGACCTTTGGTACCTATAGAGAGATCAGTTGAGAGATTTCTTCGGTCAAAATACGAAGGTTGAACAAATACTTAGTCAGATATCTTTGAGATTGGCTACTTACAGGCCACTGAGACTGGGAAAGGAGTGTCAAGACAGACAATCACATACGTAGAATAGCGCGATGAGCTTGAAGTTGCCTGCCACTAAATTCTATTGCAACATCTGAGTCTTTCTTGTTGTTAAAGACGGTACTGCATACGGCTCAGTCAGACTTGCATGGGTCTTGCTCTCAAGGAACTTACTTCTGCTGTACGTTGTTCTCGTCGGCTGCTTGAGTATTGAGCATGATTGCGGATTGAGAAGGTTTGTATAGAGAAGAAGATCAGAGAAGGAAGGAGAGTCCAGTGCTCAAGTGATGAGGGTGCGTCAATGCAAACTAGACGTATTTCCAAAATATCCGGAAGCTGGATTTACAAACAAAGCAAGCACACAAACATGAACACTGTCTATTTGCTTTTCACGAGTCTTCAGTAGAATCGCATCTCGTCAGGCATGGGATCGTTTTTTTCGTTTGGCATTAAAAAAGTCACTGAGTCTCATTAAGAGTCTGCTTTGACCTTCTCCAAATACCCGTTCTCTTCTACTTTTATCAGCCCAACTTCCGCACGGTGCATGATCTCTGACAATCAACCTAAGACCACATGAGAAGGATTGAGAATCCGTGAAATGCCTTGTTCGTCTAATGTCTACTTAGGGATCAGTTTGGCGGCAGCGGCTCGAAGTATGTATTCGACTTTAGGATCATGAATTGTGATGGTAGAAGTACCCAAGACGTACACGAGGAGCTTCGTAGCGCCACGGTCATCAAATATGCAACCCTTGGTGAGAGCTTGGGTAAAGGCATGACTGCTAATGAGTGTCTGGAAGTGGACCAAGCAGACATCAGCCACCTTGTCGCGAAGCGAACGATCTGCGAGTAGCGGGGCAGTCGGACCACAGATCTTGGGGATGATTGAGACGACCTTCTCGAGTTGGCCTTTCGTGAGCTGAGAGTGCATGATTGCACCGAACTTGTCGACAACGTTCTTGCGCAGAAGAGGACAGTCATACTTGTCTGCGACGGTGAAGACTGCAACATGAAAGTCGAGAGAGCGAGCGTTGGTGGATGCAGGGTCGTGGAAGTAGTCAATGTTGTACATGTGACGGAACATGGCCCAAACAGCCTCAGCGTCATCATCATCACCGAGCTCGAAGACGGGGTTTTGGGCAACCTGCAGACGAATGTCAGCACAATGGCTAGGTTCCTTGTGTGGAGGGGTCTTACCGCGAACTGCGAGGTGAGAGCTCTGTCAAAGAATGTCGACATAACACGAAGGATGATGCGGTGAGCGTGGAACTTGTGCTCGCCAAAGTGGATGATGATGTCAAAGTCCTTGTCGTTGTCGAAGATCTTGGACTCGTTGCTGCGCATTTTGTCAGTCGTGTTTATTTATGGGCATGTCTAACAGTAATGGTTTACCGTGAGGTTGAGCCACCAGGAGTGCCAGTGATGCTAGCCATGATGATGGGTGCTGCCTCCAACAGCAGGGTGATGGAAGGAGATGAGAAGAAGCGCAGAAGCTTTTGATGGCTGAAGTGCTTTCAAGCCGAGCTGAGTGAAAGTGCAAAGAGTGTTCCAGAAGCGAGACGATTTCCATATTGACTGTCTCGGTGACTGAAGACGTGTTGTAACGCGCAATGCTTTTTCCAAACGCGCTTCACTCTGCGCGAGTCCTTTTGACTTGTGCCGCCATTGTACTAACTCCAGCATAGACTGGTACTAGACAGTCCTGCTCATCCAGCACGACTGTGTCCATATTACCCAAAAGTCGATTCCAATAGCCTCTCTGTGTGCTGAACCTTATCACACGCATAAAGTAAAAATGCACAATGCTTTTGATATCAGTGCAGCTCTCCACTGGGGAACGCTGACTTTCACGCCATTGGTAAATGGTTGCACTGACACTAAAACACTGTGCATTTCTCCAGCCTGGATGACCTTAGTTGCGATCGTGAGAGCTGGCCAAGAGTGACAAGATCGAGCACATAGGGAGGAAGGATTTAGCGTAAATCTCATTTAGCTTGGGAGCAGGACAGATGCAATTTCAATAGAGGAAGTGTCACTCTTAAAAGTCTCGCTTCATGTTCTTATCGTCTATACCGCAAGGCAATCGACGTGTTTGGAAGGAATGGTCAAATTTGACGTCGAATCAGCAGAACAAGAAGCCTCCACTCATGATTGCAACACTCTTGGGCACCGTGATGAGTAGAGAAGCACAGTACGGCGTTGTCGCCTCTTGGTCGAGATGTACGGAAGGCCCGATGATCACCAGCATCTTGATTCGATGGCCATATTAGCAGCCTTAAGATCTTGTTCCTTCGCACCTAGGTTCGCTTCGGAGTCTCTGGATCATGTCGAGGAGCTGGCTCCGAACATGGAGATCATGATGGTCAAGATTGAGCGGCGTTCTTAACAATCCGGCACTGCTAAACTTTGTTTGGATCCTAAGTGTTTCAGGACGAAGTTTGCTTTCCAACAACGACAGAGGTCGTTGTTTTCGAACGAAAGGTCTGCGGTGACGAGCCAAGCGGTTATACTGAGGAATGCCCCTTTTGTAAATGCCGAGATTCTTGGCGGCCAATTGCTGCCCCTCTCGTGAAGAACTGACTCGAGTTATACGGTATTGAATCTGATATCTTAGAGAGCTTCGTGGAGGGTCCGACAACTGCGCATCTATGGCCTTTGAAGTAAGCCTGGAACAGAAAGCTCTTCAAGAAGGCTCCGGCAGGAATCGTCCTGTCTGTCTTTCACATTAGAGCGGGCGCAAGGTTCATGTTGGATGGACCCTGAAACGGTTCTCTCCGGCGAGTAACAAGGTTACAGTAAGGCTGTGAGGCCGAGTCATTGTGGCTGAACTCAGCTGCCGATATGCTTTGAGGTACGCTGCACGTTGCGAGAGGGTGAGAATGGAGGTCAATGGTCCTTCGCGAGGACGTTATGTCAAGATGGTATGCGGTCGGGAAATCGTGAGAGATTTGTGCGCCTGCAGCGAACAGACACAACGGACTGTTCGTCTAGACAGAGCACGACGAGTGGGACCTGTGATCTGCAAAGCTCCTGTCGCTCTGTCAGGGAATGATGAGCAGACAACCTGAAACACATGATCGGCATCAGCTTGTGTCTCCTGCTGCGCACTTGGAAGTGGAAACGCTTCGCTCGTGAAGAATACGGTCGTCAACTTTACTGACCCCTTGATGGCTCGGATGCCCAACGAGTGGGCGGGATTAAAATGACTTTGCCCCGTCTCGTAGCCTCTTGTCCAACGAACAAACGAAGAGATCGACAGGCGGCGGTGAATGCGCGGCTTTATCGCTCGTCAGGAGCAGCACCCTGTGTCGGTGTGTCGAGCAAGCAAAGAGTCGACAAGGCTCAGCCTCCAGAGGTTCGATTCTGACTTCTCGTTGATGAACCGACCAACATGTTCATTCTCTAATCAACTGAACGAGACCTCGATTAAAATGGTTGCGGATGCTTACGAGATCAGTTCGACAACGTGGTGAAGGAAGCACAAAGTCCCCACATCTCTGGACCCTGCATCGCGCCAAGGCGGAATAAATCGTGCTTCGGGTCTGAGCGTGAAAGCAAGGGCTGCGAGGGCATGCTCATGTTGAATGTGGTCGTTGTTCGCAATCCAAGAGACAGGTGCAACAGGTCTTCTAGAAGTTCAGAGTTTTCTGTGGGCCTGGGACAAAGCAAGATCGAAGATCGAAGGCAGAAGAGCGAACTGGATGAACATCAAATATGGGAAAGACGGAGATAAAAAAGGGTCGGACAATTCTAGACAACTTGGCGGGGCTATCGCAGCCGCGATACGAGAGGGATTCAATTGCATCCCTCCCCGTGTGCTCAAGTCAGTCACGCGTGGAGCTGCTGAAGTGCAAGAAGAGTCTGAAACCAGAGCCCTATCTGGTGAGAGCATATCTGGTAGCTTATCTCTGATGGCGACAGTAGAGAAGCAAAGGCTTTGTGCATCTCTGCAGCTTCAATTCCTCGTGAAACGAGCGCGGAAAGAAGAAGGAAATGTCGGCACTTTGCATACGAAGACTCAGGCTAGACGATGCGGGAGCACACAAAGGAGCAAAATGGCGAGAAATGGGAACAGAGTCTCGGGGGATGGCACCTGGCGTGGTTGATTCAGGGCGAGTGGTGATAACTTAATTATAGCTAACTTTCAGACGGGATTCGGCTCGTCGTCTTTAATCGCGTGGCGCCTTCCTGTCAACACATGGGTAGCTCTGACTCTCTCTTTGTTCCTGATAGCAACAATCCTTTACTCTTCCTACTCGAGTACACCCCTAAGCTGTATTCATCGTTTCTGCTGTACGAGATCGATCGGGAAGGGCACCCTTTCTTTTTGTGTTGTCATTTGATTTGATTGGACAAGCGAGGCTTTTCTCGGCGACGATCATTCGACACGGCCGACAAGCGCTGTCTGTCACGAACCAAGTCAGCCCTTCGGTGCTTTCTTCCTTTGACACGACAACCACGAAGGTCCACGAGAGAGCAGGAGAGAAACACCGACGTCGCGACTTCTGTTGTTGATGCCAATCTAGCGTCGACGTCTGCGGCCCTTGAGAGTCGTCCCCAAGGCCTCTGAGCCCCGCCTGTCGTCTGTCGACCCAGCGGTTATTCGCGTCTCCACCCAACACCCCCAGCTTCCTCCTGAGCGACTGCCTGCCTGCCACCTTTATGCGAGTCGACCTGAATCTGCATCAACAACCGCCAACCATGGCCGAAGCGGATTCCTTCCACGCCCTCGCTGGCATTATATCAAACCTCGCCAAACAATATACCCCTACCGACGACGACTTTGGGAGCCGTGTCGCGACAAACAGCATCGACCTGAACCGCATTCCTTTGCCTGGTCCCGACTCTGATGCCAAACAAAAACTCGAGAGAGAGGTCGCTGCTCTCGCCAGCCGTGTACAATACCTCGAGAATCGTGTCGCTTCCTCGGCCTCGACCGTCTTTCCCATCACCCCGAACGAGCCCCTCCAATCTGCTTTCTCTCCTGAGAGCTCGCCTACCGCTGCCCGTGTCCTAGCCTCACGGCCTCGCTCTGCATCGCTAGTCAACAGCCTTTTGGCCAAGTCAGAAAGCCCCAAGGGCACTGCTGTACCGCGTCAGCTGACTGAAGAGGAGCTCGGAGTTCTTCGCGATCATGTCGACCGCCAAAGCGAGCAGATCAAGGCTCAGAAAGAATACATTGATAGCATCAACGACACCCTGCAGCAACAACGTCAAGCCACCGAGCAAGCCCTTGGCGGCATTGAGAGCTCCATGGACGACGTCGAGACTCTCAAGCGTGAATTGTCAAAGAACCAACAAATAAATGCCACCTACCAGAAAGTTCTCCGCGAAATCGGCAGCATCGTTACTGCTGTTGCCAATGGTGATCTCAGCAAGAAAGTTCTCATCAGCGCCAAAGAGCGTGACCCTGAAATCGCTACCTTCAAACGTACAATTAACAAAATGGTCGACCAACTCCAAGATTTCGCCAGTCAGGTCACACACCTCGCCCGTGAGGTCGGTACCGAGGGAAGACTCGGAGGCCAGGCTGTATTGCCTGGTGTCAGTGGTATCTGGGCCGAGCTCACTCAAAATGGTACGCCATCAGCCTCTCACAATCTCATCTTCTTCAGCTAATGTCACACAGTCAACATCATGGCCGAAAACCTCACCAACCAAGTTCGAGAAATCGCCGTCGTCACCACCGCAGTCGCCCAAGGTGATCTCAGTCGCAAGATCCAGCGTCCCGCTCGTGGAGAAATACTGCAACTCCAGCAGACTATTAATGGTATGGTCGACCAATTGCGTACCTTTGCAACAGAAGTCACTCGCGTATCTCGCGATGTCGGCACCGAGGGTGTACTCGGCGGTCAGGCTCAAATCGAGGGTGTCCAGGGCATGTGGAATGACTTGACTGTCAATGTCAACGCAATGGCAAATAACCTGACCACTCAAGTACGAGATATTGCCGAAGTCACTACCGCCGTCGCACGGGGTGATCTCACGCAAAAAGTCAAGGCTGAGTGTAAGGGTGAAATTCTCGAGCTCAAATCAACCATCAACTCCATGGTCGACCAGCTCAGACAATTCGCTCATGAAGTTACCAAAATCGCCAGAGAAGTCGGAACAGAAGGAAGACTTGGCGGACAAGCCACTGTACACGGTGTTGAAGGTACATGGAAAGACCTTACTGAGAATGTCAACGGCATGGCCAACAATCTCACCACTCAAGTGCGTGAAATTGCCCACGTCACAAAAGCGGTCGCCAGAGGTGATCTCAGCAAGAAGGTCGGAGCCGAAGTCAAGGGCGAAATTCTGGAGCTCAAGGTTACCATCAACACCATGGTTGATCGTCTGAGTACCTTCGCTTTCGAAGTCAGCAAAGTTGCAAGAGAGGTCGGCACTGAGGGTGTCCTCGGAGGGCAAGCCGAGGTCGAGAACGTCGAAGGCAAATGGAAAGATTTGACCGACAACGTCAACACCATGGCCAACAATTTGACCAATCAGGTCCGTAACATTTCCGACGTTACGCAGGCTATTGCTCGTGGAGACATGACCCAAGTCATCAAGGTCCATGCTCAGGGAGAAATCCTGCTCCTGAAGAACACCATTAACGACATGGTTGCTCGACTCGACAACTGGTCACTCGCAGTCAAGCGTGTCGCTCGTGATGTCGGTGTTGACGGCAAAATGGGCGGCCAGGCAGAAGTCGATGGTATTTCCGGTCGCTGGAAGGAGATTACTTCCGACGTTAATACCATGGCCCAAAATTTGACTTCTCAAGTCCGAGCCTTCGGTGACATTACAAACGCTGCTATGGACGGCGATTTCACAAAAATGATCACCGTTGAGGCTTCCGGCGAGATGAACGAGCTCAAGCAGAAGATCAACAAGATGGTTACTGGTCTTCGTGAGAGTATCCAGAAGAACACCGCTGCTAGAGAAGCAGCCGAACTGGCCAACAAGACCAAGTCAGAGTTCCTTGCCAATATGAGTCACGAGATCAGAACACCCATGAACGGTATCATTGGTATGACTCAACTCACTCTTGACACCGACTTGAATCAAAACCAACGCGAGATGCTTAATTTGGTATTCAACCTGGCTAACAGTCTGTTGACAATCATTGACGATATTCTCGACATTTCCAAGATTGAAGCCAACCGCATGGTTGTCGAGGAGATTCCATTCTCGCTTCGCGGTCAAGTCTTCAACGGCCTCAAGGGCCTGGCAGTCAAGGCCAACGAGAAGCGCTTGGATCTTGCCTACTACGTCGACAGTTCAGTACCTGACTACGTTATTGGAGATTCGTTCAGACTTCGTCAAATCATTCTGAACCTTGTAGGCAATGCAATCAAGTTCACAGACAAGGGAGAAGTCAGAATCTCCATCTCCGCACCAGATCAAGCGGGATGTGAAGAAGGCGAATATGCAGTCCAGTTTGCTGTTTCTGACACCGGTATCGGCATACCGAGCAACAAGCTCGATCTTATCTTCGACACCTTCCAACAGGCCGATGGCTCGACAACTCGTCGCTTCGGAGGTACTGGTCTTGGTCTGTCCATCTCTCGAAGACTCGTTTCGCTCATGCAAGGAAGGATGTGGGTTGAGTCCGACTTTGGTCAGGGCAGTTGTTTCTACTTCACCGTCAAGTTCAAGGTCGGCGACCCCGATGTTAAGGCCATCGACAAGCAACTTAGAGCTTATCGCAAGCACAACGTCCTCTTCATCGACAGTGGCAAGACTGGCTGCTCTGAAGAAATCGCTCAACACCTGCGCAACCTTCAGCTGGTTCCCATGGTTGTCCACAACGAGAGCGAAGTGCCTTCTCCTCAAGCTGCTAGCGCCGCCGGAAAAGCTTATGATTGCGTTCTGGTCGATTGCAGAGAGACGGCTCGCAAGCTTCGCAATGTTGAGGACTTTAAGTACATCCCCATCGTTATGCTTGCGCCCGTCATTAGCATGAGTTTCAAGTCGGCACTGGAAGATGGCATTGCAAGTTATATGACAACACCCTGTCTGTCCATCGACCTTGGTAACGCACTCATTCCTGCATTGGAGGGACGCGCTGCACCAACATCTGCCGATCCTTCTATGAAGTTCGATATTCTGCTTGCTGAAGACAATGCAGTCAACCAGAGGCTGGCTGTCAGAATTTTGCAGAAGCACCACCACACCGTCACCGTAGCGAACAACGGTTTGGAAGCATTCGAAGCTATCAAGAAGAAGCGTTACGACGTGGTCCTCATGGATGTGCAGATGCCTATCATGGGAGGTTTCGAAGCAACCGCCAACATTCGTCAATATGAGCGCGAGAACCAGCTCACTCGTTCGCCCATCATCGCTCTCACTGCTCACGCCATGTTGGGTGACCGCGAGAAGTGTATTCAGGCCCAGATGGATGAGTACCTCTCCAAGCCACTCAAGCCCAACCAACTCATTCAGACATTACTCAAGTGTGCGACTATGGGTGGAGCACTGTTGGAGCGCAACAAGGACCAACGAATGTCTCTCACACAAGGCGATGACAAGCAAGCAGATAGTACGAGCAGCAGCAAAGTCAGCACACCCAGGAGACCAATCTTGGATATCCGAGGATACACTGACTCGCCGACAAACCCGACTAAGAGTCCTTCGATTGTGACGGCAGACGTCAGTGATCCTATTGAGCGGGTAAGTAAAGATATGTGTACCATCATGTGACTCAGCGCTGATGTTTTATTCGCAGGAGATGCTCATGAGATCCAACAGCTCGTAGAGCTACTCACGAATGGCCGAATAGGAATTGTTAGATTCCGACCACTTTGCATATGGCGTGGCGTTCGATTTGATCTTTCTATATGGGTAGTGAAGGGGAAACCGAGAAGAATGGAATAGCAGGGGTCCTGTGTCCTTGCCTTCTACGTCTCTCTCGAGAAGAGAGGTTGTTTTTGTTGTTTGTGTGGTATTCGGGATTCCTTTGCATATCTGTGTTTTTTGCCTTGTTGCGGCGCATTGTTAACGCGTTTTTCCTTCTTCTCTTTATACCCCAATCGCATACAAGCTCCTTGCTCAAAGGAACAAGCCAAAATCCATGAGCTTTTTTCGCAAAAACATGATGAAGAAATGGGATTGATTGTGACTAGAAGTCACACCTCTCTTGGCTGGATAAAGTGATCCGTTCTTTGACCACGATGTAGCGAAACATATGTTGATCTGTAAGGTTGCAAGAGGTACAGTGGAGCGAATTTGTGATATCATGTTGAGATTGATGTGTTGCGTAGTAGACTCTGGCCGCACTTACTGCGTCATTGCTGGACTGTTTCATCGATTGTGGTCAGAATGCTTGACTGCGAGTGTTAGATCATGCGAGGTTTTGGGTCAACGTTAGGGATAGTGTTAGTGTTAGTTTGGGCAAGATAAGTGGGTGTGTGAATGTTGGAAATGAGGTATGTATACAGGACAATGAGACCTGTTCGACGAGAAGTACACGAAAGAGGAATCTACAGTATCCATCGCACAACTCTGACCATTTCTTATGCGTCACCCGTGATATTAGCGAAGTTTTGATGCGCGAAAAGGCCCTCGCCGACGCCCCTCATATCAGAAGCTCAATAATAGAGAAACGGGAATCTGCATAACTATCTAAATCCAACCGTGGCGAGGAAAACCAGCAGCTTCTCCCTATCTTTATGGTCACTCATAAATTCCGCAACATATTCATGCGGCAAATACTTCTTTCCATCCTTGTCCTTGTAAGCCCACATTTCGTCATTTCCCAAGTCATTACGGATTCTCAAAATCTCGACGAGATCTTTTGTTCTGGTTATGCCGTTCTCCATGGCGATGTGTAGCACAGTTTGTTCTCTGTATCGCCAGGAGAGATCGGTCACCGGAGCCAGAAGACGCATTGTTTCCTTGACCCTAGTCCTGAAATCCGCTTCCGCATTGGCGACTTTGCACCAAGGTTGAGGTTGTGTTCTGCATACAATAGCCAATGGCACCCTGTGATCGAACATTTCCTCTTTGAAATCAGCATCGTGAGTTTTCAACAAGGATTTGACGAATTTGGGAAGAGCGAGGAGGGCGGCGGTGTGTAGTGTTCCGTCGTCCGCCGGCGATCCTGTATCCATGAGGCGAAAGGCGGCGAAGTTTCCTAGGTAGATGGAAGCGAGGCGGAGGTTTAGTTTTGGGGTCCCGATGTCTGGGGTGAAGGGTTTGGGGTATGCGCCTAGGTGGGCGAAAGAGGGGAAGGGGATTTCGTAGGATAGTACTTTGTTGTCCATTTCGATCAAGGCTTTTAGCACGGGAGTTCGCGTTGAGTCTAGAAGGCAGCCGAAAGCTGCGGATACTCCTGTTACTGGGGTGGAATATGTCGGAAGCACTGTTAGGTAAACTTCTGTCAGTGTGGGAAATTTTGCGATGGGCATTTGTTAACGAACCTTTCTTGCCGGCTTCAGCTATCGATACGAGTATGGCATCATTCCCAATTCTAGGTTCCCTGAATATAGCCCATATCAGTGCGGTGCACTTTTCAGAGCGCCATCCTTTGCAAATGCTGTATGTGATCTTTTCGGAAGCAGACACTCCATTCCTCAGGAGAATCTTCAACAGCTTTGTCCCGTTTGGATATTTACGCAGGCAGTCGAAGAGAAGCTGATCCTGGTTGACGATCGCTGGACTAGGCTTGTCTTCAAGACAAATGTTGAACCACCGCACGACATCCTTTTCGTCTTGAAAGCAGCCCAAAAGCGCCGGTAAAAGTACCTTCAGCCTCGCGTGTTTACTCAGCATGCGAAATTCTGGTTCTTTTCTCGCTTTGGCGGCCAAGAGGTAGCAACTGGCCTTGTTTTTGTTCGGGTCTGCCCCTTTTGCGAGAAGAAGTTGCAATATGGAGTGATTTGAAGTTTTCCCTAGCAGACTCGCCGTTAGAGCATCGTAGAGAGAAGTTTTGTTGATGTTCCACTGTAACAAACATCGATATACCTCTAGACGCAAATCTGTGTTTATGAAAGAGGCTTTCAGCGCTTCTTTGAAAGCGACGTCAGCCGTATGGTCATCATCGATATATTGACTGAGAAGTTTAACAACATCAACAGAATTTGCTCGAAAAGCCAGCCGGAAGGCTTTTCCACGTTCATGACCGACGACAGCGCCATGCTGCAGGAAAAGTTTGGGCAGACTCAGTTGATCCGAATCGACGTGTTTCAAGGAGCTGAGAAGAGCTTCGGAGACGACGTCGGCGGGGATGGGATTTTTGAGAATGACGCATCTGTCCAACAGACACTTGTATACCTTGAGTGATCTCTCACGGCTCATGGAAATCGTTTGCGCATGCATGAACAAGCTCATGACATTGTTACGGTTTGTGATGGCCTCAATCATGGTCACGAAAAGTCCAGGAGACGACTTTGCCATGGCCACCTGGATGGTTTCAAGCTTGACTTCGGCACTCCGTGCCAACAGCGACTCCGGGAGCCGCGTACTTCTTGGGTTATGATTGATGAAGTCATCAAGCAAGGCCGACAGATCACTCGCCGACGCACCACCGTTTGCATCGAGCAGATGTTTGACGATGCGAACTTTCTGGTCCGCCTTCAGCTTAGCAGGCCCTACCGCCAGACATGCTCGTGTGATAGAAGTCGCGGCAGGCCGGAAGGCGAGCAACACATCCATTGTTTCGAAAGATCCTGCTTCCGCTGCTACATGGAGCGCTTTTCCCCCATGATAGTCGACTGCAGCTTTGTGGCGCAGAAGTAGTCCGAGACCCTCCACATTGCCGTCCAGAGCACGACGTATATATCGCACAAGCGCCTCGGACTGTCCAATCTCAGCCGACTCTGCCTGCCCCAAAAGCAGCTCAATAATCCTGAGTTCGTTGGAACCATGTAGGCGTTTGGTAGCAGCATCGAATGCTGATCTCAAGCTTGTGATGCTAGGCTTTGCACAAAGGATCTTGCGGAGCAGATCGACATCGTCTTTTTGAACAGCCAGTTGGAGCAAGATTCCACTTCCAAAGTCAACATCCATCTCATGCTGAAGAAGGCAAGGTATAATGCTGACCATATCATGGTTATCCTTGAGAGTCGTGAAGACCCAGGTCGGCTTCAAGTTGTTGAGCACACCAGCAGCAGACGGTGCAGAATTGAGGACGAGATCCAAAGAAGGCAGAGCATAATATCGGGGATTGAGCGCTATTGTCAAGATGTTTGAGCAGCTCGCTATGCTTATCTGGCGACCATCGCATAGAATCTTGAGCAGATCGAATTTTTTGAGCATGAGTGCCATGACGAAGCAAAGGCCGGCCTCATAGTTGGGGTCAGCGCCGTATTTCATAAGCAGGCGCACAATATCCAACCGGGCATCATCTGAAGCTGCGGCGAGAAGCGTTTCGTGGAGCGGTGTCCCCGACGCTCCCTTGCTCAGAAGTAGTTCCATCATGCTCAGCACCGTGCTGTATCCATGAGCAGATATTGTATCGAAAGCTATGGGTACAGATTCTGAGAATGTTTCAACTCGTGGGCTTGCACCGCAGAGCAGTTGAAGTAAGCAGATATCGCCCCTTCGTACAGCTGTCAAGACACCACTTTCGATATGATCATCACTACTATCCACGGGTGCATCATAGTCCAGCAGTAGCTGAACCAACTCCATGTCCACCTCTCCGCCTTCAGACACAACTTGTTGTAAGGGTCCGGCGAGCTCTTTTGCTGGAACGTTCTTCTTCAGCAGAGCTTTCATGATCTGCAACCTACTGAGCCGATATTCCAAGGTCATAGCAGCGCTTATAGAATGCGTGATGATCTCCAGTGAACAGCTGCCTCGCAGTAAGATGTTGAGAATCTCAAAGTCTGCTTTTGTTATGGCCTGTAATAAAGCGCGACCCTTTTTATACTCTACAGATGCACCGTGTATAATCAACTGCTCGACGAGTCGAATATGCTGCTTCTGAACAGCATGAACCAATCGCAAGTCTAGTGATTTACCAGCCAGGTCCATATGAGCCAAGAGGTCTATGAGTCGTAGCATATCTTGTTCAGAAGTCGACAGTGGTACAAGGTCCAGCAAGGGAGACACGGGCGAAGAGCAAAAGCCATGTCTCAGTATCTCCAGTACATCGAAATCCATATGAGAGACAGCCCACGACAATGCGTTGTGAGGTTCAATATCCAGACTGACACCAGCGTTCGTCAAAGTCTGAATCAGGAAGAGCTTGCGGAGCTTTACATCCTTCATCAACTCCTCACGAAGGATTGGATTGTCCTGCAGGCATCCGGTCTCGAAGAGTAAGATGAAAAAATCATTCCTCTGTCCAAGATCTTCAACCTGAGTAGCCAGCTTGTGTATATCTTGAAGCACGTCACAGAACTTCTCAACAGAACCCGCGTAAGCAAGTATTGTCACAGTGGCAGGGAAGTTCTGTGTCTTCAACGCTTCCAGTAGAAGGCTATCGCAGACTATGTCCGGACGATTAGCTAGGCAAAGTAACAGGATATCAGAAGAGCTTTCGATTCGCAGCTTCAAGCAATATCGCCACGCCGTGAGATCCATTGCGTCTGGAGCGGACAGCAAAAGTTTCGCCAGAGCAACATCGTTCTGCTCGAAACACTCCCGGATGGTTTCCTTGCAAGTAGAGGCGCCGGCACCATAGCTAAGCAAGATTTCCATTTTGTCCATTGAATGCTGTGATAGCGCAACGCTGAAGGCGTGGTCCAAGACTTCTTGATCCACACCAGTCTGGCACATCAGTTGAATGTAATCAAGATCCTGTAGAGCGGCCATCTCTTCCCGCCAAGGCATCTCATAGATGACTGGTACTTGCGATCGCAAAAGACGACTTTTCATCCTTGTCAGTCGGGATCTTGTCCGTTCCTCTAACTTTGGATCGTGAAGATGTCGCCAAAGCTCATCTAAAGAGGTTTCCTGTGCATGAGATAGGACCGCTCGCACAACTCCAAGCAGCTCGAGTGGGTCCTGAGATAGGAGGTTGCTAAAGACTTGTGCGACTTCATGTTTGCTGAAGATCCACTTGTCTTGATTCAGCTTCTCGTCTCGGCGCCGGGTAAACCGTCTGTTGCGCAAGGTTGGTTCCGGTGCCTTGTATTCAGGATTGCAAACTCGCTGTTCGGCAAGTAAGAACCGTGCTCTCTCTGAATCGGCGGGAGACGTTGACTGAACATCGATGGATGGCGTCCATGGTCGTTGAGCCAACATTGAGACAGGTAGTGGTGGAGAGAGATTGGCTTTGCGAAGAATCAATGTGACTCGCCGTCGGGATGAATGTTGCTTCGTGCTTGACGTAGCATCCTCAAACAGTGAAAGTCGTGCTTCTGGCGAATGATGGGTATCCACACTCGAATCTGCAGACCGAGTCGAGCCGTAGTACATGTCTCGCGGACCTTTGCACGAATTCTTTACGAAGGGCTCCATGGCGAGGAACCTTTGTTCAAAGGTAAATGATGCGCATATCAGTCAATGCTCGATCCGCATCCCACCATCGAACGCCTTGTTTACAGGCTGTGCTGTGGCGGGGTCAGAAGTTGGGGCCAAAATGTGCTGGCCGAGCATGCAGCAATTGAATAGCGTAGGATTCGCTGCAGCCTTTTCCTAAGCCCAATCAGTGCATGCATCCAGGAATTTGGGATGCAGCGCCGACCGACATATGAAAAGAGTTACGACCCAGTACCAGCACAAGGTGGTAAAACTCTCTCAGTATCGCTGCGCTCTCTCGAATTTGTATAAGATATCACAGCCTTTTCCGTCCTTGTGCGACCAAGTGATTTAGATCTGTGTGTTTGTTACCATCATTTTTCTTAGAGTGGTTCAGGTCGACGGATCGACTCGGTCTCCGCCATGCCTTCGTCTCCGCCATCCTACAAATCATCAGAATCGATATCGCGGTCGGAAACATCTCGCAAGGAAATTCGTTCGCTTGCGGACGAGATGCTGCGCTCTTCATTGTCTCGTAGCGTCTCCTCTTCGGCATCCGTGTCTCGTTCGCAGGCTCGGAGAACGGACACGAAGTTATTGGCAGAGGAGCTCTTGCAGAATCCGCCATCAAGCTCTCGCAAAGTCCCGGCTATCTCATCTCCGCACACAGCTACCGCTTTCAAGAACAGTGATGTTCCGACCTCCACGACATCAGTACCTCCCTCTTATGCCATGTCAGAGAGATTGATGAAACTGGCACTCAAGCAGGAAGTTGATAAGGCCAATGCTCATGCGCCTCAGCGTAACACGACGGGATTGTTCAAGGCAGCATGCTCGACAGACTTGCTGTTTCTGATCGATACCACATGTTCCATGGACCCATATCTCAACTCGGCGAAAGAGCAGGTCAAGAGCATCGTCAAGGATATCAAAAAGACTTTTCTCAACGAGTCCGACGTCCGCATCGCTGTGGTCAGCTATAAAGACCATGGAAGTGCAATCAATATCGAGTTCCTCGACTTTACAAGATCCACAGATGAAGTGTTCGTGTTCCTGGATGGGCTTGAAGCTGAAGCAGGAGGCGATCCGCCTGAAGATGTTCTCGGTGGCATCTATCAGGCGCTTCAAGCATCATGGAAGCAACAAACGCGCTGCATGGTCCATATTGCAGACGCACCGCCGCACGGCCGTGGACTGCATGACTTGAAAGATCAAGACGACTATTACCTGCCAGGCAGCGAGCCACATGGCCTTACCTACAAACCACTCCTTAACAAGCTGGTCCAGCTCGACATCAACTACGCTTTTCTCCGCATAAAATGCTACACAGATCGTATGGCCTTGGTTTTCGCTCAAGTTTACGGGCACCGCAATGCGAAGTTGCACATCTCCAACACCTATCATAGCCAGATGGTATCAACGGCAAGCAAAGGCTCCGGCACGAACACTATGAGCAATCATAACATCGCGCCGCAATTCAAAGAATTTCAGCTTGGTCTTTCGTATAGCGAGCTCCAACATCTGGTGGTCAAGACAGTGACCGACTCAATCACTCGAACTGCTGGTCGCCTCTCCGTGACGTGGAACGCGACAAGCAAGATCGAGAAGGGCACTCATGCAACAACCCTGGACGCTATTCATGAGGGTGGCAGCGCTGGTAGTGGTAGCGGAGGCGACACCAAAAACTCTTTCGAGAAAGTCCAACGGTGGACGACTCCAGGTTGGCTGGACGAGACGCTCGATTTGGAAGGCTTTTGTCCCGCAGTAGTAATACACGACATGAACACACTCGATAGCATGATGGCCGCCGATGAGAACATCAAACTGAGCGTCCTGGAGCTCAAGATCCGAGCTCGATCCAAGCCGTTCGATCGAGGCGCCATGCGGAACGCATTCTACGCCAGTAGTACCATTGCGGACACCAGATTTGTGTTGAAGTCATTTCTCAGACACGGCGAGGATGAACGTGCTCAAGCGGCCGAGGACATGCGGATCCAAACATTGTGCAAGGCTTTCGCTCTTGAGTTCAATGGTCTGCTCAAGATCGAACCCCCTCTGGACTTTCTAGTAACGTCCTGCCTACAAAGCAAGTCGAAAACGCGCAAAAAGTGTTCGTCCCTTGAGCTTCTCCTAGATGGCGAATATGTCAAGTACAACAACAACACTGCTTGGGTCAACGATGAATTACCCGACGACTCTTTCAATCAGACCGCGCAAGCTTTCTCGCATTTCACGTTCGAGCGCTCATGGGGACTGCTTCTGATCAATGATCTTCAAGGCGTGGATCATATACTGACCGACCCGACAATCCAAACGCGTGACCCAGAGAGGTTCAAACTGCACCAGAACAACTTGGGCGTCGAGAGCTTCAAGTTTTTCTTTGCTCGGCATGAGTGCAACAGCGTCTGCCGCGAGCTAGGCCTGCTGAGCAACCGAGAGACGTTCGCATCAGGCCGATCCGAGTTCAGGAAAGAATGGCCAGTTATGGCGCCCACAGTATGCTGCTCGAACAAGCTTTGTCGTAGCATTATCCGCATGACCAACTCTCACGAGTCGACAAAATTTCCTGGTCAACATTGGTGCAGTACATGCTGGAAACAACTCATGGTGCCCGCCGTCAAGTGGATCTGCATTGAGCCTGGCCCAAATCATGAATTTGAGGTGTCGAGGTTCTATCACGAGTCGCAAGGTCAGTTGCCGCCACGCAAATGCCTTGAGCACCGCGAGAAAGATGTCACAGAATCTAGCGCCGCAACTGTGGGTGGAAGTCTGTGGAGTCGTATGCAATCTGCGGGTTCCAGAACATCACTCCTCGGAAAGAGTTGGTGAAGAATCATGTCGGTGTTTTCTTGATTGTTGCGACCGAGGACTCTTGGTTCTGCTGTGGTTACTGGAGTTTGTTCTCAGTTTGATTTGTTTGTTCTGCCTCTCAATCGCCAAGCATTCTTCCAACACTTTTACCGTGTAACCACAGATCCCATACTATCCAATGTTGAAAGATCCATCAATAGAAAAGTGGCATGCAAAGCCACATGACCATCCAGAGATCGAAAACGTGGCGTGTAAAAGGGCAGTGTGTCGATAGTATGATCGTATTGACTGGATCTGGAGATGTGTGCAGACAGTGCAGCCACTGTGTCGACGATTGCGGCTGAGTGACATTTTGGGCTGTGAGATCTTCAGCCGCAGTCCAGCCTACCTATTAATTCGCATGTGCGTGGCTTAATGTCGCGTCAGTGGAAGCATGTGATAAGACAGTAGCCGACGCTTTTGCGAGCTGTGTTCTTCAGCCCTTGATCATTACAAACTCGTGTGAGTTTGTGATAGTGTGATATAATAGTGGCTTAGGATTGACGCTTATGTTAGGTAGTTGCAAGTAGTATACAAATCTGATCATCGCCTCAGGTCGACGCTACCAGACTATCTGCCATGTTATCTCACTAAACCCTACGATTTGCGAGAACGCTTGATCCCTGTCTTCCATATCCTTCAGGACCGCCTCGCCTCCATCATCTGCAAGACTACTCGCGATACGCAAATCCTTGCCTGATCCGCCGCCTGGTATGACTTTACTCTTTACCCGATCGAGCTTCTCCAGCTTTGCGATGTTGGTGTAATCGATGCTCCATGTGATGCGATGGCCGATGTTGGTTTCGAAGCGCATGGACGAGGCGCTGATTATCAGACGTCCTTTGTCTTTGCTCAGGTGTGCTGGGTAGAAACCGTAGTCTGTATTTGCACTGTTGCCCAAGCCGGTTTGAGTATCATGGCGGTACCGAGAGCCTTCTGCTTGGAGTGACTTGACTGCCCATTCGGCTGAGAATATGTTCATGTCAGTCACGGAGCTCTGTTCAATAGGGGTAATAAATGTAGAAACTGACCATGCGTGGGAATATTCCAAAACACTCGCCTAGGGATTGAAGCGAGCAGTCGATAGTCAGGGAAGTTGCTTGCGAGGGGGAATAAGCCGAAGAAGACCATTCCTGCTCCAAGTGCGCTCGACTTTATCAAGTAGTAAGTAGGGACGAACGTGGTGATTAGGATGGTCAACAAGAAGATGGAAAGCGTGGCCACAGTTCGACCAGGAACTCTCCATTCATAGAAGCTGGGGAACATATCAGTGTCAAAGCTTTAAGAGGGATGATGGGGACGATCGTACTTGCGCAGGATTTCGAAGAGGTCGGCCACGTCGCAAAGCTGAATCATGAGCCACGGGCCTAGATCTTCCTGTAGCTTCTCAACCCACGATCCGCCTCCTTGCTTCTCGATGTATTCGGTTAGGGTGTAGGCTGTCTGATCCTGATCCTCGGTCCGCTCCAGATCTGTGCGAACTTCTTTGATTGTCTTTCCGAAAAGCTGACGGCTCATGACCATGTACACGATGGCCGATAGCTTGGTACAGTTAGCCATTTTGACCACTCTGACAAATAGTTCATAGCTAGATGCAACGTTCAATACATACCATGCCTGAAAGTAGGAGATCCCAATAAAGTAATGCAACGTAAAGTATGAGGTATCCCAAAGTTGCCTTCGGATCTTCCCATCTGTACACTTTCCTTGCTGCCATGATCAGACTCTGAAAAGGTGCAGATGCAATGATGATTCGCTCGACATTGGGCATGATGGATTCCTTCGTTGGGGCTGGCGGGCTCGAACCGTGACCTATGTATTGACCACCATATTGTTGAGCGTAGTATTGCAAAAGCTGTAGGATATCAGCGCATCACATCATGAGAGAAGAGGTCTTCCGGCACGCACATGAGTCCCGTAAGCCTTCCAGTCAATCACAGTACCTTCGTCGATGGTTTTGTGTTCGAAGGCCGATCGGCTTTTTCTAACGAATGCATCGCGAGGTAGAGGACGGCATTGAGTGACGTGTCGGTCCATGGTCCACCTCACGTAAGTGTTCTGGCGTTCTTTGACGAGCCAGTCGCGTTCGTGCACAGCGGTAATCTTCTCATCGTTCGTTTCGGCATGTTCGACGCGATCTTGAGCCTTGACGAGCTCCACTTCTTGACCATGAGATATTTCTACTGTTGCTACATTAGCTGCTGCTTGATGACTTCCTTGAGCGGAGATCTTGTCCTTGATCGTGTCGATGGGATTGTGCAGCAAACGGTCGACGGTAGATTGTTCAGAATTTGAAGACTCATGATCAAGCCGAGATTTGCATGGTTCGGGTGTCGATTCTTTGGCGAGAATAGGATGCGCTTCCACTCCTGGACGAACGTTGGACGGTTCATTGATATGCAAGGCTTTGCGGAACTTCGCAGCGGCGGCGTGTCTATGTTCGTCAAAAGAGCGCCGGACTCTGTAACCCGAGTGTGGAAGAGGTGAAGGATGCGGCAGTTCCTGATTCGAAGGCTGGACTTGGCCGCCTTGTTTGATGGCTGCGCGATCTAGAGCGACGATGTTATCGTTGTGAAGGTCTGCCATCACGATGTTGAATATCTATCGCAGAACGATCGACTTTGCTGGGAGAGCCTCAGGAACTAAGGGCATGTGTCTGATGCGATGAGAAATAATCTGAAGGCGGCCTTCCACAAAAAAGTGAATGACGTTATATGGAGGGGGAGGGGTGTGCTGACATGGTGTAGCATTCAGGCTAGGAGCGGAGGACTACTCCGACTGAGCAACATCTCCTAACTCTAAATGCCAGAGCACGAGGCCCGCATCTTTGAGAAGATTTTGTTCGGTCTTTGAAGATCACAAATGCGCGTGTTTACACAGAGCATCTCTTTTGAATATAAGCTAATTTCGTAACGTCGTTATAGAATTGAAGGACTTTTCCACTTATGAGCATATTTCTTCATGCTTCACTTTCCAACAGACTCAGCCTTCTTAACTTGGCTCACGCGCATGGCTTCTTCCTTTGCTCTGCTCTCGGCGCCTTCCTTGACAGCCTTCACCTCAGCCTCTAATTCCTTGAGTACGTCATCGCATCTTCCTGTCCAAGCGTCTAGTGAGGCCATGATGGAAGTGACGCTTCCCGGAGTGATGTCGCGCAGGGCCGTCACGCTGCTGATTGCGACGAGGCCCTTTGCAGGGTTGAGGGTGGCGGTGACGAGGTCGGCGTAGATGGCATCGGTTACTAGGCGTTCGAGCGCGAGTGGTGATGAGAGTGAGAGAGCGGATTGCAGATTTGAGTATGTGAGCGGTGCATTGTTGGTTGTGGTTGCGGCGAGGGTGAGCAGTGTCAGCAGACGTAGCTTGTGTTCCTGGTTGGGCGAGAGCTGAGGCAATGATGATGCGAGAGCTGCAGGTGTTTGGTTAGTGGCTTGTTTGAAAGCAGCGAGAAGTCAGAACATACCTTGGTATTCGGCCCATGTGCCCCATGCGAATAGCTCAAGTAGGGTGTAGTGGCTGCTGTATTGGGCGTCGTCGCGCAGCTTCTGGATGTTCGGGGTCTGGAGGAGCTCGCCAAAGACGTAGGTGTTTGCGGCAGAGGTTGCTTGTGTGACAAGATCGGCTGCTGCACGAGCTGACGTAGCCGACTTGGACAAGGCGACGAAGGGTGCCAGAGCATTGATGGCGCGAGTCTGCTCCATGGTGTGATATGGTGTCGTATGAGAAGATGTAGTTTGGTGGAAGCTGCTCAGTTGCGTCGAAGGAAGATCGAGAAGGCGTCAACATTCATGAAGGGAACCACTGCGGTGGAAGCGGGAGTCCGCCGTCGGACTTTGCGGAGCGTTGTTGATGCTTGGCGTCGTCAATGGCATCAACTCGCTGGCCCTGCTGGTCCTTTCTTCACTTCTGGAAAAACAACACACTCTTCGACCGTATTTCATCTACCATCGACTCTTAGGACATCACTTCTACAATGCCATGCATGCCGTCGATGGTATCGTGATACTAGGAAGACGTGATATGAATACCTCATCAATGCATTCTATAGTATTTCTTCAAGATGCTCCTAAATATCCAACCAATCAAACCAACCTTTTGAACATTTCCATGCTTACAAAACAATCAAAGCACCCATTGCAGCAGCCAACACGCCACCAACAGCACATCCCACCTTTCCAGCAGCACCAGTAGAAGTCTCAGTAGACGCCGAAGCCGATCTCGAAGCAGAGCCAGAAGCAGTAGACGAAGTCGAAGATTGACCAGACACACCAGCCCTAACCATCGCATCATTAGCAGCTACTCTCGTATAAGTAGGAATGGTCTTGACCCACGATCTGCTCAAACCACTCGTCGAAGCAGTGCCCACCGACGTCGGCGATCCCGTCGTACTGGTCTGACTTCTGGAAATAGTCATTGTGGACATGTCGATTCCGCAACCAGAGTTTGTGGCGATGGCGCAGATGGCAGGGAGATCGCTGGATGCTGGCATAGAAGCGGGAACGATATCCGTGTATCCGCCAGACAGCACGGTAGGTACAGCGGCTTCCCAGGAAGTGGTTGAGCCGAGATCGACGGGAATCCAGAAGGTAGAGACGTCGCTGGGGAAAGCGGACGCGGTAAAGGGGTTGAATGTTGCTGTAGGATTATCTGCTGTGCGCCAGACATAGGTGGACTCTTGAGCGGCGTCGATGCCTGCGAGACCTAGAGGGTCTTCATCATCACTGCTGTCATCGCTTGTATCATCGTTGCTGTCGTCTTCATCATCTGAGTTGTCATCAGATGCACCAGCAGTAGGAGTAGCAGTTGCAGAAGCGGCAGCAGTAACCTCAGCACTCGTCACAACGGCACTAGCACTGGCAGCAGCTGTAGCGGGTGCAGTGGATCCAGCCAGGTAACTGGGACTGTACGTCTCTGTACCCACATATGCTGCACATCCAGGCACCGTGGTCTTAGGGGGTGCTCTACCACCGCCACAGTCCAGAGGGTCACATAGTTCTCCTGTTCCGGGAACGATCCATGCGTACGAAGCACCTGCTGGAGATGAAATGTCTGTTCTTGTGCAACCGTCCAGATCGGTTTTTGCGTTTGCCAGTGCTGCCGAGAGGGCAAGGAGAGAGAAGGTAGAGAGATGCATTCTGTTACTGATGTCCTTCAATGATTGTTTGAGATGATCTAGCGGTGTAGTTAGATGTTGTGTCGTGATGCTGATATCGAAAGAGCGTCCTGCTTATTAGAATATCACGAAAAGCAAAAAGAGAGTCGAGCTGAGTATGTAAGAAGAAAGAGATGTGCGGTGGAAACAACAGAACAAAGGCACATCTTGTTGTAATTTCCGTCGTTCCCTAAACAGCAAGTCAGGTACCGCAGCACATGAAGCATAGCGCATCCTTCGAAGAAAACGCCACTGATCATCATGAAACAAACATATTCACATCGCAAAAGACACTGATTGACTGGATGTATAGCGATGGTGTCAACAATATTGGCTGTACTGTCAAGATGTAGAGTAATCGTAGCGTTCTGATCCAGACGTTTCTTTGTGCTGTAGAAAGATACTCGAGTTCATTTAACCAAGACAACACCAAAGAGAGAGAGACAGGAGTTCAAAATTAGCCGCTTGCTGTGCATGTGGGGTGAAACTCGATTCATGCATGTTATTCTAGTCGACCACACGGGATGAATGATGACAGACAACGGCTGTACATTGCACATCCCGTCGTTGCCGTCTCACAATTGAGGCTCTTATGGCTGCCACGGCTGACAAGTACACATGTATCATTTGTCGCCTTGGATAAACGAAGAAAATGCTGGCGTCCAACTATCAAAACTTGAGAAACACAGCTCGTAGGGTATCATGATGGTCTTGGGTAAAGAAGAATAAAAATTTAGATGTGATACCAGACTTAATACATTTCATTTCCCCCACGCTCTTTTCGCTCATCCTAGCATTTGATAACCCGAGAGCAGATGCCATGTTACGTTGTTGCATGTGTACTAATAAAACGAGAAAAGCCGCCGCCTAAGAAAAACATGTAGAGAGAAGAAGAAGAAGAAGAAGAAGGAAGAAAAGACAACGCCGCGCTGCCTGAAAGAAAAACATGAAACAAGAACCAATGGAAGCAATTATCATTAAGTTCAAAGTTTGCAGAAAGAAGAAGAAAGGAAGACGGTTAAATAAGAAAGTCGAACAAGAAGAGAACCTGAAAAAAGGGTATAAAAACAGGCGGGAAAGAAGAGATGCAGAAAAACACAATGCTCCGAAAGAAGAAGAAAGGGACGGGAAAGAACACTGCTCGAAATCAAGAGATGGAAGAATCAACAGGCCGGACAAAGGCCTTCCTAGTTGCTCCTGTCCTTGCCTCTCTTACGGAACCAGTCCATCACTCGTCGAGCACCACCACTGCTACCACCGTTGCCATGGCCCTCGTATGCGTCACCGAATTTGCGGTTCTTCTGTAGCACCGCTTGTTGACGATGTTGAGGTTTGGCCTGGACAGCGGACTCGGTTTCGTTGAAGCCAGAGGGGTATTGCTGTCTTGGTGTTTGAGCAATTGAGTCGGATGCTTGCGATTCAGCGGATTGCGAAGGTGTGTAGAAGTTCTCCTGTCTTGGTCGACCAGCACTGCTCTGTGGAGGAGTGTAGTTGTTGTACTGCTCTTGTTGCTGTTGTCTCGAGAATTGTTGTTGCTGCGAGAAACCAGGATCTTGCATCTTTGTGAGATCGGGGGCAGTCGCACCGCGAACAGGTTGGTGGGTCATCTTACGGCGGCCGTCAACGTTGTTATCATGCACGGTTGGGATGCTGCTGCTGGTGGTGCTCTGGCTAGGCGAACGGCTTCTGCCTTGACCAAACGCCATGACAGGCGATTGCTTGGAAGCAGGACGACTACGGGCGTTCGCTTGCACAGAAGCGCGTCTACCAGCACCTTCGGCAGCTTCGGGTCCAGATGCGCCGGAGAAGCTCATTCTAGAAAACGACACGGGCAGGAAAGAGAATCTTCTTGACGATCTAGGTCCAGCGGTCTCGCTAGTCTTACGGTTATAGCCGAAGGAGCGGCGAGAAGACTCGGTAGAAGGACGAGGAAGATCCTCGCCTGAGTGCGGCATAGCATTTTTCATGCTGACGGGAGGATACATGCGCGAAGACTTCTCTCTTTCTTGACGGGCATTGGCAATCTCTTGTGGAGTTGCCGATTGACGACGAGAGCCAGAACGACCGAATAACTTGGTAGTGAAACTTTCGACCGTGTTAGAGCGCTTGTGACCACGTACCGGTCTCTCGGCGGGTTGTTGAGGGGCGGCTTGGTAATCGCTAGGCAGATGTTGGCTGACTGGCCTTCCAGTGTAAGAGTTCCTCTTCGAGCCATCCTGAGAGTTAGGACCGGAGATGATGTAACCAGACGACTTGGGCTGCGAAAAGCGGCCTTCGGCGTTGGTGGCGGCAACAGTGGCGAGAGCAGGCTGGCCATAAGAGTTGCCACGCGAGGGCAATCTCGATCCGCTGGTAGTGGGACGAGCGGTTGAAGTCGGTGAGCCAACGGTGAATGGAGTCGAGTCCGTGACTGCTCGGGTAGGCTCGCGATTGGGGCGAACAGGCGGTGACATTGCAGACTGAGTGGCTGGGCGTTGCTGAGAGCGCTGAGGACCGGCGGAAGGGTCGTAAGAAGCAGGGTTGACGGCAACGGGACCAGCAGCACTGTCTCCCCTCGCGCGCGATCTTCCCTGAGAAGGTGGAGGAGCAGGCTGTGCCATAGCGACACTTGCAGGCAACGAGGCAGAGATAGGCTGCTGTCTTACAGTCTGTGACTGAGGAGCAACATACTCAACCTGGACTGTTCTACGTTTAGCATCGCGAGGAGTCTTGGTCTCAGGCTCGTTGATAGGAACATTCTTGTTGATAAGACCGCCAGGGACGGAGATTTGACTCGGTTTGGATGGCTCTCTGACCGAAGCACTGCGGGCGAGCTGTGGTACATCGTATTGATCGTCTGTGATTGCATCAGTCGCTGAATAGTGTCGCTTGCGTTGGAGGGACATCTTACCGGTAGGAATGGTGGATTCAACGATATCGGCCGAAGTAGTTGTGGTACTTGTTATGAAACCAACAACATGTGCATACTCGCTCAACCAGCTGTGACGAGCAACCTCAAATAGGTCTGCACGCTTTCTCGGGTCCGGAACCAGAATGCGACGAAGTAGATCGCGGGCGTGAGGGGTAACATACTCGGGGAAGGTCAGGGGCGTCGAAACGATGTACTTGTACAAGAGGTTGATGTTGTCACCCTCAGGGTTGGCCGGATCGTCATCGAATGGCAGGTATCCTGCAAGCATGGCATACTAGACAAATATTAGCTCACCGCTATTCCATGACATGGAATCAACTCACCAAAATCACACCGCAACTCCACACGTCAACCTTGCGACCAGTGTACAGAGAGTCACTAACGACCAATTCTGGCGCGGCATAGCATGGGCTACCACAACTTGTCTGCATAAGATCACCACGACGGTGACCAGTCGGCTGCAGATGCTCCAATCCCATCTTGGAGACGTATTCTTTGTTGTTGAGGTTGTACTCGATCTCCTCGCCGAGTTCGTCGTCCGGGCTGAAAGTGTTGGCGAAACCGAAATCGGTAATAATGATGTTGCGGTTGCGGTCCAGCAGCAGATTCTCCAGCTTCAAGTCGCGATGGACAATACCCTTCTTATGCAAGTAGCCAACACCTGAAACGAGCTGTGCAAACAACCGACGGGCCGCGTTGTCCTTAAGGTAGCGGTGGTTTAGGATGTAGTCGAACAGTTCTCCGCCCGATGCGTACTCGAGGATGATGCCGATGTGCCTCTCAGTCTCTACCATTTCGTGCAGGCGCACGATGTTGGGATGTTGCAGTCCGCGCAAAATCGATATCTCACGGTAGATCTTGGGCAGCCGGTTGGGGTTGTTGCCCAGTGTCTCACGACGGATTAGCTTGATGGCAACCTGCACTCCTCCCTCTTTCTTCCAGCCCATCTTGACTTTGCCAAACTCTCCTTCACCCAGTGTCTGTCCGAGAATGTACTCTCCAAACTTAGTCTCCTTCCTAGGGTGGCTTGACTTGAGGTGTTCCTGTCGGCGACGGGGTGCGGCTTCCTCGGGGGCTTCCATGGCTGCCATCGATGGTTCGTGGTGGTGGTTGGCTGAGATGGGTTGTGCTTCAGCGACGCGGGCTCGTTCACGGGCGGCGTCGGCTTGCGGGTCGTCAATGACTAATCTGCTCAAGATGGCACTGTCTTCACGGGGAAGGGTGTCGGGGATCATCTGCCTCGGCGACGAGGGTTGGTCCATCTCTTTCCGCCGGGCCTGCGACGGACTGTCTGCGTTGAGGTGAGGGTGAGTGGACATGTATTCTTGTTGAGGCATGGCGGGTTCCATCGAGTCATAGGCGGTAGAGATCTTGCGGTGGTTGGGCGATGCCTGGGCCGAGGACGACGAGACCTGACGGGCAGCTACGGCAGAAGGGCTGTCGTAATGTGAAGGGCCGCTCCCGGTTGACGGTCTTTGGCTCTGAGGTCTGCGCGCCGACGAGGGCGAGGCATTGGGAGAGGACTGGAAATGCTGCGGCGGCACGGCATGGAGCGCGGCCGACGACATTCTACGGCTGAGGATAGGCGACGGTGAGCACGGCAGGCGCACAGAGATAAGGAATGAGCGCGGTCGAGGTGCTCGCTGCTCAGGTAGGCGCGGTCAGGCGGCTACGGCTAGGGCGACGGGGCTTGACGACGGCGTCGCGGACTTGACGGGGGTTTGGACCTGACGGAGCGTGGATGGATGATGTGGGCGTGTGATGATAGTAAAGCGCGCGCGGGCGGTGAGAGCGTGCCTGGTGATTTTGACGTCTCAACCCAAAACCAGGAATCGTCCAACCAAGTCAGGAATCAAGATGCACGCAACTGAAACGCAGACCTTCGATCCGCTAATTTCTGCTGGGAAAAAGCGGAAGCCGCGAACAAAGCCTTGAGAGTTAATAGTATGCAATAAGCGAAGTGCCTCCAGGAGAACAAAGCGTCGGGCACCAGCAAAGAGCGATCGTAGACACACGAGGAATGCTCCGGCGATTGCTTCTTACCAAGACTCGATACGGCTGCGACGACACGGTAGAGTCTGAGCGACGACAGCGAAGCAGCAGCACCACGAGTAGCAGCAGGCGACCAGGTCTCACTTCTCGACCGAAAGAGCGTTGTCTGTTTTGATAATCTGAACTCTAACAAGCCGTTCTCCTTTGTTTGCCCTTCTTCCCGCAAGCCAACAAGCCCCCTAAATCGTCTACATCTCGGCTCTAGTCAAGCCAAGCTCCAAATTAACCCTGCCATAGCGCGCCCTACCACAGAAGTCATCCACCAAGGGACCACTCAAATACCACTAGACGCCTGCCTCCGAGACATTTGGCTTGACCGCTATCCACTCTCTCATACTGACCATCTATCTACTACATATCTTTGCACTCCAACTCGTTCTCTCTTCCCTCGATGCCCGTTACTCTTTCTCTGTTTCTGTCTCGGCACCCGTCTGTTTGGTTATCATCGTCCGTCACTTGTACCGTTGTTTCCCCCTAGTTCCCCCGTTACCAGGCGTCCAGCGACAGCTTCTGCATTGTTTCAGAACTTGTCCTACCAATCTCGCTCCTCTCGTCTTTCCATTCCATCATCCCCATCTCATGTCTATCTACATGTACGACAAACTTGAGATCGGGGTGTTCGGCCATTGAGAATAACATCTCGACATCCTCGCACTGGACGCGGTCGGTTCTCAAAAAGCATTGTACATTTCTACAGCTAAGAGTGATAGCCTTTAGCCCAAGCAAGGCCCAAAGTCTGCCCTTGTATCTTCGCCTATTGCTCTTTCTTACTCCGACGGTGCTTGCATAGTCTATTGCAAGCTCATCCAAGTGGCTGGGTGCTGCCGTCCGTCAGGCCCACTCGTCTACCATCCCTTTAAGATCGTGCTGACGATCGACGTCACTTTCTTGCCTTGACCTTCAGATTGATTAATGTCGTCGCCAGCTCTCGGGTAGTTCGACTCTTGTTTGCCTGATCCGACTCTCGAATCTACGAGACCATCTGGGATGACGAATTCACACACCTAATCACAGGCATACGTTCAGCAGCAATTGCGAGCGTTCAAGCACAAAGTGATGAACTGACATGATTCACATGGGGCTTTATCACTTGCATGGCGCCGGAAGCGGCATGCGAGGGCGGCTGGTCGGTCGAAGTTAAATCCTGTAACAAGTCAGCCCCTTCTCCGCGTCGAGGCCCGGCTGGACGAACATGTGCCAAAATCACATGCAAGAACGTTTCGCCCTCCTGAAATTGTACACCGAATACTTTTTGACAGTGCTGCCAAACAGCTGCCAATATCATGCAGTCAGTCAGCTGCTGTCCATGGCACCATCAATCAACAACTTGCAGTCCGTATTCCCCGATGCGCCAGCTTACCGATATCAGACTCAGGTCAGAAACATGCTTTATCACTAGGGCTCGTGCTTCGGGATTGTGTCTCTCTCTGTTTTTAGCCATCCATGGTCATCAACCAAAAAAACAGACTCTGTTCGATTCATCGTCTCGTACGTTTCGCAGCCGAACAGCGGCATGATGCAAATGTTTCATGTACCTGAACATCCCGTTCTTCAAAACGTCCTTCCATCAAGCATGTTTCTGAAGTTCTGGGAGAAGTCTCTGGTCGAAGTGCGGGATCGAAAACGCAGGCATCCCAAACGAGCAATCGCGGAAATTCGTTGTCCCAAGCACAACATCAGATGGTGTTGGTAGCCGCTCCGTCGACCAAGGCTATTTCCGGCGCCGAAAATTGAGATCAACCTGGCTCGGGTGATGGACCATCAATGCCAAGCAGATTCGCAATGTGCTGCAAAGTCGATCAGAGACGACAGTCGTCGATGGTGATGATGGACTGATGGTCTGAACACCGCTTTTGACAGCATTGTGGAAATTCGGCAAGCTAGGGTCTATAGTGTTGTATTGCCCGGCAAGCGCGCTTTAAGGACCCTAGCCGAACGGAAATTGTGGACGGAGGCCTTGAAGCTGTCAAAGCAGGCACACAGCCAACACAGTCGCGGCAGACGAAAGCGACATTATTGACAAGGCGCACCGTGGTCCGTAACTCGTGTCCTATGGTTCAGGCAGCGATAGCATGACGTCCCGCTCTTCTAGAATGTGTCGTGTTTCTGGGCCGTCAAATGACAGGGGAGTCGCGTTGCTCGAGGCATCGATCGTAGTTAGGTTGACCCGATGAACGTCAAACAGAGATGTCAAGATAGGTATGTCGAGGCGTCTTCACACCAATCAGTCGTAAAGCACATCGAGAGGTCTTCTATACCGTGTCATGTTCTTCTGCAGCAGTGGGAGTTTTGTGTTGCTTTCAATGGGCACGTTGCGAGAGAAATGATGCAAAATAATCATGGTTTCCAGGGTGACCCTGGCCTTGGATTATGATGAGCTCTAAGGTACGATCCAGGTGCACCTTGGACTTGCAGGTCCCGAGAACGAATGATCCTACATCTCTCAGAATACGTGCTCACTTTCCAGTCTGTGCATACTATGTAAATGTCCGTCTGCTTGATGTTCCCGTGTTTCCACAGAGGTAGTTTGTTCGAGCACCATCATTTCCCCAGGAACGGTCAGACAGTATATCGATTAGCTAGGTAAATGAGAGTGCTCCATGCATGCGTCTAACGATATCTAAGACATTGCGCAATCTGTATACGATATTGGCTAGCCCGTGAAAGGTGTAGCTTACGTCGATATCGATAAGTCTGATAACAAATGGCAAGGGGAAGAGGAGAACGTGGGGGAGCACATAGTAGAGAGTTTGCCAAGCAAAGGTGGGGGTTTTGGTGTGTCAAGACTTGCGGATTCGAGCAGTTAGGAGTGTTTCTGGTAGTCATTCGAAATGCACCTGACTCCGAAAGAGGTACGCATCTTCACGGAACTGTCTGCATGTGATGGTGTGCTCTGAACTAACGCGATGAATGTTTATAGATTGACAAGCTGGTTGTGTCGCAAGTCGGCCAGCTTGCACAACGTAGATTGGCACGCGGTGTCAAGCTAAACCACACCGAAGCGACGGTATGTTGATTGCACAGCATGACACACACACCTTGATGGCTACTGATGCTCCGGCCAGGCTTTGATTGCGAGCGTTCTCCAAGAAGTTGGTCCTTTTTCTACTTCCTACCGACTCGAGTGCAGACCAAAGTAACGCGTCGCGATAGCTTATCCGTGATGGCAACCACTCAGTGGCAGATCTCATGTCGCTGGGCAAGACCATCCTCGGCCGCCGCCATGTCTTACCATCCGTAGTCAACTCACTTGCCGAGCTTCAAGTAGAAGGAACCTTCCGCTGCGGTACCTATCTGGTCACTGTTCACCACCCTATCAGCTCGGATGACGGCGATCTCGAAAAGGCCCTGTATGGCAGCTTCTTGCCTGTCCCGGACAAGCATGTCTTCCCTCACGCCGACCCCTCCGAATACGCTCCAGAAAAACAGCCCGGCGCCATCATCCCCGTCAAGAATGGAAAGATCGTCCTGAACAAGGACAGGAAGAGGATACAATTGAAGGTCGTCAGCAAGGGAGACCGTCCGATCCAGGTAGGCAATTGCGATTGTGCATGGCAGCGAGTGATGAGGTTGACACGGCCAGGTCGGATCGCACTACCACTTTGTCGAGACAAACCCCCTACTTGATTTCGATCGTGTCAGAGCACTAGGCTACAGACTGGATATTGCTGCCGGAACCTCCGTTCGTTTCGAACCTGGTGACACCAAGACTGTCAACCTCGTTCAGATTGGAGGCAATCAAATAATCAATGGAGGCAATGGCCTCGCCTCTGGTTCCCTTCACGATGCCAGAATCGCTGAAGGCCTCGTCGAGAAGCTGCAGAAAGGCGGCTTCCACCACACTCCCGAGCCTGCTGGTGACTCTGCTCATCTGGACATGTTTACTCTCGAACGTGAAGCCTATATTTCCATGTTTGGTCCTACTACTGGTGATCTTGTCCGCTTGGGTGCCACTGATCTCTGGATCAAAGTCGAGAAAGACTACACTCAGTACGGTGATGAGTGCACCTTTGGAGGTGGTAAGAGTATTCGTGATGGCATGGGCCAAGCTTCTGGACGTTCAGACATCGACTGCTTGGATTTGGTTCTGACCAACGCTCTGATTGTTGATTACACTGGTATCTACAAGGCCGACATTGGTGTCAAGAACGGCATTATTGTAGGTATTGGCAAGGCAGGTAATCCAGATGTCATGGAAGGTGTCGATCCTAACATGGTTGTCGGATCCAATACGGATGTCATTGCAGCCGAAAAGGACATTGTCACTTATGGTGGCTTCGACAGTCACATTCATTTCATCTGTCCTCAGCAGGCTCCTGAGTCTCTTGCTGCAGGTGTTACCACCATTTTGGGAGGTGGCACTGGGCCTAGGTAAGCCTCACTGACGACCCTCTGTCCTAGCTCGACGCTGATTTTGCTCTAGCACTGGTTCAAATGCTACAACCTGCACACCTAGTGCGTGGTTGATCGAAAGTATGCTTCAGGCTACCGATGTTATTCCGCTCAACGTCGGTATCACCGGTAAGGGTAACGACAGCGAGCCTGGTCCTTTGCGCGAACAAGTTGAGGCTGGTGTTTGCGGTCTGAAGCTCCACGAGGATTGGGGAACCACTCCCAAGGTCATCGACACTTGCCTGAGGTATGCATGAAAGGTCACTAATTCAACACGCGGTCACTAACAATTCCTACAGTGTATGCGATGAACACGACATCCAGACCTTGATCCACACTGATACTCTGAACGAGTCTGGCTTCGTCGAAACTACTGTCGCAGCGTTCAAGGGCCGCACTATCCACAGTTACCACACCGAGGGAGCAGGTGGTGGTCACGCGCCAGACATTATTTCAGTCGTTGAGCATGAAAACGTTCTTCCGTCCAGTACAAACCCCACCAGACCTTATACTAATAACACACTTGATGAGCACCTGGATATGCTCATGGTCTGTCACCATCTGTCGCGCAACATCCCCGAAGATGTTGCGTTTGCCGAAAGTCGAATCCGCGCCGAGACAATCGCAGCCGAAGACGTTTTGCACGATCTAGGTGCCATCAGCATGATGAGTTCCGACTCACAAGCCATGGGCCGCTGCGGAGAAGTCATCCTCCGCACCTGGAACACAGCACACAAGAACAAACTGCAACGAGGATACTTGGCCGAAGACGAAGGCACCGGCGCAGATAACTTCCGTGTCAAGCGCTACATTTCCAAATACACCATCAATCCAGCAATTGCCCAGGGAATGTCGCACATCATCGGCTCCATCGAAGTCGGCAAATTGGCTGATCTTGTTCTTTGGCATCCGTCCAAGTTTGGCACCAAGCCTACACAGGTTATCAAGGGTGGTATGGTGGCTTACAGTTTGATGGGTGATGCCAATGCTAGTATCCCTACTGTAGAGCCCTTGATGATGAGACCCATGTTTGGCGCCTCTGTCCCTCACAACAGTATTGCCTTTGTCAGCAAGGCTGCACAGGCCAAGGGCGTGCGCAACAAGTGTGGTCTGAGGAAGAGAGTGGAAGCTGTCATGAACTGCAGAAATATCGGCAAGTCCAATATGAAGTTCAACGACGTCAAGCCCAAGATGAAGGTTGATGCGGAGAGCTATGTGAGTTCCTTCCGGTGATCGGTTCCTGTGACATATACTGACTTTTGACGCAGACCGTAGAGGCGGATGGAATGATCTGTGAGGCCGAGCCGTCGAGTGAATTGCCTCTTGCTCAAACATACTACTTGTATTGAGGTGTGTCTACGGAAGCGGGGTTGAAGTGTGATTATGTTTCTGGATTTGCAGTCACGACTGAAACGAACTCACTGTCGCGTTCATAGTTTCCATGTTCCTTCGCCTTATTCATGAACTGTATTCTCTCTCGTCTCGGACTTGGGACTCTTTGCGTCCTCAATGTAGAAAGCATGATCTTCCTATGTGCATGGTGTGATCTATTCTCGAGGTCGGGGGTGTATCAAGCTTCTGGTCGGGTTCAGTAGCTCATAAGCTTCACAACTTTGCTTGACGGTGGTGTGAGCAAGTTGTTTCCGACCCTCTTTGCTTCTCCACCTACAAACAGCTCGTCGTTTTCCCTTTGTTTCTGTTTCTCCTTGCTTCCTCAACAAGATCTACCACTGTTGACCACCGAGTCTCAGTCTCGATCAATCATGTACATCACCAACCTCCTCCTCGCCATCTGCGTTACTGCTATATACGTAACAGCAGCAGCCCTCCCAACCACCCCCCTCTCCACCCGATCGCCCTTCATCCCAGCCAGCCTCCAAGATGAATACATCCAGCTGCTCAAGATCAATGAAGACTATCTGATCGAGAAGAAAAAACACGAGAGAGCGGAAAGACACAAGAAACGACAAGATCCTGATCTTGACCGAAAATACCCCGATCATGATAAAATACTGCCTAAAAGTCCAAAGAACTATCAACCTTGTGTCAGCGGCGTGACGGCCATGTGTTATAGGTTGATGGATATACGGTATGTTTTTTTTTGTTTCTTTGCACCCCTATTCTTCTTCCTCGTTCTATTTTTATCCACCAAGACACTGTTGAACGTTTTTTTGATTGATGAAATTTATAGTCAGGTCATTCCGCAGGTGTGTAGAGATTGCGACATCATCCCTGTAATGTATGAGGAGACTCAAGGGGTACCGCCTGCGAAGGAAGAAGGGATAAGATTCCCGCCTCGTCAACTTGAGAAAAGAGATGTTGAGATGGAGATGGAGGCTGATGTGGAGATGGACATGAACCACGATCCCAATGGAAAATGTCATGTCAGAAAGGAACTTCCCAAGTGTCAGAAGAAGATCAAGAAAGGGTATGTTTTGTCTTCCCACTTCCTCCTCCTAACCAAATATTCCAGAAGTGGTGGGATATGAATGGCTGACTTTGTGATTGAAATAGAAAATTCCCTTTGCCTGCTTATTGTAGGGATTGCAGGTTCACGCCTGATGGGAGGAGGTTGCCCAAGCCTTGTCGTGTGGATCCGGAGAACTACAACAAATGTGAGGGTATCGAGGAGCTTCCTGATGAGAGTGAATATGATAGTGACTAGATGAGGGTCATTTATGCGACTACATATCTCGTTTCGCTTTTTCATGAGTTCTGCTCTTGGCTTGGTCCAGGCAGAGTGGTAATATTGCTGGGGGTTCATGGGCAGGACATATCCCTGATGCGTTATGGGAACTGTGGCATGAAGCGTGCGGAGATTGGGGACTGAAGAATGGATGCGGAGGTTGATATAATGATAGGCGGTAGTTGATGTTGCGATATTTCTCTGTATCAATCGAAGCCTCCGTCGATATATCAAGACGGTGCTGAATATGATGGTATTGAGATAGCAACTACAATTCGAGATCTGACAGTCGTTCCAACATTGTATTGCATGAAACGAAGTTAGAGTAGGTGAAGTTGGTTCGATATGTGTCAAAGGCAAGCGGAAGCGGGCCGATTCGGAGAGTCGACGGACTCGGGTGCCGATGTCGGAACAGCTGTGGGCGCCCCGCCGTCTCACAAGGAAAGTTGGCGAAGGAAAGTTGACCATCTACACACAACACACACACATTACTACACTATGCCTTCATATAACATTGTCGTCTTTGGCGGTAAGTGACAGTCTAAGACGCTGCAAGGAATTGAACCTGACTGACTCGCAACAGGTGACCACTGCGGTCCTGAGGTACGATCACGCCTATGACATAACTGCTATACTCGATTACTCACTTTTCGCTCCACGCAGGTCACAGCTGAGGCTATCAAGGTACTTGAACACTGACTCAAGCGGAAAGAGTAGCAATGGCTCACGCGATATACAGATCCTCAAGGTGATTGAGAAGGAGTCCAAGGACATTTCCTTCAACTTCAACGAGCAACCGCTTGGTGGTGTACGTCTCCTCAGACACTCAACAAGAAGGAAATAGCTGACGCTCTACAGGCTTCAATCGACGCACACGGCGTTCCCCTTACCGACGAGGCTCTCAGCGCCGCAAAGTCAGCCGATGCCGTCCTTCTCGGTGCCATCGGTGGTCCCGTACGTTATAAGAGATGTTCCCGCCAACGACATGGTCTGACAAGAAGAACAGAAATGGGGCACTGGCGCAGTCCGTCCCGAGCAGGGTCTCTTGAAGCTTCGCAAGGAGATGGGCACATTCGGCAACCTCAGACCTTGCTTCTTCGCCTCCGACTCGCTCATCGATGGCTCTCCTCTCAAGGCCGAAGTCTGCCGTGGTGTCAACATCAACATTGTCCGTGAATTGACCGGTGGTATCTACTTCGGTGACCGCACCGAGGACGATGGTTCTGGTTACGCCATGGACACTGAGCCCTACTCACGCCCTGAGATCGAGCGCATCACTCGTCTCGCTGCCAACCTCGCTCTCGCCGAGAACCCCCCAGCCCCCGTCTGGAGTTTGGACAAGGCCAACGTGCTCGCAACCAGCAGACTGTGGAGAAAGGTCGTCACAGAGGTCATGGAGAAGGAATTCCCTCAATTGCAGATTGGTCACCAGCTTATCGACAGTGCTGCCATGATCCTGGTCAAGAACCCTCGCGCTCTCAACGGTGTTGTTGTCACCAGCAACTTGTTCGGTGACATCATCTCCGACGAGGCTTCAGTCATTCCCGGTAGCTTGGGTCTTTTGCCCAGTGCTTCCCTGAGCGGTGTTCCCGATGGCAAGAGCAAGTGCAACGGCATCTACGAGCCCATTCACGGTATGTCTCTCAGTGGTTCTCCTTCCTCGGACTCCCACTAATTCAATTCACAGGTTCCGCACCCGACATTTCCGGCAAGGGTATCGTCAACCCCGTCGCCATGCTCCTTTCCGTCGGTATGATGCTCAAGTACTCCCTCCAAGAGCCCGAGCTCGCCAAGTCCGTTGACGAGGCCGTCAAGATTGTCATCGAGCAAGGCATCAAGACTGGCGACATTGGCGGTAAGGCAAAGACCACCGAGGTTGGTGATGCCGTCGCCAGCGAGCTGTCCAAGATTCTCAGCAAGAAGTAAAAGAGAGGATACGCAAAAAGCTACGCAAGGATATGAATTGTATAAAAAGCGAGGAATAGATACGACACCCAGCAGCGGAAAATGACATTTATTGATGATCTTTCACACCCTACACATGTTCCCTTTCCTCTTCACATTCAAGTGCCATCAGAAGACTAATAACAAGCCAGACAGAAGACGCCAGGAACAAGATGCGCAGCAGAATCTCGGAAGATCATCTGCTCGGTCATCGGGTCAAAGCAACTGACTTCTATATAGCACCTTCCCAAAGGATCACCATCTCGAGCATCAACCCCACGTCTTGGTACCATGCACATCTCCCTTGGCACCATCACCAACGGATAAATTATCACGACAAAAAACGACATCCATTCCTTGTACCCCGCAAACCTTGGTATAGCCTCACCAGCCCTTCATGCACCTGCTCATATTGCATTCGGGACAAAGCATACCGGATCCTCGTCTTGGTCACTTGTTATATAATATTGCAACAGTGCCTCAATCACCCACATCTCCCACTAGCAATCTTCCATCATGTTTGGAAAGAAGTCACTTTCTTACCTGCTGCTTGCTGCTGCGGCTCAAGCAAAGTATATCGTCCCTGGAGGCAGATGGACCGATACAGATGACAATCTCGTCAACGCACATGCTGGTGGTGTGACCGTTGGTAAAGATGGCAAGTTCTATCTTTTCGGCGAGTACAAGACTCAAGGACAGACTGAAGGTGGAGGTATTTCTGTCTACAGTAGTGATGATCTTGCTACTTGGAAGTCTCATGGTTTGGCTCTTGGTAAGTGTTCAAACAGAGTGTGGATAAGAGAACGATAGATGCTGACGAAGAGTAGAGCCTATTGAAGGACATCCTTACATTGCACCTGACAAGATCATTCAGAGACCGAAAGTGTTGTACAATGCTGTCGATGACCAATACCATGTCAGTCTTGTGTTACATTGCTTCTCCACACTGCACCCCTAACTAACGTTAACAGATGCACTGGCACGCAGACAATAGCACTTACGGCTGGCTCCTTCAAGGCCTAGCAATCTCCCCCAACATCACAGGTCCTTATACTTTCCTCAATGCCACCGCCCCCTTCGGAAACTGGTCGCAAGACTTCGGCACCTTCACCGACTACAAGACTCAAAAGTCCTACGCTTTGTACTCAAACGGCGACCGCAAAGAAGCCAGAGATGTCTACCTTGCCGCCTACGATGACTCTAACACCGAGTTGGCGGAGATCGTCCATCGCTTTGACAAGTATGATTTGGAAGCTCCTACGATTATCCAGACAGACAGTTCCTACTATGCTTTGATGAGCCACAAGACTGGATATAGACCTAACAATGTTGTCGCCTTCAGAGCAAACAGTCTTGCCGGTCCTTGGAGTCAACCTTTCTTTGTCGCTCCATTGGGGACTAGAACGTATAATTCCCAGTCTGGCTTTTCGCTCAAGATCAACGGCACCAAAAAGACTACTTGGTTGTATATGGGTGATCAGTGGGACTCGAACTCCCTTTGGGAAAGCAGATATATCTGGTTGCCTGTTGACATTGATGACAACAAGCAAACTCTCAAGTTGGAGTGGTATGATATCTACGACTTGGATGTGTAAGTTGGCCACAAGAAACGATACAAGGCAGAATACTGACGAAAGATGCAGCAAAACTGGCCAGTACAAAGAAGTCAAGGGCAAGACCTACTACGCCAAAGACGCCGTCACAGCAGGCGATGCTTTCAAACAGGAAGCCGTAAGCATCTTTCTTCTTCCCTGTCTTCTTCCATTCAAGCTGACACATCCATTACAGAACTTCGCATCCTCCAACACAATCGTCACAGGCATCTCCGGCAACGCTTCCACACTCACCTTCTCCAACATCCAAGGCTCCGGCTCTCCCCAATGGATCTCCTTCTACTATCAAAACACTGATGACATGGGTTTCGGCGACCAACCCGGCGGCTCCCCGGATCGCATCAAGACGCCTTGGGCACTGCGCCGTATCGCTTCTGTTGTGGTCAATGGCAACAGCAGTGATATTCAGACGCTCTACCAAAGAGACACACACAAGGGAATCATCCTGAGCACCCCACTAAAAGTGAATTTGAAAAAGGGCAGCAATACCATTACGATCGGTGGATTAGATAACGGTATTGATGTCAAAGGAGCGGATATTGATAGGATTGTGGTGTATCCTGCTGAGAAGTGAAGATGTAGATGATAGATTAGCGGAAGGAATGTTTCCTCTGATCATCACCCGCATTTGGAAATTGATATTGCTAATTTTTGACGAAGCAAACACGTACGGCCACAGTCAGCTGAAAACTGGGCATCCCGTCCGCTCTGCCATACATAAGCAGTTGAACGGCAGATTAGTACTACGGTGGGTGACCACGTGGGAATCCCTGCTGCTGTACGTTTTCATCTTTTGCTGCCTTCTCGCGACAGATAGCTTTTTGCAATGTATGAAAGAAGTAGGAAAGTGTCTTGCCATGTTGCTAGGCTAGTGCTAGGGGTACTGTTTGTATCTTTTAGCTTCGTGCTAGATAAGAGAATGCGACAATACGGTCTTGGATGTTATATATGCGTGCATCTTCTTCTGTAACTATTATAGAGTTAGCCCTTTGGAGAAACATAGGTTTTTTGACGGTGCTTTAGAGTTGTGTGTAGATTTATTCTTTTTTTGTCTTATTTATTTCTCAGCACGTCCGCGATCGGCCCCACAATCTCGTGTTTTGGCGTGTTGTGCCATGTGCTTTCTCGCGACCTGACCACGAGGTCATGACATGTTTGGCGAACTTTTGACTGGCTACTAGGTGCCTTCATATCTCCGTGGAACTCGCTAGAGAGACACGACGCGATATCCTTGACATGTCACGGGACCGTCTTGATCGGAAAGGCGACGATGCTAAATGCAGCTAGCTATTCATCACTTCACCTGAAGCGCTTGAACCTTTTGTAGATATCTGGACGTTCAGAGTGAGAGAATCGAAGGTCAGAATCACTGCGAAGAGGACGTACCACATCCATCCTGGAAGAAGAGACGACACTGCACCGGATCGCCCCTCTTGGACTTCTTTACTTTTGCTTTCTAGAAGACTGATTTCTCTTCTCTCATTCTACCTGCGAGAGTGCTGTAGGATCACATCTCAACCATTCGAATGAGGGCGGGAGGAAGAAACAGGAGGCGAAGAACGCAGCTGTGTGGAACTCAATCTTGGACATCGCGCAGAAGACCTCTCGCCTTGCGACCGGCTGCCTTCTCCGGAATTCTCCTGGCTAGAGGTGGCCTGTTCGGTCTCAGCTGCCAAACAGCGTGTGGCGAGCGATGCAAGTGCTGTACATCCGCTCCAGTATGGGTAAAGCTCATACATCCTTTGCTTTGACAGTACCGGCTCGATCGTCGGATACTTGACTCCGCTCACGAGGCCTTCGAAAGGCTATACTAGCATGACGGGATTGGTCAAAACCACAGTCGATCACCGTCAAGCTCGCCATAGGTCCCACTCCTTTGCGGAGGCTATCGGCGTCTCCAAACTACGCCACATCTGGTCATCTGGGACTCCTCTACTGGATGGACCCGACGTCGAGCTGTTGCGCCAGGGCTAGGCTGCTGTGGGCGAGTCGTTGAAGATCGGGCATCTGAAGAATTGCAAGCCGAAGCGAGCCAGACCTCTTGCGAAGGATTCGGAGGTGGAGACTCGAGTTCTTCCTGAGGGCCGCCAGAGCCTGACTTTAGGCCTCCAAGGCCAGGCTGTTCGAGACGCTGAGTATCTTCTACAGATGTGATGCCGTGCACGTAAAAACTCCGTACAGACCACCAATTGGAACCACATGGACCTTGACTGAGAGGCTAGACACTCATCCCAGGTGCTCTCGAAGTTGTTCTTGCTCTTTGGATGAAGCAAACTTCCCCTGGTCTGATCGGTTGATTCCGGGCAATGCCTGACCCCATCACCACAGGTACTGGAGATGTCTTCCGAGCTTGTTGTAGGGCTTCGAGTCAAAGGCCGAATGGATGAAGCACCGAGTAGAACCGCTCTTGGTCTGCAGAAAGATGGCAGACGTCGTTGACCTCGCTCAGTTTCTTCCCTTTCAGAGAAGGTGTTTGTGATCACGAAGTCGGCCGCTTTTGGCAATTTGCGGCCCGCACAACCAAGCTTGAAGTGCACGACTAGCAAACAGTTTCAAGTATCAGTAAAGGCTGAATATTTGCCGGAATTGAGACCGAAGCACAAGCCGAGTTTGATAGTGCATGTCTACCAACGCGGACACTGTATTGCCACAAATACTGTATTCGCGTGGAGAAGGTACGTTTTCGCAGCGTTGATTGCCCGAATCCCTCATCCGCTCTAGTACTTCCCCGGGCCGATTAGGGCGGGCCTTCCACGAAACACCTCAGACACGGTCGGACACGCCGCGAATGTTCCTGCCTTTCCAGGGAGTCTACTCACCATCTATCCAATGATTGCTATCCCCGCATGATACCCCAGTCTGGGGTATGCGGCCCCGGATAGCCCCATGACGATCTACTGACCTCCGCTCTTGCTTTTCGCGTGCCGGTCGTAACCCTATTGCCTATACCGGGAACGTGCTCTTGCTCGCGCATCGGCATTTGGTGGGTCTAGAAATGATGAGCAAAGCTGGGGATGCGGGGGCTTGGTCGAACTCTGATAGCATCCCAAGTCGAAGATATATAAACTGTTGAGCCATCCCCATTGTCAGCACTCATTCATCTATCTATTTGACATACTCATTCGCTCAACGGCTTTCAGAATTTTACTGCTCGCTTAAACGTATAAGCCTCTTTCTTTCGATCGCTACTTTTTCCACCATGTCCACCGACAAGTCCAAGGGTGGAGAGATAGAGTATCTCGAGATGAAGAATGCCACTGTTAGCGAAAGCTACGAGAAAGAACGCAACCTCGACTCTATCGAAGACACCAAGCCTGGTCCCTTCGTCTGGCTTTGCGCAACCGCCACCGCCATCGGTGGTTCCCTCTTTGGCTGTTAGTGCCTTGATTCATAAGCAATGGTCGTATAAAGATACTGATATGATACAGACGATACAGGAGTTATCTCCGGCGTTCTCGTCGTCCTTGGTAACGACCTCAATGGAAGACCAGTAACGGACCATGAGAAAGAAGCCATTACCGCACTCTGCGCCGCCGGTGCTTTCGTTGGCTCTATCATCGCTGGTCTGACCAGTGACAAATATGGTCGCAAGCCTGCTATCTGGTTTGCTTCAGTTCTGTTCACCATTGGTGCCGTCGTCCAAGCCGCATCCTACAGTATCGCTCAGATGTGTGTCGGTCGTTTCCTCATCGGTCTTGGAGTCGGTTCTGCTGCTATGGTCATTCCTCTCTACATCGCCGAAATCTCTCCTGCAAAGTGTAAGTCATGGAAGAAACATAGGCAACCAGACATAGACTAACGTAGAGCTTTCAGACCGCGGTCGCATGATCTCAATCGATATGATCTTCCTAGGTACTGGTTCAGTCCTCGCTTACGCCTTCGCCGCTGCATTCTACAAAGTCACACATGGCTGGAGATATATGATTGGTCTCGGAGCTATACCCTCGATAGCGCTTGGTGTCTTCCTCTTCTTCTGCCCCGAATCACCTCGTCAATTGATGGCACACGGCAAGCGCGAGGAATGCATCGCTGTTCTGAGAAAGATTTATCCTCAAGGCACCGAGGAGCAAATTGCCGACAAGGTTCTATCAATTGAGAATGGTGTCAATGCGGCAAAAGCACTCAACGAGGAGGTCTCATCACGCAAGGCAGTCAAGTATCTGTTTACCATCCCTGCCAACTTCCGTGCTTTAGTCGCTGCTTGTGGTTTGATGTTCTTCCAGCAGTTCTGCGGGTATGTTGAGCACTCCTTATCAACTTGATCACGTTTCTGACATACTCATTACAGTTTCAACACACTTATGTACTACTCCGCCACTCTTTTCGACATTGTTGGCTTCAGCAACCCCATCGCTGTCGGAACCGTCGTCGCTGTCGTCAACTGGATCTTCACCGTGCTTTCCATCTTCATCATCGATCGTGTCGGTCGTCGCCGTATCCTACTCTGGACCATGTGGGGCATGCCCGTATGTCTCGCACTAGCCGCCGCCTGCTTCCACTACATTCCTCTCGACCTCAAGACCCTTCAACTCACCGACGACAAGATCGGCTGGCCTGCATATGTCGTCCTCGTCTCTATGATCCTCTTCGTCGCCTTCTACGCCGCTGGTCTAGGCTGTGTACCCTGGCAAGCCAACGAGTTCCTCCCCATGGAGGTTCGCGCTATGGGTACCACTTTCATCAACGTCTTCAACTGGGGTCCCAACATTGTCGTCTCCTCTACCTTTTTATCCATGATGAAGGGCATGACACCCAGTGGAACCTTTGGCTTTTACGCCGCACTGTGTACCGCTGGCTTGGTCTTTGTGTACTTCTGTTTCCCTGAAGCTTCGAATATGACTCTTGAGGAAGTTAGAGAGGTGTTCCAGCATGGCTTTGGTGTCAAGTATGCTGAGGAGTGGAGGAAGCAGTACAAGGCTGATCAGAAGGCTATGAAGGAGCACGCAGCTTCTGGTGCTGTCTGAACTGCTGATCGATAAGGAGTGGAATTGATGTACTGGACACGTGATTGGAAGAGAAAGGCAGGCCGCTCTTTGATGTAGATATGGATTACGATATATGGGCTGGAGTATATGGACATGTGAATACGATCAATTTCAAGCAAGTTTCTATCTCCATGAGTGGTGCCTTCCTCTCTACAGACATAACTTGCAGGTCTCACAAGGAGGCAAATCAGCTGCGAAGATTCTCAATCTGTCCGCGAGGGCAATCATATCTAACTGGTCGCACCTACCTGTATTGATGAGGGCCTCGTGTCCACTCCAAGTGATCAGCAATCTTGCTTCAAAAATGAAGGTGGAAAATTTAGGAAGCACCTTCGAGGAGAAACGTCTTGTTCCTTCCCTCGAGGCTAATTAGTGCCTTCCCAGGACTTTGAATTGGATGCAAAGTTTGTGGAAGGCACGAGATTGATAAGATTCGCTCTCTCCCTTTGCCAGTTGAACGTGCTAAGATGAATGTGTAAACTGATTTGTTTTGATAAGGAGATATGACCTCAAACGCCAGGCAACTCCGCATGATCGAAAGACCTAATACCTTCCCTTTTCAGGAGACCAATAAGCACCCTCATAAGACAAAGGCTTATTCTCCCTGACCCAAACCTCATGCTCCTCACTCTTATGCTCTGGCGGAATCAACCCGTTAAACTTCCACAGATTCCTCTCGGTCTCTTCAACATGATACTCGCAATCGTAATCTTTGTCGTAAATGTGCGTTTTGATGGCCTTGTCGATCATGCCTGCTGTTCTTCTGTACGTTTCCGTGTCGTTGTCGAGCCGGATGGCGATGTGCTTGATGATTATGCGGATGAAGGGTTTGGGGGTTTGGTCTTTGCTGGTGCCGCCGACGTAGACGTTGGTGGGGGAGATTGTGTTGAAGTGGACGACTACGTAGAAGGCTGGGAGGCCGACGGAGGTGTAGAGGTTGGTGATGTCGGCGGCCAGGGCGGCTTTGGTCTCGGCGTCCTCGAAGACGCCAGGAGGGTGGTAGATTTGCCAGAGAGGCATGATTGTGCAGATGATATATATTTGAGTTTTGGGTGTGGTGTTGGTGGCTGGTTCTTCGTGGTAGACAAGATTTGAAAATAGGACGAGATTGATTGATTATTACAAGGATTCTGGGAGAGGCTGAAGCTCTTGTTTTATATGTCAAGTACTTCTAGGGGATTAGTGAACTCAACGTAGGCCCAGTTCTGGCGATTACTGATAGCTTGCTCCAGGTGCGTGAGGTGGATACCGCTATAGCCGTTAGTGTTGCCATAGTGCTACAGCTTACGGACGCAATCATCAAAATGAAGCTTGATGATTCGATTGAGGTGTTGGAGCAAGGTGGTATGATTTTGCCCGCCCGCTGCTGATCGCACTTGCGTTACTCAGGATTCTTATATTCATGACGGTGTTGCGAATGTTGACTGATCATGCATTGGCATGCGCCGATTGTTTAGTCAACATGTTGCCAAGCTCTGCTGCGGCTCAATGTCGGATCCTCGCCGAGCACAGACCTTCCCTATGCGCCTCGGCTGCGGAGCAAGATGAACTCCGCGTCGACCATCATGGTGGATTTGCTGACATACAATCAAGAGGCTAGCAATCCTCAATGTTAGACGAAGTCAGCATAAACAACGCAACATTATATTGCCTTACGAATCACATTCCGGACTTAAGTGTGACTGTGGATGCCTGGAAGGATTTGAGAGGGGTTAAAATGCAGCCAGTTGCGCCTGCCTCAGCCTAATACACTGCTATCGTATCTCACTTCAATATCTTGAATTCATTACAAATTCACCCACACTTCAATGAAGATGTCAGAATCTCTCGTCTTCATCACTGGTGGTACCGGCTTCATCGGTGCCGAGGTTGTGCAACAAGCACTTGAAGCAGGCTACCGCGTCCGCCTCAGCATTCGAAAGCCCGAACAAGCAGAAACAATCAAAGGACGTTACCCAGATTATGCCTCCAAGATCGAGACAGTCGTCATCCCAGACATCAGCGAACGTGAGCCCTTTGAGACAGCCCTGGAGAATGTTGAGTATGTCATCCACCTTGCTTCTCCTGTACCTGGCAAGGGTGTGGACTTGAAGGAAGACTACATCAAGCCTGCTTTGCAAGGCACCGAGGCAATTCTGTACGCCGCACTCAAGTTTCCGAAGATCAAGACCATTGTCGTCACGTCGTCAGCTATCGCTCTGCTGCCAATCGATGCTCCTATGGTGACTGAACGTGTCCTTCGTGGTAAGATTGATCCGTAGCTGCATTGAAAACATACTAACAATCGGCAGAGGATACTGGTGAAGTCCTGCCAGTCGATGTCGACATGGAACTGCCAGAATCACCTCAAGAGGCTCACGGCATGATGTACCGTATCTCGAAGGTCCTCGCGCATCAAGCCACTCGTGACTTCCTCGAGAAGGAAAAGCCCTCCTACAAGCTACTCACAACCCATCCCACGCTGGTCATTGGCGAGAGCAGAATCCAGAACTCAGCTGAACAAATCGACATGGTGAACGCAATGCTGTGGATGACCATCCAATCCGCGAAGCCAGCTTATCCCTCGCTCTGGGTCGATGTCAAGGATGTCGCTACTGCTCATGTGAGCGCCATCGATACCCCCGCGCCTTCTGGTACCGAGTTCATCCTGTCTCTGAACGGTGTGACCTGGGAGGATATCGCAGCTTTCACAAAGAGCGAATATCCGGACCTGGCCAAGCTCGAGCCACCATTCGAGGGTCCAGTGACAAAGGTAGTCACTGGCAACGCGGAGAAACATCTTGGCTTGAAGTGGACTCCGTGGAAGCAGACCTTCAGAGAGACGATTGAGCAGCAGCTGAGCTTCAATGATGCAGGCTCGAAGTAGGCGTGGAGTTTCAGCACCGCGAGAGGTCCAGTGATAAGGATAATGTCGTCAGATATCGTTTCCTTAGTATTACACAGTCCGGTGATAGTTTATGTGCGATTTCATGGTTGCAATGTGCTGTTTTAATACCTTCGTAACATGCAAAAGGGGCTCATGTGTTGCTGTCACATATGGCTAGAAACTCTTTGCATGCTTTGGAAAGTAGCAATAAGCACTTGTGAAGCCAAAATAGCAGGGCCTTGCCCGAGGCAGACGGAATAATGCATGAGTGCTGCGGGACGTCAGTAATCACATCAGACGTGGATATAGTTGTAACGTACTATGAACAAGTTTGTTCTCTTCCAAAATCCATCGCTTGCCTTGGAAGTCGAAATGACAGGGGAGAGTAACAATGTTTCCATTGGAGTCCATTGTCTTGTTGTATTGGCCATTCCAGACGAAGTAGTTCTCGATATCGCGAGGCGTCATGTATGGATCCTGTGCCGGATCGACGTTTCCGAAATCAACAAGACCTTCGGAATTGGTCTTGTGAGGCATGAGGGGTTGCTGACTGAGATGGAAGTTGGGGTAGTTTTGATACTCCAATGTGGCGAAACTATCCGCCTTCAAGGCCATCTGCAACGCTCGAATTACGGTAGATGGCGAGAAGTGGCCGAAGTAGTTTCCAAAGGCTCTCTCAATCAGAGCTTGGTGCTTCTTCGTATCCGATAGAATTCGTATCGTCATCTCAGCGCATCGTCGCCAGAGTCGCTTCGCAAAGCTCAATCCACGTAACGGTGTGGGCGACGGAGGAGTCGGCTGCCGTACGAGTTGCATACGAGGGCTTTGAGGAGACTGTGGGAAGATCGATGGGGGTGCACGCGACGCATCCTCATCATATGTAAATGCGTACCCCCAGGTTCCAACTCCACCGGACGCACCCTCAGCAGATGGCCAGGCTTGAGTCGATTCGTGGTTTGTGAATCTAGGCATCGCATGTTGCGGCAGTGTCCTTTTTGCCATATTGTTGAATGATGGGAAAGCGAAGGATTCGGGTGTACCCATGTCCAGCAAGTCATCTGACGCTCCCGGGAAGAAGCTGTCCAGAGTCGCAGGAGACATGGGCTGATTGAGGGCATGGTTACCTACCACTAACCCATCAATATTGGTGGGATCACCCAACCCGAAATTGTCCTTGGATCGAGTCCGTGTCTCTGCAGTTGTTGGATGAAGTGTCGCCTCCGAGGTGACCATCTCGTCGGCATCGGGTGAGTGCTTTGGAGGGCTGAGACGAGCAATCGTATCTTTAGCTTCGGCGAGCTGCTTGCGAAGAAGCTCTACCTCGCTATTCGCATCCTTGAGTGCATCTGCCTTTCGCTGTCGTAGACGAGCTTGTGCTAGTCTGAGCTGAATCTTCCGGCGTTCCTTGTTATCTGTCGCATCCTCCCGCGCCTTCTGGACGCCTGTGACCGCTTCGGGACGTTCCATCTTGTCCCCACAAGTCGCTACTTTGGTCAGAGTATGTCGCTGCAAGTATATCGATAGTATGTGAAGATAAAGAACAAGTTGTGCCTCCTTGGTCAGAAAGAAAATAGAGGTGTAGTCGGAGTGATGGTTCCGCCGAGGCCTGAATTAGGGCAAGAAAAGGTTAAATCAGACGATCTGTTCCAGACAATTCCAACGTTTCAATCAAACCACAAATTCACAGGAGACGAGTCGCAAACCAACAACAATTTTAGATGAGATGGATTGAACGGAGGATATCGCTTCTCTGCTGTGCTTCCGTCTGCGAACCATGAATACATGCCAAGTCATACAAATGACCTGCTATTTGAGATCTGGGACACGTTGCCCACCTGCTTACAACGACAGACAAGGGGAAAACAACAAGTATCCTTCAATGAATCTATCAAATTCTTGCCTTCCTGCTCTCGGTTGCAGCAGCAGCAGCCGCGTTCTTCCTTGCCCACATTTGCTTCCGCAATTCGTGTCCATCCATAAATGCTTGGAACCATTCAGGCTTGTAAGGAGGTAAAGGCCGCCCTTTGCCATCTTCTCCAGGACCTGCAAGAGACCTGACCGTCTCAAAGTATTCTTCAAAGTCCGGGTGAATCACGTTGAAGGCAGGACCGTCCCCTTTCTTCTTTATGCGTTCTTCTTCCCATCTTTGTTGCTCTTCGAGAGATGGAAGTTCGGCACGTCCAGCGAGCAGTCTTGCAGCAAGAACAGCCTGCCACTCGAAAATCTTGAACGTCAATCCGGCGCCGACCTTGGAACTCGTTAGTGATCGTCCAAACTTCAGAGAAAAAGAGGTAGGCACTTACTGCTCCAACAAACAGTAAAGTCGGATCTTGCTGATACACGACGTTCTGATAGAGTCCGGGTACTCTGTTATTTCTGATCTTGACGTCTGGCAAGAAGGGAAGACTCCAGGAGTATCCAGTGCCAAAAATGATGTTGTCAACATTCTCCACAAATGTACCATCAATGAAGTGAACAGTACGTCGACCATCTGATGTATCGATGTGTGAGATGGTCGGCTTTCTGGATACTCCAGGATTGTTGAATGCACCGTCACCAAAGTACACGTTGATAGTATGGCCATTGACAACCGCGTAGACCTTCGAGTCTACTACCCCAACAAGGTCTGTAGAGATGTCTGCTGCGGAGACTGAGCCGCCAACAACAACAACTCTCTTACCCTGGTATGCCTCTCGGCCACGATACATCTTACTGTGCAAGACACTGCCAGGATGTTGTCGTTCAAGTTCTTCCAGACCACGTACTGCTGGAACGTATGGGACATTGAAGTGCCCACTTGCGACAATAACAGCATCGAAATGCTCCACCCACCAGTAATCTTCGTCGCCCTCTTCTTTCCTCAGCGTGACCTTCCACTCGTCCCCAACCTTTTCCACTCTCTCAACGTGGGTATTGTAAGACACGAGATCTTCATAGCCTTTGCGTTGGAAGAGACTGGTCACGTAATCTCTCATGATAGTCCAGTGCCGGAAAGGAGAGTTCTCGCCATGCAGTTCAATGGTTCGGGCAGATAGTTCGCCGGATATGGGCTCTTGAGTATATTCCATAGTAACAACGTCAACGTTGGTCTCCAGGTAAGGGTAGATGGACGAGTCAGTCCATCGTGGTTGGCCATTCTTCTTGACACGCCCTGGCACCTGTACTGGCAACTCCAACGGCTGATCTGCCGTCCTGGTAGCCAAAGCTGCAAGATTGGTCAAGGGAACTGGTGGATTCTTATCTCCATACCTATACCCCCAGTTAATCATAGGTTCAGACGGCGTGGACGTGAGGAGAGAGTTGTTGATTCATATAAGTATGTTTATTGTGACCGCCTCTTGTCCAAGGAATTTAGGAAATAATCATGACTTACCAGCAACCACCTGGACCTTCTTGCCTATCAAAAACGCGGATTTGATCAAAAGCCTCCTCTCGAGCCAGAGCATCTACAGTTATCGCTCCAGACGGACCGGCTCCAATGACAGCTACCCTTCTAATACTTCCGGGCGCCATCTTCAGAATTGAATTTATGATTGTTTTCGGACGGAATTGGTGAGGCAAAATCTTTCAATGGCGGCGATATTTTGCCAAGCCTTTTGTTCGTTATCGCTCGAAACACGCTGCAATCAAGATATGTACACGCAGGGAACAAAAAGCAGCAAGAACAACAAAAAAGGTGGAAGGAAGTGAGAGCGCAGAAAATACAAGGACCTTCCTAACCGGGGTATTGGCAAGAAATTGGCTCGATCACGCAAACCACTCTCGGCACTCGGGGGTCTTTCTGGGGAACAGCGACCCTGTCTGCGTGCGGGCAAATCTCGCGACTGCCGTCTCTGTTTCTCCGTGGTATGAACAACATGACTGTCGAGTTTCTGTTTGCGATTCTGGACGGAGCGATCGTGAATGTTGGCCTTCAACGAAGGTAAGTTACAAGGTGCTGCAAGCTCTTCGTGCACACAATCGACAAATCATGCAGCAGGAAAGTCCTTGGTCAGCCTCTCAAAGGATGCGGATGAACTCGACGCCGATTCGGCGAGCGTCGCCGGCGTTTAACCCTCTCCTCTTTGTTTCTATATCCGTCGTCTCATGACTTCGGAGCAACAAACATGAACTCGCTGATGAATTGATCTTGGAGAACAATGGTCAGGATTACCTCTCTCACAACGGAGTTAGGGATTGAGCCCGTCGCTGTCGTTCCTCACGGATGATAGTTTGGCCATGCGACCCTCATGGATAGCCAGCAAGCTGTATAAGTAAGTACGACAACATCGACAGCGGCAGAAGCAGAAACAGACAGTTCTTTCACATCGCGTTCAAAACAACCCAACGACAATCTCATCTCCAGACTACATCCATCAGCATGCCTGCTCCTACCAACCCATTCCAACCTTACGCCGAAAGATACCTCGACTACTCGAACGGCAATGATGCTAGACCCACAGCTCTTGATGTCGTCAAAGATCTTAACCTCGTTGACAAGCTCCAAGACAAAGTCATTCTCATCACAGGAGCATCAGCCGGTCTTGGAAGCGAAACAGCTCGCGCTTTGCACGCAACTGGAGCCAAGCTCTATCTCACCTTCCGTGATAAGGCCAGAGGTCAAGCAATTGCTGAAGAGCTCATGGGTAGCAACCCTCATGGAAAACGCCCAACCTTGATCGAGATGGAGCTCGCAAGTCTCGATAGCGTCAGGGAAGCAGCCAAGCAGTTTCTCGACCAGGAGAAACGTCTTGATATTCTCATCAACAACGCTGGCATCATGGCAGTGCCTGAAGGTCGTACCGTCGACGGCTTCGAGACGCAGCTCGGCGTCAACCACTTTGGGCATTTCCTGTTCTTCCAGCTTCTCAAGCCTGTATTGCTCGCCAGCGGTACCTCCGAGTCTCCAAATCGTGTGATCACCCTCTCGAGCGCTGGACACAAAGCCAATGGAATCTTCTTCGAGGATCTTGACATGAGCAAGCAAAGATATCAGCCCATGATCGCATACGCTCAAAGCAAGACCGCAAACATCTACATGGCCAACTCTATTGAACGCCATTATGGTGCCCGTAACCTCCGTGGATTGTCCGTCCACCCCGGCCTCATCTTCACCACACAGCTCGGCCGCCATATGTCTGCAGAAGAGATGGAAGCGTTTGCTCCAATGGCACATCTTGCGAGATCTCCCGAGCAGGGTGCAGCTACGTCTGTTTGGGCGGCTCTGTCTCCCCATTTCGACAGTCGTGGTGGCCTTTATCTTGCAGATGCCGGTGTATCGAGCTCTGCCGGCGAGGACGAGAACTTCGGTGGTCCCGGATACGCTCCTCATGCATACGCTGAGGACGCCGAAGAGAAGTTGTGGAAGCTCAGCTACAAAGCTGTTGAATTGCAGGATGAGGAGTAGATTTTGTCTCTCAGGGTAACATCTATATCAGCACATAATCAACTTGTATCGCAATAATTCGTATCCAGTCATCTTGTCGAATATCGTATCTCAGAATTTTGTACTTTGACACCCTCGAGACGCTTTCGGTTCAGCCCTTGATCCTGCTAACACATGGCTTCTTTTTCGTCCACCTGAGAATTTTGCCAATGAAGTTGCCGGCAAACAACACATGCGAGGTCATTGCTACAAGTAAGCGAAAAGTGGTACCTCCATCACGTAACTCCGTGTCTGCCCACTCCAAGATAAACAAGGCCTTGTTTCGCAACTTTTGTCTGGAACACAAAGACGATCTCATCTCCTAACCCGAACTCTCTAGCACGGCTTCGGCATCCAGAAGCTTAATCAAAGTTAGAGGCTTTGCTTTGTGCTGTCTGCTGTAACGACCACAAAGATGATAACGCTTGTGTCGCGAACGGCACTTCTAGTCCGAGTGGACAGCTCCGACCGGAAAATTGAAAAGGGGCATTGCGGAGATGAGGAATGCGAACCGCATGGTATGCGGACCGAAAAAGTCCGTTTTCGCGATGGTGAAGCCGAGATCCAGACGGGCGTGCGACCCTTTATCAGTGACGGTAACATTCTGTTCCCACAAAATTGAGCAGTATCCATAACTTACAGCAAGGCAACAGGCGGCAGCGATGATTACATGGTGGATCAGTGTTGAGATTGCCGTCGCGACGAGAAAGCGTCGCTCCACTTTGTCAAGAGAGACTGGCCAGAATGCATGGCCAGCGGCACTCTCAATCAAAATGGATCATCATACCGCAGTTCTTCTTAGCACCTGGCGAGGAAAACGTCTAGATGACGAGCTTTTAGCGACGGGAGATGCAAAACCAAGAACCATAGTCGAAGACTCTGGCCAATCCAGTTCATCACCGATATGGGGCATGGGACGCATGATACATCATGCAGACATCTCGCGCAGTGCGATACCTTTGGACGACAATTTGTAGAAGATTCGAAAGTTGATGTTGAGACAACGACGAAATATAGAACGAGAAGATGAGAAGTTGGGTGGAGAGATGCCCTCGAAAGGAAAGACCGTGGTTGAACCTTAAATCTGCCAACTTCGTCCAACCACCCAACGCTCGCACCTTCTTGATCAACCCCTTCACCAACACCGCCGTACACTTATAGATAACATCAAATTGGAATCCGATCCATGATCGCGAGTGGGTTAGGAAGAATCCACCACCCGCCTTTCTTAGAAGCCTTAAGCTCGGCCAAATCCGCTAGAGCTTCCACTCGGTGTTGTTGTCTAAGCTTCATGCGCTTTGCATCATCGCCATCAGGGGACAGTGCCTGTGCATCCAGTGCCTTCAAAAACATCTCCAAGCAGTTCTTGTGGATCGCTGACGGTACAGATTTCTTCTTCGACTGTGCCGTTCTCGCCATCTCGAAAGCTCGGGTTGTATCTTCAATGATGGCACGTCGTACTTCCGGGTCTTCGAGATCAGGATATCTTCTCAGTGCCTCTTCCCTTTCGACTTCGATTGGAAGAACCGATAGATCTTTCAAGGCCTTCAGAGACGAGTCGAAATCATTCGTCCACTCCTCGAGCTCACTCTTCGAAGGCACGCCATCCTCGAGGAGATGTACGGCCACACATTGCAACTCCAATTCCGCAAACTTTTGCCTCTCTGCGAACCATGTACCGTCAACGAATTTTCTTGGTTGGTCATCTGGTCCTTCGCTCTGCTCGAAGAGTCTGGCTGACTCGGCGTCGTACTGCTTCAAAACGTGTTCACGCACAGGGGAAGCCACAAGACTGGGAAAGCGCTGTAGGACCGCACGTTTCTCGGCCGCATACAGCTTTTCGACATCTGGCGTGTTCTTTTCGATCCAGCTCTTGCACGCTTGGTATTGTCTCAGTAGCTGGCCGGACTTCTCCTGAGCAAGAAGGCTAGCGGCTATCGCCTTTGCTTTCAGATGAACGAATCGCTCTGGTTTAGATCGTGGAAGTCTTATCTTGCCGATCTCGATGTTTTGTCTGATACCCAGGCGGGCACATTCGCTGATGTACTGCTCTAGGATTCTTTTCCTGCTCGACTCTTCGACGAGCTCCGGATGACTGGACAGTATGGTTGCTCGAATGTCGTTGTTGGTGTGAACCTGTCTGTGTGTGACACGAAAGCTGCTCAACGGGCCAAAAATGCTTGGCCGCACTGTGCCGATTTTGCTGCAGTTTAGCGACAGCATATTGTCAATGAGACTCAAGGTGCGAAGGATCACAATGTTTTATTGAGGCTGACCAGAGTCGACTCGACCAGAGTTAGAAAGACTATCTAGTGTGGTCTACTGGCCAAAATACATTGTATCCATGCAGATCAGCTATCTATGTGGCACAGCCACCTGCAGACAACCCTGTCTTGGCCAGCTTTGGTTCGATCTGTACTACGATGACCTGCATAAACACCGCCAAACAGACCCGGTAATGCGACATGAATACAACAGAGCGTCGCTTCAGAGCTGCTATCAGAAACCCACTTCTCATGACTCTCGACGCTCGTCCACGTTTCCCATCTTCTTCGTCGTAGTCTCTCTTTCCCCCAAAGCCTGCCTGATCTGTCGCAAAACGTATGCGCGGTGTAGGGCCAGCGCGGGATATACCACACAGCCAATGACAAGAAATTTCTTGATCTTTTCGATGCAAAAAGCGCGACGGGGATTTCTAAGTGTTTCCTGGTGTGCCGTCTTCATCTGACGCATCCGTCTTCGAGCTATAAAGCGATGTAGGTCATGAACTTTGTTGAAGATCACTGATGCTTCGAGGGCTTTGAGGTCCAGGTCAATTTGATGTTGGAGCACTTTCCATGCTTCTCTGAATGGGCTGGAATTCTGGTGGGCGCTTTCTTTGGCGCGTGATTGTCTGTTCTCTGTGATCTTTTGTCGTGTTCGGTCCAGGCTGCCTTCTTGTGCGAGCATGTATGCCATGTGGGCATTGCACTCGTCAATTGCCTGTTTACACATTTCCGGGTCGTGAAACTCGGGATATTTTTTGAGAATCTCTGTTCGTTCTTTGGCCAGTAGTCTTATGAAACGTTTTCACAACGATCAGAGCAAATGTAAAAAGCGTAATGCAGTAGAGATTTACTGCAACCGAGGCATCCTGATAGAACATCCGAAATATAATTCTTGACATAGGACTGTCGCCATGTTCGAGGAGGAACAAGACTTTCCGAGCTTTGATTCGTAGCGCCATGCGTTCATCATGGTCTTTTGCTGCTCGCTCATCATTGTATAGTATAGCCATGGCATCAAGAAGTTTCAGCTCCAGGTTGTAGAATTCCACAAGCTTGTGTTTAGGCCATGTTCTCGTCGATTCAGCAGGATTCTCGCCCATTGTTTTCACCAGTCTGGCGCTCTCGTCAAGAGCAAATTGTAAGTTTTCCTTGTTTCTGAGCTCCTGGTGTCGCTTCAGCGCTTTTCTTCTTTCGGTGTTGATTTCACTTAGAAGCAGCGATTGTCCGAACTTTCGATCTTCCAGCTTCTGCCATTTTTCAAGTACTTGACGCCGAGAAAATCGAATTATAGCGCGATTTGCTGAAGACCAGAAAGTCTGGCGACCAACGTGGATGAAAGTGTTTGATGTGCGTGCCCTGAAAATGTTTTGTAGAGGGCAGAGTCTCCTGCGAACCGTGGAAGAGTGCGATAGGCACGAACGCAGGGCATGATCTTCGTTCGAATGGAATGAGATTATTGCAGTTCAGGTTGAAAAAACAGAGTTGGAAGACAAGGCGAGCTCGACGCTGTGCAAAACATGATAGATAGACGCACGGACTTTTGGTTGAGTGGCGGGGCTCGCGGCGGCACGCAAGTTCGCAGTCTGCAGCTGTGTCTTCCGCACATTCCCTTTATATTGGAGACATCACTTGTACGTTGGGACCGAGCGACTTGACTCAGAGGACATTCCGAACACCTTGTGTCGCTGGCGGTCGAGGCGAGGGTGAAAATGAGCCGTTTTGCGACGATACAGAAGCACTTGGTGATCTCGGCTAAATTCCGCCCCGGGCGTCATCCTTCCAGATTTGGATAATCGTGGATGGACCAATCTCGTCTGCAGTGGCACCTTTCCCTCACCCTTTCAATCTCCTGGATCCCAACCTGGATCTATCTCCGTAAGTCTTGTTGATGGTATGTAAGGATTGACAATGATTTCTTCTTGAGTTTGGCAAAGATGAAAGACGTGGTCGAGAAGCCTCACTTGACTGCCAAGCAGAATGAGACCACTCAAGATCTTGAACTCCGGAACGAAAGAGGGAGCCTCTTTCAGCGGTAAATGCCCTTGACTTCCCAATCATTTTGACTTTCTACAGTCGAATCCAGCCTTTGAACTGCCTCATGAGTTAATATCTTTGGAATTCTATTAATGATACACACTGATTAACCGGAAAGCATCGTGCTCGTCTTCGATTACATTCCAGCATCTGCACAAGGTAAAATAGCTCTTTATCTAGGTCTAACCATGCCACAAAAAAGCAACAATTCAGCATCCGATTGGTGTTACGAAGGGTCAAGTAACTGGTATTCAAGGTAAAGTAACTTAACCTCTCATACGATTTTCGAAGCGACGCTCAAGACATCTTGCCTAGTGTAGCAATCCTGAAACGTCCACCATACTCTTTGTCCAGCATCTCGCCCTTAATAAGAAGCGCAGCAAAAGTCTTATCAGTCCAGAGTTCATAAACATACTCCAAGACAAGCTGGAAGACACCTGTTTGGATCTTCTTGTCACCGAACACCATGGCAGAGGGGCCCAGGATCTTTTGGATGAAGTGGATCACTGGCACCGGTATGTCGCGACAACTGAGCTCGGACTCGATACTTCTGAGGAGTTTGTTCAGTGCTTGTTGTCTCAATGTCGCCGAGTCGTATTTGTCGCCGATAGTGTATACGGCCAGGTAGTTATCGAAATGTTCGGCACGGTCGACGGGGACTTGCTCAAAGTAGTTATCTCCATAGAGATCCTTGATCATAGCACACACAGCATCCGGATCGTCTTCCTCCCCCAGATCAAGTATGTCTTGCTTAGCTTCCTATCTCAAAGTCAGCAACGTCCAAAATGGTTTCAAATCACTTCGCTCACCGAGAAATTACCAAGAAGTGCTTTCTCAAACCAGACAGAGCCTCCGTTTGCCAGGACAGCCTTGTGGCCGTACAGACGATAATCTCCAAACTGCACAATGACATCCGAGAGAGCTGAATTTTTGTAGAGTTTCTGCTTTCTTAGAGATGTTAGAATATGCTGCTGAAGCAATGTCTGCTCGGAGACCTACTTTGAGGTGAAGAGTTCCGGCCTCTGATACAACAAGTCATTTGTCCAATCCATGTCGACTTTTTCGTTGGCAAGACGTCGTTCTTACAATTATATTGCTTGGTGGAACGTCGATAGAAGATGAAGTGGATGCAAGAGTCCTGAGCTTCAGCTTATATGTATCGATTGTGAGAGTGAGACGAACGTCAAAGACCGCGCTATGATACAAGAACACAACAAAGCGATCCAGGGTTATACCATGTGTTCAGACTGGCAAAAAGTTGCCTTGAAATTCAGTTCCAATGCATGGACATGTCTCAAAGGAGCTGATATCACAAGTATGGAGACCTTTCTACTACTTTGTTTCACCATGCCTGGCCATCAAGACGCATTTGCGAGCTCAAACCTCGAAGATGTCTCACCGAACGCGGAATGTTTGTCTCTTCTGCTATACATTCTTCACATTCAGCAAACCCCACGCACTTGACCATTGTCCTATTTGCACAGCTCAAATATCTTATGCGCGGGCGACAGAAACGAATGTGTCTGGTTTTCTTTCTGTGGTCAAACAAAACACTGCAAAGATCAAACGCTGGAACAGATGAATGTGAGAATGGGTTCGCTCGATAGTGATTAGACTGAAGCTGGCGGTACAGATGTTTGGTGGCTTCTGTGCTCCTTTGCTACATGTCGATGGAAGGGTCTCTCTCAAAGGACTTCAATGATTCCCTTCATGGATAAGTCCGCAATGCTAGGCTTAAGCATCTTTCCCCTCACCAACTCCGACCGAAAGGTATCGTCAAGCAGAAGAAGTCTGGCGTGCGAGACCCTTCCATCGACATGTAGCAAAGGAGCACAGAAGCCACCAAACATCTGTAATTCTAGGGATCTGTCGGCAAGCTGGGCAGCATCAGGACCGAGCAGCTTTTGAATAACGAAGATAGACGAGTCCCAGAAAGTATCTTCCTCAAACTCTTTCGACATGAGTGCCAGCAGGGCTTTTCTAGCTGCCAGCCTAAGGCACGGCACGTCGTACTTGTCTCCCAAGATGAAGACGTCGAGATGGAATTCAGGTAGGTCTTCTTCGGGTCTCGGATATTCTTGTCTACCATAGGTCATACCGTAGAGGTGCTTGAACATAGCCATGCTAGCGTCAGGTACGGCGTCGTCATAAAGTTCGATGACTTTTTTGTTGGCTTCCTGTGATTGATGTTAGAAGGAACAGCGATGTGAATAGTGACAATCATTACGCTGAAGTCACCCAGCAGGGCTTTCTCGAACCAGATGGAACCGCTTGCAAGGATGACCTTATGAGCAAAGACCTGCTTTTCACCGAACTTGATGATGACATCTGAGAGTTCTTCATCATTGAAGAAGTTGCGCTTTCTGTTCAGTGTCAGATGTTGTCAGATCGAAATAATGAAGAGAGCAAATCACCTCTTCAATGCGCCGGCATTGGTGTCTGTACTGCTGGCCATGATTGTTTGGGTGTTGAAAGAGAACTTCGCTCGACGATGGAAAGAGTCGTGATGGTGTAGACGATGGAGAGAAGGTGCAAAGGTGCTGGGAGAACAGCCCAAGGATGACGCAGAGTGATTGTGAAACTTCCGAACGTAAATGATGAAAGTGAAGTGCACTCAGTGAGACTTCCTCATTATGAACCAACAGGTTTGAATCGTGTTGATGAAGTTGAATTCTTGCATGTGTTCACTGCTTCACTCTTGGCGCGCTCGAATATCAATTCACAATTGCAGGGAAGGAAGGAAGTACGAGCAATGGTACTGTCTGTTTTGAATTGATCATTGGTCATCAGGACCGAAGTCACGACGTAGAATTCGAGCTATTTCAGAACATCGCACCTGCCTCCCATGATCTGCATCCCGGTTCCGGAGCTCAGAGTCTAGACTGGTATCATTATCACTTCCCACAGATGCCACGGATTTCTCTCCTCCTATGCGCGCGCGATGACTTCTCTTTGTTACACGTGAGAAACATGACTGCAACAAAGCCGTCAACCAGAATGACTGCCTAGCCACGTATCCCTACCCATTCTCGATAAACCTTAGCGATGATCAGGGATAGAACCATAGAACCTTCCAAGCATCTCGCCAGTCCTGCAAGCAAACTTCATTCCAAAGTCCTCATCGAACATTTTTCCACTGCTCAGAAGTTGCCGGAAGAGCTGATTCTTGTACATGCGGTTAATGTTTGCGATGACCAGCTGAAACACCTCTTCCTGCAAGGTTTTGTCGGCGAAGTCGCCAGCTCCAGGGCCGAGAATCTGCTTGATTGATGAGATGGCCGAATAGTCGATGGTCCTTCCGGGCCTTCCCTCTCCATCGATCAAGACCTTGAGACATGCGATCAAGAGAGTGGAAGCTTCTTTGCGCAAAGCTGGAGCGTCATACATGTCTGCAAGTAGGTACATTGCCAAGTGCTTGCCGAGATTGTCCTGACCAGGCGCAGTGATGAGTGGCGTGGTGTAAGAGCCATGGTAGAAGTATTTCAACATAGCTTCGACATCGTTCGGATCATCATCGTCTCCAAGATTGATCACAAACTCTCCAGCCTCCTAATTGACGATCAGAAAACAGATCCAGAAATCGTGACGTTTCAAACACGAACCTTGAAGCCGCCGAGAAGCGCTTTGTCGAACCAGACGGAGTTTTGAACAAGCACTAGCTTGTGGGCAAACACTCTTCGGTTGCTGAATTTGACCACACAATCTGAGAGGGATTGGCTGTTGTAGAACATGTGAAGCTTGCTGCGCATATATCAGCATCAATTCACCATCCTTGCAAGGTGATAGACACACCGAGGGCCTTTTGGGCGCGCATCGAGAGCCATTGTTGCTTTCTTAGATGAAGATTGCGGATTGGAGTTAGGAAGCCCGTTTTGCTGGTAGAAGAACGATCACAACAACCAAATGAAAGATGCTTGGCGGAAGGAAGTGAAGCAAGTGATCAAAGAGAAGATTCATGAAGAATGTCCAGATTCGCGGCTTCTTTCGCACGACCTTTGACTGGCATCAGAAATGTCAAAACTCGTATTAAAGCGAGCCGGCATGTTCAAAATAGTCAACCCAACAAAGACTTGAAATCAAGATCATCTCCCTGTACGGCTTCTCAACTACTCATCGAATGGGGACAGAACCTCGAACACTGGTGCTTATCAGCTGGAGATGTGACTCTCATTTCCTTCTTCGGACGATCATACCAATATTAGAGCTCTAAAATTCACATATTGCGATCTCTATGTCAGATACCTTCTGATGAGTCTGTAGACTCTGTCGATATATAGACAGCTACATTCACGTCAACTCAAAACTCAACACGATCTCTCATCACTCCAACAACGCACTTATCCTCTTCGCAAACCTCTCAGCAAACTCCTGACTGAACATCTCACCCCTCCCAACCAGCATCGCCACCCTAGGCGTCTGCATAACCTCCCTCACATACATCTCCAACACACAAAACGTCTCTTCCTGCAACGACACATCCGCAAATTGCACCGCATCCAGCCCAACCACTCTCCGAAAAACCTCAATCTGTTCATTATGAATAGGCGAATGCCATTTTGCCGCATTAGTCATACCCTTGATGAAACGCTGTTTAGCCGCATCACGAAGGGAAGGAGCATCATACATGTCTGCCAGCAAGAAGATTTCTAGATGTAAGATTGAGTGATCGCGAATAGGGTTGTTTTGACCAATGTGGTTGTTGTAGTCGTCATTGTAGAAATGGTTTAGCATTGCGAAAAGGAGTTTTGGATCTTCTTCGTTGCCGAGGTCGATTGTTGTTTGTGTTGATTCCTGGGACTTTGTTAGCTGAGGATATGGGAAATGGGGGGAAGAATAGACGGACTGAGAAACCGCTGGAGAAGGCTTTTTCGAACCAAACCGAGTTGCTCGCTAGGATTACTTTGTGGGCGTGAATTTTGAAGGGCCGAATTTTAGAATGATATCAGAGAAGGTTTTGTTGTTGAAGTAGTCGCGGTGGCTGTGCTGTGTCAGATTTTGCATTTTTCAGCATAGAGGGCGTTGACTTACACTTCCACTTCCTCTGCCGTGGATATCTCACCAGATGGCATAACCGAGCTATCCTCCGACGAGGACTCGGCCGAACAACTCTCAACATCATCATCATCATCATCATCATCCGAAGAGTCATATTCACCCGTCGAATTGCCATTCCATTCGCGAGCAAGCAACTTATCCCGGATCCGTTGAGCAAACCTGACTGCATAAGCTTCATTAAAGAACATCCCTCTCGCAAACAACCGCACAAATCCGTTGTTTTCAAACAGGTGTGTCATACCATGACATACGACTTCGAATACTTCCTCCTGGAATGAATCGGATACGCCTACTGCTGTGGGACCGAGTACCCTCATCAGAGCTCGAATGAAGGGACTGGTGATCATTTCGCGATAATTACAATACTGTGGTAGGAAGAAGTCAGAAACCAGGTTGCAGCAGAATTTCCTGGCTTGTTGGTGCAAGTCGGAAATCCCGTATGTGTTTGCTACATTGTAGTCGGTGAGAACAAAGTCGAAGTCGTAGAGGTATGCGGGGGTGGATGGTATTTTCCAGGCTATCCCGTAGCAATGTTTCAACATCACATAGATTGCTTTTGCGTCGTGCGTAGCCTTGAGGTTGATAACTGCCATATCTGTTTCCTGATCGATTGTGAGTGGCTATCAACAAAGCTTCAGAAGGCAGGGAAGGCTTACTGGATCAATGACCATCTCCTTCTCAAACTGTGCCGAGCATCCAGCGAGGAACACTCTATGGGCGTGAAACTCATGCCTTCCGAACTTGATCATCACATCTGAGAAACTCTTGTCGTTGAAGTAATTGCGCGGCTGAGCCATCATGAATATGTTCGAGGAATAGCAGGAGCGTATTATGGTGAAACTTTGCGATGAGGTGTTGAAGATGAACATATGAATAATTGATGAGGAAGCAACACCTTTCAACAGCAAGAATCCAGCGAAGATGGCCCCTGAGACATCTTGAATTTGGACGTACTGAGAGACAACAACAACAACAGTCCTTGAGAGTCTCACTTGAACTTGATTGTCTTGCTGAGACCATCTCACCCCGAAGCACCCTTTGTACAAGTGACACCCAGGCTTCCAGGAGTATTGTTGCAAAGAACCTGTCCAGCCCCCGAGCCAGCCTTGACAGCATAATTCTTAACCTTGACATCACAAGTTCCCTTGGCTCCACAGTTTAAATTAGCAGTAGTAGGCGAATACTTCTTGCTAGTAGTGCCGGAGAAGTTCTCGAATACAATTCCCTTCAAGACAGCATTGTTGCCATTGGTCTCGCAGTAAGTGCCATCTTCACCATAACAGCTCTGAATTTGAATGGCATAGTCGGAATTTTGGACTTTGATGTTGGTGTAGGTAACATTGGTGACTGTGGAGATGCCGTGACCGTTGCCCATGGGGTAGGTCTTGATGCCGACGGCCTTTGAGGAAGAGATCATGGTGGCATCTGACACGTAGATGTTGGAGACGGCGTCGGCGTTGGATTTTCCGAGAGAGCCGACGGAGAGCCCGTGAGAGCCTGTGCAGGTGATACCAATGACAGTGGTGAAGTTAGAGCCGGGCTTGAAGGCAACACAGTCATCATCGTTCAATACGGTGATGTCGGTCAGGGTGACATATGTTGAGGCACCAATGTCGAATCCTGAATGATGGTCAATTGAGGCTCAAGATGGTCGTCAAATGTGTTTACTTACCATCGGTATTCTTTGGAAGATTCTTCGAGGTCGAGACGGCAGACATGTTGAGATTGGAGTAAGCGATATTGAGAGCATTGCCCTTGACAGAGTGGAAGACGTTGGGAGGGTTGATCATGGTCCAACCATCCATCTTGATGTTGTTGCCACCATCGATGTAAAAGAGAGTGGGACGCTTGTAGGAGCTATCGGTAGCGAAGTGATCCCAAGCCTTTTGACCGTTTCCATCGATGACTCCAGCTCCAGTGAAGGTGAGACCAGGAACACTCTTCAGGTGGAGGATAGCAGTCTTGCCTTCCCAGTAGGTGAGATCATCAGAGGCCTTTAGGGTACCGTCAAGCTGGAAGACGCACGACTTGCACCCGTCAAACTCGAGGACAGTGTTGAGATAGTAAGTCTTGCTAGCAGGGATCACGATTGTTCCACCGTTTCCACACTTCTGAATGGCAGCATAGATGGCCGGGGTATCATCCTTGGTAGCAGCACCTCCGGCAGTAGGAGTGCAAACAGGACCTTTGGCGACTGCAGATTTAGCAGGGGCGACTGCAGATTTAGCAGGGGTGACTTGCTTTGCAGCGGCGGTCTTTGAGACGGTTGTTGAAGTGGAAGAAGAGCTGGAGCCGGTACCAGATTGATCAACCCAAGAACTGTAGCTGTCTCCAAGCACGGTGTTGATGCTGATGGCGGCGGAGGCATTGATTGTCCATTTGCGCTCGGAAGTGTTGGAGCCATCACCAGAGTTCTTGTACTCGTAGTATCTGGGAGTGGCACCATCAGCCATCTCAGTCCAACCGGCGGCATTGACAACGTTTGAGAGTTGAGATTTCTGGAACATGACTCTTGCGTTAACTCTCCAAGGACGACCAAGGAAGACTTTGCCGACAAGATCTGTGCCATCAGAGATGACATTGACGTTGTTGAAGACATACCACGCAGTGTCATCGCTCGTGGTGCGAGACGAAGCGGTGATTGCGCCAGGACCGTTGCTCATGATAGTGCATGAATCGAACCAGGCTGAAGCGTCTCCAAAGATGTAGTCAACGGCACCCTTCATCAAGCAGTTCGAGTAGTACTGAGTGCCGGTTTTGACATAGAGTGTGTCTTGGTAACCGAGGAAAGAGCAACCGTAGAAGCTAAGCTTGTTGGCATTTGCAGTGACTGCAACAGCTTGTGCACCCTTTCCGAAACTGTTCTCAACATTGATGTTGTACATCTTGAAGTTCACTGCTCTAATGTTCATGGTGGAGCTTGCATCCAGGCTGCCTGCAGCTGGAGAGCTGATGCCATGGGTGATCAAGACTTTGTTGGACTTGTAGCTCGATGTATCGGCAGTCTCTCCGTAGAAGGTCAGAGCACCGGCGTAGTCGATAGTCAACTGTTCCTTGTAGGTTCCACTCTTGATGTAGAGACATGCGTCGTTTTTGGAACTGCCTAGAGCCTTGATGGCAGAGGCGATAGTGGTGTAAGTGGCTCCAGAGCCGACAGAGAGACATCCTTTTGGAGCGGCAGTGCGAGCACCACGCTTCTCGAGGGACTGAACTTGAACGTCTCCCTTAGTAGGAAGTGCCAGGAGTCCTGGAAGGGAGCCCAGCAGGGCAATAGTAGAAAAGAATGAACGCATTACGAATTAGTGCATGGAGAGAAGGGTAACAAAGGAGTGACAAGAGAGAGTGGTCCGAGGCCAACAGAACACACCGGGGTGGGAGTGCATGATATACCTATGTTCTAGTAACCCCTCTGCACATGCGAGTCGAGACTGAGCCAAAGAAAGCGACATCCATATTACTCCGTACGGGAATTCATGTCGAGGCGGAAGGCTCGAGGCATCGCTTGCAAAGTAGGGCTTCCTCAGGGCTTCTTCAAGTACTCACTATATATAGAGGTGTAAAGCAAGAGTATGCCAAGCTTTTATATAGAGTGGCAGTTTCAGCAGCAGACGGCGTTTCAGGATGCGAAGCGGGGTCTCTTACTAGTTGTCAAAATGCATGACGATGTCTAGAACTCGGAGAAGGCCCAATGACAGAGTTGGAAGGTTGAACTCTCAACTGGCCCCCTCTGAGGTCTCAAGATAACCATCCATCTCTATGATTAGATATGTGTTAGCAACCAGTGCGCCCAAGACACGGCATGCGCTGAGTCCGCAAGAATGAGGGCCACAGGTGTCGTTTAGGAGACGAGCGAGAAATATACAGTCAGGTGCGCCGTCTGAAATCTGAACATCGCAGGGGAGATTAGCCAGCCAAAGGGCGCTCGGTAAAGACATCAGCCACGGCCAGCCAGACGGATCTTGATTGTCGGATCAAACCGAACGTGGAATTGCATGTGCCGAGAAGCACTGCCAAAACCCATTTCAAGCGACCCTTTATCTTTGGTCTCCAGAAATGGCAGTGTAATGACCGGAGAGTTTGAAGGTGGCTGTCAACGAGATAGGCACGATAATCGTTCGGGGAGGAAAGCCTCCGAGAGACAGAGCCGAGGTACAATCTGCCGCCAGGTTCAAGACTGACAGGTTCGTAGGACGAAAGGGCATCTAAGTCTGCGGGAGATGGAGACTTTGTGTTACAGAGTGCGATATTCTGATTCGAGGAAGTGATGTTGGCAGCACACAAAGGTCAGAATTAGGCGTCTCTTGGCTCATAAGATCTGCGGTACATGTTCATGGGGCGGCTGTCGGAAGTGTCGTTCAGCTGTCATCGGGAAAAGGTAATCGAAACAGTAATGCAAAAGATTACTCGTAGATGGGATAGTTTGGTGCGACAAAGACAACAGGCATAACAAAAGATAGGTACGATGTGTATTGCTTTTGGGAAGACGTTAGGGCATCGTTGCAGCGAGTCGATATATCCAGCGGTTGCATGACCTCGTCCAGCAAAAGGATTCGCAACGAGTGGATGCTTATCGCAGCAAGACTGGGTCAGTGGCGTTATAGGCCTTTACTGGGCTGGTCAAATGTCTTGCTATCTCTCGGCAAGTTGCGTATTACATGCACTCTTCACTGTTCCTTGTTGTCGAGCATACTGCAGAGTGCAACGGACGACAAGTCTTCCTCCATCGCCACTTCCCTTCTGCGCGACTGGCGTATCAATATCGCGCGATTCTTGAGTTCAGACGGCACGTGGGTTTCTCCCGAACATCTGGAGACGGCGGTCCAAGCGCCTAACTACGGACAAGGAGGCTTCAGGGTGCAGTCTGGCCCGTCGCATTCGCTTTCTCCCCTTGGTGGGTACATAGTATCCCAGGAACGACCTTGAGCGCTCACCCCTCTGCGGAGGCGGTGGGCTTTATACAAGAGAATGGGCCTATGGAACAATGCCCCTCCGGAGCCTCGCACTCGACGTGGAAACTGGCCGACGCTCCTCTTCAGCTGGTGGTGTACTGGCTTTGCCGTCGTCATCATCCTCATGCGCCTGGCTGGGAGGAAGATCCGGACTGGACGACTGTTCCAAGAAGACCGGGTCATGGCCTTGAGTCTGATCCCTCTGCTTGCGCGCATGGGCTTGATTCATGTCGTCCTCATGTACGGAACCAACAATGTTCAATCCGAGAACTTGACCGACTACGAAACATACCTCCGACAAATAGGCTCGAAACTGGTCCTGGCTGCGCGAATCAACTACGCTCTTTTCATCTGGATCAGCAAGTTCACTGTATCCGAATTCTTGAAGCGCATAACAAGTGCCATCTGGAGGCGCAGTTATGAGATTACCCTCCATTGTATACGCATCTTCCTGGTAGCGACCTTCATTGCTGTTGTGATAGCCACTCTCGCCGAATGCCAGCCCTTCGATCATGTAAGCCACTTACATACAGCCAGGACTCGTATGACCCAGTCTAACAGCAGTACAGTATTGGCAAGTCGTGCCAGACCCAGGCCCTCAGTGCAGACAGGGATATGCACAACTCATCACCATGGGCACCGCCGACATGATCACCGATGTTCTACTAGTCGCTTTCCCTATTCCCATCGTACTGCGCTCTCAGATCCCGCTAAAGCGCAAACTCTCCCTCGTCTGCCTGTTCAGCTTCTCCGTCGCCCTTATAGTCATCACAGGCATGCGCATGCCCAATGTCATCGAACATCATGGACGCCAGCAATACCGCACAGTGTGGGCCTCTGCCGAGATTCTCGCCTCTGCCGCTGTCTCCAACGCCGTCATCCTAGGCACTTTCGTAAAGGATCGAGGAGTCAAGAGAAATAAATACAGGCCCGAGGGCACTATGGACACAATATCACGCGCCGACACTCGTCGTGCCACCATCGCATCTCTACACCGCGATAGTGAGGAAGCCTTGTTCAGGCAGATGGGCTGTCGTATGCCCGACGAGCTCTGTGATTCAGAGTCTTCTATGCCTAGACCTGCGCCAGTTGCTCTTACACCAACCAACTTGAAGAAGCCCGTCCAGCATCATCACGCCATGATGTCGCCCGCCGATGCAAGTGACACTCCGCCGAGTCCGCATGACAGCGCCGATGCCTTGCGCAAGCCCTCTTCTACGACTGCTTCGACAGCAACAGGTCAAAGCGTATCATTCTTTGATGTCGGTGGACTGCTGGGTAGTGGTGAGCCTCGACACGATTCTTCCGGTACCACAACACAAGACTTTGCTTTCTCGACTCCGCGCACCCCAACATCTCCCGGACCCTCCAGACCGACGCATGACATACTCTCAGATCTTGGAGGAAGACTCACACTGACGCGAACACGATCCCGTCGAGCTTCTGGAAACCGAGAGCGATCACGATCGCGTCCCTCAAATAGTAGAGATGGGCCTGTCGTACGACCAGTATCACAGCCGCAGCGTCAACGCGAGAACAGCAATGCATTGAGCACAGATGACGTGGGTGGCCTTCTCGAAGGCAGCGGACCCCGACCAAGCAGATTCGAGCTGGAACCTATATCGCCTACCACAAGAGCGCCTCCGTCGAGTATACCGCCGGATGATCAGGCGCCCCCGCGACGATCAGTACCAACCGCTCAGCCGAGAACTGACAGTGACGATCCAAGTCTACAAGACGTCGGCGGTTTGTTGAAATAAATTTATACCCATTTACAAGGAGGATCTCAACATCACGAAGGACATGATACATTGGGCGTTTTGGTTATCTTTTCTTTTCTTGTCTTTCTCCTTTTGAACGATCTACCACTTTTTCCTAATGTTTGGATTGTGTTTTCATTTGCTGCGTTGCAGAGACCTATACCCCTGTTTTATATGTATGTAGCTAGTGCAATTTCCATAGTATTCTATCATTGTCATCTTTTCCTTTCCACTCAACTTCTCCAATCCTTTTCTTACTGTCACATGTTATCGCTGTGTGCAGAGCGAGACGATCAGACACACAACCACATTCAAGAACATCGTGACCCGAAGGAGGAAGAGTTGACAATAAAGATAAAAAACACAATCACGAAACCAAGATTAGATAGTTGCAAGAGAAGACGTCAAAATATCTCCGCTTCATTTCACATTCCTAAAAACTCCCCGCCTGTATCGAAGTTCCATGACTTTTTGCCCCCACCTACACTTTAAACGGTAGTGTTGACCTCATCACCCTCACCTTCACGCTCGGGCGCCGCACCGACAACTTGATCCTCATCAGCGATGACCTGCTGCTCAGCTCTGAGTGCATCTTCCGCGGCCATGGCATCTTCTTCCGTGCCCACGCCACTGGCACCGATGGGGGCGGTGGCATCCGCGTCTTCCATGTCTGCGTCCACGTCGTTTAACGCTACACCGCCATCGCTGTTATCGATGATGGTTTCCGGGGCGGAGGTGGAAGAGACGGTGGGGTCTGCTGTGGCTGCGGGACCGTTCTTGCGGTTGGGCTGTTGGCTGTGGTCGATGAGGGGGGATTCGTCTTTGAAGAGGCGGAGGAGCATGGCGCGGCGTTCTTCTTTTGGCAGCATGAGGTTGAGGGAAGAGATACTGCGCCAGAGAGGTAGTGTCAATCTCTCACTGCGAGGGAATAGGATATTAGCAAATGGTTCAGAGTTGTGTTTGGGGACATGGTCAAGAAACTTACTCAAAGCCATCTTCTTGGTCAGAGGGCTCGACACGCAGGATGCAACATCCCATGCCGATATCCTTGGCCTTCTCACCAATCTCGCCGAGCTCCTTCCAATGCTCACCGCTGACACGCGGGAACATCTCGATCAAAAGCTTACGCAGAGTCTCACGCTTATAGCAGCGGATGATTCTGTTCTCACCAGCCCAGCCCTCAACGATGGGAAGACCTTCACTCTGCAGACGCCAGCGGCAGATGTCTTGACCTTGTGCATCTTGCTTGACGAACATCTTGACACCGGAGTGGACGAACTTCATACCGCGGCCTTCGTTCTTGGTCAGAATGTCCTTGGCCAGAGCGGTGGTGTAGTAGATTGCCTTGACGGGGTTACCGAGGGCGTTGCGGACCATGAAGCGGTCGCGGGGGAAGCGGGAAGAGAGTTGGTAGAAGTCGAAGATGCCGTCGAGTTCTTCGTGGTCGGCGGAGAGGTACTTGAAGGCTTCCTCGTGGGGCTGGTTGTTGCGGCGACCACGAGGTGCTGCTGCGGAGGTTGCGTCTTCGGCAGCGACTTCATCCTGTCTCAGAGGGGCGGAAGGAGGCATGGGCCAGTGCTCCATTTGACCGACCTCGCCGATGGCACCGGGGCCAGCACCTTCATCCTTCTCGGTTCTGGCTCTCTTGATATCCTGGGCGGCAGAGTCGCCGACATCTTCAAGACCGCGCTTGTTAGAGGCGGGCTCGATGTCCTCGATAGCCTCCTTGTTCTGGCGTTGAGCAGCAGAAGCGGTTCCAGTCTCAACAGTGTGGTTGCTTGAGGGGGCGTAGTCCTCAATGGTCTCAAGCTTGGGAATGACACCCTCAGACTCGGGTTTGGCTACAATCTCCTTTGCGATAGAGACGATTGAAGGAGTGTTGTTGGTAGCCTTGGTCTCAGACTCGGGCTTGGCTCTGATCTCCGACTTCTTCTCAAGGACGGTGATGAAGAAACCACCAGTATCCTGCTGGTGGGGGTAGACACGAACACAGCGGTCAAGAGGGAGAGTTTGGCCAGGGGTAGGGAACATGCCGGAGACGACACGCTCAAGCGAAGCCTCAAATTTCTTTGACTTTGCGTCTTCCACCTCCTCCCAAGAGTTCCAGGTACGGCCCTCCTTGTCCATGATCTTCCACTCCTTCAATCCAGGGTAACGCTTGAGCTCGGGGAGCTGGTTGCTGACATCGACAATGTTGATCTTCTCGATGCCACCGCAGCGGTCAATGGCGCTGTTGATGACGGCCTCATTCTCGACGGGGTTCATCGAGCAAGTCGAGTAGACGACGCGACCACCGACCTTGAGCATCTGAAGAGCACGAACAAGAATGCGGACCTGAGTGATGTAGAGACCAAGACCGTTGCCAGGAATCCAGTCCTTCCAGATGTTGGGGTTCTTTCTGCAGGTACCGTCGCCAGAGCAAGGAACATCGGCAAGAATTCTGTCAAACTTCAGCCACTTGCCCTGCTTCTTTTGGCCCTCAGGAACAGGGTCCGAAGGAAGCTCAATCGAGGGGAACATGGTAGCGTCGTGGTTGGTGACAATCAAGTTGGGGGAGTTCAAACGCTTGACCTGGTGGACCAGCATCTGAGCGCGCTGGTAGTTGACGTCGTTTGCGACCAAAAGTCCGGTAGCTCTGCCATCATCGCTCCAGTCGTTGCCCTCCACAGTCTCGTCAGCAGCTCCAGTGGGATCGGTTTGACCATCCTGGTGTTGCTTTGTAGCCTTGCGTATACGCGATTCTTCTCCAGCGTGCAGCATCTCAACCAATTGAGCACTCTTACTTCCAGGTGCGGCGCAGAGATCGAGAACGGTGTGGTGCGACTGGACATCGAGGAGAAGCGGGGGAATCATAGAAACAGCTTCTTGACGACTGATGTTACCGACGGCGGTCTCGGAGACGAGGAACTTTTGGAAAGCGGCGAAGGGAGGGAATTTGCGAATGACATTCTTAGGAGTGGTCATGTAGTAGGCGAGCTGGTTGGGATACCAGGTGATGGGCATCGGAGGTTCGACATTTTGCTCGTCGAACTTCATCGACTTGATTTGGGGGATGAAATGTTCGTCCAGGTTCTTTTGCACGGCAAGCGCATGCCTAGCGAAAAGTCAGCCACAGCTTTTCGCGATCTCTGATGGTGCTAATCATACCCTTTGCTGCCGCAGAAGCGGAACGAGTTGGGCAGCTCGCGTCTCAGAGCAGCCCAGAACTGTTCGCGCTCCTCTCCTTCGGGTACAATGTTGAGGTCGTTGTATAGTCTCTCGAACTGCTCGTTGACCTTGGGCACTTCGGCGTACGACTTGCGCTCAGTCGACCAGTTGTTGCCGCCACCTCCACGGCCCTTGCCCTTGTTCTTGCCCCAATTCTGCCAGTTTGTTAGTCGCCGTAGATGATGAGATGCTTTCATGACACTTACTCCTCTTCCTTTTCCGCGCGGCATGATTGATTTATGAAAAAGGTATGAGAACGAATTATTTCGGTTCGAACGTCACCAAAAGAGAAATCGAAGCTCGACTCCCGCAAATGCACGGGCCATCGCGCTTGCAATTGCCCTTTTGACTGTCCTTAACTCCGCTGCACCATCAAAGACATTGGAATAAATTGACAATGTAAACCACGGGTATAAAGATTTCACAAAACATGCCGCTACTTTTTGTTACCTCTGACCACCTCCGTTCGTTCCACCGAAGAAGAATCCATCGAATAGGTCAAATCCTCCATTCTCGTCCCATGGCTGACCACCACCGTCGAATGCAAGTCCGCCTGCCCCAAAGCCCATGTCGAATTCTCCATAGTTCGCTGGTGCTTGTCCTGGCTGTCCAACTACTCCACCTTGATCTGGAAGTTGAAAGTCTTGCAGAAACTCGAAGCCTTCCAGATGACCCGGCACTCCCTGCGGTCCAGGTCCTACGTAATTCTGTCCTCCTCGGGGGTAGTAATGGTGTTGGCTGGGTGATTGTCTGGCCAAAGGTGGTGGTGTCGACTGTAGAGATGGGTCGATCGGTGGACTAGGTGCATACAAACGAGGTGAGATTTGATTTTGTTGGTATGCGGGCCCTGCAGGCGTGTTTGGGAAGCCTTGCCCTCCCTCACGCTTGATAGCTGGGTTTTGAGCCCGAGCTACAGGGAAAGGCGCTCGCCTCTGGGCGGATGGTCGGTTGGTGGACTCATCATCAGTAAACAAATCTCGGAGATTCATGTCAAATCGAGGCATGGGTCTCCTAGCTTGTTGCGACTGCTGTTGCTGTTGTGGCCTGCTTTGGTTGACAACCGGCATCGCTGGATTTGCGTTGGGCTGCCTAGGGCTAGGATCACTAGATGCAGCATTTACCGAATGTTGCTGCACTTTTTGCGCTTGTGCAATGTACCTCAGAGCTTGTGATCCAAATCCCGTCGTTTGCTCAACCATCGCGATGGTAGCTTTACTCATACGATCGAAAGCATCTCGACACGCTTCAGCTGGAGGACACTTCTCAATCATGTCTCCAAGTACAGATGTCGCTGCCAGAATTGTGAAGTCGACGTCATCCAGCGTGAGCTTGGATCGGACAACCGTCGAGTGCCAGATGGCATACAGGAAAGATATTCCGGACATGAATAGGTGATGGGTAGCGAGGAATGTGTGGTTGACCAATCTCACACGATGCAGTTGTCGGTAGATTTTGAGCGTCTTCTGGCCAGCTTCAGCCACCTTCAGGAACACCATCTCCTCGTCCTCTTCTTCGTAGTCAACATGGCCAGGACTGGTCACATCATCTCCGGTTGATGCATCTAGCTCGCCAGCAAGTGACGGCGGTACTGACAGAGACTGGCGATAGAGCATTGTTACAGTTAGCCAGTAATTGAGTTCTAAGAACAGTGGTGAGAACGCGACTCCGGTCATCGTTTGGGTGGGTGATGACTCAATCCACTCATATAACCTTCGGTCAATGTCGCCTCGCCATTCCCTGAAGCTGGAGTATCTCGACAAAAATGGCGAAGGAAGATCCGTATGCATCCATCGATTTGCTCCGTTGACGGTTCCTCTTTCTCTGAATTGCTGAGTTTGGCGATGCTGCAAGACCTGCAACACTTCGGACTGCAACAATCGAAGTCTGAAGTAATGATATGAGACATGCTTATAGCTCGGTATGCTACCATATTCGTTCTGCGGCGGTGTCAAGAAACCACTGGGTGTAATATACTTGTCATCAAGTAATGTCGGGAACTCAGTGGTGATGACTTGATCCGTGATACCGAAAGGTCTGCCAACGCAAGTTGACACCAGGCGATCGAACGAGTATACACACCACCACAACCTCCTTCGGAAGTCTCTGATATACTGGCGACGTCCGTACTCCTCTCTCGCGGCGCTTGTCATCTCTGTCTGGCCTTTTTCGTCGCTGACTTCTGCAGAAGCCTCCGGATCTTCGTTGTGTAGACCAAGGTCCACAGCGAGACGTACTGCTACTCCTACAATGTACCAGAGACCTGGCGCAACGGGACGGAGCAACGCAAATCCTGCTAGCAGGAGAACAGCCTGCAACTCCTCGAGACCACTGCCTATTCCCTCCGGTGAAGAAGAAGATGACCCGAGGAATGATTCCAGATGTACTATGGCTGAAGCGTGGTACTCTTCGGGTCGGGACTGCTCGTGAGACAGCTTTTGCCTTTTTCGGCTCTGACCACCTTTGCCATCAGCGGCGGCTTCCGCATCGTTATTCTTGTCAGAGGCCTCCAAAATCACTCCGGCACCAGTGGCAAAGACAATATTGAGCATATATAGTTCTCGTGGCGTTCTCTTCTTCTCCTCGGTCGCATACACCTTGTCAAACAGAGCCATGAACTCTCCACGATGAAGGATTGGTATTTGAGGGTTGGAGTGCTCGAAATACAGCTCCATGAGCCTTCGTCCGATATCCTTATCAGGGAATGTTGCTGGCTTGATGGCGGGTTTTGTCTGAAGTCCAAAGAAAGAGTCTCTCATGGTAGTACCTCCCGTAGCTGCACCACTCGTGAGAGGCTTCGAAGGTCGAACACCGCCACGTTCAGAGGTTGAACCGGACACGGAGCTCTTGACTGCGGCAAATACGACTCTGGCAAAAGATATTCCAGAAGTAGATCCAAGATACCTGGCATCCGATGCGCCCTGTACAGAGACCATTCCTATGTTGTGAACGAGGTTGGACAAGTGTTTCTGCTCGGTCTGCTCCGTTGATACAGCTGAAGTCGGGGCGACATTGGTGTCGAGATACTTTTGCGCGCCTACAACTACCGCTTCGCTAGCAGACGGTATTGTAGGAGAAGTAGGAGCTGTCACGCTCATGCTAAAGTCATCCGTTGGCGCATAGGGAATGTCGTTAGATTGCAACAGAGATTCCAGATGCTGTACTCGACTTTCCAAGTAGTAAACATAACTGTCCAAGGTCAGCACAACCAAGCTATAGACTTTGATTTGATCAATTGTTACCTTCTGGGTATCTCGCGTTTGCTGACGGGATCGAAGCCAACACACCTGAGATACCAGTTAGTCAAGCTGATAACATTATCATAATCTGAAACATACTTGACATTTGCCTTTTCGCAGCTCGTACACGCCGGCAGTTTCTGGTCGCAGCGATTCTTCCTTAGTCGGCATCGATTACACGCGCTGACATTGCGAAAGTTGGATGACGAAGCTGAAGACGCGCCATTCGAAGTCGCGGCAACACCATCCCCAGAACCACCTTCGACGGCATCATCAGCACCGTCAGTGACCTGCGGATTGGCACGCTTCTTCTTGTTGGACGAATTGGTAGTAGTGTAATTCATTTCGCGGTCGGCATCGCTCAGGAACGCAAGCGCGAAGCGGCTACGCGGAGAGGCTCCCTCTTGCTGGGCACACCGAATTGGACACACGTGGATCCGAAAGCAGTTGGCCTTTTAGTGTTGCTCCCTTTTTCCGTGCAAGTGTAATGCAGTGGTCTTGAGCTTCGCACGTTTCGACTCGGGTGATAATGACTCGTCGTGTGTTGTCCACACCTGTTCTCTTATGCCCGATATCTGATCATGCACTGATAAGGCCCGGTCATTGGGTTTTTGCGCAGGCGGAGAAGGACGTCGGAACGACGCGTTTTGGAGGGTCTGAAATAGCCGCTAACCTTATTCGTGTATAGCCTCGGATAGAATTGCTCCGGCTGTGTTTTTGTTCGCGGGAAAATAATGTAAACAATTCTACTATGACCTCCCCATGTGCTAAAGGTTTGTCACTGATACTGCTGTTGAGACGCACGATGCTTCTCGAAAGTAGAGCCAGGTCCAAGGAGAGAGCGTCAAATAGTCGCTCTCTGTGGATGACGTCCCCTTGCTCAAAATTATTGTGCATTTTGATGGCTGGAACGAACGATGCACATCGCCGCGTGAGAGTCAAGTTACATACTTTAGCACATAGGGAGGGATCTTTGATGGTTTCACGACCCCTTATGCCAGTTGTTGTCACTTCTAGCCGTCCCTCACTGCCATGCTTGGAGTACTCCGGCCTGTAAAAATGCACAATGTTTGTCAGATCGGTGGAGTTGTCCGCAGAGAGGCGACTATTGCCGTGTTCTTAGTGAGGGGCTACCTGGACAAAGCCCAGCTCAAACTTCCGACCGAGGCGCAGTCAACGCAATGTACGCTTGTCAATGTCACACGTTATGCTGTATTGAGCCTAACATGATTGCGTTGTTCTGGATACGATGATAACTTACAGCTGCTATGTGGACGTGACTGAGAAGGAGCAATTGTGTCCTGGATAGTTGTAGAAGGTACCACCCTGTCAGCTCTTCAGGACAGGGTCAGCATTTGTCTTCGATATTCAACGGCTCAGTTTCAGACGCTTCCTGATTGTGTACACCATCATCACTCCACCACCCATATCCACTCTCTATAGCACAGCAACACACTCAATTTCAACATCCGTACCCATCGGCAATGTCTTGACAGCCACACACCTATCAAAAACATTAGCATACGCAACAAATTGCTTCCAGCTCTGCGAGCAACTCACGTTCTACTCGGCTTGACATCACCCCAGTAAGTCTTGTAAACCTCATTCATCTTCACAAAATCATCCATGCTAGCCAGAAACACATTGACCTTGATGACTTTGTTGATCTCCGTGCCCGCTTCCTCGAGCACAGCAGTGAGATTTTGGATGCATTTGTGCTACAACAGTATCAACGTTTGTAGCTTTCTAGAGAGACATCAGAGGGAAAGGATACATACGGTATGAGCAGTGATATCTCCATCGATCAGTTTGCCGGTTTCGGCGTCCATGGCGATGGCTCCGGAGCAGTAGACGAAGCCATTGGCTACGATGGCTTGGCTGTAGATGCCGGGGAGGGGCTTTGGTGCCTTTGAGGTCAGGACTGCGGTTTTGCTGGACATGTTTGGTTCTGTGTGTAAGTCGAGGGAATGGTAGATGTGAGAACAATTGTGAGACAGTCGGTGTTGTGTGTTTGAGAAGATGGCTTATGATGCTGGAGGTTGATCGGCATGCTTATCGCCCCGCCGGGCCTGTCAACCGGTGCGCGGGGTTGGCCTATCTTATCTTGATGGTAACACGAAGGTATTCTACTACATATATCAAGATGGCAGATGTGTTGAGAGTGCGATTAGCGAACAGTGTTTGAGGTTGACATGTTGTCTAATGTTAGAAGGAAGAGATGGTTTGACATGGACATTCAATTCGAGCATCCAGCACTATCTATCAGAAGTATCAAATCGCAACTAAACTACTCGTATCATGTTACAGCGAATGTGAATAACTCGATGATCCAGGTCGCGTTCTTTGAACGAACGCGCAAACGCCCCTTTGTCTTCCCCTTCCACAGCCAAAAACTGTCCCCGAATAAAGCAGAAAACGGGTATAAAGCGCCAACTGCCCCCAACCCCAAAAGCCTGGTGCTTGCAACCAAAAACCAAAATACAAATAAAACGCCCAAAAGACCTATTTTCCAAAGGTAAGGATGTAGAATATTCCTCTAAAGCGGATCTCAGATCGCTTCGTGATGGATACGGAGCCTGCCGCAAAACTGCTTTCATCTAGATGAACTTTTTGAATCGAATCGGAAATGATTGTAGAAAGAATGCTGACTCGGAATGGTGGAGACTTTTGCACATTAGTCGTAAGGAAGGAATTGCGTGAGTCGTAGGGTTCTTTTGTATCGATCGAAAGCGAGAGTGATTCAGTTGCGGAGGTCTTCTGAAGGTACGCTCTCAAGCACGTCCGCGTCCAAGAAAGGTAGATCTTCCGAGTCCAGATTTGCTTCTTGAGCTTTTGAGTAGCGGCGCTTCTCTTCGACCATGCGCAAGCTCAGAACGGCACCAATAAGTGCAACGAAGCTGTTCGCCCACCAAGGAAGACCGAGGACTCCCACAGACAGCCCTAGTGATTGCACCAATCCTGATAATGTGGGACCGAATGCTCTGCACAAACTTGCCGAGGAAGCTGCTACGCCATTCAATGTGCCGAGAACCTTCTTGGATGGAGCAGCGTTGGCCAGCATGATCGCCAGAGATGGATAAGAGAGCGCTTGTGCTGTAACCTTCCAGACTAGCACGAAGTATATGCAAGGCATGCGCAGAGCTGTCGGAACAAGTGTGAGGTAGGGAACCATCAGGTAAAGGATCGGATAGGACAGAATGACGAGTCGGAATGTAGCCAGACTTCCAATCTTGCGATTGACGAAGGGAAATACGAATAGTGTAGCGAACATTTGGATAAAGCCTTGGGCTGAGAGAATGAAGCCAATAACTTTTGTCGGCAGTGCGAAGCCACCGGAGAACTGGAAAGGAAGGTTGGGAGCCTCGTGAGACTCGGGCAGACTGAAGAGTACGGGAAGAAGCTGTTCGGCGGAGATAGTGTGGCTATCTAAGTGTCAGTGCCCGGGCTGTCAATAATTTTGGACGATACATACTAAGCAAGGATACCATATCCGACGATGTTGAGGCAAACCTGCCAAGTAAAGGCATTCGAGACAGCCGCATCACGTCGACTCGACCCAGCTAACTGAGGTGATGCGGACTGAGCTTCATTGGGGAGCTCTCCAACAAGGATAGGGTTCAAAGCCGGAGATGATTCGCTTGAAGAGTAACCAGGAGGGACATCCTCGAACAAAGCCAAGGTCTCGCCAGCCTTCTCGTCAATCTGATTAGGCCGGAAGAAGTCCAAAAGCCAGTCACCAATGTCAAGACCATAGTCTCTGCGGTCCTTGAGATCCTCGTGAGTTTCCTCGAGGAAGAGTATACCGACAACCATTCCGAATATTACTACTCCAGCACAGACCAAGTTCGGAAGCAGGTAAGGGAATTTGTCGAATAGCGAGCCATGCTCAAAGTAGCCAGGGTAGTTACGAACAGGATCCGCGAGTGTGCCTCCAAGACCGGAACCGACGATTGATCTGATAACAGTGTAAGCGAGACGGCGGTTATGGTAGAACTGGCGGACCTACCCGAGGCACCAAACAAAAGGCATAATCGAGTATGCACGTGCTACGGATTGTCAATGGCTACACTTTAGTTTGTTCGCAGTATTTTACTGACCTTGATGGGCTTCAACAGTTACAACTTCGGCGACTGTTGTCTGTAATACACCAATGTTTCTGGTGCTGGTCAGATTCGCGTCAAACAAGCGAGCTGCTACCCCACTCACCCATTGAGAAGACCACCCAAAGCACGAGCAATGAGAGCTGTTGTGAGGTTGGGCGAGAATCCAAAGGCAATCATGCTGATACCAGTTCCGGCCAGTCCCATGAGAAGAATGGGCTTGCGTCCAACCTTGTCGCTCAATCTTCCCCACAAGACACCAGTCGAGAATTCGGCAAAGGCGAAGGCGGACGTGACCATACCAGCGTATAGAGAAATTTGCTTTTCATCGTTGGTGATGTGAAAAGAAGAGATCATGTAATAGACATAAGGAAAAATTGACATAAAGGCGATCGGCTCGCAGATACGGCACAAGGCTGCAGATATGTAAGCCAATTGAACAGATGGGACAAGAAAAAGGCTTTGAGGCATACCTAACACAAACAATTGTCGAGTAGGAAAGGCACTCGAGTGCTGTTGCACTCGGCGATGTTGTGCATGTGAGGGCGACATGGTGTGCGAATGAGGCGTGGGACAGGATAGACGGTGAAGGTTTTCCAATGCCTTTGTACGAGCTGAAGGGGGAACAGGAGAGCACAACTGTTTCAAGTCCTGGCAAGGGCACGCCCTTTATGAACAAATGGAAACCCGAGGACTATACTGGAGCGGCTGACAATGCAATGGTGAAAATGTCTTGTTCAAGTGGTGGAACGAAGAAACCGCGGATCCGGGTAGGTGCTGCGAACGTAATGGGACTTAGAGGCAAAGGCCAGCGGATACGTGCAGCAAGATTGGTGGTACGACCTGAGAGACGGTGAAGAGGACAAGTCAGGTGGCTGCGTCTGATGGAACAAGAGGAAGAAGACAGGGCGAAAAGGTTATTATCACCATTGTAACATTGCCGCTGACAGGCCCAGGCGAGAGCGGGTCGCCGTTGCAGTCGGTGAAGTGCATTCCTAAGGAACTGGTCAGTGTGCGTGGGCAAGAGGGCGAGTATTTCGCGGATCGCGGAAGTACGAAAGGTTCCATGCTTCCCCTTGTTGGTCATGAAACCTTGCAGTGGAACCAGCGCGGAGACTCTTGCAGGCACTAACTTGTACTCCATGCCCAAGGTTTTGGGTAGCCGGGAAGCCATTGGCTCCGGGGAACTCGGCTTCGGAGGTTAACATCGATCGTTTATTGAGCCTAATCTACAGCCCTATATTTCAATGATCTCCCAGATTTCGACCTGTCTCTGCTGTGCAAACTGGGCGATATATTGCCTCTGTCGTCGGTATTGTCGTTATATTGATTTGCATGAAGATTGATGATGAGCTCTGCACGTAGCCCGACGACAGAGTCAGCGACCCAAACGACTGGCGGTGAGGAGGACAACACATGCCCACACACCTCAGGCAGTGTGTAACAGTGCCCAAAGGTCATTCGCCCTGTTTGCGCGACCAACCACTGCCGAAAGCTGCCAATATACTGCCCGACTGGCGGCAGTCAGTAGCCGAAAGGTGAGATCTCCTGCCGGCAGCATCTGACAATCGTCTTGTTCGTGTACCGCACAAGTTGTATACCTCGAGAGGGTCCACGTAACCCATCAGATATGCCGGGAGATTTACTGGAATCTGGTAAATTTGATAAAGCTGGTTCATCTATCGAAGGGCAGGGGAGCAAACCAGGCGAGTGGGTTTCGGGATGGCTCGGCTGCAGCGCTAGTCGCAGAGAGACAGAAGCTTCCAAGGACCTTCTTCGATCAACTTCAGACAGCTCCCACGCTAGTTCAGGGACACGCTGCAATTCGCTCCGAGCAAGGTTTGGCCCGCGACACGTTTCCGGGCGCTGTCTAGTTTCCGCTTCTACAAGGCGCCGTCGTCGACTTTTGCATTTTGACTTCTGGGGGATCTTGGGAAATGGATACGCAACGTCATGGTACAGATCGTATTAGGTGGATCGGTGAAGAGACACTGATCCCCCTGTCGCATCACTTCATGGGGCCACTGCAGCAACCCGGCGCGGCGGCTTGCGAGCGGGTTTCTTGCAGCATGTTGTGTTTGTCGACAAGGACACACGAGTCACTGTTCCCGGCGGCTATCCCCGACCGAGGTGAAGCGGTCATGCGACTGGCGACTACTGGTTGAAGAACTGTCGCTCGCCGACATACATAAGGTGAAGCTGCTGCATTCAACAAGCAGTTATCGTGGCTATTGCTGCCTCGATGGCAAAGTGCAAAACATGTTTTGACGGGCGAACGGGCCGACGCATCATGCAGCTATGGGCCAGAAAGACGATCCAGATGCTGCAGAAGAGATAGATCGCAGGTTCAGTGATACTAAGCCATTGCAAACCATGTCTCGTGACCTATCACACTATGGATAACAGGGGTCACTATGATGCTCTTGCTCATGCATGAAACGAGGGAAAGATGTCTGATGTCGAGATTGTTGCGTCAAAGGAGAAAGCAGAAGCAGGAGCGTTGTGAGAGGCGCGCGATAGACGCCGGCTTGAACCCAATTGACAGGTCAAAGATGCACCACTGCGAGACCGTTCGGGTCGAAGTTTGGATGATGGGTTTCGTATTCGAGCGACAACAGACATGTATCATTATTTTTACATGCGTAGAGATGGAAGAAGCAAAGCACACAGGAACAGAAGCATCTAGCTGCGTTACAAGAATTCATAGCGGGTGTAGTGCGTTAGCGCCTGTCACCAAGGAACAAGCGCCATCTGTGGAGAAGAGGGCAGACGACGCAGACGGCGCCGACGTGACAATCGACACGGCTACATACGCAGTAGCACTCCTCAAGCACTCGACCCTCAACACATCACGGCTATTGTTATGGCTCTGGCGCAGTCCAACACTCGCGGAGGGCCACAGGCCTTTGAAGCACAACAACGGCGACTGGACTTGTATGCTTGCCTGTCCGATTCTTCAGGCGTGTGTTGCGAGAAGCTCATGAGTGTCTGTGTAGCGCGAGCGTGAAACAGGCCTGTCCAAAGGGCATCTATCTCACGCCCACACCTCGCGACCCGCACGTCTGGCAGGGTGTGTTGTTCGTCCGCAAAGGTAGGGTCACCGTGACGAATGCTTGGATGACTTCTCAAACCCTCTAGGGCCCTATACTCCCGCAATCCTGAAGTTCTCCCTGCTCCTTGCCGCCGACAAGCCTCCCACCATTACCATCTCCACCGACATTTTTCACCCCTTGGTCACCCCTCTGACCACATACACGTACACCACGAGCGACACGGGTGCCGATACTGTCCATGCCACCGATGACGAGCGCCTCCCGCCAGGAGGCTTCAGCTTGCGACACGGCTTTCCGAAATGGTTTGGACGCAACAAGCCGAGGCCTTCGTCTCAGATTGGCTCGACCGAAGAATCAACATCGACAGCAGAGCACTCACAACCGTCGTACGGTCCTCTTGCCATAGTGCAGATCTTGTTCTACATGCGGAGCACATTCGACACTGCTGAAGTACTCGACAAAGTACCGCTAGAGGCGGCTGGCAATCCAGGCGCATGGCATGCATGGCAGACCCATAGAGCGCGAGTCATTGGCACGACACCCCTCTCTGCAACACCAGAAGATGGAAAGAGCCCCGCATCCCCCACCTTACGTCAACAACCCGGAGGTGCGAGAAGGCCTGGCCAATGGAATTGGGAGGGTGTTTGGGAAGAAAGAGTCAAGAAAGGTGTCCAGGCGAGCATATCGCAACACACTTTGTTCGGTGGCGCCGCCTCAACCGATGATCTGGTAGGTTATTCTGCTTGTCAACCACTTTCAGAGGACTACCAACTAACTCTCATATCTAGATCAACTTCTTAAATGTTGACACAGAATCGATTGATGTTCCTTGGAACAAAGACGACGAAGCCAATGACAGTCTTGTCGCCTGATCTGCTTCTGTAGCGAGTGGTGACCTAGGCAAATATTTGGTTCCCAACAATTTTCTACTGCCAACTTCATGCTTTTCTAGAACTTCGGCCGTAAGTGATCGGTCTGATACATCTCGAAGATGAAATGTTCAAGCTCCAAATTGCTTTTGTTCGAGAGTAGGTAGTGGTAGGCATCTACATGGCAGTCGCACTTGCCTTTGCCGGACTTTCACATGACACGTCATGGGGTCAATAGCAAGCTTGCATCTCAACGTATCCTGATACCAGTCTTGTATCAACGAGCAATTTCCAGTTTTGTTATATTTTCCATCGCTTCAATTGGATAACGGTGGTATACTCCGCCTTCGAACAATGCCATCCAATAAAGAGGTGAGTCTCAGTGTTTCATGCGTTGTTTCGCAGACATTCTGACGACGTCTGCAGAATACCGATCCCAAAGCTATCCGAGCAGTACAGAATAACAAAAACAACTCCTCACCCAACACGGCATATGGCCATACTCCTGGCACTGTGGGATTGCGTGGATGGCAACCACCACAAGCTCACATGTTCGTCTCGGCTCCAAGCTCTGTGAGTGGCTTTCCAACCACCGCCCAGCAACCACGCGGCAGCGTATCACCAACAACTGCAATCGATCAGACCAGGCATAGCAACAGCTCGACCGAATCGCGATCATTGAACAGAGCTTCAGGGTCGCCCTTGAAGGTTCGGAAAACACGTGAAAACCTTCGAAAGGGTTATCTCAATGATGCTGTTTCGAAGGGTGCACACTCAGTGCCCGACCTTACCTACAGCAAACATACTGGCGTACAGCCACTCCGAGAGATTCAAAACATCGTGCACGATGAAGTCGTCAGACCTCCGTCAACCAACCCTCGTTTCAGCTGGGAGTCTAACAGTATCCATCTCACAACAGTCATCGAGCAGTCACCCTCCAAGCGCACCTCTAACCAATCCAACAGGACCGAGCCAAAATCTGCTCCGTCACTATCCCGAAAGCTGTCGGTCCGCAAGCGTGTAGTTTCAAGAGTGAAAGATGGTCTTCTTAGTCGATCAAAAAGTTCTTCCAAGGCGCCAGTGAAGTCTGAGGATGACGTTACCACCAGTCGTTCCGCTTCGGAGCATGAAAGGTTCACTCAGAATTCGGCAAACAAGAGTTTTCAGAATATGAAAAAGGAACATATCATTGCTTCACAACTTCTTGCTTTCGAATCGGTTCAGAGCTTCGTCTCGACCGACTCACCTACGGTAGACATCAGCTCGACTCTGCTAGCCTTATCGCCACTACACCCTGATATCAAAGGTGTCTTTCTGGGAAGTGACGGGAGCTTTCCGAGTCCATCACAAAGAGCTCAGCCAAGCCCTTCACCTTCTCCAGAAAAGACTCCGCGCCCAGACAGAAGATCTACATGGTCAGCGAAAGTCCATCTGAGCGTTCTATCAAAACCTCTTACGATGCTTCACATCAATCTATCTGTCACACCTGCGTGGAACACCCTTGACCTGGCAGATGAAGCGCAGATGTGGGCAATGATCAAGGCTGAAGCAGCGGTCTCAAGCGAGCCGCCAATAGACACAGATGAAGCAAGCTCTGCCGTCCCCTCCCAGCATGTTGGCAAGAGCCACAAATTCCTGGATGTAGTGGTTATCATTGACAACTCGTTTGTGTTCTACCGGTCCTTATTGATTGCAAGGCGCTAACGCGGGGTAGACCTTTGGCCTCCTCATTGGCTCTTCAAAGCATATCCGAGTTTACCCGGCATCTTTGCAGTCTGCTACGAGACCATGGAGACCGTCTGGCCGTGTTTTGCACGCACTGTTCCCACGAATCGCGGTGCTCCGATACCATGTCAGGCTGTCAGCTCCATCGTTTACAGAGGCCGAATGCAACAGCCCTTTCCATCGACGTGGCAAGACTGGATCCTAGCAAGGCAACGGCACCGCCTGCGGCCACTCAGATGTCTGCAATGATGCAAGAAGCTGTAGCGTCAGTGGTCGAGAGAAGACAGGATTCGAATGACAGTGTCACACATGCATTTGTATTGTCTCCGCTCCCCCGGATATGTACGTCAATGCTTCGTAAATTGGTATCCTGGCCGATCCATCAAGTTCAGTTCGGCTATGCCTACGACGCTCCTTTTCCTCAAGATCAAGCTGGGGCAAACGGATGGTGCTTTGAATGGGACGCAGATCATCACACGACGTTGGATGTCCTTATCCAGTCAGCGCGAGAAGAATCTTCTCATCAAGAACTTTCACACGTTAGAGTGTCCATTAACTCGGCCGAGCCCTGTCGCGTGGAAAGACTCCTGACTCCTCCCCGAAAGGCAACACTGCATCCGGGTCAATGTACCACTCTGTTCGCGAAAGTGCGGATACCTTCGATCAGTGAACGGCCAACTGCCGATCCAAAATCGATTGAGGGTCTGTTCAGCGACCTTCATGAAACACTCGGTAATGTCAAGAATGAGCTGTTCAAGGCGGATGTGCGGTACAGACATTCTCTTCTTCCTCGGAGCACAGAGCTTCGTACTGAGCTGGCTTGTGAACTGATCCGCACGAATAGAAACAGCCAATGGGGTTCGACCCATGAAGAGGAAGACAAGGATGGTCTGGAAGTTGAGATTGAGAAAGCCAAATTTGCTGCAAGAAACTATCCCCCGGATGTTGCAATCAAAATCTTGCACAAGAAGTTTGGCAAATTCTGGTCCGGCAAGAACGGACCACCAATTCTGCATAGCTTGCGCAAAGAGCTCGAGTTTCAACAGAAAGTGTCGGCGGAAACAACCAAGAGTGTAGCACAGTCGTCCTCAACAGCCATACAACGACAAGCTTCAAGGAGTACACGCCGAACCACGATGCATTTCCCAGATACCGAGGCTCTGCAGGTCTTCAACACAGCCCCTTCCACGCCTACCCCCGAAGAAAGCAACACAAGCATAGCCACACCTACCAGCGAGAGTCGCTCCGACCATGGACAAAGGCCAGACAGCCTCGTGATACAAGATGAGGCTCGACGGATTTGGCGGCATATGCGACGCAACAGCCGGACCACGTCAGGGATCTCAAGCGCATCCGAAGCAAGTAGCCGTGCCGAATCAGGGGCACAGCAGCAGCAAAGACCTCAGAGGCGTGGGTCACAGGAGAGTGTCATGGACCGGATGGCTGCTGCGGACACTCGCGTCAACGAGCTTCGCCTGAAGGCACTCCAAAACAAACGCAGTGTCGGCGCCGAGACATTGCGAGACTTCAGTATGATGCAGCAACAGCATGAGGATGAGTTGGATGAATCGCGATACGAGGCCAACTTGCCTTGGCTGTGAGTCGGTGTGGAAGAAGCGGTCTGGCATCACCGGTCTGTCAGAACGTCTTTCGCCTTGTAAAAGGTGGGCCTATTGATTTGGGAGGGCACTGCTACAAAATTCCGAATTAGGACATGCATGATCATCTCCTACGACATCACCAGCAAATCGAGAGGTTACCCAATCCAGGTATCTGGACGCAAGACGAGACAATGTCTCGAGACCTGACTTGAATAACGAAGCATGACCTTATCATACTCGACATTCTTTCCGAGAGCCTCCCTTCCAACCAAAATTCCGGACACATGTCCGCGTGTTCACCCGGTCGCCGGTGTCGCTGATATTGTCATTCTTATCCATCGTCGGCCCGCGACCCTATGCATGATGGCTTACTGCAACGAGGAGGAGTATGCATGAACCCATGATCCGACTTAGTGGAGTGCTCACCATTCACCTTACTACCACCACCTGTGTTTGCTATAGAATGACGATCAGCTGGACCGCATGGATGAAGCATGTCGTGGTGCCTAACCGCCCGATGCGATGCGAATAGCCATAATTAATGTGTATCCTCAGGTACCCTTTTTCGCCTTGCTTTTACATTGCGTCTACTTTTGGGCGCCTACTCATGCTTTGTGTCCAACTAACCTGCATTATCTGATTGATCACCCATCTCGCCCATCTCGCCATCCATGACTTCCATTATCTAACCGCTATGATCCTTGAACACCTTGATCCACTCTGTGCTATCTCGTAACCAAATACTTGGGTTTACTAAGTGGATCGTTGTATATTCCGGTCGCCACTTTCCGATTCCGATCACGGGTGCGACGAACCATACACCCGGTAACACAGAAAGACACCCACTCTGAACGGCACCGCGATCCGAACGATATCTCTTGTGTTCGAGTCAGTGTTGTTCAACCATCGAATTGACTATTTTCCGATCCGAAAAATGCCATATTCTCGCTGCTTCACTGTGTTCCACTTTTCATCTCGAGTGCATCTGGGGAGATGATTAATGTCGTGATGTCGTGATAGCATCTCAGATGCCGGAAGCCCGGGCCGCGAATCCGGTGGGCTTCATCGTTCCTCAACCACTTCATCTTCATTTCCGCCCTTGTTGCACTAAAGGTGAGGATATTGGTTGATAGAGTATCACGGTACCGACGATTCAGATAACGTCATTGAGACTTTGGCTCGCTTTCGGTGGTAGCCTCAGGCAATCATTCCGGGTATCATTTCAATCAAACATTCTAAACAGCAACAACTTAGACACCAGCACAAGTAGGAAAGACTACATTTCACACATACTTGATCTGCTATATCTTTGCCACTCTATACACTCGAACATATCACAAAAAGCCAACCCTCGTTCCAACTTAACCCAACTCCATCTCCTACAACCATAGTTTGCAACTCCACCCCCTGTAAAAATACACAATGTCTTTCGAAACCATCAGTCCGCCCGCAGAGATACAGATACGCTGGCTGAATATCTAGAAACTCTGGCTACCGGGTTTGTAGCAAAGACTTGTGCTTCTTTTTCTGAGGTTGTGAACTCTGTATGTAGACTGTAGATCTCTGTGAATTGTCTGTGAATCTGTAAACTCTCTGTAGATTGTCTATAGGCCGTCTATAGGACCTCTGGAAGGTCTCTGTAGGATCTCTGGAGAAGATCATTCTGCCATTTTACAGACGTTTGCTTGCCCCATACGATTGCCACCATCTCATCTTGATACCAACCATCTCCCCCTTCCACAGCTTGCAACCCTCATCCCCTGTGAAAATGCACAATGTTTTTCGAAACCATCAGTCCGTCCGCAGAAAAACAGATACGCTGGCTTAGCAGATAGGGGCCTACCCCTTTTCCGTAGCAAGAATTCATGTCTTTCCATCTCGCATATCCTATAGCTTGCGACTTTACCCCCCTGTAATAATGCACGATGTTTTTCGAGATCGGTGGTCCGTCCGCAGAGATGTTACTGGTTTTGTAGCAGGCTTTGTGTGAGTTTATCAGAGTCTATAGAGTATGTGCGTGAAGATTATGGATTGCTATGGGATGCTGGAGATTGTTTGTAGATTGTCTGTAGATTGTCTGTAGATTGTCTGTAGATTGTCTGTAGATTGTCTGTAGATTGTCTGTAGATTGTCTGTATGTTCTCTATATGTTCTCTGTAAGTCCCCTGCAAATCCCCTGTAGGATTTCTAGAGTAGAACGCCGTATAATGAGTAAGCTGTTGTGAAAGTGAAGGAGATTATAAGGAAAGAGGCAGGTGAAAGAGTGAGAGAGGAAAGTCTAACCTAACAGAGTCTGTAGAAGTCTGCTATGGAAAGAATGTCAAGATGATGCGGACTTAATAACAAAGTGCAATACTTCCCAAAGTCGGAGCGACCTTGGAAAAGTCTGTTATAGAAAGAATGCAAAGATGATGTAGATCGAACAATAGAGTGTAATACGCCCGAAAGTTGGAGCAACCCTGGAAAAGCCTGTCATGGAAAGAATGTCAAGATGATGAGACCCGTTGGCAAAGTGCGATACGTCCACAAGTCGGAGCGACCCTAGAAACGCCTGACGGAAATGAGATGCGAATATGGCAGTGCCCGGAGGACCCGATAGCAAGATCAACCTGATTGAGCGACCCTGGAAAAGCCTGAAGATGCGAATATGGTAGCAGTCGGAGGACCCGATGGTGAAATCAAATCATCTGGCCGACCCTGGAGTAGCCCGTCGTGGAAAAAATGTCAAATTGGCCATGTTCGAATGACCGAATGGCAAGACCAAACCGCCTGATCGACTCTGAAGTAGTCTGCTGCAAAAGAGATGTGAGAATGACGATGGCCAAATGACAGAACGGCAAGATCGAACCGTCCGAGCGACTCTGGAGTAGTCTACTTAATCAAAGACGTAAAAACGAGAACGACGGAATGACGAGATGGACAAGATCGGACCATCCAAGAGACTCTGGAAAACCCTGCCATGGAAAGGATGACACTACGACACTACGACAATGCCGAAAAACCCCAGATGGCAAGGTCAAACCATCTGGACGACCCTGGGATGGTCTGCTCAACTAAAGATATCAAGATATCTGAGAAAAGCGCCAAAAAATACCAGAATGATTAGAACCAAACCATATGACAGACCCTGAAGCAGTCCTGCCCGATCAAATGTCAAGGTTCGAGCATGGTTTGATATCAGCAGAATGACAGGATACGAAACATCGAGTGACCCTGAATCAGTCCGTCCAGCCAGGAAAAATCGAATGCGCATTCTAAGCCTCAGATCATATTTCTTTCGTAGATTTCAGAGACATCGCATTTTGCTCGTGCAAGGGTGTTCAAAGAAAATGAGTGATTATCATCAACGGAAGTCGATGAAATACGGAAACTAATTTGGTAGTAAACGTGGGTATCGTGAAAATCAGACGAGAACAGTAAAACGCAAAAAAAAAAAAAAAGACAAAACAAATCGTCGTGGCTGGAGAAACCAGAGACTAGAAACACTCGCTGTTCCTCCTTCATTATCGTCATCAAGCATCAGTTCGTAATCGCAGGCCTCAAAGCTATCAACCGTTCCAAGGGAAATCATCTTCCAGCACTTTCGTACAAGTTAAATACCCCAATCCGGTCGATGGCACGGCAGCACTCCCTCGGCCTGCGCCTGAGGGTGGCACAACACTGCTGAGATCAAGCTCGAGGAAGTTGCGAGTGAGTGGTTTGACAGCATCTCTGGCTAGATTCTTCAGCTCGTCGACTCTACGCTCAAAGCGCTTGAGGTTGTCGCGTGAATACATTTCGGGTGTGAGCTTGAGGAAACGTTTGCACTCGTCGTGATTGAGATATGCTTCTTTATTTGTGCTGCCCATGAGTCGATATACGCGACCTAGACTCTGACTTGACTGAGGTTGTTGAGATGTTGCTGGTTTCGTGGTGACCAGCGCACGGGAGCTGCTTTGTCGACCTGATCTACCTGACACGGAGGCAGAGGCTGACACGGCGTCTGAGGTTGAAGGCCGTGATGAGTTCTTGAGGATAGAGACTGGAGCTGGGGTTGTGTTTTCGGCCAGCCATTGGCGGAAGAGAGACATGGCCATCCAATCCAGATAGCCGTTTGACGGGTTCACACGCTCACCTCGGCTAGTAGTCAAGGTGAGTCTGAAAAGCCGGATCTCGATACGCAATTTCATATCTTCCAGCTCTTGAACCTTGTCCTCGATGATATCAAGGACCAGAGGGTCGATGTGGTTGACGAGTTGAGACTGTGCTTGTGGCCATTGTCCTACAACGTGGATCAAGGCTTCTGTGAAGATGACGCGTGACTTGGCTAGACAGGCGAGTTTGAGGTATGATGGAGGGTAGCGAGCAATCTGCTTGAACAGACGTCCTTGGAAGCCCAGAAGGTGGTGGTCTACTCGGGAACCTACGACATCCAAGGCATCGTACATCTGAGCTAGATGCAGTAGTGCCTTTGACTCGGTATAAGCATCAGCAATGTTGATGTTGCTAAGCGTAGGTGGGAAGTTGTAGAAGATGCGGAAGAGATTGTCATAGTCGCGCAGTAATTCATCGTCCGGGCCTGGAGGCGCAATGGGTTGTGGATTCAAAGACAAGGCTGATAGGTTCGACATGGATCGGAAGAAGGCAGAAGACGAGGCGGGCGGCTTGTTACGCGAGACGGGCGGCGGACTCTGGTTCGGAGGACATTGGATCAGACGCGGTACATCGTTGTTTCTTATGTGGTGCCAGTCGAGGACATAACTCCAGCGTCGCACGTCGGTCGAGTCCAGGCTGCTCCTGCTGGAATTTGTTTCGCCAATGCGCAATAGTGCGGCCGGGCCAGGAGCTGGCAAAGCATTGGGCACGGGTGGTCGTTTCGTGTCTATGGCGAAGAAGGACGAACACTGGCCTAGGATGATGCTGTGCAGGAGGTAGCGTTGTTCCTTGCGACCGCTGGGTGAAGAGATGACGATCTCGACATCGCCGGTATGCGCAAATACGGGAAACTCATTCAGCGGGGCCTGTGGTGAAGTTGTGTGTTGAGAGCGCGATGAGCGATGGCGCCTTGTTGTCGAGGCTCTCGAAGTGACCGAGGGTGGGCGTCGCGGAGTCTGTGGCACTTGGGGTGGTGGCTCAATGTGCGACACCATCATGGAGAGCTGTTTGCTTGCCGACCGGCATCAGTACGAGCGAGTATATTATAGAAACTGCTTGCTGCTTCCATGAAGAATTGTCTTGGGCCAGCCGAGGCGCAGTCCAGCCATCAACAAATCACATGCCCCAGCCATGTCTGTGTGGCACTGAAGACTGTACCAACCTTGGCCTGTCTCTAAAGATACCTACCTGACTTAATTCAGGAAACGTGTCTCTTTTTGCAAAAACATGTCAGGAGAGGAAGGAACAGAAAAAGGTGGCATGACGTCCCGGTCTCTGACTTTGAGGTGAAACGGGCGCGGCGTCAGTTTTGACGGACCATCGTCACGCTTGTCGCAAAGCTTCAGTCAATGTTTCTCCCACAACTGTCGACCACCAGTCGCTGCCGTACTGTCGGCCGGCTATCTCGACTCGCCTCTCGTAGCTATACACGCCCGTCAATAGCCCCTAAACCGACCGTCGACATCAGGCACATCCGTAACGCGCCCGGTCTATACGAGCAAAACTGCATCGCCCGCAACTACAAGCAGCAATCAAAAAACTCATGGCGCATCCTTGAGCTACACGACAAGCTGCAACTGCAGCAGCGACACTCCCGCAACTTGCGCGAACGCAACAACTTCCTCCGCCGTCAACTGGCAAACCCGGCAACCAGGCAGGACCCTGCTCTGCTGGAACAAGCTAAACAGCTGAAGACTGAGCTCGCCGACATCGATGCACAAGATAAACAGATCAACGTTGAGATTGAAGAGCTGGCTCTTGCCCTGCCCAATCTGAGCAGTCTGGACACTCCAGAAGGCGACGTACCTTCCGTAAAGGAGTACATCAACGAGCATCCCGACCGCACTCCCTCGCCCTCAGATCGTGTCTGGCGCAACCATGTCCACGTCGGCTCCGAACTTGACATGCTGGACTTCACCGCCTCAGCTACCACTTCAGGCTGGGGCTGGTACTTCCTCAAGAACGAAGCCGCCCTCCTCGAACAAGCTCTGATCCAGTATGCTCTGAGCACAGCTATGAAGCGTGGCTGGAAGGTCGTCTCTCCTCCCTCGATCGTCTACTCTCATATCGCCCACGCCTGCGGCTTCCAACCTCGCGATCAAAACGACGAGCAACAAATCTACGCCCTCACCCAACCAGAAAAAGACAAGAACAAGCCCTCCCTCTGCCTAGCCGGAACCGCCGAAATCCCCTTTGCAGGCATGAAAGCAAACACCGTCATCGAAGAAGCAGACCTCCCTCTCAAAATCATCGGCGCATCCCGCTGCTACAGAGCCGAAGCTGGCGCCAGAGGCATTGACACAAAAGGACTCTACCGCGTCCACGAATTCACAAAAGTAGAAATGTTCGCTTGGACGATGCCCGATAACGTCGGCGATGACCATTTCTCCGAACCCACACCTTCATCCTCGGAATCTCTCTTTGACGAAATGGTCTCCATCCAAAAGGAAATCCTTCAAAACTTGGGCTTGCATTGTCGTGTTTTGGAAATGCCAACCACCGAACTCGGCGCTTCCGCCACCCGCAAGATCGATATTGAAGCTTTCTTCCCCTCGCGCAGAGAAAAAGATGAGGGATGGGGTGAAGTGACATCCGCATCCATCTGCACGGATTACCAAACCAGACGTCTGGCCACCCGCGTCAAGACTGAAAAGTTCGGCCGCAAGCATGAGTGGCCTCACACTGTCAATGGTACTGCTCTTGCTGTACCCAGAGTGCTTGCTGCTATTATGGAAGCGGGTTGGGAGGAAAGCAGTAAGAGTATGCTTATCCCTGAGGTATTGAGGCCGTTTATGGGTGGATTGGAGAGGATCGAAAGGGCTAGTCGTATTAGTATCCAGTAGAGGTTCTTCGTCCTCTCTTGGAATTGTGATGGGTCTTTACATCGCTTTTTTCGTAACTTTCACTTTTCGTAATACTAGACCTGCTTTACTCTTCGTTTTTCATCAATGATCGGGCCCATGAAGCCACTCCGAGGGCCGATTGATTCTTGCCTTTTTCTTGCACGCATTGCGGAATTACATACACACCGCATGCATGCTTTCACATGTGATAAAAAACAGTGGGTGAGGATCGTAATTCCACTACTGGCCTGGTTTCTTTCATCTTTTCCTCAATCCAAGCCTTGTAAATCGTATATCACTTGCACAAGAATAGACAAGACAAGAGACTTTTTGGAAGTGGCACATAACCAATATTTGAAAATAACTCGACCTCCCACCCCACCCTTTCACATACCACGAAACATCGATACCAAATCATCACCCTAATATTCTTCACATCTCTTTTAGACATAAGGATCTCTCAAAGTTCCTTTTCCACACCCACAGGTACCAGAAAACAAACCCAACATCCCAACCCTCTACCCCCTCCTTCCCCAACCCTGACTCCAAAAACCCCGATTTTCTCGTGTAAATCTTTTCCTTTGCCTATTTTTGGCAACTCCAGAATTTGTCTGATCACCGTCATCTCGGGAGTTGACTCGGTGGAAAGGAGCCATTTTTTCGCTTGTGTGGTTGCGGTGGTGATGAAAATGCTCAAGGGGTTTGGCTCGGTGGTATTGGGTGTGTAGATTGAAGTGTCGAAACTGTTGATATTGGTCGTATGGGTGGGGTTGTGATTAGAAGTGGGGAGGGAGAGGAGGGACGTATGTAAGCTGCTTGATAAGTAAGGGATCGCTAGTGTGGTGTGGCCGCTCGATTTCGATATCTTGGGTTGGAGGATGAAGAATTGGCGGTGCAGGAAGCGAAGCTCGGTTAGTAAGGACAGGAGATCGGAGAGTGCTGGTGTTTTTTTGTTGATATCTTCGGAAATGGCAGAGGTGGTGGGCAGATGTGTTGTGCTGGGTGCGTAAGAATCTGTTTCTAGTTGTTGGGCTAGGGATAACCAAATATCGTCATCTGTATGCCTTTGCTTTCCCTTTCCCTTGTCTGATGGTTGGGAAGAGCTGGCGGAAGTGATAGAAGATAGTTCAGCTCGCACTTCTGGGGTGAAAGAGGCTGAGACGTCGACTTCGGAGCATAAGAGCCACACACTACTGCCATCTCTGACTCTGACGACTCTTTGTACGATTTGCAGAATCACGACTTGTGCTTTTGAAGCACTGCGAGGGAAGCTTGGCTCGACTCGTAAGCCGCATTCGACATCTGCACCATAGGGCAAATTCATGAATGTGCAACTGCCTACTCTAAGACTATTCGCTCCGGCGACGTAGTCATGGGATAGGAAGCGGATAGGTTGACCATTGATGTGCGGGTCTGTCAGAGCAAGACGGCGGAACACTTGTGGTAGACCAAGGAGGGGTGAAGATGGGTTGATAACTGGCTTGGGCGAGGTATTTGATTTCTTGGTCTTGTTTGACCTTGAGCTTATCGCCAGTTCGCGCATGGACAAGTCCACCGGAGAGTTGAGATGACTTGCTCCAGGGAGCGGCGAAGTGGGTCCTCTGGTCTTGTTTTGTCTTTTCCTGGGCCAGACAGAAGTTGGTTTGGGAGGCATGGGAGTAGAAGGATGACCCAAGCCAGCCGGGAATGAGCCTAATGTTGGCGAGTCACATCGGTCGGGCGTAGGGTACACCATACTACTGCTTTCCTGATAGCCAAACCAAATAGCAAGTTCGTCGACTAAGAAGTCGAGCTCGTTTTGATTGTAAGGCTCCTCTTGAACTGGTACGCGAGGGACCGGAAAGCAAGGTGGTGTCAGAGGACTAGGCAGTCTTGGATCCGAAGTCGGTGCGTTCAGCGAGATACCAGAGTCTCTAATTGACGGCGTGAAGAACAACGTCTTGTAGCGATTTCGTTTATGAGGGGTGTCGGCAGGAGATAGAGAGTTTCTGTATACAGAAGGAGAAGGAATAGAAGGTGTAGGTCTAGGGCTTTGAGAAGGCGATGCTGAGAGGAAAGAGCGGCTCGACAGATCAGATCTTGCCGAAGAAGAAGACTTTTGGCGTTGATGGTACATTTGTAGGATTATAAATTGTAATCTCGTTGAGAAGAGGTGCTGTTTGTACACAAACGACGAAGTAGATATACTTACCGCTTTTCCAAATCTCAAGACATGGTGCAAGCTCATGTCTGAGGCTTCGATATGACTGTCTCAAGACGTCTTTCAAAGTCAAGGATTTGCCATGACCCACGGGAGATATGCTCTCTAACTTGAGCATTAAGACTCATAATGAGGCTGGCGATAGATTCTGCCTCTGGTACTGGTATCAGAGCACGTTTGCGCTGTTGTAAGGTGTCGAAGAGATATGACACAGGACCTTGGAGTTGTATTGCTTCGAAGCAAGCTACTTGTAGTAATCACCAAGTGAATTGTATGCCCTGGGCGCAGATACCAAAACTCGAAAGATGACGGAAACAAAGGTCGAGTTGAGAGCTTCAGTGAAGTGGCTGGAAAGAGGTTGGGCTCGCGTCTTTTCGTGGATGACGCGCGATTGCCAAATCGGACGCCGACCACGAGTTTCGCGACCTGCAGTCGTTCGACTTCTGAACTCGACTCCAACAGTCCAGAGGAGCCGAAAGTCACAAGTTATGTTACCTTAGGCATTCTGGTGAAAGTGAGAGGCATGCGACGAAATTGCAGCTCTCGGAAGCTTGCCTTGCCGAAGGAAGTAGGTCGCCTTTCCAAACAGAATGCCGGTGCCTACGAGTACACCTGAGCAAGGTTGTAAATCCTACCGTGCTGCGCATAGTGTTCTTTGCTTGGCGAACAGATATAAGAACTCATGTCTGCCTTGTAGAGAATGTTATCGAAGTCGCAGTGTTGAGCTAATATGTTAGCTTCTGATAGCAAGGCAACGCTCTTGCGTCCAGCGGGTAAGAAATGATTATGAAGTTGACAGCTACCAGGAATCAATGTTAGCTAATGTATTTAGGGTACAACGAGAGACGATACATCACTCGCCAGTCTTTGGGTTACTACCGTACACTCGCGATTGGCGGGATTTATACCGTCGACCAGGCTTCGGCTACAAAGATCTCCCAGCAAACATTCGTCCCGGCTTTGAAGCATTGCGTAGCGACACATCCACTTTTGAGTGCTACCATTGAGGGTCAAGATACCGAGTCGCCCAGTTTCGCCAGGCCAAAAACACTCGACCTGCATAACCATGTTGAGATTCTGTGTACGGATGATCTAGGAAGCGGAGCCGCGGACCTCTCAGAGAAGGACTTGATTCATCGCGTCACAAATCGCACACTCGACTTCGAGTTCTCAGATGTGGAGATCACACCTCCCTGGAAAATTGTCGTGTTTCTCCTGCCTAGTCAAGATGGTGCCCAGAGATTGTTCGTTTTGTTTGCGTACTATCATTCTCATGGCGACGGAAAATCTGCTCTGGCATTTCACAAGACATTCCTGCAAGGCCTCAATCGGGAGAGCAATGTCAATGGAAACTTCATATGCGAAACACCAACGACCTCTCTACCTCCCACAATAGAGCAAGCTGGCAAGTTATCCATTTCTTGGTCCTACCTACTCAGCCCTCTGTTTGGCGCATATCTTCCTGAAGCTGTCGCCAAATTGCTCGGTCTGCGTGGTTCTACTACGCCCAAATCTGCCTATGCTTGGACAGGCAGGAGAGTTCCTTTCGATCATGGCACTTTCAGCACTGGACTCGAGTTCTTTAGTGTGCCTCATCAAACCATGGACGCAGCTTTGCGACTCTGCAGAGCACATGATGTCAAGTTCACAGGTCTTCTACACCAGCTCATTGTGAGAGCACTGAGTGAAGCGCTACCTGGCAGTCCTACTATCGGAAGCTTCGTAGCATCAACAGTCGTGGATCTGCGTCCTTTGCTTAACGGCATTGGCCCAAATGACATGTCTTGTCCTGGCCCCACCGCAGCCTTCGAGCTCTTCAGTCGCAGTAAACCCACAGATTGGAACAACTGGACTCAACCCCAAAGTGACAGTCCTATCTGGACCGTAGCTGGCCAAACTACAAAAGACGTTGCCAAATGTGCCAGCACCCTGCACGATCAACCCATCGGTCTACTATCCTATCTCAGCAAATTCCGCCCTTGGATGCAAGGGGAAGCCGAGAAAGACCGAGATACCTCGTACGAGATCAGCAATCTTGGTGTTTTTGATCCCACTGCAGGCTCCCAGAAAGGTGCTTGGGATGTTGAGTCCATGTTCTTTGCTCAGCCGGCCAACCTTTTGGGAGGTTGTCTTGCCTTTAGTGTTGTCACGAGGAAAGGAGGAGATATGACGGTCTCTGTGACTTGGCAAGAAAGGACGCTTGGTGTGGAAGAAGAACAAGCGTTTGTGGCTCGTATATGTCAGCTTATCACACAGTACTTGGGGGAGATTGCTTAAGACCACGGTGTCTTCAGAAGAAATGATTGGAAATAGGTGCTAATGCAAGAGGTAATGTTTAATAAGATGACCTTGACGAAAAAATAAGCTAGTTGGCATTGTGTGGTTTGAGCAATTTGTTGTACAGTACAATGACTTCTGCCAGAGCGGCACCCTTGTATATCCGACTGCCCGATCTTGTTAGTCTTGTTGAAGTGATGGAACTATCGATCATCTCGTCACTGACCACAGATTGTTCAAGGTCGATTGATTCCCTGCTCGCCCTCCAGATACGTTATGTGTGCTTGGTACATTTTTTCTTGGCTAATAGCATCATAAAGAGCTTTCTTATGGAACGCAGTGCGGTACTCGGCGTGATTCATCAGATGGGGGTGCCATTTGACGCAAAAGTTGACTGTGTCTGTGTAAAGTGACTGATCGGCAAGCTGAGGAGCATCGGAACCACAGATCTTGGAGATGAAAGAGATGAAGAGCAAGACCAAGCGAGCGACATTGACCGTCTCCGTAGCGAGAGGTGTCTTGTATGCAGGGAACTTGGTACTGCCGAGGTAGATGTTTATGAGTTCGAGGGCCGCTCTACGAACGGCAGGACAGTCGTACTTGTCTGCTGCAGTATAGACAGCGAGCTGGTGGTTTAGCACTTGATCCCAGTCCAATATGTAATCGTCGTTATGCCCGATTCTGTCGGTGTTGAGTGAGTGTTTGCCGTACGACATGCCGTACATATGTTTCACCATCGCAGAAACGGCTTCGAAGTTGTCATCCTGATCATCGAGTAGAAAGACAGGGTTTGTGGCCACCTGAAGGCAGTCAGACTCCGACGAGGAAACATAACCAGTAGCTGGAGGGAACCATACAGCGAATCGTGACTTGAACGTGTTACTGAAGAACGGCGACCACATACGCAACACGACTTTGTGGGCATAGATCTTGTGCTCGCCAAACTTGAGCATGATATCGAAGTCTTGTGAGTTGTTGTAGAGCGCACAATCACTAAATTTGTACGTGTTAGGCTCTTGAAGGACATGGCGGAGGTGCGCAGCATACCAGTCGTTTTGACCTTCGATAGTAACAGCCATGTCTGTCGATGTCAACTACGTATATGAGTATGTTGACCAGAAGGCGGATTTTGGCAAGGAAGGAGCGAAGAATTTGAAGGCTGTCGACTCACTTCCGGTGAAGAATGGATGTTTCGATTTGCGTGTCGAGCTGTGAAAGTATGTTGACGGATCGGGTTCAGTATGCGTAGACCAGGTGTGGATAGTCGGCGAGATAATGTTAACATAAGACTTTCAGTGCCTCGAGCATTCTGAATAAAATTCGTTATAACAGCTGATGTCTGCTAGTTAAGTTCATTCACATTGAGGTATAGTATCAAATTCACCTGCACAATTGTAACGAAACCTTTTATTGCTCGTGATAATCAGCAGTCTATCCATGTACTCCTTCGAACGCCAAATTCAAGCACTATGTAGAACAAGATAAAATGAGAAGATCACGCAAGAATGGTAACTTCGTCATGGCTTCGAGAGCTGCTCCTTTCGGAAGAATTTGAAGAAGCCGATCGGTATGACAAGCTGACAAGCCAACGCGATCCAGAACCAAGGTTTGCTGATCGCCTCGATCACACCAGCACTCAGATCTGGGAACACATCTCCAGGTCCATTTCGATTTGGTGCCGTCGCTTTCGCAATCAACATGACTGCTGTTCCTAGTACTTGAGCCGAAATGAGAGTGACGCCGATGTGAATACGCGTCAGCGTCTGCAACAGCATCATACCAAAGCCGACACCTTGCACGGCATCTAGGACGCCCAGCCACAACCAAAGAGCTCTTCCAGCTATGGCGCCGCCTACAGCACCACCAGGCATCCAAGGTAGCCACAGTCCGAATCCAGAAGTGCCCCACCATTGCTGTGTCCAGCGAGGGGCAAGCAGACCGATCGCAAAGATTGGTAGAATCCAGCTGTGGCTCTTACTGAGTTTGCTGAAGACAAACAGCATCAATGCCCAGACAATGATGAAGAAGACAAGGACTAGTATTGCGATCACCCATACAGGTGCGTAGTTTGAGCTCCACAGGTACTGCCATGACCGTCCGTACTGAGACGACAGGAAGTAGTTCTGCAGAATGACGGCAACGAAGAACCAGGATATGAGCTTGCGTCGAGCGAGAGTCTTGTAGAAACTGGGTATCTTGCCGGGACGTTGTTGGTAATAGGCAGGTAAGCTAGTGAACAGAGTAAGTGCGACCAGCCAAAGCAAAGCTGCGATTGGTAGTGTGATTGCCGCCATGATAGGTGACGAGGACAGTGTATCTTTTTCGATTTTCTGCTTTGGCGTTGCTTTGGTGATAGTCCGTCCCCAATAGAACAGACCGGTGATGTATATCTGTTGTGTACCTTGGATGATGCATGCTCGATATACCCAGGACGAGATTGGTGAGCCACCTAATCTGTGTGAGTTTGATGTCTCGTTTGGAGAGGGAACACTAGCTTACCTTCATCACCAAAGTTGAGAGCAAAGTACAAGCTTCCACTAGCCGAAGCTGCAGCATAAACACCATCTGCGACATTTCGCATCCAATCTCTGCCAGCACCCTTGGGAAGGAACGGAGCCATGCCAAGGAAAAGGAAAGCTAAGCCATACATGACAAAAGGCACGGAAAGAACGAACCGGGCCTTCATCCTGCGGAAGAGAAGCCACCAGACAACGGAGGATGCAATGTAAATGCCGCCAATGGTGTATATCATCGATGGTTTAGGATCTTCGCCACCCGTTAGCAACGTGATTTGGTAGCTGTTCGCAGCCATAATCTGCCCAAGCGCAAGTAAGAATGAATAGAGGGGCCAATCGCCAAGTCGGGTGAGCATCCAGCGTTTGACAAGAGATGGTCGTTGGTAGTTGTCTCCGAGCAAGAAGTCCTCCATTGAGCCTTCTCCAACACTCGTACGCTCATCGGCATCGGCTGATGATCTTCCAGAACCATGAGGTGAGGCACTCATTCGATTACTGTGTAACTTGGCCGAGGAGCCTCGGTCGTGTGCTCTGCCGAGCTTCGCGTCGCGATATTTCTTGAACCAGGCCTTCTCGCTGTCTACTAGATACTCTTCAATGCAAAGGTCTTTCTCAGATGTCTTGCCGTTGAGCTTATCAAGCATTGTTTCGAAAGCGCGATAGTATTCGCCAGTCTTGTCGTCAAAGTTGAGCTCGATCTTTTGTAGACTGTAGTCTTTCTTGCTCCCTACGACGGTAGTCAAGTCAAGCTGTGAGGATGTACTCAATCTTGAGGAGTTGCTGAGACGAGAGCTTGAACGATCGCGTGGATCGGCAACAGGAAGAAGGCTGTCCGCGCTTGCTCTTCTGACAGTTCTGTCGTCTGTTTGAACCGACAAATACGGCTCGGAGTTGCGATTTCGGCTCCTTCCTCTGTAGAGTTCTCTAGGGTCCGGGCTTGGTGACCTTGAACGAGTTCCGGGTACCAATGCAGGCTGTGGTGCACTCAGAGAGTCACCTCTGCCTCGGCCTTCGAGCTGATCCAAAGCATCGGCTCTTTCGGATTCTCTTGTGTAGTTATCCGCAGCTTCGCGAGAGATTGTCGCCTCCTCCATTTCCAAGCTGTATTCGCTGCCGAACGGATCTTCATCGTCCTCGGAGATGTCTGCATCAGTGATCTGTACACGAGGAGTCCTGCCATGATGGCCCGGTCCGGCTCTAGATCCTAAGGACAGCGTGCGGTTCAGGTTAGATGGTGAAGGGCTCGTGCGTGGTTGTGTTTCGTAGACAGACCCAGCGCTTGGGCTAGGGTCTCTCGCCATGGCCAGAGAGATGCTGGATTCATTTCCGAAGTTTGAAACTGATCTTCTTGATGGTTGTAGTCCGTAATTTGCTTCGCGTTGGTGAATGCGAATGGCTGTGCTTTGGAGTATGTTCAGATCTTCTACCCATTTCTGGACAGGGAATCTTTGCTTGGCTGACCGAGCTCTCATCATAGCTCGCATATCGGTCTTGGCTGCTAGGGCGTCCTCTATAGCAGACTTGAATTGGTGAATCAGATGAGCAGTTGTTGTTGATTCCACAGTAAACCACCAGCCTGCTTGTAGTTAGCACGGTGTCTTTTCGTATCCAAGGGAGCGCAAGAAAGCAGGGAAACTTATTTACCTGGCATTTGACCGAGTCCACCAACCCTGAGTACGTTAATACACTATTCTAATGCAATTCAAAATTCAGACTTACCTAGCACCAACACCGAGTGCGCCTTTGCGTCCAAATTCAACCGCGACAAGACCGAATGGCTCGTCTCGGGAAGGGATCAAGGCAAATTCAGCACCGGAGAAGATGAACTGTTGTTTGTTAGTTGAATTGTGAGTCAAGGCTTAGCAACCCTTTCTTACAGGAGGTAATGCAGTGAACTCGGGCTTTGAGTAAACACGTTTGGGGTACTTCTTCATCATCACCTCAAGCTTCAATGCTGCAAACTTGCCATACAAGTCAATCACAGGTCCAACACAGATAAGTTGGACCTTCTTGTGCTTCTCCAGGATGTGAGGAAAGACGTCAGCAATCAGATCGACACCCTTCTGGTTGCTCCACCTGCCGACAAACACGAAGAGCTCGGCTGTAGGATCGACCTCGAGGCCGGCCCATTCCTGCGCTTGTCTTCGGAGGTCACCTCTCGAGGCTTCATATGCTGGGTCAACCGTGATGACTTGATTAGCCTCTTCTTCGCGGTTCCAGGGAAGTGTGTCGGACGGATCAGGATTGGGGAGTTTGCCGATTTCCTTGAGTCCCCAGAATATAGGGTAGCGAGCAAATGATCGAGCACCATATTTATTGGACACACCAACAGCGCCGAAGCCCTTCTGGTGAACTCTCAAGTAGCTGACACCGGCGTGAAGTAAGTTGAAGACCTCACCAAATTGAACATACTTCTGGATAATATCTTTGTCGAGATTGTACACCCTTGATACTTCGTCTTGCTCTTGGTCAGTACGCATAGGCCATAGTCCTTGGAATTCGGCGTTATGCTTGTGTTTATGCGTTAGCTTGTTGTGATGGTGAATGGAAAGGGCACAATAGGTGGACTTACAAGAGAGAGACAGCAGGGGATAGTTTCTGGAAGAAGGTAGAGAGGTGCCGCACATCCATGGTAGTCCTGGGTCATGACGGTCAGCGCTGCACTGTTAAGGGATCTCGGTAGACTTACATTGATGTGGTAGATGTCGGGCTCGAATCTCTTGATGGTCTCAGCAATACAGGCGTTCCAGGCGCTGTAGTAGACGGCTGAGTCCAAATCATCCATTCTGGGTGGGTAAGGCTCAGCCTTGGTCTGTTGTCTGAAAATTGGCGCATCTAAAAGGACATAGGTGATGTTTTCGAGCTGATGGTATTGCACTTGGATCTCGTATGGACTGCCGAGGATGGTCACAATCATGGGGTCCGCGATCTGATCTACCGGATATTCGATGCCTCCTACACATGGAACGACCCCTATTATCGTTAGTAACGATTATGTCGCGCAAGAAATATACCGCATTTCGACAGCATTTTCGACTGGCGCTGTGCTTGCAGCTCGGGAGAGCTTTGGTAACCTGATCATGGATGGAACGGTTTCACTTACAGATTAAGTCCTGGTGGGTCAAACTTTTGCCCATGAGCTGGGCCATTACTCCAAGGCCACCGATCTTGACCTTCAAATTCCAATCACTGATGTCGTATTCCATCGTGGCGATAATGACCTTGCGTCTCTTGTCTTTGCCCGCGGAAGCAATGGTAATGCCAGAAGCGCCAGAATCGTAGCGTTGGTGAGATTTACCTAGGAAGAGCGGCTTCATGCGATGACCTTGCACTTCTTCGACATCGTCATCTGCTATCTTGCTGAACTTGTGGCGGTTCCAGAATGAAGGCATGCCTTTAGGCATAGAGAGACCAATCTTGTTGAATTTTACACCATAGAAGGCGCCCATATAAGTCCAGATGCTGATGGCACCAGTGAGAACAGGGATAGACCATAGCAGGGCGAAGACGAGGATTTGAATGAACCGACTGCCAGCAGGTATAAGCTTGTACTTGTAAGTAGCGTCATCAATGCTAATTCTGTAGGCCAGGTATGGGCTTGGAGGTAAATCTGTCAGATTGACCAGGGCAGGGCTTAGAGCGTCGGGAGGCAGCCTATCAAGCACAGTGTCATTATCTACGTCGCCATAGATGAACGACTGATCTGGCTTTCCATCAGGATTTATGCCCCAGACGTTCACCTGAACTTGATGTGGCCATTCGGTCATGAGATGGAATTTCCAGGTATCATCGGATAGCTTGAATGTATTTCTCAAACCACCGTCAAATCCAAACTGGTTGAAAATGCCGTTCGCGTAGAGATGAGGGAATCTCCGAGGTGCTTGCTTTTGGTCGAGATCAGCATGCTGCATGTGAGAGCTGCTTCCAGTCGTGCGGCTCCAGTATTGGAGTATGATATGATCACCGCTCCATTTCTGATGCTTTGTGCCTGACCAAGACTGTTTCTTTACAGTCGCCTTTATGCCGTCATAGATCTGCCAATCGCTCCAAGAAGAGCCCCAATTGGTCGAGTAACGCCATTTGTCAGCTCCAGCAGCTTGATGCGACACAAGCAAAGCTCCATCTGCACCTTTACTGAGCACGTTGGTACTATAGTTGGCAGTGCGTGGAAACACCATGGGATTTTCGGCTTCTCCGATGCGGAAGAAGACATGGTCCGTGGATCCAGTCGAGACACCGTCAGTCGTTGAGGCATTTTGAACGGTCAGACTGTGAATCCCATGCGAAATATCGACCAGAGTGGCTTTCCAGCTCCATGCCGAGGTGATAGCACCAACGAAAGGTGGAGGGCTGGAATCTTGGATCTTGCTACAGACAATGCTCTTGGTGTCAATTCCAGGATTGCTTTTGTCTGCCGTGGTTGAGATCACCACAATGTTCTTCGTGATGGAGTCACAGTCCATTTCTTGAGAGAACTGGAACTCGATGTCGACGGATTCTTTCTCGCCCTGTTTGACCTTGGATAAGATACGCGCATCGTGACCAGGTGCAAATCTTGTAAGCATAGGGGCAGGTTCAATCCAGTCGGCCTTACGAACGTAAGCTCTGAAGTCCCAAGCCTTCAGAGTAAGCTTATCCAGGCAGCCATTGAACGTCTTAGAACCGTCGATACCAAGCTGCTTTGGACCGCGCTTGAGCGTCAAGGTGTCGTATGGGCTGAGCAGATTCCTGACTTCATCTTCCTCGTCGAACACCGAAACGAGAGCGGTATCGTTTGACGAGCAATCGAAGTCGTAATCAACCGTGTGATTCTCGTTGCCATAAACAAGCCACACCGCCGGCTTAGCGGTTACAGACCCGGTAAGGTTCTGTACACCGTCGTAGAATTGATTACGCATTACACTCCACATGCCGACTTCTGTTGCTTCTCCATTAGACCCAGGGAGAAAGATCTGGCGAGTCTGGTTAGAGAGAGATTGCAACGACCATCCATCGTTGAGGATTGAATTCTTGGTCCTGAGATGGTAGAACGACTTGATGATGTTACGAACAGGATGTGTAGGGTCTCTGTGGTCCAAAGACACGTTGTCGTCGTTACATCCATTCGTACCTGCTTCGATAGGGAAGTCGTAGAATATATCTGCGCCGAGACTATAGCAGCCATGAGTTTGCCACGCGAGAGAAGAGGAGATAGGCTGGCGCCCAAAGACATAGTTGGAAGCTGTATTGTCGAGCGTGTAGAAGGCTTGTTCCTCTATATTAAGTCAGCTCAGCGAAATACTAAGATCAGCCCTCCAAGTCTTACCACCCCAGTTCAGTAACGGAATACCAGGCATGTGAAGCGTTGTCATGAACAGGCCAAGAAGCATCTTTTCTGTTCCGCTCTTTATGGTAGGCCAGCGAAAGACGTCTTGGTTAGATGTACCATACCTGCAATGATTAGTCGGAAACTCGCACAGTATTGTAGGATCCTTACATGTGCCTAGGGTCGAGCTTTCCAGTATTCGCGTTAACAAGATCATTGGTTAACAGCATCTCGTTCCAGCTATCGACAAAATTGTTAGGAAGATCGTAGCCGGCAGTAAGATTGCCGTCCATTCCTAGGAAGCGCTGAAGCAAGCGGTAAATGCTGTAGTGAAAAGCCGAGGCGTCCAAGGCACTCTTACCAGCCGCACGGAGAAACACCTTGTCGTCTGACTCGTTACTGGTCTTTATGGCATCTGCAAGTTCTTCAATCTTCTGGTCAAATTCTCTTCCGCGGCCAAGATAGATAGAGCCAAAGCTATTGCCTCCGGTGATCTCGCCCGCCACAAGGAAGTTCTGTTTGCCGTTGTCTCTAGCGCACTCGCGGATCGACTCGCTGAATTCGGCCAACGCATCGACAGTGGCTTGCGTGGCTTTATCTATACGAATGCCGTCTATATCGAGCATGGAGATGGTGAGACAGTGAAGGTGCTTCAGTTTGTCGAGGACTGATGGCTTCCACTCGCGTAACCTGTCTTGCACAGATGCGAACTTTGATAGCTGTCTTTGCCAGTCGGGGAATACACCAAACGCTTCGGTGTCACCATACTGATATACGTCAGATGTATGATATGAGGACAACTTGAGGCCAACTTACCTGATCGAAGTCGCTGTTGTAACACTCCGTTTGAGATGAGAGCTTATCAAATACGCCAGAAGAGATATTTGCATCTCCAGCGCCCGTCATGACAGCCCTACCACTGTCATCCCAGAAGCGAGGCAGTTTGCACGTCGACGTCTTGGTGTTACCAAAAGCGAAGTCAGGATACTGACGATCGCTCTTCCACATCACTTCATGTTCTTCGGGGACGAAAGGTGTGGATTCGTTGAGGAAGCCGTCGAAGCCAATAAGATCAGCCATGCTATACTTGGTTGTTAGACATCCTCTGTTATAATGGGCATTTATTCTTACGTTGCGAATGTGTTGTCCAGAACGACGTACATTCCACGTCTGTGAATCTCTTCAACCGCAGCTCTCCAGTCGGCAATTTTGCCAAAGTGGTGATCAAGCAGGGTGAAGTCAAGTGGGGAGTAACCATCTGACTTCCAGGGCAAGTTAAGAAATGGCGCTCCAGCGATGTACAATGCCTAAACTATCATCAGCTACGTGCAGTCATTGCAATGATAGTTTCCGTACCTTGATACCCATGCCTTGAAGGTAATCCAACGTGTCTACCAGGCCTGCCAAATCTCCTCCATGCCGCATCGTCGTGCCCATGACATCTTGCTCAAAGAGTGTACCATTTGCGTTATCGTTGGATGGATCTCCGTTGACGAACCGGTCGAGGAACAATGTATAGAACGGAAACCGCCAGTTGTCGGGTGACGGATGGAAGGTATGATCTTGCCACGTTCCAGAATAGTCCAGAGGATTGGATGCAGCTTGGTTAGTGTTCAAGTTCCAATCGGTCTCATTTGGATCATATCGCAAAGATTGTGCGAGTCGTGAGCTACACAAGAGCAGAGCTCCAAGCAAGCTCTTCGCTCTCCATGGCGGAAACATTTCGGATCCAATGAAATGCTGCCAAAAGCGGTGTCAAAGCCAAATATTGCAGTCGTTCGCTTGAACAGCAATGCGTACGGATTTGATGGTCGAGAGGGAGATGCGAAAAGGAAAGACTGAATAGCTTACCTTCGAGTACACAAGCTAGTTTTGACGAAGCTCAAGAGCTATTCACCACATAGCTACAACAGTGGCTGCCACTTAGCGCTTACCTCAACTTACACATACCCTCGCACCATAGGCATCCAAACATGATGTCTCGGACCATTATCCCAGACGGACTGCCCTGATAGGATTATGGATCCTGAAGCCTTTGAGCACCGCCTTTCACCTTGCCATGTCGAGCGTTAAGGTGCTTATGCAGAAATCCCACGTTGCCATGTCCGGATTGAGGCTACGCAAACTCATTCTGGGGTTTGCATGTTGGATACAGTGATCAGCCCTACAAGGCACGGTGTCGAACTGCGGCTGCACAGGCGGTGGGATGGACGTGAGATGTCCGGCCCGCGCTCCAGGTTGGGCAAGTGTTGGCTGTCGATTTGACAGATCCTGTGCAATGTTGCCTATCTCGCTCCCCAGGCATGGGTCGAGTCTCGAACTACTGTACAGCACAGTGCTGCAAGCCACAGGCTCCCCGCGCATGAGATCGTAATCCTTCACTTGGACCCCTAAGAACAGCGAAGCGACGCTGGTGTAGGAAGGGACCCTAGGGATCAACACTACTCGCCATTCTTGAGCAACACCAACTTGCACATTATCGCAACTCGTCGTAATATTGCAGTCAAGCATAGCAAACATGCCTGAGGCACATTGACAGGACGTAAATTGGATTACATCCCATGTGCTTATCGCGTGGGGCTGATTGTGCCTTGTTGCATGTACTGTAAGCTCTAAGGTCTTAGCTCGCGTCAGCATGCAACAGACCGGTGTACAGTACAATGATTGATGCCGGATAATTGTAGTGAGCTTGTTCAGGCCGGCCATTGACCTCTCCAGCAGCGAGAAATGAATATCTGGAAAGGATTCCATGTTGAGCTTGACGAGAGAAATGGGTCGGAGGTCATGTTGGAAGGCCTCGACAATCGACGCGGTTCACATGCAACCAACAAGCCACAATCGAGAGCATGCTCGCGTAGAATTTGCCACAGCCAATATCTACATGCGCTCCGCTCCGTAGTCTCAATATCGCAAGCCGGTGGTCACTTGAGGATGAATCGAGGAAGACGGCGATGTTCACGCCTTGGTGGAGGGTTGCCAGCCACCGGACCTTCGCTGCCAAAAGTCGTCTACTCGAGGACCATCAATTTTGGCCGAAGCCGGCTTCACACTCCATTGTGTTGCTTCCACTTATTTTTAGCCAACTACTTAGTTCTACATGACGACAAATGTCATACACTGTTCCCAGGACTTGCGCTACACATAGTAGTATGGTTTGATTCTGGACACAGCCACAAGTCTTTGGCCTCAGTTCAGGCCGCCAAAAAGTGGGGTGCCCGTACACTCTACTTCCTCTAGGATTCGTCTATCGCCAACCTGCAGCAACACTTTCAGCTGAAGGGTGTACTGTAATTAAGAAGCAACGGCGTTTAGAGAGGCTTGGATCGGCCGAACCTGCAAGACGAAAGGTCGAGGTCCTCGCGGTAGCTCGGTGAAGGCCTTGAAGCCTTACAAGGATCACGTAAATGCTAAATCGAGCAAGGCGAAGAGCTCATCGAAGCTCTCATCAGCCCCTCTTTGTAGAAAGTTACCTTGCTTATGACTGGAGGCCGAATGCTGTTGGCCAGGTACTCCGTATATTGACTGCGTAGGCGAAATGGCACAGGTACGTAGTTGGTGGAAGGTCATGCTACTTCTCTCTGTTCCACCCATGCCCCGAAGCCATGGTCTTGTCTTTTTTCCTTGCTGTCTGTACCCGCTTGCATCTATTCCTCTTGCTTGCTTCCTTATTCCATCCTTCTCTCATACGAAACTTGAAACAATAGTGCGAAGCACTCGAATAACCGCGCGCGATGCGGTGTGTCTTCTATCTGGTCGTAGCCTCTCTGGCATTTATATATGGTGTGATGGCGCAGACATTGTCAGCTAGCAGAATCGTCGCCTTGACCACGGCCACCAGTTCCAGTTCCAGCACCGCGGCGGCATCAACACAGGTTGTACTGGTGGGCTATAACTCGCATGAGTTCCATCCGAACAACCTGACCGCCAAAGCTGGAGATCTAATCGTCTTTCAATTCGTTGCCCAGGGCCATACTGTGGTGCAGGCAAACTTCGAACAACCATGTATACCGCGAGACACTTACCACCGAGATCGCTCTACCTTCTTCAGTGGTTGGTACAATGGCAGCGATGTGCTTAGCGATAATGTAGGTCACCACCTCATATGTTTCCCATACATGAACCCATCACTGACACTATAATAGCCACCAACATGGAACCTGACGGTCAACGACACAAAACCCATCTTCTTTTACTGTTCCCGTCTAGACTCCTGCCTCAAAAACAACATGATCGGCAGCATAAACCAAAACGGCACCCAAAGCCTCCAAGACCAACTCGACTCCATCCAAAAAGCAACAGTGATGCTCCAACCAGGCGACCCTCCACCAGAAGAATCCGTCTCCTCACCTACCACATCATCAACACCGTCTTCCACATCATCAACAGTGCAAACCTCAGCTGCAGCAGTCCACCACGGTGTCACTCTTTCCGGCGGCGCTATCGCTGGTATAGTGGTAGCAGGTGTAGTGGTGCTAGCACTGGCATGCGCACTTTTCTGGTTCGTAGGACGCCATCGCACGCTGAAACACAGTCTCAACTCACAATCCTCGCACTCGCAACACTCAGGTGCGGTAGAGAGTTGGGTAAACAGCACACAACCTCCCAGCACAGTAGGGGGTCCTTCATCCCAACGCCCACCATCTTACGGCGGAGATCCTGGGTTCGTGCCTGTAGATCAGCCCAAACATTGGGAATACGGGCAGCAAAGACATAGCTATATGCCTATGACGCCGCCGATCCAAGAATTAGGCGCCAGTGAACCAGTGGAGATGGAAGAAACAGGAAGGGGAAGAACGATGAGTAGGAATAGGGAAAGCGAGTAAGTTTCAGACTTTCATCATTTTTGACATACAGCAGGGCCGCTGACCACATAGACCACAGATCTCCTCTGATCCCAAAGTGGTAGGACCACCCACGAATCGTATTTTTGAGAAGGAGTAATGTTGTTTAGTAATTTGACCTGGGAAGTCTTTTTTTTGTGTACAATTTTCTGCTATATACCTCTTTGTCATTCTTTTTACTATGTTTAGTCAGCAATAAAGTCTTATACTCCCTATCACTTTATCGTGCCGTCTGCGAAGATTGATAGCAATCTTTCTTAGCCCGTTTATTGCTTGCTGCACAGACTCTGGGCTCTCGAGATGTTCAAGTGCCATGTCGATACGTGATGTGCGTCAGGTAGAGTTATTGCTACTACAGCGAAGGCGGAGAGACTGATAAGTCCGGCTAATCATGGACCTGTTCTTCTGCCTGCCTGCTTTCTCATGGCTCTCTATAGACGTGCTGTCTCACTTCTTCACCTTGCAGCGTTGCAACAGTTCGAAAAGAAGCCACTCCACGAGATGTCATCAATCTACTACGGTTCGCGAACCCTGACACAAAGTTCAGGCGCTAGAGAGTATAGAACATGCTGCTGTTGAGATTCAAAAGGGAAAAAATGCTTGAATGCTCAAATTGCGTGATACCTATGCTGTTAGGTACTAGCCGCGCTCTGAGCAGAGGATTTCCGAGTCTGGAGACCGAAAGGGTGATGGAGTGGCAGGTTTTGGTGAACACCTGTTAGATCTTGCCAGTCTCTGGGCGTGTCTTGCGCGGCAAAATGCATGTTTTGTTCTGGCCACCTTTTTGCGAAGGAAGTTTCCTTAGACCTCCTCTCCTCGTATATGCCTAGAGCGACGCGCGTGAGATGGTACATAATTTTCATTGGCCTCTTAATCTGCTTCAAGTGAGAAACAGGTCTTTGTTATCTCACACTCCCCAGTGACTGGATATCCTATCTTTAACGCCGTGCGTAAACCGTATCTTCTCCATGCCGTTCCCATCACGAATCAAGGAGACATGCATTCAACCTGTACTTGCTACAATCATCTTCTCAAGCTTCTCATGAAACCCTCAACTCCGTTCTCCGAAGTTCCTCCAAAGGTTCCGAAACCTCGAACCTCCTTTTGTGCTGTTTCCACCTTTTGTCTGAGTTGCTCGGCGCCAACATCGATCTGTTGCAGCTGGCCGAGATGTGCGTTGAGAACGCGGACGATCTGGGAAAGAGGATCCGACTCGGCGGTCTTCGAGGATTTGGAAAGGTTGGTAGAAGCAAGATTAATCTCTTCGATCATTGACGTCAGGTCGTGGGACATCGTGGTAAGACGAGTAGAGCAGCGTTCAGCAGTGCGGTAACTATTTGCAGGGTTAGCTTTTTGATCTTCTGAACAAAGACCAGACGATACGTACGTTCTCTCACGCTCAGCATCAACACCGCTGTCAACACCACCGGCCTTAGCGGCCATGTCGTCCAACACACGCTCATAGTGGTCTAGCCAGTGGCTGAGCTCTTCTTGTTGGCCTTCAACAGAGGCAAGTTGACGCTCAACCTCTGCAGTGTCGCGTTCTGCTTGGAAAGTGCGGCTGTACAACTTGCTGATCTTGTCACTGTTCTCAACCAACATGCGATCCCAGGAGCCGATCTTGGTGGCTAGTGTCGAGAATTGCTTTTGGTGCGAGGAAAGAGAGGTGGTCCAGAGGGTGATGATCTCATCGAGGGACTTGGAGTTAAGGCGAGATGTAGCTGGAGGTGTAGGTCCGGAAGTTGATGAACCCTGAGGGCCAGTAGTATTGTTGTTGTTGCCACCACCATTGCCGACACCGCTGCCATCACCGGATGCGGATGGCGCAGCTGTGGCAGTAGCGGGCTTGAGGTTGAAAGCGGAACCTCCAGTCGAGGCGGGTGTACTAGACTCGGCAGGCTTTCCGCCTAGCGAGAACGAAGGTGTCGAGCCCGATGTAGCGGTTGTGGAAGTAGGAGCGGCTGTGGAAGAGGATGCCGCAGCGTCATCCTTCTTAGCACCACCAAGGCCACCAAAGAGACCACCAGCGGGAGTTGCAGGCTTTGCAGGCTCATCCTTTTTAGCACCACCAAGACCGCCAAACAGACCACCAGCAGGAGCAGCAGGCTTAGCAGCCTCGTCCTTGTTCTGAGCAGGTGCACCAAAGAGTCCTGGTGAAGAAGCAGGCTTTTCGGCGGCATCCTTGTTCTGACCACCCAAACCGCCAAACATAGCTCCAGCGGGTGCAGCGGGCTTACTTGCGGCATCGTCTGTCTTAGGTGCGAACAAACCAGATGCTGGTGTGGAGGCAGGAGCAGCAGGTGTCGATGAGGCACCGCCCATACCGCCAAAAAGACCGCCTGAAGGTGCAGATGTTGTAGCTGAGGCAGGTTGAGTAGAAGCAGGAGGCTGAGATGTGTTGCCGCCTAGGGAGAAGCTAGGTTTCGAAGAGTTGCCGCCCAATGAGAAAGCAGACTGGCCAGCAGGCGCAGACTGGAGAGTTGAGGAGGTAGCACCACCAAGATTGAACGAGAGCTTACTTGCGGGGGCTGCACCTTCTGCGGGTTTTTGACCGAACACTGAAGGAGCGGCGGAAGAAGAAGCCTCATCCGCCTTCTTTCCGAATGAACCAAATGCGTTGTTAGACGCAGGAGCATCAGCAGCCTTTTGTCCAAACACACCACCACCAGTACCACCGCCTAGAGCAGCGCCAAATGCTGGAGCCGACTTGGGGGCATCTGCGGTCTTTTCTTCAGGCTTCTGGCCAAACAAGCCGGTGGCAGGTTTTGCGGCACCACCAAAGAGACCAGTTGATTGTGTAGGGGGAGGACCAGCGGGTGTGGTGGAGAACAACGAAGGCTTGTTGGCATTTGTAGCAGCAGGAGTGGTTGAGTTGTTGCCAAAGAGGTTTCCAGCAGCCGAGGGAGCAGCAGCGCCGCCGAAGGGGTTGCCAGTAGGAGCGACACCTGGGGTGGTAGGATTGCTACCTGACTTCTCGGGAGCTTTCTGGCCAAAACTGAAGCTAGCAGTAGTGGGTGTTTGTGTAGAGGGAGAAGCAGCGCCAAAGAGGCCTCCTGTTTGAGCACCAGTGGAAGCAGCAGCACCACCACCAAAGCTAAAGCCTCCAGATGCCGGAGCCTTGTTGGCGCCTCCAAAGAGACCAGCACCAGAGTTGGCGTCTGGTTTGGGAGCAGCAGAACCGAAGATGGAGGGCGTGCTTGCTCCAGATGTATCCTTGGGCTGACCGAAAGAGAAGCCGGACATGGCGACGTGAATTTAGTCGGGGTGGTTGACCCGTCGAGGGCGCGTTTCGTGAAAGGGAGATTTGACAGTCGGTGTTACGCGCGATTGGAAGATCGATGTGGGATGTTGTTCGTAAGGCGACTGGATATATGGAAGATGATCAATGGTAAAGGCAAGACTTTTGTGAATTAAGCATGCGCGCAATCGACGTGAAGCTCTCTTTGACGAGCATCCAAAGCAACACGCTCGGACTGAAAGTTGCGCTGCCTGCCAAGCCAAACAGTCGTTCTTTCCTCTTTCTGCAAACAAGACAAACAGATGTTGTTTCTTCTCTTTGCAAACAAGGCAAACAGGCGGTGCTTGTCGTTGAAGCTGCTCAGCCTCGGACCCGCCTTCTCCACGTCACTTGATAGCTGCTGCGCATTTGACGCTGCAAGTAGACGCGTTCGAGAAGATATCTACTGCTTCGGATCCGTGTCTTTCTAACTCTTGGTTTTGCTCTTCGTTACTGTGACTCGAGAAAACAACATCAACTCTTTGCCCTCTCTATCGCCAATCATCAACTTCAAGTCTCTCTCCACACTCCACAATCTACACATCATGGCTCTCCAACCCCCGTCGGAGCCCATCGAGAATCTGAAGGACCCCGGTGCACATGAGCTGCCTGGTGTACCACAGATTACTGGTAATTTGGCCATGTTCTTGAGTCATTTTTCAGCAACTAACCCATCCGTAGAACCCGAGGAGTCTGATGACCACTTCTCTGATGCCTCAGAGGGCACTCCGTCCTACCCTCCCGCTATCACCGGTCGCAACCGTGCCTTGTCCATTCCTGTGACTCGTGTTGAGAAGGTCGACGACGAACCCAGACATGGCGAAGTCCCCGGAACCGAAGCCTACAACATCAGATCCCAAGATGCCGTCCCTGACGAGATCGAAATCGTGCCCGATGGTACCAGAAGCCGCAGTACCTCGCATGTGAGCGAGTCCGATAGACCAGTCACTCCCGGTGGTACCCCTGTCCCTCATCTCGTCGTTGAAAAGGTCGACCCCAGCGCCCCTAGCCACGGTGATGTGCCCGGCACAGACGCCTACGACATGAGAAGCGCCGATGCTCAGCCCGACGAAGTCAAGCAGGCCCCTGCCTCTCACAGCGCTCCTCTTGAACGTAAGTACATGATCCTGCGAGTTCACACGACCTCCTCCCCAAACCAAGCCTTCATGTTTGACGAAGAAAGCATCACCAACTCCCAATGACAGATCTCGATCCCCAAGCCCACAACTCGACCACCAAGAACCGTCCGTCCTGATCACCTCTGAGTCCCAGATTTCGCAGGAATCACAAGAGACCTCCCCCTTAGAACTCCCCCTGCAACCCAAGACCGACATTACCATCGAACAACCAGTAGAGGAAAACGAAGACGACTTTGACGACTTCTCTGAACAACAAACAAAAAACACAGACCAACCCGACAATGACGAAGACGGCTTTGGCGACGACTTTGACGACTTTGAAGAAGGTGGTGCAAACCAGGCCGAAGGGGATGATGACGATGATTTCGGCGATTTTGATGACGGGTTTCAGCAAGCAGATGCGACTCCTGTTGTCGCGGCCCCTCCTCAGCCTGTACAGCAACCCCTAGCACACCTTGTAAGTAGCTCTGCTCAATACACATTCGCAGAAAGCATAGACTCATGTTTCCACTCGTGCAGCCCAACCTCAACTTTGCCGATCTACAGACCTCGGACGATATACTCGACGCAATGTCGCCGTACATGCTCGAGCTCTTCCCCGAACTCTACGATAAAGAGACCGCATCTACAGACAGTACAGCTAATCTTCCTACCGATCCTATCCTCACCGATCGCAGTGCATCGCTCTGGTCTCAGCTTGTTGCACCTCCTCCCTTGCAACCACCCAACTGGATTCGCAGTCGTATTCGCCGCCTCTTCCTAGTCTCACTCGGTGTACCCGTCGATCTGGATGAGATTCTGCCAGCCAGTAAACAAAAGAAACTTGTTCTTCCCAACATCCACCTTCCGGAACAAAAGAAAGAAGACGAGAAAGCGAAACAGAACGGTGGCAGCACTACAGGAGGAAGAAAAGGACCTGCTCCACCACCGGAGTTCAACGCCAATGAGGCAGTCATGCTTGCGAAGACGACTGATACAGCAATTGAAGCTTATTCTGATGACGAGTTGAAGGCACACGTGCAAAGGCTCGAAGATTTGATCAAGGATGCAAGTACAGTGCTCGAGTACTGGGTTAAGAGAAAAGAAAGTGCTGTGGGTGATAAAGAGGCATTCGAAGGTGTCATTGAGAACCTTGTCGGTTTTGTCAAAAGCAGACGGTGAAAAAGTAAAGACTAGATGTACAGAAACCAAAGATTAAAAGTGACTACAGACTTATACCAGAATTATTTGCAGCCTTGCTCTCTCCGCACAGAGCATCTTCCAATTCTTCATTTATGAGTACACAGCTACGTTCGCCAACCCACGTACGCCCGATTTCATAATGCGAGCAGCTACCCGCAGCCATCCATTCCCTTGACAATCCTCATGCTCACGTTTTCCAGACCCTGCGCATCGTCTACATGCTCGAATACATCCACACGGACCATCATTCGGTCTTCTATCTACACAGTTACGTTCATGAATGAAACCTTGCACGCCAGACCTTAGATGTTAGCCGTTTAGATTGGCAATCAGCCATCCGTTTCCTGCGACACTATTCATGCTCGCATTTTCAAACCCCTGCACGTCAAAATTTCGGTCAAATGGTCATCAGCGCCCGCGTTTTATTTCGTGGATTTGCGTGCTTGCATTCTCATAGCTCTAAAGAGGTCAGCTTCAAGCAAAATTCGCACTCACTATATCGCTGGCTTACATACTTGCATTCTCAGAACTCTGGAGAGTTAAGCTTGAACGGTTCAATTCTCGAATCCCACACCTATTACGGCGTGGACTGACATATTTGCATTCTTAGAACCCTGCAGGTCAAGTATAGGTGGTTCGAATCATTGAGACTCGCACCTGTTACGCCGTAGACTTACACACTTACATTTGTCAAACCCTGAAAGTTGATTAGAGATGGTCCGACTATCGGAAATTGTACAGTTATTTTCGAGGGCCTTGCATACTTGCATTCACAAAACCCTGTAGGTTAATTGGAGATACTCCGAGCTCAAGACTCGTCGCACGCTATCGGTCAAAGGCCTCACACACTTGCATTTTCGAAACCCTGCAGGTTGGTTGGAGAGGCTCCGAGCTCGAGACTCGTACACTATCTTTTGAGGGCCTCACATACAGTACTTGCAAGCTCAGAACCGTGGGAACGATAATCCTAGCTGATTCAGATCACATTACGGGTGACTTTCCTCACATAATTGGATTCTCGAAACTCTGAAAGCAAGTTGTGGCTGGTCACGGCCTTCCATACTTCTGTTGCTTCACTACGAGATCGAACTTCAATCGCTCCTTCCTTGAAAGTTGACTGTTCACATTTATGCTCATGTTAATTTGTGGCGTCACGGCAAAGAAGGGAAGCGAGAACTGGACAACTGCCTGCATTTGCAGCTTCTTCGTGCCTGCACTTGCAGCTTTCTCATGTTTACACTTGCTTGCACCTGCTTGCACCTGCAACTTACTGACGCCTGTCTGAATTTCTCACGCTCACTGCTCTTGTCCCCTCATCACACTCCTCACCTACTCCATTCTCTTCTCACCTGGTTGATTCTATACACCACTCTTCTCCACCTCGATGAGGCCTATAACCAGTGACTTCAAGCCAGCGGCAACCAGGCTCCAGCCAGTGAGACCGTCCTGGAAGTGTATTCGACGTTAGTACCTCCCTTCCACTCCGACATGCCCTAGACTCTGACATTACCCTGACAGACGGCCATCGTTGTGGAAGAATCAGACAGCGAGACCTTCCAGTCTCAGCGTCAACCTTCGGCAAAGTCTGAGCTCTAGTCGGGCTCGACTTCTGTATCGAAGCCGAGAAGGCTGACCAGACACCCTGCCTGGAACCTCGATGAAGACGACGACGAAGATCAGCCGCCCAGAAACCCTACCAGAATTAACGATGCAGACGGAGACTATGCTCTGGCTCTGCAACTTCAAGCAGAAGAAGAAGACAACCAGCGTCGTGCTCAAGCAGCGGAACATCAACAAGAGGACGAACTCTCTCGCCAGTTCCTTGAGCGTCATTCCGCATCGACTTCAGAGCAACGTCTCGCATCGACTCCAGAGTTACACCTCACATCGACTTCAGAGTCACGACTCGCAGTTCATGCTGTCAGGAAGTTCGACGAAGAAGTCCAGCCGCCCAGAGACTCTGGCTGGAACGTCGATGGCGAAGAAGATTCCCTTGTCCGGAATGACGACAAAGACGAAAACGAAAAAGGAGAAGCTGCCAAGAGATAGAGAGTTACGACGAAGTTCTTTGAAGTTCAGCAACAAAATTTTATCCCGGACTCCGAGCTCGAAAAGCTTCTCAAAACAGCATTGACTGCGACGTCGATGCGGACTCTGGAAGATACGCGAAGATTCAGCTGAGTCCCAATCAGCGTGTCCTGACTATCGCAGATTTTCTGCAGCACATCGACGTCAATGATCGCCAGGACGTGCTTGATTTACTCGACCAACAAGAGCAGTCCACCGCAGACGACGAATTGCTACAGCGTCGATTTGAGCAGACTACGGCAGTGCTTCGTCAGGAGTGCCCCGACCGCGATCCGGATTACCTTGTGAAGCCCAGTGGAAAGTTGTCAGACCCGCAGGCGCATCTACTGAACTATCCAATCTTCTCAATCTCGCAACGGAGAGACCGGAGATCTCAGCAATGTCTTCATCTGTATCGCCGCACAAGCGATGGGGGGTCTTGACAACGCCTTGTGGATCGACAGGGCTCAGTACATACTTCCATACCAGCACAGTGTGCCTCAAGAAGATCAGTCACTCTGTAAAGCTCAGCAGGATTTCCAGAGCACATGGGTAGATACGTGGAAGAGCGTACAGGCAAAGTCTGAACTACTCTCGGGTGTCTCCCAAGCAGGAGCATGTTGGAACGTGTTCCCATTGAGCAAACTTTTCAGGGTCTCGGATCAATTCTTCTTCGGAGAGAACATGCAGGGCTTTTGAACATACCATGAGCCTGATGGGCTATGTGAGAAGGCGGTGTTCTTGTTATTTTGTCCACTTAGAATTTTTCATTCATATGTACTTGATCTCTCTTACAACGACCAGAATCCTTTCTACGTTACAGCTGAGCTAGCCATGTGGATCTTCTTGTCGTTTTCCACAGGTTTTGCTCTGCGTTTTGCCACAGAGAACAGTTCTCTGATCTTCTCCCAAATTCGAGTAGGGCTGTTTGCGAGAAAACGGGCCACATTCAACAGTGGTAAGAGAGTTGCGAAGATCGAGGATGGACGTCCCTGGGACGGACGAAGACCTGATATACTCAACCACCACGCCACCAAGGTTCATCCGTACATACCTGAAACTTTGAATTGACACATCTCCCAAGAACTGTGACAGGCTATCTCATAAGACATACCACAGGAGACAGCTAATACTTGGAGTCCAATAGGTTTCCAGATACACCGCATGTCAACCCGAGCTCCGGCTGTCCAGTAGCTTCGGCTTTAAGGGCTATCAAAAGGCACAACAATATCGAGAATTCAGTGAGGGTCCATCGAGAGCCCAAATTTTCGCTCTCTCTCTGGACCTTCTTCGAGTACTCAATACCTTCGTGCATTTCTATAGTTGAAGTTTACCCCTGAAGCCTCCTGAGAGTTTAACGATGTTGCAGAAACTCTTCGACTTGTAGGTTTTGGAGCGACAGGAGAAACCGTGGAAAGGCTCAGAAAAGGGGCAAAGACTTCCGAGACGCTCTCACTGGACACCGCTCGGGTCAACAAAAGCACTTTGTATTTCTACAAGCTGCAGAGTCACAACGTTTAGCACTCTGGGAAGTAGGACCGTAGTAGTTATATGAAAAGAAGAATCGAAAAGTTTTGTATGTTCATCACGCCTGCCTCGCCACCGGACTGTGACGAGCAAGGCGGCTAAAAGAAGAAAAATCTACATCCATCTAGAAAAAGATAACACAGCCTTCTATAAATCAAAGTTACAACCGCTGGCTGGTCATACAAGAGTCACCGACCGAGAAGCGAATCAAACATCAACAGTTTAGAATGTTGAAGTGATTAAAGATCGTACTCGTAAACGTACTGGACGTTGCAGTTGGCATCATCGCTGGAAGCGGTAGATGAAGGAGCAGCGACCGATGAAGCAGCAGCAACAGAGCTGGATGATGCGACATAAGCGGAAGATGCGGCAGATGAGTAAGCGGCAGGGGCACTGTAAGCAGATGAAGCAGCAGCAGATGACTCGACAGCAGGAGCAGTGTAGGCGGACGAGACAGCAGCGACAGATGAGGTCTCAGCAGCAACAGCCTCTTCAGAAGAGGTGGAGGAAGCGACGGGAGCGGCCTCAGAGCTGGATGAAGCAACAGGGGCGGCCTCGGAGGTAGAGTAGGCTGAGGGAGCAGTCTCAGAAGATGAAGAGGCGACAGCCGAAGAGGAAGCAACGGCAACCTTAGCCTGAGCAACAGAAGATGAAGCGACAGCAGACGAGGCGGGAGCAGCAACGGCGCTCTGAGCTCCATCATCGGTTCTCTTGCAGCCAGACTTGGCGGTGATGGCAGCAGGGCAAGCAACACGCTCAAACTCGACCTCAGGGTTATCAGCACCCTCGAACCAGTCGCCGAAGCGGAAGTTGCAGCCAGACTGCAGAGCCTTGGGGAAGGTGCTGCAGGTGTTGCTGCTGATACCACCGTACTGGGCGCCCCAGCCGGAAGAGGGAGCGTTGTACTCGTCGGTGCAAGCGTTGAAGATACCAACACCGCCACCGGGAATGGCGAGATCGAACTGGTTGCTACCGAGATCACCACCGGTGTTAGTGGCTTGGACGATCATGGACTTGCCGGCGATGGAGGTGGTGGTGAAGGTAAGCCTGGACATTCAGGTTAGTATAACAGTCTTCTCGCTATTACATGTAGGAGAGACTCACTTGTAGCAAGAGCAGCACCAGCTGTCCTCGGAACCACCAGCAATGTTTACGGCAGCGAAACCGTAGGCGAGATCGTCAGAGACAGCCCAGGGAGACTGGTCAGAGCACATGTATGCAGAACCACCATCACAGGCAGAAGCGGTGTTGGCGTCGGTCAAGGGGCTGTCGTTCTTGTCGCAGGTGGTGACAGGGGCGCTGACATCGGCCTTACCAGGCCACGAGCAGGAACCCTTGCAGCAGTCCCAGTAGCGGGTGGTCTTGCCAGTCTCAGCTGCGCTGGCGACGCTTGCGAAACCGGTGGCCAGGGCCAAGAGGGCGAGAGACTTGATGGAAGACATGTTGTGATGTGTTTTTCTAGGAGTCGAAAAGGATGCAAATTTGTAATATGATGGTCGCAGACCTAGTAGAAGAGAGTGTAGAACGAGTGTGGTGTAGACTTGCTACGATAAAATGAATGACTATTCTTGCGAAAGAAGCTGTAGAGGGATGTCTCAGAAGAAAAGAGGAGGAGGACGAGCACTTAAAAGACCTACCATTTAGTCTAATACTTGATAGTCAACAGGGAAGGGGTGAGGCCTGAGGATGCGAGATCCGAGATCACTTCTCATCTAGGGCTTGTATACACGAAACAACCTTAGAAAGCTTGCCCTGTGTTAGCCAGCTCGGTCCTGTGGTTCAAGCACGTCAAATCAAGTTTCATAGATTGAGAAGGGATAGTCTGGAGTGGAACCCGTCTCCGTCTCATCGCTTGCCATCGCCAAAGTTGCGTTTGAATCGTGCGACGACGTGAACGACGGGAGTGTCGGAGAGGACTGTGGAGGCGAGATTGAGATTGCGGTTTGATTTCAAGCCCGGGCGGCGCTTGTTTTGCCGGCGACCACCCTGTCTCCTGCTGCTTGCATCGGGAACTTCTGCATGACAGATGAACACGAGATGTTTTCAATATCTCCTAGGGCTGTCTAGATGGAAGTGGTCGCTTGACAGATGTCGGCCTAGAAGATGTTTTGTAATGTTGCTGTTCTGGGCAGTCAAGAATTGGAGCTCATCTCCGGCAGATCATTGAGGACTTTTCGCAAATCGATGAACAACTCTAAATTACCGAGAAGTTTGTACGGAAACAATGAAGAAATCAGTACGATCGTGATGGCACCGGGACGAATCAAAAAGAAAGCAGTGCGTGGGCATGAGATGGTAGAACGCAAAAAAGAATGCCTCGAGGGAGAATCGAACTCCCATCTAAGGATTACCCAAGCCATGCTTGGTCATTTCGATGAACGATATGAGACCTTTGTACTAACCGTTATACTATCGAGGCTTGATGGACGGAAAATCAGAATTTGCAAATATCACTACCGTTTCTGAGAGGTCTGTGCGCATGTCTATCGGCGTACTGCACAAACCCTTCTTCTTACGCCTTCGCATCACTGGAATTAATCATGAATCACTTAAACATAGAGTACAAGACTATATTAAGACATTAGTCCATTGCACTGAGCAACTTCACAACTTGTCCCTTCTCGACCTTTGAAAGTCTCAGAGCTCTATACATTTCTGACTTCACAACATCGTCGAAGCACTGTGCGACTCTATGTTTACGAATACCTCATCGACTACTGGAGTCATCAGTATCGGATCCAGCCGAGTGACTTCTGAACTTCTGGAAGAGCTATATTACTCTATCTGATATGGATCAAGACATGGTGGGTTGCCAGAATCTGCTGCCATGGTCGGTTCATGATGGTTGAGAGTAGCACCCTGCTCTATGCCACGTCTTCCGATTTCTCGGAAGCGCACGCAATAACCTTTGGCTCTCCTCTTTCTCGGTACTATGTTGTTGATCCTCGGCTTATAATGGCAGATCACCTGTTTGATATAAACTTCAATGTGCCCACGGGGTCAACTCCCTCCTGCTGTTCGCACCATTGACTACCTACATACCAGAAATCACGATGTCTGCACCCGTGTCGAAGTTCTCTTCATTCAACGTCCATGATGATTTTGTCTACAAGAATGTAGATGGTGTAGCCATCAAGACTGCCATACTCGTTCCAAAGTCGTTGAAGCCAGGAACGAAAGCACCAGTCCTTGTGCACATGCATGGTGGAGGCTTTATGACCGGCAATAGGCTGTTCGAGCCGTGGTTCGCATTATGGTGCGCACGGATTGGCCCTGACAAAAATCCCGGGTCATCTGCTAATTCGATCTGTAGGTTCATGCAATGGGCAGAATCCGTGGGGGCTGTAATCGTCAGTCCTGATCATCGCTTGCTTCCGGAAAGCTCAAGCGAAGACATGGCCGACGATATCGTCGACTTCTGGAGTTGGGTACACGCCAACTTGTCCGCCGAGGTCTCAAGAGTCACTTCCGGAGCGACTGAAGTTGACTTAGAAAACATCGCGGTGGGGGGCGAGAGTGCTGGTCAGTATTCGTTTCGTGCTCAGCTGTCAATCACTAATCACGAGATAGGTGGTTTCCTCTCAGTGTTGTCTGCTTTGACCTGTCCCAACGCCAAGATCAAGGCTGTAGTCTGTCAGTATGGACCTCTGGACTATGAAGTCCCTTGGTTCACTCAGCCCAACCACCAGAGGAGCATCATGGGAGCACCACCAGCTGAGCCTGGGAAGCCTGAGGCAGTGATCCAAGACTATCTGACCAGATACGTGGACGTCGAGAAGATTGCGGTCCGTACAGAGAGCCGTGTAGAAGAACTTTGGCCTCTTTGCGTCGCGTATGCACACGCCGGTAAACTTGCTGGAGCCCTCGGACGATCTGACAAAGTCATGCCTATGAGACTTATTGAGAAGGCCGAGAGTCTGCCACCTATTTGGTTCGTGCACGGCAGCGGAGACACAATCGTCAATCCAGATTGCACTATGAACTTTGTCAACAAGGTCAAGAAGCTACTGCCCCAGACACCTATGCATGTATCCATGGAACCAGGAGAGCATGGTTTCGACGGTGGTGTTCCGCTGGATGAGAAGTGGGTGCAAGACGGCCTGTCGTTTGTCTCACAGTACTGGCCTCTCAGTTCGTAGTTCTCGACTTTAAACAGAAACCAATAATCAATCTCTAGATCTGTTAAGATGCCATCTGTAGGACGAGCTGAGGTGCTGAAATGCTGACTTGGAGTTGCATCTGCAGCATGTCTTGATAAGAGCAACTCTAGCCGAGACCCTTTTGATTGCATCACCCCAGCATCATCGAACGGTTCCTCCACGTCTCCGCCTTTTTCAGCCTCTTGGTTCGCCGATGACTGAGCCTCAGATCCTATGCTAACCACAATTAGAACTATGTTAGCATCATCGACTATGATCTCAAAGCAGATTGGGTCAAATCGCTCATGCGAGTGTTGTTTCGACGTCACGACTCTCATGACGAACATTTGTAGAAAGTCGATGGCTTGAGGCTCAAGTACAAAGACTATTTCTCTATTTACTTTGAACCATTTCTCTTCCAATGCTTCTTACACATCTCCAGCCACTTTCACGCAGAACATTTACCAGTCTTCCTAAGACTTCTTTTATCCGTCCCACATCCGCAATTCACAGACAAACCGCAGCCATGTCCAGCAAGCCCGGAGAGCAGTTCGAGGTTCGCCAAACCTCAACCACTGAGGACTACACTCCCGACCCTTCGAAGTCGCTCCCACTCAGCCCCGAGCGCCAGGCTCTTGTGGACGATATTCTCGCGCTCTACAGCTGTCAGCCTACGATCAGACGCGTTGAGCGTTACACAGCCGACTGCGTCTACGACGACCAGTTCGTTTACGCCAACGACAGATACAAGATGGCAGGCCAATGGTTCGCTCTGCCCAAGTTCTTCAAGGAGAGCAAGAATGAACGTTACGAGATCATCAAGAACGACAGAGACTTGATCCAGTTCAAGAACGAGCAGGTATGTAACAAGAGTTTCTTTACACCGAGGACTATGCTAACCCAAGCAGTCATGGACATTCAAGCTCATTCCCAAGACCGCTACCATCAACGCTATCGTCTCTCTGTCCCTTGATCCCGACACAGTAGATTCGGACTTCATCCAAGTCAAGTACCACAAGGATCAGGCCAACGACAAGGATTATTCTCACAACGGATTCGGCTTCCAGTTCAAGAAATTCCAGGCAGACAACGTCGTCAAGCTCATGTCAAGCGATGAGGTGAAATATTTCGAGAAGGACAAGCATGCCGCCAAGGAACCCGTAAAGAAGTACGGTACTGGCGATGAGACGGGCCAAGCTCCTAAGCAGGACTTCTAAGTAATGAGATGAGGTATAACAGAACTTAATGTATTATGAACACATGAACGATACCTAACAAGACATATTCCCCTCATACGTGCACGACGAATTGAGAGAGCATACATACACGCGTGTTATGGATGTATTTATGAAGATACAGAGAGTTTCCAGGATCATGTAGTGACCAACTCTTATATCATAGCTCAATGGTGAAACTCAGCTATACTGGAATACTATCAGTTGCAAGTATGGTAAACTCTAATATGGCAAGGAGGCAGGATTGCTCCTTCCAATCCAGGTCACTCGTCTATGAGCTATGCCTTAGATCATGATGACTGAAAAACATTGCGACGTGTGGGAGATCAAACGAGCCTTGATGCATGTCACTTCCAGACTTCTAGGAGACAGACCTACGCCTGCCACGACCTCTGCCACCAGGGACCTACCAGCGTTTCCCAGTTTTTTTTTTGCTGAGACTACAAGACTCTGCCCAACTATCAGACCCCCCGGTAGATTCTCAAGCCCTTCAAGGCTTCTCTTGTATGATGTATCATCTCCGTGGTTGGATCTGCCTGTTTTCTGGTCGAAACCTACAGAACCCGGACAACCTTGGCTGTCTTCTACCTAGCCATCGCACGTATCTCCTGCTCTAAACCGACACGGACGAGAGCGGAAAAGCTAAGTTTTGAACTTTTTGCTGGCAGTTGCACAACTCGAAAAGGATGAGAACCGGCCAAGCAAGCAGTACAGAAACACGGCAGCGGTTGTGAGAAGAGCCAAGCTTCCAAGCAGACCTTCTAAACGAGCCGAGGCACGACGGAAACTGTATGAACGGAATTGATATCAAGCCCCAAAGCGGGTCAGTCTCAGGAACATGTCACTAAAAGTTGGTGGGGTTCCAGTTGTCAAAATGCACGAGGATTCGACATGTCAGGGAGGCTCAAAAGTAGTAGCGAGAGAAGCTTCGTTTGACATCTTGATAGACAGGGTCCAGCCACGACAGACAACGTGTAGTTTAGCAGCGAACTTGCTGGCATACCATATTATGGACAGATGTATAGGCGAGGAATGTGATATCGGCAAGCTCAATCGCAAAAATTACTGGATTGAGATGGCGCTCGTGCGAGGTTTTCGAAAGGCGCAGAAGCTTGAGCTGTCAACGCGTGTCGAATTGGGAAGGTGGCTGGGCGATCAGAGTGACGTTGTGGTCGAAAAGTTGCGTAGCCACCAACTGAGACCTTCTTGATTTCTACGCGACGCGCTCCCTCCACCAAACCTCTCTGACCTCACTCGACTCCAAGCTCAAGTTCGACAGACTACAGGCCATGCTGTGTGCATAATTGCCGACATTACTACCGCCTCTCTCTCCATCACTCTCCATCATTGACCTCCTGCACGCGCGTGCACACCTCAAACATGTCAGGACCCTCGATACACTTCACGGTCCCTGACCGATCGCTGTTCAAGTTCCCTCCGGACAACCTTCCAGCCGCTCTCCCTCCTCCGTCCGACGAGGCCACTTGGAAGTCGCCCTTTCCCATCGATTTCGACGTCTTCAACCGCGCCCTCGACGTCAAGGTGCCTATCACCATCGCAACTACATATGTCATTACAGTTCTCGCCATCAACGCCTACAATAGGCGCCAGGGCAATAAGCCATGGTGGATCAGCACAACTCGCGGTTTCAAGATCTTTGTTGTCCTGCACAATGTCTTCCTGGCTGTCTATTCCGGTGTCACCTTCTACGCCATGTGTCGCGCTATCAACGCGACCTGGCCTGGACTTGATAACAGCGCTGGTGTGGCCGGTGTTGCCGACTCTCTCTGCAAGATCAACGGCCCTCGCGGCCTAGGCGACGCTGTCTACTACAATGCTACCTCCAGCCTCTGGCAAACCAAGAACGAAATCATCAAGTTGATGCCAGAGGGTGTCCCTGATTCCACCGATGTCGGTCGTCTATGGAACGAGGGTCTTGCATTCTGGGGCTGGTTCTTCTACCTGTCCAAGTTCTACGAGGTCATCGACACTGGCATTATCGTCGCAAAGGGCAAGAGAAGCGCAACTCTGCAGACCTACCACCACGCAGGCGCTATGTTGTGCATGTGGGCTGGTATCCGCTACATGTCCCCCCCTATCTGGATGTTTGTCTTTATCAACTCTTTCATCCACACTCTGATGGTAAGAGTAGGCCACTCAGAAAGGAGAACCTAAAGCTGACCATCGTGTAGTACACTTATTTCACCCTCTCTGCCATCAACATCCGTGTGCCCAACGCTCTCAAGCGTACCTTGACAACCATGCAGATCGCTCAATTCCTCTTTGGCGCATCCTACGCCGCCATCCACCTCTTTGTCAAGTACGACATTCCTATTGCCACTGCATACAGCATCTTCCACCCCATCTCTTCTGCCGCTGCAAAGGCTTCTGCGACCGCCTCGAGTGTTGTTTCGGCTGTTCCTGCCGAGACCTATGGTGCCATCCTTCGCCGTATTCTTCTTCGCGCTGCTGGTGACGAGGGTGTTGCCGAGAATGTTCGCGACAAGCAGGGAAACATCATCATGGAGCAGGCAAAGGAGGCAATCCAAAAGTATCACGAAGAGACCCGTTACAGAACCGACTACACCACCATCAACTGCCTTGACACCACTGGACAAAGCTTTGCTGTTTGGCTCAACATTCTTTATCTCTTCCCCCTGACTGTCCTCTTCGTTCGTTTCTTCATCCGCGCCTACGTTTTCCGCAGTGGCTCAAGCAAGTCGAGAAGCAAGCGCCACTCCGCTAGCCGCGCTACCAAGGAAGCCGCACAGGGAACCAACCGCGAAATTGAGCATGCTGGCAAGGCTGTCGAGAAGAAGCTTAGCCACCTCCCGGAAGACTTTGCAGCCGCTGAGAAGAGACTCGAGAAGAAGCTAGGCCATCTCCCAGAGGACTTCAAGACGACCGAGAAGAAGCTTGAGAAGAAGCTCGGTAGTGCCGCCAAGGATTTCGAAGCCGAATTGAAGAAGGATCTCCAAGCCCTTAAGGAAGGCAAACTTCCTCGCTCCAACCGACCCGTTAGTGACCGCGTCCAGAGCTTCGAGCGCAAGATGACTCCCACCAAGAAGGATCCGCAGCAAATCAAGGATGAGGCAGCCGACAGCATTGATGAGCTGAAGGAGCGTGTGAAGCTGGAGACCACTGACAGCGCCCCTGACTCTGCTAGCGCAGCCGGCTCACCAACCAAGAAGCAAAAGAAGAGAAAGAACAAGAAGAACAAGAACAAGCAGGCTACTGCTGGCGCCGATAACAACGACGACCACACGGACGCCGCTGATTCAGGCTCCGAGCACGAGCATACCGAGCCAGAGAACTACGCTGCCGCAGTGAAGGAGAACTTGAAGAAAGAGGGGGAGAAACAGGACATCAAGCAAGAGACAGACGAAGCTTAGAAGGAACGCTGGTTTAAAAGCCGCTTGGGGAAATTTGGCCGTAGATCCGGAAATGTTATATTGTTAGGGTTGTGATCTTTGATAAAGGTCACATGGAAAGACAGATTTGATGACATGCCCGTCATTCTTACATTAGTTAGCTGGAGCGGTCAACTGTACTATAACTATAACCATCACCACATTCGCAGATAGCAATGAAGCAACGAGCAACCACGTGAACCTCTAGATACTGAGCTCATCAGTTAGGATAAGCTTGCGATAGGGCTTCTCATGTCGCTTCGAAAAGGCAGGATATTTTCGTACTCAGGTACATGTCCGTGAGAGCAGCGCTTCCCTTGATCTCTTTGAACAACTACATCAAAACCAAAAACGTCGTGCCTTTTGATGGCTGTTTTGCAAGGCGTGCCAAACTGAGAGGTCGACTTTAGTAGCTTTCCCACGCTCCTGCACCTACATTGCTTATGAAAAGGGGTAGGACAGCAGCATAGCAGCATGTATAAGATGTCCGAAACAGTGCACTACACTGTGCCTCTTGACATAACCATTGCCCGGTCGACAGAAAGTGGCTGAGACGAACACGGGACTATCGCCCAACTTACTCGCAGCCCCACCAGCAGAAACGAAAAATTGTCGCATAGTGGCATTCTAGAAAGCATGCTAGCAGAGCGAAAACAGAGTACTAAAAGGCCGAGTGATGGCATTTCATTGCTAATGATGGTGGTGGCCCTGAGGGCGGACTGTTTACTCTGCCCCGTGCGTTTGTTTACTGCAAGCCCTTCCATGAGGGGTCCCACAACGACGACAGCAGTTGGGTGAAACTTCTCAGGAACAGCAGTGTATAGAGACCCTGGATGGTGAAAGTTGGAGGGTTTGAGAGCGACATGTCGTCGTAGAATAGTGTATTTGTCTATGATCATATCAAGATCCTTGAAATGTTCTGTGGAAAGAGGTCAAGTTGTCGCAAAGGTTTCCTTTATTTTTCTCTTGGCTTTCTCGGTGACGACAGCGTTCCTTCCCATTCTACGAAAGGTGCGAGGTAGTGTGGACGAGCAGCAAACAGATGTGGAAAGAAGTGAGTATTTGGACATTGAAAGCTAGAGTTGGCTTGATGTTGGTAGACAGAGTGTTGTGAAATAAAACAGGGAATACAAAGAGTGATTGGAATGCAACAATGGTGGATGGGTTGTGGCAGAATAGAGTGAAGACACTTTGAAGCGGGCTGTTCGTCGTCCCAAGGGTCCCACTTGCACCTGCCGGCGATTTTCATTCCGACCGTCAACCAGGAAAAGCAGCTCCCCTTAAACATCGTTTCCTCCTCCACGACCTTCAAACTACACACTCCTTCCTCTTCTATCCGGACGCTCTTGTAGTCAGGCCAGGTCAGCCTGTTTAATTCTTTCCCTTACACACTTCCTAGTCGTCACGAATTGCGCAAATCATGGATGCCTCAGCGTTGCTTTCGGCGACTCTGTCGCCTGGTACGTCCATTCCTCCACGCCGCCGACCGCCGTCGACAAGCTATCAATAAGATGCTGACAATCAACAGACACCCAAGTCAGAACTGCTGCCGAAGAGCAGCTCAACCAGGCCGCAGAGGCCAACTTCGTACGTATTTGACAGTCTTTTCACAGCGCTACGGGCACGTGCTGACGTTCGAACAACAGTCTGGATACCTTACACATCTGTCACAAGAACTCGCCAACGAGCAAGCACAACCCCAAGTGCGCATGGCCGCAGGTCTTGCTTTGAAAAACTCCTTCTCCGCCCGTGAATACACCCGCCTGCGCCAAGTACAAGACCGATGGCTCAGCCAGGTCGACCCGGCCACCAAGCAATCAATCAAGGCTCTCGCCCTTCAAACACTCAAGTCAAATGATGCCAGATCTGGACAGTCAGCAGCTCAATTCATCGCCTCAATCGCCGCTATCGAGATTCCCCGCGAGCAATGGCCCGAGCTCATGCCCACTCTGGTGCAGAACGTTGGCGAGGGCGCCGACCACCAGAAGCAGGCATCGCTCACCACCATCGGTTTCATCTGCGAAGCTGAGGACCAGGATCTTAGAGATAGTCTCTCCCAGCACTCCAACGCCATCCTCACCGCTGTTGTCCAGGGCGCAAGAAAGGAAGAGGCCAACCCCGACGTCAGAAATGCCGCCATCACTGCTCTTGGTGACTCGCTCGAGTTCGTCCGCACCAACTTCGACAACGAAGGCGAGCGCAACTACATTATGCAGGTCATCTGTGAGGCCACTCAGGCCGACGACAACCGCATCCAGCAGGGCGCATACGGCTGCTTGAACAGAATCATGGGTCTCTACTACGACAAGATGCGCTTCTATATGGAGAAGGCTCTCTTCGGCCTGACCATCCAGGGTATGAAGAACGACGAAGAGGATGTCGCCAAGCTCGCTGTCGAGTTCTGGTGCACTGTCTGCGAGGAGGAAATCTCCATCGAGGACGACAACTCTCAGGTACGTGTGCCTACAATGTCTACTTGTGAGCGAAACTAACAAATACACAGGCCACCGCCGAGGGCTCAACAGAGATGCGCGAGTATTTCAACTTTGCCCGCATCGCTACCCCTGAAGTTGTGCCCGTTCTCCTTGAGCTGCTCGCCAAGCAGGACGAGGATGCCGCTGATGATGAGTACAACATCTCCCGCGCTGCTTACCAATGTTTGCAGCTCTGGGCCCAGACTGTTGGTGGTGTCATTGTTCCCGCGGTCCTCTCGTTCGTCGAGAAGCACCTCCGCTCCGAGGACTGGCACTACAGAGATGCCGCCGTCTCTGCTTTCGGTGCCATCATGGAGGGCCCTGATGAGAAGGTCCTCGACCCTCTGATCAAGCAGGCTCTTCCTGTCATGATCGGCATGATGGAAGACTCGGTTATCCAGGTCAGAGACTCTGTTGCCTACGCCCTGGGTCGCATCTGCGAGACATGCTCCGACTCGATCGACCCTGCTACACACCTCCAGCCCTTGATCAGCTCGCTCTTCAATGGTTTGTCCAGCCACCCCAAGATGGCTTCATCGTGCTGCTGGGCTTTGATGAACCTTGCCGACCGCTTCGCCGGAGAGCCCGGATGCCAGGAAAATGCCCTGTCGGCTCACTTCGAGAACAGCGTCAAGCACTTGCTGCAGGTTACCGAGAGGTATGCATATACTGCGATTATGCTAGTGGATAATCTAACTGACGTGTCTTACAGAACCGATGCTGACCACCAGCTCCGTACTGCTGCTTACGAGGTCCTCAACGCCTTTGTCACCAACTCGGCCAACGACTCCCTCCCTATTGTTGGACACCTTACCAACGTCATCCTCGAGCGTCTGGAGAGCACCATCCCTATGAGCCAGCAGGTTGTCAGTGTCGACGACAAGCTCATGCTTGAGGAGATGCAGACCAGTTTGGCCAGCGTTGTTATTGCCATTATTCAGCGTCTCGAGACTGAGATTAAGCCTCAAGCCGACCGCATCATGCAGCTCATGCTCCAGCTCCTCAACACCGTAGGCCCCAAGTCTTCCGTTCCCGACACCATCTTCGCTGCTATTGGTGCCCTCGCCGGCGCCGTCGAGGAGGACTTCGCCAAGTACATGGAGGCCTTCTCTCCCTTCCTGTACACCGCCCTTGCCAACCAGGAGGAGCCCGCCATCTGTGCCATGGCCATTGGTCTTGTCAGTGACATCTCGCGTGCCTTGAATGAGAAGATCCAGCCGTACTGCGATGCGCTGATGAACAACCTTCTTAACGACCTTCGCGTAAGTCTAGCGAATCATCCGGAGTTTCAATACTTTTCTGACGAATTTTGACAGAGCTCGACGCTCGGCAACCAATTCAAGCCCGCCATCCTCCAATGCTTTGGTGACATCGCCCAGGCAATCGGCGGTGCCTTCGAGACATACCTCTCGGTCGTCGCCCAGGTCTTGCAGCAGGCCGCCTCCATCTCTGTACCCGACTCTTCGTTCGAGATGCTCGAGTACGTCGTCACTCTCCGCGAAGGCATTATGGATGCTTGGTCCGGTGCATTCATGGCCATGAGAAGTGCTGGCAAAAGTAAGTGCAAACAGTTCGTCTACCACTGATCCAACAATGCTAACAACTCTACAGGCCAATTGTTGGCTCCTTACGTTGAGTCTGTCTTCAGCCTTTTGCAGATCATCTTCCAGGACCCGCACCGCTCCGAGGCTCTGCTTCGCACCAGCATGGGTGTCATTGGTGACCTGTCTGAGACATTCCCTAACGGCGAGTACAGCCCACTCTTTAGCCAGCAGTGGGTTACTAGCATGGCCCGCGAGGTCCGCGCCAACAAGGAGTACTCTCAGCGTACTCAGGACACTGCCCGCTGGGCCCGCGAACAGATCAAGCGCCAGTCTGGTAAGTCATTCCCTACCATGCAGCTCGATCAAGAGCATTGCTAATCATGGGCCCTCACAGCCGCAGCTGCCAACGTGCAAATGTCATAGGAGACACAGCTTTACGATGACAAGCCAGCACCACCTCCGGACGTCGGTCATGAACACTCATAGTCCTTCGAGCAACACCAACGAGCCTTCTGCATCAGCTACTCTCGAAAGAGCCCGGCGCGACGGCGATGAGAAGAGCATCTACATTCGGATCCCATGCCAATCAAGCTCCAGCCTGGTGCTTCGCACGAATCGGGCAAACGCAATATCTCAAACAACTGCACAGCAGAATAGGGGCCACGTTTAGATTGCAGCAGAGCAAGGAAAGGAAGACGACCAAGCTTGGAGGAATGACAGCAACGACGTGCGCAACACACGTTGGACGAGATTGCATGCTCACGCACGATCAAATTCCCATCCCATATCACAATTGCACCGCCCCATAATCACTCTCCCCATCATCACCAATTCCATCCAACATTATCATCACATCATCACGTACCCCCTATCCAATGAAAGACTCATGTATACGCACCATCATGTAAGGGTAGGACTAGACTTCTATTGGCCGAAACTTCTGTCGAGGGAGAATCATGGCAACACCTTTGAAGGATAATGAGCTAGTGCCTAGAAAAACCCAAATAACCCCCAAACACCCTCGAAAATTTCACGATACCCCCAAAGTTATGTTACCACATTGATTATAGACAACACGTTCTTCCCAAAGTTTGCACTCTTCCATTGAATTGTGACGCCTGTGATTAGGAATGACTTGTGATTGAGAGAGATGTCGCCATCTGATAGCTTGTGGTGGCTAATAAAATGTAACTTGGTAACCTTCATCTCCCTCCGAGGCCTCTGTCATGCGTTTATATCAAGACCAAACAGACAGCCTCGTTCCAATGCACTGTATCTTTGCTTGGCTGTCGTAGTCTTTTCTGTGTGTGTATTCGATTGTGCCTTCCTTTGTCTGCGTCCCATCGCTCCTTCTGAATTTGCTTGAACATTCCTTCCTGCTTTACTCCATCGTTCCTTCCATCTTACTCGGTCGTCTGGCTGTTCCTTCCTCTTCATGGGATTGATCGTTCCTCACGTCTACGTGACTGCCATAGCTCAGACTGGGATATCAGGATACATGATCACTGCACGTCGAGGTAGATGGTCAAAAGAGGGGGTGTGTAAACGACGTTCGCCATCGGCAATGAGAATATACGTGTTGGGATTGCAAGATGCTCGTTAAATCGGTCAAAGAGATCATCAGCTCTGATGTGCATAAGAGCGAAAGAAACAGGATGCACGAGTAGCCATCAACATACAAGCGAGAGAGATAATGCGACACTCAAAATGTCAATACCTAAGAAAGAGCGGTCAATTAGAATGGACAAATATGGGAAAGGAAGCAAAAAGAGGTACGGATGGGCAAGACAGCTAGGTCTACAGAACAAACAACGAAGGTGCGGTTCAGGAGAAGAGCAAGGAGCGATTGGATCAAAAGAGTCGGGAATGATCAAGCTAGAAGATGAAAGGAGCAATCAAGGATGGAGAAGAAACGACCAACGACGAGGAAGGCACATTCGAGCAGAAGAAGAAGGTGCGACCAAGCATAAAAGGAAGGTACGTCCAAACACTCGAAGCAGGAACGATCCGAGGTGATAAGAAGCGGTAGAGCCTTGGAAAGGTCAGGCATAGCTTCCCAGCATAGTAGAAGGTATAACACTCATCTCGATATATCTTATGTGGAAACTGATGGTAAGCAAGAACGGACACGAAAAGAAAGTCACTGCCAGAAACGCCAGCAAGTGCTTAATACCATAGGGTAACCAACAAGAGAGATAACAAATGCCGCCGGTTCCAAAAACAGAGTTGCTGAAATGCAAAGACCGGACTCCAAACCCAACGAGAAGTAGTATATAGGATGGTAGGGAAGATAAGGACAGAGATCCAGAGCAGGCTATGTCTACTGCCTGCTCGCTCTGGGATCTTCAGCTTGAACCTTCTTCCAATCTCTGACTTCCTTGGTACCGATACTACCACCACCGCCTTCGACTCTGCGTTCCCAGCCACCAAGACGTACTACTACCGCTGTGGCATTATCGGATCTGACACCTGCGACTTCAGTGGCAAAGGCTGCCAGTTCCTTTGATGCTGATTCGGGTGTTTTGGCTTCCTTGACAATATCTACAATTTCTTGGTCTTCCAGAGATACTGTTACGCCGTCGGAGACAAGAACCAAGAAGCTGTACTCGCTGGGATCCATATGTGTAGTCCTGATCTCGGGTTCCGCTGAGACACCTATGCGTTTAGAGCTGATATCACCAAAAGACCTGGTGTTGGCTAGACCCAAGATGCGCTCTTCGCCGAAGCTGTCGGTCACAAAAGTTGCGGCGAAACGACGGAGACGTGCTGCTTCGACCGGGGCGGAGGGATGGTGATTTGTGGTCAACGGTACTGCTTTACCATCGCTAACACGGCAGAGGAGGATGCGCGTGTCGCCGCAGTGGGCTGTTACTATTGTGGCCGGAGATGCGGGGTTCCAGAAGGGTGTAGGTGTTGGTGTAGAGATGAGAGCTATTGAGCAAGTGGAGCCGCCTTGGAAACGTGTGTGACCTCCAATAGGACGGTTCAGAACATTCGATAGGTTCTGAGAGGCAGGCCTTGAGGGAGAGGAGAGAATGTCGTTATCATTGAGCGGTCTATCGCTCATGACTGGGTCATCGGTAGAGGCTTGCAAAGAGGGCGTGTGTTTTGAAGCCTGGGCAGCGGTAAAGTCCAGATCGGCGTGTAGGAACGAGTACATCAATGTGGCCTGAATGGAATTAACAGCAGTGCCTTGCTCATCTGTGCTCGCCGACGGCTTGAAAATGCCAAAGTATTGTGGACGGAATCGTCTAAAGTAGCCGCCTACGAAGTCTTTCCATGTATTGACCAGATTGCGCTGCAGATCAAGAACCTGCTTGTGTCCGTCGTCGCTCTCTTTCGGCTCTTGCAGACTACTCTGCATCTTGAACTTGTTGGCCGAGTCTTCCAGGTAGGTATGCAGTCGGTCCCGTAGGAACTCAGCGCATTGAGCACCGCCATGGCCGTCGAAAACTCCAAAGTAGAAGACTTGAGGGTCGCCGCTCTCGCTAGCAGCACCTTGTTCTTGTAATAGCTTATTCGCGCGGGTCAAGCTCACAGGCTGTCGTTTGGCAAAGGCTGGCAGCTCGATGGTGCCGGCTTGATGGGTGTCCTCGTTGCGCGGACGGCCTCCTCGCAGACAGGTCGCTCCATAATGGTGTTTCGCAGATTTGAGAGGAATTCGCACGACGGTGGTGTCGCGTCTTGCGGCTGAGAGGATGGCGGGCTGTCTACCGGTCGGCTTGTCCTGAGGGGAGGCGACTTCGCGAGGAAGCTTGTGGTTGGAGTCCGGATGCAACGACGATTGCGGCAGGTGTGTGACAAAATAGTCGTGGAAGCAGCGTCGCCATGACCGTGTCGGGATGGAACATGGTCTCATACTGTCATGGCAAGGCACTCAGGTATACCTCACGACATGGTGGAAGATAGATAGGGATTGGGACGAGACTCGGCTCCGGGTTATCGACTTTTTGCCAGCCTTTGACCAAACGCGGGCACAGCGGCGGAGAAATGGAGCTGCCCCAGCATCATCATCCACATCCGCATCATCGTCCAAGAGCATTCAGCAAAAACGCCAAGACTCTGGAGATGGTCCATAGATCCTCCATACCAATACCCGCCAGTCCGGTTCAACAATCTAAACACCACTTCAAACAGGAGACTTTTCCAATCATCATCGTCATGTCCATCTACGTGTCACTCAGTATTTTGTCTGCAAGTTCATGATGATAGTAGACCTCATTCATTCAATTAAAACATGAGCGCCAAAAGGCGTACTCGCATGACAATAAACATAACTCTATAACAACATGTCCCCAAACTCCAACAATGATTTCCAGTCGTGTGTTTTGATGCCCTGATACGAAAATAGAAGATGTGCGGACGAGAGCTCAAGGCATATCCAAAACTTACTCTGACCTTTTGTTCCTACAAGATAGAGAAAAGGAAGAAGGTCGTGATCTTGTCAGACTCTGTACAACAGATATTTATCTGATGGTGGTGGTCTTGGTAAGAGATGCCTTGGCCGAGGCAGCACCCGTAGCGCCAGCGGAAGAGGCACCAGCCTTCTTCTCGAAGACCTTCCAGAACTTGAGCGACTCATCAGCAGCCGCAGTGGCGAGCATCTGACCGTCAGGAGACAAGCAGGAGTGGAGAACACGAGACTCGTGAGCGGGGATCTCGACATTCTTGACAAGGGTGGGGTAAGACCAGATGCTGAGGGAGTTGTCGGGGAAGCCAGAAGAGCTGACGAGCTCCTTGTAGGAAGTGCTCCACTTGAGAGAGGTGACTTGGCTGCCAGTGTCGATGCTGTTGGTACGAGCCCCGGAGGTGGTGTTCCAGAAGTGGATCATGCGGTCGTGAGAGCCACCACCGGTAGCGAGGAGGTTGGATTGCCAAGGGCACCAAGCAAGAGCCTTGACGGCAGCCTTGTGGTTGGTCTTCTGGAACTTGGGTGCGTTGAGGGAGCGAGCGTCCCAGATGCTGACGAGGTTGTCGTTGCCACCAGTGGCCAATTGGGCACCATCAGGGCGCCACTCGAGACCGCAAACCTCACCAGTGTGGGAGACGAGCTCGGCGACCTTGTGCTGGGCAATGCGGACGTCGTGGTTGTAGACGAGACCAGAGCGGGCACCGGTGGAGAGAAGGTGCTTGTTCCAGCCCATGACGCCGACGCGGGTGTCGTGGCCGAACATGCTGCGGAGCTTGGAGCCCTCCTCGACGTCCCAGATCTGGACCTCACCGGTAGCGAGGCCAGCAGCGACGTAAGCGCCGTCTTGGCTCCACTTGACAGATGAGACGTAGGTGTCCTCAGGGCACTCGAAGAGAGAGTTGACCTCGCCAGACTCGGCGGACCAGACGTAGACGGAACGCTCAAGGCCAATGGCGACCTGGTTGCCGGAAGACCAGTCAAGAAGGTTCAGGTAGTAGTCATCGACAAGGCCAGGGGCGTCAAGAACGCGCTCAGGGGCAGTTGCGACACGGCGACGGAACTGGGTGGCAGCGGCAGCGGGCTTGAGGGGACGGTTGTACTGCGAGCGCAGGTCAATGGGTCTGGACGACTCGGGAGCGGCAGGCTTGAAAGCGAGGATTCTCTGGCCGAGCGAGATGTCACAGGCCTTTGCAATCTCGTCCTGGTAGGCGGCAGTCTTGGGCGAAGGCTTGGTGTAGCTCTTCTCCTCCTCATCGTCATCGAGGTTCAAGCCATCGAGGCCGAGAGCAGCATCAATCTCATCGTCGTGAGTCGAGCGTCTGCCAAGGTCAAAGGCAGAGGAAGCAGAGGCAGCACCGGCGAGGACAGACTCGGCCGATGACTTTGAGCGAGAGTGCTCCTTCTTCTCGATCTTGTTGACACCAGAGTTGGTGATGGCATCAGAGTTGGTGCGGCTGGGGATGAAACGGTCGGCGGAGGTGTAACTGATCTTGGTCTTGCCAGTCTTGACAGTCTTGAGGTTGCGAGTTCTTGAGGGAGTGGCCTTGGTGGTGGTGGTTGTGGGACCAGTGCCGGTCAGGTTCCAGTCGCTGACACCAAGCTCGAGACGGCGAGGTGAGTTGTTCGAGACATGTCTGGCAATGTTTGACTTGGGCGAGTCACGGACGTTGGTCTTTGAGATTGAGCGCGAGAAGCGGGGGAAGAGGTTGCCACGGTGGATTGAGTCCGAGTTGTCAAGAACAATGTTGTGCTGCTTGGGAGTCTGAGGCGAAGGAGTCAAGGGGGCGCGGCCACCGGCGAAACGGGTGGAGAAGAGACCATCACGACGCTTGATGGGCGTCATCACCGAAGGGCTTGCCATATCTGCGGCGGTGTGTGTGTAGTGTTGCTGTTAATGTGGGTGTGATCCTGTCTGCAAAGCCGTTAGATAAGTGATAAGGACAGGGTGAGTGAGGAGAAGGCGTACAGATGTCTCGATTAAGAGCTCCGTTAGTATAATTGCAGATATCTTGCAGTCGCCGTGGATGGTAGGGAGGTAGGAGGAGAGTAAGAGTAGCTTCTGAGAAGCTTTGGATGACTTGTAATGCTGTTCTTGGGATTGGAGTTTGAGGTGAGGAAATTCAAAGGATGGTAGAGGGAAGGCTGCCCTTTATGGCTGTCTGCTTACAAGTGCAAACAAAGTTGGCACAGCAACGGCAGACCCTTGGCGTCGTCACCAAGGTGGTCGGTGGTTAAAGCCGAGACGGCCGACGACGCAACGAAGTTTGCTGCCGTGCTTTGGTTGAAGGGACGACGACGGCGACGGACTGCGCTTCTAAATTTACTGCCGTCTCAATCTATCACAAGCGACCGCGTCTCAGGACCAGACTGCGACAAAGCAATCTGTTTGTGCATTGCGACGAGACATAAATCTCTTGTGCCGGTCGCAGGAGCAGCGCGCCTCTAGTAGTGAAGCCCGAGTAACAGGAATGAAACAGTCGACGACGATATGGCTTCCCATCTTCCCCTCTCGGCTGGCCTTACCCCTTCACGCTTATCTACCGGTTCGAACAACACCTATGTCATGTCTACCTCGCCCAGATCAAGCCGCACCTACTCGTCGCGTCGCCGTAACCATGATACCTATATGCCTACCATCATGACCACCGTTGGTCAGAGACCTGCCTGCCTCGTCAACGCTTCCGTGACGTACGTCGGCAACGATCAGATCTATGCCTTCGGTGGCTTCGACCAATACACGGATGAGGTCTACAACCATGTCCTCAGACTGGATCTGCAGGCCAAGCAATGGAGTCTAGTTGACAACTACGGAGACATTCCAGGCGTGCGAATGGGTAAGCTTGAATCCGTCACGACACCCCTTGCTTGTACTGATGACCGGAGCAGGCCATACCGCGTGTCTCTGGCAGAACGAGAAACTTCTTGTATTCGGAGGAGAGAATGAACACCGCTCTCACCTGGCCGACGTTATTATCTTCGACCTCAAGACGGCTCATTGGACCTCGCCCGAAGTTCAAGGCACTGCCCCACGCGGAAGAGCCAGACACTCAGCTGTGATTCATGAAGACAAGTTGTTTGTCAGTGGTGGAATGACCGGCCATGACAATGCTGTACTTGATGATATCTGCTATCTCGACCTCAAGACCTGGACGTGGTCGCGACCCTGGAAGTTTGTTCCCAGATACGATCATTCAACATGGATCTGGCGCGACAGACTCTGGGTCTCGGGAGGCATGACCGAAGACATGGAGCGTACCAGCGACATTTGGTGGCTTGACCTCAAGGGAATACCTGCCTTCGAGGGTGCCAACCCTGGTGACGACATGTCTAGGTCCTCCATGTATTCTGCCACTTCCATCACTCCCCAGGCAGGCCCGACCGGCGCATACGCTGCAAATTCAAGCAGCGTCCAGGTAAACCCCGGCTACATGGTCCAGCGCAACCCTCCCATTGCTCCGGGCTCCATTTCCTCTCTTCGTTTCATCTCAAATCCAAACCTCCCCGTTCAGAATGTAGGATACCATTTCCATGTTTTCTCTTCCGCCTGTCTGCTCGACTTCGTTACTCCAGCAACACTCATGTCTGCTTCAGAGACAAGCTTGTCAGCCTTCGATTTGGACTCTCTGCGTTGGCAGAAGCTGGCTGATGGAAAGGACATCTTCAACCCAAATTACCGCTGGCACTACTGTTGTCTCGATTCTGATGGCACGCACGCGTGGCTACTCGGATGTCCCAATTCGCTTCCTAGAAATGCTCCCGACGCCGAGGAATATCTTAGTGATGTTCTCCACCTCGACCTCAGAAAGCTCGGTCTCCTTGGTAACAAGCTCACCCTAGAATCCAGATCCGTTCAACAGGCTCCCACATCCGATAACCGGGTCTCATCGCATCTCTCCGCTATTGGCGCTGATCTTGCCCGCACATTTGATGTTGCTCCCGAGCAGGGCTCTGGAGCCGACTTCATCATTACGGCCAATCCGGACGATGACTACGACCAGGACTATGATGGTGACAGTGTGAGGTCTCACGAGAAGCCTGCAAATGCATCTCAGCCTATCCATGTACACCGATTCATTCTCTCAGCACGATGGCCGCACTTTGCTCGCCTCTACAGTGCTCAGATGTCCGAGTTCCATACAAAGAAGATGCACATCCCAGAACCATACGCCGCGGTGCGTGCCTTCCTCTATTATCTCTACACCGACTCTATCGCCCCCTCATTTATCACGAACTCCACGTCCCCGTCACCCAGTCTCGAAGACGTTGCTGGTATGCTTGTCATGAGCAACATCTATGACATGCCACGCCTGCACCATCTGTGCGTTGCACGATTGGTTCGCGAACTCGACATTCAGCATGCTGCTCTCATCTTTGACTGCGCCAGCGTTGCGCAAGAATCTTGGCTCAAGCGACGTGCAGCCAGCTTTTGCATGACACACTGGGGTCGTGTAGTGCGTACTGAAGGCTTCCGCCGATTGTCGCGCGCTGCCATGCTTGAGCTTTGTGAGGAAGTCGATGCAGAAGGCAGAGTGGTAGGCGGAGATGAGCTGGAAGCTGTCGGCGCTCTTGGAGGCGCAAGACTGAGCACTCTCAGCAATTGGCCTGAGGGTAGAAAGAGGAGAATGAACTCGGAAAGTGGGCTCATGGAAGAAATTGCTGATGAAGAAGAGGAAGAGGGCATGGAGGTTAATTAGTTAGTTACTCTCGCTCTTGATTCGGATTGAGCTATGATTGATGAGGAGTAGATATTGCTGTTCGAGCATGTACATATTTTGGGCATCGTTTATGGTGTTGGCTTTTAGCTTGCGCAGGGACATCGGATCAGGCAACAGGCTCAGGGGATAACGGAATACGACAGGGAATACGGCGTTGGTCCATGTGTAGTATCAATCAAACACTTGCCATTTGTACCAACACATATCGTCTGCTCTGAAGTTGGTCGAGTGTTGAGCTCCTGGAAGAATGCACGACGCATGACAGATCTAGAAGTGGATCTCAACGGCTGGCTACGGAGCAAAATCCATCTCGTGACCATCACCTCGCACCACAAGACAGGAGACGATATTAGAATGATAGGAAAGATGCACTTGGCATGATTCATCTATTCAGTCCTGAGCTTGGAGTCAAGGGTCAGGCAGAAGTCGTGTCGTGTCTGTAAACAAAATGCACGCTCTTCCCTGTCGATCTTCATCAACGTGTCTTGCTGTGGGCAGCAGCTCGATTGGAGCCGTCAGGACGCGTGTTGTGACAGGAGGAAGTTGGCAGAGATTCACAGGATAGCAAGCAAGCAACACATGTACCCTAATTCAAGATAGCTCCCTTCAATTCAAGCCCAATCGAGAACAAAGACGTGTCCTGGTTTGTGCGGGATAGCGCCTGAGAGGTGGAAAGTTCCAGTTCTCCAGCGATGATTGGCTCCGTCATTTCGGCTGGTTGGCAACCGCTCCTCCCCCAACTTCGCCCATCACAACTGCCCCTCGACCTGCTCCCTCCACAAACAGGACCACCTCACCTCTTTTCGCCAAAAAAACTCGCCCTTTCCACACCTTTGCACTTTCCCAAAAGGTAAGACACTCCACTCTTTGTACCTTGCACACATACACACACAGAGCGAGCCTTGATGCATGCGGATACGGACACCCCTTCTGTCAGAGTGTATAATGGACGCGTGGCTGGGCAAACACATCGAGAAACAAAGATACCGCGAAACACAAGCTCTTGCAGCAGCTATCGCCGACGATCTTGCGACAATAAAGATGCGCGGAAAGAGGAAGGCGCTCCCCAGCAGCTGTTTTGGTTGATGCGCTCATCGCAATACCCGCCTACCTCCGAGCCCTCAGAGCTTTCACCAGCATCGCGACTTCCGTCACAACAATTCTGCACGTGTTAATCGCGCTTTCTCGTCAATTGCGACCCGTCACTGTGTTTGCCCGCGACAAAACACCGCCATTCAACAACTTCAAAGCCAATCTACTTTCACACCGCCCCTGGCTCGCTCGTTCTCACCTTAACTACTGCTTTTGACCCACAACCCTTACCACACTTCGACAATGAATTCCATCCCCATCAGAAACGCTAACAGCATGTCGCATCAGACTTCACATCACACAACATCCAAGATGGGTTACGAGGATTCTGTCTACCTGGCCAAGCTCGCCGAGCAGGCTGAGCGCTACGAGGGTAAGCTCACGATCTCTGTCCCACAACATGCGCAAAGCTGACTCCAGTCCAGAGATGGTCGAGAACATGAAGAACGTCGCTTCCGCCGACCAGGAGCTCTCTGTTGAGGAGAGAAACCTCCTTTCCGTCGCCTACAAGAACGTCATTGGTGCTCGCCGTGCATCCTGGAGAATCGTTACCTCCATCGAGCAAAAGGAGGAGTCCAAGGGCAACGAGCAGCAGGTTACTCTCATCAAGGAGTACCGTCAGAAGATCGAGGCCGAGCTCGCCCAGATCTGCGAGGACATCCTTGCCGTTCTTGACAAGCACCTCATCCCCTCTGCCCAGAGCGGCGAGTCCAAGGTCTTCTACCACAAGATGTTCGTACCACTGAGCACCTGTCCTGTCCAGTCGCAATACTAATGCGCCTCACAGGAAGGGTGACTACCACCGTTACCTCGCCGAGTTCGCCCTCGGTGACAAGCGCAAGACCTCCGCCGACAAGTCGCTCGAGGCTTACCAGAACGCCACCGAGGTTGCCCAGACCGACCTCGCCCCCACCCACCCCATCCGTCTCGGACTTGCTCTTAACTTCTCCGTCTTCTACTACGAGATCTTGAACTCGCCCGACAAGGCTTGCCACCTCGCCAAGGCTGCCTTCGACGATGCCATCGCCGAGCTCGACACCCTCAGCGAGGAGAGCTACAAGGACTCCACCCTCATCATGCAGCTCCTTCGCGACAACCTGGTACGTATTCCTTGAAGCACCGCTATTTCTCTCGTCAATTACTAACAAACCATCACAGACCCTCTGGACCTCTTCCGAGACTGAGCCTTCGGGTGACGCTGCTCCTGAGGCCAAGGAATCCGCCGAGGCACCCGCTGCCACCGAGGAGACCAAGGCTTCCGAGTAAACGCAGTCAATCATACCTATTTCCTCCCATTTTAAAGAAAATGGCGGATCACGTGATCATGGCAAATGAGAACAGTCAAACCCAGGTGTTGTCTCTTTCTAACAGAACTCGATCATGGGGGCGGGCCAAGGAGAGATGGTTCTTTTTCTTTTTTCTTTTTTCCTCTCAAGTCGATTTTCTTGTTTTCTGACCCCCCAAGTCTTTTATTCTCTCCTTTGCACGGTTCCTCGATGGTATTTCTTGGGTCGTTGCTTTAGGGAGAGGGGGCAACGGGTGAAATTTGGGGATGGGCGCCCAGTAGCAGTCAATTGAAATCATTAGATTCCATTTCACTACCTATCCATTCTTGCCAGTGGACGTCGTGCTTGAATGTGTAGTTCTGTGAATGGCCTGAGCTGACTCGAAGCAGGGGCAAGTCAGCTGCATCGTGCCTTCCTCAGCCAAGTTGAAAGCAGCTCGATGGTCGTTTCAAACTTCATTGTGCTCATTCCGAACACTGCGTACCTTTCTACATTCAGCGCAAACCACCCAGCTTCACAAGTAGACCAGCCATCGCATCAGAAGGTGTCAGTCGTTTGACACAGCTCGAATAGCATCCATCACATCAGCTTCACTGGCCTTCACTTTGCCAAAGTGATACAACACTGCCTCGACCTCACCCAGTCTGGTCGAATGGCGTCTACGAAAGCTCTTCCACCTCAGCTACACTTCTCGAACTCTACAACAACAATCACATCAACCACACAAGCCAGTGTTCTCGATCTCATAGATCAACAGCACATCTCATCTCACATCTCCAATCAGTTGTAAGCCTCTCATGCTTGTTCAGTTGCGCATTGTCTTGTCTAACAACGTCCAGTGTCTCCATCAATCAAACACTATGTCATCTACCAATCAATTCACCGGCCCTAGCGCTTCGACCGTCGCCATGAGCGCTAGACAGGAGTTCACTCCGGAGCAGCTTGAGCGCATCAAGAGTGTGGTCGATTGTCTGGTCACCTCTTCTGGTCTCGAGCGCACACCAGGCTCGGCCGTTGCCGACTTTCTTCACACCCAAGATCTCATGAGCTGCCGTACTGGCCCAATCACACCCGTCAAGCAGTCTCCGCCTATCAGCTTTCTTGATCTGCCAGCCGAAGTCCGCAACAAGATCTATCGTCATTGTCTTGTTGTTGGCAGTGTCTTTCCGCGTCGTAAGGCTGGAGATAGCAGAACTGAATCTTTCAAACAACATGAAATGCCTCAGACACAGCTTTTTCTCGTCTGCCGACAAATCTTCCATGAGTCGGCGCCGATGTACTTTGGTCTCAACAAGTTCGTCATCTCGTACGGACCTGCAAGCGAATGGCCATGGTTCGACCCCCTCAAACTACGGAAGAGCCCAGTGTCACGTTTTGCATACGAAAACATCAAGTCGATGAGCATACCCTTCCATCTTATGGATAACTACATGACGATACCCGAGTTGTTCGAATATCGCTATACAGACGATGTTGTGGAACGCCGACTTGTAAGCTCGTGGGAGGGACGTTGCGGGAAAATGGCATCGTTGGAACTGGATCTGCTCGAAGTGTCCTTTGAGGGCTGTAATTGTTTCAGGTCTGGCCGACGCTTGATCACAAGAGCATTGGAACACCTATTGGATGGCGATATGAGTGTACCTGAGAAAACGGTCTTGAGGGGAGTTTTATCCACAAACGAGGTTGACGAGACCAGAACGCACATTGAAGACAATTTTGAAAATGAGCCAGAAGACAAGGATCCGGAGGACCCATGGCAGATCGTTATTTACTGATGTTGAGGGCAGGACCGTAAGGAACAAGGCAAGAGCGTGGATCATCAGACAAACATCATCAGCATTGGTTCGGCTTCATAACTCATCACCTGTATATCTCAAGAGCACAGATTCCGAGTCTCTAAATTCTCCTCCCAGTTTTTCGAGTACGTGCAGTATGTACCACTCCTAATCATCTACGACGATGTACGAAAGATCTCTCCAACTCTCAAACGTGGTATATGTCCAAGGAGTGATCCATCATAACGTTCTATCAACAGACTTTCGCTGGACAGTATCTGATTGTAAAAGATTCTATATCTTGACAGTCAATCGTGGACCATGACACGATTAAAGAGATGACATTGCCACTGTAGACAATAAGAGATGACTCTGGGTCCCTGGCCCCGTCTCTCTTTTTCTTCTTTGACGCTCAGATACCTGCTTCAGTACATCTACCACGATGGAAGATCCTGGCTGCAAATCGACTTGATAACAAAAGTAAGCTTGATCGTATATCCTGCACCAGTATTTCTCACTAGAAAATCTGTGAACAGCGACAGATGTCTTTCACCTTGACAACTTTCATGCGGACCAAGGAGGATAGAGGTCGGAGGTCTGTATAGTAGCAGTGGCAAATCTTTTATCAGTTTGAGGGAGAACAGTTAGTGGAGATATCTCAAGTCGGAGCCACCCTCGTCATCCGAGCGAGGTTTTGTTGAGACAAGAGAAGTATGATCAGAGTGACTTCTCTTGTGGAGCAGGCTTCATACTGCGATGGCAAGGTCGCACCGGTTTGGAAGAAAGGTCACGATTCGGTGGACATGAAAGACACGACTGAAGAAAAGAGGAAAGCACGCAACCAGAGAGGGAGCAAGCGACGTTACGAACATCGAAAGAAAGAAACAACTCACTCGAGCAACACAAGCAATTTCAAAGAGAAAAGAAAATATCATACCATTCTACCTACCCCTTCTACCCTCCATCTCACCACAAAAAGAAGCAAAAGAAAACCACCGTCCGCGACGAGTGGGAAGAAACCGGCGGTCCGGTTTACTTAATTGAGTTCAGGCGCGTGGTGGGGATCGAACCCATGCCAGGCGCCCTTTGTCGAATGTCGGCGACCAGCCAAGTGGGCCAAAGCACACCAGGCGAGAAGGTGGGGCCCTTGCTTGGCTGGGGACAGAAAGAGAGGAAAGGAAAGAGTATATAAGGGTTGGTTGGTTGGTTGGTTGATTGGTGGGGCTAAGGGGACGGGATTGTGTAATGGGTGAGCAAGTTTTGGATTTGAAGCCGAGGTTTGGGGGTTGGAGGTCAGGTTGCTCGTGCTGGGTTGATCTTGGAGGATAGTTGTCGGTTAGGACGGGGTATTACTCTGACGAAAGAGTCTCGAGGATGAATATGATGTTGAGAGAATGAGTTGTATGGATAGTCTGTAGTTTATCCAGCCATTCTCTGCTCCTTGACGCCCTGGAGTATCACCAGTACTTTCTCCACGATCTGATCTTTGGCATTCTTCTTGCCATACACTCGGTTCACTCTTCCCACTGCACCACGAAGGCAAGACTCGACGGCGTGATCGAAGCGAGCCTCACCGTCCCAGAAGTCAGGGGTCAGGGCTGAAGTCTGAGTGAGCTTGTACGTCGGCGGTGCGATGTTCAGCGCAGTGCAGAGAGCAGGTATGAGCGAAGATGCCGCGGGATATGGGGATGGCGAAGGCTGTACAGGCGGTGCGCCAGCGGCAGCAGGGTCGATCTTCGAAGGAACAGGTAGCGGGGTTCCAAAAGCCGGGACAGCAGGAGCGACGGCGTGTGCAGAACGAGTGTGTAGAGCAGGTTTACGCAACACTCCCTCTTCACGCAGGGCAAAGACAGTGGCACGAGCAGCGGCGGTCTTTGCGAGCTTCTTACTCGAAAATGCGGCATCCTGGTCGTGATGGGTCTGGCCAAGGATAGAACATGTTGCACCGAAGCGCTGGGGGCCGAGTTCGTAGACAGAGTACTCTGGTTGGTCGCGTCCGCCTGCCTGGCAGAATTCTGTGATGTTGTTAGACATTGTATTAGACGGAAGGATGCGAGAATTTTGTTGGTGGAAGGTGCGACTCTAAAATGTTGACGTGGGAATATACAAAGCACAGGAAGTAACGTCCGTCACCACTTTCCCACAACCATGTTTGAATCATGGACAGCTATCACAAGGCAAGAAGCCACGGGTCGTGTGGTTTGAAGATCATCACGTCTCCTTTGGCCAAGATGTCTCATGTAAGGAGCTTTGTACATTGTTCATGATTCAAACATGATCGTGGGACAGCAGCGGCAGCATAGCGTGTAAAGAGCATCACCAAACTTCCTGCATAATCCTCCTGGCCTGCACGTCAGACTTGTAATTGCTTGTCACAGATCACATGTCGAGAGGACATGATTATCTGGGCTCCAAGAGTCATGCGGTGGTTGAAACCAGCAAAGCCCTTGTGCCGAATTGCAGCGTCTGTGTTTGAAGTTGACATGCAGGTCGGAAAGAAGACGTAGGACGATTGGTGATGTCTAAGATGGGGGTCACAGTAAGCAAACTTGGCAGCACGACCTACCATGCAATACACCAACCCAGTTCTCAGCCATGTCGATCTTTGTAGCAGTGAGCGGCAATAAGCCATTGTCCTTCGGAGCCTTCTTAGGAATAGGCTGCGTCTCTAGCCAGGCCAGAGCCATCTCCGCGGCCTTCTCTTTGGCGGCCTTCTTGCTGCCAAATGTGCCAGGCGCTTCAAAGCTCTGTATTTCCTGGTCGCCGTCTAATAGCCTGAGAGAGGCCGAAAAGGCGTACGGGGGACCCTCCTCAAAGTCATAGTCGGTACGCAATGCGCGGGTCTGGCAGAGATGGTTGACCTTGGCAGTGCAGTCGCCGCGAGGTTTGGAAGGGAGAAGTGCGCGTGGAGCTGCCGATGAGGACGAGCTTGCTGACGTGTTGAGTTTGGGACGTTTGCTGGAAGGAGCGTCTTGAGATGAGGAAGCTGCTCTTCTCACTGCCACTTCGGCATCGAACTTGGCGGCTGAGATGAGGTCGAGGCCTGGGATTTGCGACGATGGTGGAATCGAGCTGGACGACGACGGTGGTATCGAGTTGGACGACGACGACGATGCTGGTGGATGCGTCATGGTGCTGTCCTGGACTGTGGTGTGATTAATGAATGGTCGACTGGTTGTGTCACTGATATAGTCCATGGTGATAGTTATGAGCGGTAAAGTTGGAGTGCGGCTGCCATTGTGAGAAGAATTGTTGATCATGCATGTCTTGATCGCGCCTTCCCAATGTGCAGCTTTCCCTCGCTTGACTCTTGGACCCTGTTCATCCTCCAACGCCTCTGTCAACGGCTATCTCATTCACCAACACCAGCCGTTCCTTTTCAAATAATTGTCCGGTCCACCAATCTTGATCTCTTCATGATATAATCATCCATGTAGTTCTCTCTCGTGCAGTCGAGGTAGGTGCTCATGGCTCGGCTAACTTGTCCATGTGATCGCCATCTGCATGGAATATCGGTTGCAGTGGTGATGGCTAGCTTCATGACTCGCCATCTATTTTCTTTCGCAAACAATGTCCTCTATCTTTCCATCTTGATTCTCATTCATCTGTATTCCCGGAGCCTCCTCAGGAAAAGTGGACATCAAAGCCAACATGCAACAGCCCAAAACGCCCAAGCAGTTCACCTCAGGCCAGCTCAAGCGTATTGAAACGGCCATACTGGAAGAAAATATAAGGGTGGCAGCTGAACAACGTGAAAAGGAGTGCGAACGAGATAGACAAAGAGAAAGAGAGGGAGATGGAGAAGAAAGTGGGCATGAGGAGGAAATAAGGCCAGGATGGGTGCCCCTACATATCGACCCTATGAGGATTTCCGCCTTGCTTTCAATGCAAGACATCAAGAGGCAACCTCGATCATACAAGATACCGCGAGGCCAATACTTTCCCTTCCTGGACCTACCAACAGAGATCAGAAACATGATCTACGAGAACCTCCTTGTGGTGGGAAAGGTCTTCCCATACCCGAAGATGGATGACCAGCGTTGTGAAGATATGGACAAGTACGATCACCCCGAGCTTCAGCTCCTCCGAGTCAACAAACAGATCTTCGAGGAGAGTGCTCCCATCTTCTTCTCCAAGAACAAATTTGTTCTGGCCCATGGCAAACGCGATCGATGGCCACATGCCTGGCCGCTCTGGGACCTTCCAAATCCCAATAGGCCAGAACAACACGACTTGCCTGTCTCGGCTATGGTATTCAAATATCTCAAGCAGCTGAATATTTCCTTCGACAGCAGGGATGTTGAAATCACGCCCAATCTAATCAGTTCATGGAGAGCCGAAGAGATAAAACGGAGCCCAGACTTCGGCGACCTCCCCGAGAGAGAGCAGTGGGTGCGCTTCAACGAACAGTACGAATATGCCCGGTATGAGTTTTGGGTCCAACGCAATGAGCTGCTTCACTACTTGAAGCTTGATCTCTTGGAAGTGGACTTGACCGATTGTTACTCCAGTCTATCATTTCAGAGGGCGGCGGGCGACGTCTGGCCCTTTATTGCAAAAAGCAACCAGGACAACCCTCCCAAGCATATCATAGTGTATGGTCTCAAGGGCCGGCAAGAGGGCTGGATGTACAGAATGGGCCACAAAAGGCACAGACGGTTGAATCCAACTGCGTATCTGAACATGTACGCTGTGATAGACGAAAGTCCCGAAGAGGCCTACGGTCATCCCTCCAGGATTGATTGGGACAACCTTGACAGGGGTTCTGAATTTGACAGCGGTGAAAGCCATCCACCTGTATTCTATGCTAGTGAGCCGGGCGACTTTGACGACGATACAGGACATTCTGATACCGGTACAGAAGATTCTGGCAACGGTTCCAGAGACCATGACAGTCATATGTGGGAATCTGATGATGACATAAGAGAGCCTCACCTTGATACAGAAGAATCTGACAGCGACACTGAACCCCCGAGGCGCTTTAGACCTCGGAGAGTCTATCCCGATCAGACTGCGGAGACGGCAATAACGATTGATTGATACTGTCAGAATCGCAATATAGCTTTATACATGTAGATACAGCGTAGATAGATAGATAGATAGATGATACTCGTAGATACCAGATCATAAGTTATTTGGTTCCCCATCCTTGCAAGACTAAATTTTTCTTGAGAGTATCACCATATCATCTACACCGGTATTGACTGCCATGGTGTCATTCTACTTTTCCCCCATCGTGAGAACAAAAGAATCAAGAAGAGAAAGAAACGCCACGATCACCAATGTCAGACAAGCACAGTATGCCATAAACACCCCATTGTGAGATGACCAAGTGCACTTGTCTTGGGCAAGACCACCTCTCAAAACACACGTACGCGCAACCGCCTTTACCTTTTACCGAGTAGCAAGCCGTAGAGAACAAACGCTTCTCGTTTTTACACAAACGTGAATTCCGTTCTTCTGAAAAAAATCTAAACAGCACAACTTGCCCAACCACCTCCACTCCTCGCGAAAGCCATACTATCCACAAAAGCACCAAGCCCACATCTACCCAACCAATCCGCACCACACCCTTGCAAAGGGATAACCCTATCGTTGACAATAACCCGAACCATCTCCTCTTTATGTCCCAAACATTGCAATTTCTCAATATACGCTCTAGCTGCAAAGGGAACGGTGTAAGCGGCTGAATACCCGTTGCTTTGCTGTGCAGTTTGAAGCGTTGTGTTGGAGAGGGGAGCAGTGCTGTTGTATAATCCCATGGCGAAGAAGATAGCGGTCATATCGTTATCATGGCTGAAATCCGCATATAGAGCTCTATCGAGCGGGAAGGTGACAGGGTTGGAATCCAAAGTGGAGTTTGTAGAGGTATGATCCTGGACTGCTTTTTTGGTAAGACGGGCGATGAGTTCATTCGTGAAACCAATGCCTTGGGTGGGGCCGAGAGGATTACCGGCACCATAGCCATAGTATTTGTTTAGCGATTCGTAGTAGCCGTAATCGTGCCATTCTGATTCTGTGAAGAGAGAGCAGAAAGGGGAGATTGTGCCGTTGGGAGAAGCGACGGTGTTGAATGGGCAGAGATCCATGAGGTAGATTATTTCGGTTGAGGTGAGGTTTGCTCCGGGGAGATCGGTATTTATTCTCTTTTGGATGGCTGGGACGAAGACGGAGACCCATGTCTTTTGGGCGGCGTCGGCGATGGTGGAGTCGGGTCCGTTTTCGAAGCTGTTGCAGAGGTCGTGATTGAGCGTGTTGTTGCTGCCAGCGGCCTCGCTGATGACCACGTTGATGGAAGGGTAATTCTTGTTGGCCCACCAGTCTCCAGCTTTGGTCTGATTGAAGCCATCAATCCATCTCTCTGCAGATTCCACAACACGATCCTCGCTAGATGAACGAACGAAAGGGACACTCTTGCGAGCGAGATTCGCATATCGCTGGTAGTACTTGATGCCCGAGTTCTCCATCTGTTGTCTTCCAAAGTCTGTCAATTGGTCGGCACCAAGGGTGTACTCGTAGTCATCGAGGAATGCATATTTGCCAGTGAAATTGGCGACATTATTCTGGATCTTGATGATGGTCGAATTGTACTTTGCAGTCTTGGATGCCGTAGGGTCTCTAGCTCCATGTCTCGACAAGATTTGCGCAAATGTGACAGAGCACGTCAAAGGAACATCTGCAGGGATCTCTGATGGGACTGAAAAGTATGGCGAATATTGCCCCCAAAAGTGAGATATCTGTGGCTGACACTGATATCCACTCTGGACGCTATCGCATGCCTGAGGTTTTGGGATGAGGAGTGCTGAAGAGCTGGTGTTGTATTAGTATCTATCTCGAATCCAAGACGTTCCGCATGATCGTCTCAATTCGATCAAGACTCATACATGACCAAGCAGACCTTGCTACAAGATCAAAGCAAGTAAGGTCCAAAGATTTGTACAGAGTGTTGATTGTTGGTCGTAAGGTTGTAAAAGAGAACGACGGGCACGGAGGATGCAATGAGGAAAGAGAAAGTGATTTACCTTCCAACAACGCCCAAGGCGAGAAGACCTGCAGCAGCAAAAGCCATACTGTAAAGCACAAGACGAGAAAAACACTTTCTTCTCCCTTCATCTTCGCGACCATGGAGGTCTTTATATCCCTTCCATTTCGCCCACAAAGGGAGCACGTGGGCGGGCTTATTCGCCATATCTGTAGGGCAAGCTAGAGTTTGCCGATACCGATTTGCGTGTCTCTAGCCCGCTTCAATATGCAGTCGTAAAGGTCGCGGAGGCATATCAACACGGCATATCAGGGTGGAATAGTGAAGTCGCGAGCGAGTAGTCAAGTCTCGTCGAGGCATCCAAACACGTGGTAAGGGCACAGACCATATATACTCTTCATTAGGGTTGATAATCACATTCAAACCACATGCACACGCGGTAAAGGCAATTAAGATGAGGGCAAAGAGTAGATCTTCACAGTGCGAGGTCGGAGAAGAGAGAAAGAAGTGGTAGTGATTTATGCCTTGGTATCAACTTTTGAAAGTATGCCTAAATTCACCTAACGCCGGCGCTAGTGAATGAGATGAATGCAATTCTTCGACAGTCTCTACATAATACCCAGATAGAAAAGATTCATGCAAGTCATGTCGAAACGGAAAACCAAAACAGAAAAAGCATGAGGAGGAGAGGTCGTGATATATGGTGGTTAAGTCGTTTCTTCATCAATGGTCGAGGCGGTCGTTGGTCTGTTGGCTGGGAAGTTGAATTGGCGAGGAGACTCGGTTGGTGATGCCTCATTGATGCGAATGCTCGGGAGACGGACAATTTCGGGCAGAGTGGTCAGCGGGCTGCTGTTCTCACTTCGACGAGTACTGTTTGCCCTTGAAAGTGAAGGTCTCGACGAATGGATCTCCTCGTAAGGAGGGGCTTCTTCAAAGCCCATAGTGTCGTAATGCGGCAGCTCAGGAAGGGGTATACGACTCTCGCCCAGATCAGCATCAGCTCGAGGAAGCTGAGGGAGCTGAGAGGTCGAGGTTCTTCGAAGACTCAAGTTGATTGAATGGGCCCGAGAATGAGCGCGCGAAGAGCGTGGACGAGAGGAGGTATGCTGAAGAGAAATGACTTCAAAGTCACTGTCATCTGGGTCGGCGCTATCGGTGGTGAGGACGGAGGTGGCAGATGCCATGCGATGATGGGTGGAGAAAGAGCCGCGTGACAGCCAGGGCCTAAGAGGAGCAGCAGTGCCTGTGTTGGATGCATCATTGAGCAGAGGCCTGCTGTCCGACTCTGTAGAGTTTGCTCGTACACGAGAACCGTCGTGACGGGCAACACCAAGGTCACCGTAAGAGACAGCACTAATTCGTCTCTCTCGGGGTCTGGCGTTGTGCTCAGCAACCATTGAGTTTGAACCGTTGGCACGTTCCAGAGTAACTCGGAGGGCGGTCTCGTGTCGCAGAGCGTTCAAGGCGTCCAGATCACCTCGGGCGCGTGCTTCGCGACGACGGCGACGACGGTCTTCTCTCTCAGCAGCCTCCTGTCTGCGTGCCTGACGGATCTGCCACAGTGACTCCATCTCGGCTTCTCGCCTGCCTTCCTCCTCTTCGTTCGTCTCTGGAAACTCAACGACGGTATCCATGCCAGCTCTTTCGCCTTCGCGACCAAGAACACCCTCGTTTTCAAGTGGTACGGCGGAATATGCGGGAAGAGTGGCGATACTACGAATACTCGTATGCCTGTTGACAGCAGCTTCGGGGTCCTGGGTCATCTCTCTGGCAGCAGCAGTGGTAGGCTGGCTTTCATTACGACGGAAGGGCGACAAGATGGTCTGTATCCATGATCGGCGTGGATTTTGAGCACGGTTACGAGCGCGAGCGTCGGCCTGGGCTTGTCGAATGGCCTTGGGTAGTCGGATACTCCGTAGAACGAAGAAAAGGATGATACCGAAGAGGAGAGCGGCACCAACACTGCCTACGACCTGTCATACATGTCAGATGTGTGAGGCATCAACAAGCGCTCTTCAACATGGACTTACGATAGCAGCTTTGGTCTTCTCGGACCCGTCGGTCGTCTTGAGTGCACGCTTGGCCATGGCGACCGTGTCTGATGCTATGCGCAGCATGCCGGAAGGGCTGGCGGGCAACGATTATAAGAAGTGCAGACAGTCCACAAGACCAACCCCAACACGCCGCACGGACTTAAGGATGGAGCGACGTGAATAACGATGACGCTAGGAATGGCTGAAGTCTCGCAACGGCCGCGGGATTGCAAGTTTTGACACGCGACTGATGTCGATGGTATCGAAGTTGGCTGGTTGTTCAAACACACGGACGGTGAGGAAGTAAACACAAGTCGGTCTTTGTTCGAAAGGCCAAACGGCACGCATATGAAAAGAGACCCAGAATAGATATGAGGAGCGGAACCTCGCGGCGGCTTGGTTGGCGACTTCGTGTACCTGGAGGCTGTGCTTGCAGTGTGTGGCTTACCGGCGCGCCAATCAAATCTTCTATCTATCGTTCGAGGTCCGCTTCTGCCAAGCTCTTCTTGTAGCCGCCCCTCATCAAGCTTCCAAGTTCCCCTTTCTTCGAGCAGTCCATCCAGGTCTTCTTGTCCTGAAGAGCAAAGATGGACTCGCAACAAGCTGGCATAGATGCGAAAGACGCTCCTGCCGAAGGAATTGTCCATGCCGCCTTGTCAAGGAAACAGCCACCTCCAGAATCTCCTGATGGCATCAAGACGCGTAGATGGATCATTTTCTGCTTCTGGGCCATTGCAGGTCTGCTAGGCCTGCCTATTTGGTACGCCACGACTACTGTGCCCCGCGCCGCACTGCCCTTGGAGTCGATGGATGCCTGGGCTTCAGGTCAGGTATGCCTCGCTCTTTCGGTCTATCTTGTAACATCCACTAAACAATCAAAAGACATGTAAACTCGAATTCCCTGTGCATCTTGTCCTTGCTGCTAGCCATCTTGATACCGCAATTACCATCGATCTTGCTCAACAGGTTCAGCGAGGCTTGGACAAACAGAACAAGTCTCCCATTCACCGCTTGCGAGTTATCACATCGGGACACAGTACTGCAGATCAGTCAGCAGACGCGCCATATATTGACCCTTTGTCATCCTCGGCTATCACCAGTCAAGTCGCTGCCACGGTCAATCTCGTGCTTGACACATCCTACACTCAACCCCTAGCCAAGGTCCAGCCCTTTGACCCCATCCTTGACATCTACCACGGGTCGTTGTCGTCGACTCAGCCCTCAGATGTATCTAATCTGGCTGACTTCATTGCGAACGAACTTCTGAAGCTGTTTGCGGAGGAGCAGGTCACTCTTGACTATCTTTTGACAGGACAGACCACTCATCATGAGTCATCTGGAAGCATCGATTCCTCATCAATCATCGAGAACTACAGGAAAAGATCTAACCGTGCTTTCAAGTATGCCTCGACTTACCATCTGACATTCTCTCTCTTCACCGGATCAGCATCACCCTCCGCATGGGACATTAAAGCAGCGCTAGACGAGTACTTGGGTCCTTTCTTGGCCTCCTTCTCATCGGTCAGCAAGTTCAGTGTCGACACTCAAGTGCAGCTGTATGCATCTCTTTCTCCTTCACTACACGGCCCCCAATATGACGAGGCATCGAAGAAATGGACACTTCTGCGTTCCGATTTGAGTGCATTCATCAATGCAGCGGAGTGGCCTCTTAGTCCGAGCATCGGCGTTGGACCTACTATCAACTTTGTTGCTTACGTTCCGTCTCCCAAGCAAGCTCCCATGGTGATCCAAGAGACCGGTGGGACTAGTTGGCTGATTCCTCAATGGGGCGGTGTTCAAATATTGAATCCTTCAACAGACCAAGGAAACAACACTGCCCTCACTAAACAGGATCTCGAGCCGGTGATGCGCATTTTCGCAGAACAACTGGAGTCCCTGATTGGTCTGCCGCAATCACCATCTTCGCTTCCTCTACGACTTTCGAGTCTAACACGTGAGAGAGCAGCATCGCTTATTCTGTCGGCATCTTCGACTCTCGGAGCATTGTCTAGGCTGACGCTCAAGCTGACCAGCATTGCTATTCCAGACAATGTGGCTGATTCGGTACAAAAGACAATCCACCATCTAGAAACTGCCTGCTCCCATGTTCATGAAGGTCAATACGACACTGCATTGGAGCATGCACGAATCGCTGAAGCCCATGCGGAGCAAGCCTTCTTTGAACCATCCATGGTTGGTCAGGTCTACTTCCCTGATGAGCACAAGGTCGCAGTCTATGTGCCTCTGCTCGGTCCCATGGCAGTACCTTTGGTGATGGCGGCACTAAAAGAGTTCAAGCAGTTCAAGCAGGCACGGGCAAAGACTAGTTGATCCACCAATCGATCGTTGTTCAAGAAATCTTTATCAGGTCTATAAAGACGATCACTATAAAATTCGGGTCGACAGCCATTGACGTTACGGTGTAAGCAGTCTTGTCTGGAGCTGAGAAAGAGTCTTTACCAACTCTGGCCAACGTCAGCAGCTGAGATACAATCACACATCATTTGACGGTCACGAAGCTGGAGTAGTAGTCATATGCAGCCAGAAGAACTGCAGGGATTGGCTGGCTCTGGAGCCGTCTTTCGAGCTGTTAAGTTCTAGCGACAAGTTGTGGCTGAACACTTCCAGAAGAAGCTTCACGTGTGCAGATCAGGCCATCAGCCTGGACCCTGGAGGTGATGTGGGCCATCAAACTGTCAGACTGCTGCTCAAACATGCATTCGAGTGACCGGTTCGCTCAGAACTTGCCTCTACTATGCTGAGTCGATTACAATTCATCTCGTAACACAACTCATATCTCGTACAACTTGTCAAAGATTTCTCGACCAGATGCTCGGAGCAAGGGAGCGAGATCCCGGGGATCTGTTGGCTCGTGTAGTCGTTAGCGCGTAGCTTATTTCAATAACCCTGCGTGGAGAAATGCGGGGTGAACTCTACAGCATGAAAGCCCTCGGCCAGTCATGCAAGCCTCATGAAGCCGAAGAGGGGTGACTCGGCTAAGCTGACAAGAAATAAGGAGAGCAGAGAGATCCATAAGCCCGACTTTGTTCTTCATATCGGATACCCTTCACTGCTGTTTCTTGTATCAATCAAGCCCAAGCTCATTTAGCAATACCTCTCTCGATATTCTCAACCTGCAAAGCAAGTTAGTTGACACCAAAGATGAGCTACAAGTCTGAGGAGACGCACAAGGCAGTGCAGGCTACTCTTGATGGCGTAACTTCCAACGCTGAGACTGGTGTCGCTGGCCTGGTATTCGCAGCCATCAACAAAGATGGCGATCTCATCACGGCGAATGCATCCGGCAACCGCGGTCTGAACACAAAAGAGCCAATGGATCTGGAGACAACATTCTGGATTGCTAGCTGCACCAAGATGATCGCTACGATTGCGGTCATGCAGTTGGTCGAGCAGGGCAAGCTGGACCTCGACGATCATAAGCAACTATACAAGCTCTGTCCGGAACTAGAGAAGGTGAAAGTATTGACTGATGATGGAAAGTTGGAGGACAAGGAGGCTGAGATTACATTAAGAATGTTGCTATCGCATGTAAGTGTGCTATCTTCTGTCTCGATGCCCAATCTGACCATCTTTCCAGACCGCAGGCTTCGGCTACGAGTTCTTCAACCCCAAACTTAGAGACTACGGCCGTCCCATTGGCTTCGATGTTTTCTCTGGAGACCCGGCCGAGGTCCTGAAGATGCCGCTGGTGAATCAACCAGGCAGTAGATGGGAGTATGGAATCAATATTGACTGGGCGGGCATAGCACTCGAAAGACAAACCGGCATGACTCTGAACGAGTACATGCAGCAAAACATCTTCCAGCCTCTGGGCGTCAAGGACACAAACATGTTCCCGACCAAAGAGATGAAGTCCAACCTTGCTTCCATGCACCAACGCTGGCCAGGTAGCCAGAAGGCTGCAGAAAGAGATCATGTATACCGCGCACCTCTGGTCGCTGAGAGCAAAGAGCAGCAAAGCAGGATCCTCAACAGCGGCGGCGCTGGTCTCTTCTCTCGTCCGACAGAATATATCAAGGTGCTAGCCGTCTTGTTGAACGACGGCACATGTCCCAAGACGAAGAAACAAATTCTCAAGGCGGAGACTGTCAAGCAGATGTTCGAGAACCAGATCACGCAGATGCCTGACTTTGGTCGTCGAGGCATTCCTGACGCAAAGCCAGAGCACACCAATCCGCTTGGTGATTTGTATCCTCAGGGCGAAGTCCCACAGGTATGTTGTTCCTCTGCTCATGCATGGCTTGCATCAAATACTGACAGCCTGTATAGGGTTGGTGCCTCAGTGCCATGTTGACCATCGAGCCTGGAGTCACAGGCCGAGGCAAGAATACTGCCTTCTGGGCCGGCATTGCAAACTTGTTCTGGTGGGTGGATCGTGAGAAGGGTATTGCTGGAATGATTGCCAGTCAGGTCATGCCTTTCGGTGATCCCAATGTGATGGGTGCTTGGTTCGGTGCAGAAGGGGCCGTGTATGGTCATTTGGGTGCGTAGGCGATTTCCTGGTAGTTCTCTTGTCAGTTTATCGTAAGCTGACTGCGTACCTTCTCTCCGAAATGAAGTCTCTCCCATTCCCTCTGCTAGGCTTTGAATATCATTGATGAATGGCACAAAGGCTCTTTCGGTTGGAACTTGATTTCATGCGTGAAAAGGCAGTTCTCCACGGAGTCTGCACAGCTGAGAGCTAGGAAAGCCTTCTTTTGGTTGAGACGGCCGCTGCGAAGCCTCACGAGCCCAATTAATCGGTCTGGTTTGCAACAAAGCCCTCCTTTTCACCTGCCTGTTGCAACATATCTATGATGTGATTCAGGAGGATCGAGACTAACGTAAGCACCGGCAGCTTGATTTGAGCCGAGATAACCCACAGGATTGGGAAATGTAATTGAGTTTCCATCGCGAACGCGAAACCTTCACGATCTGCCGCGTCTCAGCGGAACCACTTTAGCTTCCCTTGGTGGTCTCATGATGAGGGCTCGCAGGTCCAAGATCAAACGTCCGCGCAGCTCCTCTCAGCCTCTCAGGGGAGGCCTGGTCGATAGAGCGAGTCGTTCCAAGATTCCAAGAATGGCTGAAAGTGGTGACGAAATTGAGTCGCGTCTTCCCGCGTCCATATCGCGTTTTTGGATTAAATCATCTTGCATGCGGGGACATCATAAAAATTGCATGGCGGGTGTGCCGTTGGAAATCGTCAAAAAGTCAAGAAGTCGTTTTTGAAACGAGGCTGCACTGTTGTCTCCACGCCAGCGGTCCTTGTAATCCTGACATAACTCGTAAGCCTCAAAATGCGGAGGAGGAGGTACTTGATACCGTGGGAGTAGATATCCGGCGAGGTCTATTGAAGACGGCTGGCTGGTGATCATGTGTGAAGCCCGAAAAAACATTGGAACGCTTCCGTTAGTTGCGTTGGTACGGGAAACGAGGGAAGACTCACGAGGTCTGATATGGACACATACGCAGTGATACCTCGCTACTAACGAGCTCAGACACACATCGCAATCCGGGGGCAGCATGGCGAGAGAAGTTACCAACTTATCGTTGCTGCTCATCGAAAGTCTCTCGAATGTCTTCGAACTATCAGCGGGTATCCATCCACAAGCGCTGATCGGGTGGTGAATGTGGAGACGGCCAAGCGACGCGCGACTTGGTTGCTGTGGTCAACAAGGATGCTGCGACGGCAAGATTGGGGTAAAGGATCAGAGGGTGTGTGGTTGAATGCTGAGTAGGAAAAAAGCAACATGCATTTACATGTGAGAAAAGGATTGAAAAGACAGTCTCAGAAGACGATGAAATAACTGGTGAAACTGTATAGTTGGAGGCTCAATTCAACTATGGAGTGGTTATACCGATTTATTAAAAGCATTGATCGAGGCTTGTTCAGACAATGCCGATCTAATCACCTAATGTAAGCATATCTCATTTAGCCTTTTGTGGGGAATCTTTTGTACAGGTACAACACAGCCAGATGCAACTTGCAGCATATGTGTAGAGCATACCGTTATCGATGGCTCGTGGCTTTTTGATAGTTTCTGGGTCTTTCTTTTTCTCTCGTTGTCGATAATGTCTTGACGAACCCTGGGCTATCAGGTATCGAACGAGAAGTTTGTTGCAGCACCTCAATGTGGATCTGCTGAGACGGATAGCCGGGATGTGTTGCCATGGAGCACAAGAGAAAAAAAAGGCGTCGGCCAAAACTTCCTCTGAGGTGGTCCGGCTCAGCGCCTTTGTATGACGGCATATGTATGTACGATGCAGTTTCGAATGCATGTGAAGGAAAAACAGTTGTCCCTCACAAAAGCATATGCGTCCACATATACCAACCCAGACTTTTAATGGTGGAGCGATCAGCTCAAAGTTCAAAGCAAGGACAACCTGACAAGGCAATGTCAACGGTGATATGTCATCCGTATCTGCACGCTGCAGGTAGTTGTAAAACTTCGCGAAAGCCTCGTCGTACGGCTTCGCTCCGCCGAGTCAATCGAGGCCACCGTGCATAGCACGACAACGAGGATTAGCAAAATCTGCAGAACTTGCAAGGGTATATCATGACTATCTGTATGATCCGAGTTCTTGCCAAACGAGGTTGACAGACTTGAGATATTGTATCTGTGCACACGCGACAGATGCCAGGAAGGCTCACCGATATATACTTTTCAGTCGTTGTTGAGAACTCATTGAGTCGCGGGATCGACGTTTCTCGGCCGGCCATCTGCATATACTGTATATATATCTGCATCGTTATGCCCAAATGATCGATTTATCAGGGCACGGAACAAATGTTTGCTACGTCTCGCACAACAGACTTGATCCGGCGGGGATGCCAACCGACGACTCATACTGAGAGTTATTGAAGGATTATTCGATATTGCATTTGATTGTTCCGGGAAAATGAGCGGTGCGAGCGACATAACTCAATTTCCCGGACATTAGCAGCACAATAGCGATCGCTTTGCATCGCCTTCATATAAAGTATGTAATCTGCAGTGAGAAAGGGGTTGGGCATGCTGCGCACGTATGAACAGCGAAGCAGCTTATGAAACTGGATATCGAAATCGCGGCGTAGGACGCGGCGGAGCGCGATAGGGAATCGCGTATTGGACGGAAGATTCAACGGCGTTAAAGTGGTTGCATATGCTGGTTGGGTGAAAGGCAGGAGACGAGGCTCTAAAACGGGGTAGATGTGCAGTTGACATGGTTGGTTTCAAGGTTCTGGGGTTGGAAAAGGAGTTCAATGATGCAGATTTGGCGCCTCTATTGGTGGATGGATGGGCATGCCGGGAGGTCGGGCGGAAGCTGATATCTCGTGCTCAAAGCTTGTGCGCAACGCGTACAAATCACAAGTAGGTATGGAGTGTTTCGCGACGTTCCGTCAGTGGCACATGTCGCATGTTTGGCGGTTGCTCAAGCCGAGATTCAGCTAAGCAGCCCCAATTTGACGTGATACAACACGACGAATGCTTGCTGCAGTTGTTCGTAGCGAACTGAGTGTTTTGTATGTGCAGACCAAAGAAAGACTGCGAGTAAGGGCGTTGTCTCCATGTCAGGCGATCTGAGTTGATATGGCTCAGAAAAAGAAGCGGACTGGTGCGGCTGCTTGTCACGTACACGTCTCCGTACCCAGGAGTAACGATAGCATCAGTGTTTGGAACGGTGAACACGGTTGCTGATCTCCTGAACGCATTGACGCTTCATGGTTAGCGGCTAGAGTAGTTAGTGGCTTCAGCCAAGATTTGGGAGAAAGCCAGCCAGAGGCCGAGAGGACATCTCCACCAGGCACAGGCATACGAGGACGGCCAGCTACGACTCGTCCGAGGTTGTCGTTTCTGCTTCTTCTCTTCCTCTTCCTCCCTCCCTCACTCTCCGCCTCTCTTCGATTGCCGATGGAGCTTTGAAAACGGTTCACTCCTGCCACCACCGCTTTCAAACGGCTACCTCTCACTCACCCTACCTTACCTTACCTCATCTCCTCACCCGTCGTCGTATAACCCTCGACCTCGACCAGACGCTCGTCGACTCTCATCATTCGACTACCGCCATCCGACATTAGGCCTCCTTCAAACCCTTTGACTCGACTACACCGTCGCTGCCGCCTAACCTCAACCTCAACTCCCAAAGCCGCCCCGACCTCTCCTCTTCGTTGAACGCAGAGCTGTGGACGGCCTATTCACCTCGCCTTGCCATCTCTATCAGCGTGCAATCTCGCTTCGACTTCGACTCGAGTTTTGATCAGTCAAAGGTGAGTGAGCATTGCTCGAACTATTCGTCTGACCTCCCCTATTCTCTGCCCTCCTTCTCCGATAGTGACGGAAATGGTTTCGATCAATCTGAAACGTGGTGCGGGGTGACGGACCTGATAGAAAGAGATGGATGGCTGTTCTGAAGAGAAAGACAAGAAAGAAGCACAAAGGGTGTTGTTGATGGTGCAATGCGTACTCGACACTGCAATGGACCAAAATGGAAAGAAAGACCTCGCACTTGCTCGTCGACATGTCAATGATGCCCTTCGTCTTGGTTATGGTCATCGATGAAGCCTACCCCGGGTTAGCAAGAGCAAGAGCCGCCATATGAAGTACCTTGGCGGTTCTGTCTCTCTGCTTGTTCTTCTTCTTCCATAACCATCATGAATATGATGGAACAATACCATTTCAGACAATGGAGCATGACATGTTATCAACACTTCAACAGTGTTGCATCGACATGGGCCTTAAGTGGGGTTTTACGTTCCGTCGCTCTCAAGGCATGGACGTTTCCAGAAAGAGATGGCGCCTGCATTCTTGATGAATGTGGGCCAGGCTTGGAAGTCGTGTCTCATTCCCAGATGGCTCCTTCCAATTCTTTTCAGACCAGCTCTGTCACTGGCACGCTGTCTTCTATTTTTTAGCATCACTGGTCAAGACTGGCGTACCTTTGAAGCATTCACTAATCTTGAAATATCACAGCTCTTCCAGCACACAACCTTCGACTCGACTCGTTCTTCCAAGTCGCTCTCTTGAAGCCCAACACTCTCTGGTGAGTCCTCCTTCCATAATTCATGATCATATTTCGGTCCCTTGCAGTGCACGTGCCTTTCATGATTGACCCGGGAATGACTGACATTCCCCAGATCTCTCTGCGAACTCCCTGTCAAAGCCCAGCCAGTTCGACGCGCCCTCATTGGAATTGGTAGAGTCGTTAGTTCGTTCTCTACTGCCTGTAAGATTGGGCTAGCACCATCCACGGCATTCCGATTTTAAGTCGATACTCGAGCCTCAATTCGCAAGGGATTCACTTCTCAGCATATTGCCTCGCTGCCACCCATTTTCCAAGGTATGTGCAATATTCGGCTTGCAAGGTCGCGTCACCTCTCCTCTTCCCATGCTCATTCATCTAGGCTCTCTTGCAGACTCCTTCTACCTGCATCTTTCAGACCTCTCAAGGCAGTCAGATCAGTCATTCTAGGACCATCTACAACAACCCCTCATCCAACTAATTACAGTCCTTCTGTTGCGTTTCCACCAACACTTTCCATTTTTCTGTCTTCACACTCACCAACCAGTGTTCATACACCATTCACTCATTAATAGATTCTCACGTGTCAATCCTGGCGAATTGACTACCGATCATCACCAACTCCACATCCCAAGCATGGCTTCCACAAAGACACAAGCCAACTACGGCTACTGCGAGAGCTTCTTCGTTGAAAGCTACGACGACACAGACGGCATCTTTGCCAGAGCAGCTGCTGAGCGAGAGAGATCACGTGCAATGTCCAAGGTCCAACAAAGACACATGGCGGCCGACTTGTCTCGCTTGACGAGTGAAGAGTACCTGAACGATGTGCTTGACCACATGGAGGTCATGGAGGTGAGATCTTCGTTCACTTTTCTTCTTGATGCACGTATTGACTATTCGTAGGCCGAGACGATGCCGGACATCAACTCCATTGAGATCCAAACCGAGATTCAATGGTTCATGCGTCCCTACCTCCTCGACTTCCTCCTCGAAGCACATCATGCCTTCCAGCTCCTTCCCGAGACTCTGTTCCTTGCCGTCAACCTTCTTGACAGATACTGCTCGAAGCGTGTCGTCTACAAACGTCACTACCAGCTGGTCGGTTGTGCCTCATTACTCATTGCCGCCAAGTACGGTGATCGTAAGGAGCGCGTGCCCACCATCAAGGAATTGAAGTCCATGTGCTGCTCCCTCTACGATGACGACATGTTCACACAGATGGAATGGCACGTCTTGCAAACCCTCAACTGGATCGTCGGCCACCCCACAGTGACTGGCTTTCTCGAGATTGCTCTCAACGAGACTTCGGCCGACACCGAAGTACAGAACATGGCTACCTACATCTCAGAAATGGCTCTTTACCACAAGGACTTTATCCCCGTGCTGCCTTCAGTCATGGCCAGGTCATCGCTCGCTCTTTCCCGCTACGTTCTTGGTCGCGCTCAAGTAAACCAACCCGAGTGGGCTGCTAGATACGACGCCAATGTCGTCATGGACTTGTCAAACCAGCTCGCCCGTCCTTCGCAGGCTCTCTTCCGCAAATACTCGTCCTCTCACCTCTCAAACGTTGCCACAACTCTGGAGCAGTTCTTGCAACGCCAGAGTATGATGCAAGCACAGCAGACCGTATCACAACAACCATACCCCTCGCCTGCACAGTCTACCCTGGATGTCCAGCAGGTGTCTGGTGCCATGATGACCCCTCAAACTCCTCAGAAGCATGTCTACGCTGCAGTACCCATCGGCGTCCTTACTCCTCCCGAAACCCCGGAGAAGGACTTCTACGACAACCCAACCTACAACGTAAACCAGAACTTGATGCACCGCCTTCATGCCTGCACAACCGTGAACTCCGCACAGAACGTTCAATCATACCCGTACAGCTCTTACCCGACATCATACCCGTCACAATGAGCTGTCACCGGCGCATTTTTTGACGCTTCACGTTCTTCTGCTGTAACAACATGTATCAGCCAGTCTCATTGCACCCTCGACTTTTCTCTTTGCATTGCAAGCGTTCCGCATACATTAGTAGTCTTTACTTCCAGCGTTTCTTTTCTCATCGCCCATCACCACCCGATGGTCAGCATCTGCACATTACTACCTCGAACATACTTATGACGGCCGCAAACACATGCAGAGCCAAGTCTGCCACTACAAGAAAACACAGAGAAAAAAAACTCAAAGTTGCTCGACAATGATGAATACCTCACACGGGTCTTGCTTCGACCCGTGTTTTGTTGCTTTCCTTTATTTTTTGGCCCACGCAGGCTTCAAAAAACACCAAATTGCAAATTTTGCTGGAGGAAAGGGGATACCAAGTTGTTCGCTCTTTTTTTCTTTTTCTTTTTTCTCATCTTCTGCATACCCACAAAAAAGGCCAAAGAGGCTCTTCCATAACACAAAAAGCAGATGTGTTTCGAATACCAAATAAAAAAATCTTTTTTAAAAAAAATCTCTTTCCTGTGTGACTTGAAAATCATTTTTTTTCTTCGTGTGACTTGAAGCCATGATAGAAACGTGCAGCGGATCTCTTGTGCCGACTGTAGTTTGTTGTTATCCCTTGCCTCATGTAACCAGGTTATCACCACATGCATCTCAACAACAAGCAATATGCGGGCTGGACGGATGACATGGTACACGACAGGAGCATGCGATGCACCTTTAAACCCAGTTTGGCTGGGGTGGATCTGGTTGCACTTCACATGTTTAGGTTCCACTGAACATACGCGTGTATCTGTCATAGCTTGAGTACCACCTTGCATCTAGATTTCTACATCTACTGTGATCATGCAACTATCCCGCCATGTCTAGAACACAGCATTTCTCTTGTATATTGTACATACATATTAAACCAGCAAGGTAAGTGGAGGAAGAGCAGAGTTTTCCCTGCTCTGCTGCTTGCTTGCTTGCTTGCTTGCTTCCTTCCTCACCGCTGCGGTTTCAATTCTTCCCTCTACTGCTTTACTGGTTCCAGAAACTGACGATCGTTTGGGCAACGATATCGGCATCTGTGACGGGAAGTTCGTGGCCACCGTCTAAAATGCATATGTCAACTGCATCCCCCAAGACCGCCTTTGCATCCTCAGATATCTCGTCTGCGATGATTACATTGTCGTCTTTGCCTAACACCAGCAGCATTTTTTTCTCCAGAAGACGTTGCTGTGGAGAAGGGGATGATTGATTGGTGGCTATGGTTTTCCAGGATGAGTGTTGGTTGCTGACGGGTGCGTGTTGGATGCTTGAGATGAAGGAGGGGATGAACCCGGCGTGGTGGGTGAGTTGCCAGGATACGACGTCTGCTATACTGACGGAGGGTCTGCGTGTGGAGATTGCGGCGGAGGAGTCGCGGGTCAGTGCTGGATGGGATGGTGTTTCCTCTTCTGCTGCTTGGGTTGGCGTGATTTTGTCATCATCTTCATTGCTTCGAGATGGTGTAGAAGCATTGCCACCGCCGAGACGTCGCCAAATCAAGTACTCGACTAGTTTGCCAGGAATGAAGCCGCCGTAGAGGAATCTGCTTGTCCAGTGGATGTGGTTGGGACGCATGAGGCCTGCTGGGGCGATGAGGATGAGAGACTCGACAAGATTGGGAAAGTACGAGGTAAACGATGCAGCGACACCGCCGCCGAGAGAGTATCCGACCAGACTAAATCGGTTGTTTTCTCCTGTCCAGCTGATTGGGGACGATGAAAGGACTAGCAGGATTTGAGTTGTGAAGAGCTGAATGTCTTGTGGTTGGGAATTGGGATCAGGGGTTGATGAGAAGCCTCGTCCAAAGAGGTCTGGACATTCGAGAAGTTAGCACATAAGCATATCGCAAAAGGAATTGCGTCTTTGTAAACTGCTAGGGAGTAAAACAGAGGCTGTGGGTCGTCTGGTGCTTGATCTATTTCAATGTCATCTTGGCTGATGTGGTGACCCTGTTCAGACCTATAGCACTCCAGATCTCTTGTTATCTCATGAATCAGACGTTATACAAAGATCGTATAAGACTTATGTAATTATGACGGATTTATGAATTTTTCTCTCTCTTTATATAACGTCTAAGATCTTAATGAACTCGTTTGGTGAGAGGTTGCCACTAATCGGTTAAAATCCATGATTTTTCGACCTGTTTTTTCGATAGCTCTACTACAATTCTACGAACGGCAACTAGTTATTACTACTAGTAGATGCGCACTACTGTGTTCTATAGGTGCGCATATTTTATATATCCCTATCGAGTGGCAATAATGCGCAAAACGCTAATCCTTAAAATGAGAACTGGGAATTAATTACAGAAGGTAAAACAAACAAATAAATCAGACAAGTTAAAAGCTAGCAAGAATAGTCAAAATAGCTAAAATAGCTATTTTTCGACTTTTTGTCTAAGAAATAGATAGAACAGACGTATAGGTTACTAAATCAGCTTTAATAAAGCGGATAGCTGCTTTAGTTGGATGGTTATTAATTAATTAGTGAAATGGCTAGAATTCGTCGTCGTATTGCGACCGAAGCCCCGGGCGTAATATGAACTTCGACGACGAATTCCTAAAATCATCTCTGTTAGTAATAACTCTACTAAAACAGCGTATTTTTGACTAAATTTTAGACTGTTATATAGCTATATGTTAGGTCTATGTTTTAGGACTAATATTACCTATACGCCTTATAGTGTTGAATTATGGTCAATTTTTGACGTCTGTTCGAGAGGGAGATAGCTATTTCAAAATTTGAGAACTTGTATACCGTTACTAAAAGACGTTTATTCAGCCCTTAGACGCTAGAACGACACGTCGTTTCTAGCCCTCTAATTGGCTAACACCCTGCATAAATTTGTGCGACGGGGCTCGTTCTAGCGTCTGATTAATGAGATAACTTGACACACACATCTCACAATGACCCTGTAGCCTTTCTAGAAAGCCTTGGCCATGTATAATGGTCATCTATACGTTGCAACGTCGTATGAAGGTGATTAAAGGTCGACGTGTTTTTTTCCCTTCCACTGGGACATCCCAGTCTCGGACGCAATGATGGAGAATAAAAAAGTAGCACTCACCAAACAACATTACTCGACAACCTTTCGTTACTAGCTCTTCTGCGAGTCCTACTAGCGCTATACAGGGTGTACTAATCCCATGCACGAGCAATACCTTCCTGCCATCCTCTGGCCCCCATTCATAGACTCGTATGCTGCCAAACGGCGTTGCAACATCTCTCGCTCCCTCGAGAGCATCAGGAGCATGAGGAAGCCTATCCTGTTGCTGCTTCGTCAGGTTCTTCCGAATATAGGGCAATGGTGAGTCGATGATCCGGCAAGGTTGGTGGAGGTTGCCATAATACTGTGAGGTTAGAATGGTCGTAAGTCCAACCGAGGCCACGGCTCCAAGAGCCAGGAACTTGAGATCTCTTGCTGTTACGTTCATTGATAAGTATATATGTATAGCAGATCCTTTAGAAAGCAATTCAGCATTGAGGTTGAACTGTTCGCCCTCATGGGACATCTATAGCCGAGATGCCGCAGGATACCGAGGCTTTGCCGCTGATAAGGAAGGAGGACAACAGTGATCGTCATTCTGTGGTTCGTAGGGCGTTGGGCAGACATACGTGATAACAGTTGTAAATTGAATCCGGAACTTGAGGTCAACTCTCTTCCACAAGTTTGATTTGACAACATTGGTATAATACGGAATCATGGCTCAAACATTCGATGTCACTGCTCTCCGCAAGCACTTTCCCGCTTTGGATAAGAAGCAGGTGTACTTTGATAATGCAGGTGGAAGTCAGGTCATTCAAGAAGTGATTGACTCGTGAGTGTATCCTTTACAATACTCTGATCGAAGTGCTGAAACTGTAGCAGTGTCTCCGAGTATCTGTCTGGTACAAACGTGCAACTGGGTGCTTCGTACCCGGTGGCCCAGAAGTCAACCAATCTGTTTGCAGCAGGCAAGGATGCTGTAGCCAAATACATCAATGCCAATTCAGATGAAGTTGGTGAGTTCGAAGTGATCCGTACAAAGAAAGATAGGAATTGTTAACATCGACTCTGCACAGTTCTCGGGCCTTCAACCACTCAACTGTTCCGCAACCTGTCTTTGGCACTGTACGAACACCTCACACCCGGCTCAGAGATCATCCTCTCCAAACTCGACCACGAAGCGAACGTAGCATCATGGCTCCAAATGGCCGAATGGAGAAACCTGACCGTCAAATGGTGGGATGCTCCCGACAAGCAAAACCCCAAACTCGAACCTTCCGTCCTCAAGTCTTTACTCTCCGAAAAGACAAAACTGGTCTGTTGCACACACACTAGCAACATTCTCGGTACGATCAGCGATATCAAGCAGATTGCCAAGACGGTGCATACCGTGCCTGGAGCTTTGCTATGTGTAGACGCTGTGGCATATGCACCCCACAGACAAGTCGATATGCGAGACTTGGATGTCGATTTCTATTGTTTCTCATGGTACAAGGTGTATGGCCCTCACATTGCCATGCTATACGCCAAGCAGTCAAGCCAATCGAGTTTGCAAACCTTGGGCCACTATTTCAAGGGCTCTGCGACATTGGAAGATAAACTTGGACTCGCAGCTGCCAACTATGAACTCACTGCTTCAATCCCCAAAGTATGCGAGTACCTGTCTCAGATTCCTTGGGACGCAATCTCCGGTCATGAGGAGAAGCTGCAGGGTATTCTGATCGACTACCTCAACTCGAGGAGTGATGTCAAGATTTGGGGTGAGCCTGTCGCAGATGCTGCAAAGCGAGTCCCAGTCATCAGCTGGACTGTCGACGGGCGTAGCAGCAAAGACATTGTTGACGCTGTCGAGGCAAAGAGTGACTTCGGTTTCCGCTGGGGTGCTTTCTACTCGAACCGTCTGGTCCAGGAAGTCATGGGCCTTGATCCTGTGGACGGTGTGGTTAGAGTCAGTCTTGTGCATTACAACACAGAGGACGAGATCAAGCAGTTCGTAAAAGTGTTGGATGAGGTGCTCTCTAACTAAGCTACTCGAGACGTGCAGTTCGCCATAACGAGCGGAGGATTTGCACCAAGAATACCCAATTCTCTCCTGCTATTAAGAGTAGTTCAAGAATGTGTCGATACCTCATAATTTCCAAAAAGAAGGCCGTTCAAGTGTTCATGCAATCATAGCCATGCAATGTACCTCTATAATCTCTCGGCAGGCTGCTCAATCTCACCAATAACGCTCCTCAATATCTCGGGGACGATTTGGGCAGCGTCGCCTTCGAAGAACCAGTCACTATCTGAGATGCCACCAGCGGGAGCATCTGCGCGATCTGCGTTGATGACCGCAACTCGAGCTCCTTTGGCTCTCGCACGGTCAACGTAACCAGCAGCTGGGTAGACTTTGGCACTCGTACCAATTACCATGATCAAGTCAATCTTGTCAGAGTCGACGATAAAGTCATCCACGGTGTTGATGACCTTGCTTGGAAGAGCCTCTCCAAACCAGACAACGCCAGGCCTCAAAAGACCCTTGTGACATTCTGGACATTTTGGCAGGTCTGATATTTTCACCGAGGGTAGATGAATGTTTGCGTCTGATATGTCCAGCTCTTTATGTTCCTGTTTGGCTTGCAAAGCGTCCGAGACGGCGTGACGGGCTTCTTTGGTGGTAGGATCTGATTCGTCTAGCGGTATCTTGAGGGCGGGTACAATGGGGTCGGTAAAGTTTTCGGCATGGTATGAGCAATAGAAGGAGGTGCACTTGACGTTGAATAGACTGCCATGGAGCAGTTGAAGCTTGTCTGAGGGATGTTTCGCACGTTGTGAGAGGCCTAGGTCATGCTGTCAGCTCAGGGAGTGGATTGTGTGAGAGAGGTAGACTTACCGTCGACATTCTGACTGAGCGTCATGAAGCCTGGATTCTTCCTGGCTAACTCGGCCAAAGCGAGATGGGCTCTGTTTGGCTGAGCCTTGAGAGCCATGTGACGACGATAGCTGTAAAACTGCCAGACCAGAGCAGGGTCGGCATTGAAAGCCTCGGGTGTCGCTAGAGAGGTGGCATCATGAGTCCTCCACAAGCCTCCTGCGCCTCGGAAGGTAGGTAGTCCAGAAGAAGCAGATAATCCAGCTCCGAGCAAAGCCAAGATGCGTTTCGACGACTGCAGATGAGCAGCAAAGGATTCAATGTCCGAAGACATTCTGAGACGTGCTGGCAACACTTTGGCGAGATGATATATAAGATGATGCTGAGTATGCGACAGATGTTCAGCGCCGTCGCAGCCGTTGATGCTCTCTCAAGGCATAGTATACACCAGGCAGGCACGAGGGATGATAAGCCTCGAATGAGACACAAAATCCTGTGACGTATGACCGAATCTGTTGCCGATGCTCGTCCCCGCAATCTCGAATTATAAGCTTTGGCCTGTGCTTCTTCGGAGTTTATGGACAGGGTCGCCGATCTAAGTTTAAACCATGGCCCGAGTCGTGACATCTACTGACACACGACAAGACCAAGCATGAGAAGCAGTCGCAACTTGCTGAGAGCCGTTTCAAGGCCTCGGTCAGTCCTCTCACTTGCCAGACCATCATGTCTGCCTCTACACTACCGCCGAACCATGGTCTCGGCTGCCGACCTGCAGTTTGGCCAGCCTTTGCATGAGACACATCCACATCTCATTGCGCCGGGAGACTGTAATGTCCTCCCGCTGATCGGAATTCTATACGGACCCACGCTTACTCCTCTCCAATCCAGTGACTCCCGGAATTTCTGCTCTCGAATATCACCACCGTCGCGCAAACCTCGCCAAAGCACTCCCGAAGAACAGTATCGCCGTCCTTGCCTCGTCCGATATTAAATACCGTTCCGGCGCCGTCTTTTATGAGTTTCACCAAGAACCGAACTTCTTCTACTTGACCGGTACACACATGCCACTGGTCCGCTGTTAAGAGATGGTCGCTGAAATATGATCACGCAGGCTTCAACGAGCCTGAAGCACTGGCAGTTATTGGTGGGTGTGTCGCAATTCCGTTATACAAGAAGACAATTAGCTCATATTTCTCCAGAGAAGGGTGATTCGGACGTTGAATACACTTTTCACCTATTCGTCAGACCCAAGGATCTCAAGGCCGAGCAATGGGACGGTGCCCGAAGTGGAATTCAGGCTGCATTAGACGTCTTCAACGCCGATGAGGTATGTGATTGAGATTCATACGCTTCGGAATCGAGTTGACCTTTTCACAGGCGGGCGACATCAACCGATGCCATGCTGTTCTCCCAGACATCATCGGACGCGCAAAGGAAGTCTACACCGATCTACTCGGTACTGCCAGCAAGTCTGCTTTCAAGCGTTATTTCTCTAGCTTGAAGCAGGTCCCATCAGAGGGATTTGGCAAGCTCCTCCAGAAAAACAACGTTCGACCACTGAGACCTATCATGAACAATCTTCGTGTCAAGAAGAGCGAGGCAGAGATATTGAATATGAGAAAGGCCGGCCAGGTTTCTGGAAGAGCTTTTACGGAGACTATGAAGACACCCATCTCCACCGAGAAAGATCTTTGGACTATGCTCGACACTGGATTCAAGATTGGTGGCTTGGATGGCTCAGCCTATGTGCCTGTTGTTGCCGGTGGCAAGGTACGGCACGATCACTACTTAAAGCTTGTGTAGTACTGACAGTCATTAGAATGGTTTGAGTATCCATTACACTCGCAACGACCAGACCCTCAAGTACGTGCGCATACGAGGCCAGTAATTCTTTGGCTGACAATCAATGCAGGGAAGGCGAGCTCGTGCTTGTTGACGCTGGTGGTGAATATGGTGGCTATATTACCGACATTACACGCACATGGCCAGTCAACGGCAAATTCACAGACCCGCAGAGAGAGTTGTATGAGATGATCCTCAAGGTCCAGAGAAGCGTGGTATCGCTCTGTCGTGAGGACGCTGATCTTTCGCTTGACAAGTTGCATCGCATCACCGAAACTGGGTTGCGCGATGGACTGAAGTCTTTGGGTTTCAACATGGAAGGCAATGTATGTGCCCTGGTGGTGAAACTACCATCGAACATAACGCTAATGTATAAAGGCTCTCGAGACATTATTCCCTCACCATGTCGGGCACTATATTGGTCTGGATGTTCACGATGCCCCAGGACACCCAAGAACCGGAAAGCTAACTGCAGGAGAGTGCATCACGATCGAGCCGTGAGTAATGTAAAAATAGTGAATGAGGCATTCAAGCACTAACGCAAAGCAGGGGAATTTATGTTCCAGAAGACGAGAGGTGGCCAAAGCACTTCCAAGGATTGGCAATTCGGATCGAAGATAGTGTGTGCATAACAGAGGAACATCCTTATGTGTTGACAACAGAGGCAGTAAAGGAGGTTGTTGATATTGAGGCCCTCAGGCGTTAGGGGATGTTTACCAACAAAATAAAAGAAGTGGAACGCGCTAAGCGGAGACTAATTAGTGCAGAATGATGTAGTTGCCGGGGCTGCATACAGATAGGCTTTTGACAGGCAAGTTGTGGACATGTGCAATGCTAGGATGCAGGAGCGTCGGGACAGATAAATAAAGTCGAAATAGATCGAGGCCGCTGTCAAGCGATGATCAGGAATGTAGACGAGACAATAGAGCAAGAAATAGAAGAATCGAGGTTGAATTGGTGGGTATCATGTTGTGCGGGGAGTTGTGAGTTGTGCATACAGACGCTCGAACGCGCGAAGCTCGGAGGCTCTCATCAGTCAGGGAAAGAGCATGCACACATCAAAACATCCACATCCATCTCGACTCGTCGCGTTTGCAACTGCTTCCAGTCCATATTCGCTCCTTTCACTTCTCCTGTGTTCGACTCTACTATCTCGACTAATCTTCCAGTCTCCTCTCTCTTGTTACCTCGACAGCGCTGCTAGAATGTGCCAGTGAGCGCGTCCGAGTCGCGTGCAAAGCCGTCCACAGACAGAGACAGCACCACCAGCAAACCCACTACATGGCCACCCTGTCGGCCCTCTCAAACATGTCCAGCAAGCGGCTCCCGCTGGCCAACAATTCAAATGCCGTCAACTCTCCCTTCCGTACCGTCAACCCCATCTCTGGCAAGCGCTCTAGAGCCCAAGACCCGCGTGACGCCGGCCAGCCTCCTCTTAAAAAACAAGTCCTCGATCTCGACCACGATGAGAACCAACAACCGCGTTCCTTGATCCGTCAATCCCTGGCTCAGCAAGAGAAGGATGCACAATTGTTCTTGAAGAAGCCTGGCAATGCCCCTCCGACTGCCTTTGAGAGGAAACTTGCTGCTGCCAGGAAGCCTCCATCTGCGCAGAAGCCCGTCCAGAGGACTGCAGACAGTCTCGAGAGCATTCGTCAATGGCAACGGCACTATAGAAAGGCTTTCCCTCAGTTCGTCTTCTACTTCGAAAGTGTGTCTGATGACGTTCGAACAAAGGTCTCGAGACAGATTCAATATCTTGGCGCCGTACGCTCTTCTTCTTTCCACATACTACTACACCATGCTGACCTCAAGTAATAGAAAGAGGAAAAGTTCTTCTCGCGCTCTGTCACTCATGTGGTCACGACCCGTCCTATTCCTCCAGAACTTGCCTCGACAAGTTTCGAGGATGGTCATAGCACCTCTAAGAATGACTCTCACCATACTTCATTGAAGACCATCGACCCTTCTCTCCTTGATCGTCCTCAAGACTCTACTCTGACCGGCGCCCAGAAGAAGACTGCTGATCTCCTCGAGGCCAGTTTGCAAGGTCGTACTCAAGCCTCCGCTGCCCAAAGGTATTGTTCTGCCTACCACATCACCTTGCTGCCCTCACTGACACGTTTCGTTCCAGTCTCCAGACTGTCGAGCCACGCAAGCTCGGCGTTCAAAGCAATGATGTCTTGTCCAAGGCTAGAGAGCTTGGTATCAAGATCTGGGCTTTGGAGAAGTTGCAGCGCATGATGACAACCATGTTCGATACTGATACCGGTGAGCAACCTAATCAGAGAAGACACATCGTCTCAACTTTGTGTAGAGGAGAGAAGGCAGACTTGCAAACACTGCTGCGAAATGAAAAGGTCATCGGACCTGCCGACCGTGATCTGGCTGTCGCTGCTCAGGACTCGGTTCAGTTCAGAGGAAACTACATCTATGTTCACGATATGGACGAACGCACTCGTCCTGTCATGGTTCGCGACTATCCGAAGGTCACCCATAAGGAGGAGGGTAAGTGGCCGCAGTTCCGTCTGACCCCCATAGGAAGATGTCCGTTCGTCGAAGACCCATCGCACACCAAGAAGCTGCGTCTGGCTGAAGAGCAGAAGGCTGCAGATGCAGAGAAGGAACGCAAATTGGCCGCCGGTATCCCCGTCACTCGCAGTCGAGCTGCTGCTGGAACAGGACCATCCCAGTCCACGACGTCTCAGCCGAAGGAGCCTGTAGAGCGTCAGGACAAGCCCGAAGTTGTCGATGACCATGTGAAGCCTCTGGATCCTCCGAAGAATATTCCCAACAAGAGGCAAAACTCTATGGATACTGGCAGCATGCCCGCACTGTTCGGCAGCACTCAGGCCAACATGAGAGGAGCACCTCGATTCATTGGGGGAGAACCTGTCGCGTCAGGAGTTCAACCTTCGAACATCACATCCGCTATTCGTTCGCAAATCGTTTCATCTACCATCTCCTCGACGGCACCTGGAACCCGTAACATTGGCGCAAGCAAAGAGATCACCGCCCTGAAGCGCAGAGCATTGGAGAGAGGAGCAAGCGTCAACTCCAACGATCCACTGCAATCATCCTACCTTACCGACATGCGCGCAGCGATCAACGGTGATCGTCAACAAGCGCCTAGAGCAGCCAAGCGCAAGGCACAAGAGACTTTGGGACACATTCGTGAAGAGGGCGAAGAGGACACAAGCCGATCCCGTCGTACACAACAGGTCCGCAAGAAGGTGGTCGTAGAGCGTGAGATGAAGGCTGGATATTGTGAAAACTGCAGAGACAAGTTCGACGACTTTGACGCTCACTGCCAATCACGCAAGCACCGCAAGTTTGCAATGGCTCCAGAGAACTGGTCCCAACTGGATGATCTGCTGAATCAGCTCGAACGTCCGCTCAAGAAAGTCTAATAAGACCACTCACACGCACAATATCGCGTGCACACACAACTCAGCTCATCCACGACGACTACCACTCGTTGAACGGTATCGATTCATATATTTAACCACACCACACCACTGAAGTCGACCAGCCACAGATATGAGTGGCTACGATAGTCTGACACGAGACAAGATTCTATGTTATTTGATTATTGTCTGTTTTTTGGGGGCGTTTTATACCTTCTCATGGGGAGGCACATTCTGTTTTTATCAACGCATCGGCGGCAGGAAAAGAATCAACGAGGGGAGGAAGAGAAGAAGCAGCATGCATTGTTTGCAACTATTGTGTTTTTACAACTGTCGAGAAAGGGCAAAGGAGAGACTGTGTTGGAATGGGAAGGAATGGACCGGGCAGGAACGAACCGAAAGTATTCTATTTGAGCATGGTGGGTACTTGGTCCTGCCTTCCCTCTCTCTCTGTGTGGGTCTCCTTTCCTCCAACTCGCATCACAACTGTTCGAGCGGATTTCTGAAGGAAGTACGATATCGATGTGCTCATGAGCGAGGGAGATGCTGTATCAGAGAGACGTGTGTCGGAAGTATTAGCTAGTTCAGTTTCCACTCTTCTTCAAACAACCCTCTTAAGTAATACTACGAATGGAAGAAAGAACTCTCAAGTGTACATGATGCCAAAAGATTGAACATGCATTCTTCCACGATCCATGAGCTGACAGCAGGTCCAGCAACGCGTTGTTCGCTCTCACCTGATGTATATGTTTGAGTGGGCGGCGACCTCCATCTCGGGACTTGAACATGGTGGTAGCAAACCGTCTTGGAGTCACTGCTCTTGCGAGACGCGATGTTGATATGGATGTCGCCATTCCCTCTTGTTCTGCGAGATTGGCTAACATGGGAAATTCACACTCAGTGATGCCACAACCAGGTTGGCCACACTAATAGTACTAAACAGCACTCTCTCCTGTTGAGATCATCGTAACGGCTTACAGCAATGCCTTTCACTCTCGATGAATCTGAGTTTCGATCTTTCCGAAAAAGGATCGTACATTTTGTTACAAGTGTGGTTTCTATAAAGTTGGGAGAGCCCGAGGAGGGACAATCTATTCTATCAGTTCCTTCCATCTACCGGAGCGATATTCGTAGAAGCCTGATTTCCGACACTCACACATTCAAACACCTTTACCGATGTCCCAAAATCTCTTCCTCATCAAAAATAACAGCAATAAAGTTGATAGCAATTCACCAGTATGAAAATCCCACAAACAGTGACCCCCCCAGAAAGTGCAAAACCCCCAAAATTTCCCAACCCCGGGATTCGAACCCAACCTTTTCCCCACCGAGAAAAAAAAAAGGGTTTTCCAACCCACGACGGAGTGATGAGGAGAGGTAGGAAAAAGAGCAAAAGAAGTAAATTCCGACACGGGGAATTGAACCCCGGCCTCCTCGGACCTGGTTGTGCTGTTTGAAGGCGCGGTTTGAGAGCGAGAAATCCTAGCCACTAGACCATATCGGATTGATGAAGAAACGGCGGGATTGTGAGTTTATCTCCTACCGCAGTGTGGCTCAGCTGGAGTTGGTCGTCTGGTGCTTGTGGAGGGCATCTAGGGGAGAAGTTGGAACAGAGAGTGCATGGATTGTTCTCTTGTATGATTGATGGAGGGTTCATTTGTTTCTACAGAGCTAGAAGGATCCTCACTCGGACCTTTGTCTTCGGACCTATCATTGTTTCTGTCCGCTTTCATACCAGCTGATGAAGAGCCAATGAGCTGTAAAAGAAGTTTCGGTGTTGATCTTGTGCAAACCTGTAGCTATGAAAAATCACTTTGCTCTACGGCGATGCACACACCACTGCTTGCTTAGCAAATACCATTGCATGTTATTCCCACACAAGGACTGCTGATCTACACAAAGAGTCCACAAGGCACTGAATCCAAAGAGGAAGGATCGTAAAACACTACGCAGTAGCAGGCATTCACACAATTGGGGAGATGTAAAGAAAAAAGCCACCCCTCCAATCTCAAATTTCCTAACCCCTGTTTCAGACGTCCTACCTCCAAGATTTTCCCCTAGTACAACCAATGTCCCCATCACCACAAGGACTCCTTGGATCTGTCTACACCTCACCAGAACCTCAAACTCAGTCAATATATGTTGTCCTACCGAAAAAGGCAATCATAAACCAATACCAGCAAAGCTGGCTCATCTTCATTGGTCTAGTGGTCATGATTTCCGCTTGTCAAGAGTTAAACATTCTCGTCAAGCGCGGGAGACCGGGGTTCGATTCCCCGATGGAGAGCATCCTCTTTTGTCATTCTCTTTTGCTGCCTGCCTCTTCTTTAGCTACGATTATGTCGCGGCAGCTTTTCCTTTTGGATAGTCGTGGTGTGGGGCAATAACACGAGCTTGTGGTGCATGCACATCACGACCTTCTTGTTATACTCTCCACATGGGTGATGAGTGCCGGCGTCTGACCATTATTCTTTTGAGGGTCAGGTGTTTTCATACTCCTGACTCTGTCCACAGAGTGTCACTCCTCCTCGTTCTTATTAGAGAATTGCATTGTGTCATCCGCCGGACACATCGAGCGTGTCGATCTGTCAGAATTATATAGGTCTGGTCATAGGTATTTCAGGATAATCAATTTCATCGTGTATCTAGGGAGGGAGCCCTGATCATCACTATCTTGTAGAAACTCCATCACCCCACATACCGCTTCTTGTCGTCTGCGGATAAGTTGTTCAACTTGCGAATCTCGGTCCACCTGCTGAATGATCCCATCTCGAGAAAGTTCATACGTCTCATCTTTCCCGAAGGGTTGCCAATCACCACAGGCTTCCAGTCCTGGTCTGCTCTTGTGTCAAAGCTTCCTCCTCCACGAGACCCAAAGGCACCATTCGGGATCACTTGGACAGATCTGAAGCGCCACATGACGAGTGACAACAGCATTGTCAAGCCGAGCAAAATGCCGACTGTGACTCCAGTGGCCGCTTGCGCTCCAAGAGCTCGGGTCATGTTGCCACTCACTGCGGTTGCAGCGGCTGCGAAGAAGAATCCAATACCTTGAGCAGCGAAGATACCAGCACACACACGTGGGTAGGACGAATAGTTCGTGCGTCTTCTTCGAGTGGCGCTTTCCATACTTTGCAAACGGTGCTTGCTGTTCACTCCGGGTTGAAGGTCGCTAGTGTCGAAAGCCTCCATTGCCAAACCAATGCATTCAGCAACGGCGAGGCATGCAAGGAAGCCAATGATAGCAGCAAGAACAGTGGGGCCAGCTGCTTTCACAATGGGCCCAGGAGAGGCTAGTACGTACGCAAGACCAGCGATCGGCAGAGCGAAAGTGAACAGACATCTTCTGAGCAGATGTGACGACCATGTAACACGTGCTTCGAAGGTGCCACTGTCGGTTCGTGTTGGTTGAACTCTGTCGCGAGAGAAAACATTGGCCTTTGTCAGTGGGACAGCGAGCGCTGCGCCCACTGCGACAGCAAAGACTGCGAGTCCGATGTACTGAGGCTGCCACCTGTAGTTACGAGAAAGCAATGCACCCAGGAGCTAGGTCTAGTCAGCAGATGCGAATGATGTCAGGGCAAGCAAGACTTACCAATGTGATGAGCACAACCAAGGCATAGATCCAAGCCAAGTACACAGCGAGTACAAAAAAGCCGAACTGGCAAAACATATGGCCCATGAGCCGCATGCCAGCCCAGACTTCCTCCCACCAGTACTTGGGACCGTCTTGGTCAAGATGAAGCTTGATCTCGCCACGTGCAACACGTTTCTTGAGCTTTTCGTCCTCGTCCATATACCTCAAGACCGATCGTCGATAAGGAGCGCGGCGTGTCTCGGGTGCAATGACGTTGATCAAGATGAAGAAGGAGAGTAATATGACCACGACGTAGAAGCCCCATGCCGGAGCAAGGTGCTGCGTAATTGAAGCACCGATGAGGAAACCAAGAGAAAGGGATCCAACGAAGCACCATGACCAGAGGCCTAGCCAGATCCCCATACCTCCGCCTTGACGACGGACATCATCGTACACGACAATCTCTTGATGAGGGTTTCGGGATTGCAGTGATGCACCGAATAAATCGAGCAGAGTTGACAGAAAATTGATGTGCGCGAAGCCAAGAACAAATCCGAGAAAGAAGCGAGGAACAAGCAGACCAACAAGAGCCTTTGTCAGATGAGGACCTCTCGCAAAAGCTGTTGCAATTGACTGTGGAAACTGGAGCGGGATCGCGACCGCAAGTGCTGCCAGAGTGTAAGGTCTGCGTCCGTGCAGAAGCGGTAATGGCCAGAAAATGAGTGTAGTGATTCCCATGCCAACGTAAAGCCTTCAAGTATGTCAGCATCGAAGCAAACGATGTGATCCAAACATTCATTGACTCACAGCACGTTTCCCAATATTACATGGTGATGCTCATCTCCTAGCTTGTACTGAATCTTGGGTACTTCGCCGGCCTGAGAAGATTAGCCTGGATGCACTGTCAGACGCTGCAATCAGTACTCACATAGACACCTGCAATTAATCCGACAAGCATGGTATTCAGACAGGCAACAACGGCGGTGATGCGTTTGCGGCCGATCTTCCATTCTCTGGCGATGGGTGAACGACGATATCTGTGGAAGCGGAAACCTTGCTCGTCTCTCAAGCTGATGTGGTTCTTGCGTGGATGTTTCAAGCTCAAGTCTGGAGATGGGACGTTTGCTGGAGGAGGTTGACCAGGCCCAGATGCAAGCTGGGCGGGTTGGATCGGCTGGGTAGATGTAGGCAAAGGTGCAACTACATCCCTTCGTTCTGGAACGTGATAATATGGCGACTCGAAGATGCGACTCGCACCAGCCTTTGGTTTCTAACGTTTGGCAGGAGCTGGAGGCAGTCCTGAAGCCTCCGGCTGACTCGTGGCAGGATAATTGGTGGTTGGGTAGTCTGGAGTGACATAGTGCTTTGGATCATAGACGGCATATGTTGCCGGCTGACGTGGTGGCGAAGGTGTACTTGACAGCTGAGGGTCAGAACGAACAGGTCGAAGAGATCGACGAAGTGGCACGTTGGGCATCGAGATACGAAGAGGTTGGTATGGCATCTGCTCTGGAGTTCTCACGGATGCGTCTTGCGAGATGAGGGGTGGCAGCATGACAAAGGCTCTTTCTCCGGTAGAGGCCGGCAGAACCGTTTCATCTTGGCTAGCCATGCCAGGCTCCGAACCGCCTCTACGGTCGCGACGGGTTGAAGGGCGCTTGACATAAGCCCAGTCATGTGTGTCAGGCTCTGCAGCAGCTTTGGAGTACATCTGAGGTGGAGTTTGAGTCATTGAGAAGTCTTCTGACGATGACACCAGGACCGCCCCTTGGTGTGAAGCTGGTCGTCTACCGTCTTGCTCAAAGGGTGGACTGACAATGGGGTGCACGACAGAATGTTGCCTGATCGAGTATCGAGGGGCGGCGCTGGCAACTGGAGTGGTCGAAACCGGCTTCAAAGAAAGGCCGCTCTTACTCTTGGTGTAGGCTGTCGGGATGGTATCATTCGAGATGGCCTCTTTCGGCGGCAGAGATGACACGTTGGACTCGATATCGGCATCAGAATCGGAACCTTGATCGTAGTCGTCAGAGGAGAAGTACTCATCACTCTCGGCGTCGTCAATGGGAAGCGGAGAGGTCATGTAGCCATGCACGGTGCTTGACTTGCGAAGGGCAATCTTGGCTTCATCGAGGATCTGGGCCACATCTTCAGTCCTGTTGTTGTGAGCGGCATCATGAGCAACAGTCAAAGCTTCTTCCATCAGGTTGTGGAGACCAGTGACGGCACGCTCAAGGTTCTTTCTGTCCTTGTCCGTTGACGAAGATGAGGGCGGTGATAGAGTCTTGGGGGAGACGTCTGGAGAACGGAACGTCACAGCATTGCGAACGGTTGGCTTGCGAGAAAGAGTGCCGTCGTTGTACACTCCCAAGTTGGATGGGTCGGGCGATGAGACGCGTGCTTCAGATGGCGTCGAGGCCAGACTGGATGACCGGACTGGAATCTGGATATCCAGCTCAGAGAGGGGGACCATTGGCCAGGTGGGCGATTTGGCTGACGATGCCGGCGAGTCGCTGATCACAGGTGCCTTGACGAGTCTCTCATAGGAGGCAGGATCTTTGCGAGGTAGAGTGGCAGGCATGTCTCGCTCGCTGGGAGGAGTCGAATCGTAGGTGGATGGCGTGGATGCGCCTGGAGATGGCTCAGCGACCAACCAAGGTAGTCGTATACGAGTAGTCACCATATTGATACAATAAAGAATGACAAGACGTGAAGATGCATAAGAAGGTAAGAGTTGGAGTTGCGTTTGGTCGGATGCCGTATAGGAAGCGCCGAGGCGTGTCGTTCCTGCTATCGCGTCGTTGCTCCCTACCATTTGCAAATATGCACCATCATATGCACATTTGAGGAAGCTGCCACCGAGATTGCGTCGATCGCCCCATCTCTGCGGACTCCTCAACACATCTCAAGAACATGGTGCATTTCCATAGCCTTTTACCTCTGGATCTGAGCCCCTGGATTTGGTTCTACAAGTGTGCATTTATTGATCATTATTCTTCGTACTTAACGTCGCCCTTGCTGACGTCGGGGTAAACGTCAAATCTTCTCTGGGTGTAGATCGGAATGCCCTTCCTTGTCTGCTCGATTGTTTCTCCGTCCAGATCGGCATAGACGATGTCTTCCTTCTCATCAAGTTCACTGAGAACCTGAGCATTCGGGTTGACAATCATGCTGTGACCCCAAGCATTGTAATCGGCAGTCATGTCTCTAGCAGGGGAGCAGAGACCCACATAAACTTGGTTATCCATAGCTCTGGCACGAGCTTGAAGCTTCCAATGCAGTTCACCGGTAGTAAGGTTGAATGCACCAGGATAGACCAGCAGGAAAGCGCCTTGTCTTGCAGCAACCATGGCCAGCTCGGGGAAGCGGATATCATAGCAGATGGCAACAGCGATCTTTCCGTACTCTGGCAGATCGACCAAGGTGACCTTGTTTCCAGGACTCAAGATCTCGCTCTCTTGAAATCTGATCTTTCCCGGAATGTCGATGTCGAACAGGTGAACCTTTCTGTGTGTTGCCAGCAGGCTTCCGTCGGGACCAAAAACCAAACTTGTGTTGTAGTGCTTGTCTGATTCGGCAAGGTACTCGGGGATGCTGCCTCCAATCAGGTAGGCCTTTGACTCCTTAGCGAGAGCGGAAAGGGCGTGGAAGGTAGGCGATTGAGACTCAGTTGGTGGTGACGGTTGCAGCGTTTCAGCATATTTGGGGAAGTACTTAGTGCCGTAAGGAGAGTTGAAGCATTCGGGCAGGACGACAAGATTGGCACCCTTGGAGGTTGCTTCGAGCACCTTTGATCTTGCTCGTGCGAGGTTGGCCGCCTTGTCGGCGCCTGCTTAACATTAGCCATGTCTGTCAGAGCCATGTATCGCGTGCCTACCAGTTGATAGCTGCACGCAAGCAAGCTTCAAAGGTTTCTTCAGTAATTTGGCCATGATTTATCTGAGGTCTGCAGGAGGACAAGTCGTGTCGGAATCTGTCGATTCAATGCTTGCGCCGACCAGATATCGCCGGCCTCGGCCATTCATGACGTGCCGGGGCCCCATCCCTTATCGATAGGCCACCGAAACCCCGGCCTCATGTGCTGAAGTTTGTCACATCGACTCTCCAATCTAACGATGCGCACTGATTACCTTATCAAAGCACGATGCTATCAAGCAAGAGCGCATTCTCTACAGGGAGTGGTGACTACAAGCCCTCTCTTCGGACTAGCTTGAGTTCCAGGATCTTTCTGCTTTTTACAGCGGTGTTGTGACAAATTCAGCACACAGGAGTGGATGAAACTAGCATCTTCCATGACAGTGAATAAGTTGATTCCAGGTGTAGCGTATGTGTATTTTAAAGACTTGTACTTCATCCCACATCTACTCCGTGTGTAATCATGTGTTGAGGTAAATCACATGCCATGGCCCTCCTTGGTATTCCTCCAGTCCTTGGAGAACTTGTCCCATCCGCCAGGTGGAGCGTCCCACATGGCCAGGTCTCTAATCACGAATTCATAGGTACCGTCGTGAGGCATGGTTCCTTGACAGACGTTGCCGCCGACAGCGATGTTGATCAAGATTCTGAAGTCCTTCATGGGTCGCGTGCCAGGGGGCTTGCTGGCCTTCATAACCGGCTTGCCATCAATGTACCATACCATTCTGCCATTTCCGTTACCTTCATCCTCATCCCAGGCAAAGTCGAAGCGGATGCCATGTGGGCTATCGATATGCGGGATCGGTGTCTCGACGACACGGTGCTTGTCATGATCCTCGCCGTTGAAGTGGCCCCAGTGCATACAAGTATGATTTGTCTTGTCTCCGTTCCAGGCCTCGAAGATATCCATCTCGCCGTCGTTAGGCCATTGGAAAGGATCGGCAGGCAACAGCCAAAACGCAGGCCAGATACCAGCAGCCACAGGAGCCGTTACCCGAGCAGACAAGCTACCTCTGCAGCGAGCGAGTGTCTGATGCGAAGACAGACGCGCAGAGGTGAATTTGCGGTCATCTTGGGGGTGGCCATGCTGAATAATGGCGTGCACGATAAGCGCGCCGTCGGGTGTGTGGAAAGAGTTCGCCTGGTCGTCGACGTAGTTTTGGGCCTCATTGTTGCCCCAACCCCAGTTTCCTTGCTCATGCTTGAAGTGCTCTGAGACCGGAACATGTGGTGCGCACTGGGGCTGCCAGTAGGGTGTTGCTTGTGCTGCTCCGGCGACATTGCTGCCAGGCTTGCTACCCCAAGGAATCGGCGGTGCGTTGCCCCCATTCATGGCTTGTTGAGCCTTGTTTTGTAACTCTTTGAACGAATCTCGGAAGCCCATGTTGTGTTGTCCTTGCTCTTTCAGGTTCGGCGTGCTACGTGTATGTGTGCTGTGATTGTATCTCGAGGTGATGAAGGACGAGTGGTGATTCGATTTGCGTTTGAAGGGAGATTGCCTGTCTTAATGTCTTCCAACCTACCTAATTGCCAAGGTCTGTTTATTATATTCTTAGATCGGTCATTACGTCGGGCTGCTTGGCCTCGAAGTTGGCCTTGCCATGCTTCACCCGCTCAGCCCATGGGCCGCGTCATTCTCGAGAAGCTCGCAGTTATTTTGGGACATGTACGCGCGATCTGGCTACTTCTTCCATCAATCTCTTCTTAGCTCAGTTGGTTTAGAGCGTCTGACTGTAATTGTTCGATTGTCATCAGAAGGTCCTTTGTTCGACTCAGAGAGAGGAGATTTCCTTTTGGCTCATTCCCAAGCCTGGATGTTTTGCACTATCAACGTACTTATCGTCCTAAGCTGTTCTCTTGATCATTTTTGCTTTCTATCTGCAGGACCTCATAATCCGATGCCTTTGCCGTATAGGAATTCATGACACTACAATCTAATCACGCAGCGCAGTGCTTGCTGCAAGCGCAAGCCACGGTATGATGCTGGATGAAGATCCATCGATCCTCAATCACGACCAGTGAGATGGAAACCAGCTTGATACATACAGATCTGTGAAAACTCAAAGAGCCTTTTAACTTTTATTTGCAACAATGGCTTAGACCCTCGGATCAAAGTGATCGTGTCGAAGCTGATGATGCGGCTCAAGATGCCAAGGCCGCAAGTGGTCAGCCTTTTGAAGTCACCAACTTTTTGTCCTTCAAATGCACAGCATCTTCTGGACGTCAATCCCTGCAAACATGGCTCTCTTCACTCGCGTATCCATCCGAACATGCCGCGTACGATTTGCGTCAACCGGCAAACCCGCACTCACATACAAGGGCCGCATCCCAAAGCCAGCTCCCCCACCACCAGGACCTGGCGAGGTCGTCACGCCAGACAAGGAAGAGGAAACTCAACAGGCGCGTAAGGCCATCATGGATGCTATAAAGGAAGACCAGGACAAGGACTACAAGAAACGCTACAATTCAAAGCTCTGGAAATGGACTAGACTCATTTGCTGCATGCCAATTGCTCTCGTCTTGACGCCATACTTGTTCAGCAGAGGTACGATTGATCTCATGTGTTCAATGAGCTAAAACAACGCTAACGCGACTATGCAGTATTCCTGGGCGAAGAGCGCAAAAGACTCACCGAAGACGACGATGATGACGACCTTGACTAGGCTCTGATCCAATCACCAAGCACAATGTCCACCATCAATGCGCATGTCACTACCCGTCATGAAAGAGCTGGCGTCGCTGATGAGGAACACGGCTGCTCCACGGTACTCCTCTGGCTTGCTCAGCTTGCCCAGCATGTTTTGTGTTGGCCACTCGCGACGTCTTTCGGGGTACTTGACAAACAAGGCTTCCACCATGGCTGTGACAATATATCCGGGCGAGATGGTGTTGACACGAATACCGTGCTGGCCCCACTCGCTCGCCAGATTCCGCGATAGTTGCATTACTGCTGCTTTGCTGGAGTTGTACGCCGCGCAAATCAAGCCCTGGAGAGAAAGTCATGTTAGCAACCGCTCACGTCAGAAGGGAGAAGGATACACACTCTGTTTGCGACTGTACCGCTCATGGATGCAATGAAGGCCATGGATCCGCCGTTACCGTGCTTGATCATCTGCTTGGCCACTGCCTGTGCCGTCATGAAGACACCGGTCACGTTGACCTCGAACATGGTGTTTGCGTCCTTGGCTGTGTACTCGAGTGCTGTTGTCTCCTGCTGGATACCTGCCGCTGCCACAAGGCCGTCCATGCGTCCCTCCTTGTTCGAAATTTCCTCGATGATCTCGTTCAACTGCGGCACGTCACGGACATCGATCTGGCGGTAGTGGAATGTTGTTCCCAGCTCCTCGGCAGCGCGTCTCTGGATGCGGTAGAAATCCTCGCTCGGCTCTGGCAGACGGTCCAAAGCGTACACTCCATTCTGGTCAGCTTGGTTTCTCCTAAGTGAGCACATCAAGACTCACCAGTAGCTCCCGCCTCGAGCAAAGCCTCCGCCTGCACCAAACCCAATCCACGCGCTGCGCCCGTCACCAATACTACTTTGTCGTTGAGTGCGAACTCAGGCAAACGCTTTGTTGTACCGAGATATGTGGCAGGATTGCAGTTGTCCTTGAGGTTTGCGGCTTCCTCTGCTGGAGGCTCTGGTGCACCGCGACCGGACACAACAGGGTTGCCCTTGGGAGGATTTTTCAGTTGGTCAAGGTCTGATTTTGTGGCTTTCTGCTGACGTGCGGAAATCGCAAACGTGCGAATGGAGGTTGGCTTTGCTGTGCCGAGTGCTGCACGGGCAAGGCGCGAATATACCCTGAGGGAAGCCATTGTGTGTTCTGTTTTACGATTGCGAGAGAACTTTTGAGCTTGGAGGTTTGGACGGAGAGGTCAAGAAGAGGAGCAACGGGGTGGATGCGATGTACATAGCAACGAAGGACCCCGCTACCCTTTTATTCCAGCCCCTCCGTCGGCCTACCTTCACCCTTGGCTAGACTCTTCCCTTCTTGGTCGTCCGAGACGCTGCTCCTCGTTCCGGAACATGCAGCTCTTTGGACAAGCACGCGCCATAAGCAACGGCAACTGATATACCACAACTCCCCAGAAGTGTCTTTCCCTCAATATACCTCGTATCCAAGCACGTATCCCTGTATCTGACCCATCTCCCTGCTTTATAGCTGATGTTGAAAGCTTTACATCCAGCCAGAAGCAGATCTACATTTTGACTTTTGGAGTGGCTTTTGACATCAAGCCGTTGCGGAGGAGAGATGCAGCTGCTGCTTCGTGTGGGGTCCGGAGCAGACAAAGATGCGGGGACGCTCGGATTACTCTTTTGGGAAGCCATCTGGGCAAGGTTTCGGAAACGATTGATTCGTTGGCGCCGAGATTTACCATCTTATTGATGTGCTTGTGGTCTCATTCTTGCTCATGGGTTTTGTCGTTTCTTTGTTGTTATTCATGGACTGCAGATGGGTAAGAGCGGGTGTGAAGGCAGGATTGTCTTTGTACAGGAAGAGTGGTAGGTGGGTGCTGATTGACATCCTCGGACTGTTCGACAGATCTGAAAATCACTGTGCAACTTTACAGGCATGTTTCTGGAAGCGTGTTGCTCGGGAGAGCATACTGGCATATCTATCTGCTGTGTACATACAGCGCCCTTTGTCGCATCCCGACCTCAGTGCTTGACGTATAATCAGTCGCAAAAATGCACAATGCTTCCCCGGACATACGCTGTGTCCAGTGAGGGTTAGAAAGAGCCATGACGAGACGCTAAGATGAGGATGGAACAAAGCCCTTTGTTGGTATCTCAGGCCCAGTGAGTGCCACTCATAAACCTCCTGCAAGAATGCACAATGCTTTCTAGAAGCATGCCTGTGTACAGGCCATAAACATAGTATGGTATGGCTAGAACAAAGCCCCTTTATTCGTATCTCTGGGCCTGATGCTTACTACCAGACCCTCTGTAATAGCTACATGTCCAGTGAGAGGCCGAAATAGCAGCTCTCTCTGGACGCCTCTCTGATCTGCATTCATAATCTGCACGTGAAAGCGCGGAGGTGGCCAGTGCGCAGTCGACCGAGGACGGGCGTGAGGCATCATCCGACGAGAATTAACTTGAGAATTCCCTTAGGAAAGAGCGTATCTCCCCAATCGCGCCGGCGCAGCCATAAAGCGCTGTGCATTGCATCATGTCGTTTCTGTCGTCTAACGCCGACATGGAGGATCTCGAAGACGAGCTGATATTCCAGCAAACGATACTAGAAACGCTCGATCCCAGCGATGGCAATAGCGGAGAGCGCAGGCAAGAGGTAGAACTGGCCATTTTAGACCTGGAGCGACGCATGGCGCAGTTCAACAACGCAGCTTCCCAACCTGTTGCCGCGACTGACACGTCGACATCATACAACGCGCCCGGCGCATATCCACAAGACAAAGACGACGAAGACGACGACGACATGAATGACTTGCCTCAGTTTGACGGCTCCACACCTGCGCCTAACAGGAATGCGCAACTCAAGAGGACCCGCGACCAAATGTCGCCGCTGGCCGGCTTCGACAGCAACAAAAGGCCGGCTTCATCGCCTATGGGGCCGCCCGGCCCTGTCAACCAGGACCGTCGTGCCGCCTATCTAGAGAGGCAACGAGAGCTCGAACACGCCGCCCGCCAGCGAAGAGAATCGGTCGCTGCTGACGCCGCCTTCGCTTCGTCACTCAGCCAGCAATCAGCCTCATCACCCGTTGCTGGCCCTTCGCGCAATCAGATGTCGCCCAGTCAGATGGCCCCAGTCTTCAAGCGCACTCCACAATCGTCCGCACCTGCTCCGTATCCGGCCCCGTATGCGGTTCCGCACCCTACATCAAGCTATCCACGTGTCAAAGCCGAAGCCCACTCGAGTCCAAGCCATGCGTACGTCCCAAGACCTGTCAAGCCTGAGTCTCCTCAGCATCCTGCTCCACTCTCAAGCCGGTTTGGCACTCCCATGGTCATAGATTTGACCGGCGACGACGAACCAGAGTCCCAGCAAGCTCGCATGCAACGCATGACAAACCCGGAAGATGCACTGCGCCGCCGCCACCTCTGGGAACAGAACAATGCCAGCACTCCCCAGCACAAGATCGAAATCATGATGAGACAGCGCCGCGAGATGGATTTCCGTCATCAACAAGAGTCTCAACGTCAGGCAGAGATTGCTCTGCGAAACTCGGCGGGCCAGCAAGACCGCGCCGCTCATGATCATGCTAACTTCATACGTCTTCAACAATGGCGACAACAGGTTCAAGCTATCCAAGCTCACAATCTCCAATATCCGCATCAGCCTCGGCCTTTCCCAAACCATGTACCATACCAGCAGCAGCCGTCTCCTTCCATTATTCGTTCGTCACAGCAACCTGTTCCCCGTGCTGCTCACGACGATTTCTCTCAGTTGCGCGGCCTCATCAATGGACGCGGCAGACAACCGAGTTTCGACTCCGGCGAGGACGAACTGCAGTTTCTACGTTCGACAGCCATTGAAAGACCTCCCTGGGACATTTACGATGTGGACAACATGGATACCGAGGAAGAGCTTCGCAAACTCATGGAGAACATCCAGCCCGACGACGTCTCCAAGATTGCCAGCGAAGAAGATGTGCCAGTCGAGGGTCTGACCATCAAGCTGAAGCCGTATCAGTTCGCTGGTCTCGAATGGCTCCAGAAGATGGAGAATGGTTCGAACAAAGGTGGCATTCTCGCCGACGACATGGGTCTGGGCAAGACTGTACAAGCCATCGCGCTCATGGTCACCAATCGATCCGAGGATCCCGTCAACAAGACAACTCTCATTTTGGCACCCGTCGCCCTTCTCCGTCAGTGGGAGCAGGAGATTATGACTAAGGTGAAACCTGGTAGACACAGACTTCATACCTTCGTTCATCATGCAGGCACCAAGAAGAAGCAGCACAAAGATCTTCGTGAGTTCGATGTTGTCCTAACAACTTTCGGTACGATTGCTGCCGAGCTGAAGAAAATGGAGAAGTACGAGCTTCGCAAGAAGTCTGATCCTATGGCTCAGCCTAGAGACGACGAGAAATGTGTCTTCATTGGACCCGACTGCAGGTGGTACCGAATCATCATTGATGAGGCCCAGTGTATCAAGAACAAGACCACCAAAACCGCTCGTGCCGCTTTCTATCTTCAAGCTCGCTCCCGGTTCTGCATGACAGGAACACCAATGATGAACAGTGTTGAGGAACTCTACTCACTCATTCATTTCCTGCGCATCAGACCGTACAACAGTTGGCAGAACTTCAGAACCGACTTCAATCAGCCCCTCAAGGGAAGTAGTGAGCGTGCCCGTCAGTTGGCTATGCAGAAGCTTCAGGCTTTGCTCAAGGCTATCCTTCTTCGCCGCAACAAGAAGACAGAGATCAATGGCCGCCCTATTCTGAACCTTCCAGAAAGACGCGTTGAAGAGATCAATCCAGACTTCAGTGAAGACGAACGCAACCTGTATGTTGCTCTCGAGACAAGCTCCGCGGTCAAGTTCAACAAGTACCTCAAAGCTGGCACTGTCAGCAACTCATACATGCAGATTCTTGTTTTGTTGCTTCGTCTTCGTCAAGCTTGTTGCCATCCGAACTTGATCAAGGACCTTGGTATCGTTGCGGCCACCGCTGAGATCACGCAAGACACGATGGACGACATCTGTAGAAACCTCGACCCCAACGTTGTTGCACGAATCAAGGAGGCCAACGGCACGTTTGAGTGTCCTGTTTGCTACGATGCTGTCGAAAACCCAGCTATCTTCACCCCTTGCGGTCACGACACATGTCCAGATTGCTTCAGCAGAATCGCCGATCCTTCCAACGCACTCGCTGAAGGTGATGAAGGACGTGTCGCCAAGTGTCCCGAGTGCCGTGGCCCTATCAACACGAAGAAGGTTATTGATTACGAGTGCTTCAAGCGTATCCACATGCCAGAAGAAATCGTTTCTGTCAAGGCTGAGGGAGCCGGAGATGATGCTGATGGCGAAGACATGGCTGCTGTGGACACTGACGACGATGATTCCGACGACGAAGAAGACGAAGAAGATGATGATGATACTGATTCTCTTGACGGCTTCATTGTTGAAGATGGCGCTGAAGAGGAAAATGACGAAGAGGCAGCAGAGCGCCGTCAGAAGGCAGCCTTGAAGAAGTCGATCAAGAAAAAGGGCAAGTCCAAGATGAGCAAGAAGGCCAAGGGGAAGCTGAAGGAATCCAGCACGTCTGACAAGAAGAAGAAGGCAGCCACCATGACAATTCCGGAGTTGAAAAAGATGGCCATCAGAAAACCTTCCTGGCGCAAGATTTACCTTCGCATGTTGAAGAAAGACTTCCAACCTTCTTCCAAAATCGAGCGTACTATGGAAATTCTGGATGGCATCATGACTGCGCCCGAGAATGAAAAGATCATCATCTTCTCACAGTGGACATCCTTACTCGACCTGCTTGAAGTTCCTGTATCAGAGAAGAGCTGGGGATACCGTCGCTACGATGGCAGCATGAATGCCAAGCTCCGTGCTGATGCTGTCGACGACTTCAAGAACAAACCCACTGTTCGCATGATGCTCGTCTCACTCAAAGCCGGCAATGCAGGCCTGAACCTCAACTGCGCTTCGCAGGTTGTCATCATGGACCCCTTCTGGAATCCATACATCGAGGAACAAGCCATCGATCGTGCCCACCGTCTTGGACAGACGAGACCAGTCATGGTACACCGTGTCCTCATCAAGGAGACGGTCGAAGATCGCATCATCGCCCTGCAAGAGAAGAAGCGTGCCCTCATCTCTGAGGCGCTTGACGAAAAGGCTTCACAGAGTCTGGGTAGACTGAGTGTCCAGGAGCTGGCCTTCCTGTTCGGCATCAGCAGAAACGTTAATGACGCTCTGCCCAACGCTGGTCCGAGGGCTAGAGTCCGTCAGGGCGGCGCTGGTGGTATGGGTGCTTAATACACCGACCGGTACAAGTGGAGTTTTATGGGGGATACCTTGCTGTTTGCTTCTTTCTCTTTTCTTTTTTCCTTGGTCCTTGTCGACACGAAGTTTTTCTTTCCATGTTTATGATGCCCGATATGATTCACTGTTATTATGGGAGGGGTTTCAACGGTACATGGCTTCTACTATACATGAATTGCTACAATGCAGATAATTACATGCTTTTATGACTACAAAGATGCCTCTCGTCTCATTTCTCTTTCCGCAATTTCATCGACCATCATCTGACGTGGACAACAACTATGCTGCTCTGCTGACGATATCAGTGATCTTAAGAACTATGCATTGTTACAAGTCGAATGAACCGGACGTCGTCGATGGAAGCAATGATACTACCTAATCACCTCAGAGATCAGGGTGTCGGACTGAGATGGCCAGGTCAACTCGCTTCTGATACAGACCTCGATACATAGTGTCTGTAAACCATTTACCGCCACCAAAATTCAGACATAGTGTTCAGCAGATACCATCCAATGGCAACAACATAAATGCAGAAGCCTACTCCCAGAGAGAAGATGCTGAGGGGTCGCTGTCGTGAAGAACAGGGTCATGATGCTAACGAGAGTCTGGTGACGTCAACGCGTCGTGATCCTTTCCTCTTGGTTTTTGAATTTTGTTTGACGCGTCTTGTGGAAATGAATATCGCTTTTCCAAGCATTGATGGCGTTGTGTCTACTGATAAACACGCCGACGAAATCGATGCCTTATGCCTGAGAAGCCCTTCGTTTTAGAACTCACGCCTTGCAGCGCCCGAGCACTATCAGACACCCGACCCCAATCTTCCCTATAAATTTGGATCGTGAAGAAGGTGGTCTCAGGAAGTCAAATCTTCTTCGACACACTCAGCACCGGATATCGCCTGCGGTTCCTTGGCCGTGGCAGTATCGCCTGTATCCGTTCCTGGTTCCTCAATTCCAAAAACGTCGCCGAGAGTTGCCATCTTCATGAGCTCCTCAATTCCGAAACCCTCATCTTTCTCGATTGCACCAGCGTTTTTCAACAACTGAACCAGACCTTCGTCTCTGTTTGTCAATGCAATTGACAACGCGTCGTTCAGTTCTGCTTTGGCCCCTGCACCTAGCAGAGCTTTCACGATATTCTGATTGCTCTTCTGGGATGCAATGAGTAATGGTGTTCTGCCTCGATTGTCTGGCGTGTCCACTTCGACATTATGCGCCAAGAGTGTTTCGACAGACTTCTCACGCCCCCTTCTTACAGCGTCGCACAATGGGGTATATCCGTTCATCGACACCACGTTCTTGTCGACTCCTGGCTGCGATAGCAGAAGCTCAATCACTTCTACATTACCGGAAGTCGCGGCATAGTGCAACGGGTAGAAGCCGCCAGTCTTGGACGGTATTGTGCAGTCTGCTACGCCCTTTTCAATCAGGGTACGGCAAAGACTCGCTAGTCCCATGAACGCCGCCATTTTGAAGAGTGTCATACCGCCCGTGGAACCATGTGCTAGATCGGTCCCTTCAACGTTCATGAGCATCTCAATCAAGTCTTTCTTGCCTGTGTAGACTGCCAGAAGTAGCGGAGTGCTGTCGCGGACAGATCGGTGATGTGGGTCAACATCGTTTCGAGCCAGCATGAAAGCAACGATATCAGTGTGGCCACCTTTAGCTGCCTCGTCGAAAGCGGTATAGCTTTTGCTGTTTACTGCACCAATGTTTGAAGCATCAGTATTCAACAACAGCTTCAAAACGTCAAGACGTCCCTCTCGGCACGCGAAGTGCAGGGCAGTGTTCTTCCGTTTGTCAACGGCTGTAATGATACCAGGATTGTGTACGAGTAAGAGTTTGACCACCTCGACATAGCCGTCCATCACGGCGTAAAGGAATGCATTAATACCTCCAGCTTTGGTGACACAAGTGTCAACACTGCCAGCTTTTAGTAGTTCTTTCACAGCACCAGGATGTGCGTTCCAAGAGGCCCACATCAGAGGAGTACTCTCAGATTTGTCGCGGACGTCTATTTCGACACATTTGGAGCTGGCAATCACAACTGGTGCAAAATCGTCTGAGAAGCAGCTGTAGTGGAGTCCTGTAGCTCCGTATGTCTTATCCTTGATCATCGGATCTGCGCCTGCATCGATGAGAATCTCAACGACTTGAGCACTGGCCACGGTCTCGCATGCGCACATCAATGGAGTTTTGTTTTCAGAATCCCGAGCATCAACACATGCGCCCATCTTCAATAGTAGCTGTACAACTGCAGCACTGTTCACAGCATTGTGCAGTGGTGTGGTTTTCGAGACCCTCGTAGCGATATTCACATCTGCTCCGTGGACAATCAGCAGCTCCGCAAATGCAGGATCCGGATCAACACGTTTACACGCAGCATGGCGTGCCGTCCAGCCAGGGTTCTCCGGATCTTCACTTCTGGCATCCGCTCCCCCGTCAAGCAGAAGTCTCAGTACCTGAAGATTGGCCTCAGAAGATGCGTACACAATAGGACTCGGCCAATCAGATGATGTCGTCCAGGAAAACCCGTACGACATCATCAGAGCCTTCAGGCTCACGACAAGCCACGGCTAGAGGTGTTTGTTCATCTTTGTTCCTTGCCTCGATATCCACACCGTATGCCAAAAAGCGCCGCACTACGTCAGCCGAGCCCCCTCTAGCCGCCTCGTGAAGAAGTGTTTGACCAGAGCTGCTTTTGATATTCATATCAGCTTCAGCATCGATGAGCACTTGCACAATGGCATGTTCGCCACGCCTAGCAGCAAGATGGAGTGCGCCTTCTGATGTCAGTAATGGTGGCTAGGCGATCAGGAGATCGAGAAACTTACTGATTCCATCGTTGTCTTTGGCGTTGACGTCGACCCCCTTCGAGACAAACAGCTTGAGAATGTCCACACCGCACCCTCCATCGATGCCTTCGTGAAGCTCAGTCCTGCCCGAGGTGTCCGGCTCACACGTAGCTCCACTCTTAAGAAGGTACTCGATGATCTTTGTCTGATTCCCTGCGCAAGCAAAGTCCAATGCAGTCTTTCCTGCAATATTTTGGATGCTGACCTTTGCCTTCTTCATCACGAGGAATCGGACCATGTCGAGTTCTCCAGCTTGCGCAGCCATATGCAAAGCAGTGTCTTTGACGGTATCTTGGGTATCCAGATTTGCTTCCGCTCGAGCGAGAAGTTTGATAATCTCCGCCCATTGGCCCTCTCGACACATGGCTGCTGCAAGCAAAGCGTTACCTCCCAGGCGACCGACGATTTCCATATCAGCACCATGCTTCAGCAGAGTCTGTACAACTGAGAGCATACCGCACTCGGAAGCGGCGGTCAGTGCAGTGTCATCATTATTGGCCTGTAAGTTAATGATGGCCCCCTTGTCCAACAGAAGTCGGCAGATATCTTCATCACCTGCTCTCGATGCTGCAATCAACGGCGTTTTCCCAAAATGGCTACGCCGGTTGACTTCGACACCCTCTAGAGAGAGCAGATACTCTACGATACTTCTGTGTCTGCCAACACATGCCGCCAAAAGAGGACTGTAATCCTTATCTCCACGGTGATTGACATCCATACCTCTCTCAATGAGTCTCTGCACAATCTCAAGATGACCAGCAAAAGCCGCCACATGGATCGGCGCTTGTCCCTTGATGTTGTTGTAATTCCAATCCAGGTGATCTTCCTGTTCGTCAAAAGCACTGATAAGACCCAATTTGGCTATGGCAAAAGTTGGTGTTGCTTTGTGCCCACTCAAGCACGGAGTCTCGAAGTCAGTGTCCATCAGGAAATAACTTTGCCTTTCAAAGCTCTCCAGGCTGTCGTGGTTCCAATCGGAGAAAGCCTCTTCATCTCTCAAGAAGGACTCCAGCTTGTCGACAAGATCTTCTCTCCGCTCTCCCTCCACCATCAGAGAATGGTAAATCCAGTTTACGACGGCGTACGCATAGAATGATGTTGAGTTAGGATCAGGGCGAGCGTTGTCGTCTTCGTATTTGCTTCTTCGAGTGGACTCAAACTCTTCAAGGCACCTCAAAGCTGCGAAAGTGTGCAGTGCATCTTCGTCGAATCCTTCTTTCTTTTGAAGGAACTCCTGCACCGACAAGTGAGCGAAGCGGAAAGTATCTGTTTCATCATCAGCGACAACAAGATTGCGACAAACGTCTAAGACTTCATCCTTCTCCAGATCAGAATCCCCTGCTTCGGACACTGCTTCAAGTATTGTAGTCGTTGTGAGCGGGCGTCTGGATACCAAAAGCCATCTTAACACAGACACTGCTATTTCCCGGCTGCTCGGACCCGAGCGTGTTATGCGATCAAAGATGCTTTCGTACAGCTGTCCAATCTCGGTCGGATTTCTCTCAAGCTCGATCAAGACATCCTTCTCTCGCTTGATGCCGTCGTCGCAAAGCGTTTGAAGTTGAAGTTTGACCCACAGGAACCTGCGAGGGTCAGCAATATTCCTGCAAAATACCATCGGAAAATGACTTCAAGCGCATAGAGAAATTCCAATCAGCGCATGGAGTCCAATCTCGTGGTAATGCCAATGAAGGTCTAGCTTCCAAAATGCACGAATATATTGAGATCTTTCAGAGCGTCCACCGAAAGCTCAAGTTTATCGTGCTTTCGATGGACAGGTTCTGATATTTCAACACGTTTGTGCCTTCTGGCCTTTAGCGCCCTATCAGAATTGTTGCTGGAGCATGCGCTGGTCAAGAGAAACTCATGTACTTGATATCAGCTCCCATACCACTGAGTACACATACATCCCTTGCGCAGAATCGTTGAGCCTCCGAACTATTGTCTCCTTCAGCTGATCTCCGACTTTGCCCCTAAGCAATCGTTTGTCGAGTATTGCACGGTCGACCTCGGTTGTGACGTATTTACGGATATCATCCCTGTTGGCGCCATGTCCAATCAAGATATGTATGGGGAACTCGTCTTTCGGCATATCCTGGCACACCTCGCTGCGACCAGAGATGATGACCTTCACGTCCACCTTGTCCATGATGGTTTTGATAGACCTGAGGAGCTCCAGCCTCTCAGTGCATTCGTCTAGAGCATCGATCAAAACAACGGCCACACCTTCGCCTACAATTCTGGGAATCAGTTCGGTCAAAGCCTTGACGCCGAGATGGTCAATTTGATCAGCATTCTTCTCATCAGCGTCCTTTCTCTGAATGCTGTAAGCATCAAGAAATGCTTGCTCCGGTGGTTGGTCAATTCCATTCCAGGACAACTGTCTTGCGATGGCTCCAAGGATTTCCTGGACTTTCGTACGCTGCTGTTCGGACCCGTTGCAGTAAAAGTATGCGACCTTTGGTGCTTCTGGATTCGCTTTTTGCTCATCGAGAAGCTGCTGGACTAAGACGGACCTATTGCAAGTCAGTCAAATAACTATCCATTCGATAGAAAAGGCTAACATGAGCTTGGTCTTGCCACAACCAAGAGAGCCATGTAATAAAATGGCACACGACTTGGACGATTGTTTCCAGTCGATGAAATGATGGCGTTCCATCAACCACGAACCCGTGTCCGGCACCAAGTCTTCGTGAGCCTTGGCATGATGGCTCTGGACAGGGACTGTGGACAACCATCGAAACTTTTGCTTCATCTCTTCGCCTGTGACTGGTCAGTGTCATCCAAAAGACTCTTCGAAAAACACCCACGCATTCTTTCTGTTCGCATCTCGTTGATCTCCGCCGTCAATCCGTCAATGGGTTCAAGTTTCTTCAGCATCTCTCGTGACAGTTGGCGCAGTCGCTCGAGCTCTGGAATGATTCAGCTTGTTTCATGGACACCGGACGCCTGCTATGACTCACCATCTCTCGTCGAATCAACACTTTCTTGGATATTGCTCAGCTTTCGATCAGAGTCTTTCTTCTCTAGGCTCTGTCAGGAAACAACGACTCAATGTGTGGTGGGCGGGAGATCATGCTCTCTGCATCGATCACTTTCAGAATCTCATCAATTTCGCCGTGACCTGCTCTTACGTCTGCAATGGGTGCCTCCACCAAGGTGCGAGAAGACCTGAACGCGCTCTCCCCGATTCGTCCTGCAAAACAATCAGCGCTGGTCGTTGTAAAATGGGCTGTCGACCCTACTGACTAGTTGTGCTCTTATTGTAGTAGGTCTTTGCAATACCCAAGTATCTCAGAATGGCGACGTACAGCTTGGTGATGCCATCGGTAAGCTGGTTTTGGAGTGTTGAGTCTTCGAGCAGGTACAAGCTTTCGACTACAGCGTATCTGGTAATCATGGCGGAGACCAATTCGATGCCCTCCGCCATATCCTGGAAGCTTGTGGTATCGTTGACAGCAATCTAGGATGTTTGATTTAGCAAGAATACGACAACAGAGCATATGCTGTAAAGAAGGTGAGGAAGACACACATTCAACAATAATCTCACTTCCGCCCAAGGTAATGCTGCATGGCCTGGATCATACTGTACCAAAGTATCTCCAATCTCTTTAAACTGCACCAAGACTTTGCTCAACTTGTCGACACAATGTCGCAGAGGCACCTCTCCCCTCTTGGTCTTCACTCTGATCAGACTTCTATTGACCTTGTCTTCTGAACCTTTGACCCCAGCTAGAGCATCGTCAATCAGAGATGTAGTTGCGGTGCCGCTTTTGGGCTGTCCAAGAGCCTTTTGGTCCTTCTCCGGTAGTTTGGCTACTGCTGCTGTCTACAAATTTTGCGTGATACGGTGACGGCTATCCTTCTTGAGTGCTGAGATACCAGGGGTGATCGGACGAGGAAGAAGCGGTGAGGATGGTTTGTTGTACGCATCGCTTGCTCTTTGCGGAATTGGAATATGTAAGGTATCGCGTTCGGCACCTGCGACTGCTTGATAAGGTGGTGGTGGATCCATGCTTCACAAATATCGTAACACAAGAGGCTTAAAAGATGTTAAATTCTGATGGAGAGAGCATGTCAGTTCTTGCCCCTCTTTCTCGTGATTACGGAGGATGAGATATCACACGCGCCGAGTTGCAGGATGAGGCTTGACCGGTTGGGAGGCCTGATTTGATAGGTAGCTGTATCATGCCATTCATTATTCTATGTATCATTTCACACACATTCAGACAATCTTTTCATCGTGCATAAACGACTTGAGATAGTCTCCAACCACCAGTAACGTTCGCCCTGGATATCGGGTTGGCATTAGCTTCTTGATCGCATCAACCCTGCTGCAGCGGCAAAGGAGTTGATGGATTCGTGCGACGTGCATGGAAATATATATTGTGGCTTGAGGGGCACTTTTCACAAGCACATTCTTCAACGCATTTTGTCAAGATCCCAATCACTCGAGGAACATTCAAAAGAGACAGATAAATCACAGAGGGTAGTTGCGATGGATGTCTGGTGTTCCTGAAATCGAGACATTTGGCAAGTGCGAAGGGCGTGGAAGCACTTTCTTCGATCGCATGGTTTTGGTGACATTCAGCCATTGCGCCTTCTGTCAGCTTATTCTGCAATCGAATCGAATGGGAAAAACGATCACATGCAAAGGTGTCGAAAATGGATAGAGAAAGATGCAATAAAATTTGTGTCCCAAAAACGCCTATAATCCAGGACAAGTATGAGCATCTACTTCTTTGTCGACGACGACGATGTCTTACTCTTGCCACCCTTGTCATCGCTCTTGGTGGAACTGCTTGTCGTCTTTGTCGTGCTGGTAGAGCTAGCTTTGTTCGCCGAGGTGACAAGAGTGCTGCTAGGAGTGACACTAGATCCCGAGGAAACAGAAGCAGAACTCGACACCACAGTCGCAGAAGCAGATGCGGAAACAGCACCCGAACCAGAAGAAGAAGAGGAACTTCCACCACCACCACCACTGCTGCTGACCTTGGTCACAAGCGTACTCTTGGTCTTCCAATACTCGACCAATTTCTCCTCGACCTCATTGGCTTTCTTGTAAGCATCCAAGTCCTGGAACATCTTGCACTTTTCCTCAATCTTGCTATTCTCGAAATCGCCATCGCGGTTTGTGAGATCTTCGGGTTTGAAGGACTTTGCACGGTATTTCGTGTCCATGGGGTCAATGAAGGAGGTTTTCTCATCGTACCCGAGGTCGGTGAGGTGAGTTACATTGAGGGCGGCCATCATATCGTGGTCTTCATGGATCAGGTTGTGGCAGTGGAACATGTAGAGACCATCCCAGCTGATATGTGTTAGTGGGGGTTCAAAGGTAGGATGAGGAGATGACTTACGGGCCGTAGCGGGCGAGGACTTGGACGCGTTCGTTCTTGTTGAGCCAGACTACGTCTTTGAGAGCGGTCTTCTCGTAGGGAAGGACGCCACGGTCACCATCTGTGCGGCTGATGATTTGGAAGTCCTGCGGAGGGATTCTCATTAGCTCTTGTGGTGAGAAGAACGGAATGAATAGAGGACAAAGGAGGGTAACGAATTCCAAGAAGAGATTCCAGAAAGAAAATTCGGAGCAGAGGAGTGACTTACGATAAGATGGATGTGTATTGGGTGAGTCCAGCCTCCTGCACCATTTTTCAACTCCCAGAGCTCGACTGCACCGCGTTGAGGTTTGGCGATAACTCTGTCTTCGACGTCCGCCCATGTCACACCGTTGACTTGCCATTCTCCGTTGCTACGCATGAACTCGTAAGAGCGATCAATGCCTGTCTTTGGTGGTGGCATGGGTACTGTGCGAAGAGTTGAAGGTAGAGCTCCGTTGCCCTTAGTATCGGATACAGAGTTGCCGACCATGAAGCGCATGACTCTGTCTGTGCCATCAAAGTCGTCATCTGCACCGACCTTACCGGTGTTCTTGAGTGTGACATTCTGACCAGCATAGGCAGAGAAGTCGAAGACAACTTCCCATCTCTCAGCCATAGAGATGTCCAATTGAGTTGTGTCAACAGGGCTGGCGAGAAGACCCGCATCTGAACCGATGACGGTGAAGGGGATCCTGGTGCCAACCTTCTTGTCTGCTTCAGCGTAGAGCTGGAAGGAACGACTGATAGAGGTGTCGAGGAAACGGAAGAGGTACTTGCGAGGTTCAACCGCAAGGTATGGCCATGGCTGACCATTGACTTGAATCACATCACCAAAGACACTTGTAGTTTCACCGTTGGCTTCGGGATCCCAGAGTGTGCCATCAGCGTTGTATCGCTTGGCGGCAAGTGCAAGAGGGATGTCATAGTTGCCCGAGGGGAGGTTGAGAGCGTTCTTCTGAGCGTCCTCGAGAATGTAGAAGCCTGCTTGTCCGTAGTAGGCATTCTCAGCAGTATGACCAACAGCGTGGTCGTGGTACCACAAAGTCCTCGCAGCTTGTGCATTGGGATAGTAGTAATCCTTGTACTGTCCAGGCTCTGTAGTGTCCTCAGCCCAGCCGTCAAAAGGAGCGCGACCTAAAAAGATGCGTTAGTGGAAGCCGCAAGCATGGAAGCATGTAGAGGACGTACTGTATGATCCGTGAAGGTGGACTGAGTTGGCACGGTCGGCATGGTTGATGAATCGAACAACAGCTTCACGACCTTGCTGCATCCTGAAGGTAGGACCGGGCACAATTCCGTCATATCCAACATGGCGTGCTTTCTTGCCAGGATAGATCTCGATATCGACTGGCTTGATATCTATCTCGTAGTAATCGATGTTGTCGTACGACCTGGATATAGTTAGACAATGGGCCTCTACCTGAAACTCGGGCTTCCATACTTTACGGGCTTGGCGGTAGGAGGGACTGGCAGAGGAAACTCAAAGAAGTTTTGATAGACTGGAGACAACCAGCCCTTGGCATCAGCCAACGCGAATAGACTGAGCAGCAGAAGTGAATGCATAGTACTTCTGAGGCTGTGATGAGGTGGAATGAGATGAAGAGAAAGGGAGAAGTGATCGTTGCTGTTTCTGAATGACAATTGTGGAGTACAAGCACCTCATATATATATGTCCGTACTTACTATGAACAGACTCTCTTATGGTCTTCTACTGCTCTTGCCCCATTCTCTTGCGACGTCTACTTCCAGAATGGATTGTACAGTGTAGACAGCGAACGGAGTCGCCGCTCACACCCCTGCTCCACTCCTACAGCTGAACCATAATACCTCGAGATAGGGACTGCACGTGGCCAGACAGCGGGTCGTGGCTGACCTTTCCACCTGATAAAGGTTCTAGAGTTGGAAGTAGGGTCGAGAATGGAGCAGTCAACTACGGTCCAGTCTGAAGATAGCTGTGCACAAGGGTAAGTAAGCTTGCCACAGCTGACATCAAAGGCAAGGCGAGTAGAGCAAGGCTTGCCATTACTGGGCGCGGGCACGCTGGAATGATCCGAATGGTCAAGACGACATCCAAAGGCAGAAGACTATTGAAGCATAAGGCTGGCAGCTTGTACAACCTGGCAAAGACCTGTTTGGGACCAGATCGCGAACAAGTGTCAGGTACCGGTCTTGGAGATGTGCTGTTCAAGGACATTCAGAGGTACTGTCTATTCTTGTCCGATTTTGGTAGTAAGTCACCAAGCAATCGAGCCGTATTCGATGTAGATACTGCTGTAGTGGCCAGATGTGGGGAATCATGCAAGATTTCTTTGGTAGCTTCAGGGCTGAAGGCGGGATCGGAATATACAGATGTACGGAACATGGGGGTTTCTGATTTGTTCCGCCCGTGGCTGCGCTCGCCAAGTGCTGTTCCGAAGGCCAGAAGATGTGTTGGTAGATTATCTGTCTCTTAATAACTACAAGATCAAGATGTGGTTCACAACAATAATTCGAAGGACGGACGTTGGATAAGGTGACGAGCAGGATGTGGTCGGTCGCAATGTTTGGAAGAAGCAAGAAGAGGTCTGCAGCTGCGAGCTGGAGTCTGGAGAAGTGCGGACATGCTTCTTGGCATCTGCAGAGTTTCTCGGCGCTGACCTTGGCAAAGAATCCTCCATCCGCTTTCATACTCACATGAGCATTTCTCCGAACTTCCCTCTGCCATGTCATGCTTTCTGGTACCGATAGTGCGGTCTTCTTGCCGCCCGGAACTAAGCTTGCAGGCTCGGCAGCTGAGCGATGATGCTTGTCGTCGGATGCCTCGTGTACAAGAGTATCGGTATCTTGATCTCGACCGCTGCCGACCTTCGGAACGATAGAGGACTCGGAAACAGATGCATGGGTGTTCCTGTACAGTGCCTACCAAGAGCATACTCTTTCTGCAATATCAGTACGCCATCTCTATGTATGGCCATAGAATCGCACGAGAATGATGTTCTTGAAGGCAGTACATTGAGAGCAGTCTTGAACGAAGCCTTTAACAGACATGTCTTTCGACCCCTTCGTGCCGCAATCCACTCAGGAATATCAATCACAAGGGTATACATCTTAGTGGATAGAACTGGTCGCATTCTGTGCCTAGTTCCGATGACAGCTGCCAGCTGACTGTCGCTTGGACGACTGGCTCGCATAAAGAAAGACTTACTCACGAAACTTGCAAAGACAATACGACACGGCAGTGATATTTCCTGCGGCACAGCTTACAGCATGCCTTTCAGCTACAAGGTCAGCACTACGAGACTGTTGCCACAAAGTCAAAATTGTGGCTTATACTGTCTATCTCGCTTGCCACACATGACATGCCATGGCATGCCATGCAATTGAACCCTTGTTGACTACATTGACAGCAAAGCCTCAATGAGTGCTCTACCAGCTTCTGCGGCACACGCGCTCTTCGTTCCCGTCTGGTCCTGCCAAAGCCCTAGTCCTCGAGACATGGTTGTTGCGGCTTGGAGCATTATCGTGACCTGACCTGACCTGAATCTTTTCTTGGATATCATGTCACAGTACTTCACGAAAGACCACACACAGCTTGGACGATCTGTTCGAGATTGTCCTGTACTTCGTGACCATGTAACACGGGAGTGTTCTATGATTCTATCACTTCCTCACACACACCCTCCGACTGGGCTCGAGATATAAGAAGGGGGCTTTGGCTTGTGAGTATCTGATTCATCATCTCACTCTCGGCCTTTCCTCAACATGCTTTCCTCTGCTCTTACGCTCTTATCCCTCTCTTTGCTGGGCTCTCGCGCAGCCGCTCAGACAGTTGAGCCATTCGTTCTCGATGGCAGACTTGACAGGCACGTTGCAAGTTTCCTTTTGGCAAAACACTCAGACTAACGAATGTCAGCGCGACTGCCAGCGATAGCACCTACAACTCTGGTGGCACCATTTCAGTGAACGGTTACCCCGTCACAATCCCACAAAATCTTCAAATACAATTTCCTGCTGCCTTTGCTCCATTTGGGAAGTTTGCCAGCACAGGTGGCTTTGTGGGCCATGAGGTGTCGGTACGTAGACTACCTACAGCACTTCCATTGCCGAGCCTCCTCTCTATGTCACAACGTCTCTCACGATGTGTCGAAAAGCATGATCTGCATTTCGACAGCTGGTTATCAGGCGTTGCAGAAAGATGCGAGATCCGCTCGATCTCAGATTTTGCTGCTCGAACTACAATATAGCGTACATGATACTGATGAGAATTTAGGTGACTGGAAACGTTGTCAACGGCAAGGCGATCGCTGGCCTCGTACAAATATCTGAATATCTTCTGCAAGCTAGTTCAGGCACTGTTGAGAGCATCGACTTTGCCACTGGAACAATGAAGATCAAGGGCGGACCGACCATCAGAATCAACGATCCCAACGCCGTATACTCTGTGGGATACACCAAGTCTGGATTTTACACCGCTGATGACGAGAATCCGTCCATCACTGCCTTCAGCGGATTCCCTATGTGCATTCCGAGATCATCCTCAGACCCCCTTTGTCCCTCGAGCAACAGACCAGCAGGTCGAAGCACCTTGTAAGCAAAGCCTCAACCCATGTGTTTAGTCGTACTGACAATTTTAAAGTGCAGCACCCGACCCATTGAAGATGGCGCCCTTCCAAGTCGGAGACTATCTCGAGTACTCTGGCATCAACGACGGTGGCACTATTGTTTGCTACGCCATCGTCGCACCTAATGTACAGATCACCACATCTGGTGCACCAACATACATCCGTATTGAGGATGCTATCATTGGCATCTACGATGGAGGTGCCACATCCGAGTTCGGCGATTCCAGAGTGAGTATTCAAAGCCAGTACCAAATCTCAATGACTGACTCGGTATAGTTCATCGGTTATACTTCTGATCCGAACGCGGGCATCTCTGTCTCCGCTATTGATGTCGACCCTTGCACGGGAGAGGAGACTGAAAGAAGCGTTGGTGCAGCGTCCTACAAGGCTGGTGATGCTCGTAACAAATTTACATGGAGAGCTGGCACTACCACATCCTCCAAATACACCCGCGAATATGTCATTCGTGCATCGACTGGCGAGAAACTCACCGACAACAAGATCAATGCTGGTCGCTACGTTCAACCTGTCCTGGAGTTTTTGTTTCCCGAGCCAAACGTCCCTGGAATAGTTCCACCGGTAAATGATTTCAGCAACATGCCGTTCCTCGCTCAAGGCCTTGGAAGGGATGAAGCTGGAAACCTCTGGGGACAACTCAACCCTTGGCCTGGTGCAGGTGCGCCTGCTACAACAAGCTGTGGACCCTACACGCCCCCAACTCCTACTTCCTCTTCTGCCTCCAGCACTGCAACTAATGCTGATCCCCCTGGTGCTGCTACAAGTGTACCCACTATAGCAGTTGGAGGCACCCAGACGACTCGTCCTGGAGTTCAAGTCAAGCTTGGCTTCAATGTCACCAACAAAGCCGACTTTACAGCCAACGACCTTACATATAGCTGGACTCAGGTCAGCGGACCCAGTGTTACTCTTTCAAGCGATAGTGCTGCCACCCCATCATTTACCGCGCCCGCTGGCACAGCTAAAGCAACTTACATCTTCAACATCAAAGCCAGCAGCGCATCAGCAGGTACAAGCGGAAATGCAAACGTCACAGTCGTTAGCGATCCTGCTGTTGCAGATGTTGTTACCATCGACAGCTACACATACAACTCTTCAGGAGGCGGTTCTGTTTCGGTCACCGCGAGTACAAACATCGTGGGCTACAATGCGAACCTTAAGTTGTATCTGACAAACACCGCCACTGGCACAGCCACCGCGATGACTTACAATGGAGGAGGAAAGTACAGTGTAAATTTGCCGAAGACCAAGAAGCCAGCCAATGGTATTACTGTAGTGAGTGATGGCAAAGGCAGCAAGAGCTTGACTGCCACAACGGCATAATGATATTTCCAGAGACTTGAGGCGGTGTTTTGGTATAGGTTATGATTATGCTATACATATGTACATACTCCGTACAATTCGGTGTTATTATGCTGAAGACTCTCAAGTCATTGTGCTTGTGATGCGTCAAGTTCTCAGCCTCGGGCAGTGCTGGCCAGACTCGAACCATGACCACAAGCGTGTTTCAAGTTCGCGACTGCCCCGCCATCCTAAAATAGCAGCTTTCTGATTGACACAAGCTTGATGCGACCAAGCTCTCTTGGCCCAAACCCCTGTTTTGATACGTCATTGTGTTGATGGTGATACACTGAGCACCTGCTTGATGCGAAAGGCAGGCGTATAAAACGCAAGTGGGCTCGCATCTAGCACGATCCCGGATTCCCATTCATCCCCATATCGTCTTTCAAACCACACAACAATACCCAACCAAATCATGTCTGACTACAACAACCGTGACTATGATGAGAACGCTGCTCGCTTCGCTGGTGAGGCTGTAGGCAGAGCTGGTAAGCTGCTCCAACCTCTCGAACATAGACACGTTGCTGATGTCTTTCACAGAGGGCTCCTACGACCGTGCAGACCAAGCCTTCGACCGCCAGGAACAAAGGATCGGCGACTCCTTCCGCCGTGACGAACAAGCAGTCGAGAATGCACCAGAGAACATGGCCCGCTATGCCGAACAAGGCTTCAACAACACAGTCCAAGGCGTCGAGAACATTCCCTCAGATATCGGTGCAGGCCTTCGCGGTGCCGCAAACTGGATTGGCGAGAAGATTGGCGGTGTGGAGAATGAGGGGAGACGTGCCGAGCAGAACGTTGAGAACAGATACGATCAAGCCGAGCAAGGGGTTGAGAACCGCTACAACGACGCCGAGCAGGATGTTGACCACTTCGGTCAGAATGCGAAGAACAGATACAATGATGCTGAGCAGGATGTTGATCGCTTCAACCAGGGCATTGAGAACTCATACGATCAGGGCGAGCAGCAGGGAAGACAGCAGGGCTGGTAAACGTCCGCAACAATCAGGGTGTCATTGACGATTGTGAGGCGTGATAACCTCGGAACTTATCACTACGAGTGTATCATTCACAATCCAACAACTGCATTGTAGCAGCTGTTCTCAAGCATTCGGATCGATGCGTACAATGGTCGGTGTTTTGTCGCAAGAACAAAGAGAAGCGTCATGTGAAGCGTGTACCTTCCGAGTGCGTCTGTGGTCCAAGCTCAAGCTTTCATGTTACCATTTCCACCTTCCTGCTTTGTTCTTCTTCGCAGCACTCCGATCACTTTGCCGAATCTACCCGTCTCTCACGACAGATCTCAGTGAAAGATGTAGGACACAGGACTTGTAGCAGCCGATATTTGTGTCCTGCGAGGATACACGTGTAGCCCAGCTCTGCGGTGGTCGTACCGATCTGATGAGCATCATGCATCCTCGCAATCGATATTCGATTCAGGACTTAGTGACCTCGGAAAGCACTCAATGGGTATTACTTGGAGCTCCTCAGTTGGCCAAAGCCAACATGAGAAGGGAGGCTGCTTTGTTCGTTAACGCTTTGTTCGAGGCCTTTTGTTCTTGTGAATCCGGATCCGGTCTGGTGTGATCAACGACCTGCGAATCGTCTCCACTGTCAGCTTGTAAGAGTCGAGTCGATCAGAACTATTCGAATCCAGTACGCAATCCATCATGCCAGATAGAATTGTCGTTTCCGGGGACACATCTTATATAGTGACCAGCGATGAAGCAGACCGATGGGACGATTCTCCAACATCGCTGATACTTGACGATGACTCTCTTCCATTACCGCACGATCCGCACGACTTTCGCCGGCTCTATCTTGATCAAAATGGTCAGCGACGGACCAGGGTTTCACCAGCTGTCTTCGCAATGGGCAAGCTTCCATACCCACAACTAAGGAATCTCAAGCATTTTGAAAATGGAAAAACGGTACCTTCGTACAATCCGAAGCTCCCGTGGATGGGCTACGGTAAGATACTTCGTTACTTCACTCCAGAGGCACTGATACAGCTCGGAATCATCAACCTCTCCCCATCGTTCCGAATCTCGAGCAACTTCGAAGTCGACCCTCGAGCAATCAAAGCAATCAGGAGTAAAGAGCGGTTTGCTCCGGATAATAGCGGGATTCACCCGATATTCAAGAACACGCCAGATCACTGGGACCACACAAGCGATTTGATGTATGAGTACCTCAAACCTTCTCTTCGTATCGCAAGCAAGATACTGGATATGGAAGTAGTTCTAGATTTCTTGACCGCAGTTGGCAAGCCGTGGGTTGAGGAGGAACCAACACTTCTACATGAGGCAAAATCAGGCCAAAAACAATATTCCTTCTACCCCAAGCCACTAACATCAGCCGAGAGAGCAGTGACTGCAGAAGCATTGATTCATATGCAAGATTTTGTCGACTTTGATTGGGACTTCAGCTCGCCCCTCAGTGTTGCCGCATACACTATCACGAGAAAAGTCTGGGATAAGTCTCATAAGAGAATGGTGTGGGATAGAGGCATGTGTGATTACGCAGGATCGTGAGTCTGACGGCCAAGTTTTGCTTCTGGTCCGAGTGCTAATGATGAACGCTAGATACTCCTCAACGATCAAATTCAATGGCGAGTGGAAGAAGTTTCTCAACCTGGACAATCTGCCCGGTAACGATTTCGTTCCGAACACGGACAGCACGTCAAGACTTCTGCGGACTCAATTCACTCTCGCTTTTACCATGGTTCATGAACTGGTCCATGCTTGGGTCAGGAACATGCGTCGAGACGCTCTTAGAATCGATGAAGTTGAGCCATACTGTAACGATGACCGCATTGCTGAGCCCGGTTGGGCCCTGATGAGTGCTATCTTTGGGTCCATAGGATGGCCAATTGCCAACAATCCTGTAATGTATGATGCGCCCTTTGGGTTGAGCACCATCCGATTCCCTGGCACTCGCGACCTCAGGAAAACTTTCGCGGCCGAATCGTACAAAGGTACTCCAGCAAAATGGGGCGTCGATATATCCACCGAGTATGCTCTCCCAATGGATTTCATAGGACAATTCTTCACCAACGACTTTTGGGACACCAGAGTCGAGAGATTTGGATCTGGAATGTTGAGGAGTCCAAAGCCGCTTGGAGTGCGAGAAGCCCATGAATATACAGAGAATTCATTCGAAGCTCCCGAATCGCCACGGGTGAAGAGAAGACTAGTGGACGGCGTAGAAGTAGACGATCCGGAAGCTCGGTCGCCAGAACACGACACACTGCATCCTGGTGTGAGGAAGGGGATTCTCTTACCAGATTCGGCATTTGATGGTGTTGGAAATAGATTGGACTTGCGTAGTGGTAAGATTCAGAAGACGAAGAGGAAGAAGACAGCAAGGTACGTCTCGTTCAGAGGGTAGGGAAAGCATAGATACAGGTTCGGAAACTAATGATCACAAATGACAGGCAACTAGGCATTCTATCTCCCATACCAGAGGCTCCTTCGCCCGTGTCGCCAATGTATCCAACGTCGCTAGTGTCGCGAAATTCACCAGTGTCGTCAATTTCATCGGAGGATACCTCAATGCCAGACGCACCGGACTTTGATCAAGGATACGTCTATCCGCCTTCGCAAGCCCCTACTTTCGGCCAAGGATACGATGTTCTTCCACCGGCCCTCACTATTGGCCAAGGATACAACCCACTTCCACCAGCCCTCACGATCGGCCAAGGAAACAATCATCTTCCACCAGCCCTCACGATCGGTCAAGGATACAACCCTCTTCCACCCTCCCTCGCTATCGGCCAAGGATTCAATACTCCTCCACCAGCCCCTACTGTCGGCCCAGGATATAATCCTCTTCCGCCAGCCCTCGCGATCGGCCTAGGACCCCCTACCCTCCCACCATTCCCTACCATGGGCAAACTTTTCGGCGCTGAGATCAAAGACAACGGCGAACTAGGCCTGCCAATCTTGTACCAAAAGGCAGGAGAAGGATACGACTACCAACAGCAACCACGCCGCAACGCTCCAGACTTGAATAAACCCCTACCGCAGATTCGGCGATCGGAGAACATCGTTCGCTCACCAAGGGAGATTATGCAGGGTGAGCAGGACCCCGCGTACTACGATTCAAGCCCCGAGTATTCTGAAGAAGGCGCAGACGGTCTCACATCCTTCGAATTTCGTCGCCTGAGAAACTCAGAATACCGCGCACCTCCCGTCACCACACGTCCCGTCACCTACGAAGAGCGCCGTGCCCACAAAAAAGCAGCCTCAAAAGCCGCCAGACAAGAAGGGTTCGAGAAATGGATGAAGCAAAAACAGGAAAAAGCCGATTACAAAGTTGCCAAAAAGGAGGCTCAAAAGGAAGCCAAGGCTGATCACAAGATTGCAACAGAACAGGTCAGGACTAAAGGTAGTCTTGGTCGGGCCGGGTTTAGGGATCTGTTTGCGCACAAGGAGGATCCGAATGAGGAGGAGTATAAGCGTCTTCTTGATCCTGACAGTCCTGAGCATGCGTACGGACATTCATCGGGATATCGGTAGAGGGTTTATGTTTATGGTTGAGGTCGTTGTGTTTTGAGAGGGCAGGTTTTGTTGCGCATCTTTCTTGTGTTTGACTGTTTTTCGACGAGTCGTTTTCTTGTGCAGTAAGTGGTGTTGTTACTTGGTTTCTGTTTTGCTTGGTCCGGTTGAGTAGAGGAGGATGTTTTTGCTGTACTGCACACTTGCTGTCGACGCTATATGAATCCAAGAAATTTCTTGTAACTCGAGCAAGCTTCCACAGAAAGAACAAGGATGCTGCGCTGGTCAGAACACAACTCTACGTTTCCCAGTCGCCTATGAGCGGATCGTCGGTGAGGCGTTTAATGACAAATAAATGACTTGGACGATCTGATACTGAGGATAGGGTTCAATGGTGCTGCTCGTCCCTCTCGGTTCTGTACTATGTAGTATGTACTCGGCGCTATCTTCGAAAGCCTGTCGCTTCTTGAGCAGCCTGCCGTGCTACTTCAATCCTTATCCACAGCACACAGTTGCCTCGTCGTGACTCTTGTCCCTGTAATGTCGTCAAAAATGCACGTCGTGAGACACGATAATGGATCTACTTACGTATCACCACCAAGCTTCTCCCATCCGAACACGAAGAAACCGAGGTAAGCACCGATAAAGATGCAAATGATGAGATAACCGTTATAGTACATGGCCAGCAGCATGATGAAGTAGGCGACTGCGAACTGCAAGCAATGGAGCAGTGCTCTCACCATCTGCTGGGGCAGAGTAGGCTTGAAAGCTCTGGTCTTGATGCCGGTGGCAAGGGCCGAGGCGGTAGCTGTGGAGGCAGCTTTACTAGTCGATACAGTAGTCGGACAAGCGCATTCGTTGGCAGGATTTTCGTTGGTGGTAGAGGCGACGAGACGGCGATGATGGGCGAGGATCATACGGTCGTGTTCTCTAGCGAGACGGCGAAGAAGCTCGAGCACCATCACGAGGAGGATGACTCCGATGCAGGAACCGGCGAACATGCCATTGGAAGTGATATGCCAGCTTTCGGAGATGAAACCTGTATCCAGTCAGACAAACCTCCTTGTGTGTCAAAATCTGTCACGTCTAGCCATCTCTCTCAGGGCCATTTGGACTGCAGACATGCACAATGTTTTTAACATCGGTCCGCCGTCCGTAGAGAGTTCCTAATTGTCACACTCTCAGTGGAGGGCTGCACTAATCTTAAAAACATTGTGCATTCCCACAGCATGCGCGTGACAAAGTTCTGCACACGGGGAGGAGGGTGAATCAAGAAATCGTACAGGCGTCAATTGTGTTCCAGTTCCACATCATCTAGAAACATGGTTAGCATTGAGAAAGGTCATGACAAATTCAATCATTGCTTACAGAGATCTTGCAACTACCCATGCCCATATCCATGTCCATGGCTCCGCCCATGTCCATCGATGCCGTTGATGACGCGGTGGGAGCCGATGATACCATGCCGGCCATATCCATCGAAGTTGTAGTGGCCATAGCCATCGAGCTACTCATGCTCATACCTGACATATCCATGTTGGAGAAATAGTGTTGTTATGGTACGAAGAATAAAGAGGAAGAGGACTGGCGAACACGAGTTTTTGTCACTGATAATAGCGAAACAACAATGACCCTGCCAAGACATAGATGTGATAGTCAAGAGTGCCTAGTTGCCCGAGTGAGTGAATTAGCGTGACTTCCGTTTGGCAAAGAGAAACATCGCAGCAGCCCTCCCCCCGCCCAACACTATTGGCCGCATCTCGACAAATCACCTAGTATCTCAGCCTTCCACCTGCCCCACGAGTTCCGTTCGTGTGAGTGGGTCCGAAGCGTGTTTTTGGGCTAGGCATGTGGTTCAAGCTGACCATACATACGCTTGCGTGAGTTCTGACAGGAGTGATGATCCTCCGGCATGTGTTCCCACCGCGATTTCCAAAGGAGGCCCCCTGGTCTGTTTTCTCGCCTGTGTTCGTGCCGGGAGTGTTCGGTAGATGATCGGAGAGATGATATCGTTCAAGAGTCTCTCCAAGACTAGGGCAGCCAATGTCGCTGTCCCTCAGAATGCACGATATTTTTGAGCTTCCTAGGGCTACATTAATAGCTCAAAGTTCCTGTCTCTTTGCCGGAGAGGCTCTCAGTTGAAAACACTGCCGGGGAGATTTAGGATAGGTCCACTGGTGAGAGCATTCTTATCTACAGGCTGACTCAGTGATCGTCTACCAGGCAAAAGCCTCTTCGATGATATCAACCGGCATGCCATCTCTCAAACATCCGACCACAGCTTCCCTGACCTCGTCAGACATGCCTCCTGGTGCACACACGATCACGACAACTCTTCGTCCCTTTTCTGCTACAGACCTTACAACATGCTCGATGTTCATCCTGCCTCGCTGCAAGTTGCTACCTTGCTCGAGGCCTTTGTCTTGGCTGCCGTTCTCCCCAGTGCACCAGAAACGATAATCTAGATGTCTGTTTTGTGCAAGAGCTGTAGTCGCATCCGGCAAAAGTGAGCTCGAGACATGATGAAGTAGAGCTTCCTCTCGCGCTGACCAGGCCAGAACAAAATTGGTGGCACAACCCATCAAAGTTCCCGAAGCAGGGAGTGATCGAGATTCATTGACGTATTGTTGCAGGAAGCTCATCGAGCTAGTGATACCAATGCCACCAGCGATACACATGATGGTATCGGCAGTCTTCAGCGGTGATAGCGCCGTACGATGTCCACCATAAAGCCCCTCTGTCATGACGGAGATAGGTAACGAGCTTGCTCCTGACTTCTTCAGCTTTTCCAGGAGAGCAGCAGTCATGCCCTTCCTGGCACGCATGAGACACACCATCTGATCAGGATGCCGTGCCTCGTGGCTGATTTGCGAAGCAGAAGAGCTGTCGATCTCAATGTCGTGAACTTGTGCTTCTTTGTGGTCGGATGCGGGCGAAGTCGTTTGTGTATTGCGGTTTGACTCCGGAGTGCCCCAAGTCGCAATGGTGAAAGGGTGGTTCTCCCATGGCTTTCCAAGCAGGGGTATGTAAACAAACGAATGTTGACCGGGTCGCACGTTCCAGGCTTTCTTTGGAAAAATGGTCATTTCCAGTATGTCGGTATGCGGTATCTGCTTCACCACAGCAATGGGGCTACCGAAATAGTTGTAGAACATTAGACGGAAGAAGCGCATGAGTCGATCGAAGCTCCAGAAAGCAAATGCGACATAAAGCCAGACTTTGTAGCCCCACTTGCTACCAAATCGCAGATGAATGTGATACCAGCAACCCATCAGCGCGAGTATAGCGAAGGCTATGTGTGTGATAAGGAAGACCTCGTAGGAACGCATGCGTATAGGTAGCACAGCAAAGGCTACTGCAAGACATAGCACGACGGTGGCAATGATACCCCACCAGTAGTAAGGCTTCGCCGCTTCAGCTGCATACGCAGTGGATCCGCCAGTCCAGAAGTATGTAACAGTGTAGATGATCGAGTGGACCACAGCCTGAACGGTAGCAACTCGGGATGCCCAGCGATGAATAGCCATCATTGTGCTTTGGTTCCAACCAGTAATGGCCATCAACAAATTGTTACGTCCGGAGAAAAGAATGGCGAGTGCGAGATTTGCGAAGCTCAGAACACCGGTACGGTTCGATACGTATGCAGCAATCTCGTGGCGGCGGTCTGCGTACCAAGCATTGGGAGAGACGTGATGAAACGAGACTGCAGAGAAAATGATATTGAGGCTGACGTATGCAGTAATGAACAGCGACAGGGCACGCTTGGGAAGATAGCCAAGTCGGTATGGCAGTGGTGATAAGTGATGGCCGTTGAAGGTCGCGGGTACGAGAAGATGCTGGTTGAGCTTGAGCGATAAGCTATTGAGTGCGACTTTGTGGGCGAAGTGCGACTTCCATGTTCCAGCGATGAGACAGATGCCTATGACGAAGAGCATAGTGATAAGTCTAAGGCCAACAGTCAGTAAATTGCCAGTGGTGTTCAAGAATTTGCCTGGCTTACGAGTAACGAGTGTGCCGATATTCGGACGACACGAACTCTTTCATCGTGACATAATTAGCCAAGTAGGTCTCTTCATTGACCAGGCTCGTGGAGTTCAGCCAGGTTGAGTCGGTTCCTAGCTCGACTGGAGGGGCAGCAGAAGGCAAAGAGCTCTGCAAGGTTGACACGGCTTTGCCATTGGCAGCCAGCTTAGCAAAGCATTGGTCCTGTTTGCTCTCCGTGACACCATTCTGAGAGCATTTGTCGCGGACACAATATGAGAAGCTCTCAAGCCAAGTTCGGTCGCTGGCGTAGCAGGCATCGCTTGTCGTTGCCAGTGACTCGCCCCCCATGTCCATACGTTTGACCAGCTTCATGTCCATGCCGCCGTGATGCCTATCCATATCCTCCGAGAATGTGGTGCAGTTCAGATATAGAGCGGACAATGAATCATGGCAAGAGTAGCAGCACAATGGCTGATACATCTGTATGCCAATACCAATGACTCCATATTGAACATCTGCAGCAACAGCTCTTGAGAACAGGACAAACAGACTAAGCGCGAAGGCGTGGAAGCTCTTCATGTTGACGAGTAAAGATAGCGATTGGAATGGCACCGTGAAATTGCGCCGACATACAGAAGTGATGCTCTTGTTTATCATCAACCGCGAGGAGACTCAATTCGGCATATTATCAAACGTCCGATACGGACATGCAAGTCGAATGCGTGCCACGAGGACATTTGAGCAAGTTGTTCAGGTGGCTGTTGTCGCCATTGCCGTATTGAAACATCTAGACGGTGTTCGATATGAGCCAAATGGCATGCATGTGTGGGGCCGTAAATCCTCGTGGGAACGAAATGCACGTTCGGAGAGATATTGAGCAAGTTTCTGGCCATGGCGTCCGCGTGGGTGAAACGATTCGGCGGATGGCTGAGGCCAAGCTTCGAGCGAGCGAAGCAGCACCCCGGCAAGGTAACGGCACCCATACCTAGTCAAATCTAACAGCAAGAAGGGACGCTGCTTGGATGTAAGCCAGGATACATTGAGCTCGTGTCGTCCTCTAGCCGTAGAACGGCATCCTGGCATCGTTGTCCTTTTGTCAGGCACAAATCGAAGCCATCCCTTCTGGCCCACGGACTAGGACGGATTATCTCTCCATTCTATTGAACATCGGAGTCTGGTCATTCTGAAGTTCTCCATGAGCTCAGGTTGACTCGATCGTGAGCAGTGCAGAGTGCGTTCCGTTGCGTAGGCAAGAGTCGCAGTTTTGGGTAGCTGCTCTTTCAGGTCGCCTTTTCCATCACCTCTGCAGCTTAGCTTAGTCCGTGACGTTCTGACTCGACTCGAGAAACATCTCCTGATCCTCGAGAAGTCACAAGAAGCTGATACTGTGAGATGTTGTTGTTTTGCACTTGAGCCTTCATGGAAGCTCGACAACTTGATCAGCTGGACCTCAGCTGGAGATTCGACGCGTTGGCGGCTATTGCGGAAAGTACGGTTATAGCGGTAATAGCGGGGTACTTTTCACAAGTCGACCACAACCTTCTGCAGAATTCAAGCAACAACGATGGGCACAACGAGGTAGGTGACTCGACTCAGAATTATCTGAAGGCCTTGGCTTTACTTTCAGAGATTCTTACAACTTCTTACTCCATGGATCCCGAACCTCTACAAATCCGACATGTCGTCTTCAACACCGCAGCATAACAGATTGCGCTCACGCGTAGCTTGTGAGCCATGCAGAGAGCGTAAAAGAAAGTGCGATGGCGCTTCGCCATGCAACACCTGTGTTCGATACGCCTATGATTGCCACTACCCGCAATCTGGTAGGAAAAGGAAAGCAGCCGCATTATCCGCCGACCGAACTTCCCCAGCAGCAGAACACAGTCCTTCTACACCAACAGACCAGAAGGCCCAAAACAGGATACAGTCTTTGGAGGCCAACTCTGGATCTGCCTTTGTCAGGAAGATGGCCCTCGGAATCGATCCAGCGAATGCACCCAGGCTTCGATTGTTCGCGTGGAATGTCTTTCTTGGATCACGAAAATCAAACCACACCCCAATGTCGCGTTCTATAATCCAGATCATATCTTGGCCTGAGATGGAAGAACTTGCTAGCATATACTTTGCCAAAGTTGATCCTTGCTATGGATTTGTTGACCGTCAATCGCTCGAGCGACGTATGCGGACCCATTGGTCGAACAGCAACACAGAAACTGGCGCATTTGAGGCTGTGATTTGTGGCGTTGCGGCTCTTGGACTTCTTTTCTCGCGCCGGAATGTGATTGATGCAGAATTGGATCTTGTCGAGACGGCCAAGCGGATTCTAGAACAGTCAATGTCTGTGCATCCTTCTCTGGATATTGTCACTGCGTGGGTGCTACGAGTAGCTTACATGCGTATGACTGCTCCTGCACATGCCTCTTGGATGGCTAGTTGCATGCTAATGCACACTCTTGAGGCAGCTGGCATCCATTCAACGCACGTCTTGGACTGGAGCAGCGCAGGGGAATCAGGCCAGGCATTGACGCCAGAAATACGCAAACGGATTCTCGGTGTTGCCCAGCATCTCAATATCTGGATGTCGTTTGACATTGGACGCTCAAGGGTCCATCTGCAAACTCTCGATTTTGATCTACCGGCCCCTCGTGAAGGCAGCTACACCACCGAGCTCCTAGAGCTGTTGCCTCATTCGGAAAATCTCAACCCGGACAAAAGTGTGGACGTATTGGATCTCAAAAACTCTCTAGCCACGATCGTTGAGAGGCACCATTCTGCGCCACCATCTGTCCTTGCGCAGTGCAATCTCACCCTGCTGTTGTGTCGTCGTCTACGGACCCTAAACTTTCATTTCCAAGGGAGTCTTCTCAACCAGGTGCTCTCAGTCACTGCCAGAGGTATCCAGGCTGCTCAGGATCTATTGGACGATTGCGCACCGTGGCATCATGTGGTCAATGTTCCTTTCCAGATTATCTGCATCCTGCTCGCTCTTGATACTCCAGCGGCCATTGCGCAACTGAATGATGGCATCAAGACTTTGAGCAACATACAGCTCGTCTACCCGACTGATGCTGCCAAAGAAGCACTGAGTACAGCCTGCCTACTCATTCACCTGCACAGGAAACGCAAAGAAGCCGACCTCAAGACGCTTTCGGAAATCGTATCGACATATTCGCCGTCTGTCTTGTTCGACCAGCAATTTGCGACACAGCCTCAAAATATTAACGATTGGAGCAGTCATACTTGGCTTGAAAGTCTTCCTGAAATGCCAGATCTGCAAACATTTGATATAGATCGTTTCCTCAATGGCAGTAGTGAATGGAGTCTTCCGGGCGACTGGACACAAGGTTTGTGATTTCTTTGGTGTTGCGCAACCAATCGGGAATGGCGGGTGTTGCGGGCCGTTGGCACAAGCATTGTTATAAGATCGGGTTCAACTCGCGCTCCAAGGATACAGCTCATTCTGTTCTATACCAGGCTTCAAGTCCCTGTTATACTAAGAGATGGCCGGACTACTAAAGAATGCATATCCTTGGATCAAACTTCCGTTGATCGTATCGGCACCAATGCTGAACGCCGCCACTCCGGCCCTTGCGGCTTCCGTGAGCCAGGCACGCGGTATTGGATTCCTAGCTGGTGGGACCAAACCTGCTGAGCTCGATGATCTTCTGGCTAGGACGACGGCCTTGTTCGATTCAGCCTCACCACTTCGAAGAGGTCCTAACGACACACTACCTTTCGGTGTCGGCTTCCAGAACTGGGGATGCAAACTCGATGCCATGATACCGATGTTCCGCAAGCATCGCGTCGCTGCGATCTGGCTCTTTGCTCCGAAACATTTATCTGACTTCGCTTCGTGGGCTCGGGAGATTCGGGCTGTGAGCGATGGATATACACAAGTCTGGATTCAGGTTGGGACGGTAATGGAAGCCTTGGAAGTAATGAGGTTGGCTCGTCCTGACGTCCTGGTCGTACAAGGAACGGATGCTGGAGGACACGGTCTACGCCAGTCTGCCAGCATCATCTCGTTACTACCGGAAACTAAGGATGCGCTAGAAGCTATTGGTTTCCACAATGTGCCAGTATTGGCTGCCGGCGGTATCGTCGAGGCAAGAGGGGTCGCGGCTGCGCTCTCTCTGGGTGCTGATGGCGTGGTTATGGGCACGAGGTTCCTTGCCGCCGAGGAAGCTGGGATCGCAAAGGGCTGGCAAAATGAGATTATCAGAGTTGGTGACGGTGGTGCCACTACCAAAAGATCAACTCTCTGCGACCGTTTGAAGGAGACTGTTGGGTGGCCAGAACACTACGACGGAAGGGCTGTGACCAACAAAGGACATTTGGACGAAGAGGGAGGACTGTCAGATGCTGAGAATGTACGTATGTACAAGGAAGAACTCAAGCAAGGTGACGAGGCTTGGGGTGATCACGGCAGAATGGTGACCTACGCGGGCACTGGTGTAGGGCTCATCAAACAACGCAGACCCGCCGCTGATATCGTGGAGGAAACGTCTACGGGTGCTCTGAACATATTACAGCGATATGCACGCATGGCGAACTCCAAACTCTGATATCATCAGCGGTGTCTGTATCAAGAAGACCCTGTGAAAAATCTACGATTTTGTCATATCCCTCTGCGAGCTTCGGTCCAGCATCCGCCCCCCCTACCGCTCCAAGCAGGAGAGGGCCGCTACCGCCGCTATATGAACCATCACCCATCAGCACCATCATCAACCATTATTACCCAAAACTGGAATGCCCCGCACTAGTCTTCCCCGCCCACCGCACCGCGAGAGAGAGGACCGCTACCGCTGCCTAGGAAGCTAAGAGAGAGAAGAAGCGCACTAGGTTAGTAAGCCTAGGGAGGAAGACCTCATCTCAACATATGGACGAACTACGTCGCCCGGGGTTACCGCCTTCTATCGCACAAAGAGGGGAAGGGGAAGGAGAAGGAGAAGGAGAAGGAGAAGGAAAAGGAGAAGAAGAAGGAGATAGCAAAGGGTCTCTCTACCAACCTCGAGAGGCTATAAACATGTTGTTGTAATGCAAAAACTAGAAGGCTCATTAAATGCCGCTAAGTAAGGTCATCCGCTAGATTCGATATCGATCGACGGACTTTCAAATGCCCGAACCATCCTTACAAAGGGTTTGCGGATGACTAGGTCGAATTCGCAAAGCTATCGTAGACGCATCCGAGGATCGATCCTGCCTCCACGGGGATCCCGCCGATTGACATGCTTCTCAACACTTTGAAATGGGAAAGAAAAAATCGTGCAATGATGCAGCTATCTGAGCTATAAAACCTGCCTACGGGGTATACCCACCCGTAATTGTCCCAAAACAAAACCTCATAAAGTAACGAAGCAAAAAGAAAAACGCAATCAAAAGTAAAACAGAAAGAAAAAAGAGAAAAACACCTGAAAATATGCACGGAACCGTAACCCGAATCCCCATAAACCGCCCTAGCCCTGAGCCTTGGTGATAGCCTCATGGAGCTTGTCCAAAAATTCGCTGGCCTTGCCACCATCCTTGAATGTACACATGAACGTCTCGAGCTTTTTGTCTTCAGCTGGCACACTCAATTGAACCATCTTGGCGCTCTTGATCGAATACAGGTCCTTGTTCAAGAGGAGGTTGAAGTTGAGAACGACCTTGCCAGATGGATCGGCGCGCACAAGGATACGGGGTTTGGCGGTTTCCTTGCTGGCGAGGATGCGAATGGGGCCGAGACCTTGGTTGACCCATTGTTTTTCAGACTCCTTGACAAACTTGGTCACTTTGCAGCGAGCTTCGTGAACAAGGTTGGACGTGGCAAGTTCTTCGGCGGTCAAGGCGGTCAGATCCTTTTGGGTGTCGTTGGGTGTGTCGCTAGGCTCCGATCCGGCAGCACTGCCTTCGGCGTCTGTGGTGGTGGTGGTACCGGGTGTGGTGGCGCGAGATGTGGCGGCGGAAGCAAAGACCGAGGAACCTGAAGGCGGTGCAAGACCTGAAGGACCAGCCGTAGAGCCACCGAATGAGAAGCCAGTGGTAGGAGCTGAGGACTTTGCTGCGTCGAAGATGCTGCCAGAAGAAGAAGGCTTGGGGGTCTCTGCAGGCTTGGCACCAAACATACCGCTAAAGGGCGATGACTTCCCGGCAGGCTGTGAAGCACCACCGAAGCTGAACGTGGGAGCAGGAGCCTTGGCAGGAGAACCATCAGGAGTGGTGGTACCGGCAGTAAGTGTGCTAGCACCGAACTTGATAGGGTTGGTGTCCTTCCAGGTATTGTCAGAGGCAGGGCCCGAGCTGCCGAAAGAGCTGAACTTGAAGGAGGCACTAGGAGCATCAGAGGTCTTTTCCTTTTCGGCGTCAAAGGAGACACGGTCAAAAAGGCTTTTGCCAGCGGCAGGCTTGGCAGGAGAAGCGTTGGCCAGTGCAGCATGGACATCCTCGTCCTCATCAGTGTCGCCGTCATTGTCCTCGTCGTCGGGCTTGCTGCTGGATAGGTTGCCGAAGATGTTGGATGACGCAGAAGTGTTTGCGGTAGATGGAGTGCTGCCGAATGAGAAGACAGCCGAGGCAGAGCTGTTGGTCTTCTTGGAGGTGTCTAGGTTGAACTTGAGAGGTTGGCTTGCAGCCAACAGTTCGGCCTTCTTCTGAGCCTGCTTCTCGGCATCCTTTCTCTCCCACTCTTCTTCGTCTTCATCGGAATCCATGTCTTCTTCCTTGCGCTTTTCACGCTCCTTTGCCTCTTGCTCGGCAGCTCTCTGACCGAAGGACCCGAGGAAACTGGGAGCAGTTTTAGACAAGCCATTGAAGCCGCCAAACTTGGGGATCTGAAAGGCGGGTGCAGCAGGCATGCCGTTGGACGAAGGCAAGGCCTGGGCTCCAGCAGGAGGAACGAAACCAGACTTGGAAGCAGTAGGTGCAGGCGTGGCAGAAACCTTCTGGACGATGTTGCCGAATGGGTTGGACTTGACTGGAGGAGCAGTGGCAGGAGCTGCGGGAGTCTTTGTTGCACTGGCCGCCGAGAAGACATTGGACGGCTGAGGTGTCTGAGGCTTCTCTGCAGAGTTCAGGATGTCGTCAAACAAAGAGGCAGTGCTTGAAAGAGGCTTGGTCGGAGTGGTAGACGAGGAGAAAGTCGGAGTCGAGAAGGATGTCTTTGAGCGCTTGTGGTGGTCGTCGTCCTTGGTGACTTCGTCGTCGGCAACGCGCTTTTCGCCGCGGCTAGGAGGAGCCAAGGGAGCGGCAATCTGCTTGGGAGCACTGGAAGAGGCGACGGCTGTGGTGGATGGTGCAGCACTGTTCTCTTGGCGAAGATCGGCGACCTGCTCGAGATAGAAGCGCATCATGGCACTCCAATCTTGCGATGAATCGGCCGAAGCGAGGTGAGCACGCAGAGACTCGTTCAACTGCTTGATCAACGAAGAGGACAGTTCCGATGGCTGCATGGGAGATGCCGGCGGAGTAGCGACGCCTGGTGCAGATGTCTTTGCGAGGGCATTGCTTGGACTAGGGGCTTGTGCACTGGTGGAAGATCCGAAGCCAAAAGTGGGAGCTGATGAAGTCGATTGCGGGGGAGCTGAAGTCGAAGCACCGAAGCCCTTGAAGGCAGACTCGACGGGCTTTTGCTGAGCGGGTGCGCTGCCGAACATTGATGAACCGAGATCGACGTTCTGAGGTCTGGGAGACTCAGGAGCGACGGGTGCAGCGGCGGGCTTGAAAGGCGAGGAAGCGGCAGGGGCTGCTGGCTGACCGAAGCTGAACGAGGATGTCGGAGCAGGAGACGACTCTTGAGAAGAGACCTTGTCCAAACTAGGGTAAGAGACATCTTCAGCAGGTTTGGAAGCAGCGGGAGCACCAAAGGCGAAAGAGGGAAGCTTCTTTTCGGCTGGCTTGGGAGATGAAGGAGCAGCAGGGGCTGCGGCAGCACCGAAGTTGAAGGCGCTTGTAGAAGGCTTGAGTGCTGTCTCATCCTTCTTTTCCGTTGTCGCACCGAAGTTGAAGGCGTTTGTGGCGGGCTTGGGTGCAGTCTCATCCTCCTTTTCCGTCGTCGCACCAAAGTTGAATGCAGACGCAGGAGCAGGAGAGGCAGACGCAACTGTGGAGGCTCCGAAGTTGAAGGCTGGCGTGGGAGCAGGAGAAGGCGGCGTAGCCGTTGAGGCTCCAAAGGTAAAGGAAGACGAGGCAGCTGGTACAGGCGAAGCAGCGGCGCCTCCAAAGTTGAAGGCGGGTGCAGGAGCCTTAGCAGGAGGCTCGTCCTTCTTGGTAGTTGAAGCTGCAAATGCACCGAATGAAGAGACGTCAGGTTGGCTTGATGGAGTAGCAGCGGCAGTCGTGGATTGACCAAAGCTGAAGGCAGACGGACTTGCTGGTGCAGGCGAAGCAGCGGGGCCTCCGAAGCTGAAAGCGGGTGCAGGAACCTTAGCACCGTTGATGGCGCGCACAAAGTCGAGCATCTTCCTTTGGACTGCTGCTGGAAGCGCCGAAAGGTCAAGTCCACCAAGGTCGGCATCCTTGTACTTGGGCTCGCTGTGACGCACGATGTTGGCGAGCTGGTCGAGCTTGCCTTGGTGGCTCAAGGTGGGACCGGCCGACTCGATCTCGCGAATCTCGGCTGCACTGATGGGCTGTTCGCTGCTGAACGAGGGCGTCGACATGGCAGCGAAGGGATTGAAGCTAGGTGCCGGCGATGCGGGAGCTGAGGGTGCCGGTGACGCTGGTGTCGAGCCGAATGTGAAGGATGTGCCTGAGGGTGCCGAAGTGGAAGCGGGTGCGCCGAAGTTGAAGCTCGATGTCTGAGGTGGTGCGAAGCTGAGTGGATTGGTAGGGGCATTGGGAGGGAAGCTCTGTGACGTCGACATTGAGTTGAACGGATTGTTCTGTGTGGTCGACTGTCCAAAGTCGAAACTGGTGGCTGCTGGTGCGCTTTGGCCGAAGGAATTGAGGTCGGAGCCAAACGGATTGGCGAAGCCAGGCGTTGACTTTGACGGCGAAGAAGATCTGGATGACGGGCGGCCTTTTAGAGGTTTGATTCTGGGCAAACAGAGCGTCAGTAGGGCGTTTGGTCACTTGTGTCACTTGTACTTACGATCGCTTTGCTAGCTGGGCAGCGGTCGCCTTACGAGGCGGGTCCATGGCGCCGTCCCTCGTCTCTTCGTCGTTCGAGATCCCGTAGCGCTCTGCACCGCCCTGACCGTCAGCTACGCGTTTTGACATGGTTGATGGTGTGATGATGTTGTGATGTTTTTTTGTGAGAGAAAGCGCGACAAGTGAAAGCAAGTATGCCGTCTTGGCAAAACAGAGACAACGGCGAAGCTTCCGAACTTGTCCAGCTACCTCTCTCTCGTGCTCTCACTGGACCTTTGCTGATTTTGAAAAACTTTGTGCATTTTGACGGATGGTTTGAACTGCATCAAGGGTAGGAGAGAGCAATGAAATAGAACTTACGCGGCCCTTGACTCTTCGTACTCCTTGGCAAACAAGTGCTTCAAGAACCAGTGGAGGACCCAGTCGTACCACCTTGGAGTCTCGTCAGGGGCGAGCCGAGGAGAGGGGTCGTCGTGCCAGGGGGTTGGTTGGCGGCGGCACTGCTCGGCCAGGATTGCCCGTTCGACCCTGACCCTCTCCTCCTCGGCCCGGATTCTGGCCCTTTCGGCCTCGCGGGCAGCTGCTGCGGCGGCGGCGGCGGCCCTCTCCCGGGCGGTGCGGGGCGGAACATACTCGCGCGGGACGTAGCAATTGTAGGCCATATTGATGTTGATGATGATGATGATGATGATGGTGATGGTGATGGTGATGATGGTGATGATTTAGGTACAAGGGGCGGGGTTCGTGAGCAGAAGTTATACCAGCTTCCTACTGATGGCTCCTTCCCATCCCCAGCAACTCCCTGTTGCAATGCACGATTCTTTTCGGATCTGAAGCTTGGTCCAGTGAGAGCTCAGCTCCTTCCTCGCTCTCACTGGACTCCATCCTACTTTCCAAAAACTTTGTGCATTTTGATGGATAATTTACAGTCTATCAGGGGTCGGAGAGAGCTTGATTTACTCGCTCTCACTGGACCTCCACTCGGTTTGAAAACCATTGTGCCTTTTGATGATCATATTTTCACAGCGTCCGGTGTTCGAGAGCGCGAAGAAAGAAGTAGCTTGCGACATCTCTGTGGACAGCTACATCAATCTCAAAAACATCTTGCATTTCTACCGCTCGATTGACGACTCCGTACCTGCAGCAGGAAGAGCAATGACGTATGACAGCCAAAGTCTGAAAAGGCCCGATTGCGCAAACAGCATAGCACTTCGGCCGCCAGCTCGTACCCCTCCTCAAACACAACATATCAACCTCATACCAATTCTCTGTACCATAATCAGATCCTCACAACCGTCACAATGGTTTACACTCTCGTCGTGCACCTTTACGCCAAGGAGGACCAGGAGTCCATCAACAAGTTGATCGCAAAGCTCCAGGAAGCTAGCCAGGTCTACACCAACGACAAGGAGTGTCTCGGCTGGTATGTATGCTTTGCAGCATCGACTTGAATTGACAAGTACATGAATTGAGCTGATGACATGTCAGGTTCGTCATGCAAGACACCAAGGACCCCCGCGCCTTCACCATCGTCGAGCGCTACGCACACGAAAGCGTGAGTTCATGTCCTTCTAATCCATCAATGCTTCTGCCACATGGCAAAGCCAGGTCTTACGACCGGGTTAGTTGCTTGGAAATTCGGGTCATGCTCTAACAAACTCAACAGAGCCAGAAATACCATCTCGAGAACCCTTACTGGCAGACTTTCGACAAGTACGTTATCCCTCTGCTTGCCAAGGACATGGACTTGCGCCGTCTGAACGAGCTCGTCGACGACAAGTCCGAACAGGTTCGCGTCGAGCAGGACCCCAAGCTGTGGGAGGAGGTCGAGAAGCACCAGACCTACTAGAATGCATCCGCGATGAAATGGTGCAAAGGACCAATCCAATGAAACATCACGTCTACTCCCAATCCTGGGTCGAGAAACAATGCGCCGCCTGTGACCAACTGTAACAGCTTAACCCACGTGTGGACAGTACATCATTGACACCAAGACTTACGCGTCCAGGCTCGTCCAACCGTAACAAACTCATATCATCTCTAACCGTACACATCACCTTGGGAGTCACACTGCAATACAAAAAGGCACCAAACGCGTTTCCTTGACTTTGTTTCCTTCCTCCTCAACATCGTCTTGCAAGCTCATATCAGATCCGACACAAGCCATCATGTTTCCCACCCTTTCCCTCGTCGCCTTCGCCGGCTTGACCTTGCATCTCGCAACCGGCAGCCCACTCCCACCGTCCTCCTTTCCGTCCGTCTATAATCCCCACCCATCCACCACTTCCGTCAACACCCTCGTCCGTCGTCAGTACAACGAGGAAGATTTCAATGATCTATTCGACTATAGCTGGCCGCAGCAAATCATTCCAGCCTACGACGCAGAACCGAATTACAAGCAAATCGTGTCATGGCCCGGCTGGGACCTCTTCTCAGGAATGCCCGGCACATACACCCCATTCAACGAATTCATATACGCCTGGAGGGACAGCTCGCCTATCACCACGTCAGGTCCGTTGCAAGGTCCCCCGCCTTTTGCTGCTACCATGGGCGTTGCCGATGCTGATGATGACGACGCCCCTACGTCCGGACACTCTGTCACCATCTCTGCCGCAAAGATCCAGGATGCGATGGCGAAGCTCTTGGCGGATCCAAAGGCGAAGGCTTGGATGGTGGAGGGTCTTGTTGCCATGGGAGATGATGAGTTGATGGAACAGGTACTCTCTTCCCAAGCAGTCTGAGATTTGTCTCTGGGGTTGCTCTTCTTGAAACGCACTGGCTATTTCAACTTACTCGTGCGTTACATGGGTATAGCTTTGCATATCAATGCTGTGGAACAACTGAAGTGACAATGAAGAGACATGGGGACGATACTCGACACAATTGTGCCGAGTGAAAACAAAAAGATACAGGCGAGCGATTATGTACCGAAAATGAAACAAAAAAACAGTTTGCTATTTCTTCTTCTCTAGCTTCTAATAAGAAAGTTGACAAGAGGTGGTGGTAAATTGGCCTTTTTGATACACATATCCACATCATCCATCTCCAATTTCCCGTGATGTTTCCTCTGATCCCAGATCTCCGTTCTAGCAGTAAACAGTAGAGAAGATACCGTTGACATTGATGGACTCATCATTAGGCAGAGTACAATACTCGATGGGCTGACTCGACATTTCCTGCCCATCACAAGCCATATAAGCTTCATGACAGATATAAGTAGGAGTAAAAGTCAAGAACGCATCCTGTCCCTCCACAATACCCAACTGATGAGTAACAGTCTGACTAGTACCATTACTGACATCCTTGCCAGTAGCAGTTTCCCAAGACTGAGTAATAGCCAAAGAAAATTCAGCAGAAACCGTAGCTTCGACGATGAAATTCGTGCCGGCTTCAATCCCTACAGACATGCCGGCGTCGAAACCGACAGAGGTGGAGGAAGAGGTGCTCATTGTTGTGGACGTGTCTACGCTGCCGGCTTCGGAGAGGACGCAGTCGCTGGAAGTGACGCATTTTTCTATCGAGCTGACGGCTTGCTGTTTGCCGGCTTTGGTGTATTGGTTGCTGGTTGTGGCTGTGTAGGAGCTGCCGTCTTTGTTGTAGAGTTTGCAGCTGTGTTGGCCGTCGCGGACTTTGAGCTTTGCTGCTGCTGCTACTGCTGCGGCGAGGCCGGTCAGCGATGAGGCGGAGCGAGGCTTGTCGTCTTTGGACTTGTTGTCGTTGGACTCGTTTTCCTTGGATGTGGTGGCGGAGAGCTCTCTCTTGTTGGGCAGGATGCTTGTCTGGCCGAGGTCGACGGTAGAACAGTCTCCACTTCCACAGCAGTAGGTTGTGAAGAGGGAGGCATGGGCGGGGATCTCGGAGTAGTAGCAGCCAGCCTGAGCGGCCCAGATCAGAGCCATGCCGGGAAGAGGGTTGTCGCCGTAGTACTTGTTGGCCTTGTAATCGGTCATGATGATGTATGCACAGGTGTGATCAGGCTGGGGGACATCGAAGTAAACAACCGATCCTGCACCTGTCGAGTTGGTACCCGGGAAAGTAGGGTCAACGATGGGATTCGAGAAGTCTTGGAAATCGCGGACACCATTGGTGATCTCTAGATATTTGAGTTCGTTGTCGAGGCCAGCGCTGGATCCCCATCGAGCGCCTTCGACAGGCTCTTGACATTGGCCGTCGGTATAGAGCTTGATTTTGGCATAGGCGGCGACCTGGGTCGAGAAGAGGAGGGCTGAGAGCGCGACAAGGCTCTTTGTCTTTGTGTTGTAGGTCATGGCTAGGGCAACAGAGGCTGATGGAACAGGTTGCGGTCGAATGGTTACTCCAAGTCTTGTCGTAGTGAGTTGATAAGCTGTGTGAGAGCAGTTACAGCAGTGCGAACTTGTGGTTTCTTATAGCAGTGATCTCTTCAAGACCTCTTCAAATGTTGAATTGAGAGGGGCTGAGGTCGCCGACCTTTCATCCTTCGCGCTTCTAGTCACGGCATACCTGGTGGACACCAACATACTGGAGACCACTTTTTTTAGTTGAGTTGGACTGTCGAAGGATTGTTTCCTCTAAGCATTGATCTCGCAGTGGTTGACCGGCATTGTTGGCCTTGTTTCCATGGTCGCCGTCCTTGTATCAGAAGACAGTGGCCCCAGTATTCCTTCAAAGTTACTCATGGTCTGAGTTCTTATTCTAGAGACCAGTGGTTCCCTTGGTGCACAGCGCGGGAAGAATAGGTGACTTGAATGTTGTTCTCCATCAAAGGAAGCGGCGGCGACCTGTTGTTGGTTGGTCAAAGCTCCCAGCACTGCCATCCTCAAACACCAAATTCGAGCTCGTCCCTTCTGGCTGACTCGATATCGAGGACTTTCGATTCATGTACACATCAAGTTCTTGAGCGAAGAACTACGGAACATCGTCGTTGATTTGCGCATCCGGGAAGGTCTCTTGTGGCTTCAAATTGCGAACACAAGCTGGTGTGGCCGTCACGAGTCATGAGTTCTTGTAATAAGACCATAGCCGCGAGAGTTGGAAGATTTATCGAGTTCAAGCAAGCCATGAGGCAAGTCAGTCCTTTCCTGTTGGTGATGATGATGATGATGATGATGATGATGATGATGATGAGCTTGCTTAAATATACCTTGTATCTTGAGTACGAGTCTTCACTGTATCTCTCTCAGTACATGGACGCATATCGGTCAAGGTCAATAGTCTATAGCTTGATGAGACTAAGGATGAGCTCTTGCGGTGTTATTTCGAGTCTGTCGACATTTTCCCTTGCTTCTCGTTCGAAGCCACCATTTGATGCACTAGAGTAAGTATTATCACCTCAAATCAGAAAAACAAATTAAGCATATAAAAAGTACGTACGTAGTATAGATATCTCAGAAAAAACAGCATGTTCCACCGGTCCGTCACCTCACAAGACGAAAGCCGAGATGATCAAAGGAAAAAGTAGTATAAATTTAACCAAACAGATCAAGGGAAGGAAACGCTCAGGGCGAAGGAGAACGAGAATCAAAAAAATCGCCCGCAGTTCTTACCCAGCAATAGTAGAGTCGCAAAGATAGCTCACATCCACAGAAACCACATCAGCTCTTGTTTTGCTCCTTATCAGCCTTTCCTGCAGCGGCTTTTTGTCTTCCTTTTCAAACACGCCGGACTCCTCCTCCGATTTGGCCGTTGTCTTTTTTGTCTCATTTCGCGTTCCGCTGGTTGTGTGTTGTATATGACTTGGGCCGTTTCCATCTTGAAAGGGTATTTTGAACAATAAAAAAGGGAGTTAAAACAAGAAATCGTTGCCAGAGGGAAGGAAAGTCGAATCATCTGAATCTGGCCGAGCAACGCCCCATGACTTCGCCTTGACATACGAGCTCGGCATTGAACTCTGTGCCGTCGAGTGTGAGGTAGATGTCGAAGTAAACACGGTAGAAGGTGCCTTGGGGTGTGTCCATGCGCTCGAAATCTTTCTCCAGGTTCTTGCGGCTCAGGTCGGAGGTGAGAGTGACAACTTCCTTGATGCCTGCATGATTGTTAGCTTGTTGGTCCTCAAGAAACAGATTAGAAGTGGCTTACGAGGATCCTTGGTATATTCTGGGCAAACGTCCTCGTCGCAGGCGTACAAAACGTCCTCGTACATGAGGGTAGCGCCAGGTGCGACTTGACGGAAGAACGAGACCTTGACGGGCTCGCCTGTCTTGACACGCTGACCCTTTTGCACGAAGATCTGGCGAGTGTATTTGCATCTGTCCTTTCCGTCCAAGCTGGGCACACGGTATTGCTCTGGGTGGTGGCCCTCCTTGAAAGGTTGCAGAGTGGCCATGAGGTAGTGTCGACGAGCGACACGAGATGTGACAACACGCTCGGTGATACCGGCAGTGACGGCACCCTTGACGATAGCGGCAACGGAGTCCATGGGTCGCACAACCTTCGATTGGAACTGGGGAGGAACGTGGAGCTTGATCTGCTGGAAGAGGTATTCCGAGGAACCGAAACCACCGACAACGAGAACATTCTGTGACAAGTTAGCATAAATTTGGTTTGGCTTTAATAAATTCACTGACCTGCAGGGCACGGTTCTGAGCCTGAATGGCGATGATCTGGTTTCGAACGAGTTCGAGAATGCGGTTAACGACTGGCTCGAAGCACTGCAAAATCTCCTCGTTCGTGAAGGTCATGTAGCCTTCCTCAATACCGGCCTCGGGGAACTCGGCTTCAATACCGACATCAACAGCCCATTTTTGACCGTTGTTGCGGAAATCGGCCTTGATCCTGTTCTCAAAGTCCATGATACACTTCGCGTAGACACGGCCGGCAGTTTTCGAACCATCGGGAAGCTTCATCTTACGAATCTTCGCACGCAAGATGTTTGAGAAATTGCGGTTCAATGCTGTCGAACCGCAAGAGTCACCAGAACCAGCAGTACATTCGGCCACGGTGAACGGGTGCTCCTCTTCGACTTCGTACGCGATCAGATCTACGGTACCGCCACCGCAGTCTACGATGAGAACAGCGTCGTGAATCTTCAAGTTGAGGAGTCCAGTCTTTGAGCAGAACATGGCTGCGGCTTCGGGCTCGGTGACAAGAGTCAGGCGGTTGTCGTTCTCGTCGCGGAGGAAGCCAGCTTGAATGGCGGCGGCACGGGTGGCTGCCTTACCGGCGTCGTTCCAGATAGCGGGGACGGTCAAGAAGTAGCGAATGTTGCGCTCTTCACGGGTGAAAACTTCACCCAGCGTCTTCTGAAGGTAGTTGCGCATGGCCTGGCGGAGCTTGAAAAGGTAGTCGGCGGCGACATCGATCTCGCTCTTGCCCGGGGGAAGTGGGGGCAGGTTGATGGGATCGATATATGTGTTTCCGCTCATCATTAGCTGGAGCTTGAACCACTCGACCTTTTGCACACCGGGCTTGGGGTAGCCAGTAGGTGCAAGCGCGTCAGCAATGTCAGCACCCCATCCTACCACTTGCTGGTGTTGGTCGTAATAGAGCACTGTTGGAATCTGTATACGTAGTCGTTCAGCAAACAGTTGTCACCACTTTTGTGTCTGAAAAGACCCACCTTTTGCTTGGTCGCAGTACCGGCACCGGGCCATTCGACGATAATGTCTTCTTTAGCTTCTGTGTTTGTCGCAAAGGCGAAGGCGACACCCGAGAAGGTCGTTCCCTAGATTACACTGTGGTCAGTACTTGTGTACAAGTGTCAATTCAAGAAAAGAATCTACTCACAAAATCGATACCGACGATGAGTTGAGCTTTGCTCCGCTGGTTATTGGCTTCAGAAGCGTATCCTCTATTGTAGGAGTATTGACCGCCTACCATGGACTGCTGCGGCACGTAGCCTCCATATTGTTGCTGTTGCTGCGGCGGTGCCTGCATAGGATAACCGGGCGGGCCCGACACGGGTTGCTGCCCGTACATGTGTTGCGGTGCGTGGGGAGGAAGGTGGCCATATGGGTTCTGGGTGTTGATTGGCGGAGGAGGCATTGGGCTCGTCGGACGGCCAGCCATTTGCTGCTGCTGCTGCAATTGCTGCTGTTGTTGACCAGCCTGGTTGACATACTGGTATGATGGCGGACGACCCAGAGGCTGCTGGCCGGGCTGGGGTGAGCCATGCTGCTGCGAGGGGTGCTGGTGCGGGTTCATCGCGAGCGAAGTCGACGAGGCGCTGGCCTGTTGCTGCTGCTGGACGAGCGTGTTGTTGTTCGAGGCAGTCGAGTTGCGCTCGCTAGCGGGCTGGGGCGGCGATTGTGTCGCGCGGTTCGGCTGGGGCGACGACGACTGCTGGAGAGTGTTGGTGGTATTGTTGGTGGAGAGCGAGTTGTTGCTCGGGCTCTGGGTCAGGCTGTTTCCAGACGCTTTCCGTTTCGAGCCCACGAGGTTGCGGAAGCGCGAAGGCATCTGTCCTAGCACCACTTCATATGCCCCGCGAGAATGAGGCAGGCACAGGCAGGCTTAGGCACGCGCGAAAAGCAAAAAAGGCAGGGGCGAACGACGGGGTTGCAAACTGCAAAGGGCGGCGGAAGGGGGAAAGAACGTGTGGTTGGTCCAAGATGCGACCAGAGGACGGCGGCGTGTAGGCCAGGCGCTTCGTAACTTTAGTGACAAGTCGGCCAAGGCACTTGACAACAACGTCCGCTGAAACACAACGATTGCCCGCCTGATCCCAAGGATGGTTGTTGCTGCGCTCTCTTAATAAGCCCTGCAGCCGATGTCTATGCGATATATCATCAGTCTCTACTCTGCGACTCTCGCAAGCGCTGACTTTTGCTGTTGCGTTCGACCTGGAACATGCAGCCTTCACGCGCCAAAAGAGGGGGGTCCAAACTCACCTTTTTCAGCCTCGAGACAAAATCCACTGATTCGCGCCAATGGTTAGAACAACTTCTTCCAACCGTGGCACAACTATGTGAGAGCACAATCAGCAACAAGAGAAAGGCCGAATTGTTATACTATGATAGACAACATCAACAGACCCCCCTTTCTCAAGTCTACCAAATGCCCAAAAATGTCAGATCTTTTTCGTGATCCCTCACAAAATGGGATGGTCAAACGGCTCTCCTAAGTGCGGGTCACCGCTTTTGGGTGTGTGATGGAAGGACATGCAACGCGACCCGATCAACCGACGCGACCACACCTAAACTCTGTTTTTCTGTTTCTGCTTCTGCTGCTTCCCATGTCTGTCCTCTGTCTCTGCCTTGCTAAGAATCCAAGATACAATTTCAAGTCATTAATCATAATGTGAAGATCCAAATTCTCGTATTCTATCCCCTATCTCTCCAATGATGCATTGTGTCCTTCCCTTATCCGATCGCTGCTTATTACGCGTGACCTGATATCAATTTACTGCTCAGCAGCTTGCCCCGTTCCAGCCCAGCCCAACACCGCTTACCCAAGAAAGGCGCAAGAGGGAGGAAAAGGGCTTGCGGCTGAACACGACTTGTCGCTGAGAGCACTGATCTCTTGTGTCAAACGCTCTTTCCTTTCTGTGTTACTTGATCTGAGAGTCCCGCGACAGGACTCATCGGTGTTTATCCGTTGTCGTCCTACTTGACTTTCGGCATCTCACAGATCTCGAAACTTTACACCCACCTTCTCCATCTGCAATTTGTCTGTATCTGAAACCGGCTCTTTCCTTGCCGCCAGATGCGAGCGCGCGCGCGATTGATGATATCAGTCATTTTTGTGCCATATCTCCTATCTCCATGTTCTTAGTTGTTTGCTGAGCCATGCCGCCGCCTGAACAACACATGCATGCATCCTCTTGTCTCTTGCGCACCTTTGACTCCTTCTGGAAGGGCTCGCCTGTCTTGTCCGCCTCCACAAAATCAATCATCCCAGTCAAGCAAGCGAGACGTCCGAAAATCTTCCGTAACCCAAACTCTGTTTTGCTCTGTTCAGCCGGGGCTGAGATCCGCCATAGAATATCACATGTGAACGCGATTCAGCTCTAGAATGGAGGCATGCTTATTGTCGAGGTCCAGACAGGTCCTCAAAAATGCGGATTTTTGATTGCGTTGTGTGTGTGAAGAGAAGAAGAACAGAAAAGCAAAGCTATCTCGCCCGTTTGCCCTCTACTTGACCTTTTTTTTGTCCCCTGCTTGGCCTCCCCTGCAGCAGAAACACCTGTGAACTCCCCCGGATGAAGCCTTGAACCCTGAACGCCTTGCAGAAAATGCGGATGGAAAGCTTGTTGCGGCTCCATGATCGATCTCAGGAGCTGAGGTCTCTGTCTGAGCAATTCCGGAGAATGCTGATTGAACCTGTTTTTTGTGTTGTTTTGAGTACTTCGCAACGCAGTCGATTGCTTATACGAAGAATGAAGCAAGGGCAGCACTCGAGTAAATCACGGCTCTGCGCAGTGAGAAACACAAACCTTGGCCCCAGAGGCACTTTTTTTGTCCTTTTTTCTTTTTTCTGTGGTGGTCGCGGAGTAAGCCACGCATTAGGCAGCCGCTGGCATCAGCATCCTATCAAGTGAAGCAGTCAGACTGCTCATCGAACCCGAAGGGGACTCTGTACATGGATACCTTCACCGCCGCTGAGAGCAAGATGGATTAGAATCATGCCGTACCGTATGAGGTGATCAAGTCTTGACACCGTTAGAAGCATCCTGGCCGTTGGTGACGCCAGACTGTCTGCGCTTAGATGCATTTTGTGCATCGCCGTTTTCCTATCGATTGGAATCTGCGTCAGTAGACAAACACGACGAGAAATGGAAGATAAGGAGAAGATAGGCGGAAGAACTGCTCATGGTATCCCAGAAGGTAAGGCTTTTTGTCGACATCGTGGTTGTATACGTACGTCCAGGTTTGCTTCGCCGGCGTTTCGCTTCTTGGTTCCGTTCGCGGCCTTTGCCTTCTTTGCTTTAACTGGACGCTGCTCGCCAGGCTGGAAAACATCGTCGGGTAGGTCGTAGCTTGGGGGGAGTCAGTTTTGTAAGGATGTTGAGATAAAGAGAAACTGACCTCTTCGCAACAACGACACGTATGGAGTTCACGTCCTCATTGTACTGCGTAGCCTGCGTGCATTGGTGCCTAAATTCCTTCACGGGATGAACAATGTCGAGGGTTTTGGCTCCTTAAGCCTCATATGTCAGCCAGCCATATCGACACAGACAGCGTGCAGGGAACAACTCACCGGGTACCAGTTCAAGGCCAACATAGTAAGTTGTTGTCCAAATGTTGGTCATGCCATTTTCTTTCTCGTCAGGCTTTTCAATCTTCGAGACGGCTTCATTGAGATTGTCAGCGGACGTGTCTTCGGCAGACAACTGTTTGACGTTCTGTGCCTCTTCGACAATCTCGGTCTTTGAAATTTGATACTTCGTGCTGCCTTGCATGACTTGGTCCTTCTCTTCATCGTTCTTGACACGGTGCATACGTTCGTAGCCCTTGGTGAATGGACGAGCATAAGCGACATTCGGCTGGGACTGTTCGATGCTACCGATGAGTCTTCTCACTTTTGATTGTACTAAACCTTTCCAATCGCCTTGTGACTCTTCGTTTAGACTGCCCGAAACAATACTGAGATAGAACTTGAAGTCCTTTGTGAAAAAGGTATGGCCTTCGAAAAGATGCTTCCATTGCTTGTCGGACTTTTCATCGAAGATTTGACTGCAGATTTCGGCGCCACGCTCAAGCTCGCGCGTGATGACAGCCAGGGTAGACTTTGTGACGTTGTGAGTAGCGCACATGGCAGGATAAGCTGGGGTGATGATAGGCATGATATGGCGGCCGTCTGCAGGGTAGATCCTAGGATTCCAGATTTTGACCATACTGCCGAGAGGACCAGGAGACTCAATAGTCCTCAGCATGATAGGCATGGGCCAGCTCCAAGTCTTCATGAGACTGAAGAAACGCGAGACAATCAGCGAGCTGGAGGCGTTGGGGTAGAGCTGAGCGATACGAGCAACCATCAAGGCCCATGCGATACCTCCCGGAAAACCGATGATGTTGCCGTAGATAGCACGCTTGGAGGCCCAGAGCTTGATGCAGCGCAGAGCATGGCGGAAAGTCTTTTCCTGGGGCACGAGACGCAAGACGTCGTCGGTGACTCTTGTTCCGTTGACACTGCGCAGATCTTGGTCGTCGAGGCCGCGCAGCAGGCTGTTGTCTTCGAGGTCAAGGTTTGGTGGGACCGAATTGAGTTGTAGAGGGGCAAAGATGAGATCGATTTCGATGCCCTGGTATACGAGCTTCATGATGGGGACGTGGGCTTCGGGCACCAGTGTGCACTTCTCGACGAAACCGGGAGGCGACATGGACTCCAGTAGACCACGGTAGTGCTCGAAGAAGTCATCGCGACTCACGTGTTTGGGCGCAACGACAAGCGTGTCGATATCGGAGCCTGTGCAAGAACATGTCAGCAAAGAGGACAAGAAGCGCCAGACTTTCTCCGAGATGGCTCACCTGGCCCGAAGACACCAAGACGGTAACTGCCAAAGGTAAAGACCTTGCCGCCAGCATTCTGCAAGACGCTGTCGGGAAGCCCCTTCAGCCTGCCGACGTGCTTGACAAACTCGACGGTGACCCTTTGGAAGGTGGCCAGGACGGCGACTCGCTTGTTTGTGTCTTCTGTGGATTCAAAGTTCTTCTGCTCCTTGAGTTCGGCGACGAGAGCTTCGCTGAGAGCGAGCTCCTTGTCGGTCGGGAAGCTCGTCGACACGGGCGGCGTGATGCCCCATTGGCGAGTAGCTGCCATGTCTGTGATAGTGGTGATCGTCGTCCTCGTCGGATGGGGTGGATGGCCGTGGATGAAGGATCTAGGCAACGCACTTAATCATGCTGTTTTGGTGGTATTGCTCTTCCGCGCTTGCGACTGGCGCAATTGCTGCCTTGGCGCCTGTGAGGTTGCTCAGGTGTCTAGAGGGGCGGGCGAGAGGAGGAACGAACGGAGGCTAGCCGTCGATATCGCTACTCGACATGGACAATTAGCGATGCAAGCCGACAAGTAGGAGAGCTGGTCGGATGCCCTCACTTTGTCAATCCAAATCCGGCGTCATGATTCCGTTGGCTGCTCTTTCTCCGACGGAGCCATCGGACTTTACCGCCAACTGCTTCACTTTACACAACACCCACTTTGACCAGTCACTTCACTCCAACAAACATGTCACTGTTATAAGAATGAGCCGGGTGACTGCCTTACACGAGGACATTGTAACATCATAGTGGCGACTTCGATATACCTAAAGGCCCATCCACCTATGTGGAAAAAAAGGTGACAAAGAAAATCCATCCTAGACCGCAAGAACCAGAAGTCCTTAAATAGGCATCCACTCAAGCTTCCCTCACTTTCTTCAATCCTAACCTGCAGGGTATCTCCAAAGGCGCGCTCCGCCTTAAAACACAAATAACGAAAGTGTGACCTTCAACAAACTCTGTTGCCTGGTCATGACAATGGCACCTGGCCACCATGTGCTCACAAGGCTGTGAAGATTGGAGCCTTGACGAGAATGCCACGCTCTCGGACATGAGCCGCAATACCGACGGCAAGACGCACACGATCCTCCTTACCAGCCAAGCTTGTGCTGCTGCCACCATTCAACTTGCCCTGTGCTGGATGGCCCTTCTTATGGCTGGTGAGAACATTTAGCATGCGTCGGCGAGGGTTCAGCTCAGTAGATGCTCGATCACCCGAGTCGGTCAACTCGCTGTTGACGCTGCCACGCTCTGCCATCTCATCAGCCAGAGATGTGGCCAGAGCTGGTATACCAGATTCGATCTTCATAATGTCAACGTTCACAGCAGATCCCGGCAGGAAGTATTCAATCTGAACATCACGGCTCTCCTGTGGCAGATGACCCAACATTGCGACGGCAAGTTCGCAGATCATGTGCACGCCACCTTCAAGGTCAGACATGGGCGGGTTGTCGAGGTGGGATTCCAAGGCAGTGCTAAGCTGCGTCTTGAGCAGGTCGGTCATGTGAGAGCGGTGGTTCTGAGCTTCCGGCAAGCGCAAAATGTCTTGCATGGCCTCGAGTGTGGTCAAGCGCCAATTGACGACCTTTGAAGTGAGGTACTCTTCATCCTCATGTACCGATGCGGGCGGGGCGAAGAGTCGAATGTTGTTCTGCATCTGCTTCAACTGCGTCGAGAGAGCCAAGTCAAGATCCGGATGGAAGTAGCGGTCGAAGACATCCTCTACCAGCCACTTTGAAATGAAAGCTCGTCCCACTGCCGTCATCTCCTGCTTTCCGATAGAGATAGCATCCTTGTTGACGGCGGGAGTCAGCCAAGTAGGCACCGACTTCCAGCTCTTCCTAATGCTGAATGACAATTGCGCGATCAGGCCGTCGAGGCGGTTGAAGCGGGTCGCATATTCGCCGTCGTCGAGAGAAGTGCGCGACTGAGCGATTCGTTGGTGGGCGAGACTGTTTTGCAGTTGCTTGACCTGGTCCTCCTTTTCGAAATAGTACTTCTTGACCTTTTGGTATTTCTCGCCTAGTAACAATTAGCAAGGACTCGAGGCGCAAAGAATTGTAGGAGGGCTTACGGAGCTCCTTGTGGTCGTTGAGCAGTTGGCGAATCTGGTCCTCGGTCAAGTCCTCGGCCTGTGGCTGGGGCGTCGAGCGACCGACGTCTTTGGATTGCTGTGGTTGTTGTTGCGACAGGATCGAAGGGTCTCTAGCGGTCGGGGCGGGGCTTTGGTTGGAGGAAGCCATCGAGGGCTGGCGCGGGGTGGCTTTGCTCGGTGAGGTGGAGAGGTGGATTGGGCCGTCGTCGTGGAGTTTTGCGAAATTCCTAAGCGGTTGGTATTGAGGCTGTTGCGGAGTGTCGTGACGGAAGTGCGAGTGCGGCGAAGCGGAGGACGAGGACGGCGTCGTGGCGGTCGAAGCAGGGACGCTGGGGATGACTTGAGAAGGAATGCGGGAGGGCAGCGGCTGATCCGAGTGATGCAGTATGGATTGTTGTTGTTGTGCTTGTTGGTGGTGGAAATCAGCCTGAGCCAACGACAACGATTTCGAGTGTTGCGCCTGCGCCTGCGCCTGAGACTGCGAAGCTTGACGCTGCTCGCGGAAACCCTGTTCGGTGTTTAGCCGCTGCAACCTTCGTTGCATGAACCGGTCGTTCATCGTTGGCCCCGAATCTGATGACAGCGAGTCTGCTCCGTTGACACTCATGCCTGAAATCGTCTGGCTCAAGTCTTCGAACTGCTCTGACGGGCTGCCGTCTGGTACCAGTTGCCCCGGGTTCCAGATGCCTGTCAGACTCTCTCCACCAACGTTTCCCGACGTATAGATACTTGACGACCGCGACGCTGAGTCTGCTGCTGTCGCCGACTGTTGATTCGCCCTGGGAGCTGGTGCAAAGTGCTCTGGAGTTGCCGATCTCTGTCAAGGAATATCAGCATGTCATTCGTCACCTGATGACCCTGCGACTTGTTCATACCGGACGCTGAGCCTCGGCCGTGTCGTACAATGGCTGGGCAGGCTGGTAGTATGAATGTCGCTTGGGTACTGGGTTGCTTGACGCTTCTGATGTCGTGTCAGCGACCAATATCTCAACCGTTTTTATAAAGACCCACCTTGATGTGATGAGTTGGCTGGCAGATTGACCGTCGAGAATCGCTGACTGCGTACTCGAGAGAGGAATCCAGGCCGTCGAGAAGGTGGACTTGCAGATGCTCCTTCAGACTGTAGCTCTGTAGACATGGTCGAATATTAGCTGAAATCTTCTTTGCTTCTCCTATCCTCTTGTTGCACCATCCTTGGTGTCCGTATATAGCAACAAACACACTGATAGGCTGGTATACGTACCGGGCGAAGGCTGCGGCGACAGGCTGTGGCCTTCAAAGGACTGCTGAGATTTGCGGTTCGTCCTTTTCTGCCAATGCAGTTTGGATAGCATTTGAATAGTCTGCTCCACCCTCCAAGGGCTGCTGTTCGCTGAATGAGCCGATGGTCTGGAGCGCACGCGCCGAGATTGAGCAAATCGAGGGGTTGCTGCAGCCCACCCAAGGGAAGCTAGTCTATCTCTGAACACTCCGAGCAAAGAGAAGACCTCCTGTTGCCGTCTTCTTTTGATTCGCACAAGAGTCGATCTCTGTTTTACTCGACTGTAGAATTTCGGCACTCCCACTGATCTTCCGGACTTTCGGGTCCCACTCTAGTCAAGTATACCGTAAGGCCGGACGTGTCTGACAGCATCACTCACTTCAGAGTGCCTGATGACCTTGAAGCTGACATATTTACCTTTTTGGCGGTTGCGAATTGCTTGCTTGGCGCGACAAAGACTAGCAAAAAGCCATTCATCTCTCCCCGAGCACGTAATGCTCTTTGCTGCCCTTCCAACCGGTCTGGCCTCTGGACTTGACTTGTGTTCATGCACTCCCTGCTGCAAGGCGTTCTCCTGTTGCGATAAACTCTTCCGTCCATGTCTCTCGTGCCCCTCATTCGCTTGCTCGAGCTCTCTCTTACGCGCATGCTCGGCCTATCACACATCCGCATCTCTTTTTTTGAATGAGGATGGACATCCGCGGCCCGCGCTGAGAGCTTCACACAGAGTCAGGATCAACATCTTGCTCTCCTCTTTTCAGCCTGCTTGACCGAGAGTGGTAAAGTCTTGTCTGTCCCAATCTTGTGACTCTGGTCTTGTGTAAAGCCTCATCACTAATTATAGACGAGCAAATTACCTTTAAAAATAGTGTGGAGTTTCGCCCGTTGTCGGGGAACTGCCTCCAAGTACAGTAGTTATTCGTTGAAATTCTCCGGCTCTGAGGACCCTCTTCTGCAACGGTATTCTCAAGTACAGTATACCTTCTTATACTAATGCGAGACGCTGCTTTCGACGGCCATGTATCTCTCCTCAACATGAATGCTTTTTAGACTACTTGGGCGGCCATCGAACAATCCCGCTTACCAGGATCCACATGATCCGACGGAAGAAGATCGACATAGCCATAGATGCCGGAGTTCATCTGGGGGTTAATCATCCGCATGCAACCTATTATCGCAAACCACGTTTCGATCTTCGATGTCCATGTCACTCCTATTCTGATCTCAATGTGCAGCACTTTACTGGAAACGCAAGGTTCAACTTAGGACCGCCTATATCTGTGCGGCTTTCCGCAGACACATGCCAGTTATACAATATGCTGCCAGCACAAAACACTCCCGCATGTCCTCGTGCCATGGTTTTCACTCGTCGGCACGGTCCGTATACCAAGAGCATTCGTGAAACGCTAGATCGTGTTTATCAAGCGAATCTCTGACACCCCGCAAACTCTCAAACAACAACCCCGTGTGCTGAAAACCGCACCCATCTATCTGTTAGAATGTACGATAGGTTTCGAACATTGAGCATTTGCGATGAGAGCTCATCAGATAAATTATATCTGTGGATGACAGTGGTAGAGCAAAAGTGTTATGAGCTTTCACAACCACATCAATGGTCGCTGTATTGCGAAGGTGAGAGGAAACTCCTGGATCTACGTCTCGAGAGACAGTCGGCATCCCACAATAGCAACACTCGGTACCCAGCACAAGACCTCCGCAAACGACGGCGCAAGGGCTTGCAACTATAACCCCTGGACTATCGGCCAAACAGGAAACTGTGCCTGACAATCCTCACTCGTGCACTTTGTAACCCCAGGTCCTCCCAGTGTCCACCCGGCGATGAGGTTGACTTAGCAAGGCAGCGAACTCTCTCGCCTGATGAATCGTGCACGTTTGCGTGCTTCAGGTCACTCAATAGTTCGTCGCCTGAGCAAGGTATCGCGAACGGAGTTTCACTTGGCTGCCCTCTAGCATACCTATAAGTCCTTAGACGACTTGCTGTTTACTGACGCTCCATTCCTTTGCTCTTGGTCTTTCTTATCAAACCTTTCAACACTAGTCTTTCGCGTTTTTCTACTCCTACGACCACATCTACACAAATCATAATGTTCACTCTTCGTCAATCACTTGGTGCTCTTGCGGCACTCGCAGCTGCTCCTCTTGTCTTTGCTGTTCCCATCACCACATTCTCGCGCATCGGTGCTTCATCGAACGGCATGGATATCTCGAAGCTCCAGCTCCACGCTGCCATGTCTCCTGGACACTTGACTGAGAACACAACGATGAGCTTCGTGGTCGACACCCACGACATGAAGACCATCTGCTTCGGATCATGGGCACCAGAAGGACCCTACCCGGAAGGCGAATATGTACGTTTACTTACCAATCGCTCAAGAAGCAATCACTAACACCACACAGATTCCCTGCCAAAACAGCAGTCTAGGCTGGAACTTCAAGGAAGACACATACAAGGGGTTGAACCAATTCACCCTGCAAATGGAATACAGCTACGAAGATGACTCGTGAGTGTTCCCCATCTCTCCATTGTATATCTCAAAACATCTAGCTGATTATCAAAAGTGTCGGTGAATATCCCTACAACAGAGTCACAGAATTCAGTCACGCAAACATCACACAAGCCAACATCGACTGCACCACAGACAGCTGCCAACAATGCACAAACAGCACCATCACCGCTATCGTGTATGCCTCCATTGCTTGAAGCAATCGTACAAGATTTTCGCCACAGATCCGCCATTTGAGATGGCGACAGGAATAGTGCAGTAATACACAACAGGCGGCCCGGATAGCTGCTGCTGCTGTAACACAAACCCGCCCAAAAAGTCTGGACTTGCGAGCGAGCCTCTTCTTTTCTGTTACTTCTTTTCTTCTCCCTAAAATTAGCTTGCGATTTCCAACTCTTCTGGATTTTTCCTTTCTCTCGGTTACTGCTGGCCATTATCTGTATATAGAAATAATCTTGTCATGATACCCAAGAATTGCTTCTCGACAATCTATTTGTGTTCCACTATCTGTGTTCGATGAAAGAAGAGGTTTTGTGACATGTTGGGCCTTACGTTCGATGGTGTTACAAAGGGGTTGGTTGAGATACATGGTGTGACTGTGAATCACGTTTCAGACTTTGCCGTACTTCCCGAGTGCCGTCGCTGTCGCCCTTTTCTTCTCTGGGACTTAATCATAGGTATATTGAAGCTGTAGACATCATACAAGGTACTATCTAGCTTGCATCGGTTTGCCTGGGGAAATAGATTATTGGGCACGCTCTCACTGGATACCGAACGTCATATCATGTTCCGGAATATCGATTGACTTACACTTTACGATATGTTCTCTTCATATCATACTTACCCAGCTCTTCACAAGACATCTACATAAATCGAAACTTACCTCACAGACTTAGAAATCGCCTCCCAACTCGACACCACCGACCTTACAGCGTTGATTCAAATGTGCCATGGCCTCCTCCAAGGTGTCAGAAGCGAATTCAGCGCATCCGACAGAAGCCGAACACCCACAAACTTCAAGTTAGGCAATGCTCGACTGATAACCAGCGTCTGAATTCCTGATATACGGCAGTATCACAATATTGCAAAGCCAATCGCACAAGACTCACTGGCGACAAGTCCGAAAGTTGAGTGCTTCGATCGCCTACCAGCAGCCAAAGTTCAATGTGAAGATTCGTCAACTTTCCGTAATCCATGAAGGTGAGGTGAGGCGAATTTGGTGAGTAGAGAGAGTGGTACCCATGTCCAGCGTGATTGCAATGTACCTTTTGAGCTTCGATAAGCAGCCGAGAAAGAGCGACTCGGAGCTCTTAATGATTCATTTTCCCCAGAAGGAAATTGCAATTGGCATGGACGATCATACTAACATCTTGACAGTCAATCCAGCCGACATCCCGAAAGCTGTCGCTTTGATGTTTAGATCTTGATAGCCTGAAGCAGATTACTTCCGAACCAACGTCAGGCATCATCGCACACTCTCACAGCCTTCAGTTTTACCATCAACGGTTTCTTTTCCCAGAATATGAACAGTCTCTGATTCGACCACTCCTTGCTCTCTGCCTCCAAAGACAAATCGAAGTTCCAGAGCGTCATGGTAAGCAGCAGCCGGATCTCATGGTAGGCCAAGTTCTTGCCAATGCAATTCCTAGGCCCAGTGCTGAATGGTTGGAAAGCAGCAAAATTGTCAGATGCGTATTTTGGATCTCCCAAAAAGCGTTCAGGTATGAAGGACGCGGAATCTCGGAAGTTTACGGTGTGTCGGTTAGTGGCCCATTGGCTTATTGCGACGGAGACGTCTCCAGGGATCCATTTCCCAGCTATGAACGCGCCCTCCTGAGGTACTCTTCGAGGCAGGCTGGCAGGAGTGGGTGGGTATATGCGTAGGCCTTCTTCGATGCAGGCATTGAGATAGGGCAGTCTGGCCAACTCATCCACGGTGATCTCGCTCTCAGCCGTGAAAGTGCTGCGAATCTCAGCCACCAATCTGGCAAGTTTGTCCGGATTGATCAGTAGATAGTATGTCAACCCGGAGAGTAGCGTTGCAATCGTCTCCGTGCCGCCAGTCATGAAAACTCCAGCGTTCGCATGCATTTCGCTGAGGGACATGCCAGCTATGGTGTCGGAGAGATCACCAGATCGTTTCAAGACCTCTGTCCACAGATCCGGACGGCCAGGATCGCGCGCCAAACGACGATCTACCCGATCGGACGAGAATTTCTGGTGCTTCTTGCCCTTCTGGCGCACAGATTTCGGCATTAGCGCTATGATGATCCGAGGCATGTTTGGAATCTGCTTGATCGCTGTAATTTTGCCTATAATCTTCATACTGCCAAAGATCAACTTGACCCAAGGATTGTATCTGAGAGGTCATGTCAGTCGCCATCAAGGGTATAATATCGAGACTGGGTAGTAAAGCCTACTCGGAGTTTTCGAGCACGTTCAATGGTTCACCGAATCTATGACTATTAGTCGGTGTGTCCATTGCAGGTCAATTTCATGCCTTACGTCAAGTCCGACATGATATCAAACCTGCAGTCATCAGTATCATATGCCTCAAAACCCCACAACGATTGGTGACTTACGTGGTGAAGTTATAGTAGGCGACCATATCGACTCCTTTGTCAAGTGTTGCAACTTCCTTCAACTTTCTGACCATTGTGTTTGCCCACTGCTTTAGTAGTGGCGCTTGGTCTCTCAGTGCCTGAGGAACAGTCAATCGCGAAGTTCTGCATTACAAGATTCTCTCAAGCTTCTTGCTCATGTGTGATCGATAACTGGAAGGTACGCACCTTGTCCGAGAAACTGTTAGCCAGAATGCGACGATGGCGGGTATGATCGGCGTCGTTCGCGATCAAGATATGTGTCTCTCCGGTGGGATCGTTGATATACAGCGTGGGGTCTTTCTCAAAAGTTTTGGTCTTGCCGCCAGTTCGATGACCGTATATATCCTTCCAAGCAGCAGCATCGGTATAGTTGATTCCGCGAGGTGTGATTCGGACGACGGGACCATATGTTTCATGCAGTCGTTGTAAGGTCTCGTGCTCTGAGCCTGTCCACATCATGTATGCTTTGGGGAAGTACGACGCCGCCCACAACTTAGGTCCTGGAATGTCGGAAAGTGGTCCTAGGAATACGTCCCAGACTACGAAGGAGAGGTAAAGAGCCAGACACTGGCAGAATTAGATACTGATCATGTAATCCATGCTCCCAATACACACTGTAAGTATTAGTCCAGCAAAAGTGATGTTCGAGGCGCGTAGCAATGACTTTTCGATGATAGTAGCAAGTAACCCTGAATCATGTTTGAGAGACATGTTGATGTTGCGCGGTTGGATCTTGTCAATTTGTTCGAGACCTTTCCTGCCAATGGGGTGATGCTCAATATTTATGTGTCGACGTGAATTCGAAGGATCTCGAGATTCAACAAATCCGTAATTGCGCGGGCACCTGTCAGTCTGTCCGGTGCATATTGTGACCAGGCAGCAACAATTCGACGACCCAGCCCTAAGTTGTTGACTTGCTGCAACAATTGTAAATGTAAGGGGAGAAGATCCCAGCGAAGAAAAATCTGTCACTTCCAAGTCCGACTTGCGTTTACACAAATTTCTGGCGTCTGTACCAGCGCGAAGACATCTCGATCACGGCGTGATAACTACGCTTGGTCTCCAATTCACCTGTAGCGATAGCAATGGCTTGTAGACTGAGGCTGAGAGACGAAGTGCCATCGGTCCAAATACTAGATCCAACTCGTACAAGAGTTGAACCGTCGCTGGGTGTCAAGTCGCCTGAAAACAGCTCAATGCTGCAAGTGACCTTGTGAGACTTGCAGCCTGACACACTCAGTGGGTGTTTGCTCGAGACCGGGCTGCTTCATTGTTAGGCTGGAAAGCGCGTCACGCGTCACGCGTCAAGTTGATGAGCTTTTTCTGGGTCTTGGCGACCCCGTCTCGGTCGGCCTGAGGATCAACGCTGCCAACTCTGTCTTGCAACAGCAACCAGGATATTGACAATTTGCGAGTGAGGAGTTCAGGCTGGAACCAACGAGTTTATACAAAGTATCGCCGCGACACTGACATCTCGTTCTTCCCGTGCTCAACTGCCGTGTTGTCCTTTCTCCTGCTGATCCACCCCGCGTCTTGACTCCAACCTCTCCCCAGTTTTCCAGAATAGGCTTGCCGCTTCCTTGATCTGCATCTCATCCATCATGGGCCACTCAAACAGAGACCACATTTAGCGAGCGCAGTGTGCAGAAGAACGAAGTCTAGCGAAGGCGGTATGCGGTTGAGACGTAACCGTTTACCGAGGGCGATATGATGGTCTACCCGGTATGGTTTGGACTACTATAAGTGCAGTGTCCACCATCAATTATGCACCTATCAAGCACAGTCTTTAGTTCGCAAACAAGGACCACCATGCTGTCTCAGACTCTCGGGCTCGCTGTCCTCGCCCTGCCTCTACTCGCCGAAGCGAAAGACTGCTCTCAAGCAGCCTTCCAAAAGATCATTCCTTCCAATTCCACCTTCAACTATGTTACAAAAGTGGCAGCGGGCGGAACATTCACAGATGCGTACGCCAATGCCAATGCTACAGGTCTGCCTGAAGGATGCGCTGTGAGCGTTCGCGTACCCACGCCTGGCAACTCGTCCTACAACATGGCGATATACCTGCCCAACAAGTGGAACTCACGCATCATGACGACCGGAAATGGTGGTTATGCTGGCTTTACCAATTGGCAGGATCTTGGAATCTACTCTCAGTATGGGTTCGCAGCTTTGACTACCGTAAGCAAATGCAAAGTCTCCAATTTGTGGTACATCATTGACGATGAAACAGGACACCGGTCACGACAATGCGAACCCGCTGGACTCGACCTTTGCTCTCAACAAAGGATCACTCGAGAATTGGGGATGGCGAGCCATGCACGGTTCGGTCCTCGTCGGCAAAGCGCTGTCTGCCGCATACTACGGAGAAAACCACAAGTACTCTTACTACTCGGGATGCTCAACTGGAGGCCGACAGGGATTGAAAGAGATGCAAGTATCTCCTGAAGCATTCGACGGCCTCTTCGTTGGTGCTCCAGCATGGTGGATTCCTCACCTGGGCATCTACACCAGTCAGGCAACCCTTGGCAACCTGCCTCAGAACTCCTCTCACCACATCTCGGCTTCTTTGGCTACTGTGATCAACGACGAGATTCTCAAGCAGTGCGATCCTCAAGATGGTGTGACAGACAAGGTTATCATGAACCCTGAGGGATGTGTGTTCAACCCATTGACTCTGCTCTGTGAGAGTTCTTCGAACACTTCTGCCTGCATCACGCGTCCTCAGCTAGACACTCTTTACAAGGCACTGCACGACTGGACCTACTTTGACGGCACATTGATCTTTCCTGCACCTTCGCTCGGTACGCCTCTGACCGCATACATTGGTGACAGTCCTCTACCGAATCCCATGGGAACCGGAATGATCCAGCATCTTCTACTGAACACAACCGAGCCTTACGACTGGAGTACCTTCAACGAGAGTGTGGTTCGTCTCTCCGAAGCTATTGATCCCGGAAACGCGTCTCCAGATGACTATGACTTATCGACCTTCCAGAAGAGAGGCGGTAAAGTCATCCACTGGCACGGAACCTCCGATCCTATCATTCCTTACAGATCTAGCACCTACTTCTACAGCCAAGTAGCCTCATCGGTCGCTCCCCACGGTATTGAGATGGACGACTTCTACCGATTCTTCCCTATTGCCGGTATGAGCCATTGCTCCGGAAGTCAGTACTCTCCCTGGTATATCGGAGGTGCCAGTCAGCCTTTGACTAATGTCAGCCATGGCGTTCCGGGCTTCGATGACTCGCAGCACAACGGTCTCCTTGCATTGATGCGCTGGGTCGAAAATGGCACAGCTCCCGAGAGGTTAATTGCTACTAAGTACAACGACGACAACCCAGCGAAGGGAGTGTACAGTCAAAGACTTCTTTGCCCTTTCCCTAAACAACCTGTTTACACTCATGGAAAGATTGACTCCGCAAGTAGCTGGAAATGTGTGTAGTCAGGGCGATAAACACAGCTGAAGCCGAGATGAATCAAATTTTCTGCTCAATCGTTTTCAACATGTTTCAAAGATGTCAAAGTGCTCATTAACGCTAGAAGTCGTGAGTCATGTCTACATGCGTCGATTATCAAAAGCCGAGATCGGATGTGGTGACATCCTCGGTGAAATGCTTCTCGCGTTTACCGCTCGTGAACCACAAGAACCACGGCACCACAAAGCATTTGATCTTGTGACCAAGCCATCCAGCGTCTTGTACGGTCTTAATGACAGCTCCAGACTCTGTAAACGCTGCGTTGATGCGGTCTCTTCGCAATCTTTCATAGGCTTCAAACGCATTTTTGAAGCCTCCGGTACCAAGCTCCTGCTGCCTTGCCAGACACCTCGCAAACAACACCGTATCTTCTAGTACAATTCCTGTAGCCTCGCCTTGCGGCGCCATACCATGAGCTGCATCACCTAAGAGCATCGTACGTTCTGTAGCCCAACGGCCTCCTGGCGGTAGGGTGGAAATTGGCCACATGAACCAGTCTTCCGCCGTGTCTATCAAAGCTTTGAGGTCGTCAAACACAACGTCATCAGTAGCGAATCTTTCTCGCATATCCTGCTTCGTAGCCTCTTGATCAGCGCCGCGTACCTTCCAGCCATCCCGTGATTCGATTTCGGGCACTTGCAATACACCTCCAACGTAGACCGAAGTTTTGGTCGGCTCGTAGAAGCTCGACAGCATCATGCCGCGGCGTGCGAAGTTGATCGCCGTCTTGTAGAAATGCAATTGGCTCGGATCCTGGATCTTCGGGTTGTCCTTGTTGAGAGGTGCGAAGCCAAAGGCGTTTGCGATGCCAGAGTATATTTCTTTTCGTTCGGGCTCGACGTGCTTGAGACGAGTAGCGCTGTGGATACCGTCGCAGCCAACCAGCATATCTCCATGAGCTGTAGTACCATCGTCGAAGGTCAATGTGATGCCCGTCTCTGCATCTTCGTCGATTTTGGTTGTTCGTTTGCCGCAGGTGAATTCGACATTCGGGCATTTCTCGACAGCTTCGACGAGAGCTTTCATCACATCCGCACGTGTGACTCGTAATGCCTGAAGGATATGTCAGAGAAGGGCTGTAGATCACGTGCACATCTATGGACACACTTTGTATGGCGGATTTCCAAGACCTTTGCCTTCAGGTCCCCTGAAGCTTGACTCTCCCAGCTGTACTGGTTGGTACACACTGAAAATTTCAATGGCGTCAATTTCCATTCCGTAGTTGTTCTCTCGCATGATCGGTAACACATCCAGACGGTCGAGCAGCCTCAGAGCATTCGGTGTCAGGTTGACAGCGCCCTGTCATGCATATTAGTAAGATAGAAGGTAAACTAGAAGGAGCTTGGTTATGCAGTACGCCGATGACTCCAGGCTTGGGACGAATCTCGAAGACACGGATTTTTGGCGGTGCGGACTCAGGTGAGAACTTGGCCAAAGCCATGGCAGCCGTGAGGCCTCACAATCTGCATTAGCATTGTGAAAACAACAGCGATGGGGAATGACTGACCTGCCACGCCTCCACCCAAGATGAGAATTTCAAGAGGGGTTTCGTTTGAGATGTGCATTTCTGGTAGTCAGTTGACGCAGGGAGGGAGCAACACAGGCGTCTTGGTAGCTAGTGGTTTATATATATCCCATCGTTACTGCCTCGTCAGCACGATACAAGGCGACTTGATTGCTCGTGCAGATCTCGGAAGTATGTACCACGCACGCTATCTCCATGTTGCCAAATTCTCCGAGGCCATTTACCTACATGTCGAGATGCACGAACTCGATTTTATCACTTCCGGATTTACATCGAGAGCTCTTTCAAATAGAATGTTTTGGTGCTTGTCAAGACATGGTGATCAAGCGTCATACCAGCAACCTCAGTCATACCAGAAGAGCGGTGCTCGAATGCTTGACATTTCATCAGCTGTGCAGAGCGATGAATATAGGTAGATGCGCTCATGGATGTTATTCCGAAGGTTGATCACCGTTGCATATTTTCGGAGGTTTGTTCGGCAAGCGTCGTGGTTGGCCGCCGGGCGGACTTCGCAAGTGTGTCGGTACTGAAACCCACCTTCCTCCTCGCACCCACTTCCTTCCTTTCTGATCGTCACCAAGCACGATCTCGATCAGCAAAGCTTGCGAACGCCGGGAGTCTGGGACCATGCGAGCAAGATAGCTTACTTAGAGCTTCGCTGCTCATTGGAGCTCCTTCCTTACGGCCACTAAAATCAGACTGCGAAACTCTCTGGGGGGCTTCGTTACTCAAACATATGTCGCGTCGAGGTCAACGCATGGCGGTAGGGTACACTCTCAAGGCTTGTAAAGGCTTGATCCTATTCCCAGATTTCATACTTTCAGGCGCAGGGGTTTTCTGCTTCAGTGACGTTTGACCATGGATCGAGAGTTTGTGAACATGGTATACATGTATGCAGCTGACTTGTAGATCGATATTCCTTTCTCCCCCCTCTTCCGACGTGCATATCCCCCGAACCAGCAAATGGAACAATGCTCAACCAAAAACACGGCAATAGTTCAAATTTCTGAGGAAACCAGCCGCTGAACAGATGAGAGCGATCTCTTCATGACGTTGTGCTGAAGCAAAATCTCTACAAGTATATTAACAAGCACCCCACCTTGTAGTGTTCTGTCCGTATCAATCTATTTCACCTACGTTTACTGGACATTTGCTATCTACTTCAATATGCGTAGCTGTGTCCTTGCATCGTTGTTCTCGCTTGCCGTCGCTTATACTCCATTCGAGCGTCCCGGTCATCCCTCCCCGCCTCACCATGTCGGCCCTGTTGGACCGTATCACCGTGGCAGTAACGCTACATGTATCTCGGCCCCAGACGCCTCCTTGATCGCCACCAGCTTCGGTCTGACCATTTCGAACTACACCGAGGCCCTGGCTGTGCAGCTGTTCACAAGCAACTTCACGGATCAGTCGGACAGCGTCAACACTCTGATTCACGAACCTGGACTTCAAGCCTCAGACGTATGTAGAGCCAATCGAATGTTTCGAACATTACTAAGAAAAATACCAGCTTGGCTCCCTGACCTTCTCATCCAAAGTTGAATTCCTCGCTGGCCAGGGTGCACAGCCTCCAGTTCCTTTCGTGATTCTTAACTTGTGGAACACTTGCAACACCGTCATCATCAGATGGCTCTCTGACCAGAGTCCTCTTCCTGTTCAGGGTATCAGCATCGCTACCGTAGAGCCTGCTCAGCCAGGTGAAGGTGGTGGCTTCGGCACCGGTGCTCAGAAATGGCAGATCTCAGCTATTGTCGCTGAGTTTAACTCTGGCGCATGGTTAGGCAACCTTGGATATCCTGAGTGCAAGCCTGCAGCCAATACAACAGCTTAGTATGATCAAGGAAGTTGGCTGTTTGTAGAAATCAAGATAGATACTGGTGTATAAATATAGGACAACCACAAACGAAGATCACCAAGTCTTGGGTCCAAAAGTCTCGCCATCAGCAACGGTCTTCCGAATCGCAGTGCCCAAAGAATCCATAGTCTCAAAGACACCCACATTACCCCACCACGCTGGCACAGAAACTTCAGGCAGTGTGATAGCAAAGAAGATCACAAGAGTAGCAATGATGAGCCCAGAGTCCAACGCTGCAGCTGTGATATAGTTGTAGGTGCTCCACCAGCCATTGTAGCGTCTTCGGATCCACCAGTTGAACGTCAGACCGACCATAGCCCAAGATGTGAATGATAAAGGTGTAGCTGGTGGCAGCCAAGACATGGCTCCAAGCATAACAGGTGCGTGTAAGAAGCGCAATTGCTTTTGCGGGAAGAATCGTGTCAACACATAGAACGTAATTGGCAGTAGAGCACCAACTAGCCAGAACCAGTTGAAGGCAGCGTAGATAGATCCAGGGCCAAACATACGCTGAGGACCGATTACACCCCACGTGATGCTTGACGAGAAGAATGTCCTTCCATTGGGGCAGGTGAAATGGGAGGCTTGATCCGAAGCACAGGCGTTTGGAATATTGCTGAGTGTCCAATTCATGACGGCCACTTGGACGATGGAGGCCCAAAATGACATGACGACCTGTGACCAGAAGGTGATGCGAGGCGGAATCTTCATGTAGTGCGCCAACTTTAGATCTTGACTGTAAGTCTGAGCTTGTCCGAGAACAATGGTGCTGTAGACCTTGAAAATCATCACTCCGATGGGACGACCAGGAATCATGAAGCCAGCTAGATAGGGTGAAATGACGTTGAGCGATAGCTGGATGTTGGTGATACCGAGGATCATGCAGCAGGGAATGATAAATACCAGAGCAATGATCAGGGACACAAAGTATGCCCACCAAGGACACTGCGAAGAATATCCCAACACAGTCGCGAGGCCAAATGCAGTGGCTATGGCGAATAATACCGCGTACCACCAATCCGGAGCTTCGCGATACTTCGACATGAGACGCATATGGACATCTTGTGGTTCCTGTTTCCTTGCGAGACGCAGGCGAGTCCATAGCTCACCGCGATGATACACGATGGTGTGGACAATCGCAGCTATGAGTGCGGCGAAACTCAGACCATAGTTCAGTGCAAAAGTTGGGGCAAGGAACATCGGTGAGTATTTCTGATATTTCTCAACATCGAAGGTGTAGCCGGGACCGAGGATCCTGGTCACATTGTACTTTGATTGTGTGTTATCAAATGTCGTGGAGGTGTTGATCGGTAGATATTCAGAGTATAGAGCGCCAGTATACGAAATGCCTAGTACTTATTAGTATATGAGAATAGGCAATCGCGCTCTCCATAACCTTCTGCGTGCATAAGATCACTGCACCAAGGCGGCAACTCTTTTGCAAAGTAAGCGGTACCAGGGAGAGCTTATATCGACTCACCTAGTGTTGTGATGATCATGAATATTCCTAGCCCAATGATTGTGTTGAGGTGCGAAAAGGTCGGACTAAGCAATGGATCGCCTAGGTATGCTGTTACGTACGTCCAGTCGAATGTCAAGGGTATCAATGAGAGGCCAGTGAAGCCACCAAAAAGCTGATTGATGGTGGCGTTATTAGGCCTGATCCATGTGACGAAGGAGAAGACCGATAGCCCTTGCCAAATGACACCTGGTATCCAGTAGTAAGCGAAAGAGCCTACAGCAACATAGACGAAGAAGCGATATTGAGAAATTTGCCATCCGTTTGCTTTAGCCGGATCGGATTTCCTCTTGTCGTGAAGGGCATACAGCAAGGTAGTCATAGAGAAGTTGGCCGGCCAAATCAGAGCTGCCGGCCATACGAGAAAGCGTCGGAACACTCCAGCAAAAGCAATGCCGATGACCTGGGAGCTCAGCGTGAAGAGTAGTTGAAATCCCCACCCCATATCAAGGTTGTATAGCGATTTGGCCTTGAGAGCAAGCAGAGCATCCGTACTGTAAGCATAGCCGTATGTGACGTTGGCCATGAGAACTACTACGGTGTGCTCCTTGATCGAGAATGGGCCTGGATTTAGCGTCCACTGCATGCCAAATGTGGTGAATCTCCTTTCCGGAAGTACCTTTGCAAGCAGCTGACCACAAGGATAGACAACCAACAGTATGACCACCGTCGGGATGGTGATAGCGGGACTGCGCATGCTCAGAAACATGTTGATACCGCTTGAAAGTGTGACGAAGATGAATCCTAGTAGCCATGCTCGTATGGTGTTGGCAACTTCCTCGCCATCTGTGTCTCGAACGGCAGCGCGAACGGCTTCGTAAGGTGATTCCTTGGTGAAAGTTTCGTCAACTGCGAGAGCTTTCTCGACGTTGGCAGTCTTCGTAGCCTCGTCGAGAGCCTGTATCTCGGCATCCGGAAGGTTGGGGTCGAATTGATGCGCTGCATGAAGCTTTTCGACCTCGCCCAGTACTTGAGCTTCATGTGGGGCACCTTTTGGTACCTCGAAGACCTCCTCCACAGCTCCGTGGGACCCTTTGGATTGTGTGAACTTCATGTCGTTCCTGTTCCCGGACAGAGCATGTAACCGAAGACAGCAGTAGACGTACGATCGAGTCGAAGCAGACACTTTATGTCTTGGTGAATGGTTGAAGGATCAAGAGATAGCATCATGCGACGTTACATCGTGTCTCATTGGACAATGCTATCTATCTCTATAGCGGACGGCTGAAGCAAGCACTATCAAGGATATCGAGTACGCCTAAGTGGCCAACCTGCCGATAGGCCGACTCGACGTGCGGGGGCGGTAGCGCTGCAATATATAGTAATTAGTGGGGCAATTGCATGAACGTCGTATCAAGCATACCGAAGCTTTTTGCCTCGTGCTACCTTCTCGAAGCTACGGCATGATACGCACGTAACGCGCTTGTAAGAGTACAGAGATCGCACTGGAACCGAGCTCTCAATCTCATGAGGCCCTTACTGAACATCCATCAAGATACACAAAGTTTTTGGTCGTAACATAATTATCCAAGGAGATTGCAGAGAAGTGCCGCTCTCAGTGGAGATTTGTCGACTTATCAAAAGCATTTTGCCTTTCGACAGATAGCTTAGAACCCTTGAAGTGAAGCAAGAATTCGATGCTGGGCTCGAGTTTTGCAGCTACGTCAAGGTCAGCCGTGAAGAAGCACATATGTCTTGTGTCCAACTTTTGATCGTCTATCACTTAGAGATCATAAAATCTCCATGCTGCTTTGTGACCAGGTTGCAGCTTTCGTCCCTGCATCAAGGCCCTCAGAATCTCAATGGGCATTTCCCCCTCTCTCAGCATGCGATCATGGAACTCTTTCTCGGAGAGTTCGCCGCCTTCAACCATCTCCTTTCGCAAGGCATAGATCTGCAGCGCTCCAAGCATATATCCAGCTTGATAGAGTGGAGAATAGTCTCCATTGAAACTTCGCCTTACCTCGCCTTCTGCAGTTGCTCTTTCGTGTCCGACTTTCTCAACCAGATAGTCAATGCATTCTTGCGGCGTCATCTCGTTCAGGTGAAATTTGAGACTGAAGACGATACGAGCACAACGGTGCATACGCCAGAACAGCATTCCAATCTTCTCTTCCGGAGTACCAGCAAAGCCACGATCCCAGAGGATGAACTCCCAGTAAAAGGCCCAGCCCTCGATCCAGAATGGCGTGGTGAAGAGGCTTCGGTAAGATCTGTATCGAGCGATCATGTGCATCTGCAAGTGATGGCCAGGAATAAGCTCATGGAAGACCGTGCTTCTCGACATTGGTCTGTTGTTTCCGCGCATGGACATGAGTTTGTCGGCGTGTGACATTGTGTCAGTGGGGTACGATACGATAATATCTTCCCCTCCGAGGAAAAAAGGGTTGACCTTCTGTCGCTCTGGTGTCATCATGAGAGTTCTCCAGCATTCCTCGGCGATAAGTGGGATCGTGACCATGTCGTGTTCTTTGACGTATGATACTGCCTCTTCGGCTAGCTCATGAACAAGATGAATCTGTTGGCCAGGTTCAACGAATAGATTCTTGACATACTCAAGAGCGGCTTTCCAATCTTGCCCATAATCCAGTGCTTCGGATGCCTTGATCATTTCCTGCTCGCACCAAGCATACTCCTTATCGGCGATTTGAATTAGCTCCTCAGGGCTGTATGCGATAAACTGAGCATCAAGAGCCGAAAGCAAACCTGCTCGTCCAACTGGCTGGCCGACTATGTCGGCAGTAGAGCCACCGTCCGTCCGGACCAACTTGTCTCTCACGGTAGTCGCCAGTTGTCGCATTTGGTTTCGTGCCTCTTCATAGGGTGCAGTCGTCCACCACGTGAAGGTGGGATCATAGCCCTTGTAGAATGTCATCCATTCTTCAAGCAAGCTTTCCAACTCATCGAGGTTGCTCGCCGCACGATAGGCTACGAATCGGTCTGCTTGATCGCTTGTCTTGGATGTATTGTTCGTGATTTCATGAACCTTCCTTTGCATTTCTCCGCACGCAGATGACAGGACTTCAGCTGCATATCTGCCTGTTGTCGGCACGACTTTTTGCCTCCGCTCAAGCAAATCGACCAGATTGGATGTGAATGGTTCAAGGATAGGTTTGAGCTCCTCTAGAGAAGTTTCGAAAGAACCGAGACCATCGAGTTGTTCATTCAAATATTTCTCCAATAGTATAAAATCTGTTTGGTCCTCCAGATCAAGTTGGTCAAAGGTCACGCCAGTCAGCTCATCCAACTTATCGCGAAAGTAGTCTTTCAGACGTCGAACGCGTGTGTTGGAGAAATTGCAGCTGTAGAATTGCTCAATGTCTGCCACGTCTGCCCGGACGCACTCGATCATTGCACTGACAACTCCGCATCTGGCGCGGTCATCGGTCGGGTGTGGTATTTTGACCCTCATAGTGCTTTGGCCTATGCAGTCTGGAGAGTCGATGGTATTGCGCTTCTTCAAAGACACGTTGGTGCTGTCGTGAATCAAGGTGTAGAATCTGTCAGGTTACATCGCAGGAAGGAAATCGCGATAGCTTAGGCTAACCTCGGTTAAATAGCCAGTTGCCCTATCAAGACGAGCACCGCAGATCCATATCTGTAGACTTTCGAGGCGACTCGATAAGACTCATGCTACCGTAGATATCAAGGTTCGATATGCAGATCATTTTGAGGTGGAACGAGAAGACGAGAGAGAAACGACGCGACATGAGCGCGAGCCTTCCGCGTGTGGCACCCACCAAAGCTGCACGTTCTCAACAAAAGCCGTTAAGAACTCAGGGTCATGCTATTCACACTTCCATGCGGATATTTTCCCTCTCGAGGCCGACTAGGATATCCTCTCGATCTATATCGAAGTCATAGCTCTGAAAGTCTGAAGTTCCACGCCAAATCTAGACTCCATGATGTTTTTGTATCTACCAACATCCTGCAACAAAGACCGTCCGTTGTCGCATGGTCTTGCAGCGAGCTTTGCAAACTCACAGTGATTCTACACAAAAACGATCATAGATGCCGACAGGGATCGGAGAAGCGTTTCTCAATTTCACACTGATATCTGGTAAGACTGAACAACCACCCAAGCCATCGTTACCTGCAGCAGTAGTTATGTGTCGAGTGCATCGAGCATCTGTTGACCTGAACTGCTTGCTTACAGGGCGACCCGGTCTGCTTGACACATCAGGCCAGAAGTCTTGGTCTAGCGATCGAGTATTGGTCAAAGCTCGAGCTCAAACCCACCACCAGAACAGCCACCTTCATGTTATCTTCCGCGTACTTCTACAAAAGATTGGTGGTGGGCGGACGGCATCATTAGGAATGGCATTTCGTGATGCAATCTTGAACTCGCGCCCATTGGACTTTGAAACTCTGCTCGGTGGATTGCGAGCTTTGCCGAACAGAATGCTCGAATTCGCGCGTCTTCGGCAAAGTTTTACCATCACCGAGACTTGCGAAATCGCAACAACACGACCAACCGACACTCAAGGTCGCGGCATGCTCCTGCTCAAGAAAAGCAGAACTGCAAAACGCGAGATGAGTGCAGAGTTCTCCATGTGCGAATTGACATCACGTGTCAAATAGGAGAGCGAGTAAGGGAGTAAAATGCGTGTCGTTATTGATTATTTATTGCGCAGAAAAGCAAAAAGAGAGCAATCATGCCTCATTCATCCATCCATCGACGGTGCGGGTATGTTAAAAAACCGAAAAAGAAAGTCCAAGCAAAGCCATACCCAACGCCGAAGCAAACCATTCCCTGATCCCATTTTATTTCTCATGTCCTGCTCCTATCTAACCGGCAACACCAACAATGGGTCTCCGATATGCCTCGTACTCTGGAGGTAGATCTGAGAACTCTGGTGTTTCGAGGTCGTTGTATGACCAGCTGCCTCTGTGTTCTGTGGCAAGAAGTTCTTCCTCGACTCTCATCTCCTCCAACTGTTCCTCAACAGTCAACGAGTTCCTTGATTGGATGTCCGATTCGCCTTTGCCCTCTGCTGAGATCTGGAGAGGAAGCTTCAAATCAACAGAAGGGAAGCCAACACCAGCCGAGTGAATACCCAATGAGAGGTTAAGCGAATATGTGCGTGATGTAAGGCAGCTGTGGAATGTGGGTACAAAGTGCTTGTCCTTGGGGAGTGCGACCGGGACCACGATTTCCGCTGTCCAGAAGCCGTGGCCTTTGTAGTTTGTGCTTGGGCTGGGGTATTTTGGAACCTCTTGGTGCGAAAGGGCAGAGTCCCGACGAGCAAGCCATTCCTCTTCCAAAGCAGATTCCTTTCGCGATGTCCATTCTACTGAGCCCATGCAGCGTGAAGACAGCGGGATGCTGACCGAGTGCAAACCTTGACGGTGGTCGAAGATACTGTCCTTCTTTTTGGGAATATCCATACGAGCGCCAGTTGCATACCATGTAGAAACCTTCAGTTTGCTGCTCAAGCTTCCAAGGCGAGGTGGTTGCGATTTTGCGTCGACTGGGTCAAATCGGAGTTTGATAGTGGTCACTGTGCTGACGGTCGTCTGCTCGGGGTCGTATAGCTTTGGAAGGCGAAGTGATCTTGGTTGCTCGGCTTCAATGACCAAAGTGCCAAGTTTGCCCTTGAAGACACCCTTCTTGATGGACTTCTCGGTTCTCAACATGTAGTCGCTGTCAGGACCGAGAATATTGACTGGTGGTTGCTCCTCGACGGTAGGGATGATGTGGATTGTCTTCATTTTTGTGGCTAAGTTCTTCTGTGTATTATCGATGTCGTTGGCTGCGGTGATGCGAGCAGCAATCTGGTATTGGATCTTGGCCATATCCGGGCCCAGGTCGTCGTGCTTGGTGATGGTACCCAAGCTTGGTGGAAGTTGTAGATGGCAATCGCGGACTGATTCGTGGTGTACTTCATGTCGGCAGACACGGGGAAGTAAGTGCTGAGGGACGACGAAAAGGAATGGAAACTCATAAGTTCGACCTGGCTCAAGAATCCTTGGTTGAGGGTAGCATGAGTCTTGAATTGGCTGACGGAGTTTCAAGAACTGGTGAAAGGCTGACATGCCTCCAGACAGACCAGGCGTAGTTGCCATCTTCTCCAAGAACGTCTTGGTAGTACCTGGCAGAAGATTAGTTACCGTGTGGAAGTGGAGTAGTGCTGTAAATCATACCGATAAATTGAATCTCAATGTCGTCAAACCTCGTGCTGTGAGAAACGGCGATCTCGACCTTGCCGGAAAGCTTATCTAAAGTTGAGTATGATGAACGTTCATTGTCAAGGACAATGTTGATGTGAGGCTTCGCTCCCAGAGCTAGCGTGCGCAATCTGGAAGCCATGGCACCATGAGATGATGCACAAGATGAAGCGGAAGACATGATGTTGGAGTCGAGATACGACAAGCAATCAGCCGGAGGAATGGCAACCAATGGGAGTCTCGAGGTGCGGGGATAGTTTCTGTATGTAGCTGTGGTACAAATATATAGGTACAGATTTTGCTTGCTTAACCAGGAAGGCAAAGAGCGATGGAAAGTGAAAAGCGAGTATGTGGATCTACCTTGACGAGAGAGCACATGTTTACTTATGTGATGTGTTTCCACCGACAAATTTTTGACTCACCATTTCCCGATCGCATGCCACGCCCTGTTCGATCACTCGCGCCCTGTCTTCGACATGAAAGGCGCAAGAAGGTGTAAGATGCCCTAGCCCGATGCGGGTGGACGCCGCGCCCTTCTTGACGACAAATGCCCCGGGGAAAGTCTGATCGGCCGTCCTTTCCGCTAATGTTCCCCGGCCTCGAAACCCCTTAGACCTTGCTGCCTGCCAATAACCAGGTTACCAGTTTACCGCTTGCTGACTCTGCTTTTCTTGATGGAATGGAGAATCACAGGAGTAGTTTTCGTCCTTCATCTTCTCACGCCGATGCAAAGTTTCATTACCGCCTTTTGTTTTGGCTCACGAGCGTGGCCTTGTCCGCTAGGCACATAAAGGAAAGCACTTCTCAACAAGACCTCTAACAGTAGGTATAGCCCGAAGATTAGTCAATGGTGACCACCAACAGGAGGTGCTGCCGGCGGTTTGCACTAGGTTCATTGCGTGGCTCTCGCATCAGCAAACTGTTCATGACCTATCGCATGACAACGCTTACAGATCGCGAGATCAGCCTTACAAGATGTGATTTCAAAGAAAGAATTTCTACATGCTCAACCCCGTGCGGTATCGCAGACATCCTGTAAGAGGTGCGTCTCCGATTGGTTTCCGCCAGCAACAGAAACGACTTTCCCCACGAGTTCTTTGTTTCCTCTGCCGTTTGCGGACGGCTGTGGCTTGCTTCAATGGAGAAGAAACTTTTCCGCAACGACTTTTCCGTCGGAAAACATCATTTCCTCCCCTCCACCTCCACATTTTTCATACCCACACCGGCCTTGGCCGTCGGGGACCTTTATCATCTGTTACTCGATGGGCTTACTCGATTCCGTGTTAGCCGTTGTTCTTTCGGGGGACATTGCTACGAAGCAACGGCTCGCTCGACATCATTCATGAAAGCCTCTCGTGTGGACATACCGTACACGGAGCGGTGACTCAAAACCCTCAAGCGCCTTTACAGGCTGCAATCTCACCAAGTCGATAGCGTCGCTTTGTAATCTCTGGAGGCTTAAGAATGATCAGCAGGAGTCATCCCAAGCACCCCGCATCAAAGTATGATAAGAGAGATGTGGTGGAAGATCTGGGGATCATCAAAATGTACACGGTCCGGACGCCCGACTGAAGCCAGAACGATAGCCGAAATCGCGCTAGCGATCGGTCCGTAGGTGGACGACATGCCAAACGTCCTCTCCTTCTGCCTGCATCACATCGCGTATACCAGCCTAGTCACTTGCCATTGAGACTATTGCTTGGAGAAACAGACCCAGCTCAACTTTGTACAACTAAGAAATTCAAGACTTGCTCACGGACAAACTCTACAACATGTCTGCCTGGACACGGATAAGAGGTATTCAACGCTCTTGGAACCACTTCTTCAATCTTGGCTGATACCTTACCCCTGCAGACGCTGTCCTGACGTCCAAATGGAACAAGCCCTTCCCCGTGACCATGATCCCTTCGGCAATTGGACTTTACATGGCCGAGAAGCAAAGTGAACGCCAAAGACAAATCCTGGCTGAGATCAGAGCACTTGGTGTCAACGATATCGATGCTGTCAAGGAGATTGCTAGCAAGCCGCGATGAGGGATGTCCATGCTTCTGAAGAGCAAGTTGTTGTAAGGCTCCAATGACCTTGATGGTGGGTATTGTCACGCGCCGACATTGAATTGTCTCTGCCTCAAGCTAACCCACAACGTAGGCGTCTTGCAGAAAAGGATTGGCAGGTTATACAGGCAGTACCTCTTCATCAATGCACTGCCAACTCCCTCTACGACATTATCTGTACATAGTCCGAGAATTGACGTCCATCACTTCGACGTTTCCGATGGCATCAAGATCATATCTCAGCAGCATTATGTCACACAAATCAACTCTGCATTATGGTTGTCATTCCCATGGTATCCGACTTTAGAAGCAAAACAACACTATCCCATCCATTATCAAGCACGACCAAGCTCAAAGCTTTGCCTTTGTCTGGACCTTTTTGAAAATCGGCTCCATCTTGGTAGCCTTCATGACATCTCCCTTAACCTTGAGCTTTCCACTCATGAACAACTTCTGCGCATTCGCTTCACCCTTGACCAGCTTGCCGAAATCCGCATCACTGAGTGATAGTGTGACTGTTGTATTGTATCAGCGTCGATGCCTTTTGCTTCATCCTGCAGCAGCAGGTGGAACTTGTGTATTGTCTCTTACCGGCAGACTTCTTCCCATCGGGAGCGGTGCCCTTGCCGGCTTTGCCTGTGTCTTTTAGATCAATGTGCCAGCTCTCTTGTGCGCCGTTGCTGTTCTTGAGGGTGAAGGCGAAGATGGCACCGCCTTTTTTGATGGCGTCTTTGCGCTCGGTGTCGTCGGATAGGGCTGCGTTGATGGCGTCGAAAGCGGCGGAGGACGGGAAGTTGGCTGTATATTGTGGTCAGTCTTTGGTCTTGTGGTGTGAGGAGACCGGAGATGTGAGGCCTACAGTCTTTGATCGACATTGTGGTGTTTGGCCTTGCGTCGGAGATGAGTGTTTGAGCTGGAGAGTGCAGATCTGGGTATCGGCAGGCTGTTGTTGTAGTGAGGAATCGAGCAAGTCGGTATATCAAGTCATCAGGGAGAAGGAGCGCTTCAGCTTGTCAACACTTGCATGCATACCGAATCCGGGGAGCCGAGGCACCGGACAGGGCATGTGAATCTCTTGGCAATGACGGCACCAACTCCTCTAGCACACACACTCTCTCTTCTCCGTACCTTTCTCCGACACCTTCATGTGATGCAACCCAAACGTTTTTTGCATGTGAATTCAGTGTGAATATTTCCATGTGGTCGTTCTCATGGGAGAGAGCTCGAATATGCTTCGTATCACGGAGATGCTCAAATGCACAGACTCATGTAACACTTCCAACCATATCGCTTTCGAAAGGACTTGATACAACAGACAGTCTAAGCAATATTTCGTAAGTCATCATCAAGGAGAAGCTAATATGCCCGGCCGACTTCGACCATCTCCGTCGAGCCCACGACTTCATCCTGTCTCCTGACACCTTCAGGCCGGTTTGACCTAAGCGGCGAGGCATACATCGGCGGCGCCGTATCAACACTACTCCGCTGCTCGTCCTCTTCAGCATCGCCCACACGTCTCCAATGTAACAGCTCTGGATCCATCCGATAACTACCTCTCCACCTTCCATACGCTGGTGGTGGGGGTCTGATATTGGCCGGCGACTCGTGCTCTGGCCTCTCAACATCATCGTCGGCTTCATATTGTACCATGATCGGGCTATTCGGTATCAAGCTCTCTTCTGTCTCTGTCGGACGCACAGTTCGCGAACGTCTATGTCTGCCAGCTAGGCCCTGCCTTCTCTCAATCTTGTGTCTCTTCAAGGCTTTGTGGAAGCGGTAGGAGAAGAGGATGATGAGTGCTAGGAGCAGGACGAATGTGCCGATTATGAAAACGTGTATACTGGCTGGTATATCTTTGACCTTTGGCAGGGCCATTGCAATATCTGTCGCTCGTCAGTCATATCACTGGTCCAAAAGGACTGACTACTTACACATGCTCAATGCTGTGACTAGCAAGACACATAGTATCCCGACCAGTATTGCTGTGTTGCGGAGTTCACGCTGTCGAGAGGACTTCCTTTGACGACGAAGCGTTGGCCGACATTGTCCTCCCCTCTGTGGCGTTCTTGCTTCCGTTATCTCTGGATACTCAGCGTTTGTCTGTGCACACAAGGGTGATCTGGTGGCCACAGCATCTGGCACCAGAATGAGAGAATCGGTGTTTGCGAGTGGCAGTGCCCATGCCTCTCTGCTGATGCCGGATTGAGAAAGAGACGATCTTCGAGACAAGACGGAATGATGTGCAGTACCCTTGTCTGGTGTCAGCACTTTACTCTTCATGTTTACTCGGCCATTATCTTACGCCTAGAGACAGTGATCCTCTGGCACTACGCAGAGGCGTGTAAGATGCGGACGAGTCTTGACGACTATGGCTGGATGTGGACGAAACGGACGATGCACCGATCGTCCCAGTTGGCGAGACTCGTCGGGTACCAGGCTCGGGAGGTCCTGACAACTGTGTATCGAGACGGAGCGTATTTCGTCGACTGCCTTCTTGGCTTTCATGTATGGTGCTGCTTTCATTGATTCGGTCCTGTCCACTATTGTTGCCAGGCTTCGAAGGGGTCCTTGGATCTCCAACCGATGCATTTGATGAAGACATCTCCATCTCACCGAATCCAATCACGGCCGATTTCATGATTGGAGCAGTGTCTTCAGATATTCCAAGCGATGGAATAACAAGGATTCAAAGGCTTGGGTGTTGATGAGAAGTCAAGCAAAGGGTTGAAATGTCGTGTTTACCTCCATCATGGTGGCTTGCCACATTTCATCCCTGTGCTTCGGCTCAGCTTTTCTCCCCACCATTCCATCTACCCACAACCATTGATGGCTCACGATTCAGTTCACCAATGAACTAAACATGTGTCAGAAAAAAAAACTTCGTCATGTATAGATCAAGAGCTATGTCTTCCAATAGCATCCAGATGCTCCCTCCTCAACTCACCAACATCGTTCTCCTCGAAACCAAAATTCCACAATGTTTCCGCAACAGTCATCTTGTATTTTGACGCTTCACCGTAATCGTCACCCTTTGAGCTCTTCCTGCCAACATGTTGTATTACGCTCGGCGTCAACGCCCACCTTGTACTTGCATGAGCGTCCGCATATTCCTCTATCAACATATCCACATAACCCAACGTTCTCTCCTCGAAAAAGTCGATGATGAGTTTTGCAGAGTCTCGTGGGAAAACAAGGCCTTGGCTGCAGCAGCCATAGCGAGGCATCTCGTTGACGCCATTCGGGAGAGGGAGCACTGTCACTCGACCGGCGGCGAAGAAGAGAAGGATGCTGAGGGGTAGGTATATAGCGAACACCGCTACTAACAACTTCGGCGTCATTGCCTTCTTTGCTGTGCGGGAGATCAAGCGGATTGATGCGAGAGATGTGGCTACAGCTGCTGTGACAATTGAAGACCAGAAGAGATAGGTTTTCCACTCTTCGCTGTTCCAGCCGAGGAATTCTTCGGTGTAGAAGAGGCGTAGGTAGAGGACTTGAGTGAGGGAAGTCAGTGATACTGAGCTCAAGAGTGACATGATTTCACTTACAGTCTAGGGAAGCCTTTCGCAATGCTGTTTGCTTTTCTGCTATGTCTAGTCCATTGATGGTGCGATGGTACCAGCCGTCCAATGCCACGGTATCGTCTTCGAACATTGCGATGTGGTCGGCGCCTTGCGCGTAGCAAGTTTTGAGCAGATAGGTGTAATCGTAGAGTCCTTTTTCTCTTGAGTTACCAGTCTGTTCCAGTTCAATGACATGCTCCATTTCTTTCTTCGGTAAATCGTATAACAGTACTTCATCCGTAAGATTGTGAAGCCAGTTCTCCTTGAAAGCGAAGTGTACGGAAGGGTCTATCTGGGCGATAAAGACCACCAGATGTATGTCATTACGTTCTTGCTCTGATAGACCATCTAGTAGCGACCCCACTGCGGATCGTAGGTATGTTGTTCCATTCCTTGCGACCGAGGGTATACCCACACAGAACTTTTTTTGATGCGTCTGTTCCTTCGGTCTTGTTCTTGTCAAGTCTGTCTTAGAAGCGAAAATGAAGGCTTCGGCCTGATCTTGTCGCACTGCAGAGTACGAGGGTATATATCCACGATGAGGGTCGAAGAACGCTGATGTCGGGTCTCGGTAGGCAATAGAGCGGGTGTAAAAGATGGCAGTCAGATATACGAAGGCGAAAGAAACTGCAGTAAGAAGAGTAGCTGACGATGTAAATGTGGTGAGGATCCTAGATCGCCTGGTCGTGTGACGTTTCTCATGGGAGGAGATGAGATGGTATGCTGCTTCTGACATTTTTGAGAAAAAGAGTGGTATACAGGAAGACAAGACAGAGCACCCCTACATCAAAGAAAGAGTGCAAAATCGAAACCAACCTCGAGCCGTACTATGGTAACACAAGATCTCCGCACCGCGAACAAGGCGGAAAATCGTCCATGGTTGGCGCTGATGCTCCCAAGCCTCTTGTTACATGCAACCAAGCCAGTAGGAATGCAAGACCGATCTTACTCCAGCATAGATATTGCCGGAAACCGACTAGATCTACTTCTCTTACCCATAATACGGATGTTTCGTGCGTATGTCAGAGATGATCATGCGGCCATATACGAGTTCTCCCTATTGCATCTGCAACTGGCCGGCTATACCAAGCCACGAAGGAGCTGGATGTTGGAGTTAGTGAACCAGATACTCGGGATAGGATCGATGCCATGGAGACAAAGTCAATGCGCGACACAGCCTGTCAAATTGAGAATCGTCTTGAGTTAAGTCCAGCGTCTTGTTCCAGGCAACTCCATTGATCGCGAAAGCCTCGTACGACAAGCAGTCATAGCAAGACTTCCAAGGCAAGAGCGAATATCTTGAGGCGTCGGTGCCCCTTCTTCAACTGTGGAGCTCCTCCTTGACATAATGCCAAGGAAGGAAGTAAGGTAGTTGGTGGAAGAACGTTGGCCGCATGCTCTTGCCTATTTTGAGGATATTCTCGAACGCCAAGGTTAAACCTCGGCGGCGCTTGAAAGTCGCAGGGTCCGTTCTCATGCATCTTCCGAACAACAAATTTACCAAGAGCTACCAGCCCATTTCTAACCTCCGTGGTCCAAACAGGGAAAGATGAAGTTGAAGCAAAAAGTTGTAAAGCATCTCATATACGCGTAGGTGAACTCTAACAACAATATATATACAATGAGTCCACCCAATCTCACCGTCATCATCTCCACATGTCAAAACATCATGAAGTCCATAACATCGAATATGCCATCAGACATTTCCACTATAATACGTCAGATCCATAGCTCCAATTCAGCTTCCAGCACGACTCGTTGCTGACAGAACCTCAACATCTTTCAAGCAAGTAATAGTGAGCGCTTAGTCCAGGCTGATACGACCATCATGGCCCTCGGCGGCGTCCAAGGCATCAGCGACTGCGGAACCCTCGCCCTCGAACATGAAAGCATCGTAGATACCAGCTCCGGCGATAGCGCCAAAGATAGGGACGAAGAGAGGGACAACAAAGTAGAAGCCCTTGGCAGAGAAGACCTCGCGGCCGTAGACAATGGCAGAGAAAAGACGAGGACCAAAGTCGCGAGCAGGGTTGACGGCCTATGAGTTATATTAGTAAACGATATATTAACATCTGATCTGCAGAATACTCACGTAACCAGTTTGCCATCCCATGGAAGCACCAATAGCGACCATCAAAGCAAACATCATGAATTGAGGAGCCTTGAGACCCTCGTTCTTGGGATCGGCAACTGCAGAAGCACCAAAGGCGAGAAGAGAAGCACCAAGGAACTCGGTGATGGCAGCCTCCCAGTTGGAACCGAAGTGGGCAGCAGGGTAGGTAGCGAAGATACCAGCAGAGTGGTGACCTTGAGGCGACAAGATAGAACCACCAGGAACAGTAAACTCAGGGTCCCAAGCCTTGATGGCAGATCTGTACTGCAAGTAGACCAAAGCAGCACCAACGAAGGCACCGAGGAACTGAGCGGCCACCTTTCCAGGAAGTTGAGCCCATTGTTGCTTGGTAGGGCGGATAATGGCAGAGGCAAGAGTGATGGCAGGGTTCACGGCGGCGCCGACATAGCAGGAGAGAGCGACAGCAGAGGCCCAGGCCAAGTTGACGGAAAGGAAGTTGGCGTAGTAAAAGTCTGTAAGAACAGCTTGGGCAACAACACCGTCACCGATAAGAATGAGCAGAAGAGTGCCAACGAATTCTGCGAGATAAGGGCGAAGACCGCTACGGTGCAGGCTGGCTGGAATACGGACGGCCATGATGTGGTATAGGTTTCTGAAAGAAGGTCGTAAAGTCGTGATTGAAGTACTGGAAAGACTGTTCTTCAGAAACTCGAGGCCTATGCTCTTATATACACTGTGTCTTCGCGCGATGTCGTCGCTGCTGCTGCTGCTGCTGCTGCGTTGGGGAGCCCTGATTCCAAGCTCGGTCCAAGCATTGTTTTCTTCTCACCCGCGACTCGGCGCGCTGGGCGTGAGTCGCGAATGATGATCGTCGTCGTTCACCGTTCGTTTCACCATCCTGACAGTGTGAAGAATCCACAAGGCGACCAAAGAAAAACTTCGAGAACGGCGGTGAGGTCGGGCCTTTTGAGAGTACGAAGTTCCGTGTTGAGGCTCCCCGGAACGGTGTCAACTTTATCGCACAAGACCCTGCAAGACGTCAACATCGACAAAAGCATCACGAAGCTGATTCAAATTCTTCTGGCAAAACATCTGAATGTCTCGAATTTATGTTTAGGGGTATGAACATTATGGTATAGTTTGATTCAAGAAGATGAAACAGAACGCCTAAGGCGTCACAATCCCACCCCCAGCTCGTGTGCAGACCCTGTCAGGCCGCAACACTTTCGAGCCCAATTCATTTCATTTCCAAAACGTGCCAACAAAAAGGTATATCCATGGTCGTCGTCAACTTCATCAAGGTGGTGAGCATAATTCCACACCGCCTCGGGGTTTTTAGTATGTCGTCAAAGCAGGGCTGCCAGCGCAAGCGGGTTGCGAGAACTTGGTCTCAACGTAGACCTTCTGCATGCCATCCTCCTTCTTATCGAACTTGTAGTAGACCTTGTCGAGGTCCTCCATGCGAACACGGTGTGTAACCATCTTCAGAGGGTCGATCTTGCCTTCTTGGATCATCTTAAGAAGCTTCTCCCAGTAGAGGTGGACAGGTGCCTGTCCGTTGCCGATCAAGCGGATACCGCGCTCCATCAACGAGCCAATGTTGAAGTGGTTGGTCTGTGGTAGAGTTAGTCTCACGTTAATATATGACAAGGATGAGGGTGACTTACGTAGCCGACGTAGACTCCAGTGATACCGCAACGGCCGTAGTTCTTGACACTCTCAATCATCTCGTTGATAATCTCGGGAGTGTCGGTTTCGAGACCGGCCATGAGTTCGATGGTGTGAGCCCAGCTCTTGGGGTACTCTCCAGCAACACATTCCAAAGCGACATCGGGACCACCGTGCTCCATCTTCTTGAGAGTGCTGACAACAGTCTCACCCTTGGGGAGGTTGGAGAAGTCGATGGTCTCGATGTTGGGGTACTTGGACTTGCAGTAGTCGAGACGCCAGTTCTGGTCGATGACAATGACGCGCTTTGCACCGTTCATGAAGGAGAAGTCAATACACATCTGACCGATGGGACCGGCTCCCCAGATGGCAACGACGTCACCCTCCTTGACACCAGTGTCAACGACACAGTTCCAGCTGGTGCTGACAACATCGGACAAGTAGAGACCCTTCTCATCAGGGACATCGTCGGGAAGGTGAAGCAGATTGACATCGCCGCAAGGCACACGGGTGTACTCGGCCTGGCCACCAGCGAAACCACCAGTGAAGTGTGAGTAGCCGAACATACCGGCAGTGCGACCACCGTACATGGCATTCTCGATGGTGTTGGAGTTTGTCTTCTCGCACTGGGACGACAGCTTCTTCTTGCAGTACATGCACTGTGCAACAATGTCAGTATGGTGTGGTTCCATAGGAGGAAACAACTTTGACTTACGTCTCCGCAGGCAATCTGGAAAGAGGCAACCACGCGGTCACCGACCTTGTGGTTCTTGACTTCCGAACCGACCTGGTCGATGATACCGCAGAACTCGTGACCGAGGATGTCACCCTTCTCAAGCTCGACAACTGAACCGTGTAGCAGGTGGAGGTCCGAACCGCAGACAGTGCTGCCAGTGATCTTGAGGATGACATCGCGAGGCTCGATGAGCTTGGGCTTGGGGCACTCGATGACCTTGACTGTGTTCTTGCCCTCCCAGGTCAAAGCCTTCATGGTCTCATTCGGGTCGCCGTACTTTTCTCTGTCGTTTCCAGGGTTGGTGACGTCTTGGGCAGTGATAGCGTTGTCGCCGTGACCAATAGCCCTCTCGGCCAATGCTGCTGCTTGTGTTACTGCGGCCATTTTGTAGGTGTTCTTTGTGTTGTGGTAATGGAACAAGAAAACAAAGTGAGATGGACCCGGACTTCAACTGCGGCAGTCATGCATATTTGAGCTCTTCGCTCCTGCCTACGTCAGGTCGGTTGCATCGCCTCGACGTCACCATTCTTTAATCATCCGTACTGGTGCGGCTGGTATCCATGTTTCGCATCTCGTGTCGACAGATCGCTGCGCCCAATTACATTGCTTTGAAGCGCTCTTAATCTATATCCACAACTGCCGAACGATTGACCTTCCCAAAGCTGGATGGCTTTCTAACTTCACGATGGAACTGTGGACAGAGGCTCTCCGAAAAACCTTGGATGACAGCTCGAGCCTCAGAGCTGTGACATCATCAAGAATAATCCCCTAACCCCGTGCGGGGCAGCTCGTGGGAAAGTGGGGCTTCTACATTGCGGGACTTGTCACAAGTCAAACAGCATCGTGGAGTTACTGGGGCGACATCTGGATTGAAGATGAAGTAGAATCTGCTGGTCGATAATGCTACGTGACTAATCAGACAGACATAACAAGCAGTGTGGTATCTCATAAACACATAACAAAACAGCAGGGTCTTTCCGTAGACTTTTGACTTCCCCGAGTCTTGCCGGTCAAACGCCGAATGGAAACAGAATCTTCGGACTGCGAACAAATATTGTCATATAGACATGATGAGATAGGTGGAAACCAGGTCTTCCAGTGTTTGTAAGCAGAGCGGCATATAATCTGCCAACTGATCAAGCATCATTGGTTGGTCGCTTCTTCTTTTTAAACAGAGGCAGCCGACGGGAGGTCGAGACGAGTTTGTTCATCTCCTGAACACTTTGCTGGGTCATCATGTACGACATCTTCGCTTGTTCGGCAGCTTGCATAGCAGCGTACATGTTCCTCTCGGCTTCCACAGCACTGGTGACAGTGTCAAGCATGACTTGAGCAAAAGATGTCATGCGCTCCTTTCGAACAAGATCGTCTTCCTTAAATGCCTCTTGACGAAGAGTGAGTCCCATTTCCATGAGTGCTACAGTGTCACGTTTCTCCTTCTCGGCGTCGGCTTCTTGACGAGCGTCCGTAGCGGAGACCTTACCCCTAGAGGCCTTGCGGCGGAGCGACGGCTTCTCTTCTTCAGAAGTGACAGAATCCTTCTTCGGAGCAGCATCTTTGACCGTCGATTTTCTTCTAGGTCTCGGCAGGATAGAGTGCTCCTTTGATGTCTCACCGTTCGAAGAATGGACTTCTTCAGTCGCAGTCTTCTTAACCAAAATGCTTTTTGTTGTGGACTTTCTCCTGGATTCTGGAAGAGAAGGGACAGAAGGGACAACAGGCACAACAGGCACAGCAGGCACGGCAGGCACATCAGGGATGTCCTCAGGCTCCATCGACACTGACTTTCGGCTTCCGATAGAGAACCTCCTGCCATTGGATCCCGGGGTCGGAGGTACATCGCGCTTTCCAGAGAACAATCCTTTGAGGTTGTTCAGCACTGATTTGCCCTTGGACTCACTTCTTGGACGAGTCAATGGTGTAGAAGAACCATCGCGAGCTGCTTTAGTGGGCTGAAAAGTCTGCCGAGCGGCCTTGATGTTTCCTATCGACGTTCTCTTGTTTGCACTGGCGGTTGTGCTGTCATGGTCCTTCAAACTGGGTGTAGCCTGACGTGGGGGCTGGCCACTCAAGCCAGGGCGGGCCGTAGGTGTCACACTGCGTGTGTTCGATGAAGCTCCTGTGCCGGGCTGTGATGAACGCGGGATACCTGATGTGGGCGTTGATCGACCACTCTGAGAGGCTCCACGAGATGCAGACACTGGAGTCTGTCGGCCAGAGGGAGAAATACGACCTTTGTCAGAGCTTGGAGTCGGGGTCAACCTTGCAGATTGGGAGGCACGACGAGTGCTCGCATTTGGGACCAATTCAGTCGCGTTATTGCGGCGAGCCTCGGACGGTGTGGCAGCAGAGTTTTTGCGTGCCTCTGTGGGAAGCATGTATGACGGCAGACGTTCATCCTGTGGACGTACATTGCCTTGGTCGTTAGCTTTGAGAGTATCTTTGGGAACCTCCTTGGGCAGTTTGGCCATACTAAGGCGTGTCTTGATTGACTTTGGAGGAGCATTCGAGAATTGGTGTTGCTTGGCAGGAGTTCCTTCAAGAATGGATAGTGTCGTGTTGATGTCCTTCTCTCTATTTTCAAGCACTCTTGCGCTGTCGATAGTAGTATGCACAGGCTCAGCCTGTCTTTTGCCACCTTCGTTTTGGAGATCTGTGGTAGTCTCGGTGGTCGACTCCTCGCTCTCTTCTGAGATCCTCGAGAATGCTTGAGGTCGTACGGAAGGCGAGCTCTGCACCGTTGGCGAATCCTGTCCTGAATCGACAAGATTGAAACCAAAATCTGCAGGCCAAGAAACATGGAAACCATGTTCACTCGGGGAGGGCAAATCGAACTCGGCATCCACTGGAGTTGTGAGGTTTGCCTGAGAGACGAAAGCAGGAGCGCGTGCTCCATCTGTCCCGAGGAGTAGGTGATCGGCATCCTCAGAAATACTCAGAGTCGAACCAACAAAAGAGCTGGACAGTAGGCTACCAGAGATCTTCTTCACTCTCGAGTACTCGAACACATCATCAGCAGAAGCTTTCTCGCCAAAGACCAATTTGATTGGGCTTAGCTTGATCTGCTCCGTGGGCGATGAAACACTTGGTGGTAGATCGCGTAAAGCCAGATGTTGTTTGATTGGCGAAGAGTGCTTGATAGTGTTGGCTCTGGGTCTGGATGAGCGAGCACCTTGATCTAGCGCAGCAAAGTCTGTCGAGTTGCCCAAACGTCTGCCTGCAAACGTCAACATGTCGTTGGTGACTGGAGACTTTGTAGCTGAAACGAGCGGACTGCGTGTTGTGGCAGGTGTCCGCGTGGGTGACTTAGATGCAGAGTAGGTGGGAGACTGTGGAACAGGCGTGCAGGTGATGCTTGCTGGCGATCTCTCTGCTTGTTGCGCTCTAGGCCGAGAGAAACTGTGAGCAGCAGGGAGATATTTGTGTTCCTGACTCTCATCGGAAGAGGAGTCCGCCGCAGATATACCTAGACCCACGTCGCCAAGCTTAGGCTCGGGCGTACGCAGAGATGAAGATCTCGGTGGACGGCACTCAATCGAATCTGCGTCAGTTACCGATAGAACAGGCCGTTCGCTCTTTGTTGTAAACGAAAGCGTGGGCGGGGAAACGGCTGGGGCAACGTGCGATGAGTTGAGATTAGTGGACAGCTGGCCGAGGATCGGCGACACAATGGCAGGGCTGCTATGTACGGATGAGCGTGGAAGCTTGCTGGACAATGTGAGCCTTGTGTTGGGCGTCCTGCTAAGTGCTGCGCTTCCACGACGCGGCATGGGACGTTCTGGGGAAGAAGCAGGCCATTCTTCTTCCTGTGGTGTTCCAGGGGCCTTGATCAGGGGCCGTTCAGCCGCGTCGATGATACCGCGCGAATGTCTTGTGGGGCTCATCGAGTTGGCGAAGGTAGCAACTGGACGAGACGGCAGTGGTTTCTCAATAGACAGAGGCTTAGTGCGTTGAGCGGCTCTGAGCTCAGCGTATCCGCCCTGCGTTTCCACATTCTCCTGGATTGGCGAGCTTGGTCTGCTTTGACGAAACGATCTCCGCGTATTCATAGTGGGCGATTTGGGCTGTCGAGAACTCAAAGCGTCTAGCACAGGCGTTGGTGATGGTCGACGCAGAGACTGACGGCGCGAGAAGGATGAGTTCAGGCTGTCGTTTGATGTGAAGGTATTGAGGCGTCCACGACCGGGCGTTGTTGAACCCGTCCGTGGATTGACTGGCAGTGGGATTGGGGAAGGTGATGGTGACCTTGACCGAGCGACTGATGATTTGGTGGGTGCTAGCAGACGAGAAAGATTTGATGCGGGCGGTACGTTCTCGGCGTTGTTGCTGCTGCAATTTCTGGCTTCAGAGCCGACTACTGGGATGCGGCTCTGTCTGTTGGCACTGCGCTCGGCGAGAGGTGCCATGCTGGAGGTCGACCAAGTACTGTCTCGTTGAGGGCCCGGCTTCGTTTCGATTGTCTTCCAAGAAGAGGGTCTTTTCGCTTTTGCATATCCGATCCAGCAGAACACAGATTGGTATTTACAAAATTAGTTATTAGTAGTCGTGGTCGGTCGTGTATCAAAGTCCGGATATTAAAAGAGTGACATGGAGTTTGTTAGACCACAAGGGACAGGGTCGGTGACAAGGAGAGACTTGAGAAGGGAAATGCGAAGCCTGCAGGAGGTAAGTCGTTCTTTCTAGCTGTATATTATCCCTGTGCTACCGACAAGAGGCAGCCACGGTGACCAGCTCAACGTCGAACGCCGTCGTTCCTTCCGTGTCGTTGCTGTGTTTGTATCGAAACAGGAAGACTGGAGATTGGCTCGAAAGATGACCGTTGATAGGCTGCAACGTTCGCTTGCTCTTGTGCACCCAAGAGACTACATCTCAAACGGTCTGTGAGTACATGAGAGTACAAGATAACTCACAAGGTTTGAATATCTTTATATAGTCGTCGAGAAAGGCTTTGCCGAAAGTCAAACGTCGCTCACTGCCGTACAACGATGAGAAGCAGATAGCATTTATTGTCGACTTCTCCGCCTTGAGTGCTTATACATGGGTCTTTGCACATGGCCCGCTTATCACAAGTGCTTTCCGAAGTCAGCTCTACGAGCCCGTAAGAGAATAACTCGAGAAGCTCGCACTAGTTTTGCAATAGGAATTGTGATTCGGTGAGCTCTGATGGGGTTCGCGCTCATGCATCTGTTTTGTGTCGTTCTGCGATCATCTATGACAATTTCGAGTATTGCCCTTCGAGACCCGAGTTGAAAACGCCCTCATAGAACCGATGTCACCGATGATTCTCTGCAGAACTAGATTGCGCCTCTCACGCATACGAAAGGCAGCCATGAGTCGTGGTTTGGCCCTTGTAGAGAACGACGGAGAAGGGAAATGAGTAGCGGAGGTGTCCAACCGGTGCTGCTCTCAGGAGAAGGAAGGAACGGCATCGGCACAAGGACGCGCCGACCGGAAGACGGAAACGGTAGGGAGACCCACAGAATGTGCAATGCCTCAGGTTGGAATTTGCAAGACGAAGTGAGTATCACCTAAACTATAGACAGTATCTTCGCACAAGTAGAACACGCACGCCTGGCTTCTCAACAAGCGCAACACTTTGGTGCACTTCAGTGATATTCGTGAATTGGTCAGCAAGAGCGAAGGTTGGAGAAGTACGGGGGTAGTTTGGTACCGGCCCGGAGCTATGACCAAGCTTCATTTTCACAATGTTTTGTTTGACAGCTTCGAGAAGGCTCGGACGCTGGCGGCCCCTTGAGAACACTGTGTTGTCCTCATTTCCAGAAAAAAAGATCACCCTTCTTCTTTTCTCACAAACACCGGCATCATGGAGGGAGATAGCTATATCGAACGCAAGATTGACTTCGTTACGGGTCATACTGGAAGTAACGTATGGGATATCACTCAGGTGACAATGGTGGCTCCGGTAAGTTGCAATCCTTCATCTTCAGCCGCATGTAATAGGCAAAACGTTGATGGTGATATCTAACTGGTGATAACAGGCTGCGGCGTTGCTCTGGGCTGTTCTCCAAACTCGCCAGAGATTTTTCGACCCCTACACGCCAGCATCATACCTGACTGATTTCTTGCTTCAAGTCGGAGCAATTCTATTCGCCGTCACGGCGTATGCTGATAACCCTACTGTCTTGATCGGACTTCTCCTAGTTCCTGCAATCGGTACTGTGGTCAATGGCGACAACATCGACCACAGGTTTACCAAGCCTGCAAAGCCTCCGGTCAAGGAGGAAGCCACTGGACCTGTTGAGCCTGTCGATTTGGTTCCCATCAAGCCTTTCATCACCACCTACAGGGGTGCTATGATGATCATCACCTGTATTTCCATTTTGGCTGTTGACTTCCCCGTCTTCCCTCGCAGATTCGCCAAGGTTGAGAACTGGGGTGTTTCTTTGATGGATCTTGGTGTCGGTTCTTTCGTTTTTGGTGCCGGCATGGTCTACGCGCGTCAGGCGCTCAAGGAAGAAGACGAAGATGCACCCAAGGTCAGCTTCGCGAACCGCATGAACTCTGCAGTCATGCACTCTCTGCCTATGCTTGCTCTTGGATTCCTTCGCCTCTGGACTGTCAAGGGACTTGAGTATCAAGAGCACGTCACCGAGTACGGCGTTCACTGGAACTTCTTCTTCACTCTCGGACTTTTGCCTCTCTTTGTCACTATCCTCCAGCCTCTCATCAAGTACATTCCCTCTTACAGCGCTCTGGGCTTTGCGCTCCTCATTCCTTATGAGATGTTGTTCACATACTCGGATATTGGATTCTACATGTTCATGGCTCCCAGAGACGACTTCATCTCCGCAAACAGAGAGGGTATTTTCTCATTCCTCGGCTACTTGGCTATCTTTATTGTCGGACAGGGCATTGGTATGGAGGCACTTCGCCGTGATGTCAACGCTGTTTCACCCATGACACACAACGACGAGTGGGTTGCTGAGATGCTCGGTGGAGAAGACAGCTTGAAGGAGATCCGCAAGACGCGTGAGCATAACTCGATGTTCAAGCTCGCCAAATGGACTGGCCTCTGGATTGTCATATACGTCTTCCTGACTTGGCACTACGGACCTCGCTTGACCGTTTCTCGTCGTCTTGCGAACATGCCCTACCTCGCTTGGGTCGCAGCTTTCAACTGTGGTCAGCTTCTGCTCTTCCGCGTCATCGAGGGCATTCTCTTCCCTTTCCTATACACTTCTCGTGACAGGAAGGTCGAGAAGGAGCGTGTCTCGAAGGCTACCAGCAAGGTTCTCAACGCCTTCAACCGCAATGGACTAGCTATCTTTTGCCTTGCCAACGTTCTAACTGGTCTTGTCAACATGACTCTGCCTACTCTGGATATGAACGATTACCAGGCCATGGCAGTTTTGATCAGCTACATGTCCATCTTGACCGGTGTCGGTCTCTTTTTGGACCAGCGCAACATTACCATCAAGCTGTAAATGAGGCGGAATGATTTGTCGAGTAGATGAAAAAGAAAGATATGTACATTTTAATCAATACTTAGGTGTCCTTCACACAATCAAATTCCTCTTGTCGTGCAGTATAACACGAGAGGTGTATTCCTTCCTTGAGTCATATGGCCGCTTCTCAAGCACGAAGCTCGCTACCGCGTAAACTCCCTCAATCTTGCGTCCATCACCGTCACGCGTCTTCACTAGTCCAGCAGGCCTTTATATTCTAGATAAATCAGGTCCCTTACAAGTCTTCAGCCGTGGTGGTGTAGTGGTTTAACACACCCGTGGTCTTAACACGTGCGCAGTCATTCGTTGTTACTCAACGCCGTGTCAGTCTAGATCCGAGGAGGTCGCGGGTTCGATTCCTGCCCATGGTGCTTATTCTTTTTGCCCATCTTTAGTTCTCGAGAAATACAGACGTTGGTGTTCGGCTTCCATGTCTCTTCCTTTTGTGATTTGCAACACTGACCGATCTTATAATCTCAAGAAATTTCTGCTCTAACTCGATACCACGTATTCGGGCCAGCCAGCACTTGTCGCACAGCGTCATCTCCTGCCTCGAGCATGGCTACTTTATGCCTGCAAAAACCATAAGAATAGCGTACAGGGGAGAGGAAGGAACACATGACAGGGTGACAAGCTCATCAACTACGTCACTTTACCCCGCCAAAACTTTTCCATCCCACTTCCTCCGACCAAGGCAGACACAACACAACCTTGATGCAAAGACACAAAGCAACCATGTCGTCGCCCCCTCAGCCAAAGAGACGTCGCATAGGCATACACAAACCCTTCATATCACCCTTGAAGCGCGCAGACAGCAGCATCGCAACGGCAGAAAACACACCCACTCGCATCAGCACCAGCAACCTGCGCAACGAAACCACATCAGAATCTCTGGCGATCCGTCATCTCGAATCACGTATCCGTGAGCTGCGCGCCCAAAATGCAATTCTCCAACAAGCGGTTGCTACAAGCACAAGCACAAGCACGACCTCTGCCACACGCACCACACAACAACCAAGCAGATTAGAAACAAAATGGCGCAAAGCCAGCCAAGCAGCCGCCGACACCGTCTTCCACGACTTCAGCACCCGCATCCGCGACAACGGCGGCTACGCAGCCTTCCTCCGCCAACAAAGCACATACCAACCCTTCTACTCCGATCAATCCAACGACACCAACAACAACAACGAAAACAACAAAACCACACAAGGCGATGAAGAAGATTGGAGAGATGAAATGGGCGATGTGTTGACCGCCAGAGGCAAAAAACAGAGGAGAAGGGAGAATGAAGATAAAGTGAAGAAGCAAGAGGAAGATGAGGAGGAGCAGGAGGAGCAGGAGTTGGGGATGGGGAGTATGTTGCAGGTGTTGAATATTCCGTTTGAAGTTATTGGGTGGGATGAAAAGGAACAGGCTTGGAAGTGAAATTGGGGGATTCGCTTTTTGCTCTGTCTCTCAATTGGAGGTATGGAGGTTTTTACGACGATTGTTTCCTGCATTGCGAAAGGAGTTTTAAGGGGGACATGATTACATGATGGAGAGAATGAGCTATGATTATACGATGGAGCTTTGGAGACGACGGAGACGATGGAGACGATGGACACGACAGACTTTACATGGCTTTGCATGGGCCCTTTTGCAATTTCGTTACGCATGATACCCAAATCACAGCTTTGCTTTTCGACGAAATATCTTATCCCATCTTGAATCTGTTGACTCAGTATTCTGGAATCTATTGACTCAGTATTCTTCCAACTTGAATCTGCTGAGTATCCTGCACTTGCATATAACAACTCCGTGTCCTTCCATCTTCAATCTGTCAACTTAGTATCCCTCCAGCGCTGTGTGACATGTGTCAAACAACCAGTCACCTGTCGAAAGGCAACCTGTTTTTATGGTGTGACACTCATTGCTCCGGGAGTCTTGTAGGCGAGGACTTGGATGAGGATTTCGACGGCGATTGCGAAGGCGCTCTTGGATTGAGAGCTGACACACCCTCACATGGAGTATGAACAGGACAAGCCGCTTGTTTTTATGAATCCTAACTACAGCGCGATGAACCTGCGCTGCCAACTAGATATTATGCCTCGCGTAGTTACTTGACATGCGAATCTTCTTTCCATACCTGTACAGCAGATATGGGATCGGAACGAAGGCGATGGCCAGAAAGCCCAAGAGGGAGCTGGCCCAGTCAACACCCAATTGGTGGAACATGTGAGGCGCAAAAAGCGGAAAGACCGATCCAACGCTGCAGCGTATCAGGTCGTTTCCAGCCAGAACGGAACCGACATACTCGGGATAGGCATCTGCCTGGTAGTTGAGGATGGCGTTGAAGAGCAGAACCGCACCCATGGGGAAGAAGGAAGCCCCAATCATTGGAACGATCCAGTGGACGGATTCCCTGCTTGACCAGCCAAACACAAACATGCAGATGGGGATGAAGAATGAGCCGACTATAGCGGGTGGGAGACGATCTTCCGGAGCGATGTTTCCTTGTTCGTCAAACTGCTTTTCTTGGACCATGTACAGCCATACGCAGTATGGTATCATGATGATGATGGCGCCCACCATGATGCACAAGAATGCGAGTCCATTTTCTCCAAGATTGAAGTGGTAAATCTCGGTGAACACGATCGTGAATGCTTCAAACCATGTAAAGAGCAGGGCGTAGACAAGAGCCAGGTAGGCGTTCGTGACAAGAAGAATAGGCTGGCTGAAACAGAGCTGGAAAGGTCTGTAAAAACTGGCAGACACCACGTCTTTGAATCGCATATTCTCAGTTGCCAGATCAGCCTGGCTCTTGAGGTTGGGGTTGCCCGTCAACTTTCGGAGTCGCTTTGCTCGCTTGTAGAGGATGGTGTTGGCACTGGTCTCTGGGAGCGTGAAGATGAGCAAGATCAGGCAGAACCCGGAAAGCCAGACGAGCTCCCAGATTGTCCATCTCCAGGTCTCATGTTGTGCTGCAAAGCCTCCTACCAGAGGTCCCAGGACGGGTCCACAGACGGCGGCGACGCCCCAGATACCGATTGCGTATGCGACCTTCTTTCTGGACCAGAGGTCTGCCAATGAGGCGCCACCCGTGGCGAGTACAGGAGATCCGATGAAGCCCTATCAAGTTATTAGTCAATAGTGCGTTGCACTCTGGGAATGTACACATACCGTCAAGAAGCGAAACACCAGAAGGGTCGCGATATTCGGAGCGTAGATGACCGGGAAATTCAGGACGACGAAGATGAACAATGTCACAAGATAGACCGGCTTACGGCCTATGGGAGGGGCTTCGGCCAAAGGTGCGAGAAACATGGGTCCTACTTTCCTTAGTTGACAGCGCATGGGACGAAGAAAAGCTTGCCTTACCAATTGCATAACCGAGCACAAACAGTGTGAGGCCGAGAGTGGCTACCGTCTGACTGACATGGAACTTTTCCATGACGCCTTGTTCGCCACCGGTATAGATAGCGGAACCGATGTATATGCTGACTGTCAAGAAACATATCAAGAATGTGACAAAGACCTTTTTCGCCGTTGACCAATTTTGGGGATTCTGGGAGATCTGGTCAGCAAAATATAACCAGCAGAACAAGAAATTGTGTCACCTACTGCCGGGTCATCGTCTCCATACCACGATATCAATTCAAAGTCGGTCCCCCTTTCTTTTTCGGATATTGTGCTGACTGTTTGGCCGTCGAAAGATGCAAGCGAGTCATCATTGGGGTTGTGTGTTGGTCTATGATTCGCCGTGGGATCTTGCAATGAGCACAGACGACCGCCTGAGACGGCGCGAATAACCTGACCAGCTAATGTGTCGAGGAAAAGGTCCGTCATAGTCGAGTTGGTCGAAGAGCGGTAGAAGTTCTGGAAGGTTGGCACGGTGTGAATCTTTCAAAATCAATGTCACAGTCAAGGAGACATGATTTGCTTTGATTATATACGTGCTCTGTTTCTGCTCGTAGTATCATCAGTGATCGGTAATTGAATGTAGGCTACTGACAAACTGTTCTGCTGTCGGAGACAATTGCATGAGATTTCGGACCCGAAATTTCGCGCCCGAAACTTCGACGCCGAAAGTGGACTGCCCATTGAGGCAGATGTTGTAAACACCCGCTCACTACCCGCACCAACAACACAAAAAGGCCGTCGCGGGCTCTCCAAATCGACAATGCGTCCATTACTCTCTTCGTTCACCAAACTCATCCGCACACACCATAGGCAAATCGCCTGTACAAAACATCATATGCATACTGCACAAGTTTCAGAATGGGGCCAGCCGCCCAAGTATGTCAATGTGCCTGATCTCGAACCACTGCCCGCAGGATCTGGTCTGGTCAGAATCAAGGTCCAAGCCGCGGGATTGCATTCTGTCGTGCGTGCGCGTGCGGCAGGCACACATTTTTCCAGCAAATCACTCCCACATGTTCCCGGCACAGACGGCGTCGGCATCACCGTAGATGGTCGATCAGTCTATTTTACAACTTTTGCGACCGGTGGATCGGTCAGTGAAGTTGTGGACGTGCCCGAAGCGGCAGTCACATTGCTTCCAAGCGGCGTTGATCCTCAGCAAGCGGCTGCTTTGGTGAATCCTGGTCTTTCCTCGTGGATGGCAATGAAGGCGCGAACACAGAACCTACCCGACAACTTCTCTGTACTCATCATGGGCGCCACTTCGGCTTCTGGTGCCATCGCCATTTCTCTTGCCCGCTCTTTGGGTGCGGCCAAGGTGATTGGATGCGCCCGTAACGTCGAAGCTATGTCGACCCTGGGTCTCGACGAAACAATCCAGCTCCAGAGCACAGTCTCGGAGACTGACTTTTCGAAGGCAGCAGACGTGGATCTTATCCTTGACTACCTCTACGGTCCTCCCACAGAACACCTTTTCAAGTCCCTCAAGGTGTCCAAGCCTCTACAGTACGTCCACATCGGATCACTGGCTGGACCTGAGATCAGCTTACCCGGATCCATCTTGAGATCGACCGACCTGACCATCAGGGGATCTGGACCAGGAGCATTTTCTTATGAAAGACTGAATGCTGAAGTGCCGCGTCTGTTGGAGGCTTTCAAGGGGATCAAATCCTCTGCTCTGAAGATTGTCCCTTTGAGTGAGGTTGAGAAGACGTGGTCAGAGAAAGGAGATCGCACGATCTTTGTGCCTTAGAACTTGGCCCTAGCATTATTCAAATCAATATTCAAAACTCCATATCCCAACTCCTAGCGAGGTCCATCCAATTCTCCGAACTCAACTGCTCTAACAAGTCAAGCTCAGGTTGTTGATTGTCACTCATCAGGTCTTGAAAAGTCGACGGCGAGAAATCGTTCAACACCCCGGTGAAATCGACATTGGCTAGGTTAGAATTCGAGCCGTCAAACATCACAGGAGCTGTTGATGATCCGAATGGATAATTAGCCGCGTACGACTTGTTGGGGGCCTGTTCGGGAAGGAAAGCCAGGGCCTTGTTGGAGTCAGATGCTTGTACAAAGTCCATGAATGAGTTGGATCCATCATTGACAGTGTCTCGGGACGCCATCGACGGGGTCAATGAAGATGTTTGTGGTTCACTGACGCCGACCTCCGCGATGTCACCAAAGTTCGCCTCGGCAAAACCAACATTGGTCAGATCGCTTCGAGTCTCACCTCCACACGCATCAAACATTGTTGCTGACGATGGATCCGTGCGGGACTTGAGATCCGCAATCCGCACTTCCCTTGCTCGCTGTATCAGCCAGCGCATGGGTTTCCACAAGGCGCTCTTGTCGCTTCCTTTACTTGTCGCGTGCTTGTTCTCGAGGACTTCGTCCAGCACTTTCCATGCACGGTCTACCTCGGACGTGCCTGTACGATGGCCGAGTTCAGCCGCGACATAGGCCAGTGCGTGCCATTGGACGAAACCCCGAAAGAACCAGGCCCATTTCTCAATCCGAGGCTCGAACTTGAGCGCGTGAGAATACTGTACCGTGTCAATAGAAGCCGAGAAGAGCTGGTCTTTGACTTCCGGCGTCAAAGGACGCGTTGCTGCACCGTTGAGCGGATGAAATATCAAGAGGGTGCATTTCGTCTACAGATATCAGTCCACAAGATCGGTCTTCGACAAGATGAATGACTTACCAGCATCAATCGAGTAAAGGTGGTTATCATCCAATCGAAAGGCCCTGAAGGATTGGCATACTGGAGATAGTCGGACTGAAGCCGAGATTGACACTCTCCTACCATCCTCATCTTCCGCGCAATTGCTTGATTCATCCGAGCATCAGCGCCGTCGGCATCAAAGTCGAACGAGTCGGGGATGTTGATTGTGCTCACCAGACGCGTGATCTCGTAGCCTGCCAAGGGAAGGGTCATGTCAGTAATGCCTGTTCGAGGCACTGGTGCCTCGATTGCCTCTGGATAGAGATCAAGGTCATTCACGTTCAGCGGCAGCGTATCCCTAGATCTTGTCTCCAAGAGCGATGGCTGTAAGCCGTATGCTTCGGCGGTACGTAAATCCAGCCTGCATATGGTCCACCAGAGTCTCCTACGCATCTGCACTTCGAAGGGGGACAGTTTGAGACGAGGGGAATCGTTGCTCAGATCCATGAGTTGTGCCATACGTACCGCTGTTCCAGTCAGAGTCCACAGCACATCCTCATCGTCTTGATGTCGAAGCAACAGCTACGGGTGACGACTGTTAGTGCATTCTTGTGGACAGACGATGAAGGAGTGACGTACCAGATATATGACCAGCCCTTGGAGTGTTTGAATGTCCCTGGAGGCCATGAAATTGACGTCCACCATGGCCTTTCGAATCGCATACTTGGATTTCTTCAACAGATTTTCCTTGCTTTCATAGAATTGGAGCTGGACATCCTCGGGTGAGATACAGGTGACCGCCGCAAAGCAGATGCTGAACATCAACAGTTCCATGCCGCCTGTGACATGGTCCAGGTCTGAAATGGCAGCCAAAAGCCGTCTTTCGAAAGAGGGAGGATGCAACAGGCGAATCATCGGTTCGACCTTCAAGGTGTAAATGCGCCAACATTCCAGAATGTCGGTGACGGAAGGATGCAGACTGCGCAGATCAGAGACTGGAGAGGCCGATGCAGTACCTGAGCTTGGGCCAGAGGTCACTTGTTCAGGTGTTGCAACATTGGAGTTGTGCAAAGCCGACGATGATTCATCAACTGCCTGTGTTACTTGAACAAACTGGTCAAAGGATCAGCCGAATCATGTTGGAATGTAAGAGTAACGACTCACGTCTTTGGAGAAAGGGGTCCAGAACCTATTGCTTAAAGGCGTGTCTTTTCCACTCGGATTACAGCCAAGCGATGATTGCAGGAATTGTGGAAGAGCCAAGTCACCATCAATGCTGCTCGAGACAATCGACGACACACCTTGTCTCGAGGACGTGCTGGAGCTGACAGCCGGGAGAGTAGAAGCGTATACCCCTTCACTGCTAGACTCCTCCGATGGCGGGGTGAAGTCGTGGTTGACACTGCTATCTCGGCGAGGAAGGATGCGATTCTCCAACTCGGCATATTTGGAGGCCATGTCCCTGACTGTATGTTCGAGTTGTCTCTCACGCTGGGACTTGTTCTTTTGGTACGGCCCGCGTTTCCGCTTCACCTGCTCCGGCGAGGAAGAAGGATAGATGCAAGGGATCTGGCCCTTTGCACAGTTTGCGCATCCATCAAGTTTCTTGTCGCATTTGAGCTTCCGACGACGGCAAGAATTGCAAGCTCCAGCAGGGGGTTTGGTTTGGCCATCAAGGAAGGCGGAGGATAGATCTGCTTCGGCAGACATTTAGGCTTGAAGGTCGCCAAGCTGGTCGGACTCCTGGAAGTGTCAGTTGTCCTGACGGGATGGAGAGCTCGACTTTTTCAAGAGTAGATGTGCATCTACACCAAGACACAGAATGGAGCCAACATTCCTGAGCGTACGGAGTACTGGTCATAAGAAAACAATCATCCATTAGCTGTTGGCGCCCAACGGATCCTTCAGTCGCTTAGCGATCTCTCGCTTGCGCAACGTGGTCTTGGTCAGGATTGCCTTTTGCTGTCGCTCCGCATGACGACAAGATCCGTATTGCTCATGTAATTTGATAGCAATCCTACATGACTACATGCAATCCTTTCGACTTTGCATGTTGGTGCCGGCTCCTTCTTCCACGTCCGTGTCGAGATGCGGCAGCATCCGCCAAGTGTCAGACCAGTCTCGAAGGGGCTAGGGTCAGTCCTAGAAGAGTTAGACTGCGGGATCTTTACCGTAGGAGGCTAAACCAAACGTCTGCACGAACATGCCTTCTCACGGCTAAAGTGCAGTGCAGTTGGTGAGGATGAGAATACAATCTGACCCTGATTTCACAGCTCCCGGATAATGCTGATTAGACTACTGCTTATTGACAACATTCTTGTACATGAATAAACAACCTTACTCTCTCTCCATCTTCGCCCATGCTTCGACTGATGCAAAGAATAAGGAAAACAAAACATGACGTGCTTGCAACAGCGACTGATCTCTCCACCTCGATCGAACTCAAGCCAGATACTTCTTCTCAATCTTGATTTTGGCCAAGGCTTCCAACTCCTCAGGAGTAGGTCGTACTCCAGGTCCGGAGCTTCTAATGGGCGTCTGTCCGGGCAGTCGGACGAGATGGAAGAGATGGACCTGCTTGGCCACATTCTTGATTTCGTAACCAACGACCTCGTAAACACCATCGTACCGCAAGCCCTCCGCAGGTCTGAAGTCGTTGGATCCCTCGGTTGTCATCTTTGAAGCGCGAAGCAGACGTACAGGTTCGTGAGAGCGGGAGCTGTTAATCATGTACTGAGTTGAATCGGTGGGACGAGTGGAATCTTCAGATTCGGTGCCATAGTACCAGACTTCCTCACCCCTGTCGATGTTGGGGTAGCTGCCGCCAGACATGACGCAAGAAAATGCGCCAATGGAGTCGCCGCATATGCCTGCCACAGTTGCATTATGAGCGCCATCTCTCATCGCACAAAGCTGCGAGGGCCACCACTGGCCATTTCGGAGGGGACCATTGCCGTGGAAATCGCCGTGTCTTCTGCCAGTGTAATTTGGGAGAAACTTATCAACGGTAGCTTCTCTGCCTAGCCTAACGTTTTTTGGGCGACCCAGCCTAATACCACGAAACAAGCCTGGATCGGTGTCTCTGGACCACCACTTGATGTAAAGCTCAGCGGCGTCTTCCTTCAAGTACCAAGGATACTCGACACCATCAGACAGAGTCGAGCAGAATACTCTTGGAAGTCCAGTGTCGTTGTGCAACAGACGTCTCTTGCGAATTGTCGTGGCGGTAAGGTCCAGAAAGAAGGCACGGTGGATGCCGTCATTGATCTTCTCAAAGTCGGCCGGACTCGGGGCGGTCTTTCTTCCTACGGCATTGATGCAGTTTTTGATACCAGAAATGATCTTGTTGAGATGCTCGTCAACCTCAGGGAGGGGACGAGGAGATTTCTGGAGGGTACCATGAGGAATGTCGTTGTACCATTTTGGAGGTTCGGGTTGCTCGACGTTAGGATAGTCAGCACCTTTTACAGTATCTTCGGGCGCCAAGGTAGTTCTGGGTCCCGGGATGTATGACAGATCAGCCACAGGCGGAGCCGAGGGAGGAGAGGCGGATGCAGTGTGCGCTGCTGCTGGTACGGGGGCCGGCGGAGGCGTGGTTGGTCTGGACGCATTGACTTGGGAGCGCGACCTGGCATCCTCAATGACTGCCATATTCACATTTCGCCACCAGGGAGTACCATTGATGAGGAGTTCATCGGCCATTGCTTTGTGATGTATGGTTGTCTCTGTCGGGATACAAGATGACGAGTGAAAAAAGCGAGAGCAGAGAGGAAAGCAAGTGAAGCAGTATTTGAAGGAAAGAGCGATGATGGATTGAACAGGCGCCGGAACAAGATGATCAGCCTACGAAACTTGGCATGTTCGAATCATCGACGACGCGCGCTCGTGTGATGGCACAGAATCCAGGCAGGTCACACAGAGAGTGTTTGCGATTATTGGAAGTCGCGACAGAGAGCAAGGTGGATTAGCACGGATTTTCTGTGCAGAGGTTGGTCGAGGGCGCTTGTTACAACAGTCTTATAATCCAGTCAGATGCATTTGATGTGTTTGCCCGGTAGAAAAGCAGCTCCGTATTCCGTTGCTTGATTGATGGGTCCGGGCAGTGTCGCGGATCGAATGGAAGCTCCAAGGAAGTGGTGGTGGTGAGAGGGAGAGTTGGTATCAAGCGCACAGAGTATGCTTAGACAGCAATGCTCGGACCATCATTGCTGACATGTTCCTACAGTAGCTATCACATCACACGAACTTGACAAGATGCCAATATGGTCAAGTGAGAGAATCAAAAGAATCGAGCTCTCAATGGAGCTTCTCTGGATGCCCGATGACATTTCGAGGTCTACGGAGGCAGGAGGTTGGTTTACGATGGATAAGAGAATGCCGTGCGCTCTGAAGCAAGTTCCCCGAAGCAAGCGGCCTCGGCCATGTTGAGATGCAAACAATTCAAACTTGTCAAGCTCTCTTGTCGCAACACGGATGCGATCAACAAATGCGACCTAGTTATTTCAGCTTATTACACGACGCACACCATGACGAGCATCGACGACCTGTTCAAGAAGCCATTTCTGCCGTCGACCAATGGCAGCACCAAGCGCAAATTCGAGGACCAAGATGCAGAAGCCGCATACAAATCCGCAAAGCTAGACCCGAGTGTCGACGATGCGCCGGAAGATGAAGATGAGGATATGGAAGCCGGCCCGGAACTACCGCCAGAAGCGGATGAAGATGAGGAGGGCCGCTTCTTTGGCAGTGGTACAAATCAGCACACCAACGCCGCACTGGACTTTGTCGACCGAGCAGATGACGGCGCAGATGTCAAAGTTGAGAAGATTGATGCTGCATGGGTCCGTCGTTTGGGACTGAGCTTCGAACGCAAGATCAACAAGAACAGCGAACTACGCGCAAAATACGAGACGGATCCTTCGAAATTCGTTGCCAGCGAGGCCGACCTGGACGCCGAGATCAAGAGCTTGAGCATTCTATCAGAACACCCAGAACTATACAAGGAGTTTGCAAAGATTGGTTGTTCAGCAAGTCTGGTCTCTTTGTTGTCGCATGAGAATACAGACATCGCCATTGACGCCATTGAAATCATCTCCGAACTACTGGACGACGATGTTGAAGCAGAACAAGACCAATGGGATGCCCTGGTCGAAGCCATGCTGGAAGCCGACCTCATCGATCTCCTCCTCGCCAACCTCGACCGTCTCGATGAGTCTGTCGAAGCCGATCGCAGTGGTGTCTACCACTCCCTGTCAGTCCTTGAAGCTTTATCCTCCAATCCTACCACCGCCGCGACCATCGCTCAAGACCCCATCCTCAAATACCTCCTCAACCGCATCTCCGCCACCGAAAAGTCCGTATCACAAAACAAACAATACGCCGCCGAAGTCCTACAAGTACTATCACAAGCCTCCCCAGCCGTACGCGATCGCTTGATACCCCTCGACGCCGTCGACAAGATCCTACAACTACTAGCCGCCTACCGCAAACGCGACCCCGAACGCGACTCGACAGAAGAAGAATACGCAGAAGACCTCTTTGATACCCTCACCTGCCTCTCACAACCATCTGCCGGCAAGTCCGCCTTCTTACTCGCAGAAGGTGTGGAGCTCATGCTACTCATGCTCAAAGAAGCAAAATTCTCAAAAACTCGCGCTCTCAAAGTGCTAGATCATGCTCTATCTGGGCCATCAGGCCAACCGGTCGCTGAAAAGTTTGTGGATGCCGCTGGCTTGAAACCGTTATTCTCGACATTCACGAAGAAAAACCTGGAAGCCGCAACGATTGAACACATACTCGGTATATTCTCCGCCCTACTACGACTACTTCCCGGCGAATCAGCACACCGCATACGCCTACTAGCAAAGTTTGTCGAAAAAGAGTACGAAAAGCTGGACAAACTGGTCAAATTACGCCACGAATACGCAACAAAAGCACGAAACACAGAAGACATCGACGCCGGAGCTGCAACATATTGCTTGAATACTCTCGACGTTATCCTCAGTTGGCTAATAGCCGAAGACGCAGGCGCGAGAGCCAAAATCATCAAAGGACTAGCCGACAGAGATGAAGGAGTGGATACGTTGAAGAAAAGCTTACAAGAGCAAATGACTGGCATTGATGCCGAAGAGGAGGGTAATGTTGGCGAAATGCTGACTGCACTTATTGAGTGCTTGTGAAAATGCTGATAATCGAATTCCACAATGAATAATCACGAGTTCTTAAAAGTCATGGACTCTGGACATTCTTTTTTGCAATTATGACTTTCATCTTCTTGTCTGCTGCTGTACAGGTCTCGTGCGGGAGCTGAAGAGAAACATCAAAGCAAAACGTCATTGCTGATTTTTGACTATCTAAATTACTTTTCTGAATTGTTAATTACCTATTGCTAAATTCTTTGCTCACTTTTGGTATCCATCGTAAATCTGGCGGTTTAGTCGTTCTCATGTCATGTTATCGTTCTGACCAACCGTGAACACCCCTTCCAATGCCGACATAAAGGCAAAACGACTTTTCGAAAATCGATGATAGGTAAACAGAAATGAGCATGAGTAAGGAAAAATTGTGTCAAAAGAATCACAGCAGATTACGCCTCGCTTTGTGGAACGCCGATGACCCAGAGAAAGGAAAAAGTGGACAGAAGGAGATACGTGGGATATGAGATTGCGACCCAATTGATCAGGCATCACAGACTGCCTTTGCTAGGCTTGTGCCCTGACTTCTTGCCGTGTGTCGAGCTTGAGGATCCCGAGGAGGGCTTGTGCTGACTCGATCCGGAGGAAGGTCTCTGATGCTTCTCATCCTTCTGTTGCACGCGGTCGTGTTTCTCGAGTGTAGTAGCGTGGGGAGTAGAGGGCACAACCTTCGGTCTCGGATGGTGAAGGGGTGGGTATCTTGCAGAAAGCTGTGTAGGTGTGTATTTTCTGTCGACGCCGGCGGTAGACTGAGCAGTAGCCTCGACATTGTTGATGGTAGGCAAGGCTTCTGTGCTGTTTGCGTTTGTCGGAGTCCAACCGTAATAGGAAGTGGCATCTGTGCGATCGTTTGTGTTGATGACTGGCAAGGACGAGTTGCTGTTGTTGATGGCCGTATAGCGTGTATAGCTTGAAGGTGGAAGCATACCAGTGGTCAACGAGGGGAGCGCGGATGTACCGGCACTGTAGTAGTTGGGTTGTGAGGCACCTGTCGAGGCTTGAAGGGAAGCCATGTTATCACTTCCATGGGAAGACACGAACATTGCAGTAGACATAGGAGTGGCGTCTTGTCCAAGAGCAGGCAGTGTAGCAGTGGAACCAGTCAGCCCGCGTGTGACGGGGGGCAGCATCATACTGGCCTCAGCAAGATCATGGATGGAAGGCTGGCGGCGTTCGACGCCATCCACAGCCCAAGATGCACTGTTACTTCTACCGTAAGGACCACTGATGCTTAGGCTCGAGAGTCGTGCGCTGATAGGACTGCGGATGTCGTTGTCAGGAGTGATTGGAGTGCCAACAAAGTTGGGAGCTGGTAAACGGCGCTCAAGCGGAAGGGGTAGCGAAGATTGAAGGGTGCTCATGTTGAGGGGAGAAAGAGGTTCATTGGAGTCACTCGAGATTCTGGACACAGGAGTTGGGTAGTCGTAAGCTGCCGGGCTTTCTTGCTGGTAATAGCCCATTGCAGGACTGGGGCGATGTCCGGTTGTCCACGCTCGAGAGTCGTCGCTGATTGCGTATGTAGGTGTGTCAACATCATAGCTATAAGCCGGAAGGGAGGTCTGTGGATAGCCAGTTCTGCCGTATGCTGGTACTGAAGACGACCTGTCATCTGTAGGATACGCAGGGTAACCAGTCCCAGTGGGTGAAACGGGGCTGTATGGAGAGATGGGAGCCATGGGCGAAGGTCCGCCAACAGAGGTGTCGAGATCGAAAGTTTGACTTGTGCCTACCTGCGAAGGGATGATCAACAAGGTATTTTGTGGAAGAGCGATGAAGCAAGCGTACTCTATGATACAAACATGCACTGGCATCAACTCCAGCACTTCGACAGGCTTGGCAAGGATATCCGCCACTGCACTTGATCTTGCGTCGTCTGCAGCGGGAACACTTGGAACATATCAGCTATTGTTGCTGGTCATGGACTGCATATCAAACTTACAGCCATCGATGTTCGTTTCCTGGCAGAGCCTTGATCACTGTCCTCACCAATGTCATGTATGGGAGTCTGGAGAACATAGGTTCTTGCTTCGTGACGAGGGTCCGGTCTGGTCGAATAAGCAACGTATCGGTCTACGGTGTGTAAAGGTCCACGTGAAGGTCGCCGCTCTGACCGTTGAATGCCGTCATAGTCGTAATGACTTTTCTGATAAGTTTGAGCCATGATCGTGTGCTCCGTTGTGAGAAGGTAAAATGGCGATTGATGGTCAAAGATTTGTCAGATACAAACAGTTGTAAGGGAACACAGCAAAACCAGAAAATGGAGCACCAGGACCGGAATACTCTTTGACAGCAAGGCAACAATCTTTTATGAAGCAACTCAGAATTGCGATCTTAGGGCTCCATACGGAGAAAAGTGATCACTCATAAATCTAGCCCAATTACTCGCAGGTGAGGGGAGCGTGACCCTTGGTAATGAAGTCCGTCTTGGACCAGGAATCTGGGTGTCCAACGACAGCTCCATCAAAGCTTTGGATGTCGTTGAATCTGGTATCGCATGAATACATCTCGTCTTCGAAGGTGGCACCTGCTTGGCTGCAGCGAAACGCGATTACCCGTAAATGACTGGAGAAAAGGCATAAGGAAGCGCGTCCCCGGCTTCTCACACTCTCCACACGCGGGGAATCGGATAGGAGTTGGCAGAACGTGCGCTGTGTTCGTTTGAGTTGATCAAACGAAAGCAAAGTAAGACCTGTTGAGTTGCCACTCCTGCAAGGTCAAGCGGGGTGACAAGACAAGATGCTGCAAAGTGAGCAACGACAAGACGTAGTGGTGAGACGTAAACAAGTCCAGATTACTTATGATGCAGCAGTCAGACACAAGAGCGAGAGTCGGATGCGCAGAGTATGTGGTCCAGTATTGCCTCGTAAAAAAGTGCATGCATGTGCAGAATGACACGTCCTCAGCCTTGAGATGGTCGTAAACAGGCCATGCGCTGATGGAATGGCTCCAACGGAAGACTGTCGGATGTCAAGCAGCGAAAAATGCCAACGATGTCAGTTTGACGGTGAGGCAAAGGACATGCGGGTAGAAGCATGACTCTAGAGGCATGAAGAAGAGTGGTTGCAGAGGGGATGGTACAAAGCACTCAGTCGATGGCTTCGGCGGGAGGTTATGTGTTGTACTGTTTCTGAAACAGGGGATAAATGGGTGATAGGCTGATGATGGAGGGACGACAAGTCGCGCAGCAGCAAGACGCCGATTGGCAGCACCAATCAAGACGCATGAGCGGACCGAATATTGGCTACGCAGGTTGACAAGCGATACACGAACGGGTGATTGCAGATTGAGGCTCATGTGGCGAAGGCAAGGATCGACCTGAGTAACGGCATTGCTTGAGTTCTGCTGAGGCTGCGCAAGATAGGCGTCCAGATGTCTGTTCTGGAGACTGGAGTGTGGGACGACCAAATCTTCAAAAGATCCGGGAAATGGGTACTATAGGCAAGGGTCGGTGTGGATCTGAATCTGCTTGATAGGTATAAAGTCATGGATCCATGGAGGCGGTACGTGTTAGTGGCATCGAATCAGGCGTGGAGCAGGTGAACTGAAGCGCCAGGTTGTTGAACGGGCTCAAGCGCTCGTGCAGTCAACGAACATGTTAATCAGCAGTGAGGCAGGTGATGCGAAGCAAGAAAAACGATTGGTAGAAGAGAAGCATGTTTTGATGTCAAAGGAATTTCAACAGAGCTGCACTGCAGTAGCACAGGAACGACATTGCAGGCACGTCCAGCCGTCTGTCAAAGGTACGGGCCGTCTTCGTATCTGGATGAGACGGAGGCGCTTGTGCAGGTCCAAGCATGCAGTGATGAGCATGAGAGCACCGAGAAGGGTGCAGATGCAATTCGGCAGGTAAAGATCATGTAGTGCAACCGGAGTTGGGTACTTCCTTTCCGACCGACACTGAGCGGATAGAGAGCAGTTGTAGTGAAGGCTGCTCTCCTGCACCTGTCAAGGAGGAATAGCTAGTTGTAGCAGAGGCCATTTACTGAGAGGTCAGTGGAGGTCGACTCTGATCAGGCCTGAGGCTGGAATTGAATTGTGCATTCATACAAGCTCTTCTGGTTGAACATGTGCTGATCAGAAAGCCTGTGTTCTGTAAATATCGAAGACTGCTCGATAGGCAAGCAACATCCGGGCCGACGAATTCGCTGCGTCACTCGGACCCTCGAAGAGCTTCGTCTCAACTTTCGCGCTTTCAATCACCAAAACACAACCATGTCGGTCTTGCTAGAAACGTCTGCTGGCGACATAACCATCGACCTCTATGTCGACGAAGCTCCAAAGGCATGTGAAAAGTAAGTCTCGCCGAACACGTCACCGCATTACCCCCAAGCTGATCAATTTGCTAAGTCGCGTCGCAGCTTCCTGAAACTATGCAAAATCAAGTACTACAACTACTCGCCTATATACAACGTCCAACCCAACTTCTCGTTCCAAACCGGTGATCCCATTGGTCCCGATGCCGCCGAAAGCGATGGAGGCTCGTCCATTTGGGGTCTCCCTGACGGTGTCACCAAGAAGCCCGCAAAGCCGGAATCCATGACTTTCAAGCCCGAATTTGTTCGCAAGAGGAAGCATACAGAGAGAGGCACTGTCAGCATGGCAACAACACCTTCACCCATCAACCCGGACGATCGCTTCGCCGCCAGTCAGTTTATCATCACTCTCGGCGAAAACCTGGACTTGCTGGATGGTAAAGCTGCCATCTTCGGCGAGGTCGTAGAAGGCTTTGACGCGCTTGAGAAGATCAATACCGCTTTCGTCGACGACAAGGGCCGTCCACTCAAGGATATCCGCATCCTACACACCGCCGTTCTAGACGACCCGTACGATGACCCAGAAGGCCTGATCGAGCCGCCGAAAAGCCCTGTGCCCACCGCAGGCCAACTCGCTACCGTGCGCATCGCACACGACGAGGAAATCGCCGAGAACACAGACCCCGAACAACTCGAAAAGCTGCGTCGCGAGCGTGAAGCACGCGCCCAAGCCTTGACCCTCGAGTTGATAGGTGACCTTCCATTCGCCGACGTCACACCGCCCGAGCAAGTGCTATTCGTCTGCAAATTGAACCCCGTCACTCGCGACGAAGACCTCGAGCTCATCTTCAGTCGCTTCGGCAAGATCCTGTCCTGCGAAGTCATTCGCGATAAGAAGACTGGAGACAGTTTACAATACGCCTTCATCGAATTCGCTAGTAAAGAAGATTGCGAGCGCGCCTACTTCAAGATGCAGGGTGTATTGATCGACGACCACCGTATCCATGTCGACTTCTCCCAGAGTGTCAGCAGGCTGGCTGACGCATGGCGCGATACGACAAATCCCAAGACTGCCAGGAAGAAGGGCGGATTCGGTGGTATTGCTGGATTAGAAGCAAAGAGACACTATAGGGAAGGCGAGAGATATGGTGGTCGTAACAGCCGTGGTGAGCGCTACGACTATGTCTTCGACAAAGACGGCAAGCGTAGAGAGGGCGGCAGGGACGACCGAGAAAGGAGTCCTGTACGAAGTCCACCTCGCCGTGACAGAAGTCCACCTCGCCGCGACAGGAGTCCGCCACGCCGTGAGCGAGAGAGGAGCCCCAGGCGGGATAGCAGGCGAGATGACCGCCGCGATCGTGATCGTGACGACAGACGGCGCGGTGGAGACAGGTACCATGATGACAGCTACCGTAGATCAAGACACTGAGCATAGATAGGCACAAAATCACTTGAATCACGAAGGACCACTTGAAGAGAAGAATTGCACTGGAGAATTCGTGTACTTTTGTGGCTACCTAGCTACGGCGTCCTTGCTGGCCCTCGGAGATGCTCTCAGACAGCAACGCTGGCTCGGCCCTTCCTCTGGAAGCCAGCGATCAAGAAAGCCAGCTCCAGTGCTTGCTTCTCATTCAGTCTAGGATCGCAGAAAGTCTCGTAACGGCTACCCAGGTCCTCGTCTTCCAAGCCGACGCTTCCACCAGTACATTCGGTGACGGCATCGCCTGTCAACTCTAGATGTACACCGCCAAGGACACTACCCAGAGCGCGGTGAATGCGCAGCGAAGCTTCCAGCTCGTTGAAGACAGCGCCGAACGATCTCGTCTTGATGCCTGTGGCAGTAGATCTAGTATTGCCGTGCATGGGATCGCACTGCCAGACCACGATATGTCCGCTCTCCCTCACTGCCTTGATGTGTGTGGGCAGCAAGTCTGCAACCTTGCCCTCGCCGTAACGAGTGATCAGAGTGACTTTTCCAATCTCCTTGTCTGGGTTTACGATATCCAGTAGTTCGCAGAGGTCGGTGACGGAGGTTGTGGGACCGACCTTGATGCCGATGGGGTTGATGATGCCGCGGAAGTATTCGATGTGTGCGTGATCGGGCTGGCGTGTGCGATCACCCACCCAGAGGAAGTGAGCAGAGGTGTTGTAGTGGCCAGATTCGTCCTCGTCGTCTTCCGAGTCGCTGAGGGTGCTGCGTGCCTCGACAGGGGTGCCAGCACAAGCGGAGAATTTGTTGGGGGGATGACGGAGCTCTCTAGTCATGGCGCTCTCGTATTCGAGTAGCAGACCTTCGTGAGAAGTGTACAGGTCGACGGTTTGAAGTTGGCCTGCTGTGTCGGCGCCAATTGTGCGCATGAAACGAAGAGACTCTGCAATCGAGTCGACGATCTTGTGGTAGCGCTCGGCCAGATCAGGGTCTGCTACGTGACCCAAGTTCCAGTCCAAGGGGTTGTGCAGGTCAGCGACACCAGACGCCAATTGAGCGCGAAGGTAGTTCAAGGTTGCGGCAGAGTGGAAGTAGGCTTCAACGAGACGTCCGGGATCAATTGCTCTCTCCTCAGCAGGATAACCATTCAGAATGTCGCCGCGGAAAGAAGGGATCCTGGTACCATCGGGTTGACTTTCCATGGGCGAAGATCTGGGTTTTGCGTACTGGCCTGCCATACGTGCAATACGGACTACTGGCTTGTTCGAGCCGTAAATCAACACCAAGGACATTTGCAGCAGTAGCTTGGTCTTGCTGTCGATAGAGCTGGCATTGCAGTAAGAGAAGAGTTCGGCACAATCACCGCCTTGGAGAAGAAAGGCCTTGCCGAGTGCTACATCACGTAGAGATGCTCGTAGTTTCCAGATCTCGTGTGCAGTGACGAGCGGTGGGAGGTTGGTAAGTTTGGTGACGGCCTTGTTGACCGCGAGTTGGTTTTCATAGACGACTTCTTGCTTGATGGGCTTTGAACGCCACGCTGAGGAAACTGTCAGCTTGCAAAGTGCCCAAAGAAGCACGATCGACTAACACGTCGGTGTCCAGTCGTTGGTGGCTGCCATTTTCCCTGAGATGTTGCTATGACGGGATCAGTATATGTGTGACGCTCTCGGATAAGAGCTGAGATTGGGAGATGTGTTCTTTCTGTTTTTCCAACTCTTGCACAGCATGAGGATGCAGGACAACGCCCTTTGTTTGACATTGACGAAAACGCGTGACAATAATTTCGTGAAAAAAAGAATTTACAGCAAGATGCGTCTTGGATACTGTATGGACACGGAAGAAACGTTTGGGACCTACCTCTAGACTCTCGAATATGTTCTGGAAACAGCACTGAGTGAGAACTCAAGAAGAAGTCGTGATCGGCACGTATACCTTTGTGAGTCAAAGGCGCGCGCTGTTCGCAGGGTGTGGTTTCGAAATTATTGAAGCTCCGTAAACTCCGTTTCTCCGGTGCTCCGCCAAGGCTATCTACGTCATGCAACCATCTACAAAACACCCGAGTTTACAACCTCTTACTGTATCACAACAACACATAAAACATCAAAAGAAAAACTACAATGGCCGAGCCTCAACCGTCGCAAATCCAAGAAGGCGATCAAGCACCTTCTGCTGTTCCAGCCAGCAACAAATCTGAAGCCGCAGCTCTGAACTCACTGGACAAACAAGCAACAGAAACGAAGACCACGAACTCCAAATCAGCTGCAGCATTAGGCGATGCAATGAAGGGCTTGACCCTCTCTGGAGTGGGTCATTCGGAGCTCAAGAACGTAAAGGTTGAATTGGCGGATGTCGTGTTGTTGGTAAGTCTGGAGCTGGTATACACTCATGCATGGCTTTGGGGATCACTCATGCAATCGTGCTTTTGTGGTACAATGCGAAGATGCTAATAACGCTCCCAGGCTGACAATCTTGACGTCTCGAGGGTTAGAGCCACCGAGCTGCTCAAGGCAAATGATGCAGACCCTGTCAAAGCGATGCGAGCTTGGATATCTGCATGAGAAGCATCTTTACACTGAGGGAGGGCACCATACCAAGATCGAAGTAAACATACACATGATGAAACAAGTGGTATTCCCTACGAGAAATGCAAAAAGTAGAAGACCAAAAACACCATTATCCTTCAACCAGTAACCTCATAACTTCATAATATCCCACCTCCTCATTCTCTGCCACCCATAAAAGTCAAACGCCTGTTGTCCTCATCTCTGATTCTCAACTTCCTCACTCTATCTACAGGCGCAGTCATCTGTCCTGCCTCAAGACTTGCACCACTGACTCCCAAAGAAGCGGGTACCTCGAACTTGCCAGTAGGCTCGTCAAAAAACGCATCCGCCATATCCTCATCGTCATCCCATGAATCCCTAGCTTGCTTACGACCAGGCGTTTTCTTCACAGGTGAATCTTCACCCCAGAAGCTCGACGCCAAAGAGACTCTCGCCAGACTTTTGTTTGCCCGTGCAAGATTGATGCTCTGACGGCCTCCAACAATGCTTTGGCGAGAACTGATGCTCTTCCTGTTGGCACTGCTATTGGCACTGCTGTTGTTGCTGTGCACGATATTACCGTCTACATTTCTCAATGCGGCGGGCTCCATGGACTTTCTTCTTCTGCGGCCGCCACGGGGAACTTCGTCAAGATCTACTGTGTAGATGTCTGTTTGTTCATCCATACGTGTGCCATTGCGTTCGCAGTCGGTCACCCAGCGTGAGTTGACGCAGAAGATCTTCTTACCGGTAGGGTCTTTGTTGTTGACGCGAACCCTCTGGAGCGTGGTTGGTGAGCCATCTTTGAAGATCACATGAGTAACACGGTCAGACCAGGTTTTTGTTGTGCGAGCGCCGAGACCTTGAAGAAGTGCTATGAAGGGTCCAGATGCGGAGGAGCCGTCGAGTGTGAAGACCTCAACCAGTGCTGTCACAGATTTCAGTGGCTGCAAGGGGTGAGGCGTCATAGGAAAGGCAGCTGGTGTTGCGAGGCAGGGACCCTTAAGTGGTGTCTTCATGGGTGTACGCGGTGCCTCGAGTAAACGCTTCACCGGACTACGGCTAGCGTTACGCAATTTCATTGGGCTGCGACTGCTGCTACGAATCTTGATGGGACTTCGACTGGTGCTGCGGATCTTCAGAGGGCTTCGACCACTAGTTCGGATCTTGAAGGAAGAACTTGGTGTGTGTCTTCTAGGCTTTGCCCCAGGAAAGGGCATGTAAGGAGACGCTGCTTGTGTTTGCAGCTGGTTAGTGCTTGTCGAACGTTGTGATGACGCAGAATTACGCTTTCCAGTGCTTCGTTGCTCTTCTTTGGGAACCATTGAGTGGATCTCAGCCAGTTCTGGAACCGCATGATCGAGAATCGACCTCCTCACAGACGACCTGCGTTGCTTGCTAGCCCACAACTTGGCAAAAGAGTCACTCGTAGATGGTTTGATAGCAGTCTCAGCAGTACGAGGTCGAAGATCGCTGTGCAGTGGTGTTTGTAGCCCAGCAGTGGGGAGAGATTTGCGACGAGAATCGAATGCAAAGGTAGATCTTGCATAGTTTGGCGATATCAATGGTAGTCCAGATGAATTGCGTCTCTCTTTTGCCTGATCATTCGGCGTCGAGACACTTCTCGAACAGTGAGACTGGTGACGGGAGTTGTATCCGGGCGTTGACGTTTCCATAGGCTCGGCATCATAACTCGCATCTTCAAACGTGGGGGTCTGGACGTTATCTTTGACGGGAGAAACGTGGTCGAAATCAACAAAGTTGAAGATGTCGTCCTGGAGGAGACTCATGCGCTCTTTAGGGAAACCCATGCTCATGCGCTCACGAGCTGCAGGCGTTGCAAAGTATGGAGTGGGTATGGCGGCCGCATTTTCCAGGTTCGATGCTAGTTTGACACCATTTTCATCGACCTCTAGAAGCGAAGGATTGATAGTCATGGTCTCGTCAGTTTCTGCTGGTTCAGTCACAGTAATAGATGGGCTATCCTCGACTTCCGATGTGTCAGCCCCTCCCAGAGCAAATTGCATGCGGGGAGTCTGCAGCATCTTGGCCGTGGTTGTTGAGAACGACACGCGCGGCTTAACGTCAGGAGTGGCCGTCCCTTCATCCTCAATCAGTGAGAGAAGCTCACGATCGTCGAGAGAGAGTCTTGCCACTGGAGTGATTTGCTTGGTAGGTGAGACGTCTTCTTCAAGATCATGCTGAGCAATGGACGATGGGGTAGAGGGAGTAGGAGACGAAAGCATCTCGGAATCCTGGACATCGATATGTGGAAGTTCTGCAGTGATGGACGCTGGAGATGATGGCATGGATGTGGTGAAATTTGCTGAGAAATGAGGTTCAGGCAAGATACTGTCGTCGATATCGCACGAGTCATCCGAGGCATCATCAGCCTCATCTGGTTCCACGTTGATATAGTCGGACTCTTTCTTGTTGTCCTCTTCCACAACAGTTTCTTCGTCAAGGTCGTAATCATCTTCGGAGACTTGAGCATTGGCGGCAAGCTCATCCTCAGAGTCAGATGCGACGCTTTCGAAATGGATGGTGCGAGCGGGTGTGGGCATTATACAGATGTCACCGTGGTGGATGTTGTCGAGTTGGTCGTCGAGTTCGTCAGCGCTTGACTCCTCCAGTTCCGACTCGGATGATGATTCGTCTTGTGCCCTTTCCTGGACTGTCTCGGGATCCCTGAGGTTATCGTTAATTCCTGGCTCTGGCGTCTGATGTGGAGACTGTTGCTTCAGCTGACGGAAGACCATGGGCTTGCTCAGGCCTCTAGCTACAGTCATAGGTCGAGCAGGGGACGAGTCGCGGGTTGATCTCAAAGGCATACGTTGTGTCTGAGGAGTGCCTTGGTTGGCTCTATGGACGAGCAAGTCGCGTGCTGGGGTGTGTAATTTGCGAGTGCTTGTCGTAGAGGCATTCTTCCGCGACGTTGTTTGGCTTCTCGTAGCAGTGGCAGTTCGTCGCATGGGTGTCTTGGGTCCACAAATCTCGTCCTCGGACGAACTGTCCTCGTTGTCTGTGGCCTCCTTACTTGGCTCTTCAGCTGGCGTTTGAACATCGTGTGAGCGTGTGACTCTGATGCTAGGCATTGGCAGAGGTGAAATTGGCTCGTGTGTCTCTTCTGAATCTTGCTCCTTATTCCCTTCTGACTTCGTTCCAGCCTCGGATTGTGTCTCGACTTCAGGTTCTGGCTGTGATTCAACTTCGGCCTCTAGTTTTGCTTCAGGCTCGGCCTCTAGTTGTGCTTCAGGCTCCGGTTCTGGTTGTGCTTCGAGCTCGGGTGTCGGTTGTGATTCGACCTCGGGCTCCAGTTGTGCTTCAAAGTCGTGTTCTGGTTCGAGTTCGGGCTCCAGGTCAGGTTGAGTCTTCTTAGATCTGGTGACCTTTGCTCTGGCAGCCTCAGGGAGAGCAGCCTTTCGTCGAGTTGTAGGAGCTCTCTTGGGTATCGGCTCTGCTGCTGGAGGAGCTGTGACTGTACGTGTCTGCCGCTTCGGGCGTGCTGCTGCTGGTTTGACAGGTACCGCAGTGATTTGGGCATCCTTTTTAGGAGAGGACGGAGCTGATTTCTTTGCTGTGGCGCGGCGGACAGGCTTCTTGCGGAGTGCTAGTTGATTGTCGTCGCTCTCGGGCGCCTTTTTGGCTGCCATGGCTCGAGTTGCGACCATGCTTGGTGTACTGCAATGATGCTATGGGTTAGGTTAGTAAAGCGCGAAATGGTCGAGGTTATTCAAAACGTCTCTGAGTCGAGTGTTTACTTTTGTACACAAACAATTCCCATCGGCACCGCGATGGCCGTGCACCGGTCGCCTGAGCTTGACTGCCAAGACACTGCTCTTCCACAACCCGATGTCTTCTCACGATCAAAGTCGTCAAGAGGCCCAATAAATTGAAGTGGAAGGGTATTGCAATATGTGTCTCTCCTACTGAAGTTCGTTGCAACTGAATGATTTCGCGCAGCTTCACAAGCTGAAAGGGGAGCATAAACTGCTCGGAGGATGCGAGTCATGTTCCTTTTATGTCCGCCTTATGTCCAACCTTAGCTCACACGTGCTCATCCTTCCAGGCATCCTCTGGAGTCTGCCTCTTCTCTTGCTTATCCAACAGAGATCAAAGTAGCTATCATGCCTCGTTTCTCGGATCTACCACGCGAGATTCAAGCCGATATACTTGATTGTCTTGTCGTGGATAAGACGTCTTTAACAACGACAGATCGGAGATGCCTTCTCTCACCTATGAGAGTGAACACCTTTTGGTTCAACCACACCGCAGATATACTTTGGAACAATATATCAAAGCTGGAATCTACTTTTACTGCTCTTGATACTGTATACAGGCGCCAATTGTACGTCAGCAAGATCCGCTATCTCAAGCTTCACACTTCAAGAATTCACCTCGATCGATACCAAGATCTCAACTTCCTGAGTCTCAAGCGTCTTGCTTTGAGAGGATATCATCAAGGCATATTGCCATTCCTGCAGCCAAATTTGGAAATATTCGAATTTCGATGCAACTTCCGTCTGAGCTCGCATGAAGTAAATCAAATGATCGTACTCTGTCCTAATATACGAGAACTTCACATCCTTCCTGTGTTACGACAACAGCTAAATCAGCATCCTGACCTTGTAGACTCACAGACATTTGGGCGCTTCTTGAGTATTCGAAGCCTCCGGGTACTCTCCGTTGGGTATATGGTACCCACACCTCTTTTGTCAGCTGCTTTGTCCGTTGATGGGACCAATTCACCGACACAGCTCCAGAAGCTGGTCCTTTGGGGCCTCGAAACCCTTTCCCTACCTCACGAGCTGGACCATTTTCTGAGAGCATGCACTTCTTTGCGCATCCTCGAGATGCACTACAGAGAGTATGGACCGAAGCCGCTAGGGCAGGAAGTCAACATTCCGGCTGTGCTGAAGTCTTCCTCAGCCCTCACTTATCTCGAATACTTCCGTCTGGACCACGATCTGACAGGGGACATTGTTGAAGAGTGCTTGAAGGGAGGTGATGCTTCATTCCGCAGACTTCGACATCTGGCAATCAAGGGGGAGACAGCGACGTTGTCTTATTTCCTCTCGCTCCCTATGCAATCACTTACACGGCTCGATCTGGTTGTGGGCGACCCATTCCACCATATTTGCCCGTGTATCGCCCAGATACATTGCCTTACAGATATCCACCTGAAAATCGGTGTTGATCGTCACAGTCCCAGGTACAACGAGAAATTTAGGCCTGGGCCCAATGACTGGGAAGGCACTCGAGAAGACCTGAATGCCTTGTCAGCCCTGAAGAATCTACAAACCCTCAGCATAGGTCCATCTAATATTAACCTTGCGATACCATGGCTTACAGACGATTATTTCATCCAATGGGTGACTAATTTTCCAGACCTCTTGAATATCTGTTTGGAGTGGGAGTGTTCGCTCACATTCGCCTCAGTCGTCGCACTGTCGAAGTCGCATCCTCGTCTTCGCCAATGCAAGCTCCTGTGGACGCAAGAGCTAGGAGATTGGAACGACTTGACCTCGCCTCAGTTTGTCGACCTACAACACCTAGGCCTGAGTCTCGTCATGAATTTCGACCGTTCAAACATTCGCGAGTTTGTGACGAAATTCATCAAACATCCCAGCTCCATGAGCACCTGTATCCTATTTCGAGAGCGTGGATTTGACCCGGATGGCAATTTGATTGTCGAAGAGGCCGATGAGACGTATGTCGTGAGGTTGGACGCAAAAGCTGCTGCCACCTGATGACAGTGAGATGGCTTTACTCTTCCCCGTGTGCTAAATTTTGTATTTGACACTGTTGTAAGAATGCACGATGGTTTTCGGGAGTAGAGCTCGGTCTGAAGAGAGGGCTTCGAATTTGTCGCTCTTTGTGGACAACCTACCCTAATATCATCGTGCATTTTGATGTGTAGATCAAGAAAAATCCACAACTAATAGCGTCCTGCAAATCATGTATAGTCACTACATAGTCAAACAAGCTATGCACAGATTCAGCATCTTCGTCGTTGATGCAATGTCGGTGAAGAATTGTATCGATCAGCCGTTCTGATGCGACTATTAAGCCAGACCCAAAGAGATTGATTCCGACAAGAGCGTGACCTGGAGATATAACAAACATCTGCACGAGCAGTGACTGGTCTAGTAGAAGTTGACGGGAACATTATATGACAATGCAGAGGCAGAGGGAAGGAAGGTGTCAGGTTTGTGATGGTCGGAGCTCCCCTCGCTCGAGCTAGAGAACGACAAAGCTGGACGAGGCTTGGCACGGTCGTGATGGCCCTTTCCCCATTGGGAGTTGATTGGAGTCTGACCTTTGTGTACTTTGAACTTGACCTTCAGACTTGGTCACTCCATCCAGCTACATTCCATCCAGCTACATTACCACCACAGCTTATCCAACACGACCGACGGCACCATGAAGGCCGCTCCGCTCCTGGTGTCATGGCACAATGATAATAACCCCATCTATTCAGCACACTTCGAACCACACGGCAAGGGAAGACTTGCGACAGCAGGAGGTGACAACAACGTCAGAGTAAGTCAAGTCCAATCCACCTTGATCATGGCTACACAGAGTCCTCCGATGCCAGTGAGAGCCTCGTGCCGCTACTTCTACATTGAACGCACTCGATGAATCGTCACTGACCCACAGTCGACAGCTCTGGAAGATCGACGGCAGCGGAGAAGACAGAAGCGTCACGTACCTATCGACGCTTGCGAAGCACACACAGGCTGTCAACGTCGTACGATGGTGCCCGAAAGGTAGTCCTCAATCCTCGACTCTATCTGCAGACAGACTGACAATTGGCCAGGTGAATTGCTCGCATCGGCCGGAGACGATGGAAACATCCTCCTCTGGGTGCCCGGCGAACTCTCACACCTGCACACTACAGCCTTCGGAGAAGATGGCCTAGAAGATAAGGAGACATGGCGCGTAAAGGCCATGTGTCGGTCGACGGGATCCGAAATATATGATCTTGCCTGGTCCCCGGACGGCGTCTTCTTCATCACGGGCAGCATGGACAATGTCGCTCGTATCTACAACGCCCAGACGGGTATGACCTACCCAGAGCCTTCCGAAAGGCGACAGACAACTGACGACTCACAGGATCCGTCATCCGCCAGGTGGCAGAGCACCACCACTACGTCCAAGGTGTCGCTTGGGACCCGATGAACGAATACATCGCAACCCAGTCAAGCGACCGCTCCGTCCACATCTACACGCTCAAGACAAAGGACGGCCAATGCATTCTCACAAACCATAACAAGATCAGCAAGATGGACATGCCCACACGTCGCATCTCGCAAAGCAGTCCCGCCCCGCCTGACTTCCGCGGTCGCGCATCCTTCGTCGGCAACGAGTCTCCCGCTCCTAGTGCGCCCGGTACTCCTCTGTCGCTCGCCCTTCCTATGAACCCTCCTCCACAAACTACCCACAGTCGTCGCTCTTCATTCGGCTCCGTATCAGTCTCAGGCCAGTCGATGCGCCGCTCCGTCTCGCCCAGTCCATCCATGCCCCTACCCGCTGTCATGCCCTCACCATCGCCCAGCATTGGTGGTGGCTTGAACATGCCCACTCGCAGCACACCAATGTATGCGAACGAAACATTCACCTCCTTCTTCCGCCGCCTGACCTTCGCACCTGACGGCAGTCTGCTGTTTACGCCAGCAGGCCAGCACAAAGAGGTACACTCTTCTACCGCCGAGCCGAACAAGATTGACGACGTTGTCAACATGACCTACATCTACACAAGAGCTGGGCTCAACAAGCCGCCTGTTGCCAAGCTGCCTGGCCACAAGAAGCCCTCGTTGGCTGTCAAGTGTTCGCCCATCTTCTACACCCTGCGCGCTTCGCCGGTCCCAACCAAGGACATAACGATTGATACTCAGATCCCTGAAGAAATCTCGTTCCTGCCGGAGCCTGTTCTGCCTGCCAAAGCGACCTCCTCGATGGAGCCTCCTCCAATCGTGCCCTCCCCTGCTCCAAGTCACGCCCATTCAGCTGCCATACCCTCTCCGAGAAGCACAGAAGACGGATCTGCAGCTCCCACACCTCTACCAGGCCCTCCTTCCGTCTTTGATCTCCCCTACCGTATAGTGTATGCTGTGGCGACACAAGACTCTGTGCATGTCTATGACACTCAACAAGCAAAGCCGCTATGTGTCGTCAGCAACCTACATTACGCGACTTTCACAGACCTGACCTGGTCGAACGATGGCAACACCTTGCTCATGACCTCATCTGACGGTTTCTGCTCCAGCCTAAACTTTCAACCTGGAGAGCTTGGTGTCCCCTGCCCACAGCCTCCTGTTGCAGCATCACTGCCTACACCACTTAAGCGCAGCTCATCATCACAAGGTCCAAGCAGCGCACCATCGCCGTCACCCTTTGCGATGCCAGGCAGCCCCGTCAGGGGTGCTACTGATACCCCTGAGATGAGCAGTGTTCCTAGCTTGACTGCTGCTGCCGAATACCCCTTTAAGAGAAGGCGTATCGCACCAACACGCGTCGACGACCCCGAGTTATAGCATGAAATGTATGGCCAAGACACCGTGTTGCAGCTGTTGGCGGGAACCGTGAACTATGCTATCATCATCTTAATCGGCTGGGCTGTCTTGGGCTGGTTCTTTCCTCTTTTACCTGGCGCAACTCTATAGATACCCTGCATTATGCCCCTGAAATGACAACTTTCCATTCTTATTACATATCTGACATAAATTCAGTCACTCCTCGCCATCTCCCACGGCCATGCCTGGTGTCGTTTGGTCTGTAGGAATGCACAATGTTTTCAAAATCGCTCTAGTCGTCCGCAGAGAGCCGCTAACTATCACACTCTCAGTGGAGGACTGCGCTGATCTCAAAACCATTATGCATTTCTACCATGCGCGTGACAAAGTCCTGCATGTGGGAGGCTGGACAACTTATAAATTTGAATCGGCGTCTTGCACCAACTCAACTGTCGTCAAGAGGGTATAGTATGGGTACGGTATTGAAAGCAATATTTCCCGGCAACTCTTTCTTGCCATTCATCTACACTGCGACATCTCATGTTCGAGTGCTGGATTCCTTTCTTGCCTTGGGCATTCACATCGGGTATTTCCTCATCCTACCTGTTCAGGCTCTTCTTTTTTGCTTCTTGCTTTTTCCGTCTGCTCCTTTAGCTGTGCAGCTTACACGTAGGTACCTTCGTATCGCTTGATCATCTCATGGTATTGGCAATTGCAAGGGCATTGTTCATGGACTAGGAGATGGGGACGCCTTTGTCGGTTCTCTTTGTTGTAGGCTCATGTCCAGAAGGTATCTTCTCGTCTGCCCATCCAACCCTTCTCTTGCTTTCTTGATAATCTTCTTGCCGCCGCTCCTTCCTGCTTTGTGTTGTTTGTTTTGAGGTTCCTCTTCGTCTGGTATTTTCTCTGTTGCACGGCTTTGGGGCTTTTTTGTCTTTCCTCCTTTGTTGCCTTTTTTTTGACCACTCGTGCAGCTGTGGTTTTCGTGTATTTCGTGGGCGCGGTACCGGGAATTGTCGTGAAGTAGGAACGAATGTCTTCAGCTCCGGTTGTATCAAGTCCTTGCTTGTGGGGTATGTCCTTCTAGCTTCTCGCGTTCTTGGTATGACCGTGTGATATGGAGATGGAGACGGAGACGGAGGTGTACGAAGGGATCTGAGCAATGTAGGCGAGGTCGGACAGTCTTTTCGGAGCGGTGAAGAGCGAGGTTCCAGAAGCGGTGAGATTTTTGGTTGATGGTGGTGCTCATCATGATGCTCATGTCCATGTCGCCTGTTCCATACCAGCGCAGAGCATCTTCGAAATCAGGCCTGCGCTCTCGTCATGCACGTTTGTACGGTGCGGATGTGTCGAGACAGCCAGTCGTTCTCGATGTATCGTGAAAGTGAGAGTGGTTTTGGACTCAGGCAAAGGCTCCGCCGCGCTTCTTGTTGCCAGAGTACCATGGGTCTCAGTACAATAGGCGTGTATGTGGACTCTCGTGTAGTGCCAGAATGAAGCAGTTGAGCCGTGACCGGCAAATGGGAACTGTCAAGGTGGTTGGAAGAACGTATTTGCTGGACATATCAATCGAGCATGGTTCGCGGCTTCCGCGACTGCCATTGCGAGTGAATGTCTCTGAACCGGGAATGGTGCGCTGTTGACGAATGATGATGTTCGGACGGGAATGATTGAGGAGACCGGAGGCCAAGCATGACTGGAGTGACGTATAAGTAAATGTGTCGCTTGGTGGTTGTTCATCCATGTTTACGTTTTGGGGGACGTTTGCGGTTCCAAATCACGATCGATCAGAACAAGACGAGGGATTGGTGGAGCACAACTGGTGTTGATTTCCTTTTCTCTACTACTAGTTTTCTTGAATCCTCCGCTAGAAAAAGGCTCGTGTTAGGGAGACCGCTCGCGTTCTCTGTATGATGCTTTGGCGTCTTCGCGGGCTCCCTTACTTCATGATATCATTGCCCTTTGTTACCCTTTTTTGAATATCCTCCGCATTATTTCGTTCCCATTGAACTTCTTTCCTTCTTCCTCAATCCTATCGTGGCATCTCCTGTTTGGCACCATGTCCAAAATCTTTTTGCAAGCGTCCTGAATTTCCGTGGTGATTCAAGCGCCGTTGAAGCGACATTTTTCTCAGCTCAAAGCCTCGAAAGAATATCGTCGGCCTTGGCCATGTTCTCGGCCATGTGTTCCTTGAACTTCTTGTCTTCTTCGGCGGCCTCCCTGGCCATTCGTTCCAAGAAGGGGGTTGATTTGTTGGCATCATCCTCGGCCTACGAGATGAATTCATCGAAATCGCCCTCGGTCTGGCGTTGTGTGTAACCTGCTTCATACTTGTCCATGAAAGCCTCGGCGAATTCCATCTCTTTTTCGGTGAATTCGTACTTGGCAGCCTTCTTGGGTGCGGGTGCGGGTGCCTTGGGACGAGCGGCACGCGCGCGGAACATGCTCTTCAGGTGAGCTTCCTGTAGAGGCTGTGGAGCAGAATCGAACCCGAATCGAGCCTTTTGGCCAACATCATGACCGTTGATGAGTTGGAGGTCTAGCTGTTCCACACGGTCGTCGGCAAGGTAAAAAGTCTCTCCGATGCTGCGGTCGATACGAGGGTCGAATTTGGAGGAATGCTCACGGGCAGCGACAACTCCCTCAAGACCATAAGTGATGTCGATGACATGATCGGGCATGCCCATGTGGGTAGCGCCACCGCCAGACGCGACCTTTGTGTGACTGTGCTTGACCATGATCTTCATGTAGGCGTCTTCTCCAAGACGGGTCAGAACTCGGGCGTAGTTAACGCGCACGATTGTGTCATCAGCCGACATCTTGTACCATAGGCCGTATCCGCGCATGGAACGGAAGGGAAGTTCTTCAACGGGAACAGGACGCTGGAAGTTGCCGTGAGCGTGGGCGCGGTCGACAGTGTAGCCAATACCTTGCAGATGGAAACCCTTCGGTTCGGTGTCGCGGTCGAGACCAGCGTACAGGTACATGTGCTTGATGTGCAAGACGTCGTTTCCGAAGCTGTTCAAATGCTGGGGCGACGAGAAACGGACAACGTCACCTTGAGTGAGAAACTCGGCGCCGATGTACACGCCCTTGAAATAGAGGCGGGCTTCCTGTCCGTTGGCAGTGAAGTGGTAACGACCGACCCCAGATACGGAGGACATGGCAAGCATGGCGTGGCGGACGGTGGGATGGCATGCATGAGGGTCGTTCAAATCGGCGTTGTCAATGAGCTCGCGCCAATGGGAAAAGGGGCGCATGTTGAGCGGGTCGACGACCTGGTAGCGTGTTGACCATGGCTTGTTGTTGGTGCCGATCTCCGACACGGGTTCGACACGATATCCGTCAAAGGCTGTACCCTGGGAATCACCGTGCTGATCCAGGATGTTGATGCCAAAGGCCTTGGGGTACAGCTGGGTGACAACTGCGGCTTCCCATATGGGCAGGCCAATAGGGCCGTAGGCACGGCTGAAGATCTTGAGGATACCAGTCGCATCATCCATTCTGAGCTTGTCGCCGGGCTTGAGGTTGCGCGCGACAAGGACAACCTCGCCGAGACGGAACTGCCAGCGAGGAGTGCGCTTCACTCTCTTGAGATAGTCGGGAAACTCGGCGGCTTCATTCTCAAGAAGCCAGTGCATGGAGCCAGTCTCTGCTATAGCCTGACCGAAATGCTCTCCTGCCCAGGCTCGGTCTAGGAGCTGAGTCAAGACATTGGGGGTGCCGTCCTCGTCGATGTTGGTGTTGACAGGAAATTCGTCGTCGTCGACGTCCATGGGGGTAGGTGGGAAGGCGGGTTCCATGTCGTCGTGGATAGCGTTGGGAGTGGATTCGATGTTGGAGGTAGATCGGCTGGTCTTTTGTTCCTTCGGTGTCTTTCTACACTTAGAGCAACCACAAGGCTGAGAACCGTCTCGCGTCAGGAGAAAAACAATGTGTGGTGCGAAGTCTTCCAAGGATGCGATTGAGCCTCCGGGGTGCCCGTAGACAGTTCGCCAAGAGCGGGATGGATTCTTCGTGCCGTACGCTGTGACCACAATGTAGTTGTCGGGAAGACTGTCAAAAGCGACAGAGCCTGGAGAAGGTTAGTCGAGGCTTGGATGAGGTAAGATCTTATATCGGACTGACCAAATCTATCCTTGATGATTTGGTGTTTGTTAACGTAGTCAACAAGAAGAGCAACGGGGGTTTCGATATCCGTATCTGATGTGTGGGTAAGGTGCTTTGCCGGATCGCCGTCGCTGCGCAAGTTGGACCAGTTGATGATATGGACCATTTTGGCGTCGGTGTTAAGGATTAGGATCGGAGCTTTCGGCTGAATTTCGGGAACGGGAGCGGGATGGGCCGTGCTTCGCCAAGACTTGTCAGCCTTGGCATCAATAAAGGATTTCGGCTTCACTGGCAACTGAACACAGTGAAGACTTTCACGGCCAAACCCACTTAAACCGATGGCTTTGTGACAGACTTCTCCGTCTCCGTGTGCCAAAGTTTGTCTCTAAAACTGCTGTCAAAATGCACGATGATTTTCGAAAGTAGAGCTAGGTCCAAGGAGAGGGTGTCAAATAATCGCTCTCTGTGGCCGACGTGCTCTTTCTGAATATCATCGTGCATTTTGATGTGTGGAACGATGCGCATCGCCGAAGCATGAGAGTCGAGATGAAAAACTTTAGCACATAGGGAGGTGGTGCCTCTCCTTGTGCCAAAGCTTGTCACTAAAACTGCTGTCAAAATGCAGGATGATTTTTGAAAGTAGAGCTAGGTCCAAGGAGAGGGTGTCAAATAGTCGCTCTCTGTGGCCGAGGTGCTCTTTCTCAATATTATCGTGCATTTTGATGGGTGGAACAATACGCATCGCCGCGGCATGAGAGTCAAAGTTACATACTTTAGCACACGAGGAGGTGGCAGATGCTCTGATGTTTTTCTTTGGACAGTGGTTGATGGGAATTTGAGACATGAGTGGAAGATCTACCTATCTTTTGTGCATGGAATTTCTCGATCTAAAATTGAGGGATAGGAAGTCAAGAGCGTTGGAGATGGTTGACGTTCTGTTTTGACATGTGGAGAATGATATCACGTGCAAACATGATAGCAGGAAGAAGCCTTTGCTGTTCCGCTTGTCGGCCAGGCACTGGAACACGGCTCTGGATAATGGCATCTTCCCTGGGAACCATCTAGAGCCAGTCAATAGTGGAAGGAGGCTTAGCGATAGTGAGGGCGGCCCCGAGTGGCATGTCTGCAAATCTGAACATTGAAGTCAGAGTTGGAAGGAGAAAGCGCAGGCCAAGCTCGAGAATTTGAGAGGTGGTGAAAGGAGCAGCCAGCTCACTTTGGGCTTTCGAGTACCGGAATGCAAGACGACAAGTCGCGATACATGTCGACAAAATTCGCGCCTGGAGGTGCAAGAGAAGATGCGATTGGACAGGTCATGTCCAGCTTGGAAGTTTGCATTTCAATAGTGTCGAAGGGATTGCGGGAATGGCGGTAAGTTGGCGAGAGAGGAGCCGTTGAACTCTGGTCGGCCCATAACAAATCTGGATGAGCCTCTCCTTTATAACCATTAGTATGCCCGGGTGGCAGCGGACTCTTGTAGGTGCGATTTCACTCAGCAAAGTCATGCCTGTGGATTGTTAGCACAAGACGATATGGACGTCCTTCGCGGCCCTTGGGCTCCTAATCCCACGTCGGCACTTCAAGCGCCTCCACCCCGCCGGATTTCAACAGTCGCAGGCCAACGACTCTCGGCTGTCGTATCGGACAGAGCGACCTCGTCGCATTCAATGTCGTCGCAATCGCCGAATCTCACGAGCCGATGGAGCGACAGCACTCATCTCGCCAGGACGATACCACGCACCAGCCATGATTCCATGCCACCAGCCTATGCGCTTCACGCCGATGCCCTCGAAGGAGACAAACTTGTCGCCATCGGTCCTGTTGTTCGCAAAAGAGGAGGATGCAAGAGAATTGGCTTCTTGGTGCTCGCTGCGCTGTTGGTCATTGGCCTTGGGATAGGTCTTGGTGTAGGCTTGACACGAGGAGGTGGAGGAGGAAAACATGATCAACCTGGAGGACCTCCGCCTGGGTCAGGGGGCAGCGTGCAATTGGCATACCCGGTGGGCGAGTACAGTCTTGTCACTGCTTTGCGCATGGTCGAGACGAACTGCACATCGAATGCCAACACGTGGCGATGCTTCCCTGGTCCCACTTTTGATCAGTCGCCCGCTGCTTCTTTGGCTACCTTTAATTGGATCCTCTCCAACACATCTACTGAGTATGCCACCAACGTCAGCGACTTGTCCACCTCTGGCCAGGGTGTTGCTGCGAATTTGTCCATCTCCGCTTCAGACAACCCTTTCAGCATCGTCTTTGACTCCACCCCTCTGACCTTCATCAATGACACCTCTCCACGATACACCTTTGCAGCCAACATTTCCCAGAAGATCATCCCAGCTGCCAACATCACTGCCGACAACAGAGCCACTGTTTGCTTCTTCAATCAGACTCAAGTCGTCGGAACCTTGCACCTTGATGATACGTTTGCTCAGCACTACACCTATACTGGTAACAACGCAAGCTACGCCCTCTGGCCATACGCTGTCCATGTCGAGCTCGTGAGCCCGGGTGGCACTGATACCCCAGCATGCTACTACACGAACAACGGTGTTGTTGGACAGCAGATCACAGATGTCTTTACTGCCCGACCAGCTGAAGATCTATGTCAATGCGAGTACAGGAACTATTTCTGATCCTCGGACCTGCCTGACTGGTCTACTTCGAGCACATGTGTTGTTTTCCCTTCCCAGCGTTGTCCATATCAGCTTTACGATTCGATGTATATTGATGTTCATGTCAAGTTTCTTTACTAGTTTACGAATGATTTCCCGCCTCTACAATTCGACTCCGGTCTGACGAGGGGCTATGATGATTCATCTTGCTTCGATACAAGTTGGTACTTGAAAGAATCACTGACCTCGGCTTTGAGAGAAGCCGGGGTTAGAATATAGATACGAGAGAAGCCTGTAGTGGACAGAAACCCTCGGTCCTGCAGATAAGAACGTATGTGGTGATTTTTACAATGATTCACTATCATTATCTCAAAATTGAAGCACGTGGGCAGGACTGATGCAGTCTTGATGCAGGTCCAAGGCAGAGAACACTTCCGATCCGGCGAGACCCTTTGTGAGTTTGCAGCCACAAAAGGCAACAGACCCACACATCTGAGTCTTGCCATGCACGGCAGATGGTGGTTGAGATGGTGGCAGATGTTTTAGGGCGGGGCTAGCTCCTTCGCTTCGTTAAGTATGTCACGCGGTAAGAGGCACAGCCCTTGGCATTACAGTCAGATATTAACTCAGTGCAGAACATGAATCAGCCCTCCAAAGACGAGCTGACTGTAATCAGTAAGCATTGTGCTTTCTGATGGATACAGATGACTTTGCAAGTGAACAGAGAGAGGAGAAATGGTCTGAAGAGGTGACAAAGTTTACAGAACCAGGGAAAGCGGGGCAGGGCAAGGTGTGTGGGGTGCGGGGTGAGGGAAACGTTGATCTTCACCGAGCATCAAGAACGTGTTCCTCGGCTCACTCGTTTCACGTAAGCGACTTGACTTGTCTCAAATTCTCAATTGCCTCTGGTCATTGCTCGACCTACTAAAGCAGAGCCTTGTCCTCCCATCTCGACTCTCGACACAGTACATCCTCACACATCATGTCTCCCGGAAAGACCACCAACATCTCATTCGACAGCGACTTCGGCAACATCGTCGATGGCAAGTCACGCACCAAGTCAGACAACTACCACCAGGGTGTAAACCCCACTACCGGCGAAAAGCTCTGGGACGTCCCAATCGCTACTCAGCAAGACGTCGACGATGCAGTTGCCTCGGCACAGAAGGCCTTCCAGTCATGGAGCGTCAAGACCATTGAGGAGCGCAAGGAGCTGTTGAAGAACTTCCAGGAGCTGTGGGGCGGCTACCAAGAAGAATTTACCACTCTTCTCTGCAAGGAGACTGGTAAGCCCAGACAGTTCGCCGCCATGGAAGTTGGTGGCGTTGGTGCTTGGTTCGGTCACCACTTGACCCTCGATGTCCCTGAAGAAAGAATCGAAGACGACGAGAAGGTCATGACAACAAGATACATGCCCCTGGGTGTTGTTGGCGCCATCTGTCCCTGGAACTTCCCTTTGGTCCTGTCTTTCGGCAAGATCATCCCCGCTCTTCTTACCGGATGCACCATCATCGTCAAGCCCTCACCTTTCACCCCTTACACATCCCTCAAGGCCGTCGAGTTGTGCCAGGCCGTCTTCCCTCCCGGTGTCGTCCAGGTTCTCGGCGGCGATGACAAGCTTGGTCCCATGTTCACCGAGCACCCCGGTATTGCCAAGATCAGTTTCACCGGAAGCATTGCTACCGGTAAGAAGATCATGGCTGCTTGCAGCAAGACCCTCAAGCGTGTAAACCTCGAGCTTGGCGGCAACGACGCCAGTATCGTCAGAGAAGATGTCGACATTGAAGCTACCGCCCCTGAGCTTGTCATGGGTGCCTTCCAAAACAGTGGTCAAGTGAGTTAATCCATCCTCCAATGTCTCGATTTTTGGCTAACCTCCCAACCAGGTCTGCGTTGCCACCAAGCGTATCTACATCCACGAGAAGATTTACAGACCCATGGTCGACGCAATGGTCAAGGTCGCTGCTAGCCTCAAGGTCGGCAACCCTGACGACGAAGGAGCTATGCTCGGCCCCATCCAGAACGAGATGCAGTACGAGAAGGTCAAGACTTTCTTCCAGGACAGCAAAGACAAGGGTTACAACTTCGTTGCTGGCAGCGCAGATGTCGAGAAGAAGAATGGATTCTGGCTTCAGCCCGCCATCATCGACAACCCTCCCAATGACAGCAAGATCATTCAAGAGGAGCAATTCGGTCTGATCTTGCCCGTTCAGCCTTACTCTGATGAGGAGGAGGTCATCAACCGTGCCAACGACACCAACGCTGGTCTTGGTGCCTGTGTCTGGAGCAAGGACGAGAAGGCTGCTGAGCGCATTGCCCTTCGTCTGCAAGCCGGAAGCGTCTTCATCAACTCATTCGAGAAGCCCACTCCTCAGGCATTGTTCGGTGGTCACAAGGAGAGTGGTATCGGCGGTGGTGAATGGGGTACACAGGGTCTGCTGTCTTACTGCAACCCTCATGTGATCCATCTCTACAAGAGCAAGCAGAGCAAGCTCTAGATGCATCAATAACAGGGTACGGCCCTCCACGGCCAACTTCCATAGAGCAGCCCATGTAAACAAGAATACGAATAATGAGATCAATCACTTCTGCAAAACAAAACAGAAAGGGAAATAAACCTGAAACGAAGAACACGTCCGCGGCGGCTGTTTAAAACCCGAGATGATTGCTGAAGAAACAAGGGTCTTTCGGGTCTGGAATCTTGGTCACACGGCTTTCGGGACGATCTTCCGAAAGAGCCAAACATGGAGAAGGGCACATCATTGCCCCTTTAGTTGAATCTCTCACATCATCTTCTGCGAACAAAACAAACCACTTACGAGCCACACGCACAAACGTGCTTGATCGATGGCGGGATTTTCTTCTTGAAAGCCATCATACACCGCCTCATTGGGGGTTGTTTTGCATGAATCACAGGCAAGCGATCAAATCAGAATCGTCAGGCCAACATATCTGTAGTTTCAGGTCGTACATGACGTTGAAATGACTCGTCTAGTCACGGTCACTTTTTTCTTGATGGTTCTGCGTTTAATGGTCGAGAACTCGGTGTTTTTACCATTTGCCTGACTCTTGAAACTTTTGCTTAAAGAATCTTTTTTACGACCCATCTCCGTCGCGGCCACCCCTTTAAACGTTTCCCATTATTCTGTTTGTTCACTTCCACCAGTCTGCCGGCTTGGATTCGATCATTGCGTGATTGGGGATCCCTTTTATAATCCCTCTTCTCGGCACTTTGTCACTTTCTTATCTTTCCTTTTTCCCTGCATACACGACCTGCCGACCAGAAACGCAGGCGCAGGAAACGGTTTTTGCGATGGATATCTTTTCAAAGATCACGCAGGATGACTGCAAGAAGATGTCCGAGCCTTCGACTGGACAGTTTGCCATATCATGGTATGTTCTTTCCATCTTTGCCTCTCGAGATCTCTGCTTTCGCCAATCTTCCGGATCATCGTTCTTGCTGACCAAATCGAAAACAGTGCACTTCTAGCATGGCTCCTGGTCTCTTATATCCCTCAATTCGCGCGTATCATTGGCCGCAAGTCTGCAGAAGGTCTTTCTACTCTCTACATTCTTCTCGGCTCTATTTCTGGAACTTGTGCTGTGGCGAATATCATGGTTTTGCCAACAAGTCAGACGGATATTGCTTGTTGCAGACATTACACGCGCTTTGGATGTATCTCGCGTCTGCTCGGTATCTTCCAGGTCGTCAGTGGAGTTTCTTTGTTCTGGTGCATGTGAGTACCTTTTTACTTCTTCCAGTGTTTGATCTTTCTGAACAGCTGGATTGTGGAAAAACAAGGGCTTCAAAACTGATGCTATCTGTAGAATGTTCCTCTATGTCTACTTCTCAGAAGAGGAAGCAGATGCTGAACTTCACGGTCGTCGTCGTTCTCTGTCATCGCCTGATCGCACTTTCCGCCGTGCTCGTCGCGCAATCCGTCTTCTTATCATTGTGGTTGCGTTCGCTTTCGCCATTATGCTCATCTCGGCTGTCATCTTGAACCGCTTCCCTTGGTACTCGCAAGAATGGGCCAACGTTCTGGGTATTTGTGTCGCTTGCTTTGCTTGCGTGCAGTGGGTTCCTCAGGTCTGGACTACCATTCATCTTGGCCACTTGGGCAGTCTGAGTTTGGCCAGTATCTGCATGGGTGCACCTGTAAGTTTCTATCCTCATTTCTCGATTTTCTAGTTCTTCAAAAGCTGACATGATGCGAACAGTACACCTGGATCTTCGGCATCAACATGATCCTCCGTCTCGGCCTCTCCGGCTGGTCAGTCTGGATCGTCTACGTCCTTGTCGGCATAATGCAACTCACCCTCATCGTCACCGCCATCATCTACATGATCCGCGACAACCGCAAAGCCCGTCGCGCTGACGCCACTTCTGCTACCGCCAGCAATTCTTCCAGACGCGATGTTTCAGAGTCGCCTTCGACCAGAGCACTCCGTCCTCAATTGGACAGATGGAACAGCTTTGCCGCTGCTAATGCTGAGGATGGTGGGAATGAGAGGACGCCGCTGCTTGCTGGGAGAAACAAGCATGTTGAGGAAACCGCTAGTCCGAGACGTGTCATCTGATTCTCGGGGACCTAAGAAGTCGCGAACGATGAGGAGTTGGAAAGAAATTGGTATGGTCAAGGCGTTGCTTTACATCGTCAAGAAGGATTCTAGATGATTACACATGGTCTTTGGTTTCTAGAGGCGCAACACAAGGTACTGACGACAAAGGACTGGACGGGAGACATGGGCATACGGATACAGGAGTTTCTACATTTTGCTTTTCTGTACGATATGATTAGAAATCGATGGTTTCATTTCTTCCCTTACATTCTTTCGCCCTCACACCACTCTCTCCCTCTCTCTCTCATTCAAATTCTTGGACGCATGAGCATGCTTCATCTTGTTCACCCGCCTCTTCTTCTACAACCAATATGCCATCTGTTAGCACTCTCCTGGGACAAGCCATCGTCGTGGAAAAACTTCATGCATTGCTGCAACTGCTCTTGTGATAAAAGTGCCCGGAGAAAACCATGGGTAACATCAAGTATTCAATCGCAAAGTCATGTTTTCGATCATCCTTAGCAAATCATGCTTTTCGCCCTCACTTACTATCGTCACCATCTTTATATTTCATCTCTTCAACCCGTCGGCCGCGCGAGATGTAGTGGTAGAAATGCACGATGGTATTTGAGACGATCGCTTTGACCATTGAGAGAGGAGTAATTGAGGGATCTCTCTGGATGGTTGTCAGATCGTGAATTCAACTGTGCATTGTGACAGGTGTGCTAAGAGTAGGCTCTAGCGCCGGAGAGCACACTCTATTTCGGCTTGAGGTCTTCTGCTCCAGCTTGAAGTGATGCAGGTGCTATCTCACATGAGAGAATCGCTCCTGCCTAAACACTTTTCAAACACCACGTACGCACAAGCTCAAAATCAAGCAATGCCGCCTGCACAATGACAATGCTCAGCCGAGCATGTGACATCCGTGCTTCCGCTCCCGCCAGCGGTAGTATATAACCTGCACTCTGACCCTGGAGACCTTCTTCACGATCGTGATACGATTGAGTCCTCCACATCCTGAAGCACCTGGGATGGCGCAAGAAGTGCGAAGAGGCCACTGGGAGCGCGGGCCAGCTTACAAGGTAAAGGAGACTCTCAGGTCCGTGAATCCGTATTTGCGAGCGGAAGAAGGGGCTCAGGTCCATGGCTGCGTACATGTAGGTGGGATAAGACACTCGGTCAGCGCAGGGGGTGACTGTGAGTGAGGAGGCAGCTTTGGGGGTTTGGAGCCCGTAACTTTGGCCCCTGAACAAGGGGCAGGAACCTGTGGCTTTACACCACGAAGATGGGTCTGATTACGGTTCATGACCATGCAGGAATCAGGCGGCTTGGTCTCGGTGATGTTGTTCGTGCATACAAATGTCTTGCATGCATGAGCTCAATCCTAGTTCAGCCGAGTCGTCCAGGGTACATTTCTTCGGTTGAAGATCGTCTTGAAGTCACAATGGGAGGAGGGTGGGATATATATTCGGCAACCGGACTCGGTTTGGGCAGCGGATCGGTTTGCGAGAAGGTGACGTTGGCTTCAAAGTCGTGATGTTTCTTCTGCACCTCCGCATGAGCAGATGAGAATGGGTTGTTGGATTGAAACAAGCTTCCCCAGGTACTGTTTCGCTTGGCAGTACTGTATGTGGTGTTCGACGGTAACGTCGTCAGTGTCGCAGGTGAAGCCGAAAGATCGGTCAGCCAAGTTCCATGACCTTGGTAGGTCATTGTGTTTTTCGTGCCGTTGCTGTCGGAGCCAGTGTTGAGGTCGTAGACGCCTTGCCGAGCAGTGGCTATTTTGACCAGCTTTGACAGAACACCGAACTCCAGCTTCAGCTTGATACTATAGCACATTCCTTTCAGTGTGACTTCGATCTGGTATAGGCCCAGATATTCGACAGCGAGAAGCGCAACATCTAGGACGATGATTGCGACGTTGATGGCGCCGAGTTCCCACATGATTTTTCGGAAGCGACCGTCATCAACGACTTTGAGCACTCGACGTACTTCAATCAGGTAGATGGAAGAGATGATCAGTTCCTGGGCGGTGAAGGCCGTCATTTGTATCTTTTCCATGACCGAGTATCCAGTAGTGAAGAGATAGTACTTGCTGGAGTTTGAGCCGAGAGACAGAACATTTGTCGGGACGGTAAGGATGATGGCGTTGATGATGATCATGTACAGTATCCCCTTCAGCAATTTCTGGTTTTGTGTGATGCAGTGAAGTCGAGAGTATAACACTAGACTCTGTCCTGGTACCATGACAACCCAGCCAATGCTCGACAGTATGATCATGCCCATGGCATCGCTTTCTCCAACTTGTTTCAACCAAGCGCCGACCGAGTACGGTATGATCGAAGCCGATGTGATGAGTAACGACCAGAAGTATAACCCAGAGTAGCGTTTGAAGACGACAAGGACCAGTATGATCAGTTCGGCCGAGTTGTACCAGGCTATGGCAGTGAAGGCCAGCATGGCTCGGATAATTATGGCATTTTCGCCTTTGTAGCCGCCAGTAATGCCATTTTTTGCGTCGGTGATTCCGTCGGGCATCTCGGCTCAATCCCTCGAGTCTATCTCTTTCTGGTCGATGTTGTCCAATTGTGATATCGCAGTCGAAGTTTCAAGACATAATCGCGTCGGAAGAACAGTCCAAAGATGATGGACCTGTCGCGGAAGGGTCGAGAAGGGGCAGTAAGCAAGTGAAAGGGAGGAAGGAGAAATTGTATACATGTCGAGACTTGCAGCAGCCTTGCATCCTTCGTATGCACCGCCGTGGTCGGGAGACAAGGGCAGATCGACACGTGAGCCTGTCTAACAGGGTTCGGAGCGCCATGCACGTCACTTTCGACCACCCATTGGCAGCCGTTGCGGGGCCCCGCCGGCCTTGAACTGTTCTTGGCTCCAGTCCAGCCCACTCATAACAGGGCTGACTCGGTCAACCAGATCACGTTCATCTTGAGTGGTGTAGAAAAATCGGCTTACTAACCTGGCGCGCTTCTTCTCTCTTTCAGCTCACTGACCTGGTGCGCTTCTTCTCTCTCTCAGCTTACTAACCTGGTGCGCTTCTTCNCTTGGTAAATAACATATGCGGCTCTAGAAAGAACAATCCAAGCTCTCATAATCATTTACCATGGGGGGTAGAAGGTAGCGAAAATCATCTTTCTGCCTTTGCATCTCTTTCATTCGTGGGCTCGTGTGATATCACATGTGTAAGGCGAGATTCGTGGTGGATACCGGGCATTTCTGAAAAGCTCTGGTAGATAAAAGGCTTCATCCAGCAGAGACCAAACTTACCGCATCCTCAAGAAGACAGGAGTGACAGATGAGAGTAGAACTTCAGACAGTTCGAAGGATAGTGCAGAGATAGAAGGAAGGGACCTCGGGCCAACAAATACGTCCGCATTTGTGTACCGCGACAGCTGAAGCGTTTAAACCCTCCCCGTGTGCTAAACTTTGTCACGCGCACCCTGTAGAAATGCACAATGTTTTTAAGATCAGTGCAGCCCTCCACTGAGAGTGTGAAACTTAGCGCCTCTCTGCGGACGACTAGAGAGATCTTAAAAACATTGTGCATTTCTACAGACTAAATAACCCCGGGCGTGGCCGTAGGAGATGGCTAGAAGTGACAGAATTTAGCACACGGGCAGGACAGAGAAGGAGCAACGGATGGAAAGCCCGGTCTCGGACAACAGTTCCGATGTACAAGTACTGGAGTACCTTTGGAAACCACGAACCAGGTTCATTGATTCAAGTATGCATTATTGGAACGTGCTTGCATAAACGATAAGATATGTATCCGCGGTATGTAGGAAGCAGGAGTCTCAACTCAGCTGGCGGCTCCACAAGCTTGCGGCACATACTTTCGAATTCCAGACTGAGGAAGTCGGTAGCTGCAGTGAGCTGAAGAGCTGCAAAGTCAGATGCAGGGTAAGAGATGCCTTGAGATGTGGTAGAGAATCTCTTGAATATTGTGGAGTGGTGATGAGCAAGAAGTGTGCGCCATCATCCATGCAGTATGCAGTTCGCTCTGCACATCACAAAAGCGGATTAGCCTCAATGCAGGGTCCATAGAGCACTGCAAGTATAGTCCAGAGCAAGGGCCAGCAAAGCCACTCGCGGATACATACCGAGTTCGGTTTATAGACCATACCGAAACTTTTGGACCAAGGACAGCCGGACAATGCCTTCTCGAAAGTTTCTGTGGCAAGTGCGAACAAGCCATGCCTCGTGAATGAGAGACATCCGGCTCTTTTTCATCCACGCGACGAGGCGTCTAGACACACGCGAAGAGAGCAGAGACATACGGCACCAAACAACATTGTCCACGCCGCCGCCGAGAGCAGTACCGAATGGCATTCACTCCGAAGCTGTGCGACAATAGTAGCCGATGAGACTGCAAGCCCTATACCATGAACAGTTTTCGGACCTCAGAGCCGATACAGACTTACCTTTTTCCAAGAAAAGAGTCACGGTGAAGCCCGAGAAGAATCAAAGATTGACTCACCAGATAAAGCTCTCGGAACAGCCGACGAGGCGTGCGGAAAGCATAAGCAGACGACAGGTGAACAGAAGAGAAGGGCAACAGAAACGGAGTTGCGATGCCGGTGGTCGTACGACGCCCGACTGTTGCATAGAAGAAGGGAGAGCCGCAGGGTTCTTTTCGAACAGTCTGGGCAATAAGAGCCGTGTGTTATAGAATTTTGGGGCGTCCTTGGGCGTCAGCTGAAAGACTGCAAGCCACGAAGAGAAGATCTAAAGAAGGACGCCTCTCCAAACGGGATCTGCTTGAACCCTTGGTTGTGCGCAACGGTCTGGTCACAAGTCTTGCTGATGCAGAACTCTGCGACTTGTAATCTGCAGCCGACGACAGCTGTCTGTTCGAGTCAAGAGAGTTGTGTCGAATTGTGGTAGAGGTCAGCAAGACTTGTGAAAGAATGATTGATAGGCAGATCTTTCCGCGCGTAAGCAGTCCGCAGCCGCTGGAGGATTCGTCGAGCGTTATGAAGCCAGCCATGCAATCTGAGTGAGCAGTGTGCTTTGCATTCAAAACCTCACTCGGCTTTCGAAACGCCGCTACATCTTCTCGCTACAAACATTTACGTTTATGCTTCAGACAGAGACCATAATGCACAGGGCAGACGTTCCATGAGATATGGCTGGTAAAGCAGTAACAGTGCTGGCGATACGTGCGTATGGAAGCATCAACCACAAAAGGTCGAAGCGTGTGAAGCCAGTCAGGGCAAGGCGTCTCTGGCCCTTGTGTTTCACAAACGCCCAAGCAAGAACCGAGGGAAGGATTTCTAGAAGCCGGTAGAGGTCTGCCGCCAGCACGGCATGGAAATTTTTCCGACAGACAACTGTTTCACAAGGATACCATACCCATGCCAATATGTCTTGCGACGAGGCTGGTCACCGGAGCGCAGTAGTAATCAGAACCTCAGCTGCGTGTTGTGTTGGGTGCTTCAAGAGGCCGAGGAAGGATTTACGAGACGGTAGAGCAGCTCCAACGTCTTTTTCCTTGTGAACCATTCTTTGGCGGTGGGGCTGTAGTACTAGGTATACATAGCAAAGGATGAGTCCGAGGATAGCGGTATGAAAAGTCCGCCCGAAATAACATAGGCTTGGTTCGTTTGGCAGAAACAACCGGACAGGTAACTCGGAGTCCGTCGACGTGAAAACCGTTAGAAGACGACGCGCACAACTCGACGTGGCTGGGGCTGTGCAGGAAGACCGTTATGACCCAGCGATGCCTACAACAGTAGGTGAAACGCAGGCATGTGAAGAAACGCGATAAGTTGCAGGACATGGCGATGTATGCGTGTCTTCGTCGAACGCAGGTGCAGATGCAAGTCGAGGAAAGAGCAAACAAACACAGATGAGCTGCGGGGCACATGCATGGATCTGCAAGATGGCGGGGGGATCGCTGCACAGCACGAATGAAAATTCTCCGGTCACCGCAACCATCTGGCCTGAGGCCGACCAACACTTGCGACAACAGCTGATGCGCGACGCGCGAAGCACAGCTGCTTCAGACCCGCGCTTTTCAGGAGCCGAAGAAATGCACCATTCACAACGTCCACGGCAACAGAGATCCGACAGTCTGGTGGCTTGCTCCTCGACCACCGTAGATCTCTTGCCCTTTGTTGAGATGCCGACCCAAGCAGCCAACCAAGAGTCGAAGGATTCAACCACCACCACGTGCAGAGAGGAAGCTGAGCGTAGACAAGATGGATGAACTTGCGGAGTAGTCGGGTCTTCCAGCTCCTGGGACTCTGTTCCGGTCGAGTGGTTGGCCTCGGTGTTGAGCTGCACTATCGAAATGCCTCGCAGTGGTACATTGCAGTCATCATGGCACTCGTCAAAACCCTGAACAAACACTGGTAGCACTTCTGCAGAGCTATTGCATTCGGCCGACTTTCTCGTCTTGGTTCGATGAGTTTGAAGACATGTGAACAAGTGGATCAGCACGAAGAACTCAAGACTATCGGAGTCTGTGTTCTTGGTCTTGATCCGCCTTATGATTGATCCGCCGTACAATACGTCGATCCGGCGATATAGCAAGACAATGCCAAAGCATGTACAAGAGCGCTTGAATCATGCAGAATGTCGATCGAAGAGAGCATGTGTTGTTCTTGGTCTCCCGTGTCCAATAACGTTTGAACAGAAGAAGAGCACATGTCGTATGCGGCAAGAGTGACGCAGAGATTTGTTGATTCAGATCTCAAGAACATGTTTGAAGGTTACCGACGAAAAGGGTAACAGCCTCGGCGGACTGCCCGCAATCCCAGAGGAGTGGCTTGCCGGGGCCGCCGGTCTTTCGGGGAAGGCCAAAGGCTTGGACGACGCCGAAAATGGATACAAAGTTCGGCAACACATGTAGAGGGCAAGACGAGATGTCAAGAGTGCTTGAAAGAGTATGTGTGACCATGGAACAGTGATCGGGCTGCCGTATTAGGAAGACGCAAGGGCTGGCTTATAGGTAAGACATTCGAACGGCGACGTCGATCGCGAATTCCGCTGCCAAACGGAGAATGTCTTTGTGTCTCGGTTCACGCCTGAAGGAACATGAACCAGCGGAGGAAGGCAGGACAGGCAGTTGAAGTAGGTAAGACATTGCCTGCAGGTACAGGTTGCAGTCTCGGGAGATTATGTTGTATTGTGGGTCCGAGGACAATTTCCTCCCGCGCATGCTGAGTGGATAAAATCTGCAAGCAAATGGAGATCGTCAGCTCAAAGAGGAAGGCCGAATGGAATGTGATCTCACGAATCGTGATCAGTATAAGCAGGTAGAGTTAAGTCGGAAAAGTATCACGAGTAGCAGAAATTGGCTCTATGGATTGTCATGGACTGTGCTGCGCAGACGCATAGGGCAGCGCTATGAAATTGTACGGTCCTTGTTTGGGATATTGAGATTGCAAGAAAGTTCACGACAGAATCGCCGACAGAGCTGAACAGAGCAGACCAACGGAGAAGGAGTTGGGTGCTCGTATTCTAGGCGAAACACAGCTCTAGGACTGGCACGTAGATAGAGTATGAGTTGTCGCAGCGGTCAGAACATGTTTCTGCAGATGCAAGTATGACTCGTGGTGGCTTGGTGGGCTGGACGGTATGAGTAGAGCTGACTTGTAGCAGAGGTACCACGACAGAGGGGAGCTGTGACCGCCCGAAGGCTTGGGTGACTGTTGCCAGGAAGAGCAGGGTCAAGCTGATGATGAGGTGCAAGAGGGCTTGAAGCTACAAGCCACAAGTTCGGTACGGCATGCCAATATTGCGGAGAGGGTCTGGTAGAAAAAGCCGGAATCTTGGAGGTCGCAAGCTGCTTGACTTTCCACATCGTCTTCCTTCAACCTTCTCCTGCCTCCATGATGGCAACTTCAACGTCCCGCGGCAGGCTTGTATGGGTATCTATCGCAATCGATTGTGTCTTGTCTTAGGTTATCATTGACGTCGGCGATCCCGTACGTCAGCAGCGAAACGGCTGCTGGGAGCAGCGAGCTCGCGAGGCAGAGATGATCGAGCGACGTTGCAAAGCCGTTGCAGGATTTGCGGCTCTCAGCGTCTCGCGAATTTGCCAGTGTCGCACGGCACACGACTGAGCTGACGATGAATGGCCGAGCAAGGTCGACGTTGCCAAAAAGCCGTTGTTGTCCAGCTGTGCGACAACCGTCGTGATAGTGATACGACCAGCCCGCCGAACGTTTTTTCCTCTGCCTTGCCTTCGCATTTCCTTCACGCGACCGTTGCTATCCTTCCAGCGGGGCCGGGTTGAGTGAAACCTCAACCAAAGACATCAAGAACGGCCTGCCGTAGTCCAGCAAGCCGTAATGTGAAGCAGCTTGTGTCACTTCCGTGCCGTAGAGGTTTGAGATGTTATATTAACAAGCTCCTTCTTCTCGTGTCCACTAGAAATAATTTCGAAAGCTCATATACGACCTCTCTCGCTGATCCATCCAGGAATAGAGACTCTTATACACCAACACGACATCTTACCACCAAGAAAAGCTACAAAGCACGGCACAACAGTCAAAGACAACGCTCTACTTGCATATCCTGGCTTGAACCCCACTTCCCAGCCCCGCCCATCACTGTTTACACTGTTGACGACCGCTCGTCTTTGAACAAACGGCATCTTTTTTTCTTCGCTGCCTCTGCCTCTTTTACTTGAAGGCGTCTCGTCCTCCGATTCTTTCTTCCAACCACCAATCCACGTAACACTCTCCACATATCAGAAACATGGCTGGATCTCGTTCGACCAGAACCTCTCGCACCAAGACACGACGCTCCAACATGTCTTCTCAAAACTCAAGCATCAAGACTTGGGCACGTCATCAGAAGCCTGTTGCTGCCCGCCTGACCAAGGACAAGGAGCAGACCAAGGCAATTCCTCAGGCTGTTCCTACTGTCTCGGCATCTCCTTACTACCACTCTGCTCTGATTCAAGCACAACTCACAAAGACTCATCAACAATCCCGTCTTGCTGCTTCTCCCAACCCCACAAAGCCTACTGGCTCGTCCTCTGATTCCTTCCGCTTCCTTGAGCTTCCTGCTGAGATTCGTCTCATGATCTATGGATACGCAGTGACTGAGTCGGAACCTCTCTACATCGACACATTGGCTGCCCCTCCGGCAATCACTCGCGTATGCCGCCAAACTCGCCAGGAGGCACTGCCCGTCTTCCTCGGCAGCAACTCTTTCATCTCTCTCTTCAGCTCTGTGCCTGGCATCGATGCCACCTGCCCTGAACCCTGCTGCCTTACCAAGTACACCACCTCCTTCTCGCCTGCTGCTGAGTCATGGCTTTGCACTCTTCCTCCTTCGCAACCCCTCATCCGCGACATGAGCTTTACTCTTCAGCCTTCTGCGTGGGACTCAGAGTGTGAGATCTCCGCAGACTTCCGCATGCTTGATGGAAAACTTGCTCACGGTCCTGACTGCCCTTTCTGCGTCAACGGCTCATATGGCAACGTCACTCCTCTTTCTCTCTCCCACCCTGCTGTTCCTGAAAGCCTCAAGCTTTTGATGAGTCACGCTCAACAGATTCACGATGCTGAGCTCGACGCTGTCAACACTGTCCTACAGTTTGGCAAGGGTCTCAGCCTCTACGACATCGTCGCTTTCACAAAGGCCTTCACGGGCCCCAGCGAAGTCATCACAGCCAGACAATGCGATCAACAACGCCTCGTCGAGCACTTCAAGGAGTCACTCGAGGAATGGGACGCCGCGAAGGGCGATGTCCGCTACGAGATCCAAGAAGATCTTAGACGTACTTCTGACGACCTCTGGTCCGAGAAGGAGAAGTGGTGTGGTTCCATGTAAATACTTCCTTTGTTTCTTCCTTCCTGCATATTGTTTCCTGTATGGCGCTGGATGGAGTTCGTGGCATTGAACTGTTGGATTGATTTTTTTGGACAATGGCTTACGATCAAGATGATGATGATGACTACGAAACTACCTTCTTGTCGATATTAGACACATTTTACGAACAAATTTTCTACCAAACACTTCTGTTCTCCTGCTTCCCTTCAGAGTGCCGATTTTGCCATTGTTTGTGCTCGCCCTGTTGTGTTGTCTATGTGATTCCCGTGCTTGCAGGAACCACATTCCGAAAAATGTGGTCCTTCTGTCAGCATGAACTTTATTTTCGGGTCGGCAGCAAATTCCGTGTCTCTTCCCGTCTGTCTTGCTGCATGTGCCTTCAGCTCTGCGGTCTCATGCTCTCTCTCTCTTTCAGGGCAACACAAAGTATGGTCCAAACAAAATAGGTACATCCCCTAGGGAGCGACTATTGCCTGTGGTGGCTTCTCATCAACAAGTTCCTCGACAGCTGTCAAGACAATGCACAATAATGAACCTTCTTTCATCAAGTCAGTGCGCTGTGTAAACAAACCTTTTCTCCATCACCGATTGTCATTCGAACTTAACTCGGCCGTCGATGGATACCTGTTGCCTCGGACTTTTGCACATCTTGTTGACATCCAATGTTGATGCCAATGCGCATGTCTCAAGCACGGCACGTGTTTTGCGTGCGAGTCCCTCACAGCCCCTTCGTGTTCAACGACGATCGTTGCTTCTTGACTTCCAAGAAGCGAGAAGCCTTGTAGGGCTCCATGTCTCAGTCATTCGACCAATAGCAGGATCGTCATATTCGCTTGTGCTATTCTTTCACATGTCAGAATTATATAAGAGTTGGTCAATCAGAACACAGAAGTACGTGCGTTTTAAGTTTTGACATGTGGGATGCTATTGCGGGTTCTCCCTCTTGCTTCGGAATGCGAAGCAGAATTTTGAAAATGCTATCGATATAACCGTTTTTTTTCGCGTTCTGTGTTATCTTAATGCCAACCCTATGTTTATGCTTGATTTCGGACATTCGATAAGGGCTATGTACAATCTACGCACGTATCGTTGTCTTCTTCGATTGAAGATCGCATTCGCAGTTGGAAAAGATGGGCTTCTACGTTCATGATAACCGAAACAAAATGGTATGGTCGATCGCTTCGCTCGGGTTTCTGGAAGATCTTCTCACTGCCGATCAATATGTCGATCTTTTTTCGTACGCTCTCTGTAACTCGCTAACCTCAACAACTTCGCGTGCCTCGGCTTCTGTGTTTATAGAGTTTTGACAAGGCAGGCACGACGATGATTTCTTTCCTCGATTTCGATCGCACTGTTTCTTGAAACTCCTGAATATCTTCTTTCTCTGCAATTCGCTCATCGAAGTTGACAAATTGTGCGGCCAGCGAGATACACACTTCAATATTACATCTTGCTGTAAAGAAATCAGCTTCAATCTATTGATTTGGTGACAGAGGTTCTCAAAACTAATCTGGTTCACGATAGCCGTTGATTGGCCTCTGACATTCATTATCACCGCCACTGACACAACTTCCTGCTCTTCGTTCTTGCGATTTTCACTTCAAAATGCATATCACTACAGGAGCTTGACTCCGCACTCCAATCCTGAGCTTCCAGAAAATAGACAGAAGCCACATCGAAACTCCATCAATGGTTCGCAATGACCGTTTTTCGACTTTTCTTATATTTCGCCGTTTACGCCCATTTCCTCCGCCACTTACACCTTTCGCCTTCGGATCTCAGGATACCACTTCGCAACTGCATCCGGTTTCAAGGACACAAAGTTCACCTTTGCCACCACCATGCGTTGCCTCTTCTCAGGGGCAACTTTGCAAAACAAGACCGACGTCATCTGCGGTATACGCAACGCAGCTGTTTCGTAAATAACGGCTTGCTGACAGTTCGTCCCCTTGCCTCAGCCACTGACATCGATGTCCATCATAGCGATTGTGTTTTACAATATGCTTCAGAAGCACAACATCTCATGCTTCAGCGGTCTTCCAGAAAACTGACTGAACATACGGCATCTATGATTCAACATCCTTGATGGCCGTTCACTGGCCGTTGGCATGGCTTTTGCCTCGCGGCTATACCTTTCCAACTCTTACACACCTTCCGTCAACCTTTCCACCTACGCATGAAGGGACGATTCTACCTCATGGATAGTTGTCGACTTTGCTGGCATGCCTTCTTCCGTGTACCTTATTGAGAACCACAAGGACCCGGTGTTTGCAGTGACCGTTCATGGCTTCCACTTGTACTCGACCGTTGGAATCACTTACACGTTCCCTCGGAACTCACTATCCTATACTTGCGATCAATACTTTCTTGCAATCAAGTGCTGGTTCTAATCAGGAGTCTACGTTCCATCACATCCACTTCTCCATCTTCTAGAAGAAGGACCGACTTCCAAGCACGTGAAACTCATCTCGGTCTCACTCGCGCATTCGCGATAGCCGTTATCAATGAGACTCAAATTCACCCTCGTATCGAATCTTCTCATATTGTTCCATCTACTTGTTCTCAACAATAAACACGCGCTTTTGCAAAACTCCATACTTTTCTTCTCCATCAAATTGAAGAAGGACCGAATCTTGGTACTTTGGAGAAATCCTTTGAAGATAGTTCGGCTTATTACTCATGGCTGGGTTTTCTGATATCCGACCGTTGGACGAGGTTTTGGAGATGATGGGTTTGGAGGGGTGAACCGGATACCGAGGTTGTTGAATGCACTGCTCTGATAGTCTAATACAATAGGTTGAAGCTGGGGAAATGGTGAGGAGGGGGATGTCTTGCTATTATGGGATATTGCCATCGTGAAATAGGTGAGCAAATTGCATCCTCTTGACACAAGTCGATCCGAGGAGCGACCCTGACCACGCTAATATGAAACTGCGAGCACTAATTCGCAATGGTAAAGATGCCTTTTTGTCGCAATGTTTGATAGGCTATATACAATCTTGATCCGGTTCTTTATGTCTATCCGATGAGTCAAAGACTAAATTAGAACCTGGTCATCGCTGTCGACATTCGATTTTTCAATCCAGATTGTGCTAGAGATGTCACCCCGATTGTATTAATGACTATATCAATATCTTGCATCGACAATCAAAAGAGTTGGCCTCAGGGATACGTGCTGCAGTTAACTTGCTATTTCTCTACATGCTGCTTGTGATAGAGAATTTGTTGTTTAACCATTGGTTCTCGGCTGTGAAATCGAATCTCGTCATTTGAAAACACAAAACATCATCTTAACATCGCAAAACCCTGCTCCTCTACTCCGTACCTCCTAAACCACATAAAACTCACCACTACCTAGTCTCTAACAAGATCCCTAAAGATGAAAACAAATACCCATCGTCGTATCATCACTTTTATGAGAAAACTGCTTGTTGAGTATATCACCCTGTCCTTTTGCATTCAGCTACACCAAACATAAAAAGTTAGGAACAACAACAATGTCATAATAACTGTTACATCACCTAGATACAATTGCAAAGAGCCAGAGAATTGGGTTTCGGTTCATGTAATAAGTAATCAACATATTATCAATCATGTAAATATACAAATACTCGGGGCTAGCTAGCACACAAGACCTAAAACCCTCGCTTTTGCGAACGCATGGATGGTCCTTTTGAGGATGGTAAATAGTAAACATTGTACTGCAACGAAAGCAAGGACATAATGGGTAGTATTTGGATGAGGAAATTAACAATGGTGATGGTGGTAGCGAATATTCACGACAGAGTAATACTTGATAGCCAAAAGGTGCAGAGAAACAAGAAATAAGAAAACATTGGTATCGTTAAAGCTATGTACAAATATCAACAAACCAGGATCGGACATGTACGCATCCACATCATATACAAAAAGGCCAACGCGCTATTCAAACACTTTTCCAAAACATCATACCGAGACATGCACAAGTGCGGACTTTGATAGCTGGCAGAGCGATCAAGCGGCAGTAGCAGCAGGTTTGCGCGTCTCCAACTTCCTCGGCCCTTTCTTCGCAGGAGCAGATGCGGCAGCAGGTGTGGATTTTGCTTGTGTTCCATTGCTCTTGCCCGAGTTCAATTTCCTCGGCTTCTTCTTTTCTGCGGCTGCACTCGAGGAAGCGGGCTTAGGGGCGGGTTTGCTGGCTGCTTGTGGCTGGGCAGCGGGCTTTTGTGCAGGCGTCTGCTTCTGTGAAGCCGATCGTGTTGTCGGTCCCGTCGACTGCTTAGACTGTGATGTGCCATTCGTCTTTGGTGCTTGTGTTTGTTGGGATGAGGTCGTGTTGGCTGTGGGAGCTTCTTTGGGCTTGGGGGCCTCTTTCGGTTTAGGGGCTTGCTTGGGTGGTGCGGGTTTCGAGGATTGCTGGGTGTTGGATGTCTTTTGCTGCTTGGGTGCTTGTTCGCTTTGCTTGGGTTGAGATTGGCTTCGCTTTTTGGGTTGTTGGGTGGTTTGTTGGGCTTCCTGGCCTCCACCTCCTCCCATGCCTAGTGATGCGCCCAGACCGCCCAAACCGACGGCAGAACCTGCTTGTGACATGGAGGGCATGCTGGGCATTGACGGCATGCCGGGGAGGTAGCCGGTCATATCTTTTGCTGATTGCGACCAAGACGATGGCGCTTGGTCGGGCATGTCGTTCTTCATCTGCTCGAGCTCGTCCTTGCTGGGTGCTTGTGTCTCCTTGGTCTGCATGACCATCTTGTCCAATGCCTTCTTTTGTGCAGGTGTTGACTTCCAATCGGGAAGGAAGTCACCGACGACACCTTGTACACCTTGACTAGCCATCTCTCCCATGTTCCACAAAGGTTCGCTTCTCATGGCTCCGTAGACAGAACCAACGCCAGCGCCGAGTAGTCCAGTCACTGTCGAGACTGTACCACCAACGATGGCTCCGGTAAGCTTACCAAGGGTGACACCAGGTTGTACTCCCAAGCCAGCACCGGCAGCGAGTCCTTGGAAGGCTCCAGACTGAGCGTACTTTGCTGCCTTGCCAAAAGACTCGGCCTCGATCTCTTTGTTGACAGCCTTTGCAAGAGTAGCTTGTCGTGCGTCCGCATCACCCGCTCCCTTGGCGGCTTGTCTCAATTCCCATGCTTTTTGCGTGGCTTGCAGTGCCATACTGGCAGACACGCCCGAGTTCTGTTTGATGTCACGTTCCGGAATGCCGCTTTGCGGAGCCTGTCCGTTCGCGTTGTTGTCGGCCATCGCTTGATTGTTCGAAGCTTCCGGTTTTGCTTTCTGCTGTGTTTGTTTCGGCGGCATGATTGACGGGTATAATGATTGGGTTCGTCGATGAAGTCTGTTGTGAGGAGCGAGCTATCTAAGTATCCGCATAATTGTGAGGCAGGTGCGATATGCGGGCTACGTCATTCATGCGGTGGCGCATGCGACGCTCATCTTCTCACGTCGTCCAAGGCCTGGAATACTTGTTTTCGGTGATCGCAATTTATGATTACTTATCTGACTTTCACTGCCATCTTGAACCATGTCTGATGGAGACAAAACATCGCAGATCTGATATTGCTCTCGATCGCGGCAGACATGCGGCAGACATACACATTTGCCAGCACTTTGAAAATTCTTGGCAAAATTGTTCGCGAGAGCTTTGTTGAATCATCTTGCGAAAATACCACAAGGCCAATTTCTTGTATGAGGTTGGACCGCTGTACACTCCATTTGGACTTGCCTTGAAATTTGGTGGCATCCAATTGAAGCCCACATCGTACTCCGAGGCTGACGTTGATCGAAAGCGAAGGCCCAAATCAGCCATCCGACGATCGAGAGCTAGCCGATGGTTGTGCAACGACGATTGTAGCATGATACGCGAGATCATGTTTGCAAGACTGGAACATACCTTGGGCTGGTGGGAGATGTCTGCTTTCAACCCACCAGCGGAGTAAGAAGATTGGAAGCTGTATAATACTGTTAGTTCTCCGAGTCAAGATCAATCAGCAGCAAAAGCTGCAACCCCCAAAAGGCAAGTATGAACATGACACTGAATGCCTATAATGTAAAAAGTTAAGGTAAGGTACAAGAAGGGATATCCACAACAAAAGAAAAGGAAGCTATCAAGAGGTCTCTGCTAAATATTTTGTAGACGCACACAGGCGAGATCGAACAACACGTCAACATCGCTTTTCGAAACAACGAAGAAGAAAGGTCGCAAGGGAAGCGACGTGCCGCAGATGGATTGGCGGTTTGTCGCAATGGAACGAATGTCGGTTATTCCGGGACACGGCGCTGGCGATGTATTTGCGCATGGGCTGCATGGGCAGTTGGTTGTCGCACACGGGCGTTATATGTAGCTCATGGTTGTCGTCGCTCTCGATGATCGTCGCAAGGTTGGGTAAAAGACGGTCGCGTGTGGCCTGCTGGTTAGTTGCGTCGGGTATTAAAGCTTCCAGCATTAATCCATAATCATCAAAAACACTTTCACTCCAGAAAAATGTGCACCCATCTAAGCGACCTTTGAATGCCTCCTTGCCTCCGAAATACTGCCTCTTGCCTCGAGGATGGTGTCCTCGTGTGTTGGAGGTCCTTGGTAGTTCTTCTGGCCCCAAACAACGTACCACACACCTGCAATGATGATGAAGGCAGCAAAGACTACTGATGCGTAGTTCATGAGGGTTGCAGTGACGGGAATGGTGGTGGGCATGCAGAACAATGGCACAGCAAGACAACTCCAGGCAAGAGCGACAATGTTGCAGAAAAGACCAAGAGGTCCGAGCGAGAAGTCGGCTCCCTTGACGTGCTTGCGACCAGTGAAGAGGTTGGTGGCAATGGGAATGGCGTACGAGACAGTCAGACAGATGACACCAACACCGGAGAAGGCATTGTAGGCAGCGACGGATCCGAAGTAGATGACAGCGAGCAGGATTTGCACAACCATGCTGAGCATCATGGCGTTGAGTGGCACACCCTCGAGAGCAGTGGTGTTGTTGACTTGCTTCCACCACTTGCTTCCAGGAATGGCACCGTCACGAGAGAAAGCCCAGACGCAACGAGATGCGGCGGTGGTGCAACCAATACCGCAGATAAGACCGAGAACCATCAGAGGGATCAACAGGCCGATAGCACCACCGGGCGAACCGACAGCAGTGGCGATGATGGTAGGGACGGGCTGTCCGGATGCGAGGGCAGCGAGAGTTGCAAGGTCAGGGATGACAAAGAGAAGAGGGAGCAAGAACATCAAACCAGCGCCAAGGTTGATAAGGATGGTTGCGACCATGGCCTTGGGGACCTGAGTTGAAGGCTCTTGAACCTCTTCACACATGGAAATGATCATACCAGTCGACGAGGTGGCATAAGCTGCTTGCAGGAGACCGACACAGAACGACCATCCAGGAGTCCATCCTGACTGGGGCTCGAAATGAGTGAAGACAAACTCGCCAGAGCGTCTACCGCCCTTGGCCATGACCAGGGTGACGATAAGAATGGCAACGACACCTGCGAGAGTCCAGAAAATGGCGAAAGTCTATGCAAAAAAGTCAGTCTCGTGATCTCAGTCAGAAATGACAATTTACGCACGTCAACCAAAGCCAGCCATCTGTTTCCGAGAGAAGAAACGGCGTTACAGAAGAGGGTGATAGCGACGAAGACCAACCAGGTCTCCCACGCGCTGGCTTCCCAGATGCCAACACCAGGCGACTTCTCGAAAACGTTGACGCAGGAGATGATGAACAGTGCTGAACCGAAGTTGACAGCGAGGGTAATAGTGATGTTTCCAACGACATATGCCCATCCGCAAATCCATGACAAAATTCTCTTGTACTTTGCGGGTGCCAACATGAAAGTCTGGTAGTATACACCACCAGCAGTCGGGTAGACTGAGGTGATCTCACCCAGACTGGCAGCGACACAGACAATGATAAGGGAGACCATGATCCAACCCCAGATGATGTTGGCAGGACCGCCGCCGACAAGAGGGTAGTAGAAGGTTGTTGCGAGACCGTAAGGAATAGAGGCGAGGACGAATGACATGAAGGCCACTTGGAGAGTCGATCGGTTACGTGCCATCTCAGGCTTGTAGCCCATGGCTAATAGGATCGCATCGGACTCGTCGACATCGGTGCCGCTCTCTTCGTTGGAAACCTTTCTCGCATCGGTGAGTTGGTTCTTTGTTGAGGGTGCGGGTTGACCATGACCAGCGGCAAGGCCAGCTTGGTCGAGATTACGGTCTGGAGGATTGGTGAGGAAACCCATGATGAATATTTGGTGCAAAGAGTGAGCGTGAAAAAAAGAGACCAGACGGTTATCGGGGTCTACTCAGCACATATACATGTGAGCAGACGCTTTGACACAGAACGAGCCCTAGGCCACGAAGGTTTGCATAGCGTGCGTTCGCCTAGCCTCCAGGCGCTCGGAAACGGGTGGGAGTTCGAGAGAAGGAACGCCAATGACTTCATGTTCGAATTTTCACCATGCTGACGTTCGAAAGCTGTTCTGGATGCGACCATCACCGGCATCTTCAACACCCTGTTCCGCCCATACTTTTACTTTTCCCGATGTTTGTATTTCGCAGGCATTGCAGGAATTTACTGCAGGATTCTGTTGGGATAGAAGAGAGCTCCACAGGTCTTGATTGCAATGAAATGACTGCCAAGCGTAAGACGAAACGCACCACGCCCCAGGGCGTTGACTCGGCGAATGTGGGTGTGTTGGGGTATTTGATCACGGATCTCTCTGATACCTCTGACCTCTGGGGCAACAACTTCTGTTCATGACAGTCTCATCAAGACGGGCGGAGACCGAAGCGAAGCATCAAAGCCGAGTTCTGTCGCTGTTGTTTACCTTCGTTCCATCTCATCGCCCGTGAGAGTATCGAGTAATGGTGGTCGTACTTCGTATTCCAAACTCAGATGAAGATTGCTCTTTAGTGCGACCTGCCTGAATCATGGCGTTCGGCAGGACATCCTTCGAAGGCCCCTCACTTCTTCTAGGTAAGCATATCTGATTAGCGAGTATAGCATGGTCGCACGACCATGACCGTACAATTGTCATTGTATTTGTTGATGTGTGCGATAAGCTCAGCTTCAAATCTTCGGGTGGTTTGCCGTTTCCAGGCGGCCTTTTCCCGCTGTAATTGAGAAATGACAGCGCCGGTGATAATATTGCATGGACAAACCACTATGGCCTATCTCTATCACGCTCCAAAGCGCCACTGGGGCGCACAAGGTAGCTACTCTGCTGAGCCAAGGGCAGGCGTGGTAATCCTCGTCGGTCGCAATGGTCCAGAATACCTCTCTTTGCTTCATCGTTATCAAGGATGTGTCTTGTCTAGTGTATTGAGCCCTAATCGCTGGATAGTTATCATAAACAAGCCGTTACGCCTTCAATTCATTGCAACAACATTGCCTGTATAGGTCAAGTCTTCCTCCATGAGAAGTCGCAAGACCAAGCGCAATCTACATGAGATGCAATGCACCTTGCCGTAGGATTCATGCAAGGTAGCTCGGGAGTCGAGTCCACGTGAATGCTTCCAAGAAACCCCTCCGACCCCTCCCCCACCTCGTTGATCTGCACACCAAGCATTGAGCTTGGCCGGCAGTATGAGATACCGAATAGCTCTAGAACCTCGGCCCTGATGCTGACTGTGATGTCTCTGAGATGGTGAGTGAAATGTTTAGCAAGTGATTTTGAGTCTTGACAACTGCTCATGTCAACACATCCACGAAAAACCACCATCACAGCTTCACCACGGCCTGCTTATGGGAGGGCATAAGGGATGCAAACGAACGTCGAAGCGGCTCCAAAACATGAACGTGCTGGTAGAGGAATCTCAACATATCCTCGTGTCCCAAACTTTGTCACGCGGAGAGCTGTAGAGATGCACAATGATACTCAAGAATAGAGCTAGGTATAAGGAGAGCTCTAGAGAGTCCAGGGGTCACTCTTCGTGGACAACTTTTTCTTACTCAAATCTATCCCAAATTCTAATCAGTGCATTACTGCGCGTCGCCGCGGCGAGAGAGTCGACGTGACAAAATTTGGCACACGGGAAGGCAGAATCTTGCGGGAGAGCATGTCACTGCAATGCACGGTACGCCTGCGACACGAGTGTTTCATTAACCAGAATTTCACAAGCAACAAAAACCCATTGAACGGCTCGCCAAATTTACAAGCGGACTGTTTTCGAACGGTCATTGAAAAAGCATTGGATGGCAACAAAGGCCCAGAAAAGCTGTGCTGACATATTCTCGAAACTGCGAAGTTTTGGTCATAACTTCCATGATGCCGCTATGACATCTACGAACAGTTATTTTTCCAAGAACATCAACTTCCATCTACTGTTCTGATCCAATCATCCAACAACATGCATACCGAAGTGCGAAACACGATATTCTTAGCCTTCGCTGTGTTTGGCTATGTCGCACTTTGGAGGTTCGCAGGCCAGAACGGTACGTTTGGGATGATGAGAGAGTGGTCATCACAAAACCGTCTACCAGGAACCGGCGAGACGTACGCCACAGAATTTACGCGATGGCGCGGGCTCGACGAATTCATACGAAGCTTGCTCACAATATTCTGGCCAATGGTCAACGGCACTCAACCGGGCTCTTCGTTAATGTGCTTCTACTTTGCTGGTCAAGGTATTGCCGCATGGATTCTGACAGCACTTGAAGGACAGCGCCACTCAAACAAGGGAAATTGGAGAGTGATCTCTTTCACTACAGCTTATGGCTTGTTATTCCAAGGCCTAGGTATCGGAATCATTGGCCCAATCTTTCTCCTTTTTGCACCTCTCGGAGACAAATGGACGAGCTCTGTCTTCGTGCACTACAGGACTGATGTAGATGCCATCATTCCTGCCACAATTGGTGGTATCATTGTTCCAACAGTCCTGATGTCGCTTCATGAACCAACTGTTATCTCTCTGGAACAGAAAGTTGATCTCATCCGCCTATGGCAATTCTTCCCACTGCTGTTTCGCCTGGGTCAGCGCGTCTGGACAGGCTTCATCTCGGTTTGGCTTTCATCTTACGAAGATGAACTTGCAGAAAAGGACCCCCAGGTGCAGCGTAGAGCTTTCCGCCGAGTGTACACTTTCGGCCTTTGCTGTGCTGCTGTTCCTCATGTCGGTACCATCGCAATATCAATGATGAGTCTTTTCTTCCCTAGCTTCTTCGCAGGAAACCTTGCGACTGAGTTTCATCCCTGGAATCTCTTTGTCCCAGTATCACCTCTCTCAGGGGCCCAGGCGAGAACAGTTGGAGAAGGCGCTCACTGGTTCTTGCAATGGGACATGATACTCATGTTCTGTACCTACCTGGCGTGGGCGTACTTTGCAGATATCAAAGTAAAGTACCCTGATTCGGGGGTCGTTTCGCCTCAACTTTTCCTTCGACTGCTGGGTTGGTCTCTGCTGTTCGGTCCTATGGGTGCTGCTTTGCTTGCAATGTGGGAGAGGGACGATGTCGTATTCGATGCGGAAGAACAAAAGATCGAGCCCCGAAAGGGCATGGCTGCTAACATCGCCTCGTTCTCGAAGACGGAGTACAAGGGCGATTAATGTGGTCGTTGGGAAATAAATGTGCTCTCTTTGGACAACGTTCTTACGTGAGGCATCATCTTGCATTTTGACGCCTGAAAATGCTGACGATTCAGCACGCCGACAGCTCGGTCCTGGTTTGGACTATATACCTCTACAGATATGCTGAGAAGATGTTCTCATCGAAAATACATGCTTGCTGCAGCACACAGGTCATTTCATCATGACCATCAAGCCAAACGACTTGCCTACAGACGAGAGTCTTTCTGTAGTAAATCAACGGCCCCCCTCGCCATGCCCCTGTGAGAATGATCAGTATTGTTCGCATTAGCTCGCCCGTCGCAACATACCATGAAGCCTGATACCCAGCACCACCGGCGCCATAATTATGGATGACCAGATGCTCAGCGAACCTCTCCCTCTCCAGTCTAGCACCGCCCTTTCTGCTCGCTACAACACATAGATCAGTATAAGTTACACTTTCCCAAGATATCTGAACTCACGTCTCAAACCAACGCCGTGATATATCACTTTCAAGTCTTCCGGCTTTCCCAACTCCGGAGCAAGAGCGCAGCATCGCTGCTTGATATCTTCAGCGAGCTCGAGATCGACTTCTCCACTCCAGTCGTTGTCAAGGCGAATACCTCCGAGCACAACACCGTTGTGAGGGCCTCGAGGGAAGACGTATGTAGTGTCTTTGTTGACTCTTTGCGGCGAGCGGAAGTACATGCGAGTCATTGTAGTCTTTGGGCTTTCGACAAGCATGATTTGACCCTGTATATCCATGAGCTTTGCACCTACTTGGTTTCGTGATACATACTCTTGTCGGATAGATGCTCTTATCTTCAACGCCTTTCAAAGAGTAGGATCCCAACCCAGTACAATTGAAATACGCATTGGCATCCGGGAAAGCAGTGAATAGCTCATCAAGAGATTCAAACATGCCTCTTCGAATCTCGATACCTTGACGGCGAGCTTCTCCTTGCAACCTTGAAATAATCATGAGAAACTGTGCCCATCTTGGGCATTTTGAGAGATCAAAGTGTGCACTTCGTATAAGCTTACCAAGGAAGATAGACCTGCGTATCCACCACAAAAGTACTCAACTCATACCCAAACTTCGCCCCTTCAGGTAACCTCTCCTCCCCCAACATGGCAATCCCACCCACCAACCCATCATACCAGATCTTCCCAGTCCCTGTACTCAACACACCAGCATCTTCAATCTCACTATCATAAACAGCAGTAATGGGCATAGCATAAACACCCACTTCTGCCGTCCTGATAGCGAGTTCTTTGAATTTTTGATATGTTATTCTGTCCCATTCTTCCTGTCTGCCGTTGTCGGTGGCTACGGAGAGCCAATTCGCTCCAGCCCAGGGAGATGTGTATGAGGCGTCACGGTCGCCGGGGAGGAATTTGGCGACGATGATGATGTTGGCTTGGGGATAGCGTTCGCGGAGCTCGAGAGCGGTTGTTAGACCGATGACGCCTGCGCCGAGGATAACATAAGAGGAAGACATGATTTACAACCAACAGAAGACGAAATCGACCTGATCAATTGGAGCTAAAATTAGTGGATGGTGTTCATGACTTATATATCTAGTTGATGGATTGAGAGGTGTGATGTTTCGTGAGTCAGATAAGGAAAAGTGCCGATATCGGAGATGCTGCTGTAGGCGGATGTTCTTTCCCGATGGGCCAGAAGTCGTGTTATATCCTCCATATCATGCTATGAGGCGCTTACGCTAACCAGATGTTTGGAAGGACGAGTAAGATATCAAAGAAAACGTACAATGACACAGTTCTGGTAGCAAAGTGGATTGTTTCTATCAACAGGCTTCCCGTTTCCAATTTCCAGAAGGACCATACTTGTGCCTGTCATATGCATGATGATTTTGAGCTTGGCCGAATTGTTCATTGAGAATTGCTCTTAAGCAAGAATGTCACCACCCTCAGGTCCAGCCTTTGCTCTATCAATTCTCTCCTGCGTCGTCTTGAAAGCTTTTGGGACTTCAGTGTCTTCGAAGCTCTTGCCAGAGTGCAACATCTCAGCGACGCCTTTCGCAGCCAGCCAAATAACAGGCATACCATGACCATTGAACGCAGACAGGATGTACTGACCCGATTTGCCGGGAACCTCACCAATATGGGGGTTGCTGTCATATGAGTATCCCATCACACCGGTCCAAATCTTCTGCACTTCTGCCTTCGTGTTCTCCCAGCCACGGAAGTTATTCTGCATGTAGTTGGTGTAGTAGTCCTTGGATGCCTCAATTAGCTCAGCGTCGTCGCTGTTATTGTACCATTGCTCCAGGTGAGGCTTGAAGATCGCTTGCGAGCCGCCGACAATGATGCCACCATCAGATCTTGGAATCAAGTAAGAGAGAACACTGGGATCGCCTTGCTCTCGGATGATGTATGAGTTGCCTACGAATGGAGCAATGTCCTTCTTCGGTACAGCGATATGACAACAAATCCCTTTGCAGGGTACGATATTCTTCTCATATTCCGGTAGCAAAGCCTTGGTGTATGCATTGGTCGCATGGACGACTTTGGAGGTCTTGATGTCTCCACGAGATGTGGACACGGTCCATTCTCCTTCAGATGAGGCAGAAATGCTGTTGACCGGAGTGTGTGTTTGAATGTTGACGCCCCGGTCTTTGAGGATTCCAAGCAGGGTCATGATGAACTTGTATGGCCAGATGGTGCCTGCTGTGTATGTCGCGCATGCTTTTGCGTTCTTGATGCCACTAACACCTTCGGCATCCTTTCCCATGACGAAATGCACATCGTCCATGTGCCGCAGACCGTATGCGACCATCTTGTCATATGTCGCCTTCACCTTGTCGGCGGCATCTTGATTACACCAAACATCAGTCGTCCTTGTTATAACGTAGTCGCAGTCGATGTTCTCCTTGGCGACAACGTCCTTGATTGCTTTGATATGAGCGGCCTCAAATTCAGCAATCTCAGCACCAGCTTTCAAACCATGGCGGTCGATGTACGTTGGAATATGGCCGTATAAATCGGGGCGCAAATGACCTCCATTACGGCCTGTTGCTCCGCTGCAAGCGCCTCGGGCTTCAAGAAGTGTGATGGATGATGCTTTGCTACCGGCTTCCAACAGATGATATGCAGTCGCAACACCAGCGTATCCAGCTCCAATTATGACAATGTCGGACTCCTCAGGGAATTCAGTCGACCGATAGTCGTCGAGTTCGTGAAGGTTGGTGCGCCAAAAACTCTCACTGCCTCCACCGACCGTCGGCAAACCTTCGGGAAGTTGCATTTTTGGCGTTAAAGATGTGTTTGTTGTTCTTTCCGAAACCACTCGCTCGATGGAAAATACCTTATTTAAGCACCTTCATGAACATCGAGGTATTCTATCCACCTCGTATGATCGTAAGGCAGCAATTTCGCAGCCTGTTGGGACCTGCATGGAAAGATAGGCCAAGCTCTTGCCCAGGCGGCGCCGCGCCATTGCCGATCACGTCAATTTCGCGCCTTCCATTTGGACTGTGCCTCACTTCGTCTCACAAACTCTCTCGAGATAACACTCAAGACACGAAATCATGCAGAAATATAGCGCAATCGACAAGGAGATTCACTGATAGCGTCTACGCACGTATGAAGCCCCGCACACATCCCACCTAGGGCTCGCAATCTGGCATCCGGACGCGAACGTGTGGGGAGCACCAGAACAACTCCTCGTTCTGAGGGAATAGCAAAGTCAATGAGTGGAGATGCAGACGTGAGAGCAGTCATACCGCTGTTCTTCTCGAATCTGAACGAGTTCTAAATTGCCTTGATGTCCAACCCCCAACACGGACCTGAGTTGCGAATGCTAAACGCCAGTAGTGTACATAGGCGACCCTTATCATGCTGTTTGCCTATCCTGTCGACTTGAATCGATCTTGGAATGGTCGAAGCATATCACACTCGAGGCCTGGCCGCGTCAATCTGATGCAACGAACCAGGGCTAGGGCGGCAATCTTCCCGGATCATGGGGGCGGATAAGAGGTTTACTCAGTGTAATGATGGCTGAGCCAATAGCATCGCACCGAATGGTGATGTAGAAGAGATAGGCATGTTGGTGTATTGCGATAGAGGATATCAAGGATGGTGGTACATAAAAGCAGAAGGCAAGTCCGCAGCTTTTTTACGTTATCCTTTTTGTTTGACGCTTTTTTGGCTCAACAATGTCTATACACGCGCCAGAAACCATTGCGATGGGAAATATGGAGGAGAAAAAGATTTCGCACGCTCAGGAGGGGTATGTTGCCTCGGACGTCGAGAGTGGCACGATTCTTCCTGAGTATGATCAAGACGGCCCACTCGAGTTCGAGGAGAAGAAGGAGCTCAAACGTGGTCTGAACCAGAGGACCATTCAAATGATTGCATTGGCCGGCACAATTGGTACAGGTCTATTCTTGTCTTCAGGGAAAGCCATCTCTCGAGCTGGCCCGTTGGGTGCCTTCCTGGGTTATACCTTCGTCGGCTTCCTGTGCTCAGGCGTTGTCATGTCCATCTCGGAGCTGAGGTAGGAAGCATGATCATCATTGCTCGCCAACTTGTCTAATATTTCGCAGCACTTTAGTCCCACTTAGTGGTGGTATCACTCGCCACGCCGAATACTTCGTCGACCCAGCCCTCTCGTTCGCAAATGGTTGGAACCAAGTATACGCCAATCTTGTCAGTGTACCTGCTGAGCTCTGCGCTGCCGCCGTCTTGTTCGAGTTCTGGACATCCAACGTCAGTAATGCTGTCTGGATTGTTGTTCTTGGAGTGTGCCTCATTGGATCCAACATTGCCTTCGTCAGGATCTATGGTGAACTCGAATTCACCTTCGCAACATTGAAAATTATGCTCATCATTGGCATCAACATTATGGCTTTAGTCATTACCTGCGGCGGCGGACCTGATCATACAAGCATTGGCTTCCAGTATTGGGTATCTCCAGGGCCCTTCGTTCAATATTTGGGCTACTCAGGCTCTTTGGGCCAATTCCTTGGATTTTGGACAACTTTCAGCAACGCTGTCTACTCATACTCTGGCATTCAAAACATCTCGATCGCTGCATCTGAGACTCAGAACCCTCGCAGGAACATACCGATGGCAGCAAAAAGAATCTTCGTCCGTGTTCTGCTGTTCTACGTTCTCACCATATTCATGGTCGGTCTTGTGGTACCCTCAAACGACCCTCATCTATTGAAGTCCACTGGCACCGCCTCCCAATCACCTTTCGTCATCGCTGCCTCAAGAGCGGGCATCAAAGTGGTTCCGTCCATCATCAACGCCGTCATCCTAACCAGCGCCTGGAGTTCCGGAAATGCTAGTATGCTCGCCGGATCTCGCATTCTGTACGGTATGGCCAAGGAAGGACGTGCACCAAAGATTTTCACCAAGACCAACCGCTTTGGCATTCCCTGGGTCTCGGTCAGCTTGTTCAGTATCTTCTTGTGCCTTGCATTCTTGTCGCTGTCCAATGGAGCCAATGTCGCCTTCACCTGGCTGCAAGATTTGGTCTCTGTTGCCGCCATGGTCGACTGGATGGTCATCTGCGGAGTATACCTACGCTTCTACTACAGCATGAAGAAGCAGAATATCTCGCGCAGTGAATTACCATGGGCTGCTCCCTTACAACCATATCTCGCATGGGTGTCTTTGTTCTCCTTCGGCATACTATTACTCACGGGCGGATATGTCAGCTTCTTGCATGGACACTGGGACACCGAGACCTTCATTTCGAGTTACTTCAACATTCCACTGTTCTTGATCCTGTACTTCGGCTACAAGTTTGTCAAAAAGACGAGCATCATCCCGCTGGAAGCTTTGCCCATCCGTCACTTCATTGATATTGCAAATGCAAACCCCGAGGCCCCTGAACCGCCAAAGGTGGGATGGCACAAGTACAACTTCCTTTGGGAGTAAACTTATTGTATATTGCCAGATCAAAATCAGACGTGGAGTATAAGGGGCTTTGAAGTTTACAGATGGAACAAGGGATAGATGAGTAGATCACTGTACAAATCCATTCAGGACAAAGTTGAGTGCACCATCATAGGTGCTGAATCTTGTCACTTTTAGCCAGCTCTCGCTATCACAACGAAGGTCATCCGGGTCGCAGGAACGCACAATGCTTTTGAGATCAATACAGCCCTCCACAGACAAGCGCGGAGATTTACACTCTCAGTGGAGGTCTACTCTGAATTAGCGACACTTGTGCATTTCCACAGCATACGCGTGTCGAAGTTCAGTACTCGGGGAGAACGTCTTCCATCCGGATCGTCAACTCGTCATGTTCGTATCAGGAAGGCGAAGCAGATTGTGGTAATGATAAGCTCGTGATCAAGCTTCAACAAGACCTGAGCCCTAAGTGCTTATCAAGAGGATGTAGCACGCAATCGATTCGGGCGGGCAAGGATAGGCGAAAATACTGCCGGTGGCCGAAGTCCCATGCCCGAGAGCTGGGCCGGCAGTATGACCATCAAGGTAGTAACGAAGCCGGATAGGTACTTGATATCAGCACAACAATCCAATCATCCTTCATCCTTCATCACTTTCCCCCCTTCTACAACACCACTTCACAACATCTTACTCCCCAACCCAAACATCACCACAATGCCCAAACACGTAGTATTCGACGTAGTAGGCACCTGCGTCTCCTACTCCGCCTTCTTCACCTCCATCCAAAAAGTCCTCGGCCCCCGCCTCCTCGCCCACAACATCACCCCAAAACTCTTCGGATTCGCCTGGATGGAATCCTCCGAGCGAGAATTTACTTACCTCTCTATTTCCTCCCGCTATAAACCTTACAAACAAGTTTTCAGCACAATGTTCTACCGTATACTCTGGATGTCTGGAATCGACAACCCTCGCGCCTTCGCAACAGACGCAGAAAGAGATGAGATGGTGAGAAGTTATTCGGATTTGGAATTGAGAGAAGGTGTCAAGGAGACATTTGCTGCGTTGAGAGAGGCAGGGTTTACGGTATGGTGTTTGACCACGGGTGATGTGGAAAGAGTGCATGGGTATTTCACAAGAGGCGGAGTGGATTTCCCGATTGAGAATTTCAGGTCTTGTGATGGGTTGGGGGTTGCGAAGCCGGCGCTTGCTGCGTATAAGCCTTTGTATGAGAGTTTTGGGGAGGAGGAAAAGTGGTTCGCTGCAGCGCATTATTGGGATGTCAGTGCTGCGAAGATTGTTGGGTGAGTTTCGGATGGTCCAAATGATTGCTTTGTGATGATGAGATACTAATGATGATTATAGGTTCAAGGGTGCCTATTGTTCAGTATATGAGAAGGAGGATTGCAAGGAATTGTTTGATGTTGACATGGATGTCATGGCAGACACACTGCCGGAGATGGCTCAAAAGATCATTGAAGCGTCGAAGTAAATTGTTTGAATCATACTTTTGATATTGCGAAAACCATTGGCGAAGACTCAGGGACGAGTTAGACCCAACATAGACAGCAAAAGTGGTGCTCCTCGGTCCGTCGTGTCAAAGTCTATCGTTATTGTAGAGTAACAAGATAATCTGCAGTCTCAAGTCGTGTCCACTGAGAGTGTGTCGAGAACTCAGTTCCGTGATCGTCTGAGTTGAACCGAACAACATTGTGCGTTTCCACAGCTTCAACACCCTAGACTATGAGACTCGGGGTCACCCTAAGAGCAGCTACCCTCATTGGCCTTGGGCGTAGTGCTGAGATCCTTAGGCACGTACTGGATACCAGTCTTAGGGCAGTTGCCAGAAGTGCCAGTAGGCTCGACAGCAATGAACTTGCCGTTGGCGACACTGCCACGAACGTTGTAGGCGTACTCAATCTGATTGAGCTTACCGCTGGTGCAAGAGAGAATAGGAGTTGCGCCAAACTTGTTCTTGAGAGCGGTGGTGATCTGGGCGTTGGTGTAGGTCTTGCTGGAGCTTGGGGTGATACCGGCATTAGCCAACCACTGGTAAGTCGGGAGGCTCTTGAAAAGAGTAATAGTGGTGTTGAGGAAATCGACAAGCTCATCTTCCTTGGAGTAGTTGGTGTAGCAGCTGGGGTTCAGAGTGGAGTAACAGGTACCATGCTTGCTCCATTCGTGCTCCCTGGATGAATGTTAATCGATGAGGTGGATATCAGGAGGCAACGATCACTTACCAGAAAGACTCGTCATCACCTTGGTAGTCCTTCCAGTAGGTCTCCATGTAAGTCAAAATATCGCCATGACCCTTGTCTTCAAGAATGCAGCCAATATCAGTGTATGCTCTCGAGCTATCACAAGTGGCTTCGTAGGTGCCGTCGCAGTTGTCGGGCCTTGTGCGGTAGTCAGTATAGCCGTTCCGTGTTGAAAGGTCTTTTGACACCTACCAGAGGCCATGGATAGTCCATGAATTAGCAGGACCGGTTGCAGGACTGGAGTCCCAGAATTGAACCTGGAGAACTTGACCTTGGACCTCAGTACAACAGGTGTTTTGGATGGTGCCAGTAGTCTGGCAACTAATGGGTGACGATGCAGGGCATGACTTTGCGACGGCAGCGGCCAAGCCGAGCAGGGTGCTGAAAGCGAGAAGAGAAGACGACATTGCGAGAAAGATGATGTGCTGTTGTATATTTCCAAAAGCCAAGGAAATCAAGCCTTCTTTATAGACGACTCGGGGTGCTTGAGTTGAGCAGCGAAGGCATGCTGTGTTTCATCGGTCGCCCCCGTAATCATCGTCTCCTGCATATTCCAATTTCTGTACATTGCAGATCTCCAAGTGTAACGAGGGCTTGCTTCTCTGAATTCGAGCATAGGCGAAGTCTGATTCGCTTTTGGTTCAAGGTTTACCTTCTGCAAAGAGAATAGCGGATGCAAGCTGTAAGGCACGTGGGGAAATGGAAGGAAGATATCCGTCGCTTGCGGGCCGTCTCGACTGTCTTTCGGCCGCAACGCAGTTTCCATCACGCATCTAACTTTACAGCATGCAATTGCCGAGGTTGATTGGAAACGCGTCAAGCGCGTCGCCCGAGTCACCTCAACCGCCCGGTCCCTTCCTTCCTTCACTCTCATCATGAGTCCTCTTGATCGCAGTCGTGACTGATATCTGCTGCGTCGGTTTGCGTCACCGCAAAGCAAAATCTTGTATCGTGTGATGTGCTGTGCTGTGCTACCCAGTACGGAGTAGATGCGGCGCGAATTCTCTCAATGCCTGATAACGCCTTCCTCTTCCGTCCTGATTGACAGCACTTCTATCTTGCAGTAGCGAGCTCATATAGTCTTGATCACCATAAACATCTTATCGTCTTGTATATCAAGCTTTCCTGCCCTCCTATTTTTCCGGTCGCTTGTCCTCATCTTTCGTTTGAGTCGGTGAGCAATGCATCTTCAACGTTTCGTCTTGCTGGCCTCGGCCCTGCACGCTGTGTCTGCGCATCGCCAACCTCCGAAGAAACCACTCGAAGCAGCATCCCTGTTTCAATCTGCTGCAGCACCGGCCTCTCCGTTGCCAATCATCCAGCTCTACAAGCCGGTATGTTCGAGTACAAGGATCGAGACCGAAAGATTCTAGAAACGTTCATGCTAACTGTATTCCTACTAACAGGTATCAATTCCCAAATCGCCGCAATGTAACGTCCAGCAGACATTGATGGTACACACCTTCGCTAGCAGCTATGGAGTTCCCTATGTTGGACAGTACACGCCACCAGACTGTGACTTCAACAATGTAGTCATTGAATGGACAGTCACTAGTGCTGGTCGGCAATTCGATCGCCTTGCAGAAATGTACCTCGGTGATATTGAAGTCTGGCGTACTAGCACTGCTGAGCCTACTGCGTCAGGCATCATCTTCAGATATGAAAAAGATCTTAGCATGTACTTGAGTCTCTGGAAATCTCCTCAGAAACTCATATTTGAATTGGACAACGTGTATGACTCCACCTACACTGGAGCATTTAACACTACACTGACGGCTACATTCTCTTACAACTCAGCCAAGCCGGCCCATGCGGATCTCATCTTGCCAATTACTCCTCAGCTGGGAGCGTCCGGACAACGCAGTATCTTCACTCTACCAGGTGACAGCGCAACGGTACAGCAGACGTTTCCTCGGAACATCAGCCATGCTACGGTATCTATCGCTGCTACAGGCCAAAGCAACGAAGAATTCTGGTACACCAATGCCCTCCAATCCGACATTCACACTTTCGAGTCCACTGTTGGTACTCTACTTGGCTATGGTCCTTTCCGCGAAGTCCAGTTGTTCATTGATGATATGATGGCAGGTGTGGCATGGCCATTTCCCATCATCTTCACTGGTGGTATTGCTCCTGGCTTTTGGCGTCCGGTAGTAGGCATTGACGCTTACGACTTGCGAGAGTATGAGATTGATATTACACCCTTCTTGCCCTATCTTCTGGATGGAAAGCCGCACGCTTTCAGCATCAGAGTCGTCGGTATGGATGACAACGAAGGCAATGGCCCGGCAACACTGTCGGAAGCCAGCATCAACAGCTACTGGCTGGTCTCGGGCAAGATCTTCCTTTTCTACGGCGATGAAAGCTACAACGGCACACATGCTGCTCCTACTATTTCTACCTCACCAGTCGTCCAAACTACCTCCAATATCGGCACTACGAACAATGGCATCAACTCAACCAACTCAACATTGTCTTACAGCGTTACAGCCAAGCGAACCTACTCCGCCAAATCCAGCTTCGGCAGTTGGACTCAAAGTCTCGACTACAGCAATACTGGCTTTCTCGGACAGGGTGGGCTCGCATCGTCAAACATCCAGAAGACCGCTGGTACCTCAGCTGCAGTCGTGAATAGTGCACCAGACTTTTCCAATACCTTAAGCTACACCTATCCAATCATCGCCAACACAACTTACGCGTCAGCCAATTTCTCAATCTTCAATGCTTATGTGGATTATGGACTCAAAATCTCCTCTTCAGGAAGACCCGATGTCTCGACTTATAGTTTGGTCAGCGGACCTATGAATCTGGACGAGAGACAGTTTGGTGAAGCATACTATTCGAGTGTGCCTAACAGCAGTTATTCGTTCGGTATCATGGACCGAAAGTTCAAGGAAGTGAGCTATGGTACACCGTACTCGAGACATGTCAAGACCAACAACTTGACTATCACTTATGACTCGACGGCCTGAGCTTGGATGAGCTATCATAATGCTCCCCAAGGCTTGCCGGATCTAGTAATTGTTGTTCGGAGCGATAATACTATCGTGATAAAATGGCGTGAGTTGGAAAACGATCACATCATCGATCATGTAGCGAAAGTCATTATATACAATTACATCAAACATCAGAGAGAGAGAGAGAGAGAGAGAGCAGTCATTCTAGTGCTCGAATCCATATCCCATCGTACCGTTCAAATCTCTGAAATCACCTCTCAACGAATTCACACCTTCCTTCTTGACCTCCTCAACCAACGCCTTGACCTTCGGTGCAATAGCCTTTGCATCGAATCCAAAATGCTCATAAGCCTTCTTACCAGGCAATGACTTACCAAATGTAGCCATCGAATATCCAGCATCTGCATATCTCTCCCATCCATTGATAGCGTAAGCTTCAATGACAACTCTGGGGGCATTACTGCGGTATTTGAGAACAGATTGCTTGTACTCCTTACTCTGCTGTTCGAACAGACGTTGGCAGGGGAAAGAGACGACGCGGGCTTTGATGCCGTGGTCAGACTCCAACAACTTCTTCGTCTCGACCGCGCAGAACATCTCAGCGCCCACACCGATTAGAGTGACGTCGGCGTCTTCTTGCTCCATGAGCACGTAAGCGCCCTTTTGAACACCTTCGCGACTGCTGTGTTCGGGGTATTGAGGAAGGTTTTGGCGGGACAGAGAGATGATTGAAGGTGTGGTGTCGGCTTTGATGGCGGCGATGAAGGCACCGGCGGTTTCTTCCGAGTCGCAGGGGCGGATGTAGAGGAGATTGGGCATGCTGCGGTAGAGGGAGGCGAGGGCGATGGGTTGATGGGTAGGGCCATCCTCGCCGGTGCCGATGGAGTCGTGGGTGGCGATGTGGATTTGTTGGAGGCCTTGGAGGGCGCCCATGCGGATACCGGGGGCGGCGTAGATGTAGAACATGAAGAAGGATGAGGTGATGGGGAAGATGGTGCCTTTGTTGAAGGCGGCAAGACCATTGGAGATGGAGGCCATGGCGTGCTCTCGGATACCCCAGTGGATGTAGCGACCAGAGTAATTGCCGTTGATACCACATGCGGTCTTGAGCTCGGGGTTCTGGAAATCAACCTTGTCCTTCCAGGTCATGTTGACCGAAGGAGTCAAGTCTGCTGTGCCGACCATGAAGTTTGACAGGTTTTGTGCAAGAGGGTTGCATACCAGACCTGCAGACTTTCTGGATGGTGTGGGTGAAGTGGGGAAGCTGCCCTTTTCAGGGATGATCTTGGTCCAGTCCTTGGGCATCTTTCCTGCAACACGCAGCTTAAACTCCTCAGCGAGCTCAGGGTACTCCTTACTGTAGCCATCCAAGAGATTGCTCCACTCCTTCTCATAGTCCTCGCCTCGGGATTTTGCCTCGCGGAAGAAGTCGTAGACTGTGTCAGGGACGACAAAGTGCTCCTCGGGGTTCATGCCGAAGGTACGCTTGATGTTGGCAACATCCTCGGCACCGAAAGCAGCACCATGAGCTTTTGCATCACCAGCTGATGCACTACCGATACCGATGATTGTGCGGATGTTGATGAAGGTGGGCTTGTCACTTGCGCGGGCAGCTACAAGTGCCTGGACGACACCGGTGATGTTGGTGGTGCCGTCCATGACATCAATGACATTCCAGCCGCAAGCCTTCATCTTCTCGTTCACGTCGTCGTTGCATGTGATATCGACCGAACCGTCACAAGTGATCTGGTTGTTGTCGTAAACGAGAGCAAGATTGTTCAGCTTCCAATGACCAGCAAGGGAAACAGCTTCCAGAGCAACACCTTCTTGCAGACAGGCATCTCCGATCATGCAGTATGTCATGTTATTGACAACCTCGTAGTTGGGCTTGTTGTATGTGGCAGCGAGATGCTTTGTTGCCATGGCCAAACCAACAGCATTTGCAACACCTTGTCCGAGGGGACCAGTTGTGACTTCAATACCCTCATGCTCAATTTCTGGGTGTCCAGGACAGATCGAATCTGTGCGTTCTGAGTGATATGATTTGAGTTGGTCAATAGTCATGTTCTTGTATCCGACCAAGTGCATGAATGTGTATTGGAAAAGACATGTGTGGCCGTTTGATAAGACGAAGCGGTCTCTGTTGAAATACTTGGGGTTGCTTGGTGAGTATTTCATGGCATATTTCCAGAGCGAGACACCAATGGCTGCCATACCCATGGCACCTATTTAATTACGTCAGTCTTGCAAATAAATTCTAGGCATGTTCGACCAATGGCTTACCACCAGGGTGGCCACCCTTGAATTGCTCGCATAAATCCGCAATCAAGCAGCGGAATACTCGCAGGACTTGGTCATGCTTGTCTGCCTCCTCCAGCTGTAATGTTGCAGCGCCGTTGGTACCATCAATTTGTGTACCAAGTACCTTCACGGGAATACCGGAGGTAGCGTCTTCGTAGTGTTCAAGGGAGGGCGCCATGCTGTATACTAAGAGATTCTGAGATAAGGGGGAGGAATGGAAGGACAGAAGCTGCACGGCGGTCCATTGCCTTTATCAATGATGTCGATAATGGTGACCATGTCACTGGTACCTCTACTCAAATTCATCTTGAGCGGCATTCTTACTTTGATGTGCAAATGGCATTGTTAGAACTGGGAAACCCGAGTGCGGGGTCAATAAATGAGCGCTTCGGTTTCCCTTGGTTGATTGTGGCGCTTGATTTTGCTTTGAGAAACGGTGGACACTTGTGATGTAGTTGTCAAAAGTCGTGGTAAAACATGGGTCGATCTCCCGAAGCTGTCAGGAGTTTTGACCACGACGTCAAGAGTCGCAGCCGGAAGAGGTAAATTCCAGCGCTTCCGCGACCGCCTCAGTCGCTTTCAATCTTCATCCTCTGTAGAGGGCAGTCGCAGCGCAGAAACCCCCCACCTTAAGTTGACAGTATGATTCGATAGTGGGTTCTGTTGACCTGTTTACTGGAGCCTCATGGCCTTTGCTGATTGCGCGTGCCCTGGGTGTCTGATACGTACATAATGGTAGGTGTCGCTGGATCGTGTTGTGTCTTCGACTTTTTGTTCTCTTCACACAACTCCGAACATTCTTACCTTACCCATCTTTCCCTCTAGCAATCTCTAGTCGTCACCCAAATATGGCACCAGGCATTGTCTCCGACATTGAACTTCCTAGGGACATCCCTGAGTCCCAGCTATCAGCTGCCAATGTGCCCATTGAAAAGGCATTTGGCTTGAAGAACAGGACTATCATCATTACTGGAGCTGGACGCGGGCTCGGCATAACACTTGCTGTCGCAGTCCTCGAGTCTGGCGCCGATGCTATCTGTCTCGATATTCTTCCCGAGCCCAGTGCCGAGGAGTGGGATGTGATCACGAGATTGCAAAAGAGCACCGGTGTTCGTGCCACCTATCACCGCTGCGACATCACCAACGAAGAGGCAGTCGAGAAGGTCGTTGCTGAATGTGGAGAGGAGGCACGCCAGCGCGGAAAGCCAGTCAAAGGCATGATTTCGTGTGCCGGCATTCAGCAAATGGTCGACGCGATTGACTACCCGATGGACGGATTCAGGAGGATCATGGAGGTGAATGTCGCAGGCAGCTTCCTCATCTCAAAACACACAGCACGCCTGCTTCGCGATCAGAAGCTTGGTGGCAGTATTGTGATGATCGCATCCATGTCAGGCCAGATCGCCAACCGTGTAAGTCAGAGTCAAGATTACAGTCTTGTAATGCTCTTCTGACCAGATCGATAGGGTCTCCACTGCTCAGCATACAACACCAGCAAAGCCGCCGTACACCAAATGTGCCGTTCTCTCGCATACGAATGGGGTCAGTGGGGTATCAGAGTCAATACACTCTCCCCTGGATATATTCGTACGGCCATGACTGATGGTCTGCTGCAAGAGAAGCCCGAGGTTGAGGAGTCATGGATGAGAGGAGCTCTCCTAGGAAGACTGGGCGCACCCGAAGACTTCAAGGCTCCTTGCGTGTTCTTGCTAGCAGATGGTAGCTCTTGGATGACTGGAGCAGATTTGAGGGTGGACGGCGGACACTGCGCAACTGCATAAATGCTTCGTGGACGATGATGGTATATAAATCTCTCAAACTAGACTTTTCAGACCAATTATGTCAGTAGATGAAGACCTTGAGGAAATGGCTGAACAAGTCCCTCAAAAAAGCTATGTCGATGCAAGATTTCTCGTGTTTAGCAAGTACCGATAATGGCAGCTCCTGAATCGTGCTTGCCAATGTACTGTGACTGGAAGTATGATGCTCTGTGGTCGGATGCTCGATGTCTACATTGGACTAGAAAATCCGGCACACACGAAGAACTCCCGTTGAATCAAGTAGAGTTTGCGTGGTGTTTGCGAGAATGTCGATATATCTGTGTGTCAGCCCTCGTCCTCGCCGTTGTTCTCTTGTCTTTTCTTCGCTTGCCCGCCCCGCACTCGTCAGCGCGTCCGACCTTCCTTCCCAGCCACCCCGGCAAATCTCCTTCTCACCAAACAACACCGTGATCGATGCGATCGAGTCGACATGCCAGAGCTGCTACTCCAGAAGACAAGACTGGGGCTCTGGCAGTGTACGAGGCGTCGCCTTCACCACCCCACGATGTTGAGAAGGGTCCCTCAAAACGCTCGCTCCGCGGTCGCTCAGGCTGTTTGAACTGTCGCCGGCGACGAAAAAAGTGCGACGAATTAAAACCGAGGTGTGCAAAATGCAAGCGACTCGGCGAAGAGTGTGAATGGGATTCGGGGCTCAGCTTCCGCTTTACTGCATTAGAAGCCGATCACCCAAGCATGATTGCTGGCCAGAGGATCGCTGCCACTGTGTCAAACCTGCAAATGGTCGACGTTATCTTCAATCACGACACTCACGAGTGTACCGAGTATCTCAATGGCCAAGAGATGACCTCAGTCGACGAATTCGCCGAGGATGAGAATCATACCTCCCTGGATTGGAACATGGACCTGGACAGCCACGACATCACGCAGCCTACAATCCAGGAGCAACAGATGGCTGGAAGGAGATACACATTGGATAGCTATTCGCCAGAATTACAGCGCTTCTCTCTCCCCAGGACCCAGTCTCACGATGCCAATGCTACACGAGAAAGTAGGCGTTCCCACAGTCTTGCCGGAGCCGAGAACGAAACACAAGCCCATGTCACGTTCCAGACACCGCTCTCATCTATAGACAACCCTCTATCGGCTCCTAGTCTTCCAACCATCCGAGAAGACGATCACTTACTTTCCTTTACACTGCCTGAGTTGGAGTCCCTTGATTACCTGACGGATCGAGACCCCTTCCAAGCTTTCGGCGACTCATTATGGCCGCCCATGAGCAATGGGGAAGCCGATACACTGCTAGACATGGATCATGTTCCAGCGGAGTCACCAGACATGTATGCCATGTACTACCCTAACGCCACGTATCGAGAGCTACACACAACACTATACAACGCCATGGTGGATACCGCAAGGGGTACCGGACTTACGCGAACAGGTACTCCGGATTCTGAAAAGTCGCAGAAAGTGGCAGGTCATGAAACGGTCAGCCATACGCCTCAATTCGGGTCAATCCAGAGGGATACAGCTACTATCAGCAATCTACCCAAAGGTATGACAGTACGACGAGAAATGGAGCTTTGGCGGAATTACCTCGATGAAATCGCCCTTTGGTTAGATATGTTTGACAACGACCGCCACTTTCAGATCCATTTACCTCTGCTCGCTCAGAGTTCGGAGCCACTACGCCTGTCTGTACTAGCTCTCTCGGCAAGGCAGATCGAGCGAAGAGATCCAAACAAGCCCTACACAGAGAGTCTGGCGTTGTATCAGGAAGCGATTCGGCTGATTGCTGCCGAGCTAGAGGGCATGAGCACTGAAGTCATCGGGAGCTGTGTCCTACTCTGCGTCCTGGAGATGATGAGTTCCTCACCCAAAGATTGGACACGACATCTCAATGGTGCGGCTATGCTGCTCAAAGCCGCCGGTATCAATGGTGTTGTCGGAGGTATGCGACAAGCCATCTTTTGGTGCTTTGCACGCATGGATATGTGGGGTGGTTTTCTCTCTGGTTCTCACACAAAGATACCAACAAGTCTTTGGTTCCTACCGACAGGCTCAATGTCAACGGCAATATCGAGGTTCAAAACCGACTTCCAGAATTTCGACAGCTATGCGAACTACTCATTGTTCCTCTGCGCCAGTGTCTTGAACGTTGTATCGAGTCGGGGTACTTCCACCGAGGGCGACAGCTCATATTCTGCCAAATGGAGAGCTCTTTTCGACCTTTTGATAGACTGGCATGCCAATCGGCCCCGAGAGATGCAACCCCTGATTCCCGGAACCAGTGAGAAAGATGATGAGGGGCCATTTCCTGTGGTCATCTACACCAACGCTGCTGCAGTCAGTGCTAATCAGCTATACCACACGGCCACGCTGTTGATGCTACAAGCAAAGCCCAGTGGCGTCAAAGTGCGGGGCCAAAGGTCAATGTTTTGGCACGCTCGGCAAGTCATTGGTATTTCAGTGAGCAACCTGCTTCACGCCGCCTGGACCAATGCGCCGCAGCCAATCTATATCGCTGGCAAAGTCATGTCGAGCAAGGCCGAACATCGTGTGGTACTGGATGCGCTCGCAGAAATCGAGAGAACCACCGGCTTCGCAACTCAATGGAGGGCGCAAGATCTAAAGAAATACTGGGGCGATGAGGCAGATTGACAGCATGTCTGCAAATTTTTACAAAGTACGGAAATTTCAAGGCAGTTCATGGGCTCTAAATCGCCACGGCGCTTCCAACTCATGCGGTTTGACACTTCCTGCTAATTCGGGACAAGGTCTCCCCACCGGCATTTCCACCAAATTTGTTCCATGCGCTTCGTTGATGTGATTTCCTTGTATCTCTATAACTTCGCTTCCAGGATCTATCTCATGTGCTTGCGCGGTTGAAGGTGAAGACACTGCTGTTGTGGGAGAAGATGCCATTGATGAAGAAATTGTGCTTCTGAGTTCTGCTTTCCCCGACATCTCCGGCTCGTCCGGTAAAATCTTGATCGCCCGTTGTTTTCTTCTACGGAGGAAGAAGAATAGTAAAATGCCAAGAAGTATCAGTACAGCAGCTGCCACACCCACACCAATTCCCGCTTTTGCGTCCGTGGAAAGTCCACGGGAAGATGGGACTGCAGAACTGGTTTCCGTGTCTGCAGTTCTTGTCGAGGTGGGAAGGTTCCAAGCACTAGCAACAGCCAAAACAGGCGCGGCCGCTGGAGTAAAAGACTGTAAATCTGCAGATCGCCATGCCACATTTATCGGTGTCGCAAGACCAGTGAATCCATCCGAGATCGCAAACGTATTTGTGAGGTCGGGCATTAAAGCATAAGTCGGTGTTGAGATTACTGTCTGGCAGTTGTTGTCCACCAAACTCATTCCAGAAGGACAGCAGTTTGCGGAAGTGGTTGTTTGGTAGGAGAATATGCCGACGTAGTTGTAGCCTTCTGGACATACACCGGGTAGATAATAATTCACTTTCGCAGTATTCCAGGATGGGGGATAGCACGCATATGTGGAGTTGTATTGTGCGTCCCAAGTTCCAATGGTGCTGCTATTTGTGGCCCCGAGCGTAAAAGGTCGAGTCGAACATGATGTTGGCGGCGTGAAGATTGTCGTCAATGGCAGGTCCGTTAATGTTGCAACCGAGGTTACTACGACTGTGATTGCTGCAGAGTTGTCCGGAGATGATGCAGCGGCCGGCGCAGAAGATGCAGCAGCGGGACTAGGAGTAGAAGAGGGGTTCTCAGAAGATGCGACAACTGACGATGCTAGAAGCGTAGGTGTTGGCGACGAGGATGCGACAAGCTCAGATGATTCTGCTATCGAATCTGCGACCGATGATGACGCTGTACTCGAGGCTCGCGGGGATTGAGAATTACTGCTGCTGACTGTGACTAGTGAGGTTATCACATCAGTGATTCCAGCGATACTGCTAACAGCGCTTGCAGACAAAGACATGGTGTACGGCTGATAGACACAAAGGTAAGAAGAGCAAATACGAAAGGGAGCGGGCTCATATTATGGCGATGACGATCAGCCGTTGAGGTTGCTATTCTCTACGGCCACTTGGGACGGTTCGCTTCGATGGTATAAGCCAAGTCATTGGCAAGACCCTTGGCCTAAATGTAGAACGAGGCTTGTAGGAATTTAGAGTTCGGAGGTAGCTGCCAAGAATAGTAACAGTCCATCCTGGAGGTTTGCATAAATTTGTACATAAATGTGCACATCAAGATTGAATTGGGTGCCGGGAGTCGCAATTCTTTCGCGCTTTCCGCAAATATTGAGTAGAGGATCATGTTTGACGCATTCGACTGAGGGTGGATCTCTGTGTCAAGAGGATCGCGAGAAGAAAATTGCCCTTAAATATCAATGATCAGGCGTATCGGAAGCGTCATGGTTGGCAAAGGTGCTGAGAATCTCCGAGGGCCAGCAGTCCTTTCAGGCCAAACATCGTCTATCAGTGGCCAGTTCCATTCGTCGCTTTGTCTTAGTACATCTGCACCTCGACGAGAGCTCTTCCGACACCAGATTCCATTCCAGGAACGCCAGAATTCTCGACTTCGTATGCCACTGCACCCTTCTCCGCACACACCTCCTTCAAGTGATCAACACTTCCTCCGACGCCAAAGTAGAATCTCTTTGCGGCTACGATCGCCTTGGCCATCTTTGTTCGGCTGAGTAAATTGATCAAGAGGTCCACAAATGCTGTTGTTGAAGCTGGGCTGTAGATGGTCTCGCTTGCAAGGATCAAACTGCCCATATCCGGAGCAGACTCTGGGATCAGGGAAGCAAGAGTAGGACCCCAGGGACCAGAGATGAAGGAGAGCTGGATGTGAGAAGCAGCAAGAGAAGCAAGGAACTCTGGGAAAAGTGCGGGAATGTTCTCAAGATCTCCCGAAGGCTCAGCTGCCAGGTCGATCAACGGTGGTGAGGTAGTCGCTGCCCAGGTAAGGATGAGATTGGGCAAAGTCACCAGTCGCAAGACGCTACTGTTGTAGTCGGTGAGGGTAAATGTTTGTGCAATGCCATTCCTTAGTGCATGTTGGAATAGAGTCAAAGACGGCAAGGCAGATCCAGCTCCAAGTTCGACAACTCCATCACAGCGGACCAACTCGTCAATGTCCTTTCTTGGGCCACGGTCCAGAAGAAGACTTGACAGATCAATGCTACACTCCCAAGTTTTGAAACCACCCTCATAGACGTTTGTTCTGAGGTCTGTTTGCTCCAGATCACGCAAAGTCGCGTCGTTGTCGTTCTCCGCAGAAGCTTCGGACATGAGTTGAACGCGGATATCGAACAGCTCACGCCGCGGCAAGAGCAGCGTCTTCCCAGTTGGTGATGTGATTTGAGCAGTGCTGTAGCATAATCTGTCGGGCAATGTTTCGTATAATTGTCTCAAGTCGTGTTGCATGACATTGACAAGCGGTGCTTGTACCTCGCTTGTCGCGTTCATGTCGGATGGCGCATCAAGAGTTGGCACATCTTGATCGACTGTCTGGTCGATGTCATCGCCACCAAAGTTGAAGCTGAAGGCCATGATGTGTTTGTTCCTGCAAGAAGTTGGGTGTTCATGGGATTTGCAAAGGCCGAGAAGTTTTCGGAGTCGCGAACGCCAAGAGTTTGCTTCCGTAGCGGAATTGGTTCCCAACGAGGACGAGTACTCTAGATGACCGGGGGACACAAAGATTAACCATGTTTGCAGACATGTTGGAGAAGGAAAGCCCTGAATGAGGTATACTTTTGTATACTCGTCACATCTGATGTGATGGCAATGGATCATTCTTGTACCTGCTTGTGTCGGTGAACAGAGAAGGCAGCAATAGCCGAAGGCCCAAGCGCCACCAATTCCTCCTTCTGTCAAGCCCGGCAAGCACTTCATCCTTCCTCTTCAATCAACATCCATTCGAATATCCATATTGTAGGTTCTTGGGCCTAGTAGAAAGTCTTTAGAGCTGGCTCGGAGATTGCCTTGGCAAGCGAATACTATTATCCGTGTCCGACACGTCGAAACCTTGAAGCAGTACGGTCACAATATTCTCAAAGTGACTCAGCCGCGTTCGCAGCTGTCATTCTGTCATTTTCTTCCATCATCTTGACAATCTTCTTCCAACAAGCAACACAAATCAACCTCATCAGTTTTACCAAGACATATTTCTATCATGGACGACTCAATCTTCGGCCCTTTCCCGAACAGAGCTCTGATGATATCCGACGAAGGCATCTTCTTCAGGCATGAGGGGAACGATCGACCCATAGATCTGGATTACAACGTCGGGGCGCTGGAAGAATTCTTTACTGTGCCCGAAGACGTTCACGCCGAGTCTTGTCCTGCATGCGACGACATAGCCGCAGGAACAACCTCTCTTTCCGAAGAATATCCTCATGGCTGGAAGCTCGTGTCATGCCACCGACATGCTAGAATCTTGAATGATATCACCGATAACACTAGATTTGTTGGTGGAGTACGCGAAAACAGTAGAGCTGCTGCGACTCGCTACTACAAACGCCAAAGCAAACAAAAAGAACGGCGTAAATCAACCCCTGCAACGGCAGAATCGACCACTGTCGCAACAACAGCCCTTGCACCACCGGAATCAGCAGAATGTGCCATCTGCCTAGAGGCAAAGCCGAATATCAAAATCGACTGCGGCCACACTTTTTGCTCCCCGTGTATCGCACATTGGGCCGAAGAACAAATCGATCATAATCTCGCCGAATGGTTCGAAGAGTGCCCTGATGTGCTAATCGAGTTCCCTATCCTCAAACATCACGCCAAATCTCGATACACGTGTCCAATGTGCAGATATCATGGTCAGCACACAAAACAAAGTCGACGTGGAAAGAAGACCTGGAACAATGTCACAAGAGGTCTGCCGCCTATCGACTCATCGAGGGGTAGGAGAGGTGGACAGAGAAGGAGGAGGGTGAGAGAGGCACATGAAAGAGCAGCTGTGGAGGGAGCGACAATTGATTTGCCACGCGCACCTCCGAGCATGCCGTTAGTGACTAGACTGCCCCCTATATCTCCTGAAGTGAGATCGACGAGACGGCAGCGCGTGCATGGCAGACCAAGAGGGTCTAATCACTGAGGAACTTTCTGTGGAAATGGTGACCAACTCCAAACTCAACTTTGCATTGCGTCGCAACACTAGAATGTGAGACTGGGGAGCGTATACAGCAGTTTTGAGCTGGCTGCGTCTCCTCTCGATTCTCCAAGAACAAAACCAAGTGTCGGTACATGTCGCGATTTCTGATCGAGCCCCTCGAATGGCAGCCGTCGAGGGGATCGAGCTGGACAGACCCTGATTGGCTGCATGGAAGGACGAACGTGCCGTACTAAGGACATCCCTGGGAATAGACCATCTTTTCTAGAAAGCACTCTGCACTGTATCGCATCATCAGGATGTAGGAGGTGAACCTGTATAGAGCAGTATAGAGGTGAACATGCTCTGGGCCGAAGACCTTGCAACGAGTACCGAAAGCAGCATGATGGCTGTCGTGGAAACAAACCGAAGTAAGGCTTTGCAGCAGACAACGAGAGATGAAACAGACTGGCGAGGTCGGTAATTACCAAGACGCGGCAAAGTATGTAGCAGTGATAACGACAGCTTCAACGCAACGGCGACAGCGCGTTATCTAGGGGCAACGACTTCCTGACTCAAGGTCTGAGCAATGTCGAGATCAAAGACGTCTTGTTGGTGAGCTTGCTGGAGATAGGCGATTGTGCTTTTGTTTCTCGTCGACGCGTGATGCATCGCAGACTGCTGTCGCCAAGTTTCTTTGCTTGTGGTACCATCGAGTACATCCTCTTCACAATTGCCGGATCAGCTCGACGTTCTGCGTAAGCGCGTATCGCAATCCATGAGAATGTCGCGAGAGACTTCATCCACTATCGAGAGATCCCGTTGAAATCGACCACAAACTCGAGGGTTTTGGTGCAAGGATTCAAATCCTAACAATTCGAGACGCACACTTCCACCCTTCTTTTCTGTTGTTATCACAGCCACATTTGCTTAAGCCGTGAATACGCTGCTCGGCCACTCCGTCAGAGCCAAGAGATAACACTGACGAACGAGATGTGCTGAACAGATGATTGGAAAGATAAGAGATAAGGCGAAATGAGGGAATCGGCCCGGGAAATCATGAAGTTGATACCAACTTCAAAAAAAACATCATGTCTGACAATGGTCAGCATATGTTCTTGCAAGAGTTCAGAAATCTCATGATCCAGGTCTGACAAGATGGAACAAGCAAGACCGGTATCAGAGATAGCATTTGGATTGCACCGCCCCAGAAAAAGCCCTCCATGTCACCAGATCCTGAAGTTTGGGAAGTAACGTTCAAGACTTGACCAGAAGCTTTCTTCCCCAGACGTTCTAGATGGGCTGGAAATATGTCTACAAGGGTACATGCGCGACTAAAACCATTACGTCTGGCACTTCACGTGCCTTATCGCCCATACCGGCGGTATCCAAACGGTCTGGGCGGAGCAGGCGGTGGCGGGCCAAGTCGCGCTACTCCGCACCAAAGGCGCCTCCGCCTGGGAAACATGTCCTAATGTGGGGGCCGCTGATAGCCGCATACTTTGCTACCCTACTCTTATCATCCTTGGAGTTCACGCCTGGACCACATCCACAGCTGGTGGCGTGCACCCATCCGGAGAACCATCCATGAAGACGTTTTCTTGAACAATTTGGCCAGCATGTCACTGATATATAGTGTAGCGGCCTTGCGCCATCCCACTCTTTCCTCCCCATTCACACTTTCGCTCATACCTCCGCTCACTAACGTTTCATTCTTTTTCACCTGAATCCACCATGTCGTGGTTCAAGGATACCGAAAAGACCGGCGAGTTCGTCTCAGCGACTCCCGATGCTCCTTTCGATGCCCCATACGAGGAGGGCGAGATTGTCGAGAACACCGATCACCTCCATCGTCGTCTTGGAAACAGACAAATCCAGCTCATGGCCATTGGCGGCACCATTGGTACTGCCCTTTTCGTCAGTATCGGTGGTGGTTTGTACAAGGGTGGGCCGGGATCGCTGTTCCTCGCATACACTATCTACGCTTGCTTCCTCGGTCTCGTCAACAACTGTATCGCAGAAATGACTATCGCATATCCCGTCTCTGGTGGTTTCATCCGTCTAGCTGGTCACTTCGTCGATGATGCCTTTGGCTTCATGGCTGGTTATAACTTCTTCATCTATGAAGCGCTCCTGATTCCTTTCGAAATCACTGCTCTTTCCACGGTGCTTGACTTTTGGAGCGATGACATCCCACCATGGGCTATTCCTCTCGCTTGTATTGTATGTCTTTCAAATACAAAATGCTCAACAGCAGGCTTTAGACTAACGCACAATCCAGATTCTCTATGGGTATGACTTCCAGCGCGACTTTCCTTTTCCCATTGCGACATTTCCTAGTGCGACGTTTCCAAAGCAGCTCCGAACTCTCTTTCTTTTCTCCCAAGCAACATCATCCAGAATGCGCCCTTTGGATCTTCTGCCCAACGCATTTGGCTTCTCTCTCCCGAGCATGTCCTTTTTGTCACCCTTGCGACTTGATCAATACTTACATCCCATGCGACTCATTTCATAACTTCCGTTGGTCCTTTTGCTGACCTTCTCGTTTAGTATCCTCAACGTTCTTGCTGTCAAGGCATTCGGTGAAGCCGAATTCTGGCTCTCTGGTGGCAAGGTACATCGTCCAATATCCTCGCGCTTGTACTCGCGTGCTAACACTACACCAGGTCATCCTGATCATGATTGTCTTCTCATTCACCTTCATCACCATGGTCGGTGGTAACCCTCAAAACGACGCATACGGATTCCGCAACTGGAAGCACAACGCCTTCAAAGAGTGGAGAAGCACTGGAACTCTCGGTCAGTTCGAGGGCTTCTGTGCTGCTCTCTGGTCCGCATCATTCTGTGTCACTGGTCCTGAATACATCTCCATGGTCTCTGCCGAAGCCAGACGCCCTCGTGTTTACATCAAGAACGCCTTCAAGACTGTCTACTTCAGATTCGCATTGTTCTTCATGGGAGGTGCAATGGCAGTCGGTATCGTCCTCAGCTCTACTGATGCTACTTTGACTGGTATCATCACTGGTGAATCGAGCGGATCTGGAACTGCTGCTGCCTCGCCTTACGTTATCGCCATGAAGAACATGGGTATTGGTGGCTTGCCTCATTTGGTCAGCGCTCTCTTGGTTACCTCTATCTTCAGTGCCGGAAACACCTACACTTTCTGCGCCACTCGCAGTTTGTACGGCCTCGCTATTGAGGGCCGTGCTCCCAAGGCCCTCCGCTACTGCACCAAGAGTGGTGTACCCCTTGTCTGCTTCGCCATTGTCATGATCTTCCCTTGCCTTGCTTTCTTGCAAGTCAGCAGCGGATCCAACCTCGTCTTGGGCTGGCTCATCAACCTCGTCACTGCTGGTGGTGTCATCAACTACCTGGTCATGTGTATCACTTACATCTTCTTCTACCGCGCTTGTCAGGCCCAGGCTCTGGATAGAAACACTCTCCCCTACAAGGGTTGGTTCCAGCCATACTGCGTAAGTCCCCGAATTCCTCACTGCGTTCTTGGAGCAAAAATCACTAACAGCATGTCCAGGCATACCTTGGAGCAGCTTGGATGATCATGATTGTCTTCTGCTATGGCTACACTTCCTTCGCCCCATGGTCCGTGTCGAACTTCTTTATTTACTACACCCTACTTTTGGTCGCACCAGTCACCTACTTCTCATGGAAACTCATCAAGCGCACCAAGATCGTCAAGCCCCTCGAAGCTGACTTGGTCTGGGAACGCCCCACCATCGATGCATACGAGCAAACTTTCATCGACCCCCCTATGACTTTCTGGGGCGAGATGTTGGGACCTCTGAAGTTCGGAAAGATGAGAAATGCTAGTGATAGGCAAGCCAGTGTTTCTCAATAGATGTAGACGTTATGATTGGATATGATATTCGGATATATGACTTTTGGACACCAAAAAATAGGGGTTCTAGACAGTGGAATGTGTGTGGTTCCAGCATCAATGCTATGTTTTGTACTCTTCCAATCTTTCCTGTTGATAACACGTGAGGACATACGAATACGTGAAGTGAGGTGGTATAATGAGGAGTTGTGCTTAGTAGTAACACCATTTTAAGAAGCGAGGCTGCCCCTACCTATCTAGTCGACATCGATTGACATCCTGAACCAAATCAACAACATCAACTTCTGAACCTCGAGTATTCCACCATCAAGGTATCGTGTCGCCCCACACTAAAGACTACCAACTAGTCGACGCCTGCGTCAGAAGTCATGTCCGCGATAGCTGTCAACAACTGCGACTGCAAGAAAACGTGTCGCACTTCAACATACCGTACACAATCAATCGAACATACGCATTAATCAGCAGAAACATAAATCTTCCAATCAAAATTTCGAGACGCAAAAGAACAAGATCAGGTGTCATCAAGGATATCTCTCCTCATACATCAGCCATCCTCGAACCACCCCATCAAAAGATATACGAAACATTGCACAAATATCTAACAAGCAGTTCAAAAACAAATAAGTCATGGAAGGGAAAAGTGGACACCAGATAAAAAGTCTCCACCGTATCCGCCGCACCCCGGAATGGGGAAACCACCAATCCTCGCATCCGACACATTACCTCAAATCCAATTCCTAGGACGGGTGGGAAAAAAGCAATTCCCCATGTAGTAAATTCTCTACGAAAAGCTTTTTTGTTCTCGTATGCAAGTTCTGGGGCCAATGGAACACAGTGATCAAGTTTCAAGAAGAAAGGTACGGTAGAGATTATCTCATCACAGAGGTTTGTGGAGGATGCAGAGAGTTTCCGAGAGATTTGGCAGTGTTGTAACTTATGGTATGTAAAGCATCCCGTGTGTGTTTCTTTTTATGAGTTTTTGACAAGCAGTGAAGAAAACGTGCTTGAAGGGGTATAAAATTAGGATACATATTGTGCGGTATAGGTCGTCAAAAGTTGACACTGCTCCGGACATCGAAGATCGCCATAAAGATGCTCGCTCCGGGGATTTTTTGGAGGCATGTAAAAGCCCACAGATGTTGCATCGAGACCGGGTCTAGAGATCAATCTTTCACAGAAAAAACCAGTCGTACCAACCCAAAAGAGCAGTTTCTAGGCGCTGCGTACGATTGAGTGGCTCAAGAACGTCCTGCGGGGTGACCGACACACGGCCGGAGAGAACGTTTTGCTGTATCCGCGCGAAGTCCGGGTATCTCTAGAGCTGCGGTGGTCAACAGACTTGATATATCCGTATCATCGTCAGAATCTGATGACCAATCCAGATGCTGCGAACATGCAGGGATGCTTTCTTGACGATGCGCATAAAAGTTCGCCTATCAAAACGATTAGTTCTTGAGTGTGAACGAGATGATAGGCAAGGAAAAAGCAACCATCTGGGTCCGCACCGCTGTAAACAACTGCTTGGACAGAGGATTACGGAATCGATCAAGCTCGCGGTGTTTTAAAAGAGTAATACTACCATCGACATGATCGTGGTAAAGACCTCTTGCTTGTATACCAATTAATGGTTGACAGCACTTTGGAGTGTATCAGTGATCTGTCTGTTTTATTGTTTGCAATGGCTCACATCATAGACCGACAGCAATAAAGTTGCCATGAGCGTCTCATTACTGCTGACTTGTACCAGATCCAAGAAAGCTCGTTGTACCTCTCGCAATACCAAACCGCATAGATGACACTCCGACACTCGGTCCCATTTCCAACTCCAGACGCGATCAAGTTCTTTACAACAAAGTTTTCTTCTTGCCTTGGCAAATTAGCAGAAGAACCACGAGTTTGCGGATGGAATGGGAAACCCTCTAAGGACGTGCAAACTGCAGTCTTGTCATTCTGCTATTGTAAAATTGGTCCTCTTCTATTATTCAAGTCCGTCGCCTGTGTCTCGCAAATCAATCTCGTCGTCATCGAATATAGGCATCAAATCCCCACCTGGCGCATCGAACCATGGCAACATGTCCAAGCCCAGTAGACTCATATCCACATCTTGACTCTCAATTAAGAAATCACCGAAACTGTCCTCGCCTTGATTCAAGTTGAGCATCTCTGATTGCTGGTTGAAGGAATTCAAAGGGACGTGGAGAGAGCTATTTTCGTTGTTGGGCTGACGTTGATTCAAGGGTGAAGAAAAGGTAGGAGGTGATGGTGCGATCGTCGCAAATGCGGATGCAGGTAGGGATGGGCGGTGACTTCGTTGCTGTGTTGAAGAGCGGGGTATGCTGTTTCCAGAATATGTACGTATGTGATGATTCTGTGGCTGGTGGAAGGAAGACAGGCTGTTTATGGGCATGTTGTTGAGGTCGAACGGATTGTTGCTGTCGAGTACTGAGTCCAACGATTGCTGTACATGCTCTTGATTGCCATTGGCGCCAGAGAAGTGCCATGCGACGTTTGTGTTCGGTGAATTGAGAGTGCCAGTCAGTGTCCATCCGATAGGTTGATTGGCTTCTCCCACTGCTGGCGGGGATCTGGCTTGCATGAACGAGCTCTGCATCAAAGCACTCGGGGACCAGGGATTGGGCGTAGATTTTTTCCTCCACCCTGGCTGATTGAAAGCAGGCTTTGGTTCAGGTGGCTCAAAAGCACTTTCACCTTCTTCGGCAGTGTAGAGCAGCGGATCTCCAACACCTTTGAACTTCTGATCCAACACTGTAATGATGTATTTCGTACCACCCCAGTATGTCTCGACACTTTGTAATGCTTTGTAGCAAAGCTGATAATGCTGATTCGCGGCTGTCGCGAGTAGAGTATGGCGCGCAAGAGCTCTTTCTACCATGGGCTGTCGGTTGCTGTTCGCCAACATGCTTGAGGGTCGCGTCATGTTGGCCATCTCCGCGATTGATGCCCCAGCTTGTGACTGCTGATCTCTTGCAGGACTTCCGGCGCGCGAGTTGGCGGACGACTGGGAGCGAGAATGTTCTTTCGAGGTCGCCGTTTGCTCGGCCGTCTCTTTGAGGAAAGCGCAAGCAGCAATATAGATGGGCTGCGTGGTAAATGGATTACCGAGACCCGCCTTCGTGTCGATGAGCTGCGAGTATGACAGAATATCTGCGATCGTTTTGGCGGAAGACATGGACAATGCTTGACTGTTAGGAAACAACTGGAGCATTTTGCCTTCAAAGGTCTTGAGCAAGGTTGGCTGATGAAGTAATACAATGAGAGTGTGGAACCAGAAATGTAAGAGAACAAAGTTGGTTCCTTCTCCGGCTTTGACGTAGTGATGGAAATTCATGGCTTGGAAGTGCAGTTTCGGTGACAGACCTGTGATATGTCAGTGCTAGTTGGAGTTTTTGTTTCAGAAAACGCACCTTGGTAGAAGTTTGTGACTCGCGCTTCCATCTCTGCCAGCTTCTGGGGGGTCTCTGCAGTGATGTCTGATGGCTCCTTAATGCCGTTTAGCAAATCCGCAACTCGGCCATAGAGGCAGACAATTCTGATTAATGCAGGGAAAGGGGAAGGCCAGCCGGTTTTTGGATCTAGCAAATCGAGCGGCGGAAAAGAGAGCTCGATGTCATCATCCTGCAATGTACTTCGTCGACCTGTGCCAGAAGAGACGACGCGATCCAGAAAGAAGACAGCCCAGAACGTATCAACCCGTTCCCTTTCCGCTGCTCTCTCTTCCTCTGCTACAGCGGCATCATAATCTTGGGAGTTGATGCGTCCAAGTGATCTCTCCAAATCCTTCTCCTGCCTCGAGTACTTGGGTGAGGAGCCATAACGACCCTCGTAGCGAAGTCCATCGCGCTTGTGCAAACCAAGATCTTGAGCCAATCGAATTGATATGCCAAGATACATCCAAAGGCCGCTATCTCGACTCTCGCCAAACTCGTTGTATGCAAGTAGAAGAGCGGCTTGAACAGCGGCGACACTCGGTGTAGCATAGGTTTCAATCAGAGCCACTTTTGCGCGGTGAGCAAAAGCTGAACCCTGCTCAGAATGGTTGACAGCATGACCTTCGCGTGGTTGCTCGACGATCAACTGATGAGTAGAGAAGCGAGCAGCGAGCGCGCATACAGCATCAACAAGGATTGCATCTACCTGCTTCTCCTCAAGGTCTTTCATAAAAGTGTCACGCTGGAGAAAGGGAAAGTTACAAGCAAGGTGGGTAAAGAAAGTCTCGCAAAGATGAGTGATTAGCTCGCTTGGTGGCATCGAAGAATTGTCGTAGAACGGCAAGACCTGGGGAGTACGCGCATCCGAATCATATGTAGCAGAATGATTGGACATGCCAGATGCGCCAGGCTGTGCACCGGTCGAGGGCGAGGTTACACCATCCACCATGGATGATGAGCGATTTACCTTGACGACCATCTGTTTGAAGCCCGGCATGATGGCTGTTGGACCAAGCCATCTGAAATATGGCATGCGATTCCGAGCGTTAGAAAAGATGGAAGGTCTCGGGAAGTAGCTCTGTTCGCTTTCAACTCTCGAAGGTTGTGGTCGAATATGCCCCGGATCAGCAGGGACTGAGTTGTTTGACACGAAGCCCATGCTCTGGCTCCGCGGCTTTGGGATAGTCGTCTTCTGTTTCCTTGGGGGAGGGGCTTTGATAGATTCTGCCGTCGCGGAACGATTCAAGGAAGGAGCTGAAACTCGCGGAGTCTCGACTTCGTCGCCATTGACATTTCCAGAGGAACCGTCGTCGGCATAGCCAGTACACTCCAGCCTGTTGTTGGTACACGTACTGCAATGTGGGCGTTCTCCAGAACAAGCGACCTTCCGTTTCCTGCAAACTAGACAGGCAGTAGACACGCGACGTCTTTTCGCCTGAGGAGCTCCTTGACTCGTGATGAAGCGTAGTTTCTTAGCCTGTGGTTCGGCTTTCTGCTTTTGTTTCGGAGCAGGCTGACTGAGTTGAACTGGTGGAGCAGGATCGTCCTGGTGATGAGATGACGGGGAGACGAGCTTCCCGGCCCAATCTCTTTGATGATAGCTAGTCATTACTCGTAGATAACATTTCAATATTCTTAGGGCAGGCGCTTCTTTGCCGATCAGAGAAGATGCGAAAAGATGGAGAGAAATGGGCCACAGCGAGTGGGGTTTGAGCGCATGAGAGCCGAGCGATCACGGAGGCCACTCCAACTAGCAAAGATGGGTTCGCTGGGGCAGGGGCACGGAGTTGATGGACAAGGATTCTCAGGGAGTCGAGTCACCTTCAAGCCAACAAGAGAAGTGTCAAGATGCGGAAAAGTCCCTGCAGAGAGGATGGCAAATTGGAAGACGGCCATGTCGTTCCTCCAACGTCAAGCCACAGGTCACCAGAGCCGATGGCCATCTCATTAGAAGATGCGGGATGCGGGGCGGCCAAAGTGCAAGAAGCTTTCCCCGCTCTTGCGCACGGATCCCCCGAGAGTCGACGACGCGGCGTGTGCCGGTCTGGAGGTTGCAACTGTCGTCGCCGACTTTTTGGCATGTGAAGTTGGGAAAAGTAGCTGAGTACGACCATCAATATCAACATTCCTATTAACGATGGAGGCCATCATTCGCCCGGCATTGACCGCCTCTGGTCGTCGCACAGTCACTACCCGTTTCCGTCCAGCATGCCGCTGCCTGCACAACAGCGCCTCAAGGACAGCAACGCCACTACCTCATGGCATCGCTGCCGGACCGCCACCGCAACCTCCCCAAGCACCCACTACCGAGACCGAGGAACGTGTTGCGCGTAAGAGACAACAAGCTGCTCTTCTGGAAAGACAGGCGCAGATCAAGGTTGACCCCAAGAAGCCCGCCACAGCCTTGCGCAAGCGTTTCTGGAAGGAGTCCTCGGTCGTCGAAACACCTGGTACGGAGGACTGACCTGCAGCGACAATGCCTCTGCTAACACACTGTACAGACGGTCTGCAGATCATGCTTGACAAGCGCCCGGTCCGAACGGCTTCAAAGGAGATTCTGACTCTTCCTCCCACCAAACACGCCCTCGCCTCAGGCATTGCCCTTGAATGGGATCTCCTCACCTCTGCTCAACAAGCACTCAAACACCACTATATTCCTCTCACATCGCTGAGTTCCCGCGCAGTCGACATCCACAATGCAGACCTTGCAGGAGACAAGAAGATACGGGAGAGCGTCGTCACAATGTTGATGCGCTACCTCAGTACCGACACATTGCTTTGCTGGGACCCCGAGAAGAGTATCCATGACCCTTCATCCAGTCTCGACATGAAGGACGATGGTCAGCCGAAGCAAAGCTTGAGATCGAAACAGGTTGAGAACGCCGAGCCCATTCTTGCATACCTCACGACGCACATTTTCCCCGGACTTGAGGTCGTGCCCATCTTGGGCGAGGAGAGCATCATGCCAGTACCGCAACCCAAGGTTACTCAGGAAGTAATTCGCGGATGGATGACTGCCCTGCCTGCGTTCGAACTCGCAGGTCTGGAGAGAGGAGTTTTGGCCACCAAGAGTCTGCTTGTTGCGATCCGCCTACTGGTTGAATGGAGTCAGGAGTTCAGACACCTGCAAAAGAACAACGGTGGATCAAGATTCGGCATTCCTGAAGCTCGTGCAGCTGCAAGTGTTGAAGTGACATGGCAGACGGACATGTGGGGAGAGGTTGAAGACACTCACGATGTGGACAAGGAGGATGTTGCGAGACAGCTGGGCAGTGTTATTCTGCTGGTGTCGTAGAGTACATGATAGATGTACAGTAGAATGATTGTATAGAGCTTGTACGAATACCTAGAGATGTTGCATAAAGATGGACGAAATATTGCATAAGACAAGGGGGCAGTGTAAATATAGACTTCTAGACCAGCGCGCTCCCGCACGGCGTTGTCGACCACATCCGTCATGCATTGTAACCGAGAGTTTATCCATGAGAGCTGCCGTTGTCTTGCTTGTCTTCCCCTCTCTTGATCCCACCCTGAGTAGCTTGTCCTCGCATACCAGTCGATTCTGAAATATCAGAACTCTGGACTTAAACATGGCAGAGAAGTATGATGGAAGCGACCAATCTACGAGATCTGCGCCAAGGCTGACTTCCCCTCAGCTCGTCCTCGCATCAGCGCAACAAGTCGTCGATCGCAAAGTCGCTCTTGTCAAAGGTGACGAGCAGAGGCGACGCGCCTCATAACGAGGCTCCCGACTCTCCAGCAACAGACAACCTCGAGCCATCTTCTCCGACCATGGCTTCGGGCCGTACTTCTTTCCAGAGCGCGCGACCGACCCCTCATCTGGTCACGACCATGACCAACAACAACCCTGACAGTGCATCTGCAACATCACCACCCTCTCGATCACCGCAAGCTCCTCGCAATGGCTCGATTACCACCATGCCCCAAGGATCCACAACGTCAATCGAGCAGTCGGTCAAGCTGTTCAAGGTGTTTGAAGCCTTGCGACAAGGTGACACTGCCGCCATCAACAAGCACTTGCGCGAAGACTCGACTAGACTTGAAGGAAACACCATCCTACACCTCGCCGTACAATGCGCCGAGCCGTCAGTCGTCGAGTATGTCCTGAGCATGGGCCAGAGCACTCTCGACGTCAATGCCAGAGACCGCGACGGCAACACTCCCCTGCACATTGCCTCCTCTCTTGGTCGCACCTCTGTCATCAAGCTCCTCCTCGACCAGCCGCAGGTCAATGAATCGACTACAAACTTCCAGGGAAAGACGCCTCTCGATCAAGCTCGCAGTCCAGACGCTTTCCAGCTCCTCCAGCTCGCCCGCTCTCTCTTCATCGACAGAACTACAAAGAGGATCCAGCACCTCGTCCAGTCCGCCGACTATGGCACTCTCGAAGATGTCCTCGCCGATGACCACGTCCGCCATGTCGTCGACATCAACGCCCCCGAATTGGCTACCGAGCCCCAGACCGTCGAGTCAGGCGGCACCCTGCTGCACGAAGCAACTCGCAAGAAGGATACACAGCTCATTCAGATCCTCCTCCTCAATGGTGCCGACCCCTTCCGTCGCGATCGCAAAGGCAAGCTGCCTCAAGAGATCACAAAAGACGACCACACCAAGCAGATTCTTAAAAAGTCGCCTGCTGCTGCCGCCGCTCAACGTGGTGTTCAAGAGAAGGCTATACTTGGTACAGGCGAGGGTCCGCCAGAGAATGCTTTGAGTGCAAAGGAGGCCCGTGAGATGAAGGGATACCTCAAAAAGTGGACAAACTACACTTCCGGTTACAAGCTGCGATGGTTCGTGCTGGAGGATGGTGTCTTGAGCTACTACAAGCACCAAGATGATGCTGGCTCTGCTTGTCGTGGTGCCATCAACATGAAGATTGCTTCTCTTCACATGGACTCCAAGGACAAGCTCACGTTTGAGATTCACGGAAAGTCGTCGGTCAAGTACCACCTCAAGGCAAACCACGAGGTCGAGGCCAAGCGCTGGTTCTGGTCACTGAACAACGCCATCCAGTGGTCAAAAGACGAGGCTCGTGAAGAGCAGAAGCGTCAACGTCAGGAAGGCGAGGCCTTGCGCCAGGCTGCTGCCGACAAACATTCCGGTGCTCCTTCTGTTGCCGACTCTTCCACTCTTGCACCCACCGTCACCAGCGACCGCCGTACAAGTATCGCCCGCACGACCGATGGAGAGACTCTGTACGGCGACGAGTCCAGCAGGCTGACCAGAGCGCACACATTCGAGACAGAGGGCGAACGGGACTTTGAGGATGAGGAGGATGACTACGGTGACGATGACAGCTCCCACGACATCAAGCCCATCAACAAGGACGCTTTCAACATCACTGCTCAATCTGCCAAGCTCCAGCTCGATTTGCTGGCCTCCGTGTCAAACTCGCTGCAGCAAGAGAAGGTCAACAACCCAACTCTCCCTCTCGGCCACCCTGATGTCGAATATGCTCTGACCTCGTACGACACTGCTGTCGGCAACCTCAGGGGCCTCCTGATCGATCTTCTTCGTCTCTCCAAGGATCACGATGCATACTGGCAACACCGTGTCGACCGTGAAGCACATATCCGCAAGTTGTGGGAAGAGAGCATGGCTCGCGTTGCTGCTGAACAAGAAGAGTTGGAGAATCGAATCGGCGAGAGTGAGGACAAGCGCAAGAGAACAAAGCGTGCTCTGAGAGACGCTCTCGAAGGTCAAGGTTCGGGTACTGCAAGTCGGGCTCGCAGTCGTAGAGGAACCACAGCTACTCAAAGCAGCAAGCTCGCCGCTGCCGTTGCTGACATTCCTGTCGCTGATGATGGAACTGCTGTGGCCGCAGATACTGCCTCTCTCAGTCGCAGACAGACCCTTGCTGACTTGACCAACCACGACGTCTCGGACGACGAGTCTGACATGGATGAGCAGTTCTTTGACGCCGTCGATGCTGGAGAAGTCGAGGTTGTTGGTCAGATGCCTGTCGCCAGTACACCTCAAACCAGCACGCAACCCGAGGAAAAGACCGCCCCGGCTGAAGACAACACATCTACCGCCATTCAAAAATCGTACAAGGGATACGAAGACCCTGTTAGATCCAAGCTTCCTATCGATGCCGATAATCGACCCAAGGTCTCGCTTTGGGGTATCCTCAAGAATATGATTGGCAAGGACATGACCAAGATGACTTTGCCTGTCACCTTCAACGAACCCACCTCCCTTCTCTACCGTGTCGTTGAAGATATGCAGTACACTGAGCTTCTAGACACCGCTGCCGAACGTTCCGACTCTGCTGAGAGAATGGTTTATGTTGCTGGTTTCGCTGCTTCGGAATATGCTTCCACCATCGGAAGAGTTGCAAAGCCTTTCAACCCTTTGCTAGGTGAGACCTTCGAATATGTTCGTCCTGACAAGGGTTACCGCTTCTTCATCGAGCAAGTAAGCCATCACCCTCCTATTGGTGCCGCTTATGCAGAGAGTGCCAAGTGGGAATACTATGGTGAATCTTCTGTCAAGAGCAAGTTTTATGGCAAGTCCTTCGAGATCAACCCGCTTGGTACATGGTTCTTGCGTCTCAAGCCTACCAACGGACCGGAAGAGCTCTACACTTGGAAGAAGATCACATCCTCTGTTGTTGGCATCATTACCGGCAGCCCTACCATTGACAACTACGGCTTGATGGAAGTCAAGAACCACACCACCGGTGAGACAGCAATCCTCGACTTCAAGCAGCGTGGCTGGAAAGCATCATCCGCCTTCCTTGTCGCCGGCAAAGTCACCGATGCAAAGGGCGTACCCAAATGGAGCATCGGAGGCCGCTGGAATGACAAGATCTACGCCCGACCCACTCCTGGCTACGAAGATGAGAACCTCGGCACATCCACCAAATCGCAAGAGTCCAACCAAGCTATTCTCGTCTGGGAAGCCGGTCCCCGTCCGGCTGGAATTCCTTTCAACCTTACACCTTTCGTCATCACACTAAATGCTTTGCCATCGCGTCTGCAACCACTTCTCGCACCTACAGATTCGAGATTCAGACCCGATCAACGTGCCATGGAAGAAGGCAAATATGACGTCGCATCTGACGAAAAGAATCGTGTTGAAGAAAAGCAAAGAGCCAGACGACGTGAGCGTGAAGCAGCGGGTGAACATTTCGAACCCAGATGGTTCAAGTCTGAGAAACATCCCATAACCGGAGAAGAGTATTGGAAATTTGGTGGCGAGTATTGGGGTGTTAGAGATAAGGTTGCCAATGGAGAGGTAACATGGAAGGAAGCCGGATTGGAAGAGATTTATTGATTTCGTTTCAGAGAGATTGTTTATTTCCGAATTCAGATTTTGTGGCTTTTGTGTTTTTCGAAAACACTGTTTTCTCACATTTCTGGATGTTTTTTTTTTTTTTCTATTTTCTCCTACTACTTCTTCCTCTCAACCCTCATCTGCACACCCGCCCTCTCATACCCACATTTTTCATAAAACCCGACATTATCTTCACTACAATTCAAAATCAACTTATCCACCCCTAGACTTTCCATCGCCAATGCGTTTAATGCGTTGATAAGCAATAAACCCAAACCTTGCTTTTGGTGGGAAGAAGATATACAGACTTCTTCTACGTGGGCTATTGTTGTGAAATTTTGGATACTATAATTATATTAGGTGGGATTGGGTTTTTCTTAGGGTTCCAACTTACAATTTCCTATCCACAATCATAGTGGCCGCACCTATTATCTTCTCCCCATCATCGATGACGATGCAATAGTACCATTCTTTCCCTTTTGTCTTCATCCAATCGAAGCGTTGTTCGAATTGAGCGGCGGAGATGTCGCCGATCCAGGTTAGGGAGGAGAGACAGGTTAGGTAGCCGTGTGCGTGGTCGGTGCGGTGGAGGGGGCGGATAGTATAGGGTTTTGGGAGGGAGGAGCTTGCGGAGGTGGGGAGTAAGGTGGCGGGGAAGAGGGATAGATCTGGGGATGCCATTGTTCGGATGTGATTAAGAGGTTGTGGTGTAGATTTGCTGAGGATAATTCTAGCTTCCAAGGGACGATATCGATGCTGTTTTGCTGGGAGAGGCTTTTCGTCGCTGGTGTTTTTGATGGATAGGGTCGAAGGGTAGTCGTAGCTGTTGAAATGATGTTTTCTGTCACGACTAGGATGGATGGAAGGATGGAATTTCAAGATAGGCAGAGGTCGGTCTTGGAAAGATACTAATGTTACATCTATTGTTTGTAGCAGGAGGTCGTATTTGGACCCTGATGGTGATCTTCAAGCATGATAGCCGAGAGAACACGTGGTATCAGATAAGCTCTACATATCTGGAAGCGGGGGGACGTCGCATACCTATCCGGGCAGCCTTGTGATTTTTGCATGTCGTTATCATCTTTCACGTTTGAACAAAGGTTCAACTTATCATTATGGTGCTTCGATCCGACGAGCCTCTGATTTTAGGCAGCAAACTCTTTACACATCAAGTTTTGAGGTATGACCTCCCCGATCAACCATGATTTTACGACTCATTTACGTCCGCTAAGTGGTGGAGAAGATGAAGCCTGACCATGATAGGGAATCACATTCGAAGGCAAATTAGAGGCACACTGAATCATCGATCTCCGAACAAGCGCCCTGGCTATCAACTTGAGGATACCACCTGAATACTCATTCCACCTTCCGGAGCTCATGCACTTCCTGCACCACTTCATAACTGGCAAACTTACGTGCACTGATCCCAGCATCGAAAATAATATCCAACTCCTGAAACGTCCTTCCAAATGTCTCTGGAAGGCGCAAATAACACCAGACAAGACAACACGCACTAATCGCACCAAACAGATATCCTGCTTTTCCTTTCCAATCACCTTGCTCGCTGCTGAGCATATATGGCATACCGATGGTAAAAACAATACCGAACAAAGATTGCACAGCTGTGGCTATAGCGATGGTGCGACCGCGAAGACGAGTGGACGAGACTTCGCAGATCAATACAAAGCAGATTGGTCCGACGGTCATTTGGTATACGAAAGTCCAGATGTCCATGAAGGTCGCTTGTGCCCAGATTGCTCCGGTATTGTGCTTTGGGATGTCGAGGAAACCGATGATGAAGAGGATGGTTGTCATGACGGCCATTCCGCGGATGTAGATGGTTCGGCGGCCATGTTTGAGCATCAGTGGCCAAGACAGACATGTGCCGACAAAGCCAAGGGCGGTGTTGCCAACGCCCACTATTCGACGAGGTTAGCTGAGGTATGTCATTATCGCATTTGCAGACATGGACATACTGTAGAAAGCGTTGGCAGAAGCAAGTCCAGCTTGGGTAAAGAAGAATGTCGAATAACCGATAAGAGGATTACCTCCAATGACTTGGATAAGATAGACCATGGTACAAATCTCGGTTCTTCTCAGGTTGCTTCCCTTGAAACAGTCGAGATAAGTCGTGCTTGCCTCGATCTCACGTTCGAGTAGATCTGTCTCTTCAATCAATACGAGCATAGCATCAAGACCTGTACGATCTTTGTTGCTTGTCAACTTCTCAAGTGCGTGCTTTGCATCGTCTCTTCGTCCTTGACGGACTAGCCAGTAAGGGCTTTCAGGAGCGAAGCAAAGACCGACCAAAAGGATTACAGGCCAGACCCATTGAATTGCTGCACGACTCATCAACCACGTGTCGATAGATCGCTGGACGACCTGTAAAACGTACCAAAGGGGATCTTATACGCAAGTGCATCTGTTTTGCTCTCCACACCAGCAGCAGTACCCTGTGCAATGAACTGCCCGATAACAAATGCCAGATTGACCGACGCGGTAAGAACACCTCGCAAAGCCAAAGGACATACATCAGAGGCATAAACAGGAGCAATGACGACGTAGAAGCCATATCCCAAGCCAGCGAAGATCTCTCCAATACAAAGAATGGTCAAGTTGCTGGAGAAGAATTGCATGAAGATCCAAGCAATGGACCAACAGCAACATGCCGCCAATGTGCGTTTGCGACCGAACCTTTCAAGCGGCCAACCACAAGCAAGTGCGCCAACCAACTGTCCGACAGCATTTCCCATGCCCAGGCCGGTCTGCCAGGGTGCTGAGATTATGTATTCGCCTTCGTACAACTGACCGTACTTCTTCTGGAAAGCAGGTAATGCGTAGAAAGATGAGACCAGTTGTGGATCGAAGCCGGCCATAATGACGGCAATACAGAAGAATGCTGACCAGAAAACAGCCTTGGGATAGAGCTTCGCACCTTTCCAGAAGCCGAGTTCATGCTCGGCCTGAGTAACTTGTATGACAGTGTCCAGTACGGTGCCATGCTTTTCGTCGACGGTATCCTCAGTCTGGATTTTGTCATTCATGTTGGGGGTAGAGGTGAAAATCAAAGTCAAGGCCTTGTGATACTGCCACTATTCGTAATATCTCCTTGGATTCAAGTATCAATAGAGGTGGACTGAACACATATAGGTATGTAGCATCAAACTTATCTAGGGGTGCAGACATGAGTTGCATTAAGTGTCGGCAATGTTGTGCTATCACCAGCTGATAGGGTAGTGGCGCAGGGGAGGATGATTTACGCTAACTGATAGTTAATCGCTATCTTCGCATGCGTCTTGTGTATCACAAGGTTGCAGAGTAAACGAGGGATTAGAAGGCATCAAGCGGGGTAAAGGCTTATCAGAGTCTAACATAATCTGGGGCCGCACGCGATGTGACCTGACGATCCTTGTTAATCTTTGGGCAGATGCCAGACACAATGTCACCCAGATTCGTTTCAGACATATGACGTTTCATCCTTGAATGTCTATCTTGCCAGCTTACCATCACACTGGCATCGACTGGCCGAATTAACGCAACCTTGTATATCAAAGTTGATACCCTGGGAAACGTTTATCTTTGAAAAACTTACCGCAAAACTCCATCATTGAATTGGTCCTCAGAACCAAGAACTCTGCATCGACTCATCTGTTCAACCTCATATCAAGATAACTGATTCTCTGGGTCAACGACAATGCCACTCTTGGACACTTCTGCAATGGATGGAAAACTGAGGTTTCTAGTCATCGGCGCTGGGCAGCGTGGTGTGTCATACGCAAATCCAGTATCCCAGATGCCCAACGCAGCAATCTACGCTGTAGCAGAACCTGTCAACTTCCGACGACAGCATTTCGGTAAAACGTACATCTGGGGACAAGATGGCAAACCCGCCGCCGGACAGGAGTTTAGCGACTGGAAGCAATGGCTAGCTTGGGAGATCGAGCGGCGTGAACTTGAAGGGGCGGGCAAGACTGTGCCTCCTGGTGTCGATGGTGTGTTCGTCTGCACCTTGGACGCAATGCATGTGGAGATCATGCTCGCAATCGCACCACTGAATATCCACGTCTTGTGCGAAAAGCCATTGGCAACTTCACTAGCGGATTGTATGTCGATACTGGGGGCATTCTCACGGAATCCACAAGAGAAGATATTCTCTGTTGGACATGTTCTGAGATACAGCCCACACAATCAGTTACTTCGCAGGCTCTTGCTCACAGATCGTGTTATCGGTGACATTCTTTCGGTTGAGCACACGGAGCCCGTCGGATGGTGGCACTTTGCACACAGCTATACGCGAGGGCCATGGAGACGAGCAACGGACAACAAAGACGGATCCCTCCTCACCAAAAGTTGCCATGACATCGATTTCCTGCTTTGGCTACTCTCTCAAGCTCCCGACGGGGCCGACAAGGAGATCCCTGCCCATCTTCCCAAGACTATATCATCGACCGGAGCTCTGAACCAATTCAAGAGATCTAGAAAGCCAAAACAAGCCGGCGAAGCCACGAATTGTCTGGCCTGCCCTTACGAACGAGAATGCCAATACAGTGCCGTCAAGATATATGATGATGCTCGGCTGGCTGTAGGACACACCCACTGGCTCAACCATGTCGTACATGATATCGAGGATACTCTGCAACTTTCTGGAGTCGATGCTGCGAGAAGAAGTCTCTATGCCAACTTGGAACAAGATTACACCAAGGGTGTCACTCCAGACGGAGAGATTGCAAAACGACCGTGGTACGGTCGTTGCGTCTACGAGAGCGACAACAACGTCTGCGACGATCAGGTCGTCACAATCAAATGGGATGAAGATAACCAGTCCCCTTTGTATCGCCCAGGAAAACTCGCAACTCTCCACATGGTCGCAAATACCGAAAAGGAATGCGAACGTCGAGGTATCATCTATGGTTCTCATGGTGAGCTTTCGTACAATGGAAAGACCATTAGATACTTTGACTTTGTTCAGAGACAGGAGACTGTCATCGAGACGCCTGATGCACCCGAATTCGAACAAAAGATCAAGTCTCATGGTGGAGGCGATCGAGGCCTGGCTACGGCTTTTGTGTCTGCAGTCCATGCTGTCGAGCGCAAGGGAGTCGAAGCTGAGGAGGCCCAAGGAGAGTTTGTTGGATGCACCCTTGAAGATGTCGTAAGGGCGCATGCTGTAGTCTTTGCTGCCGAAGAGGCAAGAAGGGACGAGAAAGTCGTTCATTGGAACATATGGTGGGAAGCCAAGACGCTGCAATATAAGATTGAGTCACAAGCAGTTTGACCGGCGCACCCAAGAGAACCACGGCATAGGCACCGCGTGCTGTGCCCTTGTTGTCGTCGAGTAGCTGTAGCAATGCACAATCTCCACTGCGCTAAGAGTAGCCTCCACTGAAAGTTCAGCACCCTACGTATGATCTTGGACGACTTGCTTCATCTCAAAAACTCTGTGCATTTCTGCAGCCTGAAAACTACAGCTGTGGTCGTGGGGGAAGGCTGGAAGTGTCAAATTCCAGCACGCAAGCAGGAAAGTCGACATCGAAGAGACATGAATTATGTTCCTGATGGGCCACTGCTCGGCTTGAACTGAAGTCTGAGTCTTGTATGGAAGATCTTGGAAGAAATACAAGGACATCTCCAGAGACTTGAGGGATCTAGTGACGCGACGATGCAAAGAGTTCCGGGAAAAGATCATGTAGGAGATGAGAGGTTGCTTCTTCGGAGCTCGTAGACCAGTACTCGCTTTTCACTAGCCATAGCGGGTCGTCAAAAGCCACAGCTTCGTGATCTGAGATGAGAGACGGAATCTCACTGGATGTTCCTGATGATCCATATCTTGTATTCTCCGCATTTGGATTGCAAACATGGTCCGCGACTCGATCGGGAAGCCCAAGAGTCTCATCCAACTGGCGCAACCACGTATCTATAGTCAGAAGATATTAGCCACTGATTGGATGCTCGAAGATGTGTAACCGAACCTCTCTGCGCAGACACCGGGTCAAAGAGTATGCTAGCCATCTGGTCCGGCGACAATCCAGTGATTCTCAAGAACTCCCTTCGAAGATGCCACTTACTGATTCCAATCGTGTTGGACAACTCGTTCAAACCGACCCTTTTTCCCTTTTCTGCCGCCATCTTCAAGGAAACAACGGCTTGGTCAACCTTTCTCCGAACCCTTGCTTCCGGGTCATGGGTTTTGTTCTCTGGCTTGCACCTCTTGCATGCTCGGAAACCGGCCTCTCCAGCATCGGATGCATTGTTGTAGAATTCAACATTTGCGCGTCTGGCAAGTCTTGAGGGACAATTCGGTCGACAGTATATTCCTGTGGTCTTGACAGCGTAGACGAAAGCTTCGGAAGCCGCAGCGTCTCTTCGCACGCATGCAGTCCATCTTGAGGTTTCGGTAAAGTGACGTCCAGACGGCCTTGATAAGGGTTGCGGTGCAGCTCTGGGCATTTCCATGATGCTGTTTTCTTCCACCGAGGAACACTTTTCGCCGCAGAAGAATTATGCGGATCTGGCGAATTCATGTCGTTGGGCAAGAAGAAGACCTTGATGCCGTCTTACGCTCGGGCGGCCAGAGAGTAGTATGGTTTTGGCGACGCGCTAGCCGGACAACGGTCGTCTCGGGGAAAATGTAGAGGCACGCCCAACGCGCGCGACACCCCCAGTGATGCACATACAAAGATCGTTGATGCGTTAACTCTCACGTGAGTCGATGTGTATACCATAGAAACCTTCGCATACCAACTTTGCTAAAAGGGTCCCCACGCCCCTGGAAATGCTCCAGTAAGTTGGCAAAAAGAGCACTCAAGGTTGCGCCAAGGATCGCTTGATTTTCAACAGAAAATATCTGCCGTATGTGAGGTGATATGCTAGACACAAGGTGTGCACCCCGGTAGTCACTAGGGGTGCCGCGCGCACTAGGGGTGCCTCTACGATCTCCCTCGTCTCGTATGACCTGCAACTTTGATTGGTCAGTTCATGAGCAACGCCAAAGGATAAACTCCGGACTCACCCAGTGGACCAGACAACAACAATATCGCCTACACATACATACACGATTGAGCTTGGAGATAAGAATCGCGCTCGAGGCTATGAAACCAATGGGCCGAGGGGTCTCCTACCGAGCTAGCGATCACCGTCTAGTCGTCATCTCGGTCTATTGTCTGCTCCTATAGGCCACTTTGGTAGCAATGCCCATTGTACCTCGTAACCCCGTGTCCATACATTATTCGGTACGAGTCGCATAGTATAAAGCTAGTATCCTCTTACGACCATTATGATGAAACATTCATCTTACAGTGGACTTCTATAACCATCCGAACACACAAATCAGAGCTAGGACTAGATGGATATCTAAATAGATATCCAATGGATATGAGGTTAGATATAGGTTAGATATGGATATGGCTCTATATCTAATCCAATCCAGATTTGACTGGATATCTAGTGGATATCTAGTCTAGTGTCTTAGCTTGCCTAAATAGGCAAGGTGGCTGCCAAGGACCCTATAGCTTAATGCAAAAAAGAAGAATTCCGCCGCGGTTCGAACCACGGTAGTTTCAAATTTCTACTAGGCTATCTTTTGACTTACTACCTTAGTTCTAAGGCCCTTAAATGATTGGTTCTTAATCACTTAACAATATTTTGACAGAGTTAAAAAAATCATTACCTAATGCGGTAATATCTAATGGATATGACTAGATATGACTAGATATCTAGTCTAAATGGATATCTAGTTATCGGTGGATATTAACTAGATATTGTGGACTTAGAAAGGGGGTCCTCTAGATATAGATTAGACTAGATAAGTTAGACTAGATATCTATCTAGTCCTATCTCTAACACAAATAGTCTTCTAAGCATAGACGTAAGCTCGAATACTAATGCCATTATAGCATAACTACTAGCTAATACTAGTTAACAGAACTCACTATAAATCATCCTCGCATCCTATCGACTATTAAGTTTATTCCTCTACCTGCACCTATCGAGACAGCTATTAGCACCGCTATACCATTAAAGAGCATAATCCTCTCCGACGTAAACCCCTGCTGTAAGTGCCTATAAGACAACAAACTAGGTTAAATAATGCTCCTTATATCCTACGACCTATGGCTCGTAGACTTACCTTACCGCTAAAGTGGTCCGGTTTTTATACATTAAGACCCCGTATGTAAGCTAGCGGACTTGTCGGTCGGTTCGTTAGTGCCGATATAGCAGTTATCTAGGGTATTGTCTATTCGCGCTTTCGATAAGTAGCATATGATGGTTAGATTCCGGGTTATTAGTAGGAGGGATTTAATATCTTGTGCGGAGAGCATGTTCGGGGCGGAAGGCGAGGCGGAGGTTAAATACATCCATGTGCACTATGCGGGTCCTGGCTGTTTTGCTGTTAGACTTGATAGAGTGACTAGATTCAGTCACCAGGACGGTTATGAACGGTCGAAATTAAGCTGCTTATGATGCTAGATATCAGTAACGAAATGCGACAGGTGTTGCTGTTCGTTTCTAACAATGGCGGTCAACCATACCATGATTTTACACTGTACGACATACCCTGAAATCAATGGAAGCAGAAAAACAAAATATGAGCAAGCATTGTGGCAGAGAATCAAGCGCACCAGAAGCCACGATGGCTGGTCCGAAAAAATGATGACGGTGGCAAGCAAAAAGGCAAGTCTATCTATCGGCCACAAAAAAAGTGTCCAGCAAAAGGAATAAGTAAATCGAAACATGGGTTGCATCAAGCATTCACTTGAGTCTCTCAGCTCTCAACTCAGGCGAATCGTTCCCCGACCTGACGCCTTCAGATAGAGACTTATCTCTGCTTCCACTCTCGCCACCATCGATATCGCTGCTGACGACGGACAATGTGTCGAGCTGGCCTGTCGGCTCATTGAGAACAGTCACCTGTGTTCCCTCATCACGACGATGTGCAGGGATGAATGCATCGTAGTATCTAGGCATGACGAAGCCCAACAACACCCCGACCATCCCCAAGATAGAGAGAATGAAGCCGGTAATCATCATAGGATCGTAACGGAGTGTGTGGAACTCAGGGAAGGCGAAGCTGAAGATGATGGCGAGGACAGGACCACTGACGTATCGAAGAAGGACGGGCATGAAGGAGGGGATATTCCAATTCTTGCCGCCACCAACGACAAGGTTGAGGTCGCGACGAAGCTGGTTGCCCTGTGATATGTTAGCTTGGAATATCAACAGTCAGACAACTACTTACCGAGTAGAATGCAAGGTACCATAGTTGACTCGCTTGTCCTCTGACCTTGGACATGATTCCGAAACTGTCAGACGCAGGCGCTTTCGCGATGAAGCCTGCGACGAGAGTGCAGACAACGAAGGAGCCAAATCCAGCACCAGCACCCGGTCCTGCACTGGCAACACCGTGAGCCACGGTGACACCAATGAGCAGGCCACCGAAGTAACCGAGGTTATAGACTATGAAAGCAGGCAAGCCAACTCTTCCAGTAATATCAGTCCAGCGATAGACCGTAGTGGCACTGACAACTTCACCGAAGACCACAAAGATGAGAACAATGTTATTGATCCAGCGATCAACTCCATCCAACAAGTAGTAGCCAAATTCGGTGCAGTAAGGTAGACACATCAGGAACGAGACAAGCGTCAAAGCAGTGACGATGGTTGGGCGAGAATACTTGACTCCTGAATCGACGAGCAAAGTAGCGACAACATCCAGCATCACGAAAGCAGAGCTGAAGCCAAGCACGATTAATGTCAAGAACAGAAGAATGGCCCAGAAGTTTGCTCCCGGCATCTGGAGCACAGCTTCGGGCAGAGTGAGGAAACCGACAACAAATGCTCCTAGCCGTTCACCATCTTGTGGCCAACGTCGAAGAAAGCCAACGACACCAAAGATTGCAAAAGCAGCGAAATTTTCGAACAAGACGTTGCTGCCACAGATAAGGACAGCATCCATGACAGCATTCGAGTGCTTCTGATTGTAAGAAGCATATGACGTAAAGTAGCCGAAGCCAATACCGGTCGAGAAGAAGACTTGGCCAACAGCCGTTTGCCATACGGTACCAGATGCGAGCTGATCTCCTCTCCAGGTACCCCAAAGAAGTTTGACACCGGCACCAGCATTGTCCAGGGACAAAGCGCGACCGACGAATATGATGGTGGTGATAATAGGCAATCCCATTGTGAAATAAACCACGCGTCCGGTCATACCGACACCGCGGAAGATTGAGAACCAGATTAAGAACCAGATGAAGGCACTCCAGCCGACTGTCTCTCCAATCAGACCAATAGCTGGATAGCTAGTATATGAGGCGACGTTATTGCCACCATCAGTAAGGCTTCCAGCAATAGGAGCTGGATTTGCAACGACGTCATTGTTGTAAAAGTCTTCGATACGGTTTTCCCAAGGTAGAGGGCTGGTGAAAGAATTGCGGAAGTAGTTCATAATCCACGCAAGATTGACTGTAAAGTATTGTACGACAATAAGACTGACAAAGACCGGACCGAGGCCAATGCCTTTGAGGCGTCCATTGATGTTGTTGAAGGCGATGACAGAACCACCACGATAAGCTTGACCAATTGATATCTCCAGTACGAGCGCGGGAATAGCGATAAGGAAGACGGCGAGGAGGTAGGGTATGAACCATTGGAGGCCATAGTTGTTATAGACGACTGAAGGATAGCGGAGAAGATTGCCTTGACCAGCACAACCACCCATCGCTGCGAGGAGAAACGCCGCTCGCGAAGGCCATTGGTCTCGTCCATCTTCGGCCTTGTCGGGTTCTGGGAAGATCCATCTGAACCCTTTCTGAGCGTACGCTTTGATCTTGTGCAGAGCCATGATTGCTGCGTGAGTGCAGCGCAGAAACATGTGGATCCTGCTACAATTATATTCATCGAAACTCTCGCTGACCTACCAACTTGGCAAGATAGCATCCTGCATCCCTACCGTATGTCGTGCGCCAACCCCTTGGCTTCAAGTTAATGAGATCCTGATATCTTGGGGTCCTTGGCCCGGTTGTCGAAAATGTCGTATACCAAGAATTGCGCAATCACATCTGATCACGGGTGCCCCCTCCCACGGCTGTTGAAGTCTTGCAGACATCCTGTTGCAAAGTTCCTTCGACAGTCGTGCCTGCACAAGCATGCCACATGAGTTGAGTCGCTGTCTTGAGGGGAAGAGATGGAAAGACAAGAGACGCGTCGAGAGAGAAGGCGCGTCTTGTCGTCTCTCGGCATGACATCAGAGTTGCCGATTTCCGGAATCCGGTACCCTTGACAGGGTCATACCATATACAAGGATTTTGAGAAATCTCAAAGCTCAATTGGCGTCGACGAGGTGCGTGTCATCGTTTTTCAAAGACAGTTCTGGATAGATGGGTTCCTTCAAGGGTGATGATTGTGTGTTGAATGTTTGATGTCCCTCTAGTGTGTTCACGTTAAGTTATTCATCATTTTTGGTTTTTGAGACCGCTTTATCGAAGAAATGTGTTGAGAGAGTGTGAGACAGACGCATAGTGAACGGACAACAGCAGTGAACCGATACAAGTGTTACGATTACAGCCATGTATTAATTCAGATCTCAGCACTGCTCCCAATAAACAACTGATCAACAGCGCAAGCAGCGTACTATCAGTAGCGAGAAGGAAGGAAACATGATGTACGAGAAAGCGAAAGGTGTTTCCCGACTGGCCATAAGTCGTGACAGCGTTGTTCAGTGATTCGCCGGCGCATCGGCATCCATCCTATCTTGATATGCGTACTTGCAACACCTTCCCCATCCTGCTGCATTTGAAGCTGTAGTGACGTGCGATGCCCTGTGCTGGGAGGGACCCACACATACGACCATTTGACACGCTCACAACGGATGCGAATCTACTCCATCATCCATTTTAACCGCCAAGCGCGTGACAATTCAGCATACGGAGGAGAGTCTTCTTTCAATAGTATCATATCGGTCGTTATTCTATGTGGTCTACAACAGAAAAAGCAAGCATTAATAGGTAAGTGTCTTCGAGAATCAGACAGACTGAACATCAGAGTCAAAAGCCATCTCCTTGTCCACGACGGTGTGAACTTCCTCATTTCTTTCAGAGTAATCTCCTGCCTTTGTACTGCCGTTGGGGACCCAGAACTTCTTGTCGAATCTGGTGAAGAGGAAGAGGTAGATGATGACAACCTCGAAACCCAGCTCGACCAGGTAAAGCATAACCTTGTGATCGTACCATGCGGGGTTCGATGCAGGTCTCGGTGTTGCCCAAAGGACACCGCAGCGGAAGCCAGAGATGAACAAGCAGAAGAAGCTGGCTACTCCAAGGATGATCTTCTTCGCGGCCATGCTTCCCGACCCAAAGTTCTCGCTTTCCGGATCCTTTGGAAGCAGGCAAGAGAGTAGCAAAAAGATGGGAGTGATGCAGTTGAGAAGCAGGAGGTAGAGGTTTGATCCTCTTTGTACCCACAGTGCTACTGTTCTGACGGTGTGGTCGAGTGTCTCAGTGTTTGCGATGGTGAAGCTGAGGACAAGGATTACCACGACGACGATGCCGGCATGAGAGACTTTCACAGCCTTTCTCAGCACAGGGTTCCATCCAATGCTTGGTTGTGTAGCTCTCAGGATGCGACTTGCGAGCACCAGCACCACGGCATAAACGACCATGACTCCAAGGTTGAGGAAGATGGCTGCGGCGATGGCGAGACGGACATTGTGCGGTTCAGTCGTCCATACTATCCTTAGCACGCAGCTGAGAATGCGTGCCATGCAGAAGCCAAACATTCCCCATGATGCAAGGAACTTGTGGCCTCTTCTTCTGTTCTTCTGGAAAATGGTCATGTTGGAGATGGCGCCGACAAGGTAGAGGACTAGGAAGACTGCGATGGCTGGTATATCTTGGTGGACGGTAGGTCTTCCTCCGACAGCGGCTGTAGTTGAAGCATATGGAGGCTGGACATGTGTCAGTGGGCTTCTTGCATGATTCTAGTTGCTACACGTACACCATGTCGGAGCTGTTGGGTCTCATAGGATGTTGACATGACTGAGAATTATCGTTTGATTGGTGCGATTTGACCAATCTTCGGTGTGTAGATAATTTTTGATCAGTGTCGGTATAACAGAGCGGTGAATGGAGCGTTCGTTTTGTGTCCCCAGAGCAAAAACTATATACACTGTACTCGCGGACCGTTGATTCACTTTGGGTCCGAAGGAAGTGACAGCGGATCCGTTTCGGACGAACTTTGGTGACAGGCAGGGTCCAAAACCGCAAATATTCGTTACAAAGAGAGTATCATCGCGGGGTCTCCAAGCCACATCTTGCTTCGACCAATGAGCGTCGACTTCGATGGCGCGGATTTTGATTTCGTCCGCCGGGCGCATCGCTCTCGCTCCTCGTTTCTCTCAAGTCGGACGCGTTTTGGCTCTGATCGCGACATTTGAACCACCGGTATCACGAACCATGTCGGAGGAACCGCCTGCGAAACGCATCCGTAAAGGAACGAGGAGTTGTCAAGAATGTCGACATCGCAAAGTTCGTTGCATCTGGCCCTCCGACAATGCCCAAGTCTGTCAAGGGTGTTTGACAAGACATCGTACATGCGAATTACAAGTCGAAATTGTCCAGTCATCAGACGCGCCCAAGTTGACCTCGAAAGCTCGTATTGCAATTTTGGAAGATCAAATCACCAAGCTATGGGGTGCCATCAACGGCGGTGTTGATAGCATCGCGACAAATCCTGGTCGAACGCAAGACAATGTCGCGGACAGCATACCATCCGGCAGTCACTCTCGTAATCAATCAAGTCCCGATTCTTCAAATCCTTCGTCACCCACTAACCCACCGACGCATCTTCTTCATCTCTTCGACAATGATCTGCTGGACTCTAATGGACATGAAGCAGTCACGCCATCTACGCGCATGTCAAGTTCAACTATGTCCAAAGAATCCATTTCACTACTCAAGTTGTTGCCCTCACGCGAAGATATGGTGATCATTGCGGCAAATGCCTCTGCTTGGTTATCATGGTACAAAGTTCTCTTTTCGCTCAATCTGGCTATGGGCGCAGGAGAAAAAATGCTTTCAAATTACGACAAGGTCAAGTCTTCAGAGAAACATCCTGTGTCCATCGCTACTGTTCTACTGGCAGTAGCCATCACAGTCCAACAAGCGCCTGAAGGTCATGCCATGAACAGGCTGCGAAGCATCACCAATCCCTCTGCTTTTCTCAAAGACGTCTCTAACCTTGTGGAGAAAGTGATAGTCTCGAACGACGACCTGATCGCAAGTCTAGATGGAATTAGGTGTGCATTGCTGTTCATCAGACTGTAAGTCTTATCCCTCATCTTTGGAATTGACATCGAGTGCATGAGCTTTTCTTCCACAGCGCATGTTCAATCTTCAGTTTCCCATAGGTCTACTACTTGGACTACTAGCTGAAACAATGCACATGGATGTTGCGATTCTAGAGAGGGTCCACTGAGAGCTCATATTGTTGCTTTCTGATTGGGCTCTCTTGAATTATTACATAACTTCATGCGTTTTGACAGCTACACATACCAGTATCAACCATGGGAGTACTTGGTATTGGCTGCGTACGCTAGATCCTATGCGCTTGATATCAACTCCTCCCATCTTGACGTTGATGACAGTTCTCTGACCAGTTCTCGGGGTATAGCCAGCTCGGCCGAGCAAGGGTGAGAAAAACGTGGCTTACACTACGGCGAGTCATTGCCGTTGCCGAATTGATCGGCCTCCCTCGAGCCGCAGTAGTCGTTCAGGCCAATGCAGCATCTCAGTCTAGGCCGTTTCGATTAGATCTGGAACCGATTGACGAAGATCCGTACAGTGAGCAGAACCAGAAGGCTGAAGTCTGGGAGTCCATCTGTGCAATCGACCGGATCACGGCGATGATGTGTTCTCTACCAATCGCTACCGTCAATTTTCCGCTTCCGGTACGACCTATTATCGACATGAATGGCGAGGTCATTCTGCAGTCTTTTATCCATCGACTCTTCAACATCGCAAGTCGTGTGCTTGAGCTTGACGACATACACACCCAGAAGAAGTCTATCCCGGAACTAATCAATATTGTCATGGCTACAGACCAGGAACTGCAAACCTTGGCTCAGGCTCCGGCGAAGTCGTGGTGGCAGGAGCATGGATCACAGATGTCGAAAGAAGCTCTGTTTCAATACTGGCACTCTTATTTCACCATTCGGACCCATCTCCGGCTGGCTCTTGCTTATGAACACGACCAGCGGTTTCTCTACAACTTCATGACATGCTTCAGTGCTTGTCAAGAGCACGCCAAACGATACATTTCACTACGTCCACTTCTTCCTGCAGGCTTCTTTGCGAGCTCGATAGTAGATCTACAGGCTTTCACAGCAATAGTTTTCCTGTTGCTGGCTACAGATGAGTCCAAGACAGCTTCTTCGTCCGTCGCTTCTCGGCAAAACATGACCGCTCAACAAACCCGCGGTCTAGTTGACCAGGCTGTTGAAACAATGGAACTGGCTGCCAAGCGAACCGGCAATGGCTCTGCCCGTCATGGAGTGGACGCAATCAGAAGCCTAAGTTCTCTTTTGAGGCAGCCAAGTTCAACCGAAGGGCAACAGGTCAGCCTGCTTCTCCCTTTGATTGGGAGAATTCATGTTTCACGCAAAGCCGGCGGGAGAGGCCGGCAGAACCAAGTAGACCCATATATGCCGAATCAGGGAGAAGAGGCTCCTCGGGATCCACCCGACGGCTATGGTGCCGATTCAGCAGGGTCAAATTACATGGACCCTGATCTGATCAACCCTTTGTCATATTCCATGGAGATACCGGAAGACTATCTTTTCTTCACGGATCAAAGCTTTGGAGCGGAGCAGTGGCTGACTTGGACCAATTGAAAAATTTACATTGGTTCTTGGCCGTCAATCTCATGATATCCGTTGAGTAATTCTGGGGTACACTCTTATGTTCTGTCATAATTACACTATCGACAAAGGAAAAGATTAGACTCTGTGAGCGCCGTATGGGCTGTGCATCGAGTTGATGCTCTCTTGGTCTTTGTGGTCGACATCCACTGTTGTGGCCACCATGATACCACCCGATTTGTCGTCTGACAAACTCGACTGTGCGGAAACATAGGGTTGTGCTTGACCATGTGCTTGCATGTTCCTTACTAGCTCCTCGTCCGAGTCCACCGAGTTGGTACGACCTGGTCTGCTCGTGCTGCTTGTGAAGTTTGTGGTGTTTCGGCTTTGCTGGGTTCTTCGCTGGTTCGAGGAAAGTTCGTAATGTTTTGCGTAACTGCTGTTGCCGTTTGTTGAAGGTTGACCCAAGAAGATGGCGCGAAGGGCGGGAAGACATGCACCGATGATTGCGACTCCGTTCTCGACCATGGATACGGTGCAGGTCAACATTGTCTCGTTCTTCCATGAATAGATGGCACGGACGACTGCGTTGTTGTCAGTATTTGCGGCATTCGATCGAACTTGAGACGTCACTTACTGCTGGCAATCAAGACAAAGCCGCCGAGAGCGAAGATGAAAGCCACAGCCAGTCTCTGCTTCAACTTCATCTGAAGCTTCATGACCATGGTGATGGGAAGGCAGATGATGATGAGGTCAGAGAAGATGTTGAAAAGGATGGTGATCCAGTAATTGATTCTGGAAGCCTTCTGACTGCATTGATCTGAAATTTGTTAGTGAGCGATACATTTGTCAGATTCAGATTGAGCAACTCACAAGCAGGATCATGAGACCAGCGTTTGTCATATGGAAAACATTGGAAGAGAATGTCAAAGAAGATGGTCGTAAAGGTGACAGCCAAACCAGCGAGCGCAAAATTGTAGGCAATCTGCATCTTGGACCCCGGAGCGGCAAGTTTCTTGTAAAAGAGAACAAGAGCGAACTTGATAGACCAGAGAGAAGAGACATAGAGAACGGAACCGGGTACGATCATCTGCAAGGGATGTGAGTACGGATCGGAGTGGATGGCACGTAGTTGACAAACCTTCATGATGCCGATAAAATCCTCCTGGCTTGCTTCTGCCATGTTTCCCAAGCCAAGATTCCACATGTGTTGTTGAATGGCCAGGTCTCCGATGAGGCATAATGCCGCGAGGATGAGGAAGTAATCATCGAGGGCAAGGCGGCCAAACTTTTGCCACCTGCTGAACAGACGAAGGAACAAGAAGAAGCATGGTATGATGGTACAGATGTACCAGGAGATCTGACAGGGAACATGAGCAATTGTTGACACTTTAGATCCGGATCGGAAAAATACATACCACCTGCCCTACCGACGAATCTGGCATGGCTATGATGGGGAGCAATCAATTTACATGAAAATCTCAGACAGACAGAAGCAGATCTCCAACACGCAAGAACAAAAAGATGAGGCACGCAACAATAGGCGGTCCGACAGACTGGCACAGGCACTTCTTATGTCTCTTCCCTTTGCAGACGGTTGCAGAGGGCTTGCAGTAGGGCGAATGATCTACATACTAGTGACTGCTATCTCGCTATGGGAGGCGCGATGGATCATTAAGATATACGCCCGTAAATAAGAAAAGTCCCCACGTTGACTTCCAGAAGAGCCTCGGATGCTTCTACAAGCGCGACGCATTGACAGACCGAGCCAGCACGGACAAGATAGCCACCCAAAATGAGGCAATCCAGAGGCTATTGGGATCGGGTCTTGACTCGCGTCTTCACAAGCGACAGAACTTCCGGAGTTCTTTGATCCTTGCAACTTTGTTGTTCCTTTTGGCGCATGTAACTTCTGCGCGGCATTCATCCTTCTAACCAAGGTTTTGGTGCAGGATTTATGCTCAGTTTCATGTGGGCGGGAGGCGCCGTTGGTGTACAGCAGCGCAATCTTTAAACTGCCGCGACAACTCCGTACTGTTGCAAGAAAAGTTCAAGACCACAGCAAGCGCCACCGCAACAAAAACCAGAAAAGGGTTCAATTGAACCAATCTTTGATGTGGAGTCTTGCTTCGCATTTCGAGTCCCGAGTACGAAACATGTCTCCAATACGGAGAATGATACCAAACGTGTAGGGCTTTCTTATCCGGTGTACGGCAGGCCCACGACTCCCTTCTCGTGCTGGTGGGGGTTTATAATCATCAGAATGCACAATGATGTTTCGAGGTTGCAGGTGATTCCACTGAGAGCTCAAATTTCCATCATCTCTTTGGACGTACCTCGAACTCTCGAATTGCTCGTGTATTGTTACAACGGGATATCTACTCGGCTGTCGGGAGTGGTCGTGTACGCTCTATAACCAAACACCCTACGCTCGATATCGGTTCTTCTCAACACGCTCATCTCGCTTCCGATTGGCCATGACAGACGACTGTTAAATTCTTGCCATACGACAAAGTTCAACCGCGCCGAAGCCACAAGTCGTTGAAGCTTCAACGGCAGAGAAATATGATTAGCGGCATGGCGCAGCATCAAAAATCCTGACTCGGAAAGAACGACTCTCTTGCGAACAGCCAAAATCTGCATGTCTTCCACTCATGCATTTTCCAGGGACAAGCCGGCCTGAATTGCCGTCGACAGAGCCGCCAAAATTGTGGCTTTTCGAAAGTGCTGCCGAGTACTACCCTACGGTGGAGACACTGGAGAGGCCGGTCGCTTGCGAAAGACATAGCATGGACCCTTTCGTGATCTTCGCAAGCACGTGGTTTCATTAGCAGGGTGATCTGCAGGAGAAATGGATCATCTCGCGTGGTGAATAAAAGCAGATCTTGCTCCTTTGTTGTGTACTTCTTCGTTCTTATCGCTTCGTCTTGAACTTTCTTGTCTTCCTTTAACCCTATTGATATCAAACAAGGATGCGATTCAGCCATGTTTTCAATGCAGCCTTAGCTGTTCCCTGCGTGACAGCTTTGGCAGTGTGCAGGGACGCTGCTCCTCCAGCTCCTCACGGCCCTCCCGGTCCTCCTGGCCCACCAGCTGGTCCCGTTACTCGCGGTCCTCCTCCACCAGCGCCCCCCGCGGGATCACCTGCGCCTCCCGCAGGATCTCACAGTGTCGATCTTCAAGAAGGAACAGTGAAGGGATTCGCTGATGCCAGCGGAAACTCTGTCTTCTTGGGCATTCCTTTTGCTGAGACTACTGGTGGAGAAAATCGGTACGTCCACATGGCTCAACGGCCGAAACGTCTCGCTTGAGGCTCTTGCGAACTTGAATCAAGATCGATAGCTTACTCAATCTCCACAGTTGGAAGGCACCTATCCCCAAGAGCAAGCTGAAGAAGGGAGACGTTATTACCGCTACTGCATACGGCCCAACCTGTCCTCAGGCTATCAGCAACGATGCCTACAGCCGTCAAGATGAGGACTGCTTGAACCTCAACGTGTGGGCCCCCGCAGAGGGTAAGGATCTTCCTGTAAGTACTCCGACGATCACTCGTGATGTGAAACAAAGCTTATACTCTTGGATAGGTCTTCGTATACATGTACGGAGGTGCCATGGTCACTGGTTCGAGCAGCAACCCTCAGTTCCAAGGCAACAACTTTGCTCGCAAGGATGTCATCATGGTCACTTTCAACACTAGAGAGAGCATCTTTGCCTATCCCAACTCTGCTGAGCTCGGCAAGGATGGCTCTCAGAACTTCGGTATCCTTGATGTCCAGCAGGCTCTTGAGTGGGTTCATGAGAACATTGCTGTTTTCGGTGGTAACCCCAACCACGTCGTTTTTGGTGGCCACTCCTCTGGCTCAGTCCAGGTTGACCACTACCTTTGGAACAACCCCAAATCTTGGCTTGTTGGTGCCGTCGAGATGAGTGCCAACGCCGAGTCTGGTCCTGCCATCACTCCTGTCAACCAAGGTCTTGACATTGTCGCCGCTGAGGTTGGTTGTGGTACTGGTGCCGGTCAGCTTGAGTGCCTGCGCACCAAGAGCATCTACGATATTGAGACTGCCAACTTCAACTCCACCTACAACACCTGGTTCTCGCCCGTCATTGATGAGGTGACTCGTTTCTCTGACTACGCTGGTCGCTTTGCTGCTGGCAAGTACGCTTCTCACGTTCCTCTCCTCACCGGTAACTCCGATGGTGAGGGTGTCATCTTCGGTCTTGTATACGGTGGTGAGAATACCGATTTCAGCTCTTGGATCAACACCTTCGATGCTGATGTCGCTCACATCCCTGATGAGGAACTCATTGCTGCTTACAACGTTTCCGACTACGCTTCCGTCTCTGCCATGAGTGGTGCTCAGTACGGCGATGCTCGCTTCTTCTGCCCTGTTGACTACTTGATCGACCTTCGTAGTGAGAAGCAGGACACCTACGTCTACCGTTTCTTCGGTGACTACTGCAACGTCGTCGGCTGCATTGTTGGTGCACCCACTCACGGTACTGAGATTCCTTTCTTCTTCGGAGGTCAGGAGACATTCGAGTCTCTTACCGGTGTCACAGATGCCCAACAAGCTCTCGCTGACTCCATGAACGACTGGTTTGTGCAGTGGATCAAGAACCCCTCTGCCGGACCCGGCTGGGAGAAGGTCGAGCCCAAGTCTGGTGCTGTCGCTAAGCTCGGCGTCCCTGGCGATGAGCTTTCCATTGAGATCGGCTCTACTGCTGACTACAATGGTCGTTGCCAGTCTGTTTATGACCCTCTTCAGCCCAAGTACCCTGTTCTCAACAGCGTTGCTGCTTTGTAAGGGTGCAAAAGACGAGTCACAGATCTTGAATGAACAGCAAAAGCATGTGTTTAGAGTGCTTGTACGATACAATAAATTAATATATACCCAATCATGTCATACCTTTCAAAGGCGATGGATCTAGATTTCCTTGTTCAATTTCTGTCCCGCTTTCGTTTCGAATTGATGGGTTGTTGCGGAAGGAGGTACCTGCTGTTGCCAACAGGCTTCGGCACCCGCGGACATCGACCGCCGTGTGAATCCACAAAAGTCATACCAGATGTCCAGGCACCAACATCGTAACAACAATCTGGCAACTCCACCAATTCTCAATTATTGACATACAATCAGTTAACCATGGGATTACTCGACCTGGTCCAAAAGACCTGGAAAACATTACGCACGGCAATAAAAACCCTACTCGACCTCAACCGCACCTTCGAAGCCCTCGTCTCTCGCATCCACCAGGGTGCTTGTCTTCCATGCCCCGAACCAACCACATCATACTGGCTCGAAAACCCACCATTTCCAAACCTAGTCGATATCCAATCAGCTCAACTCCCTACTAAAACGCATAACGTAATCATCGGTAGTGGCATAACCGGTGTAGCGATAGCACGCACCCTCCTCCAACAAACCAATCGCAAAAACCATTACATCAAAATCACCGTCCTAGAAGCTAGAGACATTTGTAGTGGGGCTACGGGACGTAATGGCGGACATGTGAAAGTGGCACCTTATGAAGCTTTTGATGCTCTGGAGCGGAAGTTTGGGAGAGAGAGAGCTGTTGCGTTGACGAGATTTCAACTTAGGCATTTAGAGGTTTTAAGGGAGGTTTGCGAGAGTGAAGGGGTTGAGGGGGCGGAATGTAGGGGTGTGGAGACCGTGGATTTGTTTCTTGACGATAAGGTATTTGAGGGTGCGTGTAGGGTGGTTGAGAGGATGAAGACGCTGCTGCCTGAGTGTGAAGTCAAGGTCTTCCAGGCGGCGGAGGCTCGTGAGGTGAGTTTGTTTATGTCGGTTGCGCTGTATGGAGAGCTAATCCACATCAGCAATTTTCTACCAACAATACTGTTGTAGGTGCGCTTTCCTATGAAGCAGGAGCTATGTGGCCCTATCGCTTCGTCACTTCTATCTGGAACACGCTCCTACAGGAATATCCGAACCAACTCACCATCGAAACAAACACCCCCGTCATCTCCATCGAGAGAGACCCTGCTGGCAACGCTTACACCGTCTACACCAACCGCGGCATCATCCACTGCAACCACGTCGTCCACGCCACAAACGCCTGGCTGAGCCATCTCCTCCCCTCATTCATGACAAAAGCCACAGGCGTACGAGCACACATGTCTGCTCAAAACCTCGGGTATCACAGCTATCAAACCTTCCACGGTAATCGCTCATGGTCAATCATCTACGGCGAAAACGATTACGACTACATGACGCAAAGACCTTCTGCCAAAGGAATGGGCGATATAATGCTGGGCGGAGGAACATTTCGCTCCAAGGATGATGGAGTCAATCAGATTGGCGTGTGGGATGATAGTTGCATTGATGCTTTGACTTCAGCACATTTGGCCGGGATCTTGCCTGTTGTTTTCTCGCCCGACAAGGAAGCAAGAAAGCCGGAACAACAAGAGAGATTCCTGCAACAGCATTGGTCCGGTATCATCGCTCTAACAGCAGATTCGCTTCCTTTTGTCGGAAAACTGGATGGGCGTCTCAGTGGAAGAAAGTCGCAACGACACTCTGCAGGTTCTTCCGAGTGGATTTCGGCAGGGTATAATGGTCAAGGTATGGTTTTTGCATGGCTGTGTGGTACTGCGCTTGCTGTCATGATTATGGGTCTCGAGGAAGAGAACATACCCGCATCACCTGGATATCCTGGAGGCATCTTGAGCGAGTGGTTTCCGAAGGAGTTGCTTCTTGATGGCAAGCGGTTTGACAGGATCGACATTCTTGATCTTGCTGATCAGCTATATAATGGCCCAGGTACCAATCTATTCAAGGTTCTGTAGAGGGTTTATCCAACATTACCTTTTGACAGGCTCTCCGCTTTTCGACCTGGACATACCATCTGACGGGTTATAGAAACCACCAACTACTTCTCCGCCTGCTGATCTGAACTGTGATTGTCAAGCACACTTTCTTGCACGGCTTCTTCACGAGCCAACTTCTTATCACCCAGTGTGACGCCAATCTTAGAGATGACTAGCCATGCTGGGTAGAGCGATATGGCCCAAAGACCAAAGTTGAGGTAGATGCTTCCAGTCCTTGCCATGACAGACACACTTCCGAGACCGTACTGTTCAAATAAAGTCAGTCCTGTCCAAACCGAAAAGCATCGAGAAAATCTTCAAACTCACACTGACGGCCTGCACAGCTGACTCGGTACCACGAAGCAGACTGCAAATGCGGATGACCTCTTCTTGTGTCTCGGCGAGATTGCCTACGACAAAGTAGCTATCCAAGTCAGCATTGGGTGTTTCTTGCTTGGCCCGTTACAGCTTACAGGAACATGTAGTTCAATTGGAATCCAGCGACCCAGAAAAGAAATAGAGCAAATCCTTTTCCGAAGCCCTGATCCACCCAGTCATAAGTCGGATTGGTCTTGTTGAACTCTGTAACCAGCACTGTCGCCCAAACCCACCATGCGCCTTGAAGACCTAGAATTGTGAAGAAGGCTCCACGAGATCGTGACTTGAGGCTGAACTTTGTGTGATCGAGGTACTTGCCGAGTATATTACCTAGCGTGACGGCAACCACGCCGGAAAGGAAAGATCCCAAAGCACGAGCGCGAACACTGAACCAGAGTGCTTGGAAGGTGAAGAAGACTGACTCAGCATAGACGGCCTGTGCAATGAGAGGCACAATGAGGAGGAAGTGCTTGCTGAAGAAGAGCTTGGACATTGCTTTGAGCTCATAAGTGATGCTGTTCCCAATGCTCAAGCGGACAGGTAATCCATCAGTTCTCTGGACCTTTTCAGGTGGACTCAACAGAAGACCTGCGAAAGGTGCAAGAGCTTGAAGTGCGATGAAGGCTTCGAAGACATGGTATGAGACGGAGCCAGCTTTGTTGTTGTTGACGTTGACACCAAGGTTGATGGCACCTCCAACAATTTGGCCGCCCAGACGAAAGCTGAGCCAGAAACCGAGAAAGCGACCTTGATTGTGAGGTTCAGGATAGGCAAGGGCGATAGCTGCCTCGACAGACCAGAAGATACCAGCAGAGAGACCGCAAAGTGCTGCGCCGAGAAGAACAAACCAGCCATCACCATAACGATTGTTGACGTATAGTCCTGCAGCGTATGGACAGTATCCGAGAGTACCGATGATCAGTGCCCACTTGACACCCACCCATCTGACAACAACAGATGAGAAGAAACAGGTCAAGACCATGAGACAGAAGGTCAAAGCGTTGGCAGAGTTGACCAACGATGGAGATTGCTGACCACCACCACCGAGAGAGTTCATGGCACCCCAGATACCAGGAGCCAGAAAATTGCAAATTCCCAGAATGAAAGCATTCCAAAAGGTAGAACGGTACCATTTGGCTATGTAAGACCGAGTTAGCTACCATGTCGTGCATCGTAACGGCATCTCTTACGCTTGCGAATTGCTTTCAGAGAGCCATCGTCGCTTGGACTTTCCAAAGGTTGGGTTGACAAGATGCCAGAGGATTTATCGTTGGCCATTCTTCTGTCCTAATGTTGATGAGATGACTAGGTCTGCAGAACAGGCGACCTCTTCATTCATCATATAGTAGTTGTCTTCGCTGGTTGACTATAGGGCCAAGATTTCTGTTAAGCTGAGTTGCTAGGAAGATCATGATGCGAAAGCTCGCCATCGATTCAGGTGTAAAGTTTGATTATCTCGCCTGCCGTGGTTCGTCGATATTGGGTCAGATGAATTTATGCTGCATGGCGCGAGAGCTCGCCATCGCAGGACCCGAGATGTACCCGGTCTGCATGTCGTATGTCGTGCTTCGGCAAATGAGAACACGAGCGGTAGTCAATAGCTTTGATGAATGAGTTGTGTACTGACCGTCATAGCGTTTCTCCCTCCAAAGCCCTGGTTATAGGTCAAAATCGCAGAGGAAAAAGAGGAAGCGACAGATGTCAAGAAACGGCCAAAGGCGAGAACCATCAAGGTGACCGGGGAAGAAATGTTGTTGGCAACAAGAATCCGTTGCTAACAAAGCTGATGGTAACACCGACTCACAGCTTCCCGAAGTTTGGCGCGACTGCCTTTTCTGAGCAGAAAGCTAGAGTACAGTGAACATGGCTCTTGCCTTTGCGAACCGTGACGCTCCAACTTGACTCGAAAATGCGCCTTCCTTCGACTCGATCCTCCAAGCGGGATACGGCTCGGTCGCTCATCCTTTGACCGCCGAATTCTCTCTTGCGCCATGGACCAGGCAGCGCCGATGCGATGTCCGATGAGCTCAGGCTATCAGACCACGACACGCTCCACCGCACTTCGCCCATTGCGACCTGCCACGTCACAAGCCTCAACACAAGGCTGGTGCATTTCCTCCGAAAGGACACTGCCGAGAAGACAGTCGCCAAAGAAGGCGCCCAAATCTCCCCACACCGAGAAGGCTCTCGTTGCGTTCCTACCCTTACGACCGGCCACCTCTGTCGCGATGACACGGCCTCGCATGGTCTCGTCAAGTCCATGCTTCTCGTCGCCGACATGTCCGCCATCGACTGTCTTTTGTCTCCCACGCCTCAGCATACAACCTACAAAAGATACTTGATGAATACAACCCATGCTGTCATGACAATCGAAGTCAACAGACCAAGGCCGGCATATGTAACCTTTGGGACAATTGTCCGGCGGGTCAAGGGGTCGTTGGCCGCATCTTCGATGATGGCTTCGCGCTTCTGACGTTGCTTCCTGGTCATCGTCATGCCCTTACCAAGCTTGAAATAGTCGACAAGGATGTACGACACTCCCAGACAGAACGCCCAGCACTTGATACCAATTGCCAAGAGCAACACCCGAGTGTATCCCTGGCCCTCAGTGCCTAATTCCATGGTCAGCTCGGCGCTAAAGAAGGTATATTGCAGGACTACTTACCATCCTGGAGGACACCAAATGCAATGTCCATGATCGTTGAGCCAGAGTTGTTGAACGCTCGCCACAGCCCAAAGGCCGTACCCAACTTGTTCTGATCCATGACCAGCAAAGGAATACAGATCTGTAGAGGCATCGAATTGATCACCCCTGCCAGGCTGGAGAAGACCAGTGCCGCGAGTGGGTGGACTGACGTGAAGCCAATGAGAGAGCAAGCCATGATCCAGAACACAGGCGCGAGAGCAACCCAGTGGAACCGATGACCATACCTGTCTATGGCAATACCAAGAATCGGACTCAACACAATGGGTAGTATGTCTTGTGCTGTCGAGAGATAGCCAGCGACGGCTTCAGTATAGCCTTTCATCCTGATGATGTCTGCAGCACTGACACTAAATCCTCCTGCAGCACCAGATTGTAGAAGCTGTGTCATTGGGAGCATCCAGAACGCCCAAGGCAATCGCAAGATGGTCCCAAAAGACACAACCTTTCTCTTTTGAGCCAGGTCATCTGATGAAATCGATGTTTGCCGACCTGACTTCAGCCTGAATCTTTCAGGGACGATGTATTTCTCGAAAAGTATGTAAGCAATGGCAAACAAGGTCGACATACCGCAGAACACGGCAGGGATCCAGAAGCTCCAGCCATACCAGCCAGTCGAATTGCGGATAGGTATAGCCGTCATGCCTGCAACCAAGCTGACCGTCTTATTGATCGCATTCTCAAATCCGAACGCAAAAGCCAACCCTGATATACGGAACCAGTGGTAGAAGAACTTCTGTTGAGCGGTATCCAAGACAGCGATACCAAAGCCCATGAGGATGTGCCCTCCTGTAAGTACACGCCAGACTCCAAGATTGGTGGCAGAGGCAGCCAGTATGGATCCGATGAAGATGATGCCTGTGCACAGCAGCACGATGATGTTTGGGCCAAACCAGTCGAGAAGGACACCGCCTATGATTGGCCAAACCGAGTTGACAATGGCATCAGCACTACTGACGACGCCGAATTGTGTGTTGGAAATGCCGAGCTCGTTGCGAAGTGTGTGTTTCAGCGGCCCGAGACTCGATTGCGTCCAGGTCTGCCCGATTGGAAAAGAGACGAAACAGAGAAGAGCAATCCACTTGAGCTTCCATGGGATGGTTTCGTCTGCAGGATCATGATCTGGATTGTTCTCTGCATCGGCTTGCGGATCATCGAATCCGAAGGAGCCCACTTGCACAGTGTTCTCGGTTGTATGGACTTTCGTGGAGTCTTGTGCCCTTGTCGCAATCATTGTCTGGACCTGGTGATGAACGAAAAGGTAAATATTGGCTAGTATGAAATGCCACAAGTGTTTGTATCAACGAGCGAGGACAAACGAGATATCCATCAGATTAGATCAGATAAGAAAGCATCTACTTTATACTCGTCCCAGCATGCCTCATTTGTAAAATGTTGGGACATCTTATACGAGACTGTTTCGCCAATAGCTTCGAGTCAAGAAAAAAAGCCAAGGTCTGGGTTAGCAGATCTAGTGTAGTCTATGGATGGATTGAAGTGGATTTTTGTCTTAACTCCACCTACTCCAAAGGCTCGGAGTGGCAGTAGATTAGAGCAAGGGTCTACATGGATTTATCCATGGATATCTACGCTCTATAGAGTGTTATAGCTTAATGCGGAAGGTGGTGCCGGAGGGAGAAGGTAGTGAATAGGGAGTGGAAATCTCAGTATTTGCATATATTAATCAAAGTTAAGGATCTTAATGTCACTGTCGCTGCTAGCTCTCTATATAACCTCGCTAATAGCGTCGCCGTCCTCCTTCTTTAACATATTAAGCGTTATTATGTTCGATCTAAGCTAGCTCTTAAGACATTAGGTATAGGTTACGGTATTAGCACCTAAACGACTCCGATAAGGACGGTTTATAAGGCTAGCACTACTAAACGTCCTCTCTAGTTTATCTAACATCGTAGGTGCGGTAAAGACATCGATAGCTAGCTTTAAGAGGCGTAGGTAGTTGCGTTAGGAGGAATCGGTAGTCTAGTAGTCTAAAGGTCGCTCGATGCGAGCATCTTATAGTTATTAATACTACCTCTAGTATTTATCTTCTTAGGGCGTAGAGTAAGGGGTCTCGAGGTTAAATAGAGAGGAAGGACGCGTAGTAGGAGCTATAGGTAGTAGTACTTATTTAGTTATTAGTAGGTAAGAATATTCGGTCTAAAGTTGCTATACTCTAGATCTCGTAGTAATAACCTAATAGGACCGCCACTTCTAGATCTCTTCGATAAACTCCTAAGTATAGCTAGGGTAAAGGACGATAGCTGCTATATAGATTGCTAATAAGTCGGTAAGCTTATAATATTTATCTAACTTTGCCTACGCTAGGTTAAGATGCGAGCAGATAATAGAGTTATAGTTAATAACTTCCTCGCGCTCTAGTACCTCTACCTATAAAGCTTCTAGAGTTAGCAAAGCGGCCTAAGATGCGCGTATTTGTCTACTTTGTTTTAATGTAATAACCTGTTAAGGATAGTATAATCTAGCCTTATACTAGTCCTAATTAGGTAATAGGCTTGGCATACGCGCTATTACCTATTCGGCTATCTACAGTCTGAATTTGGACTAAAACAGCTTAGAAACTACTAAGCTATAGCCGAAGTTAGAAAGTCACTCATTTTGGAAGTGGCCGGACAGGGTCACCTCGGCCAGACAGGGTTACCCCGGCCACAGACAGGGTCGCCTAGGACAGGGTCACCCCGGCCAACCAAAAGTGGCCGGCCGGCCGTCCTTACTCTAGAAGGGACAGGGTCACCTTTAGCCTTCTAGTAGTAATAGCTAAATTATAGCTATTGGGCAGGGTCGCCTTAGTGCCTTAGAGGCCTACTATCGCCTAGTAGGCCGGCCAAGGACAGGGTTACACCTAGACCTTAGGATTTCCTATGTTCAGCAAGGCTTCCTATCTTTCTAGAGGTTTCTACTAGCTTCTATGATTACTAATGCTACATTAGTAATCTATGGAGTTAAGCGGACATATAAGGACTTAATCTATTAAGTCCGGGCTGCTTACTAATGCTTACGCGTCCTTAGAAGCAGATAGAAACTAGTGGATTTCTTTAGAAGTTTTTGATTTCTAAGCACTCTTTAGCATAAATAGGGCTCACCTCTCACTCCTTAGGTAGTCTAAGCAAGCAAGCAATCTACTCTCATTGTCTACAATAAGATACTAAAGTCACTTCCGCCCCTACTCCTTTTAGGGAAAGGCTAGAGTACTAGACAATACTCTTTGTTCTCTAGCCCCTTACCTTTTAAGATAACCGGCGTAGTTAGTAGAGTAATGTTATTAAGGGTAACTATATTAGTTAGGGGCGCTATCCGGTAATCTTCCCGAAGCTACTTAAAATAGCGGAGGAGACCTTCTATTATAGGAAGCACCTACTATATAGAGCCATAAGAGGAGCTATTAGCATAGCCTTATAGATAGAGAGTCGCCTCTTTAAGAGGTGAAAGGATCTAGATAAGCTTAGTAATATAGGACTAGTCCTCGGCATCTATATAATGGTCTAGAATTACTAGTCTTTTAGCGAGGTAAGCGTTAGTTAGTAGTAACTTCCCTTAATAAGTAACCTTAGCCTTATAAGTCTCCTAAACACCTATCTCCTTATCGAGGATCTTATTAATAGTAGGACGTTACTCTATAGCAACTTTATAAGCATTAACTCGTAAGTTCTACCGGGTCTTATTATAGGCTAGTAATTTAATCGACTTTAGTCTATACTTAATATACGCATAAGACTATGTCTTAAGATACGGTACCTCCCTTAAGCGTAGTAGTAGTAGAGCTAAATAAAATAGCATTAGCGATAATGTTAAGGATATAACTAGCGTAGCGGAGGCGCCGCTCTCTAGTAGTAAAGTAATAGCGCTCTATAAGGATGTCGACTACTATATTGTTAGGGGACGCATTATCTCCTATAATGTATCTAAGGCGTTATTCGTCGATCCTAAAGGTAGTTAGTCTCTTAACTATTAACGCTACTATATTAGTACCGGTATGCGAGCTAGTCATACGAGGTAGGGTAAGAAGGAAGGTCTAGTATCTAGCATTAGTGTAGAAGTAGACATTAATGCTAAGGAAGGCCTTTATTATATAAGTAGTCTAGCTATCGAAGGAGAGGTAAATCCTAGATAGAGAACTATCGACTCGATAGCGTACGAGCTAGAGACTATTATAATATCCCTAAGCAATCTACCTCTATATAGTTTAGTACGAGGGTAAATAGTTCTAAGCTTTAATCGCTAGTTATAAGTAGTAAAATAAGTCCCTAAGATAGGAAGATTCTATAGCTCTAAATGCGTAGCTATTGTAAACAATCTATACCGTAATAAGAGCCTTAAAATGCTTAGGGTCGAAGCGAATAAAGTAACGCTTAATAGCGTCGGTATATAGGTCTAATTCCCCTATTATTTTAATCCTTCTCTTTTTGTTAATAGCACTATTAGGGCTACGCTCGTATATGTTCTTAAGGTAATCCGTAGCACCGGATATGCCTTCCGAGACTCTCTATGTCTTTAGCTTCCCTATAGGATAGCGATTAAGGTAACTATAATAGAGGAAGTAGATCGAGCTATCCTTCTTATTAAGCACTCGCTATCCGTAAGTCTAGATCTAAGAGCGAGAGGTACTACGACCGTTAGGGTAAGGTCTTAAGTAGTAAGGAATAAGGCGAGCCTATAGAACACGCTAGTAATAGTTAGGAATTTAGATAGGTATATTAAGAGCTTCGGCGATAACTAAGGGTAATGTTTCGTACGTTAGGGACGTTAGAGTAGATAGTTTAGAGGTGTCTTCGATAAATAAAGGCGACTAAGAAGGACTAGTAGTAGGAGGGGACGAGGAATTAGTAAAAAAAGAGTTTATAGTGCTCTAAGAGGCTATCTCGACGCGAGTATCTTATATTGTTTTAGCGTATGTTAGGTACGCGTACTCTAGAGTATTTGTAGACCGATTTTAATGGTTAATACGTAAAAATGATGCGACATAGCTAGAAGAACTATTAGAAAAGCAAGTATAGAGATGCCGGCGTAGTAGGGTAGGGGGTAGTTAGTTAGAGGGAGATAGAAGAGAAGGAAGCGTTATTATAATAAGACTCCGAGAGGGGAGCCGGGCGGCCGGCTACTTCCGGCCGATCTAATCTATCTAATCTTACTACATTAGGCTATCGGTCCGAGATTTAACTAATTAGAACCGCTTAAACTCCGAACTCTATAGAGTTCTATAGACTCGACTACCTACTATACTACTCTACTCTAACCTATAGAGCTAGCCTTACGATCCACTCTACGGAGTGGATCGTAGATTTCCGGAGTAGCGCTCTAAACCTCTTCTATCTATGGACTATACTAAGCAGATCTTTCGCATTTCGAAGACACTTATAGGATTCGCTCGCCTTTTTTTGCCCTCCTATAGATATTAAGGAAATCCACGTTTCTTGGTAGGGATCTAGCTAAGGGGCGGACGGCTTCGTAGGATCTTAAGGGGGCGCAGTTTTCCTATAGGGCGTTTTCGTGTGCAAGAAGGCCCGACAGGCGATATCGTAGACATTAGGAGGTATCTTACTTAGTTGTCTCTTTACAAAAGTCGCCGACCACTCGAATTACACATTAATTGTTGCTTTTGTTTAAGAATGTTTAGAGAACTAGAACGAGCGGTTTCTTATATGTTTAATGCTAAGATCTTGCTTTACGCATTAAATGACAAACATAGACTAAGATGCAATGGTTCTCGCAAATGAGAGAATCCTAGCTGTACAGAAGCAAAGAAACAGTCACTATAGGCTAGTTTTTTTTTGGGTATCATTGGTCAATCAAAAGACACATCGAGATGCCTACGATAGGGAGCGAGTTTAGAGCAAATAAAATCGATTACAATGTTGATATGTGTTAGACAGTTGAACTCCCTACCCGAAAACACGCGATCTAGGAACAAAACACCTTTTCTCACCAGACCAAACATTAATCTACTGCTCATTATCGCCCTCGTCGCTGCCATCGTCAGCACCGTCGGAGGAGCCGTCATCGCCGTCGCCAGAGTCATCTGAGCCGTCAGAGCCGTCAGAGCCATCGGAGCCGTCATCGCTTCCGCTCGTTCCAGTGGCCTTTGCGCCGGCAGCGACAGTGATAGTCTTTGTTGCAGTGACTGATAAAGTTGCAATTTCAGTTGTGGTTGCAGTAGTGGTTTCGGTCAAAGTGGTAGAGACTGTAAGGGTGGATGCCTTTGCGCTGACTGTAATCGTCTTTGCGGAGGGAGTGGCAGTGATGGTTTTTGCCGAGGGAGTTGCAGTGACAGTGATGGTCTTTGCGCCTGCAGCACTGTTTCCTGCAGCAGTGACGGTGATGGTCTTGCCGGCTGCGGTACCTGCTGCCGTGACGGTGATGGTCTTTCCAGCAGCGGCAGCGTTTCCGGCAGCGGTGACAGTGATGGGCTTGTTGACGGTAATGGAGATGGTCTTGGTGCCAGCAGCGCCTGCAGGGGCAGGGACGGTGATGGTCTTGCCGGGAGCGGTGATAGTCACAGGCTTGGCCGGCGTGAGCTTGGTGATATACACGGGCTTACAGGCAGGGGCAGCTGCGCGAGCATCGAGAATGGGAGAGGCGAAGGCCGGGGTGATGGCGCAGAGAGCGAGGGCGGATGCAACGATTGAGGCCTTCATGTTTGCGATTGGAAGTGCAAGGAGCTCGGTTCGAATAGAAGAAGAAGAGGATCTGAAGAGACTGTGAGTTGGGCTGAAGCGAGTGTGATGATTGTGAGTGATGAGAACAGGACGACGACTGGGAACAGACTGAGCTCTTTATACCATTGATACCACTGTATTCGACTCAACACAGGACCATCTTGACAGAGTCTTCACCATGTCTCATTTCCGAGCAGAAGATTCAATACCGCTTGTAGAATCTCATGTCTCGACCTGTAAGACGTTCATCCACGGAGGAGCCGAGACTGCAATAATGGCGGACGTTGTCAGTCAGCGTGAGCTGAAGTGATCCCCCTTGGCCATTCTCTGCCATGATGGGAGAATGGTTCTACACACAAACCATTCAACAGGTCGTCAATGGTATCAGATTTGGACGTGGCGTAAAGAATCAGAAACAGGAAACTGTAGCCCAAGGTATATCTGTGTAGGATTCGGTCAAGCCGAAATTCTCGACTCACGTGCCGTTGAACGAGTCCCGGCATGTCTCTCATGGGAGTGTATCCTCCAGAGTGCAGTCGCCGTTTTTCGAAGCGACCACCAGCAATCATGCTGTCAATTTGTGCCGGAATGTGGAGGAAACAGCGTGCTATTCTTGCAGTCCAGGAGATCCATTTCATTCGCACAGGAGTCCAGAAGTCATCGGTGTCAGCCTGTATCCGTTTGATATGCAGCTGAGAGTTTAGAGTTGCACAGTGCCCGATGCCTCTAACGACTTGTAGATTCAGAACACTCCTGAACTTAAGCGAGTCGTGACTGGTAGATATTGAACGTCTTCTGCCGTGCGCTCAGGCTCTGGAGCCGGTCGTTCACGGCAAGTGGTTAGGCCACAGGTCAGGAGTCTTAGGGGTCGAGAGGTCGTTGCCGAATGGAAACGGAGAAGAAAGCTAAAAACAGCCGAGCCGTGAGCGTTCTGCGTGCTTGGCGAACTGGCTCGAATATCTGATCACGCTCCAGATCTTTGACTTGGCGGTGTTCAACTTCTGTCCTGCTCTTGACATGCCCTTTCTTCGCACAAAACAAGACGAAGGCGGCGAGTGCATGTCACCATGCAAAAGACCGAAAGGCTCAATTCAATCTGAGCTGCTACACGTTACGCTCACGATGGCCACGATCTATGATGAAGCGCTGGTTGAACGCGTGCAAGACCTGCTCACGTCCAAGTCCACCTGCAGCACTATCAATTCTGTTCTCACCAGGCGTGTTGAGCATATCGGCATTGCCATCAGATAGGCCCTGCTAAGTGCTGTTCAATTGTTCAATCTATCGGGTCTTGAGAAGGGTTCACGGCCAGTTCAACGGCAGAGCTGAATCTCTACCCCAAAATCCCATCGAGACAGATTGCAGTCGCCCCACGTTGTAACGTCTTCATGAACGCTCAACTCTAAACTCACTGTATCTACAGTCCTCAGCTGAGAACCAGTTTCGTCTACCGTTCAGGATGCTTCCTCCTATGTGTTTTCTGTTTATTCCACTAGAATCTGGTGAAGTAACCGAAACAGCGAAGAGATTGCCCCTGATGCAGTTGGGCCTTTGCTCTGTTGTTGGGTATCCACACACTGAGAATAATACACTGACATATAAGTGCACAAGATACGCGCTCGAGCTTCGAGAAAATCATCAGCGACTACTCGGAATAGCCTTGTCTATCGACCATCTGGAACAAGACCATCAGAGTAGGAGCTAGACAGATCGCTAATCTGGTCTACTAGATCGATCTACCAGTTCGCTAACTAGACCAGTTCCGACTTTGGGATCCACTAGATCAGATCGGTATACTGGATCTGCTAGATCGATCTGTTTTGGTGGCGGCTAGCGGCCTTGGCGCTCCACCGGCCAATTAGAGGGCTTGAATTCCAACGTTAAATATTCTCCATATCTTCCCGCTCCTAACTATAACAACAACATTGTCACCACTTAATAAAATGACTACCTAACCCTCTTAAACACTAGCCGAGACCTCTTAGGACTCTTAATTACTCTCATTAATTGACCTTCGCTTCCCCTTCGAAACCGCGAGCTAGTTCTCTACCCTATTAACCTCTACCGTCGCCTCCTCGCATATTAACGTCCCTACCGAGTTCTAACGTCCTAATGACTTCTAAAGCACTGCTACGCGCGTAGATAGCTTACGTACAGTTAGAAACATCGACTACTATAAGGACGTCGACTTTAGTCGCCTCTATTAGCGCGAAAGAGATAGGAGTAAGATACAACTTAAGGGGTATATTAATGGAAAGGGAGCTAGTATAAGCTAGATTTTTCTCTACGGTTGGCGCGTACAAGTTAAGGGTGCTCTACCTAAGCAATACTACTAGATCTGCACCTCCTACTACAAGAAACGAGTTACTCGATATGCCTTTAGTGTAGGTAAAGGCACGGCACCCCCTATTAAGCATCTTAGCACCTATAGTATTACTGTTTATAGCGAGAACGCCCCTAAGAGAAGTCGACTATCTAGCAGCTTTGCTACGTCCTCTACTAAGAGCTCGAACTATAGATAGGACATTAAGCGCTATAGCACCGTCTTCTATCTAGCTAAGTAGAAGGCTCGCATCGTTTCCCTAATCTATTATAATAACCATGCGTTTTAGCTCTTCGAATCTTAGTATCTATAGGACCTTCTACTTTCTCTTAACCCTGCTATTAGCTAGAGAGGTTGCCTTCTAAGCTATACTACTATTAGCGACTAGATTACCTAAGCTTATAATAGTCACATTAGCATTATAACTAAAAAGCTTAGGTTAGTAGAGAGTAAGATCTATCTATCCTTCGATCTATAGACTTCTCGTAACATCCGCGCTCTACTCGGTATTAACTGTCACTTCGCAGATAAGTTTAGTAACCTTAAGACCTTCCTTCTATCCTTGCTAGAGTAGCTCGGCGCTTACTCCGGCATTAACATTACTAACAACATTACCGACATTATCGAGCACTTTAACCTTCGGGAAAAACTTAGATATTTTATGACGGATAATGCGACCAATAACGATACCTATATACAAGCCCTTAGCCTTAAATATGGCTTTAATCCTCTTTACTGAAGGCTCCGTTACTCTAGCTATAAGATTAACCTTATTGCGCGCGCAATGCTCTAGGGTGTTAACGAGGAAGCCTTTAAAAACGAACTAGCCTCGGTCACCATTAAGAATTATGATCTACTCATTTAGCGCAAGAAGGGACCACTTAGTAAGATAAGAAACACGATTATTTAGATCCGCTTATCGCCTTAGCGTAACGAAGCATTTAAAAAGCTTTAGAAGGACTATCCGTTAATAGATTAGATTAGCGAACTCTATACTCCTAACGACACTCGATGGAACTCTATGTTTAAGGCTATTATAGTCTTTATTCGACTAAGGCTAGCAGTCGAAGACTTTTATAATAAGGCGCACTCTAACTAGTAAGCGTATTAGAGTAAGATCACTAATAATGGCAGCAAAGCTCCTCCTCTAAAGCACCGTAAAAAGCTAGCTCATTTAGACGACTATCTTACTTAGGACGATTAGGCGATTCTTACGATATATAACTATCTACTCGAGCCTCTTTACTACGCTACTTAGCGCCTTAAAGGCCGAGGAGGAGGAGCTAGTTATAGCGCTATCTAGTAGGTAATTCCTACTATAGAGAAGATGCTTACGCACCTCGAGGTAGCGAAGACTAAGTACTCTATTATACGGCCGGCACAAGATTATTCTATGTTTAACTTATAGGCTAGCACCGTCTTCGAAGACTCCTAAGACCTTAACCGGCTAGCACCTCTTACTCGATTTAATCTGCGCCGCAATTAGTCATTATAACTAATGCTACCTCCTCCTACGCTAATACTAGTCCCTTAACCCTTATCTCCTCTATCTGCTCCTCCTCCGAGTAAGCCTATTAAGAACACGATAGAATATCGTATGCTCTACGTCGGTGTTAACCTCGTATAGAAAAAGCTAGATAAATATTACATAAAGACAGACCAATCGCCGGTCTATGTCGCTACTATCGTGCTTTACCCTAGACTTAAGTAGAAGTAGCTTAAGAAGGCATAGAAACACCGGCAGGGTTAGCTTACTAGGGCGCGTACTAGTGTTAGGAATCTTTAGCTTAAATACGCTAATATTAAGGTGACCGATAAGGACCTTAAGTCTACAAGAGTTAAAGATAATGCGCGCTAGATGGACGAGGACCTCTTAAGTAATTTCTCTAATCTAGAGGACGACATAAGTAACGATGAATACAGTCGTTAGTGCGATAAGGGTCGCTAACCTAATGAGTTTAGACCCCTTAAGTTCTGGTCTTCGAAGCGCTAAAAGTAGTGCTACCCTCGTCTCGCACGTATAGCCCGAGACCTCTTTACTATCCCTACAATGTCTAATAAGCTAGAGCGTGTCTTCTTAAGCGCAGGTCTAATAGTTACTCCATTAAGAGGACGACTATTAGCACGATCGATAGGAGAGGCTTAGTGTGTTAAGAGCTAGATTAAAACCGGCATTATTACTAGTCTCGAAGGGACCTTTAAAAACGTTGCTAGTCTACCCGTTGATATTGAAGAACATTGAGAATTCTTACACCTTCCTCCTCGCCACGAGCCTCTATACAGCTGACCAGATCGATCTGGTCTAGTCTGGCGAACTGGCAGTTCGCCAAGCGATCTGGTCCAGTTGGAACTGCCAGACCAGTTCTGACCTTGGAACTGGTCTGGTCTATCCAGTTGCTACTCTGAAGACCATCACTCATTCTGGTCTTGAATCCGTCCCTTCTTTCTTCAATCCATTACTTATTGTCTTACAATCATGAGATACCTCGGCATTGCCCTTGCAAGCGTTGCTGGTGGAGTGTCGGCCTTCCCTGCCTCCTCAGGCACCTTCTTCAACGGGTTCAACCCACAAGCTGCTGCTGCTGTGATCAATGGTACCACGTACTTGAACAGCACCACGACGAGAGTCCCCACCACCGCCCTGGTTCCTGCAACCTCTATCGTTCCTACTACGATACATACCACTGTTTACCAAGGCGCAGATCACGTCGTCTCGACTGTGTACAAGACTGTCACTCTGTCTGCCTCTTCGACACCGATCACTGGAGCCCAGGGCAATTTCGATTGGTCAGAAACTGCGGATGCTCCAGTTCCTACAGTTACTCTCTCTCCTGCCGTTCATTGGGATGTAGTCGTTGGACCACAAAACTTGATTCCTGCGAACCAGCCAGCACCCTTGTATTACAACGATGGAGGTCCTCGTGCCGATCCAAGTGTTGCACACTCTTTTGGTACTCTCGACATCAACTACAAGATCCCTGCTGTCAATCTTGATCACACGGACTGCGCTACCTCAGTTTCATATGACAGCGGTGTCCTCTCAGTCAAGTTTGCTGACGCGGCGTGCTTCGCTCAAGCACAAGGTTCTTGGTCTTCGAACCAGCAGCTCATCTTCATCACCTATTCCAACATCTGCCAGAACTTTGCAAATGGCGAGTTCTGTTACTATGTCTCTTCCTCACTTGTGTTCTCAGTCGAAGGACTGACAGTGACCGTATCCGGTGCGATAGTCGAAGTGGCAGACTGGATGAACGGAGCTCAGTTCCAATGGGGCGTCTACAAGCCGGAGCCTCAAGTTTCGATCAACGGAGACAACCCAACTTCCACTCTCTCTGGAGGCTCTACCACATCAGCGACTCCCAGCTCAACTAACGCGGCTTGCAACGCAGTCGATGCCAAGTATGGTCTGCCGATCGGCCCTCTCGACGTCAATATCGATCGCTACCTAGATGACTGCCTGGGCTATTACGACGATCTAGACAGTACTCCATTTGACAGTTATGTCGACAAGATTTATGGCACTAAAGATCTGGACTCGAAATATGTCGCTAGTGAAATCTCGGAAGATGAGACTGATTTCGCCTACGACTACACCTACGAGGAAGGCAACAACGATAGTCTGCGCTGACGCGACCTGGCTAGATTTCATCACCTGAGCCGCCGTGGCTTCACCAGGTCATTTAACAAGCAATGGTCTTTCCAACTTCCAAAAGAGCAGAAGAACATGGTCGAATCACCATGGGGCGATGCTAGATTACTCAAAGAGTTCAAACCCAGCCAGCCAAAGAAGATCAAGAAACCTGGAAAGGCCGAGTTCGATGCTAGCATGAAGATCTGCGTTGGATGTGGAGCTTCTGGAAGTGTCACCATCCAAGGCTCGGGCACTATCAGTCCTCTCTTCTCTCTCACTGAAGGCTACGTTACTGTCGACGCAAACATGATGCTCGCCTTGCAACTCGGTGTAGTCGCTGAAGTTCAATACAGCTACAAGTATGACGAGCTGCTCTTCTCGTTCGGTATTCCCATGTTGTTGTGATTAAAAGTGCCCCACATCACAACCGCTGCTTCCTTAAAAGTAGGTCAAGTGCAACTTCCTCTAACCATTACTACAGGTAAGAACGACTCTCCTTCAGGCAGCACCCACTCCCACTCAAATTTCTTTTCCAATCCAATTCCCTCCCTTCTTCTCTCGTCGCAGGATTGTCGTTTTTTAAGACCTCTAGCAACAAGCATCTTCTCTTCCTTAAGCCTTCTCGTCCTCGTGAAGACCTGCCGCTTTCGTCCTTAACATCCACAACAAGTACAGCGCCGCGGGTCGCTTCATGACGCAGAACTTTCGATAGCGCAGAGGGCCGCTGAAGTCCGGAAACCCCTTTGTCCTTCTTCTCTCCTCTCTTTCACCAGTATACACATGTATCCATCATCTGTCTTGACTCACCCCGTTCTTATACAATGTTACAGTGTCTGCTCGTACTGTTGGCTCTGTCGCTTGGGCTCGCAAAATCTCCCTCTCCGCTGGAAGACATGTGTCCTACGTCAAGGACAAGAACTCTGGACACCTCCGTCCAGCCACCAATGACTTCGATGAAGTCCCAGCTCGCCGTCGCCTCGCGCGACCTCCCACTCCCGACGCCGAAGACACTCCCGAAGATGAGGTCGCTGCCGACATTAACGCCCTTAATGATGAGGATGCTGAAGATGACATGGCTCCTGTCGTTCGATCTTCGCTAGCAATATTGAGCCAAACCGATGAAGAGGAAGAGGACGACGATGATGGCACTGTTATGGCCGATGATGAGGTCGTGGAGCGTAGGGCACACGTCTCGGAGGCTAATGTCAAGTATATTGCAGAATACAAGCAGATGGGTGTCGGCGCTCGCGCCAAACATAGAGCTCCTACTTCGAGAATATCTTGTAGTTTGGAAGGACTCCTCCCACAAGAGATCATGGGTTGAGGGAGACTTCTTGAAGGGTTCAAAAGTGGAGAAGGAGTCTTGGCGTAAGAGGGGTATGAAAGTGTAGACTTAGCATTGTTTGTGTGTTGTATGTTGCTGTTGCTTGTTTGAAGATTGTATGAAGAAAATTGTACAAAGCATCTCTCGCTATACGCTCTTGTCGTATTCTGTTCCTGCTTGCCCTCTGCTATGCTCACTTACACCGCATTGGCCACCTTATCCATCGCTCATGGACAAGTTCTCCGACACGAAACTTGGTCTGGACTGGGCGCTTTCCGTGTGACAAGTACAGGTCAATCGTCCACTGCCGTACAAACATGTCTGTTCCTTCAAGGGGTTCCTTCACATCTCTTATCTATATGCCAATCAAGTAATCTTCTTGCTGTTCACCTGTGATTTGATTAGTGACCTTCGCGCTCCTTCCGGCACATGCAGGACATCTTTGCGTGTCCTCTCGGGGCTCGTTTTACGCATCCACGCTATTCCAACATTTTCTCCTTCCTCAGGCTCGTCGACTCCGAGTCCAGCAAAACTGGAAGACTGGGATTCTGGCCTGCTTCGTTACCTTCTTCTTTCGGTAGCTTCAGAACAGTCTGATCGTAGCCTACCCGCTCTCCATATGCCCATTACCTTCTTATTGTTCGTTGGCCGTACTATACAACCTCTCTCTCCCACTCTCAGTTTTGTGAGATTGGCCTTCAGCGCATTCGGAGAGAAATAGAACAGCTCCAACCCCCCTCTCGCTTACCTCGCCCACTGTCTTAAGTCGTAATTGCATTCTAGTTGACCCCTGCGGATTACCGGTTCCGTGTTACTGCATGCATATACAAGAACGGTGTCAATGTCCTCATAGTAGGTGGTAGGTATCTACCAGGCAGTATCTCCAATGTGTGGGTGTCTGTTGTTCATTTGTCGTCTCATCGGTCAAGGTACTACGTCGCCCGAACGCGCGATTGTGACTATCAGGCAGCGTCTCCATTGTTGTCATTGCGAATTTCGACTTTGTCGCCGAAGACATCCGCGTCCGAGACGCTATGGCTGGTTCCGCTGATGGCCGCTGAGCGGGCGAAGGATAACTAGCTTACTGTACAGTGCTGGACGGGATGAGAATGAGAGTACTTTACCAGCGTCAGCCTCGACCACGTCCAAAAAGTCCAGCTGAACCCTCCTCCGTGGCTTCCCCGCTCTGTCAGCCTGGATCATGGACCCGTTCTTAAATTTTTGGTCAACGCTTGACGCAGCTAAGAAACGCCATGTTCCCCCCAAACCATAAAGCTTAATATATCTCCGTTCCAATCATGGAGACACATGACCTGCAAGGTACCTTGAATGTCATCGTATTCAATTATTTCCAGAGACCCCACTAGACTCGCTATATGGTTATCGGCGTTTGCGGAATGTGTCACCTGATTGGTGCTTGTTGTTGCCGTTCCAACGTATGACCTGTATGTGGTGTAGGGTACGGGGGACGAACGGATTTTGCGTTTCCAGCTTCCGAGCATTCTACATAAAGTCTAGGTCCTCCCTACCTGACTTGTCTTGATACTGCCATTAGACTCTCCATCTATTTCTCTTCCTCCAAGCTGAACATGAAATCGTACACTCTTCCAATCGCTTTGTCCTTGTTTGGCATTGTCAATGCTGCATCACATTCCATCGACGTCGGCGAAGATGGCCTAGTCTTCTCCCCAAATTCCACCACCGCTGCTGTCGGTGACACTGTCACATTTCACTTCTACCCTCGCGCTCACGGTGTAGCTCGTAGTAGCTACTCCAGTCCTTGCGCGGCCATGGACAATGGTTTCAATTCTGGTTTCGTCAAAGTGGCCAGTGGAGAGTCCAATACGACTTTCACCATCACCGTCAACAATACCGATCCGATTTGGTATTATTGTCCTCAAGGTGATCATTGCCAGGCTGGTATGGTTGGTGTGATTAATCCATCGTAAGTTTCTTCCTTTCAGCCGCATCAGAGTTGGGCATTTCACTGACTGTTGGTTGCGAAAGGTCGTCGAATGATCAGACGATCGGTGCCTTCATTGTTGCTGCGTCGACTGCTGGGACCAGTACAGTTCCTGAGCAGGTTTATGGTGGTGTTCTCGGTGCTGAAGCTTCAGCTGGCGGTGCTGCTGTTGGAGGATCATCTGCTTCTGCTTCAAGCGCTGCTGCATCGTCCTCCATGATGTCGTCGTCAATGATGTCGTCTTCTATGATGTCGTCGTCAATGATGTCGTCCTCGATGGCTTCTTCAATGGCCTCCAGCAGCAGGGCATCCTCAACCGCACGCTCTTCCTCTTCTGCAGCTTCAGCCGCCACCGGATCTACGTCGCGTAGTCAAGGTTCAGCTACATCCGGTGCTGCAAGTGCGACTAGCAGTATCGCTGCGTCTACAGGAGCTGCTTCCTCCATTGAGTCTGCAGGGTTTATGCAATTTGGACTTGGTCTGTTGTTTGGTGGATGGATGTTTGTGTGAAAGGATTGAGACCGCTGTGGATACCATGTTTGTTTGTGGCGCTTCGGGGCACGTTTCCGAAAAATACTATGTTTTGACTTTCTCTCAGAGCTTCGCATCCTTCTGTGGTACCACTATCGCAGCCAGCATTCCTTCCGCAACATCTTCACCATCTTCCAATTCTGTGATCCACACCACGTTTCCACTTCTCGGCGATCGGACCTCGAGCTCCATTTTCATTTGCTGCACGACACAGATAACATCGTCTTGCTGTACAACATCGCCTTCGTCAACAAGTACCTCTACCAGTTTTCCAGGGAAAGGTATGATGACGTGAGATGAGTCTGACGGATCTCCTCGTCGTTGCTGTGAAGTGGTTGCTGCTGCACTTGCAGTTGTTGAAGAGAGCGTGATACGGTATGGTTTGGACTCTTGCGATGGTGTGGTGAACAGTAGCTCTGCGCTCAGATGTCCGGGGAAATCGTTGCGGAAGACGCGAGTCAGTTCGACATGATATGGTACATCATTACTTTGCGGATCTGACGGCGAAGAGATAGAGGCAGTCCAAGCGTCACCCTTTCGGAGAATCGTACTGCCAGTTGAGTTGACAAGAGCTGATGTCAGATCCGGTGCAGGAGTCTGGTGAGATGTAGGAAATTGCCGGCTGGCATGAAGAAGCTCTTCATGTCTGTTCTCCAACCATTGAGTGTCACAATTACCGTCTAGGAAGTCCTGATGCGTCACGATGGCTTTAAGCATGTTGATGTTCGTCTGCACGCCAGATATGAAAGTGTCTTCCAATGCACGCTTTGCCTTTCGAACTGTTTCGCGCCAGGAAGAGCCCGTGATGACCAGCTTCGCGATGAGACTGTCGAAGTCTGTTGACACAATCGCATCATGGTCATTGACAAGATGAGTATCGACACGAACGCCATTGCCGGTTGGAAACCTGGATCTTGATATCTTGCCGATGGACAACGCCCAATTCTGTTCCACGTTCTCGGCGGTGACTCGTAGTTGTATGCTGTGGAGTGGTGGTGGTGTTTCAGGATCTCGGGCTAACGACGAGCTTGTCAAACCACAATCGTCAAGTGTGGCACCTTGGGAGAGCATAAGTTGAGATCTGACTAGGTCTGACATACTTATGCTCTCGGTGATTGTATGCTCAACCTGGAGACGAGGATTGATCTCGAGGAAGTAAAACTCATGCGAGATCGGATTTACCAAGAACTCAAAGGTACCCAGTGAGAAGTACCGGATCTAGTCAATCATCAGTCAGATCCTCCTCAGATAGATGTCAACTTACGTGGCTGGCCATCTCTAGCGCGGCGTTAATGACTTGTGCAACAAGTCTCCGATCATCGATCAAGCTTGGAGCAAACTCAACGATCTTTTGGTATCTTCTTTGGATACTGCAATCACGTTCCCAGAGGTGTGTGACGTTACCTGTTCCATCGCCGATGATCTGGACTTCGATGTGTCGGAATCCGTCAATCGCCGCTTTTTCTGCGAATACCTGCCTCGACGGACTCTCCTCAAGGGCGCGTTTGAACAACGATTCGAGCTGGTCAAGTCTACGGACCAGCCGGATTCCTCGGCCACCACCTCCATCGACCGCCTTGATCATCAAAGGGAAACCAGTTTTTGCTGCGAAACCACGAATGTCCTCCACATCATCTGTAGGTCGATCGAGCGCTGGAGTTGTCGGGACTTGGCCTGTACATCTGATCAGTAGAGTCAAACTTTCTCAAAATCAGTCACTTACATTTCTCAGCAAGAAGTTTTGCTTTTAGCTTGTCTCCAGTATTGCTAAGGATCTCCCAACCTGGACCAACAACAATAGCATTCGCTTCCTCCCACATCCTTTTGGGGAACTCTTCTGATTCAGAGAGAAAGCCATATCCAGGGTGAGCGGAGTCGATGTTGTTGTCTCTTACAATACGTAGAAGTTCGTCGATTTTCATGAAAGATGAAGCACTATCCAATTTGATGGCGTGAGCTGCGCCTAAAGTGTGAGAGTCGTCTCCGGCGATGTAAATGGCGAAGGTTTCTATGTCTAGCTCTCGAGCGCAGGAGATGATCCTTGTCGCTATCTCTCCTCTGTTTCTCATCAGATGAGGAAGGACCTCGCAGAGTCACAGAGTACAGACCTGTTTGCGACAAGAAGTCGTTCGATCTGTCTCGTCGGAGGCCTTGACATGGTGGAGGGAGCGTCTGCGGCCGCTCGGTGGCTGGGAATTTTGAGAGATTGTAAGGACAAGCAGCTAGATGATACCGAATCACGTTTCGCACGCACAAGGTTACTGGTGCTGGGATATCATCGAAGGTAGCGGAATCACAAGAATGGCAGGAGGCTTGATGGTCTCGTACCTCGGCATTTGCGGAGGATGACGACACGCCCCTCCCCATCTCTCACGGCAAACCGAGGCCATTCCCGAACTTACTACGACTCGTACCATAACAGTGTCGTTATACAAATTTAGCAATTGTGGAACGATTAAGATGACTGTTGCCGCTGACACTTGATTGATTGATCGAGATCTAGACAGAGCAATCCTGACTCACCCCAAAATGTCGAACAAGACCGCGAAGGAACGTCTTGACCAGGTCAATTCGCATCTTGCGACAGGAACACCAAAGAACCAGTCAAGAAAGCGAGGCAGCAGAAGCGCAAGTGCTCTACCGTCAGACTACTCGGATGTTCTTGGTCAGATTGCAACACTCCAGGGAATCGCAGCGACACCTGATACCAGTAATCGAGGTTATGTGCGACAAAAGAAAGCCGGTAAGCTCTGGGTACAGGAGAGAATACAACAACTCCTCGATCCTGGGAGCTTTCGGTCTGTGGGGAGTGTATCTGGTACTGTCAAGTGGAAGCAAATTGGCGATACAAACGAAGAACCAATCGGTTTCGTACCATCCAACAATGTTCAGGGATTCGGAAGATTACGAGGTCGCAAGATCATCCTAACAGCAGACGACTTCTCGATTAGAGCCGGCCACGCTGATGGTGCTTCGACCGAGAAGACAGTAAGATATTTTTCACCCCTTTAGGAGTCCATACGCTGACCATATTCAGGTCTATATGGAAAAGCTCGCCATCGCTTTGAAGCTGCCGATTGTGAAATTGGTCGACGGTTCTTCAGGCGGTGGATCTGTCACAACAATTCGCTCATGGGAGTACTCTTACATACCGCCACTGCCCTCTTTCCAACATGTTGTCGAACAGCTCAATCTCGGCATTCCAAACCTCGGCGCAGTTGTCGGTCCAGCCATTGGGCTGGGCGCTGCTCGTGTTGTGGCATGTCATTTCTCCGTCATGGCCGGCGACATTGGCTCTTTGTTCAACGCCGGACCGGATGTCGTCAAGAATGCAAGTTTCGAAGAGGATCTTTCACCTGCAGATCTAGGTGGCCCAGCAGTACACTGTACGAACGGCACCATCGACAATCTCGCAGCCGACGAAGCTGGATGTTTCGAGCAGTTGCGCACAGTTCTGAGCTATCTCCCAAACTGCGGGACCATGCTACCTCCAGTCATTCAATCATCGGATCCCACGGACCGCAAGTCTGAGGTGCTTCGATCAATCATTCCCCGTGCAAAGAATCGCATGTACAACGCTCGCAAGATCATCACCGAAGTTGTCGATCAAGGCTCTTTCTTCGAGATTGGTCCACTCTGGGGCAGAACAGCGATTGTTGGTCTGGCTCGACTCGGAGGCAAGCCCGTTGGCATTGTATCGCTGAATTGCGAGGTCAATGCCGGTGCACTCGATGCTCTGGGCTCCCAGAAGATCGCACGGATGCTCAAGTTCTTGGACATCTTCAACATTCCCCTTGTCCAATTTGTGGACATACCCGGATATGCTATCGGAACAGTTGCTGAGCGTAATGCGACAATGCGACATGGCATCTCACTAGCCACAGCTTATTACAGCACGACCATGCCCGTCTTCAGTGTCATCACAAGACGCGTCTATGGCGTAGCAGGTGGTTTAATGCTTGACTGTCGAGACCCCCGCATGCGAGTTGCATGGCCTTCTGGTCAGTGGGGATCACTACCACTTGAAGGCGGCATTGAAGTCGGTCATTCTTTCGAACTTCGGGAGATCGAGCGTCAACATGGCAAGCAAAAGCGAGATGAAAGATACGCAGAGCTTGAGAACGAGTACAAACGATTGATGAATCCCATCCGCACCGCCAATCACTTTGGCGTAGAGGAGATCATTGATCCGGCTCACACGAGAGAACTGTGCTGTGAGTGGGTTGGTCATGTATATGAGACGCTCTTGCCGCAACGAATCTTGGAGAGGATCTCTGGCAAACTCCAGCCAAGGTTCACATGAGAATCTTGTGGATGGAACTACATTTCAATTATCTCCGTATAACCATTTATTATAAGAAAGAGACAGGTGTTGGTGCGTCGACTGGCAGCTTCGACCAGCGGCCGTGATACACTCGACCCCCTTTCATGACTGCAAAGAGATGTTTAACAGGCGAGTCCAATATAGTGATGTCTTCCAGTGGGTTTAACTCAAGTATAAGAAGATCGGCGACGAAGCCAGGCTTGATCTGACCCAATCTGTCTTCAACCCGTAGCATACGTGTAGGATTGACCGTTGCCGTACGCAGCAAGTCCACCGGAGAAAGGACTTCCGAGCGTATGCTGAACTCTCGTGTCTGGGCACAGCGGACCCAACAGATCAGTGCCGAAGCAGACAGTCACGCCAGCCTCTGAAGCAATCTTCAGCGATCGGATACCGGCTTCCAGAACTACGCCGTTCTTCTTTGCACTTTCAGGTAGTAGATAGCAGGCCAGCCGTCCATCTCGGCGTAAGTGACCAGTGGGCGTGTAAGAACTGCTCCTTTCTCTGCCACAAGCTTTGCGGTAGGCTCATCGAGGAAGTTACTGTGTTCGGTACCTTTGCAGCCATTCTTGATTGCATGTCTGGAGCAACCTTTCGGATATCAAGACGAGAGTCGCCCTCTGGAATGAGCGTACAGATCTTGGCCTCGACTCTAAGATGGCTGCTCTCCATACCATCACTCCAAATCAGAAGGAAGAAGCCCTACCTCCCGATACTTCTTCTGAGTTCGCAACTAGCAGAAGCAAGGACGTCGAAAATACTAATGAGTGGCTTACAACCAAAGACGGCGTACCTCGCTGCTTCCACCACGGCTTTAACGCCGGGATTTTCTACCACTTTCCTAGTCAGCAGCAGGGTGGTGGATGTGGTCGTGGAGGTCAGTCCAATGGCTATGGTGTTGCTGGTATCTACCGCGGTGGATGGAATGGTGGAAACAACAGAGGCTACCACCCCTACTGATGCTTGAGTTTCGAATCGCCACGACAGTTTCATAGCATGGACTCACTGGAGAGAATGGGAAGTGGTTCATGAATGTGCTTCTTGGTCAGATGCTGGATTAGCGCGGAACATCAGACTTATCAGTGGAGGAAGAATATCTCACCTCAGTCTACCAATGCCAGATCCTCTTCCCATCATTGGTGAATAACCAATAACGTGGCATTTTAGCAAGTTAGTCTCCAGCTGCTAACAAAGACACAAAGCAGCAGAAAAGACGCAGCGTTTGTCTTTGTTGCTTTCTTTGGGCAGCTTCAGTCTTTCTTTGTTATCAACACAATTTCATTGTTCAGATGAGTCCCTGATATCAAGCTCGCTACTTCTGCAGTCTCTTCTGAATTGTTTATAATGTTCCCAGTAGACTTCTCTATTCTAAAATTGCACACCTCACCAAACTTGCGTCCAGAACACCCCAACACGATCAACAATCAACAACATGTGTTTTGGAGAAAGAACTCGTTATATCTGCACCGAGTGCGGTGAGAAGTCTTGGGAGACCCGATGGTACAACTTTGGTGCTGGCGCCACTAACTGTGCTAATGGCTGGCCTCATGGCTCATGCTCCGATCCTTGGATGGTCTATCACAATGAAACTACCATCTGTGCTAATTGTTTAGGTCCGTTTGTCGACGCCGAAACTTCCCCTGAGCTCTCTACCGCGCCTGACACATGGCACCCAGACGACACCGACAGGACAGGTCCCCAGATTCCCAATTATGACCAGTCCGAATTCGACACTATGAGATTCGAAGGTCGCTTGACACTACCTGGAATTGTTGCAGGGGCGCTTCATTGGTCTCTTGATACTTCAGGAGGTAATGTTTCACGCATGAGTCACGTCCCTGAGCATTTGCTGACAGAGCAGATCAACGAAATTACGGCAGCCAGAAATGCCGCTTCTACTCCAACTCTCGATTCGCGACCCTCTTCGCCTCACACACCTGAGCCTATACTCCAAGGTCCCCTTCCGGATACGGCACTACCCAGTACACCTCTTCCCTCCTACAGTCAAGCCATCTCTCACCCTCCTCCACCCAGCTTTCTGACGCCCGAGATGATTCAAATCAACATCAACTACCGCTTGCTGAAACGTCTGTCCGACTGGACTCACCACTTAAGATGGCAACTCGTGCCTTTGGAAACCATAGCTATCGACATATTAACACGTATCGCTTCCACGCCCGGCGCCCGAGACATTTTCTCCGCTGCGAACATCATCAGGCAATCAATCACTGGCACCATCGACACGGCAAGCTATCACTACGACTTGATTATGCAAGGCCAAACTACCTACGACGACGCCTGTGCTCTCATCGCCTCCATCACCAGAAACCCACACCTCAGTGTTCGTAATCTCGTGCGTCGATTCCGCGAATGGCTTATTGCTATGGAAGCAGAAATAGGCGTCCTCGTCCACACCAATCGAAGCGGTCGTCCCGGCAGACGCACGCTCAATCAAGCCTTTCAACGTGAAGAGATGCGCGATCAAATCAAGCAAGGCTTGTTGGATGCAGAACTCGCTGATGTCGCTAAAGCCAATCCAGGTGATTTGCTCATGATTAACATGCACAGAGCTCGTGATCAAGCTGAACGAGATGTTTACAACGTCGACGATGAGACTGATCATGAATACGCAAATGGATTTGTGCCTGTTGATATCGGTACTGGATTGCCGATTGACCTTCCAGACTTCTTGCCCGATGGAGATGCTGAGGATGCTCAAGAATATGATGAGGCTGGGATCGAAGAAGCTGTTGCATTGATGGAAATTGAAGACAATGGTGATGAACTCTACTCTGTTGACTAACTTATTTGTCGTAGAGCCTTCTGTCACATAAACCGTACTATAATTCACTCCTCATCTCTTATACAGTTGACCTGATCTTGATGATCAGCCAATTCTCAAATCTAGATACATGTCTGATCAATACCGCCATGACAGATGGGTCTTACGCTCGTTGCATTGACCTTACACAATAGAACAACGTTCATTCTTAACCGACTACCCATTTTACCGTGCAATTTTTCGTGATTTCTGTGATTTAGTATAATCTCTTCAAGGTCTTTTACTCTGTGTTGAGATTGGGATTCCGGCGTGTTTCTTTTTTCTCTCCAAGCGATACGTGCCCTTTATCATCCGTGAATAGTCATCAACCCAAATGCTTTCCTCTGTACCTCTCAAGCAAAAGCCTATCTGAACATGCAACTTCAGTATCTTGAAGGCCTAGACAAGCAATCAAGGTCGAGAAAACTGACAGTATTGTTGCATGCATAAAACAATTCATAATTAATGGTAACAATGTACTTCTCCCTCCACTCTAATACATAAAATACTGTTCGCGAGCCTCTCGCCTCACACGACCCAAAACCAAATCTTCTCGGCAACATTTCTAGGCTCCCTGATTTCATATTCCGCCTCCTCCGCATCAGCAATGTCCTTTCCACTCCACACATCCACCTCCTCGATCGCGATCCACCACTTCCAATTCCGACTCCACACCTTGTGCCCAAACCAAAGCACCAAGAAAATAGGAATGGTGATGTAACAAACCAAGAAGTCTGAAATATCCCACCTGCTGGGCACAAAGACGTAAAAGCCATTTGTCAGTGTCACCAAAACCATGATGATTAGTGAAAACCAAGCGGAGTATGGTTGAAGAGGTGTGCGGAAGGGGAGGGAGGAGAGAGCGTTGTGGAAGATCATTGCGCGGCGGAAGCGGAGGTAGGTTATCAGCACGACGATCCAGGCGATGAAACCGGAGATTGTGGTGATGTTTGTGAACCAGTTGAACACGTTGGCACCGCTGTTGCTGACGTTGAGGAAAGCGAGACAGCCGATGGCAAAGGTGAATAGTACGGCGACCCAAGGTACGCCCTTCTTGTTACACTTGAGAAATATTTTCGGCGCTTGTTCGGTAAGTGCGAGGGAGTAAAGCATTCTTGATCCAGAGAACAGCCAGGCGTTTCCGGAAGACCATGCGGATGTCAGGATGGCGGCATTGATGACGTGATTAAGACCTTTGATGCCTGCGTTTTGGATGGCAATGACGAAGGGAGAGGCACCGGCGCCATGGGCGCCGTCATTGATGGCGGAAAGGAGGGATGGGTCGTTGTAGGATACTGTTACGCCGATGACGAGGGTACCGAGAACGTAGAAGGCGAACAAACGGTAGATAAATCTGTTGGCGGCTTTGGGAATGTTGCGTCTGGGGTGGTGTGTCAGTTGCTAGTAAGTAGATATGCTGAGTCGGAGAATTTACCTGGGAGCTTCGGCTTCTCCAGCTGCGGTGACCACCAGTTCAGGACTCATGATGAAGGCGAATCCAGATTTGATGAAGGCGTACCAGAAAGCAAGGAACTTGCCACTGTTGCCCTTGGCAATAAAGGGGTTAAAGGCGCCCTGATGATTGTGTAAGTATAAGCGTTTTTCCCGACAGTCATTCAACTCTTACAGGCTCATTCCAGTATCTGAAGCCCAGGCGATCATGATTCGGACCTCCACCGAAGAAGAGCACAACTCCAAGCACAATGAGGCCCAGGATGGCCAGAATTTTGATGGAAGCAAACCAGAACTCTGCTTCACCGAAGAAGGAGACAGCAATGATGTTTAGGGCGAGAATCACGAGAAGGACAATGGCGATCCAGACAGCAACGGGTACAGCCTCGGTCCAGTATTGGATGATGATGGCAGCGGCGGTGACTTCTGCGGCGAGCAACATGGCGAATGTGTACCTGAACGAGAAGGTGTAAGTAGCAAGATTCTGTGCAGGAATGAGATGTGGTACGTACCAGTAGTTCCAGCCCATGGCGAAAGCGAGACTGGGATCCACGAAGCGGTTGACAAAGTATGGCACGGACAGACCCTCCAGAGGCAGGTAGGTCGTCATTTCGGCCAGGACATTCATGACACCGTAGACGACAAATGACATGACGATGTAGCCCATGAGCAACGGCGCAGGGCCGACAGCACTCAAAGTGGCACCAGAGCCGACAAACAGTCCAGTACCAATGGCACCACCTGTGTCATTGTCAGTTATGATAGAAGTGAAGAATGAGAGAAATGGTTACGAACCAAGAGCAAGGAATTGAACCTGTCTGCTGGAAAGACCGCGCTTGGTGTGATTGCGTGCGCCTGCATTCTCAACATCGCCAACATCCTTGGTAGTGGAAATGGTAGCCTCAGGAAAGTTCTTCATCTCATCGTTCTTCTCCATGCTGCCAAAAGACTGAGAAAGCAAGAAGCGCGAACAAGGAACTTCTGGGCAGCAGGATTTTGTCAGAAAAAATAGGTGAGAAAGCTTTGATACGAGGATATCGAGAAAGGAAAGTGAGGAACGAGCTCTTACATATCTCACTCTCAGGACTTCACCTTCCTCACAGTTATAGATACGTTATCACAGTCTATAACCCCGCAACACGTCCTCCGCATTCAACAGAAACTATCAAGTAACAGAAATACCTAGCTCGAGATCAAATCAGAATCGTTTCCAGACTCGTGGATGGATATGGGGGATTATCGCTTGGCAAATTCGGGGTATGAACCGAGCGGTTCGCGTCGCGTTGTGAGCTGCAAGCCGAAGTAGTTTCGGCTACCCTCGGTGTTGAACTTTTTTCAATGACTCAAAGGTCAATTGTGCAAAGATAGGCAGGGATATAGGTACTTGAAGAGGTCGCGAAGGATGGAGATAGGGTTGCGGGGTTGATAGGCAGAATCGGGAAATGCGGTGTCGCTGACAGGGCGCACAAGGAGAAAGGCGTGATGGGCGTGTACAAGGCGTGGTCGGAAGGCGCACGTGGGACGAATGAAGAAAGGAAAGACACGAGCGAAGTGGCTGATACAATTATGGCATGGGAGGAGATTGCTACCTTTCACGGTAATCCTTTCCGAGGATACTTTCCAACAATACGCTTTTTTTCTGTCAATGTTTCCTTTCCAGGCTCTTGTACTTATCCTCTGACTTGGTCGAATCACCAGGTGGAGCCGTTGGCACGGAGAGGGTAGCGGAGGGCGTTGGCAGTCTTTGCACAGCTGGTGACAGAGCCTGTTGCGTTTGTGGGAAGCCATTGACCGCGTTGAGGACGTCCAAATGCCTGTGTCGCGTTAGCCATCCGAGCATGATGACTTCGAGCAGCATCACACTTACATGGAAGTAGTACCAAACCTCGGAGATCTGAGTTCGGCCATTATCGGTCGAGTTGACGCCAGCAGCAGTCTCATTGAAGCGAGGGCCGCTGCAGCCGATGTAGGGCAAAGCACCGTACGAGCTGGTAAGAGCAGTCTGGAACTGACCAATCGAGTAGGTGGTCGTGTTGCTAGGCTTGATACCAGCTTGCGACAACCAGCCCCAGGTGGGAAGACGGCGATAGTATTGTATGGCAGTCTCGAAGAATTCGACCACCTCTTGATGCTCAACATATTCGGGACCGTAGCAAGGCACGTCGAATGTCGAGAAGCAAGTCGCATGCTTGCTGAATTCATGCCCCCAGAACGACGGGTTATCAGCTCCTTGGTTGATCCAATACTTGTTCATCCATGCGAGGAGGTCGTATTTCTTGAAGGGTTCGAGGAAGGTGCCAATGTTGGGACCCTTGTACGGCGGGACGACAGTACCTGCATCCAGCAGTCAGTATGCCGCAAGAGCAAGAGAATCATGGAGAAAGAGTAGGACATACCATTGGGCAAGCTGTTGGTGGTGTTAGGCGAAGGGGTGGGGTCGTACTGTCTGTTCAGGTCGCAGTATTGAGTGTACGAGCCATTGCAGAAGTCGGGCCACAGTCCATGGAGAGTCCAGTCGTTGGCAGGCAGCAATTGGCCTTCAGACTCGAGGCCGGTATATGTTGACCAGAATTGGGTCGAGAGGAAGAGCCCTCCGAATGTTTCGGCGCAACAGGAGTCGACGCTCAGGGGATTTGCGCGGCTGGAGCAAGACAACACCGAGTCGGCATCAGCTGGAGAGTCGTATCAGCAACACCGTTCCATCGTCGCATTGGCTCAAGCGACTGACTCAAAGCGCAAGTGTGGTTGGCGTTGCTCTCGTTATAGAGAGCAGCGAATGCCGCCGTTGAGAAGAGCGAAGCTGCAGCAATTGTGGAACGCATCACGAGAAATCGACCAACGCAAGCTGTGTGTTGAACAGAGCCATACGCTGCCACACCCTCCTCTTATATACCTCCATCATATTTTACTTTCCGCCAACTATGAAGCCATACTGCAGATGCAGATAGGCCATGACAAGAAAGCGTGCAGCGATTGATTGGTTGAAAGCTCGTCTCCACCAAATTTCTTGTCGGCGTCGACCGTGATCGACAGACGAAATCAGGAAGGTCCAAATGACATCGTGTGGGGTTTTCTCCGGACGCGAAAAACAGCCCTGTTTTTATCAAGAGCGACACCGTCTCTTTTATATCTCGGTCCTCGCCTCAAGAGATATGCAGGACTCTTGATAAACCTTCTGCCAGATAGGCGCGGTCGAGATTTGCGCCCGGTCGCGATAGGGACTGAAGCTGCTACCCCCGGCCGCCCGATTTCGACCTCTCCGGAAGGAACATCTCATTCTTGACATCGCGAAAATGTGGCGCAATCAGGATGCTTAGCAGGCCTCGTTCGACTTCTCTTCACCACATGTTTTACGATTGATTGTTCGTCAACATATCCGCCGAGAATAAGATCGCATCTTCCAAGCCCGCCATGCAGTACACACAAATTGAAAGTGGAAGAGTCAAAGGTGATGCCTATTTTGCTGACCCTTCAGTTGCTTACCGACAATCCCCAAACCTTGTATTCATGTCAATTGACTTCTGGTCTGGAATAGACGGTAGAAGCCTCAACTCGATATCTCCCGGATAAACCCCTGGATCAACCTCTGGATATACCTCGTGATATTCTCATGCAGAAATACGCGACAAACTCAACGCATTGTTAGTCTAGGCCGATGGACGAGTCTGTTCTGTCCAAAATGTCCTTTTAAATTGTTTCATGGGCTCTGTCCCCTCAGTTAGCCACATTGATCGATGGCCGCAGCTTTTAAAGAAAGTTAGCCATAAGAATGAGTACGTCTTAATCGAAAAGGACTGATGAGCTCTGTCGCATCATTGTGAGACCCTCCATTGACTTCGCAGGATATGAGGTTAGGGTCAAGTCTAACAACGTTTCCGGGGTTCGGAGAAGCCAGGTCCCTACCATGTACGATTTACGAGCACCACAGTTCTATACGAAGTACGGCAGCGCTCTTGGTATGTGTTGAGCATCTGGTCTTGTCCTCGCAATTTATTACAAAGGAACTTGCTCTTCCCGCCTGTGTTTGCTCATGGCCCACGACCATCTTTCGCCGTATTGTCACCAATCAACATGACATCTCAACTAGCAACATACCCAATAATTCCTCTCAATCTCAGAGAACACAAGAAGAGCATAGCTGTACACTTCTCGGTCCTCGTGTTCTTCACCAGCATTCTCCCAGTCGTGCTATATTTCATACTCAAGTACGGAGCTTCGTTATCACCACATACCACATTTATTATCATCCTTCCAGTCATCGGACTCCCAGCGCTTCTTGGCTTCGTTGTTCGTACATACAAACTCATCCGCTTCCAAGACTATCGTCCGCTGGGATGCGATACATGGTGGACCTTTGATTACTTCCACTTCAACTTTATACTCGGCATCATCTACGTCGTCATCCTTTTCACGTTTGGCAACACCGAAGATGAGACAAACATGCGTCTTCTATCGCTATATCTGCCTTTGGTGATGTTCCAACTCTCGGGACAATTCATTCTCGTAAGGCTCTTGGACTTCTGCGGTCTCCGCACACCTTTCCGAATTTCCTCTTCTCCAAAAGGCTCTTCGATACCGTCTGGTGCGGCTGTGGTGGCAGAGGATATCATCGCCGTAGACGGTAGCTGTAAAGCTGAGTTCCGAGCTGCCTGGCAAGCTCGTCTTGCCATCAGCTCAGCAGCAGCGCGTGCAGCCGTTCGCATGGACTGGCTTTGGGGTGTTTCTGGCCTGTCGTGTGGAGCTGTCCTCATGGTCATCGTTTTCACCGCGGACAACCCGGACGTCGGTTTCGCTTTGGGTAAGTTTTCTTCAGGATCTGGCACATAATGACCGAGTCTATGGAATGCTGACCAGAGATTTGCAGCTTGGACAATCCCTATCGTTTGGGGTGCCATCATGGCATACGTGACGACACAGATCATCAAGAAGACGACCGCACTCGAAAGACAACATTTCGAAAACGACGGTGTTGAAAGACAGAACGTCTCAAGTATCGCTCTCAAAGATCATGCTCCGTCGACCACTCTTGTGGAACGAGTGTAGATCTGACAGCGTACCGGACGCGGGCTGTCTCCATCTCGCCCTGACCGAGATGTCGCATATCCGCGCTCGTTGGTTTTGCGGATGTAGCTTCCACTCAAGCAGAGCTCTCCAGTAAATATCCTTGATCGCTTATATCACTTGACCATCTATTCGATATCCCCTCCCTCTCTAAGTTGCAACATTATATTGCGACCAATGCACTACAATCCCGTAGATGTGTTCGCTCAGGATGCCTCAAATCGATGTACATCCTAAAGCCCCGACGATCCAGTAATCTGAAACGCGTACCTGCATGACCCAACAAACTGGTCCCTCTTGCATAAACCTCGGTCCAGCGTACCTCGGTAATCTGAGACGTCTACAGTATCCACTGAGGAGACGTAAGTATCGTGGCTGAGAAGCAGTGGCAGTGCGCGCTCATCATCCCACATCATCGTGCATTTGATACGACATCACCTTTCCAAAATTCCAATCACATGATGTTGTGCTCCTTCCATCGAGCATGGCTTATCTTATCTCATCACGTCACATCAGACCTCGACTTTCGCAGACTTTCCCAGACTTTGTGAACCATCAATGGTGGGGGGGGAGGCAGGGTGGAATTTTGTCATCTTATTGATACCTCAAAACAGCAAGCTTAGGGCTGAAAAGACTCGTGGTTGTCATGTTTCTAGCACGCGGAGGTGCCGAAAGAGCACAAAGGAATGTGTGAGCCTTTATCAATGTCGACGACTCCATCGCTTAGGGGTATGCCGTTTAGGAAGTTGCAGGATCGATTCGCGATGAAGAGGTTGCAGGGCATGGCAAGGCATGGAGAAAGAGAAATTGTCGGGCATGACAAGACATGGAGAAAGAAGACTGACAAAGGCAAGCGAGACGTCTGCAGTCGAGATGACGATGGCCATGGAGTACAAGTTGGAGGTATGGCAGGCACACTTGGATAAGATACGAAGATGCGAAGACGCGAAGATTGAGATATTAACATTTTTGTTGTACAAGGATAGAAAATAGTATATACGAGATGTCCAGGTCAATAGATTCGGATCCAAACACCCCGCTGAGTGGAAAATCGCTATCAAAAAGCAGAAACGACAGAAGAGACGATCAGCGACTTGCGTCGAAAGGTGTATAGAAACATAGAAGAACAAGAGAAGAAGAAGAAAACGAAAAGAAAAAGGAAAACGAAAGAAGATCTAAGAATCAAAGATGGGACCATATGCAGGTACACCTCGACTTTCACACCCATAAACCAATTGCTTGGTCAATCTAGGGTTACTCACGACAAACACAGCTTCGGCATTCATTTCTTTGTACATCTTCAACGTCAACGCGACCATATCAGGACGTCCATCTTTCTTGGAATCCCAAACGATAGCATTGCCATTCAGAGTGTACACCCAATCAATCAAAGGCTGGCCGAAAGTTTTCTCGGGCGAGGAAGATACCCAAAGGACTTGACATTGACCTTTACGACTGGGTTCCGCGACGAACGAAAGAGCAGGACCAATACCAGTGCCCGTGGTGACGAGAAGGACGCGGTTAAAGATGGAAGCCATGCTCAAAACATTAGTCTTGAGAACACCCTTGACGTAGTAGTGAGATTTGGGGCTGTCGATTGTTCTGCGAGTCCAGTCACCAGCATGACTGATCATGATGCTGTTGTTGACACCATCACCGTCGGGGAAGCAAGCAAAGGGATGCCATTCACCAAGAGGAGACTCAGCAATGGCAATGCCGCGGTAAGGTCCCATGTGCTCCTTGTGATGCAGACGGATGGCATGCTCCGAAAGACGTTCAGCGGTGAATGCGACCTTGCGAAGACGAAGCCAAGGCAAGACAATATGCACACTCATGATTATGAGGAACCAGAAAGCAGGAAGCTTGACCAAAGCAATACCAAGAGGCTCAGGTGTGGTGGTGTTCTGGAGGCGAATTGTATCGGCGATGAGGACAAGGTCAACCCAGAAGACGACGATGGAACACCATCCAGCGAAGCGGTGAGTGAACTCAAACGAGTTGTGGAATCTGTGACGAATTGCCGGATGGGCAAAGACGCACATGACAAGGAAGATGATGAGCAAGAGGACGGTGAAGATCGGAACGATAGGGGTATGGATGATGGCGCCAGTCTCGAAGTTGACGACGATGAGGACAGTCAAGAGAATGAACCACATTGTTCCGGCAATCGCGCATCCAGTATGCATACCGCCATGTTCGTAAACTTTGGCTAATATTCTGCGAAGTCGCAATGGTGCGGATAGTGGCACTAATTGACAGACGCGAAAGATCATGTTGAAAATGTAGTCTTGGCGAATCAGAATCGCGACTAAAAAGTTCGCTGCTGCAGCGTTGGCCGCATACGGCATGTGGGTCAAGATGGAGGAATGACCTGACACCAAAAGACCCACCAGACCGGCAAGATTGGCGAGGAATACAATTGAGAAGATTCTTCGGTATACATTGAGGCCAGTGTGTCGTAGGTATCGGATGACTCTGGCTTGTCTTTTCGGAGGAACAGGTTCCTCGGCTTGTGTCAACTGTGGCTGAGAATGCTCTACAGCTGTGGATGATGTTGATGTGCTAGAGAACGACGAGAACGAATGCTTTTCTGTGATGGCGATGGTTTTGCAGTCGTTGCCCTTCTCTACATCCTTCTCGAACGAGTGTGTGGTGTCCATTGTAGTTGAGGCCATTAGGTAATACAACAGGTATAGTTCTTTTGCTGTCGCAGTGTAGAGCTGAGATGACTGAGGCTTGTTACAGTCGTATGAATGTCGAGAGAAAGATCCTTGCAATCAAATTTGCTTTTTCAGGTATCCTTGGCCTCTGAGATGTTTTGAGCAGATAAAAGAATGTGATGAGGAAAAAATGATACCTCCAAGAACCATGAGAGGATTCAAGCAGATACATATATCTCCTTGACACGGGAAGCAAGATATCGCTAGATTAGACTCAGGATAAACTTCCTTTGTTCCACCACCCTTGAGCCTCTTCATCGGTGGTGGCGTAACGGGATGCCTTGAAGTCGTTTCCAGGTGGAGAACCGAACAATGACAGACGGGCCACACCTGTGGATAAGGGATCCTTGCCCCGTTTGACAAATCCCAAATTGGTCTTTCCAACTTTGTCAACAAGCTACAGTGAGCCCTCTCGCATACTCGATCCGGAGTACACGATAAATTAATCCCATATTGAATCTGTGAGAGGCGTCATGGCGATCACTCAATCCTTGTCGCTGGGTCAGTCAGAACCAGGTTGTTGGGTCATGCCTCAATGGAGACAGATGTCGCAACGGCGATTTTCATGCCCATACCAAGACTGGACGTATAGGGCGAACCGTTGATGAACTAGTTCCGCTTTTGTATGAATTCATCTCTTTCCCATCATTCGTTGCCCGTATAGCTCTCCTATTCCCAAAGTCCGGATTGCCGACATCAAGAACGCAGAAGAAAAAAACGAGCCCAGCTTACCGGCTGCAATGGTACCAGTGCCTGAGTGAAAACGGCCAACGTGCATACAAGGATCCTTCGGTGTTGGCGATGTTCATTTACTTTCGGTTGTAATATAAAAGAGTTCATCCTCGAATCCCGAATTTGTGACCTTGCAGTTGTAGTGTGAAGATCGAGGCGCTGTCAATCTATTCAAGACCCAATCTGGCGGGCGCTTCCTCAGGGCTGGCTTGTTAGCTGCAGACTACTTGGGTCCGGGGATTGATCGGCCTGCTTCACACAACGCCATTGGGCTAATGCGAACAATTTGGAAATCATCAAGATGCGATGCCGGAAAAACATCTCAGATCCTTGGAACGCGACATGATTCGATGACAGTCCTCGACATTTCATCGACGGCGTACATGCAGCATGCCTGTTGCTATTCAAAGATCAGGAGACCCTTGCACCCCTGGACGTGCGTACACGCGCAAGCCCTCGACAGCTGAGAGTGCAGACAAAATGCCATCATCTGGAAAGAAATCATGGAAACTGGGCTGCATTAGCGACGGCAGTTTTCACTTCATTGCGCGTGTGCGAGGCTTGTCTCCCAACGCTGGCAGTGTTCTCGGCGTGGCTCGACCTGACCTCGGCATCTACGACAGTGCGCATGCCCTTTTTGCAACGATGCGTGCAGCGTCCTCGCTTGTCGAAATGTTGTCGCTGAGAAACGTGTTGGCCATGCGACTTGTTGCAAGAAGACGACGTCGAGTTTTCCAGGATGAAAAAAGGTTTGGTTGGTCTCTCCTTCCGACGGCCCGCGAAAAACGGATCGCCCCGCTCCGCAAACGTGACGGCTCTCTGGCGTTGTGTTTTCTTCCGAGTAATGACAAGATTCATCATCAGCCAACAGACATATTGCCCCTCGTGAATCTGTGAAGCATGCAAGATTACGAAGCGTACTAAAAGGGAGGTTGCACCTCGAAAATAAGCATTCCCAAAGCGAAAGCGATAGGAGCAGTCACCCGATTGACGTGTAGTGCGAGCTGATTTTCAGGATGACCGCTGCTCGTTCCATCTCAACATGACACTGCTTTGGGCTATTCAAGCGATTGTGGGCCAGAGGTGTTCAACCCGATATCTTCTACACGAAACAGTTGACCTATCGATAGGAAAAGATGCCGCCGCTTGTTGTTGTTGAAGCCTATGCTCAACGAAGGCAGAAGTCGCGAGGCTTGGCGGAATGTTGCGGATTGACAGTCCATCAGGCCATGTCGTTCTTTTTTGAAGCATGTCTCAGACTTCTCGAAAGTGTCTCATGTTCAGGTCAGATAGAACGATCTTACGAAAGACGATCAGACTTCACGATTCATTGGGCTTTGTTTTGTGAGATCTTGGGACGGAAGAAAGAAGGATTCTCAAACGTTCTTTCCCTCAATTCGGCCGAGTGGGTCGTGGCAGAATTTCTCCGCAACCAATAGACGCGTCTGTCAAGTCAACACTCCCTTTTTCCACAATATCCTCCCTCCCTCCTTCCCACCTCAACGCTGGTTTAGTGATCATCTGCTTCCAAGCGCATAGCTCCATTACCGTTGTGATCAACATGCCCGACTGAACACTCTGGGTTTACCAAGGCCTGGTTCCTGGTTAGAGGCTGCCGTCGCGTCAGCCCTGTGCGTGCGATGTGTCGTGAACATGCGGACCCGAGTGATGACTCTCAATCGTCGGATCAGGATGCCGTCCGCCATCTTGCATGTGTCGGCTATCAAGTATAGACACGCCACTTGGTCTCGTGGCGTTTTCCAGGACGTGGCCGCATTCCCCGACGGAGCGGTACGAACTTCTGCAGGGTGAACCGCATTGTTCATTTCGCAATCAACTGCATCACATCTCGCTTCTACCCACCATACTGCCATAACCCCTGCTACATACCGTCATTGGACATCGTACAACAACGCTCCAGAACACGGGAGGTCACAACTGGTTAGATGGCTGTTCATCAACGCTCAATACATCCCCATCTGGGCATTGAACAACTCCTATCTCAACTTCCATCCCTCAACATATGCTCCCCGGCCATGCTGTTCTTGTGCCGTCAGCCGTGTCCACGACTGCCACACTCTTGCAAGCTCATAGTCTACTCTGAGCTAGACAAGGCATGTCAACTGCCAACCACTTCGCGCCCATCGTTATTCCTCTACTCCGTGGACACGAATGACACGTTCCGCTTTCCAGCAAATATCGTAGGTAGTTTTCTGGACTGCAAGTGAAGCATTCTTCGCATATCCTCGGTTAGTCAGCATTGCAAATTAGGAACCTCGATCTTCCTCTCCCCTTCGATACAAACAAGGCTCGCATCGCGCTCACTTAACCGCATGTGTGCTGGTCGTCAGATAACGCAACACGTGCAAGCTTTTCCACAGGCTCTGCTTACACACAATTGCATGCCCGTTCGAACCACCCTCTCGCGCTCTCCTACCTGCATGCCGTGATAAGAACATACAGTCTATACTACCTCCGGTCGCAATGATTACAGCTTCTCCTTCAGATCTATCTGTATTTTCAAAATGTGCTCGTCGTTGTCACATTTTCCTCATACTTCGAGGTCAATGATCCCTGCCGCCTCTTTGGGGCAAGACAGTGTTTTTCCAATTTGATCTGATTTGATGAATTTCTCAAGCTATTTACCCCGCAAGGGGTATGAGCTGTTTGGTGTGGATGTCGTGAGAAGTCATTCATCAGAACTAATCTGGAATGAACAGGGTGATACATGCATCTGGGAGGGAGCGCATCCGAGACAGGGTGGCCTTTCTTGGCATCTTCGGAAGCTGTCGCCATTATGCAAATTATATGCACGAAAGCGTCTGCAACACTACAAATCACGTAAGATAGCCCGGAAGAAGAAGCAAAGCCAGTGAAAAAAGACGATTGCGAGTGTAAGCCAACGATGTACGGAAAAAAAGAGAAAATGGTCAAATCAAAAGATAGAGAATATATACATAAGAAAGAAAGTAGCGACTTTCACGTCCTGATCAAGGGCTTCCCGTATAAGCGACCAAATACAACGCCAAAAACGCATATCCACCTCCACACCTCACGTTAGAATTATTGGGTATCATATACAAACCTTGCGTTGAAGGACACCATCCAAATCCGTAAACGACAGGATTTCCATTCGGCGGTCCACTGCTCTGGCAATTGACAAAATAGCTTCCAGCTGTGCGACCTTTGGTACCGCAAGTCAATGGGTATGATGCCGAGGAAGGGGCTTCGATGTAAATTCTGTTGTCTGCTGTGCCCGAGTTGGGTTCGTAGCGGTCGACGAGTGTATAGCTAGGATCGTGCCATGAGTGGAGAGTTCTGCTATCGTCGACGTAGAAGGGAAGGGCGGCGTTGGAGTCGGAGGTGAACTTGACGGCGCCGGAGTCGTCGCGACTGATGAACAAGCCTCTGTTTCCAGAAGAAGCGAGGATGAAGAGGGATGGTAGTTTGGTCTCGGTCGCGTAGGCTGTGAGGGTCGTGGTGGTAGAGCTTGTTTCTGTCACTGTTGTGGATACCGCGGAGGCTTCTACACTGCATGCGTTGGTGACATCTTGGGGTGCAAAGGTGGCAAGGGCGCTCGGGGCTCCGTCGATCGTGCTCGATGTTGGCATTGTGGAGTTTGCTGGGACATCGAGTTGTCGAGGTCTCAGGATGTCGGGCACAGCTTTCGGTGCGGGAGTGATGATACTTCTCTTCCGTCTAGCCATGTTCACAGTCTGTGTCAAAGTCAAAGTGGTACTTATGACTTCAGTCAAGGTAGTTGTTGGCGTGCTGTAAGACAGGAGTGATGAACAATAAGGCTGGAGGGTAGCAGATTGAATCGTGTCTCTGGCTTGTTTGAAGCCACAAGTCAGAGCTGCTCCAACTTCGGTGGGGTCGTAAGCAGCTAGTAGTCTGACGTTGTTGAAGCCGAGATTTAGAGCTGGCCATGGACCACCTGGCTGTCCCTGGCAGAAAGCAGTGATCGAGAAGCTGCCTGTTCCGTTGTATGAAGCAGTAGTGGTTGTGTTGAATGACACGAACGCAGGGCTATTGCTATCGTAGCGCACATAACTGAGGGTATCATGCTCTGTACCCTTCACTTGTATATCACAGGTCAAGGACCCCACGGCTGATCTTAGCTTTATTGCTGATCCGGAGTTGAGATTCATCATGACTGGTGGTGTAGTCAGTCAGTGCAATCCTTTGGCATTGACTTCGAAGGATTTGAAGGCGCTTGCTTAGATGTGCTGTTTTGGTGGAGTTTCCTTTTCCTTTGTCATCTGAAACATCATCATCGTTATGGCGTAGATTAAACCAATCTCGTAATGTCTTTTCTTTTCTCATTCATGTCAAAACTTTTATCATATTACCTTGTCCTTCAATCTTCCTTGAACATCTTGTTCTGAATTATCGTACTTTGCGAATTGTGTTACTAAAGAAAAGAGCATAGATCCTGTGTCAAAGGGGAGATCTTCTACGATACAAAGACTACTCTTACTAGACCAATGTCGCAAAAGCAGTCTTGAATCTTAGAAGAGGTTACAGCTGTTTGGCGGACAGGATGTCCTTGTACATCGGCATAGAAACATCTAGATAGTTTACAACAGCAAACAAAACTTTTGTCTTGATATCAACCTTTGTTGTAGAGCGGATGTATAGATCTAGCTCTATTCTTCGTCTCATGGTCAAATCAGTATTGTACCACTTTCACCAGAAGATATCCTTTACGGAATCGGGCTTCTCCATGCCCTCTAAATCAACTGGTGCCACTGGTCATCTTTTCATGTCTCAATATGTTTCTGCAGCCCCTAGAGGGAGGAGTTATCCAGGTCTCAGATTCTTTGACAAGTACGGTGCCCAACACGGAAGAACCATGGATTAGGAACAGAGGATCAAGAGGAGCGCGATCAAAGAGAATTGGATAATAGTACAACAAAGTCGAGAAACAGGACCGAAAGGCTAGCGTTATAGCCTAGGTAGTATCCGAAGAAGGAACAGGAGTCGTCGGAGTTCCTTCGACATTTGGGCCGCCTGTCCAAAATATGGCGAGCGGATATCAAGGCGTACGTCATTCTTAGTAATGTAGGGTCTACAGCGATATGCTTAGAGCCATTGTTAGAAACTAGAGCAGCGAAACTGTTCTATCCCGTAGATTTAGATAGATAAGAGCAAAGGGCTAAGAAAATTCTCTCTCGTTCCAAGATTCCACGACTAGAGATTGCTTGTTCGTGAATTACAAAATAAGTAACGTCGGCAAGGACGGTACGACGGGTTAACAGCTATACGCGTATAGTTAGGCCCGTTAAGATGTAGGAGGGCTACCGTCGATCTTCCAATGGCGCAACCTTGCTTTAAAGAAACCTAGATCGAACTGCTCGCAATGCGTCTTTTGCTACACCTCTAATAAACGGTCGGCTTAGCAGAACCGAGACTCGGGATGTCTAAGTAATATCTCCCNCAAGGATGGGGCTGGACTGTGGATATCCTCGTCAACAATGCTGGATTCGGCAGGAAATATGTCTTTGCTGGAGACATCCAAACTGATACCTCCCTGGCTAGTGTCGATCTTCTGGTTCGTGCTGTTGTGGATATGAGTCTTCGTTTCTTGCCCGGCATGGTTGAACGACGCAAAGGTGGTATCCTAAATATTGGCTCGACGGCTTGCTATCAACCTGTTCCTTATACAGCGGTCTACGCCGCAAGCAAAGCTTTTGTCCTCTCCTTTTCTCAGGCCATTCGGGAGGAGCAACGTCATCGCAATACTGGTGTCAGAGTTGCCTGCGTTGTGCCTGATGTGACTGAGACGAATCTCGATGGCAGTGGTCATGGCGAGAGAAGAGGCTTGATCGAGAAGGTTGGCGTTGACCAGCCAGCTGATGTGGCCAAGGTTGCGGTGGACGCGTTTGGAGAGAATGCTGCTGCTAAAGTGGTTGGATGGAATAACTATGCGTTCCACACGGCTCTTGGATTACTCCCAGATTCGGTCAATGCTGCTGTGGTTGCAAATGTGCGCGGGGCGCCAGGTGATGAGTGAGTCTGGCAGTGTTTTGAAGATCGCTTCGGACATTACATATCGGTGTCGTATCTCAATTCTACCTCTGAAGGCAAACGCTCATGAGACATGCTGATTAACGACTATGCCCTTGGGATCTTGTGTTTCGTTGTCACCCCAATCAGCAACCCATCCATTTTCCTCCAGATATCTCTTCCAGGCTTCGTCTTCATTTTCCAGCTTCCTCCCTACGTCTGGAATGACGAAGAATGCTATCAAAGCACCAAGGACAGCAAACGCAGAGCCGACCAGAAAGGCACCTTGGTCGCCTGCGTTTGCAGTGATGGGAGTGAATACCTGTGTTCCGATCGCTGCTCCTGCCTTCGAGATTGCCGAACAGAGTCCCATCATTTGTCCACGAATTGCGGTGGGAAAACTTTCTGAAGATGCCAGAACGACACTAAATGCAACATCTTGGTCAGTACATCCTCTCTCTGAGAACATGTTCATAATACTAACGTGCTGCCAGGTCCCACTTCGCCGAGTGTGAGAAATACGCCATACATGACCACAAAGAGCGGGAATATGGGTACAATCTTGTGATATGCTCCTCCTAATACAAAACCTAATATCGCTTGCATCGCGAAGCCCAGTGCCATGGTCTTGCGACGACCGATCTTGTCGGAGAGATAGCCGCCGATAAAGGGACCAGGGATGTAGAAGCAGTTGATCACAACGCCCCAGCCGAGATTGGTAATGAGCGAGCCTCCTGCGTTAACTCTGTTTGTAATGGTTCCAGAGAAGATACCGAAAGGGATAGCGATCCAGTTGTACAAGAACCAAGTCGATGATGCTCCGAGTAGTGGTCGCCAATACCGCTTGATGGCCAGGAGGTATGGAACCTTTTGTCTCCTCATTGATGCTTTGCGATAGGCAGTAGAAACAGCCATCTTGTACCGGAACCAGAAGATCGAGACAGGCGGGATCAAACCCAAAGCGAAGCTGAGACGCCAGACAATATCGTATTTATCCTCTCTTTGGTTGACGCAGAGTAAAAGCAGTAGCGGAACCCTGCGATACAAGTACAATCAGTACAGTTTTCTGGAAGAACAGGATAGTGGTACTGGTTCAACAAGTAACAAGCCAGCTCGCAAATTGAGGTCGACGCTGGCAAAAGTTACGTCCTGGACGCTACTTTATCAACGCTGGTCAATTGCGCAAGACTGGCTCACTCTGTCTGTACCTTGGGCTTACTAACAGGCCTCCGAAGACATATCCCAAGCTAGCTGATAGATCCGCAATCATGGCAAACATGAAACCTCGGTGTTTGCGCATACCTGCACTTTCGTCGGTCGCTTCGGTCGCACCAGCTCCACTGACTGGATATTCACCACCAGCACCGACACCAGCAATGCCACGAGCGATGATTAGCATCCAGAACATTCCAGTCTCATCAGTGCCCTTCGCCGCGGTTGATAGCACAATACCGAGGACAAGCAGAACAGTCGTTGCGACGGCGCCAGTTTTTCGGCCAAGTTGGTCAGCAATGACACCGAACATCAGCATGCCTACTATCATGCCTATCAAGAAAGCATTCGAGAGACGGGTATAGATCGAGCTTGTCAATGATTCTGGGTAGAGGATGGCAAGCAAAAGCTCGACGTTTCCGATGACGGCGGCGTTGCTGAGAATGTCAACCATGTAATTTTTCTCAAGAATACGTTCAACTCACTATCCATCAGAACCGATAGCAAGACCTGAGAGAATGACCATCATCACAACAGATCCTTTGCTGTAGAAGCTCTTTTGAGTTTCTCCTTCCTCAATGTCCATTACTTCGACCACACCCAGCGCTCCATTCTTCGAGCCATTCGCCTTTGAACCACTCTGCACAGCATGCTCCTCTGGCGAATGCGGCGACATATCCAGTGAAGTCATGATGGTGAGCTTCTTTTTCGTGAGAATAATCCAAGGAGCCACCGAATGTGGGTCTGGGCATTCAAGTCGATATGTACACAGCTCCTTCTCGACAGCGTATTCATCTTGCCGGATAGGCCAGAGCATATGCCGACATATTCCTTTGTCTCGCCCTATCGCATGTATATGTCGGGGGCCAAATTCCGGATAAGATAATGTGGTATTATCCTTATCTTCCAGTGTCGATCTCTTGCCTTTTTCGGCTTTGAGCGGCGGTTCTCCGCCGAAGACAAGCTCGAGATGTCAATATTATCCAATGTCCTTAGGAAATCGACACTTGGTACCAACTTCTCTTACGCACATTCCTCATTGTATACACAGAATATTGTGATGAAAGACGAGTTTGAGAGCAAACAAGGCTTGGGCCCGGAGATCGGCAAGCGACCCCGCTCGCTGTCAAGGATATGGACCGCCGCTGTTGTCGTCGCGCTGTATTTGACATGGATCATCGTAAGAAAGACCCGTCTTCACGTAGACCTCAAGACACTGCTGACGAAATCAGCAGAAACCGTTTTCGTCACAGTCACAATTCGACCGTGTGCAGCAATGCTCGATTGAAAACTTTCACAAAGACCTCTATTTCCTGGAGAATGCACGCCCGATTGAAGCACAGGAGTTTCTCGACAGACGCGACAATCTAGCGAAGGCTTTACATGTATCTGGTGTTGATGGGTTTGTCCTTGAGCCTGGTTATACGTTCCAGTACTATGCCAACATTTCCCAGCCGCAATGGGAGCCATGGGAGGTACTGTACCTGTTCCGTACCTCCAACTTCGTTGACCTGACAATGTAGTAGCCAGAAGAACGACCATTCTTGATGGTTGTTCAGCCTTCTGTCAATGCTTCTACTGGAGAAGTCAAAGCAAAGACCAGCTTCTTGTCACCGCACTTCGAAGAAGGTAGAGTGCGAATGCTCGGTATCCCATCAGAAGGCGAACTCGATATCATTGTCTGGGAAGAACACTGGAACCCTTACCGCACGCTCAAAGATGGTCTATTCCCCGACGCTAATGCCACGCTTATGGTCGACGAGGAGATTCGTGACTTCCTCGTCCGCGGACTTGACGCAAATGGCTTCAAGACAGTCGGTCTCGGTGGTGAGGTAGAGGCTGTTCGCCAGACCAAGACACCTGCTGAGGTTGAACTTCTCAGAGCCGTCAATACAGGTACTATTGAGGGTATCAGAGCGATGCGACCGTGTCTGGAGGCAGGTCTGACGGAAAACGACGTTATCAAGATCCTTGATGATACCGTGAAGACTATCGGATTTGATCTGTTCTTCGATATCGTCTTGTTCGACAGCAATGCAGCTCTTCCGCACGGTGGCTTTGCTACTGGAGACAAAGTCCTTACCCACGAAACGATGGTTCTGATTGACGCTGGATACCACTACTTGGGCTATTCGTCTGACGTCTGCCGAAGCTTCTTCATTGATCCTCCCAAGAAGTCTCTCATTCGTCGATTGCTTCGTCTTCCTGGACCAGAAATAAATAACAGCGAGCTCCATGCTGAGAAGCTGAAAGTGTGGGATATCGTCTTGCAAGCCCAGACCGAAGCTGGGAAGATGTTCATGCCCAATTCAACAGCTGCTAGTGTCGACATCGCGGCCCGGAAGGTCATTGATGATGCAGGCTACAAAGGGACCTTCACCCATCGCTTGGGTCACGGTATCGGAATCAAGGGTATGCTCGTGTGGACCTTTTCGAGTGTGTTTTCCTTTTTCACTGACACCATTAGCACATGAATCTCCCTATCTCAACAAAGGCAACCATGAAACACTTCTCCGACCTGGTATGACTTTCACTGCGGAGCCAGGAATCTACCTCGAGGGCAAATTTGGTGTAAGACATGAGGATATATACCTTGTAAAGGAAAACGGGCCAGCGGAAGTGATAAGCGGAAGACGTGCGGTCTCGCCTTACGAGCCATGATTGAAGCGGTAACCTCGGAGTGAGTGCTTCCTCTAGCCCTTGCAAATACCATTCTCCTGTATCTGTCGCAATTGGAAAAACACCCGAAGAACAAATATAAATACGACAACTGCGGCACCCGATTCTGTCCTTCCCCTCCTGAAGATCTGTTGACTGCTCCTAGTTGAAGCGTCCCATCGGACTCTCATTCGCCGATACCGCCCATTTCTTCCTGACTGCCCTTGCTTACTGAAGGCAAGCGGCCTTCGCGACGAACGCATGCCTCTTCTAGCCATGTCTTCATATAGTGTAGAAGCTGTTTTCCCATTTCTCTAGTACACATTTACTCATGGAATGATAGCTCCAAAACAAAGACTCCCTTACCACGAGGAACAATATTCACTCGAGGCGGTTCAAGTGAGTCAGCTCGGTCCAAGTGAATAGGCTGAAGCTCCACATATTTGTCACCGACTTGGCACCTTGGAGACTCGAGTCGCTGGAAGTATAGCACAGACTCGAAGGATGTTTGAACCGGCCAGTCCGTACAATTGCGGACAATCTCGGAGAACCCCACAGTCTCATGAGGGATGGAAGCGGTGAGCTGTCTCTGGACTGATTGTAGAATGTCAGAAGCTGTCTGGAGACCATGAAGACGTAGCCTCGTAGGTACAAGATTGAGACATGGTCCCATTACGTTCTCATGTAGGACATCGGAGGATGTCAAAGCCCGCCCAGAGGCAGCACGCCCATACACAATATCTGTCGCGCGGGTCACTTTGGACAATGCCATGCCCCATGCAGCTAAAAACAGCGCGGCGGTGGTGATACCTCTAGCTGGAAACAAATCAGATATGATATCCTGAACGTAGAATCGAGCTTTCTGTTTCTTCGCCGCAGAAGGCATATCATCTGACAGCCTCAGAGGAGGGGCCGAGTATTGTAAAACCGTTCTCCAATGGGTGTAGGACTCATCGCTGTGATGGAGGGCAGTTTCGATGTAACTAGAGATCGATGTGGTGACTGGGAGCGGACGCTTATTGTACAGCGCTCCAATACAATCTGCCAGTCGCGCTAGGCTAAAGCCATCGTAGTGGGCGTGTGACATCCGGAGGATCAGTTTGGTCGTATCTTGCATACAGCTGCGCACGATGAAAAATTTGGAGAAGGGCGTCCTTGGGCAGATAGGCTCGCTAAGATCTTGAAGGCAGATAGCTTCGCACTCACGATCCAAGTTTTGATCGACATCCACCATAGATACTTGAGAATCTAGAGTGTCGACCCGTACTTGAACATATCGATCATGATAAGGTAAAAAGAGGGTCCGAAAGATACCCATGTGCTGCAGGAGCTCTGTACAAGCATTCTTCAGCTTGTAATGATCAACGTTCGATCCAAAGTCTACTTCGAAGTAGTTCCATTCAGTTCGTGGAGTCCCATAGGCACATGCAACTGCGTATTGTTGGAAATCTGTGACAGGAAGAATACTCGTGATCTCTCTCGCAGCAACAGACAAGATTCTCGCTACATCTGATACGTCTGGGAGATGGAAGGATCGTTTTGGAGAGAGAGAAGAGTCAGGCCTTGACTCGACAATACAGTTCTTTGATCCTGTCACATGTTCGGCTAGCATTCCAAGTTGAGGATATTTGAAGATCATGACCACAGACAATGGTATGCCTTGCTGCCGAGCAACGCCGACCAAGCGAATGGCTGCCAGCGAGTCGCCACCCAAATCGAGGAAGCTGTCATCTTCGGAAATTTTTTCCTCTGGAGTGCACAGAATCTGTGACCACAAGTGTCTTAGCAAATTGCCATACTCCGTCGTTGGTGCAATTATGGATCTGCTCTCCTGGCTTGCCGCAAATCTTGATTGAGCTCCAAGCTCATGCAAAGATTTCCGGTCAAGCTTGCCAGATGCAGTCTTGGGCAGTGAGCTAACTGTGAAATACTTCGATGGTACCATGTACGGCGGCAAATGGCGGGCGAGATGCTTTGACAATTGTCGCTGTACGTCGATCGGCAGTCTAGATTCAGTAGATCCAGCCGAACAAAGGAACAGTGTTAGAGTTTGCACTCTATGTGACGACACTTTGATCTCACTCACAGCGGCAGCAACTGAGACCGCTGCTCCCATAAACCGGCGTGCATGGAGCTCGATCTCCTCAAGCTCCACGCGTTGGCCCCGTATCTTGACTTGCGTGTCGATGCGCCCAAGGTATCTCAGTATTCCCTGATGATCGCAGCTGACCAGGTCACCAGTCCGGTAAAATCTGCCTTTCCGTCTAGATCCCTGCTGCGCGATCTGCTCCGGGAGCCAAGGAGGGTCTTGGAGGAACGAAGCCTTTGTTTTCGTTTCGTTGTTCAAATAGCCATTTCCGACCAAGGGGCCTTCCAAAAACAATTCTCCAACGGCACCGATGGGACAAAGTTCTGAGGGCTGAACACGGCTGATAACCCAAGCATTGAGTCCACAAGGCCGACCAATGTTGATAATGGCTGTGAAGTCTTCGCGGTAACGTGCAATTGTACTTGTGACCGTGCACTCACTTGGTCCATACGCATTGCGGACTTCTACATCGCCCCAGCGAGTAACGTCATCAACATCTACTGGCTCACCGCCTAGTACAACATGTCTCAGAGTGGGAACACTAGAGGGGTCGATAGTCCTGGCAAGTGAAGGGGTGGTGTCGAGATAATTGATCTCAAAATCGCGAATCATTCCGGCTATGTTGTCTTTGCGATCATCATCGGATGGGATACATAAGCAGGCTCCCGTGCAGAACACCATCCAAAATTGCTCCCAAACGACATCGAAGCTGTAGGAAGCAAGGTCCAATACGCGAGACGTAGGATGTAGGCCAAAAACTCTGCTCTGATGCATGAACGCGCTACAACCGTTCCCATGGGTGATTATGACGCCTTTGGGCGCACCTGTACTGCCTGATGTGAAGATGATATAAAGCGCGTCATCTGAATTGATACATGGCTTCCACTTATCATTCGTATATGTAGGAAGCGCCATGATGGTCTTCTCGCTGACCACAATCAATGGGCCGAGAGTGTCTATCTTGGTCATTGCGGACGGAGGCACTAGGACTGGGCCAGGGCCGGCCTGCCGCACGATGTTATGCAAGCGTTCAATGGGCTGCAAAGGATCGAGTAACACTGTGGTGTAACCGGCAAGAGTTGTGGCCAACATCGCAACGGGAGCCCACACGCTCTTGTAAAAACAGACGAAAACAGTCTTGCCTGGTTTCACGCCGTAAACATGAATGAGTTGGTAGGCCAGTCTCTCAGCTAACCCATAGAATTGGGAATAATTCACACTCCCATCCCAAGCGTGAATAGCAGGTGCCGCAGCGTGCTTTCTTGCACTGTCAGCGACGATGTCTCCAAGACAAGAGTCGATCGCTTGGGGAACCGTTTCATTACGAGCCCAAATCTGGCAACGTTGATTGTGGTCTAGGAGATCGAGGTCGCCAATTGTTGATGTATCTGAGCTGCGGTCACAGATATGTCGAAGAACGTGCTCGAATTGTGTGAGCATACTTTGTGCTTGCGCCTGATTGAGTACTGCACCATCGAAGCTCAGCGACGTGGCAACTCCTTCGGCTGCGTCAAGCAGACTGACTTCCATCACTATTGCGTGGGCGTCAGATTCGGTACTGTCGTCACCATCTAGCTGCAAGCTAAACGCGGGACTGCCCCTGCTAGTATCATCGAGAGGCTGAACGACCAAAAGAGACTGGAATTCGCAAGCCTGTTGTGCTTCTGGACTGAGTCGACGGATTTTGTCAATGCCGTGGTGCTCGAAAGGGATCATCTTCGTGGTTTGTGACTGAATCCCATCTAAAAACTCGTGCTTGGAGGAGTCCCATCGCACTTTGACCCGCATGGGAACGGTTGCTAAGGTGGGGCCAGCTACCCTATCTATGCCAGGCAAAGATGTGTGTCTGCCCATCAAGACTGATCCGAACACCACATCCTGTGAACCGCTGTACTGGGAGACGACTATAGTCCATGCCGCTCTTAGTAGCGTGGACGAGGTGAAGTCGCCACTCCAGTCGATGTTCGGAATTCGGTGCTTTTGAACTCCCGTTTGGTGTGGCTTGTACTTTGGGTCAGGGAGACGCGGGTACTGGGGAGCATCGAGGTTAGATAGATACGCCGTCCAGAATTGGTTCGCTTGATCCAGATCGATGTCCTTCATGAGATGATTGATAAAGACTTTATATGGGATCGATTTTGGGACGGCCATTTGTTGTCGATACACTGACTCGACGGCTTCTAGGACGAGCGAAGCAGACCATCTGTCGTAGATTGCATGATGAATGGTGGTTCGAAGAATGAATCGACTGTCGGTTTTTGGGACGCCAATGAGCGCAAATCTCAGAAGAGGATCGTTGACTCCCATGGGAGTGTCAGGGATGTCTTCAATCTTCCGATAAGTCGACCACTGAACAGGCGCCTTTACTACTACCTGTAAAAGACCTGTGCCAGCATGCTCGACTATACGCGTGCGAAGAATCGGTGTCATAGATGATACTTTTTCCCATGCTCTCTTCAGTCGCTCCACGTCAATTTCTTCAGATAGATTGGTGACACCGACAGTTACGAATTTCCAAGCCCACCGCATAGTACCCGCCATCATGGCTTCCTGCAGTGGTGAGCAGGGGTAAGCGTCTTCGATTGCGGAAGGATCGACATTACAAACTCGAGCAAGATATTGCTTGTCCACAGATTGATCAAGTAAGGTAAATGCTGGGAGCATCTCTGGTGATTCAATATGGCTTCTCATCCTTGCCGCCATGTCTACCAGAAGGGGTTTTTGGAAAATCTCTGCGACAGTTAAGGTATAACCAGTTGTTCGCGCAGCGGCTACCAATCTCATGGCGGCGAGGGAGTCGCCACCCAAAGCTATGAATGAGGTGTTATTTCCACATGCGTTTCGGTCAACGTCGAGAACGGAACTCCATAGCTGTTGTAGAATGATTCCCGATTCCGTCGATGGTTGGTCAGATTGGCTGTGACTGACCAGAGTGGATCGGAGGACAAAATCATTCTTAGCCGCCTGGAGGGCCAGCTGATGGAGGCTGCTCCGTGTTCGTTCGGGATCTTCGCTATGCGAGATACTTTCTACCATCAGAAATGCGCTAGGAAGCATATGGAGGGGAAGATGATTCATCATTTCCCCGTCCAACTCGGCAAGAAGCTCCAAATACTGTGTAGAGGATAGGTTCTGCGCGTCAACAAATGCGACAAGTCGATCTCCAATCACTGGCGAGTCCACTAGATCAATAAAAGCAGATATCGTTTGAGGGAGACAACTCTGCACGAGGACCTCAGTCTCCCGAATCTGAGCACGCTGCCCTTCAATCTTCGAGTTCACGATGCTCCTTCGTTCGCTATCGGTCAGAATCGAGATATCCAGAAGAACCTGGTATTTTTCCGGCATGGAAAGTGACGTAGTGACCCGTTCCATCTCGGACAGGAGCGTTGTGGTGTCGGCGATACCGATCACCTTCTCATCGAAGCTTGCTCTCAGCACAAGTCCATCAGCGGTCAGTGAGCATTCCAGCATTAGCGAGTAGCTGTTGAAGGCCTCAATGTCATCCTTGCCAGTGCCGAGACCGAAAAAGTTCGTATCGGAGATGTCTTGTTTTGGCTGCACCACTAGAAACGTCGAGAAATGACAAGCTTGCTCCGCATCGAAGCTGAGTTGACGAATGTTCTTGATCCCGAGATGCATAAACTGAATCATCTCAGATGACTGAGCTTGAACGGATTGCAGAAGTTCAAGAGGACTGCTCGACTCCCAATCGAAAGCGATTCTGACAGGTACAGTGGCGAGCGTCGGACCACCAACGCGCTCGATTCCTTTCAAAGGCGCTTGTCTACCAAGCAACGTCGCGCCAAACACAACGTCGTCTGCGCCGGAGTGTTTTGACAGGACCATTGCCCACGCCGCTTGTAATATCGTGTTGGGCGTCATTCCATGTTCACCAGACCAGTCCATGTGGATGACTGGCCGCTCGAGCACTGTGGACGCGCATGGTCTATAGTGGGGACCAGGCGTCCTTGGAAATTGGCGTGTTCGGATGCTTCTGAGATTCCGCCTCCAGTATTGAGATGCCGCTTCTCGATCATAGGACGAGATGTACTGTATGAAGTTTCGGTAAGGACCAATACCACCTCTAGGCTGGCCAACGTACTCTCTCATGAGTTCCTCGCCAAGATCATTTAGGAACCAACCATCGTAGATGGAGTGATGCATAATGAACACAAGAGATGATGGCCGGCTACCTGGAGAGCTTCTGCACCCGTCATTAACGATGCCAACACGAAAGAGTGAGTCGCCCAAGCCCATCGATACCTCCCCTCCGAAGTGCTCTGTAATCGAGACAGGCAGGCTTAGGACCACCTGGAGAAGCCTCGATACCGAATCATCCTGAAGCTTGAGATCGACAATGCGTGTTCGAAGGATGGGAATCGATGTCGCTACAGTATCCCAAGCTCTGTAGAGCTTCTGTGTATCTATATCAGAAGGGAGCTTGATTGGAATGCGAGTGACAAAATTGATAGGATCCCGGGCGGATAGCGTAATCATCTCTTCTTGAATGGGCGAGCATGGATAGATGTCTTCAACCTCATGGACTTGACAGCGGCATAGGTCGGCTGCTTTTCTCCGAATCTGTTCAACCGTTTCATCGTCCTCGTGGAGGAGATGAAAGGGGGCCACGGTATTGTCATGAACATCTTTTGGTATGTTATGGCTCTTCTCGAGTAACGACGCAAGATCCAAAAGACGGGGTTGCGAAAAGATATCAGCAACAGTCAGCATCTCGTAGCCTTCTGACCGCAGCGCTGAGACTAGACGCATGGCCGCGAGAGAGTCACCACCCCTCGAAAAGAAGTTGTCGGCTAATTCAACACTCTCAAGATTCATGATCAAGACCCAGAGACGATGCAGAATCTTTTGCTCCTTAGTCATCGTAGTCTTTGATTTCCTGTCGGACCCGGAATATAGGCCGTTGTTCACGTCCAGCAATCGATCTGGATGTTGTAAGGCCATGGCTCTGATTGCCTTCCGGTCAATCTTGCCTGTCGCAGTCATAGGTATACTGGACAGAGGAAAGAACGCCGAGGGTATCATATACTTCGGTAGGCGGTCAGACAGTACATCCGCAGACCCAATGGCTAGTTTTCGAAGTTCTTTCGGCTTCCACCTAGAACCGCTGTCGAACAAGAAAGCGATGAGTTGCTTTCTTCCCGATGGCCATTGTAAGGCTTCAACGATCGATTGCAGGTCAGCAGGCAGATAACGTCCGAGATGATACTCGACCTCGCCTACTTCCACTCTCTGGCCATTGATCTTGATTTGAGTATCAGCTCTGCCGATGAAGGAGATAGAGCCATCTACGTTGTAGCAAGCGAGGTCTCTGGTGCGAAAAAGTGGGCCCACAGGCGCAAGAGACTCGCCTGAGAGGAATCCTTCCGGAACGGATACCAAAGACTCTTGAGTCTTCCGCTTGTCACCCAGGTACCCTTGTCCGACAATAGGGCCCTCGATGAGCAGCTCACCCACAGCTCCAACTGGAGCTAGCCGAGTGACCTTATTGACGTCGGCAATCCAAAGTGTAGCTCCAAGACCAAAGCCGACGCTGGTTGCATCTCCCATGCTTGTAATGTTGGTGTTGGCTGCACACATGATCGTGCACTCCGAAGGGCCGTAGGCATTGATGACTCGGACCCGTTTTGTGGCAAGCCAAGGCTCGAGCACTGTGCGACTGATCTTCTCTCCAGTCAAGATGAGCGTGTGGAGGCATGGAAGCGCCTCTGGATTTAGCAGACAAGACACCGACGGTGTCAACTGTACAAGCTCGACGTCCATATCTTGTAAGACTGATTGCAGTCTATTAATTCGATCATTTTCCAAAGGAACACACAAAGTACCACCTGTAAGTATTGTGTGAAACGTGTTGCAGACATATGCGTCGAAACTGTATGACGATGAGTCGAAAGTGCGAGAGTTGCTAAAACCAAGCACACAAGCTTGATGTGCAACCGCCGAGCTTAGATTTGCATGAGATATTACTGCTCCCTTAGGAGTCCCAGTGCTGCCCGAAGTGAATACCACATAGAGGCCATTGTCTGGCAACAATCCAGGAAGTAGCTGCAATCTATCTGATAAGGAATGTTGACAGTGTAATAACTGGTTATCAACAATCACCACTTCGTGGTACAGCGATTGCGCCAACTTTGTGGTCTCTGGTCTGGCAAGGACGATTGTTGCTTGCAACTCAGCGATGATGCAGCTTAAGCGTGCCGGCGGCTGATACGGGTCAAGAAGGCAGAACAAGGAACCCGTTTTGGAGATTGCCAAGATAGTGATCGTGGTCCACATTGTTTTGTCGAAACACACAGGGACAATACGACCGGTGTTTGCGAGGCCCCTCGCGAGTAAAACACGAGCTAGCTGTGATGACTGTTGCTCAAGCTCGGCGTACGTCAGCTTGCCGTCCCAGGCATGGACAGCTACTCGATTCGGAAATTGTGAGGCCTGGGAAGAAAAGAATTCGGGTATGGTTGTAGAGTTTTCCCTTGGCTGTAGTTTATTCCAAGCCCACAATGTGACTTTGTCTTCCTTGCAGAGAGGATCGATATCGATGATCCTGGTCTGGGGCTCCGGCCTCCTGAACTGCTGAATGAGGTTTTCCAGTTGGAAAAGCATGCGATGGGCTTGTCTTGCTTCGACAATCTCATCGTCGAACTGGAGCGAGAGTCTGCAAGTTTGATGGGGTCTAGAGACACAAAGCAGACGTATCACGGAGTGGTCGTGTTTAATGTCTGGAAAGGCGTCTTCCTATGGATGGTCTTGTCAGTTCCCCTGATTAAAGCCTTCAAACACTGGAGATACAATGTTTACTTTCGTGTTAGGAGTAAAGATTGCATGGCGTTCTGAAGACTAACCTGAAGATGCGGAGAACTTTCTCGGCATACGAGCACAGAGGTCCGAAAATTGCAGGCCTCTTGCGCCTCAATGCTGCAAAGCCCAATGTGACGCAGATCGATATCGTCCTCCAAAGTCTGTAAGAATGTTTCTTGCCGTGCGACATCTTTCATCCAGCTGACGACGTCCGACTTCCAGTCAAGCTTTATGCGCATTGGCAAAATCCGGTGGGTGGGAGACTCGTGCTTGCTCAGGCATACTCCAAACACAATATCATTAGCATTCGTGTATTGAGCCAAAAGCAACGCCCATGAGACGTAGACTGTGGTAGCCAACGCATAGTCCAGGTCTCGGATCTCATGAGAAATGCGTCTTTGCGGCTTGGCATGATAATCAATCGGTATAGAAGGATAAGAGGTAGTCTCAAAGTCCGCAAAAGCCGACTTCCAAAATTGCTCAGTCATGTTGCTGTGTTGCAGTGGTTTGCTCATGCTCACTCTGTAAGTCCTTGGAATATATACGTTGCCTGAGATGCCCGAAATCATCTCGCCATCTTCACTCAACAAGATTCCCCGTTGGGGTGGAAAGTAGTCTCGCGTGCCGCAGAATATGAGATGACTGATTCGCATGCTACTAGCTACTAAGAGTAGGTGATTCTGGACTGGCTGATCCATTGTATACACCTCCTTCTACTTTCCGTCAAAGAAACGTAGTCATCTCGTATGCAGCAAAACTGGGAGACACTGGCCAATCGGATGCTCAGTGCTTCTAGTAAACCCTAACCGAAGATAAGCTTTCGGTCGTTTCCATTCGCCAGAAGCTTATCGCCGCGCGGCGTTCTCCACTATGTGGTCGGAAGTCCCCCGGTCCATCTCCGCTTGGCGCCTACACTAGGGCTATGGAGCCCTTATCAGTAGGTGAATAGTATTCGGGTAGCGATTTGGGACCGCAACTGCTCGCCTTGTCAAATAAAGGTGCCGCCTAACAACGCTTGACCGATCGAGCTTCAACCATAATTTGCGCAAAACTTGCTGCTCCACTCAGTCAGGCTACACTTCGAAAATGGCAAACGACTCCACAGAGGATGCAATATCTCTTGTGGCTATCCCTATGCAGCCATCGCGCATTGCGGTTCCACCTCATGAGGGTGCAAGTCTCTCGAACACTGCTTCAAGAGATTCCTACAGAGTGTCATGGAATGGAGACAAGGATCTCGAAAATCCAATCAACTGGTCGCCAGCACTTCGTTGGGGTCAAGTTGTCCTGATATCCTTGTTAACCATGATCACGTAAGTAAGCTCTCACGAATTGAGTCCATAGCTAACGACATGCCTCGGTCAGATCGCTAAGTTCAGACATGTTAGCACCCGCTGTGCCGATGATGATGAAGTCTCTCAACTCCACCGATTTGAAGCTATCATCGTTTGTAGTCTCCGTTTATGTTATCGGCTCGGCCCTCGGTCCTCTGCTCGCTTCTCCTTTGTCAGAGCACTACGGGCGCGCGAAGGTGTACAATTGCGGCAACATCATCTTTCTCGGAAGCATTGCAGGCTGCGCATGCAGCGTCAACGTGTCCATGTTGATTGCCTTTAGATTTCTTTCTGGATTCTCAGGAGTTACCCCTCTTGCTCTTGGAGGGGGTTCGGTCAGTGATCTTATGCCATCCGAGTCCCTAGGCATGGCAATGGCAATATGGGCACTAGGATCTCTGATACCTCCAGTGAGTACTGCGTCATTATGAGACTCTCGTATCTCTGGACTGATCTTAATACAGAGTTTTGCCCCAATTGCTGGAGGTTACCTGAGTGAAACGCTTGGTTGGAGATGGATATTCTGGGTGATCGCCATACCAGTACGTTTTCAAAGAGGAGAGCATCCTTTTTGGCAAGGCCACACTTACTGATCATATCCTTGTACAAAGATGGCTTTATTGACAATCATTTCACCATTTTTGCTTCGTGAGACTTATGGTCCAATCTTGCTTGAGCGGAAAGCGAAGAGAATAAGACGACAGACTGGAGATTGTAACTATAGAGTTGACCCAGGCACTCAGACCACCTCACATAGAGCTATCCTGGAAGCATTCGCTCGTCCAACCACTCTATTTCTTAGCTCGCCAATCATATGGATTCTTGGTACGCAATCAGCTGTGGTCTACGGATATCTGTATCTTGTTTTCACCACTCTTTCCTACGTCTACCAAGACAGATACCATTTCTCTGCTGGGCAGTCCGGCTTAACATACCTCGGCGAAGCTATAGGCACTTTGCTCGGTACGTGAGACCGCAAGCATCACTTGTCAAACAGACTACTGACATGAAATTATCCAGGAGTTTTCACCGTAGGAGCTGCATCCGACAAGGTGATAAAACAACGACAAAAAGCCCAACAGACATTGAAGCCGGAAAACTGGTTATGGCCAACGGCCGTTGGCAGTGTTCTTATACCAATTGGTCTTTTCTGGTACGGATGGACGGCCGAAGTCAAAGCGCACCCAGTAGTTCCCTTGGTGGGATTGGGCATATTCGGGTTCGGCATGATGTCTGTTTTTCAGCCAATTCAGGCTTACATGGTCAAGGCATTCCCAGTACACGCTGCCTCGGCCATGGTCGGTGTCAATCTCTTGCGCAGTCTAGTTGGAGCACTCCTGCCTCTGGGTGGCCAGAAGCTTTACTCGTCTTTGGGTTTAGGGTGGGGAAACAGCCTTCTGGCTTTCATCGCGCTTGCATTGACGCCCAGTACATGGTTCGTGATGCGTTTTGGCGAGCGCATCAGAATTCGCGGAAGCGGTGAAGAGCAAGCAGAGAGGCAAGCAGATGGACATGCGGATGTGCACATAAACGGGTGAGTAAAAGCTTACTGTGGATGCGTAGATACAAGCGAAATAAGTTTCGCGTAGGCGGCAGGCCAGTGAGAGTCGTTATGTCTACGGCTGGGATGAGAGTATTGATAGCACAGAATATCATGGCATTGACGATGTGAACATCCATCTGGATTTCATGACCGTGTATATAGACGTGGGAGTTGTACAAAATAGATAGTACAAGCCGCACTTAAAAACAGCGTAGCGGCAACCAAATAACAGAGACCTTGCCAAACGCCAATCAGACCGGTACTATATCTGAACGCTGTAGCAAAGAGGGGACCGGCGATCATGGTGCCGACACTCTGTGACAGGCCGATGGATGTATTGACGACTCCGATTCGGTTGGGAAGCACCAAGGAAGCAGCCAAGCTTCGAAGAGCAGAATAAAAGCCCCATCCTGACCCAAGTAAGATAACACCAATGATGAACAGAGCGGGCCGAGCAGCCAGAGCCATAAGTATTGAACCAACGAAGAGGAGCCAAACGCTTCCCTGCACAATCAGAAAATCGCTCCTCTCGGCAGAGGTGCGATTGCTGAGCAGTGTCGAAATCTTAGGAAGCACCATCAATAGTGCGACAAAAGTTACCAAGCCTTTGATGGTGATTAGGGCACTAGCCCTCGCAAAAGTCCACTGGAATCTCAACGAGGCATACTGTAAGATGAACTGGACAGCCTGTCTCCCGATACTGGCAAAGAGGAACGAGATCAAGATGAATGTCATGTTTGCATCTGGCAAGACTCTTGTGACAGTCTCCCGCATGGAGGACCAGTTGCGTGTGCCATGCTGCTGTCGGGTATTCTCATTTGGCGCGTCGTCGTCCCGATCAGTCGTTGGAGGCGTTCGATGGACTAGTCCAGACTGCTCTGGAAGTGTCTCGGGCACAATTGTCGCGGCGAAGAACCCGAGTATCTGGATGGCCAAGCCGGATAGTGATGGTATCCATGGGCTCCATGACATCAAGAAAGCGCTGAGAGGAGTAGCGAATATCTCGCCTAGGAGAATGGCAGCACCCATGATGAAAAACACGGAAGCTCTAAGAAGATGCGAGTCAGTAAGAAGTCTAGCAATATTCTTGAGAAGGGTCCCTCACCGCTTGTCCGCAGGGAATATATCGGTAATCATCACGTATGCCATGGAGGTCGCAATCTGAGGCCCTCCGCCAATGAGCTGGAAGACTGGCGCCGCCCATATTGCTCGCAACGGAATAATCTTATTCTCCCAGCATACCAATCTTATGAAAGTCTCCTCAAAAATGAGGCCCGTAAGACTTAGCAGCAAGACTGGTTTGCGTCCGACCCGGTCGGCCATCAAACCATAAGGCACGGCCAGCAATATACCAGGCAGCTGGTCGAAGGTATCTTTCCACGAGTTGATGGTTGCAAGCTCGTTCTGTACATCAGGGGCTTTGCAAAGCAGTCTTTCAACTACGGAGAAGCCTTGGGCAAGTCGACCGCCATAAAGCTGCTCACAAATGATAGACTCATAGATTTCGATGCTGGGTGCATAGGAGAGATAGTTCCCAAAGTCAGACGCGACGACTGAGACACATATGAGCAGCAAAATGTGCCACGATAGTCGGCGCTTGTTGAACGCATTCACCGTGGCGAAGTCTTCTCCCAACAGAGGCGCGCTCTCTGTGCGACCTGCAAGGGGTGGCGAGTGGGAATCAACGGTCGACATGTCAGTATGAACTTTGTGACAAAGTTGTACGGCTCGGTGATATAGCGGTGGCTGTGTAGTAGGACAAAATGGCAATGTGGGCACGCACGCCAGGAAGAAGTCGAGGTGTAGGAGTTGAGACCTGAGCGTGGAGAGACGCGTGGTTCGACTGCCGAGTCTCTCAAATAAGTTAGATCTTGATAAGGAGGTTCAGACGGATGCGGCGCTTGCCGAGCCCGCGTGTACGATGCTTGTTGCAACGCCTAGCTACATGGCTCATTTAAAAACCGGGGTGTTATGCAGGGCCATACGCAACCACTGTTATCGAGAGATTAGAGATCTTGCACAACCAAAATCCAGCAAGTCTTGACACGTTGGGGCTCCATCGGCCTTCCCGATTCGACTTTGAAACATGTAGCTTTGGTGGGCTTGGCAGATTTCCCTACCACAGTGGATTCACGACTTCTCCACCGCCACCCCATGGTGAATGATAATTCCGTACGGGAGCTAATAACACAGTCGCCTGATGGGAGTTCCAGATGATCTCCAGGTTTCGCGAAGCTGGACGATGACTGCCCTTTTGACCCTGTTTTTGATCATTTTCAACCGGTCAGCAGTTATCTGCAGATAGGTCCTGGATTAATGTTGTCCAAGTTTTGCGATCTTGGCGTTTCCGCCTTCCCAACCGGGCCTGTCAGAGTACCCTGGATGAGCGTTGTGCAAGGTGTCTATTGTCTGAAGAGTCGGTTCCAGAAATCTGTGCAATAGCCTTTTCTTACTTGTGTTGATTTTCTAAATCCCTTTTGCGGCTTTGACCGCTGGCGAAGCTGTGGGGGGCTTCGGCGGCTCCACCGTCACTCACCATAGCAATATATTTGCTCCGCGCGACTAAACGCCTACATATCCGCGGCATGTTTGGTCCGACAATCTACAAGCTTTTTTGGAATGTTGGAATCCATTGTAATGGTATGCTCTAAAGTAGCATTAATCTGGGGCTAGATATGTACATAGGGGAACGTAGTGCCGATAGGTCACTCGAGGACTGTTGAAAGGTGACACTAAGCAGAGTAATGAGTGGTAAGAAGGTTGATTAATTTCAGTTAGGGTTAGGCCCCCTTATGTAGCAGTGACAGGTCAATTTCCAACAAGGACTTGTCTTTGCCGTACTGCCATGAACACGAGCTTGCATCATACGAGATAGTGTAGAGTACCTAAGCGAGTCACTCTATCGATGAGGCGAAAACATTCCACTCTTGATATCAAGCACTGGTAGATAACGAGTGACCCAGATGAGTGCTCGTGTTGGCAGGAAAAGGTCAATGCTAAGGATGGTCTCTGCGTCCCAAGAACAAGGTATATATGCCATCCATACTCCAGTGTCGGCCTTCATCAATAAACTTCACTGGCTACAGCATTTAATCTCACGATCCAAGAACTTGCGCTGGTAAACATGGGCGCCTCAACTACAACTGGTTCAACTTCGAATGTGGCTATGGAAGGCTCGATTGAAAACTGCTCGACCACGAACGGCTCGACAGATTCTCTTGAGTACGATGTACACAAGCAATGGCCGACCCCTCACGCCCAGCAGGCCGTAAAGACGTGGTCCCGTCTGAATAAGTTGCTTACACAGCGTTTGGTGCAGATCGATGGCGAATCCCTCGATATCGCCACGGTTATTGCCCTTGCCAGGTACTTCCTAGCACCGATGAGAGACGGTCGATGAACTGACAGCTTGCTACACAGATATGGCTGCCATCTGGGCCTTACGACAAACCCAGGTCTGCGTGTTCGTATCGAAAGCAGCGTAAACACGTTACAGACTTATCTTTCAAACGGATACTACCTCTATGGTGAGCCCGTCCCAATCTTGCGTGATGTGAAGATGAGTTGCTGATCAGACATTCAGGTGTCAATACAGGCTTTGGTGGTAGTGCCGACACTCGAACCCAAGATCTGTTCGGTCTCCAGAGAGCATTGATGCAACACACCCAGAGCGCCGTTCTTACCGGAGTGGACACTCAAAGTGGTTCCGGCCATCATGAATACCTTGAGTCGCACAGCATGCCAAGCATGTGGACTCGGGCCATGATGCTTATTCGTTGCAATGCCAACATCCGTGGTCACTCTGCCATGACTCATGATGTGGTAGACACGATCATGCAGCTCCTCAACCACGACATCGTGCCCGTCGTTCCCCTTCGAGGCTCGATATCCGCATCTGGAGATCTGATGCCTCTGTCATACGTTGCGGGTGCTATTCAGGGAAATCCCGACATTTTTGTTCGTGTTGGTGGCATGAGTGGCACAGCAAAGATCATGACCGCCGAACAAGCTTTGAGTGAAGCATCAATAAAACCAATAGTACTCGGACCTAAAGAGGGACTTTCACTAATCAATGGCACCGCAGCTGCAGCTGCCGTTGCCACACTGGCTCTTTACGAGGCTGATCAGCTTGCCATTGCTGCTCAGCTACTCACTGCCTTGTCCTCCGAAGCATTGTTTGCCAACAACGAGTGGGCTCATCCTTTCATCGCTGCGGTCAGACCCCATGTCGGTCAGATCGAGGCCGCTCAGAACATTCGCAATTTTCTCCATGGCTCACGCATGATGTACGGACTGGAGCAGACTAAAGATCGGTTCAAGGCAGGTTTGGCTCAGGAACGTTATGCCCTGAGAAGCTCGCCCCAATGGCTTTCCCCCCAATTGGAAGACTTAACAAGTGCTGGAGCTCAACTGAACGTCGAGTTAAACTCCACTTCGGATAATCCCGTGGTCAATGTCGCCGACAATGACATCCACTGTGGCGCAAATTTCCAGGCTGCAGCAGTAACTTCTGCTACCGAGAAAACGCGCCTCGCCCTGCAGTCCATCGGCAAGATGCTCTTCAGTCAGACTAGCGAGATGATCAACCACGATTTGAGCAACGGCCTGCCACCCAACCTTGCCGCTGATGACCCAAGTCTTTCGTTCTGCCTGAAAGGCATTGATGTCAACACTGCTGCCTACGTTTCGGAGCTAGGCCATCTAGCTAATCCTGTTAGCAATCACGTGCAGTCCGCCGAGATGCACAACCAGGCGATCAACTCACTTGGCCTTTTATCCGCCAGGAAGACCATGGAATCCGTTGAAGTGTTGTCGCTCATCGTTGCAAACTGCCTCTATACTGGCTGCCAGGGCGTGGATCTGAGAACACTACACCGGACTTTCTTGATGAAAGCAGAAGAACCAGCCAGACAGATGCTTGGAGCCTTGCTCTCGGCCGAAGACGGTTCCGAGGATTTCTTCCCACAGTTCTGGAAGACGTTTGAAGCTGCATGGTATCACTCGTGTACTCTGGACGCTGCCGAGCGCTGTGAGCGATCTACAGAAGCTCTACTTACTGCGATCGTGCTGGGGGTCACTATCACTGGCGACATCAAGGTCAAGGCCATCGCTGATTGCCATCAAACCTTTAGTGACTACGTTTTGCAATTGTACTTGAGCCACAGAGACGGATTCTTCCAGCATCAGATCACTCCCAATTACCTGGGCAAGGGCACGAAAATGGCTTATCTCTTTGTGCGCGAGCACTTGGGTGTACCGTTCCATCGTGGACTGATTGAACACCCTGTGGCCAATTCCCCATGTGGTAATATGCTTGACGGGCGACCGAAGAAGACGATTGGATCTTGGGTGTCAAAGATTTATGAAGCTGTCCGGGACGGTTCCTTCTACTCAGAAGTTCTTCGCTTCCTTGATGCGAAGTAAAGGCTATAAGATGTGTATTATATAAAGCCAATTTATCTGTGCAGAGATAGTGTCGTGTGAATGTATGCGCTACACTTGCTGCCTACACCACGTGCCACAGATAAAGGTCGGGAACAGTGGTCTAAATCAACGAACTAGTAACACAACAAGGCGTGCATGCTGAGCTAGTCGCAAGCCAATTTCAACAAGACATCTTGGCGAGCGATTGTGGATTGAATCCTTCCGACTGCACATGCCAATACAAATGCAGAAATCAAGATCATTGAGATGACTCGGCCGAGCAGAGATCAAAGTATTGGGATGAAGACGTGTTCGAAATTCTCGATAGCAACGGCTCTTTGACTCGAACAGTTTTCGGGAGCAGTGAAGATTCGTGGTAGAGTAACAGCAGCTCAGGGAAGCTAATTCTCGTTGCAAAGTCTTCCTGTTTCAATCTGCAATGCTATTGACACATCTTCAAGCCTTGGTGTTGGCGGCAAGCGCTTTCTCAATGTCTGTATTGATGGTATCCATGACTTTCCCAGTCATACCTCTGCTTCTCAGAGAAGCGAGTGCGTCCTCCACTTTCTCGCCAGCACTTTCGCCGCTTGCATTGATAGAGTAGACCCCACTGGCCAATTTACCATCAGTTCCTCGCGCAATGCTCAGATCAGGGGCAACAGAAAGAGGAACACCAGCTGCTTCATCTTTCTCGCCAGCGGAATATCTCGCGCTTGTTGACAGGAAAACGTGTCGGTCTCCAGCTTCTTCCGCAGGCATGTAAAAGAGGGAACCAAAGATGCGAACTACAGCTTTCAAGGCCGTCAAGACCACTCCCGAGGTTCCTCGAGTTATGCCACTCTTTATGACCCCTGGAAAGTTATGTACAAACGATACATTCGGGTTGTCCTTATGGTGACTCTCGAGGGACAGCGTGGTAATGGACGCGGCATGATCTCTGTTCGCCATGAGCTTCATATGCCAGCCTTGGAAGTCGTCCATTTGAATCTCCCCTTCCAGTGTAGCAATGAATACTGAAATGACTCGGCGTAAGGAGGTTGCATTCTTGATTAGTGGAAGGAGATTTGTGATGAATCTATTGCGAGCGTGAACAGCAATCGCCGCTGGATAGTGGAGACCCTCAACAGTTGCTATAACCACATAATCAGGACTCGCTGCATCGCATCCAACCATCTCTGGAACTCACTTTTGCCAGTTTGCAGCGTGCCAATTGTAAGAAACAAGAGATTGACCGATTTCTCCTTGTGTTTGATTGTGTCGCAAATCTCGTCGACATTACGCATCAGACTTGTGTCTTTACTGATGAAGGTGAATTCGCCTTTCGCATTCAGAGCTCTACACTCGTTGACGATACGGGTACCAGCGTCTTGAGAACGACCAATCAAGTAGACGCGCGGTGCTGATGCATACTTTGCGAATTGCCGCACCGTGGCTTCTCCAACACCATTCGTAGCGCCGACGAATATCGCGACAAGTCCTGAAGGGAGAGTGGATGCGATTCTGCTGTTAGAAGCCCGAATTGTTTCCAGAGCGACCATGTTGCTGAATGTGGAGGATTGTCGAGCTTCAGATGGTTATTGATATTCTCAGTTCGGAATAAAGTAGAGACATGGTGTGGGTCATATAACTGGTAAGTAGTAGCGAGGGATAGGAGTTCGGAGCAATTGAGCGGCCGATTGAATGGCACGTCTGCGAAGGAAGGAACAAGCACAGGAATCGGGCTTCGTCCGAAAGCAGGCTGTGTTGCCTATACGACATACGACGAAGGAGCGAATCGCCGATCATCAAAAGTCGCTGCCTCACTATCAAGACATCGATCAGGCCATGAGATGAATGCAAGTGCTAAAGATCGAATCCTGTTTTCCAGTGTCCGTCTCGCATCGTGGTCAGTATCTTCTGACAAAGTAAACTGTGCCGACGATGGGTGTCGAATATGGACGACTAACTTGATCGTGCCTGCCTAAGCAAAAATCGTGGCTTTGCGATAAGCCCAACCAACAGCAGGATCACAAATCCGTAGTCTTTATGCCTCGAAGACTGGCATGCTCTGCATCCACGACCAGCTGAACACAAGGGCGGCGTTTGGACATTGGCAGTGAATGGCTTTCACGGTTTCACGGTATGAGGACCGCTTCAGATGGAACGAAATCCAAAGGCAACATTCGTTCGCCGTCCATCTGTTTCTTGTCGGTGCCAATTGGAGTTTCGGAAGGATTCGAAGACGCCTTGTCAGTGCGAGCCTGCGAGGAGGGGGTGGTTGCTCCAGTAGCTACGATTGGACAGAATGTTTTCCCCGAGCGGCCAAAAGTCGTGGCAGTCGGAACCCAATTTGGCTCGATACGTTTGCCAGCTTTGCGATACAGCGATGCTTTTTCAATTTATCAAATGTTCAGTTCAAGGAAAACATGTATGATACCAGTGGCACGTGTGCCCTTGCGAACGTTTGCTTGAAGAGGCGGTCGCTGAAGTCGAAACTCGGACTGCTGTCTATCTGTCAGGCATCTGTTTCCATTTCTCTTGCTGCAAACACAACTAAGGCAAGGCCGAGAAGAGCAAGCACAATGACATAGAAACATCACGAGAGTAGGTCATTTTGGTCGAAACTTGCCAATTAGCCACGAAGGACGATTGTTCAACTTCTTAATCAAGTCGCATTCACTGCGGTGCCTTTGCATCACTCTTATACATATTCTTCCATGTCTGGATGCCAATAAACATATCCAGCGGACTTACTAACATCTGTGGAACGACATCAAGACACGCCATGATAGCTAGTGAGCTCTAGAAGCTCGCTGTGTCTCCAGCACACCTTACAGCAGCAAAAGAAATGCGGAACCGTTCAAGACAAGCCGCGGTTAGCACCGAGGGCAGAAGATAGAACAGTCAGCAGTCCGTTCTCCATGAAATGGAGGAAGTGCAGTTGCGACGCATGGAGATATTCGCGCGCATAAAGCGAACCCGAAAGCGAACCCGAGCTCTGACAGAAGTCACAGTACACAGCCACAGCTGACCGACAAGAACGAATCCGAACACGAGTTCGGAAACATCGAACTTGCCCGAGCAAATCAAGCGTTCTTGCTTTCGGCCGCGGCCTCCGAAAGCTTGTCCTCGCCTTATCCTGGGTGTCAGACGGTGCTGTCTGACAGCGTTCCTGGTAAGTAGAAGGACCATACTCCGAAACAGGTCAAGTACAAGCTTCGTGGGATCTGGAGGATCAGCTCAGCCACTTTTTGATTCGTCGACAAAGACCGCAGTACGATGTTACATGCGATTAGGATGGGAGCAGTGGCTTACACGAATGCGAAACCGAGCATATTGGAATCGCACTCGTGGGACGACTTGTCTATAACAAGCCTTGAAATCCAGTACAGTTTCTCCTGTCACGACCACATCAACTTCGCCATTACCTTTACTTTACCACATCCAAAACCTTTTCAATGGCTCACATCATCAGCGGTATCGTCCAGAACGTCGGAGGTGGCATTGGCCTCGCATCAGAAGCCTACAAAGCCCACAAGGCAAAGAAGACACAGTCCAGGGACGAGCATGCCGCCGGTCAACCCGAGCCATCATCGGGCCATGAACGATCTGCTTTCGAGTATGAAGAAGAGGCTTGGGAACTTGACGAAGCCCAAGACGACCTCATCGGCGTGCCCAAAAACGGAGACATGGACAAACCTACAGATCCTGGTACACTGGCAGACACATTTATCTCACGTCTCCCGCCCTCAATACCCACGTCCGCGTTCTCTCAAGAGAAGCTGCCATTTCCTATTATCATACCACAGCGCAGGCCAAAAGACCGCAGCCGAGGCATGGTAAGGGCGTATCCTCCCATCCTCGAGCAACGCGGTATCGACCAAGCCATGTTTATTGACTTCATCGAAACCTTCAATAAGTCGACCCAAGCAACCAAGTGGATAGCTGCTCTCAATCTCGCCTCCATAGGCACCATGTGGTTACCTACGGTGACCGGACTCCTGGTCTCGATGGCGATCACTGCAGCTACAACAGCAGCAATGGAAGTGCAAGGGAGATACAAAACCAACGCCTTCTTGCACAAGATCAACGAGCAGTTCTTCATGCCCAGAGGACTCTTCTGCCTCGTGTTGACTTGGAATCCAGACAACCCGGATGCTCAAGCTACCGTGGATTTTGAGAGTATGGCCAGAAAGGTGATGAGCGGAAATAGCGGATTTATAAGCTCACTTCGCAGTTCCAATGGCAAAACGCACGGAGAGTTCCAATGGCCTGAAGTCGCTCCTCTCATTTATCCCGGACTCGACACCCTCCTGGCTGCGACATCGGACGAAGAAGGCAAGGCCAAGAGGTCGTCTTTGAAGAAAAAGCGAGTCTTTGTGGAGGACTACATGGACAGAAGAGCACAAGCCAAATTTGTGGGTTTTGGGTTAACCGGTCCAATCTCGTCTGTTTGACTGACGTTTCGAATAGGCAATGGACAATCCAGAGAGTACCCTTGCGGCGGGTCCGAAGCCAAAGTTTTCATCCCGCTTCGCCGACCCCAGTCATCCAGCAAACAGCGGTTCACTGGTCGCTCTGATCTCAGGTGGAGCAGTACAGATGCCTGAGCGGGGCAACATGATGGGCAGTCGTTGCGGAGGTTCCTTTGGTGATCGTGATGTTAGGGGCACAGAACGGTTTGACCGTAATAGCATTGGAGGATTCGGCCGAGAATTTGGTAGCAGGTTTGACCGAGCTGGCGGAGACAGAAGCGATAGCTTCATGGTGGACAGCCAGCCTGTAAGATCTAACAACGACAGCAGAGCGTCCGAACGAGGCCTTGGTGGAATGCGCGGTGGCCGGGGAGGAGCAAATGCAGGACCATTGGGTCTTGTGCAGAAGGTCATGAAGAAGGTAAAGCACATCTCTCCCGTACCGAGGTCTTGTACTGACAAGATCACAGGACGTGTTATACCTCCTTGTTGTCGACATGCCGTCCGATGCTGAGCTAGCCGAAGCACACGAAACCGCATCGGAGCTACTGTCTATCCAGAGGCCACACCAACAGTAGCTTAGACGTGTCTATGCCGGCCTGCTGGCCGAGGGGGTGTTTGTGTTCCTGCTCTTTTGTGTTTTTCAAGTGTTTTCTGCGTACTGCACCATAAGCTGACGGCATCTCCTCGGGTTGGGCATTTGCTGACAACGCGCCTTGAGATGATGACGAGGGACGTAATGGAGCTGATCTCGAGGTTCGCAAGCTACTTTTCCCTACCTTGTCAATGATTGGCTCCAAAGTTGTTCTTGTTATCACATTTGCAGTTGTGAGGTTCTTTGAACCAGTATCGAGCAATATGCATGTTGAGGTGAATGTCTACAAGACGCGTCGACGAAAACACGCTTCGTCATCGAGATGATGTTGCCAAGAGCTCGAAGATCATGACGACCAGCATAGCGATGTAGCAGGGTTCTCCCCTTAACCAGCGTTTTTGTTGACAGTAGGCTCATGAGGAGTCGACAACAACGTCTAATGTGATGGCTATCTGATCATAAGGACGCAACAAGATTTCTCCCTAGGCTACTAGACTGTCCAGTGGTTTTGATCGAGATCGACGCTGCCACATCAAGATCAAGATAATATCTGTCTGTTCTGTGTAACACGCTCCAAAATCCCAGTGATTTCCTGCTCTCCGTGGACTGAACACAGCAAATGTGACATTTCTCCTCAATCTCCGCTAAGATAAGTATCAAAAGGTAGAGAGTATAAACATGAGTGCTTCAATGAGACATGGAGCCATAATAGCCTATTCTCGGCGTAGAAACACATCCGAAAGATGCATCTCATGTGCCAACTGATGTTGAGCCTCAGGTTTGCACTGTTTGCACCTATGACGGCATGAATTCTAGATATCCTATATCCAAGACGCGTCGATATGTTCTTTCCTCAAGCACATCCGTAACATCCTTGTCTTACTCGCTTACCGCTTGCTGTACGGTGAGCTCGTGATCTCGGCTTAGGGAAGAGGTCGCACCTCATTATGCCTTCCGTCCGCGACACGATGCGTGAAACATTGCGACATCTAAGCCACGACGCGTCTATCCAACATTGACGTTGTACACCAGCTGGCAAACATCGACAGTGCTGTGTAATAAGGTGTACGAAAGTCAACACGATTCGATGAAGCATATTGCATCCAAGCAAGACGCAGCCCAGAACATAACATGTCGCAGTCATCGAGAGAAGCCAAGATATTAACGGGGAGACATACAAATGGCTGCAACACAACTCAGTGCTCGATATTCTCAAGATGTCTGTTTTGAATCAGGTGGGTTCGTATCTCAAACCAAACCTCCGGCGCTGGAAGGCACAGGAGTCTTCGCTGTTGGGAGGTCTACCCATCACCTACGTCAGAGTTTCAGTTGGGCTTTGGTATGGTCTCTGGACCGGATCGTCGAGTCACCGGTTCAGAATACAAGCACCGAAAGATGACAGTTATATCACTCTGTGTTCCCCTCACTTCTTTTAAGACTTGATTGGACAGGCTTGCATTTGGTGCCTCATGCAGGGTCTCCTTATATTGTATGACTGCATTCATAGTGCTTGGCTCGAGCTCTGCTTACTCCGAACTCGACACCATAATGGATCGTCGCAATCAAACCAATGGCGAAACGAGCCATCGCTGATGTTATTGGTGCATCGCATAAGGCCGAGGCTGACAATGGAGTTGGATGCATATAAAGACCAAGCTGACCCCTCATCCGGCCCGTCTCAAGGATGGAGTAACTATTGGTCCCTCCACTTTCACCATCATGCCTTCTTCCGCTCCCATCGAACTCGACGCTCTCGTAATTGGAGGTGGGTTCTGCGGCACCTATCAACTCAAACGACTCCGCGACGAAGGATATAATGTCAAACTCGTCGACAATGCATCCACGTGGGGTGGCGTCTGGTATTGGAATCGCTACCCTGGGGCCCGTGTCGACAGCACGATCCCACATTACGAGTTTTCAGACCCAGACCTCTGGAAAGAATGGCGATGGACGCAAAGATTTCCTGGGAGCCAAGAGATCAGAGACTACTTCCAATTTGTAGCAAAGAAGTGAGATCTGGATAGAGACGCCGTGTTTGACACCACTGTGACCGATGCCACATGGGACGAGGGCAACAAGAAGTGGGACATTATGACTGATACTGGGAAAATATATCGAGTCGCCTACCTACTTCTCAACACAGGCATCTCAGCAAAACGGTATATCCCAGACTGGCCCGGCAAGGACAAGTTCAAAGGAACCTTTCTTCATCCTTCATATTGGCCCAAGGAAGACCCAGACCTATCCACGAAAACAGTCGCCGTTATCGGCACTGGAGCGACCGGAATACAACTCAGCCAAGAAATTGGCAAGAGGGCGAAGGAGTTTGTACTTTTCCAGAGGACGCCGAATACATGTTTGCCCATGGGACAAGTCGAATATACTGGCAATGAACAACCATTTCCACAAAACGAATATCCTGACTTCTTCGTCAATCGATCAGAGACATTCAGTGGTTTCACCTTCAGCTTCCTGCCCAAGAAGACCTTCGATGACACCCCCGAAGAGAGACAGAAAGTGTACGAATCCCTCTGGAGAGAAGGCGACTTCCATTTTTGGCTGGCCACATACTCTGACATGCTCTTTGACGAGACAGCAAACAAAGAAGCCTACAAGTTCTGGAAGAGCAAAGTGCGTGCACGTCTTCATGATGCAAGATTGCAAGAACTCTTCGCCCCGGATGAGCAACTGCACGCTTTCGGCTGCAAACGCGTCTCCTTGGAGAATGGCTTCTACGAGACATTCAACAGGCCGAATGTGACACTGGTTGATACGAAGATTGAGCCTATTGTCGAGTTGACTGAAACAGGCATCAAGCCCTCCGAAAGAGAGTATGAGTTCGACTATATCATTTGCGCCACTGGCTACGATGCCATCAGCGGAGGTCTCAAGAACATCAACATTCGCGGCATCGATGGTCAGACCCTGACTAAGAAGTGGAAGAACGGCATCAAAACCTATCTGGGCATGTGCTGTGCTGGCTTCCCAAACATGTTCTTCACCTACGGACCTCAAGCGCCGACTGCTCTCTGCAATGGACCCACCTGTGCTGAGATTCAAGGAGATTGGGTTGTCCAGATGATGAACGATATGAAGCAAGAAGGAAACACGAAGATTGAAACAGTAGAGGAGGTTGAAGATAAATGGGCAGCCGATGTCTGGACATATGCAAATGCGACATTGCTACCCAGGACAAAATCGGTAAGTTTGCCCGCTCTTCTGCCCCAAGAAATCACACCTGACCAAAAGCAGTGGTATATGGGCGACAATATCCCAGGAAAGCCTCGAGAACCCTTGATATACATGGGTGGCACGGACAAATATCATCGCATCATCAAGGAGACTGCTCAACAGGGATATACTGGTTTCATCAGGTCGTGAGGTGTTTACAACTTTGTGTTGTCACATCACAGGAGGCTCTTCGAAGACAATAAGACCCTTGGAACGATTAGGAGGCTACTCTGGGTTTCTTCAGACTCCGGGTCCAACAACTGCAATGCTTGACACTGCATGCTCACCCGGCCAGTACCATCATGAATCCCCTGATGTTCTGCAAGAATGTATGCGCTTCTTTTGACGTATAACTTCCATCGCAGTAGCCCAGTGATATAGTCGTCGCTCCATTCCAAGCTTCCATGCGCAACCCACTATGATGGTCAGTATGCTCAACGTTGTGACTGCAGATTTCTCGCAAGGAGTGGACTTGATGGAACTTACAATCCAGGAGTATAAGAATCTGTCAGGCAAATGATGTCCTCGACGGATAGGACTAAGGATTCATCCTGAGAAGATACAGTCTTTGGAATATACTGATCGTTCAGACCGTCGCTTGCAATGATCTTGTAAAGAAGATATGTCAGTGATTCATCATGAGATATAATGATCGCAGAAAAGACTCACCGGCACAGTTTTACCATCGGGCTGACTTCCAGACCTAGGATCCCCAAGTCAGCTTCGACTTTCTTCACCATAACAAAGAGTACCTCTACTCACGACTCCAAAAGTGCCGAGAGAAAATTATCTTTAGCAAGACCAAGTGGCAAGAGAAATGGTTTACTCAACCAATAATCGTAAGATTTCTTGGTGATTTCCATAGCCCTGACCAGCGCATCAATTACAGCAACCTTGTCCTCAAAGTCCACAGCAAATTGCTCGAGGTTATCAAACTCCACGACCGCGCAAGCTTGACAGCTGCCATATTGACAGTGTGCGAATTCTTCTCGAAGGTATCGTCGACCATTGACAGGGAGCGGCATGATGACTGATTTCTCCGGAAGGGCTTCTTGCGAAAGTGGATTGGTTTTCAGTAAAGCTAGAAGTGTAGCTGCCTGGGCTAGATGGGTGATCGTGTAGTCTGGGCCCAGGCGAGACTTTACTCCATGGATGATCTTCTGACACGTCCCAGGCTTCAGTTGTAGCACAGCGGTATCTGGCAGTCCGGGTTCGACACCTAGTTGAATGGAATGACTTGACTATGAGAGTTTGATGGATTAGCTAATGATCAACAACGACATGCTAGGAGACCGCTTCAGAGGCGTTCCACACGTACATTGAATCTGAACATACTCGCCACAAACTCCTCCAGGCTGTCGTCGTAGTCTTTGCTCAAAGTCTTGATATCGATATTCAGCGCATCGAGAAGCGGCACGCTTAGATTCTTGATTTCCTGTCCCCAATCGTACCTTGCAGCTTCCAGATTTTGTCCAAGACTGCGAAGTAGATCGCCAACGAAGAGTCGAGCACTGATACCATCCCAGTAGATGTGGTTGAAGTGAACCAGGAATTCCACATCAGAGCCTTCGTTCATGACCGTGTCGTGATTCGTTACATCCGCCAAAGCATGAACTGTGAAGGACTTTGAAGATTTATTCTGCGCTTCCCTTCCAGCAGCTATTTCCCGTCTAAGTTCGTAACCATTCTGAGGAGTCGCATGGATTTGCACGCTTCCTTGAGCCCAGATGCCTGCTTCGAGGTCGTCGGATGGGGTGGTATATCGAATCAGGGGTCCAAACTCATCGTCCCAGAATGCTTCGCAGGCAATGTCGGGATGCTCGAAACGTTGTCTCAAGAGACCATGCACGAGTTGCCGTTCAAGTGAGACGAGAGTAAATGGTCGATGTGTTCTTGCCTTGACCAGAATGTGAAAGTCATATTGCCCTCTGGCGTTTTCTTTGCGAAGGCCGACCCAATTTTCTGTTCCGTTCCCTCGTCGTTGTAGGGAGGGGGCTGTACTGGTCGCATCTTTGACCTGCTGCCAACGATATTTGGCTGGTTCGACGGTTTTGGCATTGACGATGGGCATGGTTTTAGTTCGCTGTATGACAATTCAACAATCGTTGTGTGCTGGTCGATGTTGAGAGAAAGAGATGTAGAGAGAGAAGTTGTTATCGGTGAAAGTCGATTATGTAACTTCCTAGCTCGGCCCAAATCTTGCAGATCCCGCCTTTGTTACGAACCATAGATTTGGTGAGTCATATTTGAATTGCAAGGCAGCAGCACATTTGGAGCCTATCAGCAAAGGGACGGCATTGTTTTGTTCCTGCACGATCAGTTTCGGTTGTGTGTAGTCAGACGATACTTTAACGAAAACACTATTATACATGTTATCGAAATTAGGTATACCAAGTCGGTTCTGGAACCTCATCCAACAAGAAATATCTCCCCAATTCTCTGTTCTTGTACGCAACGGGATCGTGAAGCGTGTGTGTTCGAACATCCCTCCAGAACCGGTCGAGACCAACTTTCTTGCCAGTCGCTCTGCTGCCCGTAACCTCAAACACACCTGCAGTGACTCGCAAGCTTGTGTCTGTTGTCACTACTTTGGCGCTCGCGACCCACTCTGCCACTTCCCCTCTTTGGCGTGCAGACACGTCTCGCTTGCCACCATGAGTAAGAAAAATGTCGCTGATTTCCTTGCTTGCTCGGTCGGTCAAAGCTTCTGCTGCGAGCAAATGAGCATGGAAATTTCCATACCGCTCGAGGATGTAGAACTCTTCGGTCGCAGAGTCTTTGTTGTCGCCGCCGAATGGCCACGCACGTGTTGAGGTGGTGGTGTAGCCTCTTGCAAACTCGAGACTTCCTTGTGCGATGCCGAGATAGAAGTTTGCGAACACCAATTGGATGGTGGGAAGGAGAAGTGTTGCAAATGGGATCGAGAGCACAGAATCTAGTGGTTTTTTGCTTGTGGCGTCCCAGCCCAGGGCATCACTCCAAGGCACTTTGATATCGTTGATCTTCACGCTGCCGGATTCTGTCAGGCGAAGACCAATGTTGTTCCAATTGTGAGCGAATTCGAAGCCAGGTTGTGAAGTTGGTACGATGGCGAAAACATGGTTGGACGTCCCAGATAACACACCTTCGAAGACTGTAAGGTCTGAGATTACACCACCGGTATTGAAATGCTTGGATCCGTTGAAGACGAGATGATCGCCATGATCGGAGATGGCAAGATCGTTGTCGCGAGGGTTAACAGCTCCTATTCATATCCCGTTAGAACCTGTTCGGTCTCACAGTTTGTATTGATAAACCTACCTCCGACGAAATAGTTGTTCTCAATGATCAACTTCTGGAAGCGCTCTTTCTGCTCATCTGTTCCCACGATATCCGCCGTCTTGGACCAGAGTAGATGATATCCAAGCAGCATGCCGATAGACCCATCCCCCTTTGCTACTTCGCGAATGACTTTGTAGCCAATCTCCCAATCCTGGCCGCCGCCGCCATATCCTGTTGGGCCTAGCACTTTGAGCAGACCTGAAGACTTGAGGAGGGATATCTCAGCAAAGGGGGATTTATTGTCTATGTCGCGAGCTGCTGTGTCTGTGGCTAGAATAGAGGCGACATCTCGAGCACGTTGGAGCCAGGCTGAGGTGCTGGAGGGAATGGATTCCGCAGAGAATGTTGCGTGATACTCTTCGTATATAGCTGGGTCTGAGGATTCAAATGATGGATTTTTGTGCGATGCTTTATTAGCACCAGCAGAGTAGTTGTCGATAATTGAAGGCGCCATGGAATTCTGGAAGTTGAAGTCCAGTTTCTGAGCACGTTCAAGAAAGATTTATGTGTTTCGTTCTGGAAGGTGGGGTGATGAGTGGTTGGTAGCTTCCCCACGGGATCAAGATGATGTGATCAGAGCTTGAGATTGCCCCATACCACACCATCGCAACTCACTTCTCTCACAACATCCATTTCCACTCGTGCGAACCAACCAAATACTCGCGACGTGCGTTTTGAATTGCTGTCTACTCCGATACGTCGACAAGGTCCGGCGTCGCAAAGTCGTGCTCTTCTTCGAAAGTAGATTCTTATCAATTCGCCATCAGATAACGTATGGTGCAATACAGCATACGCAGATATTGCATTGTTGTAACATTAAGCTCAGCCCTGAGAAAGGTCCCAAACCAGCAGTCCGACCAGCAACACACCGGGGACGAGGAACTCTTCGAAATTTTCATCAGTTTGAAGCAGTCGACTGTGACCAACTCTGAATCACATGAAATTGCCCCAATGGCAGTACACGCCCTGGGGTTATTGCATCACTCTTGTTTTATTGACTATGCGGTCTGTGCAATGAGTCGCTGGCGCAACACTCGCAAGTTATGGCTTTATTGCGTGCTGGCATGGACAACTTTGACTTTGCAAAATAAGATGTGCGTCCAATCACCACAGCATCATTCTTGATAAGATTCCGCTCACCAGGTAGGTGGTCTTTCATATCTGCAGAGGCTTGGTGCTTGTTCATAAGACTTGCTCTCCCAAATCTCGGCTTGCGTTCTGGACCATCTCTCGTACCCAGACCACTTTTGCTGCGCATTATACGAACTCACGATGTCTGAGACACAAGCGACAATTCCTTTATCACAGGCATGAATCCAAGTCTTTACTCTGATTTGATCCACTGCTGACAAGTTTCTCGTGCAGGGTGCTGGCTATGGCGTTGTCATTGGTCTCGGAGCATTGTTTGCTTTGGCCATGATTGCGGTGACAGCGATCATGAAGCAACGCGGAAACGTGGAGAACGCTGAAGAGTTTACGGTTGCTAAGCGATCCCTTGGAACTGGTCTGACCGCAGCTGGAGTGACCTCCTCCTGGACCTGGAGTACGACACTGCTCTCATCGGTAACGGTTGCCTATGAATATGGCATCGCTGGCTCGTTTTTCTATGCCGCATGCAACAGTACTCAAATCATGATCTTCAGCAATCTTGCTATTGTAAGGCAACTGTACATTTGAATTCTGCAGAGTACTGACGTTGATGAGGAATCCAAACGTAAAGCACCGAATGCTCGAACTTTCCTCGAGATCATCCGTGTTCGATATGGTACCATTGCACATCTTTCGTTTATGTTCTTCAGCTTGGCTTCGAACATTCTGGTTGTCTCGTCAATCTTGATCGGTGGTGCAGCTGCAATCAACTCGTTGACCGGTATGAGTGTCTATGCTAGCCTATGGCTACTTCCGATGAGCGTCACTGCCTATACTCTACGCGGCGGTCTTCGCGCCACCATCTTGACTGACTACGTGAGTGCTCTGACATCTCTTTTATTTGCTCTCCGATACTGACATGGTTTCGCAGGTACACACCGCCATCATCTTGATCATCATCTTCGTCTTCTGGTTCAAGGTCTATGCTACAGGCGATCAAATCGGCTCACCAGCGAAGATGTGGGAGTTGCTACATGAAGCTGCAGCACGTAATGACTACTCTGCACCCACAAAGGATGGCAGCTACCTAACCGTCCGCTCTCTGGGTGCTTTAAAATTTGCCATCCTCAGTATTCTCGAGTATACTGGTGTTGTGTTTCTCGACAACTCTTTCCATCAGAAAGGCATAGCCGCAGATCCCGCGTCTGCTGTGCCTGGATACGTACTAGGAGGTTTGTCGTGGTACGCAATGCCTTTCACACTTGCCACAACAATGGGTATTGCTGCAGTGGCTTTGGAGAACACGCCCGCCTTTCCGACTTTTCCGAATAGGATGAGTGCTGCTGAAGTCAGCGCTGGATTAACATTACCATATGCAGCTCAGACGATTGCAGGTAAAGGTGGAGCGGGTGCAGTACTTGTGCTCATGTTCATGAGTTGCACCAGCGCAATTTCGAGTCAGTTGATCGGTGTCTCTACTGTGCTTTCTTATGATGTCTACAAGACTTGTAAGTTTTGGACTCCTTCAACCTGTGGCTACTCTACTAACCACAGTTTTCAAGATATCAAACCTAAAGCAACAGATGCACAGATTCTCCAAGCTGGACATTATTGTGTCGTCGGCTTCGCCATCTTCATGGCTGCGTTTGGCAGTATGCTTCACGGAGTCAAGATTGATCTAGGCTTCATTTACAACATGACTGGTATATTCACCGGCTCTGCCTTGCCCGCATTGATCGCCACTTTCTTCTCCACCAGACAAGGTGCCTTGGCAGCCACCGCATCTATCTGGACTGGTTTTTTCTCTGCAGTCATAACTTGGGTATTGCATCTTCTCTCCCAGCAATGACATTGATCAAATCGCTGATGATCAATAGCTGACTCTTGCAAAACGCTTCTCTGGCACCTTGACCATCGCCTCAGTGGGCCAAACAGACCCTTGCCTTTATGGTTGTATCGCTGGTATCGGTGCCGCAGCCGTCGTCACATTCGTCATCTCAATCTTCCACGATGCAAAGTATACATGGGATACCCTCGGCGCCATCCGCCTCACAGACGAAACAGGCAAAGACAAAGACGTCGCTTACGCCGATCCCTCATATAACCCGGAGCGCTTGAGAAAAGCAGCGCACATTGCTAGAGGCATAACTATATTCCTCTTCCTCGCTTTGTTCATAATATGGCCCTTGAGGTACGCTTCAAACCACAAATCCACCTGAATTGGGCAAAAAGTTAGGAGATCGCTGACTAGAAGTACAGTTTATACGGCACAGCATACCAATTCTCCAAATCATTCTTTACAGGCTGGGTTGTGGTGAGTTTGCTTTGGGCCATCTTTTCATTCGCAAGTGTGACTGTTTATCCCATCATTGAAGAACGCAGACGTCTTTTATCTTGGGTAAAGGATTTGGCCAAATTTTCAAAAAGACAAGACAAGGAGGGCTCTGCAGCGGGGAAAGAAGAACATGAAGTACATGATCATGAGAAAGATGCGCGTGTGTTCGCATCCGAGAAATAAGCTACTAGCCAGAACCTCCAAAGCATTCAAAAAGAAAAGAAAGGGAAAAAAGAAAAGAAAACAGCTTTTTCCCTTCCTTCCTTCCTCCCTTCCTCTTTCACACAACAACATTCGGATTATCCCTAGCTTGCCCGAGCAACTCTGCAATCCCACGAAACATCACACCACCAAAATACCTCCGTCTATCCGCCTGCACTTTTTCCTCCGGAAGCAACAGAGAGGGCCCCACATTACTCAACTGATACTCCGCCAAAATCTTCTCTTCTTCGTGTTGTGAAGATTGCAATATCATCTCCAATTCTTCGACTGACTTGTAAGTGATCTCATCGCATTGCAGGTGAGGATAATAAGGCAACACCATCTCCACAAGCTCATTAAACGTCCCCGTCTCCCCACAGATATAAGTATATTCACCCCAAGCCAGCGGGGAAGAAACCAAAACACTCAACGCCCTTGCCAAATCCCTTGCTGCGAGAAAAGAGATTACATCGTCGCCAGTGCCGGGGATAATGATATTTTGGTTCGCGAGATCGATAGGAAAGCCCGGGCCAGCGTCTTTGAGATGGCGGTTTTTGGAAGGCAGGATGTAGTCCATGAGCCAGCCGCAGCACACAAGCGTCCATTCCAATTGATCTTGCCGACGCAGGATCTGGCGGATAGGCTGTCTGGTGCGATAGTAGAAAGATGGGCTTTCAGGAAACTCTGCGATATTGCCGGCGTATTCGGAAGGGATGAAGCGTTTACAATGAACACTGCACAAACAAGCATCGATCAAATTCTCATGGACGGTGATGAAGGAGGCAGTGTAATCGGTAATGAAGCTGATGAGAACTCGTGCTTTGGTGTCGTTTAGGATTTGCAAGAGGGATGGGGTCGTGTAGTCTGTTTTGACTTGTTGGATGCCGGGGAGGTTGAAGTGAGGTTTTTGGCTGCTGTTGCTGCGTGATAGGATGACAACGTCGTGGCCGTCTCGAGTGAGCTCTTCGCTGGCATATCTGGCCATATCGCCAGACCCGGCTATTGCGACAATCATGATGGGACTTGTAGGACCTGAACTACACGAGTAGTGAAAGGATCAGAAACCGGTGGAGAAAAAAAGGTCAAGTGTCGGAAGCGGTGAAAAGTGAGTAATAAGCTTGACCGTATCGCTAGAGGATGTACCGAAGAAGTGGCAGAAGAAGATCAACTTATAGCAAAACTTTTGGCGCAAGTAGTGTCGTGTTGCTAGAGTAAATTACTCTTAGAGATTCGGGCGCCGCGGACACCAAGCTGACATGATCATTGCTTGTGGAAAGACTCCATCCATCATGCTGCTCATAGGTGCTGCTGTATGATTTGTAAGATCGATCAGCTGTCATGCAAGGCAAGAGGATTCCAACGCTCTGTCGATGCGTTGGCCAGAGTGAGTACGAGTAAATGCTCGGCGAGCACATCAAACCTCTCAGCGCCAAGGGACTTGGCTGCGATCCTGCGAGTATCTAGAACAGTAAGTTGAGATGGCAAGCGATGGTAGACTTGAGAATGTGAAAGATCGATCGTATACAACCTATACAGCTAAACACTTATCAATCGTATTTAGAACTTCTATCCCTCATCCCGCCAAACGTCAAAGTTAAGTTGACGTGAATATCCATCACCGTTTCATTCGTGTCATGCAAACATTTGATTCCCCCTTATGAAAATTGTTAAAAGTATCCCGGAACACCGACGCTGTTGAAGTCATTTTATGTTGAAGAGCCCGCCGCCAAAATCATACATGCAGTTAGATCGCTCATTGTTGAGAGAGACGAGTCTAGAAGAGTCCATCGATCTCACCAGTCTCGGCGTCGACATCGACGTTGAGGTAGCCGGGAGCGGTGGGAAGACCGGGGATGGTCTGGATGTCGGCAGCGAGGGCGTAACTGAGAGGATCATTAGTATGAATGACAAGAAAGGGGTGTAATCAAGTACTTACAGGTAGCCGGCACCAGCAGCCATGCGAACATCTCTGATAGGAACGACAAAGCCTGAAGGAGCACCCTTGAGGTCGGGGTCGTGAGAAAGCGAGTATTGTGTCTTTGCGATACAGATGGGAAGGTTGCCGAAGCCCTGGCGGGTGTAGGCATCAACCTTCTTTTGAGCAGTCTCGCTGAACTCAACACCGGAAGCGCCGTACATGTTCTTGGCAATCTTCTCGATACGCTCCTGAACAGAGTCCTCGAGGCCGTAGAGAAGCTTGAAGTCGTTGGGTTCGGCCTTCTCACAGGCGGCAATGACACCCTGAGCAAGATCGACAGCACCCTTACCACCCTCAGCCCAGTGGTTAGCGGGAATGGCATCTTCGGCACCAGCAGCGAGAGCCTCCTCACGGATGACGTCGACTTCCTTTTGGGTGTCGGTCTCGAACTTGTTGATGGCAACAACGACCTTGACGCCGTATTGGCGGGCGTTCTCAATGTGCTTCTTGAGGTTGACACAACCTTTGCGGAGGATGTCGATGTTCTCGGTGCGGTAGACTTCGTGGAGCTGGGCACCGGGAGTGATTGGGGGACCACCGCCGTGGGTCTTGAGGGCACGAACGGTGGCAACAATGACAGCAACATCAGGCTTGAGGCCAGAAGAGCGGCACTTGATGTTCATGAAACGCTCACCACCCATGGTGAAGTCGAAGCCAGCCTCGGTAACAACGAAACCGGTTCTTGAGTTGTAGTCCTCACCAGGCTCAGTACCAGCCAGCTTGAGAGCGAGCTTGTCGGCAAGAACCGACGAAGCACCAATCGAGATGTTGGCGAAAGGACCGGCGTGAACAAAGACGGGAGTTCCCTCAAGAGTTTGCATCAGGTTGGGCTTGATGGCATCTCTCATGAGGGCAGTCAAGGCACCACCAACACCAATGTCGTCGCAAGTGACGGGATCACCAGCGCGAGAGCTGGCAACAACCATGCGACCAAGTCTCTCACGCATGTCGGAGAGAGAGTTGCTAAGAGCCAAGACGGCCATACACTCACTGGCGACTGAGATATCGAAGCCAGTCTGGCGGGTCTGACCCTTCTCGGTAGGAGCCTGTCCAACAGTGATTCCACGCAAGTGTCTGTCGTTGACGTCGAGTACACGGCGCCAGGTGATGGTGTCGGGATCAATGTCGAGACGAGCAAAGCGAGCGATCTCGTCCTCGGTCAAGTCGTCAGGGTTGGTCTTCTCAATGCCGAGCTTCTTGAGACGGCGGAACATGATGGGCTTGAACTCGCGCTTGCCCTTCTGGGTAGGCACGAGACGCTTGTAGAGAGGGCCGTTCTTTTGAGTGTTCTCGTGGAAGATGCGAGTCTCGATGGCGGCGGCGAGCAGGTTGTTGGCGGCAGTGATGGCGTGGATGTCGCCAGTCAAGTGCAGGTTGAACTCGTCCATGGGAATGACCTGACTGTAGCCACCACCTGCAGCACCACCCTTGATACCGAAAGTAGGGCCCTGACTGGGCTGGCGCACGTTGGCAAAGGCGATGCGGCCGAGCTGACCGGCGAGAGCCTGGACGAGACCGATTGTGGTTGTGGACTTGCCCTCACCGAGAGGGGTAGGGGTGATACCGGCGACCAGGACGTAGCGACCGTTCTGGCGGTGTTCCAGACGCTTGAGCACTTCAAGACCGACCTTTGCCTTGTATGCGCCGTGGGGCTCGAGTTCGTGGGCAGAGAGACCAATTTCGGCGGCGAGCTTGGTGATCAGCTTGGGGTGCTGCTTGCGGGAGACTTCCCAGTCGGCGGGAACGGGCTGCTCGAGCTTGAGGTGGAGAGGTGTGATCTTGCGCGACTTTTGGCGGTCGAAGTAGCTGTCGGCAGAGTCGACAACGTTGCGGAGGAGCATGGCCACGGTCATGGGGCCAACACCGCCGGGCACGGGAGTGATGTGAGATGCGACTTCAACGGCAGACTCGTAGTCGACGTCGCCGACAAGACGCTGCCCTGACTTCTTGCTCTCGTCGGGGATGTAGTTGGTGCCGACATCAATGACAACGGCACCCTCCTTGAGCCACTCGCCCTTGACAAAGCCGGGGGCGCCAATGGCAGCGACAACAATGTCGGCGTTCTTGACGTAGCCGGGCAGGTCCTTGGTCTTGCTGTGGCAGACTGTGACGGTGGCATCGGCGTTCTTGAGCAGGTAGCTGACGGGGCTACCGACGATGTCGCTGCGTCCGATGACGACGGCGTTCTTGCCCTTGATCTCGACGCCGCTCTCCTTGAGCAGGACCATGACTCCCTTGGGGGTGCAAGGTGTGAAAAGAGGCTTTCCACCACGCTTGGCCAGCTCGCCAATGTTTGCTACACCGAAGCCGTCGACATCCTTCTCGTCGGCGACAGCAGAGGTGACTGCGTGCTCGGAGATGTGCTTGGGAACGGGCAATTGGACGAGGATGCCGTGGATGGAGCTGTCGTTGTTGAAGCGCTCAATGTGGTAGAGCAGCTCCGACTCGCTAATGTCCTCGGGGTACTTCTCCAGGTCGCACTCGATGTTGGCCTCGGTGGCGGCCTTGAGCTTCATGCGCACATAGGTGGAAGAGTCTGAGCGCTCGCCGACCTGGACAATCTTGAGCGAAGGCTTGTAGCGAGGGTTGGCGGCCTGCTTTTCGGTGATTTCCTGGTTGATGCGTTCGCGAATCGACTTTGCGATGGCAGTGCCATCAATCTTTTGGGCCGTCATCTGGCGGAGTGTGGTGCTGAATGCAGCGCGTTGGATGTTGGAGGAAAGAAAGGCAGAAGAGGATGGACGAGTCACAGAAAGGAAACGCAGATTTTGGCCCCGCAAGGCGATACGCCGACCGCTGATCAATTGGCCGTGCATTCGGATTGCAATCCACCTTCTGTTTTGAGAAGGGTATAGGATTCGAGCAAGGACTGGATATATCGATATACGAGCACAGAAGAGAGGATGGAACAAGGGAGGCCTGGCGTGGGGCAGGAGCGGCAGTTTGGTTTCAATTACATACTGAGAGGAGAATTTGGTGGACTGTGTGTCCTAAGAGTCTGGGGAGAGCTCGAGGCTGTGAGGCATGCTCCGACGCAGAAGGCGCCTATTGGCTTTTACCTGATTTCATTCACCTCTGCCTGGCATTCTCAAACATTGGCAAGCACCTCTGCATGCATTCTTATCCATTGGTCCACCTTTATGCTGTTTGGAAGCGGGATATCGTCCAGTGAGTCAGACCGTCGAAACAGTAGACTGGCTTTGGGAATGCGGAGGTGCTCGGGCAGCTTGATCAGGAAAGCGCGACTCACTTGCAGACTAGCGAGGGGAAAGCACGAATAAATTACGGCGCCCAGCAAATCGAGGCAGTCAATGGCGCACGGACCAGGCGACTCTGAGCGGGCGACGCACATTTTCATACAAGCGCAGCTGGAGCGACAGCGACATTCACTAATAACACCGCCAACATGAGACCTATTCTGCTTTCCGGTCACGTACGTTGAAATGCGCGCCATCTTCTTCACATCCCAAACTGACACCCATCGTAGGAGAGAGCTCTGACCCAGGTCAAGTGCGTGCGCCCATCTACTGGATTTTCAAAAGAGACGGAAAGGACACGGCGACTAACAGGCAGCGCAGGTTCAGCAAGGAGGGCGACTTCATCTTCTCCGTCTCCAAGGATCACAACGCATGCGCATGGTGGTCACACAACGGTGAGCGCTTCGGTGTTTACAAGGGCCACCAGGGTGCCCTCTGGACAATCGACGTCGACCCTCGCACCGTCCTGCTCGCAACCGGCGGCGCCGACAACACCATCAGACTGTGGGAGGTCAAGACCGGCAAGCTGTTGAAGACTTGGGAGTTCGGAACCGCCATCAAGCGCGTCGAGTTCAACGAGGACGGCACTCAGCTGCTGGGTGTCACGGAGAAGCGTCAGGGCCAGCTCAGCACAATCATCGTCTACGACATCAACCAGGACCCCGAGGCCGAGCAGAGCAGCGAGCACGTCTTGCGCATTGTTGTCGACGACATTCCCAAGGTCACGGTTGCTGGTTTCTCTGCCTGCTCCAAGTACATCATCTCTGGACACGAGGACGGTTCCGTCACCCAGTGGGACGCAAAGACTGGCGAGGAGTATGAGCGCGCTTACCCCCACGAGGATGGCATGATGGTCACCGACTTGCAATGGTCTGCCGACCGCACCTACTTTGTCACCGCCTCCAAGGACAAGACCGCAAAGGTATGGAACACCTCCACCTTCTACCCTTCCATCATCCAAGCAGTCAACTAACACACACCCTCACAGCTCATGGACGCCAAGACACTCGAGGTCATGAAGACATACGTCGCCGATACCCCCCTCAACTCTGCCGCCATCACACCCGTCAAGGACTACGTTATCGTCGGAGGTGGTCAAGCCGCCATGGATGTCACCACAACCAGCGCCCGTCAAGGAAAGTTCGAAGCCCGCTTCTACCACAAGATCTTCGAAGAGGAGATTGGCCGTGTCAGAGGTCACTTCGGTCCTCTCAACTACGTCGCCGTCTCTCCCCTCGGCACCGTCTACGCATCCGGTGGTGAGGATGGTTACGTCCGTGTCCACCACTTCGACCAGCCCTACTTTGACTTCAAGTTCGAGGTTGAGCGTGAGTTGAGGTTGTAATGTCTTTAGGAGAAAAGAAAAACAAGGGCCTTTTTGACCACGGCATGGCATGGCGTTCAGGGCGTCGTTTAAATGAAGAAGACGTGACGATACGAGTACCACATCTGGGGCCTGAATGATATACTCTGAAAAGTGTCTTTTTGTGTCGCCCATATGCAAAGAAAGAAGAATTGAAATGTTTACATATCCTGATCCTGGCCTGATTTGTTCATTCCGATGTGATTCGCATGCTTGATTCGTGATTGTGATGTTTGACCGCAGCATGACGCTGTGCGCTTCTCCAAATCCTCTCCATGTTCGAGAATATAACAACATCGACCTGCGCAACATCGATTTCCAAATTCTCTCTATGAATTTGCTTCACCTCAAACATCTTGATCTAAATCTCCGAGTCGCTCAGGTCCAGCTCAGATTCCGTCCTCTATTCATGTGAGTATTTCTCTTCCACTCTGATCCTCCACGTTTGCGGCGTCGGAACGGAACAACCACGACATGCAAAGTGGCTTGTCCGAACCTGGTAGTTCTTCCGTCCAACAACGTAACGATCTCCGACGAACGACTCCAAATCCTTGTTCTCCTGTCGTCCTCCCTACCTTTCATCATCTTCGCCAGACCACTAATTGATCGTTCGAAGCTTTCTGCTCTTTGTTGTAGGAACGGTGACGTACCTGCATATAACATCAACAAACATGACAACAATCACTCTTCCTCCACCAAACGCGAGATATCAATTCAGTATCTTGCCTGAGATTTTCAAGCAAGGGCTTCCTGATACCGATGCTGATACTTTCGATTACGTACGTCTTCCTCAGACCTTCCAATTCTCTTCCTTTGTATCTTCTGAGCGATGACTGATCATTGGCACTCAAAGGCGAAGGAAAACTTCGGTCTCATACCTCGCGTCTACCCTTCTGATGAAACACTACAAGATGTGGAGAGCAAAACTCCATGGCAAAGATTCGAGCATTATGTCAAAACTTTGAATGGGAATGCCGAAGAAGGCACCGAGTACAAAGTCCTCTATCTCGGAAGACATGGCCAGGGTTACCATAACGTCGCCGAATCCAGATATGGCACCAAACTCTGGGATGTGAGTACCTACCCATTTCAACCTTACCTTTCTGACCCCTTCTTCTCTCTTCGCTTTTCTCTTTCGATCACGAGGGGTAGAGGGATAATGCTGATATGGTGTCACAAAACAGGACTACTGGGCCCGTCAAGAAGGCGACGAACACGCCCACTGGGCCGATGCCCATCTAACCGAGATAGGCGAACAACAAGCTCTTGACGTAAACACATTCTGGCGCACCGCCCTTGCAGACGCAAAAGTCCCCGCCCCGGAAACTTACTACACTTCCCCCTTCTACCGCTGCTTGCAAACCGCCTCCTTATCCTTTTCCTCCCTCGACTTACCCGCAGATCGACCTTTCGTCCCCGTAGTCAAGGAATTGTTGAGGGAGACCAATGGCGTGCACACCTGTGACCGTAGAGGTGCTTCCTCCATCATCAGGAAAGATTTCCCCATGTATGTGTTGGAGAAGGGACTTCCAGAGACTGATGTTTCATGGACGCCTGATCGCCGCGAAACTCCTGTGGAACATATTTTGCGCGAACATGTTTTGCTGGAACAGGTGTTTGCTGAGGATGAGCATGAGTTTATCAGTTTCACGGCACATTCGGGGACGATTGCTGCGGTGCTCGGGGCGGTGGGGCATAGGAGGTTTGCGCTGCCTACTGGTGGTGTGATTCCTATTGTTGTCAAAGGGGAGAAATTGATGCGTTGATGATCGTCGAAGTACAGACAGGCAAGATGAATGGATATTTCAATAATTGTGCTCTATGGCATTGAAAAGAATAATGAAAAAAAGAAAGGAAAAAGGAGTAAGCTATATGAATGTAAAACAAAGGAAAAGGAGTTGGTTCGCTTTCTTCCACACGTCCAGAATAGAGCAGACGATGTGAGTGACCGATTCACATATCTCTGGTCCATCTGAAGACTGCATGTCCAGCCCAAACAGCAGGCTTATCAATAGCCCAGTGGAAGATCTCACCAGCCAGAATGGAACACGGCAAAACGACAAAGAAAGCAACAGCTTTTGCCGATGCGGAGGAATATCCAGCACTGACGTTGCAGTAAAGGAAAATCTTGACGCCGGCGGTGTACATGAGAAGAGTAGAAGTGAGATAATAACCTAAGCCAACAAGTCAGCAAAACGCTTCAAAGAATAAAGATATGGAGGGAAGAAAAGTCGGACTTACTCAACGAACGTCTTCCGACGAGTTTGAAAATCTTGCTGCTTAAGATGGTTTTGGCGATTTCGCTGAATTCGACGAGAACGAGCAGACCGACGATGACGAGCCAGTTGTCCATGCGAGGATAAGGCTGGTTGCCATCGTAATAGCCAAAGCTTGATCCGCCAGTGTAACGAGCGGGATGCGCATGCGCCTCTCCAGACCAGAAATCTTGATCCAGACCTGCAGTCCACATATACTTCAATCCCGTACCCACAGCGACAAACACAGCAGCAAGAGCCCAATAAGGCATTCTAACTGAGCCGCTTGAATTGCTCCAGCCGCGGAAAAGAGCAGTGCGGAGAGGAGGGTTGATAGCGATATCAGCGAGGAACAAACCAGTGGCCGAATACCAACCCCAAGAATTGAACCACCAGGATCCAAAGGCAAACATGATCAACCCATTAACATGCCAAGCCGGACGAGAAAACGGCAAGATGACCATGAAGATGTACACGGTGTAGGATTGAAGGTAAATAGCCGACGGCACCCAAAGCGTCCAAGAAGGGAAAGCCAAATTACCCATTTGAAGCGAGTAATCTCTAGTCACCCACAGCAAATTCCAAATCGAGTTGAAAGAAGCGAGTGCGCCGTCAGGACGTTCGGGGGCTCTGAGGTATGGGTTTTGGTTCAAGCGGGCAAAGTCCTCGAGGTATTGGGTGTTGATTGTGCTGAAGACAGCGCAGGAAATAGCAAGACCGACGGCCAGAGGAAGACCCATGCGGATGGGGCGAGAGATCAAAGAGCGAGCGTAGGTGGCCGAGTTGACTTCGCGGAGGAAAGATATGCTGACGGTACGGGCAGACAGCAGGATGAAGAAGCAGAAGATGAAGGATTCATCCCAGAGGAGGGGAGAAAGAATCTTGCGGAGGAGGATTTGATAGTGAGGGGTGCGTTCTTGGAGGGAAGGGATGTCGCCTGGAATCGGAAGTCAGTATACGAGAGTCATGTCATTTTGCAAGTTTATGGTGAGTGATTCCTGAAGCATGAGGCGTATGAGACAAGCCACCACTGCATAGCTATCGAATCCTCATGCTTCAAGAAATATCTGCGAAACGCGGGTGAGAGAAGCAACTTGTTGAACTGCTCCATCTTCATTTCTATCATCTCGGCCATCTCATGTCTGCAATTTCGAGACTCATGTGTTCATGAATTTGAGGCTGTCGCATCGCATGATATGTCAAAGCTTGGCGGAGGTTGAAGATGGAAGTTGTTGATGACGCTCCTGCCGGCAACGACCGATGTTTTGCCGCAGTTTCCTCCCGTCGCTTCTCTGCGCCTTACCGCAACCCATTGATTCCACCGTTTTCTGTGATTTGGAAGGAGAAGAAAATTGACGTACTCAGATTGCGTGCGTACAAATCGCGCGCGACAATTCCAGGACCACCGAAAACACCAGGAACTGCCGAAGGTGATCCTGCTGGGACGTGTTCACCAGTCGCCGTCGGTGCCGGGATTGTCAGCGTCGGATTGAACACTTTGAAGAACAGCCATGCGAAACTCTGCACTGCAAGAATCGCTCGTAATCCCCAAAGATGATCCTGTGAATTGCTGAGGACAGACGACTTTCGTCGCTGTGCCATGTAATTCTGAGGTTGGTAGGCCGACATGGTGTTTGCTGACTTCGCCGCTGCGAGCGTACTGCTTTGGCGACGAGAGGGAAAATATGGTGAGTTCGAGCACGAATGGGCCGAGATGTCTTGTCTAAGTGATCAAGTACGATTGCCTTCTTGTTTGCTCATCATCAATCAATCCTGACAATGCGTTGTCTTGACTATTTCCTCGTCATTATCCTAACCAAAACGGCGACTATGGACGTCAATCACCCAATTTTTGTCCAGAACATCCGTCGTCGTTCCTTTTCCTCCAGCCGTTCATTCTTCATAGAGGTTGCCTGGTCCATGACAGGAAATGCCACATACAACGTGCGCTCAACCCTCCCCGAACTGAGCCGAGGATACTAACTGCCAGCCATCTCAACGGTCGTGAGCCGCGCCGTTTGGACAGTATCCACACCTACTTTCCATATACAGATGCATTCTTTCCTACTCGATGGCCGTTCTGAAACAATGACAGCCTTGCCGACCCTGAGTTCACCTGGTCAACGTCGGATCTGCGGATGCCTTACCGGTTGCACGCTTTTCTGCACCAGAACGGAAACCGCTTTGTTTTCCTTCTCCCCATAGTGAGACATGCCGTTTTGCTTTTCCATTACACGACTCTTTGGCGTCAACCTGTCCCCGCGGCATACACTGGTAGCGTCAATCGAGCTCGTCAGCTTGGAGCCTCCTCTGACCGAAAGCAGCAACCGAACTCCTACGTCCGTAGACCTGGAGACCTCATGCTATCGCACGACCCTTGCCAAACGGCCAGACCAATGGACGCCATGGCCACGACGTCAAGCAGGCTCCAATCCAGAAACACACTTTCGTCAATCGGGACGTTGATCATTTCGATGGTTCCTATCTGGTCGATGAGTCTAGAGATACAGCAAGCTTCCGAATGCAGAAGGCTCATGATGATGAGCTTCCTCAAGTATGATGTTCGAATAAATTGAATACTCGCGGAAAGTCTTTGAAGTTTTGCCGCAATCTTTCCCTTCTTCCTTCACCAATTCCATACCTCTTCGACCATCAACAACACCACCAACATGGCCGAAGAATTCAAGGGTGGCAAAGCTGCCAAATCTGGCTTCCGAGAGTTGATGAACAAACTTGACACTGCTGTCAAGTACTCATCAAACTGGGTCTTCGAATGGACGCCCTTCATCCTCACAATCTGCTACTGGGTAGCATCGATATGTTTCTACGTCTCTTGCGATGAAGGAACCATCAAGGGCTTCTACTACTTCTTCATGGTTATCAACTTCTACATCGCCGCCTGTACGGTCATTGAAGCCTTCTTGGGTATCTCACCACTTCGCGATGCGAGAGCGGCTGCCATCAGAGTCAATACTTGTGGAGAATTCCCCACTCCCGACGATCTTCTCCCCATCCTTGACATTGTTATTGTCGCATACTTGCCAAACGAGCAGGACATTGTCAAGGACCAAGTCAACTACGCACTTGAGGAGATTGTCTACCCTCGCGAAAAGCTCCGCATCAACCTTCTCTACAACACTCCTAAACCCATCGAACCTCTCGAGACCGAACTCATTGAGATGGAGAAGCAGCACGGTGGTCTTCTTCGCGTCACCAAGGTCGTCGGCTCCAAATCCAAGGCCGACAACCTCAACTTCTTCTTCACTCTGGACACTGGCGCCGAGATTATCGCTGTTTTCGATTGCGATCATTTCCCTCACCCTTACAATGCTCGCTGGGCTGCTGAGCGTTTCATTGCCGATCCCACGGTCGATATCGTCCAGGGTAGATGTATCGTCTACAACTCCAAGGAAACTTTCTTCACCCGCATGATTGCTCTTGAATTCGACAAGATTTACGCTGTGTCGCATCCCGGTCGTTCGCGTCTATTCTCTTTCGGTCTTTTCTGTGGTTCCAACGGTTACTGGAAGGCCGAATTGTTGCGTGGTCACCAAATGCACGGTCACATGCTTTGCGAGGATATCGATTCTGCCTTGAGAGCTTACGGTGAAGGCAAGAGAGCCGTCCACGACATGAACGTCAAGTCTTACGAGATGGCACCGACATTCTGGATGGCTTTCTGGAAGCAAAGAATGCGATGGACTCAGGGTTGGACCCAGGCTTCTATTCGTCACGCTCACATGATTTGGGACAACCCTCCCAACGGTACTCGCTGCTTGAGTGAGCGCTATGGTCTTCTTTCTCTTATTATCGTCCGTGAGCTGAGTTACTACCTCGTCACCCAGTAAGTTGCGATTCAAAACAGTTTCTTCAAGCACAGCTAACTTTCATCACCAGACACACTTGCCTTCTGTTCAGTTTCCTCATCACTGGCTGGCCCAAGAACTCTGGCGAATTGGCCAGGCTGATCTTCTTCCGCTACGCCTTATCCGAATGGTTCCTCTTCCTCACAGTCGGAAGTTTGATTGTGACGCTATGGATCACGGAGATTGTGCGCTCAGAGTTCACTTCATTCTACGACATGATCCTCTTCTCTGCTATTTACGTCCCCTACCTCATTCTCCAGGGTACAATGGGTAAGTCACTTCTCGATTCAATACTTTTGGTATCTCTTGCTAATCACTTGTACAGGTATCTATGGACACTTCCGTGAGATTATCGGATACTCATCTTGGAACCCTACTTCAAGAAAGTAGACGTTTCTTTGCCTTCTATTTTCTCCTATCTTCTCTATCTTCTCTTCAAATTTTCTTCTGTTTTTCCCCTTCACAATTTCTTTTGTTATCATGGTCTAGACCATACATGGCGTCGCATCAAAGGATCTGTAGGATTATCGATAGTAGCTTCTCAGGATAAAATCCTACCACCAAGAATACATAGTTAATATGACGTTAAAAGCATTTTCGGTCGGTGACCGTTTCTGCAAGTCTCAAATAGTTCAAACCACACAACGCTCCAAGTTTCAACGGCTTTCCTCTTTGTGCATGTCATCTGTCAGCACGATTCATGTAACAAAACTGTGGGTGATGGCGTCTGATCTGAGGAACGAGAGCGCCGTTACGCCCAAACGGCTAATATAATCCTTACCTTAATCACCATATACACTCTAAAGTGAGGCTCCACGCGATCGTTATACACGCAATGCACGTGCATCATCACCCTGGAGTCTATCTTTTCCACGATTTCCGTTCCATCCGATCTATTGATCTGCAGAAGAAAGGATGCGCGCGTAGAAGACTGTACCGAATGGGTCCAAATCAGCAACTGAAACAAGGTATGCCGATCATTTTCAACAGCCCATAGTGCCCGCACTCCTTCCATACCATGATATGCAATTGCCACCGGTCATTAGGGTCTTGCGATAGATCGTGCGATAGTAGACTATGACGGTTGACACTGGTGATGCAGTACCATAGTGATTGAATTTGGCTCTGTTTTGCTGAATGCGTGGCCAGATCTTCCAGTAGGAGACTCTTTTGCATCATACATCGATCACCTTCCTTCCTTCTTTGCGTATTCAATACCTGCCACACACCTTCCATCATCGGCAGTGGGTGACGAGGGCACGTGCAGTTTGGATATAATCATTACTACTCAGTCGTTTTGCCTTCCTTCTCATACATTTTCCTTAACCTTTTCCCCTTGTTGTTCTTCTCTTTTGTGTTTCTCCCTTCTAACTCGCAATCATGAAGTGGGGGATTGCACTAACAAGCGCCATCTTGGCAGCCACGACATCCGCACTGGATGTTTCTGACTGCTCTTGCGGTTTCGTCGATGCGGCAAATGATCAAGTATGGACAGAAGCACTGATCGTCTACTTCAACGAGACCAACACACTACCCGAAGAGTTTGAGACTCTCGATTTCCATCACAGAAGAGAATATGGTTACAACTCGCTGTATCGACAGGGAGCCACTCCTGCCAACGCGATCATTGGCGACTACTCGGATGAGAATGTGAATGAGCAGGTGATGCAGCTCTGGATTGATCAAGGCACTGGACAACACTACGTCCAAGGTGCTGGTATCGAGGCCAAGAGACAGGACATGCATTTCGGTACTTTCAGATCCTCAATGCGTGGACCGGGAAAGAACACTGGGTGAGTTTCATTGAGATCGGATGTTTTTTGTGGACAGTCGACTAACCTTTTCGCCTCTCCAGTGGTTCCGCAATGTCAATGCAGCTCTACCACAACCGCACATCCTTCATCGAAGTTGATATGTGTAACATGCAATATCCGGAAGACGCAAAGTTCCTGGCTCTCAAGGACGGCGAGTTCCCCGACTACGAATATCAGCTCAACTACACCTACTTCGCAAATGACAAGAATGCAACCGCCGGTGGTGACCCTTGGGAGTTTGTGGAGAGCAAGATCGACTGGACTCTGAAGCACGTCAACTGGACCATCGGTGGAAACAAGACCAGATCCGAGAAGCGTAGTCGTACTGACTTGAGCGAGCCTTTGCCTCTGATCTTCAAGCATTGGTCGATTGGCGACAAGTACTACATGGCCGGTCCTCCCAATCAGCGCAACCAGGCCGATCTCGCTTGGGTTCGTGCCTTCTTCAACTCATCCCTGACTACCGAAGCCCAACAGCAAGATTTTGATTCCCGCTGCACCATGGCCGACATGTGTTCAGTCGATGACATTACTCTTCGTGGATCGAGCCCTTATCAGCAAGCTGCCCTGGTACCTTACAAGGCACCCCCACAAAGCAAGAGCTGGCGTATTCCTGCCGGTGCTACCGCTGGTGCAGTCTTCGGTTTCGGTTGTCTCACACTCATCAACGTTCTCTTCAGAAGAGCACCTTGGAAGCTGTTGCTGAAGAAGAACAGAGGCAAGAAGGTACACGTCGAGCCTGAGCTCAGCTCACCATCGCCTTTCGTTCAGAAGCTTTTGGGAATCTCAATGGACGAAAAGGTTTTGATTCCTGCGCCTCCACAGACGAAGAAGTCAAGTGTCGGATTCGTCGATGTTGCGACACCCGTCGGCGACAAGGACCAGCCTGCTACCGACAACATGCGCAGAAGAAGTGTCAAGTTCTTCAACCCCTTCGACAAGGAATCCGGAGACGACTTTGCACACAGACACGAAGATGCCTACGCAACTGCCACCGAACTTCCCAGAAGCATGTCCAGCTCTCAGCCCACCGACTGGCGCAGAAAGAGTATGGCTTACCACGGCAAACTTCCTGAAATGCTTCCGGAAAGAAGCGATATGGCAAGAAAGGTCAGAAAGGCCAGTGTCGCCTTTGCCGATGACAGCCATCGTCCTCGCAACCACAGCACATTCCAGAGTATCAAGGGTCGCCAAGGCAGCACTGTTAAGGCTATTGGACACGTTCTCCAGCATGGTATGCACGACGCAGAACGCGTTGAGCCCATCGAGCTGCAAGAAAACCTCATGCACACCGACTCTGAGGACTCGGAGAAGGGCAAAGTGCACTCTGGAAGAAGAGAGAGCCATGCAAACTTCGCTGGCGTCGTTATGCGCGACCCCGATACCCTCCAGGATCTCGACCTCTCGCACCAGTCTCCGGATGCCCGTCGCTCCACTATTGCCAGGGGCAGGCAGCCCAGTGTGCTCGAGAGATACCGCGAAAACCATTTTGCTAGCATCGGTGGTGTTTCCCATGTATCCGGTGTCTCCCATCCATCGCGTAGGTCGGTCTCAATCAAGGACTGGAATACCCAGGGGTTGCACGAAGTCGACATGGTTGATCCTCCTCACGAGTCGCAGATCAAGACCAATCGTCGTATCACTCTTGCCGAGGCTGTTCCCGTCTCAGCCGTTGATATGCCCTTGCCCAAGGCAAAGGAGCATGAAGCTCGTATCAACTACCTCGCTGGTCTCGTCGCTTTCTCGTCTCTCGGTGTTACTGTTATCCATTTCATGTTGACTTTCAACCCCTACGCCGGTGGTTTGAACTACGGTCAGCACTACAGGAGTGAATATTGGGCTCGCTGGACTGTTACTCCTGCTATTCTCAACCCTATCTGGGTAAGTCGGGAAGATCACACTCACTTGAAATCACACTAACACTATCACAGCTCGGCCCCTTCTTCGTCACATCTTGTCGTTTCTTGGCAGCCAGATATCTCCGCGACGGAGATCTGGGTATGATTGCCGAGAAGATGCTTCTCCGTGCACCTCGTCTGATCTTGCCCTGCGTTATCGTTGCCGCCATCGAATACCTGTTCTATGAGCTCAACTTTATGCAATGGTTGTTGTACCTGCCCTCGATCACCTGGTCTGAGTGGGCGTTCATCTCCAACTACGACAACTTCGGCCACTACCTTAACGCCATGCTGGAACTTATGTACCTGATCCCCAACGCCGCACCTCAAGTCGTATCTCACTACTGTGTCGGTGTCTTGTGGAGTATTCCTGTTCAGCTTCAGTTCAGTTTCGTCACCCTCTTGGCTGTCGTCATGATCCGTGATATCAAGACTGGCTGGAAGCGTTTCTGCTTCTACGCTTGGTGTATTGTCGCTCATTGGTACTCTTTGAGTTGGGGATCCTGCTTCTGGGCTGGTTTGATGCTGGCAGATGCGCAGGTTACCTACAAGCTCAGCGCAAGAATTCAGACTCGTCCTGCTCTCTGCTGGGTCTTCTGTATTGGCTTGTGGATCTTGGCTTTCGCCAGTGCCGCCATGACTCTGCTTGAGGACCGTCTTGATATCACCACCATGTCTTCGGAGAGAAACATCCATCCTGACATCTACACTGGCCAGAAGCTTGGTGACACCATCAGAGGTGGCTATCCGCTGTACTTTGAGCCTCGTCTCAACACTCTCACTTTCTCCATTGCCATGCAATTGTTGGTCGAGACCAGCACCTGGTTCCAGGCTTTCTTGTCGATGAAGATTTGGCAGCCCATTTTCCCTCACGCCTTCACCATCTACCTCATTCACGGTTTCATCTGGTGGACTCTGGGTGCGTACATGGTTGTGCTGATCGGATCGAGCGGTATCCCATACTGGGCCACTCTTCTGTCGACGGCCATCGTGTGTTACTTTACCCTCGCGTTGACCGTTCTCGCTCTCTCTTTCATGACCGAGACCATCACTGCAGCTTGCTGTCGCAACATTGCCCGCTGGGCCATGGAGCCCGTGGTGCCCAAGCAACCTACCCTGGAGCCCTTCCCTCGCAACCTCTTCCTCGACCGCACTGCCGAATCAGCAGCAGCAGCCGAAGCCAAAGACGAAGAAACCGCCGTGGTCGGCAGAGATTCCATGGCCAGACGCCCGACCATCATCCCCGGCGCCAACATCGACCCTCTCGCCAGACGTCCAACAATCGTCGAAGGCGCCATCCTCAACGACGCCGAAAAGGTCGCTCTCGGCACAACAACAATGCCCTCGCCGAACCCGCAAGAGCACCAATTCGAGCGCAGAGGCACTCATGTGGTTGCCGACTTCGTCATCGAGGAAGAAGACGAAGCTGACGAGTTGGACCCCATGGACCCCAAAGCATCGGCAACATCGAGTTATAGAAACTCGAGTACGGCGGGTGGTAGTTCGTCTTCGGGAAGTTCGAGGCAGGCTCCTTGATCTTGATTGATTAATTCTTTCTTTTCTTCTTCTTCTTTTCTCATACACTTATACACATTTCTTTTGTCATATAGTCGAAATCATAATTTCCTTTGGTCTTTCTTCATGATTGATGTCGTTAACTTGTTGTGATGATGTTTTCGAGAGGTGAGGTTGAGATTGTGCACAGACCATGAAGCTGTCATGACGGAAGTGACCGTCTGCGGAGATTCCGTCTCGTCGGTCGCTCTTTCCTCGCCGAGTTCCTAGACGACCAGCATCGACTTCAACATGTCTACAACAAAGCGGATAATCCGAACTGTAGACGGTATGTCCAATACGCTCGCCGCAATATAACCAGACATGCCGGTTATGCCTAGGTAGGTGATGGCGCACTGTCAACCGGCAAAGGCTGCGCAGCACCGGACGGCATCAGAACTTCACACCGGTAACTCTCTGCCTTTACCGGCTATGACTCCCTCCGATGCCGACCAGGTAGTATAAACTTCTCATACTTCTCATATCTTTCACGAATCTCACATGGCATTATCGTTTACAAGGCAAGTTTCACGAAGTAAAATCATGCCTCAACTACAGAACAGAAGTGTCCACACGGCACGCGTCGCTCTTCTCTACCAAGCGATTGAGTCTCCCATCATCAATGGAGTTCGCAAGCCCATGAAGCCTGGAGGTATGAAGTTCTCCTGACAAGACTTGCCAAGCTATACTAACATGCTGTAGGTTACCAAGACGGATGCGCCGACATTGCCTTCAACCTCAGCAGCCAAGCAGGCATCGAAATCATCACACCCATCGACTCGCCCAGCCCTCGACTGCATGTCGGATGGAGCTTCCCAGATTCCGAGGAAGGCATTCTCAGCGCTCTGAACAAGGGAGCCACTCACCTCTTCGCCAATACCGTCGTCTTCGCCTCGCACCCGCTTCAAACGTCTGAAAGAGTAGGAGCATACCAGGACAAAGTCAAGATTGTTGGACATCCCCCATGCATGGTGGAGCTGCATGACGACAAGCACTACGTCAACGACATGCTGCGCAAGTCGGGCCAGTTCACACTCCCTCGAGGATGGCTGCTCGAGGACGACGGCCAAGACCTCGACGCCCGCCTCAACTCTCTCGACTTGCACTTTCCTACCGTAGGCAAGCCAGTCAGAGGTCGCGGCAGCCACGGCGTCAAGGTCTGCCATGACTTTGATGAGCTTCGCGCTCATGTCCAGGCACTGTGGAAGGAGTCGCCAGCCATCATTCTTGAAGACTACCTGGCTGGAGAGGAAGCTACTGTCACCGTCATGCCGCCTTCGGACGAACATCCAACCCACTGGGCTTTACCCATCGTCACGCGCTTCAACCACGCCAATGGAGTCGCTCCCTACAACGGCATCGTCGCCGTGACTGCAAACTCTCGCGCCGTAACTCCAGAAGAGTACGCCGCAGATCCAACCTACTCGGCCATCGCCAAAGAATGCGAAGGCGTTGCGAAGATGATGGGCTTGACAGCAATCATGCGCATCGATGTCCGTCGTTTCACTGAACAGCCAGGGTCCAAGTTTGCTCTATTCGACGTCAATATGAAGCCGAATATGACTGGGCCGGGAAGACCTGGAAGAGAAGACCAGGCTAGTTTGACTGCCATTGCTGCTGCACAGCTGGGCTGGGATTATCCGAGATTGTTGAAAGAGATGTTGAGTGGTGCCCAACCTCTGCGTCGCTTGAGAGAGATGCGACCGGAAAACGTCTAAGTTGAGAAGGCAGTATCCAGGAGGTTGAAGAGGGGATTAAGAAGGTGGGAAGCAGCAAGGTCACAATCTTCTCTATGGCCATCTCAGACTCTCGTACGAGTCGCGCACACACCAGGTTGAGTCAACAAGCCGTCTTTGCGTAACACACCAAAGTCAGGCGTCTCGGATCTCAATTACCCGACGGATCGGAAAGCGCGCTCCCGAATATTGTACTCCATCACATCAACCATGGACAGCATAGTTGACATTATACATAAAGCAACAAGCTACCATCGCAGTGCATCTTAGCAAGCGACTATCATTTCTTTATCAACAACCATCTCAAATCTCTTTATCAGCACAGCTTTCTCTTCCAGCATGAACCAAAAGATCTGGTACCAACGACCACGGCAAAGGCTCCAGAGCCAGCCAAAGACAACTATCTCTGTCATCAGTCTCCTTCTCACAATCATTGCTCTGGTCGTAACCTTCTTCCGTCCCGGCCCAGTCCATGGATCACCCGAATCTGACATGGATCCTAACTTCGGCATCCCACGTCCACCCATCAGTTCCCCCATTCCTACAACCAACATCATCATCGAACAAGCCGTCATGTATACTTCCGGCCTTATCGGAGTCGCTCTCGGCACCATCGACGCTTATCGCACCAAGACTCTACTTCCTCTCCTCCTCCCATCAGTGGCGCATTCATCGCTTTCCCCGAACTCATGCTCGACGTCCTCGGTGGATTATATCACCCTTGGCCCACCACCACATATCCATCTTTCCACCTTCTAGGCAGGGAAATCGTGCCATGGGTTTCGGTATGGTTTGGCTACGGAGCCTTTATGCAAACCCTTCTTCGCCTGCTCCACAACAACACCTCCACCAAGAATCTATGGCTTTTCTTGGGTCTGATGGTGCTGGGCGATTTGGTCATTGAGGAAATCTTCTTGCCTATGGGGGCGTGGGTGTATTATGGTAATCAACCGCTTAGGGTTGGGAGTCTGCCTTGGTGGTGGCTACCTTGTAACTCCATCGGTGTATTTTTGGCTGCTGCGGTTGCGTTCAGGGCTAGAGGATATTTGCAGGGATGGAAAGTGCTGTTTGTGGTTTTCAGTACGCCTGTGTCTGTGGCGGGGACTTATGGGGCTATTGCTTTGCCTTGTTGGTTTGCGGTCAATGGAAATTTCGGATGGTTTGTCACGCAGATGTGTGGCTTGTTGACCATGGCGCTTGGATTACTTCTATTCTGTGTTATTTTGGAAGTCGTGCTTGAGAGAAATGCTTTTGAGATGGACGGGAGAGGTATTGATGAGGTGACTCAAGTAGTTGATGAAGAGGAGACTTATCATGATTATGAGTGATTCCTCTTTGCAAGTTTACCTTATGGGTATCATCAGAGCTCGATATGTCTTTGTCGGTATCCATCCCCAATCCCCGCATCTAGTAATCTCGCTCTTTGGTTATTCGCAAGTTCTCCTCCTAACTCCATGCGTATTTTTTGCCATGGCCATTGTTGCTCATATGCACGATCGAGCATCTCTTCCGTCTCGTTCAACCACTCCGCCTGCATTCTCGCGGATTCAACAATGTCGAAATCCTTGCTCGCGGTTTCCAGATCCTCGGCTGTGGCGTCCCATCCAGCAGCCATGTAAACATCTCTGAAGCTCCACTGGATAAATTGCGCTTGATATTGCACCATAACATCCACATCCCTCATCGCATCTCTCACCTCATCTTCATCTGGCTCAACAACGATTTGATCCCCAAAAGGCACCCAAGCAAGTGTGACGAACTTTCCAATCCACGATTTCAATATCTCATCTGCAGGTTTTGCATCACCATCGCATTCCTCGAATGGATTTTCCATCTCTGCGATTTCGAAATCTACGTGTTTGCCCCAGGCTTTCCAGGGGAGAAGTTTGCGGCTCAAAGTATCGTAGATTAAACTCGTACCATAGATATTCGGATTCGTCAGCACGAATGCCGAAGATGCGATTTCTGGTGAATCTTGATAGGTTGGTGTGCGTGACCATTCTAGACATTCATCTTCGGAGGTGTAAAAGACTGCTTGTGTGCCATCTGGAAGAATTGGAAGAGAGGAAACATCAGAGGAGAGGTGGGGAAGGCGGTTTAGTAGATCTATCGCTTCTGGGCAGAGACCGGCGTCGTTGGCGGCGGTGAGGGAGATTTGGTTTGGTGGGAGTAGAATGTCCGAGGGAGAAATGTGTTGAAGGGCGGCGAGGGTTCGGTAGAAGAGGGTTAAGTTTGTGATGAGAGGTTCGTGGGGCATGGTGGATGATGTTGGTGGTAGGGTGGTTGTGAGTTCGTGGTGTGTTGGTTGAAGTGAGGCGGGTTGTCGACGACGCCGAGTCACGCTTTGCGGTCACGACTCAGAGGCATTGCGAATTGTTTGCGAATAGAACTTTACCAGATCCTCACCTCTGTATGAACATCTCCTCGAAAGCCCTTCCGTATATCAAGGAGGAATTGAAAACGATGTCACCTTTGTCTAAAAACTGGTTACAAAGGTAGGAGGAGATATGATTCAAGCTGTTCCAGAGGAGATTATCTCAAAATCCAGACGCCAGAACGGGCCCTGTCATTATTTTATGCTGGGATGACGTAGTGTATGTTGTACAGGGTGACACCCTGGCTCAAGCATCGGAGCATTAGGCAGTCGACAAAATGGTATCTAGAGTCCTCCTTTTCGACTTAGGCATCTACCGTTAAAGCAGCTATATCGTCGACCCTATCCGAGATCGCTTTAATTACTGCCGGAACCCCTGTATTAAACGTAGCTTAGATCATCTGACTGGAGATGAGATCAATATGATCAGGTGCGAGTTTGTGATGAACCATATCTGGAAAGTGATTTTCGCGTGTAGCGCGACGAAGGGGCTGAATATCAGTATGAGATCTTATCTTGTGGCTCAAAACATTCCACCCAAGCTTTCGATGCTCTTGCAGAAAGGAAAAAGTGCAAGGTGCTGTCGCAATACCGTTGTCGACCTCGAGAATGCTTGTATGTGGTAGCACCCTGGCATGAAGCCAAAACCCCAGCCCGCTGCGTCATCGTTTCTCTTCTTTCCAAGTAACCCAACACGACAACGACAACAACAACAGTAATCACCATCAACGCGCATTTTCAGGAGCCATTGAACGCAATGCTCTTTCCATCGCAATCGATTCTTCTTGTGCTGTAACTTGGCGGCCATCCATCTTTCGACGAAGAGTCTCTGTCATGACGCTTAGGAAGCAGATCTATGTCGCGACAGGACAGACGCGATCAAGATTGTCGCAAGTCTTCCTGCTACCGGAGGACATATCAAGAGGCATCGTCTGCTTGACTTGAACAAAAAGAGCTGTATCCTCGGAATGCCTTTGCATCCTCCTGCTCGAGTGCAAAACCGCTTACGACGCGACGACGCGTCTTCCTCTCAAAATTTGCGGCTTGTCTCAACGGTTTCCCGCAACCCATCTCAACTTTTCATCGCCATCACACAATCTTCTCAGTTTCCCACTGCGGAAGACGCGTATACATGCCGGCTTTGTCCAGGGCAGATCTGTTGCCAAGTATATCAATGATGCTGAAACATCACTTTGTGGCTTTTAAGCGTATGCTTCAAAGTGGCTTGTTTTGGTGAAGGGTTCTGCTATATTGCCGTTACTGCGCACGTAGAGTAGGATTTGTTTCTGGTTTTCTTATCTTGCTATCACTGTCTTTCTCTCTTCTTTCCGTACATCTCGCTTTCCTCCAAGCCGTCACCTCGGAACTCTTCATCTGGTCACAATGTCGAAACTCAACCCTCTCAACTGGTCGCGGAAATGGCAGATTATAGGAGGTGTCGGAGCCACAGTCATCATTGTCGCTGTGATAGTCGGCGCTGTTGAGGGCTCAAAATCATCCGAGTCTGGTTCATACCCAGACTACAGCGCATTGAACTACACCATCTCGGAGCGCATGAACGGAACAACCTTCTTCGACCACTTCAACTACTACACCGACGCCGATCCCAGCAACGGCGCAGTCGTTTATCTTTCAGAAGAATCAGCGACCTGGAGTAACCTCACATATGCTGGAGAGTCATCTGCCATCCTGAGGGTTGACAGCACGAGCTCGGGCATCACAAATCGCAATTCTGTGCGCATTACCTCAAAGAATCAGTGGGATACTGGACTGTTCGTGTTTGATGTCATTCATTCACCTTATGGCTGCGGTACATGGCCGGCAGTGTGGCTTTCTGATCCTGACAACTGGCCGACGAACGGAGAGATCGATGTCATTGAGGCTGTCGAGCAGGGAAACAAAGGCAATCAAATGACCCTTCATACATCTGAAGGTTGCACGATGAAGGCCAAGAGAGAGGAGACAGGCACAGTGTCCGGAACAAACTGCTGGAACTCGACAAATGACAACGAAGGTTGCGGTGTTTTCGGAACCAAGAGCAGCTACGGAGAAGCCTTGAACGAAGCAGGTGGTGGTGTAAGTCGGTTTCATTCCTCCCTCCCAACGTCTTGCTGACTCTGTCTTAGCTCTTCGCCGTCGAACTCCGTGACGCTGGTATTCGCATGTGGATGTTCGACCGCTCATCGCCACCTTCAGATTTGACTTCCACCAACGACTCCTCTCCCGACCCATCAGGATGGGGCACCCCTGTGGCCGACTTCCCAAGCACACATTGCGACATCTCTGACCACTTCAGCAATCAATCCATCATTGCAAACATCGATCTTTGTGGTGACTGGGCTGGCTCCACGGCTGTTTATTCGACAGAGTACGGATGTTCAGGGACATGTGCAGATCTGGTGTCTGGTAATGGTACGGCTTTTGAGAATGCTTACTGGGAGTTTGCAAGTTTCAGAGTGTGGACGTCCTCGTAATAATTGGGATAGACGAACGATGAACAGCAACGGTGAACCGTCCCAACCTACATCTAGAACCGACCTATTAATGCCCACGGCTAGTAGACCTTTACTAGGTCTCGCTACGAATGTGTGGCTACTCCTTTATCAGTAGTCAATGCCGTGTTGATCTTGATGGAGTGTTCGTCAACGCGAAGTGTATACACTCCTTCCAATAGATAATCATCTGCGCGGAGTCCTTGTCAGCATTGAGCATTGTTGGTCTGAACAATGTCATGTCTTAGGGATAAGAGTAGAAATATATCACGACCCTACATCCTGACTGCTAAGACTGCTAAGACTGCCAAAATAACCATTCCGTCTCCACGACAATGGCCAGTTCTGATAGAAGAGAAGGAACCTCGATGCTGAGCGTTGATAAGAGGAAACATTACTGTCTCGCCATCTGCTGCTATCGCAGGCTATGCATCAGCAAGACATAGTACCACGATCACTTCTGCAAAGGTTTAGCACCCGAACAGCAACAGTCGCCTACCATCAAGATAGTGCATAGCCGCTTGTTCTGTCATGCGGTTGGAATAATATTACTAGTCTGTGGCGTTGTATGAGAGTTGTATCAATTTCGATCGATCTTTTAGATCATTAACTTCTTATCTCTAGTCAAGATACTCACCATGACCTCTAGCGCTTGTGATGTTGGCGAGATGCAGCTTTGCTCCTGTAACATCAGGAAATTCACTGACAAACTCCATCTCCTGTCGAAGTAGTCGATCGATGTTTTGTCTGACAGGGAAGACCAGTCCTTCAGAATGAGACGATATATCAACGTTATCATCTTGCGGGCGATCTTCAATATCGCTTGCTCGATTCGCGCCCCCGGCAGGTCGTGATACTCCAACAATTGCTGGAAAAGGAGCGATGCAATTGAATGGTATACCTTCGGCAACACCACCACCACACATGTGGCCCATACCATCGTCGATAGGATTGTTGAAGGGCATCAAACTTTGTCTGTAAAGCATCTTCTGCGCACCGCGAAGCGACAGAGCGTAGGCGGCAGTACAAGAGCCCCATTCTGGCACGAAAACAAGACGGGTCTGATTGTCGGCATTCGGTCCAGTCTCCCACTTCTCCATTGACGGCTTTTCGAACTCTCGGCGGTGATCTGGAGGAGTTACCGTGGGATCCTTTGGTATGACCCATCTGCGGTTGTCACCACTCCGAGGTCTGGTCGAACAATGTCCCACCCAGAGAAGGTCCCAGTCATCACCATATGGTGATCGAGGATGACCGTCTTCCGTCTCTTTGCCGCTTAACCAACGCGCACCTCTGGCCAGCTCGGCCATTTGAGCACGTAGACCAACGTCCCAATCAGCATCGTCCTCAAAAATCATGGCGGATTGTATATTGCTTGCAACCATCCTAGCACGACGTTAGAGCGGTAGTTCGGATCGCCTGGATGATACTGACTCTTGTATGATATTCATCTCTGCTCGCCAACAACCGACCTGGCCAGCTTTAAGGTTCATGGTCTAAAAGTCCGGTCAGACTACGTTTAGTTTCAGCGGTAAACATAGTCTTACATATGGAAGAGCTTTCGCAGACACCTCCGCGCCATTGACTCCGTCGACCATCACGAAGTCTAAATTCGACAATCTTGCCTGTAACGAAAAGGCATCTCTTTTATCGCTCCGCTCGGGCAAGGATACAACAAAGATCTTCTCGAACTGTATGCCACGTCAGTGGAGAGGTCGCGATATAAGCTAGTCTCATGCTTACCCCAAGCGTCTCATTGTAGATGCGAGCGTTGCCCTTTAGCTTCCTTGTATTGTAGTCCTTGAAAAATGCGCTTGTGAAGCCCGACAACGTGGGATGACCTTCTTGAGCAGTGTGAATCTTGATAGAGGCATCGGGACTGGAAGAAAGACTGTTGTCGAGACGTGATGTGTCTCGGAGAACAAGCAAACAGATAATGACAAACAACGTTGTCGTTCCAAATATTGCGCTCCGATTAGAAATCATAACTGCAAATACGTGGTGATGAGTCTCTTAGAAGCTTGGTGAGACTGAAGTCCACAGTTTGAGGAAACACAGCACTTCGGCCGGGCCACCCAACACTTTGTATGGACAAGTGGTGTTACAATATCTAGGTTTAGTGGGGTATAAGGGGCTTAGCTGGTATTGGCAGGTACGACAAGAGCTGAGGTTGTGGGGCAAGACGCACCATGATCTCGTATTCGTACCACTCAGAACCTAGACCATAAGCCTTTTAGTTTCAATCCCAGCAATTTTAGCAAGTGATCGAGATTGAATGGCAAGCAAAGGCCTCACTTCTATTTACGAGGGGATCAGTTTCTTGTCCGACATGTGTTCACATCTGCGACTATTGGATATCCATTGTCCTCGTTCGAAGGCTCAAAGTTTGGGCAATTGATGGATTCAAGCCACGCCAGCCATTAACCCGTAAATGTGTCGTATTGCTATCATTGTGGCGTGACAGGCGCACAGTGCCTGGGAAAACAGTGCATCGAAAGATTGTACCGGGTCAGCGAATTGGTTGCCCAACTCTGCCGTACCGCAGCAATCCTGAACAGCTACAGCTGGCACATAATGGTCAACACCGAAACACAAACCCCGCAAGAAAAAAAAAAGAAGAGGCGCCGTGAACTGCACACTTCTAGGCCTTACAAGATGGAATGGGTAACGAAGAAGCGACAGAAAGGGTTATGCTGACTGCCATGAGGCCAGGAAGTATGGTGATTGACTAAGCTTTTCGAGGAAGTTGCAGATTGTTGCAAATAAGGCAGCTGTTTGTGTAATCACTTAGTCAAGTCAGGAGTCTGCGATTACACACTGTGAACATCTTCGCAAGACCAAGATCAGATATCCATATTACTTGCAACCGACCTTACAAGCCTGCCATCAAATTCTCCAAGCAACGCAGCAATGACTTAACTCTGACTGGTGGCCAAGTGCCCTCGAGAAAACTCAATTGCGGCAGCGACCGGTTCACATCGGTGATAATCAGATTCAAGCTACATATTATATCAGAGAGTATGCATACAACCAGTCCCTTTAATGGATTGTCACGGAGTTCGCGAGACTAGCAACACCACCTAATCATGGTTAGAAATCTGGATCGAAGCGACTGGAACCACATAACACCTACCCGGCATATTCAAGGCTGTGCTCATGAAGAAGAACGACCAGCGTTTCTCCTGCTCACATTGCTTGGCCAAGGCCTAATCACAAGATTCATCAGTCGCATACCGCAGATATGGTTCAAAAAAGTGCTTGCCTCAAGATCGAACATCTCGCCTATCAGAACGCCCCAAGAACCAAGCAGGAACTCCTGCTATGAGTAGGATTTTGTCAGCCCGATTTGATAGTCGTTGATCAGATCTACGAACGAGAGCCCATTCCTTTGGGGGCCAACACTCCCATGCTGGAGCATCACCGGCGACGGCGCTGAAGTAACTATGCAGAAGAAAGTCAGTGCTCGAGTCCCGTTCCGTACTGGAAGTTTGAACGCGCACTTGTCGTGTAACCAAGCTTTCATTTCCTCAGTCTGGGCGACACCGGCTAGACATGGGTGTAGAGACCCTGCGTCATCCAGACGGGCAGGGTCTGCTGCCGCAAACTTGTAGTATGTATCAGTATCCACTTCTGATCAACAAGATGTCGCCGACTTCAAATTTCACTCCTTGGTGCTTTGCCACAGCTAACACTTCCTCAAGATGTATTGAGTGACTGGTCAGAGGATCGTATGACTCGTCTTTGGATAACTTCCAGCCGTAGTAATCATGGTCAGGCCTCTATGTCGCAATCGCAGGTGCAACGTTAATCTTCTGGATGGGAGTTGAAACCACCCTAGCTTACGCAACTCAAAAGCTATCACAGAGAGTTCGCCAGATGGGATTCCAGACAATCATGATACAGGACATGGCTTTCTTCGATGAACCTGCGAACACAACTAATGCACTTTCGAACGTACTCTCGAACAGCACGGATGATCTTGCTGGTATGGGCGGACCTGTTATGGGAGGCATTTTCACATTCATATTAACCATTCTTGGCGGTATCATCCTCTCTCTGGTGGTATGTTGGAAGCTAGCGCTCCTGTGTACAGCGACGATACCAATAGTGGTAGCCTGCGGTTGGTTGCGCCTTCAGATACTGAATGCCTTTGATACCAAGGTCAGACAAAGTGGAATTGATTCCGCTGCATATGCTGGTGAGCTCATCGGCTCAGTTCGCACAGTCGCCAGTCTTGGATTGGAAGAGTACTCTATGCGACAATATGACAGCATTCTTGCTCAGCGGTCGGCAAAGTCGCTGCAATCGATCCTCTCGGCCTCCAGCCTCTATGCTGCGTCCCAGTCTGTGGTCTACCTTTGTGCAGCATTGGTATTCTGGTATGGTGGTCAGCTCATTGCGGATCGCGAATACTCGACATTCCAGGTCTACGTATGTTTTGTCAGTCTTATTTCAGGGTCGCAAATCGCTGGTTCCATCTTTACCTTTGCTCCAGATGCAAGTAAGGCTATGCATGCGAGTCAAGAACTGGACAAGGTAATGCAAGCGAAACCCAAGATCAATCACGCTTTTGGGAATGCAGAAGCAGAAACGGAGAAACACGACATACAAGCTCAACACCCAAAAGGCTGCAGGATCGAATTCGAAGATGTCACATTCTCTTACCCGTCCAGACCGGACAGGTTAGCTTTGAACAACTTCAGCATTATCGTAGAGCCAGGTCAGACTCTTGCACTGATAGGCCAGACTGGCAGCGGCAAAAGCACATGTGTTTCGCTACTCGAACGCTTCTACGAGCCTGATTTGGGTCGTGTCCTTGTCGATCGGCACGATATCACTGAACTTGATGTGAATGCATACCGTCAAACCATCTCTCTTGTCAGCCAAGAAAGCATCATGTTTTCTGGTACCATACGAGAAAACATCGCTGTTGGTCAGGTCGAGCGCGAAGTCAGCGACCCTGAGATTATGGAAGCTTGTCGACAAGCCAGCATTATTAACTTTGTGCAATCTCTTCCGTAAGCCATACATGTCTGGTCAGAACTGAATTGAAACTGACGTGAAGCATCAGAGAAGGACTATCGACGCTGGTTGGCACGAGCGGTAATATGCTTAGCGGTGGTCAAAAGCAGCGCATTGCTATCGCACGTGCTTTCTTAAGGAAGCCGAAGATATTGCTGCTTGACGAGGCTACCTCGGCGCTGGATACAGAGTCCGAGGCCATCGTTCAAGCAGCAATGGACACGATCAGGAGGGGACGCACCACGATCATGGTGGCGCATCGCCTAAGTACCATCAGGAATGGCGAAATCATTTGTGTGATGGAAAACGGAATGCTCATAGAATCTGGCAGTCACCATGAGCTCATGTCGCTGCGTGGGAAGTATTGGGAGATGGTGGGCATGCAGAAACTCCATTGAGAAGTACATAAGTCTTGATTGTTTTGTGCTGCGAAAGTGGTGCTAAATTTGGGATGGGGTTTAGACCTGTCGTTTTCTTGATATCCAACCGACCTGCGGAAATCATATGTCCATTGCGTTCATTCTTTTTCCATAGACATTCAGACAAGTTTGTTGACTCAATCGTTGCCAATGCCGCAATGCGTTGGTAATCAAGGCAAAATGACTGTGTGCATCGGTTTCTCTAACAGTCTGGACATCAAGCAATGGAGATACTGCAAAAAGCAAAAATGTGTATTCTATAAACGTTCTGTCCCGGAAGCTACTTGAAACTATAACGAACCTCGTCTCTCACTTCCTTCGCCAATTGCAGAGCCTCATGCCTGCTTTTCCTTGAAAACACATTGAAGTATGCCAGAAAGCTGTGGACACCTGTACTCGGGTGTGGAACCTTCTGACCTCGTTTGACGAAGCATCCAGACCGACTGATATGGCTGGCAAGATCCTTTCTTCTAGACATGAGATCGGCGCAGAGATCTTCGGAGTCATACAAACCCTCGCATGAAGAAGGATAATCGGCTGGGATAAAGACCATGATACAGTGATACTGAGGCCCGTTTTTGAACGGGTGGGAGAGAGCGCGAACGCGGGATCTGTCTTGAACAGCGATGAGCAACGCGAGTCCCCAATAGTCAACACCGTAAGTAGACTCGACGATCTGAGAGCCGGTCATGCCAAGAGGACGAGGATTGATCTCGATCAACCAAGCTGATGCTGGCTCGGAACCAGCGGACTTGCGAGGATGCAGGTCGAGGATACCGTTCTCCATCTCATAGTCGACCGATGAGCGGTCAACCCGCCCCTCCAGATGCATGATGCCGTCCTTGAGGCCCATTTTGAGCAAAGTATCCAGAAAACTGTTACGGAGTAGATCAATCTCTTCGGTAGGTAGAGCGGAGGGATATACACTGTTGAGCTCGTGGAAGTTGTTGAGAGAGCCCAAGGAAGGACCATTGGTATCGGCCGATTTGGGTAAGTCGTCGCAGACCTCGAAGAACAGGACCTCGCCATCCAGCAACACAAAGTTCGCGTCTACCTCTGGACCCGCGCAGTATTTCTCCATGACAAATTCTGATCCATGGCGCGACTCGTCGATAGCTTTTATGGCTGTAGTGAGCTGATCAAAAGAATCTACACGAGAGACTCCCTCCGAACTCCAGCCATCACAAGGCTTGACGATGAGTGGGTAGGGAAGGTCGTTCTTGCTAGCGATGTCAAGAGCTTCGTCTAGACAAGATGCACGATAAGCTTCGTGACCGACGTATTTGCTCGTCAGATACTTGTTAGTAGCAGTCCTGAGCGCCTCTTTAGGAGCAGTCGGAATGCCAAGTTGTTTCGCAGCATCGGCAATGTAGGTCCAATAGGAATCCGCGAAAGTGATTATGCCATCGATCGGCTTGCCATATGCCTTGATGGACTTGAGGAGGATCTCGGTCAGGTCACCCTCAGGCGGGTTGGTCAATCGAGTCGGGATGAAAGCTTCACGCCAGTGAGCATACTGGGGCTCTTCGAGCCAGTGATTGGCATTGTCAAGCACAACCAGTTTGATGCCGAGTGCTTGGGCTGCAAGGTAGAGTCCAGATCCATTTCCACCTTTAGCAGGATCTGCACTGTTCGCGTCGACTAGGACCAGTGTTTTGTGTTGTACGGGCCCAGGGAGGATCCAGGGTAATGATAGCCTATTCTCCAGCTCCAAGTCAATCGTTGAAGATTCCAATTCAGTATCAGTGCTGGAAACATTGAGGATGAGCCCGGCTGCAGCCGCTGAGAATAGAGGTTCAAGATTGGAACAATCCGAACAAGTGACTCCCTCACCTGCAAAGGTCTGTAGGGGATCCGCAAAGGATGTCACTGTTTTGACACATTCGAGATCCTGCAGACGCAGAGGAATGATGTCTGAGCGCACAATGTACCCTGACTGTAGAGGCACAACAAGTCTCACGACACAGTCTACACCAGGGCCCGTCACGGCCGTAGCACGAAGACACTGCCAGAAAAATTGGGCTGTCTTGTCTGAGAACTTCGCTTCCTTGACTTCATCGTTGGCGTCAAGGCAGAATACCCGTGCACTTTCGAAGCCATTGTTGAATGTTGTAGTATCAATAAAAGATTCAAGTTGTAGAACGAGCTCGATCGATTGCCAGAGATTTGCAGTGATATTGAGCTTTCCGACGCGCCATGAAGATGTCAACAAAAGCGCTGTTCGCATTTAGCAGTCTGTAAATCAAGTGAGAAGAGATACTGACCGTCGTCCGTTCTCGCCCGGACTTGGATTCTGCCAGAAACCGAAATTACCATCTTCGGCTAGGTTGAGGAGACCAGCTGTATTGAGATGAAAATACGACGGCGGCACCAGGTACGACGACGGTCAGACGCTTTAGTTTGATTGTACATGGAAGCAAAGGAGTGCTGATGGACTGGGCGACTATTGTGCCACGTCGCCACGAGCGATGCTACCAGGGACGGTATGGCGTGACCTGGGGTTAGGCGGTGTTCCTGCCGAAGAATTTCCGTCACTGCCGAATTCGGTTTCGGCGTTTCACAAATGAAGAACACCTTTTGACCCGCCGAACACACACCACTCCGACGCCGATCTCATACGAGCGTACACCGAATGGTCAACTGAGCTCATTCGCAGCCAAGCCATGTGTCGAGGCGCATATCAACACGCAATGTCGCACCAAAAGTTCAAGAGTGACATCGGTGCTGTCAATCGTCAAGATGTTTGGCTGGTTCTCTCAGGATTCCGCGAGTCATGCGCAGCTCGATGATGATGTCGAAAGTGCTTTTTCGGATCTCAACGACCCCACGCCTCAATCTTCCGATACAGGCTTAAGCCACCATGTTCCTCTGACTTACCTACCCACTCTGGCTATAGAATCCAGTCGCAGAGACTTGCCGAATCGCCTGGTCAAATCTACGTCTATTCAATCCATCACCTGCACAGGATCTACGAAGGAAGACCAGAATGCGTTGGTCGAGAATTGGGCCAGACTACTACATATCTATACTGTAGCTGAGGATGTTGCTTTTGCAGTCACAGGTCTCGCCACTCCGCGATTGATTCTTTCACACTGGCCCTCAACTTCCAGATCGTTGACACAGGACGAAAATCCTCGGATAACATCAACACCCTTCGACAATTCCAAACATCAGGCCAAAGTCAACACCGCTATTGATCTAGGAAAGGACTACGCACTGAACCAAGAGTTTGATTTTGTTCTTCGTTGGTCTGGAGATCACTTTTCCGACGTCCAACTGTACATCAACCATTCCAACGTGCCACAAAAGTTCGCCTCTGCGGTCTGGAGCACTTTCGCAGAGCTCAGCGCTCCTGTCAAAACGACCGACACTCAGCGACGCCTCAAAGCTTCCATCAGCCGCGCAGATCGTAGGGCAATCTCTTCCTGGGTTCCAGATCCTATCTATGAATCCCAAACATGCTTGCATCAACTCTTTCTCGACTCAGTTCACCAAGTTCCCGAAGACAATGCAGTGGAAGCGTGGGATGGATCTCTTACTTATGCCAAGTTGAACCTCTTCTCTGACAGAGTCGCGAGCCAACTATTGCAGAAAGGTCTGCGCAGAGGGCAGTACGTTCCGTTCTCTTTCGAGAAAAGCATGTGGATGGTCGTTGCGGTACTCGGTATCCTGAAAGCTGGCGGCGCAATGGTGCCAATCGACCCTTCTCAGCCTCAAGCCAGAGTTCAAGAGATTATGAACCAGACGAATGCAAGTCTGGTTGTTGCCTCCGCTTCTCAGTCGGTGGCTTTCGCGCACCTCTTCGACACAGTCGAGGTTTCGTCTCACACACTTCGCAACGATAGACCCAACAGCGATCAGACAAACCACACTTTGCCTCAAATGCGCTCTGGAGAACCTGCTTTGGTGCTTTTCACCTCCGGTTCGACAGGCAAACCGAAGGGAATTGTTATTGAACACGGTGCAATCGCCACTCGGATGCTTGTCGAAGGTCGGGCCTTTCATTATCGGGGTGCTCGAACGCTTCAATTCGCTGCAACCACATGGGACATCTTCATGACAGATGTCTTCACGACTCTGACATATCAAGGCTGTATCTGCATTCCAAACGAGCAAGATCGAAGACTCAATCTCTCGCGCTTCTGCAAAGATTTCAATGTCACCCTAGCGCTCATGACCCCAACTCTGGCCTCGATCCTTGATCCTGCAGCGTTCCCGACGCTCAAAACGCTAATTTTCGGCGGAGAAGCTCTTCAACAGGATGTTGTGAGCAAATGGTCCTTCCCAAATGGTCCTAGAATCTTTCAGGGCTATGGTCCAGCTGAAACAGGACCTTGTGTCACCGGACGCGTGGCAGAGAGGCCTGAGATACTTGGAACACCGCTCGAAAATTCCTTGTGTGTTCTAGTAGACCCCAACAACCACGAGAAGCTTGTCCCGCTTGGTGCGATTGGAGAACTCGTGGTTGGCGGGCCAAGCTTACTTCGGGAATACATTGGTAATTCCAGTATAACCAGTCTTGCAACCTTGGACAATCCATCCTGGGTACGTGATCTAGACACATCGGTAACCCATTTCTACAGGACCGGCGACCTTCTACGATACAGTATCGATACAATGGACGGCAGCTTGGAATTTGTGGGCCGGAAAGACGACCAAGTCAAATATCATGGACAACGTATCGAACTGAAGGAGATCGAGCATCATCTGAACAAGATACCCGAAGTCGAGAGCTCCACAGTCATTCTCGTTCGCAAAGGTTGCTTCAAGGACAAATTAGTGGCTGTGGTGCAATGTATCGGACATAGAGCTCAACACAACACCTGTGGTACGCCTTCGATAGTACAAGACTCTGGATTCAATTACTCCAAGATGAGGAGTTCTTTGTCTCCTCGTCTGCCTGATTACATGATCCCAAACGAGTTGATCGTGGTTAACCGATTGCCTCACACTAGCTCTATGAAGCTTGACAAGTCACACATTACCAACTGGATTTCCGATATGCAAAAGTCACTGGTGGAACGTACTGCGGAGAAGCTTGTCAATACTAGCAAGTTACTTCCTGACGAGGAGACTGCTATGGCGATAGCTGCGGAATATGCCCGAATTGTCGCCGGGGATCATGAATCTCGACGTGTGTCCTTCGAAGGAAATGATTTCAACCTACAATCAGGAGGCATTGATTCGATTCAAATCATGTCTCTATCGTGGTACTTGAGCAGACGCTACGCAGTTCAGATTCCTATCGCCGACATGCTGAGCTCGAAGGCAACAGTGCGCACTTTAGCTTCGACAATTGATGCAAAGAGAGGCTCACAAGTCGCTCAAAAACGTTCTACGCCTCTGGGGGTTCTAAACGAGGTCAGCCAGCAGCTGGATCGTTTGGACCTAGGAGAAATACCACACTACGAGAACTCTAAGGTGCAAAGAGTCTTCGTCACTGGATCTTCAGGCTTCCTTGGTATTGAGATATTGAGGCAGCTACTCACACTGTCAGGGTGCCATGTCTACGCTTTGGTCAGGGGTCCATCAAGGGAGGGCGCCCGCAATCGATTGATCGCACGCGCCAGAGCTGTTGGCTGGTGGCAGGAAGTATTTTCGGCTCGACTGGACGTCTGGACCGGTGATCTCACCAAACCACAAATTGGACTCACCGATGGTCAATGGGCAATGCTCCAGGCACAAACAACACCTTCAATTGATGCGATCATCCACAATGGCGCCAAAGTACACTACAACATGGACTATGAAAGCCTCAAGACAACGAACGTGTCTTCGACAGTAGAGCTGCTCAAGGCAGTGAGATCTCGTCAGCGACCACTGTACAGTTTCGTTTTCGTCTCTGGCGGCCAAGAGCTGAGGTTTGACGATCAGGAAACCACAAAGGCTGCCAACCAATCTGGATACGCGCGCTCAAAAGTTGTGTCTGAGCTCATCGTCAAGAAGTTCGCAAGGCAGCAAGACTCGAAAGCCCGTCATGTTCGCGTGATCAAGCCGGGTTTCATCATTGGTGATTCCAAGCAAGGTCTTGCCAACCAGACAGACTTTCTTTGGAGACTCGTCGCTGCTTCGATCGATTTGGGCTACTACAACGAGAGCGACTCCGAGAACTGGCTGTTCGTTGCCGATGTTGCTCGTGTCTCAACAAGCATTCTGGATGGCATCTTCGAGGACCATGGCAAGCCAGTAACACAAGTCTTGGACGGCATCAGATTCAGAGATTTGTGGGTTCTGCTCAAAGATAGATTTGGGTACGAACTCGAGCCTTTGACTAGTCAAAGATGGTTGGACAAGCTCCAACAAGCGGTCGCAGATAAAAGGGAGCAACACGTCATGTTTCCTTTGATGTATATGCTCGAAGCCAATGACGCTTTAGTGGGTGTTCGAGGTAGACCACATGAACCTACAAGTGATATGGATTCTGCACTTCTGGCAAATGTCGCTCAACTCATCAAGACAGGCTTTTTGCCACAACCGCCTATACCGATACTCTCAACAAACAATGCTCCACTGGCAGTCGATGCTTTCGACGTGGAAAGTGTGCGCAAACAGTTTCCAGCTTTACAACAAGGTATTGTGCCATTCAACAATGCTGCTGGAACTGCTTTGCTTCAAAGCGCGATTGACAGGACGCAATGGTACATGTCGTCAATCCCTATCGAACTTGGCCGTGATGATCCAGAGAGCATCAAGAAGACAGAAAGGCTTGGGAACAACTACAAAGAACTTGCTGCCTTCATGAATGCCGACGCCGATGAGATTGGTAAGTCTTTCATCTCTTGACAAGATTCCAGAATTTTGACTGACCACTCTTCTTCATTTCATACAGCATTTGGGCAAACCACCACTTTCCTCTTCCGTGCACTTGGCCAAGCACTACGCCCATTGCTCAACTCTGACTGCGAGATGGTTGTGTCCAATCTTTGTCACGAAGCAAGTGCCGCAGCATGGATCGCATTGGCCAAGGACTTGAACATCGCCATCAAATGGTGGGCACCTCCGCCTGGAGACGACCCATGTCTATCCCTGGAAACACTCAAGCCGTTGCTGACAGCGAAGACACGCATTGTGACTTGCAATCATGTATCGAACGTTGTCGGCACTTGCCACCCCATCCGCCAGGTTGCCGACATGGTCCATCAGATTCCCGGCGCTATCCTGATTGTTGATGGAGTCGCATGGGCTCCCCACCGACCCATCGATGTCAAGGCTCTCGACGTCGACTTCTATTGCTTCAGCTGGTACAAAGTCTTCGGCCCACATATCGCGCAGCTCTACGGCCGACGCAGCACACAAAAGCGAGTGCTCGCTGGCATCAGCCATTACTTCCTCAGCGATATGCCCGGGCTCGATTGGAGATTACGTCTCGGGACGAATACGTTCGAGCTCGAGGAAGCATTGGTACCGATTGCCCACTACCTACAGCACGAAGTGGGATGTGAGAAGATCATCGCCCAGGAAGTCGTGCTGCAGGAGACACTGCTGAACTATCTCAGGCGCCGACCACAACACTTCCGCATCTTCGGCGAGAAGTCATCCGATCCGGAAAAGCGGGTGTCTGTCATCACGTTCGAGGTAATCGGCAGATCTTGCAACGACGTGACGAACCAAATCTGCCGAAAGGGACGTTTCAGAGTCGTGTCGGGAAACTGTTGGGCACCCAGGCCGACTCACGACGTTCTGAAGCTTGGCCCAGATGGTCTCATACGTGTCAGTTTTGTTCACTACAACACTGTTGCTGAGGTGCACGAATTCTGCCAGGAGCTTGACTCGATTGTCAGACCTGTAACGTGATCAATGCCACTGAATAGTCCGGAAATCTACAGAATATCCCAAAATACTACATCCATGAAAGGCTCTTCCAAAATTTTCTGTATAGTGATTCTGGACCAAGAATCAAAATCCACAAGAACATGGGAAGACAGAATTTTGCAAAGAAGATGTAGGTGTCGGATTTGAAGGGTCTTGGGTAAGTGCTCGAGGGGAATTGTATTGTCTACTGTACACTGCTAAGCTGTGCGTTAGATCGTAGGTGGCAAAGTCATTCAACTTTACGGGCGAGGTTCGGATGCTTGTCGTCGCACGCTCGGCTGGATGGGGAATTCCTTCGATTTTCGTCACGATGTATGCGACGGCTTTCGTGGGTGCGGTCGTCAGTCGATTACTCATGAATAGCTCTCGAATTCTGATTGATGATGGTGAAACCTTGCACATGCATATTTTCGTACTTAGATCTAGTTACTGGCTTCAAGATGCCAGGGGCCGTATACGATTTAGGATGCGAAACCCACGACCAGACTTCTCGCAATTTCACAGGTTACAGGTGCACAAGGCGAACATCAACACATCAGCCTTACCCATCAACTGGTGAAGGTAGTTGGGAAAGTTACGCTTTGAACTCATATACAATCTCCATCCACAACGCACAGCTAAGTCCCCGCCGTCATCGGAGAAGATTCCGCAGCCCACTCAGCCTGAAGATCCCGAGCAAGATCATGAACCGGCCATCCAGTACAAGACTGGTGAGCTCGAAGCAGTTGGACAATTTGATCCCGTTTCGCAAGATCGCGAGTGTTGAGGCCCGCTGCGAATAGGCATTGGGTTGAGATTATGGTGGCGGCAGTGTTGGTTGTCGTGCATGCGACGCCTCCGATGTAATTTATTGCGTCGTTTAGTGTCTGTTGAAGACGCTCCAATTCTTTGAGGCCCGATACGACTGGTGAATGCACGGCTAGCATTATTCGTGCAAAGTAGTGTATTTGGACGGCGGCACCTAGAGATATCAGTGGTGAGTTAAGCGTTTCTGCCTTGGAGTTACTCACTGCATGAAGGTGGGTTGATCCAAATGGGCTTGAAGGCGCTTCCCTCGGGCCATTGGACAGGCAATTCAGTGCGATACGGAGCAAAGTAGAACCACCATTCGTCCAATCTTGCCGTCAAGAACGCAGCCCGATGGATGCGCTGTTGCACGTTGCTCTTCCCAGCCTCTACCTCAGAGTCTGAGCCAAAGCTGATGCATTGGCCAAGGAGCCAAACTACTCGATTTGTGAGCTCCCAACGGTCCAGCTCAGAGCATTCTTTTTTCAAAGTGTAGAAGCTGAGAATCACTCTGTGGCTTCGGAAGGCTGCCCAGATATCCTGTCGCAACCAAGCCCACCAGATTGCTTGTTTAAGGCCGCCATACTCGCCATGGATGAGCTGGGACCGTTGGATCCAGAAGACGCCCTTCAAATGTCGCTCCCAACCGCTCTCGAAACCATCGATCATCTCGTATGTTGAGATTAGCAGTACTGTCGCAAGCAATTCATCGCTCTTGAGATACTCTGGTATCTCCATAGCAGTTTGAAGGTATTGTAGTGTTTCATGGTAGTACTGCACAGCCACCGTGCGGTCTGGTCGATTAGCATTCTCGGTAGTCAAGAGCAGCGACTGATGTCGTGCTGAAAGAGCAAGGAGAGCCAGCATCAATCCTCTGTTCTTGAGAGCCATTGTGGGTACATTGCTAGCGAATGAGGCGTCGCGATCTGTGAGATCGATCCACGTAGATATCTTCTCGACAAAGTGCCGCAAGAGTTTGCTTTCCGGGTCTGAAAGGTCAAGAAAACCTTCAATGTTGTATGATTCGTCTGGTCGGAGCCGAACCCCAGGGACATTCACAGGAGTAAAGCTTGGATGACCAGTCGTCTGGTTTTGGTCTGCACTGTCGCTATGGTCGACGTCGGCGTATCCTTGACCTTGCGGGTAAGTATCAGAAGCGGATGCATCCCTCCTTAGTAAGTTGAGCCATCTCAGAGGGGCGACTTCTGCAGAGTATAGATGTCCGCTTGCTGTTGACGCTGGGCTAGTCGTGTTTAGAGCAGTCGGCTCCAGTGTTGGAAAGCCAAAGTTGTCATTGGCAGATATGCTTTGAATTCTTTGATTTACATCGCGATTGTCGGGATAGGTCATGGAAGTTTCATCAACGCCTGCTGTGTATGTGTCGTCAACGGATCGAGAATGTTGATGCCGCGTGCCTAGAGCAGCTGTTTTGGTTGTGGAAGTTTCTGCTGGTATTGTCGTCGATTGATCAATTTCATTGCTTGTTGACGGTACATAGACAATCTGCGTGAAGTTGTTAGACGAGTATAGCAATCCGATGGAGCGAATGGACTTTACAGTGCTCGAGTCTGAGCTGCCCAATGACGGCTGGGCAGTGGTGTATTGGCAAGGGCGGTTTCCTCTCTGGCAGGCGCGGCAAACGGGTCGCGTCTCGTCGCACTTCACGTGTCTCTCACGGCAGGTGGTGCTGAGTAAGGTGTCAGGTCATTGACGAGTTCAACCGGGAGTTGGCGACGCACCAGCCTGTCCTTGTCCTAAGACCTTTGCCCTTGGACTTGCGCACGCGAGCTACTGATCTTGGAGACTCTGACATGACTGCGCATCACAATGCGTCTGTGAATTGCGATTGCTCGTAACGACTTCACGCTGGTTGGATATGCCCGATTGGGTGATGAGAGAGTGTTGCGAAAATGCCGACGCGAGGTCGTCGAGGCGAGAATCAGAAACCCCGCACGTCTGCACGGACGCCGCTAATGCCACGCTGCGAAAACAGTGTTCCGGCAAGAGTTTGCCGAGCTCCGCATTGCTTCCCTTATCTCGGGTCGAGTCATCTCGAGCCGAGGAGCCGGTGATCGAATGGTGGGGTGATCGGCATGAGGGCATGAGCCTCGAGACGTGGCACAGGTACGATCAACAGACTTCCCATATAACCCACCTGCACCGACACCTTGATTTCAGATGCAGACACATCAATCCTCTATCCTTCCACGACCAGATGATTTCCTCAAACACCACCAACATGTCAGAAAGCAAAAACATCATCATCACCGGCGCAGGTGGTATGATTGGTCCCATGCTTGCGAAGCGACTTTTAAATGACGGTCACAAGCTGGTCTTGACCGATCTCGTACAACCAAAAGTGCCTGAAGGTGTCGCGCATCCTGAAAATGCAAAATGCATGAAGGGTGACATTTGCGACCCTTCGTTTGTCAAGTCGCTCATTGAAGCTGCGCAACCGTTGGACGCCATCTTCATTTTCCACGGAATCATGTCCGCAGGTTCGGAAGCGAATTTCGATTTGGTAAGTCTCGAGTCCCTGTCCAGTGCATGAGACGAGACCTAATAATCTTCGCAGTCGATGAAAGTCAATGTGCAAAGTGTTCGCGACTTGCTTCTTGCCCTCAGCCAAAGCAACCCCGGCGTCCGAGTCGTCTACTCGAGTTCTCAAGCAGTTTACGGCCAACCCCTGCCCAAGGTCATCACCGATTCCACCATGCCGACCCCTGAGGGTACTTATGGAGCACACAAATTCGCGACAGAGATCATCATCAACGACATGAATCGCAAAGGCTACGTCGACGCCTTCAGTGTTCGGTTCCCCACTGTCATTGTACGACCAGGTGCCCCCAGCAACGCTGCCCCGTCCTTCTTATCAGGCATGATTCGAGAGCCTATGAAGGGAGAGGAGTGTGTGATACCTCTTGTCGACCGCTCCTACCGCACATACGTCTGCTCGCCGAGCAGCACAATCGAGAACCTTGTTCGCGTGCTGGATTTGCCAAGTGACGCACTTCCTTCGCATCAGAGACACATCATGTTCCCTGGTGTTTCAACAACCATACAAGAGATGATGGATGCATTGGAAAAGTATGGAGGTGCCGACAAATTGAAGCTGTTGAAAGAGGAGACGAACCCAACATTCGAAAGAATTCTTCGAAGCTGGCCTGAAGACTTCGACCCCAGCACGCCAGATAGACTTGGCCTGCTAAGAGATGAGAAAGTGGAGGACTTGATCAAGGAGTACATTGACATTGTCAAGGGCAACAGGAAGAACTAGGATATCACTTGCAAATTCATCCTCCGACGGCCACTGCTGTCTTGTATGTCAAGCAAAAGAAACATCAAACATCTTGATATATGCCCCGTTGGACTCTCCATGACGCAGAAAGCCTTGAAAGAACACGCCAAACTTAGGCCATCCATGAGTCCACAGCCAAAAGCCTTCAAGTCGAAATTGCGTTAGGAATCCCAGCGGGTCCTACAATGAAATGTCTACACAGATGCCTTATGACAAGACTGTCTGTTACCCTACATCTGCGAGCACATTGATTGCTGACTGAATCTCCTACACGGCTGACATTCTCACATGTCTCGAGACGGATGATATGCAAGCCCCGTCACCCTGCACAACAGAAAAGTCATTAGACACGAGTCAATCCTCAGCTGTGTTTGATACTGTGTGCTTCCAGAAGATCGTTTGCTCTCAAAATCGTTGCTTAGTCAAGGTCATCTTCTTGTACGGGACACAGTGAGCGGAAATGCAAGTGAAACAGGGCGTTAGAGCAATTCTCAGCTGAAAAGTGTTGCGTGAGATGTGATGTGTTGTGTATTGTCTAATCTCGATCAATTTGCCTTGCCAGTTGACCACGCGACATCCATCTGCTCCTCCTGTTGTCGTGTTGTGTGTTGAATACCCTCATCAATCAGCTTCGTTAGGGGCATCTTGGCTGCGTTCTCTCTGAAATGCCTCAAGTAGTCATCCAGCACCAGTCTATTAACATTGATCTTGCTAACACCTGCTTGAATGACGCGTTGTGTAACGCCATCTGGCCATTCGTTGGTGCCATGAGCAACGATCCTCACTCTTCCGTTCGCTTGCTTCTTGATCGCTTCCAGTCTGCGGGCTTGTTAGTGACTTGCTTTGGACGGCAAACATCGAATGCTTACCTTGCGTAGTCGAGTTGAGGTCCAGCCTTGCCGTACGGCGATTCTCCATGGATGTTTCCAAAGGCTGGGGCTAAGAAATCGACGCCGGTTGCGATAAACTGCTCAACGTCTTCAGGTGTGGTCAAGACTCCTTCCAAGTCTACTGTGTCGGCGACTCCATCTTCGCCTCCTTCCAATCGTCCTGGCTCGGCTTCGGTCGCGATGCCTCTTTCGTGGCAATACTCGACAAGCTCTTTTGTCTTTGCGAGGTTCTCTTCTTTCTCGTGGTAAGACATATCCACCATGATGGAATCAAAGGGCAAGTTATCTGCGGCATGGCGAATCAATGCTTCATCTTGAGCGTGGTCGAGATGGATCGCAATTGGGACTGATGCTCGTGATGCAGCGTCTGCTGCTGCTCTGACAAGAAGGCCATCGGAAGCCGTGATTGCCCATGGGAAGACTTGGATTATGAGAGGGGAACGCTTATTCTCGGCCGCTCTGACTACCGCGACGATATTCTCGACATTGTAGCTGAAGAAGAATGAGCAAGACTGATCCTTGTAACCAGAATTGTTGCAAGACTTACACGATTGAAGCAATGATTCCATAGCCTCCCTTTTCTGCATCCTCGAGAATCTTCTTGGTCTTGTTTTGTGCAAGACTTTTGCGAGAAGGATCGATGGTTGTTGATTGTGCACCCATATTTGCGTGTGGAGGGTTGTTGAGGATGGAGAGCTGAGGATTGCTGGTTAATGATTTGGCGACTGGGAGCTTCCTGACATCCTGTTTAATGGAAGCATCGAAAGACCAACAGTGAACGCTGATGAGGGGTAGCTCGTTGCGAGTGGGGATGCATCAGGTTGCCCCTCACTAGTGGGGTTCGTGTGGGGTCTATCTCGAGACGAGATACCTTTAAGCGAGCTTCGTCTTCTCAGCTGGTGTGAGTTTGCTTCCTGCCAATCAGTCTTCTGGGATCATGTGAGTTTCTTGGGACCAAACGGAAAGAAAGAGTTGTCGCTAAGCGAGGAGTCGATACGAAGTATTTGCGCCCACAAGTTGAGAATCTTGCGAGCATGGGAAATTGCTGGTGAGTGCGCCTGGGCTTCGCGATTAATGTCTAGTAGAAGCCGGAGGAGATGGGAATAAAAAGAGATAAGAGAAGAAGCATTCGGGAGAATCACATGGGTACAGCTTCTCGACGACTCTCCAACTCCTTCATTCAGACCATACACGGCACCGCAAGCAACATACAACAATGTCTCCCTTTGTCCCAGACATCGACTCTCCTGTCCTTTCACAGTTCTCGCTCCAGGGCAAGACGGTAGCAGTTACTGGTGGCTCAGGCGGCATAGGTACGGAGATCGTTCGCGGTATGGCAGAGGCGGGCGCGAACGTCGCAATCATCTATCATAGCTCGGTCGAAGCAACATCCATTGCGGCCTCGTTCAGCGACATGTACAATGTCAGAGTACAGGCATACAAGTCGGACGTCCGATCTGCGAAGCCCATTGCAGACACAATCAACCAGATCGAACAAGATTTCGGCCATTTAGACGTCGTCATAGCCAATGCAGGTGTCTGCTCGAGATTCGATGCGTTGGACTACGATACTGAGAGCTGGAATGCCATCAACAGCGTCAACTACGACGGAGTGTTTTGGACAGCAAAAGCAGCGGGCGAGATATTCAAGAAGCAAGGAAAGGGAAACCTGGTCATCACCGCATCGGTATCTGCTACGCTGGTCAATGTACCACAATGGCAGGCTGCGTACAACGCGTCGAAAGCTGCTGCAATGCATCTTTGCAAGTGTTTGGCGGTGGAGTGGGCACCTTTCGCAAGAGTCAACTCGGTCTCACCTGGATACATCAACACTTTGATGGTTTCGAAACAGCCTGCCGAGCTCATGGAGAAATGGCTCTCGATGGTTCCTTGTGGTCGAATCGCTCAGCCTGCAGAGTTGAAGTCGGTAAGTGATGAATAATTCGATGCACGAATGAGAGACTGATGAATGGCAGCTCTATGTTTTCCTCGCCAGTGACGCGTGCTGTTACATGACTGGATCGAACATTATCGTAGACGGAGGTTATACGTGTATATAGGTTGCAGTGCAGTGCATTTGGTATGACCAGACCAGGCACGCTTACAAGTCAAAATCAATCTTCGTGTGAAGGTGTCCTCTGAACGTGAATGAAATGGAGGAAAACCGAATGTGAATATCTTTGGAGGGAAAGCGACATTCCCCAGAGTGGAGTCACGTCCGGGCAGAAATGACGTCGGTAAAGATGGAAGAAGCGGGGTTGGAGCTCGCGTCGAGGTCGTCTCGGTGCGCGCGACTTCCCAAAGTCGACAAAGCGAACAAGCTTGTGCAAGCCCTCATGGCCATGTTTGCACCAAAGGCATCCTTGAAGAACATGTTTCTCTCATCTCGTTCACGACCCACCAGACCAGTCTCGGCACCCAAAGCGCCGACTCCCTCCTTGCGACCCTGTTGACAAAGACGTCTGCACGACACAAGCACACAACCATGGCAACATTCCCGAACGCCATGCTCCTCGCTGGGAAAGTGTGCGCAATCACAGGTGGTGTTTCTGGTATCGGAAGAGCAATCGCCATCGAATACTTGCGACAAGGCGGCGCCGTCGCAGTGAATCACCTGGGCGATGACAAGTCCACCGAGCTGTTCAAATCTCTCAAAGCCGACGTACCCAAGGACGCGAAACTGATTGGAATCGGCGGCGACATTGGAAAGCCCCAGACTGGAACAGACTTCGTCAAGGCGACCGTCTCTGAGTTTGGATCGCTCGACGTCTTTGTCGCAAACGCTGGCGTGAGCGTCTTCCACGACTTCTTAACGTGAGCAAGCCGTTATTCAACCGTCATTCCTGACATGCGCTGACCGTCTATACAGTACCGACGAGAAAATGTTCGAATCGCACCTCCACGTCAACACCCGCGGCACCTTCTGGTCGGTACAAGCAGCGGCTCGACAAATGGTGGCACAAGGAAGAGGAGGATCAATCATTGGCGTCGCCTCAATCAGCGCGCTTCTTGGTGGAAAGCAACAAGTCCACTACACTCCGACAAAGGCCAGTGTCTTGAGCATGATGCAGTCGGCTGCTTGCGCTTTGGCAGAACACAAGATCAGATGCAACGCACTGCTACCTGGACACACTCGTACACCCATGAGCGCCGACGACCTGGCTAAGCCTGAGAAGCTGAAGGCTGTGAATGAGAGGATTCCGCTCGGACATGTCGCTGAACCTCACGATATGGCAGGCCCTGCTGTTTTCCTTGCAAGCGACATGAGTAGCTACGTTGTGAGTGTCTACCTTCGCGGCCTTCCTAAATCTGCTAACATTCACCCAGACCGGTGCACAACTCCTCGTCGACGGCGGTCTCTACGTGAACCTGCAATGAAAATACACACATCGTACAATCAAAAACCTACACTTTGTTGCTTCTCTCAATCACAGTTCGCAAGGGCAATAAAGATGTGGAGGATCATACAATCTGCAATCCAAGCTTTACATTCTGTTCGCGAGCTGTGCAAGTAACAAGCGATGCTTTGCTCTGCACTCCAGCTCGTCAATGAGATCCTCCATGCCAGACGGGTTGCTAGGCGTTGGTCTGGGGCTTAAGGACTGCGCGACTTGTCTTTGCTTGTCGTCCATGCTCGATCGCCTCGAGTGCCCCGACCCGGACATACTCCACGCTATGTCGCGTGAGCTAGAGGTCATATGACGTCAAGACATCGCTCGCGTGATTGCGACACGTTTGATCGAGGTTGGCACGCTGTCGCAACTGAATGATGCTTGCAAGCCTTGATCCCGGCCATACCGACATCAGCTCAAACAGACTGCTCTTTCTCTCCGTGCTCGAGACGATGTAATGCCGTCATTCACGTATTCGTCTCTTGGTGGCTGGACGGTTCTATTAAGATTGCGGGCAAGCCCTAACTTCGAATACTTCTCCTCTTTTTTCACTCGGCAGAGAACCCTACTCGGCTGCCCCACCAACCTCGAAACGAGCTTTCCTGTACCATCTCTCCACGATAATTACAGCGCGAAACCTTGTTTGCAGAGGATCTCAAGATTCGCGACTAATATATGTTTGAGACTCACGATGCTGGTAAGCCCTATTGTCAGCCTTTCAGAACAGGCCGAGACCGGAAACACGCAACAACCCTACCCATCCAGCGTCCCCATTAGTTCATGCTGCCTGAATCCTCAACAAATGACGCTAGACCTCGTGCCGAGCTGTTGATCGGCAAAGAGCTCGAGCCGCGAACTTTTTTTGTGAGGATTGTTGCTTGCGCCACCTGAGCGGGGTTCATACTTGTTAGAAAGGTGCTTACCTTGTCGCAGTCACGAAATCGCTTTCAGCATTTCCAGACCCTCGTACGCCAACGGAACACAGCCACCAAGCTCACTTCTCCAACCATGCCTGTTCTCACCCGGATAATCAATACGTTGTCCTCTCGGACGACATCGTCACGTACCTTTGCGCAGTCATATCTAGGACCCAACCTTCGTGCCATATCCACACGTACTCACACCCTTAACACAGGCGCGAAGATCCCGGCCATTGGGTTTGGTACATTCCAGGACCCTGATGCCCAGGAAGATGCTGTTTGTCGAGCATTGCAGCAAGGACTCCGTCTGATCGATACTGCTCGGGTTTACAACGTTGAGAGTCAAGTTGGGTTAGGCATCAAGAAGAGCGGAATCGACCGCAAGGAGATCTTCGTCGGCACCAAGCTGTGGTGCAACGACTTTCACCCCGACGATGTCGAGGGGGCACTCGATCGTTCGCTGGAGTCTCTGGATACTCCCTACATCGACTTGTTGCTAATGCACTATCCATGCACTTTTGCTCGTGGTAACGACCCTTTTCCTCGCGATGAGAACGGCACAATGGTCGCTGGCAAAACCACCTTTGTCGAAACATGGAAAGCTATGGAGAATTTGGTCAAAGGTGGCAAGGTTCGAGCGATCGGAGTGTCCAATTTCAGCAAAGGCGAGTTGCAGAAGCTCATCAACGAGTCAGACACAGTGAGTCACTACTAGTGAAACTAGAAGCCCATTGCAAAGGCTAACTATGGGCCAGGTTCCCGCTGTCCACCAGATGGAGGTTCACCCTTATCTCCAGCAGAAGGACTTCAATGAGTGGCTCAGATATCAGGGCATCCACGTTGTCCAGTTCAGTCCCCTTGGCAATATGAACGACTTCTATAGGCAGACGGGCTGGAGCAAGGAGATCTCACACATGATGCGTGTCATCGACCAGCCTGTCCTGAAAGAGCTCGGTCAGAAGTATGGAAAGAGCCCAGTTCAGATCTGCCTCGCCTGGGGTGTCAACAATGGACGCTCCGTCATCCCTAAGAGCACTATAGACTGGCAGATCCAGGAAAATGTCGAGTCGGATTTCATCATGGATCAAAGTGACCTTGACAAAATCGGAGGGCTGGACATCAAGGCACGATTCAACGACCCTAGCCTTGATTATCAATGGCGGCTCTATAGCGACCTTGAGGGAATCGAAGGAACCAAGGACGGCAAGACTCATTGAGTGCTCGAGTACTCGGACAGTGAAACAGTCCAGCTTTGGTTGAGATCAAGTAATGCGTGGGTCCCAAAAAAGACCTTGATATGTACTGTCTTCTCTGCAGCTTGACTAGTGAATAAGCGAAGTTGACAGAAGTTGTCATTGCGCAATTGATTCTAGTCCCCAGGCAGGGGAATAGCTATATGTTGAACGAACGTCACCGACCGAACAGCGCGTCATCGCACCACTTTCTCTGTTGCTCATGGCGTCTCATACATCTTTCATTGGTGCAGTGACTTAATGTGTGGTATCAATCTCTGCAGGGGTCACTGCTGAACCGGATAAACATTATGAGATCCTGCACTTGCTGCAAGAAACATGACCCTTAAGCTTTTTCGCCTTCATCTAAGAATTTTGAGGATATCTCTTCATGTCGTGCACATACCGAAGTCTACCTGCAGCGATAACTTTAGTACCTACTTTCCGCGAGCTACAGTCAAATTTACGCTGCCTCGAAACCAGAGTGCAGAACTCTACACTGATTCCTGCCAAGTTTTCTTGGTTTTTAGACGCGTGATACCTTGCTAGTGACTGTTCAATATGAGCCGGTCCACTTGTTCCTAGAACTTAACGGCGGCCGAATCCAAATTCTGATTAGCCTACGTTTCGGAGACTTAAGCAGTGCTAGAGAACTGTAGTCATTAGTACCTTATACATTGTAGAGGCTGCTAGGACGAGTAAAAATTAGCTTTACTCGTTACGAGGTCATTAGCTGCCGCCCTTGGCAGGACTAGTACGCTTCTTAGCGACTAAAAAGGAACATTAACGAGGCACGTTTACCCCGTCCGGACTTTAGTTATGTGATTAGCTGTCCTAACTCTACAGATCTGTATATAGACTTGCACTTATGACTAGCCGTTAATTTAGCGCGGATGTAGTAGACTAGGCTTAGGTAAGGGACTCTTAGTACGTGTTACCCGGCTTATCCTTAAGTCCTTACAACTCTCCCATAGGGTCTTAAAAGTAGGGTATAGTGTAGGGTAGCTACGATCTTGCTAAACATTTATATAGCCCTAGATGTCCGCTCTTCTAAAGCGCTAATAATATCATCTTATTAACTATTGCTTAAGACCCTAATAAGAATCATGCATTAACGACAGACCTAGATAATCGCTTCTCGCCTTAAGAAGCGATCTCTCTTAATCGCTATTAACGTCCTTACTAGCTTATCTATCTTCTTCTTCGGGGGTTTAGGGTTAGGGTTAGGGTTAGGGTTAGGGTTAGGGTTAGGGTTAGGGTTAGGGTTAGGGTTAGGGTTAGGGTTAGGGTTAGGGTTAGGGTTAGG